AACTACAACCACCATTCCAACTACAACCACCATTCCAACTACAACCACCATTCCAACTACAACCACCATTCCAACTACAACCACCATTCCAACTATAACCACCATTCCAACCACAACCACCAGTCCAAGCACAACTACAACCACCACTACAACTACAACCACCAGTCCAAGCACAACTACAACCACCACTACAACTACAACCACCAGTCCAACTACAACCACCACTACAACTACATCAGCATCACCAACTCCAAGCTATTGTTCTGGTGAAACAAGTGAAATAGGTGCCTTCACTGGTGACGCGTTCTACATTTGCACCGGCGCTGATCGACCTGGTGGTGATCTCTATAGTTTCTCTTCCTATGGCGAGGACGACTGTCTCCAGACTTGTGATTATGAACAGGCCACGAATGGTGATTGTGTCGGTGTGGTCTTTGAGCCTTCCACTAACTACTGCTGGCTCAAGAATGTCCTTGAAGCGCAAAGTGCAGATACGCGTTATTACAACGCTGCGCGCGACGCGCAAGTCACCTCCACGAACGAAACCTGCGCTTACACTGGCGACGTTACGCTAGGAGAAAACGGTTGTACATATACCGTGTCATGTGGGCAGGCCATAAGTGGTGGTACTTACACCGAATACTCCACTGGAGTATCCTTTGTCGATTGTCTTGAGGCCACCAACGAGGGCAGTTATCCGGCAATTGCCTACGACTATTCAGCAGGAGATTGCTACAGGTATAGCGACATGACAGGGTCCAGTCTCTATACAGATTCCGACTTCGCCAGTGCCGAGGTCAACAGCTGTTCTGACGATGAATATTCGTCTGGTTCATATTATTAGGGGGCAAGAGCTCTGATCTAGTCGTATGGAGCATGGAAGATGAATGTTTGGTTACTCAAATTTGATATATATATTCGACCGTAATCCGACGCCGTTTCCTATTAAGAAACGGAATTGTCTATGAGGGTGTTGCGACCGACTGAGTCAATCGAGTGTTACGCGGTACGATATCGTGATCATGACACCATGTACCCCATTACTTTCGCCTTCTCTTCTTGGCTCAGTTTTTCCACCCCTAAAGGCGGTAGAACCGGCTGCGGCGCCTTCACGAAATCAAAATGTCCCATCCGTTTTGTCATGATCACATCCTCCGGCCCCTTCACGCCCTTTGGGCTCAAAGCAAGAAAATTCAATGGGAAGCCCATGTCGAATGGATATGCACCATCTATCTCCTCGATCTCCGCATCCGTCAATCTGATTGTAAGAGCCTCGACATTCGCCTTAAGATGCTCCAGTTTCCTTCCGCCAACGATAGGCGTGACATACGCCGTCTTGTGCATGACGTACGCGAGCGCAATACTCGTCAGGGGCACGGCCGGGGTTCTAGCGTTCGCAACTTTCTCGAGAACACGACTGACTTGTTCCTCCTTGCCCGTCAGCGTTGTCGGGAGATTTCGACCTCCTCCTTCCTTCGTGGCCGATGAGCCAGTTGGCTTGAAGTATCCTCCTCCCAAAGCTCCCCAGGGCGCGATCCCCATCCCCTCATCTCGACACATCGCCACAACGTCCCTTTCTAGATCACGTTCCGCAGCGGACCATCTCCCCTGGTACACGCTGAACGCCCTCAACCCGTGATGTCGCGCATAGGCGTTCGCTTTCGCCACGATCCATGCCGGCGTATCGCTGACGCCCAGATATAATACTTTCCCCTGCGCAACGAGGTGGTTGAGAGATTGCATGACTTCTTCTACACCCGTGGTAAAGTCCCAGTAATGCACGTACAGGATGTCGATGTAATGCGTCTGCAATTTCTTGAGCGAAGCCTCGACGCTGAGAGCGAGGGATTTGGTGTTGTTGCTGCCGAAATTCGATTGTTGCAGATGAGGCTCCGTTACGATCTTGTAGGCTGTGGTGTATTTTGTGGCAATGACCATTTCGTCGCGCCTGAAAGGGTGTTGAGCCATCCACTCGCCTAGCCATATCTCGGATTGTTCGCCTTGGTAGGCGTTGGCACTTCACGCAATCGCGGCGTCAGGAGGGGGTCTCGCCAGCAAGGATGGGAGGAGACAGGCAACTCACGTATCGATGAAATTACCGCCCATGTCATAAAAGTAGTTGAGCAGTTCAAAGGCTGTCTCTTTGCTACATTCGCCCATGATGCTTGTCCATGCTGTCCCGAAGTTCATAGCCCCTAGACATAGTGGACTAACGTGCACGCCTGCCGTGGGAGATAGCAGTCGGTGTCGTCCGAGGATGGACTTGGGGAGGATAGATACGTTGGCAGTCATTTTGATCAGTGACAATTGTCGCTGCTCCTCGTTGCTAGTGCAGGAATTAATCAATAGGAAGGCCAGCGATACTTGTAGTCCGCTCGACATACCGTCCTAGCTTCGGCTATGGGTCACTATCCCCGGAGCCAAGACTCTAAGATATCTCAGCTTGGCCAAATGCAGCTTAACATCAAGCTAAACGACTCGCGCAAGGCTCGGAGATAGGGGGTCTTCAGCCTTATCACCTTTGGCCCAATAATGTCAATCTATATTGCAACTTTTCTTGGTAACGATGAGCATGCTATAGAAGTTCGACCAGATGCATGATGACAAACAAGAGTACCAGGATGAGGTCGAAACTCGCCAATTCGCCAGCAGGAAAATCCTAGGCATCGCCTGCTCTTTGGGCGTCCATTTGCTCCTTCTTGCGCTTCTTGGCTGCCAATTCTCTACGTCTGGCCTCCTTCTTGAACCATTCACTTTCAGGAATCTGACTCTTCTTGCTCCTCCGTTCTTGCTCACGGTACATGGGTGCCATGGTTCCACCACCACTTGCATCTGCCATGAGTACAGCTTGTCTTCGGACTTGCAGTCTCTTCTTCGCAGCAGCTGAAGGCTTATTGCCGGCACTGAGATGACTCCACATGTTGTCGTCAATCTTCTCCACGTCTGCTGCTGTTTCTTGCTGTAGCATTACAAGGGCGAGCAGTTCGTTGCGTTCTGCACTGGTTCTGTACGCAAGGTCCTTCATCTCTGCCATGCCAGCAAGATGTGTAATTGTCTTGAAGGCATAGCCTTGGTCGACGAGAAAAGCTTGTCTCTTTGCACTGTACGCCATTTCGGTAGTATCCTTGGACACCAACGAGTAGAAGAATGCGTTAAAACCTTCGTCGTTACGACGTTTTGCTCGCAAAATCCGACCAAGACGTTGTGCTTCTTGACGTCGTGAACCGTAGTGGGAAGAGATTTGGATCAGACAAGTTGCCTCGGGAAGATCAAGTGACGTGTCACCAATCTTCGACAGAAAGATGGTGTTGATCATTTCATTGTGCTGGAAGTTTTCGAGAATACTTATTCGCTCTTGGTTGCTGGTGTCACCATAAATGAAAGGTTTTTTCATAGATATCGCGTAATGCTTCAGTGCGAACAGGTTGTCACTGAAGACGATGATTTTGTCGCCTCTCTTCTCGTGATAATCGATAAGATACTGGCAGACTTGGTATTTGACCGGATTCATGATATAATAGAGTGCTTGCTTTCGAGTCGTCTCTTTCTGATATTCTTGGTAGAATTCCATAGACATTGGACACCATACTTCAGCGCACTGGACCTTGGCAATGTGACCTTGATCAGCCAATTCCATCCAGTTGGCCTCGTACAGTTTTGGTCCGATAATGAAGTTCAGATCGGTGATTTTGTCATCCTCTCGTAGTAATGTAGCCGTCAAACCCAGCTTGCAATGAGCCCGAATGTTCTCACCGACTTTTCTGAACATCTTGGCAGGTACCACATGCACCTCGTCCAAGATCATCAAGCCCCATTCTTTGCCATAGACCCAGTCCATCATTTGCTGAGTATCGTAGGCTCTTTTGCCGCCAGCTGTAATCATGGAGTAGGTTGTGACCAGCACACCCGCGTTTCCAGTAAAGCGTCTCTTTTCATTTGCAGAGAAGACCGCTATATCTTCTTCTTTGATGTCGGACCACTTCTTGAACTCGTTTGCCCACTGGTAACTGGACATGGCACTAGTGCACAGCACGACAATGCTCTTCTTGATGTGACAACCAGCTGTGATCCCCACAAGAGTTTTACCAGCACCACAAGGCAGGACAATGATACCGCTCTTGCCTCGACCATTTCCGAACATCTTGCTAAGAGCCCTTTCTTGATAGGGACGAATCGACGTGGACGGCCTCAGATCAATAGGAAGTGTGGGATTTTCATGATCACCAGCAAAGTCGTATTCCGATATGGCAGGATAGCCAATGTCCAGACATTGCTTCGCTACCACATCACGTTTGTTTGCTCCAATCTCGAAATTCGGTGCTTCCTTGTAGGTATCTTCTTCATCTTCCTCGTCTCTGAGAGCGGCGATCATGGCTTCATTCTCTTTCGACGGATCGTCCCTCGGCATCTCGACGTTGCTTTCACCTGCTTGCTTCACGCCCTTGGCATTACTGGTGCCCTGGATGACTGTTGCCTTTGTCTGAATTCTGCCGACTTGTACGTCGGTGCCGACGGATTTGCAAGGACCGATGACAGGATCTTTGAGCAGCATGTCGATAATGGGCCGTTCGTCAGATTCGACGTAGAACTTGTTATTTCGCAATACGAGCCGCACTTTGCCATAAGTTTTGGTATGTCTGTTGATGAATTCGATTACGGTCTCTGGCACAGGAGTTTTCGAAAGCTTTTCTAAGGCACGGATTATGTCTTCACCACGTAGACCTACCGACAAAGCCGCATACAAACTATGCTCCGTGAACCTGTATTCATGGAGGTATGACGGTCTTGATTGTGGTTCTGCAATGGTAGTAAGCAGATCGGTAGCTTGAGCAGCCAGAGGAGAGAAGGCCTCGAGCGTGATCTTCGGGCCTTTTTTCGAGCCCGTCGAGACGCCGGGATCAATCCATAAAGGACGATTTTCATGATCCGTTTTCAATGAGAGCCATGAAAAGTCCTTTTCGCCAAAGATGGATGGCGCCTGTTTCCGCTTCGAGCCTGAGCCTTGGAACGCGCTGAAATCTAATCTGGCTCTTGCCTTTCGAATATGTTCTTTCTCGCTGTCACTTGCATCGTCTTGCGATCGTGTGTCGGATCCTTCGTAGTCATCGTCGCTGGTGAGGCTCACAGGAGTGCCCGGAGCGGGCGTCGAACGCTTCGACGATCGAGCACTGCCGGCATCGAGGGCTTTCCGCTTGAGAGACATGGACATTGCAAATGATGGACGACGACAACGAAGGCCGAAGTTGCCGCAAGGGCAAGACGGCAGACGTGAAGGACGACAGAGAAGGCAAAAGAATGGAATGAGTAGAAGTGAAGAAGAGTTGTTAAATGTAGGACAAGATGACGGCTGAGTCAATGGGTATTCTGCCTAGGAGGCGAACTGCGGTTCTGAATATCCGCAGCGCAGGCGCCATCCGCGACTAGGACCTTTTAGACGTCACTCTGAGCAGCGCAGTTTCTCTCACTGGTGCTTGAATTCGTCTCCATCAAACCAAACGGACCTTTGGAGCGAAGTACAGACTTGACTTCATTCACTCTTCCTACACAGCATCCTCACGTTGGTGATGGGACGTGAAGTTGCTTCAAGATGAATACTGTAGGTGATATACCAGCTACGACATTGCTCATGCTGATTGTTTTTGCAGATCAAATCTACCTGGTATGCTCTATTTGCGCGCATAGCAAATCCTCATTGTTCAAGCTGTCTCAGCACACATACGCCTGTTTTTGACTACGCCTAGAAGTCGGCGAGGGAGCAATCAGCTAATTGAGTGCTTCATAGGCTTGGCTGGGGCGTACTCTGCGTTGCCGGTGGAGGCGCATACTATTTCGCCAAAAAATCGATAAACGCCGACCGAGCAGCACGATTCGACGCCGAACAGAAGAGCAAGGCATACCAGCGTCGGCTAGAGGAATCCTCATACATGAGCGCGCCTTCAACGAGATCTAAGGTCAAATTCAAGTCTTCGGCGGATCCCGCGAACGGCACGAAAGGACTGGATCACGCCGGAAGCCCAAGCAGCGAGATCAGCGAGGATGCGGCACCCGTAGGGCACGCGCCTGTGGACCAGGATCAAAAGATCGCCCAAAAGAGCAAATATGAGGGCGAGCCTTTCCGAAGCAAGAAAGGAGACCGTTTAAGCTGAACCCTGCGGAGCAAGAGAAGACTTTGAAGGAACGATATGCACAACTGGAAGAGCACGCTATTGACGAAATCAATTGATTGCTGTGTACATCTGCTGGCTGCGATGCTGCATGAGAATGCTGGGGGAAATGATCCTGAGACTCCATCGAAACCATGGCTACCAACCGGGTATTATGCTTAACGCCTCGCACCCATACCCATTCCCAATGTATAAACAATTTCATAACACCATGACATGTCGACTACTCCATCCTCATCTTATTTGGATTCATGCATGGCAGCGTAAAGGCGCGTAGTGCCTCCTCGAGGCATTTGGATGACCTGAGTCTCGCTCGCGTTTTGATTCAATGGCGGGAGGAACGAAAGGTAGGACGACTGCCGAAGTGATGAGTGTTCCTGCGACTGCTGACTGTAGTTTTGTTGCTGGTTTGGGCGCTTGAGCGGAGAAATGACGGATCGCCGAGTGCGAAAGAGAGTTGGTTATGGTGCTTGCGAGACTCATGGTCGCGGATTTTGGATGTACTCGCTGAAGGTAATGACTGGCACCGGCAGGACAATCGCAGACTGGATATATGAGGAGAAAAGGGGATGAGAGGACAAGTCCAAGTATTTGAACAAGGCTTCAATACACGGCTGATGTGTAATAGAAATTGTAAGAAAGGGGATTGGGTGCAGGCTGGCTTAGAAATGGTATTGTAGCATGAAAAGGCAGCGTTCGGAGGTGCGCGCACGCCCTACTTCAAAGGCGTGGGATTTGGGCAGAATTGCGTGCTCGAAATTGGTGTAGACAACGTTGGGTGTTGGGATGTGAGTGGATGGTATAGTGGTCTCTGCGTGCCGTTTGAGCCGTGTGCCGTGGACTGATGCTGCCCAATGTCTTGGGAGAAAAGGCTATAGGATAGCACACCACCAGGCAGCCTCGAGCAAAGTTGGGCGCGTATTTGTATGCGATCAGTCATGCCACCAGAGACGGTGTTTCGCGACTTTTCGGAGAGAACCCGACGGCCTTTCAAATCGATCGCTTTCAATCCGACACAACCGCGGAATTCGTGCCGGAGGAAAAACTGTTCAGAGATCATCTTGATATGATAAGATTAGATAAGATCCGGACAGCACAATCCATTTCCTGCCACCGACCACTTCAAAGTCGCAACACAAACCCCAGCATAACGACCATAAACATGAACTGACATGGCGCATCATCTTTCTCTTGCCAAAGCCGCCTTTGGCGCTTCGCTCCTTCGACATGATGTGACCAAAGTGTCTCGCGATGAACTACCGCAATTTCACAGCGCGTTCGAAGCGGTACTTTCCAACTGCTCAAGGCAGAACATACAGGTCTGAAGATCTCCGGCACGATCAACACCGCGATGCGTTGGATTGACTGAAGAAAGTATAGACATGCAAAGGATGGCTTCTGGAGAATGTAGCCGTTTCCGCTACAAGGATCACCGCATTTGGTAGATTCCTGGCCAACACGTCCAAGCACCTTGCATCGCAGGCGGATGAAACCGCTTCGTCCACTGTGCCACGACAACGACTACACATCCTCTACCTTCTCAACGACCTTCTGCATCACTCCAGATACCACGCCACAGATAAAGACCTTCATACTACTTTGACCCAGTCTCTACACCCATTCCTCTCAGAGCTGTTTCAACTGGCCACAAAGGACGCGAAACCGAAGATCTCTAGGCGGCTCCAAGACTTGGTAGAAATATGGCAAGGAGCAGAATATCTGGAGAAGAATCTTCTCGATCGAATCGCTGACATTCTGACGGGTATTGGCCCAGGCACAACTGAAGAAGTTCAAGCTGAGCCGAAGCTCGAAAGAGCGACAAAGGAGCTACCCTATAACCTGCCTGCGACGCATGGCGACCCTTCGTTGCCCTTCTACGACCTACCGGCTGGGAATTTGATGCCACTCATCGTCCCCAATAGCTCTCAACCAATGCGCGCTGATGACATACGGGCGTTGCATTTCTCGGCCGGCGCGGCAGACGAAAGTCTTGTCAATGCGTTGAAAGACTTCTTGGTTGATGTTCAGAGCATGGACGATACTGTAGCTCATCTTGAGAAGACCGGTCTCCATCCAGAGATGGACGAAATGGGCCAGATATGGTATCGTGACGAGGCAGGAGATCTGATTGGCGACACGTACTATGGATGGTCACGGGCATTCTGTGAGAAGATGAGGGGACGTGACAGATCCGAATCTGGTGATGCGTCACAACGCAGTGGTTCAGGGAGGTCGAGCAGAAGTCGAAGTCGCTCTCGCGTCAAGCGTAGACGATACAGCACATCGGACGACGGCCGTTCTGGGATGTCACGATCTTACAGCCGATCGCGATCACGACGACGAAGTCCAAGTCGAGGACGGGCTGCGTCAAGGTCTAGAAGTCGGTCGATCTCGCCTGAACAGAGCCGGCCAATGCTTGGGCGATCACAACATCCAGACCTGCCGCCTCATCCCAGCCATTATTCTCCAATTCCCCCTCCACCACCGGCACATGGTCTTCCTTCCAAACCTCCAGCACAGTTTGGTGGTGCCCTTGTACTACCACCGCCAGATTGGACTGGGCCCTGGCCTCCACCACCACCTCCGCCTGCATCACAGCTTCCAGGCAATGCTGGCTTTCCGAATCTTCCCTTCCCACCACCACCACCACCGTCAAGTTTTCCTACACAACCCGGGGCATGGCCTCCGTATCCACCCGCACCTCCACCAGGCTATCCCTACGGCGGAAACAACACATACAACGGGAGACGCTGAAAGGCGGCCTAGGGCATGTTGGCAAAGTACTACGTGCCGATATGTTGCCGAACATGTAGACTGACTCACCCTATCCAACCCAGCCTTGCCATCAGTGCGTGGAAGTTAATTCCTCTGATGGAGCTGTTTACTCTGAAACCGAAAAATGTATGGATTCGAAAGTTTCTAAACCCTGGCTACGTCGTTGAAGTGTGTTTTGGTTTATGCATATTATGGTAGATGGTGATGACGGAGGCAAAAGCACACACGACAGACAACGTTGACCAGTGAGAAGATGCTGGCGGCTCTCGATAAACGTTCATTGAAGTTTAATGACCCATTGACCCTTGGAAACTGACCTCATTTTCCCATGATCATCTCTCCATCGAAAGCCTAATGGGAATGTGGAAAAATGCCATATGGTGACACTGACACTTGTTGTTCTTGGATTCTCTTGGCAGACGCAAGGCTGGCGGCGCTGGTACCAAAACAGGTTTAGTCAAGAAAAGGCTTGTCCGACGTCATACCTTTTCCGCCCTGGGGCCCGCCGACTACGACGAAACTAACGTCAACTCCCATTAGGCAAACCTGCACGTCAATCCTTGTTGCTACCTGCGCCTCCCGCACGGTTAACGACAAACTTCAGTTGCGTAGAGTCTCAGGCGTGTTAGACTTTTGCTGTTTAATCACAAAAAAGCAGCCTCGCAGGAAAAGGAAAAAGTGGAAACAGTGTCGAAGTCAACCACAGGTCGCTGGAATCCTGGTCATCGCTTACTATTTGCCTTCTGTTTTGGTCCAGACCACAAGTATGATGCCCTTCTTCCTGACGATCATTTGATGAGATGCAAATCCTCAACATGGGAAACAAGCAAGACTTCGATCGTCCCCGGCCTCGACAACAGACCCCTTGGTCTAGAGCCTCCTAATCTAAGAGATGCAAGATGCGATCACTCTGCAGAAGACCCACTGACCACCAGGACCCTGAAATATAACTTTATCCCGTTCGAAGCGATCAGCAGGGTCGTCCCCCACGAGCAACATGCCTCCTATGTCATCTTATTCGTCCGATTTTTAAGCGTGACCTTGGAAATCGAGAAGTATGCTGAGGATCGAAGATCAAAATGCTCCCGTCCACTCCTCGAGGCATCCCAGTCCGGTTCGTCAGACGGTCTTTGACTGGCCAGCGTTGACGGCAACTTGCATCTCCTCTCCGCGTTGGGTTCGCGCTTGAGAAGTCTCTTTCCCACGCCACCATCCTCAGAAAGCCTATGAGCATTTGCCTCCACAGTGCGGTCATACCCATCTCTTCCCCATAGTGCCAGAGACCGATATCGAGCCGCTTCAGCCTGGTGTGGTGTGCATTATTGAGTGTAAGCACATATATACTCCTTTCTTCCCCCCATGTTTCCACATCCTTATCCAGCAGCACAACTTCAAGCATAACCTCAAGGTCTAATACCATCTTCACTTCAAACCCAAGCAACACATTCCAAGTCTTCAACAAGCCTCCAACACCCATCATGCCTTCCTCCCAAGTTGAATACCTCACTACTCCCGCTCAGCCATTCGACTTCGATGCTGACCCGATGACCGCCATGACTTCCTATGCTCGCATGATGCATTCACATACTCAGCAACAAATGGAGTCTGCCACACGTTCTGCCCGACGACGAAGTCCTCCTTCATCAGCGGTTGATGCTCATGCCCAGTCTGGCTTGTCCAAATCTGGCACCCACAGCAGCACATCATCTCGATCGTCATTCTAAATCAACTCGCCAATCCGCATTTCTCCCTCAAGCGTCATATCAGCATTTGAACTCAAACCACTTGTCGGAGCACTTTTTTCTATCGGCATCGCAGCACCAACCGGGAGGTACCATTATCTTTAGACTGCCAATCCAACCATTTATGTCATCGAACTTTTTCAAGTGGGAATGGTTTCTGATGAATTAGCTTGGAGTTGTGGGAGTTCGTGTATGCAATTATTAGATTGCATTGTATATTAGCGCTTATGACCTAAGCGACATTTCTGTTGTCGATGCCTTATTCATTTGGAAGGTTCATCAGACCAAGATTAGTCATTGGTTGACTGGTGAATTCAACTTCTTGAAACTATTTTTTTCAATCTTCATATTTTCCAATCCTCATATCTCCAGGTTTGCGCATTTGTATCTGGGATTTTGTTGCGTTCCATATGTTTCGCAGACAGTCACTGTATGGCCATTGCATCACCCTTGTCAATGACCAGTCATGGCATATTCTCTGCATATCACTTCGAGATTGGTATTCTGGCATGCAACCGAATTACCAAAGGTTTGTACCCCGAGGTGCGAAAATGATAGGGTCACGCTGGGGAGAGAGTCAGCGTGGAAACTAACAGCCTCGTCGATCGTGTTGCATCAAATCATTCCATAAACGCACGTCATGCTCAGGCCTTGAACCACTCAAAACCGTCCAATAAGCCATTTCGCCACCCAACGTCTTTTATCGTTCCACCGCCCAGGCAGGAAGAGAAGTTCCACACGAGTTTCGAGTCACTTCTCACGTGGCGAGTCGGCGGCGACCCCAAAGTGATAGTCACTCTCGACCCCTCTCCTCGATGGTGATCAGGTCTGGGCAAAACAAAAGGGGGGTTCTCGATGAAGGAGAATCGGCAGTCTCACACGAGTTCATCGTCGATGATAACTTGCGGGGAATTGAGTCTCGATCCTTCTTCATCTCGATGGTCTTGACGGGAGCTGTACTGTAGTACTTTGCCGGTGCGACAAGAGAGTCCAGTCACAGGTGGGTGTGTGACGTCGCACATTTCTCCTCCAAGACAGACGAAGATGACATTCCTGCCATTGCATTTTTTCTTTTGCGCCGCTCATGCCACGCTCCGATGACGGGCAATAGCCAACGAAACATGGTTCAGGTCCCGAAATTGGGGGCGGTGTGAAAGCTGCCTGAAAGGGTCTTACGCACAGTGACCCCTTCTGGCAGAGGCCAGCGTCATTCTTTGACCACTGACCAGAACCTAACTCGCCTACGCGCTCGCCCTTTTACCGTTGTGGCCAACGACATCATCCCGTCAGCACGCGCACAACAAAAAACAAAACACAGTATACTGCGGTACCCCCGTTGGCCGTAGCCGTGTCTCTTTTCGCGTAGCAGCGATCTCACATGCCTGGACCCGTGGTGCTGCAGGAATCCTTCCTGCATTGCAGGTCGGACAAAAGGATCTCGATGCCACTGCAGTGCCTTCTCGATGATCCATTGACATCGGTCGATACCACGAAAACTTTTGCGGGCTCTCGCGGCGCGAAACAAAGGGGGCCTATCCTCGTAAGGTAGGTGCAGAGAGTTCGAGTCATCGGTCAATTGTCGTTGCCTCCCAGATTGCAAAAGTCATAACCTACGACTTACGACGTACCGTAGTGGTCCGACGACTCATGTGGCCTGGCGGTGTGGACACTCGGAAAATGATTCCAAAAATCTAATTTGTTTTCGTGCCCCCGTCTTAACGTCTTGTCGTGATCGGCACTGCGTGGTTGGATTGTAAGACTAGGCTCAACGATCAGCACTGCGGCCTGACGACTCACCATGCCTAGAACCCCTGAGGGTATGGTATCATACTGGGGCTCTTGGTTTCTCTCGGCGTGGTTGTCGTTCAGGGTTCAAGGGCGGCTGGTCGCGACGTCGCTTTCGTTAGGGCTTGTGATCACTGACCATGCCTTTGGGTCTCGGACTTCATGATTCGAGAATAGGGATCAAATTCAATTGCAAACATACTCGTACGTTGCATACAGACCAGAAAACATCGTGATTCAATATACAGCATGGCATATGGTATGTGCGGTAGGTCGAGTACCATTGTCCTTCGTAACACTACTCGAGTGGTAGGATGTTGAAGAAGTCAGGAATATTGGGATAATGATCTACGGCGGCGCATTCCAGCTTTTGATGCGATTCATGCTTCTTTCTTTATTGAAAATGTAACCTCGTCGGTGTCAGTAATAAAACCACTCGAAACACCTTATATCTGTTCAATGACCCTGACACTGTACTGCCGCCGCAGCTGGTCCACCACACACATTGATGGCAACCTGAATGGTTCAGTTGACCTGATATGATGGCGCAGGTCTAGCCAAGCTGGCGGCCGTTTGAATCCACTCATATCAGCAACACGAAACCCATCCTTACTCCTCTTCCTTCACCATGATCATGGCCCTGGTGCCCTTGTTATCCGCTTGGACTATTCTGTACTCTTATGCAATTCGCACCACACCGGCCTCCGGAGCCTTGTTGGATGCTTGGTTCTTCGCGACTTTTTCTGCTGCAGCGGGTGATCCCCGACCACGAAAGTGCCATGGTCCTTGATAATTTGATACCGGACTCGTGAGCGTCCGAGAAAGCTCAACATATTGCCGACAGCCCAGGTTCGACAAGGAATGTGTTACAATCAGGGCAGTGCTCACGCTCCCCAGTACATGTCACGGCGCCTGCGAGGTTAGACTGCGGGGTGCAGTGCCTTAAGTCAAAATCAGTCTTGGACCTTGCACTTCAGGACGAATGGCGGGATGTCCAAAACTCGTGAACGGAAGTCAATGTTGAAGAGGGTCAACATTCGACGCACCGGACATCGTGGTCAGGACGAGGCTGCCAAGAAAGGGGAGTATCTGGGGTGCTCGCCAGCGGGGTAAGGCATTTTAACTTGTCTTACTACCCATCCGCCTTCACCGAACGCACACGTCCTCCTTTGGACACTTGAGTCAGTGTCGACACGGAAAACTTCAACTACACATGTAGGTATCTCTGACCTCCTATTCCGTGACTTGCGCAACGACGGCCTTTATGGCAAGATCATTACATCTCTTGGCGCCAGCAATCACGCAATTCACCCCACTTCCCAGCCTGACGCGTCACCGTACGGACTCTCATGTTCAATGTGTCCTTGCTCGACAACACCAGAGGCCACTCTTTAGGGTGTTTTGCACTTCTTTTTTGACTGGTTCCGCTATTTCTTATCTTCACTATTTGACATAACCAACCTCGGTGTCATTGGGAGGACACAGGAGCGACGATGCTCATTAAAGCGCCAGCGGTGCCTTCTCACGACGGACCTCCTAGCGACGCTGAGATCTCCCCGCAGCGATGGGCTTATGGGACCATTGAAGGTGACAGTGTCGAGATAAAGTCACGTACGAAGAGCGGACGACATGGTCACTCCAGACTGCTTGCTTTCGGAAGCCTGCTTCTAGTATCGGTGTTCATCTGGTATGGCTTTGTCTCACAACGTGGATCCTGGCAACCTTTGTTGCCATCTGTGCCAGCAGAGCACCAATTACACATCTCGCCAATATTGCCGCCATCGTATCCGCTTGCTGTGCGATCGCCGTACCTCTCAGGTAAGCACGCAGGATAGGGGTTTGTTCACGCACACGCTGACCTCGGGTTCCAGCTTGGCTCCCGAGCTCACACCTCTCATCAATGCCCACTTCTCATGCGGAGTTTTGGCAAGGAGCTCCCTTGGGCTGGTCAGTCGCTGTACGCGTCAATGGTACTGCTTACAGTCTCTTTGGGAACCCAGGAATAGGCAGACCAGCCGTGCTGAACAATGCTGAGTATACCGTTACTCATTCGATCTTCAATTTCTCTGCCGGCCTTGCGATGGTGTCCTTGGACTTTTTCTCCCCGGTATCGCCTCACAATCTTCTCCGGCAATCTCTGCCCTTTTCCTATCTTACAGTCTCTGTGACCCTCCCCAGCTCGGGGCAGATCCAAGTCTACAGCGATATTGATGCAGCCTGGACTGGTCCAGAGTCTGCACAGTATTCCTACTTTGCTTCAGCCAAGGACACGGAATACTTTGAGGTCTCTCCTGTATGGCCAAAGCCTTTCCGAGAGGAGAGAGATAGGCCTTTGTGGGGTCAGGCAGTCTATGGGACTCGTCCAGAAGGCAACGCAACCTTGACCTCGCAGGTTGGAGAAGCTTCTCTGGTGCGCAACCGCTTCGCGAACCATGGGAACTTGAATCGAGTACATGATGTGTGGAAGGACCACGGCAGCGTCCTAGGCTTTTCTCACGACCTAGGTACGATCCAAGAGCCCACGTCCGTCACATTTGCAATCGGGCATCACAGGGTTGAGTCGATCAACTACGTGGGTCAGGTTAGAACGGGATATTACCGTGCGACTTACCCAGACGTAGCATCCGCTCTGGTCCACTTCTTGGACGATTACGACGATGCTTATGCAGAAGCTGCTGAGATGGACAGTGACATCGTCGACAAGGCAGCGAACATCTCCCAACATTACGCAGACATCATCGCTCTCTCCGTCCGACAATCTTTCGGCGCCGTGGAAATCACGATTCCTGAAAGCGACCACGACGTGACGGATACCATGGCCTTTATTAAAGAAATTTCCAGTGATGGAAATGTCAACACACTGGACATAATCTTTCCCACATTCCCCATCTACTATGTGACGAACCCCGATTTCATCAAGTTCCAGCTCGAACCGATATTGCGTTATCTTCAGGCTGGGAGATGGCCGCACGAATGGGCTATTCATGACATTGGCGCCAGCTATCCCGTTGCTGATGGCCACGACAGGGGAGACGCAGAGCAAATGCCGCTGGAGGAATCGGGAAACATTCTTCTACTCGTCTACGCCTACCAAGTGGCCTCCGGTAATACCACCTGGGCCAAGCAATACCAGCATATCCTCAAAGGCTACGCTACCTATCTGTCTGAGCACGGGTGGTATCCAGAGTTTCAACTCGCATCGAGTGACGCGGCTGGCCCGGCTGTGAACCAGACGAACTTGGCGATCAAGTCCGCCGTCGGCATGGTAGCATACGGGAAGTTGTTTTCGGACGACTTCTTCGTTGCGAACGGGACGGCCTTGGCAGAAGCGATCTACGGCTCCGGTCTAGGTACCGACGCCAACAAGAGCCACTTCGTGCTGTCCTACAACGACGATGACACCTGGTCGGGTTGCTACAACATGTTCTCGGACAAGTTGTTCGGCTTCAACCTTTTCCCAAAAGCAGCGTACGAGATGCAGTCAGCTTGGCTGCGGAGGGAAGCCCGCCTCGACGCCGGCGTACCGCTCGACAGTCGCGTCACCTGGAGCAAGTCTGACTGGAACATGTTTCTAGCTTCCATCTCAAGCCATGACGTTGCTGGCCAGTACATTGATGATTTGCATGCCTATGCCTCGAACGGTCTGAATGCCGTACCATTCAGCGACCGGTACTGGGTGGACGGAAGTGCTACGGGCCACTTCTTCGATATTCGCAATCGACCAACTGTTGGTGGACATTTTGCCCCAGTGGCCATGTTGCACGGTCCTAAGTTGTTTTGAAGCATCTGAATGCGACGGACCGTGATTCGGTTTGCATGGTATGGAAGCGCGCCCTTCACAGGTCAAAGACTCCCTTTTGCTCATGGAGGTCAATGAAAACGAAAGGCTCCGATTTACAGCTTTGGAAGTGGCGGCGGACTAGCCTGACAGCTATGCTTATCGCTATCGATGGTTAGACCGAGATTTCAGGCACTAGATGAGTTCAGCCGTTCGCTGATCTTACCAACGCTTCTGCTTGCGGAAGGCGCAGGAACGGAGGAAGTATTGCTGCGTTTCCTGGCCATCCTAACCGATCTGGGAAGGAACTCGTACTCGGGATGGCAGCGCCTCACCTTAAATCATCGTCTACGGGCCAACTGACCAACCACTACTGTGTACTCATGAATGACCTCGCACTTTCACGTTGTTATCAAAGAAGATAAGAGTAGCTGCAATTCGGGAAGCACACAATCCTAAAGAGGTAGCAAGTGGACACACTATTACCTGTGAAGCCGCCCGAAGGAGCCGCTTAAGTGGGGATCGAGGGTCTAATTCATCAATCTGACGACGGCGGTGCCGATTCTGATATCACACAACAACAACTCGTAGCAGGCCAGAAGGGTTGCACCGACCTCTCCATAATCCTTCGACCTTAGGGAAAGTGGCATCCGGACTTGACTCGCGGGTCCTCGAGTGTTACGAAGCCCCCCCCAACTTGGCTTACTCACCCAACGGAGACGTCAACGACGTACGAAAGACTCTGATGGACCTTCCTTCCGCAGCAATCGATATGCTGTTCAGCATAGACAGGTCTTTCCCGCTGGCTCACCTTGCTAGGATTATCCATACTGCTCGCGTGCGATGTGCGTGCATCATGGAGATGCAGCTTCCTAGTGCAGTCTAGCTTCACACCAGCCGAACTTTAGCTTCGGCATTATGCGTGCAAGGTCGCTGCTCTGACTTGACCGGACCGACGACGAATACGAAGCAGAACTACGTACAGACCTGTCTCTCGTATCTGTAAGGCAGTCCACAGGCGATATTCGAAGCACGATATTTGTCAAATCTTCTACCTGCCATAGTCTGCCACTGTCGAAAGCTTAGCAACGTGTGCAATGCTTGTTGTGATCTGATAAAGCTTAGGCTGCAGCTAATGAGATAATGCCCAGTCTTCCGCAAGACTAACTCCACATCCCCAGTTCCTTATCAAGTCGCTAAAAGGTCGATGTTACCTTGAGCAAGGTTATGCTCCTCACGCGAGGTACGAGTCCAGTCATGATGGACTTCATATCATGTTTCTTGATAAGCCTGCGCCAATGGCAGTTGCAAAGATTTGGCTCCTGACCACGATCATGCATGCAACGACGACAAGCCTAAAGTACGTGCGACCCACGCAGAGTGCTGATGTCACCTACCTTACTTTCGAAGAGAGGAGGTATGGAGACATCTGGACCAGCAAGGAAGGTAGGTGCCGTGAGGTCGAGGACCTCGAGCTTCAAAAAGGCGCTGTCTTCCCACATTGCTGACAACCCTGAACTTTCCGGCAACGAGTGGACATATTTTGGTTCAAGATGAAGTCTCTTCTCGGTTCGGTGACCCTGCTGGCGGCTCTGCTCGCCAGCCCAATCAATGCTGGCAAGAGCTTTAGTGACAGGGTTATGGAGAGGTATGCTAGACCAGAGAAGTTCTCCCAACCAATCCAAGAGCGTCGGCCCTTGCACGAAAGACAAGCAGGCTTCAAGTTCTTGACCAATGCGACACAGCGTGAGTACCCAGTCAACAACAACTCAAGTGCCACATACGCTGACTCACCCAAATAGCATATCTTGTCGACTCCCTTCCAGATGTGCCTTTCGACATTGGCGAGATGTATTCGGGCAACATTCCCATCAGCTACGCCAACGTCTCTCGGAATTTGTTCTTTGTCTTCTACCCCAAGTTGGGCGATTCTGTGGATGAAGTCACCATCTGGCTGAACGGTGGACCTGGCTGCAGCTCCCTGGAAGGCTTCTTCCAGGAAAATGGCCCATTCGTCTGGCAGCCAGGTACTCTCGCTCCGGTGCAAAACCCATACTCATGGGTCAACTTGACCAACATGCTGTGGGTCGAGCAACCTGTCGGCACCGGGTTCGCGCAAGGCACGCCCAATGCCACGTCTCAGTACGACATTGCCGCCGACTTTATCAGCTTCTTCAAGAATTTCCAGGACATCTTCGGGATCAAGAGCTTCAAGATCTACGTTACCGGAGAGTCATACGCCGGTCGCTATGTCCCGTACATCTCCGCGGCAATGCTTGACCAGAACGACACTACATACTACGATCTCTCCGGCGCACTGGTATACGACCCATGTATCGGCGAGTTCGTCAGCATCCAAGAAGAGTACGTCGCCGTGCCTTACGTCATCGAAAACAACAACATCCTCAACATTAACGCTTCGTTCTTGGCCGAGCTCGAGAACCTCCATGAGACATGTGGCTATGCCGCATATCTCGAGAAGTACTTCACCTTCCCTGCCTCGGGAGTCCAGCCGCCACTGTACTTCAACTACACTCTCGAAGGGGACTGCGACGTCTTCGATTTGATCGATGAAGCCGCATTAGAAGTCAACCCGTGCTTCGACATTTACGAGATCGTCGAGCAATGCCCGCTGTTGAGCGACGTGCTCGGTTTCCCCACGCAGCTTGTCGACGATGTCTACTCGACCACATACTTCAACCGCACCGATGTCAAGACTGCGATGCACGCACCCCTGGACGTCAGCTGGGAGGAGTGCGCAAATGGTGTGTTCGTCGGCGAAGGCGGTCCCCAAGGCGAAGGTGATCTCGCCCCAGATCTGATCCAGGGTGTATTGCCCCAGGTCATCGAGGCGACTAACCGCGTGCTCGTGGGCAATGGTGATTTCGACATGATCATCATCACCAACGGCACTTTACTCGCCATCCAGAACATGACGTGGAATGGTGCGTTGGGCTTCACTGAGCGGCCCAGCACGCCTATCAACATCACCCTCCCGGATCTCATGTACGCCGGTGTCTACGACGAGAACGGATACGACGGTATCGATGGCCCACAGGGTATCATGGGTGTCCAGCACTTTGAGCGCGGTCTCATGTGGGTTGAGACCTTCCAGTCGGGTCACATGCAGCCTGAGTTCCAGCCTCGTGTGGCCTACAGACACTTGCAGTGGCTCTTGGGTCAGACCGATATGATCTAAGTTAATGGTAATGGCGAAACGAAAGACAAGTGATGTGCACATAGCTTGACTGAAGACATGATAGTAATAGTTGCGATACGCAACCACTAGTATATAATCGAGTATATTCCACAGATTGAACATTGAACCATATCCCAGAAATCAACCTTCCATAAGAATGGCTCAGTGACTTTCTATCAATCATCATCCAACCAAGTATACTCGTGGACAAGCTTCCTTGAACCATCACTCGCAAAGTCAAACCTGCTCATTTGCAGAGCCTGACACTGCTTTCCGCTTCTGCCGCCGCCCTGGCGAGCCACGACATTCAAGTACGCGAAGCGACGCTCTTCCGGTGGCAATGAAGAGCCAACATGCTGCAACTCTACATCAGAAACACCTTCCTCCACCATGATAATCTTTTCCGCCACCCGCTCCGGCTCGACGTATGCCCAGAGATTCTCCCTTTCTTGCCCTGGAGCCTGACGCATCAAACGCAGCGCCTCTCGTCTTAGGACCGGATCCCGGCATCTGGTCGCACAAAAGTACAATGGTGGGATGACGCCAGGGTCGAAACTGGACAGTAGTCGACTGTTCGTGGATGTACCGCAGTGCAGCAGGTATGTCCTGGCGTGCTCGATAATTTCTGCAAAGTGGTCGATGTAATTGTCGAATATGGTCTGATGAAGGCTCTCGCAAGTTGCCAGAGATGTGTAACAGACTGCCCAGTACATCAAAAGGTACGAGGCTACCCATTCGAGTTCAGGGTCGTGTGTCCGACCACTGCTCGTGGCAATAAAAGACGCTTTCAACTGGATCAGTTGGTCCAACAACAAATCACGTTGCAACGAAACAATATTGTTGTCGGGATTTTCGTCTTTGAAATTGGGCGCAAAGTCCGCAAGTCTAATTATCTCGTAGGCGTCATGCACCAGAGTGTAAAATTGGACTCTGGCATTGCTGTACTCCGGATGTCTGGAAAGTAAATCATCGATGGACTCATGCTCAACCCGCCGAAACGGTGGATTGTCTCCTAAGGTAGCCATGAGAACAGTCTTTCTCAGGACGAATGGAGTCACCACGTCACGGATGGCTTGACCGAAGATCGACTCTTGGTTGCTGGTATTGGACGTGAGATTGTTTGCCAAAAGCTTGGAGATTCTCTTCATCAAATCGGTCGCGCCTTTGACATTACGCTGTTGGAATTCCAAACATGCGAATAGTACATAGCTCATGATGACAACGGAGTCGTCTATCTGACCACGCTCGCCCAATTGTCGGACATTCGAGATGGCTCGATTATACATTGTCAGGGCCTGTTGATGGGCGCGATTGACGACTTTGGTTGTCGTCGTGGTGAGCATTGTATATGGAACGTGTTCGAGTAGAGCGCCCATACTCACGACAGTATCCCAGACAAAGTCGTATTTCTGAGAGAGAGGAACGATGAGGGTTTCCCAGAATTCAGCGTCGACAGTGCCTGCAACAAGCGATCCACCGCGATTCATGAAGTAGTGAAACGCATGACGCTCTTCCCTAGTGTGATGCGGCACAAGCAGAGAAATATCGGTAGAGACTGGAGAGGTCGACTTTCGAACGGGCTCATCATGAATGAAGCGGATTTGGGGTGCGACTGGACCTTCGCATTTGCGGCCAGACTTTGTGCATTGACGACAATGTGGTATTGTTTCGTCACATTTGACTCGTCGAATCCTTGATCTTCGTCAGTAACTATGCGAGAAGATTCCAGTGCAAGAACACACTTGCAAGTTAGGCACCCATTTCTGGACTTGACGTGCTTGGTACGTCGTGGTCGCAGGTTGGTGTCACTTCGAGGGCTATCGGTCTCGCTCGAAGACCTGGATAAGGTCGTAATTGCCAACATGGATACTGCAGAACCGCCGCCTCGGCATTTGAGGATCAAGGGGCCCGTGGATCCGCAACAGGGGAGAGCGCGTTAATGGTCGCCGAATAAGATACGGCTCCGTCCAACTTTCAGCCTTTGGCGAACACCATCCCCACCCAGGGTCGTCCGCACTGAGAGTATATCGATGATGAAGACGCTCAGAGGCGAAGATCGAAGTCAATGGTGAAAAAGGACGACAGTTGAAGGTTTGTTTCACCATTGAGTTTCGCGTCGCGGCTCAATAATAGAGCGGCGTCACCTTCCTTCCCAAACAGGACGAGCCAAGGAAGTTGCAAGGGAGGAGAGACGGAGAGACCACCGTTACTCCTGTCCCCAAGAAACCTTTGTGGGCTTGTGGCTGGCGAAGAGGGCAGCGACATTGAGGCTCACTTCGACGGCCTGGTAGTCTCTCCTATTCTTGATGGATGCCTCTCTGTGACATTCGGAGCGGCTATCATGACAGCCATTGAACCAGCGTGGCATACGAAGCGAATTGCCAACGGCAGATTATTCGCTCTACTCCGTCGTCACGGAAAGCTTGTCTCCGCATATCCTGCAGGAACTCGGCACCTACCGTAAGTTACTAGACGGGCGATATAAGAAGATCTTAGTCACCTGGGAAGACGGAGTACTGCGCTGAGAAGTCCGCTTTCCACCTCTGAGTCATAGCTCATTGAAGCTGCTGGCTATCTATGACTTTAAAACGACAACATCTCTTCTCATTTCACGCCTTACGATCTCAAAGGAACCGTGACTCAGAAGATGGCAGAACCAAAGACCATCATTTACAAGAAGGTTGGATCTCTTGAAATCCCCTTTGATCTCTATCTTCCAAAGAATGCAAAGAAAGCGCCAATCCTGCTATGGTTCCACGGCGGTGGTTTGCTGTAGGTCCCTGCCCGCAAACCCTTCACTTTTCTTGCATGGAGGACTAGGCTGAATTCATCCAGACTAGGAGGTCGTGATCACCTCGCTCCACACGTGCGCAACGGAGTAAACACTCACGGCTTCGCCTGCATCTCTGCCGACTACCGTCTTGCGCCACAGGTCAGCGTGTCCGAGATTTTTGACGACGTCAAAGACTGCATCGAGTTCATCCGCAATGAACTTCCGTCACACGTCCCCGAAGGCGCCCTGGACGTATCTCGTCTAGCAGTCTCCGGCAGCTCAGCAGGAGGCTTTCTCACGCTCCTTGCAGGCTTGTACATCGAGCCCAAGCCGCAGGTCATACTACCCATATACCCCATCACAGATCCTCTGGGCGTCTTCTTCATCAACTCTCAACCAGCCCCACCAGGACGGTATACCGCTTCGACTGAAGAAATGGCGGCATACCTCGACACCAAGGCTCAGCCGATCTCTTACACCGGTACAGCTGACGTGGACCCTCGAGCACATATGTATGTGTACATGCTGAAAGCAGCAAACTTGGCCGAGCTATGGCATGTGCCCGACATGAAAAGTGCGTTGCCGTACCGAATCTCGCGGAACATCCAGAAACACGGTCTGCCGCCTGCATATGTCTTGCATGGAGACGCGGATACAGCGGTCGGTGTAGAGCAATCCGACGAAGTCGTTGGCGCCATGTTGGGCAATGGATTGACCGTCGAGTACGAACGACCTCACGGCAAGGACCATTTTCTGGACAAGGCGGATGATTACCAGAATGAAGCGTTTTATGCTTTCTTGAACAAACATCTTTGATGTGGGAACAGATATACTTATAGTACATAACTCGTAACTCATGAGATCACCGGACCTGCCAGTTTCTGTTGCTGTTGCTGTTGCCGCTGCCGTGAAAGATGTAGGTACTCAACACTACAAGCAACGCTGCTCTAGTCATGCCGCCCACTAAAGTACCTCCTCGACAACCACCCTTGCGTCGTCATGATGTTCCCTGATCTGGCTGCGGCTAGTCTTTTCCGGAGACCCTCCAAATCCGCTATCCACCCTCGCGCGCAAACTAATGACATTGACGAACTCGACGCCATCAACGAGCATGACCCCGTTCTCATCCATTTGCACCTGGCCCTTCGCTTTTCTTGACATCGGCCTGACGGTCACGGATGACAACGTTCGTGAGAGCGTAGGCATACGCGGCACGGAGGGCACCTTCGATATCGGGACACCATTTGACGCGGACCGAGAGTGAGATTCAAGTCTGACCTGCGCGGAATCCGATCGTGCATGCGAAGCTGCGGCTGCGGCTGTTTGAGGTCGGTTCGACACACTTGGTCTCGAAGCCAAATTGAATAAATTCGGAATCGATCGTTTCCTGGTATGCGTGTGTGTAACAGTTTCGCCTGCATCCCCAGCAGTCGCAGTGATTGTAGGACGCCGGGAGCTTTTCGCGGAGAACGACTTTGAACGTATCACCCCTCCCACCTTGGAGGCAAGCGAGATTGTGAAGCCTTTGCGTTGCTCCGGCATCTCGTCCTCATGCTCCTGGATCGTTGGTTGGCTTGCCCGCGATTCAGCTCGTGATGCGCTTGACCTGGCCCTGCTGTGTGGCCTCTTGATTCCCGGAGTCCGACTTGACGATCGCGTATGTTGATGTGGTGTTGACATTACGTTCTGGAGATGTTGCTTCATCATAGCTTCATCGCGGGATTTCGGTATATCTGGGCCGGGACACGAGCCAGACTGATTGTGCGAGTAACTTCGTGTGTCCTTAATGTATGGTGCTCCCCTCGCGAGTATGGGCCTTGGCGGAGAGGTTGTCCGCGAGCTTGTTTGTGATGATTTGCCGCTGCCGTTGCCGAGCACGTGGGACTCCAGAGCAGCAAGTTCGGTATGGTCTCGGGAGTTCAGCATGCGGTGACACCATGATACCTCCCATTGAATTGTGCTGAGTGAAGATGAAGAGGCTGTCGAAACTAGCCTCCGAAAAGCAGGGGGGTGGCTGTTTAGCCCCGATCTATGATGATCGGTCTTTGTGGTACTTCGATGGACAAATAAGAACTCTCCACCGTTGATGTCCAAATCCCCTCCGCTCATGGCGTCCCCTGTGCCCACGCGTCGTAGTATTTGCCATGCCGATTTCACGGCGTTGCCGACCAGTGAGCGCTGTATGTATTCTGGACCTTTCGAGCCCATGGATAAGGTACGGTGCATGCCGAGAATGTCGTATAACTGCGTTGATGGATCGGCGTAGATAGGGAAAGCACATTCTGTGAGAGCGGTGTATGAGGATATTAAGCTGGGGAAGCCGGGGCCGATTATGATGATCAGTGGACGTTGCGAGGCGGGTTTAGCAGGATGGAGGGGCGATTGCGAAGACGACAGGCGCCGTACATACTCCTGACAATTGCCGCAGAAGAAGTGGCGGATGAAGATGACCAAGACTGATTGATGACTTTGAACATTGTCGAAGAGTGACCCAAATGGTATGGGTTTGGCGTCGGAGGAATAGATGTGGTGCTCAAATGCCTGCTTGAGCATCGATGGACTTGGAGCATTCTCTATAGCCATTGCAGCCGCTGGGGGGCAAGACAGTGCTCTGAATTCCGTGGGACGCCTTTTTCCTCAACTTGAAGTCCAGCAGGCTAGCAGTATGCCCAGCGTGAATGATCGAATAGGACGCAGAAAGGTTTTCTTATGCAAGACTGAGGGATGAGAGACTCACATTTCCTACCTTGTCAGAGAGCGAACCCGAAGTATCATAATCATTCTGGTCAGGTACTCGTAGGGATAAAACCATTGATGTATGATCACCCAACGGTCGAAACTCTTTGATTGGCCTAACGCGGCCAGGTGGCCACCATATATGGCAACACGTTACAGGCTCGCACCAAAGTGGCTGTGTTCTCGAGTATTGGGCGAGTCGAAACATGGTGGTTTGTCGTCAGCTGGCAGGGTGTGAAAGTGTCTTGTTGGACGTTTGGTTCAGAGTGGCACACGCGTCAAAAGGGGGACTCGGAGGGCCACCCTCTTGGTGTTTCAGGCGGACACCCACAACTCCTGAATCGCTGGTGAAACAAGAAACACGTCCTGAGTGTCCATTCTTGCTCGTGTTCATCTCTGGGCATTTGCTGCTGGAAATGATGTTGAATAAATACAGGATCAGTGTCCAAATTCCAAGGAAATGTGGTCAATGTGGAAGGCACATCCGGGAACGTGTGTACCTTGCTATATCGACGAAACGGCAAGATCAAGAAGCAGATACAATCCTGCCATGATATGATCACCAATGTGGTTAAAAGAATAACTCTGTTGACTTGTGTTAATGAGTGTACTTGAGTAGGTGTCAACGATAACAATAGCAATATCAATCTGACAATGTCGGTGTCAATCTGGTCCCCTCGCTTTCTCATCCATCATCCACCCCTATCATCCTCGTCAACTTCATCTCCTCCCTCTGAACCAGCATGCTGTTACAGAACAAACTGTCGATAAAATGATTGTCGAATACGTTCTTGCTCCCCTGGCGCGGTCCATCTGCGACTTTGGTCGTTGGCATCTCAGCAGCTGCATTCAGCGGCACTGTCCCTGAGGCTCTCCCATGCGGCGTCTTGCGAAGAGGGAGCTCCCTCTAGCATTTGACCGACTTACTGCTCCTGCACGGTCGGTGCTCGACTGGTGGCTTGACTTGTTTGCTGTGTCGCAATAGCTGCCCCATTTTAGGCCTTGCAAATGGATACAATGATCCCTGTTAACGATGTTTGCCTCAATAAGAGTCTGCTCACGTTGAGCTAATCAATGTGTGAAAAGTCTTCATCAGACAGCCGTGACAGATCAGTCGTAGCCACCGCCAACTTGGCTGGCAAATGCAGTTGAGACACTTCGAGCATCTTCGTCCCCATGAATGCCCTTGCCCATCCTGGAATTACCCATGTATCCGTTGTTAGGAACACCTCCTTCGACGTATCTCTTGAGGCGATCTGCCTGGTTATAGCTAGCATGCTTGTTGACATCGTGAATAGACAGCTGCTCCAAACTGACGCCTCCTTGCCCGACGACGCTTCCAGTAATGTCGGATTCTGTAGCTACCGTCGATTCTCCCGCGACACTACCTGGGACTCCTCTTGGCTTGACTCCATTTTGTCGACGACCAGTCGCACCTTGAACAGAAGGCCACGTGTCAGCAGTAAAACCTTGGAACATGGGTGGATATCCAGCCGGGACACCCACGCCACCGAGGGCTGAAGAATGAATCGAAGATACGTCGTCCGGAATGTATCCAACAACAGAACCTCCATCACGGTACTCATTGCGTGGCTCATTGCGTCCTCCGTTCAGCATGCCACTAGCCATATGACTGGCATGGTTGTACGCCATTTGATAGCGCTGAGGTCCACGGTAAGACTGCTTTGGTCGGCTGAACTGGTGCAAAGAGATCTGAAGGTTGCTGAGAGGTCCTTCGACCAAACAGTTGCGTTCCTTGAAGTGCAATAGCAAATAGTGCCACAACGGATGCTTGGACAAGACCTTGGGGTTTCCGAGGATAACAAGACCATACTTCGCTCGAGTCATGGCCACGTTGAGACGACGAGGGTCGCTCAAGAAACCAATACCTTGGTGGTCATTGGATCGGACGCAAGACAAAATAATGTAATCCTTCTCTCGTCCTTGAAAAGCATCGACTGAAGCAACCTCGATCTCTTTGTAGAGCTCTTTCTTGAACGTACCATTGACTTGCATGGAACTCACAATGTAGCTGCGCTGACCCTCGTATGGAGTAATGACACCAATATTGGCTGGCTTGACACCGGCTTTAAAGAATCGAGTGACAATCTTCTCGACATTGGCTGCTTCGGTCCGATTGAGGTAAGAGGTACCAGAGGCTGAGATTTCTTCATTTCCAAGATTGGACCAGAACATCATCGGTGAGTCTACGACCGGCCATGGGAAGTCGACATCGCGTCGAATGCGGTCTAGTGCCGTAACACCATTCTGCAAAGACCCTTCATAGAACATATTCGAGGGAAACTCCGACAGGCATGGGTGCATGCGGTATTGGATGTTCAGTCGGATCGGAGCGCAACCCAGGATGACCAGACGTTCGAACAAGGATTGATTCAGACCAGCCTTTGCGGCTTTCTTGTTCATGATGACCGGACCAAGTTGCTGGTGGTCACCGACCAAGACGACCTGTTTACATCCGAGAACCAAAGGTATCATGCATTCAGGTTCGGCGGATTGGGTCGACTCGTCGATCAGAACGGTGCGGAACTTGAATTTGGCCAGTCGAGGATCTCCAGCACCCACACAGGTACAACAGACGACATCGGCATTCTGCAGGATTTCACGCTCAGCTGCACGAGTCAAAGACTTGAATTTCTTCTCATCCTGGCTCGACAATTCTCCCAGCTCGGACTTGAGCTGGTTGAGTTTGCTGAGCTCGACGTTGCTGTCATTCATGCGGACTTGTTCGTGCAAGGAAAGGAAGCCAACAGGTGATTCCACATCTTCTCGTGACTTTGCAGTCACTCGGACGGCCTTCAAGCCAGTGAGATGAATGCGCTCACAGAGCTGATCGACAGCCACGTTAGACGGTGCGCAAACCAACACTTGGCCACCATTGGTCTTAGAAAGGTGGTAGATGATGGTCGCAGACGTGACAGTCTTGCCAGTACCAGGAGGACCCTGGATCAAGCTCAGAGGCTTCTGAAGGACCGATTTGACAGCGTTGATCTGACTGCTATTCAGTTCAGGCAGTCCCGGAACACTGAATTTCTTCGGAATGGTAGTCTTCATTGGCGCCGCCGCCACTTCGTGACCGAGAAGTCGATGGAAAATGTAGCCTGAAACACTCATTTCGTCAATAGCAAAGGTCTTCATGGCAAGTTGCATTCGATCGAAGGATGTGGCCTTCCAGACATAGTCGGCTGTGAAGTTGTGAGTGCACTCGGTGGGTACTGATTTGTGGTCTCCTTTGGATCGCAATTCGATGGTGACCTCGTCGGATTGATTGTTCGGAATCTTGATCACGTATCCAACCCCTTCCCAGTTAGGTCGCAGGTCACCAGTATATTTGATACGCATCTCATCGCCAACGGCAAGCTTGACGTCCCCCAATTCCAACTTTGGCAGGACAAAACTGGCGAGATGCTTGTTGTTCAGACCCAGATCCCAACGGATGATCAGATTGTCTTGCGATTGACTTTCCTTCAGCTTTCGGTCGTAGTCGGCTTCGATCTTGACCAGCGGTCCAAAGACATTCTGATACTGATATGCGTCATCGTAGCGGAGCAGAACTGGCGCAGGCTCATCATCGATGCTCGAAGCCTTCTCGAGGTCTGCGATTGTGGCAGCTGAATTCTCCTTCCACAATTCTTCCAATTTCGCAATCATCTGCGGGCTCAAATGTCTTGCGCGAAGTTGTTCTTGGTCACTCGGCTGCGACACGAGCCAGGACAGGAAGGACCGATCTTCGATCAACGGTTGCCATCTTGAAGTGTCCCAATTCATGTCCTTGGATGAAGGCATGGCAGCGCAAGGTTGTCGACACAGCAAGACCACCACGGTGTCGGACTTTGCTGGAATGAATCCGAGCAAGAACACATTTTTGGTACCACAGTTGTAGCATTCGAGAACAGTATCGCCCAGAGGACTGCTTGGGTGTAACTGCACTTCTTTGTGCCGTGCGCGAACCAAGTGGTTGACAATGTGCGAGGAGGAGGTATTGCCGCGGGCGCTGCAGAACCATTTGCTGCAGGACAGGCATCGGACGACGCTGCTCGGGTTGTGAATGCCACAGTAGCTGAGATTTGTTAGCCTTGTCAGACGGCGGCAGACTCTCCAACATACGCGCAAGCATGAGGTGGTAGTTCAACAGTCTCCTCTTCCTCGGCCTTTGCGACTTGTTTCTTGCCATCCACATCCACCGCCGCACTTGCGAGACTTTCCAGATCGTCTTCCTCGATACTTTCGGTCTCGTCGTCGTCGTGTTGTCGTCTTCTTGGACCTTTTGCCAGGCTCAGAATACTTTCATCGGGATCGACCGTGGAGATATCGTCGCTTGCGTTGATAGCGGCTGCGGAGTTGGAAACCAAATGGTTTCCCATGTTACTGAAAGCCTCCATGTTGACCGCTTTTAGAGAGTCAATTCAAGGGTGCGTCGAAAACCCTTTATGTGTCGTGCTGTCTCCGTGAACTAGAATAATGTGTTGAGAGGGTGCGTGTACTGGGGCCGCAGTGTGAGAGTGAATGAATGAAAGAGTCTTCCTGCGACGTCTACCATTTGATTCACACCGACACGACAATACCACTTCCCACCATAAACCTCCAGAGCCCGAAGAATGTCAAGATCGCGGCTTTCGACATGCGCAAGCCGTGCAAGGTCTGGAGTTGGTGGATCGTGAAAGGAAGGCGGAGGGGGAGGGCGGGAAATAGAAGGACTAAAGACACTCACAGGAATCTGCACTGCACTGCACTGCACTGCATGATGCTGAATGAACTAGTGCGGCGAATTTCTGAGATCCGATGCTCCACCAAAAAATAATCTTGTATGCCTCTCTCTCTCTCTCTCTCTCTCTCTCTCTCTCTCTCTCTCTCCGCACCCATTTCTTGCGTTACATTTTACATTTGCATCCTGGGACCTTCTCACTCTTCACAACCATGCTGCGAAGACAGGCCAGAGAACGGCGGGACTACATCTACCGTCGGGCTCTTCAACTTCGTGATGCCAGTATCGCCGAGAAGCGTGCCCTCCTCAAAAAGTCCTTAGCGACAGGCAAGCCGCTCGACCATTCTGTCGCAAACGACAAATCTCTACGGAAAGATTTCAAATACGATGAATCTCTAGATCCCGAGACCGCAGCGGCACAAGAGTCTATCGACGATGAGTACTCTATGCTGTCAGGCCTCTCCGACCCGAGACCGCTCGTCACCACCTCCCGAAGTCCATCTACACGACTCAGCACGTTCTCCAAAGAGATCCGCCTCCTGCTACCGACTTCGATCCGGTTGAACAGAGGTAATCTGATCCTTCCCAACTTGATGTCAAGCGCAAAAGCTGCCGCCCTCAGCGACATCATACTCCTCCACGAACATCGAGGCACTCCGACAGCCATGACCATCTCGCATCTGCCTCACGGGCCTACCGCTTCTTTCTCCCTTCACAACGTCGTGCTCAGAGCGGACATTCCGGATGCATCAAGAGGCACGGTCTCAGAATCATACCCACATCTGATCTTCGAAGGATTCACGACTCGACTGGGCAAGAGAGTAGTTCAGATCTTGAAGCATATTTTCCCTCCACGAGATGGCCCGCATAAGGTCGGCAACCGGGTCGTCACATTCAAGAATGTGGAAGACAGTATCGAGGTCCGACACCACGTCTTTGTTCAGACGGGCTATCGGGACGTCGAGCTGGCTGAGGTTGGTCCTCGAATGACTATGCGATGTTTCGAGATCAAAGGCGGCACGCTTGAGAAGGACTCCGGCGGGGAAGTCGAATGGGCATTAAAACAATATACAAGAACCGGACGAAAGAAGGACTATCTCTGAAGGAGCTGTTGTTCATTGGGCCAGCTCTGGCTGACTTCAAGCATGCGATTCAAGAAATCCAAACAGTCTAGCAGCAAGAAATCTGTGCGACTGTATCAAAACCGCCTTGCAACCTCGGAGCACCAATCTCTCCTCTTTGCGAGATGCTGCGAATACACCAACTCAGCTTCCGTCTCAGTAGTGGCGTGACTGACCATTTAGCTCGAGCAAGCCGCTCCGTCATCGCCAGCACATATCCAAACCGCCGCAACGTCACTGACGGCGCCTTGCCGCCTCTTCCTACCATCCTCCATCCGGTGTCTTCGCCTTGACGTCGACTTGGTCATCCCGTACAGACCCCGGGCAATTGACAACCATAGTCACACTGGGTTTCCGTTGTCTCGCCTCCACAGAGTCGCCCACAGCAGTATTGTTGCTCATCTGCTTCACGACAACCGGTCCAAAGAATTCGAAGAAACCAGCATCCCCAGCTCCATCACCGCACATGTTTCGCTCCGATCGAACGGTGGCATCATGTCGATCACTCCACTCCACGCCAACCCTCTTGTGGAAGAATTTGCTGAACATCGCAAATGCAAAGTCGAAAGTACTTCCCGGCGGTGCCAATGTCGACACATATCGTTGATCACTTCGTGTGTAGACCGTGTAGCAAGCGTATGATTTGCGTGGCGGCTCGTTCGAGAAACACGTCATGGTTTCGTTCGGATTGAGAGCGGGATCGTACTCGAAAAGCTGCACAGTCTGAGCCCATGGGTTTGGAATGTGGACGCGCAGAGCGGGATTCGAGGGCGTGAGGTATTTGGGAAGGGACGTGGCAACGACAGGAGCGTGGAAATAGGGGTAGGGCTTGGGGAAGAAGTACAATGGTACCGGGCAGGGTGGGAGGGTTGGTCTTGACGACATGGCAGCACCATCCATCGGCATTGTATGCATGTCGGGCTGTGAGACAGGACATGCAAAGTATCCCTCGTCGGACAACTTTCGTTGCCGGTCTGGCCCTTGATTGCAGATCGTGTAGAAGGTGGCAGGCTGTAAAGAGAAATAGGGTGCGTAACGCACCTTGAGGCGATGTCTCTCGAGGCGATTTTTGAGAATGTCTTTGCGCAGCAGCGTGATGAGGAAGGTGAAGCCGTTGCCGTCGGTGAACGGGCGGTAGCCGGCTACGAGTGGAAGAATTAGCTTGTGTATTGCCAATACAAATGGCAACACTTACCCTCTCCGAGTTCTTTCTGGAATTCTGTGCATTCGTTCTCCAGTTCTCTTGCTGCACACAATTAGTATTGAACAACAATTCGGTATGATCGCGACTTGTCATGCGCGGCACTGTGGCTGGGACGAACCTGATATTTCGATCCGTGCATCCTTGCTTAGATCCCAGTCTTCTGCCTCGGTCGTGCCAGTCTTCTTCCGCTGCTTCCGTCGCTTTGGCGTGCCGCTCTTCGGGGGAGCTGGACCGGAGATCGAGACAGTCTTTCGTTTCTTATTCTTCTGCTGATCGCCCGCGTCTGCGTCCGCCTTGCTGTCGATATGGTCCTGAGTCACCATTTCTACCTGGTCCTGTTCTTGCTCCTCCTCGGCTTGGTCCGTGTCTGTTGCTCGTTTCCTCTTGCGCACTTTGTTGATCTTGATCTTGCGCTGCTCAAAGGCATACTTCGCGGTCTCCAACGGTTTGCGGGTTTTCGAGGTCAGAGAGTCTTCCAGCCAATCGAGCTTAACGATGTGTATTGAGCGAAGGCGGCGGGCCTCTTTGACTGTGATGGATATGGTCAGAGAAGGATTGAAGAGGTTCCAGTCAGGATGAAGGCCCCGGGAGTGGGCGAGCAAGATAACTGTGATCATGCCCGACGCCGTTTGCAGCAGCTGGTCTGTGAGTAGTGGCTAGAAACAAACAGAGAAGCTCTCTCCTGCAGTTTGCCGGATTGCGAACACCGTCTGGTAGGGCGTGACAACACAAACAAGCTTAGGGTCCTCCATCTGGTAAGAAGGACGGCTCAAGGGCAGCCTCAAGGCACGAAACATGGACGACAACCACCAGCAGAACCGAGGTTGATCGAATATGAGGACTTACCCATGGGATGGTATTTCTTCCAGGCGCGCTGGCTTGCCACCAGATGTGTTACATCCTTGGTGATTTCTTTGCTGAATCTGCCCCCAGCGTGTTCCACCCAATTCTTGATCTTGTCCGACTTGTCTCCAAAGTCACCAGTCGAGGCGAGGACGATGTTGCGGAACGTCTTGCCCATATTGATCCTGCCCAAGTGGATTGGCGATAGTAGTTGAATCTGAATGTGACGGATCAAGCGCGATGAAGAAGCAAAGGCAAGATATGGTGGGCTGTGCGATTGAGTCCAATGGTTCAAAGGGTCAAAGCAGATGGATTGGAGTATGTCGGAAGGAATAAGAGCCGGGAAAGAATTGTTCGATCTCAAAGGCGATAAGTTCAACGGCTTCGCAGACCGGTGCAGTGTGATGAATGTCAAAGGTGTGCTGGACAGCAAATCAGAGGAATAGACAGTCTTGAAGTGTCACTCAAGAGGCAGATGTAGGCAAGAGGTTCGGAGAAAAGGAAGAAGGGAAAGAGCAAGTGAAGTCATATGAAGGCGTGAGAGAGAAGAGGAATGAGGATCGAGCAGCTGAGGTGACGAGCAAGTTGACATGTGAAAGTCGAAGTGAAAGAGCACCAGCATTGCGCGACGAACGGCATCTGAAGACGAAAAGGATGTGGTAAGGTTGCCATTATGTTGGCAGAAGCACATCGATATGGGGTATCTTGTTCGAGATGATCCCGATAATCATCCTTCGACAGCCTTGACGAAGGCCGCGATCTTCGATGGATCTTGTTTCCCATCAGATTCGACTCCGCTGCTGACATCAACGCCAGCAATATTGCTTCGATACGGTCCCAGGGACTCCAACACCTTGTCGACGTTCTCAGGGGTGAGGCCACCGGCAAAAATGACCTTGACGCCTGGATCCCGCTCGAACAGGGCCTTGACATCGTCCAAGGCGAGCTGTTGGCCAGTACCTCCAGCACCAGCGTCCAAAAGGGGCAGGGCATGGTACCCCCGAGCAGAGACACCGGGTTCTGATGGTGAAAACTTGCGTACGACCGGGACTGGGATATTCCGTGCGTATTCGATTGGTTCTGAGCCGTGAAGCTGTACAACGTCGAGGCCGAGCTTGTAGACTTGTTCGACAACATGTTCGAGCGGCGAATCTGCAAATACACCGACCAGCTGCGCGCGATCTGGTCGAACCAGTACTCTCGATGAGTGCTCGAAGAAACCAGTAGCTCCGACATCGTGTGCAGCAGGAGATTTTGATGAAGTCCTTAGCGTCGACTTAACGACTTTCGCTATCTGTAAGGCGACCTCGTCCGAGACGAACCGTTTCCGACCAGGTACCAGTATTATGCCGATAGAATCTGCACCCGCTTCAATGGCCGCTTTGGCTCCTTCCGGAGTTCTTGTGCCGCATATTTTGACCGAAAATGGCGACTCCGATCTTTTCGCGGGCTCGACATCTGGATCTCCTACTAGCTTGGAGATGAACTCGATGGTATCCGATGCTCTCATCAAAGCTTCTCCCACCAACACGGCCTTGACGCCGTCTTTTCGATATGCTTGGACGTCCTGTGGGCCGGAGATCCCACTCAAAGCACATACGATCGTTGATTCTGGCACCAAGTCCATCAAGCGGCTTGTCGTGCCAAGGTCAACCTCGAAGTTTGTGAGATCCCGGTTGTTCACTCCGATGACTTCTGAGCCGAGCTCAACAGCAATTTTCATCTCTTCTGCAGTATTGACTTCCACTAAAGGCTCCATTCCGAGAGATCGAGAGTAATGATACAGCCGTGTCAAAGTCTCCACATCCAACATCTTGACAATAAGCAGCACGGTGTCAGCGCCAGCCAGACGTGCTTCCAGAATCTGATATTCCTCGAAAATGAATTCTTTTCGTAGTACTGCTGGACGATTGGGCATGCTGTCAAGACTCTGTCGAACTAACCTCATGTCTTCTAGACTTCCCTTGAACCATTCAGGCTCTGTGAGAACGGAGATGACACTGGCTCCCGCAGTTGCATATTTTCGTGCTTGAGCTGGAGCACAGGTCCCAAGTGAGATGACACCTTTCGAAGGTGATGCCCTCTTTATCTCGGCCAATAGTGCTATCGGGTAAGCAGATTGTCGTAGTCGTTTCGGAAAGGAAATCTGGGGAGGTGCAAGACCAAGGTCATAGGCGGCTTGGAGATCTTCGGTCCTTTGTGAAGGGACATCTTTCTGTGCTGCAACGGCTTTCCGTCGGTGGGCGTAAATCTTTTCTAGTATGGACTCCTTCTTTGGGTGGCCATTCGAGACCCCATTCGTCTGTTTGTCGGCGCCAGTCACCTGAGGATTTTCGGACCATTTGCCTCCAGTCATGGTCAAGAAGTTCTTGAACATGACTCTGCCATTTTCCGTCAAGATACTTTCTGGGTGGAACTGGACCCCCTCGACAACATATTCCTTGTGTCTCACACCCATGATGACGCCTTTGTCACCATCTGGACCTTTGGCAATCCACGATGAGACCTCTAGTGATTTTGGAAGAGTGGGATGTGTTCCAGCCAAAGAATGGTATCTTGTCACGGGCAGATCTTGTGCCAGTGTCGCATAACACCCTTTCCCGTCGTGTCTCAGTGGAGAAGTCTTGCCGTGCAGGATCTCTCCCGTGACATCCACGACGCCGCCAAAGACCGATATGATGCACTGCTGTCCCATGCACACTCCGAGTATGGGAATCTTGCCAGCAAAGTATTTTATGGCCTCTCTACTTATTCCAGCGTCCGTGTCTGGGTGACCGGGCCCTGGGCTCACGACCAATTGTGTAGGATTCTTCGCTATCAGTTCGTCTAGGGTAACCTGATCATTTCGATAGACGGTGACGTTGGCGCCTTCGAGCACGAGGTATTGGTAGACATTCCAGGTGAAGGAGTCATAGTTGTCGATGAGGACTAGATTGCTTGCGGAGGACAGTTTCTCAGCGGCGGTGGGTTGGTAAGGGGAGTGGTCTATCAGCGCTAACGACGCCATATTCGTAGATGTTGTTTATGGTGAGCAGAGACGGCCCCTATCGTGGTGGGAGTCCTTTATATCCAGGAGAGCACTCAATAAATTGGTGGCACCGTTGATCTGTGCATGTTTCCCCCGAAACTTGAGGCCGCAGTTTTCCCGGATGACTCAACAACACGCAGCGGTTTTGCCGTTTTATCGCGTTTCGCTCGCGTCTTGAATTCTTATCCAGACAACCACCTATGTATTTGACGAATCAAGCATACTCGGCCAGCAATAGACGCGCCGGAGTACAGGAGAGTTCTACAGGCTGACAAGCATCATGAAAATCTCGAGCTTTGGGACCGAGTTTTCACGCTTCACGCCATTGCGCAACAAAGAAGGTAAGGCGTGTCATTGAGCTGTACAACAGGAAGCCTATTTCCAGAAAAAGTGGCACCGTCTGACAGGGCGCATATCAAAGACATCAGTTCGGGGTCAAGCTGGTTCACCATAGCGGATGCCTCGACAGCAAGACAGAAGCACTGTACGGTGGAGCTGATGGCCTCCTCTCTGCCAAAAGGCCCGCTATATCGTTGTGTGTGAAGGACACTGGTATGACAATAATGATGGTATCAACTTGAACCTGACCAGCTACAGCGGTCAGACTGTGCCGCTTTTTCTGGAAACAGGCTCCCTGTTGTACAGCTTGTCAAGATCAAGCACTGTCCACCAGCTGGCCACCATACTTCTCGAGATACTCGTCTTTCAGCCCCGCCATATCCTTCACGAGCAGTGGAAGGAACAGGTCTTGCAGCCAGCTCTTAGACTTTCTGTGGCTCTTCAGTCCCAGCTCGTCAAACAACCGATCCAGCTGGGACATCAGGTCGAATGCGAAGAAATTACCCAATCGACCATAGGCCGGAAAGCGCAAACGCATGTATGTGGTCACGTATGCGACATCCTTTTTCATCTCACTCTCACGGGGGACTTTCAACACTCCGTCAAGGTAAGCTGTCGTCCATATAGCTGCCACTTCGGACCCAACGAACATGTTTGAATAAGCCCCGTATCCTACAAAGGCTATGCTGCGGTCACCATTGATCGGGGCTATCATCTGGTATAGCCGATATGGTGTATCGTGGGGGGCGATGTCTCCAAAAATCTCGGGTGGCTCCGGCGAGTCACTCAGAGAATAGTAGCGTTTTCGGACAACCTTCTCAGCATTAGCGTTCAGCGTCGCCCATTCTTTGACCGATTCCGGATCGTCCCACGCTTCGGGATGGGGAAGACCTAGTTCGACACGTTGTTCGTGGGAGACGAATGAGCAGCCTTTTCTGAAGCCGGTGCCACATATGATAGCATCAGCCTTTACTGTCTCGCCGTTGCGAAGAATGACAGATGAACCCTCGAGTCGGTCAATATCTTCGTGATGGACTTTCACATTCTGCGCGATTGTGTCCCAGAAATCCTCGTGGGATACGGCTCCCAGGGGCACGTTGAAGGAAAAGCCACGCGACTTGGTCTTGAGCTGGGAGAATGAGTCTCGCGCGCCTGGTCGGTCGTCATATCGAGCGGTGCTGAGAGTCTGTTGAGTGACTGCGTTCTCGAGTTTGTGGTATACCCACTGTCCAAGGCGTGTCTTGAAGATGAAGGTCTCCCACCAGGAGGCTGGTTTCAAGCCAGGAAAAAAGAGCAAATTTGGAAAGAATCTTGTGCATACAAGTTCGGTAATATTGTGCCACGGTCCTCCGGCCCTGGTCTCTGAGAAGCCGCCAGGCCCTTTGCCCGATTTGCGAATGATCCAGTGGGCCTCCTTGCCTGCTTTGACAGACTGGTAGGCATGGCCCGCAGCGGATTTGCCGCCTCCCACCACGGCGACTCTCTTGACATCTTCTCGCTCGAGAACTTTGGATCGCCCAAAGTCAAGGGTATGGACGATAGGTCCCTTAAACGTTTCTCGACCCCTGAAGTCTGGCATGTTGGCCTCCGAAGTTGAGCCTGACGCTGCGATGACTTTGCGACTCTCGAAGCTCTGTGAACCGAACGGACCGACGCAGTTTATGCGCCAGCCGTGGGCTATTTTGTCGAGACTGATGACCTTGGTCCCGAATCTGATACGATCACGCAGCGTTTGGCCGGAGTAGACGTGCTTGTTGACATATTCGTCGAGATACGTCGCCATTGCTTTCGCATCGTAGAAGTCATACTGGTCGATTTGTTCAGGTCGTGGGTTTAGTGGCATGTCGGAGAAACCTCCCAGTCTTGTGCTTCCTTGCGACTTGAAGCCCGGGTAGACTCGTTCTGTAGAAGGGGTCAAAACATTGTTTGCACAAGGTAAGGGCATTCGGATTGACCACTGCTCCATACTCCGCCAACTGCAGTGTCCCGCTCGATGAGAACCACTTTGGCATCTGGGTGGACATCGAGATAGAATCTTGCTGAGACGACCCCACTGCTGCCTGCTCCGATCACGACAAGGTCGTAAGTAGCCGATGATGCCATGTTAGGTCTCTAAACGGTTGATCGAGATCACTGTTGCGATGCACAGGGTATGTCCCTCCACGGCTTTACCGCTTTTGGGCATGTACAATGCGTGAACACCCCTAAATAACGGGGTCCAGGAAACAGGATGCTCCAAGAGAACCTCCATCTCGTCTGTAGACCGAGGGCGCCCTCGCACCGGTGTAAGTCTCACAGGTCTCACAGGGGGCCTAAAATTGGGGCCGGACGCCAAGGTCGCTCTTGTACAGTGGCACCGCGATAGGTCGAGAATAGCACCAACGGGCCTTGGTTAGACGAGGCTGACAACCTGCAAACCTGCCAAGACAAGGCTGCCTCTCCCATCACCACTGCGGAGTATTGGGACTGCCTGTGACGCGCTCTTTGGACAGCCGCTCGTAAATAATTGATCGCGACCAGCACTTGCAAGCAACCATGCCTTGACAGTGCTCAGTCCTGTCCTGTATCCATGGCGCCAGGGTCGCTGAGCCCAGTATATCTTCCTGAAATAGGGAGATGTCTCGAAGGCGAACTGCTGCTTCCGTACGTGCCCCGACTTCCAAGAAAGCTATTGGGGAATGCTAATAAAGTCCGCAGTTCATGGGACGACCTTTTGGATGCTTTGTTCTCTCACGATGACACCAAAGCAAATCTGGCGGTAGAGATCCTGTCCGGCGATCGTCCCAAGAAAATATTGTCACAACCATATCCCTGCCTGCCGAAACCATCCTCTTCTTCGAAAACCGCATTCGATACGTCAACTGGTGGGATCAAACCCTCGTCCGATGCTCTATACAATGTGGACGAAATAAAGGCAGACGCACTTTGGCTTAGCAAGCAGGTGAATTTAGACGAAGTCGAGGCTCTACGATACACAGTCTTGGAATGGCAATATCAGCCAGAGTCCAGGTTGAGGGAGGGTTATTCCGAGGCTGAACTAGCCAGCCTGAAAGATGCTTTGGGTTCTGACTACGTGGACAAGCAACTTCAGAGTCTCCAGTCAGGGGCTAGAAATGACACTGTATTCAACAGCCAGAGTTGCCGACGCACGAGGCTTCTACGCCGATTTCTACAAGACAAAGCTACTTTCCTTCGCATACGGAGAGCTCTGCTGGATGCCAGTTTATTGCCGGAGTCGGCATTGAGCGTTCCTTCCCAGGTGCGTGTTCTAGCTCGAGACCTGAAACCAGAAGCTCGCGAGTCCCTAGACGAGGATGTTGAAGCAGGTCTTGAAGGTATTCAAGGTCAGTTGCACGAGTTGCAAGGTGGTCGGAAATGGGACATCGACGAAGCGCAAACACCTATACTCAACGACATGGCCGACACCGTGTGCTTGCAGAACATAGGAACGATACTCGAGATTGTGCTCCTGCAGGTTCGCCAGTCCAAAGACACAGTGTCTTCCGATACTCTCCTGCATTGGTTACAGTTCATGTCCTCGGTTGGCTTCTTCAGTTCGTTCACGTCCCAGCTCGCTGTACAGCTGGAAGCCATCCAAAAATTGCAAGCGCTGGGATCGTTCGTGTTGGCGGCCCTGCTGGATCTTGCATCGACCATCGCAAGCTTGAACGAAACGGCATCATCTGGGCAGCCGGCAGGCCCTAGTCGCATTGGCGAGTATTTCTACGACATTGATTCGTTTCACGAAATCCACGAGATTCTATTCAATCAGACAACCATAGGCAACACGCAGGCCGGTCTCGCTATTCTGCCGTGGGCAATCATCCTCCATCAAATATGGATCATAGCCAACGCAGTGAAAGAAGCTCGAGAAAGCCATCACGCCCAAAAAGCCATCGATGGTGTTACCTCGTCTGACAGTGCGACAGGTCGTCGAAGCTCCGCCAGCAGTGGCGCTTCTATACAGCAAAGCATATTCGAGGATCTACTGGACCGAATCCCAACCAGCTCGAACGAAGATCCTTCAAGCCCTCTGCTTGACACGGTTATTGATCAATGCAATGTGTTCGACTATATCGCATTTCTCAGCACCTCAAAAAGTGACAACATGGCAGTGCTCTCTGCGTATAAGCTCCAGACGCTCCAGGAACTTGTCACTGTATCCCAGTCATTTCTCGGATATACGCCAGAACTGGTGATAGCCCAACTGGCGTTGCTTTCGAATACGTCAACAGACAGCTCGAAGAAGTGGCAGTACGACCCGGCCGTCGATTTTGTGGAAGACAAATTTCTGCTTGAGGGCTTCTACGATGTCTCTGCGGCAAGGTTTCCCTACGAGTGTCTACCATTCTTGCAGTTTTCACGGGCTCTGGCGAAGGCGAACGTCTTCAACGATCAAGGTAGCCATTTCGTGGAATACCGTCTCCGCAACCTTACAACGTTTACGCAGGCAGCTGTCAGAGACATCAAGTATAAGATCATTCGCGAGGACGAAAGCGACAGTTATGTCGCTCTAGAGAATCCAGTCAATATGCTCGACCTCACCAAGACCAAGATACTGGGTTATACTGGTCAAAACACCCAATCTCTGTCTATACTGCCAGCAGATGTTACGGGACAGGTCATTTCAGACCCCGACTCACAGACCAAGATCATCAGATGGCAGACTGATTTTTCGGGGCTTGCTTACATTGGCCAGCTGTTGGAAATACACTACATGAGAATGCTATCGACTTGCCTGTCTCCCCACGAGGACAGCCAGGCCGTCGTATCCGAGTGTATCAGCCTCTTGACCACTCTGCTGTCCACGATTATCTCAAACACGGCCGACGACAGAAGCCGGGAAGAAGTGCAACAACATTGCAACAGCATCCTGGGAGAGACAAGCAGTCACCTGCACACAGATGCAAACGTTGTGTCGTTGATCTTTGAGCTTCTAGAACAAGAGCTACAGTCGTTCCGCCAGCGTTCTGTTTCGACTTTTGACTGCCGAATTCTGCTTGCCTGCGTGGACTTTGTCGTCATTTTATGCAAGATCCAGCCACATCTAGTATGGTCTGGTATCAATCGAACAAGTCTTCTAGGACGCCAATTAAGCTCAACCTACATCGTTGGAATCGTATCCGCAGTTGAGATTCCTTTGCGGTCCTTTGATGTCCTGGAGAGCTGCGCACGACTTTACGAGGCTTTGGTTCAATTGGCTTTGCAATCTCAATCACATACATTGGCCAGGATTCCGTCATCATCTGCCAGAAGAGCGTCAATGCTGCCGACCGCAACACGAATGCAAACCTCGATCCTATTGTCCTCGACAAATATCATGTTCGACATCCTTCAGGGAATTCCTGATTGGTCGTTCCGTTCTGCAGAACAGCAAACCCGAATTAGCGCTATCATCACCGGCTCATTTGCCAATGTGATCCGCTTTGCTTATGATGTGGGTGACGCTCTGTCGTCACCTGTGTCGGCTGGCAATGTATTCGTCGAGGCGGCCAAGTTCATTATTTCGTCTTTCCGGAGTGAGAGCTTCAACGATGTTGCCATCATGCCTATTGCAAAATCTCTTTTCAAGGCCGGCACATCTAGCGATCTCTTCACACGATCTGAAGATCTGGTCAATTCCGAAATAGGCTCGACACTGTCCCTAGCGACGCTACTAACACGATATGGGCTCTTGCTGGGCCTCCCACTTTCTTCAGCAGAAATGCACATATTCAACGCCATCCCCTCGCTGGTACGTATCCTTCAAGATCGAGAACCTGTACGCACACAATGTTGCACATTGATCCGAGCAGTTATGACATACGCCGACCGGCATCAGCCTTCTTCCTTGCTGGGTCACTTGGGATCGGTCTCCTGCATCGATCTTCTCCACACGATGAAGCATATTGGCCTGTCAGCTCAGTCCCCTGAACAACGTTCTGAATCGTGGAAATTTTTGACCATGCTTGTGAAAGACTCACAGCAGTGGTTTGCGATGGTTGCTCTTACTGGCGCAGCACCCGATGGGTCTAGGAGAACGCTGTCTGAAGAGTCACCTAAGAAATGCTTTCGCGGCAAGAACTTGTTGCAAATTGCGATCGAAGAACTGGACAATATCCACGATCTACCACAGGTAGTCGGGATATCCATACTGGAATTTCTCCTCGAAGCACAACAGAACTGGGCATGGGTTACCAACGAGCTCAATCTCTCGCAGGACTTCTTTTCGAAGCTGGTATCATTCGTTGCCGAGGATGCGCCGCGACAAAACGACGAGACAGATTTCGCTCGTCATAACACAATTGCTGCTCTGGTAGCGGATTTGTCCAACAATCATCTGCATCATGCCAAAGTGGCAAGAGATCTCAATGCTACGAAGGCCTTCATACCTCTGATCGATTGGTTGAGGGAGAGCGCCATCGATGTTTCGTCTTACAATTTGTCACTGCACAGGAATCTCAGGAAGAATTTCTCCGACAAGTACAGCGGCTTCTCGATTACAGATTTTAAGCGCGCTGGCCTGAGTGAAAGAGTATATGGACCGACATTCTTTTATGATGTGGACTACGCCGATCAAGTGTTCGCTGGTGACTCCCGTTGGCGTGGTGGAGGTGGAAGGTCTGCCAGTCAATCATACTCTGCCGAATTCCAGAAAGCGAACACAAACTTGTCTTTGGTGGATTCCGAGTTGAAACTTCTCTTGAGTCTTCAACGTCTTTGTGTTGATCACTGCAGACTCTTCACGCAAGACAAGGAGCTTCAGAAAGTCATGGCGCACATTGTTCGCAACTGTCTCGAGGCAAATACACGGTTGTACCCGGAAGAGGTCATTTTCGATTCGCTTTTCCAGACGAGAGCAGATCTGGCAACGGCACTGCTGGGCGAATTGATCTCTGCAGGTGCCAAGGGCGACGACTTTCTTGAACTTGTGACGCCTGCCTGGGACGCCGTTCGAGCCAGAAACGGTTCGTACGAGCAAGCCATCATCAATGGCGACCTGACATACTGGCGCTCAACACTGTACATCCTGTTCATGACTGTCCAGTTTCATGTTAGGAGGAAGCTGAAACCAACCACTATCCCCGGTACAAACAAAGCTATTGTACCTATTGAGTCAACAAACACCGCATTTCTCGAAATAACAACTGAGGTTGTTGCAAAAGCTTTCGAGACGGTTGTGGCTGGGATCCAAGAACAGAAGTTGAGCAAAACAAGAGCAAGCGAGGTCGACGAGAGTAATATCATTGGTCCTCGCGACGTCACACTTCTGGTGATGCTCATGCAAGCAATATTTCGATTACCCAGCCTGTCGCAATTTGCGACAGAGTTGTCGGCTAGGATAGTCAATTCCGGGCTCATATCGTCCTGTCTGTTGCTCTATTCTTGGTCTCACATCCTCGCCGGTCCTGAGACGGAAACGCAGCCACGTTACGCCGAGTTCTGCGTTCTGTTACTCGCCTCAATCTCATCTCTACCTGCGGTGGCCGAGCACCTGGCGGTCGAAGGTGTTCTTAGCCGACTGCTGACTGCCAAATCGACCGAGTCCTTACAACGTGTACCAGGCGGTGCTCTCCACGTCGACTCCAGACCTGGTTGCGGCACTCTGTATCGGATTTGGGCTACCGGTATCATGCCATTGTGCTTGAATCTGCTGCATGCTGTTGGCGGCGCCATTGCACCGGAGATCTCCATGTTTCTGAATCAGTTCCCGAACCAGCTCCTCCGTGCCAGCACTAGCTTCATGCTCACTCCGCAGACGAAAGCGGATGGGACGGATGTTCTGACCTTGACAGTCGCCAGCGAGGCTGGAACGCTGGCACTGATATCCCACATACTGTCGTCGTACCGCGAAGCTGGGGCGTCAGCGGCCGTCGATCCATTGACGGTGCTGCCACTCAAAGGCTATGATGAACATCGGAAAGCCATCGCAGAGGATGTGCGGGAGATTCTGACCCTTAAGGAAGACGTCAGACGGAAAATGACTGTGCCCTCCGATGAGAGGGAATGGAGCTTGCAGAATTCAAAGGAAGGCGATCAATTGGATGCAAGAATAGTGAAAGAACTGAAGATTGCGTTGGCGGCCTTGAGAAGAGACGACGATGACGACGAAAAGTGATCAGACGAAAACACATTTGTTCAGCATTGTATGTTGTACCAGAATGGCAAGGCCGGGTTGTTGTGTTCTGGCTTGATGATACCCAGGTCACGATGTATGAGAATTGGTTGCAAGAACAAGTTTTGACACTTCGCACATATGGGCAGCCTGTGCCAATAATTTGAACAACCTCAGAAGTCTCTCTATGCATAGTAATTCTGCACTTTGAGTCCCTTGAACTCGAAAGCCGTTCCCTCACGTTTATCAATCACAGTCTTGTGGTGAACATCCTTGACACGGGCTCGAACATATTCCGTTCCGGTGGGCACGACTCTGTTAGGATCCTTGTCTTCCTCAGTGAGAAGACCTAGGCGGTCCAGAAGTGGTGACGGGACAGTCTTCATGGGCGTAATCGCTCCAGGTCGGCTGAAGTACAGCAGGCCCAAACGAGCAACGTTAATTTGGTCCTTTGGTGGGGTGACGACCCGGTGGACCGTCGACTTGATGAATCCTGTCACAAACTATTAGCCTGATGTCTTCCCTCACGCTTGAGAAATACATACCATTTGTCAGGAAGCTCAGAGTGTCAGCGGCGTTGCAGGTGATACCGCCATCGACGGGCTTCACCCACTTCCACTCTCCCTCTGGAGTGCGGATTTGTAGGCCAGCCACGTGCTGCGAGAAGAGCAGGGTCAAGCTGCCGAAGTCGGTGTGCCCGCCCTTGGAGTATGCTTGGGCGCGGTCCCACTCGTCCTGGCTGCGGACGTTGTAGATCATATATCTGAGATGGTCGTCGGAGTCTTGGTCGTAGTCGTGGGCGTTGGCCAGGAAGTCCTCTGGCAGTTCCAGGATGATGGAGATCAGGACGAACAGTTTGCGGATGACCTTCTCCCATAGGTCGCGGTGAAAGGCGGCGATCTCGTCATAGTGCTCCTTGACGATGTCGTGCTTGCCGACATGAGCCAAAGACGGGATAGCCTTGGGGATATTGAGCATTTCAATGTTTTCCTTGACGCCGGTGTCGCCGACCCATCGCGAGTTCTCACGGTACCCGAAGTACTCACCCTCAGCAAAGTTGCAAGGGTAGCGACGCTTCTCTTCGAGGGGCTGCTTGAAGAAGGTGTTGCCAATGCTGAACTGGCGGAGAACACGCTCGTCGTCGATGCCCGAATTTACGACGGTCCAGAAACCGACTCTGGTGACAGCGTCATAGAGCTGCTTGGCAAGTTCCTGCTTGCCGCCTGGCTCATCGAAGCGAGAAAGATCAATCTTGGTCAATGGAGCCCATTCAAGGTTCTCCTTTGTCTCGGCTGGTCGGTTCCATGGTTTGACCAGGACTTGGCTAGGGGACACGTGGGAGACAGGGTCTTCAGTTGCGATTGGCGCCATGATGAAAGACGTATGGATGGAAGATGAGCGAGGGCAAGTTCTAACGATGTTCAGGAGTGATATAAGTACAGGTTGACTGGATGGTCTGTTATCTGATCACAAACCATGGTGCGGGGGTGTTCGGTTGACTCGGCTTATTGTGATGGACGGGATGTTGTTGAGGTACGTACTTGTTGATGGCGTGCTTTTGTACTAAAGAGTCGTGCTCGACGCAAGACATGCTTTCCGACCATCCCGTATTTGGATGTATACACTTGTGACCATCCTGTAAGAGGTACTTATCATGAGTTGCACCTCCACAATAACGCCAATAGACAAGTTTGCTCCTGGCTGTATCAACTTTAATAGGACGTCGATATGTCGACATCGCTCTGACGGACCCTTTAGTCTTTTCCAGTCGTTCAGGTAGAATTACCAACGAGGATATGATGTGCATCAGTGGAAGTTCTCGATCCAATCTATGCCGTCCGGGCACTCTCCTTGAGGTCTGATATCCAGTTGACGCCTTTCTCGCGGCGATGTCGTGCTACCTGAGCCGCGTAGCCGGATACCATCTATATACTGGTTGGAAATGCCCAGCATTCAAGGTAGGGAATGTGCTCTTTTCTGCAGAGCGCTTGACAATCTCGAACCATCAGGCCCCTGTTTGCAACAGCCCACGTGGAAAGCAAACGATTGTGGGACTCTCCTGCCCTTTCCGCATCCATGGCGACTGAAAAGTCCCTAGGCGATGCCTACACCCAGGTGATCCCTCCGTCGCCCAAGGAGGCCGAGATAGCGACAGCTGCAGAGACTGTCTTCGATGCCAACGTCCGAAAACGAGCACTACGCAAGGTCGACTTCTGGCTCGTTGGCTTCTACTCGACCGTCTACATCTTCCGAGTCATCGACTCGTCCAACTACTCCAATGCAGCCATCATCAACCTCGAAGATGGCACCGGTATCAAGAAAGAACTTCATCTCAATGCAGCCAAGTGGGCATGGACACTGTCAATCTTCTCATACAGCTACTTGATCTTCGAACCCACCAACACGCTGCTGCTCAAGGCATTTCGCCCCTCAAGATGGATGTTCGTCCTCATCTTCATGTGGGGTGTCTGCGCCTGTTCTGTCGCCGCCGTCAAAAGCTTTCAAGGCATGATGTGTGTTCGATTCGCTATCGGTGCCGCTGAGGCCGGGTTCTATCCTGCCGTCATATATCACATGGCCTTCTGGTACCTGCCGCGCGAACTTCCCTGGCGTATCGCGCTGTTCTACTCCGTCGGCCAAGTCTCAAGTGCTTTGAGTGGTCTGTTGGCGTACGCCATCAGCTTCATGGATGGTCTGGGCCACTTAGCAGGATGGCGTTGGCTGTTCTTATTGGAAGGTCTTCCGGCACTTATCCTTGCCGTCGTCGCGCTGCTTGGGCTGCCAGATTATCCGGAGACAGCTAAGATGCTGAAAGAAGATGAGCGGGCCTTCCTTGTCGAACGCCTGGCCTCTACCACACCAAAGGGTAAGAAGGGTCTCTGGGATTGGGCCTCCTTAAAGGTCGTCCTTCTCGATCCAAGTCTTTACACCTTCACGTTCTACTGGCTTGCTCACGGTATCGGCGGGTTCGGTATCTCTTATGCCCTGCCAACTGTCATTTACGACCTTGGCTTCACGACCACTGCCAAGTCTCAACTCATGAACATTGTAAGTCGGCCCATCACACTGCTGATATAAGAAACTAACGCATCACAGCCACCATACGTTTCCTGCTTCATCTTACTCAACTCACTCGGCTATATGTTGCACAGGAAGTGGATTAGACCATGGACGACGGCTGTCTCGAGTAAATTTTATCCGTTCTCGAGCTAATCATGCAATGCTAACAACCTCACAGTCGAAGGAACAACAATAATCTGCTACATCATCCTCATCACCGTGCACAGCCCTGTGGTCAAATATCTTGCACTCATTGTCGCCGTATCCTGCGCTGGCTCTGCGTATCCAGTCATCTGGCCTGAACGTGTGAGAGCCCTTGAAGGTACTGTCGCCGCAGGTATTGGTATCGGCTGGACGAACGCCATGGCACAATTCGGTGGTATTGTCGGGCCTCATGTGTACAGCACCGTCTTTGGGCCATCCTATCGCGTCTCGTACGTGATTTGCCTGTGCTTCCTGATCGTGGCTATCACTTCGATTCTGCTGTCGTGGCTGTTTGTGTGGCGCAAGGACCGGAGGAGAGAACGGGCTGCTTTGGCAGAGTGAAACGCGGAGGTTGTGGGCACTGGAGAAGAACGACAAGAGGACGGTACATCAGTATGGTTGAGGGTGGTGCCACGAAGACTGAGCTCTGTGGGCGCTTTGGTTCGGTGGTTGTGTCAATGTCAGAATCTTAGAGCAAGGCTGAAGCCCCTAAGTCAGTGACCCACTTTTCATCTGCAACAAGTCTGTACGGACAAGGATTTGAATGTAAACGACAAATCATATATATTACTATCCTTGTAGCTATGAGTCAAACCATCGCAAACAAATTTGTTTCCTTGCTTGTAATTGAAACCCTCTGTAACTTATCCTCTTAGGCAGAAGGGTCTTGCACTTCGTGCATCGGATCGACCCAAAGCGGGAAAGGAAAATATCATCCGCGTTGGGAATTACAGAATTCTTTAAGGGTTTCATGCCAGCTTTGCCTCGAAGCATCTCTGGTCCGCTTCCACGACTCTGCAGGATGTCTATGTCAATGACTACTGCCTTCGCAGTCTGCGAGGAGGCACCAGATTTGCTGGTTTGGGCTTCGGGACGTTGACATTGCTCGTAGTTTTTGCCTTGTGAAGGCTTCTGATAGTGCTTGTGAGCGAGTAGCTCATCCCATAATGCTGTCCGAATGGTCAAGCTGCGTTCGACTTCAGCGTGGCTTGCCTGATCTAGTTCTGCTTCTTCTAGCATGGTCTCAGCCGGAACGAATTGTACAGACTTCGATCCAGAAGCTGTTCCGATGAGCTCAAAGATAGAGGCGTGACGTCCCCGAATGCTTCCTGATTTCTTCGAGACAATGCTGGTAGCTCGAATGGAAGTCCAGACGCCTTGCCGCATCCACCGTTTGCGTGTCGTGGTGAAGGCTTTCCTCCGTGACAATGAGAGAAAAGCAATGCAGAAATACTGCAGGAAGAGTATGTGGTCTTTCATCGAATAATGCCTGCGCACGTAGCATCACCTTTTCTCTCTTTCCCCTCTTTGAAGCCCTTCTATCCATGTTGCGCTGCAGCGCCTCGACAGTCCGGCTCGACGTTGTGGCGGTACACCGCCCGCCAGACGGCCTCCTTAGCACAAGGACCTTGAGTTTCAACGCTTTCAGATGTCATTTCAGTTCTTCCCGTGTGCCCTTCCACCGGTAATAGTCCTGTGTGAGGGTATATATATAGAGCAGAGCCATGAGTACGCAGTGCAAAGCACGGCAGCCACAACGACTCGGGCACTCATCTTCGACAACTTCTGCCTCCAAGTCGCGCCACCTCCGTCAGAATGACCATGGTCAGCGCCTCTGTGATGGTAGGAAATATTCTCAAGCTCTCCGGACGTGAGGAAGGCGTCGGCGCAGGAAGTGTTCCTGGAGAAGGTAATTGTGTGTAGATAGGCCATTCCACACGAGAACGTCCATGGGTCGGGGACACAAGTGTTGGGGAAACTATATGACTTCTGCGAATTTGCCATAGACTTCATCGTAGATCCGGTTTCGTATCTCTTCAGGAAGATCGAGAAATCTGAATAGTGTGAACGGTAGCGAAGCCCTGCTGAACGCCTTGGGGCTTTGAAGTAGTCGCGGATCCTTTCGAGCACTTTTGCGCCCTGAGGACGCAACTCAGGGTGTGCAAGCCAGCAGTGGCTTGTGGTGTGACCTAGCTTTCCACAAGATGAACACTTTCGTTGCTGTTTATTTCAGCTGTAAGCGCATCAACAATGGTCGGACCACATTGACTGCGACTTCGCCATGGAGGATATCCTTGTGTGCCATTCTGGCATACCGACGTGGGTTGAAAAGAAATGGCAGTGTGTCGCCGTACTTCTCGGCATAGTTGGGAGCACAAACTATGGCAATCCTGTCCTCCGAGTACACGGGCAGCCCGTCACAGGAGAGGTCGAAATCGTCCAGGGTCATGTGATCATCCTCAAACTCATCGCGCCAGAATAGATAGAGTGGACCCATTAGATCGATAATGGAGTTGATCAATGGCCTAGCAGTATCGTACCACTTCAACGGAGCACACAGGTAGTCCACCGCCTTGAATACTCGGGTCCGGGCATTCTTGATCTTATGTGTTTCGTCACAGACACAGCGAGCAAGGACAGAAAGATAGCGAACCCCATCGTCGCCCTCGAATTCCTCATCTTCCTCCGCGGCCTCTTTGTCACGGTCCTACTGAAGATTGTCTGGACCCTGACCCAACAAGGCTAAATTGGTGATCTTGACATCCGCTTTCTTCGTTTCTCGAACCAACCGGACAACAACTGATCATAGTCGTAGTTCGCAAGCCGTTCTCTGACTCTTCTGGAACCTGTGGTGCCGCTGCCCTTGTATACCAATGGATGGCGTCCTGGCTCTTGCAGTGGCACCACACAAACTCCCTAGGTGTGCATTGGAACGTGCTCGGCGATACTTTTGGGCCTCCCGTTCGTAGGCGGGCGGAAAGCTCGAGTATGTATCTGACCGCCGATAATGAGCAATATTTGAGTAATGCCTTCGCGGGACTCTGCGCCTTTGAGGCGGCGGTCTCCCCTTTATAACCAACACGACTGGACTTCTTGCCCGTGGAGAACGACTCGCTCATAATGGGGTGGTAGTGGTCGTCGCGGCTTTGGTAGTCTGTTGCGGCTGTCGTGGTCGATTGCCCAACTGAAGTGGGCGTTCTCGTCGACGTCTTCGAAGTGAGGGTCATCGTCTTCCAAGGACTCTTGGTGCCTTCACATCGGCAAACGTCAAGATTTGACCAGGACGCGGTACTTACCCATTCCAGCCATTTTCCAGTGAAGGGATGCTGGCAAAATACTAAGATCTTTCTCTCCTTCCTCCGGACGATGTGGCGTTTGAGGATTTTCAGAAGGGAACGAGCCTTTTGCACCATTACCGAGAACATGGACCATCTGGTCGCTCGAGGTCTATGGCTTCGTAGCTCAGCGACGAAGTGACTTCGCCGCTGACTTCGCCGCTGAGGAGCTACGAGACATTTGACAGCCAGTGATCTCGGACGCCGGTCCTTGAACGGATTTTGACAGGTTGTCGAAACGGGCGTGGCCCCTGATTTTGCTTCCAGAGAATGTGCACTTAGGACGTTGAAGTATGCCAAACAAGTTGGCAATGCAGAATTTCTGGGCATCCCTACTGAGGTGAACCAAGGATCCGTTCCGCAGTGGAAGAATTCTTCATTGTACTCCATCAGCTCGTTCTGCGGACTCCTGTAGAGCTCCAAGGGCACTTGCTTGGAAGCGCGTGCCCTCTTTTATCTCATTGGTAATCTCTCGTACCAGTCGCTGAAAGGGGGCCTTGGGCATGAGAAGGTTCGTGACTTGCTGGAGTTTTCTGATTTCTCGCAACGCGAGCGCTATGATAAATGGTCAGTAATGTAACAGACAATGTAACAGTAATAGGTGGAACTTACTTCCCCGGGGGAATGTCCGCTTCAGAGGCTTCTTGCCAGTACCTGCCGGCTTCTTGCGAGGAGCGATCGTTGCCTTTCCTTTTCTAGCCACATTCCTTGGTCGCACCGCCCCTGGAGCCGGACGCTTATACCCTGGTAGATTGCCTAGATTCTTCACGGAATCTTTCGGGAAACTGGTCGTCTTTCGACGCGGCGTCGCTTTGACTCTGGCCATTGTGATGGGAATTGTAATAGGATATTGGATCGTTTCGAGAGGACTGACGATATGAGGTAGGACGACTCGGATCTAGACTGATAGTAGTATGAGAGAAGAATAGGATCGACGAGATGGACGACAATAAGGTCTCGAGATCGAGTAGGGTGAAAATAGCTGAGCGAGGACTGGACTGGTTCTCAGTCGCATAATAAGAGGGGGCTTAACACAATGCTTCGTGAAGGTCCCTGGGCACCAGTCCACCTGCATATATCTCTTGCTAGGCGGCCCCCGGGCGGATTTGAGATTTGAAAATTGAGATTTGAAGAAAGGCAACGCATCTCAAAGGCCGATGGGGCACCACCCCTGCCTACAGAGAACATCTGTCCCGTGGCGCACAATGTCATGACCCTGTCAGTGATAGATGTAAGTTGGGAGTGTGGTTGCAGATGGTAGTCTTGCTGAAAGGGATTTGATATCCTCTTCAAGATCAGACAAAGAGACCCAGATATAGGCCGCAAAAGACGAGACCGCCAATCAGCCATCTTGTGTGAATGTACTTGAGAAGATTCCATTCTCGATGTTCTCGGACCCCTTGCATGAAGGAGCCACAGCTGCAATCCGACTACCATCAATAGGATGTGCGGTCACCCATAGAGATCGCCTTAACGGATGCCTGAAGGCTCTCTAGGATGAACTTGAGGGCGTAATTCGTACCTCATCAATCGTTGCTGTTTCTTAGTTAGGTGCCAATGTACACCAGCGGGACGCGTCCCGGCCATTCCGATCCCTACACATACACTCCATACATGTGCATTGGTATGTCGCTTGACAGACGTCTGAGGTGATTTGAAAGAAGATGGATTCCCATCTTGTCGCACATTTTACTTTGCATGTGGCTGATGGTAATACCGAGTCCGACGAGCTTTAACTTGGCAGATTTTCGCACGGTCTTATGCTTGAGTTGGTGAGGAAGGAAGCCAGACAGCATAGCCAAAGGCGACGCTAGATTTGTGGCGCTTGCACCGGTCTGTGTCATCCCAGATCATATGGAGGCGGATCGAATCGCGGAGAATGTCTCTCGATACAGCTGTGTCGATGACAGCACGCTTACCTGCGTAGCAGTATATATATAGAGCGGAGCCACTTGCTGGTTTTTGAACCGTCGTTCTAGTAGCGCCATGATCTCCTCTCGAGCACGATTGAGGCGCATTTAAGAGAAGGTGTTGAATATACGACCCCTTCTCAATGGGAAGTCGCACAGGTCAGTAGATGTGGCCCACATGAAGTCAGCTTGCAATCGCCCTGGTTTGAGGGTTTCTCCTCACTATGGTGTCGGGTTCACGAAGGGGACGACTTCTGTCAGATAGCCCTCTGTGCTCGTCAGAACGTCGTGTCTTCGTCCTTGAGATCGAACACAGCCGTGACAGCCCAATTCTTGTCATGGTCCCATTCCAGGTAATCTCGACAGTTGGTTTCTCAGCCACCAATCCGTGTGCCGAACGATGGCGTCCACCCTGAGTCGCTGCTCAGTGACTGCTGTTCCGACATGCGTGAATATATCATCCTCTGGAGAGGAGGATGGAGCAGAGCTTATGGCCTCCTTCTCTCTAGTCGGTGCAGACCACGAGTGGTGGGACTGGCTGTCCATTTCCCATAGGAAACGGACTCTGAGACTGGCGAAAAGCCTCCGAAATGAACCCGGAGAACAAGTCGGTCCTGCGCACAGGCACAGGCCCAGAACGTGACCTTCGCCTGGTGTGCGTCTTTTATGCTTTCCACTATGGCCGCCCAGAAAGAGCATCACAAAAAGAACGAGATGTTCGTGGCTGTCGCAGAAATGGCCGCGACAGACAAGCGAAGGTAAAACTGACCATTCAGCTTATTCTGACAATGCACTCGTACGGCTCGATGGTCTCCGTCTCTGTTCTGAGTGATCGATAGTCGATGTTCCTCAGAGCTCCTCTGAAAATGTTTCGCATCATTGCGGTTTTCTTGGTGAACTTTCATAAGATCTGTGCTCAGAATCATCGCGCCTTCCGATGCTTGTACAGTAAATGCTTCGTATCTCATCGTCGAGGGTTGATTGAAATTGTTCCGAAGGTGATCAGTCCTACGAGCGTGTCGTCGATCGCGGGTAAGGTTTGGTCATTTCTTTGCCCTGCTGTTTCGCGCCAGAAGAGCCCACCCATGGCCATGAAAGTGTATTGGACAGCAACGGTATCATGTCTGCATAAGTGACATTCGTGAGCGTGTCGCCTTGTCGAAAAGAGGCGAAAACCAGCCCGGGACACCTGAAATGGCGATGTAGTCCAATAGCCAGCCGTGATGGGATGTTGTTGCCTGTCAATCTCATATATATAAAACCACTTCTTCAGGTCATGCGACCTGGACTAGTCTCCCTCCGCGGAGAGAACACCCTTCCACACCTTGCAGATCGTGATTCTTGCTCCTCGCCGCACACAGGCGGCCCGTCCAGGCAGCCAGCCGGGAAGACGCAAAGACGTCTTGTCGGCGATACGGTCACAACGCTCATTCCATTTCGGAAATAGTGTCGCTCCCGACCCAGCCGCAGAAGACTAGACAAGGAGGTTGTTCGAGTGCAGCTGGTTCATTCATGCCCGTAAGAAAGGCTGCTGCTCAACAGCAGGTGTGAGGAGGACGGCTTATGATTGTGCAGGCTCAAAGAGCACTGCTTAACAACATCCCACGGCACAGTGGCATTGATTCGAAATGGTGATACGCACCGAATGATGCGTGGGCCGATTCCAATTTGTCGCCAATGTTCCACCACGATCATTATAATCTTCGAGAGATCCGTGATTCAAAGCTGATGCTGCCTGAACAGCCACCCCCTAGCTGTCATTCGATCATCGAGCTCCAGAACATTGGTCGACATTGACAGCCTCTTGGAGCTGTCTATTCATGGTCTTGCTCGCACAATGCATGACAACGCGTTTCGCCCAATTGTTCTGTGGAACGCCAAAGTGTCTGATCGCCACCATTCCATGAGGCAACTGTGTGAGCAGAGACCGTGGTATTCGAACGAATACCATGACCATGGACAGAGTTGGCCAAATCCATAGGACTTTGTGCGGGATTGCATCGCCCAGAAGATGCAACGAAGTCTGGAAGGTTGGTCAGACCACGCCGCTTCGATCAGGATGAGGCTTGCTAGTGAGGTGCTCCTCTTCTCGTTGTCTCCAGGGCTTTCGACATGGAGATGGTTCAGGTTGAAGCACTAAGCGCTGGAACACCGGTGGCTGTCTTCCATCCGTTATTCAAATATTCTCTCAAACCAGCAACCGTTCATTCCAGGCAACCACGGCCAGCCTACGGACAAACTGAGACTCTCGGTGCCCTTGGTGTCTGTTCAACGGCAGTCCCGAAAGCGCTCTGCGCATGATATCTAGTAAGCCCAAGAAGAGAAAGTTGATGATGAGAAGATTGATGAAGAATGGATGAAGTCTGCTGGGTTGTCGACATGGCATCTAGGCCCGTATGCCCTTCAGCACAAATGATGTGACTCGTATTGCTATTGAATTTGATCAATGTCCGAAGGCGACGCCCTCAAGAGACTATATGGAGCAAGAATGCCTCAGAGTTCTTCGTGTTCTCTTGCTCGACCACCGTCGAGCTTACTGCTGAGTAGCATCATGAGGCAAGTCCAGCTTCTTCTGTGGCCTTCTCATATTGCACCAGGCGTTCCTGCGCAGGGGTTCAACGCGATCGACGTCTTCGAGTCTGATCAGATTTCCGAGCTCATACGATGTCAGTAGGTCGTAGACTCTTTACTTTATGGACCTCAGCAAGTCGGCCAGCGAACGGAAGCTTTGCGACCTGAGGAGAGAACAGGACCGGAGCATCGCCAGCGGGATTCGGGAAGTTCTTGTGAATCATCACTCTGAACAAAATCATACCACCAGGTTTGAGAATTGGATAGATGCAGCCTTGCGAGCCACGACGGATATTTAGTATCGGGTTGTGGTTGACCAGTCTGGGCCTGTGATTGGTTTGGCATGCCAATCCAAATTCTGGGCTGTGAGACCAGCCCCGAACAGGAACATGAAATGGATCAGTCTGATCCTCGATGGCATGGGGGATTCCAAGTGTTAGCTCAAAGGTGATCGCTTCTGACCGTGAATCCGCTCCTGTGTTCGGCGGTGCTTGAAGCTTCCGTTGGTCCCTGAGGCCCTCGTTCTCTTGAAGGTGCGCTGTTCTGTTTCCGATTTTCCAGATCCAGGAAATCGACCCACGCAGAGTAGACGTCAACTGTTTCGGACAGACGACAAGCCGACACCTGACCTCCGGAATGCAGGAACCGCATTGGAGTTTGCCAATGGATTCTTTCGGGAACGCATCGCGTCCGAGATTAAGTGGCAACATCATGCCGCGGAGCTCTCCCGAACGAAATGTCGCGGAGCTTCAGCGTCCTGATAAAGACAGATCCTAACTGCATCGATTCCGATATTTTATCTCAACTGGTTCGAAGCGCCCCGGGTTAGGGAGTGCAATGCGGCTCTATTGCGATGCATAAGCCACCCGTTCCGATATGCGTGCGCAGCCGGCAAACAAGGTGATCATTTCCTCATCTCGGGCACCACGATAGCCCTTAAGCCTCATGATTTGTCACCAGAGGAGACATCTCGGGTCTCCTCTGCGGTTCCAAGCTGCTTCCGCTGGAGAAACGGAGTTCTTGTATTGTCTGTTGGATCTGATCTTGCTGATGAGGATACCAGTGTCCCACCCAAGACTGATGCTGCTGGCGATGTGGACGGAGACGCGCTTTCGGAGGGTGTGCGTTCGCTGCGCATGTCCATGCCCATACTTCGTATGGTAGAACCCCGGAAATGAAGAAAGACTCCAGATGACCGTGTGCTGGGCATGTCCAGACCGGTGTCGAGACATGTTGTGCAGTTCATGGAAGTTGAGGCGAACGCCAGGTGGTATGGAGAAAGAGGCACGACTGGTGCTGGCTCATATGTATATATATATATATATATATATATATATAAAGAGAAGATGGAAAGAATAGGGATGCAAGCTTGGGAACAGAACAGGAGACAAGATGGAGGAAGAGGGCGTACTTATACCTTTGAGATTCAGGGGCATTGAATATGGACCAGTAACACAAGTTTTGCAGCACAGTCATGCTCACATCTCCGACATTGAATCTGAACACACATCCACCATCGGAATCATCGTATGTATCATATTGAAAGGCTGAGATTCTAGAAGATATTGACGGCGGCAACTCGTGCTTCAATATGATATCTCCACGCATTGATCTCGAAGATCTTCTGAAGCGTGAAGGATCATCTACTTCACGATGAACATGAAGCAATCTGTATACGTAACAATCAGGTACGTCCAACTGAGCCCGATGGCCTTCCAAGATCAGTCTGTGATTCATCTAAAAGTCTTTCACAGGCGCCAAAAAGTCGAAATCGCCATCCTCAATGCGCTGATTGTCTCTCCGGTCATCGGCGCGTCTGCTGGGTGGATCGGGCTCTTTCTTCCCTGCCAAAATGTTCTGCACGAACCCGAATGCACTGACTATCTGATCTTCAGGCTTCACCAGCTCAAACATCGTGGTGACCCATTCATCCGAGTCAATAATGAAGTGTTCAAGATCCGGGACCGCTGCAAGTGAGTCATACGACACTGACGCAAGAGGCGGTTGTAACGCGCTTGTCAGTTCGTAGAACGACGCAGGCGAAACAGCGCTGCTCTCAGCCAGAGAAGAGTATGCTGATGTAGCGACTGTCACTCTCTTCGTCGTGGGCGCGCTCGACACTTTGTCATTGAAGGCGCCTACCAGTTCGATCCGAGAACTGTAGCTTCCCTTGAGCATACTTAGCTTGGACAGCTCAGGAATGCCGCCGAAAATGACATATTGAGCCAGATCTGTGTCTGTAGGTGATTTTCGGCTCCAGCCTCGTAATCGTCTCTCGATGGTGCCCGCATAGGTTGGTGCCCGACTGAGTGACCGTAAGTGTTGTCGACAGAGGTCGTAGAAGTGGTATGCAGGGATAAGCTCCGTGCCCGGATAAGTCGATAGGAGAGACTTGACGAGCTCGGCGCATGATGGACAGGACAAAACGTTGCGGTCCTCGTGGCCAGGCTCTTGGTCCGAAGATACGGGCTGTCGTTGTTGTCGATGCTTCGGATGTTCATGAACGAGCATATCCCTGTACTTCTCTAGAAAGTGGTACATGGTCCAGGCTGCGAGGTGCATCCTCCTCGTGAGCTTCGTCTTGTACGGCCGGAAGTCTTCGAATCGCGGACTGCCAGGAATCATGTATATCCTCATTTGGACAAATTGCATGGTAACTGCCAGCATCTTATCGATTTGATTTTGTCTTTTAAGCATTTGTAGCAGGTAGTCCATCGACGAAGATGGAAGTGGCTGCGGGTATAGTGTTGATATGTAGTCGTAGGTATATTCTGCCTGCACTTCTGGATCGTTCATCTCGATGGTATACGGCGTGTGTTCGTAGGCGCATTGTTGTAGGAGAGAGCGACTTATCGGGCACGCGTTGGCCTGAAGGAAGGAGTAGACCGTACGGGAGGTGCGCCGCAGTGCGAATATGTCGGGTAGTGAGAGGTGGCAGAGGACTTGGATGATGATCTCTTCGGGCAGAGAGAAGAATGCCTCGCCCAGTCTTTGTCTGGTGAAAGGTCAGCGCTGCGATGGCCACAGTTCGGGCATGGTACTCACGCAGCTATCCCAGCAGATGCATCCAGATCTCTGGTAGCATTGGATTTCTTGGAGCGAGAGGACAGGCGCAGAGACAAGCCTCCGAGACTGGGTCGTCGAGAGGAGGGTGATTCTGCGACCACAGAGGTGCGCCGTGAAGACTCTCCACTGGAGCCGCCGTTGTCAAGAAAGTTGACCGTACTCGACCGGCGAAGGACGCCCGCCACACCCATGGTGTTCAGTCCAACTCGATGTTGCGTCTGGAGTGATTCGATTGTCAACTTTGAAGATGCAAGCCGTGCGCAGGTGATATGAGCAGTCGAACAAGGGAAACTGTTGAAACCACCGCTGGGCTGCGTCACTCGGCCTATGTATACCGAGGCCTGCTCGTGGTGGAGAAGGATGGAATGGTGAGCCGAAGGAGTCAGTCCGAGGGATAAGAGGTCGAATTCCAATGACGTTCAGACTTCGCAGGGTGAGACAAAGCACAACCAACAAGCACGACACATTCTGTGTTTCAGAGATACCGCATTCTTACCTCCATCACCTGCTTTATGTATCATAGTCGACGGATTTCGTTGGGAACAAGATTCTCGTCAACTTATGCTCTTATCGCGTGCTGCACGTCACGGACCGCGAGATAGTAACAGCGCCAATGCATGTGGCCAATGCTTAGCCATGATAAACTCTGTGTCATCCGATGTGAGATCCGGCATCTCCAAAGCAGGAATAGCACAATCTGTGTGATCCTCCTCCATCGGGCCAATAACCCTTATCAAGAAATGGCGCCGTCAAATGGCGGGCCGATATCATTATATAGGTTGGTACAGAGTACAGAATCAGTCGATGGCATTGCGGATGGCGGACAACACCGTTCTCAAGACGAAGCACTTCTTCGCCCATAATGGAAGACTGTATGTGTAGTCCAGTGTAAGCGGCGCCTGTCGCCATGAGCAATTGACCACCACCACTATCTCTCATATGTATATTGGAGGGCCTGACATCAAATTTTGACTATACTCAACGCTCATCCGACCAGCTATGCAAAAAGCCAGGCCATCCAGCACACATAGGCTTCAACTCTCCTTCATCGGATCAGTACTTTGTTCGCGAAGGAAGCATCTTCATCTGGTCCATGATGTTACCGTCGAGTCCCAGAAGTTGATGGATCCATCTCAGAATTATGAAAAAACTGTCCGGCTCGCCCATATGCTTTTTGCCCTTGACCATTCTAGCCAACTTGGGTTGACCGTGCTCTAACGCAACAAACATGTCGTCGATCGGGAAGATTTCATCGTCGTTGCCGTTGACCAGAAGAACCTTGGTACAAGGCTTTTCGAGCGTTCCGTCGTTCAGCAAGGAGAACTTGGGAGCCTCCTGAATGAATGACTCCAAATCAGGGTAGCCGAACTTGTATGCCAGTGTGCCTGCCAGGTCGAAGGGATACTCCAGCTTGTTCACATTTTCCAGCCATTCCCGGTCGAACATATGATGAGCTCCGCCTCCGAGACTGATACACGCTAACATGCGGTCTTTGTGGGTATGTGCCATCCTCAGGGTATAGTATCCACCTGTTGAGAAGCCCCAGGACACAATCTTCTTGTTGTCAATCGCTGTTTGCGTGTCTACCCAATCCAGGACGCTGGACCATTGGCGGTCAGGACTCGTGGGATCGGATCGAAGAGCTGGGGAGTCTCCAGTACCGGGAATTTCGGCAATAACAGTCGCTACTCCTTTCGAGCGCCACCCTTGTTGCCATACTGCTAGTTCTGTGCGATACCCATCAAGGCCTGTGACGATGAGGACGCAAGGGACAGGGTTCTCGGGGGACGCGCCGGGAGGGAGGAGGAAGTTGACAGGCACAACATCACCCTCGCCTTCGATCGCATGTTTGTGAGGTATGCGGACTTCTTTGATCGGGTACTCCATCAGACTGCTTAGGTCAGCATACACATTCCTCCTGCAACCGCTTGTACTGACCCTGCGCCCCTGTAGAATATTTCTGTTCCTTTCCTCCATGCGTACTTTTGTTGCTCCGACCGCGGAGTAGGGAATCGAGAGATACGGTAGACGGCAGCACTTCGTCTGGGGAGTGCGTCAGCAAATGCTTGCCCACCCCGGCACTGCTTCACCTACAGGTAGTATTCCGAAGCCTTCTCTTTCTCGCCAGCTTGCTCTGCTTCTTCCGCAATCTTGGTGAGTTCTCCGGCTTTCTGAAAGTACATTTGCGCATATTCGTCCCAGTCGTAGGGTTCTTTGAGACCTTTCTGGTTGGAGGTCAGCTTGCGCGCAAGACTTGACTGGGACTGGGCATGTTACCTCGATAATTGACTCTGCAACTGGCTCAAAGTCTTTGATGCTTCCAAACATAAAAGGGTATACACCCATTTGACACTGAGACTTGGTCAACGACCGCATTCACTCCCACGGGTTCCACATACTGGCGCTTTCCATTTCGTCTCCCATAACTTCTGGTACGTTTCGTGGTGAACAGCAGGCTTGGTTATAGCATCTTTGATGTAGTATTTCTCGGCCGCCATGGCGTCGGATGATTGAGCAAGACGGCTTGTATAGGGTCAGGAGCAAAGATCGCACACGACGGACAGTGATATCTATGAAAATTGCTCTGAGTATGCGAGGCGAACAGCGAGATTAACAACAATCACCGCGGCATGGATTTCAGCCGGGAGCCGAACTGTGTGCGAATTGCAACTGCGGCTCTGTTGTTGTTTGTACGACGACGTGCGTCACCACGTGGGGCAGTGCCTATAATCAGCCGGTGGGGGAGAAATGGTGGAAGAAATTTGGCAATAGTATGCCGTGTGAACAGCAAGTGTGTATTCATATTTGAGCTTCTTGCAAACCTGCACACCTTCGTGTTGCGGCCGGACATGCATGCTGGAAATAGATGATTCATGTAAGGTAATTTTGATGGCCAATAACCCGGCCCTAAGGCTAGACAGGGACGATACTGGTGGGGGGGAGGTGAGCTTGGTATGCCGCGGGTGTGCTTCGGATTGTTCAATGGGGGCGCCTGAACGAATAGGCGGGCTTGATGCTGCTAATTGTGGCTAGCTGCGGACAGCCCAAAGCACGCCCAGATTTGTGTTTTTAGCCCCCGGAAGGTGACCCAAAGGACCAAGTGCTGCAACTGCGAGGTCTGATCACCTGGCCACAAGCAATTCGTCTCTTCTTCATCTTTCGGCCACACCAACTAACAAGGCACATGATGTTCGTGTGAGGCCTCCAACAATGCGCCACGGGGGCGGTCTGCTTCCAGTCTGGCGAGGTGTGTAGCATGTTGTGACACAGTTGGTGGCGACCACCGGTGAGACCCTAGAAGATGAGTGAAAGTCTGCTCTTGGGCCTCGGAGACGCAAGCCAAACGTTGAAATATGTCAAACCTCCCGAATTGAGTAGTAGGTAGCACCAGCATCGTGTCGACAAACTCATGTGACAGAAGTTTCTTCGGACCGAAGATACTCCTCACTGACTCCTGTTGCAGCTGAGAATAATTGTCGGAAGGGTATTGCTGTAACCGAACTGAGCACGAAAATCAGCGGATGTTGGTCGTATCTGAACTCTTTTTATCACTTCAAGCCTGCAGTCGAGTTGGACTTGACCTTGAAGTCCAAATGTATTTGGCAGCACTGCCTCCACGGCCCAACCTATAGACCATAGGTGGAATTGCTGCATCACTTGTGGTATTACCCTTCAATATCGACTTTTGGTGCATCCTGGCTCGGTTGCTGAAAGGGTGCTCGGGACCAAAAGCGTCCCGACATATGTCGACGACATGCTGCATTGTTTGGTTTGCTTCGTCTTTTCGTCCCAATTTATTGAAGATCTCGGCCAGTCCGCGTAGGCATCGGACATAAATCTCTCGTTCCTCCGGCCTCGGCAGAGTCTCTGCTCTGTCAAGAGCTGCTTTCAGCGCCTGAAGTGATTTTTCGTACTGCTCCATGTGGAAATATGCCTCTGACGTGGAACGCAAGGCATAACACACCTCGTAACACTGTTTACTCATGGTGGTCTCGAATGCGTCAACCACTTGCTGAAATCTGACAGCCGCTTCTGCAAACCTCTTTCGATTCATAAGCCCGGTAGCAAACGTCTGGAGTAGGGCGATCGTCTCGGGATGGAAATAGCCTATACTGTCCTGAAAGAAGTCGAGCAATCGGCGTAGTGTTGATTCGGCGAGCCATGCTCTTGAGATCCCGTTGGAATTACGCAGGTAGTTGGCAACGAGGAATACGGGATGCTCCTCGGATTGGAACACAGCCTTGGACATTTCTGCAAGGTGTTGTAACAGCATGAGTAACGGTTCCTCATAGCCGGTGCCGTCATGCCGGATAATCAGGTCGAAAATGTATATCATAAAGCCGACGTGGTCATCTTTCAATAAGCCCTCGATTAGAGCAAATGCCTTGTAGAAATTATCAAAAGCTCGGTCTCTCTGTCCATTCCATAAATATGAGTATCCATGATACATTGAGTAGTAGAAGCGGTCGGCAACGGCATCGTCTGAAGTGGCGGTCCATGAGCCTGTGGTGTTGCGAATGGACAAATTTCTGGTATCGAATAAACTCATATAATGAGTTTGCATGTTTTGAAAGATGGCATCGAGGTAGCGCAGATCCGCTGGAGATACGTCGGGCTGAACCACGGTGGATTCGATGGCGAGTGTTCGGAAAGGAGGCATCGGTGGGAGATGGGATATATCTAATGCCTGTTGTAAGGCGAGAAGTTGAATTTCGGCTATATTGGCTGTTTCTAGGCTCAAGGAAGGAGTCGATTTGCTGTGCCCATCCATCTCGAGAGGGCTCCTGGTCAGCTCATAAACTGAGATGTCCTGAGTCGCGTCGAGCATGTCCTCAGTTGATGATAACGGTGTTTTCGCGTCTCCATCGTCCGGCGATGACAAATCGCCCGAATTCTCTGCTTGAGACTCCAGTAAACTCGAAGGGTCCTTGATGCCTTTACGGTTGAAATAGTGAAGGGCGTCAGCAAGAGTGACCTGTCGTCCCCGGACCAGAAACACTTTATCCTTGTCCTCCCCCTTCTGCTGTAAGCCTTGACGGACGAGGTCGAGCATTTCGTGTTCTTTCTTCTTCTTGTCGAGACCCCATGTGTGAAGTCGACTTTTATACATACGCTCGCTGAGAGGTCGAATTAGTGATGAATACAGCCCCTAGAGAAACAAAAGTACCTACGTGGGAGCAAAATCGAATTCCTTCTTGAGATGTTCGGCCACATCCTTCAAAGTCCGGCCTTCCTCGAAATAAAGTCGGGTGATCAAGGGGCGATGTCGCCGCCACTCTTCACTGGTGTAAGAATTGGAAGAACGTTTAGCGACCTTGCCTTTGCCGCGATCGACAAGTGTCGTGTCGGCCGAGGCCATCATGGCTTGACCGGTTATTGTGTTTGCGATTTTTAGTCAATTGGACGTTCGTTGCAACGAATCAAGACATTAAGGCCGACTCTGTGAGGCTGACATGGTAAATGTACAGCTTCACGCGCTGCTGGAGGGGAGCCAAGCGGACCTCGCGGATGGCTGATATCCTGGATAGATATGGCCCTATGACTGGACAGAAAGCCTGAGAGGCGAAGTTGTGAACATTCGATGTTGGCAAGGATGATTTAGAAAGTCGTAATTAGACAGCTGGGGGGGTGTTGAAAGATGGAGTACGTCGGTAGTACCAATGGAGTAGTTAAAGAGAGAGTTTCAGCAGGGAGGCTGGAGTTGCGGATTGGCCGAGAGATGATGGTGGTGCGTTCGGTCGACAAAAAGCCAATGCGTCGTGAACAGGTTCTGGAAGCCGAGGATAAATTCGGGTCTTTTGTTAGTTCTGTCTGTCACTCTGGTGTGAAGGGAGCAAGGAGACCAGGGAGCCTGGGCGAATCGTATCGTGTCACTCGTAAATGTAACTGAATCGAGGCGAGAGTTGGGTGGTGGACGTATGGATTCGTTTAATGTTTAGGTGGAAGAGAAAAGACAATCGAGAGGTCACAATTGAAGACCCCCCGTTAGGCCCTAGACAAGGTAGAAAGGCAGACCTGGTCAAGCCTTCGCGTGCGCACTCGTGGCACTTTTCTGAGCGTCTATGGAGCTTGCCCCCAATGACGAGTTGGGAAGAGAGATGCAGCACTGCAGCAGGCCGAAGGTTCTTTTTCCTGATCGTTTCGGTGGTCGCACGGGTGGAGATTTTCCTTTTTGGCTGTCAAGTCATCACTAACGTTATAAGTGGGTGGAGGTGGGCGAAATCATCAAACCATGCACGGTGCGAGCGGTTGCAGGCTTGCTCGGAGCAGGTCCAGGCGCAGGTTCAGGCGGCGTAGGTGTAGATGGGGGATTGCAGGGGGGCACGAGGGGGGCAAGCTCGCATCTTGCAAGGTTGCAGGTCTTTTTGATAAAAATGGGGGGCAAACCAGACATCATTCGTCCAGAACTGATGCCTGCGACTTCTACCGCGTGTCCATCTGCAGCACTTTCCGCTCCCGCAGGCAGAATTCATTAGCCAACTCAATCCATCAAGCTATCGCCATCGACCATTGACATTATTGACATTGACCCAGCACCCTCGCCGTCATCATCCTCTAACAACGAATATGATCATCTCCGCAGAGACATGCGACAGACACACACACGGACATGGGTGGCATTCTGTGGAATTCATTTCGGCCCGTCTGATTCTTCGTTCGAAGGTTGTGCCGTTTATCCATCAACACCCTGGTGACACACCCTGGTGACTTTGTGATCGTCCATCAAAAGTACCTTTCCCTATTATTGCCGATTATTTGCAGGCGGCGAGGCCTCCTTCATCCCAGTCTCGGCATAAGCACTTGATTCGACTGTTTTGTTGTCTAAAATTCACCACACTCTGGTATATCATCACACTATGTAATGATTGAAGCCCCCGGGAGTGGCTCCGACTAACCCTTTTCTCAAGGCCCAATTCCACATCCGCTGGCTTTCCGACTGACAGGTGCACATCTTCCAGTGTTCTAGCCACGTCAACCGAGCATCCCGTCTCGCCAATTGGCTTCCTCACAGATCTCACCGCCGGCAAAGCATACTCTTAACCTACCCCACGACGATGGCCTTGGCAGGAAGGTGGCAGTGCAAAACAATTATTGGCCAGAGACTGTCAGTGTGATATACGAGCAACGGGCTTAGTCAACAGCTCCCGCGCTGTCCCCGAACCTTTCCATTTACAAAAGATCATTTGCAGCAGGGGAAAATGTCATCGTCATCACTCTGTGTTGCACTACTGCAACAGACCGTTGTGACCAGCGACTCTCCGAGTATGAAACCAATTCCTCCCTATCGACCCGGACTCCTCCAGACTCAGGATCGGACGGTTTCCTCCGGGTCCAAACTCTCAAATCTCAAATTCTTGGGCGGCTTTAAACACGCCTTGAACTCTATGTGGCTCCAGTCTATTCCTCTTTAGGGCGGCTATCACCCTAGTACTTTGGGTGCCCTATGATAGATTCTGAAACAAGACTAGGTGGAGGTCAAGGGCCAGAATTTTTCCAAAACCACAACGGGACAGGTTACCATCCAGGGGTACAATAATGATTGAAAGTGGATTTTGTATGCCTTTCGATACTTCTCACCGTTATTATGGCCCCAGACCTACAGACTTCGTTGTATTCGGCGACAGGCGCTGTCCTTTTTAGGTAGCTGCCAGAATCAGACAAGCCGGTGAGGTCGCTGACCCCTTTGAAGATCGTGACGTGTCAGCACTGAGAGTTTCTCCGTCGATATGAGCTTCGACTCCACCAAATGGCTACTATACTCTGGTATCAACTTTCATGGCGGTGGGAAAGTATGAGGTCCAGAGTCAATATCAACGAATAGATGTTGTCTATTGCGCCGATGGATACCGACGCATACCGATGGATACCGAAACAACACACGTGGGCTCTGTTCCTCTGGGTACTTACGTGGGCGACCTTGGTGGTTCTACCTCTATTGAACCACAACTCCCACATAACATACATCATCAATCAGCCTTGGCAGCCATGGGCCACAGAATCACTGATCCACAAACGGCTGTCGTCTGTTTTCACCTGCCCTGAGGCCATCAACGCAGCAGAACGGACCATGGCCGTCATTGCTAGAGACTAGCCCGCCGCTTCTCTCGAATGATCTTGTCATCGTCAAATCGAGATTGCCCGAGGCTGCATACTTGCACAAGAGCATCATGCAGAGTGCACGCGCCTCAGTTCCTCGGTCAGCAGGCTTGATCAATCGCTCATGCGCAATAAAGTAAGGAAATTATGACACAATCGTCGACAATACCGATCATAACGCTCACCTTGTATCCGCAACATCGACAGCGTGGTTTCCAAAGCTTTTGACTGCTGAACTTTATTGCGGCGGTGGTTACTAAGTCTTGCCCCATACGCCAGGTATCCGCTGTCACACTAGGGCATGGGAGGCCTGTGTGATCATATCCCACAGTCAGAGCACGAGCGAACCATTCCGATATACTCTTGGCGCTGACTATGGTGTTCTCATTGGAACGTCTGTCGATCAGTCTGTACACAATATGTGTCCTATGTCAGATGTGACATAGAAAGTGTCATCAACGTCAGGGTCACGACTAAGGAAGGTGAGTCCGACAGACACCCTCAACCAGCACTCGTGTATTGCAGGATCAGCAGGGAGCAAACTCGGATATAGCCACTTCTCCACAAGAATACGTCTCTCGCCCCAGTAAGTGCCATCTGACTGGCATATGGCCGTAACTTACCGCAATTTCATGGAAACCCAGAGCTTGAACAGACCGTCAAAAGCCATGACCACGTACAAAGGTATGAAGTTATTGCAGATGTGCATTGCCTATAAGCCTCTGGTCAAATCAATTAATCATTCGCCCCCAGCTCCACAGGGGCCAACCAACGCGCCCACGCCTGAGAAAGACTTCACAGTGGGCAAGTTGGTGGGTCGACTGGACAATATGATAAATTCCTACCGTTGGATTATTTCACTTCGATGCGATCTTCGCTGGGCTCGGGGCAGGGGCATCATATCAACCAAGGCTTCAACACTTTGGAACCTGGAAGCGCATCAATCTTGATCAGACTGCTCGAGGTGTCGTGCACAGACTGCTTATGATATGCGTACTGCTGGACGGAGACCTGTCTTCGAACAGACGATTGTTCGCCACCACTAGTGGGTCTGCTGGGGCTCATCATCCGCTTCCATCCGATCTGAGTCAAGATTATACAAGCACCAGGGAGCAAGCAAGAACTGAATCTACCATAACAATATAATGACTGACCGGCAGAGCTCTAGCCCTAGGCTGAATGCGCTGTTTAGAAGCTAATGTCGGTCACGCTGGCCAGGCCGACTTTTCAGTTCTGTTAGACCACGCGCGGCCACGGCACGACTCCGAGCCGCTGAATCTCTCCGGCGTCCCCCTATGTCATGGATGCAGTCATGATGGATTGAGACAAGTAACGCAGCAGGACCCCATGAGCGAATGTTTGAGATTACTGTGTACAATTTACTCAATGTCGTGATTCTGGTCCAGGCCGCGACCGATATGCTTTCCATCTCAGTGTTTCGACAGAGTGTCTGAGGAGGAAGACTTTCAGGACAACAGGAATGGCCCTCGGAAACGTCTTGCCTAACAACAATACCGACAGCTCTGGAACGATCCACAGGATTATGCGTCAACTAATGAAAAGAACAACGATCAAACTCACGCGCACATTTCCGAGATACACCCTTGTCTAAGCTTGATGCCCATCAAGTCGACTTCAGCGCGCTTAATGCGACTGAATACACTCAGAAAAGGAAGAGTGCAGGCAAACAAATCTCTCCACAACGTTTAACCTTCCTACGTCGAGATTGTTAATTGGGCGAGATCCTCTCCCGCACCAGGCCCACTGGGCAAATGGGACACTGGACGGCAATAATGGCCGAGGTTCTAGTAAAAGACGATCATAGTTGTGGTCCTTGCCGTCCCGTATCGGCTGCTCCACGAAGGACATGTCCCGAAAGGGCTTTCTGTGCTCAATCTCAGAGGGCAGCTCACTGACCATCGTCGATGCCAGCAGTCTACTTTTTCTGCCATTGGGCCGTATCTTGATGCCTCGAATACACCCTATCTCTTTGGTCGATCTCGATATGCTCCTCTTTCTTGGTTGAGAAGCACGCGAGGTGAAAAGACTGGAGCATTTTCTCAATTTCTTTGGAGCCTTTGGACAGCAGGTTAAACATTTCATTGCTGAGGCCGGCACCGAACGTAAGTTGATCATCCCATCGACGCTGTCACCAATTTGGAAATCCATTCGACGTGCTCAAGGCATATTTTCGCGGGTATCGAAACCACAAGCACTACTAGTAGGGGAGGCTATGTGGCCCGAGATTACTTGAAGACTGGATCAACCAAGGCGATGCCAGCATCGCCCGATCTCTGCCGCATATTGGCGTGACGTGATCAGGTGGCTTTCTGACTTTTAGTCCAACGTCGAGCTTGGCCGCGGCCGGTGTCTCGAGCTGACCTTTTCTGTGCCAGAGAGGCATCACGATCGAGGGGGGAGGATCTCAAAGAAGTTGCATTGTTGCGTCGACAACGCCTCGAGGACCCAACTCAAATTCCAGCAGACCCACGGTAGCAGATGCCTTGGGAGCGGGTTGTCCACGACCCTGCCCACATCAACGGCAAACGCTCTCCCGTTGTGTGCGGAGGACCCCGGATAGATAACGAGGGACGATGCCGACTTGAAAGCGAGCAGCTGCAGCAGTCGAGCTATGCCACCTTTGTTGGCAAGCGGCTTGCCGTTCACCGAGGTACCCTGATGATTCTAAGGCAAGAATGGCAACAACCCGTCCCAATGGTGCCTTGCCAATGGTGCTTTGCCAATGGTGCTTTGCCAATGGTGCTTTGCCAATGGTGCTTTGCCAATTGTGCCCTGCCATCTGTCGAACTGAAGTCTCTGTCCAGTATGCTGCGGTTCTCGGCTTTTCCCGGCTCTGCCAGTGCTGAGGTCGAGCGTCGAGGAGTGACTTCCTAGAGCGTGCGCTTGCGCACAATCTTGCCTTCCAGGAAGTATCTTGTTGTCCGTGGAAACAGGCAAATTGTCACTCTGAAGCATCGTGCACGTCTCCTCTATCTCTACCGCTTCAGATCAACAACAATTCGACCTTGAGGACCCAGTTCTGGCTCTACTCTGGTGCCAAACCGCGCACACAGTTCCCTGAATTTGGTCTCGATCCATTTGTGGTCGGCGTCTTTAATCTCCAGCAGATGGGCCTGGAAGCGTTGTATTCTGTTTGGAGTTGAATTCGTGAACGCGCTTCCAATCCGCCGGGTGGTCTGCAAAACTCCAGCACTTGACAGTCCATTTCTCTCGGAGTCTCAAGATGCCCGGCGCCGCAGCTTCGTCTTTTGTCCGACCGGCACCAGCGAGTTCAATGTGATTGTCAGCGAGAGTCTGCACTGTCTCGAGAAGGCCCTCCTTACACCAGTCGAGGGTGTGATTGTTTGCTAGACTGACGTACCCTTTGCCACCCATGCCCATGCCGACCTCAGTCAAACATCGGATGTTGGCGGTGTGGCTGCGATAGTTGAATACTTTGTCCGGCCACTTTTTCTGGGTGGTCGTCAGCGCTGTTTCGAGGTTGGCTAGGACCAGATCTGATCTGCGGACGAGGTCCACGGCATTCCCCCAGGGTGAAAGGTAGTTGTATGATTTCAGCTCGGGGCTTCGTCGGAGAATGTAAGTGTCGACTGTATGCGCGGCGTCCTCCGGGTCAGACTCGGGTGATTGACGGGCGATGCTGGTGGGCAGCAGGGCGTCAATGAGGCGGCCGATCATAAGGTCGCCTAGGAGGAGCAGGGTGAACGTCTGAGCATCATTGCCCTGCTGGTCACTTGCGTGGGTGCTCATGTTTGGTCGAATGGTATTGTCGAGCCACAGGGTGTTCCTTGGTAATGACTTGAAAAAGCTGGGTAATTCAAGGGTTGTTTTCGTCATCGAATATTGTCATGTACTTGTTTCCATGATACAGTCTGGATATAAGAAGCCATCCCTGGTACTCGTAGTGGTAGTGATAGTGATAGTGATGATTTACCCCAGAATATCGGTTAAACAAGGTTAGTCTGATCCCGGCGCTTGTACCTAGAGTAGATGCCCTAACATAGATTTCAAACAACCTCTAATACACGCTCTTGGCGTCACGGTTAGTGCCTGAGGCCACTACTGTGGTGTTTCCACAAAATTATTCTGGCCCAAATTCATAATTCAGAGTCTTGTCTGGTGACGGTTTGACGGGGTCAGGTTTGGACCTCATATCTCCACCTCTCTATTTTGCCTTGTGTTCCAAGGTCATCGCTCTATCCTTTACAAGACACGAGACAAGTTCGTTTTCGTGTCTCTCTTTTTGTCAAAAATGGAAGAAACCCCACCACCATCAGGGACAGGCACGCCTCGCCAACAACCAGCCTGGCGCTCCGCGGCATCATCAAACTGGCGCGTCAAAGATGACTCACCGCGTCTGGAACAACCAGCGAACAAAGCTCGACTCGGCGGCGGCGGCCGCTCTGATTCGCAGTCTGAGGACGCAGCAGGCACGAGAGTGTACGTAGGCAATCTGCTGTACACGGCGCAAAAAGCGGACATTGAGACTTTGTTTGCTGAGCGTGGATTCACTGTCACGAACGTGAACATCTCGACTGATCCGTTCACTGGGCGCAATCCGAGTTACTGCTTCGTGGACCTGGGGTCGGCGGACGAAGCGGCACGAGCGATCACCGAGCTCAATGGCGTGGATGTCCTGGGTCGTTCGCTCAAGGTCAGTCCCGGCGTTGCGCGACGTGGACCTGGCTCTGGCTCGGGCGCCGGCTTGGGTTCAGCAAGACCTCAAAGTCGAGAAGGTCGAGAAGGTCGAGAAGGACAGGACGGCGGACGCGAGGTTAGAATGAAGAACTATGATCGTGGATATGCGAGGGAATCAAGGGATGAGAGAAGTATGTTTTTGCCTGCCAACTCCCCAGCTCCACCCCAGTCCTGTCCTATCTAGCAATCCTTGCGGACGGGGAGGGGTTTTGGACAGTCATGACTAACGTCACGCCAGACACAGAATACAAACCAACCTTCGACCGATGGTCCCGCAACGACGCCTCGACGCACTGGCAAGCACCCCAAGCCGAGGGCCGACGTCTCTACGTCGGCAATCTCCCACGCATTGAACCTCAATCCGCGCTCGACGAGGAGATCCAATCCCTTTTCGCAACGTACTTGGCCGAGGAACAGATCACGCCCACCGCCGTATCGAAGCTGGTGAGCCCGCATACCGTGCGCAACCCGACCGCGGGAAGTAACCTTGGCGAACCGGGGAATTTGTACTACTGCTTCGTTGACCTCGCGCGCGCGGAGGACGTGGATGTTGTGATTGCGAAACTCGATGGGCAGCAGGGCAGTTGGGGAGGGAACTTGCGTGTGAATCGGGCGAGGAATGCGGACCGCAAAGTCACGAGGGAGCAGGGCCCACGTGGTGGACAGGATGGAGGGGAGAGGAGATCTGGTGGCGCCAGTGCATGGAGGAGCGGGTCGAGAGATGTTCGGACGGAGGAAGGTCAGCAATAGGTATGAGAGACGATACTCAGGAGGCCGTGGGCCTTGTGGGACTGTTCGATCACGAAGCGAGGCTCTCGACCTACGATTTGTACGCGCTGGAGGAAGGTGCAGTTGATCCAGCTGTTCTGGCTTGACGGCATGATGATCACAGATGAGATACATGCACGTTTAGCTTCGGTACTGTAGGCGAAGCTCACAAAACTTCTCGCTTTCGGCAGAGGATTATTGCAAGTCCAATAGACTTCACCTGCGCTACAGAGACATGCGCTCAAATCCTGCGTCGACACGGTTCTACATCATGAAGCCCTCGCCTTCAACTTCACAGGATACTCAGTCGTCTCAATGTCGTCAGGGTAAGTCAGACCGGCCTGATGTCGCGCCTCGTCCATAATCTCCATGATCAATGTGCTCTCCGCCCAGGTCATGGACTCGGACTCGAGCTCCCCAGCAAGCCATGCGTAAGCAGCAGCGTCGGCTTCGTACTATGACAAGATTAGTGTATTCGATGTAAACGTTTCGTGCTTGACTAACCATCATCCCATGAGCACCACCCTCAAACTCGAACGTCCGATCAACAATCTCGCGGTCCTTATCTGTTGGCACAAGCCTGTACCTCGTCGGTCGATATATTGGGCCCCAGACCTGAATCTCGCCCTTTTCGCCCTGGATCCTAACCGAAGGGACTTGCGCCTCGGGTTTTCCGTGCTCTCTGGCTGGATCGTCACTCACGCGCATTGCCGCCGTCGCGACTGCGTGGGCCGTTGTCTTCCCGCTCGGCGTCGATTTCGGAAACTCGAGCAGTATCAACGTCGACTCATCGGCATGCGTGCGCGGCTCAAACGTCATGGCTGTGCCCACCACCTTTGGTCGATTTTCCTCTCGCGATGAAGCAGGTAGAGTGTGATACAGGGTCTGGAATACCCATGTGAGCGAGTATATCCCCAAGTCCAGGAGACAGCCACCAGCGAGGTCCAGATTGACCATGCGGTGCCCGACATCAAAGCTGTCCTCAGGAATAGCATTGATGCTCAAATCTGCAGTGACCCTGACCACCTCCCCAAGGTCGTTGTCCATAATATGTTTCCTGATCGCCTTGCTGAGAGGAAAGTATCTCGTCCACACAGCCTCCATGAAAAACAAGTTCTTCTCTTTTGCAGTCTTGTATAGGATTTTTGCTTGCGCCGCGTTCACGGTCAACGCTTTCTCACAGAGCACAGGCTTGTTGTGACTGAGTGCAAGCATCGCGTTCTGGTAGTGATGCGAGTGGGGAGTACCGATGTAGACCATGTCCACATTTGGATCTTTGACAAGGTCTTCGTACGAGCCGTAGGGTGTGCATTTCGTGGATTGGGTGGGCGATACCACTTCTGAGATGAACTTCTCCGCCGAGGAGATGGAAGAAGAGGAGGCCACAGCCGTGACGGCATGTCTGATGTCTGTTACATTTCGGGTGGAGGGATCGAGCAGGACATCTTTGGTAAACGTTCGTACAATCCCGCCGGTAGCTGTAGGGTAATAAAGCACCGGTTAGCCGTTGTGAACGCACGGATGCTGTTTACATACCCATCATGCCCCATCGGACAACCTTTGGAGTCGACATGGCGTGTGAGGCAGCAGGTGACTTGCGCAAGTTAGAGAAGAGGCTCAGTCAGTATCAAAAACACGTAGAACAGGGCGGTCGTTGTGGCTGTAAAGGTCTTCGGTATCGGGGCATTGGATGCATTGTGGGGATTTTTTCTGTTGACGCAGTCAGTGTCAATGATGCATCTTCATGCAGGTGCTGGTGGGGAGAACGTCACGGCACAGATTCGGGAGTCAGCCCGCACGCGAGATTTCAGCCTGAAATCCCATTAGCCATTCGTACTTCCTCGCTGTGAGGATGCAGACACTGATGTCGCTGTTGCCGGAGTTGATGCCGGTCGTCCAAAACGCTTTCCACAGGAGCCCATTCTTTCGCTGCGTAGGGTGAGCTTGAGAGGAAACAGACGCAAAATGTACAAGGACCAGAGGGGATCATTTCGAATCTGAAATTGCATCCGGTGAGCCCATTGTAGATCTTCTCAATTACTGATGTGTATTCCGTCTCGCGGCAGGGCGCAAGCTATGTACTCAAGTTAGGGACCATTTCTGAGCATTTCCACTCACCAGACCAAAAAAGTCTTCGTTGGCGCCAAAATCCATAATCTTGTACACGTTTGAGATCCTTCCATACTTCATTCCAGCCGCCAGTCGACGTGTGTGAACGGAGGCTAATGCGATAACAACCACTTTTATGCTGCTCTTGGACACTGAGGAGGTCCTGAATCACCGCAGTCCAATCTTGCTCAGGATGCTGCCGGATGTTGAGGAGCTCTTTGAATCTCCGAATACGCCAAGGAGGCTCTTCCATACGTGGTTAGGATCCTGGCTGGCGTCGATGCCGGACCAAATACCCTTGGTCTTGTAGTAGCCAACGACCGGGGTGGTTTGCTGGTGATAGGTACCCAATCTCTTCTTAAGAGTGTCCGCATTGTCGTCCGATCTCTGGATCAACGGTTCACCTGTGACATCGTCCTTCATGTGTTCCTTGGGTGGGTTGAAAACTTTGTGGTATGAGCGACCCGAAGCAGGGTGTACGAGTCGGCCCGTGATACGAGAAACCAGGAGGCCGTCGTCAATCTGCAATTCGACCGCGTGTTTGAGTGGCTTGTTTTCAGCTTGAAGCATCGAGTCAAGACCTTCGGCTTGGGTTACTGTTCGTGGGAAGCCGTCGAGGATGAAGCTGCAAGCTCGTCAGCAAATGTCCGCACTGGATCCTGGATACCCATAGCTTACCCATTAGCGCATTCCCTGTTTGTCTCCAGCTCATTCTTGATCATGTTGATCATGATATCGTCACTGACGAGGCCTCCCTGGTCCATAATCTTCTTGGCTTCTCTTCCCAAAGGTGTCTTTTTGGCGACTTGCGCTCGAAGCATATCTCCGGTGGCCTATGAGGTGGTCAATAACGTGTCCGACGGCAAGGGAACCTTCGAATTCGTACCAGATGGCAGACGCAGTACTTCTCTTTGATGCGAGGAGCTTGCGTTCCCTTTCCTATAGGCGGATCAGTCAGTGAACGCTATGAGGGCCATAGTAACTCCGTAAACTTGCCTGCGCCAGGAGGCCCGATCAAGATCAGACGCATCGCATCGGTTTTGGACTCTTTGCTGGTGTTGCCGCCGCCGACCAGTCTCTGCTCCAGTTCATATATCCTTGATTCCAGCTTGTGGATGTGATCCTTGAGCGAGTCGACATGTTGCTCTGTTATGGGTGCCATGATCGAAGGTGGCTGAGGAGAAAGGACCTGACCAAGGCCGGACAGTGTCTAGGCGAGTGATCGAGGAAGACGAGTAGCGAGAAAGCAAGGTGAATGAGACTTGGAACCTCAAGAGAAAACAGACGCGTGCGATGGTGGGTTGAGTCGAGCTGCGTAGGTACGGAACCAGGTATGTGTACGGTAATGTGGTAGGTAAGGGTAAGTTCACCTACAGGTAATATTATGCAGGACAGTGGCAGCTATTTCTCCGCTGCACCGAACAGCCCGAGTTGCGCTGCTCCTTCGTACCAAGGCACAGCACCGCGGCCTGACCTTGCCAAGATACCTGCTATATATCACGTGTAAAGCTCTTTTATTTTTCTTCCCTCGGTCCTTTTTCAACGAGTGCGAGCTTGACCTTCTCCGACTTCTTTTCTTGCCGGAAAACACCGTGGCACCACCGAATTGACATACCACAGTAGCGTTAACCGAGTTTGTGCCGTCAGGTTACATGGCCTTGATGACAACATGGCAACATGTCCATGTTCTTGAGGAGGCATGAACCATGATCTCCCCTGAGCTACTATGCTATGAACCCACCCTCAAGCTCTTGACATCCCACTCGTTGTCGCTCGGGCCTCCAATTCCTCATCGGCCAAAAATGCCAAGTCACTCTCTTCCCATCCACTCTTCTTGTCCTTTGCAGAGCGTATAAAGAGAATGTCTACCAGCAAAGCAAGGCCGCTGATGCCGACGGCAAAGTACAATGCTGCTCGAAAGCCCAAGATCCTGTCTAGGCCATGTTTGTTGGATTGAACTTCGATAGTCCCTGCAAATCCAAGCCCCAAGCTGTTGCCGTAGAGATTGAGCACACTGATGAGTGACGCCGCTGTGCCTTGATGCAGCCGACTGACAGAACTGCTGGCAATGATCTGAGCGGCCGTATACACCAGATCTGGACAGAAAGCAAAGAATACGACCGAGGGAAATACCTGCGGCCAGTATATGTGAGGTCCTGACAAGGTCGCCATGAGTAGACAAGCAGCCAGAATTGACATGGTCCCGATAGCAAGAATCCATTGAGCATCCAGCCGTGGGACCAACCATGCAGCCAGCGAAGTTGCTGCTATCGCACAGACCACAAACGGTGTCCAACTCAGCGCAAAATGTAGGAGTGACCTGTCAAAGTCAGAAAGCTGTGTCGGTGAACACTGGGACAATGCAAAAGACTCGTGCTTCAATGGCACAGGTTTTCGCTGGAAAAGATACTTACCACTTCCACACCTCTTGCAACCAGAGAACCTGGTACCAGCAGAATACTCCGGTTGCCATAAAGTTGACGAGCACAACCAGGACGAGTACACCAAAAGATGGTGCTTTGAATATACTTAACGGCATGATGGGATGAGAGGCGACGTAATGCTCCCAGACCAGGAACCCACCAAGCAAGACGATTGATGCAACAAGGCAGGCGATGACAGCAGGGTTCGACCATCCGCTACTGGGAGCTTGACTGTGCGGCGTGAATTAGAACAATGAAAGAGTAAGTCAAGGAAGGTCAAGGCGGCACTCACTTCCAGGAGAAATTGAACAGAATTAAAACAGACACAATCAGTGCCGCACCCGTCCAGTCGATCTTTCCATGTCGATTGACTGGCACTTCTCGTGGAACGAGCACACTCAAAACCGCAGCCACGACCAGGCAGATCAAGAAACTATAACCTCGAAGTCAGTAAGGAAGCTTCAGACAACAATGTTCAACGTCACATACATAGTCAGAAAGAACCACTTGTATGCTGTATAGTGCAAGAAGAGTCCGAGCATTATTGCCCCGAGCCATCCGCCGACTGGTGCCGACGATCCAAAGAGCGCTAGATATATATTCCTTGTTGGTCCAGGTGGGTTCGCAATGGTAATCATTGCAACTGCATTTGGCATGATAAAGGCACCTCCAAGGCCGGCTAGTGCTCGCATTACGACAAAAGCGATGAAATTGTCGCAGAATCCGCACACTAGGTTGCAGACACCCAGCCAGAGTGTTCCGTATATGAGGAGTCTCTTGTGTCCATATACAGCCCCGATCGGACCTGCAACCAGGACGAATGCTCCTTGCGTCAATCTGATCAAGTCTGGTCAGCTGTTGGGTCCTTACTACAGTCAGAGTGGCCTGTCTCACCCATAACTTGCTGCAATCCAAGCGGACATCGATGTGTCGGCTCCTAACAACTTGCCGAGCTGGAATCCGCCACCGACACCAGCGAACATAGCCGTCATCTGTCGCAGCGTGTTAGCATCATTGACACCGTCGGATTGTCTTCAAAGCGTACCTGCATAAGATTGCTGAAGATTACCATGGCGGCAATCAAGGCTCGACGCAAACTGCTCATGGCAGGCATCGATGTCTGCTGTTCCACTTGATTGCCTGATCCAGATACATTGATACTGGCGACTCCGCTGCATCGACTTGCTGTTCGAACTATTGCATCGATATTGGCCGGTCGAGTAGCATTCACGGATGCTGTGGGTTGTTCGGAAAGTGATACCGAGTCATCATCATTCTTGGGACCGAAGCCTTCTCCGGCGCTGCGATCAGAGGACATAGTGAGCGTACGACTAACACCTAGCTGGAGTGAAATGCATTTCTCTTGCGGGGAGGAAGTAAGTGGTTTGTTCTTATCACAAAAATGTCTGTGAGGTAAGGGACCCGCCCACGGATGGCTTTCCGCTTTGAGGTATGATCCACGATAAGGTATATGACCTAAGCATGCACCATCTTTGCAGATTGCGTATACGCCGCAATAAGTCAGCACAAAGGTTTGGTTCAAGATCCAATACCTGTTGCATGATCGTCACAGGCGTCCATCAACATGTGCAATGACATTGGTCGCCTGATTCGCGAAAGATTTGGCCGTCACGTTTTCTGGACAGGGTCCTGTGGTCGCTATACGCGATTGTCACGGATTGTTTACCCCCTTTTCTAAGCAGCCTCTTCGCTACCCGAGGATGACCCGAGACGCCCTCATACAACGCACGAAGCCGAGTTCAGCGACATCTAGAGGCACGATCTGCTGCCTTCGTGGATTACAATGTCTGTGACGTATACTCGAGAGATGCCAGACTGCAATCATGCGTGTCGTCCGCGATGCCGGCGCTACGTCGACTTGACTGGTTCCAAGCATGCCCATGGCCTGTCTTCATGATCGCAGTTCATGCCAGCATCGCTGAGGAACGTGCCGTTTGAGTCGATCCTCCCAGGTATGACCACGGCACTGGGCTTCTCGATTGTTTCCTGTCGTTGGTATCCTCGAGCGAATCTGGAAGACGCAATAGTCGTCACAGGCGTCGAACTCAACATCCCCTCATGGGTAGTTCACCGAGGTCAGGTCCCAGCTATAAAAACAAGTAGCCCCATTTTGAGGAGAACTCCGTCCCTATGGCCCAAGCTGCTGGATCCCACGTGGCTCGCTGAGTCTCGATTCGCAGGATCAAGCTTGCCATGCCGAACATGTCACCGATGAACTCATCCAGGTCAATCAACCCGAGCAGGAGGATCATATTGTCTCTGAACCGCTGGAAGGGAAACCGGTCGATCCATCTCGGGTGCGCAACGGCTAGCTGCAGAGGTGATGGCCTCAGGGGATCCGGCAATGCGAGATACTCCATAGGAGACTTCACTTGGTCTCCGGCATCTGGGCAGCTGGTTCCTTGCATGGTCCCGTGAGTGACTAGTGCGGCGTAAAGCGGCCACGCAGGCCAGCATAGGAATCTGTGGTCGACTGTCGTCTGTTGGTATCGTCTCAGGTAAGTCCACATCCAGGACGGCGGTGACCTGGTAGAATCCTGGGCCGCTGCATCGGATGGTAATAGTGCTAAGCTCGTGACTTGGCCCTGGGTTTGTGCTTGCTGCGAGGCTACCTCAAGCGAAGTCCCAGTCGCTTGTGAGGCAGGCTGAGAAGTCGCTTCCGAGACGGTTGAGTGACTCTCAGGAGCTTGAATATTCGTGGTCACTTGTGAGCCGAGGCGATTTCCTAAGCAATTGTTCAGCGTCCATTTGAATGGAGGTCCTCTTGCGGCAGATCATGTCAGCAAGTCAGGTGAAGCCTACGTCTCGCTCTTTGCGCCAATCTGTCCTGAATCCGCTTCCGCTCTTTTGCATCGCTGACACCATACCAGTTGTCCGATTTGGGGTCGACTCTGGGTCGGCCACGCTTACGTCCTTCAACCATGGCCTTATGCTGCCGTTTAACGAGCTAGGCTTTGACGAGTGGCCCCGTAGGCGTACGTGTACACGACAATAATGATCTATCACAAGAAAAAATGCGCATTTGGGGTAAGAAGAAGCTAAGTTCTGAGAAATTCATGATTGGAGAGGTCAAAGGAAGATTAATAATAGTGGACTTTTTATGCACATTTACGAGTGCGTCCCCGGCGTCCACTGTGTATTGTACTACAGTACAAAGTATCTTCTCCTTACGGTATTGTCAACGTTCGACATGCCCAATGTGGAACCGTCCTTCGGCCGTGGCTGAGGCCCATCAGATTAAGCCGATGTCAAACTTCCTTAATTCTGACAAAATAAGACCCCCTCATGTAGCACACCAGGCTGCCACCGTCGTTTGACTCTCGACAATACTATGAGGCCTGCGAAGGCTACAGAATATCCCTTGCCCAAGTCATCGAGCACGACCCCTTCATAATTGTGCATTGGCTTTTATTCAGCAGGCCACGGCAGGTTTTATATAAAAGCAAGGACATTCCTCATACCAGGAAGTCCCATCAGTCAAGAACATAAGCACCGACAAGCCTCCACCAAGAGGTCTCACCCATCATGGCGAACGTAGAGAACATCCTCTCGAAATATGCCTCAAGGGCGTCTGAAGATAATAAAGTGTTTGGCGCTGCGTTTATTGTCAAGGGCAAAGGAGGTGAGCCGATGCAGTCTCACGGCCGGTTGCAGCGTTGACGTAGGCCACAGGTAAAACAATCTATTCTTCAGCAGCAGGGTCTCTCAAGTTCGATGGAAATGAGCCATTCACCGAGGACTCGGTATGCTGGATTGCTTCGTTGACGAAATTGGTCACAGCGGTTGCAGCGATGCAAGTCGTCGAGAAAGGAATGGTAGGTCTGGACGATGATTTGGGAAAGGTTGTGCCAGATTTGTCGGATTTGCAAGTCCTTGACGGCTTCGACGAGAATGGGAAGGCCATCCTGACCAAGGCGACCAAAGCGTTGACCCTCCGGTAGGTGATCAATGTCGATAGAACCAGCTGAGCTGACGGATCCAAGCCATCTCTTAACTCACTCCAGCGGTTTCGGGTACGACTCATGGGATGCAGATCTCATCACATGGCGCCAGAGCATCGGCAGCGACATCAACTCCAATTCGTTCTCGTATGAGTCTCTCAAGATTCCGTTGAAGTTCCAACCAGGCGAAGGTTGGATCTACGGCATCGGACTTGATTGGGCCGGCCAGATCATTCAGAAGCTCACCGGGCAGTCTTTAGAGGATTACACACAGGACCATATCTTCCAGCCTCTGGGCATGACGAGCACGACGTTCCGGATAGTCGACCATCCTGAACTCCAGTCGAAGCGAGCGGACATGGGTCTCAGGCCCGAACCCTATGGCCCGCTGACCATAGGACAAGCTTTCAAGCCAGATGTGACGACCATGGATTGTGGCGGTGTTGGCCTATACTCCACGGCGAAAGACTACGGTAGACTTCTCGGTGCATTGCTGGATGGTGGTGATGGCATCCTGAAACCGGATTCGGTCCATCAGCTGTATCAACCCCAGCTCCCAGACCCGAAACAACTCGAAGAGAATTTCTTTGGCGACTTTTACCCCGTGTTTTCTCCAGAATATCCGAAAGGCAGCGCCATCAATTACGGTCTTGGAGGGGCGTTGAATCTTGAAGACATTCCAGGAAAGCGTCGCGCAGGAAGCGTCATGTGGACTGGAGCGACAAATCCTCGCTGGGTGAGATTGCCTACCTGTTACATGAAGAATCGAAGGTCTTGTTGCTGACTTCTCATAGTGGCTCGATCCGAAAGCTGGGATTGCTGCGGCTTTGATGGTACAGGTCCTACCGCCTGCCGACACGGTGGTATCGGAATTGTATGCGGAGCTGGAGAAGGCCGTATATGAATAGGTCTAGTCTGACATGCTGCACTGGTAGTTCTTTGTAGTCAGTAAGTACTTGGTGGGCTCAGAATAATAACCAAAACCTGATTACGAATAGTGGTTGAAGACGGCATGTGCCGGCCAATGTGCTAAAGTTTCACCGTATCACTACGTCGAACCATAATTTGCTGCACCGCCCATCTGGCGCGTCTTTGACCTGCCTGCGCTTGCATCTCATAGCCTCCGTTTAGACAATTAATATCCGACCAAAGACCAGCCTTTGATACACTTTCATACAATCACGAAAGCTTGGACGACAGACATCTTATCATACCTGAGATCACTCCCTCCGTCCAGGTCAATCAAACCATACTCATCGTTCGCCATCCATCACTAGCTCCTCATCGCACTCACATTGCCGGGCCGTCATGCCTGCCACAACAGCAGAGACACTTTCTTTGGTGAACCGTCAAGTATCAGTTGCACCTCTCGTACTCCTGTCAGCAGCCGATCACTATGGCAGGTCAGCAAAAGGAACAAGGAAAAGGGTTGTTGGTGTGCTTCTAGGACAAAATGATGGCAAGAATGTCCGGGTATCAAACAGTTTCGCAGGTTTGTCGCAATGGAGGTCAACTATATGAGCCAGCTCTAACCTATGACAGTTCCCTTCGAGGAAGACGAGAAGGATCCGTCCGTATGGTTCCTGGACCACAACTACGTCGAGTCGATGCGAGAAATGTTCAAGAAGGTCAACGCCAGAGAAAAGCTGATCGGCTGGTATCATTCCGGGCCAAAGCTACGAGCCTCTGACCTCGAAGTCAACGAGCTATTCAAGAGATATACACCCAACCCTCTACTGGTCATCATTGACGTGCAGCCGAAAGAGATCGGGGTTCCAACCGACGCATATTTCGCGATCGAGGAAATCAAGGACGACGGCACAACCACAACCAAGACCTTTGTCCATACCCCATCTATGATCGAAGCAGAGGAAGCTGAAGAGATCGGAGTCGAACACTTGCTCAGAGATATCCGAGATGTCGCAGTCGGCACGCTATCCGCCCGCATCACCCAACAACTACAATCTTTGCAGGGCCTCCACCTGCGGTTAAGGGATATCGGCACATATCTAGAAAAAGTCCTCGATAACGAATTGCCCGTCAATCATGCCATCCTGGGCAACCTCCAAGATATCTTCAATCTCCTGCCAAATCTAACCACTCCACCGGCCTCTCGACCCAATGGCAAGAACCAGATCGAGAATAGTGAGCTCGCTCGTTCCATGAGTGTCAAGACGAACGATCAGCTCATGACGATTTATTTGAGCTCTCTCGTCCGAGCAATCACCGCTTTCCATGACTTGATCGACAACAAGAACAAGAACAGACAGCAAGCGGAAGAGAAGGAAGCCAATAAGGAGGATGGTGAAAAGAAGGAGGGCGAAAAGGAGAAAGATGAGAAGAAAGCTGGTGTGAATGGCACTGTGAGCAGCGACAAGAAGGAAGCTGAAGACAGCGAAAAGGGCAAGGGAAAGAAGAAAAGCTAGAAAAGACCATGCGACCGTGAAGCATCGCAGTTCCGGCATTTAGCATTGGCGTTGGGATGGAAATGATGTGCCAGGCCATTCAGATTACCTCACATGCATTATCGCACAGAGATGATCGTCCCTGTACAATACAATGACAGTAAAATGGACACAGTCTGTGTTGGGTGTTCCCGCTTCTTCTAGCCCTTTATTTTCTCCCATACATCTATGCCCTATACACTCCCAATCCAACTCAAACACTTCTGCCGCCGGAGCATGCAGTGAGCGGAGTGAGCCCCCTGACCATCGAGCCTTCAAGCCACCTTCATGATCCTCGTGCTCTGCGACCAGTCGTCCGCCATCGCTCCGACAGATCGTGATAGCGGTGTACCTTGAGACAGTCTCGGTCGTCTCCAAGAGGTCTCGCATAGCACAGTGCTCGTGGCGGACTCGCTCAACTCTCCCACCCACTTCGGGAAGTGATATTGCCATAGCCATGGCCTGCCATCACTGCCATCACAGCCATTGGTGTCTGATGTGACCGGACAAGCCTCTCACCCACCACCGAACTCTCCCCACCCACCTCCCCATCCAACAATCTCCTCACAACTAACTTTCCGGACGGTCACTCCATGCCCGAACAACTCCGGCGCCGCTTTCGCCAACAACGCGGCGAGAATGTGCTTACATGACGGTATAGAGCCTGATGACTTACTCGTTGCTACACCACCGAAATGCCAGTATGTAGCATTTTCTGGCATCGAGTCGAGTCCGAGAGTTGGGAAGCGGTCGTGGTGATAGTTGTCGTCGTAGTTGTCGTCGTAGCCAGTGCTGTGGCTTAGACCCTGGAACGCCGACACGCTGAACGCAGGACAACTGCAATTCCAGCTGTCGAGGCGGACTTCGTAGAATGTTGCGCTGGAGCTGGCGTGTTTGCGCGGATGGTTTGTTGTGGCCGAAGCGGAGGATTGGATGTAGTACACTTCCACTTCTGTTTCCGAGTGCCCTTCGACCTCGGAGGCATGGCGCGTGGGATTCCGAGACGGGGATATACTTGAGTCGTCATGCTGTAAGGCCAAGCGGGTGACGAGACCGCGGTCGAGAAGGTCAAGTGCTGGAAGGAGTTCGTGCGGGAAGAGGACGTGGAGAGTCAAGAAGAGGGAGCGGGCACCGGCGGTGTCTTGTACTGAGAGGGTGTGAAGAGGATTGGCATGAGTGGAATGGGCTTGAGTGCTTGGGTTGGATATGTTTGGATGTAGTGATGAGAGAGATTGGAAGATTGAGGAGAGCATTGATATTGACCTCGAATCTCTGGTTGGAGTCGTGTTCATTGCAAACAAAGCGTATGCAGATTCATTTTCCTTGCGGTGCAGAAGTCAAGTCCGTCTCAGAAATGCATCTTGAGTATGTGAATCAGTCATGCCCGTGAGGAAAACTCTCGTTTCTTACGTTTGGCTTTGATTTGTTCTATGATGGGGATGGTCAGCGTGATGTGTGGTGGACAGGAGAATAGTTAGGAGGTTGAAAGTGGACCAGTGAAATGTCAAGATGCATGGATTCTCAGCCTCGTGATACGATGATATCCAGGGCTATGAAAATGCTACACCACCATGCCGTCACCTCGCTCCCTGTCACTAGCACATGCCTTCTATCCTTGCCACCGGATCTTGCTTGACTTCAATACACTAATCACACCCAATGGGACTTGCGAGGCGTCCACCATCTGCACACTTCCATACTTCTTGACAATCTGACCTCCGTAGACCGCAAGAATCCACTTCCAGTACGGCTTCATGGACGCAAAGGACTGATGAATGCCAGGGAAAGTCACCTTCGACTTTCGGGGTCGAGGAGGCAAGGTATCCAGCCACGAAGTGATCTCGTTGGTCGTCTGAATCTCAAACTCCTTCGGTGTACCCAGAAGCATATTGTATGCACGTCCAAGGTAAGCAGATCTCGCCTCTCGGTACATCATGTATTCATCTTTGGACATGAATTCATCCCCAATCTCGCCAATCCCAGCGAGGGCGCGGGCTCTTCGAAGCTCGGTGCTGGTCTTCCGCTCGAAGGTGGACTTGTTGGACAAGTACAGTACTTCATCTGCCGCGAGTTCACTGGCCAGGATGTCTTGGGCTGATTTGCGCATGTTCTCCCTTACTCCATATAGCGACACCATGGGGTTGCGGAGCTCCAGGCCACCCATCTGGACAGGCCAATACCAGACGCCATCTGGAATGTCATGGATACCAAATTTGTCCTTGGCCAAAGCCGCAAGGTGGTCAGTAACGGACCCTTCCGGAAACATTGCCCGCTGGATTCGTGCGAATGTGTCGATCATGCTGTCGATGTGCTCTCGACCAAATGCGAACGAAGGTTTGCCGAAGTTGTTGCTGAAGAATCGAGCGAGGTATGCATTGTAAGCCTGGACGTAGGAGAAAATCGAGGTACAATGGGCCAACTGTCGCCGAAGTTCCGTAATGTGCTCGTCAACCATACCCTGATCGAGGACGAACCGAGTTCTGGCGGCGTCTAGACGCAAAAAGCCCCATCTAACTTCACCCTTCGGTAACCTAGCTTCACGACTCGGCGGTAAGCTAACCTTTACCTTCGGCAACTGGGTCGTGTGAGTGAGGCTCGCTTCGTGATCATCCTCGTTATCCTCGGTATCCAAATCACTCTCTGGCTTCGCGACGGTGGCTTGGTCGAAGATCACAGATCCAGTCTTTTCCAGGTTGAACTCGATACCAAAAGTCGAGCCAAACTTGGTCATGGCCTCCCAGCCGTGCGCGCACAGACTTTCTGTTCCCCAAAACCAGAAGTCATCGTGCAAGCGATAGAGGTAGCTTTCAGTGGCTCTGTTGACTGCGAAGTCCATCACAAACATAATGGCTTCGCCAAAGACATCGCTTAAAGCATGAGACATTGGGACACCTCTCTGTCGAATTTGCACCTGACCTTCCGGACCGTCCTGAAGGAAGCGTATCGGGGCTTGCAAGAACACTCGGAAAAATTCCAGCCAAGTCTCAGATACGCCGAAGAATTCCAAGACGGTGAGAATCGTGTCATGCGGAAGTGACGGACCGAACCACTTGAAGTCGGAGCGAATGACAGCGTGAGGCACCCCAGGACGGAGGTGTCGAGCTATGAGAGCTTCGGTGACAAGCAGATGAAGAAGGCTTTGCTTGGTCTCGACTGGACTTCTGCGTATCGAAGTTGAGGCGTCGTCTTCCTCATCTCCATACGCACGTGTACCCTCCTCCTCCTCTTCCGGCAGCTGTGTCAGAAAGTAGTCCTCCTCGTATTGCCGGCGTCTCCTGGCTTCCACACTGTCGGAAAGATCAGCATCACCATCAAGGAAGTAGACACGCCGATCTTGGTCGATCCTTGGAAGGTATTTGCCCGGCGTCCTCCAAGCACGAGACTTGAAGAATCCTGTGAAGCAACTTTTAAAATGAACAGCCCATTTCATTCCAATGGCATGTAGCAATAGCGCGTCAAGGACATCCTCATCCATAAAGACTCGGTATTTGCCATTCAGTTGTCGACGTTGCTGCACCGTGATTGCTCCGTTCGTTGTGGACCATTGCCAATTCTCCAGTGATGCCATCCTCATGTTGAGCACGTCAACTACTTCTTGAAGTACATCCTTGTTTCTTTCGAATGATTTGAGGATGTCGGCCTTTTCCGCAGACAGAAGATCCGTTTGCAGGACACCTTGGATCACAACCTTCAGATAAGCTGAGTCGAAGAGGGAGGCATCGCGCCAAAGGGTATCGCATATGGTTGTGGTAGCTTTTCTTATGATTTCGCACGGACCAGATATGGCAGGATCCGTTTCGAACAGGTCTTGAAGGTACTTCTGGACGCGCGACTGGTCTACGTTGGATTGGCTGAAAACAATCGATTCCCATTCTGCCCGCTGTTCGTGCATTTCCTTTCGACCCACAGACTCAAAGGAGGAGGATCCCTCGATGACATCTTCTGCAGACACCTGTGATTGTGGCTGTTCAGAGCCTGAGAGCCATTCGGTGACGAGCTCCGAGAAGAACTGAGCATGTTCATGCCGGACACTTTTGAGATCAAAGTGCTCCAGCAACTCATTCTGGATGCCCCGGATCAGGCTAGGCGCGAAGGCGGGATCCGTCTCGGCTTGTCGCAACAACAGTTGCTGGTTGCGACGTCTGTGGGACATGTTGGAGGAGCCCAGGTTCTCGGACTTGGAACAGTCGTCCTTCATGATCGGAATTCCAGCTTGTTGGCAGGCTCCATGGAGTAAGGTCTTTGTACGTTTGAGATTGTCCTTGCAGCGGTTCGCTTCGTCAAGAATCTGTGTCTTGCCAGCTTCGTACTGCTCTCGTTGTCTCTTGAGTTCCTGGATCTTGGTAGATGTCACGGAACGCAGGGTCTCCGGTAGAGCAGTGGAAGACGCCATGTTGATTCGGAATCAGAAACGACAGCAAAGCCTCCACGTCAAGGGAAAAGTGGCGAGGAAGATTGAAGATGATAATGAACAAATAATGAGGGACAGTAGTTACTTCGCGGAGGAGTCTGAGTGTGATAAATGAAGGGCGGTGCTAAAGTACTGGAAACCTGTACCTTGAGGTGTGACCTACCGAGACTGAAGCAGAGGAACTGGAGGAGCTTTATAGATCATCTGGACGTAAAGAGCATGGAAGACCAAGATTCAAGGTGACTCATACCGACTCAGAATGACACTGTAAAACGTGGAATATGAAACGTTGTGACTCTCACATTGATGTGGCCTACAAGTGAACCAAAGGTTGAGTAGAAGTCGGACGAGAGTTGAAAGGAGGAAGGAAGGCCTGATGCCTGATTCGCGTGTTCCTGACTCCGCCATATTGTTACCTCAGACTCACCGTACCGCCATTGTGCCTAGCTACGGTTGCGCATATCGACCGTGTTTTGCCGTGCTTGAATGACTTCGTTTATAGACCAGACGTATCTCTTGTAGGCCACAATCCTACGATGCGCGCCGGAGTCTTGTTGTAGAGGGCCACACCTTTCGCTTTTATTATGCGATTGTTAGCCTCCAGTCACATCAACATCATATTGAGAGACTCGTGAGCACGATGAGTCCCCTCAGTCAATCCCAACTCGAGCGTCCCCTCCCTCTACCATGGACGGAATCGAGCAAACACCTTCCGGTTCAAAAGTGATCATACAGTGTGTTGATCCCAACAGCCTATACGATAGCCTCGAACCCCGCCTCTCCGCCAGAGCTCCCCTGCGAAATCTGCACTGGAAATCTCCAAATCGTCCCCTTCGATCCATTCCGAGTCTGAACATATCGCTTCAGAAGGAGGACAAATCTACAGGATCTCAGGGCAGTGCTCGCAGACATCAGATCCCAGGTTTACGAGAAACACCGTATGTGAAACTTTACATATTGCGTTGTGACGACAAGGAGACATACAAAGAAAAGGTCAGGAAAGAAGTGCGCCAATGGGTTAAATCGCAAACACCAGCCGGGGACGGCAAGTCCTCGAATAGGGCCCAGGAGGATCACGATGCGTTTGAATGGCTGATTCTGCATGTGGTATTGCCAAATACTCCGGCAGCCAGTCAGCCAAAGTCGTCAAAACATATTTCCTTGGAGACAACAGATAGCACCGACAGCGTCAACAGCAAATCAAAATGGTCGGGCAAGAGCTCGTCTACCATATTCGACAAATTAAGAGCCGACTTCAGCAGTGGCTCCAAGTCGTCAATCAATCGTGTTGCTCAAGTTCGTCTCTTGGATCCGGGCGATAGAACAACTCCACTCACTCCTGCCGAGCTGGAAGAACAGTGGCAGGACTTGACCGAAAGCCTGAAAGCGTGCATACTCCGCTCCTTTGATGCTCGAGTGGCCCAGTATGAGACGGACATCCGCGAAAGACATAATCAACGAAATTTGCCCGGCTGGAATTTCTGCACATTTTTCGTTCTCAAAGAAGGGTTGGCGAAAGGCTTTGAAAGTGTGGGTTTGCTTGACGATGCTTTGGCGGTCTACGACGAGCTATCGCTGGGCTTGGACACCTTGGTGAATGAACAAGCTCAAGGAGGCGACCGTGACGATAGCGGTGCCCTCCTCGACTTCTCGAGGGAATCCAAAAGCCTTTTGCGTGCGGCATTAGGTTCTGAAAGTGCTACGTTGCCAAAAACTAAACCCGAGACAATCTTGAACCCCTCCAATATCCTGAATGCCGACCGTCCCGACTTTCCTTTTGATGTCGAGAGGAAGAAATATCTGGATCTGATTCTGTCCAATGATGTCTCAGCCTTGGATCTGCGCATCTACCTCTTCACCCGCGAGATGGACATTTTGCTCAGGCAAGGACGTCAGGAGCTTACAAAGTCCTCTGGAAAGACTATCTCGAGTGCCAATATTACTGCTTTCGCGGATCTGACCGAGCGTGCCATAAGCTTCATCAACTTGGCAGCTCGTAGTTTGCGGCTTGAGCTTTATAGTGCGTGGGGAGGTCAAGAGGGGTTGACTCTGAAGGAGTTACATACCCAGCGTACAGTGACAGGTAATATTGTCTCTACGTTCGAATGGCGCGCTGCGATGCAGATCTTGAGTCAGGTTCTGCCAGTCTTGGGTTTAGATGCGGAATACGGCACGGAATGGCTGTCACTCGATTCCGTTGAGCTTTCACGAATGCCTGGCAGCAAGTCAAACGAACTTTCCGATGCTCGAAACCATCTCAACAGAATGTCACTGGCTCTCGATTCTGGCTCGCCTTCACGAGAGCGTTCTCATGGGCCTCACAAAAGAATCTCTGTCATTCCCGAAGAAGTATTCCCACGACAGCTTACTTTCACGCGTCCGGGGTCCGAATTGTTGGCTTTATGGGCCTCCAAACTTGCCATCATGGCGCGGAACGCCATGGCAAGTCTCGAAGCAGTACGGCCATGGCTCAGTCAGATGAAACGTGATGCATTGAACAGAGATAGGCGCGCAGAAAGTACAGAAGTCAATGGGCAGAACGTCAACCACCACGAAAACCATGAAGACGAGGAAGATCAAACGGCAAAAGTCCATCCAGATCTGCTGGCAGGCATTGCTTCGAACACTCTACAGACAGCTGCGTCATCGAAGTCTGCTTCCCTGAACATGTATGCAATGCTCTCGGTCTTGGCTTATCGTGTCATTGCGGGAAGCAGGAGCAATACGACTGCGCAACAGGTTCTGACAGATCTCGTGGAACTGGAATATTCGCAGAACAACTATACTGTCGCAGCAAGGTACTTGCATAGCATTCTGGGACAATTGCCGCAAGTCTCCTATCGTCCGTCAGATGGCCATCTGCTGCTGATCTACGCCGATTGTTTAAAACATCTTGACAGACCAAGTGAGTACGCTCGTTGTATCATTGCGTGTCTGCATTGCGCTTCAGAAGGCCATTTTGGTGCAAGGCTAGAGAAATTCCAACCTACATATCAGCTTTTCCAGGACCGACTTTTCGAAGTGGCACATGCCATGAAACCAATGACCTTTTCTCTGTCAGCTTTATTCGACATTCTTGGCGTTGCCAGCACTATCACTCAACGAGAAGGAGAAGATGGGTTCATGCTCTCTTTCACCATTCGAACGTCATCTGGCACAAGCACACCGCCTATCAGCGATGCCAAACTACGGCTCACTTCACAGGATGGGAATGAACCCCGTTTCATCTCCTTGAAGCTGTCCAAGGATGTTTGCATAGAATCAATTGATACAAACGTTATGCTTGTAACGGCGGTGACAACACATGGTTGGTATATCCCTGATGAAGTCGAGATCAGCATTGGTAATCTAAGGCTTTTGCATCACTTTCGCGCCACGCACCATGACAACCCTGCGCAGATGGACGAGACACCCACTGATAGGTCGCCGGTTGTCCCAATCCTCGTCTACCCTTTCCACGAAACATTTGAGATCAAACTCAGCCACGCTCCAGTCATACATCTAGGTGAAACGCGGCGAATTCTGATGCAGATCCTGCCCGGACGTAACAAGATCAGCCAAGGCAGAATACGGCTGAAGACAGCAACAGCTGGGCTTAGGCTCAATATTCATGAGACAAAGTCATTAGATGATAAAGGTGCTGCAACTTCGTTACGAACTGCAAGAGAAGGCGATGCCCAGGTTATCATTTTCGACGACATGGAGGCCGATACTACAAGCCGGATTGAAATTCCATACACAATGGAAGTCCAATCCGAACCAACCGCCACCATTCGAGTTGATGCCAGCTACCAGACCGAACAAGGCACATATACGCTTTATGGCACGGCTATCGTCAGCGTCCTATTGCCCGTTGCGGTGAACGTGCAAGATATTTTCAGGAGCACCTGCATGTATTCACGATTTAGCATCAGTCCATCCACACTTGTGCCTCTGCACCTGATAGACTGCCAAATAGCTGAAACTGCAGCATACGAAACCGCTACCGGTGGTGACTTTGGGGGCTCGCAGGTGGTGTTTCCCAAGCAACCTGCCACTTGGACTGTGCGACTCATTCCAAAGCTTGAAAGCTCAATCACTGCCTCGCAAAGGATGACTCTTTGTGTCCACTTCCAATCTATGGATGATCTCATCTTGTCCACCCTTGAGGAGACATTTGCAACGGCATTCTTGAAGACACCTTATCGTTTTGCCGCCCGATTATTGCTATGCCACCTTCTGAAAACTGTTCGAACATCGTGGACCGAGCAAGATCTGGAAGTAGCAGCTCTAACACAGGAAGTGGAAATCTGGAACATGGACGTTATGAATTGGAGCTCTGTATTGTGTGCATTCGAACGAAATACCAGGACCTCCATCGAAGAATGGCTCAGCGATTGGCATTCGCAGACGTCGACAATCAAATTCTCCACCATGAAAACTATTCAACGCCAGCTTAGACTTCATGTTGACATATCGTCTCACCCTGTTCTTGTTGCAGCATGCTTGGAAGTCAAAGGCTTGAACATGGCGACACCTACAGCCACGTTGGGGCAGCCTATCCTAGCTGATCTAACGATGAGTTTGGCAAACACAAGGGAAAAGAATGTGGAAGTATCTTTTGAGATAGCTACGTCGGATTCATGGCTGGTGGGAGGCAAGCGGAAAGGGATTGTGACACTGACCAGGGACCCCCTCCGCATTCCGGTCATTCTATTTCCCCAACACCAAGGGCATGCGCTCCTGCCTTCTGTGTCGGTCAAGTGTAGGAAGCAAAAGCAAAGCAGCGGTAATGAAGATGCGTGGACAGATGTGGCAAGTGAAGTTCACAATCCGATGCACGGTCGCAGCATCCACATCAGCTCAGATATACAGAGTACCACTGTCGAGGTGTCTGGAAGACTGCCGGACGGAGGTTCGGGACGCCTGATAGCGAGTGCACGCCGTGAAGAATTTGGGTGAGGATATAAATCAAAAACTGTGATCTTGAAGATCTCCATCCCCTGTCAAGATGGACATTTCTCACGTGCATGACCTGCAGGTTCGAATCTGCAGCAGCCACAGACGAGTGGCATCGAAGAATGCCTTTCGAGCTTCCAGAAGTCCTGCGAGCTTTCTTTCTCCAATCCACAGGGTCGCGGCACGAACCGAGCACCCTAGACCCTGTCAATCGAACGGCCACTGGCCAGCCAAGGGGCGCGGGCTGTCTCTGACGACATTTGGGCGGCAAGGATGACCCTTAGCTCATTTTCTCGCCTTCCCCAACAAAATCGTTTTCGTGGGATCTCCGAACCCACCTCGGCGGTATTCTCTGACTCGCAGCGCAATCTGAGGTACTTATCAGAGTTGACCAGCATCTGGCCCCTGTACTGTGACCAGGGATGCTATTGAAGGATCTTCATGTGACCGAGGTTCAGTCAGCCTGAGATCGTCCGTGAATATGGACTTCCGTGCGCAGCATCAGCATGTGTTCTTTCAGCCTCAGCTTTACGAATTATGCACATGTCACCCAAACGAACGTCGATTGGTGATTGAAGGCCGTTCCGTCCAACGAGTTGCGACGAGAGGGTTCAGCATGTGCTCGAAATGCTTCCCGTTACTCGCAGCCGACCATCATTGACAACGTTGTCGAATGCACAGCTTATCTTTGGATCGACGACAGGGGCCCAACGACCACAACTCTGTCAATCATGCGACGAAGAGGGACCCAGCCGAGGCTTTATTAGGGATGGGGGTGAAGAACGAAAAGCACCACATGCTGGTCCACAACGTCCACAGCGGCAGTCTGTTCTTGACGATGATTTCTTTTGCGGAGCCGTGACCAACTCCTACACCGCTAGATGGCGTCTCTCTAGGATCGACGTCGATGCCTAGAAGTGGCGGCTCACTGTTCAACGATGGATACGACTGTCTCCGTACTCCATCCGTATTATAACTCGTACTGTGCTCAACACCGTTGTTGAAATGCCTTCAGTAGATGTTGCCTGACTGTATCGAGCAGATGATCTGTAACACAATCTCGGGTGATGAGAGTGAGATATCGTGATGGTCATCGATAGGATGAGTTTTTAATTCTCTGTACATTCAGCCTTCGGCCTTGATCGGCGACTCCAGCTATGGAGCAAGACCGCAGTGAGGTGGTCATGCTGATGATTATGTGTGCCCAGCCGAGGACTTGTTCGGAGCCCGCTCCGTATGAGTTTGGTGGTCGCAGCTCTCGGCAGCGCCTAGAATATTGACATTGACCCCTGCCGTGCCTTGCTTAACGCTGAATGGCGGTCCCTGAATTTAGTCTAGGTGCCTTTTTCGGACTTTGTTGAGATTTCCCACGGCGGTGGGTTTCATTGCATCTCGTCGCACCAAGATTTTTTTTCTTTGCTGCCCCTGCGCAGGTGGACTTTGTATGGAGGGGCCTCCACTAAAACATTCGATCCCCAAGTGAGTTTGGTGAGAGCTGCCACCACCACCAAGACCACCAAGACCAACTCCTACAATATTAACATTCCTTGCCGCGTTTTTATCTTGCAGCTCGTCCTCTCCTTCACTTTGTCTGCTGCTTGTGTTGTGTGTCTCTCTCTGTCGTTCGAACGACTCTCCTTCACAGGTCAACAAGCTTCGCCTCGCTATCTAGCACCTGAGCTGCACTCCCTCAGGTCTGACTGTGTTCCCGCGTCCCAACACTATTTTGGCACCACCACCTCACCGACATCTCACAGCTCCTTCATTTCCAGTCCTTCACACATCTTAAGGACCATGGCCACAACCGCCCTTCCCAACGAGGCAGCCCTCCGCCGAATGGCAACCACCGATTCCACACCAGTCTCTTCAGCCAACATCTCGCCTCTGGACAGCCCGAGATCGTCTCCTTCTTCCACCTCCTTGTCCTCTCTCGCCTCCGAAGATGCCGTTGTCCAGAAGTCGTCGGCGGGAAAAAAGCAGCTCGTGGACACATATGGCAACACGTTTGAGATCCCCGACTACACCGTCAGCGACATCCACAAGGCTATTCCCAAGCACTGTTTCGAACGCTCTGCTGCCACCGGTCTTTACTATGTTGCCCGAGATGTTGTTTCGCTAGCAACCACCTTCTACCTCTTCAACCGCTTCGTCACTCCCGAGAACATCCCGTCCACACCGCTAAGAGCTGGTCTCTGGTTTTTGTACACCGTGGTGCAGGGTCTGTTTGGTACTGGTCTGTGGGTGTTGGCCCATGAATGTGGACATCAATCGTTCTCTCCAAGCAAGGTCTTGAACGACACAGTCGGCTGGTTCTGCCACTCGGCTCTCCTGGTGCCATATTTCTCTTGGAAGATCTCCCACGGCAAGCATCACAAAGCCACCGGCAACATGGAACGAGACATGGTGTTTGTTCCATCGACAAAAGAAGAATGGGCCACCAAACGGGGATACCTGCTTCATCAGCTTGACGAGCTCACCGAGGAGACTCCCATCGCCACCGCCATCCACTTGATCACTCAACAAATTGGAGGATGGCCCATGTACCTATTCACCAACGTTACAGGCCACAACAAGCACGAAGTTCAGCGCGAAGGCCGTGGTGTAGGCAAGCACAACGGATTTGGTGGCGGTGTCAACCACTTCGACCCCAACAGCCCATTGTATGAAGCAAAGGATGCCAAGTTGATTGCCCTGAGTGATCTCGGTCTTTTCATCACCGCTAGCATCCTCTTCTTGGTTGGTAGAACTTACGGCTTCTCCAACTTGTTCGTGTGGTATCTTGCACCATATCTCTGGGTCAACCACTGGCTTGGTGAGTAGCGTCCTCCAGTTTTACAATTCTCTCATTTTGCTGACTCTCTTAACAGTGGCCATTACCTTCCTGCAACACACCGATCCCTCTCTACCTCACTACACTGGCGAATCCTGGACATACACCCGTGGTGCGGCTGCCACAATCGACCGCGAGTTCGGTTTCATCGGACGACAGCTCCTTCACGGAATCGTCGAGACCCATGTTCTGCACCACTACGTCAGCACCATTCCCTTCTATCACGCCGACGAGGCCAGTGACGCTATCAGGAAGGTCATGGGTCGTCACTACCGCAGTGATACCGAGGGTGGCCCTATCGGGTTCTTGAAGAGCATGTATAAATCGATGAGATGGTGTGAGTGGGTTGAACCCATGGACGGTGCTTCCGGCGAGGACGCTGGTGTCATGTTCTTCCGCAACCGCAATGGCTTGGGTCTCCCTCCTGCGAAGGTGGGGAAGCCTGCCTCGTCATAAATCTTACCGGTTGGAATGACATGTTTGCATCTTGCTGCGTCTTTTGCTGGCGGAGTCCACCGGGAGTTCTGGTTTTTCAATTAGACATGTTCGAGGTCAGAGAAAAGAAAGAAAGCCGCAAGACAGTAGACATCAATTTCAGTGAACGAGGTACAGATAGACAAGATACCCTTCTCTTAGCTTGATGCCGAGATTTATATATCAACAAATATGGTATGATACTCAGCGGCGGCAAGCCCGGAACAGGGCCCTCGCAAATCTTGTGTAATGGCGTGGCTCATGCAATATGTTTCGGGTACTCTATTCGCTCATGTTTGACGTGTACGTGCTGGTCCTGCATTAAGGGTGAGACAACATCCTGGGATCCAGGAACAGAACATCTGACTCGACGTGCAGAAAGACTTTCTACTGTGACAATCTGGCTTTGTCTCATTCGTTCGCAGAATGATATGGTCTTGGGGAACACCTGAAGCAGTACGGCCGCACCTGGTTCCCGATTGAAGATCACCTGTACTCTTTCCAATTGCAAACGGTTCAATTCTTCCCCGCCTTTTTGGCCTCTTGACTACTAAGTAGTACGGCCTTAAAACCATCTTACGTGGCTCTCGCACGATGACTACTACTTGCGGACGAGAAAACGAGAGCCGACCACTACGATCTTCTTCACACAGTACTCGCAGCTGGCGTGACTGAGGATGCATTGCCCGTCGTATCCTCCGCTTTATCGTGCGCTATCTCATGTTGAAGCATATCTCACCCATTGCCGGAGCATAGCCTTGCTCTACGTGCGCGCTCCGGGTGCTAAAGTGCTCCGCGAACCACCGGTAGGTAACGCGACCACGGTAGGCGTATACTACTGGGAGTTGAATATATAAGAACGGGCAGTGAGTGTTTGTTGCAAAGGTTGGTTCATACATCAGCGCGCCTATCCAAGTCTACTATAAGACAACAACATCTTTCAAGCCTCGACTATACAATATACAATACTTCATCACAGATAATGGCATTCCGCAGCTACCTTACACCATCGACTAAGAGACCCAGGGCACAGGTCAATTGGCAAAAACCAGCTCAGGCATTTGTCAATGTAAGTGCATACCAGCCCACTGTTGTCTCTTGTAAAGGATACTAACTCTACCAACAGTCCCTCCGCCAGAATTTTCACCTCACAACACTGCTGCTCATAGGAGCACTCCTCCAGTCACTGGTCCTTTTCATTATTCCTCGCTTCTACGCCATGCTCCCAGCCATACTCATCCTCGGCGCACGCCTAGCAGACAGTCTAGCCATCACCTACGGCTGGAAGAGGAACCCGTACCTCGACGAAGCCATTTTGCACCGCGTGTCGCCGCAGATCCCCGATGAAGACGGCAACTTCCATCAGGAACCCGCAGAAGAAAAAGTCGTCGCCTTCATGCTCGGCGCCAAAGTCAATCATCCCCTGGGCCTTTTCGCCCCGAACGTCAAACAAGTCGGTGACGGCTTGCAGGAGATGTTCAAAGATCTCGAGGACCACGCTCCCGAGAACGGCTTTTTGGGGGCCTCCGTGTGGCACAGCACCGACAAGAATGGCGCCACTGAACTCCTGTACCCCTCGTACTGGCGGTCCACCAAGGATCTGCACGACTTCGCCTACGGTCCAGTCCACATGAAGACTTGGGACTGGTGGAACAAGACGATCAAGCAGAATGACCATATTGGGATTTTGCACGAAATGTTCGAGGTCGACCGCAAGTCCTGGGAGGCTATTTATGTCAATTTCCAGCCGACGTTGCTTGGCGCGACGACGTATGTCAGAAAGGGGGATAAGTCGATCGGTGGGACGGTCGATGACCAGTGGATTTCACCTCTTGTGGATGCCAGGAGTGGGAAGTTGAGAAGCAGTGCCGGTAGATTGGGACGGGATCCTAATGAGCTGTATGAAAAGCATAGGCTGGCTCCGGGTGGGAAGTACGAATGAAGGGGGCATGATTTGCACCGGGGTTGTTTTCATATCTGCATAGCGGCGGCGGACTGGCTGTATTGTGCGTACATAGTGACGGGAATAATATGTACTAGATTGTGTGATAGTTGTTCCTCGTCCATTGACAACGATATCGATATCGAAATCACAGCCTCGCTTATTAAGCACATCTCATGTGACGCAGCCTTGTCTTCGGGTCACCTTCCTCTCAACCGGGTATTTCTAGGAATCAACCTCTAACTGCCTCGGCACTTTGGCTTCCATCTCACATCAATTCGTCCAACGGCTCCTCCATGCCTATTTTCCCCACAACATCTCCCCGGCAGTTACTACTAAGTAGAGATATCTACAGTAGATGGATGCTCACTGCAGGAGAGCTGAGAGCTAGACCTAGCAGTACGCCCGCAAGACCTGTGTCTTACCACTGATTGGCCACTGATAGTCGCTTACCGTTCGACCCGCTCGATGTCACCCTTTCCTCGTATCATTTCTTAGCTGTTCAGCTCTATGTAAGTACGTAAATGGGAAGTGGTATATTGCCTCGGCATAATAGCCTCCATGTCCAATATCACACTGCCATTATCACTATCATTCCTCACCACCATCGTTCAACGATCACCTTGCCTTTGGTACCTATTCTTAGACCTTGTCTTAATGTCTAGCGTTGACACACTTGCCCGCTTGCCTTGACATCATAGACACCTGTCGGGCAAACATACCCTCTATCTACACTCGCGACTCATTCTCGACATGCCGAAATCACGCTGGAGCGTTGCCATCCCAGACTGCTCTCTGCCGACATTTCTCTTCACATCGCCAACTCATCCATTAGGTTCTCAACGGGCATTCTCAGAAGCAGCCCGGCCAGACACACACTACCTCACGCGTGACCAGTTCCGACTCTGGGCACAGCGTTTTGCCCTAGGCCTCCACCGATCGAAACACTTCAATAAGGGCGACCGAATCCTGTTGTTCAGCGGCAATGACCTCTTCGTCCCCGTCGTCTTCATGGGCGTGCTATGCGCAGGCGGTATCTTCACCGGCGCCAACCCGACGTTCGTCGCTCGAGAACTCGCCCATCAATTACGAGATAGTGGCGCAACGTACCTTCTCTGCGCCGATGGATCCATCGACACGGGCATCGAAGCCGCCAAGCTAGCTGGCCTCGACGCGTCAGAACGTGTCTTCGTGTACAATGCGAACATCTACGACGGTCCTTCTGAGGGTCTTAAAGGCTGTCGGTACTGGAGTGATCTTGTAGCCCCAGCCGAAGACGCCAAGTCATTCCAATGGGACGATCTGACCGGGCCTGGGGAGTCCAACACGACCCTCGCCCTGAATTACAGCTCCGGCACGACCGGTGTGCCCAAGGGCGTTGAAATCACGCACAAGAACTACGTCTCCAACACGTTGCAGGTAGCGCACATCTCGAAGCTACAGCCAGATTATGAGGAGCGAAACGCCCGGTCTTCGTGGCTGTGTTTCTTGCCATTGTACCACGCCTACGGCCAGACGTATTACGTCGCCAATGGCTTTCACCGCGAGATCCCCGTATATGTGATGCCCAAATTCGACTTTATCCAGTTCTTGGAGTATTCCCAAAAATTTAGAATCACTGATTTCACGCTCGTCCCGCCTATTGCCGTGTTGTTGGCCAAACACCCGGCCGTGGAGAATTATGATCTGAGTGCAGTCGAGCGCATCGGATCCGGTGCCGCGCCGTTGGGGAGAGACGTCTCCGTACAAATTGAGAAGCGTGTTGGCACGGGACTGAATATGAAGCAGGGGTGGGGAATGACTGAGTAAGTCCCTAGTCATACACCACTGTCCACGCATCACCTCCTTTGACTAGTGCTGGGGCAATGTATTGACATCGTTTGACTACCAGGTGCACATGCTCATTACTAGGATGGGACTTCGACGCCATCTCGACATCCGCTGCTGTGGGCGAACCCAACCCCAACTGCGAAGCCAAGATCATGAGCGAGGACGGCACCCAGGAAATAATGACCCGCGGACCCAGCAGTGTCGGCGAATTATGGTGTCGTGGCCCCAACGTGATGAAAGGGTACTGGCGCAATCCCAAAGCTACAGCCGAGACACTTACATCCGACGGATGGCTCAAGACAGGCGATATAGCGTACCTGGATGAGCAGGGCATGTTTTTCATTGTGGATCGTAAAAAGGAACTTATCAAAGTCAAAGGTAATCAGGTGGCGCCCGCGGAGTTGGAGGCGTTGTTGCTTGAGCACCCGGACATCGCGGACGCCGCGGTGATTGGTATGCCGACTGAAGATGGGGATGAGAAGCCCCGTGCTTTCATTGTCAGACAGGGTGGTGAGAGTGCGCAGAAGTTGACGGAGGATGAGGTTAAGAGGTTTGTGGACGGGAAGGTTACGAGGTATAAACGGTTGGCGGGTGGGGTGGAATTTGTGGATGTTATTCCTAAGAATCCTTCAGGCAAGATTTTGAGGAGGCAGTTGAGGGATGTGACGAGGGAGAGGATGAGGGGGGAGGGTGCGAGGTTGTAGTCGCTTCATGCAAGAATGTTGCCATGATAGCCGTACAAGGGTACAGGTCGAGCGTGACGAATGCTCCTGCCGTGGGCTTTGATAAAATATATCTGCATTGCCCTCGTTATTGCCCTCTTCCATCCTTGATCCGAATACCACCCTGGTCCTGTAGTAGATAAAACTCGCTCTCTCGGCCAAGCGAACTGAGACGGTGTCCAAGTTCCGGTCTGATACTCCTTGACCTCGTCATTCCTCTGGCATGCGGATATGTCCCCGTCCTATCCGCGATCTTCAGACCGATCCATTTTCCCTTGTCATCCTTCACCATCCTGGCAAAGACGTGGTCCGCAATCTTGTCCAACTCATCGCTCTCCTCTAGTTCATCCAGCCCAAGACCATCAGCCTGTCTCCGAAGGTCTGTCTTGTCCACACCCCAGGCCATGACGGCAAGAGCACTGTCCTTCCAAGCAGGCACCTTTCGCTTCCGTGTGACGACGCATACTGCCAGGAAAATAATCCAAGTGGCTCCCTCCAAGACAGCTGGCAGCAGCAACCACGCCCATCTCACTCTCACGTATGTCTCCATGAGTGAGGCCGTTCCCGTTGCGAACTGCTGTGGGGAATACAGCCGAAACTGATTCCCAATGCTGACCGCCAGATTGGTGATCCCCTGACCCAAATTCAAAGCATAGTTTGTGTACAGAGCCGTCGCTGCATCCTGATAATCTCCGGTTGGGTAGAAATTAAGAGGACCCATATCTCCACTCGTTGAGCCGGTCAAAATCGAAGATAAGTAATCCTTCAAGGCGACCCAGGACTCTGCAGCCACTGAGAACTGTCTGGGGTTACCAGCTTGTAACCGGGAAAGTGTGTCATTAGGAAGGGTGAAGACTATGTCCGTGTCATCTAAGTTGATCTCGCTGCTATTCTGATAATCGGGTAACAAAGAGGCCGAAATTGTTTCAACAAGTGTGCCGGAAGCCACATTGGCAGTCAAGATGTTCACACAAGGGTAGAGTATACATTCAAATGCCGTGAAGGTCGCCGGGACAATCGATTGACGGCCCATCCCGGAGAAAGGAACGCTGAATTGCGATACGTTGGCAAGCTCGGAGGTGGCAAGCTCGGAGGTGGTATTGGTGTACGTTGCTGGGTCCTCGTCGTCGTTTGCCGAGAGCCCGTTGGGGAGATGATAGGTGCAATCATACTCGTAGCTGCTACAGTTTTGCTGTATGAGATTTGTTATGTTGACACACTTGGAGCACATTGAAAGAGTAGCGTAAGGTAGGAACGTGCAATTGGTCGTTGGGCATTGTGCCGCAATCGAGTCTGCACCTGCTGAAACATTGGTGTAGAAGAGGCCATCATAGATTGCTGCTTTCATGGGCAGATCCACGGTTTTGACCATCGAGTCTTCCCCAGATGCGTAATCGTCATAACTGGTCGTAACGGGGATCGTGGCCGTAACATTCGTGCGGGTGAATCGAGATGGAAAATCAACGGCTTGCTGAACAAAGGGTTCCAACGCGAACCCGGCAATAATCACAGCTGCAGTCATCAAAGCTAGATCTGGACAACGGTAGGACATGATGAGCCTAAGAGCGCCTAGAGGTCCCCGTGAGGCGGCATCCAGAGATTGAAAATCGGCAAGCTTGACAGGATGTTCGTTTCTGGTGTAGAGGTTCCATTTGCACTGAGACAGAGCAGCTGTGATTGACATGACCAGTGTTGATGTGCAGATTGTTCCTAAGAAGGAGATGACAGTGGTAATCTGGAGCGTGTAAGGCCATGTTCGCAAAGGCTTTCCGTCATATCTATGGAGAACAACAACCACAGCACCGAGTGAAACGGCCGAGAAAGCGAGGGACACAATCTCAAGAATCCACAAATCATTGATTAGTCGAGTGAGCCTTGTCCATCTTGACGGCCTGCGGGCGATACTGATTGCTTCTGGTATGTCGCTGTCAATTGCAAAATCTTGATCTTTACCCATGATGTGGTTCAAGGACTGAGCAATTCGTCAACGTGTGATAATGGCTGGAACAAAAGAATGAAAAGAACTCAGAGGCTGGAAAGCAATTGAATAAATAGTTCATGACCTGGGCCTGCCAGAGTAGGCAATACATTCGCCATAGACCTTCAGTGCCATCCTCGCTGGGTTGGAAAAAGAAGCCAGCAAGTTACAGGCAGGTCCATTTCAATATGCACCAGGCACGATACCAGAAAGTGACCAATCAAGCTGAAAACCAGCGATGATAATCCGAGGTAGTTCATGCTGCTGTAGGGTGGTAGTTCACCTTCGAAAGATGGCGTGGTCTGTGGCTGCATGTTCTGTGCGACGAATGACTCACTGCATGGTTGATACGCGAGAATGGCTGGCAGAATGCGATGCAATTGGACGCGTCTGCACGGCCTCAATCTCGCAAAACATCTTGTACTGTACCCTGTGGCTCGATTTCAAACGTAGACTTTGAAGAGGGCAATTCTGCCCAGGGTCCCCTGTATCTGGCATCATTGTTGTCACCCTGACCACACAGACGTACGGAGTATTGATCTCAATACTGGCCTTTTGTTACCACGGTTGTTCATTGAGTGTATACTATGCTGAGATAAGTATTCACATACCAGATGTCTGATGTGGGTGTCAGGGGTCGAAGATTCAACATCGCGATCATCCAAAACAGATACGCATCTGAAGCGAGTTCTGGGACTTAGCTGCAGCCCTATCGTCCACGATTTGGCCCCACCAGACATTTTGGGGGCCAAGGGCCATTTGCGCTTTCCAGACCTCTTCCAGCAGGGGAACCATGCCGCCAAACATGTGGTAGCGAGTCCGTTCATTCCACGCAGAGCAAAGTGCTCGTATCCTGTTTTGAGCGGAGAGATCGGCCATTTCGCAACCAGCAAAGAAAAGTGGGAGCAATGCCTGTCTGGCAACGAACCCATCGTCGCGGCATGCACAAGCATGATCTAGAATCACTCTGGCGCGGCTGAGTACGCGCACCGGAGGTGTGTCGCCGGGTTCCCACCGGAATACACGGTAGATGTAGAGGAGAAGTCCGTTCCGCCATGCCTCGGAACAATGCATACAATCCATATCCTGATGCATACTTTCTTCATCATCAAATGCTGTGCCGGAGGGAGTGTGATTCCAGGCTTCGAGCGATTGCTCAATCTCTGAAATGAGGCTGTTATCGAATACTACCCAGCGCATTGACGCTGTCTTCTGCTTTTCAGCAGCTAAATGTGCCAATTGGACGAGTGGGACCGCAAGGCTCTGCGGACAGCCACACAGCCCGAAAAATGTCCAGAACTGGTCGTCGCAGCAAGCAAGAACCGACACGAAATATTCATACGGAAAGACGCATGGTGTTCTGTTGACCAAGCTTATGACGGCATCCCACCATGTGAGAAGCGCCACCTGAACCACTGTTCTAGGATTCTTGGTCCACACTTCGACGCCGCCACCAAGTTCCAGAATGCTGTAGGCGCCACTCAAGTGTGTCGTCCAGCTTCCAAAGAGTGAATAGGCCTCGTCTAAGGAGAACAGGATCACTATCGTGTCGAGTAACGAGGAGCTCATTCTGGCGATATTGTCGCTGTTGAGAGCCTGACGGAACAATTGAAGCGCGGTTCGACCATGATCAAGGACCTTTTCAGAAGGCTGATCTCCTTTACTGGTCAGGGACAACTTGTTGGTATGATGACATGACAAGGCTAGCACAGCGTGCAGCAAGTATCCAGCCTTTTGTAAGGCCTCCGTACGGTAGCGGAACGGATTCATGGGCAAGTCCAACGTCAATGGGATGACAGAAAACTCATTGTTATCTGGCTTCTGTCAACGTGAATGGTCTTGAGACAAAGTGGTCAAGATACCTACATCTTTCAAAGATAGGTTCCAATCGCTCGAAAGGCGACTCGTACAGCACGTTAGGGGGAATAGCGTCGACGAAATGGTATGGTAATGGCCGTAGGTCTCTGTGCGACAGGGTGGATAAGCCCAATGGGGTCAAAATTCCATCAAAATCGTCGAAGTCATCTGCATATTCATTCGGCATGTACTGATAGGTCAAGTGCTTGTTGGATGGTGGTGTCCATTGGCTCTTATCTTCAGCGGCATTGTTGCGAGCAGGTCGAGGTTTTGCGCCTGCGTCCGTAACATTCAATAACAAAGGTATGTCTTCCGTATCGAATAACAACGACTCGTCAAGGACTGACAGGTCTGCTTCGCCCGTCACGGTATCATCTTGAGATGCTGCCACTCCAAACGGGCCTGCCAAACTTTCAATCAGATTCGGATCGCAGTATGCATGACCAAAGGGAGGAGGGAGAAGACTGACTCGGACGTAGGGGGATATTGTTGGTCGTCAACGGCTCGTCGTACTCTGCACCGTGGACAACAAGTATTGGTGTTGAAGAGTCCGTCGCGGCGATTGTCGGCCCGTTGGGTTCGGTCAAGTCTGAGGGATATTCGGCGATGAACTCGAGTTGGCGTGGGCGCGATGAGTCTCCGGAGCCTTCCCAGCGAGACCGCCGCACGATAGACTTCTTGACAGGCTTCCTGTGCGTAGAGAACCCTGGCTGCCAGGATAGTTGCATGGCGAACCCTCCGCAGAGGTTATTCGACCTTTGACAGTTGTTGCAGCGTGGTCGTGCTCTGTCGCACTTTTGTCGCCGGGCCACACAGGTATGACAATCAATTCTGCCATGTTTTGAGGAGCGAGCTTTGCGGGAGGTTGAGGTACCATGGTCCATCACGACGTCGAAAAGTGTAGGTCCGACAGAGGGGTGATAGCGAGTCTCGGTCTACTTTAGGTGTCAGGCGCCCGCAGTCTGGGCAAAGTGCAGGCCCTAGGCTAGTGCAGGCGCCACGCAGATAAGACGCGGAGGCACCCTAGGCATAGTGGGTCAGAAAGTCGTGCATGACTGAGTGCCCTTATCAGCATCCACAAGTCTAGCTTTAACTAACTTGCTTAACTTCGGCGCAAGAATATCAAGCTTAATGCGGCCTTTTTAAAATTCAACAATCACCAAATCATTCTGCGATACAATATCATAAGGAAGACTTCAACTGTATCACCCTCCCGAGGCGACGTCCAGAGTGCCATGTCAATCTGCCTTGACCGCTTTGTGGCCAAGATCATGGATCGCATCGTCAAGCTCGATCCCAGAGATTGTCGTTGTAAGTTCGCGACCTTCATGATGGAGAATCTCACGATGGATCTGATCCTGTAACTGCACGTTTACCCTGGGACCTTTGTACACATGCCGCTGCCAAAGGCACCAGGCTATCAGAACATAGGCGCCGATACCAACCATCACAACACTTCAGGCACGTTAGCTGATCGAAGGTAAGCTATGGCGACAAGAAGACTACTCACCTCACCCAGTTCATGTTGGTCGTTGTAACAGGCCTCGTGACTGGGATGCAAGCTACAACGTCTAGAAAGACGCACCACACGCATGAAACTACGTTGACAACAATGCCCCATCTTCCCAGGTTGAGATGCCTCTCAGGAAGGACTGCAGCACGTCCTCTCCAAGCAAGGATCCCTTGAGGAATCACATAGGAGGTCATCATGAAGACGATATTGGCGCCCACCATGGATGCAAAAGCGGTTGATGATCCGAGGAAAATCAGGCCGTACAACTATCATTTCGTCAGCGTCGAGATTGGACGTCAGCCACCTGGATATACTCACCATGGTCACCATGGCGGAAAGAACAGCTGCATTCAGTGGCATCTGGAAGCGAGGAGACACCTGGGACCACCAGCGAGATCCTGGAAACGCATTGTCTCGCGATGCGGCCCAAATCTGACGACTGGATCCGGCGATATTGGCAGTTGCGCAGCCAAACAAACAGAATGCAAAGGCCGCTAAAAGCGCAATTGTTGCAGCCTTGCTTCCGGTGGCTTGATAATAAATCTCGATCAAGGGCATCCCGCTCGGCGGAGCAATGACTCGTTCGACATCGACAATGACAAACAAACAAGCAAGTGCAAACGGCCAAGCTGCAAAGGATGTCAACCATCTCGAATGTCAATCAAAGACAAGGTAGACTTACTTGTGATCAGCCCGATGAAGACCGGCATGACCTATGCTTTTTAGTGACCGACATTTGGATCGATAAGGGCACTTACGATGACTTTGGGAACATTGACCATAGGGTTTGGTATTTCTTCAGCCAAGTGAGCGCCAGCATCGGTACCCATAAATCCGTACGCGTTATTCAACAGACATAGGATGAAAAGAAGTCCTTTGTTGTCCCATCCGGTGGAATTGGTGGTATCCCCAAACACCCAGGAGGCTTTCTGGAACTTGGGAGCCGCACACCCCAGAATCGTAATTATAGTTGCGACAAGCGTTGCAAGGGAGAAGTACACTGCAACATATTAGCAACGCAATCCTTTCTTGCCAGGTCCCCTAACGTACGGATGAAGTTGGAAAAAAGGGGTACAAAGCGGCTTCCGAAAATATTGATGGCTGCTGCCAGCCAGAGTATTGCAGCATATATCAGATACTGATGCCATGGCTGAATCGTGTAGTCGGTATTGGTTATCTTGACCATGGCCAGGATCATTGCCGCAATAAAATTGGCCACACTAGCATTACCAAGCCACCAGCCAGCTGTGCTGACACAGGCAGACCTAAAGGGTATCAGTGACGCTGTTGACGAAAAATGCAGCATACTAACACGTAAGAAGCGAACGGCGCCCACGCTGGTGCTGCGACGCGAAAGGACCAGTAATACTGAGCTCCTGAATTTGGATAAGCAGAAGACAGCTCTGCCATGCCCAATGAAACGATCCAACTCATTGTGGCCGCAATGATGAGGGTCCAGAGGACGCCGGAGGCAGAAAACTCGGCAAGGCCGGTTCCAATGGCACTTCCGAAACCATTCCAGCTAGCTGTAAGGGCAAAAGACAGCGATAGGAGTGATAACAATGAGAACCTCCGTGGCATTGCACGCTGGTAGCCTTGGGCTTCGAGCTCGAGGTCATCTGCATTGCTTTCTCTGCGGGTCTTGTCTGGATCCATGGTAATTTCTGCTGATGCCTTCGATATGGAGGAGTGGTACGCCCACGTGGATTATAGATGTACGTGCTTGGGGAGCAAAAGTATCCGACTCCGTGACAATTTGGGGCAGTTTATGGGCCCTGGCGCCATTAAGAAACCCTGTGGAGTGTCTGTTGGCGGCAGAGACCTCATCATGGCAAGGGATGAAAGTAATGCTCGAGGGCTGACAAGAACAGTGTGGACGCAGAAGAATCCATTTCGAGAAGCCTACCCAAAGGGGCCAGGTCCCAAAGCGGCAAGTGTACGCAAGCAGTAAGGTCAGGCTTATGTGTGGGTTCGTATCCCTGATAAGTGGATCAGACAAGCCAGATAAACGTAAGGATCTCAAGAAGGCGTCCTGAACACCACGATAATCAATACAGGACTTTTTTTTGCATCCGGGATCTGTCACCAGAGGGTCGTGCTGAGCCAAACGGCGAATACTACCTCGAACTTTCCATGTTTACTCTACATCCAAGAGAGGAAGTATATCACAGGACCTTGTGGAAAAGGAGAGCTCGGAAAATCATGAGGTCCAGTCAATCATGACTTCAAGACATTGCCCGTTCGCACTGGGTGGCACCAAACTAATCAACCACTCCAATACGACATTGTCCCGTGCCCTACTCTAGAAAGGAGGTAAACAGCAATAGTTCTCCACAAACCAATCCACAATGCCAAAGTACATTCAGAGCTCATGGAAGACGCAAAGCAGCCGTTTACGCTGCTTCAAATCATGCACTATGCTCGTAGCGATCATTCTTCTCTACCAGTTTGTAGCAGGAATGAGCAAATCCAGTATCTCTGCGCGATTTGACTCAGACCACACCACCGCGAAACCACCAACGACACAATGTACTAGGCCCTTTGATACTACAAAACCTTTGATTCAGTACACGATCATGATTGATGCAGGAAGCACGGGGAGCGGAGTCCATGTGTACAAATTCAACAACTGCGGACCAACACCGGAACTGGAACAGGAGTACTTCAAGATGACGGAGAAAAGACCAGGAGGATCTGGCCTGAGTTCTTACACAGATCCAAATCAAGCTGCGAGAGGTCTCGATCCACTTCTACTGTTCGCACAATCTTCAGTGCCTGAACAGTTCCAATCATGTACACCCATCGTCGTGAAAGCAACGGCAGGACTGCGACTCCTTGGCGACGGCCTAAGCCTAAAGATCCTCGAAGCCGTTCGGACACGTCTAGAGACGCAGTTTCCATTTCCAGTAGTGTCTCGCGACAATGGCGGCGTGGAAATCATGAGAGGTGAAGACGAAGGTGTCTTTGCCTGGATAACCACAAACTACCTCCTGGGCCACGTAGGCGGACTAGACGACACGGCGACTGCTGCAGTATTCGACCTAGGTGGAGGCTCGACACAAGTGGTCTTTGAGCAAAGCTCTGTTGAAGGCGGAGAAGGCATACCTGCTGAGGTCACAGATGTCGAGTCCGCCTATCAGCTGACGTTCAGGGGCCAAGAATATCAATTATATCAGCACTCTCATCTAGGCTATGGGTTGATGTCTGCACGAAAAGCGATACATCAGATGGTTCTCGACCACGCTTGGAAGGAGGGCGCCATCTCAAACATGTCGCGACTATCACAACCAATCCCGAATACCTGCATGCCCCCAGGAAAGAGAACCAAGGTTACTGTACAGATGCCGTCCGGCCATGCTCTGGAAGGCGAACACGATATAATAATGGAAGGTCCTGTTGACAACGACTCTACTCATTGTCGAGCATTGACGGAAGCAATCCTGGGTAAGGACAAACCCTGCCCAAGGTCGCCGTGCTCAATGAATGGCGTGTATCAACCGTCCCTCGAGAACTCATTCTCCGGAGAGATATACATTTTTTCATACTTCTATGATCGTACGCATGAGCTAGGTATGCCGGATTCATTTACACTGGGTGAGCTCACGGAGCTCACTTCAGAAGTCTGCGCTGGTGAAAAGGCGTGGAGATCAGCATTCGGACACATTAAGGGTGCCTTGCAGAGCTTGAAAGAGATGCCTGAGTGGTGTCTCGATCTGCAATTCATGTCAGCATTACTACATCAGGGCTACGGAATGCCATTCAGCCGCAAGCTCACAACTGCGAACAAGATCAGAGGGAACGAGATTGGGTGGTGCCTTGGGGCAACTTTGCCATTGTTGGAAAAAGAAAGTGGTTGGGAATGCAGGATTGCAGACTATGACTAGTGTGAGGTAGGACAGAGTGCAACTGAATGCAATGCAATTTTGTACATGCCTTTGGAATGACCCAATTGGCTGAATCCGACCGAGCAACTTCATCGCCTTCCTCGATGGCATAGGTATTACGAATATGCGTAGGGAACCAGAGGAGCACAAAATCAGTTCCATGGTAAATAGCTGTACAAAATTGGTGAAGCCTGGTCGCACGTTCGTTTCCTTTTCAAGTCGATTTCCCTTTCCGGTTGAGAACCCCTTTGGAGGTGGTTGAGGCGCGTTCGACTATGGGCGATCCACAAGTTCCTACGGCTTCTCCCACTTACGCAATGCGAACATCTTCCGTCCATGTTTGGCAATGTGCTCTCAATCGGGTTTTGTCGAAAGCTTCTCGTCACAGGTACAGATTGCCAGATTGGTTACGCACGGCCAATGCCTGCAAGTGCGGCAAAGTACCGAGAAACGTTGGGTCTCCTTGTTTGTTCTAAGTGATGCATCACTAGTTTGGAATTGGTGCCATACCTTGTAGACGATGGTAAATTGCCATCAGAAATATACATAGTGACAACCAATTCAAGGCAGAATCATATCACCTCCTATAGATTCCGCGACATCGGGAGTGTTGTGCCTTCTCAGACGGCAGGGCCCGAATCCGAAGAACATGCAGGGACAAAAGTCGGGTCTAAGCATGAACGGCACCAAGCCGAGCACGAATGATTCCAGTTCGTCAAGCTACGATGTGGTCATTTTGGGAGCCGGCTTCAGTGGTATCGCTATGCTATATCGCTTGCGGAAGCTAGGACTCAGCGTCAGAATATTCGAATCTGGCGATGACTTTGGAGGCGTCTGGCACTGGAACCGATATCCAGGGGCGCGTGTTGATTCAGAATGGCCGTACTATCAATTGAACATTCCAGAAGTCTACCAAGACTGGAACTGGAGCGAGAAGTTTCCCGGCTTCGAAGAATTGCAACGCTATTTCGCCCATGTTGACAAGGTCTTAGACCTGCGGAAAGACGTTACTTTCCAGGCTCACGTCAACGACGTTCAATGGGATGGCAGCAAATGGACCGTTCGAACGCAAGCTGGACATACTGCCAAGTGCAAGTATGTTGTTCTGTGCACCGGACTACTACACCGAGCATATACCCCAGGTTTTCCAGGTATGGACAGCTACAAGGGCGCCGTGTATCATACTGCAGATTGGCCCCGACAGGCTGATTTCAGTGGAAAGAAGGTTGCTGTGATAGGAGCCGGCGCAACTGCCGTCCAGGTGGTGCAGGAATTGGCCAAACAGGCCCAATACCTGACAGTATTCATGCGCAGACCGAGTATTTGCCTGCCTATGAAACAGCGACGACTTGGCGACCTTGAGCAGAGTGGATGGAAGACGTACTTCGATGCACTCTTCGTTGAAGGGAGGAAAAGCGCCACTGGGTTTCCCGGCCGCCAGGCACCCTGTGGAGCTATCGATGTGACGGCTGAGGAGAGGGAGAGATCCCTCGACGTTCTCTGGAGACGAGGATCGTTTAACTTCAACATGTTCAACTACAACGATATCATGGTGAATAAAGAATCGAACAGGCTGATATATGATTTCTGGGTGAAGAAGACAGCACCACGACTGAAGAATATCAGGAAAAGAGAGTTGATGGTTCCGGTAGATCCGCCCTACTACTTCGGAACGAAGAGAAGTCCACTCGAGCAAGACTACTACGAAATGCTGGATCGCGACAACGTCGACGTTATTAGCCTCGCCGAGACATCTATCAAGACCTTCAACGAGACCGGAATTCTGCTGGACAGGCAGATGGATTTTGATGTCGTCGTCCTAGCTACAGGATTTGACTCGTTCTCAGGCTCGTGGGTCGGCGTCTTGTTCCTGTTTGAACAGGTTCTGTCTGACATTGCCTCTCTAGATTATTCAAAATGGGTCTCCGAAGCCGCGACGGTCAAGATATTAGGCACGTATGGCAGGACGGAATTAAAACATACCTTGGAATGACGTTTCATGGATTCCCAAACACGTTCATGGTGTATTCACCTCACGGTAAGAGAGTGACCCTGCGAGACTCGCGATGGGCAAAGACTGACCAGCTTGAACTAGCGCCCACCGCCTTGTCTAATGGCACGACCATGATCGAAGCACAAAGCGACTGGGTTGCTTCCGCAATCGACAAGCTGGAAAACGAAGGCGTGCTCTCTTGCGAGCCCACCAAGGACGCCGAAGATGAATGGGGCAGTATGATCGCAGACCTGAATAAGCCGACGTTGTACCCGTTTACGAACAGCTGGTGGAACAAAGCTAATCTACCCGGCCAAAAAGCCCAGATGTTGACACATCCTGGTGGGATTGAAATGTATGAGAAACAATGTCGAGAGAAACTGGCAGGCTGGAAGGGCTTTGACTTGGTCTACGAGAAGCCTTCATAAACACCGGTGTAAAGTCACGCAAATGAGATGTTTCTGCTTAAGAAGGTTCCCATCAGTCAGGGCGTTGCCTGGATGAGTGGAGGACAGTCTGACCTCCAACGGCACAAATTAAGTCTCCCTGCCCAGTCGCCTCGAGATATTTGCTCTGAGCAATAGTATTTAATGACGAGTGACAGACGCCTCAACCTTGACGAAGGGTTGTCACTCGCAATAAGTGATTGAACGATCGAGAGACATGGAAAATGAAAAATTAGTCTAGATGAGGTTCTGCTTCTAAAGAGTGGACGACAGTTTTCCTTGATCTGCTGCCTGGAGATCTGCAATCACTTCAGCAGCTCCTCGCTCACCAGCACGAACGGCGCCCTCCATATAACCTTTCCACTCAATGGCAGTCTCCGTTCCTATGAAGTACAAATTCCGAAAAGGTCGTCGCAGTGCATTCCCAAGTCGCGGCCAGATACCACCAGGAGCAGGCATAGGGCAGGGCACTCCCTCGATGAACGGCTCTTTAGCCCAGGCTTTTTCGATGGTCTGGATCGTGTCGTAAATCTTTCCTCCGTGCTCTGAACCTATCATGGTCGCCAACTGGTTCTGGACAGCCTTCACTCGTCGAGACACAGGCAGCCGTGACCACTCCTGAGCATATCGGCCGCCGATGAGACACGAAATAACGTACATCCCGTCCGCGTCTGACGAGACGTCGCGCGAGAAAACCACAGGGCCGGAAAGATCGATGCACGAGCCGTTCAATCCTGCCTCACGCCACCAGGGGCTTGAGTAGATCAAGATACATTTGCAGTACGGACCAAGATGAACGGAGTCCACGTACTCTTGCTTGTCTGCCGGCAAGGGCGGAATGAATTTGATGTGCCGGTATAAAGGAGTTGGTACAGAGATCAGGACTTTGCGAGCGCGAAAGGCGTCTCCAGCTAAAGTCTCGATGACAGCTCCGTTGCTTGTCTGACTGATGCCATTGACAGGACTGTTCAGATACACGCTGCTCGGGTTGAGATTCTCGGCGAGACACTTAGAGACTGTTTGGTTTCCTGTTGGATAATACTGTCAGTCCTATGCTCGGTCTCGCGAAATATGGGCAAAAATATACCGTGCCTGTTCGTCATGTACTGAGCACCGTTCGGCCCATCGCTCAGGAGACTTTCGATCCCACCGGCACTCTTGACAAAGTCTAGCCAGTAAACCAACCCGATATCATCAGGGTCGGTTCCAGTCAAGTCGTGAATCCAAGCCGTCCAGAATTCCAAGGCAAATCCATTTGCGCCTTTTTGACGGAAGTACTCCCCGAGCGAGATATCTTCGACGTGGTTGTTCGCGGTGGAATCGAGTATGTTGACCGACTCGCAATCCACGTCCATATCGTCGGCGATCTTATCAAACATGGCCTGTTGCTCCTTTCCCACAGGCGGCAGACCGGGCCAGGTTGTTTTGAACGAAGGATCCTTCGCGCTCGTGCGAAATACTTCGTATCCTTCCATCCGTTGGATGATTGGCTCGCAGCCGAATTTTTTGAAATAAGCATACATCTTGTACTGTGTCCGATCATTGATCCAGGCAGCCCCGAGATCCAGTACGCCAGGACCATTCTCAACGGTTGTCGACAGGGTTTTGCCGCCCACGCGGTCTTTAGCTTCAAGCACAACACAACTAAACCCTGCCTGCTGCACATCGGTTGCAGCCTGCAGACCACTGAGCCCTGCACCGACTACTACCACATCGATATCTTTGATTGCTCGGTTGCGCGGAGCAGAGGCGTAAGGGGTCGAGTCTTTAGAGCTTGATGTCGCCATTGAGAGTGGTTTCGGACGTGGTCTATAGCGCCCTGAGCGTGCAGCCTCGCGTCTGCTGTACGGGATGTTCGATCTTCTTATGTAGTCTTGTGAAAATTCTTCGAACAGTTGGACTAGCTGAAACTGGTCTCTTGAACATTTCATGCGACATCAGGACTGCCGGAAGAGGCAGGTACAAAGACGAAGAAAGTGCCCCGTCGGTCGTTGCGGCCGTGGAGCCACGAGTTTACAATTCGTCACCCGACTCCCGACTTGTGTCAGCCTGTCTGCATGGCCTGATCCGCAAATTCAAATGCAGCAGGAAGATGTGTCGGAAGGGGCTGTGGGACGACCGTGGCACACTGAACGAGGTCGTGTGTCCGACTGCTTTGTGGCCGCCCAGGTATCATGTCATGGCATGCTTGTGGAAGATTAGGCCATGCCGATTTGGGTAAGTGTCCAAATGTGGAAGGAAAAGAGGCCGTAAGTGCTGTGCGTCTCCACTGAAATTTCCACCAACGTTGCAACGAGAGTTATTCCCCCACCAGGTCGACCTGGATTGATGCCTTACCGAATGCGTTCTGATCTTGTGGTAGGGACTTGACGCTGAGACGAATTGGAGAGACGTTTCGTTAGGATCCCTCAACATGGCGCACGTGCCCTGTACCAAGTGGATGACTTCTCGAGTAACTTCTTTCAAGGCAAGTCGAGATTTTACTTTTCGCGCTTGGATCGAAAGCCTTGTACAAATTACTTCTCTTGTCTTAGACCATCCCGTCTCCCCAAGCCCTCAAGATTCTGACAACTGCGCAATACAGTACGCGATCTCTTCTGGCTTCTGCTCCATTGGATAGTGCCCGGCACCCGGAAGCCAACCACGATCAGCTGGTCGTACGATATGACTGACGCCAATATATCGCTCCAACACCATCTTGAACTCAGGAAGTAGTGGATCTTCGCGACCGAACAAGATCATGACCTTCTCAGGCGCATTACGCGTGCTTTTGTCGTCGAATTCTCCGAGCCACCAGCCCCGCACGTGCCTGTTTCGCTCTGCAAGCGACGCCTGAGCGTTCAAGTTCGTGAAATGTTCCGGGCCCAGCCAACCTTCTACTACACGCCACGAATATGTGGAACGAAGATCATAGACCCAGTCTGGCAGTCCGGGGACAATGTGTGAGAATCTGCTTATGCTTGCCTTCGTCTTGAACATGCTTTGTGCATAGGGCGCGGAGTATGCACTAGCAGTCTTCATGCTGATGTTTGGTGCCATGAAGCGCAGGACAAAACTATCCGGCAGTAGTGGACCTAATATTCCCGTGCTGAAAAACCAGATCCAGTACAGAAGATAGTAGTGCGTTGAGATGTCGCTGGGTCGGGCAGGAAAGAAGCTGTTCAGCAAGAAAAGTCCCGCGCAATGTCTGCTGTCTGGTAGGGTAGGGATAGTGCAGAGAGCAACACACCCGCCCCAATCATGGGCTGCGATGTAGAAGTCGTGCAGATCAAGCTGCTCGATGACCCTTCGCAGGGTATGCATGTGCAACTCAAACGAAATTTCGGATACATTCACTGGTTTGTCGGAGGTACCGTGTCCGAGCCAGTCTATGGCGAAGACTTCATAGCCAACGGCAGTCAGATGGCGAATGATCCGTCTCCAGATGTAGCTCCAGCTGGGATTGCCATGGAGCAAGACGATGGGCTTGGCCTTGCCGAAGGTAGCCTTGGGTTTTGTATGCGTGACACGCACGTTGATCTCGCAGATCTCGAAGACCTTCCGGTTCACGGGCCAGCTCGTCCTGCCGTCCCATGGTAGTACATTTGCTGGCGTGAATTTATAGCTGCCGTCGTATTGTTTGGCAGCAATCTCTTCTTCGTAAATTCTGTACTGCTCAGTCTGCGAGACCAGCTTCTCTCTGCCTTGTCTGGTCAGTATCAACGGCAGCCTTCGCGTAGCAGTTGGGAGGACAGAAATGGCTTGGCGCAAGCAATACACCGGGAGGAGATTGATAGCAAAAAGGAGTCGTAACAACGTAGAGTGTAACAGCGTAGTAAGAGTCCAAAACAGCTGCTGCAGGACCACGTCTTGAATCGCGGTGAGCCCGAGCATAATTGCAGCGTGCTAAGAAGCAGGCGAGGGCTCCTTGAGGTGTTTGTTACTCATTGCCATGGAGGTTTGTCCTCATGGAAGGAAAACGACAGTTCGGAAAGGCACATGCATGTCGTCAGTAGTAACTTGGGTGGCACAGGTGGCACAGGCACAGACAGGGTGTTGGAGATATTATGTCATGCCCTGATAAGGCCTGCACACAGGTGCCTTGGAAGGGACCGGATAAGGTCTTGTTTGGGGTGCAATTGAACCAGAGACGTGGGGGTAGATTAACGCCTAGACAGCCTGTTGTTTGCTCCTGTCACTTAATTAGTTACTTATCAGCCAACTTCTCCTCAACAAGTCAAGAGTAGGTGGTACAAGGCTCTTGGAAAAAAGAGTATCTTGCGACATGGCCGCGATTCGCGAGACTCTCGCTCGGTTATCGCTGTCGTCAGGGTGCAGCGTGGTGGTCTTCAATCAAGTTTCAGAGCATGTAGCGGCGTTGCAGGGATGGCCAGCTGTCACAACCCCTGCCAGCAAGGTCAGGCATGGCAGGCTAGATTGAATGCCACGCCGCACAGCCTCTCTGAACTTTTGAAGGCCACAATGATAATCCATGAACGACTGAATCATGACACCTTCGCTCTTCAGCTAGACCTGCTCATAAAGTATAGTACTTTATGTATGTGAATGCGCAAAGATGGAGGTCTTTATTTATCGGCGTTTTTCTTATTGAACGCTAAGGCGCCTAACTTACTGCCGTAGGAGGAGTGCAGTATTGAGTCTTGCATAGCAACCTGGAGCGTCGGAGTCGGTGCCTGCTCTGATCTCTTCTTGCTTTGTCCAAGTCAAGACAGTCCATGAATCAGGTAAGAGTGATTAACCAGAATTGCGCAAGTCAATTAGTATGGTGAGTGTATCTCAAGATACGAATACGCATGTCATGCTGGTCCGAGCCGAGCAGAAAACAAAACTTCGCTGTTCGGGCTTAAGTTAATACGCTCGGCCTCGGGGCTCCTCAGCCTCACAACCACCAATGTCCGAGCATCAGGCTCCAACGACCCAGGATTAAATAAACATGGCGATTCCCTCTACAGTCTCTGCAGTCTGCAATTACTCTTTTAGCCCTCCCAAACATCCCTTAAACCACCTGTGTACCGAATCGCAATTTGATACCCATGGCCGTTCTCAAGGTTCTCATCATCGGAGGGGGCGTCGCAGGTCCAGCCCTCGCGCACTGGCTGTCGCGCGTAGGCGCCAATGTTACTCTCATTGAACGTTCTCCGCAGATGCGGGCGTCTGGCCAACAGGTCGACCTACGTGGCCAGGGAGTGACCATGATGAAGAAAATGGGCATCGAGGCCGCCGTCCGAGCGGCAACCGTCCACGAACCCGGCACACAACTCATTGATACCAATGGCCGTACCAAGGCATTCTTCGCGGCGGCGCCAAGCGGCACCGGAAAGCAAAGCATCACATCCGAGTACGAGATCATGCGCGGCGACTTGGTCAATATTCTGTACGATCTCACCAAAGATCGGCCAAATGTCAAGCGTTTGTTCGACACCACCGTCGACGCTTTCACGCAGGATGATGAGAGCGATCCCAACGGCAAAGTTCATGTGAGATTCCGAGACGGCCGCCAGGAAGATTTTGACCTGGTCGTTGGTGCCGACGGAACTCGTTCGAAGACCCGCAATGTGATGCTCGGTCCAGACGCCCCTGATCCGCGCCGCTGGCTTGGAGGCTATATCGGATACTTCAGCGTCCCGTCACAGCCCCATGACTCAGATCGATTCACTTTCTGCCATTTGCCTGGTGGTCGAGTGTCCCGAATCATCGGCACAAGGAAGGACATACCAGAGTTGACGCGTGTATACCTGCAAATGCGAGGGGAAGATGCCGCTGTCGACGCAGCGTCCAAATCCGGAAATCTGGCTGATTTGAAGACTGCCTTGGCCGATCTGTATCAAGGTGGCGGATGGGAATGTGAACGCTTTACCAAAGCACTACGAACTGCACCAGAGGCCGATGACCTGTACTTTACACCATTCGTGGAGGTCCAACTTCCCAAAGGATCCTGGTCCCGGGGCCGAGTTGTTCTGGTGGGCGATGCAGCACACTCTTCGACGGCAGACGGGTACGGATCGACATGGGGTTTGGTTGGGTCCTATATCCTGGCCGGCGAGATTGCGACGCTGTTAAAGAAGGACAAGTCGTCGCCGACAGCTGCCGTGGTGCAAGGGGCGAAGAACTATGAGGACAAGTTCCGACCCATAGCCACAGCGTCGCATGGACGATCACAGTCGTTTGAATCTGCCTTCTTCCCCAGATCGAGTATAGGTATTTGGACTCTGCATACCTTTGCAAGAATGGCCGCATATATGAAGCTCGACCAGATGGGCGGTCTCAGCGACACGCAGGCGAAATGGCAGGTCCCAGACTATCCCGAGCTGGAAAGAGAGGATAGTGAAGCGGAACGCACACTCTAACTTCCTGGACGTGGGGAATATGGCGGGTTTCGCCCGTGTACAGTATTCTGTTCGATCTCCTTTCCTCTCAAGACACCCGCTCTGCTCTGGCGTAGAGGATTTACTCCTTCGGTGTATGTCCAATTGATTTAATCGAGCAGCTTCCAAAGGAACGGTTGTGGTAGGCTAGCCTGGTTGGTTCATACAGCATACTGTAAAGGGCTGCTATTAGCCTAATCTTCTGCACTGCTGCCTAACTTAGAGGCATTGGCTGATCGCGGAGGGCAGCTCGAGCGAAGTTGACCCGTTGCCCGTTAATCAACTATGAAGAAGGAGAAGCCGCCTCCTGCAAGAAGCCGAACATCTGCTCTGCTATTCGGAAGTAATGTTGTCACAGCACTCAAAATCTCGAGACAAATATGGGATACCCATCATGGGACGGAGAAGCATCGATCGTGCAGAGAAAATCAAGCAGCAGTACGATCGAGCTTGCGCCAGAGAGAAGCTCTTGGTTTCAACCGCCAAGATCCGTGTTCTTCTAGAGCAGATTGCCTTCGTTGAGAGATGGTTGATGCCTTATTTACGGCCGTTGGAAGAATCCTTGGCTGCGCCGCTAGCAAGTAAAAGCATCGACGACACTCCTGACCGACTTGTGGAGGAGGAAGTCGCGATCTTGACGGACATGCTCGAACCAGCCCAGCAAAGATGGAACGAAGTCGCCAAGGCTGTGTCAATCATCATGACATACACAATGAGACTGGTCACAGAAGATTTTCCTGACGCGGTGGAGAAAGATGCTAGGTACCGGCCTTCCTCACTCATCCGAGTGTGGACTGACAAATCTTACTGTCCCTATGATGCTGACCTCGGGTTTCGATGTCCTGGTTGGGCGTCCGGCGAACGCTTTGCGAGCTTCCAAGATCTGCAAGATAGAGATATCCTCACAACAAAGAGCTTGAGAGATCATTGCGAAAACAGGCATAATACCTCAAATCGATCGGTTTGGGTATCTATGACGGATGACGTGTCATGGGTATTGGAACACGCGGAGCAGTACCGCTGGGACAGGACTCCAGACTGCCGTGTCGCACTTATCAGTACCGACCGGCTCGACGAATGCAACGTTCTCTGGGATCAATCAGACACCCTGGTGAAACGTGCTCACGGATATACATGGAGCCCCTACCGCCCGGATGGTGTGATGTATGCATGGAACGGACACTTTCTAGCCCCTGCGTGGATTCCAGAGCAGTGTATTGTCGCCATATGAACCTTCAAAGGTTTGCTGCAGCTTTGCAAAGAGCGTGATATTCACGAAAGTAAGCCATATATCCAGACCCACCCATGGTACCGCTGACATGAAGATACAGACTGCCACGACATCGTACCCCCTCATACGCTTCTTCGACCAACGGTGTCACATGATGAGACGGTCGCGGACGGCTTGAACGACGCAATGAACAATCTCAGAGTCTGAAGATTGTTTACGGCAAGATCTGTGAACACTATTTGATTGGGATCAACGGCACCAGCTATTATCTACCAAAAGGAGTATGTAACCATGGTTTGACCAGTGTCTGAGGTGGAATGGCATGCAATGTCATAGCAGAGTGATCAACATCCAGCGAACAGCCACAGATCCATGAGCACGCAGGCCACTCTGGCGTCAGGTCTGGTTTCGAGCATACCTACCACAGCCAAACGCCTTTGAAGCACTCAAGATGCTGCTCTGTCAACACTTCGTTCAGAGCATCCTATTCCGATGTTCTCGCGCATCGATCATCCTCCGGATCCGGGTTGGATGGCAGAGGAACCGGCGGAGGGCTCGAAGGCCTCGGCGAGATAGGACGTGACGGAGCCTTCGGATACGAGGGTCCGTGGCTGGGAGGTGTATCTGGTCGAGGAACCCCTTTCGACGATTCTGGTGGTGGATTCGGCGGATTCATTCTGATCACCTGCTTTCAACGATGTGAATATCTCGCAGAATGACAGGGCTTATAGGCACCTACGAGGATTCTTTCTCTGATATGGGGTGCTTTTGTATATCTGATAACTTGGAATCTTTTGGACTTATTGAGGTTGTGTCAAGGTATGGTCCTTACCAACTCCTTTGAGCAGGGGGTTGAAGTATTAATACTCCATCCACCACGTTGGCAAACACCTGTCGTTTGCACCGGCCCCATGGCTTTGCAAGGGCTTGACTTAGGGCTTCAGTAACGTGTGTCAGCTCCAGTGATTCGACAAGCGCATGACTCCTAGATGCAGGAGAGCTGAGTAGCGTGTGCTGTTTGCAACACGCCACGAAAGTGAATGTATGGGGAGCGTGGGTCCAGCCACATCAACCAGGTCCTTCTTCGTTTACAGAGGGTCATTTGACCGTGAAAGAGCGTGCTTAGAAGCAATATCTGTGACTCTGAGTGACATTTGCTGGTCGCCGGGATAAGAGCTTCACATTGGCGCGAACGAGGCTGGGGAAGAAAGGGGAACTGTCAGACTCAAGCAATTCGACACCAACGAAGCGAGCAGAGATGTTCATGATAGATTATATTGACAGCCGAATCCTGTGTAGATCATCGTTGAATGTGAGAAGGAATGCAATGTGCATACCTCAGGCGTACAAACCTAGGCAGCAACCCGATCGCAATGCCCCTACCAACAACCCTCAATTGACATCAGCTCGAATGAAAGACTGCAGATGTCAATCCGACAATGCCTCTCAATCAATCCCAAAACGTCCATACCATTCTCAAGCACGTCCTCACGAACTCTTCACATCCCCCATAACAGCACCAGTCATATACCCAATCGCTGCCCTCACAATCCCCACCAGCACCTCAATCTCCTCTTCACTCCTCGGCGCATAAAGCAACACATAACTCTTCGGCACAATCATCACCCCGGCCAACCCATGTAATTGGCCCCATCCCTTTTGTATAACAGTCACAGCATCCTGCGGCGCGAGCACCACATGCGCCGAGTAATCCGTTCCAGAATGAACATGCGAGATCTCCCTGTTGAACTTCTTGTCCAGCGCATAAACATCGCTGTCATCCTTCACCCACAGCGCATCCGTATGCATCTCGTACTTCGAGAGTTTGAATTGCACGAGATGCGCGTTGTGCTCGCCCAACGTGCGAAATTTGGCGAGGAATTCCTGACAAACCAAAAAGTCAGTCAAGTCACATAACCAAGCGCGAGGCGCACATCCACGGCAGTCCTGCTCAGTCCAGCGCACTGCAGTAGAGCTTCGCATGTGAATTTTTACTCACCTTTGGAACATCGCCCGAAGAAATCTGATCCAATTGTCTCTGCGGCACAGGATGCCGACCGAGTTGCGGTCTCTCCCCCTTCCGGGCCTTCAAATCACCCTTCTCCAACCACGACCTCTTATCAGAATCCGCCTCCAACCTCCGCACATCGAGAGTATTAATCCCAATGACTTTGAGAATATTCGTGGCAAGCCATCCGACGACATTATACGGCATACCGCCCGGCCCGTAGCTCAGAAAGATCCGGTAATCTTCCCATGCTAGACGACTGATGAGCCCGAAACTGACGAGGCCGATCGTGAGAAAGGCGGGGAAATACGGGCCCGACCTGTGCTTGAGGTTGTTGTATGAGGATGAGTAGCTGCGTTGGAATGAGGTTATGTAATCTGTCGCGGTTTCACTGATGGATTTTGCCATGGTGGGCACTGGGCACAAATTTGCTTGCTGTCCGTTGCGATATAAGATGGATGATAAGTAGGTTACGAGTCCGTTGATCGACGCCTAACAAAGAGCATGCGAGGACAAGATCTTTTCCGTACTGTAGAGTATGTCGTGATTGCTGAGGTATCTTATATACTTCCAGAGGTGTTGTTGGATACTCGGCTCGGCTATACCTCAAAAAGGCCGTTCGCCGAGGTTTCCGTACCCCTCCGTTCGTACTCGTATACATACCTGGGTATGCGGAGGAAAATGACGAAATTCTCGTGGTGTGACCGACCGCCGGCGATGCATTGGCTCGCTTCTTCTTATGGCTTGGTCTCCGCTCGTAAGCTTTGTGGTCTCGGCACAGCGGGATGGTGTGCATACAATGGTAGGAGGGTTGGTGCTTCATGTGGCGCATAATGGCTGGGGGTGTGCCGGTCTGCCAGAGCAATCCCGTACTGTGTTAAACGTTGGTTTTAGAGGAGCTGGTCATGCAGGTTTGGCAGCCACTCTCTTCTGCCTCGGGCATTTGCGAGCCTATCAACAAAATTGGCCCTGGTAGAGTGACCTACTTGATAGAAATGCATATCGACATGGAGACGGGCATGCCCGGCAAATGACAGCTTGTGGCTGGTATGGAGGCCATCGATGTACCCTAACACCGGTCCGAGACTGCTGAGCTGCTGTTCAGAGATGCATGCGTTAGCAGGTCCCTTGACTGGCTCGAGTATAGCGTCCACTTGAGTGTGCGGTCGAGTTGCATGGCAAAGACCAGTATATCACGGTACGAATGAGGCAACGAAGGCAACGTCGAGAACCTCCTCTATACTGGTGTATATAATAAAAGTATGTCTGTGCAACATTGGCCAAGAAGTGAATAGCGTTAAGGTATGCATCTGAAGTTCAACAGCCGCCAACCCCCGAGATAGCCGCAAAGGCGCCACGCCAGAAAATGCTTATGCATCGATATACGCCAGTCCCCATATAATCACCTCAAACTCCGATGATCGCTGAAGATGATGCTTAGTAACACCACATGTTATCTTCTGGACGTGCTTTTCCAATGGCGTCGACTTTGACATCGCCCAAGGCCTCAAGCTGAGGAGCATCGAGGATTCCTCTTCCATCAAAGACCCACTTGGGCTCCTTCATGTTGTAGACAATACGAGCCCATTCCACTGGGTCCGTAGAGACGGGACCTCTGGCCTTCGTCTTGCAATCTGGGCAGTCCGTCAGACACGGGGGTGAGGTGACAAGCTTAATGTCAAAGCCGGCCAAATAGTCCTTTTCAGGCTTTGTTTGCGACACAGGCGGGCTGACAGGTGAAAGCATCTCCGTGTCCGAGACGCTACCGATGCTGCCATCTTCGAATGATTTCTCAAGAGGAGTGATCTGACCAGATACACTTCCTCCACGACGCGGTGCCGTGACTTTGAATTGATCGTTTTCGTTGACCACCAAAATAGCGTTCGCTCCGGAGCAGGCTTGGTAAGGATCGGCATAGATTTTGACCATGGAATTGTCTGCGGTCATGAAAGGTTCGATTTCCCGCAGAATGTCTTCCTCGTTGCAGTAAGGGTCGAAGATGGCAATCTCGGCGGGTTGCTCGTCGTATAAAGTTTTAATGACATCAACAGCTGGAGATTCGCGGGCATCTCCAGTGTCCTTCTTGAACGCGAATCCAAGCAAGGCAACTTTCTTACCAGACAAATCTCCTTCGTAGCGTTTGAGCACTTTCCTTGCGAAGCGCTTTCGTTGCAGCTCGTTATAAGTGTTGACCTGGTCCCAGTACTCGGCCACTTCATCCAGACCTAGCGACTCGGCCAAGTATGTCAGACTCGCAATGTCTTTTCTGAAGCAGGAGCCTCCGAACCCAAGACCAGCTTTCAGGAACTGGGGTCCAATGCGCTTGTCTAGGCCAATGGACTTGGCTACCTCGTCCACATTGGCTCCCGTAGCTTCGCAAATGGCACTGACGGAGTTGATGCTGGTGATTCTTTGAGCCAGCATTGCATTTGCCACCAGTTTGCAAAGTTCTGATGACCAGGCGTTGATTGTGATAATCTGGGATGTGGGGATCCAGGCAGCATATAGGCTTGCAAGGGAAGCTGCTGCAAGGTGACCTGATGGGGTATCTGCAGAGCCGATGATGACGCGGTCTGGGTTCATCAGGTTCTTCACGGCGGTTCCCTCGGCCAAGAACTCGGGGTTTGACAGGATTTCGAATTCCTCACCGGGTCGCAGTGAATCGAGCTGTACAAGGATTAGTCCGCGGTTCAACATGTCATGCGGGGAAGCCTCATAGACCTCGCCACGCATTGGAAGAGGTGACCTACTGTTTTTCGGATCCGCTGTGCCGTTCCGCAAGGCACTGTGCTCTTTTCAACAAGAATCGTGCCAGGTTTGGCATAAAGGGCCACATCGTTCACGGAGCCATCCAAAGCTCTCATATTTGTTGCTCTTCCCGCACCCACTCCGTCCATTTTCGTGGGAGTATTCACAGCAAGAAGGACCATATCCGCATTGGAGATGCTATCTTGACTATTTGTGGTGAAGAACAGGTTTGGGTGCCGTCGAGCCTCCTCAGCGTCTTGGAAATCTTGTCCAGTTCTGAGCGTAGCATCTCTTGTCGCCCGAACAATGTTGTTCAATCCGGGTTCGTGGATGGGGAGGTGACCAGATTGCCATCTGTCTATTCTGCGCTGGTCTCGATCCAGGACCTCGATTCTGACATCGGGGTTGTATAGGGCCAATACCGCAGCGGTAGGTCCTCCTGTTGCGCAAGCCTTGGTCAGCCACATCAAGACTACAACACCAGCCGACAGAATCCATTCACATACCCACGTATCCAGCGCCAATCACGCATATTCTCTTGATGTGCCGGGGCTGTGGCCTGGCCGAGTCGTTAAAAGTATCAGCCAAGTCATCTGTCTGTGTCCTGACGAGTTGCGGCTTGCGGGGCTTGGATTGATCGAGGATTTTGGCTAGACGCGACGCAAAGGTATCCTTTGCATGCGAAGGACGAAACAACGGACTGGCATCTGGCGTCAGCAGGCCCGTTGACTCGTTGGACGGGCTGCCGACGGAGGTCCCAACGAGCGAAGGGACTTTCTCCATGTCGGTGGTGATAAGCGAAGGGATGGTGATGGCCTCCATGGCTACCTGGTAATGGTATTCTGAATTCTGAGACTGGGAGAAGTGACCCGGGATGGAATTCCTTCAGACTGGAAAGGTTGACATGATCATAGTTTTAATGATGTGCCTCCCACGATAAGATGGTCACGCCAGGGGATGCGCCAGGGCCACAACAAGTGGGCGAAATTTCAACATGAAGGCTCACATGAATCTGTCTATGGGATTGCATTGTCGAGTTTACATCATGCGCAAGTGCGCACGCGCAGTCAAGGGAGATGTGTGAGTGGCTGTGGAGGGTGGTTGATGGGAGAAGTAGGAGGCCGTCAAAGGCACCTGGGAGCGGCGCATTGACGCACGTGGTGTTTAGCAACGCATATAACGCGTTGGAATCTGACAACGCGAGTGTCGCCACCATTCGGCCTAGAAACTCTTGACTGCAACACAAGATCCCGAATTGAATCGGCGAGGGGCACATAAGAAGGAGCGGGAGTGACAGCTTTTCGTCGTTCATCTGTTGATGTTGTCCCAGACTCCAGTGCAACGGACAGAAAAGACTGCTGCCAAACAACGCGACTCCTAAAATTATTCCACTGTCCCCCTGAAAAGAGACAGGAAATCATCTCCCCAGAGGACCCCAGCGCCTAACGACCCTTGATCTGCCACTGGCTATAAGCTATGACAAAGCAGATTGTGACAGCTTAACAGTAAACAGCAACACGTGATGAGCCCCTCCTCAAGCGCCAATCGATAGCGATAACACACGATAACGAATCGGAATCTCGGACGACCAATTGTTCCAGATCCTGTCACAATTATCTATCAGATTGGGATTTGGGGCTCCCTTATCATGGACAAGGCTGAACAACAACAACAGCCACAACAACTCGAATTGATGGTGACAGACGATCAGGCCAGCGCCACCGAATCTGATGCACAGTCACACCCGAAGTCTCGATGTTTAGCAAAAGAGTCTAGGGATGAATTTCCGTCCTTTCTCAAGGGCAAAAGGCTCTTACTCGTCACAGAATCCCTCGGCCCCGTCAATGGCGTCAGTCGAACAACTCTCATGTTGATTGAGTATCTGCGCAAAAATGGCATGCAATTGGCTATTGTTGCACCTCATTCGAAACAATCGAGGCTGAAACAGAGCGTGCATGATACGTCAGAGTTGCGCCTGCCAGGGTACCCACTGCCGTACAACCCAGATCTGACCGTCGTCTATCCCTTTCAGCTCGAGGACGTCTACAAGCAGACATTCAGGCCAGATATTGTCTATCTCGCCAGTCCAGCATCCACGGGATTTCAGTTCTTGTTGCAGATTCGACAACTGCAAGAGCCGCCCGTTGTGTTGTTGAACTTCCAGACCGATTTGTCGGCCTACAGCGAGATCCTTTTCCCCGGTCCTGTCGCTCGTTTCTCCGTATGGTTACTCGGAGTGGTCCAAGGTTTCCTTTTCAGTCATCGCAGCGTACACACAATCTTTTATCCCTCATCTGGTATCCGTCGCTATCTGCTCAAAGCCGGTGCACCCAGCAGCAGACTGGTCCAGCTCGGTCGTGGCGTCGACACCGAGCTGTTCAATCCTTCACAACGGGATGCGGCATACCGAAAGGGACTTGCACCTAATGGCGAGATCATTCTGGTGTGTGTATGTCGGATAGCACCCGAGAAGGGTTTCGACTTCCTGGCACAAGTTGCTCAAAAATTGGCAAAGCAGTCATTCCCTTTCAAATTGCTCATTGCTGGAGGCAACTTGAATCCAGAGGTGGAGGAGGATGTTCGCCGGCTTTTCGATCCGGTTAAAGACCATGTGGTCTTTACAGGCTTCCTGACTGGAGTGCCACTTGCACGCGCATACGCATCAGCCGATCTCTTCCTGCACTGCTCTATTACAGAGACATTTGGTTTGGTGGTACTCGAAGCCATGGCAAGTGGTGTGCCTGTGATTGCTCGTGACGAAGGAGGTCCATCTGACATCATCCGACATGGAACGACGGGCTACCTGGTTCCTCCGCAAGACTTGGACACTTTCGTCGATCTGGTACACCGCTTCTCGGACCAAAGGTCCCTGTCAAGCATGGCGACAAATGCGAGGCAATACGCTTGCGACACCACCTGGGATAAGATCAATAAGCGAGTGGCCTGGCAGCTCACCGATGGCTTGCGAGAACATCTCCGGTTGAAACGAAAGAAGCGCCCAATCCGAAATTGGTTAGCCAACAGATATTATGGCTTCAAATCTGGGGTTCTTCAGCCGATGGTGGTGAGATTCCGCTTGAACTTTGCCATCTTTCTGGTATACATTGTATGGATGATGGCCGCAGTCGTCCTGATCCTCTATGGCAACAAAGTCTTTTCGAGGCCCTGGCATCTGTTGCGCAATATACCCGTCGTTTTCCAGGAAAACCATCATCAGACATTCAAGCAAGGCTTTCGGGAAGCTTTCAAGCAGCTCACCACACCGCAGGGATGATGTCGGTGTAAAGACCAAATAGGTCTGCCTGCGATGCAAGTCAATTTATGATATCCTTATCGTTTCACAGCAGAGGGCGCAATGGGACTGCTTACTTCTGATACCTAATAAAATAAGAATCAAGTTGCTGCTACATGTGGCACTGATGCATCCATGCAGTGCTTTCATGTGTCGTTTTCTTGCCTTGTTCAAAATGGGTATCGGGCTGCTCTCATCATCACTCGTCGCACGACCGGTGGTTGTGAAGAGAGATACGACGACCTCTACGGTTGCTGAGCGACAGAGGCCATCGAGAAGTGGAAATTACGCGAGCGACCAGGTTCTGGTTATCGGCAGGTTCACGGTCACCCATCAACAGTCAATTCGGACGAGGGTCTGGGACGGAACGGGCAGATGCCCATGGCTTGACTCATTTCACGCATCGCTCTGGGTGCACCTTTGATATGGTTGGATATTGCTTCATGGTCGAGGTCTGACCATTCCGATTGCATCGGTGCAAGAGCCTGGATGTTACCTTTTTCTCGGCGAAGAAGGTGTTGCCTTCGCTTCATGGCCATCTCCCAAACAGTCTTCCAATGAGCAAGTATCTCATTGGTCCAGAAGAACCTGCGCAAAATCACCTCCAGACGCGACCAAGTTCGCGCCTGTGGATAGAGCTCGAGTGCATGGTCCATAACTGTATGCGCGCCTGGGAAGGGGACGGCTCGCAATGCTAATGCACCTGCAGCAGCTATGCTCGCCCAGATAAGCCCATGCTGTTCTTCCGGGGTTGAAGGTTTTAGGTGATAAGGCAGTGTCGTGACAAAGTTTTGAAGCAGAGGATCGTAAAATAAGGTAAGCTGCGAAAGACTACGCAGTTGAAATGCATAGGCAAGAAGGCCGGAGGTCAAGTTGTGTTCGACTGGCACCGTTGTAGTAAGAGACATGCGCTGCAACGACGAAAGCAGGGTCTGGATCATAACTCGTCGATTTTCCTCTCCGTAGGGTGAATCTTCAGCAGGTGGAGATAGATAGACGCCATCAAGCAAAGTCTTTGTCGTCAAGAGTGTAGCGGCGCCGGATACCGATGCGAGCAAATTTATCATTTGGACTGAGATCCGGGATTTTAGACAAAGCTCCGAGAAGCCTGAGGGAAGACGAGAAAGGATGATGCACAGGTCCGTGGAGAATGGTGGCTCCGGATAAGATAGAGGCTTGTCGAGCGCGAGGTCTTCGAATGTCTCCTTGAGAAAGCCTGGTGAATCAGACGGTATGTCTGGTGGTTGACCGGTCACAAATGATCCTAGAGCCTTGTAGGCCATCAAACCAAGCTTGACAAATTTCGACCAGTCAGTATCTTCTTCCTCTTCCGGAAACTGTTTTCGTAGTTGTAGCATTTTCTCCAAGCCCTGACAGTGCATATGTACGCTCCGGTGGTCTCCAACGAGGTATTCCAATGTCATGAGCATTGTCACCGTCAATAGCGAGGCATCATCTCCACACTTTGTGGACCGGAGGGCTTTGTTGAGCCCTGCGATTGCATTTCCCCGATGCTGGATGAAAGCGGAGTCTTCGAAGGCTGGTCGACCAAGAGACAGCAGGACTGACGCACGACATACTGCCATCATTGACTCGAATAGGATGGCATGTTCGAGGGCGAACGGTAACAACAGGGAGAGGTGAGCATTTGGACCAGCCAGGATCGTGGTTTCCTTGCTCATGCCTTTACAGATCATCACAAAGTAGTCCATGCTGTTTCTGACAGAATCGGTGGCTTTGACTGGCAAGCACAAGAATGGATCGACTCGTGTCCCATTCGATGGCAGAGGTTGAAGAGGTGATGCTGCAATCACTCGCAGTGAAGGATTTGCCTCATCGGATTGCTTTGGCTCCTGTCTTAGTGTGATGGTTTTCGGTTCATTCACCTCCGACTCCTTTGACCCTGGTGGTCGCCATTGCACGAAAGGGTCATTACCACGGGAGGATTTTGCTTTCGGATCATAGGCGCCTGTCCACCGGATCTTCTTGTAGCCCTTCCTCTTCTGGGTAGAGTGCGGACATGGGTTTGCCCCAAACGGAGATGACATAGACGCAGACTGGATTGCGGTCATGACTCCGGAAGCGTGCCTGCTAATCCAGTGCGCTCGAAAGTCATATGTCCCGGATTGAGCAGAAGAGAGTCTGCAAGCCTCGAGACTCAATATATGGATGGTCTAGACGCTACATAGGAACCTGGCAAGGGCACGGGCCTAATTAGATGCATGCAATAGAGTGAGTCAAGTTGCCTGAAAACCTGCCAAGCGTTTTCGACCCTACCGAGGCAGCGGCAGCACATCGAATATTACCGTGAAAAGACGAGGTCATTTCAGCACTGGAGACACGCACGTGGTCTGAGTCTACGCGTGTGAGCTCCAGGAAGTCAGTTTGTCAGACAACGGAATTCCTGGTTGACCACATTTTGCATTACCGTACCTAGGTATGCGATTTAGGGTTTCCATGCATAGATTACCTAGGTAACATGTTATGTCGTTGATGGTGGTTGTCTTGAAAAATTCGCGTCAACCCGTCTGCACTTATTCATTGTCTTCCTCTGCGTCTTCGTCGGATTCGTCTTCCTCCAGCCCATACCCCATTGGAGCGACAGAGCTGCCCAAGACCTGCGCTCCTTTCGAGTTGGCTTGGGCGCCACCAGCCTTCGACAGTGATGCAGCGATTGTACGGCACAGAGTCCGATAAGCAATCGCCCATTCTTTTTCCTGCTGGGCGGCATCCTTGGGCAGATATGCCACCTGCGACTGGTCCGCACCCTCATCGGCTTGTGCCACTTCACTAAAGTCCAAACGATCCGGTAACGTCAGGAATCTTGCCAAAGCCTCCTCGTCGATTTTTTCGTTAGAGATGAGTGCGTCCGTTTTGGCCTTCAAGGCGACCCGAATCTTGGCTATTGTTCCACTGTGGTACCAGCCAAGTTGCCTTATCTCGCATTCGGGGCGAAGGGTGATATCTGGTGTATCAACCAGGGGTTTGAGTTGGGGATCCTCCAAGTCGCACAGTTGCCAGACCTGACCATCCCTCGGGAACGGGGGTTTGCCGGTAAATATGTGTGATGACTTGTCCTTACTTCTTGCCCAGCTGCGCTCAAAGTCTTCCCGTAGATGTGGCTTAGCCTTGGCCGACTTCGCAAGCAGCAACATTACGGTCTGATATTTCCGATAAGATCGATCTTTTCGTGGGTCGACCCCATATTTGCAAAGGGTATCCCGCCAGGGCCCCGAGCGAATGGCGAAGGCCATATATGCAATGAGGTGCCGAGCTGCAGCACATGGGGCGTCGTCCGGGAATTGGTTCAGTAATGCTCGACGTGTCCAAACTGGGCGTTCATCAAAGAGTTTGACCATAGTCTGGAACAACTGCTGGTGGCTTTGTGGGCGTTCTGAGATGGGAGGACAATTTGGAGGTGGTTGGTCTGGCCACTCTGCATCATTGTATTGACACTGGTATGTGAGGAGCTTGGCTGGCGCCGCAAGATTGAAGAGCACCTGTTTGCCGCTCTGAGGATCTGCTACTGTCTTCACCGCTGGATTCTGGCGATAGGTGTAATTGATTGGGAGGCTTTGCGTTGAGAGCACTGGAGGTGGAACAGTCTCAGTGTTTGCAAGCCCGTATGTTCGTGGTAGGGACCATTGCTTGAGGAGAGGATATTGTTGAGGCAGGACCTTTGTCTGGATTTCACTGAGAAATGAGGATCCCATGGAGGAGTAGACAAGATCAGGCATGGTGCGCCACACATGAGTAGACTGTATTGAACCCACAACCTCGGTCTGGTACCGCTGCGGATTATCGTTGAGCGATCGAAGAAGGTATGCGACATCCTTCCTGGAATGCCGACCGGCAGGCGACTCTTGAAACGGTTCACCTGAGCCTCGTTTCCTCTTTCTTCCTGTTCGTTTTGGTACTGTGATGCTGAGTAAGAGGTTGTTGGTCTGCTTGTTATGGGGAATCACCGTTCTGCCAGCAGGATCATGCGGTCGGAACTTGAGCCCTAGAGGCTTCTCGTTGTTCGGAAGAAGAATCTGGGCGACCTCTTTGCGGCCGCCTAGCATGTCAATCGCCTTTTCTGTATTCTCAACTATGCATGGATATTCAAGAGAAACGACAGGTGTGCCTGGTACTGAGTACGAGGGTGCAGCCGATCCATCTTCGGATCCAGGCATTTCTTCTTATTCTGCGATGAGATGGGTCAAGTGTTCTTGAAAATATCTCACCGTGAAAGCGTGGACTTCATAACTGTAGGATCAACCTTGGTGGTTTCTTGCACTTGAGCAACGGATCTTTTCATACGGCTCAGCGTAGTGACCAACAAGCACGAAAATCCAGGGTTGTATTCTCAAGAGACTTGGGTGTTGAGCCTGTAGAGTATTGAAGGTACGAAGCAATAATGAGCCGCTTGATCTGATCGGTACCCAAAGCAGGGCTTGCGGATTGAGGTTGATAATGTAAGTGTTTTGACGACTAAGAGGCGCTCCAGCACCAATTGGAACTCGCAACAGGCGCAGTTGTTGACCTCTCCAGCTAGAAACGCCTGCAAGTGCCAGAAAGCCAAACCCCACTCGACAAGCCGTGCTGCTTCTGGGCACCACTCGTTCACCTACTCGAACCATCAATCCATCAATCATCATAACGAGCCATTCAGGCTTTCCGAACACTACAACTACTTGAACAATATTGCCGCGACATCTTGTCTCTTAAATGGCCCTCCGCCTTGCTTCATTCATCAGCCTTACACTATTCTGCTTTAGACAATTGTGAAACAGACGCCATCGATCGATCGTCGTCACTCCGAGAAACACCTTTGAACACGGACGCAGCCGTATGTCTCCTTCCACCACAAAACAGCTATTGGACTTGGCTAACCACCAATACGGCCTGTTCTTGTAGTTTCGCGAACCCCCATCCGCTGCCAGCTTGCCTTTGACAATGAGGATCTGACGGACGCACCTGTTGACACATTCTCACGCTGCCGAATCCGACTCCTTTACTACAACTCGTGCCTCTCTTGGCCTACGGCCTGCCACCCGCGGTTCGGATGAGATCATAAGACACAGCCTTCCCGTGTGAATAAGCGTGGCGCAACAATTGCGGCCAGTGTTTTGATTGTCGGATGACAAGCTCTGAGGGACATTAGCAAGATGAAGGGTTTCAGGCAAAGAGTGGTAAGTGTGACTTGCGCATAGAGAAGATTACCATGTTTTGGCGCAGTTTTGGCTGTCACCCTCCCCTTACAGTGCTCCAGCTCACTGATATCTCAGCACGAGCAGTTATCAAGAGCGAAAGACTCGAATAAATCTTCGAAGAAGAAAGACTCAACATCCGGCACCGCGTCTCCTCTCTCGTCGTCTACCACTCTCCCTGGTGGTGACTCTAGATCACCAAACGCCTCCAACGCTGCTACGCCGAATTCATCCTCCACCAATTTGAATGACAACCGGGGTAAAGGCACAAATAATGAGAGCGGACCAGCCAATCATAGCAATACATTGAATCAGGGAGGACATGGCGCAACCCCGGGAACCGCTTCTCAGCATTTCATGCCTCCAGCGCCTGGCCAAGGACCCGGGGGACCTGGTACACCCGGCCGTGGGGGCGCCCATATTGCTCCGAGTGTCATAATAAGTCCAAGTGCACCTCACATGCCAGCACCAGGTGCTACGGAGACGATGCCTGGAGACCTTGCACCCCCTAAAGCAGGTCAGAAGTCCTTACTATTCGATCGGCTCCAAAGCACTCCTAAGGATGTCCCCGAAGGCCTGCGCACTCCCAAGCGACAACACTCCTCACGTTTCGATGTGTCCGATCAGAGAGCACGGGACCTGGAAAAGCTCCCAGGGTTTCACGAGGTGCCTCCCAATCGACGACAGGAGCTTTTCATGCAGAAGATTGACCAATGCAACATCATATTCGATTTTAATGACCAAACAGCGGATATGAAGTCAAAGGAGATCAAGAGACTGGCCCTTCACGAACTGTTAGACTACGTTGCAAACAATCGATCCGTCATCACAGAGCCTATGTATCCCAAAGTCGTGGAGATGTTCAGCAAAAATCTGTTCCGACCGGTACCGCCACCTGTCAATCCTCAAGGTGAAGCCTTTGATCCCGAAGAGGATGAGCCGGTTCTCGAGGTGGCATGGCCTCATATCCAGGTCGTCTATGAATTCTTCCTGCGGTTTATCGAGAGCCAGGATTTCAATACCAACATTGCCAAGGCGTACATCGACCATCATTTCGTGCTTCAATTGCTTGAACTCTTCGACTCTGAGGATCCACGGGAACGAGATTTTCTCAAGACCACTCTACACCGGATCTACGGCAAATTCTTGAATCTCCGGTCATACATTCGAAGGTCCATTAACAATGTCTTCTTCCAGTTCACATACGAGACTGAAAGGTTCAATGGCATAGCCGAGCTACTTGAGATCCTGGGATCGATTATCAACGGCTTTGCATTGCCCTTGAAAGAAGAACACAAACTCTTCCTCACCAGAGTGCTGATTCCGCTACACAAAGTCAAGAGTCTAAGCATGTATCATCCACAATTGGCTTATTGCATTGTGCAATTCCTTGAAAAGGACGCCGGTTTGACTGAAGAGGTATGGTCCTACGATTCACTGCTTTCACGTTTGCTAACTAACAATTCAGGTTGTTCTCGGTCTGCTTCGGTATTGGCCAAAGACCAATTCCACCAAAGAGGTGATGTTTCTGAACGAGGTCGAGGATATCTTTGAGGTTATGGACCCCCAAGAATTCGCCAAAGTTCAGGAACCACTCTTCAATCAGTTGGCCAAGTCTGTAGCCAGCCCTCATTTTCAAGTACGTATTCCGTTCAAGAACGACGATCCAGTCTGACAACTTTTAGGTAGCGGAACGCGCTCTATATTTCTGGAACAACGAATATTTCTGCAACCTGGTCAGCGACAATGTCGAGACGATTCTACCAATCATGTTCGCTCCACTCTATGAAAACTCCAAGGGTCACTGGAACCGGTAAGTCTCGCACGTCGGAATTCACGTCAAGCTGGCTGACCCCGTACAAGGACAATCCACGGCATGGTTTATAACGCCATGAAGCTGTTTATGGAAATTAACCCGCAGTTATTTGACGAGTGTTCCCATGACTACAATGAGATGCAAAACACTGCTGGCGACCGCGAAAAAGCTCGTCAAGCCAAATGGCAGAAGCTCAGTGAACAAGCCAACAAGATGAAAGCCGGCGTGGCCAAACCGCCCACCACTTCGGCCATAGCTTCGGCCATCTACGAAGAAGCCGAGCCGGACGCTGCGCAAGACAATCAGGAGAGGCTTGACGCCCTCAAATTGCACGACGAGTCGTCGGTCACCAAGCCGTCATCGGTACGTTGACCATCTTCTTCACAATTGCTTCACGACCAGCATGCAAACGTTGCTGTTACCCACCTTTACACCGATCCTCTCGTTGGCTAAGACATTATTGTATCATTATAGTGACCTTGATGGCTATTTCTAACCAAGCAATCGATCTCCAGAGACGCCGAGCGGACTCACAGGGACACTCGAGGTCGCGGAGATCCAATAGTGGCTCTGATAGCAAGTCAAGGAGAAGCCGTACTCAATCTGGCGGGTCAATCGATCTGCATCGGACGGTGGTGCATCACACACATCGTCAAGTGGCACATCGTTGATGTTCGCTGCGCGAAGACGCCTGCGGACGGCTGTATGAAATGAATCTGGGTGGCCTCGACTTTCGCATCGAAGCAAGCGTTGACGTCGAGAATTTGTGTTACCCTGGAATCAGCTGCCCCCAGGGGCGGCTTGTCGAACGTGTCTCCAATAATCTGCTGCATCCCGCGTTGGCTTTCGGGGGGATTGGTTGCAAAATAGAGTACGCTGCGATGTTTGCCAGGAATGAAGATACGACAAAACTGGCCAGGTGGTCCTTAAGACTCTCCCTCCGTCCCAAACGTTTTAGGCGACGTCTGAGTAACAATAGAAAAATCTGCCACCTCTCTCACATCTTCCAGTAGTTTGCTGTGATATGTCTGCCGCTGGATGCCGTGAGACCCTGGCAAGGGACCATTGTCCACCACATTGTATACCTACCAAGACTACCTCAGGTACGCAGGCGACCTAACTGTAGACAGCAAACGCGCTCAATTTCGAGCCAATAGCAAACGGGATCTCAACCCCAGACTAAACCTGTCCAGGCCCTAGCGTATTTGCGGCGAGCAGCCTGGTGCCCTCCTCACTTTGTCGCATCTCTTCTATCTCCAACTCCCGCGCAAAAGTTCAGACGAAGCCACCAGAGGCTCTTTATTGAGACCACAAGGCTACCTGTTCATTCCACCCATCTTTTCTGTACTTGTTTTACTTGGGGGTTGTTGCGGGCTTTTATCCAAGTCTTTATTTCTCTCTTTTTCACGTGAATAATCATCTCGCGTGACTCAAGCCTTCTGTCGCTTTCGCTTCACGATCATTCACTTAGGCTTCGCGACTGCAAATGGCCTGTCTAAGTTGGAAGCCCTTATGAAGTCGTCTCCTACTATCGGCGCATCGAATTGATTGCGCCTAGCCGACCTCTGCTAGTGACTTGCACGCCAGGCTTGCCTGAGCATGTCCTCCAACATGGACGCTTCTCAGAAGATCGATGTCTATGCGGCCAGGCTCACAGATCCAAAGACTGGCAAGTCATACCCGGTCCAAACCAACACCGAGTCCTGTTCTCTCCTCGCTAACCTTGCCTCTATACAGACACGCGGACAAAATCGAATGTAGCCACCGACCTCCGCGATTCGATCGAGAACCTGTGTTCCCCGCCGGCCATCTATACCAAATTCCTGTCCAAACTCTGGCCTGTGTTCAAAAAGATACTAGAAGGAAAACCTGATTTCAGCCCAATTTCGTTCGAACATGTCCTCCGAAACCAAATACTGGAGATCCTACACCGACTTCAACATGCCCCTTCAGAAATTGAACCCTATGCTCTGGAGATGGTGGAAACCCTGATGGAGTTGGTGCGGGTGGAGAATGAGGACAATGCGGTGCTCTGCTTGAAAACGATTATGGATCTCGAACGACATCAGCCGACGGCCACTGCCTCCAAGGTGCAGCCATTTCTGGATCTCATCCAGGAAATGTTCGAGATGATGGAACAGGTGGTTCGCGACACATTTGACTCGCCAGTACCTCATCCACAGGCTTCATCTTCGACACCCAACCCTACAGGCCAGACGTTTCAGTCTCCTCGACCTGGTTCCCCAGCAACTACGGTATCCGATCCTGGCAATGACAAAAAGGATCACACCCCGCTTGCAAAAGGCATGCATTCCTTCAAGGTGTTATCGGAGTGTCCTATCATAGTGGTCTCCATCTTCCAAGCACACCGGAGCTCGGTCGCGGCCAATGTTAAGAAGTTTGTCCCATCGATCAAGGGCATCCTTTTGTTGCAGGCCAAAGCACAGGAAAAGGCACATTCTGACGCGGCTGCCAACAAAACGATATTCACGGGAGTCAGTAAAGAGATCAAGAACAGGGCCGCTTTTGGTGATTTCATCACTGCTCAGGTCAAGACCATGAGTTTTCTGGCATACCTCTTACGAGTCTATGCACATCAGCTGACGGACTTCTTGCCAACGCTTCCTGGCGTCGTAGTCCGTCTACTCAAAGACTGCCCCCGGGAAAAGTCAGGTGCTCGCAAGGAACTGTTGGTGGCGATCCGGCATATCATTAACTTTAACTATCGCAAGATCTTTCTCAACAGAATCGACGAGCTTTTGGATGAACGAATTCTGATCGGAGATGGCCTCACCGTATACGAGACGATGCGTCCTTTGGCGTACAGCATGCTTGCGGATCTGATCCACCACGTCCGAGATTCACTCGATCGAAATCAGATCCGGCGGACGATCGAAGTATACACCAAAAATCTCCATGACAACTTCCCAGGCACCAGTTTCCAGACCATGAGTGCGAAGCTACTCTTGAACATGGCAGAGAGCATCACCAAGCTGGAGAACAAGGAAGATGCAAGATACTTTCTCATAATGATCCTGGACGCCATTGGGGATAAGTTCGCCACAATGAACTATCAGTACCACAATGCTGTGAAACTCAGCAAATTATACGGGGACAAGGCCAAGGAGACTCAAGTCGAAACCTACATGGACGAGAAAGACGAAATACCCGATTGGGATGAGGTGGACATCTTTAACGCGACACCCATCAAAACCTCAAATCCTCGGGAACGTGGCACCGACCCTGTCAACGACAACAAGTTCTTATTCAAAAACCTTGTCAACGGCCTGAAGAACATGTTTTATCAGCTCAAGACATGCAACCCTCCCGGACTCAACGTTGATCAAGCCAGCATCCCCATGAACTGGGCAGAGGTCTCGTTCGGCTACAATGCGGAAGAGACGCGTGTAATCACCAAACTTTTCCACGAAGGTGCCCGAGTGTTTCGCTACTACAGTGCCGAAAGTCCTGTACCTGATCTACAGTATTCTTCTCCGGTGGATTTCATGGCAAGTCATTCGATGGCGCAAATGACACGTGAGGAAAAGGAACTGCTGGAAAGCTTTGGGACCGTTTTCCACTGCATCGATCCTGCCACATTCCACGAAGTTTTCCAAGCCGAAATACCCTATCTGCACGAACTCATGTTCGAACACACTGCGCTGCTTCACCTTCCGCAATTCTTTCTGGCTAGCGAGGCGACGTCCCCCGCATTTGCTGGAATGGTCCTCCAGTACTTGATGGACAAGCTGCCGGAAGTTGGCTCATCCGACATTGTACGATCGTCAATCCTGCTGAGAATGTTCAAGTTGTCCTTTATGGCCGTCACACTCTTTTCCGCCCACAATGAGCAGGTCTTGCTGCCTCACATCACCAAGATCATCACCCAGTGTGTACAACTCTCCGTGACAGCAGAAAAGCCTATACACTACTTTATCTTGCTTCGTTCGTTATTCAGAAGCATCGGCGGAGGGCGATTTGAGCTTTTGTATAAAGAGATACTTCCTCTCCTTGAGATGCTACTGGAAACTTTCAACCACTTGCTTCAAGGGGCGCGGGATCCACACGACCGTGATCTCTACGTTGAGCTCACGTTGACCGTGCCCGCTAGGCTGAGCCACCTGCTGCCACACCTCAACCACCTGATGAGGCCGCTGGTAGTAGCTCTCCGGGCGGGACCTGACCTCGTCGGTCAAGGACTTCGCACCCTTGAACTGTGTGTCGACAACCTGACTGCAGATTATCTCGACCCAATCATGGCCCCGATCATGGATGAGCTGATGACCGCATTGTTCGAACATCTCAAGCCGCAACCGTATCAACATTTTCACTCTCATACAACAATGAGAATCCTTGGGAAGCTTGGTGGCCGAAATCGGAAGTTCTTGAATCATCCTCATCAACTGACATTCAGACGGTACACGGATGACGAGCCAAGTTTCGACATCAGACTGATCGAGACGAGCCGGGATCGAGCCTTTCCCCTGGATACGGGTGTCGACCTTGCAATTAGAAAGCTGAGTGAAACAAGCAAAACTGCATCTGTGAAATCATTGGATCTGTACTACAAGCAACAGTCTTTCAAATTGATAACCAACCAGGTAAAGATGTTCCTTGGCCCAGATCATCTACCCGAGGACTTTGCGGCACTTCTTCGACTGCAGGCGAATGATCTGCTTGCACGGCGCTTTTCCACCTACGCTGACATGCTGGCGGACAATGAATCCGGCAAGTCTGTGCAGAAGCGACGTGAAGAGGAAGAGAATTTGAAGACGCTATTGAAGGCATGCTTCACCACGACGACAATTCCTGATCTAAAGGCTCAAGCCGACGCATTCATCTTGAACATTTCTCGCCATTTCACCATCATTGAACTTGGTCAAGCCTTGTGCGATGCTGGCCGGAAGACGAAAGAATTTGATGTCAACCTTAGCGAAGGCGCTGTTCATCTCAGCACCCGGACCTTGGCTGATGTCATCTGTCACTGCCTCGCTTCAGACAATATTACAGTGCGTGAAGCTGCTGAAGCCTCCTTGTTTGCTGTGGTAGACACAGCTCGCGTCATCTTTGGCAGTGAAGAGAAGGCTGCTCGACTTCCCTTCTTCTCCCACCTCATCTCTACATTTTGTCATCGGTGCCGCGAGGTCGAGTGGTTTACCAAGGCCGGTGCGACACTGGGCATTCAGCTCATAGTGACCAAGCTGGCCTTGGGTCAGGCTTTCCTGAACAGCAAGCAACTCGAGATCATCAAGGCGCTACTATTCGTCATCAAAGATACTCCGCAGGAAGTCCCTGCCAGTACACGGTTGACAGCTCAGGAGACGCTAGAGTTCATCTTGCGGAAGGTATGCGCCGGCCAGACTAGGGAAATGCTTGTGAATGAGAAAAGCACCATTCATGCGCTCTCTGTGACGTTCTGTGTCGAGCTGTCGCATATGAACCGGTTCGCCCGAGAGACCGCACAGCGGGCATTCTCAATCATGGCAGAAGTCGTGGATGTGGAAGTTCACGAGTTGATCGCTCCTGTCAAGGAAAGACTTTTACAACCCATCTTCAACAAGCCACTACGAGCACTACCGTTCCTCTCACAAACTGGATTCATTGACGCCATTACCTATTGTATCGGTCTGGGACATGATATCGTGCCTCTGAACGACCAGTTGAATCGCTTGATGATGGAGTCGCTCGCGCTTGCCGACGCCGATGCCGAGATCCTGCATCCGAAGCCGGACGAATACAACAATGCTCAGCTCATTGTCAACCTGCGCGTTTCGTGCCTGAGACTCCTTTCGCTTGCTATGAGCTTGCCAGATTTCGCGAATGGACCTCAAAACACGAGCAGGGCTCGAATTATCACTGTCTTCTTCAAACTTCTCTACTCAAAATCGTCCGAGATTATCGATGCCGCCAATGCCGGCTTGGAGAAGGTCCTGGTCCAGACGGCTAAACTGCCCAAAGACCTCCTGCAGAATGGCTTAAGGCCAATTCTGATGAACCTCCAAGACTCTAAGAGATTGACCGTAGCTGGACTCGAAGGACTCGCTCGCTTGCTGACTCTGCTTACTAACTATTTCAAAGTTGAGATAGGCGCTCGACTGCTTGAGCATATGAAGGTCATTGCGGACGAACAGGTGCTTCAGAAAGTTTCATTCGGGCTGATTGAACAGAATCCGCAGATGAAGATTGTTACCGCAATCTTCAATATATTTCATCTTCTACCCCCGGCCGCAACGAGCTTCATGGCGGGTCTGGTAGACAGTGTTCTCGACCTGGAGTCGAAGCTTCGTCGCACTGTCGCCAGCCCCTTCCGCTACCCACTGATCCTCTACCTGGACAAGTATCCTCAAGAGACGTGGACGTTCTTCCAGTCACGCCTGCAAGACGAAAAATATGGGCGGTTCTTCGGCCAAATCCTGGCCTCAGAATTCAGTCCCAACTTGCGCAAATTCATGATGGACGAGGCCGAAGCCTTGATTACCGCTGCTTTTGAGGTTGAAGAGGATCAAGAAAAGAATACTGCCGCCATCAATGGCATTCATATTGTCCATTCTATCTGCCAGTTCGACGCCGCTAAGAGCTGGCTTCGCGAACAAGAGCCGCTCCGAACCAGAATTTTGAGTGCCGGTCAAGAACTTGAAGGACAGCTGCGTAGGGATGAACTGCAGCCCACGCAACGCTTGCGGGTCGAACAGACAGGGGACCAAGTCATGGATATTTTGACTCTTTACTTGGAGGCAGCGCCAGAAGATCTCGATTTCATGATGGCAGTCTTCTCTGCTTCTTCCCAAGAGAATTTGAAGACTCCACTGAGGTTGACGAGATACCTCTTTGACTCCATCATTACAGACGAATCCACCGAACGTAGGTTCAATGTCATCGAGAAAAGCCTCGAAACATACGCCCAGAAAGCAGAGAGCCAGAAGGTAAAGACCTTCCTGCTGCACAACGTTGTCAATCCTATCATGGCAAGAGACGTGCAAAACACGCGACAGGAAGACAACAAGGCTGGCAACATGGCAGAACCGAAATTGTTCAATCTTTTCCTTGAGCGACTTTGGAAACCCGCCGCCTCTGAAGTGGGCAATGAGTCGTCACAACCCGGCATCGATCATTCTCGAATGGAGGCGCTGCAGCTTTCAGCATTCATCTTGAAGTATCACAAGGACGCTGTCTCAGAAGACCGCAAAGACATTATCAAGTATTCGTGGGCGCATATCAAACTGGAAGATGTGATCAACAAATATGCTGCGTATGTCCTCATCTGTTACTTCATTCGGTCCTACGACACTCCTCCCAAGGTTGCTGTGCAGATTTACAACCAGCTGCTGAAAGCCCATCAAAATGAGGGTAAGGCCCTAGTCACCCAAGCGCTGGAAGTTTTGGCACCTGTGCTACCTGTTCGAATGGGAGCAAACGCTCCTGGGGACAAACGATCACCGCATTGGGCTCGGCTACCTCGAAAGATTCTCAATGAAGAGACTGGTAACTTACAGCAAGTGCAGAGCATCTTCAACTTCATAGTCCGCCAGCCTGATCTCTTCTACGACTCCCGAGAGTTCTTCATTCCGACGATAATACAAATGCTTCACAAGATCGCCCCTCCACCGAATCCGTCCAACGAAAACAAGCGGCTCGCTTTGGCCTTGATATCGTTGATCCAGCAATGGGAAGTGCGGCGGACCTCTGCAATCTCGCCCTCACAGCCCACGGCCGAGCTTACACCGTCCCGCAAACGAGATTCGTCTGGGACTCCTGGCCTGGCGCCACCAGCAACAAGAGAAAAGTCCGAATATCTGATACCTGTGGAACTTCGCACGCTTGTCGTCAAGTACATGATCACTTTCATCACGTCCTTGCCCGAGCGATATCCGGTTCCTGCTGCAGACTTGAAAGCCAAGACGATGCAAAAAGCTCAGCAGCAATCATTATCCAACGACATGTGCAGGAATGCAGTGCAGCTTCTCCGCGAATTATTGGCACCAAATCTCTGGGCGGACGTTGATGTCGGTCTTTACGAGAAATTGCTGGAACCCATACTCAGTGGAGACAAGGCTGATAAAGCCGACGAGAAACAGTTGACTTGCATGATCAATGCTCTACAGGTCATGCGAATTCTCTTGAGCACCAAATCGGACGAGTGGATCATCAATCACATGGAAAAGCTTCAGAAGTTACTTGAGAAGCCATTGAAGATGGAAGACCCAGAGATACAAGACTCTCTACATTTTGTCACCGATGACAGCAAATCTATCCCGCTGGTACGCCGCGTCCTAGAAGCTATTCCAAAGCAGAAGGGCGACGACGAAGATGCTATGGACCTGGATTCGACTCCGACAGACTTTCCGACACGGTACTCCAAAGTCCTAATTGGCGAGGCACTTTCGTCCGGCAACTACACCTCAGGGATCAATAACCTCTTCACGCTATCTTTGGTGCGGCCCAGCGACGTCGACGACCACATAAACGGGGCAATGAAGGCCTTGCAGCAGAAGCTTGCCAAGGATCACATAAACGCCTATGTGATACCGCCAGGACCTCCTCCGCAAGGTTGGCGCCTTGGTGAACCGCTCATGGATCCTTATGAGTTCGCTTTAGGAGTGGACCTCATCAAGAAGACAATCGACATTCTCTCTTCGCGGATGGGCGAACTCAACGAGCAGCGCCGACCATTCTTGAGTGTGCTTGCTTCACTCGTGGAGAAGTCTTTCAATGTTGAAATGTGCAGCAAAGTTCTGGACATGGTCGAAACATGGGTCTTCAACTCGACTGAGCCCTGGCCTACGTTGAAAGAGAAAACTGCGGTGTTGCACAAGATGCTCATCTTCGAGAAGTGGCCCACACAGACACTCCTCGAGCGCTTTTTGGAACTCGTCATCAAGATCTACGAAGACTCTACAGTCACGAGAACAGAATTGACAGTACGATTAGAGCACGCTTTCCTGATTGGTACACGCGCCAAAGACGTTGACATGCGGAATCGATTTATGAGTATCTTCAATCGCGCTTTGTCCAAAACTGCAAGTTATCGGCTGAATTACGTCTTGACCTTGCAGAATTGGGATACCCTGGCCGACTCATTCTGGCTTAAGCAGGCCTCACACCTTATCATGGGTTCTGTGGAAATGTCCATGCCAGCTCGCCTCCACCCGGAAGATGTTCGAGTCTGTCCCATATCTCAAATGTTCAGTCCATCCCTCGTCAACCCAGAACAAGGAAAGGATGATTTGCTCATCGAGGACAGCCTCGAATCCCTCGTGGTTGCTCAGCGTCGATTCAACCAAGACTTGCAGGAAATCAAAGTCCGCGATCTTCTTGACCCCATTACCCAGCTACAACATGTCGATGACAATGTCGCTTACGACGTGTGGGTGAAGCTCTTCCCTCTGTGTTGGTCTGCACTCAACAAAGATGAGCGCTTGGATTTGGAGAAAGGCATGGTCACACTTTTGACGAGAGAGTATCATCAGAGACAGCTCAATCTGCGGCCCAATGTGGTGCAAGCACTCCTTGAAGGGGCGGTTCGTGCCCGGCCGAGATTTAAGGTGCCTCCGCACGTCATGAAATTTCTCAGTCGGACTTACGATGCGTGGTATACCGCTTTGATCTCCTTGGAAGAGTCCACGGTCGATCCTCTGATCGATACACCTCAAGTGCGGGAAAGCAATCTTGACGCTTTAGTGGAAGTGTATGCAGGGCTGCAGGAAGACGACTTGTTCTACGGCACCTGGCGACGCAGATGCAAGTTCATGGAGACCAATGCAGCTCTATCGTACGAACAGCATGGGATGTGGGACAAAGCACAACAACTATGGGAGGCAGCCCAGGTAAAGGCCAGAACAGGTGTCGTCCCATTTTCGCAAGGAGAATATTATCTGTGGGAGGATCATTGGATGATTTGTGCACAGAAACTCCAGCAATGGGACATTCTCGGAGAATTTGCGAAACATGAGAACTTCAGTGACCTGCTGCTGGAATCAGCATGGAGGAATTATGAAGCTTGGTCCGGAGACGAAAACCGCAATCAGTTGGATTCGATGATCAAGTCTGTTTCCGATGCTCCCACACCTAGGAGGACCTTCTTTCAAGCATTCATGGCTCTGCTCCGGTACAATTCCAAGCAAGTGTCACGCGCCGAGTTCCAGCATGTTTGCGATGAAGCCATCCAGCTGTCCATTCGCAAGTGGCATCAACTCCCGAGACGAATTACCAATGCTCATGTGCCGATACTGCAGAACTTTCAACAACTGGTCGAGTTGCACGACGCCAGCGTGATATGCGACAGTCTCATGTCAACCAACGAGCGGAATCTTGACACCAAGTCACAAGAAGTCAAGCTGTTGTTGCAAGCCTGGAGAGATCGGCTTCCAAACATCTGGGACGACATCAATGCATGGCAGGATCTCGTCACTTGGCGCCAGCATGTCTTCCAGTTGGTCAATTCGACATACCTACCATTGTTGCCTCAGGGCGGCAATAATGTAGGTAACAATTCATATGCATTCCGTGGTTACCACGAGACTGCCTGGATCATCAACAAATTCGCACATGTTGCCCGAAAACACCAAATGCCAGAGGTCTGCATTACTCAACTTGGGAAAATCTACACCTTGCCGAACATTGAGATTCAAGAGGCGTTCTTGAAGCTGAGGGAGCAAGCCAAGTGCCACTATCAGAACAAAGCTGAGCTGAACAACGGTCTTGATGTCATTAACAACACCAATCTCAACTACTTCGGTGCTCAGCAAAAGGCCGAATTCTATACACTGAAAGGAATGTTCTTGGCCAAGTTGCAACATGCCGAAGAAGCAAACGAGGCATTTGGTGTTGCCTTGTACTATGATCTTCGTTTGCCAAAGGCATGGGCCGAATGGGGTCAATATTCGGATCGCAAGTTCAAAGATAATCCCACCAACATCGAAGCCGCTAGCAATGCAGTTAGTTGCTACCTCGAAGCTGCTGGGCTGCACAAGAGCGCCAAATCACGCAAGATGCTCAGCCGCGTTCTCTGGTTGCTCAGTCTTGATGACGAAGACGGGCACATTGCTAAGGCGTTCGAGGATTTCAAGGGAGAGACTCCGGTGTGGTACTGGACCACATTCGTACCACAGCTACTGGGCAGCCTTGAGCACAAGGAAGCGTCTTTGGCGAAGTCAGTGCTTGTCAAGATAGCCAAGGCTTTCCCGCAAGCGCTGTTCTATCACTTGAGAGCCACCAGAGAAGAGTTCTTGACCAAGAAGAAGCAGTTCGAGGCACAAAAGCGTCAACAGAAGGCGACTTATGACAAAGTTGAAAAGGCAGAGACTGGCTCCAGACCAGGCACAGCTAATGGTGAAACTCCCGTCGAGGTTGCTTCGTCTCCCAAGCCCAAGCAGGAGCCAAACGGCGACAGCCAAGCAAATGGGACTGCGGAAGCTGAAACTAAAGAAGAAGAACCCAAGAAGCCATGGGATTACACTGATGAGATCATGGCAGGCTTGAAGACTGCTTTCCCATTACTTGCGCTCTCAATGGAAACCATGACAGACCAACTGTCCAAGCACTTCAAGTGTCCGCCCGACGAGGATGCACATCGACTTATTGTTGCACTATTGAACGACGGCTTAGCCTACATCAGCAGAGCTCCGATCACGTACGCAGAAGGCGCGAAATTACCTCCTTCTACGGAAGCAAATATTGCCAGATTTGTCACTTCGGTCCTACCTGCGCATATTCGGAAATCCTTTGAAGCCGATTTCGTACAGACCAAGCCGACCATGTATGAGTACATTCACAAGTTGAGACGATGGAGAGACAAGTTTGAACAGAAGCTTGACCACAGACAGCAATGGGCGGCGCTTGAATCGTACAGTCACCATTTGAGCGAATTCAAATTCCTCAAATTCGACGATTCTGTCGAGGTACCAGGACAATATCAAGAGCACCGTGATAAGAACACGGACTTTGTTCGCATCGAACGATTCATGCCAACCGTTGAGCTCGTCCGAGGGAACAGTATCTGCCACCGTCGACTCACTATCCGTGGACATGACGGCTCGTTACACCCATTTGCTGTTCAACACCCCACGGGTGGCAAGGTGCGAAGAGAAGAACGAATCGTGCAGCTTTTCCGGATCTTCAACCAGACCTTGGCCAAGCGCAAGGAAGCTCGTCGTCGAAACTTGTACTTCCACCTGCCGATATTTGTGCCTATCGCTCCATATATCCGGTTGGTACAGGACGAGTCCTCTTATGTCACCCTCCAATCTGTCTATGAGGACTATGTGCGCAAAGCGCCGGGTATGTCGCGAGACGATCCAATGCTGTTCTTGCTTGAGAAGTCACGCGCCATCGCAGAGCAGCAAAAGACCCAACCGAGGACGACCGATCAGTTGGCCGTGATGAAGACGGAGATCTTCAACACCATTCAAGAACGCTGGGTCCCCAACAACATTGCGCTACAATACTTCCAGGCGACTTATCCGAACTTTGCCGACTTGTGGCTCTTCCGACGCCAATTTGCGTACCAATATGCCGCGACGACGTTCATGACTTATATCATGCAGATGTCTGCTCGCTACCCAATGAAGTTTTCGATATCTCGTTCCACGGGCGACATCTGGGCAAGCGACATGCTTCCTAACCTCAACTCCGCACGTGCATACTTCTTCAACCCAGAAGCCGTTCCGTTCCGATTGACTCCCAACATTCAAGCACTGATGGGACCTTTGGCGGTCGAAGGCATCTTCACGGCCTCTCTCATGGCCATCGCCAGGTGCCTCGCCGAGCAAGATCAGGGGTACGAGATGGAGCAGCAATTGAGCATCTTTATCCGAGATGAAATGTACAATTGGGCTGCTGGCCGATCTTCTTTGAGCAGCGAGAGCAAGATGGAAGGGTCGAATCTTCGCGAGCACGTTGCGCAGAACGCCGACTTTGTCGTCCGTCGGGCTCTGACGCTTGCAAAGACGCAGGGCAGCGTCGGCAGTTCGACTGAAGGAGGTGGTGTCACTGGTGTGTTGCCTGCTTGTCAGAATGTGGTTGATCTGGTCAGCCGCGCTACGGATCCGATGAAGTTGAGTGTCATGGATGGGTTGTGGATGCCGTGGCTTTGAAGGCCTGGAAGGATGATGGGCTGGCACCGGATTGGTCTCGTTGAGATCTTTTAAGCAGGGTGATGAGGAAATGCGACATGATTGGAAGGGGTTTTGGGGTTGTCTCACGCGGACGGAGTTGCTTGATGATATCGGAGCAAGGCTGCTTCATGGATTGAGATCGATATCGCTTTTCTTTTCATGCCATGATGGGATGGTATTCTTGTACGACAAAAGCCGGGTCTATTTTCGAAAGCGGATGGCGTTCGAGGCGTATGGGCATGCTGCATATTTGCTGCGCATGCTTTTGCTTCTAAGTACCAATAAGTACAGCAGCGTTTTCGTGTAGAATAAGACAGTAGTTTATCATGAAGTTGTATGTAATATGAACATTCACAGACATAGGACTCGCGCCTTCAAGCAACCTGTGGAAATGATCTCGGCGACAAACGACCGTGTTCGAGTGATTTTCTCGTCCTCGCGTGGAAGACTCGGTGAGCTCGGCGTCATGTATAATGTTACACAGAATCAAGGGTTGCCTGTAATTTGGGCAACACAATATACTGTAAATACATTTTGGCATTTTCTCGGTCACGCAGCATGAGCCACCTATTGTCTTGTCTGGACTTGATCGTTCAATTCCTCATGTTACGTGGCCTGTTACTGTTTATCTACCTGCCCTGACGTCGAACGCTTATTCATAAGTCATACTCTTAGACAAAACCTCTGAGTGCTAGAGCTGGCAGCCAGCATGGACACCAAAGTCCGGGTACTCAGGTCGGCCTGACCGACTTCGGTATCCAAAGCCGCCACCCAAGTGGTGATTCTCATCAACCTGGTTTCAAACGTGCAGAAGAGCTGGTACCTCGTGACCTTCTTGAGACCAGATCGGCTTCATCGCTCTTCAGAGGCCTGACAGGTGGAAAGGAAAGCTGCCGGGATCAACTCTCGGCGAGCCTTGTCTTCCTATGCGCGCCGAATTTGGTCAAGGTGAGACTTCGCCAGGTGATTAGTCGTCACGGCGCCCAGAGCGGCATCGAGCATGTCGTCAGCATCTCCGTCCATTCTATCCTCGATCCTGCGGTCATTATTTACATGCTTCGCAGTCGCTAAGGCGCCGGACGGAACAGCTTCTTTGCCTTTTCGTCTGGATCTTAGTGCCCCTTTTGGTGTTTCGGCAGACTCTTGTTGTTGGATCACAGGCTCAGTGCCCTCGAGTTCGAGATCGTCCTCAAGAGCCCAGAACTCCATAGCACGACTCAGCAGTGTGCCTGCTACACCACCTCCACCAGCATCTCCACCGAGAACACGGACAGCCTCATGCAAAGCCATCACAGCCTCTCTTGTTCTGCCACCCATGCTGAGTAGGACTAGTCCTCGGCTTGTGTGAATGCTTCCGATCAGGTTTCGCTCGTCATAGCCACTGGCGGCACCGCTTGGGCTCAGACCAGTGCTTGTTCCAGTAAGGCTAAGGTTGGCGAACGCTGTCATGCCACGACCTGGCTCAAACGCTGAAGCTGGAGCAGCTCCGCCTGTCGCGGTTCTAAGGCACTCGTCAAACTCGGCAAGGGACTCCTTCAATCTCCCCAAGCGTCTGAGTGCATGCGCCAAGTTGGCTCTTGTTGCGACCCAGGCGCTCATGTTACAACCCAGCTCCGAAGCCAGCTCAAGAGCCTTGAGGAAGAGTTTCGCAGCGGCTCCAAGGTTGGCTTGGTGATACAATATGACGCCGACTTCGTTAAGCACCAGAGGGTCACCACCAACGTTACTACTGTTGTTGAATATCCTGGTCCCGAGATCCTCATCTGTGCCGTTCTTGATTGCCCCACTACTCATCTCAAATGCGGCGAGACAGTACTCCCACGCGAGTTGCATATTGTTCAGAGCAAGATGCTGCATCCCGAGAAAGAGCTGAGGCAGGTGGCTGCCTTGGAACAACCTCGCCGCGGTGGAATATGCCGCAATCGCTTGATCATGTTCGCCTTCCGCAGCAAATGTGTGCGCAAACCCAATCCAAGCTGCAGCAGAATGTGGATCCATCAATGATGCCTTTGAGAAGAATCGACGAGCTTCCGCTATTCGAAAGGTGGACAGATAGTAGGTGCCAATGGCGAGATAGGTGTAGGACTCATGGGGCGCGTGGGTTGACAGAGTGTGGGAGAGATGGAACAGGGTGTTATGTGATCCAGTCTCGTAGAGGAGTGCGAGGTGCAGCGGATATAGGCGGGGACTGTGACCGAGAGAGGCATTGGTATTACTTGATGAGGTGTCTATTGCATTGTCGGCGTTGTTCTGGGAGTTCAGAATGCTGGTCGTGATTGCCAGAGCTTCGTGAAATCGGCATTGTGTATAAAGAGTCTCCGCACGAGTGAGTAATAAGTCGGGATTCGAGGCAAGGTTGTAATGGGTCGAGAGGGTCTCTGTGGCGTTTGCGAGAGTGGCAGGCGAGGAGTATTTGGACAGTCGAGTCGTGTATAGCAGCTTGGTGAAATGTGCAGCTTCCTGTGCCAGGGACTGATCGTCAATCCGGATGGACTCGAAATCCAAGTCTTCCAAGAACGCCAACTCCTCAGCAGGGGTCAGCATCGAGTTCTTCATGAGCTGTTCGAAGGCTTCGAAGCACTGTACGTCTATTCGTACTGCATCCTTGTAACAGTCTCTTGCTCGGTCAAAGGCATTTCGTTTCGCGAAGCACAGCCCTCGAAGATAGCACATGCCCGCCTGAAATTTGAGTTCTTTTTCTGATTCCCTGTCTCGCTCCCGTTCCTCGCTGAGTTCTATGCGGTCTCTTTGAGTCTTGCCGCCTCTTTGAGTAACATTTTTCGGACCATGACCGTTGATATGTGCAAGTTTCCTCCGAGCATTGTGGGAGGTAGTGATTAGGTGTGTAGGGTTGTCCTCCCCCAGAATCGTAAGGGCTTGATCATATCTGCCTTGTTTGATGTAGCAGTGAGCAGCCAGATATCTGCATGACAGGCTTCGAGTGATGAGATCTTTTCGTGATAGTAGGGCGAGGGCACGCGTGAAATTGTTGTTTCCAAAATGTACTTGGGCTAGCCAGAAAGCGTCGGCATCATTGTCTTCGTATGAAAGTCAGCCTGAGCCCAGAAACAGGCTTGGAGCACTCACATACTGGTCAAGGCGAGGACTTTATCACCGATATAAATTGCAGCATCATGTTGACCCTTGTTCAAGGCATCTTGTCTCCATGTCCGCAAATACTTGTCCATGGCTCACAAGTGCCTCGCACAAGTCGAGTCCATAGGGCAGCAGTCAGACACTGGTCAGCCCGACAGAAGTCCTTGAGGGTATGAAGCGAATGGAAGGGTGCTGCGGTTGTCGTCTGGAATTATTTACTTTGTTGACATCGACTCCAGTCGCGCTTGTATGCAGATGCAGATGTTAGCGAAGTGTGGGGGAAGCGGCGCGCATTTCAACAATCTTTACTCCAATTCGCTGCCGCTCATACTGTACTTCTTCTTAGTGACTCCCAAAAAGTTCGCCGTCTATCTAAGAATCTCTTCGTTTCCGCCAAATTACTCAGAGGCCCTGCTGCTCGTCTTTGTTGTTGAGATCTTTCCATATTAGACACGAGATACTCTTTCGACCGCCAACATGTCTGAAAGAAAGGTGCTTACGAAGTACTACCCACCCGAATTCGACCCCTCCAAGATCACTCGTACTCCCAAACATCTGCGGCCTACAGGACCTAAGACCATCCCAGTGCGTTTGATGGCGCCTTTCAGTATGAAGTGTACGTCATGTGGTGAATATATCTACAAGGGCCGCAAATTCAACGCACGGAAAGAAACGACAGAGGAGAAGTATCTCAACATCAGTATCTACCGTTTCTACATCCGCTGCACGAGATGTAGTTCGGAAATCACCTTCAAGACCGATCCCAAGAATATGGACTACACCTCCGAAAGAGGAGCCAAGCGAAACTTCGAGTCTTGGCGGAACCCAGAGAGCGCCGAGTTGCAGGAAACTGATGAAGATCGGCTGGACAGGCTAGCGAGAGAGGAGGCTGACGAAGAAGAAAATGCCGAAAGGAATGCGATGGAAGAACTCGAGGATAAGATGGAAGAAAGCAAGAGGGAAATGCAGGTTGCAGATGCCTTGGACGAGATCATGCAGAGAAACGCACGCATCGAGAGAGGCGAGAAGGGTGGCAAGGAAGACGAGGCTCTGGCTCAGGTCAGAGATGTTGCACAAGAACAGCGGGAAGCGCAGGAAAGAGAAGACGCCGAAGCGGCGAGAAGAGCGTTCGAGATTGCAAAAGCCCAGCAGGCCGGACCAGAGGAAGAGGTGGAGATCGAGTACAAGGCTCCCAAACCACTGGAGGCACAGAGGTTGATGCTGCCTCCTCCTTCCTTCGAGAAAGTCAAAAGGGCGAAGAAGCCCTTGGTTCCTGGGCTGGTGCGCAAGACTGAGCCACCCCCGCCAGCGCCAGTAGTTGTGCAAGTCAAGCCAGCAGGTCTTGGCCTGGGTGATTACGACTCTGATGACGACTGAATGAAGCGGTAGATTTCGCGAACACTTGAAAGCAATCGCAGATTGCTAGCCTATCGGTAACACAACCGCCTGAGACGATATGCTGTGAATGTTCTCTACTGGATTCAATCTCCTTTACTGGGTGGATGGCCAATTATGTGGGTTGTGGCAGGAGTGAACTAAGGACGCCAGCGACTTTTGACCGCGTCGATATCGTCCAGGAGAGCGCTTCTCCCAGGCTTACCACAGACCTTGCGGCGGCAATGGTATGCTGTCCGCCTAGGGTGGAAGACCCTGATGATGACTATGGTGATGGATGTCATGCGGAGGATCAACACCTTCCCCATTCTCAGCACATCAGGGCTGTTTCAACGAGCACCCAGATTTGTCTGTAACAGCGGACCAGAGGCGGGAAAGCTGACGTTGCAGCTGGTGGACCAGACGTACAGGATTGATACGATGGGCATATGGACATGAAGGCACTCATCGGAAGTATCACTGCTTCAACTTGTGAGTCGTGCGCTGGCAAACCCAGACAGGGCCTCTTGACCAGGTTCGGAGGAGCCCAGCCATCTGCAGAGGCCCTATGACTTGGCTGACTTGGCTGATTTGTGTCATCTGTGCCGGGAGATCACAATGAAAGGAGAACCTTCTGCTCGTGGTCTCCCACTCATGCTCAATATCTAAAGGCGTCTTCGGACGATGCTCAAAGCATGACATTCGATCATTTCGTTCTCGCCAAAAGAAATCCATCCATATCCTTTGACCCACAAGTCTGCATGACAGTGGCTTCGACTCTGTCGTCTTTGGCGACTATCTCGACCAAATCCTGCACGGTGGAGTCCTTTTCTGCTGAGCCCACGGCGCCAATCTCCAATAATTGCCGAACAACATTGTCCACATATATCACGCTGCCCTTTCCGTTCGACAGCTTGACTCCCCAGTCAAAATACGCAGCCTGATTATCCCAATCGGCGTCGATGAAGGTAAAGTCAAATCTTTCGCGCTTGCCCTGGTCTATCTCCTCTGCAAGACGTGGCAACACATCAAGTCCGGCACCAAGAAGAATCTCAACCTCCTCGGGCACTTTGACTCCCGCGTACTCCAGGTTTTCAATGGCGACATCTCGACGCTGTTTGTTGATTTCAATACTGGTAACTTTGCCGCCTCTGCCCTTGATGGCCTGCGCGAACCACAGCGCAGAATAGCCTCCGAGAGTACCTAGTTCGAGGACGTTTTTGGCCCCGGATATGCTCGCCAGGATGGAGGTGAACTTTCCCTGGGCGGGTGAGAGGGCAATCTCTGGTATGCCATGGGCTGTGCTGTTGGTATAGGCGTGTGCAAACGCCGGGGTATCCGGGACAAGGCGAGACTCTGTATACTGGGCGACAGCCTCAGCATGGACAATATTCTTGGTGGACATTGTGAGAGTGTAATCTGTCGTGTATGGCAGAAATGAGACACAGAGACATCCATCTTATCTGATGCTGTGTGGTCGCTTTTATAGCTTACATGTATCGGCCGATGAGCGGAGTTTTCGCTATATCGAAATCCGCGACCTGAGACTGATGCAGAATCCCTGTCGTCAGGCAGCAGTCTTGTATCTTATCTTCGCGCAACAGTGACCTCCATTGGACAGCGGTATGAGTGATTATCATATCAGATGAATGTATATCTCGCTGATGCGTGAACACCTGCAGATGCAGGCACCAGCAACGTACCGCTTGACCATTATACGCAACTCAGAACCTGAATGGCTGAATCCACCTTCTCCTTATCCACCCAGGACCGACATCGAAAGGTTAACCAGGTCGGTGGTGGAAACAACACGACATGTTGATCAGCCAAGGTAGGATACAAGCTTCTTCGCTCTTGCACTAGTTGAAAGCTTGTGCTCGCCCTCATGTAATCCACGCAATCCCGAGCTTCGATGGGATTGAGCGCTCCTCCCGTACGGAGTGATGCGGATGAATTCTCAGCCTCGCACGGGATAGACGAGGCTGAGTCTTGAAGCGTGCTCACAACTTCGCTCATCAGACTGACAACTTTCCATCACAGCCTTGTGCAATATCAGAAACAACCCCTCTCCATCCCCAGATAACCTCACCATCCATACTGGAACAAATATACAACACCTTCGTCCTGATGATGTCGCCTTGAATAAAATTAAGTCTACGCGAAGATGCACTCGGACAAAGTTCGTCCGATAGCGCGAGAAAACCACGCAAATGTAGGTCAGTGGCTTGCTCGTCCAAAGGTAGATAAACAAGTCCATCCCCCCCCGGCTTCTTCCTTCTCTTTCTTCCTCCTCTCTGTCGATTTGGCGCCTGGAGCAACACCAGTATACACTCTTCCGCGATTTTTACTTGTCCATCCTACAATCGTCGACCATTGCAACAACTCTGCAAGGTCTATCACGCTCCATCATGTCGACCACCTCTACCACCCCGGAGGCTAACGCCCAATACCCAATGATCAAAATGTATACCAACCACGGCTGCGGCTGGTGCCACCGCGTCCACATCACTCTGAAAGAGCTCGGTCTTCCATTCGAAGAAGTCTTCGTTGACCTGGACAACCCACGACCAGAATGGTTCTTGCAGCTCAATCCCGTAAGTTCTCGCCCTCCACAGTCCGTTTCGCAATCCAATCCAAACACCCCATCTGTTCGACCATACTGTTTCGAACATCACGCACTATCCACCGTCCACACCAACGACTAACTCCCATCCAAGCGCGGCCTCGTCCCCGTCTTCCAATACACCCCGAAACCCTCTTCACCCACCATAACCCTTACCGAATCTGCCGCCATCGTCTCCTTCCTCACCGACCTCTACCCATCCCACCTCCTCCCCTCCATCACACCCCTGGGGACATCGCCACCCTCCTCAGGGGCCACATCCGCAGCACACCTCAAATACCGCATGACCTTCTTCACAGACACATACTTCACCAAGATCAATCCCCTGATGTTCAAACTCGTCGGCGCCGACCAAGGCGCCCCACAATCCAAAATTGTCGACGACATAATCACCCTTCTCGAGACAGAAATCGACCCCCTTCTCGTCGATGCAGCGCCATTCTTCGGCGGGAGCCAGAAGATTACAGTTGTCGAGGTAAGCTTCTCCCCCACCCCCTAAATACCCCTTCCCTTATGCCCTTCCAGAGCTAAGTTCTTAGGCAATGACCACCCCATTCACCGTTCGCCTCTACGACTTCTCCAACGACGAGATCTTTCCCGCCAGCCTTGCAGAGCGCATGACCGGTCCCACACTACCCAACTTCTCACGCTGGGTGAAGCTGTGCATGGAACATCCCAGCCTCACAGAGCCCTGGGACAAGGAGTACTACGTGCCACGGATCATCGAGCGTCTGCCGCTGGCGAAGAAGAAGTATGCTGCGCACTGATAGGTATCAGCTTGAGTAGAGGGAGGACCATCTCAATCTTACTGACGATTTGACTACTATAAGCACAAGAGTCATATAAATAGAAGAAATCAGTAACACCATATCTTCTACTTAGATCCCCAGTCCTGACTGAGGTGCTTACCTAGGTATCGTTCCCCTTCACTTACTGTTTGGGGATGCCTTGAAATCGTACTGTACCTCCCATATGCTCATTATTTGACTCTGCGCTTACAACCAGCCAATACCACAGCTAGCAAGGACGTGTTAACGAACAGAGGACACTTTCTTTGGGGCTGGACTTTGTAGAATCACACCTGCATCAATATTCTGCCTTGCACAGTATTCATTGCTATCAACAAGCTCTCCCTTTTACTGTGAACTATCGTCAAACCGCTACATAGCAGACCAACGACACACTTTCTTTCCGCTTGCTACCTGCCATCCCAACGTAACAATCATAAAACCGCGATCACGTAAACCATCCTGCGACATCCATCCCATGCCGATCCCGTGCCGTGAGGCTAGAAGTGTATAATCATTTTTTCGTGTAATTTCCATCATCATTGTCGCTCAGCAATGTAAAACATCCTCAACCAAGAAAGCTCAAGTCTGAACGGAGCTGTCCGTCAGACTTTGCCTTCACAATACGCCACTGAGGACAACCTCTTTCTATGTACGTGACGACATGCAAGACTTGCCAAACAACCACGCCCACCATACGCGCCGCTTACTGAATGCCGCCGGCTTGTGACATATCAATCCTCATCCTCTGCTCAGGCTCCAAGCTTTGATAGTATCTCTGAGCCAATGCCGCTGTGTCTGCCTGTTGACTGATCGCCGCAAAAGGAGACTTATACACCGTCGCCGCATCCTGGTGTTTCTTGATATAGTACCCTGCCACACGACCCCAAAAACCACCCCGATTTTGCCAGTCGGTCAATTGCTTGGGGATCTCATGATCATTGAGCTGCAGTCCACTTATACCAACGGGGCGCTTCTCCAGACTCTCCACCAGCTGCGTCGAGGGCCGAGCCATAGGCGGATCCGGAAATTGGAAGTTGTGCTGCGCAAGCATGTTGACGTTACTCAGAGGATCGTACATGGATCGCTTGGGAAGATAATGGTTTAGCGGGAGTGAGTTGGCTGGAAAAGGCGCCAGATCCATTGTCATGTCCATGGAGAATGACCGTTTGATGCCTCCTGACATCGATGGGGTCATCATCTGTTGAGTCTGGAAGCCAGAGAAACTACCTCTTGCAGATTTGTGGCCTGCACTAGATCCAGGAGGACTGATCTGTGTGGCATTGGGATTAATGAATTGAGGAGGATTTTGTGGGTCGAGCGGTTGAGCCGGACTCGCAGATGAGCTCGAATGCATATAGCTGTCATGCTGCATTCTCGGGCTGGGCAACATATACGAGCTGCTGGGTCTACTCCCCGGGGGTGACTTCTTCTCAGCCTCTTTCTGTGCCTTGATCTGATCCGGGCTCTTGAACGGGTAGGCAGGATTAGAGATCCGTCGTTGGCGTTCGACCTCAGCTGATGGAGGCGGTGGTGGTGGTTGATTTGCGGCCGCACGAATGCTCTCCAATCTTGGTGCTTGATATGAACCGCTCATCCCGGTACTGCCTGGCATCTGACTTGGACCCATCTGATAAGGAAATTGTTGATGCGGTTGTTGGACAAAAGCAGGAAATGGTACAGTCGAAATTGCAGGCGTTTGGTACGCAGTCGGTTGCGCTGGCAGCATTGGATTGACACCCATAGGCTGAGGTGTTCCGAAAGTCGACCCCATATTTGTGGCATTAGGGTTCATCCAGTCATTGCTATAATGATACTGCTGAGGTCGATTGTTGGCATTTACTGTTGATGGTCCACCGTAACGCGTATCGGTTTCCATTGGATCGAAGCTGGGAAACTGCTCGTATTGTTTCAACGGAGGCAATGACGGATCATTGGACCACTCCTTCATGTGCTTAGCATGTTGAGATGCTTGCTGTTGAAATTGTCTCTGTCGTTGGACGGCGTCCAAGTCAATTCCGATTCCATGCTGAGGAACGGTGTTGGCCCGCTCAGCGGCGTCCAATTGTCGAGCCTTAGCTTGTTGCCGTTGAAGAATGCGTGCCTGCTCATTCAACCGAGCCTCTTGGCCAGTCATAATGTCGCGATATTGTGACGGTGAAGGTGATGATGACGGCTTTATTTGAGCAGGGTTTTGAACACGTGCGACTTTTTGTACAGGTGCGGCTGTCTGAGCAGGGACAGCTTTCTCCCAACCAACATTTTGGGTCAGGTTTTGTTTCGTTCCGCTGAAAATTCCAGGCATTGGAGGTGACGGATTTTGGGCAGCAAACATGGTTTTCCTCATGTTTGCCATTGCCGCATTTCTTGCCGCCACGTTGATCATAGGGTGGGAGGCTGCGAGAGATTGGCGTTTGGGTTGAGGTGGCGGTGCCATGACGGCTTTGGGTGGAGTGACAAGGTCGAGGAAGTTTGACGCTGGTTCATGTACGCGTTTGTCAGGATCAGCTGTGTAGTGAGCCTTCGCATCAGATGAGGTTTCACCAATATAAAGCCACAACTGCTTGTCTTTAGACAGATTGACAGGCTTCTCGTCTCGGTTGACTGGAGGCTCGGACGAGACAAACTCGGCCCATTCGGTTCTAGGCTCTTCTGTAAAGACATCACCAGCACTTGGCTTCTTTTCGGTAGATTCTGGAAGCGATGCAGTTTTGCCCTGAAGGTCTTCCGGAAGGTCAAGCGCGTTTGCGGACGGTCTCTGTAGACAGGAGGTTGCGCTGTCAACGAAGAGGATTGAGGTAGGGTCGACTTCTTTGACAGTTTTCAGGTCCGGCACAACCTTGACCAAAACAGCGTCTTGGCCTTCGTCGAATGGAGCAACCACAAGCCCAGCCTCAATATCGTCGGAGTTTGTCGCCTGGAATTGAATCAAATCTCCCTCCTTGAGGTTGAGCAAGAATTGCCGGAACTCTGCATTCTGCCAGCAGCTGTTCGCATGGTTGCAAGCGGAGAGTTCACTGGTAATCCTTGTCCGCTTGACAGTACGATGCAGACGACACCTCCAGTCGAACCCAATGTCACGATATTCCACGCCTTCATGCCAGACAGCGATCTCTCCCTTGTCGACTTGGACACCGGCTTGCATAGCACAAGTCGCGTGATAGGACTTGGCGCATTTGGCCGAGGAGCATTGGAAGCACGATCCTTTCTTCTGCCGACATTCGTAGCACTTGAGCTCCATACGAGCTTTGCTGATGTTCTCGACATTGTAGACCATCTCTTTGCCGTCTTGGATGGCAATATAGGTCTCTGGCAAATACATAGCGCAGGTTCTGTGTGCTCGCTGGCCATGTGTGGTGGGCAGAAGTTCTTCCCAGGAAAAGTCGTTCGGACACAAACAGCACGGTTGGTTTTTGCTGACTTTGCGAATTCTGATGAGCTTTTTGGCTCGTTTGTTGGCTCCAAGGTCCTTTGGGGCACGCTTCCTCTTTTGTGGTACTTTGACCTTGCCACGATCACTGCTTGGAGGCGTGGGTAGATCCGTGGGCTCATCGAGTTCATCTTCGTCATCGGTGACTTCGACCTCTTCGTATTCTGGAGTGGGTTCCCCATTCATTCTCCGAATGAACCAGTCGACGTCAATGAAGACACTATCGGCTTCACACTGGCACTTGCGGGCAGTCTTGCCATATTGCAGCCAGTCATCGATTGCAAAATTCACAGATTCTGCACAGTTGTACCCCAGATTGTAGCCGGAATGATACCCAATTGGGAAAGTTATAACGAACTGGCCTTCGCGGTGGACAACCTTGTTGACAGTGACGTTATACTTCGATTTCAATATCGATGGCGAGACCAAGTATGTCTTATGGCGAAGGAACTGGTCACAAGCCTTTGCATCTGAAGACCACAAGGATTTCATGGCTGTCTCGAACTTCGGAGCATCTTTCTGAGATATGCTGTACCACTGCTTTGGTGCTCCAAAGTGGATGTAGTTGATGCTGTAAAGGTCCACATCTTCAAGATGCCATGCAAAGGTTGCCCGCCACATCCCGAGATACAGATAAGCCGTGTTGACACCAGGAATAGGTTGCCCAAGCAGGTCCAAAAGATTGGGCAATTTGGCGACATTCCATTCCTTTGTGTCCTCGTCGAAGAGTGATCCGGGCATGTCTGCAGCATACATTGGATTACTGAAGTTGAGACTCTTCCAGTACTTTTCTTCAAGCTCCTCACAACGCTCGGCTGTCCATTGATCCTGGTCATATACGCGATAGTCGAAGTCCTCGAAGGCTTCTTCGTCAATCTCGTCGTTGGCCTCCTGAGCGGTTCTCAGTCTGCGAGAAGCAACAGTTGTCTCCGCACCTTTGTTCCCAGCGTCTTTCTTCGCTGTTGTCGTCGACTTTGGCGGCCGTCCTCTCGGCCTTCCGGGCTTTTTGACGGTCTTTTCTTTCGTTGGTGTGGGTTCTACTGCTTCGTTCCCTCCATTCTCGCCTTCTCCTCCATCCAACATGGCCGGCTTGACGTCCGGACTGGTCGGCGTGGGCGGAGCGCGTAGAGTCGAGTCTTGTTCAAGAGGCTCCCTCTTGATGTTCTTTGGGGGTCTCCCTCGTCTCTTGCCTGTGGGTGGTGTCGAGGATGGTTCGGACTTTCGATTTTTGATGCTGCCACGCCCGATCAATTTGTCCGCATTCAAGCGTTTCTCGCCACGTCTTGCGGGCGGTTGATTTTCTGTCTGTTCACACACGGACTTCCATTGCGGCAGGTTGTAAGATCGCATCTTCTCGATGTTGCGTTGCGTGTAAATTCCTTGCGCACCATGAAACTCTTGCATGATGGGGTTCTTGATCTTAATGGATTTGATTTGACTGTCGAGTGCCTTGCGGGCACGTTTCCTGCCAACCACGAATCAGTTCTTCTGTATGAGCAAAGGCATGTTTCCTGAACGCGTGGATCGTTCGAGGTGGCTCGGAGTAAGAACGTACCATTCTTCAGGAGGGTCGATCAGCACTATGCCTGATTGCATACCATAAGGATTCACGCCTTTTACGTAGCGCTGAAAGTCTCTGAATTGTTCCATTGTCTACGCACTCGTTAGCTCTTTCATGTCCTGCCATTACAGGCCACCAAGGGCTGGGAATGTCGCATACTGGTTGGAAGATAGGCACGCCATTCTCGTAACGATCAGGCTTCACCTCTGAGAATTGTTCGGCCTCTGCTCCCGCACGAGCGGCTTCTTCGAATCTCATTCTGTTTTCTTCATCTTCAATATCGTCGCCGAGATCGGAGAGGGATGAACTCGAGGCTGCGTCATCGTCCTTGTGGCTGGCCTCGTCGGTGGTAGGAGGAGTATGGACTTGAGGAGGGAGGAGAGGCTCGGTCATGTCGACGTGTTTGTTGAAGGCAGCGGCACCGAGCCCGTCCTGAAGTGCCAGGGAGGGCATGGTGACTGCTGCCATCGTGGGAGCAGGAGTGGTGAGGAAAGGCTATGATAGGGTCGGCAGATGGATCACGATGGAGTACGTGGCAAAACACATGAATAGAGAGTCGCTACAGGAAGTCGCGACCTCCAGCCACGTCCAAGACACGAATAACGGCGAACAATCGTGGTGAAGTCGAGAAGTATCTTGTGAGAGATGGACTGGCGCAGGGACTTGACTCGCTGTTCTGGACGGAGGTCCTTGACATCGGCAGCTAGTCCTCATCAGGTCAATGGCTTGGCGTGACTGCTGCAAATAATTCTTGTCAGACAGGTGCGCCCCCGTCATGCTACTTGCTTGATGTCTGCGACTGACTACGAGGTATGTAGAAATGGAAGGTAGATCTACTCAGGGCCATCTACAGGTCATCTAGCATAAGGGCCACTTCTGCCTAATGGTGAAATAATGTTTTTTCTATTGTAAAGACTGCCGAGTCCAATGTCGACGAGTTTTCTGGGTGAAGACAGCATATCCAAGTATCCCTGTCAGACAGTTTCACTTTCCCCCAACGCACCTACTGGCTTATCAGACCACTGCGTGCCATACATCCCTGCACGCGGGCAGTTGCGTCACGAGCCCATGCATCGATAAGTGTAAACAAGCACGGCAAGCAATAATGGCTGTGCGGCCAGGGAACCGGACTCTACAGACATCATACAACAACCGTCCGAATGTGTGGTGAATAAATGTAGCTATAGATGGGTATATGGGATGATGAATATCGTTACCTCGAAAGATTCTGCCGTGCTTGTGTCATACCTGCAGCTATCATCCCACCATTGGCTCGGTTGTTAATCATCCAGGCACAAACACGGGCCGGTTGGCTTGAAAAAGTGTCATGCGAATCATCGCACAAGATGCCATCGACTTTTCTTCTGCCAAATCATTCAGAACATGCATATCTCACAGATTGCCATCCTGCATTCGTGCCTGGACATCTCGAAATCAATCCCAGTGTCCCACGACCACGTGTTGCACTCTGCGACCTAGCCCGAAGATATCAATATTCCGTCAAAGCGAGTTTCTTTCCTACCGTCCTCCTCTTTTGTGCAATTTGCTCCGCGGGCTTTGCCGGATCTTTCTTCAATGCTTGTAGCAACATGCCGGCATCGAAAAAGCCATCTGTAGTGGTGTCAGTCAACTCACCACCGATTGAACTTGGGAATAACTTACAACCACCCAATCCGTCATCTTCGACCTCGGCTGTCTCCATACTTGCAGGCGTCGTAGCTCCGTCGACCTTTGCAGCTTCGGCCTTGATGGCTCGGCCCCGTGATTTGAGTCTGCCATCCTTGTTCTTGTCTTCGACCTCTCTAGCCCGAGTGATCTTGGCGGCAGCCAAATCCTTGGGTCTGACTGCTTTGAGTAGCCGGCGGATCTCATTGAGATAAGATTCAAGGCTGTCGACGAACCGTTTTGTCTGACGATGCTTGCTGCTTGCGCAGACCGAAATGCAATCATCCTTGATGATATACCCAATGCCAAACCCATCCCCAGAGACTGGCCCAAAGCCAAAGTGGCGTAACGACGGGTTCCCGCAGTTGGACGTGCTAAGAATTGTGTTGTTAATTTTCTCCCATCCGGAGTCGCTGAACAGAGCGGGTGTCTGATGCAGAGGAGGTGCAGGAGAGCGACTTGCACTTGCGTCTGTCCCAGCGCGTGAACGGTTCTGGCTGATTGGCGACTCCTCAATTCTCCTCGGACTTCCGGCATCGCTAAAGTCAGTGGGGCTCGAATAACCGTTCGAGCTGAATCCTGTCGTGCTGGCCGTTTCTGCACCTTCATCATTCACCTTACGCTGCCACACGCAATAAAGGGCATACAAATGGCGATCATGGCCTTGTGCCTTACTCGATTCTTTGGTTATGGCAGTGTGTTTCAGGGCGGCGGCTTTGAGGGCGTCAACTTTCTTTTGAGGTGCGTTGTCGGCCCAAAAGGTCTTGACAAAGTTGATACTTTCTGGTGTTACTGATCGAATTGCTTCCGTTCGTCCATGGAAGTACATTTTGGTCATGGCCGGCTCATACGTGTTCTCGACCTTTCCATAAAGCCCATAGTATGCGGCTTGAAATGCCATTTGGACGAACGCGTCCGGCGAGAATCCCATCGAGGTGATGAAGTTCTTACCATAGCCGGTGAAATCCAAAGTTTGAAACTCATTTTGGTGGATGAGGTCAGCAAGCCTCGTCTCTGCGAAACGGAGTGCAATTGAGAGTTCCGGAATCATGTCCCATTCCAACTTGTGAGGAGTGGTACTGACATCGCCGAAGCTTTCTGGGTCTCGCTTCGAAGGATCAGGACTTTGACTCGTCCACATGGTTGGGGCTTGGCCATTGATGGACTTGGCGTATCGCAGTATAGTATCAGTGTAGACATCACTTGCGAACCGCAGAACGGTATGGCCGTCCACACCCGTATGCTCGAAATTGATGCCTGCGCTTCCACTCTTGCAGACAATAATTTGTAACTTGTCATACCACCTGTTCGTACACGTCCCAACCTGGACACCGCGATTTACTTCGCTCGTGCCGCATAGCATGTTACCGCACAAATGAGAGTTGTCCGTTGGTTCAGTGTAATCGAGGCAGACTATAAACAATGCCGAGTCGACAATGTTAAGGCAGTCTGCATTGTTGGAGCCCTCCTCCCGGGTCAAGAGGTCTCTCAGTCCCGACCAGACCTTTCTGTTTTCAGTACTGAGCACACCGAGTGCCCCTCTGGCTGCTTCGTGAATCGGGATTTGTTCTGCATCGTCAGCAATGACCTGCAAATTGACTGCAAGGTCTTTTTCGGTCATGATGAGGTCGTTGTTCTCGTCAAGCACGTCAAACCAGTAGAACTGGCCACGACACATGACCACGACGTGTTTGGAGTCTGAATCCTGGCCAATAATACACCCATTATCGGTCGGTACGCGAGCCGTTCCAAAAAGTCGTGAGTACTGATACATATCCAATGGCGTGCCCCGGAGCGTGTCCGGAGGTAGCTCTTCCTTGCGGACGGCTCTGACGAAGCAGAGTGCGGAGATGACCAGAGACGCCGCACGAGTGACTTGATTGTTGCGAGCGGGCGTAGGGTCGTCTTCGAGCAGAAAGAAGGGATTCAGGTTCAACACCACGGGGTTGTCATAGTTCAAGTACGAGTCGTACCAAAACTGCTCGATATAGCTGGTCTGTCCCGTGGCGTACTTCTTGAGCCTCTCTTGCAGGTCCTTGCCCTCGTTGTCGAGAAAATCGCGTACTGCCGCCTTTGTATCATTGTGTTCACTGGCACCCTGCAGAGGAGCCAGAGCCTCGAGATACCTCTTCAGTGTCGAGTCGAGTTCGGGTATGGGCAACTTAGGAAGTTTGTCTTGCGCAGCGAAGGTGATGCCTTTCTTGGACTTCTCCTGCTTCAAGGAGATAGGCTCCTGCTCTTGCTTGGTGTAAGACTCCTTGACATTCTTAGCGTCCTGGAGCGCCTCCTTCACCTGATCTCCGCCCATACTAGCACCTGTGGCCTCCGGTGGAGGATTCCTGATGGTCTCGTCGATCGAGGTTGGTCGCGCGAAATATCTCGTTCCTGTGGTTGAGGAAGGCATGGTTAATATTGTGATCATGCGTACAATGCAGCCAGTAATGTGGCAATGTTCAGCATGCGCAGTGCAGTGCGGTAGAAGTAATGGCAGTCGTGCAAACAGTAGGGTGGCATGGAGAATAGATTCTTTCAAATGGGCATTGATTTCAACAGCAGAAAGAGACAAGAAGGCGCAACATAAATGATACTCATAAGGACGTGGGCTGAGAGTGACAGCAATATGGATAAATGCTTTCTTCCAGATATGGTACAATCAGGAGGGGTTGAAATCATCAGAGTGATCGTGATCGTGATCATGACCATTGGCAGCCATCAGGTGGCTACAGCACATGTGAAGCCCCAAATGGGGGCGGATGAAGCGGACGCTTGTCTCCACAAATCCACAATCGTGGTACGATGGAGAAGAGGTCCATGTGAACAGCTTGGTCGGGATGTATCGTAACCATGTGGAAGCATGATGGGTGCGAATGCGATGGTGCTGGTAGCGGCTCGGAGGAAAGGAAGGGAAAAAGAGGTGGACGTACAAAAAAGAGCGTGGAGGCAGTTCGGAGCCTGTCAGGTAGGCTTTGTCGGCGCGGGATCCGACCTCTCAGTGCCCGTAGTCGCTGGCCGAGGCGCGGTACTTTAGACGTCAACCGAGGGGCGGGAACAGGAAGCCGAAACAGGTGGAAAAGGCTTCTATAGGACTGTGGGTGGTTTGAGTAACAAAAGGAGGAGTCCAGTAGAGGTATAGAATAAGATATAGACTCTTGTAGTCTCTTGTTGGTCATACGATGAGAAGAGTGCACGTTAAAGTGCTTTGATTCCTCTCCTCTTTTGGGATTTGGAATCTCCAATCAACCTCGTGACGTAGCAGATCGCTTATTAGCCAGAAAATCCCCCAGAGTATCGCGAGATCATCAGCAGCTTTTACTCTTCATTATTGTGGACTGTTCCAGGTTTATAGGACATCACATTGACCTTCAGCTCTGGCACTCACCTATGCGATATTCTCGCGCTTGTCGCCAGGCCGAGAATGGATCGATGGACCATCGGACAGGTGGGTGAAGACGCGACGCTCGATGGCATGATCAAATACTCGTACCGGAGGCGAGGGGAGGGGAGACGATCCAGGAGCAGGGTTCCGGGTCAAAAGCTTCCATTTCTCCGGAGCCGACGCCTATTGCAACGAGGGGTGGAAAGAACCCGGGGTAGCTTAGAATTGCAAGGAAGGGGAACAGGTGTTTCAGGGCATCGGCGCGCACCCCGAAGACACAATCTGGGCACTGGGTCCGGGTGAGAGACATTACGGAAATTCTTCGGCAACAAACAGCTGGAAAGTGGTTGTCATTAATCTTTTCAGCTTCATCTGTTTATGTTACAGATTCAACCTGAGGTTTGCTCTGCATCTCCCTTTCCTTCTGCCCAAGAAATGCACTTTTGACAATGACGCCCCAAGTGCCGATAGAATCCAATGCCAGCATGCAGTAATGTTCAACCATCGAAGGAAAACCTGCAAGTGATGGTGAAGAAAGTGGCTCACTCAAAAAACAAGCAAAAAAGAAAATCCAACACTTTCAACTCCATTCCAATAATCCCTTGCATCAGAATCATTAGCTTCCCAAGATGTCAAAGCCCAAGTGCTGGAAACTGCGGATGCTTGAAAATGTGAGTCATGATCCGTGAAGTCGTGAAAGAACATTTGACTGGTGAGCGTCTAATATGTCACGGTGGCCTCGCCCTGTGGCTCTAAAACATTGTCTCCGTATTCACCAGCATAATTGCCTGCATCTTCGAGTTAGTTGAAACATCCTGACGAGGAGAAGAAGGAGAAAACAAACCAGCTGGGCTGTAATTGCAGACAGTGAAGTAAGGGCTAACACCACTGCCAGTATTGGCTAGGCCGTCGGGGCAATATTGAGTGGCGCATCCCACAGAAGTGGTGGACTTCCAGACGATCTGGGAGTAGTGGCCCCAGTGCTCGAAGTTGGTCATATCGGGGCTAGCTTCTCCGTAGGGGAGGGGATACCAGCCGATTTCGTCGTTGTACATCTCGTTGGTGATCATGGCGGGAACACCAGATGGGGGAGAACCGGCGCCAATGTTCTGGCCATAGCCACCACCGCCGGTGCTGGTGTCATGCTCGTAGACGCAGCTGGCGGCAATCTCTGCTGCAATTGTCGCCATGTCGTCACTCCAGACCAGGTCGGAGACCGAGGCATTTTTACGGTGGATGTTGTGGGATTCGAGAATACTTGATTCGTAAGTGCTCGTGGAACTCGACGAAGAAGCGGTAGAAGTGGTGGATTCGGTTTCGGAGCTTGTGGCTTCTACAGTACTTGTGGCTTTTGCTGTGCTTGTGGCTTTTGCGGTGCTGGTGCTGGTGCTGGTGCTCGAGTCGACTGTCTCGTCTGCAGTGGTAGCAGAAGTGGTAGTTTCGATATTAGAAGTGATGGTGGTCGCAACAGTCTGAGAGTGAGTGTGGGTGACGGTGCCAGCCGCCGCAGTCATGGTGGTAGCAGCAGACGCAGCCGCAGAAGCACCACTGCTGCCACTCCAGCCACCACGCCAGCCATCACGCCAATTGCCTGAGCTCACGGACCAGTCACCATCAGAGGACCAGGCAGAGTTGCTCGACAACGCGGTAGTTTCGGTGACAGTGGGGTCGACAGCGGCAGCATCAACGGCAGAGGCAGCAGAGGCAGATGTCTGTTCGGGTGAGGAGCCAGTCACCGTGACGGTAACGGTAGCCCATTGGATAGTGGTTTCGACAGCACGCTTGTCAACAGGTTTGGCGATGGTCAGTGCGGCGCATAAGGCGGCGAGGGCGAGGATTGTCGACTTCATTGTTTTCGAACTGATTTATTGACTGATAACTGATCTGATCTTTCAATAGTCTGATTGAGACCGAGTTCAATGGTTTCTCGCGGGCTATTTGATATCTGATTGTGGCAGGTAAACGGCAGTGCACCAGGCAGCGCAACGTAATTGAGAGTGCCGGTGTCAATGGGCTGGGAAAGAGCTGTGTGCGGGTGATGGTCCAAGTGTTTGTTGTGGTAAACTTTCACACCAGGTGAGGCAGAACTTCTGGAAGACGCTGGGAGTGGGCTCTGGTCAAAGAGCTGGGTCAAGCACGGACTTGAAAATGGGTGTAAACAGCACGGTCACGGACTGTGCTTCTTTTAAAGAGTGACGAGTCTTGAGCAGCTCAAATGAGGGACGAGTTGCAGGCAAGATTGAGAAGTGAAAGTAGGGTGGCTCAAAAGCCAAAAGGAAGGACAGAAGTGACTATCAAAAGTGAAGAGATGTGTAAGTGGTGGAGTGATGGCGCAAGGGAGTGAATTCGATATATCTTTTTATGGGTGCCCTCTGTTTGGATTGCCTGGGGTGCGTCTTTACCGTGGTATGCTACAGGGGTTTGTCGATTAGGTGGATCGGATCTTGCAAAAGCAGCTGGCGGGTGGCTTTCCTAGGCTCTTTAGGGTCAGTCTCTAACCGAGAGGCGTTCTCGGGTACCTGGAGCTTAACCAAACACGGTTCGCTCTGCGGGGGGGTTTTGAGATCTGTTCCACGATGACGATTTGAAGGCGCATGCGCGAGTCTGGACTGAAACGTCCAACAAGGCCTGGAGCTGAATGAGTACTAATTGCAAATTCACACGAAGTATTCGATTTCGTTGAGCGGGAGCGAAGTGGCAAGCCATCTAGCAAGGGATATGGGAATGAGGTTGATCATCATTTCGGCTTACTGTGGCAAAGGTCTCGATCTTAGGCTACGTTGACAGAATTCCGACTCGACCTGGTTGTCCCAGTCTCGACCTACGTCCACGAGATTGGATGTGTTTGTTGCAGTTGCGTGCATGAAATGTTGACATGGCAGTTGTAGCTTTACCATCGTCCCACAATGTTGATACGGACTGGCCAGAGATTGAAGCCAGCTCGAATTCGCTTCCATGATGGCACTACGAGTCGACGACCCTAGATGAAACAAGACATGGGCAAGGCCTGGGATGGTATTTTCTTCAAGGTATTCGAATAGGCAGTCTTGGATTGGTGGAAGTGTTCGTTGATGAAGATGGAGATGCAGGTCCGAAATGACTTGCATTGAACTAGCGAAAGAAACTGCGCCCGAAGCTCCGCTAAAGTCAGGTGCGGAATCCGTGTCCAAGCAATTAATTCCCCGAAGTTTCAAGTTCTTCTTCCTCGACTTTCTTCCACCTTTGCTGGCTGGACCATTCGACGTTGTTACACTTCTCACCAGCCTCGCCCTTCGAAGCACTTGACTATCTCAGCTGCTACCCGGTCCCCACGATCCCCAAATCTTAGGCCCAAAGTTTATGAGAGACGCGCACCCGACTCCTGCCTCGTGGCTGAGATCGGCAGAGATCCTACAGTACATCCAGCCATCGCGATGTCCCGCACTGACCATGGTGCTTACGTTGTTGGTCCAATCCACATCACTCCAACATCAAACGCGCAGTTGTTCCGGCAGCTGCTCGACTCGCAGACCATGTCCTCGATGCGAAATAAGCTCTCTTCACGCCTAAAAAGACTTTTTATGACCAAGGGAAGAAGATCCTCATACGAATCTACCCCCAGCCAGGTCGACTAACCCGCCTTTTCCTCGTCGGAAATTGCGCCCAACAGGATTGTTTTCAGAGTGACCGCATAGACTCCTGCATTCAGGTTGTGATTCCAGGTACCCGCACTACGTCTACTGGGCTAGTGTAACAGCATGGGGCTCCTTTCTCACGTTTCCTGTGTGTAACACCTGAGATGCCTTTGCTAGTTCTCCGAACGTACTCAAACCCTGACCACGAAATTGCGAGACAGGGCGATGAGTAGATACCGACGATATGCAAAGACATGTGGCTCCTGTCCCAGATCCGTCCTCGTCCTCCGACCTGCGTACGACAAGGAGCATACATTCCCGCATTTGAGGACCACGTCTCCTTCAGCTAACGCCTACCAGCCCCAGAAGTTCCCCATCGACTTCTCGGGGCCGGGTTCGTACAACACTTACGATGAAATCCTTCCCTTTCAGCAGTGGTACTAACCTTCACCGGAGCGAACTCCAGAACCATAACTTCTGTCCTTCAACCACGTGAATCCAGTCCGACACATCACTTGCATACACCTCCGACACACAAGCCGTTGCTGCAGACCGTGAGTGTGGGGACACACATGTGCGCTCCCCTTGCTGAGCAGGGTAAATTGACTTGCCACAACGTGAACCTGGAACTGCATTTGTTCCTCGTTCCTGACTTTGCACGCTGCCCTTGGAGCTCATCGCATTACCATGGACATACCTAGGTAGACATCATTGCCGGCTTATATGGCGCTGGCTTGTCTGAAATATGCTTGCCAGTGTCTTTAAGGACTATATCCTGACATGTGCATAATTGCTAATGTTCTGAAGTCTCGTTGTGCACACTTAGCTATTTCTCAGATTGAGGACTTACAAAGTCCGGCCAGCTTCCATCGTCCGTCTCGAGGTCCATTCTACCACCTCAGTCCCCTCAAGGTGCCCATCACGAAGACGCAACTCCGGCGTCCCAACGGTTGGTCACCAATGTCAATGCATTCGTAACTCAAAGACTCCTCCGGATTACACATCCCTTAATATTACCTAGGTATGCTTTTACCAGTACTTGCCGAGGAAAAAGACTATGCTACTGATCACTTCGAACATGTTTATCGAGTCAAGGATACCTTGTCAAAGCTGAGCAATAATTTGTCGATGACATTCACCATCAGTATTTCGGTCGGTCGGTCTGATTTTGTCCAAGAGTTCTTCCATGTTCTCCTTGACCTGCGGTGTCATTGTGGCTTGAGGGGAGGTCATGGATCTCCGCTAATCAGAAGTCTCCATGTCGAGCGAGTCCGACTGCACTCGTCCTTTGGCGTCACTTTTTACCAGGACACTTCTCTTCGTGCGGCACAACAACCGTGCAACTTTATCACCTGCAGCTTTATAAGTCACTTTCTGAGCTATTGTCGAGAACTGTTGGCACGAGTGAGTCAAATGTCAAATGACGCCACTTGCATCCGTCTGACGAGTCATCTGTGACCTGCGGAATTTCTTTTGTCGTTCTTCTGGATTTCTTTGGCTCTCGATCTGAGCTTGGAACCTTGAGCTTTGCAATACCCCAGGCTTTTTGGGAGCTCAGCAGGTGACAACCTCAACTAGCCTGGGAAGCAAGACTCTCTTTGGTTGATCAAGTGCCTGGTGGGCTGCACCAAGATCTAGAACTCAGTCGCCCTGCACCATGGCTTCAAAACCGATCATCCGAGTGATCGGCTCATTGAACGTCGACTTTGTTACTTTGACACCACGAGTCCCCGGACCTGGCGAGACGATAGCAGCAAAGTCTATGACAGTACATGCCGGGGGCAAAGGAGCCAATCAAGCATGTGCTTGTGGCAAAGCTGCATTCGTGTCTCCCACAGAACAAGCTGTGAAGGTGGAAATGATTGGCGCCGTCGGTGCTGACGACCCATACTATGCATCGCTTCTGAAACCAACTCTCGAAAAAAGCGGTGTCAGCACTCGCTACGTGGAAGAGCTCCAAGGAGTACAGACAGGTACAGCAACGATACTTGTGGACGAAGGCTCCAATGGTGAAAACAGGATTCTCTTTGTTCCAGGTGCCAATTACCATGTCAATGATATCAGCAAGGTTCTAGCCACGGCAACAGAAGACGGGGAGCCCGATGTTGTGGTTATGGAGGGAGAGATTCCGAGATCTATCACGTTGGAATTACTGTCGACCTTCAGCTCCGACAAGCGGAAGACCTGCGTCATTTTCAACCCAGCACCGGTGTTCGAAGAGGGCATTCCCTTAGACTCCTTGCAAAACCTCGCCGTACTGGTCGTCAACGAGAGTGAATGTCTTTTACTATTCCAGACCATCGAAGAGCTCAAGAGGATTGAGGTCCCGAGGGAGCAAGATCTGACGGAATCTCACCTCGATCGTCTTACAGAACATCTCCACACTCTAGCAGGAGTCAAGATCATCGTGGTAACACTCGGTGCTCGCGGAGTTTATTTTTCTGCACAGACTTCCCGTGCGCGCGGTTTCGTCCCTGCAGCCAAGGTCAACAGAGTCGTCGACACGACCGCTGCAGGTGATACCTTTGTGGGTTACTTTGCCACAGCTCTGGCTCCACATATAGCCAGCCACAATGCTTTGGATGGGTTCGACGTGAGGAGCGCCGTGAGCCGTGCGAATGAAGCTGCGGCCAAGTGCGTCCAACGCAGTGGAGCGATGGAAAGCATTCCGTTTGGATACGAATGAGCACGCAGCAAAGGGTTGTGGCGTCGCCGGCGCAATGGACTTGCAAGGTATACGCTGCTAGACTGACGGCTGATGACGTGACCAGCAACTGTGGGCGCAAACTGAGGAGCAATACGGCACAGTCTGCATGTCTATAGTATCGAGGCATTGAGCGCTGTTCAGAAGAATGATGACAACAGACTCCCTTGCATCGAGATGACGGAGGAGGAAGGTCTGCAAAATCAAACATGGGCATGCTATGGCTTGCATAGTGTAGCATGCCTCTTTTCAGCGAGAAATACTGCTTATATACCTCATTGTGAAGTAATTCCATTATGGTCAGCTAGAATGAGAGGCCCGGCAAGCCTTGCAGCATAGCCGACCTTACCAGCTTCCGATCCAGATAGCCTTATCGTCCCTCGGGCTCTTGATGCGGGGGTGGAGAACAATCAAGCCGAGGTCCGTTTCTCTCGACTTCATCTCTTCCTCATTCATTTACCATGCTGTGTAGACTTCAACAATAGATACCTGTCGTCACTCTATCTCCTTTCCCACATGACATGAGTGTGTGAAGCTTCGTGCAACAGAGCCTTTCATTGTCAAAAGGCCATACACAGTCTTTCCATTCTTGGTCTGGACATCGGTTATCTCACCTCAGGAAACACCAAGACCGCACCACATTATATACCCTGTTCGGCTCGATAGCACCAAAGACCCTTTAGGCCAGAAGGTATCGAAGCACCGAAAGGTTTCCCGTCCTGCAAAAATGTCGTCCAAAACTGAGCTCCCACCACCGTCTTCTGACCCTTCAGTCATCCTCTCCTACCCTGCCCCCCACGTCCTGCTCGTCACCATCAACCGCGTCCGCCAAATGAACAGCATACCAATGCCTGTACACTGGTACCTGCACCGGGTTTTCGAGTGGTTCGACCGCGAATCGACACTGCGCGTCGCCGTTATCACGGGGGCCGGACCTAAGAGTTTTTGCGCCGGCCAGGACTTGATCGAGATGGGAAAGCGTGATCCCAAGGAGATTGAGGAGAAGCCTTATCTTGCGATGCATCCGCCGACGGGGTTCGCGGGCGTGAGTAGACGGTTGGGCAAGAAGCCTGTTATCGCTGCGGTGAATGGATTTGCTCTGGGTGGTGGTTTTGAGATTGTGCTTAATTGGTGAGTTACCTTTCTCCTCTTCTCCACTTGCCTGCCAGTCCTCCTTCAGGGTTTGTGACTCTGTATCACTGGCACGACGTGTGGTCTGGTTGTGCTGTAAAGATGCTGCTCCAGGGTTGAGCATTTCATTTCACCCATCTCTGCACTGATGTTGATTGTCTGCCTGCTACTCTCTCTCGTTGGCCCACTCACAATGAGTCTGGACGATACACCGACTTGGCTGACATATGATGTAAAGCGACATGGTCGTGGCCTCCCCAACAGCAACATTCGGTCTTCCCGAAGCCCTGCGCGGCATTTATGCTGGCGCCGGCGGTCTACCCAGACTCGTCCGCAACGTCGGTCTCCCATTAGCATCGGAAATCAGCATGGCCGCACGCACGCTCTCCGCCAAGGAGGCCCTGCAGTTTCAATTGATCAACCACATCTCCTCGAGCCAGGAGACGTGTGTCCCCGAGGCCGTGAAGTTGGCGGCCAAAGTGGCGGATATCAGCCCGGACAGCATCGTCATCACGCGTGCGGCGCTGCGCCAAACATGGGAGGACAGCTCGGTTGAGCGTGCGTTTCAGAATATTGAGGACCGGATGAAGAGAGGTTTGATGGAGGGCGAGAATTCGAAGGAGGGTCTCACGGCTTTCCGGGAGAAGAGAAAGCCTGTTTGGAGAGCTAGTAAATTGTGATTGGTACTGGATGACTGGAATGTGAAGGTAGTGTGGGTATAGCTGCGTCAAAATATTGCTCCGGAACTGAAAGCGACATCTCAATGATTGCTCTAGGCTCTGAAAACATGTCTAGCCTCGTCTATTCAACAGATTCCTCTTCTCTCACTTTCCGAACATAATCTGCGTAAGTCATAAGCCTTGATAGACGCAACAAGGGACCAACATGCAGCCAACATCTCGGTGCTCTCAGGACAGTCTTGGGCAATTGATGTCCTCGTATACTGCCCTGTAGCGCCCTCCAATGCTCTCGCCATCACCAGCCCCAAGTTGCTTTCGTTCATATACCCTCCTTCTGTCTGGCTTGTTAGATGTTCATGAGACTAACATAGACACCCCAAGCCAATCCAGCCAGGCCACCAACAAGCATCCTTTGCTCCACCGGGACAAGCACAAGGTTCACCAGAGTCACTAAAGGCCAGAACTTGTACCCAGCGAGCACCATCGGGTAGAAATCCTAAGCAGCCAACCACGTCAGTACCATGATCTGGTATAGTTCTCGCTGGAAACATACCTTTTGTACCGCCGCCACTACAGCATCCCAGCCAGCACCCCTCATCAGATTGAGGACCACAATGAACAAAAGGGTATTCCCTACGGCACCAATAGTCTGATCAAGCAGGAACTTTGCTATAGTGTTGACAATCGAGAATGCCTCTTTCCCAGCATCTTTCTCATTGTTATCCTTCTTCTTAGCAGCGGCAACGTCTTGTTTGGGATTGCTGGGAAAGGTGTCCTCGAGCCATAATTGCCATTTGTAGTTGGGCGGCGTGCTGATAATCGCGAACAAGATGAATTGGATGAACGCGACGGGATCGATTGCGGAGAGGTTTCCTTCGCGGTAGACTCTAAAGCCTTGGGCGAGGGTGTTTGACGCGGCGGAGAGAACAGCACCTTGGATGGTGACTCCAAGAAGACCCGACGACATCTTCGTTGCGAAAAGCAGGGAAAGCTCGGCGAGGTGAATTAGGTAGTCCGGAAGTATTAGTAGTTTAGACTCTATCATTCTCGATAAACATAGAGATCAGGGTCTCGTCATCAATTCGGCAGGGTATCAACAAGATTCAGCACACGGGAGGCACTTTATAGTCTTTCCACACATCACGACCACGTGGCACAAGACAAACCAAGGTATGGTGTTCATGAGAATGTTAGGCCCAGTTCTGCGCAGGACGTTGGGGAACAGAAACATACAAACGAGCAGACGGGCCGGCAAGCATTTTATCCGAAAATCTGCCCGAACCAAACCGCGCCTGTTTGTTGTTCAACCTCAACCTCAACCTCAACTTCATACTTTGCCGATACTCACATGATCCAACTCATCGCATCGCCGATGAGTGTCGCGTGCGACGCCCAAAGGCCTACTAAGGTCTTGCCCAAAGCATGCCTCCACACGAACTCTATGAGATCCCGGTAGGTACCTGCAGACGTGACTTCATTTTGACGTGGAAAAGGATTCGTGTATCCGAAGCCATGTGATCTCAATCGTCCACAGTGCAGGCCCATGGATGTTTCCAGAGTCTGACGTGACTGGGCATATTTTCTGAGGTATACCAATATAACTCGCTTCGCTTCTCACAGATCCTGCAGACGTCCTTGTTTGTAACCGCAAGAAAGAACAAATCAAGACCTATACTACATTAAACAAGACTTACAAACTCACACAACATGCCTCGAGGAGCTGAATACGCCGGCGAACCGCCCCAGTCCGACAACGCGATCGGTCTTAGTCACGATATTGTCCACGGAGGAGATGGAAAGGTACGGAACCTCACGCGACCTGCCTGGTCCCCGTCACACTAATCTAACGTCTCTCTTTGAACAGCCCACATCTGAAGAACCGATACCGAGGGCCAGCAAAACAGCTCCCCTGCCCGAAGGCCTGAGTGAAGTCAACGATGGTGTTCACAGTGGAGGCGGGAGCAGAGGAACACCTGCAAGTGGCAGTGGAAAAAGCGGACATATACCCAAAACGCTCGGCGAGGCGAAAGGTACACATGTAGAAGGCAGGAAACCCGTCGAGACATTGGCAGCAGGGACAGAATCACAAACCACGAATTTGGGCACCGATCCAGCCCATTACCAGGATTCAAACATTCCCGAGGGGAAAAAGAGGGTGGAGACCGCTAACTAGATGTCCGCGGTATGAAACAGCTTTAGACGGCTAAAGGGGCAAAAAGTTCAGCATAATGCATCATTGTCCTATATCAATATATCTATACCATCCAATGATGTTGGCTAACCAGCTACCGGCTCTCTGGACACAACTGGTGAGAGCACATCTTGCCCAACATTGCCGTCACTGGCAATCGTAAGTGTAGGCTCTTCGTCCTTGTCCACATCAGGCGCCGTCCAGCCAACGCCAGCTTGAACAAAGAGCATAAGAATAGCCAAGACGCCACCAGCCGAGTAAATGGTTCTCAGCGCCGTCTCATAGCCGACCAGAGCGACCTCCCTCTCCACGCCCGTCAGCTTCTGCACCGTAACCGGCGATCCGAGCAACTGCCTGATCAATGCTCCCTTGCCCGTGATCCCTCTTGCCAGAAACTCCTTCGTCAGCGTCCGCTGCAACGTTCTGAGAAACAATCCTCCTGCAACAGACGACCCAAATGACCCCGACAAACTGCGGAACATAGCATTCAGCGGAATGACAATGATATGCGTAGCAGGGATCGTCAAATGCAGGACATGCGCAATCGAGTAGTTCAGCAGACAGCCAACGATTGCCCCGTTGACAAACAGCACCGTAAGATAACCGTAGATATTCGAGCCGGGCGTCGAGATCCACGAGACGGCGAACATGGACATGATGAACAGCACGCACGTGACGATGCAAGCGTAATAGAATGATCCCGTGCGTCGAATGTGCAGCCAGCCCGCCAACAGACCACCCAGCCCAAATCCCAGGTTCGTCGGGATCAACGTGAGGCCAGCGCTGGCCTGAGACCAGCCGCGCAGGGTGAGCACGTACGTCGGCGTGTAAAACAGAACGCTCCACCGGGCAGTCATGACGCCGACGGTCGCAATACCCGTAAGGATATTGCCTCTTGACCGCAGAATGGAAATCGGCACGATAGGTTGATCAGCCCAATGCGCTTCGACCAGGACGAACAGCACGAGCGAAGCAACCGACAAGACAATCGGCGTGATTTGAACCTTTGGCGACGACAAGCTGTATAGCAGTAGCACCACAGCGCCTATGATGGTGACGACACCGAAGTAGTCGATTTGCGAGAGCTTCGTGGCGAGAGATTGCTTGTGATACGCGCCCGCTGCTGTGGAGGCATCAAGTCTTCGCGGTTCAGGGATGGTGAAGAAAGCCAGAAGTGCCGCAGCCAGGGTGAATGGGATTTGCAGCCAGAACACCGCGCGCCAGCCGACGAGCGGCTCGAGGGCGCCAGCGATGATAGCCCCGCAGGCCACACCGGATGTGTAGCCCGTGTTGATGGCGCCGAAGAACAAGCCTCGTCTGCGCGGGGCGGTGAGTTCAGTGACCAGGATGAATGCGACGGGCGTGACGGACGCGCTGCCAATTCCCGTGACAACGCGGCCGGCGAGGAACGCGTTGACAGAAGGCGCTTGTGAACTGATGAGGAGGCCGCATGCTTGTACACATATTGACGCTAGGAGGTAGACTCTGGGCGTGAAGATGGCGCAAAGGCGGCCTGCGACGGGTGTGATGCTGGTTATGGCGATGAGGTAGGCGGAGGTGAACCAGCTTACTTCGGTGGATGCGCCGAGATCGGTGGCGATGGGCGATTGGATCGTCGTCATCAGTGAGACATTGTTGGTCAGGATGAAAATTAGGAGCCAGATGGATAGGCAGATGAGTGTGCCTCTCAAAGTTGAAAGGTTTCCATCTTCGTCTTGGACATCCGGTAGTGCAGCCTCATCTTGACTTGGGCTGGTCTCGCGTATTAGGGGAGTGCGCTCCGAGTCGGAGGCCTTTGTTGCCATGGTTGAGCTTGAATGCCTTAACAAGCGCGCATCAAGGGAGCAAGGATGCCATTGCGTTCAGTTGTGAATGGCGGCGCCACAATAATAGAAGAGTCGTGTTTCTGAGAGTGAGAACAGCTGTTGTTACACGCTGACTCCTGGAAAAATATATCGGAGTTGAACGACAATGACATAATACGGCAGGGCGCGCTCGCTAACAAGTTTAGGGGATGCAATAGAGGCTTAAAATGGCAGCTTAACCGACAATACGTACACATACAAACAAGTACTAAGAGACGTAGAGTGAGTGAATCATGTCAAGGGCCCAATGGTCTTCGATTGCAAGTGGTCAGCTGGGACTATGTAAATGAATGGCATGATGGGTATGTCTCAACCCATGTTTGAACCCAGTGCTCGACCATGGGCCTGCGTGCATGTCCCTCCACGAGGGCGCTTACTCGGCACATTCAGCCTTTCGAGTCTCAAAGACTTTCAATGCTTCCTCGGCAGCTTTAACACCACTCAAGACCATAGCGCCAAAGGTCGGACCCATACGGTTGGCTCCGTCCAGCTCACTAAGCTCCATGCCGCCCATGATCAAGCCTGGCGAGACTTCTCGGGTGCCTTTGACAATGGCATCTTCCGCGCTGTTCATGTCGAGGGCACGCATGCCGCCCAACTTCTCGATCGCGTTCATACTGACGAGACGCTTGGCGCAGAATGCTCCAAATGGTCCATCGTGGCCGGTCGTGCTGATGACGAGTGGGGCGTTGATTGTGCTGGGAACATCACAGTCAGCGACGGGTGAATTATCAGTAGATCGTGAGACTTACTTTGGATCCATGCAGCTGTGGTTGTCATGGTGGAGCGTGACCAAGGTCCAGTTTGTGACCACGCCAACGATGCGAAGGCCTCCATCTGCGGATGGGCGCGTGATCAGATCCTCCACGCATGTAGCATTGAAGAGCTTGACGTTCGGCATGGCAAGGACTTTGCTCATCAAGGTGCTCATGAACAGAGCGGCGTGCTTGACGACGACGTAGTTGCCTTCATCCTCGAAGGGCACGCCAATGTCGTTCAAGAACTCTTCTGCTGGCTTGCGGAGTACCATGGCCGAGAAGAGCTGGCCACCTAGCCAGCAGCCGCCACCGGGCGAGACGGAAGCTTCGATGATGGCGATCTTCAAGTCGGGACGGGCCTTGGCCAGGGTGTACGCGGTGGACAAGCCGCAAGAGCCGGCACCGCTGTTGATGGGTTAGAAGGCTGTACGGAATACAAGCTGCGCCTGAGGCAGGTCACTTACACAATAACGATATCCGACTCGGCGTAACGGTCAAGGTCGGCAAAGTAGCGTTTGGTCATGGCACGGGAGACTTGAGACTCGCGGATGGGAGCAAATTTGAAGCTGTCCCATTTGCCGGCAAAGTCATCAAGAACCTTGGTGTGGTTGCCAGAGGCATTAAGAGTTAATGTCTTGGGCGTGTCAAGAGAACTCTTCAGCTCTTTGGTTGCAGTAAAGCCATCGAACTCGTTGAAGGTAGCGATTGGTGGAGACATCCTGTAACTGGTTAGGCGAGGTTGTTCACTGTCAGGCATGAAAAAGAGGGAGAATGGAGCATGATCCTTCCGCTGGTATTATCCAGAGTCAAGTTCAACCGTATGATCTCAGAACGCACTTCCACGACTCCAGCAGTGCTCATCTCCAGCGCCTCAAGAGGACTGGGTGGATGAGCACATTGTACGCTGGCAGGAAAGTTGCGAACACCGGTTCATGCTCAGACATGGTGTGATGCCTGATCTTGATCAAATACTAGTAATATACCTTGACCATGATGTCTCTCAACCAAGCGAGTGGATGACATGGCGTCCTCCATCTTTTTGTGAGTGAGGTTTACTTGGTCGGATCGTTCAAGAAATCTGCGATAAGTCAGCCTGGGGGCATACTTGTGACCATGGTTGTAGGAGTACTTGAATGAGAGCTCTTTGACTTTCGAAATGGATTGGTCGAGATCCTTTGTGGGAGATAGGAAGCGAGAAGAAATAAATTCAGATGCGTTCCTTATATACATTACAGTAGCTGGTCTTGATAGGAAAGACACGGGAGCTATGGAGGGGTCTCTGAGGGGTAAATATGGGCCAGGCGGGATATACACCCGCTTATCATCGCATAGGTCGAATGATCAGACTACCATAGTGGGACCGCTATCAAACCAATGGCAGGAATGACCAATGATCACGACATCTGAAAATCGGAAAAGCGAAGCAATCGTGGCGACGGTAAAGATATCCTGGTACTGCTTCGTCAACCGTGAGCAACAGGAACTCAAGCAATACCTCCTGTGGGAGACTGCAAGGGCAGACATTTTCGGAACCGAAATGCCTTCGTCTTCGATGAAGATGTGGCAACAGCCTGGAAGTACTGATAAACACTATCCGAGACTATCAGCTCGGAGTGACTGCATTGACAACCCTCGTGCCGGTATCAGCGCTCCTCCTTGCTGGCGGAAGTCCTGGGCCCATCTTCAAATTCGTACTTGCCCCATATACCCTCTGGTAAAGGCGGCGGATTTTTGAACGCTTGTTGGACTCTTTGAGCAGTCTGCGTAAATTGCGCAGACACCTCTTCCCAGCTTCCGGATTTCAATACAAGTTTCCCGTCTTTCTTTCTAAACTGACCTCCAATCATGACGTGCTTGATGTCGGCTATGTTGGAATGGAGGACGACTGCCGCAACTGGATCTGTCCATCCAAGCATATTGGGCGAGTTCCCGTCGAAGCAGACGATATCCGCTTTGGCTCCAACTCTCAGGACGCCAATGTCATCGCGGTGAATCGCGCGGCCGCCATTTCTGGTCGCCAGCAGGAACGCATCCATCACAGACATTGGGGTTTGCTTTGGAATATGCCCTCTTTTCAGAATCTCGGTAGACTGTCGCCCGCGCACAGACTGCAACCACATCCGAGCTTGCAGAAGGATGTCGCCGCTGAATGTCCACTGTGTATCGATGCCGAGAGAGGCTTGATCATGGATAAGGTGGCTTGTATCCTGTCCGTGGCCATAGTGCATCTCGGATTCGGGCGTGATCGAGATATGGTCGTTGTGTTTGCGGAGTAAGTCCATGGCTTTCGAGGACACAAAACCTGCATGCGACCAGACAAAGGGAATATGAAGATCATGGACCTCGTGCTTTGCAGCCACTTCTGGTAATTGCTGTGCAACTGGGACATATTAGCTCGAAGCTGACTTCCACCGAGTGAGATTGCTTACAAGGCCACGGACCACCAAGATAGTGTGCTGTCAAAACCTCTGCCTCGAGCTCGCGAGCCAGCTGCTTCGCTTGCTGGACGTCTCCTTCCGACATACTATCTAGGCCATCTATGGCAAGGCCCATCCTGACCAGGTCATCCGCTTTGGGAAATTCACTCTTCAAACTCTTGAGTGTGCGATACTGCTCGTTGATCGGGAAATTATCGCGGTTTATGGGATGATAACACCACCAAATTCTTGCGCCGCTGTCCAGAGCAGCCTTCAATCCAATTTTCATCACTGCTTGCGTCCAATTATTGTGAGCATGCTCCAAATAGGAAGTGACACCTGCATTGATGCCCTCGATGTATCCCTCCAGAGAACTAACGTAGACATCCTCTGGAGCCCATTCTTGGATGTTTGATGCTCTCTGAGAAACCCAGCCGAAGTACTGTGCCAAAGTGACGTCTGGACCAAGTGTCCGGTATGCTGTCTGCCACATATGACAATGTGTGTTGACAAGGCCGGGAGACACAATCTGGCCCGTCACATCAATGACCTCGGCTTGGGGATAGCTGTTGTCTTTGGAGGCATCAGTATCAAGTATAGCAGCGATACGATCACCTTCGATGACGACGCTCGCTTTTCGAAGCACCTTTATCGAAGCCGAATCTTCGTCGTACGCAAGAACAGTGCCATTTCTGAGTATAGTCGCGCTCATGATGTAGGCCTTGGAGCATCAGAGTCGCACCGTTTGCAATGGAGAGGATTCCCGGTGCTCTACACACTCCAGCCTGCTTTTGAATGTATGACGGGAGGTCTGTCTTGAGCTCGTGTCTATGAATCAATTGTTGAGCCGGACGTTCTGTGGGACATATCCAGCTTGACGCGAATATGTTGGCTATTTTGTTGAATACAAGCACGCACGAGGTCTTATCATCGGCAAGAGTGTTTTATCGGCAGGCATAATCTTTCTGTGAGACGCTAGTATGCGAGCTAGAACAAACACTCACATTCACCATGCAGTACTTCAGGCAGCCCGTGGAAAGAATGTACGAGAGTGGTACGCACTCCAATCGCAGTGCAGATTCCGAGTCCGACGAAAGACGATTCTGTTTCGCTCTCGCTTCAAGTGAACGTCCGAAGAACGGACGGCCGTCAATTCGACATTGCGGGAATGTGCATGTTGTACAAGTGGTCGTGATGCTTGTTCTCTTAGAGAAATGTCTTGAACAGTTGGGCTTCGAAACGCGTGACGTCATTCGAAAGTTATCGACAACTTGGCCTACTACACGACTCTCTCCTCTATTGACAACCATTTGCAGCATTATGGATCTTCGAAAAGACCATAGCCTCTGGCCAGGCGGTTTCAGAGCGGCATTGCAAGATCGGATGTACTGAATTCCGCCCAGCAGAGTGGCTGTCCAGGTCGTTGGTCGCGTAGACAGCCACGAAAGAAGATGACACTCCGAGACAACTGCTTCATGGATTCAACAAAGAAAGCGCTACATCGAGTCTCTGGACCCTGCAGATGGAGCCCATCCATGACCCGAATCGTCGAATGTTATTCCCGTATTTCTAGGCCTCTTCCAGTCTCGTACCAATCTGGAAAATGGGATACTTCATCGAGACTACCGTCAAAAAAATGTCCAAGTCAATACGTGCAAGTCGCCAACCCGGCGTATCTGCAACTGGACAGGTTTTCGTCGATGCCTTGGGTTGGCGACTTGGATACAATGACTTGGACATTTTTCACGGTAGGTTAGGTGAATACTTGGACCTTTCACCCAGGCTACCGTGAAAAAAATATCCAAGTCAATGCGTGCAAGTCGCCAACCCAGTGTTGGACACTTGTTACCGGTGCCTTGGGTTGGTGACTTGGACACAATGACTTGGACCTTTTTTTCACGGTAGTCTGATTGAATATTTGGACCTTTTTTTCTGTTGATGCCCCGGGGTGACGACTCGGACACACTGACTTGGATTTTTTTTTTATGGTAGTCTAGTTGAAGACTTGGACACTTCGAACTTGGTGATGTTTTCTTCACAGTCACTGATGTCCCAGAGCTGGATTGTGCAATCATCGCTGCAGCTCGCAAGCAACCGAAGCAGGTTTGTCCTCAAGTCTGACATTTCACGGATAGCAACACCGAACACGGAGCCCTTATGCCCAGTAACAACATGTCTTGTGGACGTAAGCCATACTTCACAGCTGGGGTCTCAAAATTTCGTGAAGTTGGTGGCAGCATACGGAGATGTTTCTTTCACCTATTCAGCCGCGCGTACGTTTGGCTTTACTTCCTTGATGGCTCGTTGCTTGCGACGTGCATCTTTGCCGGCTTTCAGCGCTACAAGTCCGCCCCATGCAAGTCAAGCATTATTGGTGTCGATGCAGGTATGCCGTCCTCGGCCCCCAACCTGATGATCTAAACATGGGAACTGGCAGTAAACATACTCATCTTGCAATCCGCCACGACTCGACCAACAGTGATGATGAGGGCATCAGTCAAGGATGCGACCGTAATGTTTGGAGATTGGTCTGCCATGTGAACGATCCAATTCGCATAGACCTGGATCGTTGTCCACGTTTCTAGGCGGCTCCTCGGCGGATATCCGATGAAGGAATGATGCACTCTGCAAGGGTCTATAAATATAGCGATACGAGCTCGTATGTCTGGGAATGCAGAGGGGACAAGGTGAGTCGCAAAGTTGGTAACATAAATCACAGCTCCGTCGAAACAATTGACCGTGTTCTACCTCCCCAGATGGGCGTACACCACATCCCAACATGTCGATCGAATACTCGCCGCTTGACTTTATCATAAAGAATCAGCAGATCTTCTGGCGAGAGAACCGCAAGTCGTTCCTCAGAAAGATTGCATTCATTGCTCTGGCATTGCAGCTACTTTTCGTATCGAACTTTTCGTACCTGTACGGTTCCTTATGGGGATCGAACAACCGCGCCCACGCTCTCAAAGTCTTGTCAGTCGACCTTGACGGCGGCGTCATCAGCCAGTCTGTGAAGGAAGCATACGACCACTTACGAGGCCCAGGATTTCCGTCCTTGCTCGAGCCAGCCGAAGGGATTGTGCAATCTGTGAGTGAGGCCGCAGAGGCCGTCAGAGATGGCACATACTGGGCTGCTTTCGTTGTTCACGCGAACGCGTCCGCACGACTTGACCAAGCTCTGAAGGGAGGCGCAGCTGCAAAGGCTTATCAGGCTTCAGAGGCAACAACGTATATCTGGAATGAGGTCCGCTATCCGCCGTTTTCAGACGAGATGTTCGAATCCAATTTTCAATTGCTTGCGCAGACAGCGCGGCAGACCTATTTCCGAAACCATGGTCAGACAGCCCTCCGACAACTCGATGCCACGGACGAAGCCGCTGTCCAAGTCCTGTTGAACCCTATCGGCGCCACTGGCAGAAATATCATGCCGACCGACAATCCCACACGTCTGCTGTACAACACGGCCTCGACGGTGATGCCAATACTTCAAGAGTTCTTCTTTCTTCTCATCCTGAACGGGCTTTCGGACGAAATGCAGATCAACAGCAAGGTGCCCATTCGGATAACTAGCCTTTTCCGGGTGGCCTTCGCAGTCACTTACACCTTCATCTCCTCATTAGGCATGATGGGCTATATCTGGGCATTCCGAGAGTCCTGGTCAGTCGATGCTCGACAATTCGTCTTGTCCTGGATGGTCCTCTGGTTTCTTCACCAGATCCATTTCCTTGTCATCGACACTGTCTCAGCTTTCTTGCCTATCCCGGCCCTACCTTTCTTCCTGCTTACCTGGATAATTCTCAATCTCACCAGCACCGTCAGCCCTTTAGAGTTGAATCCGGTGTTCTATCGCTGGGGTTATGCCTTGCCTGCAAACGAGGCATACACTGCCTTAACCGACATCTGGTCGAATGGAGCAGTGCCGGCACTGTACCGTGCGTTGCCAATAATGGGCGCATGGTGGCTCGTCGGCATGGGCATGGCTGTGTATGCTCACATACATCGGTGTCAGAAGGCTAGTCGCCCTAGATTGGGCCCCAAATCCATTCGCAGCTCGAGCACGTCGGAAACATACGCATCCCTCTCAATGTATAGCTCTGGTCGTTGAAAGGACTCCTAAGCACTGTCTCCCGATTTTGTCATGGTACGCGGTTCGCATGATGAAATGGAGCGATGTATGTTCCAGACATTCTGACGATGGTGGGTTTGATTTTTGGGAGATGTCTGTGTACCCAGAAATCATGCACTGCCTTCAAAGTAGGCGATTACGGCTTCGTGGTGAGAAGGCCGCAACAGTGACTTCCTAAATGAAAGAAGGCGTCATCTGTGCCATATCAACGATGTTTCTCCAGTCCATGACCGTTTTTGCGGTGTCATGTACCACGAGATCCTGCTGCTTCCAGAAGGCTTCCACGATCATCCTCGTGACACCGATGTTGCCAATGCGTCTGTGCAATTCCATTTTCTTCAATGTCTGGAGTATTTGCAGTCGTTGTTCATCGATCCGTACTTCGCATGCCACAACGAACAAAGGCCACGGGCTTGTGCAAACCTCCATCTTTGCGATTAGGCTAAGGGCCCTTTCGACGAGCCGTTGAACAGATCGTGCCTGGGACGGTTGTTGGACGATCTGCCGACGAAAATAAATTAGTGCTGCGAGGTGGTAGAATTCTGCCGTGTCGTGAATACGAGTCTCGTTGATAGTCTCAGACCGTGAGTGAGACTGCTGTTCAGGTTTGATCACGATATCTTGGGTCAGATTTTCCAAACGTAAACGCAACGTCTCGACGAGACTTGCGTCGAACTGGGGTTGGCCTCGCAGCTGGTTGATGCATGCGACCAGCTCCATCAGCTCTTCCGAGCATCCCAGAGATCCCACGATCTGTGGATGAATTAGCGCCAATTCTGAAAATGCATGCCGTGCTGACTCACGACCGTCTTTTCAGCTGTATACTCTGGAAGTACCACCTGTGTCGGATCTTGCCTTTCATAGCCGGACATCATTTGGGAAAATTGTGCCAGAACATCATGATAGAGCAGCCAGCTCCTGAGAAATGGTGAAACGGATTGCTGTGTTTTGGGGTGTGATGGATAATCGCCGATCAGACTTTTGGCGCCACGTAAATGCACCATCCAATTGCCATCCGTCGGGTCGAAGACACCATACCTACGAATCGTCAGAAAGTTGTGTCGGTAAACACTGGATGAAAGAACAAGACTGGTGGTTTATTGGCACAGCCTTTGGCAAGAAAGAACTTACACGCAAAGTAGCATGCACGCCGCTAGTTTCGCGCTCAGATCTTCAGAAACGTCCTCTTGAAGTGACTGGTTCAAGAGTCGCAATGCTCGGGCTTTATGTTGCAGTGCTCTGCTTGGTCCGCTGACGTGAAAAGCACAAAGTGCTAGTATGCTTTCCATCAGGCTCTGTGAAGCTTTTGATTGCTGGGTGAGAGCCATTGGTAAAATTTCGTTTCGAAAGCCATTGTGGGCATCATCAACTGTGGTTATGATTCGTGCCAGCCGGCCTTCATCTGTCCACAAGCGTTAGTCCCGAGATGCTCATCTAGCAAGACACGCCCCAGAGACTCACAATATGAGAGTAGAGAGGCATCGTCATTTGTAATTCCTGGGAGTGGAAGGGTGGGCAACGTCCATGTATTGAGGCGTAAGAGTTGCGCATATGCTGGGAATCCTGTCAGATCGCAAGAATCCGATATCTCAATATCCTCAGTCGTCGTATTAAGGAAGTCGAGAGCCAAACTGGGACAAAAGACGGTCGTCGCTGCACAGCCTTGTCCGTATATGGAAGGAATCACCGCCTTTCGCCGACCATCGTACTTTTCTGGCCAGGTCAACTTGATGCCGAAACCTGCACAGTTGCGCTTCGTTCGAATGCAATTGTTGCATGCAGGTAGTGTCTTGTCGCATCCGATCTTTCGATCTAGGTCGGTCAGTCTTGGTTGATGAGCCCAGAAGCGACATCAAACCCACCTTTGCAGGTCCAGCACGATTTCCTCGCCTTCATGGTTTCTTGATTTTTGTTGAAGATGAGCCCACCAACGACATCGCCACTGAGCGCTACGACGCTTTTACATGGAACCACGTTTGACCACGACTTGAATACCTGGGATGTGAAGACATGGTTCCTCAGTGATTCACACGATCTTGTAGTCGAGATAAGTTGCCGGCTGCCAATCAGGCTAGGCCAAGCTGGGACTACCGGCACTTACTGTAGACAGCAATTAGAGCATGTTTGTACTCGACTCACTCATTAAATACAGCATACTATATGTGTCAGAAAGAACTATCTGAAAGTGTACATATCCATAACCCTGCATGAATGCGATCACTTCTTCATCATTGTGATGCACGAATCGGCCGAGGGATTGACCAAGAGGCTCAATAAATCTGGTCTCGCATAATGACCAACTGTGTCGATGAAGGTCTTTGCCCGATCGATATCCGTCAAATCGACATCAGCAATGACTATTCCTTCTTCTCCATCTTCAAGATGTTCTGCCAGGGGCTTGCCGTCTGGGCCAAAGATCATTGAGAAGCCACCACCAGGCTGATTACAGGTTAGCACGTTCATATTGTTAGACGTCGGCAATGAAACTTACTGTTTTGATAGGCGGCTTCCCCACCAGAAAACACCTTTCCAGGCTCTTCTCGGTCAAGATTTGCGACGCAATGGCAACGAATGTCTGTCCTTCAATGGCCATAAATTGGCTTGCTCGATAACTGGCTTCGCCGGTCTCGTGGTATTGCCATGCCATGACTTTGGGGTCCGGCATGCAGAATTCCGCCGGCCAACTGGCAATGTGAATCTGTACTCCCTGTGCATATTCATAGTACCGCAGCAGAGGCTGTAAATGCTCCCAACAGTTGAGCCCGCCCACTTTTCCGAATGGAGTGCTGATGACGGTGGTCAGAGACTCAGCTTGACCCTCGCCCCACAGGGTGCGTTCTACATGGGTAGGCTTGATCTTTCGCCTGTGATGGACAATCTCTCCACTTGGGGCAATGAATGACTGTCCCATGTACAGACTGGCACCCTCTCGCTCACTGTATCCCAGGACGACCTGCATTCCAGCATCTTTCACTGCTTGTTGAATTCTCCGCATCTGGGGCGAGTCGCGAACGAGGGAATTCGCCATATATTTGTGTACCATCTCGCCATTTTCAATGGCACTGTTGGTCCATAGCGCCCTGATTGGTTCAGTCAGCAAATGTTAATATAGCGAAAGCCAGACAACTAACCATGGGTATCCAGGAATCCAGACTTCAGGGAACCCAAGCACATTCACCCCCTTCCCGGAGGCTTCATTGATGAGAGAGATTGTCTTTTCCACGCTCTCTTCAAGATCAAACCATCCAGGTTCAGCTTGGACTGCGCCCACACGAACCTTTGACATTGTGCTGGGGTTATCACTGAGAACAACAAAGCTATCTTCACTTGAGGTATCGCCGTTCTTCAGGTTGATACTCAAGTCAGTCATTCCGATGGTTGTCTTTAGCCAAAAGACAGGGCCATCTGCTCATATACGGACCGCATGTGACTGCTGAGGCCTAGCCATGCACTCGTGGTCGATTGCCACGGCAAAGCACTGATCGCAGACTCCTGCCCGACGTTCATGGCCTCGAACACGGGACTCTCGACGTAGTAGATAAGGTTAACATGCGGAGTCCAGCATAGTTTGACAATCGAGATCGCAAAGTCCTGCCTTGAACACGTTGTACATTCGAGGACCTACCTCTATGGACGTGCACATCGACCGCAGGCCAATGAGATCGGCAGCTTGGAGAAGAGCCTTAGATGGAACTCCAATCAGACACTGCAAGACGAACCGATCGAGTTGATCTTGGACGATAAGACAAGCACAGGTATATCATGAATGAAATAGATGTGTAAGACGCGTCTCGAGGCTTTACGAGATGGTATCTGTGGTATCGAATCACAGGCAGCGGCCAAATTATGTGGAGCAAGAATCAGCAGGTTACACTTACCCAGCTCGGTTAGATCAGCTTCGATACAGATCGCAAACTATTGCCTCTCTCTTTTCCCCATGGGCTCTCCTCTCAACATGGCCATGTGTATCATAGCCTCGTGCTGACTACAAGTCTTGGCCTCCTTCGTCCCAGAAAGACCCTTGGAGGCAATATGCAATACTTTGCGATCTCCATTCTTGATGGAGCCTTGCGGCTCGTCAGGATTCAGAAGATTGGCAATTGACAACGATGGTTCTTTGTCATGATGCGAAGTCCTTGCGAGACATATATGCTGCCGATGCCGTCCACGAGATGGCATGTAGCAGCTTCATCCCATTCTCGCGATCAGAGATCCTTGCAAGGTCGACTCCCTCCTCGACAGTTCCCTTTTTCACTTTGAACTTCCGGCAACCATGGGTCGTAACTCGCTTGACCAGAATGCCGATGCCGCACTGGCAAAGCTCGGCTACAAGGCAGAGCTTCCTCGAAACCTGAGCATGCTCAGTGTCATGGGCCTGTACGTGTCCTCTCGGTAGCATTGCTCGTTGAGCTGACCTTGCGATGCAGTTCCATGGCCATCATAGCAACACCATTCGGTCTCTCAGCCACTTTGTCACTCGCTCTCATCGATGGACAATGCGTGACAGTCCTTTGGGGCTGGATCATCGTCACATTAATTTCTATCGCAATTGCAGCCTCACTTGCCGAAGTCTGTGCCGTCTATCCTACCTCAGGCGGAGTTTATTACTGGTCTGCTATCCTGGCGACCCCAGAATGGGCGCCAATGGTCTCTTTCGTCGACGGCTGGCTCACTTTGGTCGGCAACTGGACGTGCACGCTGAGTATCAACTTTTCAGGCGCGCAGATGATCCTCAGCGCCATCACGCTCTGGAATGACGACTACGTACCGACACCGTGGCAAACGATTTTGATGTTCTGGTTTGTTATGTTGCTTCACGCTCTGATCAATATCTTCCTGTCCAAATACCTCGACTTCATCAATAAGTTGGCCATGTACTGGATTGCCGGAGCTGTGGTCATCATCCTGATCGTGACACTGTCCATGGCAGATACTAAGCACAGCGGCGCTTATGTCTTTGGCCATTACGATGCTTCAGCGAGTGGCTGGTGGGTTTCCCCGTCCCAACCAAACACTGGTCAGTACTAAACATACCCTCAGGCCAAGTGGATGGGCGTTCTTCGTCGGGCTTCTCCAAGCTGCATACACCTTGACAGGCTATGGCATGGTCGCCGCCATGTGCGAAGAAGTGCAGAATCCTCACCTCGAAGTTCCCAGAGCGATCGTCCTCTCAGTGGTCGGCGCAGGCATCACAGGCGTGGTATACCTCCTACCCATTCTCTTCGTTCTCCCACCAGTCGAGCTCCTCTTGGGCGTTATGAACGGCCAGCCAATCGGCCTGCTGTTCAAGACGGTCACCGGATCCGCCGGCGGAGGCTTCGGCCTTCTCTTCCTGCTCCTGGGGGTATGGATGTTTGCCGGCACCGGCGCCCTCACCGCGTCAAGCCGCTGCACCTACGCCTTCGCCCGTGACGGCGCCATCCCAGGCTACCACATCTGGCGCAAGGTCAACAAACGCCTAGACGTCCCTCTCTACGCGATCGTCCTTTCCGCTGTCGTCGACGCCCTCTTGGCTCTCATCTACCTCGGCTCCTCAGCGGCCTTCAACTCATTCACAGGAGTAGCAACGATCTGCCTCGGCGCATCGTACGGCCTACCCATCCTCGTGTCCGTGGTACGAAGGCGACGCATGGTCAAGAACTCGCCGTACTCGCTAGGGCGCTTCGGCTATGCGATCAACATCGTTGCCGTGGTATGGATTATCCTGGCCACTGTGCTGTTCTGCATGCCGACCGCTGTGCCCGTCACGCCGTCGAGCATGAACTACGCTAGCGTGGTGTTCACCTTTTTCGCGGCTGTCAGTGTACTCTGGTACCTTGTCTATGCGCGCAAGCATTTCACCGGCCCTCCTATTGCCGACATTGAGGTGGTCAAGGGCGCGGTGAACGAGGGTGTTTCGCCGGATGTGGAGGATTCGTCGGGTGTGCTGGGTGAGACTGCGGCGCCGAATAAAGCAGAGTGAGCGTTTTCATCCTCAATAAGTCAAGTCAGTGACCAATTCGGAACGCCCTATATACAGAATATACTAGTACATAGAGGTCATCAAATTGGATTTGACGTTATTGTCGTATTGTCCAAGCAAGAACCGAGCTCGGGTTCCCAAGTGACACTCACGGAGCGAACGCTTCGACAGCATATCATAGAACCTAAAGCGATAGAATCTGGAGCTTCCGGAGTACCATGAAGTGGAATTATGACCTTGTATACGAAGAATATCAGGTTTGCTATTGAGCAAGTACACCAGGCTGATAGTAACAGGCGCCGGAGATCAGATGGTGCCACTTCCTCTAACTTCACCATTCATTATCAGCTTGGGGCGAGGAACATCAGAACAAGAGTAAGGAAGGATTACAAATTATTTTTGAATTCGTTTTATTGAAAAGAGCTATTCTAAGCTGCATCATGCAGCATCTCTGATCTTTCTGGACAGAGAAAATCCATCCCAGCTTCATTACCACTCATGCTGAAATTCTATGCCATGCAAAAGGTATCATGTTCCATTTTGCCGCCGAAAACGCCAACGCCGGTATGATTGACATTTAAAAACATTCGCTCAATGCTTTTGTTTGGTCAGGAAGACATTTAGTCAACCTCCTCGACAGTTGGGCCATCATCTCCACCGTGGCCACCAGCACCACCGGCGCCAGGGAAGCCACCTGGACCGCCAGGCATGCCACCACCGGGCATACCACCTGGCATACCACCTTCACCGCCAGCACCGTAGAATTTCATCATGATGGGGTTGGCAACACCTTCAAGCTCCTTCTGTTGAGACTCGTACTCCTCCTTGGTGGCGGTCTGGTTCTCATCCAACCAAGAGATGGTCTTGTCGATCTCAGCCTTGAGCTTCTCCTTGTCAGATGCGTCAAGCTTCTCGTCAACCTTGGAGTCTGACAGAGTGTTCTTGAGAGAGTATGCGTATGACTCGAGAGCGTTCTTGGAGCTGATACGTCCAGCCTCAGCCTCGTCTTCAGCCTTGTACTTCTCGGCCTCAGAAAGCATACGCTCGATCTCTTCCTTGGACAGACGACCCTTGTCGTTGGTGATGACAATCTTGTTGGACTTGCCGGTACCCTTCTCGAGGGCAGAGACGTTCATGATTCCATTGGCATCAAGATCGAAAGTGACCTCAATTTGAGGAACACCACGAGGAGCAGGTGGGATGCCAGACAGTTCGAACTTGCCGAGCAGGTTGTTGTCCTTGGTGCGGGCACGCTCACCCTCGTAGACTTGAATAAGCACACCAGGCTGGTTGTCGGAGAAAGTGGAGAAGGTCTCGGACTTCTTGGTGGGGATGGTAGTGTTTCGCTTAATGAGGGCAGTCATGACACCACCAGCGGTCTCAATACCGAGAGACAACGGCGCAACGTCAAGAAGTAGGATTTCGTTGGTCGATTTGGAAGAAGTGTCACCAGACAGGATAGCGGCTTGGACAGCAGCACCATAGGCGACAGCCTCGTCAGGGTTGATTGACTTGTTGGGCTCCTTGCCATTGAAGAAGTCGGAAACAAGCTTCTGGATCTTGGGAATACGGGTGGAACCACCGACCAAGACGATCTCGTCGACAGAGGACTTGTCGATCTTAGCATCGCGGAGGACGCGCTCAACAGGGTCCATGGTGGAGCGGAAGAGGTCTTGGCAAAGCTCTTCGAATCGAGCACGGGTGATGGAGGTGTAGAAGTCGATGCCTTCATAGAGCGAGTCGATTTCAATGGAGGTCTGAGCGGAGCTGGAAAGGGTGCGCTTCGCACGCTCACAAGCGGTTCGGAGACGTCGAAGGGCTCGGGCGTTGGTGCTGAGGTCGCGCTTGTGCTTTCTTTTGAACTCATTGACGAAGTGGTTGACCAGACGGTTGTCAAAGTCCTCACCACCCAAGTGAGTGTCACCAGCAGTGGACTTGACTTCGAAGATACCCTCTTCGATGGTAAGGAGGGAGACATCGAAAGTACCGCCACCAAGATCGAAGATCAGGACATTGCGCTCACCGGTGGCCTTCTTATCGAGACCGTAGGCAATGGCAGCTGCGGTAGGTTCGTTGATGATACGGAGGACGTTGAGACCAGCAATGAGACCGGCATCCTTTGTGGCTTGACGCTGTGAATCGTTGAAGTAGGCTGGGACTGTGACGACGGCGTTGTTGACTGTGCCACCGAGATATGACTCTGCAGTTTCTCTCATCTTGGTCAGGACCATGGATGAGATTTCTTCAGGTGTGAAGTGTTTCTTCTCGCCCTTGAACTCAACCTCGATGACAGGCTTGCCGCCCTTGTCAATGACGGTGAATGGGAAGTGTTTCATATCAGCCTGCACCTCAGCGTCTGCGAACTTTCGTCCGATCAATCGCTTAGCATCGAAGACTGTGTTATGGGGGTTCATGGCGACTTGGTTCTTGGCTGCATCACCAATAAGACGCTCGGTGTCTGTGAAAGCGACGAAGGAGGGAGTGGTTCGGTTGCCCTGGTCGTTGGCAATGATTTCAATGCGGTCATCTCGGTAGATGCCCACACAGGAGTAGGTAGTACCTAGATCGATACCAATGGCTGGTGCCATGTTGAATAGAGGATCTGGAGGATTTGCGGAAAGATTATGGGGGTATCTAAAATGAAAGAGTCTTATCAAGAAGACTTTCGTGGCAAGCTGTGGTTTGTATGTGTGTATGGTGAAAAGTAAATTCGATCTGAGGCAGTGGTATGTCAATGAATTTATTCCTGCGGCGGGCAAATGTTCCTTGGCGGGACAGAAGTAGAAAGAAGGCTATAGAAGTCTAGTATGGAAGCTTCACGCATGCATGAGAAGATGCGACCCACGCCTAGACTTTTCATTCACTTTTCATAGGAGATTCTCAACGGTTTGCTTGTCACCCAGGCAGATCTTGAAGCTACGGCAACCTTCCATTTTGCAAACTTTGTTGTGTCCATTTGCCGTTGTTTGAAGCCTTTCTAACATTTTCGTTTGAGGTGGAGAAGAACTTCGATATTCCATCGCCCTCCACAGCTACGTCATTCCTCTCCACCAATGGGATTTCTTTGCGAACGAGGCCGCAAAGGTGCTAATGACGCGGGGCAACAAAAAATAATCAGAGTATCATTTCAGAGCTAACAGCTCCCCAGCAACAGGCATCATCATGGACATTAAGATATGGATTGACTCACTCCTAATCGCTAAGAGTTTTTTATTCTTCAAGCTTCTGTTCCAGTATCGAATCTCATTGTCCGCAACCTGATTGACCCATGTTCACTCTGTCTCCGTCCTTCCCCAGACGCCGTCTGAAACACCGTGCTTGATGACGACGATTGTCTCGAGAAACTTCGCTGCAGCTGTTCCGGAACTGCGCGGCTATCTCTTCCCTCGCGTGCGTCAGTCGTTGTAATCGTACCCTGGTGTTTCCTCGCTTGTTGCTGCAGCCATGGCCGAAAATTGACTGGACGTATAAACATATTAGCACATCACCCCTCAAATCAGGAGACCATCGTTTCCTACAGTATCCGCCACATGCAAACACCCCAAGCCACAGCACCAGCTCAGAGCCATAGATGATCATTCCCAGGATATCCAGATGAGGCTGGAAGAAGACTGAAATCAACGACGTCAAATCACCCATCGCATCAATGCCCACGAAGATGAAAGAAATGCCTCGGACCGTCCTTTCCTTGTAAATGTCCCAATAGTGTCGCAACACACCGGCACAGAGGAAGCAAGCAGACAGCACTGCCATGAAGGTGATTGGCCATTCGGTATGGTGGTGCTTTGCTCTCCTCAGAGCGAAGACCAGACCACATTCAATGCCTCCCATAGCAGCCGCGACGGGCAAGGTAGTCGCTGCGCATTTGGACACTGGCCATTTGTTGCCATAGTACTTGCATTGGACCCAGGTAATCAAGCTTAAGGTTGTTAAGAGCTGTGGCTGAATGCGTAATGCTATATTGAAATTCTCGACAATGTTGTACACTCCGAGTGGGATACCTGCGCAAGCCCACAGCAGCATCATAGTCGGCTGCAAACCGGTCGTATCATGCCGGCGATAATTGATGATAATTTGCGGTATGAGCTGCAACAAGTCAGGAGACATCAACCTTACAGACTTACAGCAAGTCACCTACTTGGACAGACCAACAGACTGCCCCGAGAACTCCCAGTACATTCGCAGCAACCGGGATGTCCATATCCTCTCCCTTCACACCATGTTCCAAGATACCAGGACCCTGCCTGAGGGCCGATAAAAGCTATGCGAGCGCCGCAGTAGTCCAGGGATATCCACTTCCGGTCGATAGCCGACGATCACGTGAATGACTTCCAATGAGACGTCTTGGCGGAGACCGCGGGCGCATCTGGTGAAGTCTGTTTGTTGCTGTGCTCTAAATGTGGTTCCATCTGCTTTCTCTTTCTCTTTCATCCCTGCCTCACACCTCTACCTTTCGCCAACATTGACTCAAATTCCGTGCTCGCAAAAATGTCGGCAAATGGTGAAACTGTGCCTGCGAGCACCAGTGAGGTAGTCGACAAAGGAAAGGGCAAAGGCAAAGCAGTTGAGCAGCCAGAGATCCCGGAGGACGACGACGAGTCTGAAGAAGAGAGTGCCGCCGAAGAGGTATGCCTAAACCGCGCGACCGTCCAGTGATTTTAGCTGATAACCTTGCTACAGCAACCAGAGCCAGAAGAAGACGGTACATTCTCCGCCTTGTCGCGTCCCACATCCCTCACACGTCGTGTGTGCACTGTTGCGCGATTCTCACAACACGCTCCCACTTGTCCTATGTCGCGAGCTTCATTGGGTCATGCTAACATTGCACAGAAGATGAGGGTATGGAAGATATCGACCTAGACAACGTCATTCAATCCCGCACCCGTCGCAAGAACATCAACTGGGCTGAGGCCGAGCAGAAGTCAAGAGATGCTGGTGACGAACTTGATGATGATGAGGATGAAGACGACGACGATTTCGAGGCCGAGGATGACGATGAGGAAATGCAGGGTTGAGATCGTAACCGACGCGCCGCTGTTCTCAAAGACCAAAAATCCACACTGAGCGCAGCTGTTGAATCATGCCTGCCCCTCGATCCTTCGCTTTGGATTGAGATCACTGGATACATTGACCATCTGACAGCATGCGGGCGACTCTGCACCACCCCTTCACTGTGCATGCTGTCCAAAGCCAGATGTTTCGCACTCCGCACTTTTCAGCGCAAAGCAATACATTTTACGTGCAAGCATTTCCGTTGGACAATACCGGACGCCTTCAAGACATTGGTATTGTCGATTGTATGTGACGGCACTTCTTCCGTTCTCAAAAAGGAGACCGACGGGCGAAGCTGGACACAAAAGGAAAGCATGTGCATGGCACGGATTGCTAGACAGCTCAGCCACAACTGAGCCATGTATTTTATCAAGACCAAAGTTCACAAAAGGAACAAAAAGTTCAAATCACTATCACAAAACTTCATGCCGATTGGTCTATTCACGTTCTCCTTTCTGCGCTCGTTCAAGTCCACGAATCCACCTACCAACCGTGGAAAGGCTCAGTAAGTCAAGGACCGAGATTTAGCTTATTGTTTATATGTACAGCGACTATCCTCATCTCCTCTCTCTGTGCCATAAATCCCGTGCGTCTTAATGGCACAAGCCAGCCTGTCTAGCCCTTATCGTACATTTCTGCGGCGCCAAAGCCGCCAAACGGAAATGCTAAGCTACAGCCAAATCCCTCATCACAGCTGTCGCTGCTGCAGAGATAGCAGCTTGCTTCTCCTTCGCCCCGGCCTTCTGTCTCTTTACGCAAGCCTGACACGACCAATCCCATCTCTCAAACTCCTCTGCTGACCGAGTCGGTACGGGCAGAGTTACCATCGCCGTTGCAGGCGCTTTACCTTTGTCCATCTTCCTGTGCCCATGACCAGACACCAGCTCCTGCTGTTGTTCCGCACAGCTACGATGGTACATGGCCCTGGGAGTTGTGCATTCCGGATCTGCACACATGACGCCATTTTTGATCGCACGCGCAATAGGTTCTGAGCACAGTCCGCAGACGGATTCGGTAGATCGCTGAACAGGCCTCGGCGGCTGCATAGATACCGCTATAGAAGCAACTGGACGCGGAGTCTCGCGCCGCCATGGTTCCGCGGTGCCGCTCAGACCTTCCCGCCGACGTTGCCTGGTCATGGGTGACTCCGAGCGTTCAATTGGCTGCTTCTTCGTCAATGCTGGCTCCGGGGAATCTCGAAAGATCAAGAGATTGACGTCGCAGACTACGTTGTCGTCGATGACGTCTCGTTCTTTCAAGCGCTCCAGAAAATCACAAAAGACCTGCAGGAGCTCGTCGTTGCCGTTCTTGAGCCACTTCCTGTTCTTGCGGACGAAACGTATCAGAGAATTAGACAGATACCTCGAGTGCTCTAGCTGTTCTTCCATACGGTGCTTGTCCCACCGTTTGGAAAGTTCGCGCTCGTGGTCGGTCCAACCTTTGCGTTTCGCCACAAGATCAAGCCGCTCCATATGCAGGTCGATTTGCCACTGGTTGTCAATTTCATCGTCCGTCTCACTGCGTGGCTCTTCACTCGGTGACACAGGTCGATGACTGATCGATGTGTAGACCGGCTCAGGATCCGCAAAATCAGGACGCAACTGGATTGCTTTGTATTTTCTGCGCTTGGGCTGGCGGAAGTCCGAGACTCGAACAGCGGGGAGGAACCCTGAGGGTGGGTTCTCTGTCGACGGGAGCGCCGTTGATGCAGTTTCCTCCCCAGGACTCGCTTTGATGTTCGCAGAGCCGACCCAACCACGATCGCCTTCCGTATAGGCTGACAGATCGAAAGGTGATGCTGGCGCGTGCCATTCAAATGTCTTGACGTCTTCTTCCTTCTTCACTGGCGGAGCTAAGTCCACTTTGATCTGGATGTGAGTCAGGTCATGACTTACGGGATCCCGTCGAGGCTTTTGCAGTGAAAACATGTACTTGGAGTGCATCGTTGACAGATGGAATTGTAGCCGATGTAACTTCGACGTTTTCCAGATCGCGCACAAAGGACATCGATAGCCTTTGACTGTGGCATATCGGAATTTCTGATCTACTGTTGAGCAGAAGTTGTAGCAAACTTCTGGTGGATTGGATTGTACTGTTTCTGCAACCTTTTGTGAGTCTGCAACAGTCGGGACCGCCTCTGTTCCGTTGGCGCCCTTGACGGCTTCTACCTCCGCCTGTGGTCGAAAAGAGTCAAGATCCAAGCCTTGACCTTCCCTTCTGGCCGTCTTCGGCCTCTCGCCGGACTTCTGCCATGTCGACGACACCTGAAGTCCGTACTTCGTTCTGTATGTACGACCCTCATGCAAGAAGAAGACGCTTAGTGGGGTGTCCTCTTCTGGAGGCTGTGGTAAGTGTGTATATCTGGCAACTATTGCGCCTTGCAACAATTCAGCACCATTTCGTTTGATGTCTGGGGCAAAATGGTCGCCATCACTTTTCCCCAATATTGGTACAGGAGGCCAGCGGCTGTCATTTCTGCATGGGATGATCTTCAGCTCGAGAAAATACTTGTCGATAAGGGCGAACGCTTCTTCCCCGTTCCTACTTGGAACAGAAACCTTCAGGTCGTGTGCTTTAACCGTGAAAGGTCGATCCAGCGATAACTCGACGAAATATCCGTTGACTGTGGTTTCCGTGGCAGTTACATGACAGTATTCTGATTTGGAAACAAGAGGCGCTGTTGTGTAGCCATCTCGATTATCCCAAACAGTCAGGTAACACTGGCATTTGACCGTGTCCCGCTTCTGTCGTTTGGCGGGTCTCCCTAATTCTTCGACAGAGTTGGTCTTGAAATTGAGCTTCTTGCGGATATTGATCAGGTCTAAGCTGATTTCCGCATCTGGCTGCTCGTAGACCTTGTCAAGGAGACCACGGATACTGCGACGGGTCTTTCTCTCGGTTCTCTTGCCGTCTGCCGGGGCAGACAGAGAAGATCTTGCCATATTTGGCTGTACTTGAGTCTGCCTTGAATTACTCGTAAGCCTTCCTGAGGCGGTCGATCCTTGCAATGGTGATGCACCCACTGCCTGTTCGGCTACTGCGCCTCTAGATCCGAGACCTTCTGTTGTAGTCGTACCAACGCGCAACGAGTTGGGGGACGTAGTCTTTCGTGAAACGGCAGCTCTACTTTTCCCCTCGCGCCGCTGCTGATGGTCGTCCAGAACACGCGCGATATTTCTTTCCAGAAAGAGTTTGTGCCGAGATTGACTTCGCTGGAGCGCAAAAGTAAAGTCCCCTATCAGATGCCTCGAAAATCTTCTTTCTGGACGCGACGAATTTGAGCTGTAGACGAAATTCAGCATCTTGGGTGTACGGACCCGATGCACTTTTCCACCCAGTATGCAAACCCCATTGTTCACGGCCAATGATCCGTTGTATGAGCCGATGTGACACCGTCAGTTGGGGTCTGATTGTGATGAGCGGTTATGCCACAAGTCCCCATCAAGCTGATAGATGTTCGTTCATAACGCAGTGCCAACCTCTAACAAGCAATATGGAATTGTTACAAGAGTGTTGAACGTGTTGTCTCAGGATGCTGTTGACACGACGCGTTGCTTTTGTCGCAAGTTGAATGTTATGGTTGATGTCTAGATATTGTGGTCGAAAGAAAAATCAGAAGTGAGTGAGATTGTCTGTTAATCAGAACGGAAGTTCAAAAGGTCTCTCACACAGGCAGGATCGAAGATGAATGGTGCTGTTATTCAAGTTGCCGGCAGGGGTTCTTCGGGGCCAAGTTTATTGTGGTAGAGGAGACAGTGACTTACTTAGACTTGGAATTGGACGGAGCCCAATTTGGTGAAATAGCACCCTGTCTGACATCAAATCTCCCAGAAAGTATCCTGAAAGCCGTACATATTCACGCATATTCTTGATTCAGTCCCCATCCCTGTCGCGTCAGACCAAGATATCGAGACTGACCAACCACGAGCGGCCTAACTCCGCCCCTCTGTTAAAAGCGCGTCTATCTCACCACCTGTTGGCTACTTCGACTGGTCTTTCAATTATCACGACTATGTCCACGGCTTGTAGGTGTAGTCAGGCATTCACAACGCTCGCCCTAGTGACCGAATGCTCCGTAGCCACTCATTCACAGCATGCTCTTCGTTCTTCAGTGTGACCACCTCGCCCGGATGTCACTAAGTTAGATGGCCGCAACGCGTCCAGCATGAAGCGAGGACGAATCGTAGAATTATGTATGTCAGATCATTTGTTTGTTTTATCTACAACAAGTGAGTTGTGGCGAATTGACAGCGACTGTCGCGATCTACGGGCTCGAGCACCCTGTCGTATTCGCTCTGCGGAGCGATGTTATAAGCTGTTGTCCTCCATAGGCAAAAGAGCAGTATAGAGCCGTCCAATCACTCGATCTTAGAGTTTGATTTTCTTCCTTCGTTTCATTCATGCCTCGGAAGCCCTAGTGGTGAAACAGTACAGCACAGTAGCTAAGGTCAGTCTACTGTCTTTCAGCCTCAAGCAAGGGGATTTGCCCTTGGCAGGTTGCGAAATGAATCGTCCATGGGCTGCAGTCTCCACGCTCGCACATATGGTCACTAATGCGCCGGGCCCGAGTCATCTAGCCCCATGGTACCGCACCCGGCTTGATTTCATGACTTTGCCATCACTTGCAAAGGTTGGCCTCAAACTATGCAGCCTGCATCAGCCCTGCAAATCGTTGAGGAACGGAGCCACTCACCTGTAATGTAAATCTGGTCGATAGATCCAAAGAAATTTGCTCTTGAGCACTACTGATCGTGTATGTCCCTTTCCAGGTGACCAGTTGTTGTCAGAAACGCATGCCAGGTGCTTCCTTGTAACGCGCGAGTCGACACATAGATCTTGTCTTGAATGCCCCCCTGAGCCAGCTTGAAAGGAGACACCCAGCAAAAGAACCCTGGCAGGTGACGGGTTCTGCGAACAGAGGCTTGTGTCCTTGTAGTTCGACAAGCTCCTTGTGGGTCGATGATGATTTGCGTGGTCGTGTCCTAATAGACAGCCAGGCAGCTGCAACTCCCAACGAGATGGTGGTGGGAAATGCCGTTGCTTTACCTGCAGAAGGCAATGTTGCATTGTAGCGGCCGCAGCCTCAGTCTAGATGCATCATGTCTCCGTTCGCTACGTTGACGCCATTCTGTGACTGTGTGGTTCCACCACCAGTGTTGTCAATTTGCGTCTCTGTCTCGCCCATTAAGCTGGTCTGCATGCGTAGACTCTGACAGCCAGGACAGTTGTGCACAACTTCATGCGCAAAGAGGTCGCAGTCAATGCAGAAATGGTGCCGACAAATTGGACATTCGTATCTACTGCTTGTTGAAGACGTTGAAGTCGAGTTCCATTGGTCTCTCGGAGGCACAGCCGGGAAGTCTTTCAGACAGGCAAAGCATGCCTTGCTACGGTGTGCCTTTGCCCACGGCACCTCGAGCCAATTGACCAGAGGAAACAGATGATGATAGCTCCGGGCCAGATGGGTTGAGAGAATAAGAGTCAACCCACATACAGGACACTCGCTCGGCAAACTGCATACCTTTGTGCTGCATCGAGAGCACAAGTAGCCGTCACGGGAAGGTCTTGTATGGCATGCGCAAAATGAAGGATGGTTCTCCACCGTCCGGGATGGGAAGCCCATCATCAACAAAGAGTTGGCCGACTTGGTGGCCTGACTTGTGACGGGTGGTGTCGTGACAGCCATAATGAGTTCGCGAAAGTGCTGCTCATGTAGCACAACACCATAATTTGAGCGGCTCCCGTCGTTCGTCTTGGAGACCAGCTCGGCACAAATAGCCACCTGCGCAGCAAGGCCGATAACTGTAGCTCTGATCTTGTCTGCGACCAGACTGTCGATTGTACGGTGGATATCACCCGGATCGGAGGTATGAAGCGCACCAAATATTAGCACAACCTCACGGGTGCCGTGGCTAGGTGCGTGGAAAAGAGCTGCCCGTGACATTTCCAGAGCATTCTCCAAAGATGGGCTGCCTTTTGGTTCCTCCTTGCGGATCTTCTGTATGGCAGCCAGATGTGCGTTTGGATTGCCAGACATGTCACTGATACGCATAGCAATTCCATCACGCATTCCCACGATACCAAGCTGAGAAATGGGATTCTGTTCGAAGAACTCGCGAATGAAGGCCTCGGTATACAAGAGAGTGAGGAGGTAACGTGTAGGGCGCAGGTCTTTCTCGTTCATAGCCAGGGTCATGTCCAGGATAAGGATGAGGTGGCGGATGATACCTCGCTGCAAAGGAGTCGTGTCCTTGAGAAGTCTATGTCAAGCATGGTGTTAGCATGGCGCCGTGATCTCGTCTCCAATTTTCAAGGGATATCGTGCTCTTCTCATGTTCGCCGCCTGAATGATTCAAGTGTGCCTTACCTCTTCCTCTTACTGGCCTCGAGTAGGCCCTCCACAGCACCCGTAATGGTGCCATCGGCGCCTTCGGTCAGTAAATCCCATGTTCGGGTTACCTCGAAATTCTGCACGTCTTCGCGATTAGCCCGTCGAGCCTGAGCGCGGCCGGAGGCTCTGGGTAGATCATCATCAGATCCTTCCGCAACATATTCGTCCCCTGATGCCGGCATCACATGGGCAGAAAATGTGCGGATATTGAGAAAGAAGGCAAAGGAAGTGGCTGATAAAATTGTCGCGTGCGAGGCCAGCAACCAAATTACCTTGGTGCAGTTGGAGATCCAAAACGATGATGTCGCCGTTGCTAACCGCAGTCGTCCAGGTACCAGGTGGGGTGCATTCCTTCTGGTAGCCTCCGCACCAGCAGTGCAACATACCTACTGATCGGTTCATTGATTGTCGCCTGTAGACTAAAATATTTGAACAGCAACTTGCTGATAAGGCCTTGTTGTCAGTAGTGCTACATTCAACTACTGGTACAGATTGAATGCTCGAGGTCAGAGCCTGTCTTGCACGCTTAACTTTCTTTTCTATTACCAAGGCTGGACCTTCTTGCACGAGACGAACAATCCATACCGGTGTCAAATTCTCGCGGACGACAACTACTAAAACCTCGACACACTCTCCATCCTTCAAGCTTCCCCAAGTACGGTTCTGTTCGGCGGAAGTGAGGCGAACCATGGCACCGCCCACGGATCGAGATATCCTCCCCGACACTATCAAGCCATTGAACTATGACCTCTCCCTCTTCAACCTCGAATTTGGTGGTGAATGGTCCTACGACGGACTGGTGAAGATTGACTCGAAGGTCAAGCAGAGCACAAAAGAAGTTGTGATCAACACGAAGGAGCTCGAAATTACAGGCGCAGAAGTACTCGGCAAAGACGGTGGCTGTACGTTATATCCCGATTGTAGATGTCCCAGTACTAAGTGTCTTGCAGCTTCCATTGCCTCAATGGCCGATGTCTCCTATGACAAAGCCAACGAACGTGCAACCATCAAATTCTCTGGTGACATTCCTGCTGGAGATGCCGTGGTTGCGATCAAATACAAGGGCGTTATGAACAATGCAATGGCAGGGTTCTATCGATCCAAGTACAAGCCTGCTACCACGCCGAGCTCTGGTACACCCACAGATGGAGAGTTTCACTACATGTTCAGCACTCAATTTGAAGCCTGTGATGCGAGGAGAGCGTTCCCCTGTTTTGATGAGCCCAACCTGAAAGCCTCTTTCGAGTTCGAGATCGAAATCCCTGAAGACCTCGTGGCCATCAGTAACATGCCTGAAAAGGGTGTAACGAAGGGCAGCAAGGACGGCTTGAAAAAAGTGGCGTTTGAGAAGACTCCCGCCATGAGCACATATCTTGCCGCCTGGGCTATTGGTGATTTCGAATACGTGGAAGACTTCACGGCGCGCAAATACAATGGCAAGAACATCCCTGTACGAGTCTACACTACCCGAGGCCTCAAGGAGCAAGGTCGTTTTGCTTTGGAACATGCACATAAGACCCTGGACTACTTTTCTGATGTATTCGGAGTCGAGTATCCTCTGCCGAAGTCCGATCTGCTGGCTGTTCACGAATTTGCCATGGGGGCTATGGAGAATTGGGGTCTCGTGACTTATCGCACGACTGCAGTTCTCTTCGATGAAGAGAAATCTGATGCTCGATTCAAGAATCGTGTTGCATATGTGGTAGCTCATGAGTTGGCCCATCAGTGGTTCGGCAACCTCGTCACCATGGACTGGTGGAACGAGCTCTGGCTCAACGAAGGCTTCGCTACCTGGGTGGGATGGCTTGCTGTTGATCACCTGCATCCTGAGTGGAAGGTCTGGAGTCAGTTTGTGGTGCGTAAAATGTCCAAAGGTATCTCATGCGATGTGTGTTGACATGAATCCAGGCTGAAGCTGTACAAACAGCTCTTGAACTCGACTCACTACGAGCCTCTCACCCCATCGAAGTCCCCGTCCGCAACGCTCTCGAAGTTGATCAGATCTTTGACCACATATCGTATTTGAAAGGTAGCTCGGTGATCAGGATGTTGAGCAATCATCTTGGCCAGGAGGTTTTCTTGAAGGGCGTTGGCGATTATCTCAAAATCCATGCTTACGGCAATGCCAGGACCAACGACCTCTGGGCAGCCCTGAGTGCCGCTTCTGGTCAGGATGTGCAAGCGTTCATGGACCCATGGATTCGCAAAATCGGCTTCCCAGTGGTTACCGTTGCTGAAGAACCTGGACAGATTGGTATCCGTCAGTCAAGATTTTTGACCACCGGAGACGTTAAGTCGGAAGAAGACGAGACTACCTGGTGGATACCTGTCGGCCTCAAGACTGGTACTCCAGCCAAAGTTGTTCACAGCGCCCTAACGCAGAAGGAGGACACTGTGCGCGATGTGGACGATGACTTCTACAAGATCAATGCAGACCAAAGCGGCTTCTACCGCACAAACTATCCCCCGCAACGATTGGTGAAGCTTGGTGAAGCTCAAGATCGTCTATCGGAAGAAGACAAGATTGGCTTGATGGGAGATGCAACGGCCTTAGCTATCGCAGGAAACGCTACAACAGCAGCTCTGCTCTCCTTATTGGAAGGCTTTCAGAAGGAAAAGAGCTACTTGGTATGGTCGCAGATTGCAAGCTCACTGTCAAAAGTGCGAGCGGTCTTTGCTACCAACAAAGAGATCTCGGCGGGGTTGAAGAAATTCGCCTTGAAATTGTTCTCTCCTGCAGCGGAAGCTATAGGCTGGGAATTCCCCGAAGACGAAGAATGGCTGACAGGACAATCCAGGAAACTCCTCCTTGGTTATGCAGCAGGTGCTGGACATGACGGCATCATTGCAGAAGGTCGAAAGAAATTCTCTGCGTGGAAATCCGGGGATGAAAAGGCCATACATCAAAACTTACGCAGCGTTGTGTTCAACCTTGCTGTCGCGAATGGTGGGCAAGAGGAATATGACAGTATCAAAAGGGAATTCAGGAAGCTGACAGCCGTTGATGGCAAAGAAATATGCATTCAAGCACTGGGCCGTTCCAAAAACCCAGATCTCGCATGGGACCTGCTTGAATTTGTGACTTCTGAAGAAGTCCCACCTCAAGATGCACATGGAGGTATCGTTGCGGTGTCTTCGAACAACGAGACACGGCCGGTGGCTTGGGAGTTCACTAAGAAGTCCTGGGACCGCGTCGACAAGAGGCTTGGTATCTCGGGCATTGTTATTGACAGATGGCTCAAGATGGGACTGCCTAAATATTCCGACACAGCCATCAGGGATGATATCGCCAACTTCTTCAAAGACAAGGATACTGGGAGATATAGTCGCAGCTTGGTGATTGCGTCCGATACCATCACAGCAAATGCTGCGTATAAGGAGCGGGATGCAGCGCGATTGCTAGAGTGGTTGAAGGCACATGGATATGCTTGAGTGCTGGTGGAAGAGCACGCTTAATCGAGCTGGCACACGAGACGGCATAGCAATGATTATCCATAGAAGCTGCTCTTGACCGAATGTCATCATACAATCACCTGCTCAGGCCATTGAAGCCTGCTTCTCGACCATGATCTATGCGTGAGACACCATTCAGCCTTGGTTTGTGACAGAGTCACGCTCACTCGCACGGTAATCCAGGCAGGACTCAGGAGATTAGGCTGAGGCTGGCACGTGACCTCGGGCTTACCGTCAAATCATGTTCCCATTGCCCCCATGATTCCACGTCTCGCAAACGCCAGCCCAGAGGATTGCTCCTGTTTATTTCACTCGAACTTGCCTTCTATCTTGACTTCACACCTAGTCCACTTCTCTTCCGAACACTACTTCGATCAGTCAGATCCGCACAATTGTATCTCGTTCTCTTTACTGTCCCTTCACATCAACTCCGATCTACCCTCCGCGCCACACGTCACAATGAATCCAGAGTGGTAAGTCTCGCCTGGCCGGTCGCCATCGACGGACCAGCGTCCCCCAACGACGCGCAGTGTAATGTACTGACCATCGGTATAGAGTTCACTCATCATAACCTGTCTCTCTCCCGCCGTGGAGGGAGCACTTGCCTAGATCGCGATTATTGACCCGGCGCCCAGATACGATTACCTGTTCAAGCTCCTGCTTATTGGAGACTCCGGCGTTGGAAAGTCTTGCCTCCTGCTGCGATTCGCCGATGACACATACACCGAGTCCTACATCTCGACCATTGGTGTTGATTTCGTACGTTGATGAATATGCTAAGCCGTGTGCTTTGGAAAGGCTGCGGTGCGGAAGAAGGAGCTGACCGCCAACCAGAAAATCCGAACAATTGAACTCGATGGCAAGACTGTCAAACTACAGATCGTAGGTTCTTTCCACCTACATTCACAATGCTTCGTCTGACAGTTTGAAAGTGGGACACCGCTGGCCAGGAACGATTCCGAACCATCACTTCCTCCTATTATCGCGGCGCTCACGGCATCTGCGTGGTCTACGATGTGACAGATATGGATTCATTCAACAATGTCAAGCAATGGTTGCAAGAGATTGATCGCTACGCTACTGAAGGTGTCAACAAGTTGCTTGTCGGTAACAAGAGCGACATGGCAGACAAGAAGGTTGTTGACTACACGATGGCTAAGGTTTGTGATTTGCGTTGCTCAGCATGGTGCCGGAGGCTTACATGGCTCCAGGAATTCGCTGATAGCTTGGGAATCCCATTCCTCGAGACTTCGGCCAAGAACGCCTCAAACGTCGAGCAGGCTTTCTTGACCATGGCTCGGCAAATCAAGGAGCGCATGGGAACGACGACTGTTAACAACAAGCCCACCGTTCAAGTCGGTCAAGGACAAGGTGTGCAGTCAGGCTCTGCTGGCGGATGCTGCTAGTTCAATCACAGTACACTACTCGCCCACAGTGTTGCAGTGGTCGAGGTAGGGAGAGGTCTGGTCACAGAGCAGGCATTGAACGGGGTTCTTTCGCAACAGCCTTTACCCTCATATGATTTGAAAGGCGTTGAGGCGTTCCAATGGAGTCCATACATGCCTAGACTTCTGCTTTCAAGAGCCCATGCCTTGACCAGGGCGAGAATGCTTTTTGTTGGATTTGCGGCAGACCTGCTTCGGCGCGGGTTAATGAATGGAATGTGGTGACTTCAGCTGAGCGTGTGGATACAGAACGATTGAACCTGTCAATGAACTCCGTTGGCGCATCTTTGCATTTCTTTCCGGGATTTCCCTTTTGGCTACATTTCTGTTCTTGTCTTTGAGGCGGAGGCGAACTCCGCTCCCAGCCGGTGCACAACAACGCTGCAGGCACGGTCGCCGCTGTTGACAATGAAGCGAAGTTGCCGCTGGCGCCCACTACTCACATCCACAGATCCCATTCTCCCTTTGGGTCGCCGCGCTGTCTTCATCGACCAGTGCGAACGCTGCAGGGCCGGTCGCTGCTGTTGACAATGAAGCCAGTTTATCGCTGTCGCCCACCACTACGTTTGCAGATCACAGTCGTTCCTTTGGGTCGCTGCGCTGTCCGCAAAGACGAACACCGTCGTTGGCAGGAGAGTCGGCGACCCGGCTGCAGCACCATTTCATGTTGCCGCCAAGTCGCGTGAAGCAGTGTCACTTTGTGCCGCATATAACCCGTTTGCCGATCTGAGTGACTTTCCAAAAACCAGTCATGGCAAATTCTTCGTTTGAAAGCCTCTCGGCAACTCCACCGTCGCTTTTAGCGACAGCAGCAGAAACCTCCTTCCTCCTGTCCACCTCATCGACGATGACGACGTCCGGAGTCTACGACCTAGATGGAGGTTCCACACTCCCGTCGATCTCCATCATAGGATATGCCACGGAACCGTCTCTACCACCAGGTTCAACTCTCAGATGGATAACGTCTGTCTCTTACAAAAGCATCAGTTCCGAACCAAAAACAAGTACCACGTCGCTTGCATCGATTACAGGCACAAGATCGGCTGGTAATTCTTGGACAACATCAACATTTTCACTAACAATCGAGGTAAATTCGACATTGACAACAACACGAATGCCGCTGACGATTATGGTGCATCCGACATTGACAACCTCTCTTCCGTCGCCGATCATAACGTCTTCCACCTCCGCAGTGCCTTCAATCACATCTAGCTGCTCGACAACTTCTGCTGTGTCGATCTCTCTAGCGCAGTCAGCGACGCTGGGTACCACAGTGCGCCCAACAGCATCTCCAGCATCGTCATATAACTCCACGACGTCAGCATTCGCCGGAACACATGCTCGAATTGCACCACACGTCTTGATGATTGCTATCCCGGTCTCCATTGGCAGCACAATCGCGATGATCTGCCTGTTCTTTCTCTGGCGCCGGTTTCACCCAACGTCTTTCCAGAAATTCATCAGCCTTTGTCCATACCACGCAGCCTTGTCGCGTTGGGCCGGAACACGAGACAGGAATCGTCGCATGCGTGCTTTACGCACAGCTGAAGGCCTCACAGAAACCCATCGCGGCTTCACAGGAGGAGACACATTTACACGTCGCCTACGACAATATGAACAAGAGTCTATCCGTGCCAGGGAAAAGTTCAGCTTTGAAATGCCTTCTACACCACATTCCGGCAAAAAGAGCGAGGGCAGTACACTGGTGGGCAGTCCATGGCGCAAGAACAAGATCACAAGTCCCAAGCCAAGCTACGATTCCTCCAAGGGACCTGAGACCGGTCGGCGCATGTATGGCCCATTCAAGCGTGATTTCAATGAGGAAACAGGAAGTCTGGAGAGTTGGGAGGAGAAATGGTTCAATCTGGGCACTGATGCTGAGGAGAGTGCGTCTTCAACTGCAGATCTTCCAAAGACAGAACCGGCGAAAGATGATGAGGACAAGATTGAGCGTTTTGCTGGACCTGGAATGTCATGGCGCAAACTCGTCTGAAGAACATGAGCATGGATACAGATCGGTGGCATTGAATGGCGCCAGGCTCGGAACGATGTAACTGAGACGAAGGTGAAAACATTGGATTGACGTTGGCTGAAGAGAAGATCATGGCTAGGCATTTAGTTGGGTGCGAGCTGCTCCTGGACAACAAGTTTGCGACTGCTTGCGTGGAATGCAGTTGATACACACCATTGTTCTCTCCAACCCCTTCCGCCTCATCACCACTCCCCAAACTTCATATCGCAGCGATTTCCAGCCTGCAGCATTCAAACCATGTACCTGAACTGCTTATCCTCTCCAAACTCTGTCGGTCTTTCCAGATGCACAGTATCCCTATTCGCTCCATACTTCTCATCACGCTTCTTGTTCGCCCTTATTAACAACCCCATCTGCATGCACGCAGCGACCACAGTGATCAAACAAGCTCCGCAGCTAATCCACATGCCTTTTCTGTAATACGGCGCATCGCTCTTGGGGAAGATATTTGTTCCCAGCACAGGACCGCACTGTCCGCCCGTGGCCAGGATCGCAAGCGCCACGGCACGCTTACTATCTGTAGCATGCGTGTTGCCGACCCAAGTCAGCGTCATGGCGACACTGACGAAGATCAGCACAGCGAGGAACAAGCCAAAGTACCGTGGTCCGACGCCCGTGGTTGTCCCGAGGATGATGTACCCGACGGCCGCGAAGAGGGCAGGCAACGCGACGAAGGGGCCGCGATAGCCTACGCGGTCACTGATGAAAGCTGTACCGCAAATCGCCAAGAAGCAGAGCACATAAGGCGGTGCAGACAGGCCGTTGCTCTGGATACTAGTGAAAGCGCCCATTTCGCTTATAATCGTTGGGACGAAGAGCGGCAGTGAGGCGAAACACACGTTGCATCCGAAATACATGATTGGCGGGAGGTATGCTATACGGCATGACCATCAGTAACAAGTACCACCAATGACAGAGTTGCCAGGAGGATGGAAATTCAAGACTCACATCTATAGTCCATCAGTCCGCCCAGGACCTGTTTCCACTGTAAACCCTTGCTACCGGTGCGATCACCAGGCTGGCGCAACGACAAATCAATCGCGATCTCCTTGTCGCGGGCATTCAAGAACTTCGCGGCATGTGGACTGTCGGGCAGCCAGAACCACGCCACGATCGCGAGGACGCATGTGGGTGCACCCTCGACGATAAAGAGGATGCGCCAGGGCCCGATGGACGATTTGGCCTGCGCGATACCATACGCAAGAGCAGAACCATATGCGTTTGCCGCGGCGGATCCAGATAGGAATATCCCGGTTCGTAGACCGAGTTTCTCGCGTGGGTAGAAGAAGGACAGGTACAGTGGCACTCCTGGGCCGTAGGAGGCTTCGAATATGGCGAGGATGACTCTGCAGACCATCACGCCGGCCCAGGATGTGCATGCTGCTTGTAGGGTGGAGACCACGCCCCAGCCGAAGACGACGAAGGCGACCCATTTGTGTGGTGGGAAGGCTTTCCAGCCCATCTGCGTCCACTGGAAGAGGATGTCTAGAAGTGACAGGAATGGTCAGGATGTTTCCTTCCTCAATGGGGCTGTAGGTGCAGCGCTAGACTTACAGGAGATATAGAAAGCCGTTCCGAGCCAGTCATACCGGTTCCCAGTGAGGTCAATATCCTTCTCCATGCCGGATATACGGGCGTTTCCCAGGTTGGAGCGGTCGAGCACAGACAGGCTGTACAGCACGAAGATCAGCGGCATGAGATGCCAATCCAGCTTGCGGATAACAGCATCTTCTTCTTTCTTGGTGTATTGAGGAGCCAATGCTGGGTCGTATGGCTTATTGATATCATTGTGATCATGGGGGTCGGTTTGGACGTTTTCTGCTGTCATGACGGTGGGCTTCTCGTCCGATGAATTGCTAGCAGGGGAGTGTATCGCGTCCGGTGCAGCTATTCCGGACGCATCCTTCTCATTGACGTGTTTGATATCCATCGCTCACCAGTCAAGAAGGAGAAAGGGAAGGCTTGGGACGAGGAAAGGTGCGAAAGCTAAACAGTGGAAGATGAAGAAGATTTGCAAGAGGAAACATTGGCTATGAAAGCAGGACGGACCTTTTATTCGAGACTAACGTACATGATTGTGCCTCCCAGTGTAAGAATCAGCTGTCCGACCCTGAGGACGTTCCCCGCAGCCAGAGATAGCCCGAGGCGTCGCTGATGCGACCTACAATGCCGAGGGTGGGTAGAAAAAGCAGGAAAACCGATGGGTGATCTTGGTAAACACATGGCAGGTCTTGGATGGCAAGGTGTCTGTGACCTTCTGAATGCATTGCCGACCGGTGATTGACCGGTGATAGCTCGCCAAACTAAGCGGTCTACGTGCAGATTGGAGAGAGGCAAGTATGGCCTGAGGGATGGATGGTTCTTCTTGGCTCTTATGGCGATCCCCATCTCGTTTGTCCGGGTATTGGTTGAGGCAGTTGGGGTTGGTGGATGGAGCATGGAGCAATATCGAAATAGGTTGCCAAACCCCGGAGAAACAGTACTTGTGGGTGAGATCCCCACGGAGTATTTCCGTCCGTCTCCAAACCTTGACGCTGAGCCAGTTTCCAGAAAAAGTGGTACCGTCTAACAGGGAGCATCGACCATATAAGATCATGATCCGCCACGCTCACGGCAGTGGGTGTCTTGATTTCAAGAGAGAAGGAATACACGGTAGAAATAATGATCTTCCTCCTGTCCAAGGCTCGCGCTATGTCGTCATGTGCGAGAGGTTCCGAGACGACAAGAAGGGCTTGAGAAGCTGCGTGACGCGTTTCTTGGAGACTGAAGCGTCAAGGATGCGACCAGAGAGGCCGTCTCTCAGCCGGACTTCTTGAAACGTCAAAGATACTGTCGGCTCGTGTCGTCGCACAAATTCGCACAGTTCGAGCTCATCAGTGATTATGTTGGTCAAGGTGAGTTCCCTAACATTTTGAAAATGAGATGTAAGCAGTTGGCGCGTCATGTAGGATATGGTTGCAACACCATGTTGGTGCCGCCAGCGTTGTTTGGGAGTATATTCCCAAATCATATCGAAGCCTAGCGATAGCTTGACCGTGCCGGTCAAGTGTTTTGTTAACTCCCTGAGCATATGGCACGGATCGACAAGCCACTCCTTCGGGTTGCTATACCCGCAGGTCAACACCCACAGATCGGTTGCATTGAAAGTGATCTTGACGTGGTTTGCTCCCCTCAGGAAGTCACAAAATCGATGTGGATGTCTCGATAATATGCACTCCCAAAGACCGAGACAAGCGAGCTCCACGTAGCCCATCGATGTCGAATTCCTTAGAGTTGGCCATTCGTTGAGGAGGTCCCATCCCCCGGCCCATGTAGCATTCCTCAAACCGGTGCGCTGCACCACGGGATGGGCTTCGGGAAACAACGGCTGTGCAGAATATGTTATATCCACGTCGCAGGTGTATATCAAGTCCCTCAGACATTCCAAACTCGAAAGAAGTTGGCAAAGGTTTCAAGAACTATACGAGTACTCTCTGAAAGCATGCTGGTCCATGAGCTCTCTTCCGTAAGTTTCCTGGAACTGAAGCATTCTGGGAGACTCCTCGTCGGGGTCAGATGCTTGAAGCAGTTTGTGTTCTTGTGACCAAACTGGATCTGTGCGATCTTCAGCCAAGTCCATCAGTCCATACCTATGCCAAACCAGGCAATGTACGTGGTGTCCGAGCTGGGAATGGTATGCGATGCTCTCTAGGTTCTTGAGGCTTCTCATATTCCGAGAAAGATGGACCTTGCGGAATACTCCTGGGGTTGCGAGAGAGCTGGTGCGTTTGTTGACAAGGCGACAGGTTTTCAAGTCGTCTACTGTCAAACGATCGAAGACGTTGTCGATGACCTCGGCAGGCAACGTGTCCCAGTCGACCGCTGTTGAGTCTGTTCCCGCAGACGGAGGCCCGTCGTCGATCGAAAGAGAAGCCATGCTGCAAATAAGGCGTAATATATCGTCACCGGTGCAATGATACGAGGAAGGAGACATGGTGATTTCCGCTCCCTGTGGGTGCACAACACTGCTGCAGGCACGGTCGCCACTGTTGACAATGGGTGAGTCCGTCGCTGTCGCCCGCTGCTTACATCCACAGATGGCGATGATCTAAGCAGGAGGGGTGGTGGTGATCAATGATGGACAACGATGTTGATCGAGTAGGAAAGATGGTGGTGGTTCAGGAAGGAAATGAGGTGGCGAGTGAGGAAGGAAATCTACCTTAGAGCCGTCGAAGAAATGCAGGCAGTGAGTGTTGTGACAAGGCTGCGAGAAACAAGATGAAGAAGTGAATCTTGAACCCAGTCTCATCAGAAAATTTGGTGAATACACCGACTGCCTTCAACGCAAGTAGTCGCAGACTTCTCATCGAGGAGTGCACTGCACCCAACTGCCTAGCCATGATATTCACTTCAACAAACGTTAATCCAATGTTTTCACCTTCATGATATGGTATCTGGGAGTGGTGGCGAGGCAGAAGCAGACGGAGAGAGCAGTGATAAGCGCGAGCAATAAATGGATTGCTCAAAGCCAGTCAAAGGGCAGTGTCCTCTTATGCTGAAGCTAGCCATCCATGATTGCATTTGGGGATGAAGTAACATTTCAAACCTACACAAGCCGTTCCATTTTATACATACATATTTTATCGACACCATAACGCCCGCTCCAACCAGGGCACGGCTGCCCTCTCTCAGATTCGGGGCGCCTCTAATGCATAGACTCCATATGCTCATCCAGTTCCGACATATTTGAACCAGAGTGGTCGACAGTCTTCTCGCTGCAACCATGATTCACCACCATAAAATTGCCCGGGCGTACACCCGCGACACTTGGGAGAGTTTGGACAATTGTAAAAAGGAATATGGTTGTACCCAATATCCTTGAACCTGAGATGCTGTGAGCATGTGCAAGGGAGAATCAGGAATAGAATCAAACTTACCAATGAATCTTGCTCGAGTCTTCGAACAGACCCAAAGCAATACTGTGAACAGGGGCATCGCCCCATCTCTCGTAAAAGAACCCTCCTGTCCTATCAAGATGGGTAAAGTAATCTTCATACGCCTGACTCCTCCAGAAGGACAGGTCTGCGATCTCAAAATTCGACCAGAAATGACAGGTACTGTATCCATGCGCCTTGATGTTCTGCTCGGGTCGCCTTTCGTTGTCTGTGAGCCAGGCCATGGCGTTATTCTTATTCAAGTACTCTGGATGAGAGGCGAGGAACTTGATCGTCTCCGGCCACAGTGACGGTATCGACTCGGGAGAATCGAACAGATTGATATTGAACCCGTAGGTTTTATTGTGGTCCTGCATCCAGTGGAAGACATCGTAATCGACATCGCAGAAGAACTTGACCTTTGGTTCCACCCGCCAGTAGTATTGTGTGTATTCAAGGGCTGGATGTCGATAGAACATGCCGCTGTTCCACCGGCACATCTGGTGATAGGAGATCCTGCCTGCATATTGCACGTCGTTCTCCTTAAGTATCTGAGCCGATTCATCGTACAACTCTTGACTGACCCATGATGGCATCTCCCAATGTTCTTTCGGGATGAGATGATATGAACATTTGGCCTTAGTCAACGCCTGTGTTTTCTCCTTGAACTCTTCTGTAAACGGCACATCATTGAAGAATGTCCATGGATAGTTGAATTTGTGATTCCAGGTCGCTTCGAGTTGTCTCATGGTAGGCAGAAGCTCGTGCAGCTCTTCATTCCGGACAAGCGACAAAAGGGTGGCATTGATGCGCGCCGAGTTGGGACTTTCGGGGGAGTAATCGTGGTCGGTATGTCGCCATAGGGGCTCGTCAGGTTCGCCAACAGGATCTAGGAGCGGATCGCGCTCCATGTTATCGATCTTCGCGCCATTGCCGGCGTTGGGACTCGAGACCGAGCCTGGGATCGATATTGTTGGAGTCGGGCGGAAGTATATGTAGAGGAGGGAGAAGAAGAGGATGACTGACAGCGCCCCGAGGAACCTCACGGGTCGATTGACTGCCATTGGGGCTGATGGGACCGTGCTAGCCGTAAGCCATGGACTTGTATAGCAGGATTTCGTACGCAGTTGAGAACAAAAAGGAGCAGACAATCTGTTCGATAATAGGGATGGATTTCTAGGTGTATGCGACCAACGTAACGTAGCCGAAAGAATTGAATTGCGCGGCAGGATCTTGGAGAAACTCACCTGCAGCAGCCCCCGGCGCCAGACCTTTTGATTCGGCCTGAACCTGACGATCCCCGCTCCTCCCGTTGCCGTCGACGTCAATTCACCAGGGCAGGTCAAAAAATGCTTCTTTTGCGCTTTGGAGATATTTGCGACCTTGAATACAGCCCACTGAGCAGACTTCAACATCCAAACTAACGCTGTTAATATACAACTGTTTCATCTCAGGTGCAACCATGGAAGTCCTACGAGAACCTCCCAAGACCACCTCTTTCGTCTCCCTTGCCGAACACCAATCTAGAACGCCCGCTTCATTCTACGAAGGCCCTCCAGTCCTGCACTACTACAGCGACCGCAGCAAATTGATCATTCTCGAATCCGAAATCGACTCGGCCGCTGCGTTTGCGCCTCTCCTCGAAAAGGCGACGTCCCAGTCACAAGCCAATGGGTCAGAAACCAATGGAGACAGCGAAGCGCATCGCAAAGGGAAGGTTGTCGAGGACATCGATGTATGGGTGACCTCAGAGTACGTTCGCCATGCCGTCGCATTGTTGAATACAACCAGCTAACAATACCAGCAAACTTTTCCTCTTTTCAGATGCCGCCTCCGCAGGCATCGCTGTACCCTACCCATCCATATCCCTACACGCGATCCAGTCTCTTCCACAGCCCTCTGTCGGCGAGCAACAAGGCCTGTACATGCAGCTTATCACATCAACAGACGCTCCGCAGGATGAAGACATAGAACCCGAGTCCATATCCGTCACAATCATCCCGACTGCATCAGCACCACCGGAGACTGCGAACGAGAACGATACAGCGGAAGACAAGCCAGAGCAGACGCCCGTCCAGGCCATGTTCACTGCCCTCTCAAATTGCTCGAATCTGCATCCCGACCCTATCGATCCAGGTGACGAGGAGGACGGCGGTGCAAGTAGGTTGTTTCAATCCGGTCTCGCATTCCCAGGTGCTTCCGACGGGGGCCTACCGCCCGCCATGCCTGGAAGCGGTGGATGGATAACAGCTGAGAACATGCATGAGTTTGTCGATGAGAATGGGAACTTTATTGACAACGAGGAAGAAGAAGAAGGCGGTCAAGACGAAAGCGAAAACTTAGGACCTGGAGCTGGTACAGTCCGACCCAGAGAAGATGAGCATGAGGATGGTAACGGAGGCGACCTATCGGAGGACACAAAGTGGCAGAGAACATCGTGATATGAACCATATGCCGACATTGGACAGATCCAATTCGGACGTTGGAGGAGACTTTATGCATGCGACCTCACTAGCCGATGTAATGTCTCAATAAAGGTGATCCCTCTTCCTCGGAAAGAGCCCATCAAGACTGTCCGCAAGCAGTTCCAACCCTTCGCCGACCTCACGTGAACTCCTAGCCACGCCTCGAAGTCCAGCCATCAGGAAAGGCACATGCCTGTTGAATTCTTCCCGAATGGTAGCTATCTCCTGCACAACCGTCGTATCTCCAACCAGGATAAATGTCGAGTATCCCTCGCCCATACCATCGCCGTCCTCATCTTCGTCATCATCCTCAGAAGACGACGATTCGTCGTTTTGGGCATGACTACGTCCACGCCTTCTCCTTCGCTGCCGCTGACTCCTCGCCGAAATGAACGAGCTGGCTTCACAGTCCGTCGAGCCCTTACGTGAACGTTCCAGCGCTGCCAGTGTCGGCGAGCTCATGCTCACAAGGTCTGCAAACCGAATACACAAGTCCAGCACACTGACCATCGCATCCCTGAGAGGCTTCACTTGTGGACTGCAAAGACACGCCAGCTCGAGGTCGCGAATATACCGGCCATGCACTGCGATCATATCGTCCACGCTGCCCGTCGCACTTGCAATCAAACTTAGACGCATATCTCTTGTGATCGGCTCAATCGTACACGCCGTGATGTGTGCGTAGAGAATATTCACAAAGCCCGCGAGCGCAGCGTACACTGTCTGCGCTAGTCTCTGATCACGGTTCTGACTTCCTAACGGTATATTACCGACATACCAGTACGCTCGGCGCTCGAGGACGTACTTTGCGCGCCGCATTTGCGCGAGCGTCAGGGCAATGCGCTGGTACGACGCGATCGACGAAAGTGGAATAATGTTCGCTACCGCCCAGGGGAGATGATAGTGAAGTGTCATGGATCCAAGAATTTTGACTGAGCGGCGACGAGCCTCCATGCTGCGTGACGAGGTGTAGCTTGATTCGATGGTTATAGAGGCCGCGTCGATACAGGGAATGTGCTGATACGCTTGGGTCAGAGACTCTGCGACGAGGAAGCGGTCGTTCCAAATTTCGGCGCAACGGTCGATTTGGCTGAAGGTACGGGTTTCGATAGTATCGAGGATGGCGCCGTCCTTGGCGAGATACAAACAATCAAAGGCGTCGAGCAGTCGGGTTAAGCCGCAGTTTGTGTTGAGGGTATGTTTTAGCGATGATGTGGTGGTGGCGAGTAGTATCCTTAGATGTTCATCTAGTACTGCTTCTAGAGTGGCTGAGAGAGATATTGACGATGTTTGGAGCAGGTTGGTGACTTCGATTATTGCTGCTTCGAGACTGTGGTTGTTGTCGTTGTTGTCCTGGGCTAATGGTTGTAGATGGTGCAGAAACGCAGCTGTCTTGCCGGTTGCGAAGATTTGCCTGGTGAATTTCTTGAGAAATGAGGGGGTGAGGTTGTCGTCTTCTGACAGCGAGAACCAGTCGTGCCACAGAGTGGTCTTATTTCGTGGCCCCGTCTTTTCCGAAATGAAGAACGTGTCGGGGGGTTCAATCTTGCCTTGTCGTAACCACCGATCTAGAGGCTTTGCGTATAGTCTGAGTGCGGACAAGAATATTGGCAACAGCGTCTCCAGAGCCACGGTGTCGAAGCATGTATATGCGAAGTCGATATGCTCGTGCAGCGTGTTCAAAGCTGCAACAGGATCGTCCTGTGGCAATTGCGGAATTATGGCTGAAACCGCATTGAGAAGCATACGTTTCTTCTTAATCATGTGCAATGTCTGCATCAGGGTGACCACTCCGTCCGGAGACGTCTCACGCAACATGTCGTGCTGCATGAGGGATATGCCACGCTCGAAGTCTGCTAAGATATCTTGTATGCAGCTTTGGATGAGCTGCATGACGCTTCCGGCTTGTGACCTTCGCACCCACTGACGGACAGGTACTATCTTTGATCCCAGCGACGCACTTTCTCCGAGAATAGAGTTTGAGGTCTGCTTCTCGAGACGACCAAGGCGGTATCGAGGATTGTGTCGGATTGTCCGAGTATCGAATGTGAAAATCGCCGTGGGAAGGCCAATCAGCATGAACAGTGCCTCACGGACCGCCTGTCTCTCTGTGATCAGGATAGTTTCGTCCTTGAGATTCCAGAATTGTGCCGATTGTAGCTCCAGGCTTGATGATGGGCCGTAGTTCGTAACCTTCGCATCGAGAACTCTGTCAAGTACAGCACCATCTGCGTCGTTTTGTTTGACACTGGCTGGAGACGTGGTCACACTTGAAGCGACTATGTCGTCCTCGTCAGAGCTCAAGTCACTGTACTCCGGTATTCTCCATATACTGTCTTGATGGTCAATCGGGTCATCAGCCTCGATATCGGCCCACTTCAGCGGAGGAGGTGTTGCTTTGCGATTATTGAACTTCTCGAGCCTTTCCGCTTGTCCATATTTGATAGGTTTATGCGAGAGATGCAGCAACAGATCTAGAGCATCCGGAATCCAGCGTTCATCGTGCCTGCTCAATTCCATTCGTCTGGCGTAGATCTCCTCAGCCACATCGTCCAGGTTCAGAACCTGAAGTTTCTCCTCGAGGCCGGTGAGTTTCTCAGTCACGGCGAATTGATTAGTCCGTCCATAAGTGTGGTGTTTAATCTTGCCTGCGAATGAGTCTTTGTACTTGCGCACATCTGTAGATTTGGTGGTCGGCGGAATGAGTGAGACAGCAAGCTGCTCAATCCAACTGGTCATGGTGGTCGTCGAAGCCATGATAGCTCCTTGTTTCGATCAATATGTCGAATCATGATACAGCGGACAGACCGTGCACCAGGTAGACCTCCTCCTGTTGGATTGCAAGACGATATACGGAGTAGCTGCAGATTGTAGGATCAAAGAAAGGGAAGCGCGTCGCGTGGCCGGAAGAAAGTCAATCGTCACTCCGCTTTAGGAATTCTGGATCTGCGCATTTGGAGAATAGCTCAATGCTGTCGACACAATACCGAGCACTTCAAAGACCATAGCCTGGACTGAGTGAAAGCCAGTCATGAAGAGGGCACCACGGGGTCATCCTCGTGAACAGCTCGAATCCTTGATTGACAGATTGTTCTTCTGCCCATCCTGCACGACATGGCGGACGTCGCGACCATTGCGGACCACCATTCAAAACGCAACCGCACGCAAACGTCGCTATGCCTCGACTCTTACCTCCCACACCGCCGTTAACGCAACGAAGAATGTACCTACGCGCTACCAAGCACTTTACGAAGCACTCGGAGATGTGAGAAAGAAGGCCCCTGCCCAAGTGAATCTCAGTCGGTTGCAGCTCGCCTTACAAGGGCTCGAGTCCGAGACACCACCCACGAGATTTGCGGTGCTAGGTCTAAATGTCCAGGCCACAGCACGCAGGCTCGTCCGACTACTCCTCGCTGATCCTCTCAGCGACGCAGAGCGGTGGGAAGAGCAAATACTCGACCCGAATGCAGACTACAGTCAAGGTGTGATCATTCGTTATGGACAGCCGCCTAATCCGAATCTACCACAACCAAGAACGTCGGTGCCAGTGCTGCAAATTCCTTCTGCCGTTCTCGAGAGAATTAACATGGAAATCCTTGTTTCAACGATACAAGGCCCTTGCAACGGCGAGCTCTTACAGGGTGCTCATACAGTAACATCAGATGCGTTTTTGTCACCCTCAATTGGCACGCCAACAGCTGCGACTGGACGACAGACGGCCATCAGCCAGCCTGTGCATAGCACGTTACTGGTCACCAAGGGGCTGGATGAACTCGTGTCAGCGACGGAGCTGCTGGCCTCCACAAATTTCACTGCTATGGAGGATCGAGCATCTGTTCAGTTGGTGGTGAACCTGGAAGATATCACAGCGGAAGCACCAGGTCAAGTGTTGCTGATTGATGCGACAAAGGCAGAAGAAGGCCTCGCAGCCATCCGTCGATCTGTGACTGAAGCAAGAACTTATGAGCACAAATGGGTGGACTCTGGCCTGCCGTTAGTGTCAAGCTGGCTAACCCTTGCGTCTGCTGCTCGATCTGAAACAGTGATACCAAAACCAATCAAAGTCCTGATATCGTCAATACTCACGAATGCGACCAGAAATCTCCGCGCTCAGGCAGCATTAGAAACAAGGTCAAATACAACGATGAGCCTTAGCCTAGCGACCCGATTAAACTTGGAGGCATCTATCGAAGAATTCTCGCGTAATGCGCACCAAGAGCTCCAGTCTGGTCTTGCTTCGGCTTGGGATTCGCGCAATTGGCGAAAATTGGCTTGGTATAAACTATTCTGGCGAGTGGATGATGTTGGCTTGATCATCGCAGACCTCGTGACCAACGCGTGGTTGCCACGGACTGAACGAGCAGTCTATGAACTGTCCGGGCGGCTTTCTCAAGCAGGCATATCACCCATGGACATGCCACCGACTCCCACCCCTTCTCTTGGGCCTGTGGCGGTGAGCGCACCTGAGCCGGCACAAGTATTGCATGCCCAGGCGGAGGTAGCAACAGAGCCTCCAATCCAACCAGTGGTGGCCAATCCGACCGGGACATCCGAGGTCCAAATGGCCCCGGTTCCTCAACCTATACCTCTTTCGGCTTCAATATCAGAAACACGAGCCCAGCAAATGCGGCTTGCCATTACTAGCTTGACCAGCACAGCTCAGCAAATTGTGCTCAAGACATTTTCTCTTACTGGTCTATCAGCGGGTCTGTCTGGACTTACATATGTGTCTCTCGGTCCAGGCAGCGTGTACGAGGCCGGTACAATAGTGGCATTAGGCACAGCATTTGCACTATGGCGAATGCAAGGTGACTGGCTGAAAGCGACCAAGTTCATGGAAGACAGCCTGCACGATGAAGGCAAGACCGTCATTCAGAGAATCGTGACAAGGATGAGACAGCTGGTCGAAGACGCAAGCGTAGTTGTCGAAGATGAGGTCGAGGTTCATACCCGACGCGAGGCCGAGAACGCCGTCATGAGGGCAAAGGAACAGCTTGATCGACTCAAGTAACTATTTGTATACCCCAGTGATTGGACGACAATAATCTGTGGCCGTTATATCTCTCAACTGATCTCGACCGCGTCGTCTGGCACACCCCGTCTGCTCTTGAGTCTCCGTGCCCAGAATTGCATCAGCGGGAGCACTTCGTCTCGGTTTTTAGGCATCGAGTCATCAGCTTTTTTCCACTGGTGGTATGTGACAAACTCGTAGGCTGATTTGACACGTTTCAGTGGACTCGACTCCGGTGATGCCAAGGCAGATCTGGAACCTGATAATAGCAAGATGGGTGTTCTATTTTTTGTAGAACTGGTGGTTGCTGTCGACTGAGGCAGATATCCTCCGATGGAGATGACGCCGCCAAGAGAAGATATCGACGACAATGACGAATGCAAGGGCACAGAGACAGCGACCGAGCCACCCTGGCCAAAACCAAATAAGTGAATGTGGTCGGCTCTATACTTGAATTTTGTGATCAGGACGTCGACAATGACGTCGTGGGCGATGATTTGTACAGCCCGTGCAACCGGGGAATCTTGATCAAGTTCGCCGGTGGCCGGATCAACCTGGAGATCTTCAGACCAGTGATCGCCGGGTCCCAGGGGGAAGGGCAAGGGAAACGGTGGGTTCAAGGTGACCGTCAATGCATCGGGCAGATTAAGGGCCCTTGGAAAGGATGAAAAGTTGGTGGCCGTGTCGCCCAGGCCGGGTAGAAAGAGAATGACATTGGTTGGAGTGTTGTTTGGTGGCAGGTGGACGACGGGTTTGAGCTGCGTTGGAAAGTCATTCGAGGATGGAACGGAAGGGGCCATTCTTGTGTGGCGCAGGCATGAGGATGCTTTGAGCTTTCAGACTGGCGAGAAATGAAGGCCACAAGGCTCTTGGAAAAGATACTAAACTTGACAGATTCGACACGATCGAATATTCAACGTGATATCGCAGACGCCGAGTGGCTGAGAGCCAGGGGTTCAGGTTTAGTGCAGGCACGTCTTCCGAGTAACGTTATTGGTACTGACAAGCGCCGAGCAGCACGAGATTGAGGGCAGTGAAATCGTGGTTCCTGTGGTAGGATCTCCAGAAGTGACGTTGGTGTGGAGGTTAGGACAAGCTTCTGACTGGACAACTTGGCTTCACAAACAAGCCCTGCATGGCACGCTTGAATTGAGGACCCTGGATATTTTGTAACGACAGCACTGCAAGCCTTCTCTTGAACAGTGCTGCAACATGTCAGCTTATATGGCTACCAGGAGGATGCCAGCTGAAGAGATGCATTGACAAGCTGCAGCCATGGGATGACTTCATGCACTACATGCTCCTTCGGACTGCAATCCAGTCTAGGGGGATGTTTGCCGCGGCTTGTTCCGCAAAGTAAAGGAAACAAACATGCCACGAGGGAGCTGAACTTGATATCAAGGGTGGACCCCGCATTCTGCAGCTCTTCGCCGTGAAGCGAGATGCACAGCCACCATTCACAAGCTGAAGCCTGTCAGTGACTTGCAAGTTTAGTGAGACATTCCACGTTTGCTGTACCCTGACGGTGGACTGACTTGACTCGTGCTCGTTTGTTGGACATTTGTTGACACTTTGTGGGTGATGACGCTATGTTGAAACAGTGCTGGGAGGTTTGACACTTGCCCCTTGACAAGCAAGCACGAGTAGTGGGGGCCCTACCATAGCCGCTTCTACGCGTCCAATGGCCAGAGGTGACGCAGTAAACGCAGCCAAAGATCGAGGGGCAATGATGCAGGCAAGTTTCACCCAGTGCAGAGGCGGTCAGAATTCACAACGATAGTCTCCGAAGTGTCTATATAACCTCGATCTCACTACCCCTTCCCTCCTTGACTTCTCCCATACTTAATACAATACCAACTTCCAAAGCAGCACGACTACTCATAACACTTTATTCTCTTTACACAGAACAACACATTCTTCAATCAACTCATTCAAGATGTTTGGCTGGGGTAAGCTTGACTCCTTGCGGTATCCTTGATGCCTTGCTGCAGAAGCTGACTGACTTGGGTGATAGACGACGCTCAACAATCTCACCAGGAGGTCTATGGCCAGGGTGGCTATGACAACCAAGCCAAGTTCTCCCACGAACTCGTCGGTGGTGCTGCTGCTTTTGAGGGCATGAAGCTCTTCGAGGACCATCAACGCAGCGAGGGTACGTTGACCACCATCCCTACTCCGACTTGCTTTCTAATACTAACATCAATATAGGCAAGCCCGTCTCCCACCAATTCGCCAAGGAACTCCTTGCTGGTTTCGTTGGAGGTGAAGTTGACAAGCTCGCTGAGACCAAGGGAATGGATGCTTGGGATTCTGAGCAGGCAAAGAGAAAAGGCAAACAGCAGGCTGAGAACATGTACGATCAACACTACGACGGAACTGATCAGTACGACCCCAACCAGCGTCAAGGACCAAACTTCAACTACTAAGGGGTATGGAATATATGCCAACGAACATCAGTCAAGAGCAGCCTCAACTGGTGGCATTGTGCTGGACATGACAATGGACTTTGCTAGCAATTGACCTTGCTCTTACTGGCAATTGTGTGCTTGCGAATCATAGCAGCAGCATAAACAGAATGATGGAATGATATGATTACAAACGAAAACAATTCTCATTGCATATCCCCTCATGGCCAAAAGATAGGACATTACTGTCTCGTATGCTCATAACTCTTCAATCTCGCTAGCTGTTTCCTCGTCATCATCCCCTGCTGGCAGTGGTCCAGGCGTCGGATCTACCTTGCTTCCTTTGCTCTGACCTTTTCTCTGGAAAGGTAGTTCCCGAGGCGGTGGCAGGGGACTGGGTGATTTCTTCCTGTTTGCAGAGTCTATAGCCCTGGTTTGAGGTCGTTGTTGTGACATGACTGGAGCATCTAAATTCTCCTCTTCATCTTCAGTCTCTGAGGCTGCTCGACTCGGCGTCGAACGACCGGATTCAGGCGACACTGGCTTATCTGGGTTGTTGACCACAGGGTCTATATCCATAGTCTCGAAGCCTTCACTGTCGTCGTTGTCTTCATCTTGTCCACGTTTCTTTGCTCGTCTCTTCGACCCGCGCCCGCCTCGCGAAGGCGCTTCATCTCCAATGACCGCCTGTAGCTCTTTCAGCTTTTTGGGATCTGCCTGAGCTGTGGACAATACTCTTTGCAGGTTTCGGATCTTGAGCTTCTTCTCGTTCAAAAGGACTGCAAACTTTGCGAGAGTCTGGTGCTCATGTTCAGCCTTCGCTTGCACCAGCTCATCTATCTGCTTCTGCAGGGATGTCACAGTCTCATTCTTAGCCTGCACCTTCTCATGCAGGTCTGTGTTCGTGAGTTCCAGCTCATCTCGTTTGTCGATTGCTTGCACAGTCCATCCGAACAGGTCAATGTCATCGGTCTCTTCGGTTTGAGGCAGATCAATACTTCCGAGTTGTTGAGTGATATCTTCGACCTTGTTCCGGAGGATTATTGACAGGGTGCCATTAGGATCTTTGCCAGATACAGAACATTGTACGTCAAGATTCTCTCGGTGTGCTGCAGGGACTTTGGACGATGTTTTGACACCAAATACGTAAGATAGGATCGATGTCCAGTCATCATCGTTACCGTCATAGTTTTTCGCTCGCAATCTTTTCAGATTCCGCGCTCGGACTAGATCGCAATGAGCTCGAAAATATCGAGATAGCAGAGATGTTGCTCACCTTTTCCAGTGTATGCAGCGTCGCCATCTGTGGCGAGAAGATCAAGATCAAGGTCATGCCCACCTTCTTTCCGTGAAACTCTGACGAGGATTGGACTCTTCTCCTTGTCAGCTTTGCTCAGCCGGTTGACCCAGGTGTCCATCTCTGGCGGTAGCCGTGCGTCATGTTCTTCAGGCTATAATGCGCAAGGCTGAAGAAGCACGAGGCGCATAGGCCGATCTTGTGCAGGAATGTTTCTTTAACTTATCTTTCTGACGGCCCTTGGACCCCATGCACGCACCATCTCAAATTGGTACTAGCTCCCTAAGATCTACGCGTTTCGCGTTTGGTGAATCCAATGAGCGTGCTGGGAGGAGCGTTCCCTTAAGCTTAGCGTTGCCTTACCTCCAACCTCCTCTTCCCTTCAACGCACAAGCCCAACTCTGCACCCGCGCTGCAACCTGCGAACTCCACACAGAAGCCAGAATCATCCGACACCAACCTCCCGACGACCGCATGCTGACCTCGAAAAAGACCTCAAGCTGCAATATCTCGACTTCCATCACTTTCATACGGCCGTCAAAGGTCGAATCGCTGCCCCCTACCGGTGGTAATCCCCTCGAAGGGGAGCAGTAAACAAGACGTGGTAGATCACACACGCTACTGACCAACTTTTCTTTAACGACGTTTACGATTCAGGACGACTATAACGAACTTCGTTTCCTATGTTTTCGCTACCATCAACGCATTACTGTCACTTGTTCTGACCTCAGGCGATTTCTTTCATTGATGTTACCAACGAAATATCCGAACCATGGAACCGCTCACGCTAAAACCGCGAGCACCCGACGAGAGTCCCGACGTCGAAAACTGGGACGACGATGACTTTGAAAACTTCGAAGATGTCCAATTCCGCACTGCATCAACTGCGACTTCGCTCGCTTCCCAACCTCAAACAAACCACCGAGACTCCGTTTCTTCCCGAATGTCGCTGCGGTCAGAATCAAATCAGGGGGACGAGAATTGGGACGTGTTAGTGGATGAACAAGCTTCAATCAAAGATGCGGTGGCTGTTGCGAAAAGCAAGGGTATACCGCTGCCATCAAACATCCCACGTTCAGCACTCGAAGGTGGGACCATTAGGCGGCTGAATGGCAAAGTGATCAAAAAAGCCATCGCCGACGATTGGTCGGAAGACCTGGATTTACCAGGCCCTGACTTGCCTTTGAAACTGGCGAAACAAGACGACCGTTATTCATCTGAGAATTTGCGTCAAATCAGTGCAGCTTTTAGGACATCTCCCAAATCTCCAGAGACGATGGATTTGGCAGATAAGACGATACGATCTCCCAAATCCCGCACCGCACCGACTCCTATAACATTGGACTCTTTCCGCGACGCTGAAGAGGACGAGGATTTCGGCGATGTACCTACGATAAAAGTGGCGAAGCAGCGGTCTCCACAGAAGCCGTTACTGTTCCAGCAACCACCCACCCCAATAAAAGCAGAGAAGGAAAGTATCGAGGAAGACTTGGAATTACCTTCAGACGGAAAGCTCAGACTGTCCACTCGGAAAGCACCACAGACTCCGCAGCAGGGCGACGACTTCGACCTGGAATGGGCTGAAGGCAGCCTTGGGACGAGACATGCTGGAACGAAAAGAGGAGGTCGATCTGCTCGGAGTTCCTCTGCATCAGCTCTGAGCCCCAGTGTGTCAAGCGCCTTCACTGCAGAAAGTGAGGACGAGGGACTTGATGGCCTTGTACTTCCTGATGGACCCATCAAGTTCGAAGACAAGCTCAAGCAGAAACAGGAGGAGCATGCTGCAGAACCGACCATCATACCTGACGACCAATCCGGGCCAAGACGAAAGTCAGGCAAGGAGGACTTCTTCCTGGGTCTTGAGATCGGTGACGGAGAAGTTTTCGATCCTGCGAAGTTGACCCTCAATCGCAATGTCAAACACAAAAGCACACGACCTGCAAGCCCGTCGAAGAGGACTACTACAACCCTGAACTTCACGACCAGCAAAACCCCAGGCCCGACGATATCAAGGTTGCCTAGGTTTCAACCTGCTCACGACCGACACGAGCGCGTTCGATCTCATCTGGAACCTGTCTCGGAAACTGGTGTGGCAATCTCGTCGTACCAACGTCCAAGTTCTCGACTTGGACAGGCAACGCAATCATCTGTTTCAGCGATTCCTGCACCTTCTACGCCCTCTACACCGTCTACACCTAGTCGACGAGTACTTCGAGGTGCTGAATCTCGACCTGACCTACGCTATGATCAGCCACCTACAACGACCAATGCCCAGCTTTTGCGAGCGAAACGCTCCATGCCCGTCATGCGCGGCATGCAGTCACCCACCAAGACTCCAGCATATGTCAGACCTCCTTCGAGACAAGAGATAGGAACTCGTTTGAACATCCAATCACGGCCCAAGACTCCAACAGACCGCTCTCAATCTCGAGTTGCCGAGATGAGAAGAGAAGCTTTACCCTTCCTGCCAGCGGGCGCATCTGCTAGACAGTCTCAGCACATCACTCTCAAAAACCCGCCTCCCGGTCACTATCGTGGTCAAGGTTCGGACGGGTCAGGAGACAGCATGTCCGCCGCGCAAAGGTCCTTGTCCCGACTGGCTGGTTTGAGCAGGCCAGAAACACCTGGTCGTGGGAGAAGCAATTTTGCTCCTGCAGAATTGGCTGCACAAGCTAAGAAGACGATTACAAAACCGACTAGGCGTCGACAGTACGGTGATGGTTCCGAACTGGAGATCTTCGATGACCTTCCCACATCTGCAACGCTTGAATCGAAATTCACCAAGACGCCCATAGCTCGTGGAGCTCCCCGAAGTCTCAGAAGCAAGCTTGGTTTGTCACACCTGAACCCCTCTACATCTTCACTTGCAAGCACGAGACGTGGGAGTGACACCCCAGTACCGTCGACGCCACTGTCGCCTCCCAGGAGTGATTTTCCCACAACGGCTCTGAACACCACCAGCGTTCCTCGCTTTGCTCGTGATACCGCGGCGTCTCGAAATGCCCGTGAGCAGCGGCAAATCTCGAGTACTTTCCATAACATGCGTGGTGAACCCCTTCAACCGATCTCGACCAACTGGAAGTCAACTGCAGCAGTGCGTCAGACTCTCCAAGGAAGTCTGAGAAAGAAGAAGATTGACAAGTTCCAACAAAAGCCGCACCTCATCAAACCTATGGGCGCCGATCTGAACAGACCTAAGAGCGAAAAGGGCATGCATTACAACCCCCTACTCTTTAGGTGGGAAGGGAATGAGAATGCGCTGGCTCCTTTCGATGTTCCAGACTTCCATCCGAGGGTCGCGAGTCCTATCGGCCCAGGCCAAGCAAGTCCTGGCACCAAGGCCAGTTTGGCTCTGATCTCGAATGTGGGCTCAAACGTTACCGGAGTCCAGGTCGTTGGAGGCATGGTCTTTGATCCTTCGCAGATGCGATGGCTCAAGATCGCCGAGAATGCCGACGGAAGTGCCGCGGGTCTGCGTTCAGGCAGTGTCCAGATCGAGGAAGAAGAGGATGTTTTCGCCGGTCTCGAAGACCTCAAGGAAGAAGACGAGACCAGAAGTCGCAGTGGCACTCTCCCAAGCATGATGGGTGGTGCTCACCATCGAGATTCTTTCGGTGAAGCAGACGGCGGCCACAGCAGTGGTGATGAGTGGGGGTTGAGTGAAGAATTCGACGTCGGCCCCGAATTTGTCAGACGGCAGCGGAACGAAGAGGAGAGATGGCGCCGGAAGGTTGAGAGGTGGTTGAGACGTGACGGTGAAGTGGAGGAAGAGGGACTTGATGGACATGGAGGCTGGAGGTGGGCGATCCGTGAGCTTGTCATGGCACAGAACGAGGCTCATGACGGAGGTGTATACTGACCAGGCATGGTGTGGAAGAAGTGGTGCAGGAGAGCTCTTTTGTCAGGAGCATTCACGACCTTAACGGACCGGCAATGCTTTGCTTCATGGTGCAAGCTTGTCCGGGAAAAGCCTTTCTTACTTTATCTTACCTACCTATTAATTTTCATGATGACTTTATGATACACTTTTCTGATCCTCATGATACTCTTCATCGGTGGCTGTCTGGCTTCACAGGTTGATACTGTCCAGTCTGTCCTGGACTGCTGAGTGAAGTATGCCGGCGGGTTGCATGCAAACGGGTTAAGGTACAGGTGAGTTCTTCTTCAACTTTGATAGATTCCAGAGATATGGCCTGTAGGCTGTAGCTCTGGAGCGATAATCAGTTCTGTCTTTTTCTTTCCACCACGCTCAGGACTAACATCAAGCACTGTTTGCACGGCGTCTGCCACGAATCTGGCTCCTTCACGTGTATGGTGTTTACTTTCGCGACAGTAAGCCGTCGCTGCATGATACTCAACGATCGGCGGGATTTGCCGTAGTCCTCAGTCACTGCCTGGCTGGGTCGCGATCAAGGAGCTCCTGCTCGCCACAAACGGTGAGTCTCTGGCGGCAAAGGAAAACATGTGTGCCCTAGTTGGACCGTCGTGATGGCAAGGTTCCTGATGCTTGATTGACGCTTCATGATGGCGAGGCGTACTGCATTCAGTGAAATTCAAGCTTATCTGCAACAAGTTGAACGTTCTACTGCTACCCAGCCTCTGACTTCTCGAAGTTGAAAGCACGTAGTCAGCCTTGTCTCTCTGCTTCTCAATGTCAGACATTCGAACCGAGTGAGCAGTCATCTTTGACCCGCGAGGACGAGAGGGCGAGTTCCTCCCCCTTTCTCAGCGTATTGGTCACCAGCTTCCGTCAGCTGTCGCCTACTGTGGGGTTGTCAGTATGGCAGAGGACTATCTCCCCGGACATTGATTGTTCGGGACACTCTGGGCCGTGTCAGCACCGGTGGTGGTACTGACCTTTGACTTTGTATGTAACATCGAACATCTGGGTTTTCATCAATGGAAGCTTGCTTTCCTGTCATTGGCGCCCAAAGCCTTCAAAGAGTGATGGTGTTTGATAAAGAATTCGAACAGGAACATTGGGTAGCAGAAAAGTTTGAATGTCAGTTTACATTCAGACTTGCAACGCAGAGATAGATAACACAGTATTTGTCCTTTGTTGAAACTGTACATTTTGACTACGGCGTAGGTAGTTTCGAATGTGTATGCAGAGCCAAAAGCATCCTTATGCGACATGCTGCGAGCTTGCTTTCTTTGTCCTCGTGGTGAGTACATCGATGGGCTCCGGTACCTCTTTCTGTAAACAAATTCCTGGATGCGTGCACCCTCCCACGTTCCTAAGCACCATATCACATCAAACACGTCGATATTTATGGGTTCCAGTGAGGGCTGTCGGTGTCTCCGGGGTACAAGTCCTCCTTTAGGTTTATGCCGAGCTCTTCGCGTAAGGGTTTGAGCTCTTCGAGGTATTCTTCGTATTGTTGCTGGTTTTCGACCTTGGCTTTGATGCCTATTATTCCAGTGTTAGGCTCTGGTCTTACAAAATAATGCTTCTCCCAAGGTGGGTGACAGACCTTCGAATACTCTCACTGCAGTGGGGAAGTCATTGACACGTCTAGCAGCTTTCAAAGCAGCTGCGACAACGCCGGGTGAAGGGACGAGATCGTATGCGAAAGCGTTGTTCAGGTTTCGCTGTTGATTTGTATTAGTCCAAAGTTCTGCAACGAAATCTTTCGGTTTCTGCGTACCTGCAGCTCGAAAACATCTTGTACTGAGTCAAATTCCTTCTCGTATCTGTCAAGGTCATATATCAGCGGAGCTCTCCATATGACGGCTGGGACAGTTGCGCAGCCGGAACAGCTCTCCAACGCAATGTTCGCAGCTCAGCGAGGGTCGTACCTGGCTGAGAACTCTTCGAACGTCTCATCTTCGTGACCGGCGGACTTTCGGATTGACGTAGAGCTGAAAGGAGCTCGTGCGGAAAGTGTTTGACCTAGAGCAGGAGCTCTCCTGATGGATCGTGTGCAGGGTCTGAAGAGCGCAGATGTGGCAGGGCGAGCAGTGAGACGGAGGATCGAGAGGGAAGCCATTGCGCCTGCTGTTGGAAGCAATACGACGAGTTCAAGGGACGAGAAAGAATGTTAAGGGTTGTTGTAGTGTTTGCTTGTAGGAATTGAATCACCTTACCAGAACAAGAATTGTTAAAGGTGTGGTCTGACTGGTGGAAGAGTTTGCACTAGCCAAGCATGGAAAGAAATCAAGGCGCTATAAGCAACGTTGTCTGCTATTCTATTGGGAGCAGAAGGCTAGTACCTCACCCTAAACCTATTGCTTCGCTGCAGTCAGCAGAACGATACTGGATTTCTGAATTACCTAGGTATACATCACGGAATACGTTTTATGCGTTAGGATCCTAATAACAAGCCGCATCGCCCGTGAATTTATGTGCTGAGCACCGAAAAGGTCACTATCTCCGCAGATGCCATTCTCGGTTCACGGCTATCGTATCCTATACGAAACACGCGCGACAATCGCCTGGGAAATTGGGCGCAGCTCCGTAATATTAGGTACCTAGTAGTCAGTCTAATGACGGGAAATGCTCGCTTGCTGTTGGCTGCCCGCCGCGTGCCGCTCGTCATTTTCCCCTGGATGCAACGGCCCTCAAAGATTTGACCATTATTGGGGAATTGCGCTCAATCATCCGCTTCTACGAAATATTCTCTTTCCGCCGCATCCTAAACTTATTGCTGCACCTTTTAAAAAAGACTTCAATTCCTTCCTTCTGACCTTCCGGAGGATCCTTTGCACGGGTTTCTTCATTTTCTTCTCTTTTCTTCGTATTACTTGATATTGTCACTCCTTTCCGCGCTCGACCAGTTCGCACGCGCGTTGAACACTCCGACTATTCCTACGATCGCGTGCCCAATATGGACGTCCTCAAGTCCATTTCCCTACCGTCCCTCGACCATCCATTCGGTGTTCCACTATGGCCCATCTTCGCGAAAGGCTACTCAGCCATTTTTGGTTACGACCCAATTGACTTTGACTTTACGCCTGGCCAGACGCCCATGTCAACATACAAAGAGACGGCGATTGCTTTGATCTCGTACTACGTTATAATATTTGGTGGAAGAGAATTGATGAAGAATCGCGAGCCTTTCGTCCTCAAGGGTCCCTTCATCATTCATAACCTTTACTTGACCCTCATTAGTGGTGGACTGCTGGCACTTTTCATCGAACAACTTTTGCCCGAACTTGTCCGGAACGGCGTCTTCCACGCAATTTGCAGCTACGATGGAGGCTGGACCAAAGAGTTGCAAATACTCTACTACGTGAGCATTGCGGTGTCGTCACTTTCCTGAGTCGTGCTAACATGGCCAGATGAACTACCTTACCAAGTACCTTGAACTGATCGACACGGCCTTTCTCGTCCTTAAGAAGAAGCCGCTTACTTTCCTCCACACCTATCATCATGGCGCGACCGCACTGCTCTGCTACACTCAGCTTCTCGGTCAAACATCAGTCTCCTGGGTGGTTATTACGCTGAATCTGACAGTCCACGTTGTCATGTACTGGTAAGTCTGGTCAATGCCGAGGTGAGGGCTATAAGTAACACGAAATCAGGTACTATTTCCAAGCCGCTCGCGGTGTTCGCATCTGGTGGAAGAAATACATCACCATGCTTCAGATCATCCAATTCGTCATCGACTTGGGCTTCGTCTATTTCGCTTCCTACACCTACTTCGCCAACAGCTACTTCCCATGGGCACCCAACGTCGGTACTTGCTCCGGAGAGGAATTCGCGGCTTTCGCTGGCATGGGTATTCTCAGCTCTTATCTGCTGCTGTTTATCTCTTTCTACTTCGCCACCTACAGAAAACAAACCGTCTCCGGAAGACCTAGAAGAAACACTGGACGGGAAGCCCTGATCGCCATGAAAGATCTCCCTCTCCCGGACCCACATTCTCTTCCTCCTGTCTTTGATGACGAGAAGTCCAACGGTGCTGTCAGCACAGGTCGCTCAAATGGACCTACCACAAGATCACGAAAAGCCTAGGTGGCTGAAGTGGACGACCGTTTCAATGACGATATCTTCCCACCATTGACGAGGGTACAAAACCATGTTCCACGGAACAAAAGCAGTGAAGATTTCATCCGACAACAGCTTGACAGCGTTTCTCCCGACCTGTCAAAATACACTTGCCCCGATTATGTCTAGAATTGGGGATGCATCAATAGCGCAGGAACAAGGAGTTGAACAAGTTGAGGCTTATAGACGGGGTCGACGGTAGGCGTGGTAAGACTACCACAGCTGCGGCTTGCGACTTTGCCACATGTACGATTACCGGGCGTTGAAGAAAAGTGAGACCACAGCCAGACTTCAGGGCTGAGTCTGGTGTGGTTGTATTGAGTCGGGCTTCGTTTGTATTTGTGTAAATAGTGCGTACTTACTATTAATACTGAGACATAATGCGAAACAGGTATTTTGTATAGTACTCCGATAGGCATTTTCAGGATTGATTTAGAAGCATTTCTACGATTATTTGAACAGGCTTTCCTAATATCCTCCCTGGGGAAAAACAGACTCTATATGCCATTGAAAACCTGAATGACAATGACTCTGATGTACATATTCATAGCGGCGACCCTCCAAATGTGGTCCAGCGTTGCAATCGAGAACACTCATCCAACCCATCTCCGGGCACTCTGGAAGAGTCGCTCCCAAGGGCCATACTCGCCCCACTCTGCAGCCTTGCCGTCAGGAATATAACTACCAATGCCGGACAAGATGGTCCGCTCAGGATGCGGCATCAGCGCCAGCACTCGACCATCCTGGCTACGCACACCCGCAATGCCCGCCGGACTACCATTCGGGTTCATAGGGTAAGTCGTCGTCGGCATCAACGATTTGTTGTCCACGAACTTGATAGGCGCGAGATGCGAGTTCGCAAAATCGTTTGCCAGGCTCGCATCGAGCGCCTTGTTGTTTGTCTCGGTGAAACACGCGCGGCCCTCCCCGTGGGCTACAGCAATAGGCAGACTCGAGCCGCTCATGCCGTGGAAAAAGACCGACTGAGGCACGGCGCTATCGGCAGGTGGATCGGTGATGCGGACCATTGCGACACGCGCCTCGTACTGTTCGGACTCGTTGCGTTCGAAGCTCGGCCACTTCTCTGCGCCGGGGATCAACTCCTTGAGTTTACTCAGGACTTGGCAGCCGTTGCAGACGCCAAGGGTGAAAGTGTCCTTGCGCTCGAAGAAGGCTTGAAACTTGCGCCGGGTGTCGGAGTGAAACAAAATGGATTTCGCCCAGCCCTGGCCAGCACCCAGGCAGTCGCCGAAACTGAAGCCGCCGGCTAGTGCGAGCCCGGTGAATGTTGACAAGTCCTGCATGGCCCCCAAGTGGCCGTGGCCTTCGAGGATGTCGGACATGTGCACGTCGACGGCCGTGAAGCCGGCGGCGTCGAAGGCGAATGCCATTTCCGCGTGGCCGTTGGTGCCCTGGTCGCGCAGGATAGCGACGCGAGGTCGAGCAGTTGGCCGGACGTAGTTGATCAGGCTGGTCTTGTATGTGGCGATGCTCTCCTTGGGAGTGTAAGTCAGGTGATAGCTTAAGCCTGGGTCTGTGTCCTTGGAGATGTTGGCATACTCGGCGTCCGCGCAGGCTGGGTTGTCACGCATGCGCTGCAGCCAGTACGACGTGTTTGACCATTTCTTCTGGAGGTCGGTACGCGTAGCGCGGTAGACGAACCTGCCGCCGTGGTAGATGACCAGGTTTTGGGACGCCTTGGATACGGCGCCGATCTTGTGGATCAGACCGGGCGGCGGTCCGCAAGTGGCGAAGCACGCTTTGAATCGGTTTTCGTCTGCGCTGCGGACTTGGAAGACGGCGCCGAGTTCTTCGTTGAAGAGTGCGGAGATGACGTCCGGCGTGTTGGTCGATGGGCATATTTCTTTCGTGAGCATGATGTCGATGCCGCAGCGGCCGGCGAAGGACATTTCTGCGAGCGTGGTGAAGAGACCACCGTCCGAACGGTCGTGGTAGGCCAGGACCAGATCCTGCTGGTGCATTTTCTGGGTTGCGTCGAAGAAGTCCTGGAATAGGCGGACGTCGCGGATGTTGGGAGCTTCGTCGCCAATCTGCTTGAAGGATTGCGCAAGAATCGAGCCGCCGAGCGCGCGGTGGGCGACGCCCAGGTCGACAAAGAAGAGGGTCGTGTCGCCGACTTCATTGTATCGGCGGAGTTGCGGTGTCCAGGTCTTTCTAATGTCATTGACGGGTGCGAAGGCGGAAATGACGAGCGACAGGGGCGCCGTGACTTCTTTGGGTTCCTTGCTCTGCTGATCTTGCCATTTCATTTTCATCGACATTGAGTCTTTGCCGACAGGAATAGAGATGCCGAGTTTGGGACAAAGGTCCATGCCGAGTGTCTCGACTGCTTCGTATATGGCTGCACCCTCACCCGGGTGACTTGCGGCAGACATCCAGTTCGCGGATAATTTCACTTGATGGAGTCGATCGTGGAGGTCTGCAGCTGTCAGGTTCATGAGCGATTCGGCGACCGCCATCCGAGCAGATGCAGTGGGTGAGATCAGAGCGATCGTTGGTTTCTCGCCCATAGCCATCGCTTCGCCGGTTTTGATTCCAGTGGTGAGAGACGTAGCTGTTACCGACACGTCGGCCACAGGAACTTGCCACGGCCCGACCATCTGATCTCTGGCAGTCAAGCCTCCTACTGTGCGATCGCCAATCGTTATCAGGAACGATTTCGAACCGACAGCTGGCATGTGTAGAACTCGGTCAATAGCTTCCTCAAGCAGACCTTGAGTCGAAGCTTGTGGTACATACATACTCAAACTGGTATCGAACGCTGGCAGGTCGACTTTTCGTGATGTCACATTTCGTGTCATCTTGGGAGGCTTGCCAAACAGGACATCCATGGGCAAGTCAATTGGATCTTGCTGGCCGTGTGAATCGGCAGGATTGTCACGGTCCGTGAGCTTGAGGACCTGTTCAATGCTTGCGTGGCCTACCACCGATATTTCGCAACGTTCTCGCTTAGCGATTGAGGCAAATTTGTTCAGATCATTTTGTTTCACGGCGAGAACGTACCGTTCCTGGGCCTCGCAGCACCATATCTGCAGAGGACTCATGCTCTTATCTGCACAGGCGACCTCACGAAGCTCGAATTTTGCACCAAGCTCCGAGTCTTTCGCCAGTTCTGGCAAAGCGTTGGAAAGTCCGCCTGCACCAACATCGTGTATGAAGGCAATGGGATTCCGGTCCGCGCCAAGTGCTGCGCAGGCGTTGATGACTTCCTGAACCCGACGCTGCATCTCAGGGTTACCACGTTGGACGCTGGCAAAGTCCAAATCCGCGGATCCCTCGCCAGAGGTAATGCTGGAGGCAGCCCCGCCACCCAGGCCGATAAGCATGGCTGGTCCACCCATGACTATTAGCTTTGCACCATCCTCCACAAGATCAGGGTCCTTGAGTGCGAGCTCCGGTCGAACGGTGCCGACACCACCAGCAATCATGATAGGTTTGTGGTAGCCCCTGACTTCCGAGGAATCCTTGTCCGTCTTCATTTCAGTCAAGAGTGTTCTGAAATAGCCGGTCGTGCAAGGTCGGCCAAATTCATTATTGAATGCTGCACTGCCAATGGGTGCTTCGAGCATAATGTCCAAACTGCTGGCGATATGATGTGGCTTGCCATAGTCGAGTTCCCAGGGTTGGCGATGACCCGGGATCAGCAGATCAGAGACACAAAAGCCCGCAAGTCCAGCTTTAGGCTTGGAGCCTCGTCCGGTAGCACCCTCATCTCTGATCTCACCTCCAGAACCAGTAGCGGCACCTGGGAAAGGAGAAACAGCTGTGGGATGATTATGTGTTTCAACCTTGATCAAGAAATCAACCCTTTCTTTGGTAGGTTTCCACTGTCCATTTACATCATCTGGAGCCCATTGGCTACCTACTTCGCCCTTCAAGACGGCAGCGTTGTCACTGTATGCGCTGATTGTTCCTTCGGGCGTTACCTTGTGTGTATTGCGGATCATCCCAAAGAGTGTATTCATTTTCGTTTGTCCATCGATGATCCACGTCGCGTTGAAGATCTTATGTCGGCAATGCTCCGAGTTGACCTGAGCGAACATGAACAGCTCAACATCGGTCGGATGCCTCGGCACTGGTCCGTCCCTAGAATACGCTTCGGCAAGATACTGGATTTCTGAAGCATCCAAGGCAAGCCCGAGCTCTCGGTTCAGGTTCTGCAGGATCTCCGTGGGTGATCTTCCAGCATCGTAGAGGTCGTATACTCCCAAAGAGCCAGTCTCTTGGTGCAAAAACAATAAATCTAAATCAGGCTGTTCTTCCGAGATGGTCTCCGTCATTCGGTCGTGAAGGAAGTCAAGTGCAGCCTTGTCGAGAGATTGACCATTGGTAAGTGAAACAGTAATCTTGATACCGCGTTCGATTCTGGAAATGACCTTGCGAAGGCCACACACATGAGCAATGCTGGTCGCTTTGGTACTCCAGGGGGAAATGTTTCCGGGTCTAGGTAAGACATAAAGGATTTTCGACGACTCATCTTCTTGTGCAGTTTCTTTCACCGTCAGACCATTGGTCAAAAGCTTTTCCAAGAGAGCCTGATTTTCCGAGTCGAGAGCCGATGTGAGCTCAATGTAATGGATATATTGACCCTGTACATCTTGGGCGCCAACTAAATGGGCGAGCGCCTGACGGCGAAATTCGGAAAAGGCTGAACCGCCGTGGATAACACAGACTTCGGAGGTTGACGAAGCCATCGTTGAACGCCCCTGTCGCCGATGGAGGATTGCCTCCCGATTAACTGCTCAGCGACTTCCTGAAGTAAGACGACCAGCGTCAAAACCGATGCTTTAGTCCTCAGTCCAGTATGGTTGGAGCGACACTAGGAGCGTCTGATAATGGCGACCATGCACAAATCACACAGATTTAGAGACTGTCGATCAAGGATGGATCGAATGTTTGTCACCCGGACGGCATCCCATTATGACCATATGATCATGCATGTTCATATCCTAAAAGTCCTCGATATGACTGATCCGTGTCTGAAAGTCCTTCGCAGTAGGAAAAATTCTCGGAGCGGGCGGGCTTGGCATGTGACATTTCCGTTCGTTCCTAGTTGGACCAGCAGGCGGGAGCCCGTGTCAGCTAGCTGGGTTTAGGGGTGCTGCTTGAAGCTCGCCAGGCGCTCAACCTGGTGTTTCTACCCCAGAATCTGTTGTGCACCCCCTCTGCAAGGAACCCCTAGGCGCACTTGCCATGGCACACCACCATCGATCCATCTGCGCCTAACTCAAAGCCCGACACCCGTCATACGCGCAACTCCCACTGACATTGATACCAGCTGTTCGAAAACACCTCCCAACTGACCAGACTCTCCGTCTTTGCCTTTATTCAACACACACCTCTCAATCTATATCATTTGACGCGATCGTGTATAATGTCGAATTGACTTTCACTACTAAGAGGCCGTATCTCTCTGTCGAATACTCCGCTTTTCTCGTGACCGACTGCCGTCCTCATGCGCTTGCCATTGACCGATCCTCTACTACTCGTTGATCCCCGATTCAACCAACTCTCACCCTCTTATTCCACTCACGAGCTTGCCCTGCGCACCCGACCGACCCACATAATCAACGACAACCTCGAGCCCCTCTACTTGCACCAGAGGTCTCAGAACAGCTTACCCCTATCATAAAACCTTCGATACTGAGGGTAGTCGAAGTCCGACTGCCCATTTCAAGCCGTCAACATTCCCTCTCCTCGCCGCAATCCCGAGTCCTCCCTCCACCACCGATCGCACTCGTCTCGGTCTAAAGCTGAGCTGCAAGATAAACCAGACACATTGCCGTCCTCAGCAGAGAAGGAGAAAGACGAAAGCTACCGGCGACTGTCGCACTCCTCTGCCACAGGATCTGACGACTTCTCCCTCTTCAGTGACACTGGAGATCTTGCAGAACAACTCACCAACGACGAGGACCCTTACCGCATTGAGCTTGACCCATTGACCAGAGAAGGTCAAAGGCGTAAAGTCTCCGGTCACGGTGGAGGGCGGAAGAAGAGAGTCGGTTTCAAAGAGCAACACCACTTGGAGAAGGGATCTGGCCCATTTCACATAGATAAAGAGTCTATCTTCATCCCTGATCCTCCACCGCATTACATCCCAAAAGCCGAGCGACTCCTGGCTCTCATCATGGCGCCTAACGATCCAGAGTCCGCCCGGTCCAAGGGTCTTGTTGGGAAGCCTTTATTGTATGGCTTCAGTCTACGCGTGTTTGGAGAGAAGAGTAGTGGCTAACGAGATTTCTCAGATACTTTACGAGTGTGTTCGTATCTTTGGGAGTGTTCCTGTTCGGCTATGACCAAGGTGTTATGTCTGGCATCATTACGTGAGTACTTCCTGAATTTCCGTCCGTCCCCAGTGCTGATCTTACGACAGTGGCCCGTTCTTCAGAGACTATTTCCACCAGCCTAGCCCGGCCGAGATCGGTACTATGGTCGCCATCCTCGAAATCGGTGCCCTTATCGCATCGTTGTGCGTTGGCCGAATAGGCGATATAATCGGACGCCGCCGAACCATCCTTTACGGCTCCATGGTCTTCTTTGTCGGCGGCATGTTACAGACCTTCGCAAATGGAATGCCAATGATGATGATTGGGAGATTCATCGCCGGCTTAGGAGTTGGTGCCCTCTCGACCATTGTACCAGTCTATCAATCCGAAATCAGTCCACCTCACAATAGAGGCAAGCTGGCATGTATAGAATTCACGGGAAATATCGTAGGTTACGCAGCAAGTGTCTGGGTAGACTACTTTTGTAGTTATATCGAGAGCGACTATTCTTGGCGAACGCCACTCCTGATGCAATGCGGTATGGGAGCGCTCCTGGGATTTGGCAGTCTGATCATTTGCGAATCCCCCAGGTAAGGACTTCCGAGGGCACGCAGTGTTTGACGAGACTAACGCAATGGTACTAGATGGTTGCTAGACAACGACCATGATGAAGAGGGCATTATTGTTATCGCCAAGTTCTATGGCAAGGGCGACATCCACAGCCCAAAGGCCCGCCAAGAGTATCGAGAGATCAAGATGAACGTTCTCATAGAGCGACAAGAAGGGGAGCGTTCCTATGCAGACATGTTCAAACGGTACAGGAAGCGTGTCTTCATTGCCATGTCGGCCCAGGCGTTCGCACAGCTCAACGGAATCAACGTCATCTCCTACTACGCACCTTTGGTCTTTGAGTCAGCTGGTTGGGTTGGACGAGATGCCATTCTCATGACTGGAATCAATGCTATCTCATACCTGGCGTCGACCATTCCACCTTGGTATCTCGTGGACAAGTGGGGAAGGCGACCAATTCTCCTCTCTGGAGCTGTTGCCATGATCATATCGTTGTCCTTGATCTCCTACTTCATCTTCATTGATGTGAGTTGGACGCCAGCGCTGGTGGTTGTCTTCGTCATGATCTACAACGCTTCATTTGGCGCCAGTTGGGGCCCAATTCCATGGCTCTACCCTCCAGAGATCCTGCCTCTGAGCATCCGAGCAAAGGGCGCCAGTCTGAGCACGGCCAGCAACTGGGCATTCAACTTCGTGGTTGGAGAACTTACCCCTGTTCTTCAGGGCGCGATCAAGTGGCGGCTGTATCTTGTGCACGCCTTCTTCTGTGCTGTCAGTTTCGTTCTCGGTAAGTTGAAGTTTGTTGATGAAGTTGTCCAAACGCACGCTGACTGATCTTAGTATACTTCGTATATCCTGAGACGGCCAATGTTCGTCTCGAGGACATGAATGCACTATTTGGAGATGCTACAACCGCGATGCCAACACCAGCAACTCAAGCAGAACGCGGTTCACTCATGGGAGTTGGATCACCATCATCACTCGATATCAGAGGAGGGACACAGCAGCCAGGCATGTTTTCGGCCGACAATGCAATCCCTGGTCTTGACATCGACCCTCCCCATATCGACCTCGACTCCAATGGCCAGCCTCGAAGGGGAAGAAGTGAGTCCAATGCCGAAGGTCTCGGGGGCTGGATTGGCCGCATGGTTTCCAGATCGCGGCAAGAAAGTAACGCCTCGCGAGGTCAATACGGCAAGATTGGACAGGATGAAGAAAATTAGAGTACAGGATCCCCCGTACTATTTACTACTGCCACGGCACACTCACTGACACAATATAGACATAGAGAGAGAGAGAGCCTGCACTCGTCTGGACTTGCTTTCAGGCAGCTGCTTGAGTGCATCAGGGACAAGAGAGGTTTAATGCCCTTGAGATGGACTATATATCTAGGGAAAAGGTGAAGTTATGGAATTTATGTTTGATCGTTATCATGTTTTACCAATCTCAAGGTCGTAGGGAATGACCTGCAGACTGCGCAGTTGGTTACGAGTAGATGAGCCTTAAACCGGGATCATGACTAAGACTGGAGGGAATATACCGCGAATCCACACATCTGGATCTGCCGCTCTGGGTTCTCTGGGTTGAACCCTCTTCCAAACTTAGACACCAATTGATCCGATCTTGCCCTGCAACTGGCGCAATTGCTGCCGTCAATGTCATCCATCATTTATCGTGGTCCATTCACCAAATTATCTCCCCTCTAAACCTAAGTGCGTTACGGACACGGCCTGCAAACGCGTTGAGGTCTCGTTCGTTCCCTTACACTGCTCCTCACTACGGAACAATCCAAACTGACTCCGCCGGGCGCCCACACCATCGGCGATCTCCCATACCTGTACTGTACGGACCCTCTTGTTCAGCCTTCCGCGGCCAAACCTGTCCCGTGACAACGAGCAGCCGCCGCAACCAACGCCCTCAAACGCCCACGACCAAGCATCGTCATACAGACACGCAGTCGTAGGAGCTGGCCGGATCTGGATTGAGCCTCCACAGGTTTTGCGTAGCCAGCTTTGTCTGCGGAACTCCCTCCGCTCCTCAGAGGCCACCGCGGGTATCGAACGAAGCATTCCCAGAGGTCCAACTACTCCACCTTGACTTCATCTCAGATACAAGACAAGGAACAATTTCGAGGATGTGATCTTACTGGTACTGCAACATCGACGTGTCCAGCTTATCTTTGAAAGGCTGGTCGCCGGGCAGACCGGTAATTGGACCAGTGATGGAAAGATAGAACAGTCACTCTTTGCGACAAGATGTCCCAAGGTATAATCAAGAGACCTCAAGAGACACACAAAGTATCCAAGAGCAAGGAGCATTCTACAACATCCATTCCACAAGTAAATGAGCGTCTGGCTCATTTGTGGGAATCTATCCTTCCAAGACAACCTTACCTCCTCTCCGTTCCCTCGGACGTCCCCTATCGGCACAGTTCGCGGTTCATAAACACTTGGTATGAAGGTACACCTTTCGACAAAAACGAGGAGCAATTGCAGTACCTGAGTTTCCTCCCACATCTTGGTGAGCACGAGTCTCTCTTGAAGGTGGAGGGTGGATGGGCGGACGAGCAGGGCAATCGTATCCTGGAAGAGGAACCGTCACCAAGGACTGTACCTGCGAGTGGTCGCAACACACCCGCAGATACGGGAAATCGCAAAAAGATCAGCCTAAAAGACTACAAGACAAAAGGCAAAAGTCCGCCTGTTACCACGCCCAGGCTACAGCAGTTGCAGATCTCGAAGGAGTCGCAACCTCTGGTAACCATTACGGAGAAGGAGTCCTCTACGAATCCTAACGGCTCGCAGACGCAGCAGGACAAGGATACCGCTCGGCGAACGTTGAACGGCAGGGTCGCCGAGCACAAGCTCGAAGTGACAGTGGCGCGTCTCGACGGTTCTCGTTCTCCTCAAGATAGTCCCAAACATACACAGCCGGGCTCTCCAAATCCAGCGAAGAAAAGGAGGTTGTCCCCACCTTTTGAGGACCGCAAGCCTGTCTCAAAAGCACCGACAAAGGAAACACTACTACCCACCATGGAAATGCCCAGGTTATTGTCCCCAACCCTACCGTCGCCTGAAGATGAGAACGGATTGCCCGAATTGCTCTCACCACTTCTGCCACCGTCGCTCGCCAAAATGATATCGAGTTCCCCGAATCCTGCCTCAAGTCCTATAAACGGATCACATCAACGAACGGACTCTGTCCGCTCTATACTTGCCGGCGCGGACCTCGACAATGATTTCCTCTTCGACAAGAATAGACTAGCTCCGACTGGTAGCCGAGTGCGTTCAGACAGTCAGCATTCAGCCAGAAGTTCTGCTCCGGGTACTCCGAATGGTTCTAAGTCCATCATAGGAAGCAAAGTTCTGTCCAAAAATGGTATCAAAGTTGGCACGCCTCTGCAGACCGCGGCCCGGGCAAGTCCCGGACCCCGGCAACGACACACAATCATCCTGAAATACGGCAAAAAGAATCGAAAAAGAGTTGAGGGATTGCTGAAATTTGCTGCTCGCCCTAAGAAGGAACCGGTCACACAAAATGCAATTTCACGAGACATCAAGATGAAGAAGGAGTTCATCAAGGAAGAAGTTGACTCTCTCAGGACGCCTGATATCAAGCCGAGGTTGATTGCTGATGACGATGTCAGGACGGAGAAGAAACGCAAGGCCGAGGATAGTCCTGGCCCGTTATTGAAAAAGATGAAGTCTTCGATGATGATAGCTGAGAAGGACAAACGACCTTCTACGCCGACTCCGTCTGCGAAGACACCTCAGACGTCGACGAAGTCTACCTTTTCCACCCCAAAGAAAGAATTGAAGTCAACAGCGATGAGGCGAGTCGAGTCCTCCGAAGGTGTGGATGTTCCGACCCCGGGAGACAAAGGTCGAGTTTCGACCCCTGTAGCTGTACCGAAACCTTCGCCTCAACCAACGTCTGCATCGAGTACTACTCGAGAAGATGAACGACAGCTGTGGAATAACATCGGAAGCAAATTTTTCGCGTTAGGTCGCACGCTGAAGCATGAAGGCAGCTCTATGCTTCCTGCGTCCGAGGATGACTCGAAGCCTGCGCAATCTGCCAAAGCGGTTCTTTTGCTGATTGAAGCCCTGCTCTGCTTCTTGATCAATATCGCGGCGCAGTCTCATATGCGGCCCGGTGCGGATCCTGGTTGGAGGTCGACTATTCTCTACCACATTTTTGTCTATCGAGCATCGAGGAAGTATCCGCACTTGCATGGCCTGGTGGTACAGCTCGGGGCAGTATGTCGGCAGGCGATCCACAGGTTCGATCTGGAAAAGCTGGCACGTGATCAATTGCCCGAGGATTATTGCAATTCAGCACCTACTCCTGGTAGTGACGGAAACACAAAAACCAATGAGGACGGTACCAAATACAAGAAACGGTATATTGAATTCAAGGATGAGCTCGTCCACAATGCCTTTGAGCTGCAGACCGCGTGGTTGAATGGCTACCGCCGGCTGTGCCCAGACCTGTTGAGGCGCGATTATCCAAATACCTGGGCGAAGCGAGCCAGAGACGCCAGCGCGAGACTTCAGGACAGGGTAGTACCAACGAAGATACCCAAGGAGTTCTATCTGCCCATGGACGCAAACACGAACGCATTCGAGGCTGCCAGATTCGGCATGGCGTTCCTCGAGGAATGGGCAGAAACGCAGAAGATTGAGTGGAAGACGAGGATTGACTTATGATACCACTATCGGCGAAATGTGCCCGTTTATTTGCGATGGGCAGAAACCTAATGCGGAATGTGTATGAATGTTAGGCGATCAGGGCTTGGAGATACCATTGAGCAGCGAGGAGCTTGCTTGTTATCTACGATACGATGCGTGCCAGAATGCACATACTATTCCCCCTACTACGTATTTTATTGTGCTGAATACAAGCCATATGGCTGAAAGACTTTCATCTTCTTCTGATTGGGCTTATTGAGCTGGCTTCCATGGTCAATCAATCTTGCTAGGGGCCATCCTGTTAACTCAGCCTTGCGCAGCCTTGCCGACATCTTATGTCGAAAACCCACCATTGCGGAGACCTGCGCTTATGATTTCGGGAAACTCGCAGCCTCGTGAACTTCTTCCCTGCCTTTGACATCTGCACCTTGTGCAACGCGCATCTGCTCCGTCTACGTCAATGATGGATGAGATACGAGGCAATGTCCCTCGATGATCCTTCTGAATTCGATGGCGTCTTGCCCGTAATCCCGATCGACTCTCCCGCCCCGTACAAAGATCCCAAAAGCAATGCCGCGACCGGTGCCTCGGCGGCCGGCGCTCGTGCGTTTGCTGCGCAAGCCGTAGCATTCTACTTTCGAGCACCTGTCAAGGCATTCTTCCGCACGAGGGTGGACTATCTGGTACGTCTATACGCTGGTCGGTAAGGCTAGGCAAGGCAGAACATAGACTGACAATGCTGCTGTTGTAGGCATACGCCAGATCCATAAACCCGGACGTACAGAGCGGACGCTTCTCCTGGAGGAGCACGACACCGGGTCTGCTCGCCCATGCGATTCGGAACTATGGCTGGCGGTTTATCCCGGAACAGCTACTCCCACCACTCGCTGCGAATGTCATCGTCGGCGCCGCACTGTACACATCATATCTCCAGGTTCTAGGGCGTCTGTACGAACCTGCCTCCCACGCCACGAAGACGGTGTACCCTCCTGCGCCGCCTGCGTATACATTTGCCGCCGGTTTTGCCGCGGGAAGCATACAATCCGTGCTTGCGGCGCCACTGGATGCACTGCAAGTGCGCTTCGAACAGCGTGGAGATGCATACCAACACAAGACGATGTGGCAGTACGGCAAGGGGAAATTACATGAGATCGGACTGCGCGGGATATTTGCTGGATGGGGCCTGAGTTTCCTCAAGGACAGTTTCGGCTCGGGCATCTTCTTTTCGACGTTCGAATACGTCAAGGCGCAGGGGTACTACAATTTCGTGAGGTGGTATTATGGTGCGCTGGGAGACGTTGATGTTGAGAAACTTGCGCAGAGGAGAGGCAGTGTGGCGACGCAAGCTCAACCTACTGCTGTTATTCGGCCGCATTATGCCCTGGAACCGGCGTTTTTGATGTTTGCTGGGATGTCGGCGAGTGTGGCACAGCAATTTATGCTGTACCCTTTGTCTACGTTGCAGACGTTGCATTATGAGCGGCTGGAAGATTTGGATAAGAAGGCTGTGCAGTTGCACCGGGACGGTGGTGCGAGTAGGGGACGGATGCTCCGCGCTTATTATCATGCTTATCAGACGACTTGGAAGGCGGCGAAGACGCAGGCTGTCGGCGTGGGGATGCGGAATTGGCTTTTCAGAGGGTTCTGGTGGTTCACTATTCGACAGATACCCAGTACGAGTGCGGGCTTGGTCATGTTTGAGTTGATCAGGAGGAAGTATGGCCTCGCTGGGGGTGAGGTTAGGATTACGAAGGATGGGTATGATATACTATTGACTTGATGGCGCCGGTCGAGCTACGGCCAACTTTTTGTGGTAATGAGAAACGAACCCAACTCTATCAGCGTAGAAGCATTGTTCGCCGTTCCTGCTGTGCTCTTTCCTGCTTGCTATACATTGGTCGTACCATCTCATGCACCCTGCAGAAGACCAGTCAGACGATACATGGTCGGACAGGACTGGACATCACAGCTTTGCCAGCTCCTTGGCGAGGAAGGGAAGGCACCCGCCATTTGAGTGTCCTTTATATGTTTAAAGACCGAAAAATCCCTTCAGTCCACGATGATAAAGTCCATAGAAATGCGAAAGCACGCTTGTAAGTGGCTGAGTGGATTGTAGCGTAGTTCCCAGACTCACCTGGTCCGCTGTTCAACTCACCGTAAAGTTCGTAGACTTCGCAAAAAACCAGTCCGGCTGGCTTCACTTACCTACAACCTCCTCGATCACCGGATCCAGGAGCTTGTAGGCAAAGTTTTTGCTTTTTTGGTTGTCTAATTCCGGATCTTCAAGGTTGAATGTAGTCAATGTGGACGAACTTACCTAGGTACATTTATACCGCATCTTGAGACGACGACGTAGCCGCTTCCAGAGCATCTCTGTGGGCCACTTTACGACCCCTTGGCAGGCTTTCGTGCATATTCCAGTCGATCAATAGCCCGCCCCTCCCGTGTGGTGGTTGTTGAGTCCATATACAGACCAGTCTCGACTTGGTCGTCGAGGTCCTTCACTTCCGATCCCATATCTCGCCCTCCACAACCCGGTAAGAGAGAAAACATGGTGTCGCGGACGGCGTTCTGCACGAGGTGAGAAGATTTCAAATCTACTTTGGTAGCATGAGACACGACATGCTGCCGTCTGTCTTTGTCATCTCATGTTAAGGTTGGAAGTATGTAGATGGCAGGGCGGAGATCCACTTATCAGGCCGTTTCATCTTCCGCGTTACTGTAGGTGGTTGGAGATCACCGCTGTATTTGTAAGTCGTCGATCGCGCATATGCGATATAGGTACCGCGGTGCTCACATTGCGCAGACTTGTTTCAGCACGACTTTACTTCCTACAACGGTGACTGGGTGCGGATCGATTGGTAAGAGGTCTCTCTGTGGAAATGAGGTCTCTGCGCACAGTGTCGGTGGTGGGTTGCCATGCTGAGGGCGAAGTCGGCGATGTCATTGTTGGCGGAGTACTAGACGCTCCTGGCTGTAAGACAATGTATGAGAAGATGATGTACTTTTGGACCAAGAAGGACAGTCTGCGGAACATGTTGCTTCAGGAACCTCGAGGTCGATCCTCGATGTGTACCAATCTGGTTGTATCGCCTTGCGACCCTCGAGCAGACGCTGGATTTCTCATAATGGAAAGCGACGAATACGCACCAATGTCAGGGTCTAATACGATATGTACGGCAACAGTGCTCTTGGAGACGGGCATGATAGAGATGAAGGAGCCTGTCACGAAGTTCAATCTGGACACTGCTGCTGGATTGGTTGGCATAACAGCCGAGTGCGAGGCCGGAAAGTGCAAATCTGTCTCTTTCGACAACGTTCCAGCCTTTGTCTTCGCACTTGACAAAGCTATAGACGTGCCTGGGCTGGGGACAATCTCCGTTGATATTGCCTGGGGCGGAATGATGTACGCTCTTGTCGATGCGAGCTCTTGCGGCCTCAAAATCGCAAACAGCGATGCAGCCAAGCTCATCGAGATTGGCGAAAGGATCAAGCGGGCTGTGCAAAAACAATTTGTGCCAGTGCATCCAAATAACCCAGACATTCGAGGAGTGACCAACTTTGTATGGATGGGACCATTCGAGACTGCGCCTGATGGTGTCAAGACGGCGACCAACACAGTGGTAGTGTCTCCTGGCAGGTTCGACCGATGCCCCTGCGGAACAGGCACCTGTGCAAGAATGGCGGTACTTCATGCCAGGGGTCAGCTCGAAGTGGGTGAAACATTCCGCCACAAAAGCATCATAGGCACAGAATTTATCAACCACATCAGAGGCACCACCAAGGTGGGCGAGTATGATGCTGTTCTTCCAACGATAAAGGGCAGAGGGTGGATCACGAGCTTCAAGGAAATCGTACTAGATCCGACCGATCCATTTCCGGAGGGCTTCAGGGTAGCAGATCACTGGCACATGCCGACTGATCCCTGAGAAAATCGGACAAGGATAGAAAGCTTGGGTGAACAGAAGATCAATACAGAAGGTGATATGTATCAGCATTGTACCTTATGCTCTGGAGCAGAAAATGGCGCTGTAGACACTTATAGAGACTGCTGCTTGTTGTTGAATGGAAATTCATCTGCCTCGCTTGAATTGTTACTGCCAGAGACCCGAGCCTGAAGTACGCGCGGCAGCATTAATTTCTGAGCAGCACAGGAGCTCCTCCACTCGGTCCAAGTAGCATGTCAATGACATGTACCGCTGATGCTTGACCTGAGGTGGCAGGGTTGTTTACAGCGTTAACGAGGATTTCTTGAGGTGGAAGCATTGTATGAGAAGCACTGGAGAAGTTAATGACTTAAAGTCGCGGTGACGCGCTCTGAGGATTATGCTTGGCGCTCGTCGCGTTGAATCATTCCTGGCTGCGATTGCCGTGCCTCAAATGTTCGTAGGCAAAGTCCATCAAGCAACTTTCCGATTTACCTTCTCTTTGCGACACTTTTGCTCTTGGAGGGAGCGGGCATTATTCTTGACATAGTCGCACCATCCTTCTCTTCTCTCAACTCCAGTTGTGTCTCTCTTCTCCTTCAGATCGGCTCGCTACAATCTTCCAAACCGCCTTAATTGAGATTCACACTATCCCTCTGCGACTCGCCTCTTTGAGGTAGGCAGCAATCATGGGCGACATTGTCATCAATCCCGATACCTTCTTCGAACGTCTATCGTCTCTCTACAATTCTTGGAAGGCAGATAAGAGATCTGGAGAGGGAACATTCGGCGGCGCAGACAGCATCGTCGTCTTGACCGGTAAGGCCGATCAGGATACCATATATACCAAGAACAATGCTCTGCATGTAAGATAGCTATCTCGAGGACGCTTCCTGCGACGAAATCTGTTCAAGCTGACCGTCTACGCAGTTTTGGCTGCTGGGCTATGAATTCCCGGCAACGTTAATGGTCTTTACCACCGCAGTCTTGTACATCGTCACGACCGAGAAGAAGGGTAAGTGGCACAAGGACGGCGATCCTACATGGTCAGATCTGACACCAGACAGCGCGACATTTGGCAAACCTGAAAAATGGCAAGATTCCTCTCGAGATCCTCGCCATTGCCACGAAAGAGACAGACAGCCGTACAAAAGCCTTTGAGAAGTGTGTCGATATCATCAAGAACGCAGGCAAAAAAGTCGGTGTCATCCCAAAAGCGGAGGCTCACGGTCCATTTGTCGATGAATGGGTCAAGCTCTATGGTGATATCTCGAAAGAGGTTGAAGAGGTCGATGTCTCTGGCGCTTTTGCAACTGCATTCGCCGTCAAGGACGAGACTGAACTCAGAGCCATGCGAACCGCGGGTCATGCGGCAAGCGCCGTGATCTCCGACTACTGGGTTGACGAGATGTCCGAGGTGCTGGATAGAGAGAAGAAAGTTACCCACAGTTCCCTTGCAGAGAAGATGAGCCGCAAGATTGACGACCAGAAATTCTTCAAGAGTATCTCGAAACTGCCCAGCGACTTCGATAACCAGCAATTGGATTGGGCTTACGGACCAATCGTACAAAGCGGTGGGCAATATGATTTCAAGCTGACGGCGCAACCCAACAATGACAACCTTCATTCTGGCTGCATAATAGCCGGGTTGGGTTTCAGATACAAGACTTACTGCTCAATCGTGGCGCGCACGTACTTGATTGACCCAAGCAAGTCGCAGACTGCGAATTACAAGATTCTTCTGGCTGCCCATGAAGCTGCAATGAAGGAGATCAAGGATGGCGTTGTCATGAAGGATGCCTACAACAAGGCTTTGGGAGTTGTCAAATCCAGGAAACCCGAATTGGAAAAGAACTTCGGGAAAGATGTTGGAGCCGCGATTGGCATCGAGATCCGAGATGCAAAATTCGTCCTGAATGGCAAGAACACCAAAACACTGAAGGACGGCATGACTGTTACTGTCACGACGTCTCTCGCTGACCTCACCAATGATAAGCCACAAGACAAGAAGGGCGCGAGCTATAGCCTTCTTCTGACTGACACGGTCAGAGTGACCCGCGGAGACCCTGTGAATTTCACCAAAGAAGCAGCTACGGACCTCGACTCCATCGAATTCTACTTCAAGGACGATGAAGAGGACACGAAGCCTAAACAAGAAAAGACCAAGAAGTCTGGAGCTGCTACTATTGTTGCTTCCAACATCAAGTCGACCCGTTTGCGAGGCGCAAATCGTGGAGACAATGCCAAAGAAGAAGAGGAAGCACGGCGACGCGAACATCAGAGAGAGCTGGCCCAAAAGAAGCAACGAGAAGGTCTTGAAAAGTTTGCAGAGGCTACTGGAGACATGAACGGCGAGAACGAGAAGAAGTTCAAGAAGTTCGAATCATATAAACGCGACGGTCAACTACCCCCCCGTGTCAAAGACATGATTGTTTGGATTGACCTCAAAGCGTCGACCGTCATTCTGCCTATCATGGGCAGGCCAGTCCCCTTCCATATCAACACCATCAAGAACGTCAGCAAGTCCGACGAAGGCGAGTACACGCATCTGCGGTTCAACTTCCTGTCTCCGGGCCAGGGTGTCGGCCGCAAGGATGATCAGCCCTTCGAAGACCCCCAAGCGCACTTCATCAGATCTCTGACAGTCAGATCGAAGGACCAAGACCGATTGTCTGAGATTTCTGCGCAGATCACCGAACTCCGCAAAGCTGCTACTCGTCGTGAACAAGAGAAGAAAGAAATGGAAGACGTCGTTGAACAAGACAAGCTGATTGAGATTCGCAATCGCCGACCTATCAAACTCTCGGATGTCTATCTGCGACCTGCGCAAGACGGCAAACGTGTTCCTGGCGAAGTTGAGATTCATCAGAACGGTCTTCGATATCTCTCGCCCCTTCGCAACGACCATGTTGATGTTGTCTTCTCCAATGTCAAACACTTGTTCTTCCAGCCCTGCGTTGGTGAGCTGATCGTGCTCATCCACGTCCATCTCAAGAATCCGATCATTATCGGAAAACGCAAGACAAAAGATGTTCAATTCTACCGAGAAGCTACCGACATGGCTTTCGATGAAACAGGCAATCGTAAGCGCAAGCATCGATATGGTGACGAGGAAGAGTTCGAGCAAGAACAAGAAGAGAGAAGACGGAGGGCGGAACTTGATCGAATGTTCAAGGGGTTTGCTGAGAAGATCTCTGATGCTGCAAGAGAGTATAACATTGCCGTCGACATACCATTCAGGGAACTCAGCTTCAATGGTGTACCCTTCCGCAGCAATGTTCTGATGGCACCATCCACGGACGCATTAGTGCAATTGACTGAACCTCCCTTTACGGTCATCACCCTGGACGAGATTGAAATCGCTCATCTCGAGAGAATACAGGTACGGACCTCTGTTTTCTGACAAAACCCTTGCTAATATTACGTCTAGTTCGGTCTCAAAAACTTTGATCTTGTATTCGTCTACAAAGACTACAATCGACCACCAACGCACGTCAATACCATCCCAGTTGAGTCTTTGGACCGGGTCAGAGAATGGCTGGATAGTGTGGACATTGCGTATACTGAAGGTCCCCTTAATCTCAATTGGGGTACCATTATGAAGACTGTCACCACTGATCCTCACCAATTTTTCAAGGATGGCGGTTGGAGTTTCTTGAACACGGACACTGACTCGGAAGACGACGAAGAGTCTGAACAGGAAAGCGCATTCGAGATGAGTGACTCTGAACTTGCTGCCAGTGAGTCGGAAAGCGATGCAGAGAGTGACTTTGACGATGCCTCTGCTAGTGACGATGAAGGCGAAGAAGAGGATCTTAGTGATGAAGGTGAAGATTGGGATGAAATGGAGAAGAAGGCCAAGCAGGAAGATTCGAGAGGTGGCGAAGTCGAAGAGGACAAGGGCAGAAAGCGAAAGAGATGAGCTGGCTCACAGCCATCGATTTGCCCGCTCAGCGCTGCGACACGTCTCCAATGGACCTGGAGTGGAAAAAGTGTTTCTCTTTCAGTCGTGGCTGTCACTTTGGGAGGCAAGCGTCTTGAACACCCTTAGCTTTTGCCTTGCTTATGTATTCATTAATGGCAATCTTCAGTCTGATTCTGATGACCCTTTCTAAATCGTGGTCAACCTTACATCGGATCAGGCTGAGAAGTCAAGTCTCTCCAAATCCAAAGTGGAGTCTTGAGTTAGTCGTGATCGTCTCCAACTGATTCCATCATACGCATTCTAGTATTTTGTATTTCTCATCAAGTCTTCGGATCACGAGCTTCCTGTTACACCTCAATCCTACTTGTAAACTCGCGGAGCCTGAACATCTGAATAGCCTGAGACAAATCTGTCATCTCTGCGACCATAAAGCATACCGATCACAACGAAAATGGGCTGGTTCAGTTCGTCGCCCACGCCGGCGCAACCCGCTGCAGGTATGTTGCAGATGGCCCCTTTCGCCTTCAGGGGAGGGACTGAGTTCTCGGGCATGATGGGATATGCGGCTGATATATGACTGACTACAGTGACACAACCATCTACACCCAACAATCTGGCATCGGACTTGAAAACGGCCGCGGGCGGCGAGAAAGTCAAGCCCTGCTGCGTGTGCAAAGACGAGAAGTCCCAGCGCGACGAATGTATGCTGTTCTCCAGGTCGGATGATCCGCAGGAGGATTGTAAGAGTTTGGTGGGGAAGTATAAAGACTGCATGGCGGGTTATGGCTTCAAAATATAAAGACACTCATGGCAATGTCGGCAATCCGAGAATTGGAAGATGTTTCCTTGTCGGGGATGGAAGGACCGAGGCTGTGTACAATTGAAAAGTCAGGGGAACATGGATATTGCTTTCAGCAAGGGATGGACCCAGTTTGCATCTCGTGGCGTCAAGCATCAAGCATTTACATGGCACGGCTAGGCGCATGGTCGGGATTGACTACGGATATACACCAAAAGCAGAAGGCGAACGACTTAGTCAAAGAGAGTCCTGAGGTTGGCCGAGGAGTCTAAGGCAAGTAATCACAATGTATAACACGTACGCAGCAATTCAGATGAGGGTATCGGGGTATCATTGCAGCTTGCCACAGACAACAAGACTGCTGTACAAATATATCTCACTCGCCACTCCCAAGCCACATAGATGGCGAATTGTACATACAGAATCATCAGAGAACCGATACTGCCTCTTCACAGCGAATGAAGTAGACTCTGCATGCCGACCTCCATGTAGTCATCCCGCTTGAGCAAGTACGGCCTCAGATTCTCCTTGCCCAGATTACCGAGCACTTGTCCTCGTAACCTCTCCTTCAGTGCATCGGGAAGCAAGACGAAAATACTGGCCAATTCGGTCAACACCTCGAGACTGGCCTTGAAAGTGTCGTCTAAACCCCAAGACCTCAGCATCTGAACGTATCGGCTCATGTCTCGGGCGAGCATGACACCACCAATCCGGTTGACCTGGTACTTTGTGAAATGCTGCAGGAGCTGTGCGCGGAAGCCGACGGCGACCTCAGTGAGGAGAACACTGAGATTGGCACCGTCGAAGGATTGCGATGCCGTGTCGTGGAACAAGCCGAGAAATCTGCACACGCTGTCACAGGTTGGTGACTGGGCTTGTTCGAGGGATATGGCTTCGGTCTCGGCTCGCGGCCGGAAATCGGTTCGACTCTGGTTGGAAAGGAGTCTTGATGTCCAATTGAGCACGCCGTCTATGGTCTGCTGCTCGATGGTGTTGATTTGGTCTTCGATCCTCGCAACGGCCGTGCGTGTGTTCTTCTCCATATCTCGGCGCGTGGTCAAGCTCGTGCTCGCCAACGGGATGAGAAGCGTGTTGATGCAGCTTTGGACCAGGTGCGTTATGTGTACGGCTGTTCGTAGACTCGCGAGGTATGACAAGTCCGGATCTCTTTTGGCGTATTCGGCGGAAGATGCGGCGTCTGCGGCAGCCTCAAGGGCGACCTCGACATATAGTTCTATCAGATTTTTCAGTATTAGGTTCAAAAGTGCTGCTACGTCCTTTGGCGTTTCTGAGCCGCCGCCGAGTTCGAGACCTCGTCTGACTCCTTCGGCGAGCCATTTGAGCATTCTTTTGGCGAACACAACGTTCAGTCGTCCGTCTGCCTCGGAGAGCTCGACGTCTGGTTGGGCCTTGTCGGTGTTGTTGAGACCGGCAACAGATAGGAGGATTCTCTTTTGCGTGGGTGACATTTTCTCTAGGTCGAGACTTTTCACATATGCATCCGTCGCTTCTCTGGCGGACGCTAGAAGTTCTTGACCACGGTTTCGTAATGAGGCGAGGTATGTTTTGGGCTCTTTTTGTCGTCGAGAGTGGAAAAGCTCGAACTTGAATAAGAGTGACTTGTACAGCTCCTGCAAATTGTGCTTCTCTTTGTCGATGTAGGCCGATCCGCCGAAGTATGGCGTGAACAGTTCGTCGAGCTGCTGATCCAGCAATTGACTGGTTTGGGAGGTCACAGACTCTGGGTGTTCCGTGAGACCGTGCGCTTTGAGGTCGTCTACCAAGATGCTGATATAGCTTCTAGCTGCTTGCAACAATCTCAGGTATGCCAGGGTAGACTCCGACTCGGCCTTTTCCAGAACGAGTTCCAGCCTCTGCTGTATCGATTGTTGGAAGACTCGTTGGACGAATTTGCCGAGTACTTGCTCGGGGTAAGGGAATGCTCGCTTGATGATGGCAGACTCTTCTTGAACGACAACCTTGACCTCATCGATCAAGGACTGCAACCCAGGCTCTACTCCTGGGAGTTCGGCGTCTGGGTCAGATAACCGCATCCACGTCTCTTGATCGCCGCCGACCTCGTCTGTCACCAGGTTGCTTCGGTCGATGAAGAATTGGTGCTGATTGACGAAGGCTGCCTGGACAGATGCACCGCCATTGAAATCTTGTAGGACAATGGCACAATTCTTCATCTCTTCAAAGTTCTGCCGCCTGTAGAAGTCGTCGAAGAGCTTGAGCATGTCGTTCTCCAAGGTCTCAATAAACTTCTCGATAACTTCTCTTGTGTTGAAGTTTCTGCCTCCTGACACGCCGTTTGGAGTTTCACCATTTGTTTTGGGGATGCCGTTGGCCTGCGCATGACTCTTTGGATCGAGTCTCTGGCTGATTCGTAGCAACTGACGGGCTATGTTTGCTGACCTGATCTTGCCTTCTCCTGTGCCAGACCGCCTCAGATTCTCCAGCAATGTCACTTCTCCTCGATTGCTGACTTCGTCCCAGCACTCGATCAGAAAATGTGCATCCAGAGCCTTTGTCCTCTGCCGATCCAACTCTTCGAGTCGGCGACCAGTTTCAACGGCGACATTACCGCCCCATCTTTCACCACGTTCCGACTTTAGCGACGTGTCTAGTTTCTGAAAGCTCTCGACTGTCTGATTCAGTTTCCTCCCCAATGTTTCTGTATTGCTCGCATGCTGTGCTTCAGCCCTTCTCACGGCAGCTGAAAGTTCATTCTCGCGATGCTCCAACTCGCCTGAAAGCTCGTCAAGTCGTCGTGAGGCCTGCTCGAACGTACGAATAAGTGGCTTGGGATCAAAAGGTGCATTGGCTCCGTTTGACCGGCGGTTAGAGGATTGGGCACTCTCGGTTAGGGATTCAATGAAGTCCTTGGCTATGAAGTCGCGATTCGAGAAGTCGTCAAGGTTGAACGCTGGACCTTTTGGGAAGATGGAACGAGTAGGTTGGTCCGCTGGTGGATTCCTAAGATATTGCTGGGCATCCATGCTGTCTCATTTGTAGATCGGCATTGCGACTTTAGACTTAGGCACCTTATGGGGCGTGTGTCTTCTTCGTTGCTATCAGGACAGCATTTTGCCAGGTGAAGTGTGGTCTACGGACGTCGAAACGCGAGGTTCAAGGATGTTACTGTTATGGTACAGACCGTTCGTACTCCGCAGCCGCCGCATAACCCCGCTCAAATGTTCTTCCGTTCCGCCGACATACGGTAGTCGAGGTATCTGCTCTGGCCCTCGACCAGTCTCATTCGACACCCAAACTGCTTTGACGAATCTCTCTCCCATCAAACTAACTGGTTCTGCCGAAGACCGTGTGTGAACGGTCTACATGTTATCGTATGTTGAAATGTCGAATATCATCTCCTAGCTTGTTGACTGCTTCTCCTTGCATAAGCCCACGTAGGTAGCATTCTCCGATCAGTTGATAGTGTTCGTCGCCGGCCGGCCGTAGGACGTAGAAAACTTGACCACCGAAAAGCATGCAGACACAATCACCCTCCTTAGCATCGGACGGGACCCAGCTAAGGTGACCAGTCTCTGTTCGGCAGAAACTGCGTCCTGAGGCATGCGGAGAGCAGACCTGCTGTAAACGGTTACTTGTTTTGAGGAAAGCCCGAAGATCGGGTTCCGTGCAGTCTCTGAACCAATAATCCCAGTCCACGAAATCTTGATACGCACATTGACCCAGATTCACCCCTCTCAGGAGTCGTTGGAAAACACACTCCACATCTTTTTCCAGTGCTTGCGATGGAAGCTCTGGCATGCAGAGTAGTAGTACAGTGCTCGAGAACGTCTCCCAGGCGGGAGTATTGGCGACTTCGGAAATGACACAGTCGTGGCCAAAACCAACATCCAGACACTCTTTCCACCAAGCAAGAATATTCGCGAACATTGTTGCAAATACTATAACCCATTTTGACGGATCGTCGGGATCCTGCTCAACCACCAGAGGTGGGAAAAGGCTTCTAGTTGTGAGTTTTGAAACACGAGACACTAATTTGGCTTGTACTGTTAGTACCGTAAGATCATCCGATAGGGTAGCATCCACCCTTATCACTTGAGCGACATTGAAGTTGTAGTTGAGATATCCAAGGAACGAATTCGATTCAGGTTGGACGGACCAGTCTGGTATTCATGATGGCAAATCGTAGGAGCTTCGACACGAGTCTCGTATGACGCGGACGACAACATGCGTAGTTGCCTGTGATGTATGACATCGGTGATGGCGACGTCTCGGAACAGCTCGTAGGGAGCCTGGGAATAGTTGGGTTCCATTTTGAGCGTATCCGAGGACGAGGCCATACCTAGTAAGCCATATGACTTGTCCCTGGGGTCAGTAGACTCGAAACTCCGAGCCACGTTGATCAATCGAAAGAGCGCATCCTTCCTCTTCATAGCGATACGTTGTTGAATAATGGCCAACCAAGCCACATTGTCGAAAGCTGATCTGTGTGCTGCGTGCATATCAGTGTCAATGCAACAGAAAACCCCAAGTCCGCTGTCCACTAATATTTGAATAGCCATGAAAAAAGTTCTGAAGCTGATTGATCGATTCGGATGCAACATTTTGACTTCCTTAGCCTTTGCTACTTCTTGAATGATCCAGACACGTTGGAACCATGGTCTAGTCAACAACTGCCCAAGTTGAATGAGCTTAGTCTTGTCCGTGTCATACTTCTCGAGTGACCCCGATTCAACAAGCCCGACCCCTATAGCACTCAAGTTCAGCAGAAGGCAGGCTGAGGTTTCTTCAACCTCTGAAAACGGTCTAGCCGCGTTGACCAACCATTCGGCGACTTCGAATGCCTGATAATCATAATCAGATGGTGGTCCAAGCCACACTAATGTACAGCGTGCGTGGGCGTAGATGTCCCCCATAAAGCTAACCTGCTGACTTGGTTCGCCCAGATCCTCTTGGTTGATACACACCGCGTCAACCCAGAGATGATCGGTACGGCCATCATGAGAGAACTGGAGAAGCACAGAGTAGAGGTTCTGGGTAATCATCAGTCTGCTACCTGAGCAGAGCTTGCTCGAGCACAGCAGAGGCTCTCGTTCAGTAGCATTGCCCCACACATATGACAGCGCGTCATAGGGCGGACAATCATCGAGCAAGACGGTTTCGAGCGTGCAAGCATGCGCGGCGTCGCCTGAGCCAGATGTCAATGTCAATAGGCGAATCGTTCTGTCCTTCTCCAAACTGTCATAGATGGACGACGGAAGTAGGGATTCGCAAGAGCCTGCCTTGGTATGCTGCATTCTTGATGAAGGTATAGGTCGAGTGCCATAACATGAATGCAAAAGACGTAGTTTAGCAGCTCAGACGTAGGCCACAATTAACAAGGTGGACCAGCAATATTGTAAAGATGCAATCAAACGCAATTCACCTTGTGAGGATGTAGAGAACATTGGTGATCTCCATGGGAGAAGGATCTGAAGCACTCAATATATCTTTGAACCAGGCAATGTTGTGAACAAGTACCGGTTGGCCGCAGTGAGCCTTGCAAGGCTGGATCAGACTGCGCCTTGTTGGCCTTCGGTATCAACAAGGACTGATTGCTGCCAGGTTTCAGAGCTGGATCGAAGTGTCTCTGACGGCTGTTGATCAGCAGCTGTTTGCGGCACAGGCTACGAGGGGCTAAGGATCTAAAGAATCGATGCCGCAATTGAATTCGACTGGAATAACAGAAGGGCACATGCTCGAAAGATAAGAGAACGCAAAGTGCTGCCATAGTCGGCTAGGCGAGCCACATGGTTCTAAACGGCCTCCCGGGACCCAATGATGAAATGCGCAATTCTTTAACACCTGCAAGGGGCCTTTTTAGCGCCCTCTCAAGATCATTTTAGGCGCTTTTGGTTTCGTTCATTTACTCAGCGCCGAAGTCGCAGAGCCCAGATTAGTGCATCCACCAATCGGAACCTTCAGTGTCGTCAGTTTAACTGAAGCATGTGATCAATTCCATTCTCTCTCCCTGCTCGGTTCCTGTCAAGTCGCTATTTCTCTCTCCTCTTTTGGCAGATCATCATCACCATCCACCACCCGCGGCTTGGGCTGATTCTGCCTCTGCTCCTCGGACCTCACACCTGTGACGACAATATTGTGCGGTTCTTGCTATCCATTGTTCTTCACCAGCGTCTCTCTCGTCACCTCAATGAATTGACTGTCCTTGGATTTCACTATTTTGCGACATTTCTGCGACATGTAGAGGCTTGTGCGGTCACGTCTTGTATTCACTCCCTCCACCACAATTGACTGGCTACCGCACATTCACCCCGGTCTAAACCGAATATATACCCTCGACCAACAACACAGCTCACCTCATAATGGACTCGCACGCGCCGAATCCTCCTTACGCTGTACCTCCGCCCTTCTCACCTCCGTTGTCCGCATACCGCTCTTCCACCGAAACTCACAAGCGAACCTCGATCGACACAGACATGAGGAGGTCCGATGAGCGCTCAACAAGAGCTGCCAGCGTACTGTCAGGCATGTCTGCAGAAGATATGGAGGCGGCAGAGACTCTCAATAGCCTACACCAAAGTATGTTCGGGCCGCACAAATTTCAAAGTAATTGTGACTGACATGTGATATCAGAATACCATTCTCCTAGACAATCACAACCTCCACCAACACTCTTCCAAACCCAGACGACCTATGACTCCAACCAACCCGAACCTCTTTTGAGGCTCATCACCAGTCAATATCCCCTCGCCGGAAGCCTAATAAACGGCTCTCTCTCGGCTTATAAAACCACTCAATCATACATCCCAGGCGCCGAATGGACCGAGAGATATGTCGGTCTGCCTATTGCGGGCACAGTCGCTAGGATTTCCGGAGTCGAGGGCGGTCTGAGATGGGTCTTACAACCAAAACGCGACAGTGTATCTGCTACAAGTCCGGCACGGACGCCGGATGTCGAGAAAGGCTATAACGATGCAGCTTTGAATGGTGTTCGCCGATCGAGTTCCGAGGCATACACCGAAACTCTCCCGGCCTACAGTGCGGGTGACCGTTCGCCTCCCTACTCCGAAACACAAATCGCGCTACAGAATCGAGAACGCCAACCGCCACCGAACTGGCGCCAGCAACTCGTGATTTCCACCAGTGGCCTCGGCATTGCTATGAGCGATGAGTCAATCCGAAGTCTAAGGTATTGTCTGAGCTGGCTGCGATGGGCTAACAGCCATCTTGACGAAGCAATTCAGAACCTTCGGACTCTATTGGAACGATGGGATGAAGGTGTCACGCCAGGCGAACAGGCTTCGCCCATGTCTGTCGCCAGCATGACCCAGAGTCGAGAAGAACAACGACAGGCTGCGTTGTTAGCCCGCATCGCCGCCCTCAGGGCTGATGTACTCCAAACCCTCAAACATGTCGTCGGCATTGTCTCAAACTATGCTGGCGGCGCACTACCTCAGAATGCCCGCGACCTCGTGCATCGCCATTTGACCAGTTTACCTCAACGTTTCACTATGGCCAACATCAATTATGATGCGTCGGCACACAACGCTGAAGGTAATTCCGAAGCAGCCAAAAGTGGAAGGCGAGTCATGGTGCTTGCGCAAGAAGGTCTGGACATGATGACGCAGGTGAGCCGCGTGGTCAATGATACACTTGTCAGTGCCGAAGGGTGGTGTGAACGGCTCGGAAAGAGACCGGAAGGTCAACAGCAGCAACAACAACAACATCCCGGACAGTTCATGTTGAAAGATGACAAGATGGAGCTCGATCGAACGCGGGTGCGCAGTGAGACCCTCGCACCTAGTGAGCCGGACCGAGGGGAAGGCGATGTGCAGATGCAAATGTAACATTATCACGGAGAAAATGTTGTTTCGGGCACGATTTTCTTTTTCTCCTGCATTGCCTTGGGGTTCATAGCTCGGGAGTTCTACGAGGATCATGTCTGGCTTGTCTTACTGAAGGGATCTCACAGCAACGGCGCCATTTTCGGACTTTGTGTTGTGGCGAAGAAAAGCTACAGTATGCGCGTTTGCGTTTCACGATCTGCAACTGCAAGACTATCATGCTGGCGGTTTTGTTGATGTTGGAAAAGCAAGACATCTCAAAAGTGTTGTGTGAAAAGACGTACTGTTCTAGTGTATCTTACCTTTGCAAAGACGCATTGATTGAAAATTCAAGATTGTTTATTCTGTGCAAGGCCGAGTGTAAGAAGAGAAGACATAAGAAGAGAAGAGCAAAACTGTGAAAGTTGTTCCATACGAAAGATAATGTATTCGTACATCGAGTCTGGACTCTGGTGTCAGATTCGACTTATCAGGCAGCTCCATCTACTTTAATTCATGTACCTGATCACTGCCCGCAGCATGTGAACTCTGAACGGACGTCTTTCCGTCGCATTTCCATACTTTGCAAATATATTCAAACCAAGCATGTTGTACATGCCCTGCCTCTAAAAATCAACACTGGGCCTAAAATGCAAATGGGGTATCTTCCAGGACGTAGTCCAAATAGCAAAAGTCCCGCTCAGACGTTGCAGTGCTTTCCTGTATTTGAACAGAACACCTTAGCCATGTCCATATCTGGCCTGATTTCTTTCAGGTGTCGAGAAACATGTATGGTGTACAGCTTGTACTAATTCCTGTTGTGTGGCCACTTTGTCACAGGCCTTTACTCGGCGCTAGCGGATTCGATCCATGATCCTGCCGTACATGACCGAGTGTCTTGACAGCAATTGGGGGCTGAGCGTTTGGTCGGTAGGCCTGGCGGGTCTTTCTGGCTCAGCGACGATCGGAATCGACGTTGGACCAGAGGCTCGCGGAGCTGGTGCTGGGGGTGGGCTTGGGGCCTGAGCGCGTAACGCCCTTCTCAACTGTCCTTGTCGGTAGTCTAGTTGGTCTTCTGGTATAGACCGGTCCAAAACGCTGACCAATCGCTCCGTAACGAGCCAGCTGAATTGATTCCAGGGTGGCGAGTCAAAAGGATCTTCGGCTGGTATCCAGACTGGCGAGGGAGGCACACTGGACGCTGGGGAGTATTCCGGCCACTCCACCCTGCCTTGTGTCGTTGGGACGGGAGGGGACTCGGGCCGCATTGGGGGTGAGTTGACTAGGGTGGTCACCCTGGAGAAATCGGAAGACGTTGCCAGGGTGGTCGCCGTGGAGAGATCGGACGCCGTTGTGAATGATAAAGGCGGGGAGGGCACCGGGGTTTCAGGCCTGTAGGCCCAGTTCCGGGCTTGCTCCATGATCCATTCGTCCCGGATCTCCCAATTTGCTTGGGCGATGCGCTCCTGGTTCAAGGCCAATGCGAAGTCGGAAATGGGCAATACGGGAGGCGTACCACGGCGGCCGAGAGGGAGACCCTCGCTGTCGATGCGCAGGGTGGGGTCCTCGGCACGCATCTCGATTCTGGTGCTCCTGGCGATGGTGTCGTCGACGTGAAAGTCGACATGCTCGTCGTTGCCGGGTGTGTCCCAAGAGAAGTTGAAGAGCGATGCAAGTGAATCCCTTCGGCTTGGGCCAGCTGGGATGTCGATGGCGCTGGAAGACTCCGATACAGGATCTTCGTAGAGGACGCCGATGTCCTCGGAGCGGGTGCTGATGCTACTGGTGCTGGAGTAGGAAGACATGTTGAATGAGGTGTTGGAGATAGAGGAGGATGTAGACACAACGAAGGAGAAAAGGGTGATAGGACAGGTGGACGTCAGAGAGGTATGGTATTGTCGGGGTGCTGTGTGAATGGAGAACTCCAGGTATGCAAGTGTGAGATGAAGAGTTATCTGACGGAAGGACTTCATGGGCGTACTTATACCTGTTGATTTTGAAGGTCCTCAATATGATACTGGTGCCCGAAGAATGCTAATGTTTAGCACTTACCTGGTGAATATTCATACAGGTCCTCGGTGCCAAAAACTGCGTGAGGACCTAGTCGTCGTTCCACGGCACGGTCGGTACAAACTCTGGTATACGTACCGAACACGTTACTCTGGCGAACCTTGTATGCTCGATGGCCATTCTTTGGTCGAAAGTTTCGGAAGTGGATGGATATGGCCGACTGTGGTGTGTTTCGAATGGGAGTACCATAGAAAGAAACCAAATGCCGCACCCATATTCTGGTTCACCAGCAAGGTGCCTTGAAAATCCAAGACTACGCCAAAGTAGAAACGTACACACCTTATCTTTGAAGCTGTATCAGGAATGGCTTTTGCTATACCTCGACGCCGACATGACATCAGCGCATTGCTTAACTTGGCCAGTGATGCCACACCTGTTGCTCAAGAGAAAATCACCATAGCATCGTTTGTGAGTATCTGAGCAGGTCAAAAAGAAACTGCGTGCCTGGCGCGACTCAGGCATCCGCTTTCTTTCGACTTGCTGTCTGGAACCAGACTGCGGGTGCTGTCATCGTGCCGGCGACTGCTTCGATCGAAGGCGTTACATGCTTGACGTGGGTATACCAAGTAGAAAGAAGAGCGCCGATGCTCTATGAGGGAATCAAGATATCAATAATGACTTGTTGCTCTGTGCCAGAAGGCCGATCGCCGCCAATATTGGCTTGTTAGAAGTCTGCGGGCAAGAAAACTCTTCAGCCAGGTTTTCAAAAGGTCGACCCCTTTTGAGTCACTCGCAGAGATCATGTAGAGCAACACAGGTGTCTGTCACCACCCTGGTGACACGTTCGTAGCAACGCTCACATACAGGATCTCTGGCTGTCTTGCCAGTGTACACCTTCCCTAAGATGATCTGTCGTCAGTGCCTTCCCGGACAGGACCATTTATCGTCTTCCATGTTGCTGTGATTCCGGAATGAGAAATCTTTCTTTCCCTTCTCCAGGCCTTCTCTTTCTCTGAGCTTTGCTGCAAGGCGATTTTGGTTTTTTTGGCTTCGCATTCCGCTCCTTTCGCAATCACTGTTCTGCGTGTACAAGTGCCTCGGACTTCACTCAGGCCCTCACCCGAATCACCAATAGTATTGTTCTTGTTGTCAAGAGTCGTACGACCGTTTGCATTTTCAGATTCTTATCTCTTTCGGACAGCTTCTCACAGAATGTCATTCCGCTTCGATCCGCGGGGGAATTTGCCACCTCCCATCATCCAGCCAAGCTCTTACTATTCAGATCGACGTGGCACCATCTATGGTGCTCAGATCAAGAAACCCCAAAAGAAACAATGCTATGATTGGATCTTTTCAACTGCCTCAAACGTCCATGTCGCGACCGATCGAGCTGCCTTCAAAACGTACTATGCCTTCAAATCGTACGCACTTACAGTGGCGGATCAGACTCATGTCTCCGTACGAGGCATCGGAACGGTGGAGATCAAGATACGTCGTGCAGCTGGCAGCAAGGAGAGCCATACAGTTTCCCTGGAGAATGTCCTTCACATTCCGGAGTGGCTGTGTAACATTGTGTCCGACATTTGCTTTATGCGTTCAATGAATTATGAACATACTTGGACAGAGTTCGGTGTGAACTTCTTCACTCGGAAGGATAGTACACTCAAGCCTTGGGGATACACCGAGAACTTCCGTGGTCTGGATCGACTCGTTTTGGCACACAACAAGCAGGGCCGAAGCCCAATGCTGGAGGATGCAGACCGAGAAGTGTTTTCTGTCAATCTGACATGGCCACAGAGTCAGAAAGACAAGTGGAATAGTCTTCTGGCCCAGGAGCCGAAATTCGAGGCTGAACGTATCGAAGAGCATTCTAAAATTCAGAAGCAGGAGGATGCAAACGGTTCAAAGAAAGCAGTAAAGAGCGCATCGATCGAGCCACTCGCGTGGAAGATGTTGCCAGACGTCACTTCCGAAAAGAAGCCCACTGGCAGAGTTTCGGCCGGAAAGAGTATGCCAGATTTGCTCCCAAGGGGATCCAGCTTGAGGTTTGGAAGCTCAAAGGTCTGAGTATCGACAGTATGACATGTGCAGAAGTACTGGCGCTTCACTGGCAAGGCTGCGGCTTGAGCGAGTGTTCTCCGAGATCGATATTGGTTATGATATGTTGATGGAAAAGGCAGTGGCGTGCAGACTGTCAAACATGCTCTCCTTTTGAGCTAAATTATAGCAGATGGGTATCTTGTGCTGTACGCATGCTTAGAAGAACATTAACCCGTCAATGGATCAATCGTACTTCTTTCCCCGGTTCCCATTCGTGCAAGCCTTGTTGTAAGCTATTCCAGTAGTTCAGTCGAATACACTCGGTCTTTGCAGCTTCGACATCACCCTTCTCGAAGGCGTCTCCTAGCAGCTTAACTGTCTGTTCTATTCTCGCGTGGTTGACTTCTTTCAATGCATCTATGTGCTCCTGTGTCTGGGCCTCTTCAATAGCTTCTTGTGCCTCCATGACTTCCATCAAGGTCTCATGGTCCGTCAAGTCGCGGTGCGTGCTATTGTCCTCCGACGTGATGTCCACGTCATAGTTGTGTTGGAGAAGATACCGTGCACGAAGCAGAGGATCCGAAAGTGTCTTGTATGCGGTGTTTAGCAGCGATGACAGCGCAAGGGATTTTTGATGCGCTGTCGGCTGCGACGTGTATTTGTCCGGATGATGTTGCGACTGGAGTTGGAGAAACTCACGCTTCAGTGGACCTAGCGGTATGCGAAATGAGCCAGACGGAGGAGGGCCGCTGGTTAGCGTTTTTGGGAAGAGTGTGTAGAAGTTCGTTATATCAGGGATCGAGGCAGCGCTTGAAGTGGCGCCAGTTGAGCGCGTGGATGAAGATGAATGAGCTTCTTGGAGGCTACGGCGAGTTGTAGAGATTGATCTCTGCTGACAGACTCGTATTCGAGCAGCTGCGCCGCGAATAGGTTGTATTGATTGGGATGTAGAGTGTTGAGGGTGTGTTCTCGTGGCGAGTTGGCCGGACGAGCAAATGCGGCGGAGATGGCGGAGGGCTTGTCGCGTGGGTGCCGTGGGTAGCATGGTGGAAGTATAGCAGCAGATGGCGTGCTAGGCCAGTGAAGTATCTGAAGGTTTTACAATAGAATTGACGGCTAAGTAATGTATTCGCGTGACAATTGTAGTATGATGATCGAATGCAATAAATCTTCTGGTGTTACTCACTCATTTATTCCAGGGCGACGTCATGGAGTAAGTCCGTAGTCGGAGACGCCATGGCCACTGCCAAAATTTACCTGGAAGATAGATCGTGTTTCAAAAGCATATCGATTCTGTTCTCCATGTCATATTGGTGAGTCGGCAGCAATGTTGGGATTCCTTTCCAACATAGGTTGTCCATCAACGCTTCCCAGAGCTTCAACGGCTGGAGGGCGATGCCCTTCTGTACTCGCCTCAACCAGCTCCTTGTTCACCAGTACATCGTGTCTCTGGTTGGAGTCTATCTTCAGGCTGTTCCCTGGTGCACCTACAGTAGTACAGCCTCATTGCATCAGTACCTTTGCAAGATTTCTTGCAATGACATCAGCTGCACACATGAATGTTCGGAAGGTACCAGGTAAGTTGCTTGAACAAAACATCCCTGTGGTGGCGGACTACATCGTGCCATTAGTGGCTCGTAGTAGGACTCAAGGGCTTGTATACTAGGGCAATCAGGCCCCCCAAGACCAGTGACAATCCGGAGACACAACATTGCATACAGATCAGCCTGGCGGCTGAAACATGCATAGCATGACGGAAGAGGGGAACTCTGCCGTGCAGTGCAACAATCTTTCATAAAATGATCCTGCCACATAAGTCCGCAGGTTGGTCCATCGTCCATCTCATGCAGACCATCACAGAATGGAGACTCAGGAGCTGCGAATGCTCGACAGGGCCCAGTACAGGTCAATATCATCTGATTGGGAGAACATAATCGAACCTCCAGTGAGGAAAAGTTCGCCTCAGCCTGATCACTCTAACCTCTACGCCGAGCCTGCTAGCCGCAAAGTCGTTATTCAGAAACGCTGGAATGGTCTTTCATGGGTCGAATGGTTGAGCCATTTGGCTTCAATTGCATACACTGTCGCGGTTCTGACACTCTGCGGGCTGCAGGTTTACTTTGCCGACATCACGAAGCCCGCCATCAACACCGATCTCAATGCATTTCAATTTGTCGCTGCTCTGCACGCCATCATCGTGGGTACTTCGTTGACCGCCATGGCCGTCTGGCACCTTCGTTATGAGCTCTGTGCCTCTGAAGGCTTGCCTATTGGCTTTCTGGACTATCCTTTCCAGCTCTCTTCGATCAGCGCATTATTCAAACCCAGATTCTGGCACGCAACGTTTGACATAAGCAACAATGCCAGAAGATATATGTTCGCCGCAGGAATCTTGGTCGCTATGGTTCTGCAAGCTTTGAGTGGGCCATCTTCCGCCATACTAATCGTGCCCCAGCTGGACTGGTGGACTGTCGACGACACTTTTTCCGGCCTCAACGGCTTTACTTATATCAACGCAAGCCACGAGGCTATCTGGCCAACGAGGATCGTGGACAAAAATTACAGTTGCGCACTTTCAAATCCGCCCCTAATCGAGCGCTGTCCTTACGCAAGCATCAACGAGATTGCAAAGTGGTCGCTCGAATATCTCGTACAATTCTCCTCGCCAAATATCACCACCATGACTACGACTCTCGTGGGACGCTATATTGCAGGCAGCCCCTTCAACACCACGGGCAGCATCAAAGGCGGGCCCAACATCACTACGATACCGGGCTATTCGGCTGCGTCGGCGCCAGGGACCCATATTGCGCGTACATTAGGAGACATATGGACTTTCGCTCAGAGGAATGGTCAAGGGACGCACATTGGGGACCGCTATGGCAGACCTAAATTCACTCTTTCCGGCGAATACGACCGTCCCATGATGCGCCCAATCGTACAGACTGAGTGTGGTCCTGCCGTCAATATCAATGATCTGGATACCTTTGAGGCTACTTACCCCACGGATCAACTGCGAGTCAAGCCCGGCGAGAACTATACCCGTGAGATAAGACAAGAGGTCAATGCCACCTTTCATCGTCAACACGTGCGATCCAAAATGTTTGTCAATTTCCATAATCTCTCCACGGCAGCAGGTAGACCAACACTGGGTGCTTTGGTCACCATGGATTTTTTCAATGCGCACATCAACCTCGCCAATGTAAGGTGAGTACACTGCTGAATGCATTTGTTTCCTGCCAGAGTCATACTCCGGCGCCCCAATACTTGCGAGTTGAACCTTCCTGCTCAGAGTTCAAGCTGACTTTCGCTGCCTGGCGCGGATAGCGACGGGGAAACTGCCCTTGGGTTGATGCCTTGCACCATTCTCGCTCACTGGATACCAAGCAATATGTCAATAGACCCCAAACTCAACAACGTCGCGATCTTAGACAATCCACTACCTGTGGTCGACGTTGTCGACGTTCCAAGCCTCTTTGAGCGCGCTACTACGTTGGACATCGACATGGCATTTGCCAATGCTGTCAATGCACCTACCTCGTCACCAAATTCGCATACTGTGATCGAAACAGAAATTTTACCAATGGCACTCAATTTCACGAACGGTCAGCCGCAGTTTGACGGGAGTTGGGGCGATCTATGGCCCTATGCGGTGGCCACGGTGCTCTCCTTGCAATTCTCGGACGCCTTAGCCCGTTCCAACGACGATTTCCTGACGTTCCTCCTGTGCGAAGGCTGCGCCAATCAAACGGAGTCTCCAGGCTACAGCGCAGTCAAAAACCTGGCGGGTCTCAACGGGGGACCTGCTGAAATCATACCGGAAAGCAGCCAGACAAGCTGGATCGAAGAGAAGAAGAACCGGACAGACCTGCACACAGTGGTGAACTGGAAATTGGAGCGTTATGGGTACGGCTGGGCAATGAAGCGCCCTACGGAATGGCTTGCGGCCACTGTTCTCCGGCTACACGCACTGCTGGTTATAGTCCATGTGGTGGTAGTCACTCGAGGGAAGTGGAGATGTTACGCATGGGATGATCTTTTGAGTCTGCTTGCGCTAGCCAACATGTCGCCCGAGATCGAGTCGATGCGAGATTTAAGCACAGGTGATGCGCCTGCGCGCGCTCTCGGGCAACCTGTCGTGATCGAGGAGAAGCCGGAAAAGAATGTCTTTGAACTAACTTCTCTCGAGGGAAGCACCATCAGAAGTAGGAGACCTACGCCGCGGAAGAAGTATGGGTGGTCGAGATTATCGATGGAAGAGTAAGAAGCCCGACAATGTCTTAGCTAGGAGGGTATTCTCGGTGAGGAGTGTTCCTCGAGCCATAAGGAAGATAAATCGAGCAGGTTCTCGAGCTGGACTCGAAGACCCTGTGATGATTGCAGCTGGTCATCCTGCTACAGCAAAAGACAAATTCCTATCCAGAAGTCTAATACACGACTCTCTGAAGCATACAACAGCATTCTCTTACCCCATGACCCTGCTCATATCAATTGTACTGGTATGCATCGAACCAATCTCAGCCATAGCCTTGAGTCGCAGCATGGTAGCGCCGCTCTGACCACCAGGACCGGATCCATAGATCGACTCCACGAACAACCTCATTTGCATTGGCATCTCTGCATCTCCGTAATGCTCCATGATGTCGCTCTTCTCAATCGCGCAATTGAGATCGCTCCAACCTTGCTGTTGTCCCAGTCTCACACACTCGGCTGCTTTTTCTTGCGACCACCATGGTGGCAAGAGACCAGTTTTGTTCTCCGCCTTTCGCAGAAATCCTCTGAAATAGCCGTACCCATTGGAAGCCCCGCCGTAGATGCTGGCGTTGTCGCCACTGGACTTGTAGTCATCATCGAGGCGTAAGCGGCAAGCGTCAATGAGCAGCTTGTACACATCTTTCTCTGGACGGCCGTGCAGCCATTTCTTCTCTTGAAGAGCCGTGAAGGGGGTTTCAAGATTTGCAATCAATGCTTTGGGTGCAGACTGAGTGCCCGTGCTTGTGGTGTTTCCAGCGGTACTCGCCGAGCCGCCGGTATTTCTGCTAGCGGCATTCCCACTGCATGTTTTCTTGTGCTCTTTCCAGTCCCCCTTTTGGCAGTCACGAGAACAGTACTGGGTGGTTTGACATCTTGCACAGCGTTTGAGGTTGTCTGTGTTACCGCACTTTCCACATCGTGGAGGGGTTGAGTCGTTGTTAGTGGTAGAAGGAGTATTCCTGTCGGCCATACTGATATGATTCGTTGGTCGGCAGGACGAGTTGACTTCACAAGTGGCACCAGAATCTCGTCAGAATTTGTGGAGGCACGGGCAAGATCCGAGGTCGTTTGTCGACCAGTGTTAACGTAACGTGGCTAGTCGGTTCAGGCCCTGGACTGGGCGGTAAAAGTCACTTTCAGCTGCCCACCGCCTGCCAAGGCTCCCTGATGACGTCGATTGCGCAAGAGACTTGATGACCAGCTTCACTTCGCTCATAATAAGTGACGGCAATAAAACCGTGATTCACTTACTTTCATTTCGTTTGCTTCCCTCAGGACATATATCATCCTGACTCTCACTACGCTCGAGAATTGAAACACCTCGAGTCCGTACAAATCAATTACAACAACTCATCATGTCTTACGGACGAGACGAATACGGTGGTGGTGGACGTGGTGGTGACAACTATAACGATCAAGGCCAACAACGCGGCGGCTACGGTGGAGGGGGCGGCGGCTTCGGTGGTGGTCAAGGAGGTGGCTTCGGCGGTGAGGAACCACGCCACCATCATGGTCGACGCGAGGAAGAAGGTGGATTTGGTGGTCCTCCAGGTGGCTTCGAGGGCGGCCAAGGAGGTGGCTTCGGCGGTGAAGAAGGACGCCACCATCATGGTCGACGCGAAGAGGAAGGTGGATTTGGCGGCGGTCAAGGTGGCTATGGCGGAGGCCAAGGTGGCGGTTACGGAGGAGGTGGTCAAGGTGGTGGTTACGGTGGAGGCCAAGGTGGTGGTGGTGGTGGTGGATATGGCCAAGAAAGTGGTGGTTACGGTGGTGGTTATGGAGGTGGTGGTGGTGGTGGTGATGGTGGCTACGGACAGCAAAGTGGTGGCTATGGAGGCGGTTCTGCCGGCTTCAACCAGGACGAAGTCATGCAACATACCCAGCGACACGGCAACTCTCAAGATGCCGGTATGTACGGCCAGGCCATGTCATATCTCGGCAACAACCAAAGCAGCATTCAGTCAGAGGGTTTGGACGAAAGCCGACTTCAGCAGAGTCACCAGCAACTCTATCAGCAAGGTGGAGGCGGACAACAACATGATGCCAACAGCCTAGGTGCAGGCGCAGCGGTATGCATCCCTTTCCGATCCAAACATGCACTGATGTGAAAGTATATTGACCGATGTATAGATGCAAGCACTGAAGATGTTCCAAGGTGGCGGTGGTTCGAGCAGCGGCTCTGGCGGACAAAACCAGATGGTATCTATGGCAATGCAGGAAGCTTCCAAACTGTTCGATCAGCAGAGCAGTCAAGGCAACGTGACGGGAGGTACAGACAAGCAATCGGCCATCAACTCGGCAGGCAAAATGGCGCTCCAGATGTTCATGAAGAGTCAGGGAGGTGGTGGCGGTGGCTCGTCAGGATTGATGAGCTTGGCCAGCAAGTTCTTCTGATCTGAGTTATCCAGATCCTCAGCTCCACGGATCCATGGATATACACAAGAGTACCACAGAACTCAAGAATCGATCCCCGAGGTCGAATATCGGACTAGCTGCATAGCGTTAGTTATTTAGCTGATCCCTTCAAGGCACAAGTTTTAGAGTTGGTGGAGAAGCCACTTGGTCGATACAGGCAACTTGACCGACAAGGGCTCGTCATGCCTTTTGCTTGCGTGTGAACCCGAACCCCTAGCTGGAGGTTTTCCCCAAGGTGAATTCGTTAGCATTACTCGTTCCTCATCAACACAAGTCACAGCAGGTGTGGAAGGTCCCGTTTGTTCGCGGCTTAGATCTACTGCTGGTGTTCTACTTGGACCAGCTATTTTTCGTTCCAGAACTTTTGTTACTCATCTACCTTTTCTGCTGCAAGGTTCGCGCGACATCAACACCAAATGCGACTATGAGACTTTCACACGCGTGATCCGATTAGCAACCATTCTTTGACCCAATATCGACCAGATTACTTCGCCATCAGTACCGTTGAGATGAATCAAAACCCTGGCGACCACTGGCGCGGTCCCGGAGGACCACCTCAGGGCGAACCACAGCCGCAAGGTAGACCTTTCCAAAACTATGGGTAAGTACTCTTCCCTCTCGACCAGCGCGCACACCTTTTCACTTTCCTTCAACACAACATTGAATTTTCTGCTAACTCTCAATGTGATGCAGACCAACTGGTCCTCCACAACCTCAGGCACATGTCCTGCCTCCTCCTCCTGCCTCATTTCATCAACACCACTCTCAGCCTTCTGGAAGCCACAGTCTTTCCATCGCAGATCTGACACAAGGCCCTCCTAATCACCAGCAACAACATCAGTACAACACCCAGCCACCTCCTCCTCAGTCCCAAGGTCATCCGATGGGATCGTTGGGGCATCCCTTACCTCAACACTCGCCTCCGTATCTCGGACGTGAACGAGAAATGAGAGAGCTGCGTGAGCGCGAGATGAGGGAACATGAAATGAGAGAAAGAGACATGAGAGATAGAGAACTTCAAAGACAACGGGACGAAATGATCATGCGGGAACGGGAACGAGAAGCTCGTGAGCGAGATCAAATGGAGCGTATGCACCAAGATCACCAGCAGCAACGCCCGGTCCAGAGTCATGCCTCAATTCCCATTCATCAGCCAGTGGCCTCGAAGATTCAAAACTCGATCCATGGGCCAAATGGCCTGCTTGCGAATGGCGGTGCTGGCTCAGTGCCACATACTGGGCCTCCGCCATCATCTGGAAACTCTCTTTTTGGTGGCCCATCACAACATGAATCCCAACGCCCTTCCCAATTCATGCATCAGCAAGTCGGTGGGCCTCCGCCGCAACAAGGTCAGGCCTTCATGCCAGGCCCGTCACCGATGCCGGCTCCGGCTCAGCTTGCGCACGGCCAACAGCCTATACTAAACGATGCCCTTAGCTATCTCGACCAAGTAAAGGTGCGCTTCAGCGACCAGCCTGATGTATACAACCGATTTTTGGACATCATGAAAGATTTCAAAAGCCAGGCGATCGACACACCCGGGGTCATTGAACGAGTTTCAAACCTCTTCAATGGCCATCCGGCCTTGATCCAAGGATTCAATACATTTCTCCCGCCAGGATACCGTATCGAATGTGGTACAGACGACAATCCGGATGCTATCAGGGTGACAACACCGAGTGGTACAATGACACAGTCCCTGCAGAATCGAGGCCGCACTCAATTTGAACCTGCGGGAATGAGCCAGGTCAATGCTCTAACATCAGGGCGACAAGACCCCTTTGAGAGTCGACATGGCTGGGGACAGCCACTGGGTGCATCTCCCGAGGCAAGGCCTGCCGAACTGGCCGGATTCAAGCCTGCACAGTCTGAGAGACCCATGGAGGAAGCTCTGAGTGTCCTAGGCCAACAGGATCAACGTGGCGTCTCAACACTGCAAAATGCAGTGACTGCTGTCACAAATGGCGCAACAAGACCAGCTCTGGCCGTCTCTCCCGGTCCTGGTCAGAATGGGCCTTATAACCAGCAAGGTGGTTCATTTTCCGGCAACTCGTCCTTAGGTGAATTGAAGCGCGGCGGGCCTGTCGAATTCAATCATGCTATCAGCTACGTGAATAAAATCAAGAACCGCTTCGCACAGCAACCCGAGATCTACAAGCAATTCCTTGAGATCCTGCAGACCTACCAACGAGAATCGAAACCGATTCAGGACGTCTATGCTCAAGTCACTCAACTCTTCATCTCGGCACCGGATCTGCTTGACGATTTCAAACAGTTCCTTCCAGAGTCTGCGGCGCAGGGCAAAGCGCAAGCTGCAAAAGCAATGGCCCAGGAAGATCAGACGAGTAACGTGCGTGGTGAATCAGGCTACACTTCTGGTTCACTACCTCAGGCTCAGACACCACGGCCTACTTCGAAGATGCCGCCTATGGGTCAGTTCGATCCTCCAAGCACCAGCAAAGACAACAAGAAGCGCAGAGGAGGGCCGGGTGCCACTCTTGTAAACCAAGCTTCTACACAGTCGGCTGCCGACGCCAATCTTTCACAAGGTCCTCGAGCTGGGCAGGTCCAAGTCGGAAATGCTAACAAACGCCCCAAAATCGCATCGCAGCGTCAACCCCCTTCGGATGCGGTGGTCACCTCGCCGACACTCGTCCCTCAGTTGCCGGAGCCCTTGCCGCCTTTCCCCAATCTCTCTACTACTCAGGAAGAGCTTGGCTTCTTCGATAGGGCTAAGAAGCAGATCGGCAATCGTGCCAGCTACGCTGAATTCATGAAACTCCTCAATCTTTTCAGTCAAGATCTGATTGACAAGTACACCTTGGTTGACAGAGTTGGTTCTTTCATTGGGGGTAGTCCGGACCTCATGAAGTACTTCAAAGAGTGGCTCGATATTGAAGATCAGGAGGAGGTGGTTGAGGCACGTATCCGACCTGATCCCGGCCGTGTCAATCTGTCACATTGTCGTGCTCTTGGTCCTAGCTATCGTCATCTACCAAAGCGGGATCAAGACAAGCCTTGCAAAGGGCGCGATGGTATGTGTTACGAGGTCCTCAACGATGTTTGGGCTTCTCACCCAACCTGGGCCTCGGAAGACTCTGGCTTCGTTGCCCATCGTAAGAACCAATACGAAGAGGCTCTACACCGCATCGAAGAAGAACGACATGACTACGACTTCCACATCGAATCATGTCAGCGGACTATCCAACTCATGGAACCCATAGTTCAGCAGGTTTTTGTAATGAATGACGCGGACAGAGCGGGGTTCACCTTACAACCCGGCTTGGGTGGTGCTAGCGAAGCCATTCCTAAACGTATCATCATGAAAGTCTATGGCCGAGAAACCGGAGCTCGCGTCCTCGAAGAAATGTATGCGCGTCCTGTGGCCGTGCTGCCCATTGTCCTCTCAAGGCTCAAGCAAAAGCTTGAAGAATGGAAGCAGGTTCAGCGCGAATGGGAAAAGGTGTGGCGTGATCAAATACACAGACAATTTTGGAAGAGTCTTGATCACCAAGGGCTCAACGTCAAAAACCACGACAAAAAGATTTTTCAGCCGAAGACATTGACGAGCGAGATTCAGGCCAAGTACGAAGAAGCGAAAAAGAATCGGGAAAATGGCATCGCTTCGAAAAAGCATCAACTCGAATATGTCTTTAGCGATCTGGATGTGGTTGCAGACGTGACGCGCTTGATACTTGTTTGCCTCGAGTCTGATCGTGGCCAATATAATGGAAGCGAACGAGATAAGGTCCGGGCATGGTTCACAGACTTTGTCATACGCTTCTTCGGACTTGATGCCGAGACATTCCACGAACAGGTTGGTACGGAGGCCTTGAGGAACCAAGATCCAGATGATGGTCTCGATGGCCATGAGAGTGATGCTCATCCACCCACAAAAAGCAAAACCCAACGCAAATCGGACTGGCTTAGAAGGATGGCACTTGAACGGAGACACGGCAAGGAAGACAGCGTGGCATCTGCAAGCAAAGAATCGACACCCATGCCGGGAGCCGGGAGCGAGATGGAGCTGGACGAAGACATTGCAGTCTCAGAAATCGATGATACGCCACAACGCCCATGGATCAACGTTTCCAATCACGACTCCTCTGCACGACATCTTGCGATGGATGAACCATATTCACATACGACCTTTAATCTTTACGCAAATGCTAACATCTATTGCTTCTTCCGGCTCTTTGAGACGATGTACTCTCGAGTACTTGCCATCAAGCTCAACGAGGCGAATGTGCAGGAGGCTATTGCAAGATACAAAGGCGTCGGAGCAAAGATGAAGCCGGCGATCGACCTTCGAATGATCGACAAGGGTCCTGACGACTTCTTCGCGAGTACCGACGGAAAACAAAGCTACTACAGTCAGATACTACAAATGTGTGAAGAGATTCTCATGGGTCACGGCGATCTGAATCACCTGGAGGAGACGTTGCGCCGTTATTACAACAAGACCGGGTGGCAACTTTACACCATCGACAAACTCGTTGCAGCAGTCTTACGATTTGTGATGACCATTCTCGGCGGCGACGCGAAGGACAAAAGCGTTGAGATCACGAATCTCTTTATGCGAGATAGGGAGCGTGGAGAGACTACGAGAAAACAGGAGATCCAATACCGCAAGCAGGTTGAACGGTTGTCCAAGGACGGCGAGGTCTACCGTATCAGCTATGTAAGTGACTTTATCCCTGTGCCGCGGAAGCATTGACTGACGATTTGCAGACGCCTGACGTTCGGCGGTGTACCATTCGTCTTTTCCCGGCAGAAGATGCGACCTTCGATAGTGATGCGCTGTCGGACGAAGCTCGTTGGCAGTACTATGTTGCGTCGTACACCATGACTGACGCCACCGAAGGAGTGGAGCAATCCAGAATGCGAAAGGCTCTCCTACAGCGCAATATTGCACCACAGAATGCCAACATCGAATCTGCTTACCAAGAAGTGTTTGGCGATCTTGAACACATAGACGAGCAGACAGCGTTCATCAGCCCGGAAACTTACAAGCTTATATTGAAGGATCAATATGGTTTTGCCCGTCAACACCCAGTGGACGCATCCAACGGCAAACGGTACGAAGCCGGAAAGATCGAGGAGAGTGAAAAGTACCGAGAGAAGTTCGTACGTAATACAGCCTGGATGAAAGATCAACGAGCAGAGGATGTCGAGCGCAGGAAAGCTGCCTGGGAGAAGGGTGTTAGGGAAGGATTTTCTACGGTTGATGAGTGACCACATGGGTCATAATGATGCTGGCCGGAGGTTCCATGTTGTATCACGGTTGGACCCGGCCAGGCCGGCACTCGGGAGCGACTATTTTGCGCAACAGTCATCGCTGCGAAGGACTTGAGATAGCTATGACATTGAAGAAGGACGAACCATCAAACAACAATTCGGAATCGATGTGTCGGCGTTTCGGTGGCATGAGGTGACAGCTTCTTGCCGTGAGCGGATCCCAAAACGGCGCAGACTGGAGGTACCCTGTACAGGCTGGGACGGAGTGAAAAGAGCCTCATTCTGGATGTGTCGCCTATCGTAAGGTGACATTTTGACATATGCCATAATTATCGATATGAAAGCGAACAGAGCTTTTACCACGATGAATGACATCGGGTACGTGAATTTTAAAAACCCTGATTATAGTGACAGTGTCAAGGCTGTCTACTTGATATCTGTACGTATATCGGCTGTGCGCAGGGCTGAACCTTGAGGGAATAACAGCCGAGGTTTGGGATCTTCGATGCTCACAACTTTGACATCGAAGACGCTCCTCCGTACCTGTGTGCTTATTACGTGTTTTGCCGATCATTTTTGATTTGTTTGCAGCATGACGACGACCCAATCAGCGCGACCCAGTCCAGCCGCAGTATGAACGTGAATCTATTCAAGCATCAGGGCTCGATGAGAGAATTATTTCATCGTCTCGCAAGACGTGACCGCCAAGTCTACCGCGATTACCCGCTACATGCCTCGATCGCAGAGACGGGAGAGATCCGAGAGAATTCCTCAATATGAGAGAGTAAGCATTAAGCAACCCGGGAAATTGCAAAGCAGCGGGTCGGCAGCGATGTACTTTGAGTGTACCAAGGAATGAGCCAACGGGATAGGCGCGGAGGACGGTTCAATGACAAAAGTGGTGGAGGTGGTATGCAAGCACGACGTCAATCTCGCTGCGTGTGATACTGGAATAAAAAGAATGGATAGCCCCCATTATCTGACGAGGCTACTGGACCATGGTAGACCAGATTATTGTCATGGTTACGATGCAACTGGAGGGTTTTCATCAAAAGGAGTCTATGGAGGAGAGAAGATGGAGACGCGAAAACAGAGAAACAGAGGCAATCTTAATGGTGTCAATTCAAGCTTTTCCACTTTACTCGTTGGGGTTTGGTGTCGACTTTGTTAAATCTCCGGGTGTTGGCCCCTTTTCCACTTTGATCCCACTTCATCCTCCTTCTCCCACTTTGCAACCACTTACGTTGGCGAGTCCAACTTTTCATGCTAGAGAAGAGAGCAAACAGTTGATCCAATCGCTGCTGCTCCGGCTTTCCTCATTGGGCAGATACCCCCGTGCCCTCCATTCTGCGTGGCTTGTTGGACGAACACCTCTTTCTCAAGTGGCTTGCAAATAGGTTGTTTCACACACCTCAATCTCTCCCAAATCGCCCCCTGTCCAAGACTTTCAAGAGGGTGATGAACCTACTCGTACAGTACGAAATAATGTCTACCCCTGTCAGATCCACCAGTCAGGGAGTTGATGTTGGTGATCGTGGGCATGGCCATACCTTGACTGTCATGATGAACTAACGGCCGTTCTGGGAGCATTTTTACAAGCTGATGAGGACGATCCAAGGTCCATGAATAGCATTGGGCAATGATCCAGGCCATCTTTCGGTTGTTTTGATCAGTATTCGCCGTCCAGACCTTGCATCATGATTCATCCAACCGATGCTGGACTAAAGACCCCCTAAGTATATTGGCAAACAACGAATTCCGCACTATGCCGTTTCGAGCTCGCTATGAGATCCCACCTTTCCGGAAGTTGAACAGGCGAAGTTAAAGTGCAACGGTCAGTCGAGGCAGTCCTTGGTGTTTAGAGTCTTCGTATTTCTTTTAGCGCCGTGTTGTGGGGGTGGTTTCTGATGGCGGGTCATGCACTCTCACGCAAGCGGATCCCCAGGTCTGAGTTGCATCCGTGCCCAAAGCTAAGTTATATGCACCTTGCACGTCGTTCGCAACCTCTTTTTCATCTTCCGCAAGGCTGGACGCATGGTGAATTCGACTCTTTGAGTGCTTTGCCTTCCAACTTTCAACTTTCCATTCTCCCACTACCGCGCCACTCTTTTCGCGGGCATTCGTTCTTGGACAAAACACAGCATATCGACAAAATCCGGAAATATATCGAGCAGGAGATTCTCAATAATCAATAGTATCGCATCGAAGAAGAAGGACTTGTCATCATGAGAGCTGTTGCAATCGTCGCTGCTGGTGCAGCTGTTATCGGATCTGTTTCCGCCACGAGCCATATCAAGCATAAGCATGCGCAGCTTCACGAAAATGTTGCTCGCGACGACGCCTGGGGCGACTGGAATACGACTTCTGCTTCTACCACCACGACCACCACGAAGCCTGTAGCCGCGGAGACCACCACGACCACGACCAGCGGCTGGGGCGCATGGGGAACCACCACTACCACCAAGGCCAGCACTACTACGAGCAAGAAGCACCCCAAGGGTGACACTACCTCGGCCAGCTCAAGCACCGAGGAAGTCTGGGGTGATTGGACCACGACCACCACGACCACGACACCTACTGACCCGTGGGCTGACTGGACAACCACTACTTCGACCACTACTACCCCAGCTGATCCCTGGGTCGATTGGACTACGACCACTTCGACCACCACTACTCCGGCTGATCCATGGGTTGATTGGACTACGACTACATCTACATCAACCCACCACCACCCAGCCGGTTCCACGACCACGAGCAGTGCCGCAGGCTCTAGCAGCACCTCTACCGAGGTTTGGGGAGACTGGTCAACCACGGACCCTGCGACTAGCACCACCGCCGCTGAGACATGGAGCGATTGGACTGACGGTGAAACCACTGTCACAATCTCGCTGGAATCAACCCTGACAAAGACCAAATACATTTCGGCTTTGTCGACCTCCAGTGTATCGTCTTCCAGTGGATCAAGCACCTGGGCGGACTGGACCGATGGCACGTCTTCCTCCACCCCTGTCGCTGCGACCAGTGCTGGCAGCTCTACTCCAGTCGCTGCGATCAGTGTCATCAGTGAGACCGTGGTGCCTCTTGGTGCCGCTTCTGCTTCTGCCGTGTGCCTCGTCGAAATCCTGACATCGTACGGTGCACCAACCTGTAAGTCCTTGTATCTCCTGACAAATTGTGCCATCAACTAACAATGTTCAGGGTACCCAACACCTGCCGTGGCCAACACAACCACTTCGACCACCAAGCCTGTTGCCGTAGCCACCACCTCCAGCACCACATCGTCTACCCCAGCCTGGGCCTGGACTACGACCTCGGCTTCGGCTTCCACCAGCAGCACCTCGACCGCCTCTACGACCACCACCAGTGTCGAAGATGGCTGGGCCTGGGGATCCGCCTCATCCAGCACCTCCACTAGCACCTCGACAATCGCTACAACCACTACCACCAGCGTCGAGGGTGGCTGGGCCTGGGGATCAGCTTCATCCAGCACCTCAACTACCACCCCCGCAGCCGTTACTACCACCACCGCCAGCGTCAGTGGTAGCTGGGCATGGGGATCCGCCTCATCCAGCACGGCATCTGCCTCGACCACCAGCTCTTCCGCCAAGTCTAGCTCCACCGGCGCTACCGGCATCTCCGCCAACGGCAACTCCTGGGCCTTGACATACTCACCATACACCTCGTCCGGTGGCTGCAAGGACGCCAGCACCGTCGCCTCGGATCTTGCCGTCATTGCCGAGAAGGGATTCTCATCTGTCCGTATCTACAGCACTGACTGCAGCTCCCTCGAGAACATCGGCACCGCCGCCCGCACCAACGGCCTCAAGCTCATCCTCGGTGTCTGGATTTCTTCCACCGGCATTTCTGGAGCGGAAGGACAAATCAGCGACATCGTCGCCTGGGGCGAGTTTGATCTCGTCGAGTTGATCGTCGTCGGTAACGAGGCCGTCTTCAACGGCTACTGCACGGCCTCTGAGCTCGCGGCCTTCGTGTCCAGCAGTGCCACTGCATTCAAGGCCGGCGGATACACCGGTCTTGTGACATTGACCGAGCCTCTGTCCACTTGGCAAGAGACGTCCGCGGCGTCCGAGTTCTGCGCTGTCGTCGACGTCGTCGGCGCTAACTTGTACGCTTTCTTCAACGCCGATGTCACTGCCGACGGGGCTGGCGCGTTCATCCAGTCTGAGATTGACATCCTCAACACCATCTGCTCGGACAAGACTGTTTATGTCTTGGAGTCTGGCTGGCCTCATGCCGGAGAGTGCAATGGCGCCGCATGCCCTAGCGTCGAGAACCAGAAGACTGCGCTCAAGGGCATTCAGTCGGCTGTCGGTGCCGTCGTCTCCTTTTTGAGCTACGAGGATGAGCCGTGGAAGGAGGCTGGCGAGTTTGGCGTCGAACAATACTGGGGTTGTGCCGACGTGTTTTAGGTTTGAGGAGTGAGTGAGTGTGTTGGCCGAAGAAAAGGGGGCGCGTCAGGTACGCTTTCTGTAGGAGGCAGCCCCGAGCAAGAATGCATGCAAGCAAGCGACACGTAACTTGGAGTGCAGTTGATGATGTTACGCCCTGCGTGGTATCGGATGCTGTTTACTTCGGCATTTTTCTAACGATGTTGATTATTCATTTTGAGATTTCTTCCCCGATTCATGTATAAATATTCAAAACAATTGCGTGTCTTAAGACTTATGTATAGCGACTAAAGATGAATGAAGCAACGTTAAAAGTATGCAAACATTGATTCGATGCCTGTTTTAGTAATGTTGACTGACTGTGATGATGTGTGGTACTATGGCTAGGTAGTGTTACTGGTGTACTCATGCTTAAGCATTCAGTTATTCAGCTCGCCTGGCCACATCATGCGCATCAGATTGTTCCATCCCGAACCTCCATCGACTGGTCTATCTGATCCTTCTCAAGGTGAACCCGGAGGCACTCAACAAGACGCATTGCTTATATACTGCTTATAGCCCACAGGCGCTGGGCTGTCTGCCTCATGTATCTGGCTGTGCGATCCCATCTCGTGCGCTACTGGTTAATAGCGACCCTGCTTCTCTGGCTGCGAAAAGCCCAACGGCTCAGCAGTGTTTGAAAGCCGTGGATGTACGGATGCCGACCGTTTCTCGGCGCGAATCCGTCGCTTTCGCTCCGTGACGAACAATGCCAGAGCACCTAATAGGCCAGCGCCTATGGATGCACCGACGGCGGCGCCAACGGTGGTGGTGTCACAGGTTTTGTCTGCTCTGTGGCATGAGGTTGAGATTGAGGTTGCGGTTGCGGTTAAGGTGTCTGTGGATGTGACTGTGGAACGTCTCTCGCGAATGCAGCAGCGTCCGGTTGCGTGCGGATTGTGGAGCTACTACTGTCGAAAGCGAACGCCAACGTGAATGTCGCGGATGGCCGCGGCAGCAGAGTTCTTCACATCGCCTGCCAATACGGACACGAAGCCGTGGTCAAAACGCTACTTGCACATCCTCACATTGAAGTAAACGCTGCAGCTACAGCTCTTTCGATACCTACGACGGCACTAGGGACAGCTATTGTATTTCGCCGAAATGCTGTTATCTGTCTGCTCCTGGAGCATCCTGAGATAGACGTGAATGGTCAAACCTACGATGCTGCCTTTCATAAGGATTTCACCCCTTTACAAGAAGCGGTAATAGGATGCAACGAGAGCGTCGTGGAAATGCTGCTCGCGCGGAAAGATGTGGAACTCAATATCAAAGACAAATCCTCCCGCACGGCATTGCATTACGCAGTCCAAACAGGAGTTGGAAAGCTCGTGAGTCTGCTGGTGGCCCGGGATGACGTTTACATCAATATCAAAGATGAACACTCCAAGACCGCATTGCATTTCGCAGTCATGACTGGGTTTGCAGACATTGTGAGCCTGGTACTAGCGCGGAAAGACTTGGCAATCAATGTGCAGGATGGCGAGCTCAATACGGCATTGCATGCTGCAGCCAAATATTCGAGATATAGCCATGGCCAAGAAGATATCGTTAAACTGCTCTTGGAGCACCCAGACATCAGGACGGATATTAAAAATGACCGCGGCGTCACTGCTCACGAAGTGGCTGTTCAAGCGGGTCATAAGGCTGTTGCGGAGATGATAAGGAAGCGTGACCCTCGAGTTTCGCCGAGCGAGCCGCTTTCGAGAGCGGTGGCGCTGCCTGATTGACGGAGCAGTTGGGTTTCGAAAAAACATAGTCGGTCGGTATCTGTCCGAAGTTCTCTGTATCTACGTCGTCGACTGTCGGAAGGATCGGCTCTGAACGTTTACAAAACCTTCAGCACCACTAGCATAGATATACCAGGTTGCAGACCCGAAGGCCGCTGTCTGAATCTTCATGGAATCTAGGTCATGGTGCAGAAGTCCACTGTGTTTGACAATGCCAGTCATGAGTGGACATGGAAAGGCCATGGCTAGGTCAGATTATCTACCAAAGGAGCAGTCCAAGGAACCCATTTGACGTGGTACTATCCAATATCGAGTCACAAAACGACCCGTAGAATCCCTGTGGATGCACCTCCCCCAATACGCAAGAAGTCCCAATCTAAAATCGTGTATGCTCCAAGTATGTTCTCAAAGAGACCTAGCCGAGATGCCGGTGGGAATGATCTACCGTCAAAATCCCACTTACCGCCGTGACACCCATGTCCGTAAGCATCACGACCCCGGCGGCGGAAAGACCTTCCTCAGCATACTCTGCTTCTTTCCACCGTTGCCAATGGTCTTGCGCGCAAGTTTATCAGACTTGGGTGATGACTTTTTCGTCAGTGCGGCCATCTTAGGTGGCGGAGCAAACTCAGTCTGCACGTTCAAACCAAATTCCTGCCGGCGGGCAGACTCGTGGCTTGTCCGCGTCGATGCAGTCTCTGTTGTCGACGGGAATAGGTATGATTGTGACTGTGGTTGAGAAGCCTGCGACTGTACCTGCAGTTGAGGCTGCACTTGCACAAAGGACGAAACAGTGGTTGTGTGCGAATATATGCTTGACGACCGCGCGGGCTTCTGCTGAGACTGGAGCAAGGGGACTCCCGTAGCAGGCGTGATAGGAGGGACGTTCATATACGCGTCGTCAACGGAGCGGAGATACTCTTGTGCGCGGGCCGCCGAAGCGTTCAGACTGTCTGCTGAAGACAAGCGATATTGTTGTTGCTGTGATTGCTGTTTCAATTCTAGCGGTGGACTTCGTAGCTGGCGCTGCCCATCATGACCCTGGGATTTATTACGCAGATAGTTCTGGTATGCTTGATGCGTGGACGAATTGAAGTCGAATGCGAAGGTGGTCATTTCGCTGCTAGTTCGATCGCTGCTGTTGCCATCGCTCTTCGGACGAACTGAGATCGTCCCATCGAGGTCTTGGTTTCTTGATTGGGCTTCCACACGACGGCGTTCCCGGCGCTGGTAGCATCTGCGGAGGGTATACCAGAAGACAAAGGTCAGGCCCATGCCTCCTATTACACCGCCGATGATGGCGCCAGTGAGGCCTGCGCGGGTGAATGACGAGATATTCGTTGTTGGTGCCGGCGTGGGGACTGTGTCTGGGCAGAGCGTTTGGGTTTGGACGAACTGCGCGTCTGTGAGGGCGGATGCGAGCTGGAATTGGGGCGGGTGGGAGTCGTAATTTGCCATGAAGTAGATTGAGGATAGAAATGCGGTACCAAGGAGGTTCGCCGGGCTTGAAGTTGCGTTGGTGCTGGTGGAAGAGATGGGAGCGGCTGATATGGGCGAGTTGTTGGAGACATTGCGGAGCCATTGAGCGTCGTAGGTCACATTGAAGCCGCCGGCAAGAGTGATGGTTAGGGTGGCATCGAAGCCGGAGGGAAGTTGGAGGACATCGAGCCCGTCATTCGAGGCTGTGGCGCCGGTCGAATCTGCGAATTGCTGGGTTATAGCAGATGGAAGGGTGAGCGCATATTGTGATGTGGTGATGTACGCGTCGAACTGGTTGGAGAATTCCGTCGCGTTACCGTCGGCAGTGGTCAAGGTCATTTGTGCAATAGTGACTTTGAACGGGCTGTTAGCTCCGTCGGAGTTTGCACTGCTGATTGTATAGTTGTATACGTCGCCGTCGAAGCGACCCGAGTCATAGCCGCCCAATGTCAATGACCCGTTCATCGCTCCGTTCGCTTGTTGATAGGCTGTTCCCATGTACAGACCGAATGACCGGGAGGAGATTAGGTTCATATCGTATAAGCGTTGAAGTAGTACACTTGAAGGGCCGAGTCCGAGAAGGCCCGCTGGACCAAACCATGGTGAGGCATTCGCGGAGTAGTTGGACAGCACTGTAAGGGGGAATTGTGAGATCGTTGTAAGATTGGGCGGCGAAGGGTCGAAATAGTGTGTGAAGAGATTGAAAGTATCGTAGGCCGTCTCTAGGATGGTGGCAGGTATGGATCCGAGGTTGTCTAGAGTTTTGTATGATGATGCTGACGAGTATCTGGAGGCAGTCAACAAACCATTATACCGAAGTGTTAAGAGAGTCTTACGTTTGGGAAAGGTCGGGTGAATAAAAGCCATGACTTTGATTGACACAGTTCTGGAAAGGACTTGTGCTGCAGTAGTCAAGACTTCCCACCGACGTCTCATTGTTTGATAATGATGGCCACGAAGAGAGGTTCTGCGATATTGGGCTTCCGATGCCCGTGAAGAGGCCATATTGAAAGGTTATGCCTCCGTCAACGGCCCTATTGTGAAAATCGACGTAGACAGGTTGAATGCTGCAATTGTTTGCCACGACAGCCGATGCAAGCAGCACCAGTCCAGCTAGAGTCGCCATCGTAGAGTAAGGAAACAGTCTGATGCTCAGCACGAATTGACTATGCACAAAATCTCACCGAGGAAAGTCTAGGAGTAGATGGGACAGGAGATGAAATGAAATGGTCCAGACCTGATGAGCAGATAAGTGAAAGCACAGCGTAGGAAGTTGTACATGAGAAATTGCTATGGTCATGAAGCATGTCGGCAACTTCAAACTCTGCTGTGGTCAGCCGGGCCACTCTGCGTGGCGATGAGCATATCCTGAAACGAGTGGGCACCGACAGACGCTGTGTGCGGAGGCATGGAAACATAAGATATCCATATTTGACAATTGCATCGGGCCTTTCCAAGGTCGCCCAGGCATATTGTTTGGAAAGAGATGGCCAAATTCTGGCCGAGGGATGGGTGTTAGACCAAAATTAGAAAACCGCAATATGCCATACTATGCCCGGCGCGTGTCGAGACCCAATCGTTAAAGAGCTTGGCGCCGGCCGCAGTATAGGCCAAGTAAACGGCCAATGGGAATAGCAAAACAGGGATGTCTGAAAGGGTTGATCTGGCTTCTGAATGGCTAGTCAAATGACGTGCAGCAGCCATTCATATCGTTAGGCAGTACAAACGGCTCCAGATTCATGTAAACTGCCGCCATGCCCATATCCAAAAATGTCTTCAGGATTTCCTGGCAAACCTTGCAATGCATCCTGCTATCCAATGAGGATGGTTCTGGTCGCTGTGTAGTTCGATTGCGCCGAGATCTGGGTATCTGAAATCTTTTGACGTGTAAATGTTCAACTTCTGGGCTTCTTCCGAAGCAAACCAGCGGCAAGTGTATTGACAGCCGGTGCGGAAGGGTTTGGCGTCGTGTCCAGTGCTGCCGTACCATCGTCCACTGCTTCGGCTTTCCTCTTTTTCCGGATACCTGTCAGGACGTTGACTTGAGGTAAGGCTGACTTCTCAAGCCCGCCAGATTCGGCCACGACATACCGTCCACGTATGGGTATGCCGAACCTGGGAATGCTCGACAGTTCCAAAGCCTTCTGAATCCAACTCTTGGTATTCGCAGCTGCTAGTTCTTCCCCAGCAAAATCAGTCTGGAGGAGGTGATCCATCAATGTCAGGTACTGGGCCGCGTCAAGGACAAGTTCACCTTGAGTTTCCTGATACTGCTGGCTGAGCTCTTGGGACGGCTCTCTGTTCGTCGCCGCTCCCGCCAAAATCGATGAGGCTCGTGCAGTGCTTTCTTCAGCCGAGCCATTTCGCAGTTCTTCATGCACCCTTTCAAGGGGCGATGATGAAGGGGGCGAGGTGAGCTCACCAATCATCTCCAATTCGGACAATGGTTGTGGCTGGACTGGTAGATCGCCATCCTCACCTAGTTGAGAATTACCGGGAGTAGGCAGACTCTCCTGGGCAAGAGCAGCTACAGTATTTCCCATGTAGCTTGCTTGATCAAGATCAGCCAGAGACGCGTGACTAGTCTGTCCTTGTGAAAACACAAGCCACAAAAACCCAACGAGCCTGCCTGCCGAGCATTCCTGTCGATAGGACATCATCTCCCAGAATTGATCGAGGTTCTTAACACTTCGCCAACGTCCACCATCATCCATAAAATCCCCGTCCAGATCATCCAGGAATCGAGATTTTGGATCATCTGGGAGGCGAGGAACTAAGTGCCTTGGAGGTCTTGATGTGTCTGCAACCAGCAGCTCGACTGGGTAAGAGTTGATCCATACCGGGTCCGAGGGCAAGTCTTGCCGGCTTGATGCTGGAAAGAAAGCTCTTGTCTCTGCTTTGTCGCATCCAGGAACCACAAGATGTGCGGTAGATCTGAAGGGTGGATCAGTTTTGTCGCTATACAGCCGCAAGACTCTATCGGTCACTCGGCACCACCACTTGATTAGCTGACAATCGTCGAGAACATGTTTTCCCGCGTTCTCAATGCTTCCAGGAAAGAGGTATTGATTCTGTGAGCGTGCAAAGAGTGACAGGATCACTCGGGTTGTACTTAGTCTCGGTCCCAGCAGATACTCTATGAAGGTGGCTGTAATGGCTGCAACAACCGATGGAGATTGTCTCGGTGCATTCAAGCGTGACGAGAACCCCGCAGAGTCGGCCTTTGAGACAAATAATGTGGTGAGACTCTGAGTTGTGAAGATCAGGATCTCGATGGCAAAGACGATGACTTCTTTGACATCATCACGCTGAGGCGACGAGATTGCCAGGAAATGTGATTCACAGTGTGTCGTCTCTTCACTTTGCCCTGGCACTGGTGCGAAAAGCGCGCTTGCCGAGGTAGGGGGAGTGGAAATATGATACGCGACCACGTCTACTCCTTGTGGAAGGGCAGCGGAAAGGCGCGCCTGTAACGAGGAAGCCGAAGCCATGACGGCATGATTGGCTAGTCTATGAGAGGAAATACGAAGTCATAGTTGAGAAGTGGTCAGTGGTAATCAGATTGATCTGATGAAAGAAATGGACCATAGTAGTAGTCACCTTGACGCGCTCAGATTGTCAGGAGTGAGAATTCGAACTAGACCAGATTCGGGATTTGTCTTGGCCAATCATGTCAGTCTAATGGAAAATCGAGAATCACTGCGCTTTTCCGTCAAAATGACCTTCTTCAGGACTCTGAAACCATTCTGAGAATAGATTATTCTGTCACCACTATATGCGATTTTCAGTCTGCCACCGCTGAATCTGTTGTTCTCAACTGAGGTCCGTGTGAACATACACGCTTCATGATCTTCTGTGCCACCAAGGCTTTGTCGCAGAAAGGGCACCTCCGTCTTGACTGAGTACACCTTCTTGCCGTGTGATCATATCATTATGCTGTAGCTGACCACCAGGCCATTTTGCTTTCCTTCCATCTTTGCTAATCGTGATGTCTATGACCAGTCCCGATGATGCACCACGTTCAACCTCGCAGCAACGCGACGGTGACGACTCTCCTTATACCGAAGATGGCGAAATCAGTGACCGTGCCGCTTCCCCATCCACTTCAACAAAACCCGTGACAGACAACAAAGAAACAGCAGCACCTCCTCTACCGCGAAATGAAGAGCCTCCGCCACTGCCAGAGGAAGCGCCTCCGTTCATACCTGTGGATGATGGTTGGGATCCAGTATGGGATGACGGAGCTCAAGCGTTCTACTTCTACAACCGGTTTACACAACTCTCGCAGTGGGACAATCCAAGGATACCAGATGCGCAGCAAGCAGGCCCGCCTGGTGTTGCGAACCACGACAGGTTAGAACCTCCTACCAACGCTCCGCCAGCGAGAAAGGTTGGCGGATATGATCCAGCAATTCATGGCGACTACGACCCAAATGCCGACTATGCAAAGGTCTACGAGACTCAAGAAGAGACAAATGCTGTGGGTGCTGCCCCAGGAACGGACCCGGCGGAAGCGTACGCCGCAACCGGACATTTCAATCGGTTCACGGGCAAATGGCAGGCTGCAGATTTGAATCCAGAAAAATTCAGCGACGAGCAGAAGAGTCGACGGCAAATGAATGCTTTCTTTGACGTGGACGCGGCGGCAAACACTCATGACGGCAGGAGTTTACGAGCGGAACGGGCAAACAAAAAGTTGACCAAGACCGAGTTGAAAGCGTTCAAGGAGAAGCGAAGAGAAAAGAAAGAAGAGAAACGCCGCGCATGGCTAAGGGATTGATAATATGCCAATCGTAGGGAGAATACCAGATTGGAAAGGAAGGTCTGCTCTATGAGTACTGGTAGAGGTAGAGAGCCCCAGAGCGCCGCCATAATTGCAATTACATGTAAAGATCCGCATGCGCAAGGCTGTGCCCAAAAATGCGAGCCTTGCGAAACATCCCACCTTTGATTTTCTGGCGAACACTGTCCATTTCTTCAAAAGTCAACTTTTTCGAGAGTCTCACACTCCTTTGCCTATTGATCTCCAGTCCTTCCGCCTCTCAGTCATGCTGTACTCATGTACACCGAGATCATCGCAAGAGTCTGCATCGCCTGGTATATCTTCATAGCCTGCGTCTGCACAATCGGATACGTTTACCTGTAACTACTCCCTAAAACGAATTTAAGACTTTGAAGCAGTATTAACCCAGCCCACAGCTTCATACACTATCGTCGTGCGCCTGCTCGAGCGGCCGTTCTTGCAAAACCAAGCCAGGACATCCCACATGTCACCGTCATCCGCCCATGCAAGGGCATCGAGCCCTACCTCTACGAATGTCTCGCCTCGACGTTCCAACAGGACTATCCCCGGGACAGGATAACAGTGTACTTTTGCGTGGCGTCGCGCTCAGATACCGCATACAAAACCATTGAGGCCGTCGTCAAAGACCACCCGGACCACGATGCGAGAATCTACATCGAACAGGAGGACAATGAAGCCTCCGACCAGGATCGCTACAGGGCGCACCTGGGCCCCAACCCCAAGATCAGGAACATGAGTCGAGCGTACCGCGAAGCGAAAGGCGACCTGATCTGGATCATAGACTGCAACGTCTGGGTCGGCCCAGGAATCTGTGGCCGCATGGTTGATCGGCTCTGCGGATTCACGTCCACCGACAAGTCCGCAACACCCTACAAACTCGTCCACCACCTCCCCATCTCAGTCGACGTAGACAACTACTCGATCGGGCGCAAACGAACAGACTCCTCAGCCTACGACGAGACATCCTCAACCGACTTGTCGCAATCATCCCTAGTCCGCTCGACAGCTCTAACGCGAAACATCAATCGCTACGGCGGCCGTCTAGAAGAACTATTTCTCTCATCCGCCCACGCAAAGATGTATGTCGCAATCAACATGGTCGCCGTCGCCCCTTGCATCGTCGGCAAATCCAACATGTTCCGTCGCTCGCACCTCGACCGCCTGACCTCTGAACGAGCCCGCCTGGAGTTCCGAAAGAAAGCCGAGGATCCACCCCGAGAGACAAGCACAGGCATCGACTACTTCTCCCGCAACATCTGCGAAGACCATCTGATAGGCGACATGCTTTGGAAATCCAAAGTCCCGTCCCTGCCGGGCTGGCCAAAACGAATGCGCAATCACGCCCTCGTCCTCGGCGATCTAGCGATCCAGCCTGTCTCCGGCATGACCGTCGCCAATTACGTCGCCCGACGGGTGCGGTGGTTACGCGTGCGCAAGTTCACTGTCCCGACCGCCACGCTCGTCGAGCCCGGCACAGAAAGCTTCTTGTGCTCCGCATACGGTGCCTTTGGCTTGACTACGTGCCAATCGACGCGGGCGATCTTCGGAGAGACATGGACGTGGTTTTGTGTCTGGTGGCTCGTCAGTATCTGCGTCTGGGCTGCTGTCGATTGGACAGTCTATCTGCTCTTGCACTCTGGGCGTACAATCGAGGCTGCGAAGGACGAAGCGAACATTCCTGAGTTTGCAACGCCGTTGAATCAATCCTTGATACAAGCCAGGCGGTCGTTCAAGACCTGGCTATATGCATGGCTGGGCCGGGAAGCACTTGCCCTGCCGGTCTGGACGTGGGCCATCTGGGGCGGCGCGACTGTGACTTGGCGAGACCGTCGGTTTTGGGTCGGACTGGATATGAAAGTGCACGAGATACGAGAGTCTCATGAGAATAGCAACGGCATTTCACGTTTGGGGCAAGGCAATGGTCGTGCAAACGGCGACGCATATGTTGACGGGAAAGCTAGAACTGAGTAGATTCGTAATAGGATCTGTATAGTGTCGTGCTCAAAATATGTACAGACGGTCCAGTATAGCGAAGAGACCAAGCGAACCCCATTGGGGTAGATCCTCCAGGTTGTACAGATGATTTGCCCTACGCATAGCCCTGTCGAAAAGACCGTAAATTAGTCCCTCCGTGGTTCATCTTGTGGTCTTCGTGAAGCGACAATTACAATGCAGCTTCCGTGGCTTGACCGAGGCTTGAAACCCATGAAGTCGGACGACGCGAACCGCAGGCTAAAACGTATGGTCAGCAAGCCAGCAACATTGAGGTTCAAAGCATACATACCCATTGCATATTCACCTCGTGATGGCACGCCGGTTCGGTGATGATTTTCGACTCAACTTCGTCAGAAGAAACATGTCCATATACCTTACGATATGTCATTGTCATGGTGCCGTCCTTCAAACGGTCCACTCTGTCGAGCTTGATGCGAATTGTCTTTGACGGATTGGTCTCGTTGAGTCTGTCATCGATTTCGCTGGCCGTCTTTGCGATGGCGTACGCCACGCAGCTGTTCCAATGTCCTTCAACGACTTTCAGGTCTTTCAGCGCTTCGAGCGCGCCATGCCGGATCTCCTGCACCCGGCATTTCGTGGCGATAAAGAACAATGGTGCGATAAATCCCATATGAACTTTGAGAACAAGGTCGCCACTGTGTTTCGGGTCGAGTTCCGTGTAGCCGGCGCGCAAAAACGTCCGTAGCTGGGCGAACATGATCCGGAAATCCGCGGCTGCCCGAGTGTAGCCTTGGTCGTTCTCAGGAGGAAGCGTCTTGAGGATCAGGAAGGCCATGCGATGATGAGCCTGAAGCAATAACTGCCAATCCTTCAGGAGGGGATCATCAAGCTCGTAGGTTGACTTCCAGCGGTCGAATGCAGTGGCCCAATCGGTGACATACTTTCGCACATTGGGAGCCATGGCAGCCAGATCATGCGGCTGACGCAGTTCCAACTTCAATACCGAGTAGACTGCCTCTAGGAGATGTTTATTGGCTTGATTGAGATCTTGAAAGACTTTTGGCATCTGCGGCAGAGAAGGGCCGGTTGCTTCCACTGTCTCGCTCTTTGTTGCTGCACTATCTGTCAGTCTGTAATTTGCCGACTTTGCCATGAACCCTGCTATCATTGGCTCTATCAATTCTCGTACTTCGATAGGAAGCTGGACTTGTTTCTTTCGACTTTCAGACATGATCATGTAGCCCGACTTGAGATGCTTCATCCCAGCACCGGCAGCGCCCATCAAGAAGTCGCAATGTGCGAAGAGGACGCAGGCTATGAGGAGGATCTCGACAGGAATCTTTCCTTGGTTCTTGTTGATCTCGGTAATGGCATTGGTGTAATGCAGCGTGAAGGAGTGATTCTGCCACGGGTTGCGCTTGGTAACTTCGAGCCATTCATGTAGGCTGCTAATGGCTGCTAAGCTGTGACGAATGGAGGCATTCGTCTCACTGGCTTGTACAACCAATTTATTCCAGAACGTCCATGCCTGTGTTGTAGAGTATGACACCATGGCTCTGTCGTCGTTCAACGACTCCATCATCTCTGAGAAGAATCCAGCCACAGCAGGAGCAGTGCATGCAAGGAAGTATTGGGTGGGTCTGTTGAGCTCGGAGTCTTCGAAGAAGTGTATAGCATTTGTCGTGTTCAAGCAGGACACGACTTCGGAGCTGGGAGGGGTGTTGTTTGCAGGTTCAAAAAGCCATGTTTTGGGTTGAGCATATCCTTCGCAGAACCGGCCAGCTTTTGCACAGCGCTGGCAATGAGGGTGGGTTTCGTCACCTACAAGGGATAAGGTAGACCGAAGTCAGCAATGTGCCACATTGGAGGACAACGAAATGGAAGCAGGAGGGGAATTTGGTTGACAGCGAGCGTGGTCACTCCATGGGTTGAGTTTAGGAGGCAACTGAACGGAGTGCCATGGATTGTGATGATGACTTGGACCGGGGCACCAACGTACACTTGACTCTTCGACGCCTGTCAGTACAAAGGTTAGCATCTGCATCAATTAAGCTGGAGTCGTCCTGACTCTCTGGTGGTCGCACCTGCAAGTCAGGCAGCCGCTGCGCACCTTGTTATGGCTCCTTTTCAGTCGTGTTGGCGACCTTTCTCTCGCGTCGCGTCCGGCGACCTCGTTGGAGACATTGATCACGTTCCCCTTCCCCTCTATCCGTCCCGTCACCGGCCTCGCAGCTGATGTATAGGGTGAAGTCCTATCTGCCAGCACAAAGGCTCCATTAACCATGTCGCAGAATGTGGATGGCACATCTGGGCGAGGTAAAGGGCTGACCGAGCTTAGATCAGATTCTCGGAGTTGAGTTGAAGTCGACAGTGTCTGCACCAAGTATCTCACAAAAGTACACGACAACAGTGATGATGATTAGCGGTGACGCTCTTCGCAGAATACTGACTTATTATTGTTCGGCCGTGCTTTGAAAGCCAAAACGAGCCATTAAATCAAGTCAGGCCTCTCCACGAGTCAATGGCGAGTTGGAATTGACCGTCGACGTGGATTAGTGGAGACGAGGTTCAGCTGTCGTCTTCAGCTCTGATTCTTTGAGTTTCTCACTCTGGTAGAGCTGGCTGACCGCTGTACGATGACGAGTCAGGCCTAACCGTTCGATCGATTCACGACAAGATTGCACTTCTGAAACCCCTTAGTAATTGGAGAAAGCTGATATATACTATCCGTTTCAGTTCCGGCTTGGCTTCCATCGAAAGGGCCAGGAAAAGTTCACCGACTTGACAGGGCGCAGCAGATATTCTTGGTCTGCATCTCTGGACGGCGGACGCCCGCATGCCATGAGCTGTTATATGCTTCCAGGCCGCCCGTGAAACCTTTTCAGCACATTGCGCGGTGCTTTAAAATGCGGCAGAATGATAAGGTGAAGGACGGAATACATGTATTTGGCCCGGTGCGGATGCAGCCCTACAGTCACAGCCTAAGACTGATTTGACACCCTGCATCTTTTCAAGGGTACCGTGTATATGAGAGGTGCGTCACTTCGCCAGTGTCGATGTTGATGATGCCATCATGCCACGACCTACCCCACGATCAGTGGCCGTCTGCTTTTTGACCAGCTTACGAAGCAACGGCAGCTGTTCCACCGGTTCAGATGCTTAGGTACCATTTGTGGTTGGTATCAGTCAGACAATATACGTCCCTACGATTGCCGTTGTTTCCAGGTTGTCATTCTCGTACTCGGCGAAGTGGCCTAGCGAATCCCGAAAGAGGTATCAAACGCGAAAGCACTTGACGAAAGACTGCCCCAGCATGGCCTGTTCGGTGCGGGGAGCAGTAGTCCACGGTTGTTGCTCGCTGTTCGGCATTGTCATTTTCCACAATGATAGCGAGCTTGATGAAGATGAAAAGTAACCAGCAAAGATATGCATCCAGAGGACTGTGCGGGACATTCCAACTCCTGCCATGCCGTGAACGCCGATTCCGCTCTTTAAGTCCTTACATATCCTCCGAAACTAGACAGTCCACCATAGCCACAGTAATCCCTTGAGATATTCCACAATCTCTTCTCCGCCCAGCTTGCTTTCACCGTACACTCTGTCCACAAATGTGATGGGACATTCCTCGACGTGTAGGCCCATGGCCTTCGCGCGGACCATCATCTCCATTTGAAAGGTATAGCCTTTTGACTGCGTCTTCGAGATAACACTTGAAAGTGCCTCTTTCTTGTATAGTCTGAACGAACCAGTGAGGTCACTGACGCCCGGGTTTAGCAAGAAATCCGCAAGAATGTTGGCACCCTGGCTCGTCAACTTCCTCTTCGCATCCCAACCGTAAACACCACCGATAAGACCAGGTTTTGACCTGTATCTAGTGCCAGTGACAATGTCCGCGCCCGTCTGCTTTTGAACCTTGATGAACTCGGGGATGAACTTTGGGTGGTGTGAAAAGTCGGCGTCCATGATTATGACGAAGTTGCCCTTCACAAACTGCAAGCCGTGGACATAGGCAGTGCCCAGACCCAGTTTGCCTGCTCGTGGTTTTAGGACGATGTGATCTGATCCAAACGACTTCTGTAGTTCTTTCGCTCGTTCGAGAGTGCCATCTGGCGAGGCATCATCCACGATTATGACTTCCCAATTCAACTTCCTGTGTAAATTCGAGGAGAACATGTTAGAATATTGTCCGAGCAAGGGAACATTTTGTCGTGCTGCACATACTCTTTGGTAAACACTTCGGAGAGCATCTGCACCAGCACGGGCAGATTTTGCCGCTCATTGTAGGTGGGTAGAATGACCGAGTACTTGTCTTTGGAAGCCATGGCTGCGACCTGTGACTTGACTTGAGGACTCGGTTGAGGTGTTCAAGAACTCGAAGTGCACACCGAACCAAAAAGTTCCAACCTGGCCAGAACTGCGCGAGTAAACGCGACAAACTGTTCAATGCGCGACGGACCCGTCAACGTACCGAGGTTTAGCCGTCCACCCACTTATTCTCCGCAAAGAGGTGACCCTCGCTTCCTGGTGACTGTAGCACCTACTCCTTGGGAAACCTCTGATAAAAGTGGTCAGAGACCAGTCATGGCCAGATGAGACACTCTAGGTAATGAGAGAGGCTTGACTGACGTCCTGATCATGCCTTCCGCACAACATAGTCGGAAGCCCTCAACACGAGCGGCACTTCCACGCCGTACCACTAAAGGACCGCTGGACGCACTCGCAGATCCTTTGTCTATCCCCGTAGCAAGCACGCCATCTCCCTCACTGCTTGCAGAATCTCAACCCGACTTATTGCCACAAGAAGATTTGGTCCAAACAGTCACCCAGGCTCAGCAGCCAACTGCACAGCCTTCAGGCCCCATTGAAGAGCAAACAGTCGAGGAAAGAGACCTTTCTTTCCTCCTCGACGCATCTATTTATCATCCACTTTCACAGCTCGAGACTCCTGGCCCGTTCAGGAGGCCTTTCCTACCTCCACCAACAAGCGACACGATTGCACAATCTCTCGAGCAACTCGACCCGCTGCTTTCACGATGCGAGTTTCTCAGAGCAGCACAGTTTTCGGGGTCTATATTGACCTCTGGAGCCCTGCGACCGACAGATTCAAAGACAGTGTTTCGGCTTCTCGCCATTCGCTATTCTTGCCTAGAGCTGTCGGGAAATGTGCTGCTTGCCGCCCAAGAAGCAAAAGCCCTTGAAGATCTCAGCTCTTCTTTCTATTATGAGGACTCGCCTTCCGAAAAGCCTGGTGGGGACGATGCTGAAGAATCGGACGCCGTGCCCCATCATATAATGCCATTTTCGCTGCGGTTGCAAGCCTTACGACTGCAAAGTATTGGTTTCTCCGATCCCCGTCGTGGTGTGACCTCTCTTTATGATGTTGCTTTCGAGTGCAGAAGACATTTATCGGCATCAAGCACTTCCTCAGACGAGCGCAAAGCTTGGTCGGAAAGGCTCCACGAAGTATCCATTCGGGTCGTCAATGCATTGATTGAGATGGGCGACTTTGATTGTGCTTTGCGTACACTGGAGAGCATGAAACAGATCGGCCACGTCAATCAAGCCCTCTGGACAACTCGGATGGTTTTACTACTTCTCAAGATGGGTGATCTTGCACACGCACATACGCTGGCCGGATCATCAAGACTATCAGCGCAGGAAAAGTCTGCCATCAATTCTGTCATTGCGATCGGCGAAGGCGACTATGATGAAACCGCCAAAGCACTTTCCGATTGTGAAGCGAATATAGATCCCGCCGTGAGAGCCCTGGTCAGACAAAATCTGGCCGTGGCCAACCTCTACAAGGGTGAAGTGCGGAAGTCCAGACAGATTTTGGAAGAATTGGTAAATGAGGGATACTCTTTTCAAGCCTTGACAATCAACTTGGCTACTGTTTACGACTTGAGTTCTGACAAGTCCCGAGACTTGAAGATGTCTATGGTGTCCGACGTCGCCGAACAGAAGAGGGATACCGGCCATTCGCGCTCTTTCTCCAATGCCGATTTCAAATTATGATCCCAAATAATTCACAAACACAAGGAACCCATGAAGCCATGTCTGTAATCGAAGGCTTTCAGTAGACCCTTCAAATGTGACATGGCGGCCAACACAATCAGGACATGAAAGATCTGATGAGAACTACCCAGGGTGTCGAATTTCCCTGGATACCAAGCTTCCGGAATTCGAGCCTGGACAAGTCAGCAAAGTCCGCTGTGGTCACAAACTACGACTCACGGCATATAAGCCGGCACCAAGGATATACAATGCTCCTTGTAACACCAACCATGAAAGCCCGATCTGCTTCTCCATGGCACTCAATCCAAATGTCATTAGACCATCAAGGACGGGAAAGACCGCAGAGATACCCATTCCGACGAACATCAGCGCTCTGTAAGGTCGCCAGGCAGGAGTGCGGAATCGTGGGAGCACGGACACTGTCGTGCAAGCAATACCCAAAGAACAGATCTAGTCGGAACGTGAGCAACGGCACTTGCCAAGGACACGACTTGCTTACCATAGTCCAGTACGTCCATTGTCTTTGTGGGTTGCACCAGAATCCATAGTACACGCTCGGAATGAAGGAGCCCGCAATGAGCACTGAAATCCCCGCATAGTCGAACTGATTCCACATTCTGGCCACCGAGGGTGAGTGGTTGGATACAGCGTGGAATGTGGCGCTCATCGACAAACAGACAGCCGCGCCAACGAAGAAACAGCCCATTGCCAGAACGTCGGCAGCAGTTGCTCGCTCGTAGCGTGGCTCAAGAGTTTTGTAGAGCATAATACCACATGGCAGACTCAATGTGGCGGGAACCAAATGAGTCCAGATGTTCACACTCTCATTGTGCCAGTGCAGAATGCTTTGCAGAGATCTTGCATAGCTATAAGATGCTTGCCTGTAACCGCCGTGGATATGATGATTATCTTGCTGCCAATGAGGCAGGTCATTCCAGTGTACTAAGGTGTACCACAACTGGGTACTTTTATCAGCGACACTAGCAGCAACTGGCTGCTGTGAGGCCCCGGGATCCTGTTCATTCGGATCTGACATGTTGGCATTGTTCGATCGAAGCATAGAGATCATAGTCCGGTCGTGAGTCTGGTCGATGCGAGAAGGAGAAAATGTTGAGAGCAAGCAGAATCAACAACTTCTCCGCTAAACTCCGTGGTCCACTGTGGCTCGGGCCGCTCCCACTCTCCTGATGAATACTGTGGTACACACCCTTTCCTCCTCAACTCCTTTCCTCATCGCTCTTGCCTTTTGGAACCAATTTCTCGAGTTCCTACTGTCCGGTCAGCGGTCGCGCCTATGCTGCATGCCTGCTTGAGCTGATCATGGCGTGCGACAGACTTACTGTCTTCCCGCTACAAGAAAGGTGACGAAACGTCCTCTCCTTACTCGGGGCAATGGCTCAACATCCGCCTCCGCTGAGCCGGAAAACATCAGGACCATGGGACAGGCTGCGGCCGGTGAAGCAGGACCCCTTGGAAAGCATGGGATTCGTCTCAAAAGGTGACAATCGGTGCGCAGCTTAGTCCGTCGCTTCCCATGCCGTTGGCTGACCTCTAATAGTCTCCTCGATTCTAAAACACAAGAGAGCTTCTACAACAAGATTGTTGCTCGCTACATGCAGTTCTGTACACGACATTCAAAAGACCTGGACACAGCTTTCGCCTCGCTATCACTCGCAGAGGATCCGGCTACTCCATCACAGGCTACCGAGAACCAGAATCCCCGGATACGAGGGTCCCCTCTCCCTGATGCAAGAGGTTCCCCGGCTATTGCCAACCCAATTAGTCAATCGATCAATGCACCAGCACCTTCAACCGCCGATGAAGTGTCCACGATTCTGCTCGCACTTCGCAAGCTTCGAGAGGGGTTGCTAGCCAGTTCCACATCTGCACCTTCGCCAGTCTTTTCGCAACGAGTCCATGTTTTCAACATAAGAACAGCAATTCTCGCCCTACATCCTCCAGGTTATCATCCTTCGCTTTTGCACCTACTTTTTGTCTTGCATACACCAGCGCATCCCTTACCAAGATCCGAGCTGATGGAGATGACTACCTATCTCATCCTGGACACAGCAATTCGCCAAAACGATCTATGTCAGGCATATTCTTTGAGGTACAACAGCCGTGTGAAGTTTGGGTATACGAGCAGAGTCGTAGACAGCATACTGAGATCTATCGTCACCGGGAACTGGATCACATTCTGGCACGTGCGGCAGAAGGTTGATGGTTATGTCCGCACTCTTCTCCACTGGCACGTTGAGGCACAGCGCAAGCTGGCACTCAAGGCGATTGGAAGGTCTTACCTTGCTTGCGACATCAAGTATATCTTGCAAAGCACCAGTGGGGGTGAACTCAGCTGGGAAGATCTCGTCAAGGAAGAAGATGTGGGCTGGATGCGCGATGGTGACAGGGCTATTATTCGCAAGCCGAAGTCCAAGGGTCCAGCCAGCTAATTGATGACGCAAACCAGATGATATGTACTTCTGCTGTACGGAGTATGCATACCATGTCTCAACTGCTGCAACAAGAAGCGAGATCTAAGCGAAACGTGGCTGCGATCAGTAGTTCGATTGCGTGTTTTCGATGTCGGCGCCGTGTTGATTCGCAAGCCACAAATGCCCAGCCTCTCATGTGGCGCGACCAGCCACAGTCATTTGACCAATCAGAGGCAGCGCACGGCTGTTTCCGGTATCCATGCGCAGCTGTCAACATCAAACTGCGCAACCAACCTCCTTCGTTCCGTCCGTGAACACGAAATAACCACCATCAAACCATCAGAATATCGTCGCACATGCAATTATGCTTGCATTGTTCGCATCCAGGCCGTTATGGAAGGCCAGCCTTTTCATTTCCCCGTCGACATGCATAGGTAGATGTCGAAGTTCCTTTCCACTGCTGTTCTTTCTTTCCTATTGTAAACACAACTCACTTCAAAACGTAAGAACAACTTATACCAAACAGACACTCATAACCATCCTAGACAAGACTCATACAGGGCAAGACACAGGACTACAGACTCCATGAAAATGGCTTCGCGCCCGATCCTTGTATCACTTTCTCTGTCTTCTCTACTACTCTTAGCAAACGCGCTGCCTCTCGCACCCAATTCAATCGGACGAAGAAATCCTGCTTCCTACTCAGTGGTCGCCGTCGACGGTGGCAGCTCAGCTGGAAGTGGTGCTGCAGCAACTACAATCACCGATGCAGTACCAACAACCATCACCGATGCAGTGACGCAGACGCAAACCTTAGAAACGACGCAACTATCAACCATCGTGGTCACAGAGTCGGAAACCCCTTCCACGATAGTAGTGACCGTCACGTCTGCGGCACCCACCACAATAACCGAGAGCGGCGCAGTTTCGACAACGACGGAAGTCATAACGTCTGATATATATACACAGGAGAGTGCGCCGTCAACCTCAGCGGTATCTGTTGCTACGACGTCTGCTACAAAATATGGTACAACGTCGGATACAACAACCACTACAACATCGGCTGCCACTTCTGCTTCAACGTCCGCGACGACGTCAGCCTCAGTGCTCTCCCAAAGACCGAGCTCTTCAACAGTGCTATACACAGAGTCCTTTACGACCACAGAGACATCGAGCCCCGTTACTATATCCTACACAGACTCCTACACGACCACAGAGACATCGAGCCCTGTTACGATATCCTACACAGACTCTTACACGGCCACGGAGACACCTTCAGCAACGACCGTGACAGTGATACAATCACAACCGTCAAGCACGCCATACGACGACGGAATGTGGCATACATACTATTACCATACCGTGTCTTCGAGTACTGTTGCCTATGGATCGGTGCCGTCCTCCAGTTCAGAAAGTGTCTCGAGTGCCACTTCGACTTCCGAGAGCAGCTTGACCCCATACTGGACTTCTACAAGCGGCTGGTCTACCTCAGCAACTGCTGAAAGCTCATGGACTTCATCTTTCGTTCAGAGTGCTGAGAGCACGTGGGTTCCTTCTACTTCTTCGACCACTGAAAGCACGTGGGTGCCTTCTTCTTCATCGACCACAGAAAGCATATGGGCGCCTTCTACAGTGTCGACTGCTGAGAGCACATGGGTCCCATCCTCCACCACGGAAAGCACATGGGTTCCATCGTCCACCACGGAAAGCACATGGGTTCCATCGTCCACCACGGAAAGCACATGGGTTCCATCCTCAACCTCAGAGAGCACATCGACTTCATCGTCTGCTTCCGAGAGCTTATACAGCCCTTACCAAACTCTTTCGACGAGCACAAGCGCTCTCGCACCAGCCAGTACCACCATTGATGCCTCCGAGCTTGCCAATTCTTTGTCTTCTGCAGCGGCATTGTTCAGCACACTGACTCCCACTGGGACGCTCGGTTTCTTCGGTACCCCGACAGGCACCTGATCGATCTCACAATTGTGAGACTTGACTCTTTCTTCCATTATGTTTCCCTCTGCTCAAAGGCATTTACGGGTAAATGGTGTATCAACAGACGATTACATGTACAGCGGACCTCAGGGTTACAAAACGAATTGCACGACATTTTGACATTTATAGCATGGCGCCGGCGGAAACTTATGAAAGGCCTGAATTGAACCATAAATAGATATATACCTGTTGTTCTAGGTAGAATTGTACATGTCCATGTCCATGAGAAGACAACTTCACAACAACACTTTGTTCTGGTCAAGCACTGTAAAATCGTTGTATTGATAAGGTGCGAACAGCTCCAGGGAACGGAGTACATCTCTTACCCATCCCTCCCGCCCGCAAAATCGCCAAGAGTTGCGGCATTGCCAATTGGCAGCTGCGCCTCGCCAGCCGCGCTCCGCAACTAGAGTGTAGACATATGCATTCACGTATTGTACCTCCGGAGTATCTTGAGCTGACCCAGTATCTCATTTCACGGCAGCCTAATAACCCTAAGACATTGCCATACACTTGGCTTCGCCTTTCTTTCTGCTGGCCATAGACCAAGAACACCGCCGAAATGGCGGCAAGCCCAGTCAATGTGGTCGAGGACCAGGGCCGACTGCTCGAGGAGGCATTAGGAGTCGTGCGCCAGCAGTCACAACAGATGCGCAAATGTCTAGAAACTCCTGGCAAGCTTATGGATGCTCTTAAATGCGGGTATGTTGCGTTTTGCTGTCTCTATCTGTTTCGCCTGCTTATGTTGACTGCGTAGGTCTACGTTAGTATCTGAGCTGCGGACGCCAACTCTTGGACCAAAGCAATACTACGAGCTGTACATGGCCGTTTTCGACGCCCTAAGATACCTCTCTGAATATCTTCGCGAATCACATCCTGTGAATCACCTCGCCGACCTATACGAACTGGTTCAGTATGCAGGCAACATAATACCCAGGTTGTATCTGATGGTGACGGTGGGGACGGTCTACATGGGTGTCGATGACGCGCCGGTCAAAGAGATCATGAAGGACATGATGGAAATGAGTCGGGGTGTGCAACACCCTATCCGCGGCCTGTTTCTACGATATTACCTTATGGGACAAGCACGAGATCACTTACCCATGGGTAAAGACGACGGTCCTCAAGGGAACATCCAAGACTCGATCAACTTCATTCTGACAAACTTTGTGGAGATGAACAAACTGTGGGTAAGATGGCAGCATCAAGGTCACTCCAGAGAACGGGAACAACGGACACAAGAGCGCAGAGAACTAGAACTACTTGTCGGAAGCAACTTGGTTAGGCTGAGCCAATTGGTGGACCTGGAGACGTACAAGTCCACCATCATTGGTCCTCTACTTGAACAAGTCGTACAGTGCAGAGATGTTCTAGCGCAGGAATATTTGCTTGAAGGTAAGCAGGAGAGTACACGCCAGACAAGGACCGGACTGACACCTACACAGTAATCACCAAAGTCTTTCCTGATGAATACCATCTTCACACGCTGGACGAAATGCTTTCGGCCATTGCTAGGCTAAACCCGCACGTCGACATGAAGAAGATTGTGATTGGCTTGATGGATCGCTTATCGACCTACGCACAGAGAGAATCCGAGGGTGTGTCCACCGAAGACAAACGAACAGCAGAAGAAGAGGCTGTGGCTCGGATGCTGGAAAAGGTCGACTTAAACCAGGACTCGAAGCCGGCAGCGCCATCCGCTGACGCTGAGACGCCCAAGACGAACGGCGCAGATTCCAAAGTACCTGAGGAAGCACAGCCTGCTGACTCGGAACCCGCTACTTCTGTTACACCGTCGACGAACGGCGAAAAGAAGAATGCTGGTGTTGCTGATGTCAAGCTGTTTGAGATCTTCTATGACCAGGTTGTGAGCCTGGTAAAGACGAGGGGCCTTCCAATTCAGGATACTATGGCTCTCTTGACTTCCCTTGCCAACCTGGCCCTCAACATCTACCCGGACAGGCTGGAATATGTGGACCAAATCATGGCCTATGCCCGTGACAAGGCAGCGGAATATATGGATTCTGCCGACCTCCACTCCGCCGCAACACAATCCAACATGCTGAACCTCCTCCTCTCTCCCATACGGACATATTTCTCCCTCTTCACCGCGTTGTCCTTACCCAACTACCTGCCACTATATCAGTCACAGTCATATGCCACACGGCGTGCCGTCGCTGGCGAAGTGGCGAAGAACATCCTACGAGATCGGATCCTCATCACCACTACCCAACACTTAGATGGCGTCATGTCTCTCCTCAAAGTGATCATCAAAGAAGGAATCCAACAGCCTGGAGGCTATCCTGGATTAAACCGCCAACGAGGAGGCGAATCCGACGAGACTGTCGAAGAACAAGGCTGGCTTGCAAGGATAGTCCACTTTATTCAAGGTGCCGACAACGAAACCCAGCTGAAACTCCTACAACAAACGAAAAAGGCTTACGAGCCTGGCAATGAGCGGATAAAGTACACCACCCCAGCCATCATTACCGCATCCATGAAGCTTGCACGGAAATTGAAATCGCGGGAACACTTCGAAGACAACTGGCAGAATCAGTCATCTACACTATACCGGTTCATGCACCAGACATTGTCTCAACTTTACACCCGCGTCAATCCTGCGGCTGCAGAGCTGTGCCTACGTCTTTTTGTTTCTTGCGGCCAAATTGCCGATCAGTGTGGGTTCGAGGAGTTTGCGTACGAGTTTTTCGCACAAGCATTTACGGTGTATGAGGACAGCATTAGCGATTCAAGAGCGCAGTTCCAGGCTGTCTGCATTATCGCTGGGCCGCTCCAAGCGACTCGAGGCTTCGGAAAGGAGAATTATGATACCCTCATCACCAAGGCCGCCTTGCACGGTAGCAAGCTTCTGAAGAAACCGGATCAGTGTCGTGCTGTATATCTAGCAAGCCACCTTTGGTGGACCGTCGAAGTACCTGGTAGGGAGGAAGATCCCAAGAACGTGAGTTGTGCATGTCATTTTGGCTTGATTGATCGTTATACTGACCCTGGTCACAGCTTTATCGGGATGGCAAACGCGTGCTGGAGTGCTTGCAAAGAGCATTGCGCGTGGCAGACGCTTGTATGGACACTGCGGTGTCCGTCGAGTTGTTTGTCGAAATCCTCAACAGATACGTCTATTATTTTGATCAACAAAACGAGACGGTAAGCATTCCACTAATATCGCTGAGCGCTTGCAGCTGACCCTCGTACAGGTTACGACAAAATATCTTAATGGACTGATCGAACTCATCCATTCCAATTTGACGACCACAAACACAGAGGGCAACCCTCAAGCATTGGAGAACCCCAAACGCCATTTTTTCAGGACTTTGGATTATATCAAGTCGAGGGACTACGAAGGGGTGGTTACAGAGGCAAGACAATAATAGAGCAGTAGAAGCTGACTCTTGGACTTGCAGACGGACCGAATGCTCCGTCAGGATCTTGTAGAGATGCTCCAAAAGCCTTGGTCCCCGATGTAAATCATAAAGGAGACTCTTATAATCTCTTGGTGCCAGCGTGGCAAAGTTGCGTTGGGGACTGAATTGTGGTCTCTTCGCAAGCAACGAGATGAGACGAGGGATTGCCTCGGGTAGATATTGTCCAGAATTAAATGAGTGCTAAAGGACTGGATGCATCGTCCGTGAATGCGAGACGCTATCAGGGGTAAATTTTCAAGTTTCGATCGGTTGACGCCCGGACGATCCTCAGATCTGAGTGACCCGTGCGGATATGTCGTGAGGTCACCACTCCCTATACGAGCACAAGTCGGCTCTGCACAGCTTTCTGTGGGCTTTTTGGCTCTGGGGATGACTACAACGGGTCACAGGCCGTTTATGCCAAATGTGACGTCTCGTTTCTGAGGCGTGTATTTCATGGTAAGAAATCTAGATGCCGTGGAAGTAGGACAAGTGATACTCAATACTTTGAATCCCGTCAAATCGCATATTGTAAGCAGCATTCTACCAGGACTATTATCAGAGAGAAAGAGGATGGCATCATTAAGAGCACTCACGCCCCTTGCGCGTCAGGCGACTCGGATACCAACTGGACAGCCTTTGAGACTGGTCGGCAGACGGTTCGTGAACACGGATACGGCGCCGGTCTTGTATTCGGCTCACGCGAAGGTCGTGGGGGCGAGGACTGGGTGAGTTCTCTTTTGCTTTCAGTTTGTGTCTTTTGCACTTGGAAGCGTACATCAGGTCATCATGATGGACTAGAGTCATGCACAAAGGCTACTGGTCTTGGGTATCTCGACTCGGCGGCAAGCGGGGAAGGCACTGTCCATTCTTGCCATGGACTTTTACTCCGCTTCATGGCATGCTAGTGTTCTTGTGACGTTGTCGTACCATGCTAACGAGTTTTCCTGACAGACACGTCGATGGTGATGACTTGAAAGTTGGTACGTTTCTCCCCCTCGTGATGGGTTGATACATGGAGCCGATGGTCGTTGAAGGGGTATGGCTACGCACAGTCATATCGCTTCTGCAACTCGAGCAAAAGGATCACCACCTGATACCACGGTGCCATGCCAAGCTCAGCCATACTGACAGAATCGTTCGAGCAGACCTGACAATGGCCAAAGCCCTCGGCGGCGAAGGCGACGCCGGCAAAACCAACCCCGAGGAACTCTTCGCGGCAGGATACGGCGCGTGTTTTCAATCGGCAATGAACGCCGCCGCCATGTCCATGAAGATCAAAATGCCGGAGAAGAAAGAGGACTCGATCGTCGAGACCACGGTGCATTTAGTGGGGGACATGAAGCAGCTCGATATGGGGCTCAGAGTGGATATGAAGGTCCGAGTGAAGGGATTGTCAAAGGAGAGCCTGGATAAGGTGGTGGCCAAGGCCAAGGAGGTTTGTCCTTATTCGAGGGCGACGAAGGGTAATATCACGACGAATATTGAGGTCGTGCAAGAATAGCTGAGCGATGTAGCCAGATGGCTAGGACCACGGTGGTAAGTGAGGGTTTTCTTGGGCGACTGGGTTGTAAGAGATAACCTAAAAGGCGAACGCTAACGCTGAAACCACCGAGAGACAGTGAGTCAACACATATAATAGCATGCTCAGTCTTGGAAGGCACCCTGAGACCAGAACGACAGTGCTGCTTACCAGATATATACTTGTCTGGAGGTACACTGACACTACGATTATTCAATATTATGTCCTCTGACACGAATCCCATACTTTCGCAAGTGCCCGTCATAGGCCATCTAGGTGACACTTGATGATACCCGTCATGGCTCCTTGAGGTGACATTTAACAACGTCCGTCATGGCTCATTCTGGCGACACTTGCCAATGCCCGTCATGGCTCATCCAGGCGACAATCCTAGTCGATGTGATAGCAGCTCTTCACGACACCCATGCTTGTCACGTGCAATCTCACAGAAGCACTGACTGTATTGATACTGCGGCTTTTAAAGCTCCTGCACCCACAAGCCGTTGTTCATCTGTCCTCCGGCCATCAACAAGGTGCTATTATTGCCCTCGCGATTATTCGCAACAGCAGCTCGATACTTGAATGCAAAGTTCAAGATCAAAGCAACAGCCAAGCCAATGCTTACCACGAAGGGTCCGATGACATTGTCGAAATCCTTGCCACTTCTCTCGGTGATCAGCTTGCTTCGCCACATGTAGATACCCCAACCCCAGACTGCAGCGAAAACGGCAAAGAAGGTGTACACCACTGAGATGATGCGGGCAATATTGTTGTCAACTCCAGCGGCATTGTACAGACTCAGTGAAAGCGTGGCCAACAGAACCGCCACATGCTGCCATTTGATGAAAGTGCGCTGGTTGGCGAGCCACACCTTGGCTTCGACCTTCAGATCACCCTGGTCTTTGATCCAGAAGCTGGGCTCCTTGACACCAGGCGGGAGAGGCGCGTTGTCCCAAGCATTTCGTTGACGATGCCGACGAGCATAGCGTGAGTTGGAGAAGGCTGGCAGGAATGACCGTATCCCACCCTGCGAGGAGTCTCGGACGTCGACCTGATCTGTGCCTTGAATACCATCGTCGTCCGAGTCAGGCTCCTCGGCGGTAGGCTTGAGCTGAGAATCTCTCAATTTAGATCGGGACTGGACGGATTGCGAGATCTGGCCGGAGAGTCTCCGCTCCGAGTACTTGCCCGGTGATCCGACTTTGTTTCTGGGCGAGGACAATTTAGAGCCGGCTAAGAAACTTCCCACTGCCATTTCATCATCGGCTCTCTTCTGCTCACGCTCTTGTTCTTCTTGGTAGGCAGTCACAGGATCTCTTCTGATGTCTGTTTCCAGATCACTAAGCCAGAAGGGGAAGCTGTTGACATAGTCCTCGAAAAGCTCCGCAACACCGTGCACAAACTTGGAGAATCTCTTCTCCTCTTTGACAAGATGCGAGTTCATCAGATCGTGAAGCCAAGCGTTATTCCTAGTATACTTGGTATCTTTGACCTTGATTTCAAGAACGGCGTGGGGGAAGCGGCTAATCTCTCCTTTCTTAATGGCAGAGTAGGGGTACTCCATCGCGTTCTTGTCGATGTCAGATCTGTGCCAATCATCAGGATCCCGACAAGGCCGGTCGGGGTCCAAAGCATCTTCGCGAATGAAGGTCAAGTCGGTGTCAAGCGAGACTCTGATCCTATCATCGCCAGGGATCTGGAATGCTGTTCTGGTGTAGCTTGCACGCAAGACCGGCTCTAGCTGTTTATCCTTGATGAACGACTGGATCTCTTCCACATTGTCCTTGAGGTGTCTAACTTCGTCATGATCGGCTCCAAGTCTGTCTTCGAGCTTCTGGATTTGCTTTTCCATCTTGTATTCGCCCTTCAAGAACGAACTGATGTATTTCTCCTTGATTTGAATCCGGATGTCATTGCTTTCCTCATTTTCTCCCACGAACTTCTTTTCCAGGACAATCTCTGGTTTGTCGTTGAGATGACCTGTCCACCTCAATCTCACAGACAATCCAGCTTGGGTCTTTTCGACCTTGCTTTGATACAGGTCAAAGCTATGGTTGTCGAAATAGATGGATGTGAGGGAAGGATCTTTTTGTGAGCTGTCGACCACTTTGACGGACTGCGGATTGTACACGAGCACCGGTAATCGGCGCAGAAGGTAGGTCTTGACTTCGAGCAGGTTGTCAGCATGCACCCAGTATTTGTGTGCAGTGTAGGTGTCTTTTGGCTTGATGTCTGTATTTGTCTCCTTGTCCTCTGATTCTTCTCCTAGCTTCTGGCGTGCCCAAGTATACATTGCAGAAAGACGGTATAATAGTGGTGCGTAATCCTCTGAGTTGAAAGGTGTTTGGGCCAGGCGGACCTGCAAGATCGGTCGAACATGGTATTTGAGGCCTCGCTTCCGGTCATGTTTCTTCGCGGCCTTCAAGAACCCAGTGTAATTGACTCGACTAAACTTCCTAAGTTCATTCAAGTCCTTGGAGATCCCGTCCAGTTCTTTGAGCATGTCCCTTGCGACATCTTTCCACTCGTCTTCTGACTTGCTCGTGTCTTCCTTCTCCGGATCTGGTAGTTTGGATTCGCAGGCTGCTGCTCGGTCGCGGATGGAACTGAAGGTATCTACTTGATGCTGGTTGACCTTCTCCAGTTGAGATACGGTAAGCTCATGGACGAAGGTCTCCTCATCTTGCTCGGTCCAGTTGGCTTCACCACCTCGACCTTGAGGAGATGTTTCGTCCTCACGCAACAGCTTCTTTATCTTATCATATTCCAGGTACTTGTCCTTCCATGGTGGATAGACAGAATTGGAGAGAGTCTTTCCAAACCGCATGGTGGCAGGGCGAGAAGGCGGACTTTTGCAGCAGCTGGTGAGCAAGCTGTAAAACTGTACAAAGCTGTAGGATATCTTAGTAGTTCATGAAGAAGAAATAGTTACTGCAAGCTTTGACGAGATGCTCGAGCTTGCGCAGTATCCCCTCAACTGCAGAGTACAGAAGAGAACCATCCGCCAATGGCAGTCGAGTGAACACCCCTCGTGCGCGGTGGGATTGACGCAAGAACAAATTCTCCGGGCTTAATGGCTTCCACCGTAGGACCGAATCCGTTATCAGTTAGTTAAACGTCAAAAGCCCAACTAAGCCACACCTAGTAACCCAGCCTTATCGGCCTCGGTTATCGGAGAGTCCTTATTTTTCTGGCGCGTCTCGTCATAGCCATCCTTCCAACATGTTTACAAGTTGAGCATTCACCTGGTCAACACTGCGTGGCGGAATAAAACATGCCTGAAAACTCAAGGGCAATCGTCAATGCCCTAGAGAAGGTCTTGACACACCTTAGTGAACACCCATACCCTCACGTTCCCACTCCACAAGGCACCAAAAAGCGAGCCAGCGTTGCGGTGATAATTCGAGTCCGACCTCCTTTCACACCTGTTCCACCTTCCAATGGATCTGTTATTGATGTAGACCAACCTACTTCGCCTCCGAGCTCGCTAAAGGAATTCTTCTCGCAAGGATGGGTGCAGGATGGGGATCCAGAACTTTTATTTATAAAAAGAGCAGGCAGGGCAGGCGATAGATGGTCAGGACACACAGCCTTACCTGGTGGAAAGAGAGATCCGGAAGATGCAGACGACCTGGCTGCTGCAATACGTGAGACGCGGGAAGAGGTTGGACTGGATTTGGATACCGCACCGTGCTTGCATGCCGGAAATTTGCCAGAAAGATTGGTTTCGACTTCCTGGGGCAAAGAGGTCCTGATGGTTCTATGTCCATATATCTTCGTCCTGACGGGTAAGACAGTCCCTGCTATTCAGCCACAACCGACCGAGGTCGCTTCTGTGCATTGGGTATCCCTTCGCGCACTGCTCTCTCCAACCCTGCGGACGCGAGAATCTGTGGATATCTCGAGCAGGATGGCCAAACACGTCGGTCCTGTCGTTCATAAAATGATCCGCTATACTATGGGCAAGATGATGTTCAGTGCTATACGATTGCTTCCAACCGAGTCCGTCTACGCCAGCTCTATCCCTGGTTTCATACCCGACAAGGGCGGCGACCAGCTGTCCACTGTATCTGGCTGGGCACAAGCGCCTTTTGGCGTACCATCGTCCTCAAAATCGCTGGGATATCAACAACCCATCATCCTGTGGGGCCTGACATTGGGCGTCTTAGCCGATCTTCTGGACCAGTTGCCACCATACAATGCGGTCAAGTTGTGGAAATACCCTACGTTCACCGTGCCGGACCTTCGTCTGATCGTCTGGATCTTGACCCGTTCATTCAGAAAGCACTCGGCGGAAACATTCTCCTCAGGATCATGGCCAAGCCAGACAGCCATGGACGCCACGACTCAAGCAACCGCCGTGTCCACGTCTGAACCTCGTGCCGAAGGGGAGCACACGCCATTCGAGAAAGATAGCGTCGGTATTGGCGGACTTGGGGTCGGTAAAGACCCGCAGCATGCAGTTGGAAAGTTGCTGCATGGCTACTACGAGCGGATCAACTTGGCTATTGCTGTTTTCCTGTTATATCGGGTTGCTGTGACTACGGGTGTTGGGATTTGGATATACAGGTTCTGGAAGCGACGACGTGGTGCCAATCTGTGACTGCTCGGCCGCGTGGTCCAAAGAACTCGACGCCAAAGCCGATCTGCGCCAAGGTGGGAACTTGCATCGGCCCTGCACCTTTAAAACGTTTTGGACTGCATTCCTTGGAGCATTCTTACGGTCAATATGATAGACTTCTCAGCATCAGTGCGGAGACCCGGGTCGCTGCGAAAGCACCAGTGCTTCTGGCGGATCTCGTGCTGCTCTTTTGATCCTAGTAATCAGCAAGGACGAACCGCTTGTAGGTGTGAAAGACACCGGGCGCTCGACAATCATGGGTAAGACTGGGCGTCCAGGATGGTTAGTAGCAAGCGGCGAGTAGCAACACTAGCCCTTCACATGTCGGACCGGGACTTCATGTGTGCTAAGGGCTAAGGCATAGTGGCAACCATCATCTGCCTTGTCCTCGTAAGAAGAGCATCCATTGAGTGAGTGTGGTGATCATGGCGAAACACGAGATCTTGACCAAATGCGAGATTGGCGAAGGACTACGCACGAGTGATTTCCAGGATCCATACTTATTACACCCTGTCTATTCGACGGGGAATGCTCGATTCTGAGTTGCGACCGCATGACCGCCGTACTGGAGTGATATGTCCATGAGTGCAAGCTGCCGATTGTGAGCATCTCAAGGGTATGGCAAGCCACATTCATCTCCTTTTATACAGGTTTACCGCAGAAGTCATTCTGACTTATGATTGTCACGCGCCGAGCCTTGATTGATGCAACGAATTCTTGTCTTTCTAGAACAAGCATCCGAGACTCACCCCTCTGCTGACCCGTTACGAAGAGGAATCTTACTAAGATCGAATCAAATTCGTCAGAATTATCAGTCACCATCACGACTGGGAAAGATCTGAAACAGCAACCCAGCAGCACTCCACTGATGCGACGTAGACATTGCCTGTCGAAGGCCAAGAGAACGTGCTTATCTGCGACCACGGGCGTGGGTGTCCCTTTATGTCACGTTGAGGCGTTTTGTTTGACACAGGCTAAAATGACATGTCAAGATCAAGATTCTTGGCTCATTTTGCCCGACGGAATGACATATCTTGGCTTGCAGCTTGTCTGACAAAAGTATATTCGCACCTCCGTCGCATTGCCCGCTGCAAAACCAATCCATAAATAGAAAATACACGAATCATCTGCTGTTCGGAACCATCGGAAAACCACCTTGGCAACACTTTTCTTCTTTGTCCTGGATGTGGCATCGGTCCTGGGTCTTATCATGATACGAGCTGGTCGACTTTCAAAAGGGGTCGACAATAACAGACGTTATATGGGTCCGGGCTCCGAAAACGACGCGTCAGATATACACAAAGGTGCGTGAAGGGACGTCAAAAAAACGACATGCCCTTCAGAAAAGCTTCAACTTCTCCCTTTTTTCATTTTTGATGACTTTGGTGAGGACCTGGGGAATAATGAAGCGCCCCAGCGAATCTCACCATATACCCCTGTTCCTCGTTCCTTGACATGGCTTTTTGGTCGCTCCTGTCTTTGCAGATGCTGTTTCGAACCTGATCTGTACCTTCTTCTATCCCATCGATCCCCGGTTCCAAAAACCCTCCTTCGCTTGCCACGCAGACCGCGAGTCCAATCGTGCCATTTGTTCAAGATGCACCCTCTCAGCTTCCGGCTTGCGGTGATTGCCGTCTCGATAGTCCTCACATTCGTTTTCCTGCGGCAGTTTGCAACGGGCTCTATCGATGATGTTTATCAGTTTTCGCAGCCAGTGCTCCAAGAGAATGGCGAATATGCTCCCAGTATAACTTCACAGCAGCAGACCGAGGCTGCCAAAGAAGACACCAAGGTGGTCGAGAAAGTCTCTGAAGTATCTGAAGCAGTCTCTGAAGCAGTCGCTGCCTCCGCAACACCCTCGGAAGAGTCGAAAGCCGTGAGAACGTTGATCCTGGAGGACCAGAACTTTCCTGCTAACGTGTAGTAGATTGAGTCTAGTAGCTCTAAGGCTCTACAGAAAAGTCCTGATGTCGGAATCGTGTCCATGTTATACGGCACGCCAAATGAGTACTACGTCAAGGCCATCGAGACGCACGAACGCCACGCTGCTCGACACGGCTACCCAGCTCACGTCCTGCGCTCCAACGTCTATCCCCTTCACAATGGAATATGGAATAAGCTCGCATATCTACTGCACCTGCTGGTGGCAGAACTGGAAAAGCCGGAAGATGAGCGAACAAAGTGGTTGATGTGGGTCGATGCCGACTCGATCGTTGTCAATCCCGCTCTGTCACTCGACATCTTTCTCCCACCCAAGGATTTCTCGAATGTACACGTCCTGGCCACCAAAGACATGAACGGGTTGAATGCAGGCATTTTCTTCCTCCATGTTCACCACTGGTCCATACAAATGGTCATCAAAGCCATTTCCATCCCACAGCACCTCCCACATTTTGGTCTTGGCTTCCTTGAGCAAACAGCACTCTACAAGACCTTTAACGACACTGAGTTCCGGGGGTCGGTCATATATCAACCTCGCATTTGGTTCAACACCTACGAGTTTCACCACGCCTACGAAGGCAAGCATGGCGATTTTCTCGTGCACATGCCAGGTCTGGAGAAAGATCGCTGGCCGCACATGGAGAAATGGCTGGACATTGTTAACGGCCCCGAACAAGCTGAATGGGAGATACCGTACGAGGAGACTAGATATCCCAAGGAGACCAAGGACTACTGGAATACCTTGAGATACGTCAGGGCGGTGCTTGACTATGCGGAGTATCGAGCCAAGAAAGACTCTCTTGCAAAGGATGTCAAGGAAGCCGTCGAAGACCTTCGTGTGACATACACATACGCCTCAGACGCCTACAAGAAGTTGCGGGAGAGGGCAGAAAAGGTGCACAAAATGTTTGAGGACCATACAGGTAACGGAACCGAGGACGCAAACCGTGTACTCAAGCAGCTGGGCCAATGTCGTGATGATCTTCTGGGTTCGTCTGAGTCGGACACCAACCCCATGCAAGGTTCCTGCCGTTTTGAGTTGGCCAAGTGAAGCCATGCACAATTTCTGGATGAACGATAGTGGTTATTGACCCATTCCACAATGATTTATGTTCACCGAACAAGGCTGCGATTGAGTCCACGCCAACCCAGGTCGACCACGGCACAGCACCAAATCCTATACGCCTGAAGAGCACAAGAAGAGTTGTGCGACAGCCTGAAGACCTACGCGTCAGTCTCCAGTCACCTGCTATGGCTGCCCAGTTTTGCGGCTTCGGCAAAAGGATTGAGCAGATACTGCGGACGACTTTGGATACAGGGCATGCAGCTGCATCGAATCCCTGACGTGCGTTCAATCATACAGTAATACTACTGTCTGACTGAATCTTGTACAGCCATAGATGTGTCTCCAAAGAGCAGGGAAAATGGCTACGATGGTATGGCACGAGCAGCTAAGGCGCTTCTTTGCGATGAAACACGTCTCACATAAGCAATGATTATTATGTATATTTACAGCCATTCGTTCAACTCCATATCCTGGCCGAAGGTGTGTGCGCTGAACAAGAGCGACTCCATTCCCCCTTCCCGAAAGAATCCGAGCGAATCACTCGAGAAGTCTCCCCAGCCAAAGTCTTCTGTGATTCCAGTGGCGTCAGGCACCTGGGGTAATGAAGCCGAATGTCCCATTGTCGTCCCGTTCTGGGTGTGGACTGGAGTGCGGTCCTTGACATGTCGTTCACACAGGACAGTCAGGGCGGTCTTGCAGCGCCGCGCCGACTCTTTGTGCGCGTCGTGCTCGCTGTAATGATCCAGAATATGCAGACCCTGCTGTATTGAAGCGGCCAGGGTTTCGGAGCCAATGTCTTCGACAACTCTGGGAAAGAGATGTGCAGCGATCATGACTGTGGCTGCAGTATAGACATATGTCACCGTGTGCCACCACTGAGGCACGAGTCTGGGACCGAACTCATCCGCGAGCAGGCGACAGCCGATCAACTCCAGTATGTCTTGCGCTGCCCGGACACATGTAAGCAGCCCCTGGTGGGTCACGGCATCCGCAAAGCCATACTTTGCGGACGACGACCGTTTCATCTTATCGGCAGCGCGCAGGAAGAACGCGCGGTAAAGCAGAATGCGGACGTGCAGGAAGCGGGCGTGCAAATGCACTATTGGTCCGGTGTAATTTTGATCATTGTGGTCTTGGTCGATGCGCAGGTGAGCGGGCAAGGCTGCTACAAAGCCCTCCAGGTGCTCGTCGATCTCAATGACGTGATTGACATCAACGGCCGACCTGCTCTCGGAACGACCGTTGTTGCTGGACACCAGGTGCCCGTCAACCTCAATGACGTGATTGACGTCGACGGCCGACCTGTCCTCAAAGCGACCGTTATTGCTGGATACCAAAACATCGCCAAGGATGAGGTGAAGCTTGCAAAATGCCAGGAAGAATGACGGCACTGGAGGCTTTCCTGGTGGTTGGACTCCGTCAACGTCGCCGTGACTTAGGTAGATGTCATCGACAGCCTCGAACCACGGCGTTTGTCTGGCCATCTCCTGGGACATCTGCATTGGCTGGCCTGACACCATGGCAATGATTCGGTCCATCAGGATACATCCATGCCACGCTCGCCGGGCCATCTCGCGTTCGTACTGACTCGGCAAGGCCTCGATCCTACCAGGGACATGGAAGCCCAGATTGCGAGCAATCAAAACACACAGGCCTACCAAGGATGTGCAGCGCCGCACGTTGTTGACGCTCTGGAACCATTGCAAGAGCAAGAGCAATGCGTAGAGTAAGTCGAGACGATTGAGGTCGAGCAGACTTAGCTGGAGCAGTCGTCGCGCTCGAAGCCAATGCGTCTTTGCCAGATGATCCTGGTTGTCGGCGATCTTTTCGCGCTCCGTACGATACACGAGGGCGAAGATGATATTCAGGTTGGCATAGTGAATTTGTTCTTCAACGGGATCGTCAATCGCCGTCCCTCCTTCGGTCCACAAGCTGCTATACCAGCGCATGAATTTGAGGCGATCTAGCCACTGAATGTACGCATGCTTGAAGAACAGGTCAATTAGGTGGTCGGCAACTTTACGGCTGGGGAGGACGTAGTCAGCAGAGTGAACAAGGTTCTTGGTTGGGTTAGCGGGAGTCCTGGTCCCAAGTTCGTCTGCTTGGTCGTCCATTGCGGCGTCTTCTCTGATGCGTTCGAAGGCTTCTTCAGCCGGTGTCGATGATTTGTCATTTACTGGGGGCGCCCCAAACACAGTATGGAAGAAGTTGGATGAGCTCGACGCTGCGAGAAGGCCGGCTTTGAGGATCCAGTCATTGTCGCTGCCGGGGGGATCATCAGCAACGCCGTCCCCATTCCGAGCACCAGGAACTGCTTTTCGCTGTACCCTAGGAGAACGACCAGTTAAAGACAGTGCCCGATGGGTGACGTGGGGACTCCTTCTGCCGCCTAATGTCTGCGTGGAGACTTTCCTGCTGTAGGAGACCACCGATCAGAAACGACTAACTACTAGGAAAGGCACTCACACGGGCGAAGAATGTGACTCGGAAGCAGTCGCTCGTGAGCGTGGGCTATCTAGAGTAAATATGTTCGGCTGAGGCTGCTCAGAGTAGACGCAGACTGGCCCAACGTTCTTCCTCTTCAGGCATGCACCGCACTCTGAGAGGACATCAGTTCCTATTTCATTGGTTTGAAGCTGCAGTGAATGCATACTTGGCCTAACACCGTCGCAGCGCGACTTTCTCAGTCGGCAGATTTCGCATGCCACTTCGATCTTGCGACGTTTCGGCTTGAGCTCGGCGTACTTCCAAGTGCCATCATGCTCGTCGACCGAGGCATTGTGACCTGGCCACATGGCGTCCACAAGGCATGCTGGATATTGCAAATGTGGTAAAGCGCAGGATTGAAGATGTTAAGCAGCGAAAAGAGCGCGCAGATATTATTGAATTGTACTCAGAGGGTGGAAAATTCAGCCTCCGCAGAATCCCCGCCAACGTGGAGCAGGATGACCTTGAGTGGGGAGGCCCGGAGACGAAGAACCTACCAGGTAGGCTTGGACATGACTTTATCCGACATCCGACTGTACCTCCAACCCTGACATCTCTACCACATAGACTTTACTTGCGCTATCACACGTCATTTATCATTTCAGCACTACAGAACAACTTGATCTTGTCAGCTAAGTAACAGTTGGGCAAGTTGCTTCGCCGGCTCAAAGTGCTCCCTCAACCAGTCCACATGGCCATAGTCTCTTGTGTCGTCGCTGTGCAGATCTGCCAGAGCACACTTCCCCTGAGGTCCAAACCGCATAAACTGCTCTTTATCGGTGTACGGTTCCCATGGGCGAGCTCCATGAGCAAAAGCGGTCCACGTTCTGGCCATGTTCTCTGCCAACTGCTGTGACTCAATGGGGAGAGCATCCATCTCGACACAATACATGTACAGCGCACACTGACCGTGATATGACAGGCCAAAGGTCGGACCAGGATACGGCGATGCCTCCCCAAAGTGATATAGATATGCTTCTTCACCTCCTGTGGCTCTGAACGTCTCAGCTATCCGCAAGTTAGGGAATTGGAACATCATAATGGAGAAAAATCGCCGCATGGTATCCCGGTACACCTCCCATGGCTGCTCATCGTCTGCTGAAAGAGCAAAAACTTCCTGGAATTCTTTGACTTCGACTTCTGACATCACAGTTCGAGCGAGCCGGAGGACCTGGGATGGTTTTAACCTCCTGGCAAGGCCGTCCAGGATCAAGCCCTCAACATTGGTGTCTCCAATGATCAGTGATCGACATCTTGTCGGGTTCGACTGCTCGAATGTCCATGTTTTGGGCAAGAGGACGCCGTCGCCCATGGGTCCCATTGCTGCGGCTGAATAATTCGCGAGAATATCCAGGGGACTCATGGCACGCAGCTTCGATAATCGTGCCTCGGCTGTTTCTCCTTCCAGACCCTTCTTCAGACAGAGGTCGAGCCAGGCTTTCCGATACCGCTCAAACGGTAAAGGACCAAGTGTGGGAGCTGATCCGGACATGCAAATTGCGCGATCAAACATTGGATCTCCTGTCAAGATGTGATAATGAACACTTGCACTCCCAGCACTAATTCCGAACGCCGTCACATTGTCCGGGTCGCCTCCAAAGTCCCGGATATGGTTCTGTACCCATTTCAGAGCGTTCCGCTGGTCGACGAACCCGTAGTTGCCAATTGGTAGGCTCTTGGCTTCCTCGCCGTGCTGTGTCTGCTCCGCAACAAGATCTTCTGAAGCTGCAAAGCCAAGAGCACCGAGACGATATCCAATCTGCACCAAGATAACCGGATGCCCGGCTTGTCGCGCGATGGAACACAGTCTGTGAGGACGATATCTAGCTACTGAATTTGCCCCGTATTTGAAGCCACCACTGGAGAATTGTCAGCAATGACTCGATGCCAATCGCTTTTCTGAGAGACTCACCCATGGATCCAAAACATGACGGGGACCTTGATTTTGGTGTGCCCATTCTCGAATTGCTGAAGACATTCTCTTGGGACGGTGATGTTCAAGTTTAGACAGTCGAACTCATCATCGCCTGGGGTAGGATCGTTCGTCCCTCCACTGACGAGAACTTCTCCTTCCTCCTGCACGCATCGTGGACCAAATTGGGTTGCATCAAAGGGATTTTCTAAAGTCTGAAGTAGATTGCTGTGAGTCCATCGCTTGTTGACTGACGCATATGGTATGCCTCGAAAGTAGGCGAGACCATTGTCCTCGTCGTACTCGCCTGTTATATCACTCTGCAATGAGGGAAAGTATTGGGTGATTTTCATCGTGCGCAGATGTTATGAGTAGGCTGAGTTGGGTGTCTGGATTGCGCGCAGTAGGCCGTGAACATGCAAAGGCAGATTGCGACGGATGTTTTTGTGTGTAGAGGGTACTGCCCCTCATCCCCTGAACGTCCGGGGACGGGATGCAAGATTACCTGGGACGGAGCCATGTGCACTGAAGTGTGTCTTGGGCCCGTGATGGATAAGATCTTTTCCGCTCCAGAAGAGACCTTTCCTATTCCTGTTGGAACGAGGCCATCTTTGGCATGCAACGTGAAGGAAAGACTGCCTATCGTGATTGCCGTCCTCGCCAATATCGGGGAAGTCTGGGTTTTCGTGCCGCTTCTCCGCAAATGCCATCCATCGGCTCAACCCTGACTCCAATCATCACTCCTGGAACAGTTGATTGAAAGCTAAAGGTGCTTCCGTCTGCCACGCTAGATTCCGTTCGCTTCCAGAAAAAGTGGCAGCGTCTGACCGTTGTTGCACTTCATGTCCAAACAGAAACCTTTCCTTCTTGTCGTCAAGGAGCCCTTTGCACACAGCAATATAGCTGTAGCTCATGATGGGGACCAACGCCATCAGCTCCATCGTATAGCCCTTCCGTCTCGCCGGCAAGGACCCTAATGTCGACAGCGCGCTTGATTCGAACTTCTATCGTCGACGTACGCCCTGTCAGACGGTGCCAGGTTTTCTGGAAATGGTTGCTGTTCCGTTCCCGTTTCTCTCTTTTCGCACATCCCTCTCCTGCGGAGACCCCAGACCTTTCACCTTCCTCGGCGGAGAAACGAGTCAGCAGTATGGGTATATATATTCGACGTCTGGCCCTCGTTCGGACTGGTCCAAGGCAATTCGCAGTTAGGCGCAGATACCGCCATACTCTTTCCCATTCACGATGGCGACCAGCACCACCAACGACGAGAAAATTGCATCATCCACTCCTCACCATTACGAGCAGGACATAATGCAGGACGAGCCCAAGATTCGATCCGAGGACATTCAAGATGGTGACCTCGCGCTGAAGATCCTCCATACCCATTATGAGCCCTTTACCCCTGCCGAAGAGAAACGACTTCTCCGCAAAATCGACTTTCGGCTGGCCGTGTTGATGTTGTTTGTCAACGGCATTCAATTTGTCGACAAACTGGTAAGACCCACTCCGACTGTCGCGAAATTGCAGTGATGAAGTTGCTGACAACATTGTGGTAGACCATCTCCCAAGCCGCAACCTATGGTCTCGTCAAGGAAGCCCATCTCAAGGGCCAGGAGTTCTCCCTTCTCATTTCGATCTTTTACATCGGTTACCTTGTGGCGCAATACCCGACCAATGTACTGATGCAACGATTCCCAACTGGTAAATACATCACCGTCAACTTCGTTCTCTGGGGTGTCGTCTTGACCTGCATGGGGTCCTGTACTCGTTTCGGCCCCTTCATGGCTGCCCGATTCTTCCTGGGTGTCTTCGAAAGTTGCCTCAACCCGGGATTCATTCTCATCACTTCTTCGTGGTGGAAGCGCGAGGAACAACCGGCTCGAATCGCTATCTGGTACTGTGCCAACGGCGTCATCTCCATTCCCGCCGGCTTCATCTTTTACGGCGTGGCCCATATGAATGCCCGAGGACTTTTCCCGTACCAGTGGATGTTCATCTTCTTTGGCATCTTCACTGTCATATTTGGTTGCTGCATGTGGTGGCTGCTGCCCGACTCGCCTGTGTCAGCGAGATGGCTGAACGAGCGAGAACGTCTCATTGCCGTCGAGCGCCTGAAGTCCAACAAGACCGGTGTCAAGAACACTCACCACAAGTGGCCTCAAGTCAAAGAGGCGCTCCTCGATCCCAAGGTCTGGATGTTGGTGGCGGGTGTCTTCGTTCACAACATGACCAACAGCCTGCAGACCAATTTCACCGGCCTCATCATTAAGGGTTTCGGATACTCAACCTACCAGGCCGTGCTGCTCAGCATCCCGTCCGCCGCAATCTTTGCAGTTACCGTCTTGACGGTCTCGACCTTCCTATCGTCCAAGTATGGCGAGGGCAAGCGCATCTTCGCCATCATCCTCTGCTACTTGCCCGGCGTTATCTCTTGCGCCATTCTGCACGCCTCTCCTCTCAATAGCCACACCAAGGGTCTTCACCTCTTTGCCGTATTCTTCATCGGCTGCGTCGCGGCGTCTGCGGGTATCATGTATTCGCTCCTGGCATCGAATGTGGCTGGGTATACCAAGAAGACTGTTTCGGGAGCACTGTTCTTCACGGCCTATTGCGTGGCTAATATTGTGTCGCCCCAGACCTTCATTGCCACCCAAGCGCCGCATTATACCACGGGCATTGCGGTGTCGTTGGCGGCTTTCTGTGTCAATATTGTTCTGTTTTCGGTGTTGTACGTCGTGTACACTTCTGCGAACAAGAGGCGTGATCAGATGCAGGAGGGTCAGGTCAGTCAGGATGAGACGAGGGATCTGCTGGATGCTTTCAGTGATCTGACGGATCTGGAGAATAAGAAGATGCGGTACAAGCTGTGAGTGCGGAATGTCAGAATGTGGAATGTCGACGAAGACAAAGATGTCTGGATCCATTGTGGTCATGTCATGAAGAAGTATGAATTAGGTCAGTGTGAGTCAAAGTTGTTGAGCATACCGTTTCATCGTTGTTAAGGCTTCAGAAGACATTATATGGACTGAACTTTTGTACTTATGAGTCTGAAAAAAGTCCTGACCATGGAATTGAACCAAGATCTTGATATGCTGTGTGGTCGCCAAGGGGTGCGCATGGATTGCAGCATAGGTCACCAGAAGCACTGTTTACGATGAAAATGACCGGCTACCAAAGGCAACCGCCGGCCTGGTCTGGTCGTTAAATCGAGAAGTCGTGAAATCTTGCTACAAATCGATCACAAAGACAGTCAGATTGAAGTCATCTGCTTACGCTCATCAATGGACCAAAGAACTGAGGGACTCAGAGGGACAATCGATCACTTGATGCAAAGAGACAACGAGGCAGTGGGCACAGAGGGCATAATCAGCAATCGATGACAAAATACCAAAATAATACAAGACTCCCAGACCTATTCTTATGGAGTCATGTCATATCCCTCCGGTGTGGTTGCTGGCATCCAGAGGATAATCCATCGATCACTTTTTTTTGTCTCTCCATTCTTAGCAGAAGTAGTTCACAGACCATCGACAAAAAGATAAAGCACACTGAAAATAATAAGGACTCAGATTTGTTGGTTTTTAGTCATCCATATACCCCCAGGTGCGATTGTCGGCACGCTGAAGGGCTCCAAACTGCCCTTGCAGACAGAGTGAAGTCAATGTAACCATCGATCACTTCTCGTCATCGTCCTGGGATTGTTCATAGTTCCATAGCAGGTGTAACACAGTGCCTTACGCAATAGGCCGCGGGACATAAGGAATTGGACCTTGTTTTGCTCAAAGGTGAGGGACAATTGTGAATTTGGACAAAATTCTCGACCTTTCACTGAATATAGCGCCGCTTCTTCCTCTTTGGGCCGCGGCTGAGCATGAGGGTGCGGCTGAGGGTGCGGCTGGGTCTACGTGAGTCTTGTGCGTGGCGGTCTCCCATGCTTACCTAGGTACAATCAATACTGTTGCTGGCTATGGTTATGTACTAGAGGCTATGTAGAGCAGGTTACACTAGGCCTAACGACGAACCTACACACAAGACCGTTCACTGAGTAACTGAATACTCTTCTCCAAAGCCGAGCATGAAGCCCAACGATGATGAAAAGTTCAGGTGGCCTGTTCAATGTCAGTCAACAACAACAGCGAAACGACGTTATAAGAGTCTGAGGACCCGGCCATGGTATGAACAAAATCGAGCAAACTACGCGCTCTCATCATGGCACTCCGACCACCCGCCTCTCCAGACCGCGGCGACAAGAAGCCCTGGTAGCCATAAGGCTTACCGGGCCACTTTGTCCTGGAGAGGCGCCTCAGTTTTTAAGAATAAGTGACTTACCTGTTCGGTTTGTTTGGGCGAAAGTGTTGGAGAGAGAAGAATAGAGGATGGAACTGGGGGAGAAGCGAGATACTTATAGGCAAGAAGGATCAAATTTGTGGATAGCTAACTACAAGGTATCTTTTTTTTGACTGGTTAATCTGAGTGAGTCGAGGGTGGCCGATCTGGTGGTTGTGGTTGCCTCGTATGTGTAGTGATCATGTTGATTCTGATTGAGGAGTGGCTGGATATATGACTGCCTACCCAAAAGACTGGTTGTGCCGAGTGGTTAGGTGTGGGTTATAGGGTCACAAAGACCGTCACATCAAACTGTGGACCGTCGGAAAGTCCAAAAGATCAAGATCAGATTGTGGTTAGCCAATGTTCTTTCTCGACCGCTTGATCTAGATAAAGCGGGCAACGGATCTGATATCCAATGCTTGCCTGAACCATCGTGGCGTGTCGTGTATGTCTTCATTCTTCCTTATTTGCCGACTGGTTACCCCCACCTATTGATTGTAATGGGCGTGATGAGCTTGTTGAAGCCCAACTTGTGGCTCTGGGTACGTCGGCGTGTCCACGGAAGCTGTGTTACTGGTCTGAACCTGAGGTTGAGGGTTGATGCAGCTGATGACTCCCCGACCGCCAGCCGACTGCCTCTTCTTGGGGCTACTCGGTCGCTTCCTCTGCAGGGCCCCTGAATTGACGACCTTGATGTCGATGTTGTACCGCTTCCGGATAGCGGTGAACTTGGGCGGAATGCTGGAGAGGCTCATGCCGAGCTGCTTTGCGACCTTTTCTGCGTCGACCTAATGCCTGTCAGACGAGTGGTACATGCTTCTTAAAGATAGCACTGTACCTGAATGGGTCCGACTGAGCTTTGGATTGCCGCGAGAAGCACGGATATGTCAGAGTCTTTGACTTGGAATTGTGCCATTGTGCAAGCGGGTTTCTGCGGCGGATAGTATGATGAAGAGATGGGATTGCTGGATTGGGTACAAGAGGGATATGGCAAGTTGGTATCGAAGGAAGGTACCCGCTACTCAAGATGATGGAGGTACCAGGCAGCTTTTTATACTCCCTAGACCCAGGCTTCAGGTTGAGAACGAATGAGAGAAAGACCAGAGAGGCAAGCGGAGGACAGGCGGTCGACTGCCCTTTCACGTTCACAGACCGTCATGCTGTCAATTACGAGGCTTTACAGATGCAGTACGAAAGCTAGTGAAACACGTCTTCCAGCTGTGATTGGTGTACATTGCGTCCTGCATGACCCAAAGAACCTCGAGAACGCCATTTTCGAGCACTAGTCGCTGCCAGAGTCTCTCGAAATACACCTTTGCCCACGGATCGTCCTATCTGCCCAGGAGTTGGCCCTTTGTGACCCCTCCTTTACAAACCACCGGCTCTTCCGGACTTGAGGTACTGGGAGAAGCCAAAGTCGCCCAATTCAATGGAACTTCGTGTTCAAATGCTGGCTATCTCTACCGTCTACTCCACTTCGTGTGACACGTCCTGGAATTCTCGAGCCCCAAAGTCATTCCCATGGATACGACCCTGGCGCTAGGCCTGGCAATCAGTTCATACGTGAGGCCGTAGATCCACACTCTTCCGGAAGCGTGTCGGTGCGATCCTTCGTTCTCTCCTCTCATTCTCTGCCTATAATTGCAGTTGTTTCCTCCATTCTCATGCCTCATTCTCACTCAACCACCGATCTCATCTGCAGCTTTCGACCCAGTTTCTAGACCATTGTGGTTGCATTGCCCGTGTGCTCTTCAAGGACATAGCAATATGCCATATCAGTGGAATGCAGAGCGGGAACGCCGCATGCTTCTTCTTGCCATCTCTTCTGCCAACCTCAGGCCGTCTGCCGACACCTGGACCAAGGTTGCGGTTCTTCTGGGCGAGGGTCTGACTCCTTCGGCCGTGAGGTTTGCAGACCCCTGAATGGCTCTTTGGCTTATCAAAATGACCTCTTTGGCAGTCAAAAGTACTATAAGCTCCGCAATGAATCAGCAAAGCTCTTCGATGGTCAGTCGGGATCGACACCGTCCACTCCGACAAAGCGAAAGGCTTCCGACGACGACGAAGATGAGAAGAAGACACCTCCATCCAAGCGAACACGAAAACCAAAAAGGGATCCTTTGGATGGAGTGCCGCTCTCCGATATCAGTGACAGCTCCAGCGAGGTGAAAGCTGAAGATCTAGCGATCAACACCATTGATCCATTCGCCAGTTACAATCAACATTTCATGCCAACCGGATACTTCATGCCTGTGAATACGCCGTTCAAAGATGAGCCCAGCGGCAGTAACAGCTTTGTGGGATAAGCAGACTGCTTCAGCAGGACAGTAGGTTTGAGCAAAGGCTGGGAAATTGGAGCGAAACGAAAAGAAAACGGCACAAAAACCAGTGGTTGCTTTGCCGGAAATGCAAGGAAGAGGAACTCAAAGGGGTCAGTTTTGTGGGAGGCGTCATCAACTGCTTGTGAATTGTGATTGCTGCTGATCCTGCAGGTTCGGGAGGGGTGGCGGCAGGTGCATCCGGCTGCTGGACTTCATGATGGTGTGAGAGTGTATTTTTCCCAACCTCCTGAATTATCAAACCTGGTATAAGCATTGCTGCCTGGCACGGTATGCATAGACTTGTCGTCCATTTTATGTGTATCTTTAGCGTTCGTTCTTGCATTAGCGCCGTTTTAGCATATGAATCCGGTGGAGCCGATGTGGATGAGATGCCAACCCAACCCTTCGCGGCCTGCAGATGTTCGATGCTCCCCCGGTGCATACAGTGCGCAACGCCAATCGCAAGATCAATGAGTGGCATGAGCGGTGTGATAAGACCGAGATGTGTCCTTTGTGCGATAATTATAGTCAGCATGCCTGTCGTTTTCAGCGAAGCCAGTCCAGACACTGACGGTTGAAGACGGATGACTCACCATATGTACTCGAGCAAGCGAACATTGCACCAGAAGATATCCCAGCCTCCTCAATTTTCGAATCCGAAGTCCCAGTCCCGGGCTCACATGTCAAAGACCGCTGTTGACCGGTCACAGTGACTCAAGCTGAACCGAAGGTGAAGTGACATGTTCTTGCCTGTAAGCACTCTGGCATCCGATCCATACTTCGCTTCACTTCCAGCACAACTTTTTCTCCGGTGATACTTTGACTTTCTCTTCCACACTTCTCTTCTCACTGACTTGTTTTCTCCATCTGGTTCAGCTTCGACATCACCATCCTCCATCAATAGGTTCTACATTGCTTGTCATTGACAACATGGCGTCACCGTCAGACGCAGAATCAAAGCACCTCGCCAAAGATGCTCTCTACCTCTTCGACATCCTCCGTGAATCTCCTACACCTATCGTGGTAAGACTTCCATTGTATTGCCCCTCCTTGATGCTACCGTCACCCATACTTGTCACAGTGGCCCTTAACCATGACACTAATGACATCCTCCCACAGATCAACATTGCACCATACGCCGCCAAGACAGGGGCAAAGACCAATACCATCTTGAAGCACCTCGGTGAGATCAAGAAGCGCCACAAGCTCAATCTCATCACCACGACTAAGGGCTCAAGTGACAGCATTCCGAAACCAAGAGCAGCTGCTACCGGCCAGACAAAGAAACCTCGTGCTACGAAGAAGGAACCTGAGGTCAAAGCCGAAGCTGAAGATGTCGCCGCCATCGGTCTCCCATCTCCAGCAGACTCTCCTCAGCGTGAGGGCAGTATGCCAACTCCTGAGTCTCAGAGGAAGCGCAGCGCCGATAGTGGTATCGACATGGTGAAGGAGGAACAAGACAACTGGCCGCCAACCAAGAGAGTAAAGACTGAGCAGATCTGATCATATCAACCATCAACATGCCTCCCGCTCAGTGGTTGCCTTCAGAGTATTGAGCTGTCTTTGTGGACGAGCACCCAATGCAGGAATGATTTCAATCGCGTGCTGATCATCAGGATTCTGGCTCTGCTGAAGGATCAAATTGTACAATAGCTAGACAACAAGCGTTGAAGGGCTCGAAGCACCCAGGACGATACCTGGATATGCTGGATGTGATGACACGGAACCAACACATCATTTAGATACATCAGTCATCAAGGCAAATAAAAAGTACTCCATCTCCTGTGTCCTTTGCTCTTGCTGGCTTGTTATAGTGCTCGGCCTCGCCATTGGTGCTGCCACTGACATTGGGTGAGCCACCTAGGTCCAAGGACGACACCGCGGCCGAGGCGGTTCCGGAGGTCACAATCGAACCTGCACCGTTCAGATTCCTGCTTATACCATTTGCACTGGCCACAGTGACAGCCTCGCGTTGGACGCAGGTCATAAGCTGGATCATCATCTCCGTGTTGCGCATGATATCTGCAAGATCGGTGGGAGAGAACATCGGATTTCCGGGTTTTGAGGTAACGCTGCGGGTGTCCTTGGGTTGCGGCGGCGTGATTGACCCGATCTCCGTCCTAGCGGATGTCGGCCGCGTACTGATTCTCACTGGCTGTGATGGTCGAGCTGGAGACTGGGAGATGGTGTGTGACTGTAGCGGCCTTGGGTCTTCGGACATAATGGACAGCGCGCGTCCTTTGCCTTTGTCTACCGGACCGGTAGGCGCGGAAGCTTGGTGATCTTGGATCACTACTGGTGCAGGGATGCTTAGCGAACGTCTACGGACTTCGATCGTGTCCACGGGAAGGTCAAGGTCACTTTGTTCTGGCTCGTTCTGCACCGTTGGCTCGTGGACTGGGACGTCGGCAGAGGCTCCATTGGAGACCAGTTGAGGTGTTTGTAGACCATTCACTTCTGATGCTGGCAAAGGCTGCCGCCTTTGATCCATGCTGTCTCTCCCGAACCGCTGCGTAGGTGCTGGTGTTGACTGATGCCGCCCGATCAATACCGCTGTGACTTGGGCAAGCTTTTCTCGGCCTTTGGACACTTTCAAAGTATTTTTGAGATTGCGCAGATGCTCCTTGCTCAGTTTTTCGTGACGAGCCAGGTCTTCTTCGCTGGGTAATTGACTAAGACACAGCGCACATCGATGGTTGCCTTGGTTGGTGACATACCCAAAGGATTCTGACTTTGGCGGTGTTGAAGTCACTTGGGTTGGAGGTTCCTCATCAGGAGTCACGACTGCGTCATCCACCTTTGCAAATGGCCTTTTCTTGCTTTTGCCTTGCGGTTCAGCCGCCGTTTGGTGGCTGTGCGCCGTGACATATGACGCAGGCTTGGGGTTCGAAGACGGGCCAGCAATCACGGCCTCTTCATGGTCGCTTTGATTGCTTGTTGGTCCGTCAGAAGTATGGCCATTCGTCAGCGACTCAACAACCGGACGGGCTGGCACGGTGCCGCAATAAACAACAGCGTCTGACCCGTGAGGCACTGGGGACGCCCTTATTACACGAGGACGTTTGGCAGGAGCGCGTAGTGTATGGCCGAAATGAGCCTCGGCTTCTCGTTGAGTCAAAATGCTGAGGTCTTCGTCATCGAAGTAAAGATGTGGTGGCCTTGAGAGTCTTGCAGATGGGCTTGGTCTTGCTGGACACCTCCGACCAGAGCCTTGATGATCAGGATTCTTGGCTTTGAGCTGTTCTGCTGCCCTGGATACTTCTTTGGCGAAGAAAGACTTGATGGAATCGTAAGTCGCGTCAGGTCCAAAATATCTTGCTATAGATAGATATCGGCCTTTGAACTGAAGAATCCTTAGCATTGGTTCCCGGAGAGAGGGTTTGTGCATACTGCTTCTTCTCCGAATTCTGCGTAGACGGCTGCTAGCAGTTGAAAGACTGTAGCCCGGAGTCTCCAACTTATGGGCATGGTTGATCTGTTGGTATTGTCGATTGAGTCCTTCAGAACAAGGTGTTTGAGGAGAATTTCGATGACATCTCCAAAGGGAACACTAGGATTACGGCAGGTATGGAAATCTTAGCCAGCTTCAGGACGGAACAGAATCAGGCCGACCACAGTATATAGATGTGTCTGAACCATGCGAAAAGAGATTGAGAGAGTATTGCTTTCTGCGAGCATAACGGCCCAGAAGATACTGGGTGATTGAGGGAACCAATCGTCCCACATGCGTCGTAGTAGTTGTATTCCGATTGACGGATAGGTGGAAAGTGCTTGCATCTTCGGAAGGATAAACGTCGCCACGCAATAGCGCATCATTTTCGCGCACCCTGCAACTCTCCTTTTAGTGCATGCATGAGGGAGAGAAACAGGAAAATGGAGGGTGGTAGATGACGAGGCTGCATGTCCACCTCCACTCACTGTCTTAAGCCAACTCTTGGCGTTTTGTCATTACAATATTTCGATACCGCTCTTCCTACCTACTAGGTAGGCGCTTCGTCAGAACTGGCCTTTATTTGCCGAGAATGGGAGGGCTTGGAATCTTTTGGTCCGAGGCAACATATATGTAGGAGCTCGCTTTCAGCGGGAGTGAGATCACTTTGGAGTGTGGATATGAGTCGCCATGACACGGAGACAAGGGGAAAGCATCTCTTGTGATAGTTATTCTGCTCGCTTCATTGCAATGCTCGAGGTTATTTCATTCGGCGGCCGAAGAAATCGTCCTCCAATGTACCAACTGAGTTCTTACGACTGCTATCTCATGCAGTGCTTTGCTGGTTTCTGAAAAGAGCCCCAATGTTCACCCAGCACCATTTCAAGCGTCCCAGGGACTTTAGTAGCTAGCTACCTTTCTGTCAGGCACATCCTTCCCGCATCATACGGCATCGACTGTGTTCCTGCAAGAAATCGTTCGTCGAATAAGTGAGGTGAACGGAGAGGTAGTCTGTGGGTCGATCTGACATCAGTATCGCTCAGCGTGACGGGACATGGGACATGAGCAAGTATTTACCTAGGCATCGAATGTGTTCTTCAGTCTTCTTCCTCGAGAGACTCTTCGACTTTGACAGCCTTATTCTCTCCCGCCGCAACAGGCTCCAGCTTCACTTCCTCATTTGGGGCTGGTTTGGCCTTCTTCTTACTCAGAGTGTCCCCAAGATCCGCATCCTGATCCGTAGTCGCTTTCTTGCGCTTACCGCCCGTGGCCCTGCCAGTGGTGCCATTTTCGCCCTTGAGCTTGGTAGTCTTTGGAGTTGTAGGAGCATTAGTAGTGGCTGTATCACCACCACCAAGGAGCTTCTCGGACTCTTTCTTGAGCTTGTAGAACTTCTGACTGTGACGCAAAGTTGTTAGTTACGTACAAAGTTAGAAGACAAAGAGCATATAAACAAAAGGACGAAAGCAAGATTAGATGGTGATACCTGCAAGCACTCGCATTCAGTCCACCACCGAGCTTCTCGGCAACAGCAGGCCAGACAGTTGATTTGGGCGCCTGCATTTCAGTGATCGCCAGCAAGAGTAAGGCACGCTCAGACTCATTATCCCATTTGAAAACCATAATGAAAGAGCTTCAAGAAGGTCTGTAGAAAGGTACTGATTGTAGATGTAAAAAGTTGAAGATGAAAGTGGTAGTATGGTGGTGTAGCAAGTGAGTGCAAAGTGAATTTTGGGAGGGGAGAAAATAGGGCTGCTGAGTGAACCAGGACAACGTCCCAAATGCACGTGCAAATCGCTCACTAGAAGGATATGAAAAGGGATCAGGAAGGTGTACACACCGGCACGCCTCTGAGGTGAATTCATCGCCCATTGCAGTGGCAACGGCCTTCCAGTCCACTTTACCAATGAGGTCGAGCATACAGAGCATAAGCTTGCGGTCAGTGGCTTCGCTCCAGGGGCTGTCCTTCCGTGGGGCCATTGTGTAGGCAGGGAAATGCTAGGGGGGATTTGATCTGGATAATGTAGAGTCTCAACAATGGTAAAAGGGAGTTTGATCTAGACGTTGTAGGGTCTCAACAATGGTAGAAAGCAAGTATGAAAAGTAGAGAGAGTGAAATTGTCGGCGACAGGGTGTATAAAGGCGAGAAAACATTTGGGTGTAGCGAAAAAAAAGATCGCCTTACCGGCATTGGTCGGTTCGACAGCCCATCTTCACAGCGGCAGTCTCAAAGACGGCGCGGCTGATGTTGACGTCCAAATCCAAAATGAGCAAGAGCAATGTAAGATCTTCCCGCTCGGTCCAAGGCATCTTGACAGACAGTGACGCGGTTGACTTCACGTTAAGAGGTGAACGATCAAAGAGAGGGTTGAGGAAGACAATGAACGAGGATATTGTTGTATGAGAGAGATACTGGGAACTCAACCTGAGGGCGAATCTAGTGTAAGAGGAGAGAAGGACACGCAACAGTAAAGAGACCGAACTCACCGACAACCATTCCAACTCAGTCCATGTCCCAACCGCACAGCTGCCTCGTTGAACCTTGCCCGAGAGATGGTGTCCTGAGCCGGGATGAGACTGAGGAGAAGGCGCTTCTCCAGCTCGTCAGTCCAAGCACTTCCCATGGCTGTCTCTTCGACCCCGCTGGCGACAACGAAAGAGTCTTGTTGGAGGAGGCGTGGTTGGTGTTGGTCAGAATACGAGAAGGATAAGTCCAATTGTTCAAAGTGAGTAATGGAGGAATGTAAGTTGAATGGTACAGTAAGGTCGATACCTCGGCTATCCTTCCCTGAATATCACAGGATCTTACAGAGTTACAGCGTCCAGGCTTGTCCGAGTGAAGTTGTTACTGGGGTCTGATTGCTCGACCGTGTCTTGCCGTATGAAACCTGGGTGGTCATCACCATACCACAGTATTGGTCAGGAAGAACAACACGACAGTCTTCTGTTCCTCAAGCATCACAAGCAACCAATGCACTCTCATCGACCCGAGTTCCCACAAGATACATGGCATATCTTGGACGGCAAAGAATAAGAGGTACACCGTGGTTTCCCTTCAGGACCTCCAGATGTTGCATTTGTATGAACAGCTAGAAGCGATGTCGACCTGACTGGCACTGAAGAAGCACTCCAAGATGCTAGAGGAATGTTCGATCAACATCAGGCGCCTAGGAAGAGTGCTCCTGCACAGATACGACCTGGTGGGGCATGCAACACGGCTTCTGAGGATAGGAGAGTTGATGGCGGAGTCCGGATCGACTGTTCTAGGCAGCACACATCACAATAGTCGTCGGGAATCGACAACACAGAGGCGCTGGTACACCTCGCGATGTTTCGCAGGCTACAATCATGGAGAAGGGTCATCAGGTTAGGCACCCGTTCGCAGAAATGTGAGATAGGAGCCAATATCAAAAGAACGGTTGACGTGTCGTAGCTTTGGCGCTTACGATTCTCAATGGTTTTAAAGCAGCCAGCGGTAATAGTGGGCGGTGCACCGTATCATTTCGCCGTAAGTTAGGCCACTGCAGTAACGGCGTCAATTAGGCTGGACTGGGCTGACATGTTTGCTTTGGACCCCACCGCTTCCCTTCACTGCGCAATCAATTCTCCCACCATCTCGTCCATTTCCATTATTCCTCTGCCTATCGTCGACCAAACCTCGTTCCTTACCATTGATATCAAGATTTGCGCTACCTCTGCAGCATAGGTACGTAATCTCCATCCAGATCTGACTGCCAAATGTCGGTGCCTGTTCACTCAGGCGACACTTACTTCAAGCCGGACCACTCTGCCCTTATCCTGCATGCTCTGCGAAACATCCGTTCATCGTGTCAAAACTGACCGTTCTGATAGAAACAGACACTCTCGCACAATTCCGCAAGTCGTTACTACACAACCATGGTAAGTACTCGGGCGTGATTGTCGATGTTTACATGTCCTGACTATTGTATAGCCTGTCTCCGGGTATGTGTCGCAGCCGTCTTGTGATCAGACGATCATCTCCTGGTACCTCGCGCCTCTTCTAATGCCTTCGGAACTCGCAGACTCTCCGTAAACCCCGAATGTGTGTCGGCTTTTAATGAGCTGAAGCTCGGTCGCGGCGGCCCGAAATACATCATCTACAAGATCTCTGATGACCAGAAGGAAATCGTGGTAGACGAGATTGGCAAAGAGGCAGACTACGACACATTCAGGGAGAAGCTCATCTCGAAGAAGGAGAAGTCTGGCAAGGATAGACCTTCATACGCCATCTATGATGTCGAATTCGAGCTTGAGGGCGGTGAAGGCAAAAGGTCTGTTTGACTTCTAAGAATGAGGCTGCCATACTGAAGCTCTACACTGCAGATCCAAGATCGCCTTCATTACCTACATCAACCAGGACGCCACCGGAGTAAAGGTATGCTATCAGTCGTTATTTCATCGATGGCAGCTGACTCCTGCAGTCTCGCATGGTATATGCAAGCTCGCGCGAAACCCTGAAGAATGCTCTCAACGGAATCGCCATGAACTGGCAAGCAAACGACCCGGGTGAGTTGGAGTGGGCAGACCTGCTCAAGGAAGCCAGCAAAGGCAAAGGCACGATCTAGAAAGGACATTGAAACATTTGGACAAGATCGCATTAACGCAGCCCGCTGCGACGCTCCACATGCAGCATAATTCGGAACTACCTGGGAAGAAAGAGGCGTCTCCGACGAGCTGAGCATGGTGTGCATGGAATGACTATGCGCCGTTGGAGAAAGCCGACACCTCGTGCTGGTGGGCTGGCAGCGTTCGAGATACGTCAGGAGCCGAGATAGATGGCCTAAAGCAAAAACAAAGCACGTTCACCCTCTGCCTCGACATGGTCCCGCAGCTGTTGCATATTTGACCCTTCGTCATAGCGTTTCGTCTAGAACAAATGCAGCGATCACTATGTCACCGCACTTCAGAGGACTACGGGACGAAGGAGGCTTTCTCTCAGTCCAGATAGCTGCAAAGGGCATCAATTCTTCTCCTTCAGATCGCCGGCATTGAATTCACGTTGTAGGGGTATCTTTATGGTATCGGGGAAGTATTCGGTGGGGGCTGCATATTGTCCATACTGAACAATAACTCGTCTGCAACCGGAGACACAGATACATCCCAAAGCCGCAAGCAAGACATGAAAACATGACTGCACAAGATATGGTAAGACATGTCGAGGTACTGAGAGTTTGTGACAGACGTAGGCTATGAAAGCAGTGTTATTAGGAATTGGAGAGCGGAAAGTGGTGTGACGCTGTCCGCCAAAAGATTTCCCGTTGCCAAGCCAAGACCTCAGAGCTTCTGTCATTGAACTTGTCGACAACTTCATACAAACGGTTTTCACTCATCTTGAGCTCAATTGAACCTCGACACACTGCGACAATAGTGCCGAAGCTCCAGGCTTCGTTGTACTTTCCGAACACTTTTCCCACATATGTACTAAGCCGGCTTTATACACGCAATACAACAAGATGCCTCTCCACTCCCTACCCCGTGTTGCTCGTACCTCCATGGGCAGCTCGAAGATATGCACGCGAATGGCTGCCTCCTCGATGCGGAATTTCCAAACATCGGCGCGCTCTATGGCTCCCACCTTCGCCGCCAGTCACCAGCCTCCTATGACGAGCCAGTCCCAGGTTCGGTCCGCTCATGCCATTTCCAACCCAACACTCGCTGGAATTGAAAAACGATGGGAAGGAATGCCTCCACAAGAGCAAGCCGAGCTTTGGATGCAACTGAGAGACCGAATGAAGGTTGACTGGCATGAGATGACGCTGCAAGAAAAGAAGGCCGGTACGGACAGACCCCAAATTGCCCAGGAGTGCGACGCGACAGGCTGCCTCTGAGCTTGCATGGCGATCCTTGGGATGCACACATGAGCTGGAACTGTGGCTAACGATTGTGTAGCGTGGTGGATTGCATTTGGCCCTCATGGACCTCGCGCAGCGGACCCTCCCGGAGAGTGGACAAGGGTTTGGCTTTACACAGGCGTTGGTGTTGCGATTTCAGTAGCCTTGTTCATGACCATTCACGCCTTCGCAAGACCACCGCCACGAACAATGACCAAGGAGTGGCAGGAAGCTACCAATGAATATCTCAAGGTGAGTACTCCAACGTACCAATCCTGGCTCAGCGTTCTGCTGTCCAGAAACTTACATTGATTGGAATCACGTACTGACACATTGACCTGCAGTCCGAAAAGAGCAATCCTATCTATGGTATCAGCAGCGAAGGATACAGCGGCAAGGGCCATGTGCAGAGCAAGACGGCGAAGGCGCAAGGCATCAAGCTTGATCCAGAAGAGTAGAAGAGGGACGAAGAGTGATCATCTTTGCCCCAACAACGGAGCGCAGCTGTCTCTGTACTGTTACTAGTATCTTGAGAACGGAAAGGTTTCTCCGTCTTTTGTGAATACAAAATCAATATCTCAATCCGGCTTCGATTTCAGGCGCGCTCGGGTTCGCCGATTTGTACATAGATTCCAGGAGATAGTGGCGGGACCCAATGTTAAAATCCTCCTCCTACTTCCTACATGCGACAATTCGATGCGGCGAATTTCTAGTGATATTTCTGCTATCTGGTAGAAAGCACTACCCGGCGAGCGAGGTCGCTTCCAGAAAAAGTGGCACTGTCTGTCAAATAGATACCGTTCCATATTGTAATCGCGCAGTCATTCGCACACGACGATATAGCGTAAACCTGAGACAGAAGGAAGGCCTTCGTATGCACCGTATTGATGTCAAGGCACCTGCTGTCGCGAACTTGCTGGACCTTGGACTTATATGTTTGGTGTACTCCCCGTCAGACGATGCCGCTTTTGCTGGCACCAGGCTTCCCGGGGGACTTTTCGTAGGTTTGTGACACTAGTCCGTATTAGGAATAGCCATTCATGAGAGCTTCGTTGATGAATTGAACATCGCAAGTTCTTTTCTGCTCCCCTAATCACCCCAAGCTCTCCCCTCTACCCGTTCAATCACCTTTTCGTCATCTGCAAACATGCTCAAGAGGTAAGTACCGTCGTCTCTCTGAGCTGTCTGAGCTCTTCGCAGCTCATCGAACCGTTGCTGACTCGATGGAACAGCGGCATCGCCCGTAGCTTGGGCAGGTCTGCCCTTGCTCGACCTTCCCTCAGTCGACGCGCATTCGAGCCTCTACGAAAACAAGCCCTTCCTGTCATCGCACAGAGATTTGCCTCGACGCAATCCGCCGGTGATGGCAAGATCCATCAGGTCATCGGTGCCGTTGTTGACGGTATGCAAAAACTCCCTCACCTGCGCCACGGAGCTTCCACAACGCTCGGCCTTGAGCTCTTTGCGTGACATATAATCGATCCTGAGCTGATGGAATCCTGTCTAGTCAAATTCTACGGCGAGAGTCTGCCTGCCATTCTCAACGCCCTTGAGACCGACAACAATGGAACGAAATTGACTTTGGAGGTTTCGGTACGATGACGAAAAAAACAAGCTACTTATATGAATACATACTGACAGTACCAGCAACATTTGGGCGAGAGCGTCGTGCGATGCATTGCTATGGATGGTACGAAAATCCTGTCGGCCTCTTATTGTTTTTACGATTCTAATAATGTTCTACAGGTACGGAAGGTCTTGTCCGAGGACACAAAGCCACCGATACTGGCGCACCCATCACTATTCCTGTCGGCCCCGGCACTTTGGGACGTATCATGAACGTCACCGGTGACCCCATCGACGAGAGAGGTCCCATCAAGGCCACCAAACGCGCCCCCATTCACGCTGATCCTCCCGAGTTCGTCGAACAGTCCACATCCGCTGAAGTGCTTGTTACCGGTATCAAGGTTGTGGATCTCCTGGCTCCTTACGCTCGTGGTGGAAAGATCGGTCTCTTCGGTGGTGCCGGTGTCGGCAAAACTGTGTTTATTCAGGAATTGATTGTGGGTGTCTATACACACGCTCGTTGTGGCAAAATGGCTAACGAGGACACCAGAACAACATTGCCAAGGCACACGGTGGTTTCTCTGTCTTCACCGGTGTCGGCGAACGAACCCGTGAAGGTAACGATTTGTACCACGAAATGCAGGAGACTTCCGTCATTCAACTCGATGGCGAGTCCAAGGTCGCTCTGGTGTTCGGTCAAATGAACGAACCCCCTGGAGCTCGTGCTCGTGTCGCTTTGACTGGTTTGTAAGTTATCCCTTCCCTTCTTGAGGTATCCCCCATTGAGGACGTCCCACTCCTGGACATGCAACGGATTACCCTGCTGCGATGGATCTCCGGAGCTCTCCCGAGACAACCTCAACTTTTGAGCCACAACGTCGCTTTTACTTTTGAAAGGACCTATGCTTACTTCTCTTTGCTTCCAAGGACGGTGGCTGAATATTTCAGGCAAGTTCAATACACTGATATATTGATGAACTTCTGACTGACGTTTGAAATTTCAGGGACGACGAAGGACAGGATGGTACATTCAATACTGATATATTGATGAACTTCTGACTGACGTTTTTTAGTGTTGCTCTTCATCGACAACATTTTCCGCTTCACTCAAGCGGGATCTGAAGTGTCTGCATTGCTCGGCCGTATCCCTTCAGCTGTCGGATACCAGCCTACTCTCGCCGTCGACATGGGTCTGATGCAGGAGCGCATTACAACCACCCAGAAGGGATCCATCACCTCTGTGCAGGCTGTTTATGTCCCTGCTGACGATTTGACCGACCCTGCACCTGCAACCACGTTCGCCCACTTGGACGCCACAACCGTGTTGTCTCGTGGTATTTCTGAACTCGGTATCTACCCTGCTGTCGATCCTCTGGATTCCAAGTCTCGTATGTTGGATCCCCGTGTTGTTGGCCAAGAACACTACGACACCGCCTCCCGCGTTCAACAGATGTTGCAAGAGTACAAGTCGCTCCAAGATATCATCGCCATTTTGGGTATGGATGAATTGTCTGAGGCCGACAAGTTGACCGTCGAACGTGCCCGAAAACTCCAGAGATTCTTGAGCCAGCCTTTCACTGTTGCCCAAGTTTTCACTGGTATCGAAGGCAAGCTTGTGGACTTGAAGGACACCATCTCATCTTTCCAAAAGATCATGAACGGCGAAGGTGACGATCTGCCAGAAGGTGCTTTCTACATGGTCGGTGACTTTGAGAGTGCTCGTGCGAAGGGTGAAAAGATTTTGGCCGAACTTGAGAAGCAATAGACGGGCAATCAGAAGGATGTGGAGAGAACCGAGCAACATAGCTAGATCAACACAGAGGAATTTGTGCTGTGCGACAAGAAAGATAGCTACGTTGAGTGTTGCATGCTTGGTCTAGCGGCCAAGTCATGCGACAGACCTGTACATTGAATCCCAATCGAGAGATAAAAAGCGGTTTCCTCAATAGTTCTTCATTCCCATTCACCGTTGAGCCTGTTTCCAGGAAACCGGGCACCGTCTGACAAGGCGTACGTCGACGATACAAGCTCATAGCCCAGCAGGTTCGCGACAGCGGGTGCCTTGACTCCAAACAGGTATGACTCTACGCTGGGGCTGATGACCTCCACCATGTCAGAACCTGTTGAATGGTGAATGCATGGTTGTTCGCAAAGACCATGTTGTCCATGTATCCATCAAGAGTGTCGGTGCTTGGCATCCATGAATAGCTGGCGAAGCCGATCCAGGTGAGGTTTTCTTTTTGCTCTCTGAAGGTGCGCAGTTCTGCGTGAAAACGTGCATTCTGTTCCGCGGTTCTAAGCTGCTTCGGCCTGAAGATTGCTGAATGAAGTAGAAGAGATCGTAGGCTTTCGTCATTATACAAAGCCAGTGCTGCAGAACTCGAGGATGACAATAAGAATGATGTCTACTTGAAAGCGACCAGCTACACCGGTCAAATTGTGCCACTTTTTTCCCTTGGAAACAGGCTTGCCATGTACAGATGCTACAGCGTCTGGCACACCCCATTGGAGCACATCCCGGGACAAGAGGACTGATCGCACAATTCCATGCGATCGGCCAACGCAGGCCACGGCGTGAGGCTTTCTTATTGTCTCTTTTGTATACGCTGCATTGCCCGCATACCAGCTCTGCAGGATGTATCCCCATCCTGGATTATAAGCCTCGTTTTTGGCTCATTTTCTACGACCATGCTCGCTCATGTCACATGGACACTGGCCATGACTGCGTCGGCGGATGGAAGTCAAAGGGGCCGAACGATGGTACATGGCGAAATCCTGTCTGAGCCAGCATGATCTAGACACAGCCTGTCTTTGTTGCGTCGGATTTCTGCAAGGCTCTCCCCCCAAGAAATTGCATATTGATGTGACTGGGTTTGGGGGTGCAGAAAGTCGACTTGCCTGCAGACTCGTCGAGCCTGTTTCCAGCAAAATTGGCACTGTCTGTCAGGGCGAATGTCGAAGACACAATTCCGAGGTCGAGCTCGTTCGCAACAGTGGATGCCTCGACAGCAAGATAGAAGCACTGTACGGTAGAGCTGATGGCCTCCTCTCTTTCCAAGGCCAACGCTATATCGTTGACGACAATAAGGATGGCATCTGTTTGAACCTGACCAGCTACAGCGGTCAGACTGTGCCACTTTTTCCTGGGAAACAGGCTCGTCGTATCCTGCTACAGACAGGTAAGGGGTATGCGCGAGGTCTCTTACTGGTCGACAGTACTAGATATCTGCGTTTTGTGGTTTTATGATTCAATGCTGGATGCACTTGGATGTTCAGCCACTTACGTGAAATGAACTCACACAAGAATTGCACCTCGCAGTAACAACAAACCCGGGGACGCATCGGGGTGTACACCTTTATCTCCCGAGTCATCTCCTTACGTGATGGATGTGCTTTGAACCCGTCCCTTCGCAAGGTGCTCAGGGCTCTAACAACGGCCATCGAACGGCTCATGAGCCTTATGACCGAGGAGGACGTCAAGCCTGTTTCCGGGAAAGGTGGCACGGTCTGACCAGTGTCGCTCCCTCGGGTGCAAATAGGCACTGTTTCTTATTGTCGTTTCGAAGTCGTCCGCACACAACGATAGAGCTTAGAGTTTTGTGCATTGTCAGAAAGGAGGTCATCAGCTCTATCGTGTATCCCCACTGGCTTGCTGGCAAGGCACCCGTTGTCGCGAACCCGCAGAACTTCAATTTATATCGTCGATGTACTCCTTGTCAGACGATGCCACTTTTTCTGGCAATAGGCTCGCTGTTTTTTCGAACACTATGTTACAAGCCGTAGGGGCTTTTGAAGGGATTTCATACTTGCGCCCCTGCGCCCGCTTGCTTATCCAACACTTGGTTTCATTATTGTACATGATGTGTCGTTCAGATTCCCGACCTTGATAAGTGACTTCACACCCAATCAGAGAGACAGACACCATCCACCACCTGCCTGTATACAAGTATCCAGCATGGCCACGCCAGCAACAACTCTTTCCAATCGTGTCCACATCCGTCAAACTCCTGTTGTATTCATCACGCCGTCCAGCTGGCTTCTTTAGATTCGTTCTCTGCGTGGACTCCCGCTCGAGTTGTCTGTGGTGTCCATCTCATGCGTATGGTCTTCATACTCGACCTTATAGTCGATGGTATGGAGGATGACGTCGTCTGTGAGTCCTTTGACACTCTCACTGCGATCGTTTTCGACCTTGCTGCGGGCCTTGGTGGCGTGAGGCCGGTTATAGCCTCTTTCCATGCTGGCGGCGGCTTGCCTTTGCTTCTCGCCCCATACGCCTGAACTGCCGCTGCTTGTATCATTCGCCGTCTTGCCAGCCATGCTGCCCAGACCCAGTCTGCTGGCAAGCCGAGAGACTGCTCCTGACTTATTGGTGCGACCGTTGTCAACGCTCCTGCTCTTGGACACGCGCACGAATGAGGCACTGAGTTCGTGCTCGGGTACGTTGATCATGATGAGACCGGGTTTGATGTCGGCAAGGAAGGGCTTGAGTGAGGGGATACAGGCGGCAATGATGGAAGCGTTCATCATGATTTGCGCAAAGACTTGGGGCACAAGGGCAGTCCACGTTGGGTCTGTGGTGTCGGTCTTGTATTCTCGCTTCATATACACAAGCATGGGGACTGTGAAGGCTGGGACTCTGTTTCAGTAGAATTAGCAACCACAACGTCTTGAGCTGGAGGATACTTTAACATACACCAAGCGTGCTGCAAAGAGCCCACTGACGACGAAACGCTTGCTCATCGATACTTGCACACTCTGCATCATGACAAACGGTATGACGACTATGAGGCAGTCCGTGATGATGTTCAAGGCTTGGATGCCAACATTCATAGCAAATCGATCGACGCAAGTGTTGCCCTTTGAGTTCCAGGGATGAGGCGGACTGCATTGGAACGCTAGTGCAAAAACACTGGCTATTGTCCATGCACCCACGAGCCCGAGAATGCCGTAGCAGGAGTAGACCAGCTTCCGGGAAGGGTTGATGGCGATGATCAAGTAAGTGACTGAAGCTTTGGCGGCAGCCAAAACTATAATCTGCAAGATGTTTGCAGTATACATTGCCTGTAGCACCGTCAGTAAGGCATCCTCTGGAGAAGACTGCGCAAGTGACAGACCTTCTCGAAGGACACAAAGTGTGACTCGGACACATTCTTGCCCTTTCGACCCAGACCATAGCGCACAGCAATTGTTATGGTGATTGTTTCCATGAGACCCAGAAACTATCATTCGACCGTCAGCAACAACGTCTACCGTCAAGAACTGCAGCACACTTACACCTGCTAAAATGATAAAGATGTCGTTTGGTGTCAGACGCATGGTGGCCTTGAATCTTGTAAAGAGTTTGATGATGATGGTCATGAGACTCAGCAGGATGAAGATGTAGGCGCACACCACCACCCATGGTCCCTTGTTGTCCGACGAGAGGCCCTGCAGCGGAGCGCTGAGGTGACTATCAGAAGAGGACGTGTCAGACATCTTTGTTGCTAGGACGGAGCGTTTGGTATGGTCGAAGCCAGAATCCGGGGAGTGAGTCAAGATGGGCTAGAAGTCCTTCTTGTATGATGGTCGGAGAGTATTCGCCTCGTATAACATGCTCATTAGCATCCCGCTGTTGATGCAGGCGGAAGGTCGACCAAGCAGCAAGACCAGGGCGCAATGCAGGAACGGTGCGTCGCTGGGACCTTGGCTGACCAAGGAGATCTTCTGCCACAATAGTCGACGTTCAAGCCTTCGAGGCACACGGAGCCTTGCAAGTGATACAAATCACAGTCGCATTCGAGGCTCTACGCGAGTGCTCGAACCGGGGTCACGCATGAGAAGGTCTGGAGATAGTGCCCATCATGGTCAATTGCGGTCCCACTTGTTCAAAAGAACGCAAGCATGGTCAATTAGCGGAGATTTCTGTTGAAAAGTCGCTGGGGCTATTGCGCGAGGAGTCCAGAAGCGATAATGACAGTTTATCAAACTATTCCTCATACAGGAGGTCCTGATAAGTGAAAGATTAGCAGTTGATGAGCTTCGGGGGAAAGAGTCCGGAACATACAGGTATCAAAAGTCGCCAGGATGAGGCGGAGGTGTAAGATCCGACATGTAGCGTGGAAAGAAACAAGCTTGGAAGTTGCCAGGAGTGAGAAAAAGCCATTGATTCTATGGAGGACTTTTGCGCTTATAGAAACGGGTATAGATGTCTTCGTATCCTAGATGACTAGTTAAGACAGAGCAAATCATTTCGTGGTGCTCACGTCCCCAGGTCGCGCCTATGCTGGACTGAAACGGCGGACCCTGAGCGATTCCAGACCTGGCTCGCCGGCTGGGGTTGTGCTTCATGTACCCGAGATATTGTTATTCGAGCATCAATGGTCTCACCATGTAGTGATCAAAAGCACAGACCCGTGTTCATGATGTATCGTTGATGTTGATTGAACACTCTTTGCGTGTAATTGCATAGAGCCCTTGGATCATGTGAGGCGCTCAGGGACGGACAGGATTGTTGACTGCCCCCTCCATCGACAGAGCGACGCCTCAATGTTGCTCTCGACGGGTTCAAGCATGTGCGCGCACATGGTCAAACGCGATCCTCGTGTGCATTATCACAGTGGCTGCGGCACTAAGATGAGGGATCACTCAATTGAACATATTAGCGCGGCGCCGTCGTCGCGGATGATGGGAGGTCAGACCCAGGGGAACCGGGAATGCAGTTCCCTAATGACCCTAGTGAAGATTAGGGAGGAGAATGCCCATAGTTGTACCATAGGTACCGTAGGAGGCACCAAAAGTCCTTGGCCCGGCCCCTCTTCCTCTTTTCTCTTTTCGCTTAACAATTCAAATGCCTGCACAAAATCGATGATCCCTCACCAACCTCCACCTGCGCCATCACTTATCATCAACCAATCTCGTATCATCTTTGTCCTCCTTGATCTCCAGCATGCCGAGCAGGGGCAAGAAATGTATCCGAGTCTTTCTCTAGCCCATCCACGGCTTCATCAGAGTTTCAATCTCCCCGTCCTCCCGTCTGATCTCCCGTCGTCCGCACCCAGGACCCTCCTGTCAATTCCACGGCACGATCCGTTGCTTGAAAAAAGAACCTTTGGGAATACAAACCCAAACGAAACAACAAGAAGTATCAAGATCGACGACTCCAAGTCACAATACTCCGACCTCAATGGGTTGACAGCCGGGCACATCATGCCAGGACTTGAATAACCCCTTACAGCCCGCGACCAATACTCGTACACTACTGGACAGGATCCTGGCAGTGCCTGTCCGATAGCGTTATCTTCTACTCTGGCCCAATAGGTTCGGGTCGACACCACGCCGGTCATCTGGGGTCTTGGCCGCAGGCCAGTCAGACAGACGCAACCGTTTCCTAAGGCACGATCTGCGCCGCATCCCACCCTCATTTTCAACAGGATCCTCCTCCACGGTGCCATGGCTTTTTAGCGATCAGAGCCACGAATGGCCAAGCAGGCGTTATTCCCATTCTGTCCTCACCGTCTTTCTCGGCACTGTCTCATTTGCCGTTGACCAGCTACCTTGCTATTCTCCAGGATCTGGACCACAGTCGGTCACTTAAAATCCGCCCTAGTCGTCGTCCTCCGGAGTGGCCTCAAGCACTGTGTACAGTAGTAGTTCTTCACTAGTCGAGCTTGTTTGTCTGGAACCCTTGACTGTATCAGACTGAGGCAAGATTGTCATTGACAGCAAAGGGATATGCATATCAGCCGAGTCGACAGGCCTTGTGCATACTCGAACATTTTCGTTCCTGCCTCAATATTGCCATACGGACCTACCGAGAAGACTTGACTATGGGTGGAGTTTCCTCCTTCCCCATTTTCGAGGCTTTCCCGGGTCTAGTCAGGGTAAGAGAAATACTCCAGCACTTTTGTGCCTTGGCGGGTATCCTCGTCTCCTGCAACCGAGAAACTTGATGTTCCATAACGAGCGACGCGGTCGACGCAATTCAGGTACCCACCCCAAGCGGCCTCAGCCGTGCAATGATAAGCAACCTAGATCGTCCAAGTCGTCCCAGTTCTCACCAATACGGGTACAAATCTTGCTGTAGCTTTATTGCTAGTGCAATCAGCAGCATGACTCCGGAACGGCAAATGGGCAGAATACTCAGAGCGACCCTGAATAGTGGAACAGCTACCCTTGCCAGTCCAGACTGAGAGAGTATCATCCCTAGGCCTCAGTTTAGCACTTCCTCCGTGTGCAGGGACTTCGCTACGATAGTGAGTTGACGTATGATTGACCTTCCTTCCATGCTTCTGTTGCAGCAGTTCCGTGACATTGCTATTTCCTCCCCCCAGGCCCCATATCCACGTTCTCGAATTGTTCTCATTTGTATTGCCACATGGCAGCGATTGAGAACTAACCCACGTCGAGTCTGGTCCAAATTGGTTCGACCTGTTGGCTGTCGCAACGAGTACCACCCTTTGCGATCGGTCGTTCTCCGAGTTCTGTTCTTCTTAAATCAAGCCTCTTCTCTTCCCTACTTCCACTCTTTCTGACTGTACACTGTACACATCCGATACAATCGCCAACATGAGCGGGCCAAACGACATGGAGCTGAAGCAGACCAGCAAGGACTCAATATCCTCTGCGGAGCGCATCTCGGAGGAGCCGAAAACCGCCGACTACCAGGAAAAACATGTCGCCAGAGCTTATCCAGCGACGACGACCGAAGGTCCTCAATTGAGGGTATGTATTCCTCGTACGGTGTCTAAGACCAACTGCTGATTCGAGGATAGCGACTGTTCAGTTTCGCCCAGCTCCTTGCCTTCTCTTTGACTTTTATGGAATCATGGGAAGTGATGGCCATGTATGTATTGGCCCCGTTCGAAAAGCGCTCTGGCTGACAAGATTTCACAGCAACATTTCTGCGACATTCTGGAATGGCGGCCCTCGAGCTCTGATATGGGGTGCGATTGCTGTCATCTTGGGATCTTTGGCACAAGCATATTCGATGGCAGAGTTGGGCTCAATCCTTCCCATCGCGGGTGCCCAATATCATTGGACTCACATCATGGCTCCAGACAGCACACGAAAATTCATTACATGGATGCAAGGTATGCCGCATCCCCCATGCCTGTGTCGACCCTACGCACTAACGACCTCATAGGTTGGGTAACATGGTTTGCTTGGGTATCCGCTCTTGCTGGAAGTACATCTGGTGAAGCCGCCCTCCTGCAAGCCATGATAGCCGAGAACATGCCTGGCTACACCCCAGAGCGATGGCATCTCACCCTCATCATGTGGGCTATTCTCATTAGTGTCGGCCTCATGAACATGTACAGCTTCTGGCTCATCCCATGGTTGGAACTGACGGCTGGTATCATGCACGTCGTGTTGTTCATCATCTTCATGGTCGTCCTCGTCACGCTCGCTCCACGGCACGATTCTGAGTTCGTGTGGTTCACGGACTCAACACAATCGGGATGGAGTAGTAGCTTCGTGGCCTTCAATATTGGAATGCTGGCTCCTGCCTGGGGTTTCATTGGTGAGTGAATATGGCACCAGGGGTACTTCAATCACTGACATGTTTACAGGATTTGATGGAGTCGTTCACGTAAGTCCAATCCAGCAGCAAGGACCAGGCTTTACTTGTTTTCCTGACCTGCTCTGCCCTACCATGCCTTCTTCAACATAGATATAACGGACATACACTGACTAACCTTCAAATGAATGCAGATGTCCGAAGAAGTCAGAAAGGCCAAGAATGCCGTCCCACGTTCAATGATTCTGACAATCGCCATCAACGGTGTGATGGCATTTGCCTTCATCCTGGTTCTTCTTTACTGCCTGGGCGACCCCAACATCGTCATGGGCACAACCATGCCTATCCTCAACATATGCTACAACGCCACTGGTTCTTGGCCTGCTACCAATGCTCTGGTCGCAGGCTTGATCATTGTCACCTATTGTGTGGTCGCCGCCAGTGTCGCTTCTGTCTCCCGTATCACCTGGGCTTGGGCTCGTGATGGGGCTCTTCCAAAATGGCTTGCCGTTGTATGTATGCTCCTAATCGATTGTGGTATTTACGAAAGCTCATGGGCCTCCAGATTGACGCCAAACACCACGTGCCGACGAACGCTTTGTGGCTTCCTATCTTCATCGTCATGCTGCTTTCTCTCCTGAATGTCGGCTCTACTGCCGCTACAGCTTTTAGCGCGTTCAACGCTCTTTCTTCAATCGGCCTGTACACTTCTTACATTATTGCAATCAGCTGCATCTTGCATGCGCGATTGACCGGACGCTTGAGCGACAAGCCAGATGCCGTTGTTCAATATGGCGGGTGGCGCATGTGGAAGGGCTTTGCTGTTCCTGTCAACATCATTGCCCTGGTCTGGACTATTTACCTCACCATCTGGCTTCCATTCCCCACAACCATCCCGGTCACCGGTACGAACATGAACTACGCATTACCAATCTATTCGGCCGTTGTGATTGCTGCTTTGACGTATTGGTTCACTTGGGGCAAAAAGAACTGGCCCGGCCTGAACCTTGCTGCCATTGGAATGGTCGAATCCCACGAATAGAGAGAGCAAATAATTTGACAAGAGATTGGAAAATGGTATACCTTGGAAACGTCTTACCAAGTATGTCGTACAAGAAATCTAACATGATCTTTCTTGCATGTCTAGGCGAATAATTGGCTGCAGGATGGGCTTTATGGGGACTCCTTTGCTTGAAACCGAGATAGCCTTTCGAATCATGTCTGAACACTCGTTGTATAGGGACCTGGAGGTTTTCGAGGAGGAACAGACTCCGGGCCAGAGCGAGCTGATTACATGTCTACTGGAAGTTGTCGAAAAAGCACTACATTGGTAATACTGTGTAGCACATATCTTTTCTTAGCTGGATGTTTATAGAACTTGTGGGAAAACATCACGTCTTGAATTCGTGGTCGCCCGTCCGTCCCATCGTCTGTAGTATAGAGAGTAATGTCTTAGGTCTCTTACTGGGAGTCAAAGCATAACCTCGTACGCGAATATCTCCAGAAAGCTGTCAAGTATTGAAGTTACATCCGAATGATGAAGCTGACGAGCTGACAGTTCCACTTTGATGGCAGCATCTGGGCGAAACGTAGGAGGAGCGTTGGAATGAGCAGGATAGGATTGGGAACATATTGCTTTTGTTACACACCGAACACTGCTTTCACTTCTAGTGGACTTATTGTATCATACAAGTACACCCAGCACCGATCTTCTCTGTCCCATGCATCTCATGCCCATCCGACTTCTCAGCTTTGCCGCTTTCCGAACTCAACACACCTGGACATCCAACCACGACCACCTTTTTAAGATCTCGTCTCCAGCCCAGAGGAGAGACATTTCGACATCGACATAGAAAGAACAAACACGAATGTTGAGTGGAGTAATGTAGCAATATCTTCAATGTACAGAGTTTCGAGTAATTTTTCCCCATCGCCCGCACAAATCTAAGCGGGATAGCACCACGCCGGAAGGTGTTTGGAAATGTGATCCCCATTGCTGCCGAGTAGACGCGCCTGCCACAAGCTATGCCACCGGAAAAGTTTCGCTAAAACGCAGGAAAATTGTTGAAGTACAAGACACTGAGAGAGGGGGAAGGACGCCCAACACAGCTCAACGCTGCGTTTAGAAACCTCCCATGCCGCCCATGCCGCCCATACCACCCATTCCAGGTGGTGCGGCAGGGCCCTTCTCCTCTGGTGCCTCGACAATAGCAACTTCCGTGGTACCGAGAAGCGAAGCGACACCGGATGCATCAACAAGAGCGGTACGGACAACCTTCAATGGGTCGACGATACCCTTGGCCACCATGTCAACGTATTCACCAGTGGCCGAGTTGAAGCCCTTGTTGAAGTCGCTACCGAAGTCATCCATGACCTTGCCAACGACGACGCTGCCTTCGAGACCGGCGTTCTCGACAATCTTGCGGGCTGGTCGGGTGATAGCATTCTTGATGATGCTAACACCAAGTTGCTGGTCAAAGTTGATGGTCTTGACATCTTTCAGTGCGTTCGCAGCAGCCTTGACCAAGGCAGTGCCACCACCGGGCAGGATACCCTCCTCAACAGCGGCACGGGTCGCGTTCAAAGCGTCGACGACACGGTCCTTCTTCTCGCCGACTTCAACCTCAGAGGCACCGCCGACCTTGATGACGGCAACGCCACCTGAAAGCTTAGCGAGACGTTCTTGTAGTTTCTCCTTCTCGTATTCGGAGGTGGATGGGTCTGCCATGACGCCTCGGATTTGTTCGCATCGTTGTGCAATGGAATCTTTGCTGCCTTCACCATTCAGAATGATTGTGTCTTCCTTGGTGATGGTAACGCTTCCAGTAGACCCAAGCATGTCAGGTGTAGCCTTCTCCAACTTGATGTCCAGCTCATCTGTGAAAACGGTGGCATTGGTCAAGATACCGATGTCACCCAAAATGCTCTTGCGGTTGTCGCCAAAGCCTGGTGCTTTGACTGCGGCAACTTGGAGTTGACCACGGAGCTTGTTCAAAATGCAGACTGCCAATGCCTCACCCTCAAGGTCTTCGGCGATGATAAGGAGAGGTCGGCGCTGTTGTGTAGAGGCTTCCAAAGCAGGGATGATGTCTTGAACGGCGGAAATCTTCTTCTCGGACAGGAGGATCAGAGGCTTCTCGAACTCAATCTTCTGTGACTTGGTGTCGGTGATGAAGTAAGGAGAACTGAAACCACGGTCGAAGCGCATGCCCTCGGTGACCTCGAGCTCGTCGTCAATTGTTTTGCCCTCCTTAACTGTGATAACACCCTCTTTGCCAACCTTTTCCATGGCATTGGAGATAAGGGTGCCGACAAGAGTATCGCCATTGGCAGAGATGGTAGCAACTTGAGCGATCTCAGCGCTGGTGGTAATGTCCTTCTTGTTGGCTTGCAGGTAGTTGACGACGGCATCGACAGCTGCTTGTGTACCTCTTCTCAAATCCATAGGGTTGCAACCGGCGGCCACATTCTTGACAGTCTCAGAGAAGATGGCGCTGGCGAGGACGGTTGCGGTGGTGGTACCGTCACCGGCCACCTCGTTGGTCTTGGAGGCGACGTCCTGGATCAAGCGAGCACCGAGGTTCTCAAACTTGTCTTGCAGCGTGACTGCTCTGGCCACAGTAACACCATCTAATGATCTGGTTAGCAATGATTCCTGATCCTGTCCATGTTGACTCAGGATACATACCTTTCGTTATCTTGGGTGAGCCGTAGCTCGATTCAATCAACACATTGCGACCTTTGGGACCGAGTGTAGTAGCGACGGCTCTCGAGAGCGTCTCAACACCCTTCAATAGCTGAGCACGTCCCTCAACACCGAAGCGCAGCTCCTTGTGGGCGAATCGGAGCTGTTGTAAACTCTTGCCCGTCGATCTGGAGTATGGAGAAGAGGAGGACAAAGAGGACCGCACGGCGGAGGAGAGAGCGCGTTGCATGATGAGCAATGGTATGGGAATCCGACACAATGCAAAGGATGAAGCCGACGAGGTAAAAGATTGGTACTGGGTGGGAGAAGGAGTTGGTTGGTAAGTTATAAGCAACCGCAGGAAGAGTTTCTCTAGTGATTGAGAAACCACAAAAATTTCTCGAATCGCGGAGAACCGATCGTTCCCATTGTGGTTAGCGTCGGTCGTCAGTGGAAGCTCCAACCTCGTTTCCAAAACACCTCCGACCACCTCACTGGTGACAGCGCCTTCAAGACATCAGCCACGGAAGATGGAATCGAGCACCATATGGGAAACTCTGGGAATTTGTGTGGTGTGTTGGACGTGGATCACGTCCTTTTTCTGAGTACATGTACATGCTGTGAGTTCTGCAGTATCACTCGTGCCAGTCAGCAGCTACCTCCTTCATTGTTCCCCCACTTTAGTCCAGCCCTGTCTGTTCGTGCAGATCGATGATGGAGAGTCTGCCCTCCCTATGAGCTCTCAATGTCCATACTTGAGGGCCTGCCCCATCTCTGCTGAAGCTGTACCACATTGACTGCAGACGAAAAGCAATGTTCGTGACAATTCCTCCCTTCACGTATGAAACTCTGCCCGGACTACACCACGCATGCTTCAACCCCTCGAGAAGTGACCGCCTTTCATCCCTAAGAATGCGAATGATCAAGGACGAGTAGATGGACTAACTCAGAGGTCAACGATACGGGACTCCAGTCATGAAGTCACCACTTACTCAACCATCTTCCTCAATGTCATTCACGAACTCATCTCCCCAGACGATGTCGTCGGATGGCATGTCAGTATTCATGCCGAATTCGTCCTTAATGTCTTCGGCAGGCATACCAGTATTCATATTGAACTCGTTCTTGATCGCCTCTTGCTGACTTTCAGGCTGGCCTTCTGGCTCCGCGACGAGGTAACCCATGCCATTGCCAAATTGCTGGTCCGACATGGTGGTGAACGACGACCCTGTCATACCTGTGGCGACAGAGTTGTTTCGACTCATATCGGAGCTGCCCGCCGAAGGATACATGCCAGTGGCAAGCGAATTGGTGCGACTCATGTCAGAAGTGCCGACAGAAGAATACATGGTAGTAGCGACAGAGTTGTGGCGGCTTGGTACTCCATACGAATGCAAGCTTCCTGGGTGGATGGTATTGGTATAAGCTGGCGCTATGCCGTAGCCAAATTGCTGAGCAGTGTAGGCATTACCACTTCCCATCATGTTGTTTGTTGGAAATCCATACTGGCCATGGAACATATTGTCGTTGCTGGAGAGCATGCCATTGTTCATGGCGGCGTACTGGTTCAACTGGTTGCCGAACATATCGGCATTGTTGTCCCAAGTTGAAGGCACCTGGAGCTATTGGTTCTTGGTTAGTCGAGGCCATCGCGGATCGGACTCTGACTTACGTTATCAACTCCTCCGCCAGCAACAGCTTCAGCAGCGCCGTATTCGCCGAGTTCCATGGCAGAGACACCTTCAACCGTGGCGCTGGCATCTTCACTGTCCGCTGCATCGAAGGGCGCGAGAAGCTCATCGTGTGTCGCTAGATCATTCGCACCATCAAAATCGTCGTCGTCATCAGCAGCTGCATCTTGAGCACCGTCTGCTTCTCCCTCGTCATCAGACGGCATGGTTTCCATGATGGTATAATCCCGCTTGATGCCACGAGTTCGGCTAGCCGGGCCGGTGGAATCATAAATCATATTGTCGCCATCCTCAGCGGGTTCAACCTTGATGGCTTGACCTGGCGGGGTCAAAGGTGGGTTAAGATCGACAACAGGTGGATTGAGATCGACAGCCGTAGCCGCCTTCTTCTTGGTTGTGCGACGACGCTTCTTGGGAGTGCCCTCGTCAGAGTCGTACAAGTCCTCGGGCAATTGCTCCTCTTCATCGTCGGTCATGGTCCGACGAGGTTTCGCACGGGCCCTAGGCTTTCCTCTAGGCTTTGGCGAACCAGTTCCTGGAGAAACAGTTGCTCCTTCTTCCTGTTTGTTCGGGGTCTTCTTGTCATAGAGCGAGCGATAATCATCTGGAATCTCAGGTGTACCAGGGTACAGTGGCTCGATAGGGCTGAAGTTGTGCTTGTTGTTCGCATTCGAATAGATTTTGGAAGGTGTCTTGGTGAGCATGCCTCGCTTCAATGGGGGAGGAACGGGAATGCCGGTTGTTGACATGAGGTTGCGCAGTTTAGCAAGGTGTTGGGTGATGGCACCTTCGGTGAATCGAGGGCCCATGACCTGAGCAACTCTGGCCCCTGTGAATGATATGAACTACTGGACTGACATCGTACAGGGTGGTATCCATCAACTTACATGGGATCTTGATGCCTGCTTCGGCGCAAGCATACTGGACAGCAAGCAAAACACCCTTGTCAAGATCATCTATCAAGGCATTAGACGTGCTATGATGAAGTGATATGCCAACTTACCAGACCAACGAACAAGTACTCGCTTCGAAGGACGACTGCGGCGAGCCATTGTGGCGAAAAACTCCGACTGTAGGTCACTGATTCTGATTTCTTAACAGTGAGACCCTGGCCTCTTCGTTGGGACCACAGTAACTGCAGGACACGTGCTCTGTGTGCGGTAAACAAGTGTGAAGAAGGAAGGCGGTGAAAATCTTTGTAAAGAGGTGATGTCAGTTGTATGATTCAGATCAACGATGAAGAGAAGGCTTTTTCATGGTTTGGACAAGTGAATGCCCCGGAGTCTTCCGCAGGACAATGACTAGGGTGACGATAGGGTCTGGCAGGGACAGTGAAGTGAATAGCGGTGGTATGACTCGTTGTTTGTTGTGTTGGAATCTGTGGTGAATGCTAAGAGGGCTGCTGTCGGGACAACACTCACCAGGAAAGGTACGAATTGACGATGATACTCTGACGTCCTTTGCAGAGACCGTCAGAGTCCTTGATGAGGTCTGCAGGATCAACCTACCAGATGAAAGACGAGTGATAGATGAAAGATGGAAAGTGTGGGAAGTTGGATGGAAGATGGAGGAAATTGATGCAGAGGCGGAATTTTGGAGGCGGAATTAGTATGAGGCCATTTGCTTCAGCACATCGCACAACAGCATCGCGCATTCTCAAGCCCTAAACTCCATACGTTCAACCTCTGCAGACGGCACTGGACACTGGACGCTGGACACGTACCTCGTTGTCCTCGGCGGCCCACCACGAGCGAACGACAGCCCAAGCGCCCCCGTTGCAGACTATCCCGAAAAGTCGTTGCTTCCGGTCGACGACACATAGCCACCTGCACATACTCAGTCAAAAACAACGACGCCGTTGCTGGCCACATTGTCAATGGTATCCCCGTTGCGCGCGGTCGCTTCCGATTGTGACATCGGTACAACCTCCTGTGGTGGAGGTGGCAACCTGAAGAACAACGATGGATCAACCTGAGGCTGCATCGGGCGGGCGACAGGCTCGAAACGGGGGTAGCCATGCACATGCATTGGCATCGCTGGTGGTCCAAAGCGAGGAGCAGAGAAAGGGAAGTTTGGTGGCAACTGGTTGAACGCTGGTGGAGGTGGTGGAGGAAAGCGACCAGTCATCGGGTCAGCAGCATTTGGGAAGGCATTGAAACCAGTATATTGGCCGGTGGTGAGGCCAGGGCCAGTCTCTCTTGCAATCGTGACCGGGGCAGGCTGACTCCTCGTTGCTGAGGCCGAGCTTCTGACGGGATTTGCTGATGGACCATTCTCTCTCCGAGCTCTCTTCCTCGCTGGCCGAGGGCTGGCAGACTGTCTTCGAGGCGGTGGTGTCTGAGTGGTATCGTCGTCGCCACCAGGAGCATATGACTTGCAGAGCCGCTCATACCTCTTTGCCCTGTGAAATGGTTCAGCACTCGCCTGAACGAAGACAGTATCAAGGCTACTCACGCTGCTCCTTTGCTTGCAACACCGGTATCTCTTGCAACCTCAGTGAAGTCAATCTACCGTTGTCAGTCTGGAACGGGAGAAAGGCCTGGACCCTGTGACAGTGTTGGCTTACCCTTCCATCTCGGGAGTGCTTGGTGCAACTGATTAAGAAGATGATGTGTTCTCTCTCAGAGATCTTCGACATATTGACTGGGTACCAGCTAACGAGCTGGTCTGAGGAGTCTCTTGATCCAAGTGCTATTGCTAGGTCTGTCTGGACTTCCAAGATGGTCAAGTCGGTCTCTAAGATCTCAGGTGCGTATGATGACAGAAGGATGGAGGATGTGATTATGCTGGTGAGATTTGTATCTTGTCTTCTGACCACGACTGTGTTTGCTCCAGGGTCTTCTGTTGTCAACTTTTTGTCCTGTCTTGTCATGCTCGCGATGGCAATTGGCACTTACTTCCAGTGATTGCGTCTTGATGAAAGAACCTCTTTGAAGGGTGATGAAACGTCAGTGTTTGGCTGAGAAGGTCTTTGTGCAGAACAAGAACGTGAGATGTATCGTCAGACCACAAAGGTTTCCAGCGAGGTCTTCAAGATCTTGTGGTATGGCGAATCGAAGAGAAGAATATTGAGTTGAGTGGTTGGAGTGAGTCCAAGACGGTTGTCCGCGAACAGTGATGTCGCGGGCACTGAATTTGCTCGGCGTTCCTCAACTTGTCCCTCCCACCAGCCGCGCCGCCAGAGCAGTCTATGCCACAAGGATGACTGAATCTGGTCATTCATTCTGTCTTACAATGGTTCTAGAGGTCCAATGGTTCTAGAGGTCTTGTGCTGCTCGGGCATCTTGTCACAATCTTTCAGTGGACAGACATTCAGGGCAAGCACCGACTCAGCCTCGAAGCGGGTCAATCGTTGGTTCTCCCTAATGACCCTTCGACCACATCAACCGCGGCCACAACACACCAAGGGCGCGGTCGCACCCTTCATATAGCCCGGCACCATGTGCAATTGGCTCAGCACCGACCTGTACAGAGACTCACGCATCGCTACGCCTTTCTAGGACAAACCTGGCCTCCTGACATTCTCATTCCTCCTTATTACCAATACCCTCAATCGTCCAAGCTGATCTCGGACCAGGACAATGATGTGACGGAATTCAATAAAGAATCTCCTGCACTTCTCATATGCTTTGCCTACCCCTGCTCCACAACTAGCATCTCTCAGCACATTAACGATAGCCTCCAGCTCGCATTCCGACCATAGGTCACCAGCCAACCTGTCGTCCAACAGTCTTGTCAAGAGCCAATGTGCATATCTAAGACCTGGGAAGAAGCCTGTCCAAGCCATGCATTCATTGACAGTAGCAACAATGGGATTTTGCGATAAAGGGCATTGAGCCATTGACTACAGGTATTGCGGCATTATGCATGCGATCAGCCCAGGTGGCAAACTGTGAAGGAACAAAATATATGGAAACAGAGCGGTGGAAGGGAGCACAACGCCTGTGGAAAAAGCAAAGACATCTTCCTGTTTAAAGAGATCAGTCTGTGTCCGTGTCTGTGGGACAACGAGGCTGAGAAATCCAGGGGAGGGGTGTATGAATTCTGGAGAAAAGTTCAGCCGATCCCGATGAGCACAGCTTCGATGGAGCAACGATGGACTACGTTCAGCTCCAGAACCTAATCGGCAGTTGTTCTCACGTGCGTATCGGAACACCTGAATGTTTGATCGAACTTTCTCTCCTAAGTTTGTACTAAAGGCTTTGTGCCTACGTCGACATCCGACACCTGAGGATTGGAGCATCCCAAAACAATCTTCACAAATCCCAGGGTTACAATTCGCCGATCGTACACCATAGAATGACGATAGACTTCCATATCCCAGCATTGATCTCAATCGGGAGTGTATCTGCGAATGGTATTCTTAGGCTGCTGTCTCGTACTTCGTCCTTGCCCGCAGCAGAGGTCCGTATCGCCAGAAGAGCCACGGTATAGGTGCCATAGCCAGTGTGCAAAATGCCAGGAACGTCGTCGCCCATCCTACACCGAGCGTCTTGTAAAGCTGAAGTGCAAAGAGAGGAAATGCTGCCGATAGTCCATATCTGGATAACATGGCTGCTCCAGCTGCTGACGCACCATACAGTGGCCCATACGAATCGACCATGAACAGATTTGCAGAGGAATAGGTCATCACAGTCGTCATGATCGCGAGACCTTGAAATATGATTGGCACAATCCAATGTATGTTCGGCCGCGTCGCCCAGGCAAAGATGAACAGACATGCAGGCAACATGAAGGAGGAGATCATGCTTGGATACAAGCGGTACTCAGGCGGAGAACGTCCCTCAGCTTCAGGATGCTCGTTTCGGTATTGTTTGAGTCGAGGTTGATAGATGTAGGCATCGATCAGGATGAGAGGGCCAGGTGCAAAAGCAGTGCCAGCCATCAGACCAAGGAAGGATAAGGACTGGCCTGTAAGGTCAAACCCGTAGTAATGCTGGAAGATCCATGGTGATGCTACAACAAAGGTGTACATGAGTCCAAAGAGGAAGCCATTGTACAGGCAAACCAGGGTGACGATTGGCTCGGTCAAGATCATATGCACCGGTCGGACCAGAAGGGTGGTGAAGAAGTGCTTAGCTGAGGCAACAACTGATCGCTTATGCTCAGGCGGACCTTGCACGTTCAGCCTTCTGGCGCGTCGCTGCAGTATCGTCTTCTTGTAGGTCTCTTTCGTGAACAAGATGGGGATGTAGAATGTAACGATGAAGAATAGAGTAACCCATTGTGTCCAGCGCCAACTTTTGCGCTCGACGATGAAACCTCCGAGTAGAGGACTGTGGATATTAGCAGAGCTTCTAGCACGTGTGAGAACACGTACCCGAACACCGCCCCGAAGAACGGTATGGAATAGTAAAATGCAAGTGACACAGCCCGGTACCGTCCAGCAGTATAGTCGATAATCGTTGCAGAGGCATTACTGATAGCGGGTGAAGCGAAGACCCCAGCAAAGAATCTGCAGATTATCAATGATGGCGCGCTGGGAGAAAGTCCTGCACCGAGGATGAAGAGGCCGAAAAGAGGCGTAGTGGTCAAGAATACCACTTTGCGCCCAAAAGTCTCACTCAAAGGACTCCCAGCGAGCGGACCGAACGCCAGTCCAAAGTTGTACAAGGACAATGGTAGAATAGCGACCTCGTCTGAGACACCAAAGTTGGTGGAGACGTCGTCATGGGCTGGGCTGTAGATGGAAGCAGCCAAGGTACTGACAAACGCGAGGAAGGTGACCGCTATTGTCGACGATACGCGCCGGCGTAGGGAGAAGTTGCGAGGATTGTCGGCGTCATCGGGTCCTTCCCAGTCGATCGCCGTTGCCACACCATGGACAGCAGGGGTTTCATCCTGGCATTGCTCCTTGACCATTTTCCATCAACATGTGTGCTAGGAGAGTTGCACTCCACACGGCATGTCTTCTGAAAATGGAGAAGGGGATGCAGACATATTTTAAGTCCAGTCGACGATGATGATCCCCCGCAAAAGCGGCACTCGGCACCGATTGAGGCGCTGAAGCGGAGAAATTCCGCCAGAATTTGGAGCCGTCGGCGCCCTGGAGAATGGGAGAAAAGGGTTGCTGTTATAACTGTCATGCCCTGCAAAGAATCAAAAGTCGAACATGAGAAAATGTAACAGCAAAATCAGGGGCTTACAAAGACATCAAACTCTGTCAAGATTATTGGGTTTTGAGGTCGTGGAGGCGAACCAGAGCGAAAGAGACCCTCTCTCGGTTTTCGTTATGGACTGCCCTTTCGAGCTTTGAGGTGGTATCCGATATTTGTGGAGCTCGATAAGCCACGAGATGTGTGGCGTTGACCCTACGCTCGAGCCCACCAAGAGATAACGGCACCGCCTAAAGCCTAGCACGAAGATCTCTTCGTCTCCGACTTTGACTCTGAACCTCTCACGCTCCTGAGCAGCTTCAGACTCTCAATGGGATGCCCAAGGTCACTTCACAAAGAACATTTACTGCATGCTGGACCTGTCGTCGACGCAACATACGCTGTGGCAACGCCCAGCCGACGTGCTCGCAGTGTAAGTCATCGGGCTTGGAGTGTGAAGGCTACGACATCCGCCTTGTCTGGGTCGACCAAGAGACTGGGACCTATCTTCCGAGGCAGCGGCGCCTCTACAGTTGCGACGCCACCTGGAAGGGGTATCCTGGCTGAACATCGAAACAAGTCGATCATCTCATCCAGCAATGCGAACTACGGCAATGCCGGTGTGCCCTACATCAGGTGCCGAGCCCATTCACCATCTTCACACTTCCCACAGAATCAATTGATGACTCCATCGAAGCCACCTCCGAGGAGGAACGGGATAGAGAGCACTATGGACTTTCGGTGACCCCATCCGAATGCCCATCTAGCGAGGCCCGGGACTTCTGCAACCTTAGCAGCACCTCGGCCAGTGTCAGCGAGTACGACGACTTGGTACACGCATCGGGTAGTGCAGAACTCGATCTCTTGCCGTCTCCTACTTCTCAGGCTGACTTAAATCTCGAGGGTCGACCGCGTCCAGAGAGATGCAGGAGCTCGCACGGCAGAGGTGCTCGCAACTCTCGTACCGCCAAATCGTCGACGTGGCTGGTTAATCTCCTTCATGAACCCTCATCCATGCTAGCTCAAACCCACGATGAGAGTCGCCTCTTTCATCACTACACATCCTATCTCTCAACACAGATGGTCCCAATCGACTCAGCACACAATCCCTGGAGGTCTACGTACCCAGTCATTGCGGCGCACCAAGCATTATCGTCCAATCAGCGAAGCCGGTCTTTGTACCACGCGATCATCGCGATGTCGGGTCTGCATCTCGCCAACCTAAAAGGCTCGGAGCACGGCACGTACGAAGTGATGACTGCAACGCGTTACTATGGAATGGCGCTCCGCTCAGTCCGAGAAAGCTTGAGCGAACCCACTGCCAGCGATTACAACTGTGTCCTCGCTGCCCTGATCGTGATGACTCTGGCAGAGCATGCTTTTGAGGCCGCAGGCTCTTCTCGCGGTTGGCGCACCCATCTTGCGGGTGGACTACGTTTCATCATGCATCATCTCGCGCAGGACCGAAACCCCTGGGCTCGCGGCCACGATGCCTGGGTCATGACGCAGACGTTGGCCATGTTCGCAATCATCGCACAGACTACCAGCAATCACTCGAGAACGTCGACCGGTTCTTTAAGCGAGATCAGCCACGTCCTGCACGACGCCATGGCGCACCCACGCTTCGGTTACACAGTCGGTGGAAATGCGCGCCTGCTCAATGCCATCTATCAAGTTCGATACCTCGAGGAGCAAATCACCATGGCTCGAGCCGTTCAGGATGCCGCGGCCGACGCGCCGATTCGCCGGGAGGCTGAAAAGATTATGCGAGAACTCCATCTCAGCGCTTGTGACGACGACGTCGACACGTATCTGAGCGGGACAGATACATCGTCCAAAATGCGAGGTCAGGTCAAGATGCATCTTGATTTGTTTGCCGCTTCGATCCGGATCTACTGTCAGAGGAATGTGCTGCACGCCCCACCTTCCGCCGTGGTCGACTATGTGCACCAAGTGCTGACCCTTGCAAACGCACTCATGGATGCTGACTGTGGTGCCGTCTTCATCTGGCCTGTCATGGTTGCGGCAGTGGAAGCCTACACACCCGAGTCACAGGCTCTGGCAAGGCGTTTCTTCGACCGCGCAGAGAAGCGCGGTGGCGCAAATCGCAAAGCCATGCACCGAGTGATACGTCAAGTCTGGACGGATCGAGAGCGTCTAGCATCCGAGTGCTGTTGCGACTCGGGCGATGTGGCCATCGATTGGCGCGAGGTCATGGAGAGCCTAGGTGTAGACATTTTGCTATTATAGGCACATTGTATCAAATATGCTATTTATTCCATCTATGCTGTTTGGACCATCGGTGTCACCATATCTAGTTCCTTCTCCAGTTTGTCGTACGCCCTTTTCATGACCTGGACTATAACTCGCAGTTCATCCTCAGTCACGTTATATGGAGGCGCAAGCAGAACGTGGTCGCCCTTGGTGCCATCAACGGTAGCCATGCCCGGATATACGGCGACACCGAGGTCAAAGACCATCGATTGATAACGTACACCGATGGCCATCTGGGCAGGGAACGGTTCGCGGGTAGTTTTGTCCTGAACGAACTCGATGCCCCAGAATAGCCCGCGTCCACGTATGTCGCCCACCAACTTTACGTCTGAAAAGGTTTTCTTCAGGAGACTCTCAAGTAATTTACCTCTTTGGGCGCAGACTTTAATCAGCCCGTCACGCTGGATGATCTGCTGGACCCGAAGTGTGGCTGCACACCCGACGGGATGCGCTTGATAGGTATGTCCGTGATTGAAGCTGCCTGTATGCTTCCGTAGGACATCGACGACACGCTTATGAACAAGCAGGCCTGCAATGGGGCTATAGCCGCCACCCAAGCCTTTCGCGACTGTCAAGATATCAGGGACTACGCCCTCCCCTTCTTGTTCGAAAGCGAAAGGAGTTCCGGTCCGTCCCATACCACACATAACTTCGTCGAGAATCAAAAGGATGCCGTATTTGTCGCATATCTGTCTTACGCCCTTAAAGTACCCTGCAGGTGCGGTCGTGCAGCCGCTCGTGGCGCCAACTATGGTTTCCGCCATGAATGCGACGACGGTATCAGGACCCAGCTCTTGGAAATGTGCATCGAGTTCGGCGAGCAGTCGTGCTGTGAAGTCTTCATCAGTCTCTCCTTGCTTGGAGTACTGGTAGGCATATGCAGGCGTTACCCAGGACACATTGTCTTTTTGAAAACAAGTGAACGGCACTTTGCGAGGAAGATTGCTGGAGATATTCATGGCACCAATCGTGCTACCATGAAAGCCTTGCTTTCGGGCCACGAATTTCGTGCGTTGCGTTTGTCCCTGCTCGAAGAAGTATTGTCTTGCTAGTTTCATGGCAGCGTCTGCCGCCTCGCTGCCGCTGTTGACGAAAAGCGCTTTCTCGAGGCCGAACCGAGCGCCTCCTTGAGGGCCGTGGATGAGAAGCTCAGCGAGTTGCTCGGCGGCAGGGGTTGTGTAGCTCATTGAGTGGATGTAACTGGCACCGGTCTTCATCTGCCGCGTGACTGCCTCGAGGACTTCTTCGTTGCCATGGCCTATGCAGCATACTGCTGCTCCGCCGCACGCATCGATGACTACTTGTCCGGAGGCGAGCGTTAAGTAGATTCCCTTCGCTGTCACGACTTCGTGAGGCCGATGGTGCACTGACCGATGAAGCATAGCTGCGGAGCTGGGACTGTCGGTCACTTTCGACGATGGCATGTCGACATCTGCGACATGAACGCCGTTCTTAAGTTCATGGTTTATCGCCATTGCAGGATCTTGCCGTGAGATAGCTGCTGACTGATGGATGCTGAGCAGGGGTTCAGAGACTCAGTGGGTGACGATGCGCAAAGGAGTGAGCAGTTGTCAATATGTGCACTTGGAAATCAAACAAAGATTGCAATGCTCTTTGTGGAAGAGGGAAACTGCGATAGACCCGCCAGTTTATATAGCACAACAGAATCTGATGATTTGGCCATGTCTGACTTCGTTCACCTGGAGAGTAACTCATAACGAGTGAGGTTGATGCGGCAGCAATGCTAGGGTCTGGACGGGTCAGCCGGTGGCGTCTACCTACTCACGCTATCTTGAAGCGCGGAAGTCCCATCATAAAAATGCAAGTATGACTCTCAAAAAGCGTCTTGCCGCGAATATTGGGCCCAGGTTCTCAAGAGAGGCTCAAGGCAAAAAAGTGCCCCTTCCACAGATGGCAGCTCACAACGAAAAGCGGATCTGGTGGACTAGGCCCAAGACAGACTCGTCCTCGGCTCCAGGACCCTGTTTTGGGCCCTTACACTTTGATCTCTGGTCGTGTCGAGAATAGGAAGTCTACAAGAAGGAGTCACTCTGGGCTGGACCGTGCAAATTCAGATATCGACATCTTCGTTTTACCGTAATACGAGTCTTAGTCCCTCGATTGTCCTTGCCGAGCGACCAAACAAGTGAGTGGGATGAAGAACGAATGGAAGAGCAGCGGAACATCCAATGCAGCGGCAATTGCTCCCCATTGGCCCGACGTCATAAGCCCTGGAGTCGGTGGCCTGTTACCTCAGAACTGTGTTTGTACGCAATTAATGTTTCCCGACTCTTTTTCTTTCAGCAAACGGAATGATCAGACTTCACTTCACTTATAGCCCAGGCCGGTGAATCTTTCAATCAACTATGCTTCCTCCTTCCAGATGACCTCCATGCCAATGCGCAAGCTGCCCATAGCCGCCTCCCGCCCATCGACGACTTCTAGATGGCTTTGCCCGCCTCCGTCCGGGATGCAAGTCCCTCGCCGTCACAGAACTACTGCGCCCGGTAGCACTTCCTTGCGACAAATACTGCCTAGAAGATATCTAGCACAGGTACGGCCGGAACCAGTATCAGAATTATGGTTCACAGCGGCCTCTCCACGCCTTGGCCCTGCCGACGAACTGCTAGGCCGTTCTACGCCTGGAAATAATGAAGACCACAAACCGCCGGATCAAAGGCTGCTGAAGTTAGGAAAGAGTACGTTACTCCTTATTCCCAGAGACAGTCCAATGGGCTGACAGGCTCCAGCACTACGAACCTTATCTCCTCTCCTACCGGACATCCTCACGACTCCATTGCCTCAAGAGATCCTCGCTCCAGAAGTATCGCTACACTTATTTCCCTCGACACATCCTCATTTGCCCGCAGTCAAAGGACGGATGGCATACCGTGCAGCGCTCTTTACAGCTCCTGTCGCTTGGGGTTGTGTGCCGATTGTGGGCAATGTCAAATTGAAGGTTGTCTCAGAGAAGATTGTCCGAACAGGACTAGCTGGTATTCCGCTCCCAGAAGATGAGAATACAGATTTGAGCGCAGAAAAGCTGGTGGTACGATGGAAAACAGAAGCCAAACAAAATGGCAACGGCAATAATGCAACAGCTGCTTCCTCGGCGGCACAATCAAACGAAATGTCTCATGGCGGCATCAACAAGGGCCTTTCGAAGGCCCTTGGAGGGGACAAGCCAATCATCAGTCTCAACAAAGGCGATGAGTTCACTGGGCTGTTCATCTTCACGTTCGACTCCGAGGGAAGGATCGCCAGCCACACCATCGAGCATGCAGATGAAAACAGCGGATTCGACAAGACAAGTAAAATGGTCACTCTGACCGATTGGCTGCTGGGAAAGGCCAAGTGGAGTCGAATGAGAGAGAACGAGCAGGACCTGGTACCAGGATTGGCCATGAGGGTGTGCAGGCAAGAATGGAACGACAACAGACGGTTCGCCAGAAGCCGCTGACGAAGGGACGAGCCTGGTCGCAAATCTACTTTTTGAGCCCTTGTGCCATCTCCTAATGTGTAACACCACCTGATGCTGATCGATGACTTGCACAGTTGTCTCGGTCTTGCAGGACTCTACTCTTGCGAACGAATTTAACGACATTGCTGAACTGACGAGGGGTGAAGCTCACCATATTCACTGTACATTTCAAACATAGGGACGAATGGCTCGCTGCATGAAGCTGAAGGCTTAGAACTGTGTCCATACTATCATGACATGATCACTCCACTATCAATATGACCATTTCCGATTGGAGCAAAGATGGACGCGAGTTGTCTGTGTCTACGATCACGCACACAATTGCGAAGAGCGTTTGTTGCTGGAAAAATATGATACATTGCTTTTCAGATCATAATCTGTCAAGCAGAGTAGAGCACCTTACCCGTTTATCCGTTCGTAAATACCCCTCGCAGCCCCCTGGCCCTAGCTTTGTGTCGCTCATACCGTGTCTTCAAGAGCAAGGACCTGCAAGCAACACAGTCAGTACGCGGCACATCAGGATTAGAATGGATGTAGACTCACCAAAGCGCTCCTCGTGGGAAGGTACACCTGTGTAAAGTTCTTGCGGCCATTCCAGGGCATGTCGGTTGTGAAAAATCTGGTATCCTTCGCATTCCGTCCCAGGCCACCGTATTGCGGGTCATCTGTGTCGATAATGATTCTATACACGCCTCCGTGTTCCACGCCAACACGGTAATCTGTGAATGACTTGTGGGCGTTAAAGTTGAAGATCCACAGCAGGCCCGCTCGCTCGAAGACGAGCACCTTGTCGGTCTCGTTCTTGAGAGAAATGTACGCCTGAGGGGAGTGCAGCCAGCCGTATTTCTCCTCGTTCCATTGCATCGAGTGGTCGAATTCGTTGAGGAACTTGTACCGCAGCAGATGGTCATCCGGAAGATTGAATTGGCGGCGGGCATACCAGAACGAATTGTCATTACCGGCGCGAGGGAAATCAAGCCACTCGGGGTGACCGAACTCGTTACCCTCGAAGTTGAGATAGCCCTCACCTGCAAGGCCGTGGGTGATCAGCCGGATCATCTTGTGTAGGGACATGGCGCGCTCAATGACTGGAGTCAGGTCCGTCAGCACAGACATGTGGGTGTATATTTCTTTGTCGGCGAGCCACATCATCAGCGATTTGTCGCCGACTAGGGCTTGGTCGTGAGATTCGCAGTAAGCAATGGTCTTCTCGCCATGTCTTCGGTTCGTTAATGTGAAAGCTATGTTGCCGAGGTCCCACTCGTCGTCCGGCTGCTCCTTTACCAGCTTGATATACATGTCCGGTACAGCCATGGCAAGTCGGTAATCGAAGCCCACGCCGCCTAATGACAACGGCAGGCACAATGCAGGCATGCCTGAGACGTCTTCTGCAATTGTTATGGTTTGTGGGTGGAGGCTGTGGAGCATCTCGTTTGCTAGCATCAGATAGACAACGCCGTCTTCGTCCACACCAGGACCGAAGTATTCGTGGTAGCCACCTGAGAAACCCGTACCAATGCCGTGATGAGTGTACAGCATTGAGGTAACACCGTCGAAGCGGAATCCGTCGAATTGGTAGGCCTCCATCCAGAATCTTAAATTTGAGAGCAGAAAGCGCAGGACTTCGTGGTGGCCGTAGTTGAAGAGTCGTGAGTCCCACAGCTCATGTCGACCTTTTGCACCTTCGTGGAAGTATAGGTGGTCGCTGCCGTCAAGCTGGTTCAGACCATCGAGGACATTCTTGCTTGCATGAGAGTGTACGACATCCAAAAGGACGGTTATCCCCAAGCCATGTGCAGTATCAATGAGCTCTTTAAGGTCCTCAGGGCTGCCGTATCTCGAACTTGCTGCGAAAAATGAATTGACCTGATATCCGAAACTGGCATAGTAGGCATGTTCCATGACTGCCATCAGTTGAATGACATTGTATCCTAACCACTTGATCCTCGGGAGCATGTTCTTCGTAAACTCCTTGTAGGTCGCGACTCTCAACTCGGGAGACGAAATACCGACGTGTGCCTCGTAGATACGGACGCTCTTCGGATAGGGTGGTCGTGGATTCTTGAAGTGGTATACCTCTGACTTGGGTGGATTCCATAGCACTGCTTCATAAACAGGGGAGACTGACAAATCTTGTGTGACCCTTGTAATCCAGGCTGGTATTCTCTCGATCCTCGCTCCACCAGGAATGATCATGGACAGCTTTATTTTCGTGTTGTGTTGGATGACAGGAACGCCGTTCTGGGCGGGAAGATACAGCTCCCATACGCCATAACTGTTCTTCTTCATAGGATGCGAGTCCCTGTTCCAGTTGTTGAATTCTCCGACGAGGAAGGCTTGCTCGGCGTTGGGGGCCCATTCTCTTGATTGATATCAGCTTGTTGTGCCTCGAGGACGCAACCCAAGCACTTACCTGTATACTATATCGCCGTCCGTACTGAATGTGAACCCGAATGTTTCATACCCTCGACTGAACTTCTCCAAGCCTCCCTCTGTCTCATTAATCGTCTTGATCCATTGCTGGGCTTTGGAAAAGCGGTGTTTCAGGGCGTCTCGGTATGGCTCGAGCCACGGATCGAGCTGGATCACGCCTGGCCAGAAGTCAGAGACATTGGGCATATGCTGTACAAGAAAATCGATTCGTACCTGTGCCATCTGGAGGAACATCTCCAGAGGATGGTTGTGCCAACACAGAATTCTGGGAGGCTTCATGCAATGCCATGCTGGCAGGGTGTTGGAAGCTTGCAACCTTAGGACAGAATAGTCCAAACTAGAAGAGTCGCACTTCTTGAGGAATGAATTACACGATTGTCTAGACCTCCAGAAACTGTGGCCGATTTCTAGAGAGATATGTGGAGGGGTTCAGATATCCTGAGCTAGAAATCGTTGAGCTGTTTACAGTACCTGCGACTATTTCTGCGTCCTCGCCTACGAAGCCCTGAGTCCCAAAGTGCAGAGGTGGTATGACATCATTCGTTCTGTGGGGAAGCTTTCTAGGTGGCATGAGGGTGAGCCAGGGCACTGAGGGCACCCATAATAACTTCACCGTCCACCACCTAAAATGGGGTCTAAGGTCGAAGACCAATAGGCACTGACTTGGCGGATCAAGATCGCCGACTCTTCGCTCCGACTCCAATGCTTCAACATCCATTCATCTTATCGTCGCTGGCCGATGTGACTCAGTGAGAACTTCGTTGTAGGAACGACTTCTGCAATTCCGCCGCAGCAATGCAGGCTCTGGGCGCGTCGCCGTTCTTCCTCTGCTCGGCGCTCGAGGGGACCATGGCTGCCTCGACGAACTCCGCACCGCATCTACTGCGATCCTCGTCCATTGCACTAAGTAAACGATTGTTATCGAGCAGCAATCGTCAGCTTTCCTCTTCTGAATTCCATCGCTCCGACTTTGCCAACCAGCCGTTCACTGGCTCCTACGAACCTGGAACGCCTACGAGTGGCCCACTCGGAGGCGCATCCATCTATGGCACGCCACGACTCACACCGAAAATGCTCAAGCAGCATCTCGACCAATTCGTGGTCGGCCAGGAGCGGGCCAAGAAGGTCCTTAGCGTTGCAGTATTCAATCACTATCAAAGGATACAAGAGTTGCAGAGAAGAGAAGAGGAGGAAGAAGAGCTGATGGCCCGGCGAGAGAGAAGGGAGCGCCATCCTGTTGAGGACGAATTCCCTGGTCAACAATCGACGATTCGCATGGGCGGAGGCCAGCCACCAGCATTCGATCCCCGAACGAGTGGTACACCGTTAGTGGACACAAGTCCATTGACGTTGGAGAAGTCAAACATATTGCTTTTGGGCCCAAGTGGTGTAGGGAAAACGTTGATGGCTAAGACATTAGCACGTGTGTTGTCAGTGCCTTTCTCGATGTCCGACTGTACCCCATTCACTCAGGCTGGATATATCGGCGAGGATGCTGAAGTCTGTGTACACCGATTGCTGGCTGCGTCAAATTATGATGTTGAACGAGCCGAAAAAGGTATAATATGTCTTGACGAAGTCGACAAAATTGCGACGGCAAAGGTCAGTCATGGTAAAGATGTCTCCGGGGAAGGTGTACAGCAAGCATTGTTGAAGATCATCGAAGGTACAACCATTCAGATACAAGCAAAGCCCGAACGAAATGCACCACGAGCTGGTGGGCAGTCCCAATCATATCCGACCAACAGCCCGTTAGGTGCTGGTTATTCTGCTGGCTCGACAGGCGCTGCAGCAACTCCCGCCAAAGGTGACGTCTACAATGTCAGGACTGACAACATTCTTTTCATATTCAGTGGAGCCTTCGTCGGGCTCCAGAAGCATATCATGGACCGTCTGATGAAAGGAAGTATCGGATTTGGAGCCAGCGTCCGTTCGAGCTCCAACCTGCACTCGTATGCTCGTGACCAGAAATCAACGAGCCATGCTCCAGTGCCGATACTGCCCGGCTCCCAGGAGGAGGAACTATATAAAAAGCATTTGCCATTTTTCACCCCTACTGCGGCACCTGAACAAGCATCACCCGATGGAAATCCAATCGAACCGAATTACTTCAACCCGCTAGATCTGGTCATACCGGCCGACCTGCAGTCTTATGGCTTCATTCCCGAGCTTGTTGGCCGTATACCTACAGCTGCCGCTTTGGCTGCCCTTACACATCCGTTGCTACTGCGCATCCTCACCGAACCTCGCAACAGCCTTGTAGCCCAGTACGTTACACTATTCTCGCTTTCGGGTATAGAACTGCGTTTCACCACACCGGCTTTGCATGCTATCGCCTCGAACGCGCTCACAATGGGGACAGGAGCACGTGCTTTGCGTACTGAGATGGAAACCATTCTTGGCGATGCCATGTTTGAGGTACCGGGAAGCAGCGTGAAGTATGTTCTTGTCACAGAGCGTGTAGCTAAACGACAGGAGGGCGCTGTCTACTTTGGCAGGGGTCAAGGTGGAAAGTTTCATGCCATGATTGCTCAAGAAGAGGGCGATTGGGAGGACAAGCAGAAGCGGAAAGAGGACGGACGCAAAGCGGAGAGAATGACTGCTAGCTTTGAGGACTGGAGGACGAAATCGACTATTGCGGCTGGAAGCGGAGGTTGAAAGCCTGCTGTATTGGACATTGATGATTATGATGATTGACGACGAATGAACACATGGGAGCAATCTGGGGAAACTGCCTGCGTATTTTACAATTGCCGATGGCCGATACCACAACATCAGCAATGACAGAGCAGCTTCGCCTTGCTCCTTGGCGACGAACATCCTTCAGACTGAGGGAGGGCTCCCCTTCTCGCTGCTTCGCCAAAGATATCGAACTCTTCCTGTTCTGGTCGTCAAAAGTGTCGACATCTATATTGTACGATTCACATTTTGCTCTCAATCAGGAGTTATCTCGCCCCAACCCCGAGACTGCCGACGGTGTGACCTGACTGGAATACTTGATCACGATACGCATGAAGCATAGGGTTAAAAATTCGAAATCTTTCCTAGAGAGAGAATCTGCTACACCCGTCAGACTACGTCAGACTTGGGTGGCACGGATTTTGCTCGTCATGATGTCGGTTCAAGTCGTGCTCTTGGTATAGGCGCCTTTTTTGAGCGAGTCCGTTGGCAGCGAGCGGTGTGGCAGGGTGTGGCAGAAATATACGAAGTTTATAGGACAAACAAACAATGGCATGAGGCGGCCAACCGTCCATGTATGCAGAAACAAGTCCACAACTTACCCGGGAACCAAACGGCGGTCATGAATGATGATAGCTACTGCCGTCAATATATAAGTTCCTACGGTTGCCCAGACTGTGAGACCCTGGTATACTAGGACAGGCTTAACAGGTGACGTCCCTCCGTGAAGAATGTCGATCAGCCGTGTCTGGGATGCTCTGCACTGCTATTGTATCAATACCCACGTGTAACAAAGTAATACTATGTTTGCCAAAAGCTTCCTGCAACTCGGTGGTAGAAATGAGGCTGTACAGAAAAGGGGGCCGTTCCGAATGTGGGCCGTTTGGCCGTTTGCCGCATCTTCGCCGAGTGGCCGAAAAGGGAGACATTCTTCGACCTGCAGTAAGATGGCTTAACCACTCTTTCTGCATTGCTTGCCTGTTTGCTACATCTGCGTTTTTCTATTTTTAATCTTGACAACAGACGCGCTGGTCGCTACTCAGTTGTTTTTTTATATCCGTTTGCTTCGCTCTGCCAAAAAGTACAAAAGTCGGCGTTCTCGTATACCATCTCCTCCGCACACGACACAGCTGCGCACCATGGAACCCGTACCTGGTCAACAACGGACGAAGGTTCTACGAGTCCTCTTCATATCTCTGTTACTCGACTTGGTCAGTGCACACTCATGAAGAGACTGAGACTGGCTACTGACCAAGATAGATCTCGTTCACGTTCATTCTGCCGCTCTTCCCTTCTCTCCTCACGTTCTATCGCAGTCTGGAAACTCACCCCTCGTCGGCGCTTAATCGCATACTCCATTACCTGAACGCATACAAGCAATCGTTCGCTGTTCCGATCAATGAGAAATACGATATTGTACTCTTGGGCGGCGCACTTGGCTCCTTGTTCTCATTCCTCCAGGCCATCGCCAGCCCCATCATTGGTCGCGCATCGGATAAATATGGCAGAAGAACAGCGCTGTTATGGAGCATGTGCGGGAACATCGCAAGCGTAGCACTATGGTGTGTTGCCGTAGACTTCAGGACGTTCCTGCTGAGCAGGATCGTCGGCGGTCTGAGCGAAGGCAACGTCCAGCTCGCTACGGCCATTGCGACGGATATCAGTACGGACGAGCAACGGGGATCTACTATGGCTCTTGTCGGAGCTTGCTTCAGCGTCGCATTCACTTTCGGGCCGGCACTGGGAGCGGCCCTGGCTAGTGTCACCACAGTCATCGCTAATCCTTTCGCAACGGCGGCGGGGTTCTCCCTTTTGTTGATTGTCGTTGAGACGCTGTACTTGTACTACGCTCTCCCGGAGACACGGCCGGCGAAGCCATCTACGTCAACCAAGTCCGCAGCTGGCGCCATAATTCTCAAGCATACCAACAGACCGGCACTCCTGAACGCCATACACTTCTTCTTCCTCCTGCCCTTCTCCGGCCTGGAATTCTCGCTGCCATTTTTGATTACATCCGTACTCTATCCGGATCACCCTTCGCCTTCCAAACTGAATGGGAGACTCCTCGGTTTCGTCGGGTTGATCGCCTCTTTACTCCAAGGCTCGGTGGTGCGGCGTCTTCCTCCACTGACTGTGGTGAAGGTGGGTATGGTATCTTGTACTATAGCATTCTTTTTGCTTTCCAGGGTTGAGGATTCAACAGGCTTGTATTGCGCTGGCGCTTTACTTGCAGTCACTTCGGCTACAGTTGTGACGGGTTTGAATAGTCTCGGGAGCTTCGAAGCCAAGGAGAGCAATAGGGGCGAAGTCCTTGGGTCGTTGAGAAGTTGGGGACAGTTTGGAAGAGCACTGGGGCCTATTGTGTTCTGCAGTCTCTTTTGGTGGGTTGGTCGTGAGACTGTTTATGTCGTGGGCGGTTGTTGTATGCTGGGAGTCACGACGGCGCTGTTCACGCTGTTAAAGGCACCTAAGATTGAACAGAAAAGGTCTTGAATAGGAATACTTCTTGAAAAGTTGGATGGGAATGGGAGCGTTGGATGTATCAGAGGTCAGGAGCACAGAATCATCCAATACACGGATCTGAAGAATCACTTCCTAATCAGGCCAATTCTGCATTCTGCACTGCCGGTAGTCTCGGTGACAATCCTGTATACCTGTAGTGACGGTAGTCCATGTGACAATTCTGTATGATTCTGTAGCAGAATAATTCTGTATATCTGTAGTGACGGTAGTCTAGGTGACAATTCTCTATGATTCTGTAGCAGAATAATTCTGTATATCTGTAGTGCCGGTAGTCCGGGTTCTGGCATTCTGTATTCTTGGCGTCGGTAGTCTGGGTAGCATCTCGATCCATGATGATGTTATGACCTCCTTTTCGAGTCATACGCCCAGACATTTCGACTGGCCCGGTAGCAGTGGGTAACGCTGCCACCGTCGCATGAGAGAATCGCGGACAGGACAAGCCAGGCCGGGAGGGCGTAAGCAACATACCATCCTCTCATCCAATATACGTGCCAAGCCGGCCAAACTCCTCCTCCGTCCTAAGTCTCTCCATGTCCTCCCCCCTCAGACATACTCCCACCGCGATCTCACCACCCAGCGCCTTCGGTAGGAAATACACCAGTCCCTCCCTGGCGCCCTGGGTGAACCGCGGTCTCCGCACGGCACTTGGCTTGCCGAAACCAAAGTCAAGATCGTAGCACTTCTCCTTGGCCCAAGAACTCAGCCGCACGTCAAGCTTGGGCACGCTCGAGGTCGCGAACGCCGCCATGTCCTTACCGCCTTTGATTCGAGTTGCTTGCAGCCTCGTCTGATGGCTCACTGTCGGGCCGTTGAGGGCCGAGCGAAGGCGGAGCGCGACAGAACCTACTGATTCCTGTACCAAAACATCGACAGGCGACGTGTGCACGGTCGAATGTGTGACAAAGCCTGGGTATGTGGGAGGGATGGACAAGCAGCGCCGCATGTCGACGTTTCGGGAGAGTGTTGAGGCGCGGCTTTGCTGGTCGGCCAAGTGTGCCATGCGTGCTCTGCATATTGACTGCCATGTGAACGCGCTCAGAACGTCGTCTGTCGAAACGAAGTTGTCTGCCGGGACTGCCTCCGTGGCGAGAGCTTTGAGGGCCGCAAGTGAGTTGGCAGAGAAGATAAAGTACGCCCACACCAGATGTTCTGGCGATCCAGGTTGCTTTGATTGTCCTTGTGATACAGTCTTTTTAGTATGCTTGGGCAACTCGTCATCACTGTCATCGTCGAGGATATCGATGATGGTCTTGCGATCCAGATTGCCAATGGCAATTTCTGAGGGTGTAAAGGGTTCATCGCGGCAAGCTTTTGCGAAAAGTCGCATGATTTGGGATTGACCAGCCATATCCATTGACCCGTGCTGGGCGTTAAAAGTGAGGAGAAGACCTCCTTTGATGAAGTTGGCTTGGATTAGAAACACTGGCAGCCCTGAAGTGCTCGTGTCGGAGTCTGCGAGTGTCCTGTGAGGTGCAATGATGTCCTCATTGAGCATGCTGAATGGGAAACTGGATCTGCTGAGGATGTCCCATGTAGGGAAGTCGGGGTCATTCCTCAAGTCTTTGACAACAAGAGCCAAGGAGTCCTGAGACTGGCGGATCTTGAATGCACCATTATCGCTGACGACGATTCCTGCGACCCATGGGAAACTCGCAGTCAGCCGATCAATCCCTCTCTTCAGGTTGTTGATGATCTTTGACTCAAGCAAGGGGGAGTCATTGGGAAGTCCGAAACATAACGTGACTTGAGTGTACAACCGATTGAGCCGGGGTTGTTGTGCCAGGACGTCAAGCTCAATATCTAACAGTTTGCCGCTCTCGTTGCCGGCTCCTGAATCCATCTTTAGGGACGATTATCAATCACAAACCCTGCTTTACATCGATACAGACGCGTCGGCTGCCATGTCCCAAAAGGAACCGCGAGCAGTACAAACCCGGCACAAAACTCACATGGCACACAAGTTTTGAACCTCTCCGACGGGTTTCCTCATGGGTTTGTTTGGGGCCTTCCGCGCCTCTTTCGACCGGGCCGGCGACGGCACCGGCCGCAGAGGGCTCGAGGCTATTTCAACTTCTGGAAAGACCACTTCGTCTGTGAAGCGACGGTGTCTAAGCTTCCCAGCGTACGTGATATTGCATGGACGCGCAGCTCGAAAAGGTATCACTTTATATATGCTTGAGAAGCAGCTGATGAGGGCCCCCAGATGATGGAGTTTGCGTTTCGCATCGGGCTCTCGGCGCTTGATACTCCGTCCACTGCACTGCAGGTATGCAAGTCATCCTGTCAGACGTCATTAAGCCGGTAGCAGCTCATCAACGTTGAAGGCCGTGGAGTTCTTAGGGAAAGATGTCAGACAGTCCAGAATGTCCATATTGTCTCACAGCCTCCGTCCGGCCTCAATCCGCAATTCAGGTCATTTTTAACATCGTGACATCCATCATACCGAAAATATCTCAAGCAATGTTCCTCACAATGTTACCGCAGCGGGCCGAGAGGAATATCCGCATTCTCAGTATTCCGTACTTGTACCTGAACGCAATCCTGAACTCAGTCAGAGGTCGGACCACGGACTTTGCAGAAGACCCATTGAATTGTGAACCTTCAAGGATCTACAACGGTATGTATGACGATATGACGGAGTCATCAACAACGGCATTTCCGGGTGCACAAGCAGATCCAGCAAGAGGCATGTGCCATACTCAGCATATAAACCACATAGGTGTTTAACTATGCGAGAGGTATGCTCTTGTGTAGTATCTTCACCCTTTACCTCCTCAGTTCCCATATCATTACCGCCAAAATGCATGTCCAATACCTTCTCTCCACTATCGCCCAAGTGGCAGCCCTCCTCGTCGGCTTCATGGCTACAGCAGCTGGCGTCCGTGGCATCCTCAAGCCCAACGACTTCGCAACCTCGTTCGGTCTTCCCTCGACAAGATCTCCAGCGTGGCTGTCCCAGCACGGCTCGGATTCCACGTCAGAGAAAGACACAGAACGACCAGCAACGCCGACATCGACATCTGAGACTCAGTCGGAGAATCCGTTCATAGCAGTTGTTGGAGTGCGCAACATCGCTCTGGGTCTGTCACTGCTTGTCTTCACACTGCTGCGGAACAAACAAACGACGGGCATCTTGCTTCTTTGCAACCAAGTATCAATGATTGGGGATACAATCATTACTCAACGTAAGGGTACGCCAGGATCATCGACGCATCATATTGTCGCTGGCGTTGTATTCGCATTGCTGGGAGGGTATATGGCGATGTCGAAGTAGGAGCATTACGTTGACGAGTTATGAATGGCATGATGGCATTACAAGGCGTTCCAAAACAGCAGGATAGGTGGCAACATAGATATGGTTCATGTATAATGTTTTGTCATTGAGACGCGCGAAAATGAGCGCTCGAGAAGCTGAGGACTTCAATCCGGTCATGAACTTCCTGGACACCGTGCATGCAGACCGTTGTACCCGAACACCGACCGCTCATTGTAAACGCCACCCAATTCTTTCCGTACCCATCATCAAGTCGAACGGTCTTCCGGAGAACTCACTCTTCCTCCAGACCCATCAACCTCCGCTCCGCATAGTCTCTGATCTTGTCCTCAAGCACAGCCCGATTCCATCTACCCGCAACTTTAGCAGCAGCCTCCAGCATCTTTCCGCTTCTGTCTTTCAGCAAGCCCACAATCTCCAAAGCTTTCATTCCCCGATCGTCACCCTCGCGACATTCAACCGCCAGCAACTGCAGCAGGATCTTGTCGACGTCAATCTCACGCTTCATGACCTCCGTCTTCTGTGCATGACCAGCCCGATCGCCGAGACCCTGAACCAAATCATCCACAAGTCCAAGCAAGACCGACGACCGCACGAACGCCTCTTCCAACCTGACCGCAGCAGCTGCATTTGTCTCTTCGTCCTCATCATCACCCTTCTCCACAGGTCGCGCCACGGGGATATGGAAATCGAACTCCGTCAGCAGCGGACGTGGGAAGTACGGACTCTTGTCCCCGCCCTTCAGAATGATGCAATGGAACCTTTCCGCAGCAACAGCGACAGGCCAGTACGTCTCCTCCTTCTTGCCATCCTTCAACCTGTCGAGCAACCTCGTGTCAAGTAGCGGCACCCACTTCGCCTGGCCTGGTGTCCGCCAGTGCATCAGCGTCAACAGTACGCCGTTACTGTCGTAAATGCAAGGGTCACCGGCGTCGCTCCAGAAGACCGTCTTCAAACTGACTTCCTCCTCCTCCGAATCAGGACGCAAAGTGCCCAACGCGAGGACATCCTCGTTCTGGCAATTCTCGTCCCGTTTCACATCGTCTATGCTGTACATCAACTGCGTGCAGCCGTCGGCTCCCACAGGACCATTTCCGACTGTCATGACATAGTCGTCCCAAGCGGCACAAGTAACGGCTGGACAACTCTTCATTCGCCATAATCGTACTGCCGTACCGAATAGTGTCCATACTCGCACGTAGTTCTTGTTGGTGACTGCGACGATATACCTGTCGCTGAGGGCGATGCAGTTTGCTTCTTCGCCTTCCGGCAGAGTGATGCGGGAGTCGGGTCGTGTTGTCCAAGTCTCGTGAGGTCGATAGAAGATCACTGCCGGTTGATCATCTTTGGCGGGACATGAAAAGAGTGTGCCATTTTTGTTGAGACATGCTTTGTCGTAGAGGAAGGAATCTGTAAAGTGGAAATCTCGGTACTCCTCGCGGTCGTAAAACTGGACCGTGACGGTGTTGTGTGTGTCTTGGTCGACCGTCCATACGAATCCAATCAGATTCAGACAGAGGTACTTTCGATTCCCCCGCCACGGGGTGGCGCCGGGCTGAAAAGGTTCATGGACCTGAGGCTGCCACAGCTCCTGCTTGTTGCGTTTGGCGGGAAAGCCTTTCACAGCACCGAGATGGCCGTTTGGTCTTTTGCCATTCTCGTTGATGTACCCGGCACCGTCATCGTCCTCAATCCAGTCATACTCGTCTTCAGGACCAAGCAGCTGGTCTAAGCTGTCGGGTGTACCAGCTCGTTTTCCCTGACCGTTTACGAGCGGTTTCCGGCCATTCACAGCTGCAGCCTTGTCCTCCAGAGGGTCGTGAAAGAAGGGTGCTCTTACTGGCGGACCATTCAGCAATTTAACATGTGCTTCGTCCTTGAGGAAGTTAGGAATGATAAAGAGCTCGCCCTGCGACGTTGTCCAGTTAAAGATGTTCTCTCCACCACTTTGCCAGGCGATATTGGTAATCTTTTCGTAGTTGAATTGTCTCAATATGTCTTGCGTTTTGGTCTCCCATATAATAAGTTGATCATCTGCACTTGCACTTGCCAACAGGGCACCATTGGGTGACCAAGCCAGAGATGTGATGTCCGCATTGTGTGCTCCTGAGAATATCCGTTGATGTGCTCCATCCTCCACTGATATGACTTGTATTTCTCTTGTGGGTGTCGCACATGCAAAGGCTCTTCCATCCGGGTGCCACACGCATCTCGAGGTAGCCGCCTCGGCGGTCTCCAGGCGTTTGATGACTCCATCGATGGTTCTGAAAAGGGTAGGCTCGGAAGCAGCCATGGCATAGACGTAGATCAGGCCATTCGTACATGAGGCAGCGAGATAATTTCCCGTGGGATCGTATGTAATATGCTTGATTGGCTTCGGGTGGTCTCGTAGGATCGTGATCTGTTCAATGTCATGTCGGTTGACAATCTTGATCTCGAGTTCACTGGCAAAGTCAGACATAGGCCGTGGTGGGTTTGCGTCAGACTTACTCGCTACAGACAGCAATCCAGTTCTGGTCCGGAGACAGTGCAATATCTCGAATCGGTAACGTTGTCCTCACAAGTATCTGCTTGAGATCTCCAGATGGTACAGCATATTCGCAGACCGTCCCATCTTCGCATCCTAGAATCACATAATCATTCTGGTGTTTGTCAGTCACAATTTCTCTGTATTGTTTCCGGAGCACATACTCCTGAGGCTGCGGCAAGAGTCTCCTCGTGGGTCTCTGGCAGCAGATCCGGTTCGCCGTTGTCACCGGTTCTGAAGGAGCGGGCGAAGTTCCCTACTCCGGCGACGACCAATCTCTGGCCGTCTGGAGAGTATTGTAGATATGTAGGACCAGGAGGCTGAGCAGGGCGGCCCGGAAACGGGGGTCGTTCAGGCATTGTATCTGTGTGCTATTCTTTTAGGTCGCTGAATGATTCTTCCCAGGTTCCAATGCTTCAAAAGAGTACTACGCAGGCAACTAAAGAGAACGCGCGACGCGTGCCAGACGACGCGTTCCCCGCATCGAAGGGAGCCTCGTGCGGGGAGAAATTCATATTGCGAGGCTCAATATTCACTATGCCGCCATCTTCAGACTACCGACGGAGCCTGTTTCCAGAAAAACGGGCACCGTCTGAAAGGCCGCACGTCGAAGACACAAGTTCGAGGTCAAGCTGGTTGACAACAGTCGACGCCTCGACTGCAAGATAGCAGCACCGTACGGTAAAGCTGATGGCCTTCCACAGGCTAGAGGCCATTGTTGTATCGTTGTGTGTGAAGGACTCTGGGATGACAACAAGAATGGCAATTACTTGAACCTGGTGAGCTACATCGGTCAGACTGTGCCACTTTTTCTGGAAATAGGCTTGCGACATTCTATCACCAGCGCACGTCCCGTACCGAAATGGTCTCGATCACCTCCAAGCAGACTTCATGATCACCACCAAGTAGCACTCTGCAACCACCCTGGGTGTCCTTGTGAGAAGCATATCAGGGTAAAGTATGCAGCCGGACTCTTCCAAACGATAATCCACATCCTCAATGCTCTGCTGTACAAGATGTTGCAAGAAGCTAAAAGCTCGTTCGGAGACTTATCAAGTGATACAGTCAGCATCATATATGGCCATCTTTGACACGACCAGATGCAACTGTTATTCAGACCTCATACCCATAAGGTCTTCGAGCTCGAACAAGTCGTATGCACGAGCTCCTTCTTTCGCAGTATATGAACTTCCAACATGAATTTCCGGCGACAAAGGACGCTGGCATAGAGAAGGAGGCGACATGGAGGCTTAGACACAGTGCTCTCAATCGAAGCACTTCCACGTAGAGACGATAATGGTGCTCTGTACATTGTACAAACTGTAATACAATCTGCACCTTCGGAACAATTTGGAGTCGTCGCAGTCACTTCACACTGGAATTGAACCCAGACTTGACCACAAGTCCTAAGGCAGTCGAACGTTGTTCGCTTTCAGGTGTGTGGGAGAGGCCTGTTCCCAGTAAACGAGGTTTTGCACCAAATACCCCTCGATGGCACACTCGGCGGACACGGACTTTCTTCCAAGGCCCAGTCCAAGATCACAAGAGTGGGTGGTTGCTCCTTGAATAGGACGAGAACACGACCGTACATGGTTGGTACTTGCATGACCACAGCCCTTGGTACAAGTTCGCCCATCTTCGATGGTTTGAAAATTGCTTTCTCAGAAATCCATCTCAAGCCTCAGGTTTCGGGCGGAGTGGTGGTTGGCGGCTGCTGCGGCGGGTACAAGCATTGCCGGACATGTGAGATGACATCCTGAACATACTCTCGTCCTTGAGGAAGGACACCATCCATGTGCATGAACGGATGTGGAACGCCTCTGAATCTTCTCGTGACGATCTTATTACCTGCTTCTTCGACCTTTCTGGCATAAGCTTCAGCCTCATCTCTTAGTGGATCGACCTCTGCGGTCGCAAGGTAAGTCAAGGGCGCGAGCTTCGTAAAGTCTGGAGCATTCATGGCGTCGGCGAACCAGGAAATATCTCGCTTCTGTTCTTTGGGTTTGGTGCCAGGGTGTAGGCTGGACAGAGATATCCACTTGAAAGTGTCAAACCACTTCAACTTCTCCCAGTTGAGGAGTGGCGCAAATTCGGCCTCTCGCATACTAGGCCAGGGGCTCATTTCTGGTGTTGCATATTTGCGCACGTCGCTGATGGTGGGTGTTCCAACGATGACACCTTTCAGTCTGTCACTAAAGCCGGCATCCCTGTATAGATGATTCAGGATAAGGGCAATCGTTGCGCCAGATGATTCTCCTCCGAAGGTGATGTTGTTCGCATCGATGCAAAAGGTTTTATGGTTCGTCAGGATATGCGCCACGGCTGAGAGACCGTCCATGATTCCGATCGGGAAGGGATACTCTGGGATCAAGCGGTATTCGACGTCTATTACACAGCAGGGGACGGAGGCGCATATGTGATGGCAAATGTGTGCGTCGGTCTCGAGATCACCCACAGCCCAGCCTGCGCATGTCAGTCCGAGCAAGACATACAAAACATAGCATGCATACCTCCACCATGAAAATTGAAATGTACCGGCCATACTTTGCGCTGGCCTGGCTCTTCTCCTGGTGGTACATAGACTCTTACACTGATGTCGCCTGGATATTTGTCCCAACCCGGCACTTGAGTCTCACCGATGCCACCTACGCCTGTCGCTGGGGCCGTCGCATACGAATACAGGGCCGAATAGTTATGACGAACGACGTTGAGGTCTGTCGACATAGGAGGCCCATTCGCGATGTAGGCATCGTACAATTTGACAAAGGCAGGATCGAGTCGATCGACCACCGAAGGATGAATAGGATTATGCAGAGGAATTGTGGGCGGTTGAGAGCCGTCATGGGCGACATCGTGCATGTGAAGATCGTGCGAGTTCATCTTAATGGAGGGCTAACAGCATGGTCTAGCACCAGTTCTGCCAGACCCCGTCCGGGCCTTGAAGGTCAGTGAGAATACCAAGAAGGCAGAGGCGTGACTGAATAATAAAGCAGTCGTTGCTTCATGAGGAGCACGTCCGTCGAAATGACCGCGGCGGCTGCATGCGGAGGGGCAAAAGTCTGGACTTGATGAATGCCGATACAGGCCGGGAAGAGTGCAGACTCGTGTGCCCTAAAGTGCCCCTCGGAGATGATCTGACTGGGCTGGTTCGCAAGCGAGGAACGATGATTGGGCTCAAAGTCCGGTGGAGATCTTGGGGTGGACTATCTTCCAGGTTGTCATCTGGTCGCCTATGATGCGGAGAACCAGTGCTAAAGTGATCCAAAGCCAAAAGTCCGGAGATCTCAAAATCTTCTTACAACCACTGTGTCTGTCTCATACCTCTCCTTGTTCCGGACATACTTGTACAACCACAAAAATGCCTGATATAGGCAGCAGAACCATGGTCCTCAGCTTCTCGCACAAGGTGACAAGGACCTCCAGCATTGACAACCAGCTCGCATTGCAGGAGCCTGAAAGCATGTCAGACAGATACGGGATGATCAGCACTCGCGAATCATGTTCACCTGGGATCAAAGATGCGAAAGGATTCTGAGTGATGACCAGGCTGACATATCTTCTCGTACCTGACGATTGATTCTCCTCCACTTCAACCCCTTCTGAAACCAGAAGTCATCGATGTCCCCATCAAGATCGATCTCACCCATGTGCGATAGTTCGGTGCAAGATCGCATGGAATGTCCTATGCATTGTGACTGGTCCATGTTTGACGACAGCTGACCTCAGGTCCTGCCTCCTCAGGTTGGATCTCATTATTTCTCACTCAGTTGCGAGGCCTCCCAATCAACCTTTGACTGCAACCAGCCAACTAACACTTTGAGATTAGCACTTCGTTATCGATGTTGCCGTTGTCCCCGAGTGGGTTTCCATCACCGTCGGTCAATCCTTCGTCCTGAGAACGGTCGCCGCTTCAATGCCAGTCACAACTCCATCAGCCCTTCACCGAGTTCGACTTGTTCTCGTCACTCTTCGGGCACCTCCTCTGCGATGCTTTGGGCCGATCGAGCTTTCTCCCCACCTCTCCCAGTCCCTATACTTCTCGTTCTGCTTATCCCTCCACCAGCCATCATTGCAGTCATACCCAGCAACCTCTTCAGACACCGGGGTCTGTCGACTCAACGACCCACAATAACTGTCTTCCTTGTACCACCATCCCTCTATCGGCTCGTTTTCCCACGCTTCGGTGGCTAGTGGGGACAAGCCATCAAGTCGCAACGCCTTACAGGTCTGGATGATCAGGTTGATCTCTGCCGGAGTGTAACGCTCGGTTTTCGCCTTGCGGGAGAGTGATTTTGCGAGATCTGCGGCGTGTGTTTCATGGTGTTTGGGTATCTTCTTTGTGCGAACTGTCGCCTCATGAAGCTGCATGATGAGTTTGCATGTGCTGCCCTTGACTAGAAGCCCAGGTGGGGAAGACGTAACGAGATAAGGTGGGTAGGCGTCCATTTTGATGTCAACACTTCTGATCTGTGTCTCGGTTGTTTTCGCGAAATTTTGTAAACGTGTGTTGCTGTTGGCTCCCATGTCCCTCTTCTTTCCGTTTCCTTTCCTACTCTTGCGTATGTAAAGCTGCGATCGAGTATGGCAAATCCTTCCACGAGACCCATCAGTGGCCGGTACACCAACAATTCCAAATTTCACTGTCATGTCGGAAGATAAAACCTTTCAACAAGTTGGAATAGATGTGGTCGGGCGGTGTAGTGGTACTGGCAGAATGAATGTATCACTGGTTCCTGATGCATAGACGTTTAGCATGTTTCGATCTGGAAATTCTTACCAATGCAAGGCAGGAAGACGAAGCGCGGTCATTCACCAACAGAGATGCATCAACAGCTGGAGTTCACTTCAATTCACTTCGAAGGTGTTTCGTAACTTCTCTAGGCATTTACAAAGTGTTCACAGCGACCGCAGTCGGCAGTGACATACATAAAGACAAGGGTATGCGTACCATCTCACGGACTTCACAACACCCGAATAATCCTCGTTCACTGATCGCCGTTCACGGCCCCATTGGTCTTTGCATGCTCCCTCTCCTCTGGCAGTGTCAACGATTTTTGCGGTTTCATGCCCAACAACCCTGTTGCATCGACTAGACGCGCATTTGGGTTCAACTCCAGACCAAAGCCAGGCTTGTCCAAAACGCTGACGTCTAGATAGCCTTTGGTCGGGATTGGCTCGTTCAAGAAGAGATCACCAAAGACAGGAAGCACACTCTTTCCATCCGGACTGTTGGCAAGGTACTCCTGGAACGGCGAGTTATGCTGGCTGACAACAAAGTGATATGAATATGGCCCTGAAGCGTGTGGAATTACCGGCACATCGTATGCTGCTGCCATCGAAGACACTTTGATGAGCTCGGTGAGACCTCCAAGCCACATGACGTCCGGCTGGATAATGTCGACATTGCGGCCTTCGAGAAGCTTGCGGAAGCCATAGCGAGAGTATTCATGTTCCTGAATAGACATCAGCACAGGTAAGGGGTTATGGATAGGTCGAACTTACACCAGTTGTGAATTTTGTATCAGGATGTGCGCGCTTCAACAGTGCGAAGCCATCAAAATCATCTGGCGACAGTACTTCTTCCCACCAATCAATATTGATGTTCTGTCTCTTGGCTTCCGAAACCAGCTCAATGGTATAAGTCACATTCAAGGACATCCAGCAGTCAACTCTCAAGGGAAAGTCAGGACCCACGTCCTCGCGATGCTTCTTCAGGAAAGCGATGTTCTTTTTCAGGCTGTCGGGTTCATCTGGACTGTATGGTAGAGGGACCTTGCCTGCAATGAAGCCCATCTTCTGAGCTGCTGAGGGTTCAGGCCCGGTGCAGTAGAAGTGCAACTTGTCTCTTGTGGCACCACCAATCATTTTGTATACTGGTTCATTCCTGATCTTTCCCAACAAATCCCACAAAGCCAGATCGATGACCGAGATGACTGCCACTGGTAATCCTTTGCGTCCATAAAACATTGACCCCTTGTACATGAGTTCGTACAGATCATTAACGTCTCTGGGGTCGCGATCGAGGAGGAATCTTTCGAAATGTTGTTGAACAAGCCAACACGCCGGCGGGCCCCCGAATCCTGTGGCGAAGCCTTTCGTGCCATCTGTGGCCTCGATCTCGACGCAGAAAGAACCCAGGACATTGATGCCGAAAGAGGTACGTGATTTCCGATAGCGTTCCCATTTGCTCATCGGTGTCGAGATCTTGTTGTCAATCAGCCAGTGACCACCCTCGACATTGTGGTAGTCGCCGCCCGAGCCGACACCTTCAATGACGAAGGTACGAACGGTTTTAATGGTAGGGAAAGATTTGACCGATGCCATGGTCAAGAGTGCCGTTATATATGGTTTCCTATCTCTTGATCTGGCGAACTCCTGCCGAGATTACCTGTCCTGGAAAATGCTGTCGTTTGCAACCGCAGGAGCAGTCGAGGAGGAGTTTCGTTTATCGAGCAACACACTGGGTGCGAGCACGGAAAGGGACGAGCGGGATCGGCCATATTTGTCTGGAGGCAGTACGGCAACACTACAGAGAGTTTCTCGCTGGTCGGTCGAGTTGAAGCCGGCGGCGGAGAAAGGATGCATATGTAAGAGAGGGACCGTGAGTTGGCCGTTGTAACGAATGGAGGACGACGTGGATCGCCTGTGGAGGGGCGTTAACAACGATTGGGTCAAGCATGGTCTGAGCCTCACCACCCGGGAGCTGGAGGGACAAATCGCTGTCAGTCCCTGCTTCCCCGGTCTCTTTCTGTGATCCCCTCATCCCCTCCCTTCCCTTCACTCGGCGTCTCTTCTTCCGTTCTTCTCACTTCGGTGTGTTCTTCACCGGCGACAATTATCGCCAACAACAGCCATGGACTCGTCAAAGCTAGAACTCTATGAGAGCCACGGCAGCGACGGCAACAATGGCCTGGCCAGTCTCATGCCATCTTTGCGACGCGCCAGTTCCGTCACTGCCTCTGAGACCGATTCGGAAGAAGAGAACGACCGAGATGTCTCCAGGAAAAGGAAAAGACCTATGAACGTCACGTATGTGCACGGCTCCATCCTGATCTCAGTCATCTGCTCCTTTTTGCTTCGTTTAGCACCCTCCCCAATCAACAATGTGCCTAACTGCTGATGCCTTACGTTGATAGCTGTGAAGCCTGCAAGCAAAGAAAGGTCAAATGTGGTACGTGGCCTCCTGGCACACAGCGGTAAGAGGCGCTAATTGTACCAAGATCGTAATCAGCCCGCCTGTGGCTGGTGCACGCGCAACGATCATCCATGTGAATACAAGGAACGAAAGAAGCCAGGTCTTCGAGCTGGCTACGGCAGGGAGCTCGAAGGCAGGCTCGATCGCCTGGAAACCCTCCTCGCTGAACAAGGTCAACAACTGGCAGCTCATCTGGCCGATGCGTGTACGTTGACCTCCAGTGCTATTGTCAATCCTGCTGTTCCCAGGTCGAGCGTGCAGGGGATGACGCCTGATGCACAAGCGCGAGCTTCTTACGATGCTCAAGCGGCGGCCTTCGGTCGGGAGACGCCTTTCCAACAACAACAACCACAACAACAGATCATCGATCCAACACTGCGGCCACCAAGCTCGCGTCATGGATCGTTGCAGTATCCCCCAGGCCAGCAGAGTCTTCCTGACCAACAAATGGGTCAACCACAGAATCACTACACTCCATCAGCGCAATCACACCCCATCACTTCACCTCATTCGACAAGTGGATATCAAGGAACACAAGTCTTCAACGAGCACACTGCCTTGCTTCCTCCATATGACCTTCTATATGCGCTGGTCGACTTGTACTTCAAACACGTCAACAACTGGCTGCCGTTGCTGGACAGGAAAACCACACTTGACACATTGTTTGGGCCATCATCCCTTGATGAAGCCGACAGAGTGCTACTGCACGCCATAGTTGCTACGACTTTGCGATTCTCCCAGGATCCTCGGCTGACACCGGAAAGCCGACAACATTATCACGACACGTCCAAGCAGCGTGTGCAGTTGTTTGGTCTGGAGAATTCGAACGTTAGAGCGCTCCAAGCGCTTGTCATACTCGCTCTGGATGTGACGGGCACGACCAACGGACCTCCGGCGTGGAATCTGCTGGCTTTGATTAGCAGGAGTATGGTGCAATTGGGTCTCGCCGTCGAATCGAGTTCGAGCCTGACATCACCTATGTATCCTTCAATCGCCACCTTAAGAGCGTCCGTACTTCCAGAACCAAAAAGCTGGATTGAAGACGAGGAGCGGCGTAGACTGTTCTGGGCGGTCTATCTCCTTGATCGATATGCAACGATCGCAACGGCCTTCGAGTTCGCCCTCGATGAGAAAGAGGTGGATCGTCGATTTCCTTGCCGAGACGACCTTTTCGCAGCGAACAAGCCCGTCGAAACGAGGTGGTTCCGGCCTCCCGAGCGACCTCGATACACAGCAAGCATGGTCGACACCCATGGACACTTCTCTTATCACTGCGAGCTGATGGCTATTCTCGGTCAAATCCACCAGTTCTTGAAGCGGCCTATAGACATTGGCTCACTGACCGATGTAGAGCAGTGGCAGGGTTCATACCGGGCGCTAGACAGCGACCTGAACGCCTGGCATTTCAGTTTGCCCGACGACTTTGCGAACATCACCCGCCTTCTCAAGTCGAACGTGCCTGCTAAAAATACCAACTGCGGCTGGATAATGTTGCATGCGGCATACTCTTTGACCGTCATTCGATTGAATTCATCGGCGGCTTATCCCAGTCAAAGCTCACCAATATTCTCCTCGTCCCATAGCGCGATGCAGCGATGCCTCTCCGCAGTCGAGAATTTGCGCCAGCTCTGCCGGTTTGTCAAGCTCAGCGGACTGCTCGATAAACTGGGGCCCCCATTTGGTTTTGCTATTTGGGTGGCATCTCGTGTTATGCTGGTACACGGCTCGACAATGGACCATGAGGTGGACCCAGACATTGATTTCTTCGTGACGACCCTGTCTGAAATGGGCGAGTACTGGCTTGTTTCCAGAAGGTACAGTGAAATATTGAACAGAGTGCTCGGGGAATATCGACAGTCGCAACGAGCAAGTGGGGTGACAGGGGAGATCATGACTCCATCGACGGTCAAGATACTCGCCGATATGCGACGGTGAGTTGTTTTCTTACATTATTGGTCGTGTTACTGACCTCATGAAACAGTTGTGCCTACGACCTGGATTTTCTGATATCCCGCCAACCACATGCGGCGGCTGTTAAGTCATATCATCCCACAAGAGCAAATACACCAGCCCCCAATGAGCTGGAGTACTTGGATGTATTCGACCTATTCAACTTTCCACGTCTGCCAATGGGCAACGAAGGCTTGGAAAATGGAAATACCCAAGGCATTGGTCAAGCCGCCCATCAGGATCTCGGAGCGATGAACCCTGCGATGATCCCAAACTTTGCGGTGCCTAATCCTGAAGCTGACTGGCTATTCCACAACGGCTAGAACGTGTTATTCGAGGCAAGGCAGACTTGCGAAGTCTGATGGCATCAGTCAGCACTGGCAGAGTCAACAGATAGCAGTTTTACGCCGCGAGCCGAGGTTGGCGGCTTGTAACATGCAGGAAATCAGGACGTGTCGACCTTGGAATTATGCTTCGCATCATGAGACCGTTAGGATCAAGCTTTGGTCGAATGATCAATTGCCTACCTAGAAGTGACAGAGCACAAACACGACGATCTGCTGTGTGAAGAGACAGCAGATCACGAGTCAGTCGTACAACGTTTTCAGGCCAGCATGTGGGCACGGCAACTAGGCGTACCCAAGCTAAGAATAACCAAGAGCAAGTTCGCAGAAGATACTACTCATGATTTAGTCTTCAATCTTTGTTTCCATCCCCAGATCCTTGGGACGAGACTAGAGTACGAGCTGACCAACGAGGCTAAACAGCAGGGGTGAGGGAAGGACTTCTACTCAGGCATACCAGGTAGGGAAGCTTCCTGCCCGCGCCAAAGCCACCAGAGTGGACTGTTTAGAACCTTCCGCTGCTTTTATTTTCTAACCTCGGCTTCTACAGTAAACAAGTGATTCCTTTTTCAAACACAATTTTATATCCTATCTCCATTACAGCAACAATGTACCTTTCTCAGCCCGATATGCGAGGAAGAGCTATTTCCACCTGCGCCTTTATCTTCCTGTCGAGGACACAATGACGGTAATCGACGTCACCTGTCTGACCGCTGACATGCGTTCCGTGTGTGGCATAGTTGTGTTCTTCTCTACTACTTGGCTTCCAATTCCCTTTTTCCTCATCTGGCCCCGACACATTCTACTTCTTCGTGACTCATGTCTCCACCGAAGTGGTGCCTGCATGTCCAAAGGTTCCCATAGTACTCATTACCCTCGCAAACAAGCGCAAAAAGGCTCGGACCTCTCATCTTCTGGGTCACAAATGTTCAGCACCGCCCACACTAAACCCAAAACGACCAACGTCAACTTCAGCCTCAGATCCCCACCATGACATTGCACGAGATCTATCATCTTGCGGTAATAATGGCAGCGAACTTCCCGACTTTGGATGACAGGGTAGGTGACGACGTTCGGTTCCGCAGTTCCCGTGCTGGCTATCGTGATCCTATCACGATACCATGAGGTTTTCGGGTTCTTGAACATCACATCAACGTTTTGGACCCAATCCCGCGAACACTATACCCATTTCAACGACGTTTCTAACCGTCATACTTGTCTTCCGGAACACTAGCTTCAGTATCCAACAAGGCCGTGTTCTTAATCAGTCGACATGTTCTTCTTGACCTTTTCATTGGTCAAGGACACCCTGGAAAACGTGGCTCCTCGGGATTTTTCGCCTTTTCGATCGCAAGCATATCTTTGTTAAGTGTCTCTTGATCATACATATCCTCCTTCAACGTGCATATTAACCTCTTTTATATCGCTATTGGACAAACTGCTGCGCCCAACGGTTGAGCATTTCCGAGCACCAGACCATTTTCCTCTTTCTTTCTACGTGACCTAGTGCCATCCGGAGCATGATTGGCTGCTTCCCAAGGCTACAGTCACGACTTCCGCGATATAAGAGTCAAAGACACCAGTTGCCTGTTGAATTCACCTATGTTCAATCCGTCGTCCTTGCATATTTCAGCGCTTCATTTCCAGCCAGGTTGCTTTTTGAACTCTGTTCTTCTTAGCTTTTCATTGCAGTCCCCTGTACCACCATCACAACAACGAGAAAGCAGTCGGAGGACATCCATGTGCTACCAAATCGTCGAAAGATACGCGGTATGCCGCTGTCTCTATCACAGGCACGCCGTTGATCCATGCCAGCGTTATGGTCAACAGGGCCATTCTACCACCGAAAAGACGGTTTTGGTGGGATTCGCTTGTCCCACCCATGCAGCAAGACGTCGACCCCAGCAATCTTCATCAGATCAGCAATCTAGTGAAGGTCGCCCGTGGCACGATTCTGGGTACTCCAGTGCAGGCTATCATGCGTCTTCTGGACGCCGATGAGGGGTCAACAATCTTTCCTTCTGCTTAGTCGAATCAATCAAATGACACAGCATTTCCGACACAAGCATTGGGAAGCATTCCACCTCAACACGAAGCAAGAGTATCCAAGCCAGCAGGTCTCAGAGCATGGATACACACCAGTCGTTCCCGTAACTGCCGCAGGTCGGCCAAATGATGGCGCATTTTGACAGCACAATCCCGGAAGGATGCGCAGTATGCTTCGGTTTCGCCAGATCACGCAGATTATGCGATTGCAAGGCCAGTGTTAAACAAGGACGCCTAGTTCCTTTTGCGCGCCATTGCAGGGTTCGAGAGAGACAACGGCGCAAGGTACCAGAGACTCCTCGGCAGGCTACGAGCCATTAGCTTCAGACAGACATGGAGGCTCATTTCTGTGCATTGATACGTCGCCAGAGGCGCACTATGGTCAACCCGTCATCCGCCATTCACTTTGCAGTCAGTGGTATCCGGACTGGTATACGGAAAGCCTGCGGATTTGCGCAGACGTCGTCACGAGGCGCAGGCACGCCTAGTTTTGTTAGCGAACGGAACAGGAAGGTATTTATTCTGGGGAGTTGGCTGGAGTTATGCAACGGATCTGAAGGCCTTTGATATGCTGCGCATTCAGGAAGCGCATGATGAGTCTTGATAACTATTCACAGCCGACTACCTAGGTATGTGCGGGCACATACAGACACCGTTGTTGAAGCGAGTCATTTATATAACAATTTGTGTTGCTTCCGCAGTATCCGCTGGGACGAGATCTGCAGAGTATTCAAGAGACGTTTGGAATAGCTTTATTGTTGTTTCGGGCCTGGCTGCCTGACTTGGCGCAGAAAATATCAGGCGGCCAGTGATCTGGTCAACTTGAACTTGAAGACTGAGAGGGTCTGCCATGTCAATTAAGTTTTGTCATCCCTACCAAGACACGAGACAGGCAGCACACAACAACCAGTGAAGCGTTATTGTGTGCGTAAGCATAGATGCCATTTTCGGCACAATGATGCCCTGAGTCGCCAAGGGACACCGCCCAGCTACCATGCTACTCTGCATTGCATAGTGAACTACTAGTAGTCTCTCAAGTATGTTTCCACCGGTACCACGCCGGTGCAAATGTAGCTACGCTGTCTACTATGCCGAGTCAGATCCGTGGCCGAAACTCCGCGAAGTGAATTGAAGTTGCTGCCTATTAACCCAATCAATGTGCAATCAACATTATGTCGATCCGATCAGAAGGCCAGTGAAAGCAGTAATGCACAAGAGGGAGATTTGCCGGGCACTAAGTTCAGTTGACGAACTTGAACTGATTTTACTGTGGTGCTCCGACGCTTGTGCCGTGAGGTGAGGCGTGGTGAGGTAACGTCTTTGACAAAAGTCGCATCAAAGGACCTTCTCAATGCGTTGTAGCTCCAGAATTGCGGCTTGTTATGGAAAGTTCCAGGCCAGGTTCTTCTTTGGTCCTTTGGGGGCTGGAAATAGAACTAGGTCACAACCCACACTTGTTACGACGTCCTGCGGGTTTGGGATTGCACAATCCCTTGGGACGTATGCATGGCATCAATTAGTCTGGGATCAATCGATGTAGTGGTTCAGCCGCACATCACGTCGTACGGTATTTCCTGTCTAGGCAAGTACCTGTAATTTGCCAACGGGATTCTACCACTGACTACCAGGTGTATTAACACAGTAAGATGGATGGTGCAAATGTACCTTTGATATCCTCAGGTATACATGTCGAGCATGTCACTTGTCATGACTTGCATTGGAAAGGACATGTAGTGCGAAGGATTTCGACAATTCAGCTTTCAGGGATGAAGATCGTTTTGGATCCGAGTAGCGATGCAGGTACAAAAGCACGGTATATGCATGTCATATGCCGTGACGGCTGGATGATCTGGTACTTCCAGGCTGTGGTGACTTGTATTCTGATCCGATCACGCGGCCACTGCACCTCAGTACCGCACCGCACAACACACTCACACAACATCGCCTTCGAAACCGAAAGACACTCTATGCCAAACTGCCAAAAATTCCACGCGAGCAAAAAACTCGAACCCCGGAAGAGTTCGAGAAACTCCACAAGAGGGTTTTTTCTACAAGTACTACTGTCTGCATTCGAAATCTCGTCTCTCCGACTTTAAATCAGTAACATAGTAGAGGAGAATAAGAGGTCAGATACTGGAAGGGAGATTTCGCCGCAGTAGGATGGGCGGAACGCACTCGTCTCTCCGAGCACTAATACCATGTTTAAACTCGGTGGGGGTCGGTATTAGGAGGCAAGGATACTGGAAGGGAGATTGTTGAGCAGTTTTGAGAGACTTTGATATATGTTCGTTGGATTTGTGAAGCAGAGTCGTTGTATGTGACTGCACTGCGCTTGCAGTGAATGCCTACGGAGGCTTCGCCAAGGGTATTCGCCAAGTAGGGGAGGTTGGTGCAGCTGCACCTTGATCATGCTCAATCGGTAGAGGCAATGGTGTCGTCCCGGAAGTAGAGTGAGTGACAAGGTGTTTGGAGTTCATCAAACGCCCTGTCTATGCTCGTTTGAACCGTTAGGAGCCCGTCTCGAGGTCAGATGAGCCGGTGAGATTTTGCCTCCGGGGGCCCTCAAACGACTTGTAATGGCTTTGCGGAGTCCAAAAAAACAGGAAACGTATTGAAAGCCATGGACATCATCTTCCCGGGCCGGTGCACCTGCACAAGGTGATGGGAATTCCTGCATCGCATGGACTTGGTGTTGGCGATCTTTCCCGATAGTGGCGTTGCGCTCGGTTCATGCTGGGATCATGAACTCAGCCGTCGGCAGGATGCGCGACTTCAAGAGAAGGCATCTGGACCAGGAAATACAGTCCATTCCTGAGCTCGAAGCGCATGACCGGTTGGTCGTGATTTCTCACAATTAGACTTCCGTCGTCGTCCTCGACGAGTCTGAGATTAAGACCTCTAGCCCTCTTCAACTGCGACCAACTGATCAGATTCAAACCCGCTGTCGGAATATGGCTGACGTGTTTGATGGTGATGAAGTTGACGACGACACCGGCACTGTTACCAGCAGCTGCGGTTGGTGCTGGCGCGTTCGACGGCGATAGAGACGGTAATGCCAATGTACAGTTTCCGTTACCGACAATTGCAGCGGCATTCGGACCGAAGAATGCTACTGGTTTGTAACTGTACTTGTTACCGGAGAGATCGTGCGACGTGTAGCTGTGTAGGAGGGTGCGATTGGTGCATACATGTGTCATTGCGCCGGTGTCCAGGATCCAATCTTCGTCGGAAAATGGCTTATGAGAGGCTGGACTAGTCGGACTTGCTGATGAAGGGGGTGGTGGTTTGGGAGAGGGTGTGATGATTAGGCCCTTTTCTGCTGGAGCGGGTACGAAGTCTTTAGGCTGAAGAGTCCGTTGTCTTAGCAACAATATGCAGAATCGGAAGTGGGACTTTGGGTGAAGAAGGGCTTGCTTGAGTAGACAGAGATTCGAACTGTACCTTCAGATGATTGTACTTGATGATTGTAGCGTCTTCCCTTCGAACAATTGAAACTCGGGGTGCTATAAGCTGCTAGGTGGTCAGGTTCGGTTGATGAAGAGAACATGTCAATCATGTTGAAGGATATTGCAGCCCTGTGTGATCTGATCGTCACGGACACCATTTTTCGCTTGGTGGTCGCCAGCAAACGATGGTCTTTCGAAGCTTGTGATAAAGCGGCCAACCAAGCCCGATGTTGTTCTGGAAAGCTCAACAGGACTTACCACTGCTCCGGTAAGTGTAGCTGTGGCTGCTACTGTCAACCAGCCTTGCATTCGTGTTCCGGCGCGTTTAGCCATGACGAGCGCCGGCCCCTGGGCCCAAGATGATAGCCCACTTCCTTCAAGATGCCTGCTATACAGACGTAGACATGATCCTCTATTGCAACCCCGGCCTCCTTTCACCACCAAAAAGACTCAAGAGCTTGATATGACGGCAACCTAGATGATGTCTTAAAGTCAAGGGGTCTCCGGAGGACCAAAATTGGAAATCGAAGATGTCATTTCGCAGCCTCGTCACGTGAAAAGCCAGCCTTGTTGTCTTTCTGTTCGGGAACTGTTGCACCGAAGGAAAGTGAAGAACGGGGCGTCTCACAACGAGTATTTCTCCACTGTGCTCCAGACACGGATTCATAACATCCATTACACATTCTTGCGTAGTTGGCTTTTCCAGTTTCCAGAGCAGTCAGGATCTACTTCAGACCCAAGGCGGAACTATCTGGAGCTCACGGGGGAAATCATAGACGACTGGTACGATAAACAACATACTGGGTGTCCCCATCATCGACTAGCTACAGAGGGAGCAAGAAGAAATGCCTTTACCACCACTGCTTACAGGCCATGTATGTGCCATTACTGGAGGCCTCACAGGGATAGGGAGAGGTATTGCTCTCTTGTTCCTATCTCACGGCGCCAAAGTCTCAATCAATTATCTCGCATCACACAACAAGGACGAAGAGAACCTGCTGTCGTCACTGCGCACAGAAGCACTCGACGCCATCAAGTCTCGGGCATCATCCGCATCATCAGCGCAGGGCGTTGAAGATGTCCCTCTCCTGACTGTTTCTGGCGACATCACACAACCCCAGACCGGTCATAATCTTGTCTCGGAAACGGTCAAGAAGTTTGGCAGACTCGATACATTCGTTTCCAATGCCGGAATCTGCAAATTCGAAGAATTTCTGGAGATCTCGCCAGAATCGTGGCAAAGACACCTCAACACAAATCTGTCAGGTGCGTTCTATGCCGTTCAAGCTGCTGCAAAGCAAATGTCGGAACAACAGCCTCAAGGAGGGTCGATCATCGGAATCTCCAGCATATCAGCGCTTGTTGGCGGTGCACAGCAGTGCCACTACACTCCGACCAAAGCAGGCATCTTATCTCTGATGCAGTCCACTGCCATTGCGTTGGGAAAGTACAACATTCGCTGCAACGCGCTGTTGCCAGGAACTATCCGTACACAGCTCAATGATGACGATCTCGCCGATGGAACTGAGAAGAAGAAGTATATGGAAGGACGAATCCCACTGGGTCGGCTGGGAAAGCCAGATGACATGGCAGGGCCTGCTTTGTTCCTGGCATGCGGCGAGCTGTCATCCTACGTCTCGGGAGCGGCGATATTGGTGGATGGCGGAGCTTTCGTAAACTTCCAATAAGGCCACAAAGATTTCGACTATTGCTGTTTTTGATCAATGATGCATGGTGTTTTGATATCGTATGCTTCCACTGCCGTCCCCGACCATACTCGCGCTTTCTCCTCGGGACTCAGTCCCTGCGATTTGAGTACTGCGCCGACTAAAGCATGCCAATGGCTCCATGAGGGCTCAGTGCCAGGGCCTCCTACGGTGCAGACCGGCCAATCAGATCCAAACATGATCCGTGAAGGACCGAAAGCTTTGAAGACAACATCCGCCCAAGGCTTCGTACGCTCAACCAGGCTTGCGATGTCTGCAGGTGAATTTTCGTCTTGTGGTGGGAGCTCGGAGAACATGCCTGACAACTTCATGTATGTGAGATTGAAGCTGGCCATCTTCTCGACATATCGCTTCCAGTTGTCAAAATCAGGGTGTCCACCCAGGGCTTCTGATGCGGTTAACTGGAGGTTTGGCTTGCAGAGGTGATTGATGATGATTTTGAGAGTATTCTTGTCACTGTAAACACGATCCATCATCTCACAAGCTTCCTGTGGTTGGTGAAGCCCTCCGGATCGGGCATCAACTCCCAGGTCGAACGTGAAGCCGGCGTTTCCAAGCCACTGTAGCCCTTCGATAAATTGCGATTGTACCATGAGGCCGGCTGGCTTGTCTTGCACGAGGTACCGAAAGCCTTTAACAACCGTCCATTTCTCCTCGCACCGCTGCTGGACCAGCTTGACGTAGCGTGCCAGTATTTCTGCGCCGGCAGGCACCGGCGCCCATGGTACAATGCCGAGGAGCAGTCTTGCGTCTTCTGGAGTATGGCCTTCGTCGCTTCTTGGCACACCTCTGGCGATTCGTACCAGGAAGTCGACCTCATCAAGTGCCCCACGCCACTCATGTTCACTGAGGCCGGACTTGCGGTCTGTCTCCAGGAAGACAAATCCACGAAGATTAGGCCTGCCTTGCGTGGCGCTTCTATACTCGTCCACTGAGTTTTGTCGCTTCAACACATGATTCGTGGGCAAGGCTCCCGTCCAATTCAGTTCTGAGAGGTGTGAGGCAGGATACAGATGGATATGCGAATCTATGATCGGGAAGTCTCCATGGGCCGATCCCTGAGCGAGCATTCCGTCCAGAATTGTAGAGTCACAAGATTAGTGTTAGTTGCTAGACTGCCTCAATAGAGTATCAAGAAGGAACATTCCGAAAGACTGGGACAATGGCAGTAGGGAGATCCATAATATAGCCCCAGAAGATTTCGGCGTTCGGGTTAACTAACGTGGATGTCAACAAACGACTCTGTAAAGAAAGGGTCGATTAGATGTTTTGCCAGTGAAAGCACATTTTCGGGGCCTCCTTGTCGTGTCAGTCATGAGGAAGGGGACTGTATACGATAGACTGGATCTCCGGCTTGCAAGGAAAGATCCTTGAGAGGAGTGTTGCGAGGTGCAAATAGCTGAATGATGGTCCGTAAGTGCGTCATTTGAAGACCGGCAGCAACAGCCATCGGCATTCGCAACTCATGATTAACCTCAACAATGCACCACCGTCTTTTTCGTGAAGACTTTCTGTTATCCTCAAGATCTGATGGCGTCCTCAATGTTCTGAACAGCATCGGCACCGACTCTTGGACGTGATATGGCAACGTCTCAAGACTCTCACTGACACAGCCTGTCTTGAGACTTCATGTGAGATGGAAGGCTCACCAAACCATACTTACCTCTCTCCTCCCATCTCGGCAGCGTCTCCTGCTCCGAGTACAGCGGGTTCCTTCATAGGTCGAAATTCAAACCTACCTACACCTCGTACGCATCCGCTGCGTTCCGGTTCACAGAAAGAAATTTCCCTCATCAACTATCTCGATGACAAGATATTGAGGATTACGAGGAGATATGCCAAAAAATACAGCAATGAGATGATTGACAAGGATGATGCTCGAGGCTATACCACATATGATGAGTTCGTCTCAGACGTAGATCCTTTGCTGGATGTTGTATGGGTCAGCGGAACACGTAAGTGGCAGATTCATCGGTTAGGACATGTGCTTCCTTTGCCTTCTTGCGTTACTCTTGATGTTGGCCCGCCTCTTCATTAACCGTCCCATTTTTGTTGGTCAGGCAATGTATGTGGTGTTCAAGCCGCCACATGAGTCTGGCATCGTGTTTTTTGATGATGCCCTGACTTCCTCGTCTCACAGCAACAATTCAAATTCCCTATCTTCTCTCGCTAGCAGGCCTAGCTTGCGCTTACCTGCCGGCATTTCCATTTTCAACGACTTTGTTCTACGTCACTGGAAAGATCGACCTGGGATTTGCTTCACTACTTCAATCATCTATGGAGAGCGCCACCACGGCTATTGCCGTCTCTCATCACGTCTCTGTTACCGAGAAGGTTCGGATCAAGTCCTTGGTCGAAGAAACGCGCATTGCGGCTGTAAATGTTGCCTTAGCTAGCGGTCATGCTTCCAGTGTACACGAGCTTTCCGACGCAGACACTGAAGACGATGATGAAGACAGGTCAGACGGCGAGAACGACGAGCCAGACGATGAGTCAAACATGTCAATCTCTCTTGGGCTGTCTAAAATCTACAAGAGAACCCTAGAGATTCTAGGCGATTCGCTGGGTACCACTACTGAAGTTCAAATCCAGGCCGACGACGACGACGTTGCCATGTCTTAGGACTTCCGACAAAGCATGGTGGGAGCCCCAGGCTTTGACCTCTCGGTATCGCCTTCTTGAAGTTCGAAAACATTTTCGACGTTGGGGCCGCAGCACACTTTGAATCAGCCATCATGTGGCCGCCAGCTGAACAGGAATGCCGTTCAGGCTTAAACAAGATCCAACCGCCTCGAAGGGATATTGTCGCGCCGGAGTCCTCCAATAGTTCAGCACCTTGATCGATGTGGAGGCTGAGATCCAATAAGACTCGAGTCTAGTAATTTTGTGCGAGTTCTCTGATATCCTGCAGATCTTGTGCTCATGGCTTTCCCCCTTCTTTGATTTGCTTCTGTTCATTATCTTCCCCGCCACCAACGCAAACACGCTTTTGCCAAATCACCGCGTACAGCAACCTTCGCGAAATTTCCCTACTTGGCCAGCTGCATGTCCTAACCGACGCGCCTTGAAACTGAGGAGGCTGCATTGCTTTTGCCTGTCAGGACCAGCAGTGGTTGGTCAGCAGCCCTGCCCAGTTCGTCACGGTATGAGCCAACCTCCTCATTTGGTTGGTCACTCTTCTCCGGAGGTAACCCTCTCACCCACGCTCACCCCTTCACCCCACAAAAAATATGGGCGAGGCTGTGAACATCTCGTGTTCAAGCTGCTGGAACAGGTCAGCAATCACATATACCGTTTTTGAATCACAGCCAGACGGACGTTTTGATCACCATGGCTTGACTCCCTTTCCCTTCGTGTAGACACTGATTGCTCAGCCTGTGTCTGGACATAGTAGAGGGGTTTCGCGCCCTGATGGCAGCGTCAACACAATATGACGAGATTGGCTTGTCCTACGACGCTCTCAAACGACTACCCGCGGCTCTTCTTGAGCGCAACAATCTCCGGTCGACACTCATGCCGTTCCTAGCTCATCCAAAGACCGCAGTCCTGGACCCTAGCCTGTGGAACAGGTTACTACTCCAACCTTGCGCTCTCATGGGGTGCATCCTGAGTCGTTGGCGTCGACATATCGCCCGGCATGATCACTGCCGCTCAATCACAAAGCTCGGAGACCGACAAGTCCAAACTCACATTCATGGTCGGCGACTGCACGCAGCCATTACATCTCGACAGTGGGCCCTCCGACATTGTTCTAGGCGCCTGGCTTCTCAACTACGCCGGCACGCCCACCGAGATGACAAATATGTACACCAACATCGCCAGCAACCTCAAACCGGGCGGTCATTTTGTCGGTATCACGCCGCATGCAGCACACGATCTTGATGATTTTGCTGACATGTTCGACCCGAGAAGGTCCAGCAGCTCGAGCCCAACGCACAAATCAGACAAGTACGGCCTCAGTGTAGCGTACACGGCAAAAGTGGTCAATGGGTACCGTACGCGAGTCACAGCCCATGTCCAGCCCAAGGAGATTTTAGAGCTTCCATCTTGACCGCAGAGTGTTCGAGCGGTGCGCAAGGGAGGGTGGATTGACCGGGCCTTTAGAGTGGAAGACTGTTCAGCTTCCGACCTCAGAAGAGGAGAGTCGGGGAGAGTACGACGTCGGGTTGGATTTCTGGGACGGATATCAGGAAACGCCACATTTTGGCATCTTGGTGGTTCAGAGATAGGAGTCGGCAAACCCATTTTCCACAAAGCAGATTGCATTTTATAGCATGGCACATCCGGTGGCGGTGTCTGGGACAAAGACAAGCATCATACCAAGTCTATAACTAGTACACCTAACTCTATAATCAACGACTTCGCCATAAGATGAGAAACATACATTCAACAGTGCTCGAAGCACACTCTTCAAATAAGAGACGTTACAGCCCCTCCCTATAAATCTCCCAAATGTTCAACATTCTGGCCCCCTGCCCCGGCGTGAACCCCGTATAACAAACATCATCACTGTAGTCCATGAAGTTATGAATCGGGTCCGGACCTGAATACCCTTGCGGTCCATATGGATCGCTCCCCTGCCCAGTAGCCCCAGTATACCCCTCCGGCACACCGCTGTCCGGACACGAGTCCTTATACGCGGGACACCCGCTTGTGCTGGTCATTTCCTGCGGTGTATCCGCGACGTAGTCCCCGTAGTCGTCGACAGAACAAGTGTTATCTTGAAACGGGTGTAAGAGCCCATTCCAGTGGCCGACTTCATGAGCCGTCGTGCCGCCGAGGTTATACGAGCCGACATCGCCACCGGGCATGGTTCCACTCAGTATATTGCAGCCGTCGAGAACATAAGATGAGGGCGGCGTGGTGGAAGTGATGCCACCTTCGGGCAGGCTGCAAAATCCGAGTAGTGTAGAACCAGCTGGAATACCGGTCTGATCAGGGCTAGCTTGGAGCATGGATTGGAAGTAGATGTTTAGTGACGAGTACGTGCCGCGACGAAGGGTGGTTTTCATGGACAAGTCATCGCCGTTGGCCGCCCAGGTATCGTTGGTGGTGCGATCGACGCCCCCCAGATGAAAGCCGATGGATGCGTTCGTGTATGCTTCCGCGAGATAGTTGAACTGGTTGATGATCATGGCGTTGGTCACGTAGTTCGAGGACGATGGATCGGAGCTGGAATCGTCGGCCACAACATGCATGTATGTATCGATGGTGTATAATGGGGTGACTGCTTGTCGACGCTGATGATGGGACGCATAACGTTGCTGCACACTCGACGAATTCCAAAGGTCGTTTTCTTGAGGCTCATTCTGCTGCAACCATCTGTGAGTATCTGTGAGGTTATCTGATGGTTCAGGGGCGCCGCATGACCGTTGGATTGGTCTGTATCTTGGGATGGCGGCAACATTTGTAAAGATGCAGCTCAGGAGAAATCCGGCGGGTAGAAGGGACAGCCTCCAAAGGAGATGCATAGCAAACGAAGAAGTGGCCTGAACGAGAATTGCAGAAGATGTTGCCCATGATCAGTGGTTTTCTTCTTGGAAGACATGTGGCAAAGTGCACAGATACCATCATCATTGTACAAGGGGCGGCAACGAGGAATGTGGGTGCCATATGACGTTCCAGTCATTAGCAGCGCTCGATTGAAGCGTGTTGGTGAAAACATTTTCTGGAGTACTCTTCAATGGAATTGCTCCATCATACCTCACTTGAGGCTCGGCCCAATATTTTGATCCTCATAGCTCAAGTTCCAGTAACGCCGACGCCGACCCCGTTATAATCAAGGAAACATCGTCAAGGGTATACAATCATACACATATCAGCATCTCAAGCACCTCCAGGTCTCACGTCGCGTCCGGTCGTCGTGGCTGTTGATGGTTCATTCCAGGACAAGTAAGTGTGGTCACCGAGTTTTCTGACTCGATCAGCTGATATTCATGGAACAGTACGCAAGGTACTTACCTGGGTTTAATGAGATGAGCGACCGTGAAAAGCACCCCAAGCACAATGCAAAGGCCGCCGATCACGACGTAGGCAATACCGAGGAAGGAGTTCTTTCCTCCAACCACCGACCTGGTGGATATCAGGATGCTCTTTGTACCAGAGTAGACTTGTACGGGGAAGACTGGGAGTGTATTAGATCAGCGTCATTCGTAGACATGAACTACACTCACAGTCGTAGATGTCCATTTGATAAATGCCCGCGGTCATCGTCTCGTTATCGTTGCGCAGGGCAAGTTTGCTGAAGGTTGGCAATCCAGCCGTCCTCATCCAAACCTGAAATTCCTCGTACTTAGACAAGTCGGGGATGGGATGATCTTCCGTGTATCCATCGGGATAGCGGACATGCCAGTTAGGTGGTGGCGAGACTTGATCAATTGTGTACGCAGTTTTCTTGTACAACTCGCCATCCGAGCTCCAGGCGATGCCCTCGTTTGTCATGCGATATTGCTGGCTTGTTTGACCACCTGCGGAATTGACAGCAACAGGAGTGTTGATTGTATCATTGAAAATGGAGTTTGCAATCAGACCACATGGATAATATGCTTTGCCATTGTGATCCAGTTGCAATGGGTTGCACGGGCTACCGCCGATGGTCGAGTTGCTCAAAGCTGTTCCTTTCAATTGATCCGTATCGAGGGACTTGACATATCTTCTGTGGTTCTGATAGAAATTCGTCAAACGGTAGTACAGGTAAACGGGCGGACCAATGTCATTCGGGATTGAGAATTGAAGCGTGCACACCACGGTCTCGGGTATCTCGACGCTATACGGAGGAGTGGTCGCGTTGGTTGTCTTTCTCCATTGCGGTTTGACCGAACTGTTCGAAGATTTGAACGAAGATGAGACCTTGCCGTCAGGGATGGCTGTGAACTCGGAAGTTGCGCTGGAATTGCAGTTGGTATAGTCAATAACCAGTTCTTGTACCTAGAATCACTCTTAAGAAATGCCATCTGTTGACATGAACGCTGTTCCACTGACACTTGCGCTCGCCCAGAGCAGGAGCCCGCCTATAGGGGCAAAGATAATACCGATCGCGAAGAAGATAGGTAGGACGGTCTTGGGAGTGAGAATTGGTCTATGAGGGTTAGTACTTTCTGGCCCGGGCTATACAAGGCGGCGCTCGGCGCTGGATGTAGACTTACTGCCATGCTTTCAACCTTTGTTGTCTAAACGCCGTGTCTTGAAGGAATGTTCGTCAGCAGCCGCATGAGGGACGTAGGAGTAGATGAATGAACATACTGGCTGGCCGTCTGCTCTTTTGTTTCTTGGGGGCCTCGTTATGGGGATCCTCATCTTGTATCGAGTGGGTTTCTACAACGTCGGTCCGTGACATTTTCGTCAGAGATGTCTCGCCGAAGAAACTGACCGCAGATTTCGAGGAGTAACTGTAAGATCAAGTTGAGGTTGAAGCTGAGGGTTTGAAGACACGAGGAGTTGGACATTCATCAGCATGCGCCCGAACCCATTGCCGCGCCCGCCATTCCCGGCCTCATCCACGGAGAGACCGAACCATTCCTGTTCGGGACTTAGCGTATGTCACAGCCTCTCTCGCGCCTGTTTGACATTTTTCCTCGTTTGCGATTTCGTTTCTTCTCTTCTTTTTCTTCTATAACAAAACTCATTCTGGACATGATTTATTGTAGGAGCCAGGGCCGTGCTTTTCCAAGCACTCATCTCTTTCTCCTCTGCAACATGATCCGAGATCAGATCCTGCGCCGTAGCTGGAGCTTACTAGGATTTCCTTCGGACTTTCAATGATGCCTTTGTTCCTTACCAACGGCCGCTACAGACGAATTCAGATACTGGGAATTTGTTGATTTTCATTATGTTATTGCGACTTGATGCCTCGACTTTCGAGCAGTGTTTCGTTCGGCGCAAGTGACATGCTGGTTATATCTGTTACAAGCTTCCAGTTTCCGTTCGCAAATTGTGCGGAGTCCGGGCAACTCCAAAACACCACCGCTATATCTTACAAGAGCTACATTCATTATGCTTTTTCAGCTTTGCTGTCAGCTGCCCAAGTGCTCTCTTGCTTGGTCCCAGGCCTAAGCCAGGTCGACGTCAAGTTGGATTCAAGTGGCCGTCCTCGGCTGTCATCCTTCTTAGGGTGCGCGTCAAACATATCACCCAGATAGTCGCCGCCTTTTACAGGATAGCCATCCTGTAGCCCAGGTGTCTGCACCTCAGTAACGGGTAGCAAGGCTGCATTGTGACGGAAGTGATCAGCCCGTGTCCTCCGTTCTGCCGCGTCCTCCATGCTGGTTCGATCATAGAGATAGAGACCGAGACATGTAAGTGCTATTCCTACCGCCTGTAATGAGGTGGTCGAACTGCGAAACCAAACCACTGCAACCAAAATCACCCATACTCTTTTGATCAATGATGCCACCGAGTAGGACACTGGCGATAGCATTGAAAGCAGCACGAATGCCATGATGTTTTGGAAAAAGTGGAAAAGACCGTTGAACACGAACTCCATCGTCAGCTCACCATGGTCTAGTCTGGCCTTTTTCGTAAGGTCGACTGAACCATCCTTCCACAGATCGTTGATGAGTTCATACCCTTCGGTGTAGATCCAGACAGGCGCCGAAAGCAGGAACGCACCAACAGAGCAATAACACAGCAGGTTGAGCTTGTCCAACTTGCGAGACAGATGCTGCTGCCCATCGGCTTCGGCGCGGGTCGCTTCCGTGAATAGCTTCTTCGAAAAAATGTTTTGGGTGACAAAAACAAGGGCGGCCACCAAAGATGCGCCGATTCCCCAGAAGTTGCTAGAGAAATCGGTAGAGCAGGCCATCATAACGCCGAGAGTAAGTGGTACCAATGACAAATATGTTGCACGTTTGTACCGGATGCGGAAAACGACTCGATATGCGACGACTGTAAACAATGGTGACAAGCCTTTGATGGTATGGACCAGAGAGACGGGAATCTTGGAGGTTGCATACGAGCTCAGAAGGTGACCCAGGAGCTGAAAAACGGACAGTGGAAATGCAGTATATAGAACATCCCATGATGGTTTCCGAAGGCCGTTCTTCAGAGCCGGTATAGCCCTTTTGATGGACGGAAATATGGAGGCCATGCCCGTCAATATCAGACACCATATTGAGACAGATGCAAATTGCACAATAGTCAGGGTTGCTGGCTTTGGCAACGCATTGAGGATCGACTTTGATGATGTGTTTGTCAGAGCCGAGGTCAGGTACCAGACAATGCAAAGTGCCTGCCCATAGTTAGTATCATGCAATCGCTTCTGAGGACTTCACCTACAATGAGTCTGTAAGACACAGGTGCTTTGAGTGCTTCGGCCAGCTCTTGTGCATTTTCGCTAACACTTCCTTGACGTGCGCGAATTTTGCTTATTGCGTCGCTGACGCTTCTTTTGGGTCTATGTCCGTATACTGCGCTAGGCCTGGCGTCGCGAAGCCGTTGGCTCATCTTTCTTGGATTCCATTTTGTTTCCTGGTTCGAAAGTTGGCCTGGAGCGAGTTCCAGAGGACTCTCTGCGATCACATTTGCGCCAGAGGGAAAGGTAAAAGGGGGCGGGCTGTCGTCGAAGGAAGGGAACCTTTCCCTAGAAGTGGACTCTCTTGCACCACCGTGAGGCGATAGCGACCGATGTTGAGAGATTATCCGCGACTCAGGAGTTTGTGTCATGGTTGTAGTCATGCTGGGAAAGGATCGATAACTGAAGCGCCCTATTTCGTTGCATTTACATGGATCGTTGACTTAAAGTGTACTGACGGGCTTTTGCCATGTCGTGAAATGTGAAACGAGTGTGGTAGTAGTTGTCGACAAGGCTGGACTGGTCGCTTGCACAGACGAGAGGAATTGTAAGTTGTAGCGATCCATCTACTCCGGACATGCAGAATAAGGACCGGAGGAGGTACATTTGCGGCTATTGCGTGCCCCCGGTGTGGCGCTAGTCCAAGAATAGAAAGCGTCGTCATACCTTCGGAAGCGGAATAACAAAAATCCATGTTGTGTCACCTCGCTTCTTGCTTGACGACGAATTCCATCCCTGCTGGATGCATCACAATGTAGCACAAAGATGGGGTGGCTAAGCAATATTTGCGGCTTAGCTTACCTTGTGTCACCTCAGGTATCTTGTCGTGAAGCAGCTGGAAACCTACAAGAAGTCCTCTTCCAGCAGAGGCCGCTCCATGAGGGAGTGGTAACATTCACACCCAGCTGGAGTGTCCTTGGCCCTTTCAGGATCGGAACACGAGGTAGGACAGAATATCAGCAGATTTCTCCTCTGAATGTTGATGTTTGCGTACAGAAGCCGTATGGGGTGCAGATCCTGTTGAATTCTATGGAGGCATCAATCAGCTCAACGAAAATGAGGAAAGTCACTACCATAGTCCCCTGACTAGGAATGCAACAGTACATTGGAGCAGTCGGGTCTTCGACACTATCGCTTCTGGCGCAACGGCATCTATCGACGTGGTAGTTGAGTTCCCAGACATCGACTGGATATTCGCGCAGCAGATCTATGGATGGTCTGCCTTCCAGTTCCAGGCATGGCTGAAAGGTGGTATCTTCAACCACGATGTCGAACACCGCAAAGTGAAATTGTATCCACAGAGCATTCTGGAACTTTGGCTCAATGATCAGCACGTTTTTGGAGGGGACTTCTATGCATTTGGGGCGGTACCTGTGGTCCTGGAACTCGAACCAGGGCTCAATGCCATCAGCATCCGCCTTGTACGTGATGTTCGATCCATGGGTGGCTCATACCCTCCCACAATTCGCGCAAATCTCCAGACCCAATTAGTGTCTGAGCCTGTGGAAATCGTCGATGACAGTGTTTTGCTTCCAGACGTGGTCAATGGACGGTTCTGCAGTCGATATGGCAGCGTCGTGGTGAGAAACCAGGCCGATTCATGGATCAAAATCCACGGGATCACCGCGAGGTTTCACGACTCTCATTTCGAAGTGATTACCGGAGAAATCTCCCTTGCTCCAGGTCAGTCCCGTCCGCTGAAGCTGGACTTGGGCTCTCTGAGCAATTTGCACGACACCATGACATTGACCGTCGCATACACGAGGGAAGCTTCTCATCGGCACAACCGCTCATTCGAGACTAAACTGCGGCATGAGAACGTATCATCTCTGCAGAAGATGACATATCTCCATCGAAGCGGTGCAGTATCCTACGCGATTTTGAGACCTCCGCCGTCAACACTGCCTGCATTGCCAGAGCAGAAGGCACATGTGCTCCTGAACCTTCACGGTGCCGGTGTAGATGTGGATGACCCTCTGGCTCGACACATGTTTGATGACACACCAGATCTTCCAGCCTGGATAGTCAGTCCAGCCGGCATGACTCCCTGGAGTGGCGATGACTGGCATACTTGGGGTTTCGCAGATGCCCAAGCTGCATTGTCTGGACTTCAAGAATGGATCAACACGACCAAGTGGAGTGGCCCCGAACTGATCTCCGATAAGATTCTGGTCGCAGGTCATTCTAACGGCGGGCAAGGGACATGGTACTTCGCCACACATCAGCCCGATATGTTATTGGGTGCTGCAGCCGCTTCGCCATATTCGTCCATTGAGAACTATGTGCCTTTTGTCTTCTGGAATGAAGGCGATCCTCTTCAAGATGCGGTTCTTCATGTCGCAAGGAACAATTTCCGTCACGAATTATTAGCCGAAAATCTGATAGGCGTGCCTATCTTTCAACAGCATGGATCGGACGATGACAACGTCCCTGCTTACCAGTCTCGACTTATGAACACCTTGCTTGCGCAAGCGGGAAATTCTGCAAACTATTCAGAAATGCCCGGCAAGGGTCACTGGTTTACGGGGACAATGACGACTCCTGGAATGATCGACTTCTACTTGTCCTGCTTGCAGTCTGCGAGGAACCAGTCTTTTGGTGATTCGGACGCTTTCGCGTTTGTGGTTCCCAACTCGGATGATTTTGGATCAAGATTCGGCATAATCGTTCATCAATTAGCCTCACCAGACAGATTCGGCCATGTACGGGTTTCCATCAACAGGACTGAGTCCATTACGCGATGGTACGTGAAGACTCAGAATATCCATAGATTTGAACTCGACCCGACGGCCGTGCAACATCCTTCACTCGAGCTCATTCTTGATGACACACCTCATGTCTTCGAGGTTGGGTATGGGAGCAGGGCAAACACTTTCGTACTGACAGAGTCACATGTTTGGGCCAGGGAGGTGGCCCTTGACTGGAGGCTTCTGGAGCAACGTTTTGGTCGCCAACGAGGTTCTCTGGACTCAATCCTGCGTACTGTGGGTCCCTTTGAGGTCGTCTACTGTTCTGACGAGGCTCTCCCCCTCGCGGTGCAGACGAGTCGGAATTTCTTGCAGTACTTTGGCGCTGACTCGAATATCATTCCTCGATCCATGTACGAAGTCGCACTGGCCAACAACGGCAATGTGATCACGATTGCGTTGGACAAACAAATTCCCCACTCCCGTATCCCTTTGTTCCCTATCGAGGTCGGGGCAGAGAGACTATTACTGACAATAGAGGACGGGAAGACGATATCCATTCCACGGGCACCAGGAATGGGCGGAGTATGGCTACGTCCGCTTCCCGATGAGAGACTGGAACTCGTTGTTTGGGGTCATGATGAGGCTGGCTTGCGACAAGCCGCCAGGCTCATACCAACGCTCACAGGAGCTGGGCAACCTGATTTTGTGATTTTGAGCGACGAAGCAAAATGGAAGGGACATGCGGGCGCTCTTGCTATGGGATTCTTTGACTACAATTGGAGGATCTCTTCTGCATCTTATCTTCCATGAACGAGATTGACTGATATTTGGGAACAATGTAAGTAGAAAATGGCGTTGAGGGCAGAGGATTTCTCGTTGTATGGGCGTTGACTGGGCTGTAATGTTCCTACGGGAAAGGAGCCGAACAGTAAAGATCGTGTATGAAGTCTGATGGTGAGTTCGAATTGCGACTGCCTTGTTATTGCTATACGAACCCCAGAACGTCACTCCCTTTCCAGTCGAGAGGGTGGAAGAGAAGGAACAGCCGTCGAGATTGCCAGTATCTCCTTCTGCCGCCTTTCTGCTGTCTGCTACTTCTCTTTTCTACCGCACCTGGACTTCAAATCCCCCATCGCCTTCACCACCTCACACTCTTTACGTTCTCTTCCACCCATCCTCTTCATATTGCCAATCTGCACATTTGCAGCCAACTCCAGTCCCTGTCGTTCCTCTTGTCTTTCAGACCTTCTCTGATTTATTCCTTCATATCTTGCATCTTCTAAGGCTTACTCAGAGAACTCCAGACTTGGGCTTTCCATCTGGATGGCAAATCTGGTGTCTAGTGGCTCCCCGAAAATGAGTCGCAAGTCCATTCCGGTCATCAAAGTGCGAGAAGAGGGTGAAGATGCGCGCGGCAACACTCTCACCGTAAGTTGAACGTTGATTGCAATCATCACTGCCTCACTAAAGTTGTCACAGACCGCAACCAACTCTCGCACCGCAACTGGGACTCGTACTGCTTTCACTGTCCTCAATCCCGACAAGCTCAGCAACATACAATCATCAAAGTCCAAAGACAAAGTAAGTCTCCTTTTTGCAGTCCCTCATACTACCCCTGTGATCTTGCTAACATCCTGTTCACCTATAGGGTACTGAAGGTGGTGAGACAAACACTGTGAGCAGCATGGAAGAGATACTTTCACGTCTCAAGTTGAATGATGCCCGCAAACCCACTCCTCACGCTGAGGTCAAGACCCAGAAGTCTGAGTTCGGCAATTTTGACAAACTGCTCAACAATCTCCAAGATCAAAACAAAGCATTGAAGAAACAAGAGAAGGAACTCAAGAATGAGACAGACCAGAACCACAACAAAGATGGCGATCGCTCAACCACTTCAGGCCTCCGTACTTCAGCAACCGAGAATTTTGCAGGACCAAAGCCTGCTGTCCAGGTTCCAGGTCCCAACAAGGCTGATGTCAACGAGATGATAAGAGTCAAGCAGGAGCTTGAGGCTGCAAAATCAGTCATCTCACGACAAGAACAAGAGCTGGCAGAAACACGGACTCTCAAGCATACCATGGATCAGGCCATGGGACCACCATCCGAGGCTGATTTTGGACCATCCAACGACATCACCGAGCAGACCATCGGCCACCTCCAGAGTGCTTTCAATGCCTCTGCTCGCCCTTTCACTTCCCGCAATGATGCTTGGGTCATTCCAGAAGGAACACGCCTCGATCAAGCCGATCATCTCACAGGTGCCAATTTTGGTCGTGGTCGAGGTATTTGGAACAATGCTTCCGCATCCATGACCGACCTTTTGGCTACCAACCCACCTGCTCCAGCATACACAAACCTCCGTGATGCTCGTCTCTCGGGTCAAGCCTATAACGGTGTGTACGGTGCCCCGACCGTCTCACCAGCCGAAGCCAATTTTCAGCCACGCAACTTTTCAGGTGGTACTGGACCAGTTGGCTACGACGTGCGAGCCGGCAATGACATGATGCAGTTCAACCCAACACTCGGCATGAGACGCAATGGAGGACAATTGAGGATCAATCCAAATCTCCCAGACCCTCTGTCTCAATATGGGAGCTATCCACCCGGCTCTTCAGCATTGACTCCACCACCCATCAGTCCCATGAACCTCGCCGCTCAATACCCTTATCAACGTGGACTTGCAACACCCATTACGCCTGCAGCAAATGACTTTCCTTCTGGTGGCGTCCCAGGAGCTGCCAATCCATGGTCGGTTCCGGGTACTGGAGCCAATGGACAAACCTATGTTACACCTCTCGAGCCAATGAACTATCGTCGTCTCCTCGACAAGTCAGTCTCCTGCGATTGGAAGTATATTGTCGACAAGATTGTCTGTAATAATGATCAGCAAGCCAGTATCTTCCTGCAACAGAAGCTCAAAGTTGGAACCGCGGAGCAGAAGTTCGAGATCGTCGAGTCGATTGTCAACCAGGCTTACCCTCTTATGATCAATCGTTTTGGCAATTTTCTTGTCCAGCGATGCTTCGAACATGGTACACCTGATCAAGTCGTGGCAATCGCCAACGCCATCCATGGAAGTGTCATCGCTCTCAGCATGGATCCATTCGGCTGTCACGTCATTCAGAAGGCCTTCGATTCCGTTCCAGAAGATCACAAGGCTGCCATGGTTCGTGAACTGCTTCGTCGCATTCCTGACACTGTCATTCATCGATACGCTTGTCATGTCTGGCAGAAGCTCTTCGAACTCCGCTGGAGCGGCGAACCGCCACAAATCATGCTGGAGGTGAACAAAGCTCTTACTGGCATGTGGCATGAGGTCGCTCTGGGTGAAACTGGAAGTCTTGTTGTTCAGAATATCTTCGAAAACTGTGTCGAAGAGGAGAAGCGCCCTGCGATCGAAGAGGTCATCGCCAACATTGATCTTATCGCACATGGACAATTTGGCAACTGGTGTATTCAACATTTGTGTGAGCACGGTTCTCCACCTGACAAGCGCCGCGTGATTGACCACATCCTTGCCAACTCCTACAACTACAGCATCGACCAGTTCGCTTCCAAAGTTGTGGAGAAGTGCCTCAAGATTGGTGGAGCGGAGTTTTTGGATCGATATCTCGGAGTCATCACAACAGCTCATCCAGACCGTCCACGTATCCCACTCATTGACATTGCTGGCGACCAATACGGCAACTACTTGGTTCAGTGGATCTTGATGAACACCCATCACCATCAGCGAGAGCAAGTGGCTGTCCACATCCGCAAGCACATGGTCTCTCTGCGTGGTTCCAAGTTCGGATCCCGTGTTGCAATGCTTTGCTGCAACCCCAATTCTGTCACTCGTCCAGGCCCTGGTGCAGTCGTCAATCCTTTCGGCGCTCCGGGTCAGCCTCGCAGCCAATGGCCTCGATTCCGCTGAGAGCGCTATCAGGATTTCGAGAACATCCACGGCCTGCACGCCCACGCGAATTCAACTATGTCATCTACCTACCAGTCATCTCATGTCAACCTGAACGTCCTCTACCGTCTGTCAATAATCGGGGGGTCGTCGTCCCTGTGCCTTGGAATACAGATTTGAACGGAGAGCGTGGACTTCACATTCATGACCAAAAGTCTAGTTGTCTGTCTTGAACTGATACTTCTTGGCTTTTCATTTCCAAGCATGTCTTAACGAACGAGTCTACCAACAATCAACTCTCCTGCATGTGTTTTTCATATCGACAGTCAGTTTTCATATCTTATTGACAGTTCCGTCTGACCGACCAGCCAATACCAAGCATGGAAGGATGTCGAATTGGAGTCCTCATACCTTGTTGGTGGGATATTTCAGAGCTACAGCATTATCCAACCTTATGTTCAATATCCGACATTGACTGTGTCCCATCATGTCTTTACCATTATCCCTGCTCGGTGGATGAGGTGGACACTGGAAGCATGTATTTAGCCGCAGCACGGGCAAAGATCAGGACAATGTAGCAGATAGTGCACATCATAGCTGAGCACTTTTCGCTCACAGAAGCCGGCTCGCTCTTCTGCAAGGCAGGAACAGGTTGTTCTATTCCAAGGCATGTAGTTCGCTGCTATTCGTACATTCCCAAGACGTTATTGAGCTGCCGTATGGTAAGTGTGGATGGGGTTGTTGATGCGGTGCTGCCACATTGCTAGATTATGCCGTCTGGCAGCCTTGACATAGGCGACTAAAACTCGACTTCCTTTCGGCGCTCTCCAAATCCGCATGGTGGAGATCATACATCTTCGTCCATATCATTTGAGGCGCCAAACATGGTCATTGGGCGGTGGTCGTTCCACTGTCCGCAATAGGTGGTGTACAATGGTCGCTGCCGGGGCTCAATCCTTACTCAGCAGTCCACTGTCCGGAATGGCGTTGGGCTTGAGAATATTCACCACACCCTGGCCTGTCTCTTTATGTCCATTGACATTTATCATTGCGGCGGTCGTGGGGACGTCCTCGTCCGTGGCAGCCGGTTCTACTTCTGTTTCTACTTCTGTTTCTGTCCCTGCTTCCGTTTGTGCTGGTGTCTCTGTTTGCATTTCCGCAGCCTCGGCAGCGGGTGAAGTTGTGGATGTCTCGGCGTCTTTCTCCCAAGGCTTCTTGCGTCGAGGGTTCTTGTCAATCTTACTCGAGCCCGGCTCGAGGATAGTGGTGGGGATCTCTTCGATGCCTGGGATGGGGACGTTACGGGTTATTAGGTCGACTATGGCGGCGAAGGAGGTCGGGTAGGGCGGTTCGGGTTCGGAAGATGGTGGCTGTGTTTGTGTTTGTGTCTGTGATTGCGGAGGTACTGCTGATGTCGAAGTGAGAGTCGTGGGTTGTGCTGGCGCTGCTGGGGGCAATGATGTTCCGTCGAGGTCGGGTGATAGCGTGGTTGGAGCGGCTTGCTGTATGAAGGATAGATGTGAAGGGTGGTCCTGCTGTATTTGTTGCAAACTTTGCGTCTGAACCCATGCGCTGTACGCATTTGGGTCTATGGGCTGTACATTGTATTTCCTATAGGAGAGGTTGTGTTAGCACATGGGGCTTCCACGCGCGTGTCCTGAAAGCATAACCGGAGGCTTCGTGCTCGTACTCACCTTGCGAAATAGAAGAGTTGAGCTTGCAGTACTAGAGCCGCATTTTCCCTAATCTCATCTTCCGTTGCCGGAGTGCCCTCGTGTCCTAGGATGGCTCCCAGACCGGCTTGGTATTCTCGGTCTTTGTGGAACGGGTAGTGGGAGATATTTTGGTAGAGGTATTCAGTTTGAGGGTCAATGGCGGTATTTGGATGAGCGAGGGCTTGAGGAGGTTCTTGCGACGTTGGCATGGCGCTGTCGGCCATTGTCGTATGGGAGTGAGCTTTTGCGCTGCCCGAGCCCGTCAACAGCGACGACGGGAGTTATTTGATCTGGGGTTCATCATGTCGCATGTGCACAAGGCTGCCCGAAATGTGAGCCGGGTTAACCTCGGTTTCTAGACTATCGATAAAGAAAAAGGAGGGGAGACAAAGTACCGCAATTGATGTCATACCAAAGTTCCCCATCTTGGATTCATGCCGACAGCTTTGAGGCCAAACCGACCCATTTGGGACCCGATTTTCGTCCGCTATCGCACAATCCTGGCATCGGTGCGGGCGGGACGTTCAGATTCGGAGCCGACGCGAGTAGCACTGTACGCGAGAGGCCTACAGTGGCTTTGAGGCTACAAGTCCCCGCTCAAGTCAGACGCGCGGAGGAATCGATTCCGTTTGGAGAAGACCTTAAGACGCCTGATCTTTCGAGGAAAGCGTCGACATCTTTCTCTGGAAGACGTCTACTCTCGCCTGCTCTACACCAAACACCGACTCAGTCTCACCAATAAACTCGACAACGCTACAGAGCCTATTCGCAATATGGCTGGCATAACCATTGGCCGGAGCCTCCTCACCCTCCAAGCCATTTCGACATCCGTGTCCTGCTACATTGCTGACTGGAACGAGACACATGTCAAGAACCCGAAATGGCCTCCCCATGCTCGCTTTCACAATGGTCAAACCATGTCTATGGGTCTCTGCCTGGGCGCTCTGACTGCCTATTATACTTGGAGATCAACACCGGACCTTGCGGCGGAAAGGGATTCAATCACCTCAGCCGCTGTTATTGGTACGCTTTATTGGGTGACCGGCCTGTCAGCCATTCTGTATCCAGGCACGAAGTGGACGGACCCCGAGTTTGGAACAGGAGCTCCGCAAAGGCCTCTATTTCTCATTCACGCTCTTGTCGCTTGGCTTGGCTGGTGGTTTGAGATGAGACGATTGTCATGAATTAGTGCTGCCCCCTCTGTGAGGAGCAAATTGCATGTTGTGAATGCGCGAACATTGCCGCGGAGCCTTGATGATCAATCTTCAGTGAGAAATCGACATGTCCTACACCCTGATGGACTGCGCTGGTGGAAATGATATCGATGTCGTTGTTGACATACTCTTTGACGTTCGTTTCTGTGAGACCACCACTGCATTCTAGAAGCACTTGCCTCTTTCCAGCCCACCGGTCTTTCAAGCTTTTTGCTGCAATTTTGAGGCCTTCTCCATCGAAGTTGTCTAGCATAACGACGTCAGCGCCAGCCTCGATAGCCTCGTCCGCTTCGGCTTCGGTCTGGACCTCGACTTCGATCTTCAGAGCGAACCCTCCGACTGCTCGTGCAGCTTTGACTGCATTAGTGATGCTGCCTTTAGCCCAGATGTGGTTGTCCTTGAGCATGATCATGCTGCTCAAATCGTGTCGGTGACCGTCGATTCCACCTACAAGCATGCCGTACTTCTCGACAATTCGAAAGCCAGGGGTAGTCTTCCTCGTACCTGCTAAGACACCGGTATATCCTGCTTTGCGAACCAGGTCAAGCATCTTTCTGCTCCTTGTGGCCACTCCGCTGCATCTTGCCAGCGTGTTTAACGCGACTCTTTCGCCCAACAGTAATTTTCGAGTCGGTCCTTTTACCGTTGCGACCTTGATCTTGCCTCCTGATTTGGCTGGGTCGAGGTATGCACCTTCCTGGTGATGCCATTCGACTGTACAGTCTAGCTGACGGAAAACCTCGTCGAAGAAAGGAATACCTGCGAGGACGCCCGCGGATTTGCATAGTAACTGTGCGGTCCGTGGGGATGAACCGACCACGAAGCCACCATAATCGAATGAAGGAGTATCCTCGGCGAGCCAGTTGGTGATATCGGTGGTGAAATGTGACGGGAGGAGGTCGGCCAGAGATCCGTGCGAGAGACTGGCATCTGTGGGCAGCGGGAGCTCAGCAGCTGACGGTGCCCCATTCGAGGCCATTCTGGTATGGTAGTATCGAGACTCAGAGACGACAATAGATCAATGAAGATGGTTGGGGCTTGAATGATGGGATGTGTCTGGCATGGACGCGGGCCGCGCACTTTTGTTTCGCATAAAATCTACCCCGCATTGTACATGTACAGGTAGGAGGTACCGACTTTAGACCTACCCTATCTTGAACCCTTAAAGAGGATCGATGGCTCACTAGGCTGACCTACCTGCCAAGGAGGTGATATCGGTATCGAGATACAAGTAATTACAGTATCTTATGAGCTAAATCAACCATGGGAGGTCCTTCGGCCATAACGCGGAGAATGGGTGCCGGTCTCTTGACATACCCATCTCCACGACGGCCTGGCCGTGAAGGCTAAGAGACGTGACGTTTATATCTGGGGCAATGTGTGTCATGTTAATCCCGAGGGTATTGTTACTTTGACTTTTGCTAGAGACATGAAGCCCAGAAAGCCTTCGATCTGTAATTGACGTCTTCCCAGTCCCCTCAAATCCATCTCTTGCTGTAAAGTACCTAGGTAGACATCACTATCACACAGCCAGCCTAAACCAGCGCATATCAAGAATGGCGATCGAAGGAATACCCAAAGAAATGACGGCGGTGCAGGTAGTCGAGGTACATACCACCCACCACCACCATGCATGATACATCAGCTCACCGGTCAAACCAGTTTCATAAACCATACAAGATCCACAAAGTGCCCACACCAACCTCGCTCAAAGAACATGAGATCCTGCTCAAGACCGTAGTCGCCTCATTATGCCACACGGATTCAATGGTCACCGAGGGCAAGTTTCCCACCACCCTCCCATGCACGGCGTCGCACGAAGGCACAGGTATCGTCAAAGCCGTCGGCAGCAAGGTAACCAACTTCAAAGTCGGCGACCGTGTCATGTCTGGCCTGCCCAAGAATCCGTGCGGCACCTGCTATAATTGTTCCGGTCCCAACGACTGGCATCAGTATTGCGAGAACATCGATGGCCATATCGGCGTGTTTGTCGACGGCGCGTTCGCAGAGTACCATGTCGTCGAAAGCCGGAACAGTTGCCTCATCCCCGACGGCGTGAGTTCTGCAGCTGCCGCACCGCTCGCGTGCGCCGGGTGCACGATCTACCGCGCTTTGATAGTCAGCGAAGTCAAAAAGGGTGAATGGGTCGCCATTGTCGGCGCGGGCGGTGGGCTAGGCCATCTGGGCATTCAGTTCGCGCAGGCGAAAGGGATCAACGTCGTTGCGATCGACGCGCGGGACGAGGCGCTCGAGTTGTGCAAGAAAGCTGGGGCGGAGCACATTCTCGACGCGCGAGAGGGCAAGGACAAGCTTGTCAAGCAAGTCCAGGATCTGACGGACGGGTTGGGCGTGCATGCGTCGATCAATGTGAGTGAGCATGAGACTGCGGCGACGACATCGTGTGCAGTGACCCGTATGCACGGGATCATGGTGCAGGTTGCGCAGCCGGATAAGGTGTGCATTGATTTCAAGGAGTTGATTTTCCGGGACATTCGCGTCAAGGGCACGCTCATTGCTGGGCAGGAGTACTCCCAACAAATGCTCGAGGATGTGGCCAAGTACAAGATCAAGGTTGAGACGAATTTGTTTTATGGCTTGGGGGAGGTGCCTAAGATGGTGGAGCTGGCTCATTCGGGCAAGATGAAGGGCAAGGCTGTCTGCGTGGTGGATAAGGAGGCACTTGACGCGGAGAAGGCTGATGCTTAGAAGAATTGCTGTGGTTGAAATGTCGAAGACAATGGCATACTGGAACAAGTGAATGAATATTGTTAGACAGCTGCAACTTTACAATTTGAGCTTGCACACGTCCATGGACGGCGATATAGAATGTGATCAAGCAGTGTGGCTCGATCTCCACGCGCTACCCTTCCATTGCAGGATGATTGTAGGAATCAAGCTGAACACGATCACCAACGCGGTAATAATGCCTGCCGACCCGTACAGTCCAACATTGGTGAACATCTGAGGGAACCAGAAAGGACCAATGAATCCCCACATTTGACGGACGAAAGTGATAAACACACCGACCGACGCAGCGTCCTCCCTGTAGCAGTCCACAGCGTAGGTGATGAGAACCGTGGTCACAATCTGATTACCTCCACTGGCAATGGCGGCCCCAACAAGGGGTGTGACGTTGTAATTGTCCCCAATCTCACCGAGTTGGACCAGGAAGACAATCACACCGACAATGGAAAGTATGTATCCGCTGTACGACAACCACAGACGCCACTCCGGTGCAGGTTTGGTCCCGATCTTCTTGGTGCGTCGATTCATCCAGGCGTCAGAGGTGAAGCCGCCGATTTGTTCTCCCAGGAGTGACCCGATGATCATCGAGATGTACTGCAGACCCATCTGTTGCGTGTTGAACTTGAAGGCCGGACCGAAGAGCTGTGGCACCTCGACCGTGAGCATGACGCTGGCGAAGAGGAAGACCATGGCATATGCCACCGCGGGAACAACCACACTTGGTCGCGCAAAGTATCGTAGGGGTTGCACGAAATCCCGGAAGCGGAGTGGTGTTGGGTCGATACGGCGCAGTTGCATGTACTCTTGCTTGAATGCCGAGCCTTCATGGCGCACACCGTGGCGAAGGTAGCGAGTCTCAGGGCCGAGGAAGAGATAGACTATCAGTTGGACGGCATTTGTCTAGGGTTGAAGTATTAGTATATGAATGACCGGCAGAATTGAAAGCAGAAAGCTTACGATTGCAAGAACGCGGTAGATCCATCGGTAGTCGACGCGATAGGCGAGAAATCCGAAAATGAATGGTGAAATCGGAACACCGATTGTGACCATCACAGTCCAGATACCCATATACCGGGCTCGACTCTGTTTGAAGAATGTCTCCGCGACCACAGCACTTCCAATAGCAGCGGCAGGGCTAATGAAGAAGGCCACTATTGCTCGTGAGGCAGCCATGCTACCATACGAATGGCTTTCGGAGCAGCCGATGTTGGCAACCATGGAGCAGATGAGTGAAACGATGAAGACTGGTCGTCGTCCATAACGATCCGACAATGGCTTCCAAAAGAGAGGAGCTCCACCAAGGATGGCAATCTGGAGAGACGTCAAGTAACTGGCACGTTGAAGACTGCAGCCTAGGTCTGCTGCGATGTTCTCAAAAGCAGATTGGATGGATGCAGCTGTGAATGTGGCCATCATTGCGTGGAAGGCGACGATCATGAGGTTGACGACCTTCTTCCGATGCGGCCAGTTGTAAGGATCCGCATCGCTCATATCAGGTACCGGATCAAGGTCAAGCGTGCCATGGCGGGCCAGGAGATATTCGCGATGTTCTGGTGAGAGACGGTCGATGTCGTCTCGGTCGAGATGGGTATAAGCTGGTCGGACTGGCTCGACAAACTCTTTCTGCGTCTCGCCATTGACAGAATCATCGGCTTTGAACGTAGAGTTCACCGGTGGCATCTGTTCCGTCATGCTGGGCAGATTTGCAATAAGAAGACAAAAAAGGACAGAAGACGGGGTAGCGGAGTGAGCAAGGGGTCATTCTGGAGGGCGGCGAGGAGTTCATTATGTAGTCTGGAGCAGCTCCAGGGCTTCTATTGCTGTCGTGTAGGGCTAGCTCGACCCTCGGCGCAGGTCTCCGGGGCTCCTCCCCAGTTTGGTCTCGTCTCGAAGTCTCCTCTGATATCCCCTGTGTCCCCACGACATTCGGGGCCAATCAAACCAGGCGGTGGGGATATGGAAAGCGGGTTGACCCATGGCCTGGCCACGAGCAAGCAAGTTATAACATTTTGTGGCCAAGCAGCATGGGGATGCACAGACTCGAAGAGGGGACGCCCACAGCATTACCGGGGCGGCTCACATATTCTGGACTCGGGGGCAACGGGGCTTACTCACGACAGGGACGCGCATGCTGTTCTCGACCATGCATGGTGCAGAGCAGAGTTCTTCTCTAAGTGGAACTCCCCAGCGGAATTGGATGAAAAGCTCTTCTTGAAAGACTTCGTTGAGCCGCAGACTCTCGAAAGTAAAGCGACTTGGGCCAACTTTTGTTCTGCAAAGCTTGTCACGATTAGAGCAGTTTGCCGGTGGGTAACACGACCGTTTGATCCGCGGTAGATCAGTCGATCCACGTGCAGAAGATGAAGCAGAATTCGATGGCAACAAAGTGATGTGATATTTGTTGCGTCGCGCGGCAGGAGCGCTTCCGAGATGCCTTGATAGCCAACTTGCATCCAGTAATCTGTTCGGATGCACTTTCGCCAGAATTTCACAAGTGCCCACGCTGTCAGAGCTGACACTTGCAAGTGACCCCCGGACAAGACAGCCTAGTGATCTGCCACGCTATGGAGCCTGGTGGTTTTTGGCTTGAAAATGGGCGGCGGCGGTGGGGACACGCGGGGATTTGACACACATACTCGATCATGCTGATGTTGTTGATATCGTGGGGACGTGGGGATCAACCAGATCGACAACATCTCCCCAGACTTTGGTCTGTTATTCTCGACGGTCCATTCAACTTCCACAACGTTTTCCAAGACCTGGGGCATACATTGCCTCGGCTGCTAGACTCCGGCTTTTCTGTTTCACCAAGTCGGGGTAATGCTATCCTCTTCTCTGCAGATGAGGATGTTCGATGCGAGCGTCCGCCAGCAGCACACATCGCTAAAAATGCTCTACCTTGCAAGCATGGATGCACTATTGATCCCATGGCCATCCTTCTACGCAAGCCTTCCCTTGTCGGTTGCATGGCATCTCCGGATCTTGTGGAGAGTTGCAAACATCTTGCAGTGACGCTCCTTGCTAGATCATCGGTGAGGAGCAGCTTCAACCAGAGCCGGTTCAGACGGAGCTGTGAGCTGCATCGGTTGCATCGTCCGAGAATGTCACCGATACTGCACTGAAAACATATAAATATCGACCTGAGGTAGGCAGTAATTGCATTTGCTGAGGAGCTTCTCCATCTTGTATCCTTCAAAACGTGGGCATCTTCATCAATCTCGAGATCATGTGTGTATTGAAACTCTTTTGGTGCATAACCCAATTCTTTGGCATTGCTCTCGCCCAAAGTTTGAACGATGTATGCACGACATCATATGTGGTAGCATCGCTACCAGCGCCCGGCACAATTCCTGGCATCACAATCGACAACTCCTCCGTCGCAGCCAGTCCCGTTGCTAATGCCGAAGTCGCAAACGAAAACATGTATCCGGATGCTGTCTTTGACTATTGCAACGTCTCTTTTGCTTACTCTCATGATGGGAGAAATGACCAGGTCTTGTTATGGTATTGGCTGCCGGCTCCGCAAAATTTCCAGAACCGCTATCTGTCAACAGGAGGTGGTGGATACGCCATCAACTCCGGCAATGGCTCTCTTCCAGGCGGTATCATCTATGGAGCTGCTGCTGGAGCTACTGATGGAGGTATGTCGACAGCACGATGACCTGGGCTAATCATATTGTGCTAATACATACGCGGGAAGGCTTTGGAAGTTTCAGCATAAGCGCCGATGAAGTGATCCTGCTTGCAAATGGGACAATCAATCGGGACGTGCTGTATGCCTTTGGTTACGAAGCCATCCATGAGATGAGCATTATCGGAAAGCAGTTGACCCAAAACTTCTTCAACATGTCCAACACGAAGTTGTATTCATACTATCAAGGATGCTCCGAGGGCGGCCGCGAAGGATGGAGCCAACTCCAACGCTTCGGTGATCAATTCGACGGTGCTGTGACTGGTGCGCCAGCATTCCGCTACGGCCAACAGCAAGTCCAACATCTCTAGTCCGGCGTAGTCGAACAAACAATGAACTATTTCCCGTCTCCATGCGAATTGCAAGCCATCGTCAATGCGACAATCGCTGCCTGCGACCCCATGGACGGCGAGACAGACGGCGTCGTGTCCCGCACAGATCTATGCAAGCTGAATTTCAACATCAATTCCACAATCGGAAAGGCATACTACTGCGCTGCTGCTCCTGCTACCGCAATGCCGCCATCGCCAGCCACGCCGGTGCAGAATGGAACAGTCACTTCTCAAGGCGTGGCCGTCGCCGCCACAATTATCGACGGCCTCCATAACTCCAATGGGCAACGTGCCTACCTATCATACCAACCGGCAGCGACTTTCGTGGACGCGCAGACGACGTACTCCAGCGCGACAGACTCCTGGGGTCTGTACATAGATTCTCTGGGCGGCGAGTGGGTTGAGAAGTTTCTCAACCTCCAGAAGGGGACCAACCTGCCTTCCCTGAACAACGTGACTTACGACACGCTGACACAGTGGATGATCCTAGGCTGGCAGCGCTACGAGGACGTTCTGCAAACAACGCGGCCGGACCTCACGCCATTGAACAACGCAGGCGGCAAAGTCATCCACTACCATGGCGAGTCCGACAACAGCATCCCCACAGCCTCCTCCGTGCGGTACTGGGAGTCCGTCCGCAGCATCATGTACCCTGGTCAGTCATACAATGACAGCGCAGCAGCTTTGAGTGAGTGGTACCGTTTGTTCCTCGTCCCGGGCGCGGCTCACTGCGCGCCGAACACTCTGCAGCCAAATGGGCCGTTTCCACAGACCAACCTGGCAGTGTTGATCGATTGGGTTGAGAAGGGTGTTGTGCCGACGACTCTCAATGCGACGTACCTCGCTGGCCAGAACCTGGGGCAGAATGCGCAGATTTGTGCGTGGCCTTTGAGACCATTTTGGACGAACAATGGGTCGACTTTGGAGTGTCAGTATGATCAGGCTTCGATCGATACGTGGCATTATGATATGAATGCGTACAAATTGCCTTTGTATTGAGATTGAGCGTGTATTCAGAGAGGAAGACTGGGGGGAGGCAGATGCAAAAGCCATATCGTTCTGACATATGAAAAGGTGATCCCTAATGTCTACATCAGTCATTTCCTGGTGGTTGTCTCACAATGTGCTGCCCAATGTGACCTTGTACTATTTGGAATGAGCCTCCCAAAGCATTTTCTTGAAATCTGTGACGTTGGTGCCGGAAACGTCGTCGTACAAGGTCGTCCACTCCTTCAATAGCTGATCGACCCCAGAATCACCCTCAACAATGATGGACATATCTCGTGCAGAAACCCTCGACTCTTTATTAATTGAGTCAAAGGGTACAGATCCTATGTCGTTTCCTTTGCTCCAGTGCTGGCTAGACCAAAGATAGTCCCGATAAGACCGACATCTGCCATCGCTGTGAGAGTGGAACACCGTCAAAGGAGGGTGAATCCCATCGTGTTTTGCAGGCGCAGAGACCTCTCAAACTTGTGTGAGTAGAGAGAGATGATAAATACAACTATATGAGCATCATCTCGAAGCGTGTGTCATTGAGGGATCGCGGGATTTGGTTGTTAAGATAACACCAAAAGCGCCCGTGGAGGCTGTGCTGAACGCCACGCTGCGACCTCGGACAGCCTTACCAAAATATACGATATGCACTGGGTGCCTTTTCAAAGTCTGCTATTGACGTCTCGGCCGCCTGAACCAAAACGAGCAGGCCATTGGCGGTCATAGGAGATCGGTCCTCGACTTCTTATGCCCATCACTTCGGTTGTAAACAATTTCTCTTACGTGAGTCAATATCGATGGCACGGTTTCTTCGCATAGTTACCCGGCAGACCTTCCGTTTCAAATGACCTATGTGCACTTGAAGCTACTCCAGATGCGGTCTAACAAAACAACCTCCTTGTTCGGCATCTTGATCTTTTTGGCGACTCAATACTGTAAGATTTTCTTTGTTTGCTCACAACTTTTGTGACTGATGACGCTCACTTCACACTTTTCGTATCCTCCTTGCGGCAATCCCGTAGATGCGCCTATTCATGGATAGGGCGCCCGTATCGCTTGTACCCGCTTAGATACCGAAGACTCAATCATGCACGGTAAGATTGTGGCTCAAGCCATACAAAAACTGGACAAAGGACTCTGGTCACTTTTTCTTTCCCCCAAAGGTATGCGAAAGCTGTGCATGCCGCTTTGTTTCACTCGCCCATATACGATGCATGCGGAACAAAGTCAACGAAAATAGCTTACGTCTCCTGTCATTTTTCTGCGCGTTCTGTTTCACAATCATCTATCTGCGAACACTTAACACCGACTCCTGTGATACCTGCATCGCACCCTGATAATTTCGAGACTGAAACCGGCCCACGATTGCCCTGACTCTAGCAGCGTGATCATGCGTTGGCGGCGCATAGCTCCACGTGCGGAAGAGCTCCGGGCAAAAGAGTATCAACTGCTCGACCCCGACCACGACCACATCGTTCCCAATATTGGAGGGACTTCCAACACCGACATTCGGGACGATTTGAACCAAGCTTGGTTTGATTCTAGAGATGGGAGAGGAGCCTTCGGCCGGACGGGATCCCAACTGCTATTCATGGTGAGACGGCTGATGTTCAACGATGACTACGATGAGGACGCTATATGGGGTCCTGTCCGGATCCTCGGTGCCGGTTCGTACGGCCAGGTCGGCTTATGGCAGAAGCGCAATGACTTGAACCAGCCCATTGATGAGCTTGCCTTGAAAGAAAACGCATACAATCCGAACGCTCTTCTGCCATCCGAGGTTTCCCCTATCATGAAATTGAGAATGCCGAAGGAGGCCTTGATCCAACACGACATCAACGACAAGGATGATAGAGCCGCACCTTTTCTTCGACGTTACAAATTTATCTCAGAGAGTGCAGACCACGAACAAGGACGATACCGCCACTACCTCGAGTTCTGCCCACATGACAGTCTCCAGAGCTTAAGCGCTCTCTACCGCGCTTGGGATACGTATCTTCCAGAAGTATTCCTCTGGTACGTCTTCCACCGACTGGCCATCTCCTGCCAAGCACTGCACGAGACCCCTCCCCTCGACAGCCTTGCCTGGAGCACGGAACTCGACGGTCTGGCGCGACGGAATGGCTATTGTCTTCATCTCGACATGAAGCCAGGAAACGTACTGCTTGACTACGCTCCCGAAGATCCGCAAGATCATGACTTTCCCGGTCCAAAGCTGTCCGACTATGGCATGTCTGTGTACACTTGCTCGGACGACCAAAGTAACCCCATCAGGTATTTCTGGCGAGCTACCCGTGTCTATGCGCCACCAGTAGGACACACCGAGTCTGACTTTCGCAACCCAAGCTAACTCTGTGCCAGGAACAACAAAGCTATGGTGCACATTGGACACTTCCGCCCACGGGAGCCGCCAAAAGAACCCACGACGAGCAACGTCGACGACGCGACTTCAAACAAGCGAAAGCTGCTCAGAGGGATGACAATAGAGAGGATGAGGCCGACATTACCTTTGACACTTCGACGAATGTAAGCCGTGCATCGCTCGACCACATCGAATGCGTCCTTTCCGACTAACATGGTTTGCAGATCTACGGAGTCGGCGCCACAATGTACACCCTCCTCACATTACGCCGCCCCGAACGCCTGCAGGAAACTCGTGCCAAAACCATACAAAAGTTCGTGCGCAACGGCAACCACCAGATCTCAGGAGTCCGCACAAAAACGCCCGGCATCTACAGCAGCCGCCTCCGCAGTTTCCTTTCCCGTTGTATCGATCCCAACCCCGACGCACGCCCAACTCAGCTCGAACTCCTGGACGCCACGCGCCGCGGTCTCCGTCTCGCTGAACGTCGTCTGCGCAAAAAGAATACATGGAACGTTGCTCAGGCCAGCAATGCGCAACTCATCGCCGCCGTCATGGCAGGCGCGCCGCCCAACGATCCCGATGTCCCCACGCATTCGGAGAAATTGTACTTCAAGGGCCATGAGATCAACGACATGCCTCTTGGCGACGCTGGATTTAGGCCCTCGAAAAGCGAAATCAAATACCTCGCAATCGGTGATTTTGTGGATCCGGATCGTCGACGTTTGAGGCTGCCCGCCGCAAAGTATGGGCACTACCCAGCTCCTTCGTTCGTACCAGGTTGGAAGAAACTCTATGATGAGAGTAACGGGGATCCTGCTTGGTTCAATGATCCTTTTGTGGCTCCGCCACCTCCACAGAACGCTAATGCTGCGACTGGTGCTGGTGCTGGTACTGGTGGTCCATGAAGTACAGCAAAGTGTTAGAAATTACCGAACGCTCAGTATAAAGACAAATCAAGACATGTTTTGGTATAAAGAGTTCATTTGAGTCACAGTAGACGTGTGGTGATGAGCTGTACAATGAAGAGATACCTAAAGATTTCATTCGCAAACCGAATTGCGCCTTCGCTGATGCATTCGTGATCATCTAGTCTTGGTACACATGCTTGAAATCAGCAAACTCGCCCCTCGCTATGCAATACTACCATGCCATGCAGATCTGATTGCCTCGTTCCTTCTTTCGTTGAACAATCGTACGTCTGGCTGGCCTGCTTTGCAACCACCGCCTGTCGTGACATATAATGTCACGATCCCATGGCCGTCAGGATCCACCTCAAGCTCTCCTCGACCCATCAGATGGGAACTCATCGGACACGATCAAGCGGGTGTTCACATTCATGCTCCCCAGCTCATTGAGCAAAAGCTTGAATGCATACGGAAGCGTCATGCGGACGACATTCGATCCCGTCTCGCCTGCCGTAGCGCAGCGCTGACACCACCGGCCGAACGCCATGAAGCCACAAGACTCGCACACATCCACCTCGTGCTTGTCGCTGGACAGCATCAGTCGCTCTCGCAGCAATTGTGACGCGCCGTACGCGATAAGACAGTCTCGCTCCATTTCTCCGAGACGCAGACCACCATCCCTCGAACGACCTTCCGTCGGCTGCCGTGTGAGGATGGCCCTAGGACCCCGCGAACGACTGTGCATCTTGTCTTGAACCATGTGTTTGAGCTTCTGGTAGTAGATCGGGCCTGTAAATACGTATGCTGGGAGAGGCTCGCCCGTGATTCCGGACGTTAGATAATCTTTGCCGTCATAGCTGTAGCCTGACTCAATGAGAGCTCGGGACATGTCTTCCAGTTTGCTGCCCCCAAACGCGGTGCCATATTCGAATTTGCCCTTCAAGATACCAGCTTTGCCCGAGACCAGTTCTAGCATTTTGCCCACCGTCATACGAGACGGGAAACCATGAGGGTTCATGATAATGTCGGGTGTGATCCCAAGGTCCGAGAATGGCATGTCGACCTGCTCAGCAATGATACCAACGACACCTTTCTGTCCGTGACGGGAGGAGAATTTGTCGCCGACTTCGGGAACTCTTGTTTGTCGAGTTTGTATCTTGATCAGCCGACTGCCTGACTCGACCTCCGACATCATCACTTTGTCGATGTAGCTGGGGTCAGGCAAGCGGTACTTCTGAGCTTGTGCTACGAACCCTTTGCCACTGTTGGATCCAGCGTCGGACAGCCCAGAGGAGTTGGCATTTTCAGGCACGTATTTGTTGACATAGACCTCGCCCTGACTGACCTTGGCACCAACTGAAGCAAGGCCATCCCCATCGAGTAGGGCATGTGCCTTGATTGCGGCGCCATTCTCGATTGTTGGTCCAAAACAATCGTCGTGGCTGCGATTGGGATAGGACTTTAGCTGCACCGGATATTTGCGGAGAACCTGACAGCGGCCAAAGCCACGATCCACTGATGCCTTGTTGAGTACGAGTGCGTCTTCGATATCGTATCCACTGTATGACATGACCGCAACTGTGGCATTCTGACCAGCTGGCAGTTTGTCGTACTTGACCAATTCGATGGTTCTCGTCTTGACAAGTGGTTTTTGAGGATAAACCATGAGGTAGAGCAATGTGTCAATTCTGAGGAATTGGTTGTTGGCAATAAACCCAATGGCTTGTTTACCCATAGCACATTGGTACGTGTTTCGAGGTGATTGATTGTGATGAGGGTATGGGATCAAGCCAGCAACCGCACCGAGGACTGTGAATGGTTCGATCTCCAAGTGCGTAGTGGCAGCATGCATATCCGTCTCATACATAGCAATGTTGCTGTCATTTTCCTCGTTGACGTCGAGATATTCCACAAGGCCGCGAGCCAGAAAGTCGTCAAAGTCCATAGATCCCTGCCGAAGTGATTTGAGATATCTTTTGGTGACTTTGGATTTCTTGTCCTCAACAATAATGAGAGGTCGACATATCCGTCCTTCATCCGTGGCAACTTGAATTGTGTTGTGGTGATGATTGATGAAGATTGACACGAACTCGGAGATGCGGCCAGATCTTCGCAACCGTCGAAAGGAGGTCAGGAAATGGGAGGGATGCCGCGTAGTCGCCACAGGGGTTCCGTTCAGCAGGACGAGGTATTGACCCAGTGCATACAGCTCCGCGCCACCCACAGAGACTATATCCTCCGCACCGAGCATGAAGATGAGACGCTTGATGGGTGCTTCCTCGTCATCGGTGGTGATATGGGTCATGAGGGCAAGATTTTTGACCAGTCCACACGCTTCACCTTCGGGTGTGTCTGCTGGGCAGAGCATACCAAAAGATGATGGCTGCAGAGCACGCGGTCCGCTGACCTTTCTTGTCTTTTCGAATTGACTGGATATTCTAGTCATCATGCCGAGCGAGGCAATGAAACTCAACCGACTCAACAAATGAGTAACTCCTGCACGATCCATGCGAAAGCGTTTCAAGTTCCAATTGCCGGTAGCGATTGCTCTGTTCATGCCTTGTGTGATGTGACCAGCATGGGCCATGATTGTATTGCACGGATCAGCCATCTCGGTCCGATTTGGCTTCCGCAGCACTTTATCCACGTTCAATTTGACATCATAGTTGAAACTCTTGAACAAATCCTCGAAAAGGAGTGACAGTAACTGACCAGCCAGTTCCAGTCGTTTGTTACCAACATAGTCCCGATCATCCACCAATGCAGGGTTCTGCTTGGCCATGAGGACACGGTGTGCCATATGCCCCACATAGATGGCTTTGGGTCGGAAGTTGAGGTTTTCAATCGGCACATGGGCAATGAAGACGTTGCTGACAGCCTCCAATGCTTCCTGAACATAATTTCTGCGGGACTGGCCGAAGGGTGTCGGCTTTCGCGTGATTTTGATCCTTGCTCCGAGGTAGTCGAGTGCCTGCTGCTGAGTGTAGATCCGGTGTTTGATGGTCTCTTCGAAATTGACCGAAAAATCGTCCTGCAAAACACCTTCCTTTCCTGCAACAATGGCCAACATATCCTGGTCCGATGTAACACCCATTGCCTTGAGTAGGATACAGATCGGGACATCTTCGTTCAAAATATTGTGTCGCATGTACAACAAATCTTTCTTCAGCAAGATGTAACTTTTCGACTTCCTGGCGTGAGTGGAACTGGTAACTGAAGCAGTAATGATTTCTTTCTTTGGGTCGGCCTCAACAATGATGCGGTTCTTGCTGAGTTGTTCCTGGACCAGAATCACCTTCTCTGTGCCATTCACAATGAAGTAACCACCAGGGTCGAGCGGGCATTCGTCCACTCCGCACATTTCTGCCTCCGACTTGCCTGCCAGAACACATCTGGCACTGCGCAGCATGATAGGCATACGGCCGATCTGTAGACCTCTCCGCCGATATGCAACTTTGGACTTTGTGTATTGGACGTCCACCAGAATAGGGGCTGCGTATGTCATATCGCGTAGCCGACACTCGTTGGGCGTTACTGTAGATTGATCTTTTGAATCCACCGGAATCATCTCATCGTATCTGCACGGCTTCCCGACACGGATGTCTAGGTATTTGATGTAGAAATCTGGGTCAATGTCGCTTGTAATTACAGGCTCTGCTTCGATGATCTTTTTCAATTCCACCTCGACAAAGTGATTGAAGGATTCGATATGTTGTTTTACCAGCCCTTTGACTTTGAGGAATGCCGGCAAGAGGTTCCATTTATCACGAGCGGTATCGATAGGATCTGTCAGGGACTTGTCATAATAGAAAGGCTCGAGGGTCGCATCGAAGCTGTCTGTGTGGTGGGAGGGCTTGCGGTTCTGATGGTGCTTTTCTGACTTGGACTCATCTGCCGCTGTTCGGGCATCAGACGCCACAGAAGGGTCATTCCCAGAAGCATCTTTGGCCGTGGACTTCCGCGGTAGTGTTTTCTTCTTGGTGTCAGTGCCAGTTCATGGCTAACAGAACCTGCAATACGTACCACCTTGGGAAGCGGTTTCTTAGCAGTCTGTCCGACGGCGCCGACCACGCCGTCAGCTTTCTTCTTTGGCGGCATTGGTGCCATTTGTGCATGAACAAACGGATCCCAAAGGCGAGGAGTCGTCTGGCATAGTCTATGCTGCAGAACCGAGTGTGTGGTGGCGTGTATCAAGAAGGCTTTGTACAGTGATCAAAAAGTTCCTCAAGACGCGGTGGGCAACATTTGTCGATCACATCGCACCGCAGCCAAAAATTCTGCCCATCGCCTGCTTACCTAAGAGAGCGGTGAGGGGTCACCAGTGATACCTCCGGGCGCCGTGAGGGGAACGTGAACTGTAGTGGCACAGTGGACGACCTCGGTTTCGGGAAGGTTTGGCGGATGCTGCCCCTACGTGAGTGCCACCACCTGAGATCAAGTCTGTCGTCGACTCTTCCACGATTAACCGGACTTACCACAGACTGTCCGCTCACCGTTATTTGCTCCAGATGTTGGTGGCGATGCTACATCATCAGATCCACGCAGATAGCCAGGACTGGGTCGATATTTGATGCAAGCTCTTTACCAACATGAACACGTGGGACATATCTTCTTCTCTCCAAGTGACATGTGCCAGGGAAAGCCTGCCCGCAGAAAAGCATAACGCAGCCCGAAAACACTGGTGGCTTCATTGAAAGTTAAGTATCGGGTTGCTGGTGCGTCTACTTCTTTGCTACAGGTCATTCCGAGTGGGGTGCTTTACTCGTACAGGCACTTGCTTGATGCAAGGGGACTGCGGCAGCTGGCGCATAGAGGTTGCCTTCCCATTGCTGGCATATCCCTGTCGAGACGCCTGAATCCAGATGGTCAAGACGAGGCTCAAACATAGGTTGATCTCGACCGATTTCATTCATATACTACCTGATCTTGTATCCCAACTCTCAAGACATGAAACTAAGCATTGGCAATTTTCTTTCCGGCAGCGGGTTGGTTGAATCACAAAGAGACAGATTTTGGCCACTCGAGGATATTATCAGAACGACAGGCCAGGGGTCATTGGCGACATCACTGCGCATCACTGATCAGTTTGGAGCGCTGGTCCCTGCTGCGGGTGGGCACTGCACGGCACTGTCATGGGCGTTCTTCGGGAGAAACTTGAGAGGGTTTTGTGCCAGTTGGCAGCATGAAATCTGGCATTTGGATCCCAGGGTAATGTAGGTTAGCTTTCACCGTTGCCACTACGAATTCCTCTTGTCATCTGAAGCGCAGAGCATATCCCACTCCGTAAGTCCTGAAGGCTGAAATGCCCCCATTGCCCTGCATCTGTGCCCAGGAGATTGTCAGTGCTCTCCCCCACGAGGCCCTCGGTGCAGTGCGCAGCCATCACTGGAACATAGCATTCATGTCTCAGAACTCCGGCCAGGCCGTGGGGTAAGCTTGTCTCGAGGAAGCCCAAGACAGCAGTTAAAGGCCGGGATTGCGCCATGCAGATCGGACGCTGGCAGGAGCCACAAAAACTGAGGACCTGCAAGAACTTGTACGCTCGTACCTTCTTTCCAACGAGGGGAAAACCAACACTTCTCAAAGAAAGGCTTCTGATCTCGATGGTCGGGAACACCCTCTTCTGACCGTGGTAGCCATGATTCGATTGGAGAGGCGCTGCCACCCAGATGCGGGCCCCTGATTTCCTCATCTTGACCGCCATTTTGCCTGTGATCTTTAACCATTCGGATTGGCAGAAGCCATGGGGGGCGCCCATCAAATGCCAAACCTACCTGCATCTTCCCCACATCTCAAGCATTTTGGTCTGACAAGCAGTTGATGGGTGGTTTGGCACATCACAGCATTCGTGAGGTTTGCATTTGACGGACGACGGAGGATTCAATCTAGCGGCGCAACCGCCCATTCTGTGACCACTCATTGACCATGAGGCATGGCCACTCGATGGCGCAACATGCCGTGAGTCCGCGGGCAGATTACTTCGACTAGCCACCAGAAAAACCCGGAAAGTACAAATGCATCGGAAAGAATAAGGTAAGCATTCGGTGCGCTATCTGTGCTATCTCTTTCGAAGGCAGTTTCGTCTTCCTAATATGCTTTCGTGGGCTGCAGAGGGGTAAGTTTAAGGGCCAATTCTACCCCTCGTAGGCCAGTGCCCACTGGTCTTTACCTCAATCAATGAGATGCCCCCACTAAAGCGGTTAACGCCTACGGGACCTAAAAGAGCTGAAATTCCAGGGGTTTCGTCCAGGAGCAAATGGTCGGTGTTCGAAAGCCTCAGAGATGTCGGCGACAAAGTCAACGTCCATTTACATAATCTAGATATGCGAATATTGCCAGGATATCTTGGTGCTGCAACATACGCTGTCAGCGGAGCTGCAGGCGAACAAAGGGAATCTCGAGTCGATCTTTGTCCTTGAACTCAGACCTCGAACGTCGATTGCGACCTGGTCCTTGTCTATCGGCCCTGGTCCCTTGGGATTAGTCTTGGGGCTAACCGGAGGGGAGCTCCAGTGGCCTCTTCTGAGTGGCAGACTCAGTCCCCAGCCAAAACAGCCCAACGCCAGGCTCACCAATTCGACCTAACCAGGTCGTCTAGGCCATTACCCACTGGCACGCTCGCTTGCCTTCTGCCGCTTGCCCCAAAGCGATCACCAAAGCCCAAGAATCGAGTCCAACACTCGACTGCTACTCTGCGGACTCGACCCTGGTTGCTTGAGGTCCCTTTCCTTCAACTCTGCAATCTGTAACAATATCTTTCCTTTACATGCATACATTGTCTCTTTTATCACTGTCCTTATAGCACATTGAGGCTGGCGTGCTGCCATCGGCGCGCACGCAGCATTGCTGCCTTTTCTCTTGTTGTTACTGGCGTCGCAGGACTGGCCAAGTAGTCATTGTTCAGAACATCAGGATTGAAGCCTGCGAGTCACCGTCCACGTTCCAGGAGCAAGGATAGTTTTGCGGCGGATTCTCCAGCATCCTCAGGTATGTGTGCACTCACTGGTTGCGTCAAGGTCGACGCACGGTTTCTCTGCATCTGCCAGTTTGGCTAGCGCCTGAGTCAAGGCGAAACGCCATTCTTCAGGACGTCTCTGTGCACGAGGCTCCTTAAATCCGTGGAGCTGCTGTTATAGATGTCGAGGGAACTTTGCTGACAAGAAGACCGTCATGTAGACTATCGTCATGGCTTTCTCGAATACACTCAGTGGCCGCCTGGAGGAGCTTCGGTATCCGAACCTAAGATCGCCAGATACGGACGGTCCCTTCAGCCCAAATGGCTCTTCCACACGAGAGCAGAGTCCCTACTTCTCCAACATGCATACTCCGTCGAACGATGCGCGAGCAAGCCTGCAGCGACGATTTACGACCGATTCGAGCAAGATGCCCATGGCGAGACCGTACGGGCAGCCATATACATCAGTAACTCCGACTGCGGTACGTTGGCATATCCCTGTGTAACAATGTTAAGAGCCTAGCCTATTATGCGGGAGGAGACAATAGTCTATTGTGCGCGTATAAGGTCGGGTCTGCAGTGAATAGCGGAGCTCGACCGCGTGATGAGGCTCTGAAGCAATCACCTTTTCTTCCCTCCACATCCATCGAAAATCGATCTTTTGTGCTACCACCATCAAGAACATTTCACGTGCTCACAACATGGAGGCTAATCAGTATCCCAAGCAGGTCAAGAACAAGCAGATGTACGACGACATTCAGTCGGCCAAGCGAAAGGCAGAGGAGCAATTGCGCCTGCTGGAGTTGCAGGAACGAAGCTTGCAGATGGGCGTGAACACCCAAGATCTTGAGCGGATCTCCACGAGGATGAATCGCATCAGCCTGAATGGCCCTGTGAGCGAGCCCACAACTCCTCCAGAGTATGCGGAAAGTGGCTTCAGCAATCGTTTCTCTCGATCCAGCAGACTCTCCATGAACAGCATCATTTCTCCACCAGGCTTGAGCAACCGTATGTCTCAATCAAGCTCGCAGATTACCTCTCCACCAGGCAATCGGCTCTCAGGCAACGGGCTTCTGAGTCAGTCTCAACAGAAGCCGTCAGCAAAGTCTGTCCCTGGCTCTCGTCGTGGCTCGGATGAGGATGAGTACTATCCAGAAGACCTGCCAACAACAAGATCAGCTGCTACGTAAGTACTATTCCCCGATTCCAAAGCATTCACCTCACAAAACAACTCGCTGCTTTACCTCCTTCTTTCTTATGAGAGGTTGTGATCTCGTGACTTGAATTCACTTCACCTCACTTGACGCTGAACGAATCTGAATGAATGGGTTGTGGATCTATCTCTCTCGCGTTCAACTCAACGCACTTTGGCCGTCACTCTTCTTTGTCTCATATTCACACTTTTTTGCTGACTTTTTGACACCAGACTCAACCGCTTTTCTATGCCAGTAAATAGCAACCGTCACGCTCATCCTCGCCTCAGTGCACCAGGGACTTCTACTGGCAACTCCTTTGGTCTTGCAAACACCACCAGCTTCCTCTTTGACGAGGACGACGACAAGCACCTATCACTTCAAGCTATCGACTTGAAATCACCTGTAGCAAAGGCGTTCGCTCAGCTTGAGGGTGACGACACCTTCCCCACGTTGACCAGTGACGGTCTCAAGGTATGTCTTTTAAATCTTCACACGACGCGTCGGCGCGCCTTCAAACTTCCTGCTCACTTTCTTCCACAGCTATCTGCCAACTCTGCTGCTCTAGACCTTGCAAAGTCGTCAGAACCTGATCTTGACTGGACTCTTGGTTCTCGCTACAGACCGGCTCACCAGAGCATGCCACACACTGATTCTTCCATGTACCGACCTGTTCTCAGCAACCTCAACATCAGCAGCCCTCCAGCGGATCGCCCAGCGGATCTATCACGTCGCAAGTCTCAGCGTCACTCTATGGGCGTGACCTTCGAAGAGTCTTCCATTCTTCCACCGTCCACTCTATCTGTGACTCGACCTGCTTCACTTCAAACCTCCTACTCAACCAACGACGTGCCCACCGTCAAGAAGTCTTTGACCTTGGATATTGCTTTGACTCCAAACAAGACTCACGCTGAGCAACAATTCCATAACCACAACGTCAGTTTGGGACGCATTCCCGCGAACGCAGTCAACAATCGTCAGAGTCGAGAAGTTGCCAACGGATCTGTGAAGATCGACGACAAATCCGGATCTTCAGCAACACCGATCTCTAGCCTGCACGCTAGCGCCGCGCCTTTCAGCACGTCCTTCATGTCAACCACTGATACAGCCATGGCCACCATGACGAGCCCTACCACCTCGTATCCTGCTCCTCAACCTTACGCTTACAACATGCAGACCTACAATGTCAGTCAGATGAACCCGGCGGCCTCTGTTGGAGGACCTGTTCAAGCATATGGTCAGAACCAAGGCATGTATGGCATGAACAACGGTTACAATACCCAGCTCCAACGCTCTGGCACTGGTCGTCGCAACCACAGCGATGAAACCCGCTTCAACAATGTTCCACTCGAGTCCTACCGCGGAAGTCTCTATGAGCTCTGCAAGGATCAACATGGTTGTCGTTATCTTCAGCGCAAGCTTGAGGATGGTAACGAAGAACACATTCAGGCCATCTTCGTGGAGACTTGTCCTCACATCATCGAATTGATGACTGATCCATTCGGCAACTATCTCTGCCAGAAGCTCTTCGAACACTGCAACGATGAACAGCGCACTACCCTCATCAACGCAGCTGCGCCTGCTCTGACTACGATTGCGCTCAACCAACATGGTACTCGCGCACTTCAGAAGATGATCGAGTTCGTCCATACTCCAGAACAGGTCGACACTATTATCAAAGCATTGTCTCCACGTGTCGTCGATCTCGTCCAAGATCTCAACGGCAATCATGTCGTTCAGAAGTGTCTCACTCGCCTCGGAGCCGAGCGTTCTCAGTTCATCTACGACGCTGTGGGCAAGTTCTGCGTGGTCGTTGGTACTCATCGACATGGCTGTTGTGTTCTTCAGCGCTGCATTGACCATGCACAAGGCTTCCAGCGTGCGCAACTCATTGCCAGAATCACTCACTGTGCTTTCGATCTGGTCCAAGATCCTTTCGGCAACTACGTCGTTCAGTACATCCTCGATCTGGATGAACCTGCTTTCACCAGACCTCTTTGCGAAACCTTTGGTGGCCGCATCTCCGCATTGTCCAAGCAGAAGTTCAGCTCCAATGTCATCGAGAAGTGCTTGCGTACTTCCGACATGGAGACCAAGAAGATCATGATTGAAGAGATCATGTCAGGCCATGAGTTGGAGAAGATGCTTCGCGACGCCTTTGCCAACTATGTGGTTCAGACCGCCATGGAGTTCGCCGATCCCGAAACCAAGATGCGTCTCGTCGATGCCATCCGTCCTATCTTGCCAGCTATTAAATCTACCCCCCATGGCCGTCGCATTGCTGGTAAGATCTTGGGCAATGAGATTCCTGGCCGTGGCAATCCTGCTACCAACGACAACATCCTTGCCAGCTTCAGCGGCAGTCGCGCAAACAGTCGCCGCAATGTTCAGATCGTTGGTGGAGGCTTCAATGGTCTTCGTACTCCGAATGGATATGGATCCCAGGATTTCTCCAATGACAGCATGAGTCCTCCTAGCAACGGCTTCGGCATGATGGCTCGTGGCCTCAACGATGCACCACCACACATGTACAATGCAAACAACTACGGAAACGAACTCGGTCAGAACGGCTATGCTGGATTCGTCAATGGCAGCAATGTCATCTGATGATATTGCGATAGCACACCGGTACCAAAACGATTATGATCACGACATAATGAACATTAGCATTCGTCTTTCAGCCACGCACTCGGAAAACCAGGAAGGTGTCATCTCCATACACCTATCCTGCATGACACCGTGTTTCACGACTGTACCAATTTCAACCAAAAGAATACTCGAGTTCTTTTCCTTCATGACAAAAACGTTCACGGCCCCTGTATTATGATTCAGGTTATGGGTCCAGCACCAGTCTGGCAGGACGTCAGATATCATCGTGCATTTCCTCATGAAGGGCTCCACATTCACGAATGGAATGATGATGGTTTTGCTCGACAAGTTCTTCCTTTATGTTTTCGGCTTTCTACCTGGGGGTTTGTGTTAATCTTGGAAAAAGACAAAAAAAGAAGTGTTACAATCCTGGGCTGCTCACAATGCATCTTGTATTCAAGCATTGGCTTGCATATGGCGGCCACCTCTCAACAACAAATCGAGCTTGCTCTGGCTCTATCTGGAGGATGCATGATTGGATGCCTCTTTGTGACCATGAGGGATTGGTTATGTACTTGAAGCCATCATGCCTCTTTTTCTGGCCAAGTCACATTCATGACTGGGCCTGTACCATCAGTCGGGCTAGAGATGATAGCTAGACAAAGTGTATCCTAGAGAGAGATGCTCAGAGCTACGTAAATAAACCATTGCATTTGCAACCTGTTTCTCTCTCTTCTTTGCTTGACTGTGCATCGTCCGCGGTGTTGCTACTATACGGCCTCATCAGCCATACACTTACCTGTGTATGCATAGACCAAGCGTAAGTTCAAGCAGTATTTAGTCCTACCCTAAGTTAGTAAATTGACTGCAGATTGGGACAAAGGTAAATTCAGGACAAAACGCGGGGAAGCGCGTCAAAAGATCTGGACGCGTTTCACATCGAAGTAGATCAGGGTGGTGTGTGCAAGAAAGACATCAACGACCTCCAATACAAACGAGAATGGTTCCTCTATTGCCTCCAGAACTACTCGAGCTCGTCTCGCGCGCGTGTCCTTGTCGAGAAACTCAAATCCGTCAGCTTGCAACTTCCCACAACGTATGACACTCTCTCCACGGAACAAATCGAATCCAATCTCTAACGATCTCCTACCAGAATGTCTTCCCAAGCCCGCCCATACTTGTCGCCCATGGCCTCGAGGGTACGCGCAAAACGGAAGTCATAGTCAATGTCTTGCGGGAACAAGGGATCGAGCATGCCGTCATCAAGAGCAGAGAATGCCTTACACAGAGACACTTGCTGTCGAAGATCTTTGCATGCTGCATGTCTGCACTCGCACAAGAGAGTCAGATTGAGCAATATGATAGAGTGGACAGTATAAATGCGCTCTTGGGCAATCTAAGAAAGTTATACGAAAGAGCTGGGCCGAAGAGATTTGTTGTCGTCCTTGAGGGCATCGACAGGTTGAAGCAACCTGGTTCAACACTACTTCCGGCCCTAGCGCGGCTGGGTGATCAGGTATGCACGTCGCAGGAACCGTGAGAAATGGTCGACAGCACTGACCCCTGGAATAGATATCAGGTCTATCGATCATCCTGACTTCAAACTCTCCCCGGCCTCATATCCTCCACAGAACCGGCGTACCATATGTCTACTTTCCCCCATATACACGGCTAGAAGCAGTCCACATTGTCACGTCGCAACAGCCTCCTTCGCCAAAAGCGGATAAAAGCAACATTGAGGATGAGGCCGTTTCCAAGCTATATGCCCAGTTCGCCGTGACGGTGTACGACTCACTCATCTCCTCCACAGCGTCCACATTACTAGATACGTTTCGATCAACTTGTGAGAAGCTCTGGCCAAAATTCTTACATCCCATGTCATCGGGTCAAGAGCCTCCGGGCACAGGAAGGAATAAAACGTGGGACTTTGCGAAACTGCTAGTCAGGAGCCGTGGACTTTTCCAAGCGGACGGGGAAAATGCCCTACATGACACTCTCCCCAGAACCGTCCACCCTGAGCGGGCCGAAGATGTTCCTGGAACAATCGATACGCCAGCGACACCATCGAGGAGAACTGCTGGGATAGACGACCCCTTCTCTTCCCTTCCAAAGAGGCTACAACAGGAGCAGGATCTCTCAAACCAGCCACCCTTGCTCAAGCATTTTTCCACACTCGTCCTCCTATCCGCCTACCTTGCCAGCCACACTGCTCCAAAGCACGATATCCTTCTCTTCTCACGCCTCAGTTCGAGCTCTAGCAATACCAGCAAGAAGATTCGAAGACTGAGACAGACGCCGACGAAGAAGAAGGCCGCAGCCATGTCGGATGGTACGCCGTCCAAAGCAGGAACTCCGGGAAAGTCTCGCTCAAAATCAGTATTTGCAGCCACTGCAACTCTAGGCATTCCGCGACCTTTCACACTCGAGCGCATCCTGGCGATCCTCAGGGCTGTCCATCCTCATGGTATTCCGAATCGACCTGGACATGTAGTGAGTGATCGCGTCTACCGAGAATTAGGTGAACTGGAGAAGCTACGGCTAGTCGTACGGACGTCTGGGTCGAGCCTGGCCGCAGGAGCAGCTGGCACTATGGGTGGTGCTGGAACTGATGATCTGACAGAGGAGAAATGGCGGGTAAATGTCAGTAGAGACTGGGTCGTGAGTATGGGCCAGATCTGGGGCATGGGCATCAGCGAGTACGAGGTAGAGAACGAGTTATGATCAGAGGATACACGGTAGCAGTGATGACCTCCCTCTGGTCAACGGCTAGCTCGATATCGTTGGGTGTGAAGGAACCCAAGATGACAAGAAGAATGATTTCCATGTCAACGTGAAGAGCAACAGCAGTCATACAGTGCCACTTTTTCTGCAAACAGGCTCGCCGGCTCTCTTTCGATCCTAGAAGGATGAACAAGGCTGCGCTTTCCCGTTTTGCGAACATCTTGGCATATTCACATCAGGCTGGGTTTTCACTTTCTTTCCATCAACGGATTCCATCAAGAGCCTTTTTTTCCTACTGCCACCCACAAGATGTGAATGCAACTTTTTTACATCCTTGCTTCACCGCAGCAGGATGAGTTGCATTCCCGCCAAGCTTCTTCCCGGAAAAAGTGGCAAGTGTGACCGCTGTTGCTCCTCAGGTTGAAATAGATATTGTCCCTTGTTGTCAGTCCGGAGTCATACGCGCATAACGATATAGCGCTAGCCTTGGACTGGGGGGAGGTCTTCACTTCTATCACGTATTGCTACAAGCCTGTATTCAAGGTACACACTCTCGCGAACCTGCTGAACTTCGAATTTGTGTCGTCGATGTACTCAGCGTCAAACGGTGCCACTTTTTCTGGAAGTAGGCTTGCCGCCATCCGCAGCACATGAAGAAGCGAAGACACGATTTTGATCACAACGCCAACGTCATTCCCAAAAACACTGCAGCATACAACGGAGAATAAATATTCTGCTTCTTCAGAGGTAGTAGGATACTTTGTGGCGACGATGCCTGCAGAGCTTCCGGGATACTACTATGATGCATCGGCAAACCGTTACTTCAAGATTCAACCGAATCACATCGCACCTTCTGGTGCCAACTACAGCCGTCAGGCAGTCAACGCTCAGAAAGTCATACAAAAGTCTCAGCGTCGTGAAGAGGAATCCCAACTCAGCAAGCAGTCGGCAACTGTTTCACGTTCGAGCGTGTTGAAGAATCCTCTCCTCAACTTTGAGCGGCGCTTGGGAAAACTGTGTGTTGGCACGATTGTTGCCGAGTACTACGCAGCAAGCCTCAAGGGAGCAGATGCAATTGCCACGAGGCTCAAGAATGAAACAGACCACCGGTTTTCCGACGGCTCAATCAAGAAATTTGCGATCGCACGTGGATCTGGTGCCTTGTTGGCAGCCCTGGCAGGCCCCCATGTGCATGAAGTTGCGTATGTTTCCACCATACCTCGTCGAGGTCGCCCTTTGCTGGTAGGAGACCTCCCCGAGCAAGTCCAGAACTGGTCCACTTGTAACAATGAAGACCTCGAAGGACGTCTTTATGATGTCAGGCAGAATCATACAATTCATTACGCGTATCACATGCGGGAAGTTTGCTGCATCGTCGCCAACCCGTACAATTCAGTCTGTTGGGCTACTGTTAATCCGGAGGGGGACTCAGAGTTCGGCATTACGCACTACGATGAAAGCTTCTTGCCCAACGTACGTTATGCCATCCGTGGCAGCCAGATAATGGATTTGGCAGTATCGCCTACATCTGGCTCTGTGGCTATGGCCACAAGCGACGGCATCTCAATCTATTCCAGCTTCGACAAGGTATTCAGTGCCAATCTACGCCAGACCCCGGTCCGTGGGGAACAGATGGTTGTCGAGTTCAGAGATGAATGGGTCGTGATGAGCGGCGCTCGAAACGGAAGACTCGTGCTCTGTGACGTCCGATCGCCGGATAATATGTCAGCTGTTTTCCGCATCCAACATTCTAGCGCTATCAGTGGCCTCGCACCTATGCCGGATGGACATCAAATTCTCGTCAACGGACTTCTGGATATGAACATCTACGATCTTCGCTACGCGCCGGCCCCTGTTCGCAGCGAATCGCCACGTAAGGTCTCTAAGTCTCGGTCTCGATCCAAACGCCCAGCACACTACGCTCCCACGACTCCGGTGCTGACATTCAACGTCCCCGAGGTTCGGCACCAGAATCAATACGGCCTTGGTTTCGCGTACGACCCGGAACTCAACGTTGTGGTTCGTGCGTCGACCGACCACGTTCACAACCACCGCGTGGGCATTTGGTCGGCGTCGTCTGGACGCTTATTGAAGAGCCCCCTCAATGAGCACAAGTTCACCGCGCCGGTGACGTGTGCGCAGATAGACAGGGTCAGGGACGGGCCAAAGAGTATCCTCCTCGCCAGTGACGGACTATTAACTGAGTGGTGTGTCCAGGGGAGAGGATTTGAGAACGAGCAGGAAATCGGGCCTTGAAGCCGAGGTTTTAATAACAGATGCAAGCATCGTTCCACATAGATCCAAGTAGGTACAATTCTTGTTGTCGGTCCGGAGACCTTCACACACACAACGATATTGTGTAGACCTTTGGCACGGTGGAGGCCATCGGCTCTACTGTACAGTGCTTCTGTCTTGCTGTCGAGGCTTCCGCTGATGTGGACCAGCGTGACTTCGACCTTGTGTCTTCGATATACGCCCTGTCAGACGGTGGCACTTTTTGTGGAAACAAGCTCGGTGCCTACTCTCTAGTGATTTGTACCTACACAGTAGAGTTCTGAGCCTCTAATTACATACACCGCTTGTCCTTTGCTAAACCCATCCTGTTGCATTCCTCTATTCATCGCTAACACTGGCAAACTTCTCGGACATGCTCTGCAAGAGCTTGTCATATTTGACCGAAACCTCCTCCTGGTTATCTGGCAACTCGAATTTCATGCTGCGCAGACCGTGCTGAATCTCACCAGTAGATTCTCGAACTTTGGCCCAGGCCAAACCGCTCGAAACGGCCTTCTGTGCCTCATCGTGGAATTGCATGAAAGCCTTCATCATGTACTCGGTCTTCCAAAGAGGGCAGAATTGATCATAGTCGCTGTATCCGTTCTGCTGGAGGAAATCGTCTTTGAGCATGGCAGCCACATCGAGAATGATCTTGTCGGAATCACCAAGAGCGGATTTACCCACAAGTTGGACAACCTGGTCGAGATCTTCAGAGTTGGTAAGAAGCTCCTTGATGCGATCTCGAAGTCTGGGAAACTCGGGGTGATCTTTCGCGTAGAACTTGTCGAGAGTGGTCGTGTACTTGCTGTACGACAGGGAAGTGTTGACACTTGGGAAATGCTTTCGCTGTGCCAACTTCTTGTCAAGACCCCAAAAGACTTGCACGATACCCAGTGTGGACGACGTAACAGGATCTGAAAAGTCACCGCCGGGTGGTGAGACCGCTCCGACGATTGAAATGCTACCGGTCCGCTCAGGAGAACCAAGAGCAATAGAGTTGCCAGCTCTTTCGTAGAAGGAAGCAAGCTTAGCAGACAGATAGGCTGGGAAACCTTGGTCTGCAGGCATTTCACCGAGACGACCCGAGATTTCTCGAAGAGCTTCGGCCCAGCGTGACGACGAGTCAGCCATCATGGCGACGGCTTTCCCCTGGTCGCGAAAATATTCAGCAACTGTAATTCCCGTATAGATGGAGGCTTCTCGAGCCGCGACGGGCATGTTGGATGTATTGGCAATCAAGCAGGTTCGCTTCATGATGGGCTCTTTCCGGCCGTCAATGGTGATAGAAAGCTCCGGGAAGTCCATCAACACCTCTGCCATCTCGTTTCCTCGCTCACCGCACTACAGAAGTTAGCCTATGACTTGGGCGATCACTCGGGAGGAAAGACTTACCCCGACATAAACGATGATATCGCTGTTCGAGAACTTGGACACCGACTGCGAGATGACAGTCTTGCCGCAGCCGAAAGCTCCAGGAATACACACAGTGCCACCTTGCACCGAAGGGAAAAGAGCATCGAGCACTCGTTGACCGACGATAAAAGGCGCATCTGCTTGAAGGCGTTCGTTGACAGGTCTGGGTACACGGACTGGCCAGCTCTGCATCATTGGGTATTCTTTGGTTTCACCATTGAACTCGACTGTGAGGAGAGGCTCGTCCACGGTGTAATCGCCTTTGGGCGCAATTTTCTTGATGGTTCCTCTGGCACGCGGCGGCATCAGGATTCGGTGTTCGTTTAGCAGACTGTTTTCAACGACCTTGCCCCAGATATCACCTCCGCTGATATGATCCCCCTCTTTCATGGTTGGAGTAAATGGCCACTTCTTCTCCCGGTCCAAGGAGGGAACAGCAATACCGCGAGGAATGTAGATGCTGTTTGTTGTGCCAGCGATAGTCTTCAGAGGACGTTGGATACCATCGTAGATCGTCTCCATCAAGCCAGGGCCCAACTCGACTGATAAAGGCTTGCCGGTTCGAAGGACAGGGTCGCCGACAGTAACACCAGCTAGGACAGGTCAGCGATGCAGACGCAAGAGATCGCAGTATCACCCACCAGTCTCTTCGTAGACCTGGATGGTAGCTCTATCGGCTTCAATGCGAATGACCTCGCCCACCAGCTCATCATAGCCCACTTTGCATAGCTCGTACATAGCTACTCCAATCATGTTTTCGGCAATGATGACGGGTCCAGAGACCGAGAAGATTTGGCCATTTTGGTCGTCTGGGCCAGTGCCACTCTCTTTTGCGGCAGGCATCCTTCTGTAAGTGCGGGCGTTCGTATCGAGAGTCTGGAGAGGTTGCGGAAAAGCAAAGACGGAGGTGTTGCTGAAGCTCGGACCGGCAAGCTCCCCTTCGAGGTCGTCTTCGAGTAAATCAGGAAAACCAAGCTGAAGCTGCAGGTATTTGAGGTCGGAGAGGCTGGAGAGATCGTCAATGCTCTTTCCGGTGATGAATTCGACAAGGGACTTTTGATGTTCAAGACGAGGACGACCGAATCCAAGCATATGAAATCATCACTACAAATTAGAATTTGTAGATAGGCGGCAGGTGGGTGGGTTGCTCAGGAATAGCAGCCGCGCACTGACTGACTTGCGAAGGCCACCGACGTACCTTAGACCCTAGCAAGGTACCTCCAACTTGACTTGTGTCCACGGTTTCAGTGAATGCCCCTCCTAACAGCAACAGTGAATGTTCTATTATTCACTTCACTGCTGAGATTGACTCTACTTTAACTTACTGCACTGTTCGTGCTTTTATATCCTCCTCGAATCTTGTTGTGATCAGGAACCCGCCATTACATATCTATGCCTTGTACAATTTCGTCACAGCAGACTGACCGCAAGAAGCTTGTGCCTGGCTTATCAACCCGAGGCAGAACAAGCGCTCTCTGCAGCTGCACCCGGCCAATCAATGTCTTGCTCCTTGTCAAACGACAGTTTCCCAAGCCTTGAGATGTCGAGGCCTGGCTGTGTATGCCGTCACCCAATAGTACCCTGACCAGATATAGATTGAGTGCGAAACTTGCACAATGGACACCTGGGGCCCTGATTTCCTGGTAGAACGATTCTGGATGGAGTTACCTTGCCTCTTACAACAGGGGAACATGCTCTCCAGGAACCTCATACAGGGCTCACGTCAACGCGCCAGTCTGGTCAGATACCAGATAGTCCAGGGTCATGAACAACAAGCACCTAGTAATAGTAATAACGATGACTGCCTATCGGTGATGCGGGCACTACTGTATCTGATGCCTGGGCGTGTAGACCGCGAAAAGCGGAAGGCTAGCGAGGTACGGAACCAGCAAGACCCTAAAAGACCCTAAGGACCAGTGCCCGAGTTGGTTGGCACGATATTGACTCCGATTAAAGGCCCACTTCACCTCAGTCATCTGCCCTCTACAGACAAGACTACTAGTACATATGACCGACCACGAGCACGACCACTACTGCTCTTCCGACACACCCTCAACGTCCACATATCCTTTCCTCTGCTATTCATCTGCCCATCTGTCAAACATCCTGTCCCTTCGGCTCTGAGAAGCCACTGTTCACCCTTCGATTCACCTCCATATCGCCTCCCAAGTCCACCCTGCGGATACGCCTACCACGACCTTGCCTTCTGCTTTCCACTTCTGCGAAGTGGCCGGTGAGAGCAGAATAGGCTGGTCCCTTCAATCCTACTCATTCAACTTCACGACGACCTCCTACCCCGTCACATAGACACTTTCCCTCCATACACGAATGCTGGACTACGGCTTGCTCCCGACATAGTCCTGACATCGATACTGGCGGCTTTGGCCGCCACCACGAGCTGGCAACTCCTCCCAATACTGACAACAACCTAATCACCACCGACGACCCATCCACTTCGACTGACCCTACTCATCTTTTTTACACAGATTCCTTTACCCTAGCCCCTAGTCCACCAACCCTCGAAACTGTCCAAACCTCGACTGCGGACCCACTTTCCTTCCCCTCCGAAGATCCAATTGCGAGTCAGCCACCTATAGAGCAGGTGCTGGTTCTAGAAGAACCGCGAAGACGGAGAAGAAGGAGGTCTTCATCCGCGGAACTTGACAACACGAGTCCTACATCCGCTGGCGCGGACATTCCTGCAGAGTCTCGCTTGCGAGAACGAAACCCTAGGTTCAAACGCAGGAGGACGGGCAAACACACGATGAGAGTCGTTGACGAAGTAGGACAAGTCTATTCCAATGGTCATACGACAAGCTCAAACGGGTCGACACCCCGAAAACCTTTACACACCGCCATAAACGGTCATGGCTCTGATAATCTCAACGGGTCGAGCCCCTCTTTCACGAATGGTGCGGTCAAGAGAATGTCACCCGTGAGGCCGACCACGTACCGGGGCCACGATAGGGAAGAGGTTGTAAGAATACTCATTCAAGGCCTGATGGACATGGGATATGCCGACGCAGCCAGTGTCTTGAGCAGTGAGAGTGGGTACGAACTAGAGAGTCCTTCCGTTGCAGCCTTTCGAAGTGCGATATTAGAAGGCGTATGGTCGGAAGCCGAAGCATTATTACTTGGTTCTCATGGACATGATCCAGGTGGGGGCTCGCATCTGGAGGACGACCAGTATGGGGAAGGCCTCGTGCTTGCTGAGGGTGCTGACCGTGGGCAAATGCTATTCTGGATTCGGCAACAAAAGTTCCTTGAATTGCTTGATAGCCGGGACCTTACAGTCGCTCTTATGGTGCTGAGGCAGGAGCTGACACCTTTAGGACACGATATTCACCAGCTACATGCTCTTTCGACGTTGTTGATGTGCCCGCCCGAGGATCTCAGGACTAAGGCCCATTGGCCCGCCACCGTGGAAGAGTCAAGGGCAATGCTGCTGCAAGATCTATCTCGGTCAATTGCACCGTCTGTCATGATTCGAGATCACAGGTTAGCTGAGCTTTTCGACCAGGTGAAGCAAAATCAGATAAATCAGTGTCTGTACCATAACACATCAACGGCTCCGTCACTCTACTCGGACCATCTCTGCGACCGCAACGATTTCCCAGCCCGGACGTCTCTGCAGCTGGAAGATCATACAGGCGAAGTCTGGCATGTTCAGTTTTCCCACGATGGCACAAAACTGGCAACCGCAAGCCAAGACAGGACAGTCAACATTTACGAGACTGTGACCTTCAAGCGTCTTCACGAGCTCAAACAACATTCGGGGGAGGTGACGTACGTGTCATGGAGCCCTGATGACTCCAAAATCATCACCTGTTCACAGGACTGCAAAGCACGAGTCTGGGACGTGGAGTCTGGCAGATTAAGGCTGACGTTACAACACGACACCGACGACCAGCATTACGGTATCACAGCTGCCGCCTGGGCCCCCGATTCTATGAGTTTCGTGACGGCGAGTCATGACCGGCATGATCAGCTCTGTCACTGGAGTCTTCTGGCACCTGAACCTGAGCGGCCCATTCATACATGGCCGAAGGGCTTCCGGGTACAAGATGTTGCGATCACGGATGATGGCCACTGGCTGGTCGCACTCGATCCTCAGAACATAATCAGGGTCTTCGACATGCACACATACCGGGAGGAACCGCCCATCAAAGTCGTTGGCAAAATGACAAGCATCAGTTTGAGTCATGATGGCAACACTGTTCTCGTCAATCTGGCTGTCGGGGAAGTGCATATGATTGACCTGGTAACCAGAGACACCGTTCGCAGGTTCAAAGGCCAGAAACAGGGCGAGTTTGTGATTCGAAGTTGTTTTGGAGGTGCGGCTGAGAACTTCGTCGTTAGTGGCTCCGAAGGTTCGTGTCACATTCCAGTTTCGAGGACACTTGCTAACAGTCTTACAGATGGCTTAATCTATGTCTGGCACAAGGAGAATGAAGCACTTATCGAAAAGCTGTCTGGTCACAGTCGAGGTGTTGGCGGCAAGGACTGCGTCACTACGGTCGACTGGAATCCCAGGGATGCCTCAATGTTTGCATCTGGTGGTGACGACCGTAAAGTGCGAATGTAGGCACGATCCTCCATGTTCATGCAAACAATGCTGACGTTTTACCAGATGGACAAACAGGCTCTCGTCCATTGATGCCATTCCGAATATCTTGAACAGGTCTAGCGCCCGCCATGATTCTGGGCGAACAAGCGCAATGAGGTCGACGTTATAAAGGACTGGCATCATGGGGGCAGTTTCCGGCGTTCACTGAGGGGAAATGAACTTTGTTGACCTGTCACGCGCGGAATATAGACGATTGGATACAGCATGGCATTGAAGGAGTTTTTGTGGGTGGTACTATACAACCCACCATTTATGAACAGTGCAAGGGCGGACTAGGAAGGATCAACCAGGAGCATGCATCATCTTTATCATGACAAGCAATCATCATTCTGCAACAGCATGTCTGGCGAAGGTCAGTTCTCTGAATGCCCAATGCTGACAGTCGTGTTGGTAGACTACTTGAATATTTTGTATCTTGAAGCCTGAGAGTGAAAGCGTCGTGGTTAGTATTGTGATATTGCGAGGACTGCCGGTGTGATGCCCTGCTCCCCTCTCAAGGGATTCGTGAAGTGACTTGTGTTGGTCATGTCAGCTTGTGACGACCTTGCATCGACTGTTGCGTTGAAATGATGACAGTTCTGCTGATGCCAGTACATTCTTCCTTTGCCAGCTGCCTGGGAGAAGGGTGATCTTACGTGGCCGAGAATAAGATTAAATGCTGCCTGTTGGTGTCGCCATCAAGCCAACAATGTGTTTCGTTCGAACAGTCTTGAGCTGGTTATAATCTACAACCATATGGCCTGGTCTTTGCCGGGTGCCTGTTTCAGCCTTCTCGTTTGCATTGATCTGATGCCGTCGGATGACGCGCAAGCCACAGTTTCCCTCCTATCTGCCGCCAAGAATTAGTGGCTGCTAACTGTGTTCAGCTTAGTGCTGGTAGCAACGCGCCTGGCACGGTGGCCCTATTACTTGTCACCGGCGCCGGGACCCTCGAGCGCAGGTGCATCATCCCAGGTTTTGGCCAGCAGTGCGCATACACATATCACTTTACTACATTCAACGACTCTGACCTACGCGACCAACTTCTGGGAAGCGCTTTATAATCGTCAACGAGAAGCAGTTTCGAGTCTATCCGTTCTGATTCAATCGAATATCTGCATCCAATCTCACTCGCCCCAATGGCGGCACCACCGGGGGGTTATTCGTGAGTGCCTGCGTACTGTCAACACAGTATCTTGCGCGATCTGACCACTTCTGCAGAATCAATGTGAATGACCCGACACTGATCGCCCTCGTCAACAAATTGCAAGATGTCTTTACCACGGTCGGAGTACGTGCCCACTTGTTCATTAGGCAGCTGTGCATATCAATGTGACTGATTGTCTGTCTAGGTACAAAATCCCATTGATCTACCCCAGATTGTCGTAGTTGGGTCACAATCAAGTGGAAAGAGTTCGGTGCTTGAGAACATTGTTGGCAGAGACTTGTAAGCACGAAGACCCAAGGCGTTCCCCCTACGTCGGTATCTACATTCACGACTAACCCATACTCAGTCTCCCTCGAGGCTCTGGCATTGTAACACGACGACCGCTTGTCCTACAGCTCATCAACAGACCAGCACCCGCCAAACTCCAAACAAATGGCGTCTCGGAAGCGGAGTTGAAGGAATCTGGTGACAGTGAAGCCAACGTCAATGAGTGGGGAGAGTTCCTCCATCTGCCTGGACAGAAGTTCTTCGACTTCAACAAGATTCGGGACGAGATTGTCAAGGAAACAGAGGCGAAAGCAGGCAGAAATGTCGGTATCTCGCCAGCGCCGATCAATCTGCGTATCTACTCTCCCAATGTCCTCACCCTGACGCTAGTCGACTTGCCGGGTCTGACGAAGGTTCCCGTTGGCGATCAACCACGAGACATCGAGCGACAAATCAAAGAGATGGTTCTGAAGCAGATATCCAAACCTAATGCCATCATTCTGGCCGTTACAGCAGCCAATGTCGATTTGGCCAACTCTGACGGATTGAAGCTTGCTCGTGAAGTCGATCCAGAGGGACAGCGGACCATTGGTGTGCTCACCAAGATCGATTTGATGGACCAAGGTACCGATGTCGTCGATATTCTTGCCGGAAGGATCATTCCGCTCAGATTGGGCTACGTGCCAGTCGTAAACAGAGGACAACGTGATATCGAAAACAAGAAGAGAATTGACTTGGCCCTGAAAGCGGAGAAAGACTTCTTCGAAAACCACCCGTCATACCGAAACAAAGCCTCATACTGCGGTACTCCATATCTGGCCCGAAAGCTCAACCTCATCTTGATGATGCACATCAAACAAACGCTGCCAGACATCAAGACTCGCATTGCCACTTCTCTGCAGAAATATTCCCAAGAGTTGGAACAGTTGGGCGCCGGCGACATCCTTGGAAACAACACCTCAAACATCATTCTCAACATCATTACCGAATTTGCAAATGAGTATAGAACGGTGCTGGAAGGAAACAGTGCCGATTTGTCCACCTTGGAGCTTTCCGGTGGTGCCAGAATTTCCTTTGTCTACCACGAACTTTACTCGAATGGAATCAAGGCTATCGATCCTTTCGAACAAGTTAAGGACATTGATATTCGCACAATTCTGTACAACTCTTCAGGTTCTTCACCAGCCCTTTTTGTTGGCACCACGGCTTTCGAGCTTATCGTAAAGCAACAAATTCGACGCTTGGAGGAACCATCCCTCAAGTGTGTCTCTTTGGTCTTCGACGAACTCGTCCGAATTTTGGGTCAATTACTTACCAAGCAATTGTTCCGACGATACCCCCAGCTCAAGGAGAGGTTCCATGGTGTTGTCATCTCCTTCTTCAAAAAGGCCATGGAGCCCACCAATAAGCTCGTCAAAGATTTGGTAGCTATGGAGGCGTGCTACATCAACACTGGCCATCCGGATTTCCTCAATGGCCATCGTGCCATGGCCATTGTGAACGACCGTCACAACGCAAACAAACCCACTCAGGTCGACCCTAAGACTGGCAAGCCTCTACCAGGGGGACCGGTCACTCGACCAGCTTCCCCGGGTCTGCCAACTGACGGCTCGGAGCCCAATTCTGGCTTCTTTGGCTCGTTCTTTGCAAGCAAAAACAAGAAGAAGATGGCGGCAATGGAACCACCCCCAGCCACACTGAAGGCTAGCGGAACGTTATCCGAGCGAGAGAACCAGGAAGTCGAAGTCATCAAGCTCCTGATCAACAGCTACTTCAACATTGTTCGAAGAACGATGATTGACATGGTACCCAAGGCAATCATGTTGGTTCTTGTACAGTAAGTCAAACGTCTACGCAACTTGGAGTCCACACAGCTAACCACGAAAATTCCAGGCACACAAAGGACGAAATGCAACGTGAACTGCTCGAACAGATGTACAGAACGACGGAACTCGACGAGCTACTTAAGGAGAGCGACTACACTGTCAGACGGCGGAAGGAGTGCCAACAGATGGTCGAGAGTTTGAGCAAGGCCAGCGAGATTGTCAGCCAAGTGCAGTAGAATGGGACTGGAGCTGGAGTATCCTCAAGGAACAGCAGCCTGTCATCATGATCGCGTGCAGCCCGGCCACTGGCCTTGATGAACACGACAAGTGGCACAGGGTGAATGTTATGGGGTTGGCCTCCTTCCAAACTGCAAAGAGTTGTGAGAGTACAGCGACGAGTGCCCCTGTTGTACTCAGATCCTTACTGGCATCCTTTCTGGCAACCTTTCAACATCCATGACATCGAGTCTCTGCTGGATATGCGTCGGTGCATCGGGCTGATTCTCATTTGGGATGGTGTGCGCCAATAGAGTGAATTTTCATCGGGTCCAGAATTTGGATGGGTCATGAAGAACAGAGAATACGATGATGATGGGAAGACTACTCTTACAGCAGGCGGCGTGGAGCGTGGCAGTTGTTGCGTCTCAGCTTTTCACCTTGGGATGCTCGGGTCTGCCCATTTTCGAGCAAGCTTGCGAGGGCGTATGTAGAACAGCATTGAATCACTGGGGATGAAGACACAATACCCTTTCCGCATAGTCCTGGCTCCCATTCCATGTTCTAGTAGGGTGTCTGTTTCCTAGTCAATCGCTCTCGGGACGAGCGTAACAGTGTCTCGCTTACCACACATACACAGGCCAGATGCAGGAGAACTGTCCCTCACGACGTTCGCTCGAGCAGGGCAGTCGTTGAGCAGCCCCCCCTTGCGGTCTTCTCGTTCATTCCATCTTGTGGCAGCTATTCAAGCTCGAATATCGCACCCCAACCCTTCACGGCCGAAGGATGGACGTTGACCTTGTGCAGCATGCCCCAGACAGTGGTCGCGATGCTGTCAAGAACCGTGATGCCATGCTTTCTCTCCCACTCGACCGCTGCACGCGCACCGCGTAAGTTGGTGCAATAGACGGTGACCACATCTGCGTTCTGGGCGGCAACTTGAGCCACCATGTCGCCGATCTGGGCTTCGGACACGAGCCCAAACTCGGTATTCTTGGTCTTTCCTAAATGCTGTTCACGCTGCTCGGTGATCTCGTAGCCTATGCTAGCGTAATTCTTGCGGATCGCGTCGTTGACGTTCTTCTCGTACGGCGTCACCAGTCCTAGTCTTTGGGCGTGCGTCTTGCCGAGTAGCTCATTGAGCGCTATAATTGAACTTGTCGCTGGGATACCGGTGGCATCTTGGATCGCCTTGCATAGGATCTCATCCTTGTCGAAGCCCAGCCAGCCTGAGGACGTACCGCTCCAGCCTATTACGTCGACTTCTGCATCGGCGAGGAGTTGGGCGGCAGATAACATGGGGTCAAGTTGAAACTGGGCATTTGCGTCGTCGGCTAGGGAGATCGTTGTCACTCGGAATCTCGAGTAGTGGACTGTGATTTCAAGGTTGGGGTCCTGGATGAATGATATGATGGATGAGGTTAGTGGTTCGAGGGCCGTATTGGATGATGGGACAATGACGCCTAGACGGACGGTGCGTGCCATGGTTGTGATCGTTGCGAAAGGTCAATGTTTTGTGTCATCGGGAGGAAAGTCGATGTATGTATAATTCAGTTAAGTGTCGAGCATGCTTTCAACCGTAGCGAATATATACCTACCTGTCGATGTTGATCACCAAGGCTGCTTACCTAAGTCATTGTAGCTGACTTGGTGTTTGCTCGTCGCTAATGACCACCTCTCCTTCGATATTCCACACTCATGTCATATAGCGCACTTAGCAAACATGTCTGCTCGGTCGTTGCGTGTCGAGATCACGCCCTGAACAGCGCCATGGCAAAGCCCTGAAAGGCACAGATGCGGAAATTCGGACTCATCAATCATAACCAGTACTATTACTATGGACATTCCAGACAGCCGATAGCAGCGGCGCTGCTGAAAGCTACACAAATGTCTCGGCATACAATGGAAGATGATAGCACCATGCCACTGGTCGCACGAAACTTGCCACAGGCGTTTCCAGGTTTCGATTCAGACTATGTCCGTGAAGTCTCCGAAGGACGCCGTGCATTGAGCACACCTTTACTTATGACGACCGGCACCGGCTACAGCATATACAAGTCACTGATCATACCTTCAATGATAGCCGCAAACAGAGAGGTAATCCTTGTGACCTGCTTCTGGGCACCCTCAGTCACCCGTGATGCCATCAATCAGGCGCTCAAGGAGCTGTCAGCAAAGGCTATGGCGACCGGCACGAGAATATCTGTACAGATATGTTTCTCATCATCCTCTCTTGCGCAGAACATGCTGTTGCCTACACCCAAGAACGGACAGCGATACCCACCGACAGCTTGGAGCAAGCTTGGTCTTCCCGAGCAGGAAGCGATTCCAGGCCTAGAACTACGGGTCGTTCGCAAATTCTTCTGGCCTTTTGGCATGATACACTCCAAATATGTCATCGTTGATCGAAAATTGGCCATCTTTCCGTCCTGCAATGTCTCCTGGGAGCGATGGTACGAGGTAGCGGTCTCTATCAAAGGTCCTGTCGTCGACCATCTGCTTTCGTTTCACAGAGACTTCTGGAGTAATGAGCACATAACTCCAGTCAGCGACTCTCACACCGAAGACAGCATTCCAGATATCGCATTCGATCCCGGAAATGCAGATGGATCCATTCACTATCCTGCACGGTTAGACTCCGATGTGGTACAGACGACACTTTTGCCATCGCCGCATAGTCCGAGTCTACTCCCTGGGTATCTTCGGCCCCGCGCGGTCATAAGTCATTGCCCATGTGCGCCTGCGGCTCCTTCCAGCTTCTCCCGAACACCTTTACTGACAATAACATATCACCTCTTGTCTACAGCAAGGTCTAGCATTACAATGCTCACGCCCAATGTGACTGAGCCAGTTGTCCTAGACTTGCTATGGGGAGCTCTTGAAAGGGGAGTCGATGTTTGCCTATGGACCAATCGTAATCTCATGACCACAGAGCAACTGGTCACAGCAGGCACTACTACGCCAAGGTGCATTCAGACCTTGAAAAGCCAGTCACAGAACCTCAGGGGGAGGTTCGAAGTCTTCTATTTTGATGACGGACCAGGAGCGCGGACAGTCTCGGGGGATGAGGCTGAAGTTACGCCGATCAAGCTACATGCAAAGGTGACCATTGTAGACGGCGAGAGGATGTTGATAGGAAGCGGAAATATGGACGTTGCGAGCTGGAGGACCAGTCAAGAGCTTGGGGTCCTTCTTGAGAGCATGGAAGGGGTTGAAAAGTTCGGCAAACAGTGGAAATATTCAGACCTTCTGAACGACACAGATTGACAATCACATCCACGTACTGCGCTGGCGGCTTTCAGCATATTCCAGAGCACGGAGCGTTGTGAGAACTCGATGATATTAGGTATACCTATTAGGTGCCCTTCACCCTTAGAGTAACTTTTTCTTAAGCGTACCTATTAGGGTGCCCGTCTACGCCTAACGCGATACCTAAATAATTTTATACGGGGGGTGCCCGTCCACGCCTAACGCGATACTTAAATAATTTTATGCGGGAGGTGCCCGTCCACGCCTAACGCGATACCTAAATAATTTTATACGAGTGGTACCCGTTTACGCCTAACGTAATACTTAAATAATTTCGTACGGGGGTACCCGTTACGTCTAACGCGACACGAAAATAATTTCGTGCGGGGGTAGTCCTCACACCTATCGGACTCTTAATATAATAAGTTAGCCGAATACGTGATATTTAGAAAATCGTATACGTATATAATGTACTTTTAATAACTACTTTCGAGGCGTACTATATCTATACTAACTTAATATAGATAATATATATACCGATCGAATCGTCTTATTCATTGTATTAATAGTGGTAATAAGCGTAAGAGTAGTAGTGTAGTTATGGCTTTGAAAACCCTCAATATAAATCAGTCGCCATATAAATTAATGTTGAAAAATATTTGAATTTGGCCCCATATCCTAATAATCCGCGTTACACAATCAACGATTGTTAAAGTACTGCCAGCCTTGTGTCAGAGCCTTGTACAATATGCAATTGTGTCAGCCAGCCAGCCAGCCTCGGCAGAATGATGCCATTCAAATCTCTCCAAATCCCCACGGACAACTTTTTTGCTTGATGATCAAAGACCTGTAATACTTGCCACCGATCTTTTCGCATTGCATCTTGCCAATTTATATTTTTGCCAAAAGCTCCGTCAACATGGCGAGTGCATTGCGAACATCTGTGCGGCGCTTTGCCACGACCGCAATACGTGCTGCAGCTGCCGAAACGCCCAATGCCTACGGAGTTCGCGTCTCGAAAGCCCAAGGATCTGTCGATCAGTTGGTTGGAGGTAGGTCTGCATCCTGAGTTCGTATGTCAATGGGCTGACCATCCAGCGATCGGAAACACCCCTCTTATACGATTAAAAACACTCTCAGAAGAAACCGGCTGCAATATCCTTGGAAAATCCGAATTCCAAAACCCCGGCGGTAGTGTCAAAGACCGAGCTGCATTATATGTCGTGAAAGATGCTGAGGAGCGAGGGCTCTTGAAACCCGGCGGGACAGTGGTCGAAGGCACTGCAGGAAACACTGGTATCGGTCTAGCACACGTCTGCAGATCAAGAGGATACCGACTTGTCATTTACATGCCCAATACACAATCACAGGGCAAGGTCGACCTATTGAGGTTATTAGGCGCGGAAGTATACCCCGTTCCGCCTGTGGCTTGGGAGAACCCAGAAAACTACAACTGGCAAGCCAAGCGGCACGCGGAGAGACTACTAAAGGAGGATCCTGAACATGGCGCAGTCTGGACAAATCAGTTCGACAACACCGCGAATAGGAGGGCACATATTGAAACAACCGGTCCCGAGATTTGGGCTCAAACAGAGGGCAAGGTCGACGCATTCACCTGCTCTACGGGGACTGGCGGAACACTAGCTGGCATTACACGATACTTGAAGGACGTCAGCAATGGATCAGTCAAAAGCTTCCTGGCAGACCCTCCTGGGTCGGTGCTGTACTCGTACGTTAGCTCTGGTGGCGAGTTGAAAGAACGAAGTGGTAGCAGTATAACGGAAGGTATCGGCCAAGGTCGTGTCACCGACAATCTGAAACAAGAAGTCAAGGAGCTCGATGGGGCGTTCAGCATCTCGGATGAGAAGACGATAGAGATGGTCTATCGTTGTCTCGACGAAGAAGGCCTGTACCTTGGAGCTAGCAGCGCACTCAACGTGGTCGCTGCCAAAGAGGTGGCTGAGAAACTCGGCCCGAATCATACTGTCGTCACTGTGCTGTGCGACGGTGCTTACAGATATGCCGACCGGCTGTTCAGCGATAAATGGTTGAAGAGCAAGAATCTAAGGGACGCCATACCGAAACGTCTGGAAAAATATATTGTTCTGCCATAGAAGAATTGGATCCAGCTTGAGCAATCTCTCCACTCGACGCCAGTCACTGCTCACAGCCTTCGCCAGTCATATCCACGAAAACCGTAAGCTGGACAGCGACTCCCAAGCTGTGGAGTGACAGTCACTCGTCTGTCTGGCTTTGAGAAGTGCATATTTCGCAGTGGTCCAACCTGCGCTCCCATCGATCTATCATAGGCTGCTTGGCTAGAGGGACCTCATAACCAACTTCATGCTGATGCCAGCTGTAGCACTTGGACCACCAGATGCCATGCTGAGAATTCATCCTGCCGACCTCAGTCCATCATTGCCACACTTGTCTCCACGGTCGCCGTCCAATATGTTGGACTCTCGGCTGCCGAGTATCACCACGTTAACCATTTCGGTTTGGATGCTGCGGATGAAAATTATCATGGTTCGGGGCATCCTCAATCAGTAGCGCAGTCAAAAGACTTGATGAAAAACCCTGGGGCATGACACACATCGGCGGCATTGTTGATCGTCATGGACAAATCGCCGGTACAATCCGTGCTGTTGTACATGGTGCAGCTGACGAATGCGCCCGTGCATTCGGAGATCCAGGCGTGGTCCATACCAATCATGAGAGTGTTACACGCTGGGTCCCGGACGATACCGTCCCAAAGCAGACTTTGGTCGCAATTGCTTTCGCTGAATTGGAAGATGCAGCATTCGGTGCAGGTGGAGCTGGCTTGCATGTGAGTATTTGGGATATAAACCTTCTCAAGAACGGGGGCGAAGAGACCTACCAGCCCGGTGCGTAGGGTGACTGGGTTGATGGACAGGTTGGGATGCTGAGAGTTGCGAAGATGCCCAAGAGTACGATGATGGTCGGAAGAAGTGTGCGGGCCGACAAGGCGGCGCTGAAGGTTAAAGAGAAGAACATATTCTTGATCGAACAGCTGATGAACCAGCGCTGTCGTTGCTTGCCGAGTCTGGTGGACGGAGGAGTATGGTAGAATGTAGGATACAAACGATTGTGAGATCTAGCCCTCTGAAAGATCCTCTTCTAGATGTAAAAGAATGTAGGTTGAGGTAAGGTACGAGAGAAATGGAAAATTCGCCAGCTAGATCAAGCTTTTGAGGTACATGCAAGGCAATGGATGAAGAACGGTTCCTGGAGTGTTGATGAGGTCTAGCGACTGTCAACTCCAAGGTTCTATATTTTTAGATGACTTCTCCGACGTCAGCATTGCAAACCAAAACGAAACACCAGGTAATGTAAGGTCCCGTCTTCACCACTTCTCTGCCTGAGGGTAAAGAGCACGTGGAAGACTTACTTGTGACTGCAAGTGCCGGTGACCTCAAAGTGATCTACAGCGTCGATGCCTCGTACGAGTAAAGAGTGGCAACCTCAGCAAACATTGACAATTCATTCCAAATTCTCCCACTTCACGCTGGATGGGGCGCTTTCTCTGGTGCAGTTCGCCGTCAGTTCGCGGGGCACGGAAAACAGCACTCGTACTGGGCCATTGAAGATCCTTGATCGTTACAACAGCGGCAAGCATCAAGCACGATTGGACGAACCGCAAACATGCAGCCCCTACACACAGGACTTGACGTCGTTGTTCGAAACTGGGAAGCGAGAAATGGAAGTTGTGCCCAATGGACGGTGGATACCAGAGTACGCGAGGCTGAGAACCCCTGGCCACCCTGCCGTCAATCGAATGTTCCCGGGCCGTGTCCCACAGAAGCCCGTGCTTGACGTGAAGATCATCCGCTCTGGACAATGGACACCACTATCAGTTTTATACCTGTAGCCCAGCAAGAACCATAGGGTCTGAGTTTGCACAAGCTGACATCCCTTGATGAGTGCTCGAACGGTAGGCGACACAATGATAGGCACGTCTTGTATGAATGCTCAATTGAAGAGCTTCATTTTGACACGCGCGACTTAAGCAACAGTGTTGCGTTCATCCGGTGCGAGAACTGGCGAAAGAAAGCATAGCATATATTTCAGCATGTCCTGTGTTGCCTTGTAAAGCAATGCTCATTTCGCTTCCAGACGTTTCACTCCATATCTATACCTGTTCAGCATCACGTCCATCGCTGTCTCGTCCGCCAAAAACGCAACAGAGGTAAACATGGCAACAAACTTTTAACGCCAGATGGTGAACAAATTCCAGGTCGATCAGTCCCCCAAAGACAAGCCTTGCAGGCGTAACGTGTCAGTCGTTGAGCTGACGACTACCGCCGTCAAAGACCCAGAGCTCGCCATCTCTGCCTCTAATCTGGTTGATTCCCACATCTCTACCAAAACGCCGTTTAGTGCTTCGCGGTGACTTTGTCACCGGTCAATTTCTCAATTGCGTCCTTGGCACTGTGGTATCCTGGTCAGCATGGTCTTTGATCGAAACGAAAAGGATCACTCTTACATATCACCAAAAGCAACCATGCAAATGGTTTGCCAAATACCCAGACCAATACGTGGAGTAACACCACGATACAAACCCTTCATGCCATTGTTGTCGTAGATATATCTGAATGTCTTACCAACAGTCAAGTTCTTGGGACGATTGGGGTCGTCCTTCTTACTCTGCATCTCAACACGAATGACTTCGATCGGTTGATTCCAAGCAGACAAACCACCACCAAGACCACTGGCGATGATCTTCTCAAGGCTACCAAGCTTCTCGTGCTCGTCTTTGCCAGTCATCCTCCGAATGGCACTCTCGGCCAATCTGGACAGACCGAAACGAGAACCCCAGTTTGTAGTTTGACGAATGGCAACAGCATTGACACCTTTGTTGATACCTGCGATACCCTCTTTTCTGTAGATGTCCGCGAAAGTCGCGAATGTGGAGGGTGGCTTCACGCCCTGCGCGGCCAGTTTGTGCTGGGTGATTTCGACAGTCTTCATGCATGTGCAAAAACCCATGGTCGCGTACGCCTGCGCAACACCACCAACCATACCACCACTGATTCCAGCAACGAAGTTGTTGGCTCCGAAGGTCTTTGCATAGTATTCGGCCTCGGAGGCGACGAAGAGGAGGACGGCACCCTTTGTCGAGGCTTCGATCCAGGCCCATGGAATGAGACCTTGGTAGTCTAGTATGCGCCATATGTTTTAGCCGAGGTCATTAATGAGCAGTTTGTCCAGGTGTTTATGCTTACATCCAAGGATACCACCTCGAGCCCATACTCTTGACAAGGCACCGGCGAAGGTGTCCGTTCGGTTGGCAGCCATGGTAGTCTTGACGACTTCCAAAGGTTGACCAAGGGTCGTCACCTCGAACATGTTCAGACCAGCGCCGAGCAGCAGGTTGCTGAACTTGACGGGCTTCTTCTCGAGCTTCTGGACTCCTGGGGCGGATGCGGACATCGCAAGACAGTAATTGCTATTGTCTGCCCTGACCAAGGGATTAGGTCGGCTTCGTCGCCTTGAGGGTTGGGTTAGGAGAAGTGATTGACTTGGGGTGGGAGCTGTTCTGGAGAAGAAGTGCCAAAAATGCAGGAACAAAGGATGATCAGGCAAGCAAGAGCGGAGATGAAGAGCAACGACCAAGCTGACACCGCTTAGATTCGGAGGTTAGCTGCTTCGGTGAGAGACACGATGATACTAAAGGACAAGATGTAATTATCGTGCTGCATCACTCTATGGCGCAGTCACAGCGCCTCGACAAATCCCAAAACCCCCCGTCTTCGGGCCCAAACGAGACTAGGCCATCCATCTTTCGGCGTGTTGTTGACTCGTTGAGCGGACAGCGGATCTCATTCTCACCCATTATTAGCAGCCCAGGGCCACCCCCAGAGGCCCAATTTTCCGGAACCCGACCGCCTAAATGTGGATCGTGGCCGCTCAACAGCCTTTCAGTGCGACATTCACCTCAACGTCCCGAAAAAGGTACTGAGGGACAACTCTCAATCTCCCTGTGTAAGCTACAACGAAGCTGGCGATGACGTGCAGCACGAGAAATTATGAAGAATCGTGAGCCTTTTCTCGATCAAACGTGGCATACTGCTGAATGTCTAAACCTTCATCCAACGATAGCCGCTAGCTTTCGAAATGCCCATCCATCACCGTCCCCAGATAGACATACAGTTTTGTTTCACCATTGTACATCGCTTGCTCTTAGAATCCTGCAAATCAAATGGCTCACAACTGCGCGCCGACAATCTTGGCATAGGCCTCAGTGCTGAAGGACTTGGGTCGCTCGATAGGTGCACCCAGACCACGGTCGATGATCAATTGAGGGAGGACACCAAGGGCTCGGGAGACACCGAAGAGGACGGTGTAGTAGCTGGCTTCGGTCAATCCGTAGTATTGCAGAAGGACACCGGAGTGCTAGAATGAGTATGTCAGCTAAATTCCGAGACAACGGAGACCTCTTTGACTTACAGCATCAACGTTGGGGTAAGGGTTCTTGGTCTTGCCATGCTCGGTCAGGACACCAGGAGCAATCTTGTAGACCTGGCTGACAAGCTTGAACATAGGGTCTTCTGGGAGTTTGCGCAGGGCAAACTCGCGTTGTGACACGTAACGAGGATCGGTCTTTCGGAGGACTGCGTGGCCGTAGCCAGGAACAACACGGCCACTGTTAAGGGTATCCCAAAGGTATTTGGTGATGGCTTCGTCACTGAGGTCGTCACCGACAGATTCCTTCATCTTGGTGAGCCAGTTCAAGACTTCCTGGTTGGCCAGTCCGTGGAGAGGTCCAGCCAAGCCGTTGAGACCGGCAGCAAGGGACAGCATAGGGGAGCTGAGAGCGCTACCGACTAGATGGGTTGTGTGTGCGCTCACGTTACCACCTTCGTGGTCGGAGTGAATGGTAAGATACAGACGCATGAGCTCAACAAAGTCGGCATTGTCACCGTATCCGAGCAGGTTGGCCAAGTTGTAGCCGTAATCCTTGTCTTTTTGGATCTCAGCAACCTTTCCATCCTTGTATGCGTTGCGGTAGATGATGGCCGCAATGGTAGGAAGCTTGGCAATCAGGTTCATCGAGTCTTCAAACGTGTATGTCCAGTACTCCTTCTTGTTGATGCCCTTAGCATACGCCTTTGCGAATTCGGAGGTGTGCTCGAGCGCAGCGACGGCGATGGAGAATTGGGCCATAGGATGCATGTCGTTGGGGCAGCGGTCGAGAAGCTCCCTGACAAACTTGGGCAGCTCGGAACGAGCAGCCCAGTCGGCGGACAGGTCTCGGACCTGTTGCTCGCTTGGGACTTCGCCAGTGAGGAGAAGCCAGAAAAGACCTTCGGGGAGGGGTTCCTCGCCGCCGGGAGCTTTGGGAAGGAGTTCCTGACATTCAGGAATGGTCTTTCCACGGAATCTGATACCCTCTTCCGAATCAAGGACAGATCCTTCCCAGACGAGGGCCCTGATACCTCGAGCACCGCCATAGACTTGATCTAGGGTGACCTCGCCCAGGACCTTGGAGCCATAGTCTTTCTTCAGCTTCTTGACCTTCTCAATCTCTCCGGGGAGCTTGGCAGCGAAGACTTCTTTGAGGGTCTAACAGGATGTATGTCAGCCAATGAGCGCACTTCCGGACGGAGGGATGCTCACCTTGGTGCTTGCGCAGCGCACTCCATTGAATGCGGCTTTCTGGACGAAAGGTCTCGAGGAGATTGCAGACGAACGAAGCAATGTGCTTCCAGCTCGAAGTGAAGAGGCCATGGTGATGTAATCTGAAGTGAAGTGTATGAGCAACAGAGGGTATGAATTATGAACGCAGGCTATCGGGAGGAAAAAAAGTATTCAGTAATAGTGAGATAGGGTTGGAGCTACGATAATGATGCTGGAAGCAGCAAGATTTCAATGGGGGTTCCTCGGAGGTAAGGAGGAGCTTTGGCTTCTTTAGGAGCATCGACCAGCCAACGAAGGTCATGTAAGGGCTGCTGGGGGCGGACGTCACTCGCGCCAAAGTCAATTGGGCGGAAGCGAAAACGGGCTCCGAGAGTGCCAGAGACAAAGGCTCCACACGTCACCGTCACTACTCATCACGTGGTAGATCTGGTTGAAGATCTAAGCACTTCACACGTGAAATGCCAAGCTCAAACTGCCTGCGCTTTTTTGTCTTTGCCAGTCAAAAGTCTCTGCTTCGTCGGCAATTGCAAACAGGCTTCTCTCTTTCCTTTCCCCTCCATTTCTCTCACACCAACCTCTCACCATCTCATCGATCAACCATCATCGTCCGCCTCTATTCTCATTACTCTGCGCGTGTTGGCGCAATTCATCGACTTGTAATTCTTGCTTAGCACGGGTTTCCTCTTTCTGCGTATTCGCCGATAGTATCCTCGCAACTGCAACTTCAAAAGGATCAATAGGAGGCGTATTCGCCGCTGACGACTGTAGAAGTCTGCTTCACTGGGTTGCCTTTGGGAGAAAGAAAAGATAAAAATCTCACATTCTCACTCTCGCCTTGACCTCATCTGTACCTGAAGTCTGTAAGACACCTCGAGGAAAAGGTCTTTCGCGTCTAGTCGCGCCTATCCGCGTTTTCCAACCTAGTCAAGATCGAGTCTCTTGCCTGTATCTTTGACCTCGACGCTGTAAGGGAAGAGGAGCTATCAAGACCCGTACACCATGTCGTCCGCAGTAGCGGAGCTGGACTCGATCCTGCAGTCCATGCTCAATCTCAAACCGCCCGGAGTCTCAGGCTCTAAGATCACCGCCATCACCTCACTTTGCACAGCAAACATACAAGTACGTCGATTATTTGTCTCCGTCACCAAACACCCACTAATCTGTCCTTAGTCCGAGTCAGTCCTCATTCAAAAGCTCTATACACATTTCAAGAAGACACCTGGCACACACAAGCTGGGAGTACTGTATGTCGTAGATTCAGTAACACGACAATGGGTAGATCAAGCCAGAAAGGCCGGTCAACAGCCTGGTAGCGGAGCTCCTGATGGAACTTTTGCAGCCGGTGTGACTCGAGTGACTGAACTGCTACCCGTACTAATGAACGACATCATTGCTACAGCGCCAGAAGATCAGAAGGTATGGTGACGCCCACTGTTTGTGTTTTCAATTGAAGCACATCAAACTTGCGGGAGAAATGATACTCTCCCAAATCTCGCCCAACTCACGCAAACTCCCATCTCAAACTCATGTTTGATCAACGCTCATATTTGTCATCGTTTGTTAGGTCAAAATCAAGAAACTGCTTGAGATCTGGGAGCGATCCCAAACCTTCCCAGCGCCATTACTTGCCACTCTTAAAGAAAAGCTCGACGCACCCAGAGGTACGATACGTCAAACACCTTCCGCTGCGCCGGTCATCATTGTTTCTGACAATATCACAGTATCCACCACTCCAGACGGATCCCCACGACCTGGCTTTGTCCAACTTGGCAACTCAGCATCAGCGTCCTCAAACGTGACAACAGCAGCACAGCCACAACAAGATACTTCCGCCATCCTCGAAGCTCTCAAGAACATGGCAAAGCAGAATGCCGCTGCAGCGCCTCCACCAGTTGCAGCGCCAGCTAGTTTGAATAATCTGTTAGGCGCGCAAACTGGAACCCCTCAGCCGAACAGTACCGTAAATCCAGGATCTGCTCCCACTGCCGCCAATGGGCACGCTGTAAACCCGCTTGGAGCGCTCTTTGCTGGCATGAATAATGGTGCACAGAGTCAGAGTCCTGCCAATGTGTCGCAGAACCCGCTTGCTGCTTTTCTTCCTCAGCCACAGGCTCCTGTTGCGATGCCGCAAAATCCTGCTCCCATAAACCAAGATGCTCAAACTCAGCTCCAACTTCTCCAGCTGTTGGCTGCTCAAGGTGTTCCACCTGATCAATGGGCTACGGCTCTTCAATTGCTCAATATGCAAAATGCCAATGGTGGTGCCAATGCCATGCCATTCCCTCCTCCAGCGCAAGCCAACAATTGGAATGGGGGACAGTCACGTGATGCCACTACCCGCTCGCCTCCGGGCCAGTTTCGGCGTCGCTCACGCTCTCCTGGTTTTGATAGAAGACGAGATTTGTCTCCAAGACGCCATCGGGATAGTCCAGGTGCTGATCAGTTCCGTAATGACCGCGATGGTCGACGCGACTATCGTCAACGCAGCCCACCTGGTAGGAGACGCCGAAGTCCCTCACCGCCAGCCAGTGATCCCAACCTTCCTCCACCAGGGCCCAAGAGCATCACCTTCGATAGAAGCTTGTCCAAGGGTCATATCAAGGTCTACAGTCGAACACTCTTCGTCGGAGGTGTCACTTTCGGAGACGCTACTCTGAGACCCCTCTTCAGCAAATTTGGTACTGTTCAGACATGTATTGTCAACGTTGACAAGCGCCATGCTTTCATCAAGATGATCAACCGCCAAGACGCAGAAAGCGCCCGATATGGAATGGAGGAATATAAGATTCAAGACACTCAACTTCGAGTAAGTACAAAACGTTCACCAGTGTACCAAGTTATGGCTAACAGGTTGAGTTACAGACCAAATGGGGTGTCGGATTCGGACCACGCGACTGCAGTGACTATACCACTGGCGTCAGTATCATTCCTATTGAGCGACTTACGGAAGCCGATCGCAAATGGATGCTCACCGCCGAATATGGTGGTACAGGTGGCGTACAGATTGAAGAATACATGTGTGTGGAAGAGCCTGACATTGAGATTGGTGCGGGTGTCTCCTCGAAAGGTATGTAATGCTTCTTCGATTGTTGGACACATTTGCTAATATGAAATAGCTATGAGCCGACGTGTCCCCACTGACTCAGCTGGACGACGAGGACCACAATCGTCCCAGGGACGTCAGCAAGGTGGACGTGACGAGAGATATCGAGACGATGATCGTCGGATGGACCGCAATGACCGACCAGGCTCTTCAAACGCCAATAATAACCATACCATGCCGTCCATGCCATTTCCCATGAACTTTGGGAACATGCCGGGCATGCCCATGTTTCCTCCCGGCTTTCAGCTTCCCGGCTTTCCACAACAACACAATCAAGAATGATTCGGAAAGACATGATGGAGAAGATGGTCTCATTTGATGCACAAAGATTGCCGAGGGCAAGGACAAGGAGTCGCGTGGACTGATACCCCTGTACATGCTTGATCACAGCATTTTCGGCGTTGCTCATTGCCAGAGAAACCTTGGTTTCCATACGAATTGGGGAAGTGGTGGTTGGTCATCACAACAGCAGCCTGCATTGTGCAGACTCATCGAGCTTCCTGGTGCTACGTGTCTTTCCACAACTGGACATATTGCAGACTGACAGCCTGCTTCGGGGAGGAGTTGCTCTTGTCGTGATCAATTAGGAATTTCATGACAGACTTCAACTATGAATATTCTATTCCAACAGCTTGCATTCGAAACGTCTCTTCTTTGCCTCACATTCATCGTTGGAATAGATGCATACAGTTATCATGTCGTAACGTACCATCATGCATTACCTTTGGAAGATGTACAAATCATGATCAGAGATAGCACAGAACGAGCCATTGCCCTTTCCATACATGGTCTAAACCAACACAACACTTCAAGCAGCAAGGATGATTTACATGTCATCAAAGGAAGCGATAGCTCCCGAATTCCATTGCCGGTTGGCGTTGGACTCCAAACATGGCAAGGTATATAGTAGACTTTTACTCCACCAATGACAATACGGAGTCTGGAGGAATGCACGCTCTGAAACCATGCCGATAGTACCCCGTGGGCTTACCCCACAGCAGACTTTAAACCAACACTTGAAAAGCATCCCCGTGCCGTACTCGAGTGCCGAACTCTGAGGTAACTACGTTCCGTTGCTCCATACTGCCTTTCACTATGGCCGACACAATGTAGAGCATGATGTCCAGTTGCATCATCGGCTGCAGAAGAAAAAGACTGTCTGAACACTACATTGGCGAAATGCAAGAGTCAAACAGTGTTCATGATACGATACATTGATTGCTCTGTCTTTCTACCTAATGTTGCGTACTTGACGCTTCTATATAGACGTCCTAGCACAACTAGGACCTCGCCGTCGTCACAGTAACTCGTCGTCGTTGGCGACGCTCGAATAGCTGGAGTCAGTGCGTAAATTGGCTCCCAACCGTGGAATGACATGTCTGACCAAGATGCTGTTTGACAGCAAGGCACAGGGCCGAATATCAGCTCACCAATAGCTAGACGCAGCTTGCACGCAACTGTCGAGTTTAGTCGAGTGTCTCCACACCTCTCAACATACATGCAACGGGTAGCACGATAGTGTCCAGTAGTGTGCATAGTAGGAATACATAGATTGTCTTGTCTTTTTATCTAATTGTTGCCCATTTGATGTCCTTCTAAGGGTATCTCGAGCATTTGAGCGTCCGGCATGGACCTCGTGGACAGAGGCAACTCAGTGTCTTTGACGATCGTCTTGCAAATCTGACCATGGAGTTTGCGTGTATACTCAAACCACCACGCTTGACTCTCAAACCCCATTCGCACCCTCCAGATAATCATGTCTCCTAAGAGTCGCTGCCGCGGCTTTAGGGTAGTAGATGCGCTCAGACATCCTCCGCAGGGTATGTCCCCAGAAATACAAAGGCACACCCATGAGCGTAGCCAAGCTTACCAGCATGAACATAATCATATAGACTTGGACCCAGCCATCCGCAGCTATCCATTCGACGGCGGTATAGAGGAAGATGAAAGCCAACAAGTTTTTGAAGGCGTTTACAGCGACGAGACACTCGCCGGCAAATTGCGGGTAGCAGTCCACGACGTATGTGATGGCAATATCGGGGCATAGACCGTGCCGAAGGAGACTAGATTTAAAAGCCAGCCTTTGGCTTACTCAATGACAGTTGCAAGGGCGAAACTTACTCATGCCGTACCCAAACGCGACTGCTACCCATGATAGCTTTTCCGAGCAGGCGAATGCAATCACAATGCAACCTACAGGAGCAATAAGGGCAAACGGTAGAATCGAGAAGATTCGTTGTTCTGGGTGCACATGCCCGCCGTTCTTTAAGATGCGGCGAGTGGTGATGACATCTGACATCCAGCCACCAGCGAACGTCCCAAAGATGAAGCCGATCAAGGCGGCGATCTGGATCAAACCAATATTTGTCGCCGCAAACAGGTAAGGTGGTGCCAGGAGCAGCGACGGGGAAGCGAAGCTAGATCAACATCAGCTATAGCTTCGAGATGGGGGTTAGGGCTCTCACATCAGGATGACTTGAGACGCTAGACTGGTCCATACATGAATACCGCCCAGAGTACTGCAGGATAGACCAAGAAGGCCGTGGGTCTGAAAAATATCGAGAGGAAGCCCACGGATCTGTTATATTTGATTGACGAAAACCAGATGCTGGTCCAGGGAACTCGGATATGGTTGACATGTTGTACGCCGTGGGTGATGTCTTCCTGACTCTCAACATGGGCAGGTTGGAGATTTTGCTTGCCAACAGAGTTGAGCTGCGCTTCTTCGACGTCGGCCTTTTCAGCGGGCAGAGGGGTAGCTGGGTGGATTGGGGGTCGATCGAAACTTGACTCGGGATACAGAAGAAACATCAAGATAAGGTTGAGACCGGCAATTCCTGCACAGAGCCAGCTGAAATTGCGCCAGGTGTTCGCAGTATCTGCAATCACAAAGCTAGCCACGAGGGGACCAATGGCTGTCGCAGATGACACGGTGATGATATAACTAGCAACTGTTAACCGTGACCAAGCAAAAAGGCGTTGTTGTCCTACATCGACATCATTGCTGCGCGTTCATGAAGGAAGAAGAGGTCCGAAACGATGCCTGGTACAATGCTCTGCGTCCCACTGATCAGTAACCCCAATTTTATTCTGCAATCGTTTTGATGAGGCAGCGGCGAGTAAGCAAAGTATGAGTCTGAATCATTGGATGCAATGTTTCGCGTTTGATGTCATCGGAGAGATAACTGTGAGTACTACGATTTGTTGAGCGAAATACATTGCTGACCACCAACCATCAGTTTTCCTAGCGATTTGGTTTCTTGGATCGAGGTGAAGATATCAAGGGTATCATGCAGAGTCTAGAGACGACAGCCTTACAGTCTACAGTCTGTGGGATCTATCTTTGGCTCGCTCCCATCATCTTCGGGCTAATCCCGAGCGGGTTGTCTGCGGTCGTGGGCTTTATCACAACTGAAGTTCAGGGTCGATTGAAATCACTAGAGGATTCGGAAAAAGGAGACCGGGATGCCAAAGACTTCCTTACCAAGCTGGCATTGCTTCACAGGCGTGACCAAGAAGCATACACCTACTGGCACGTGTTTGCCGGTTGTGCACAAAACGTGGCCGCCGGGAGTGAGACAACCTCGATCACGTTGAACTCAATCTTCTACTATCTGATGAAAGATCCCCAGAGGGTCCACAAGTTACAGACGGAGATTGATGAAGCTGTTCAGTCTGGCCAAGCTTCGGATCCGATCACCTTTGCTCAGGCACAGAAGCTGCCTTATCTTCAGGCTGTGATCAAGGAAGGCTTAAGGATGCACCCAGCGACTGGCCCCCCGATCTGGCGCACCGTTCCTGAAGGAGGTGCTACCATTGCTGGTGTCGAATTTCGTGCCGGGGTATGTCACAACATCTTCTTCTTCTCGTACATTTCTTGACCAAAACTATCGCTTGGTCGGTGTCTGAATTACTTCTCTCGAATGCTGATATCACGCGCAGGCTAATGTTGGAATCAACTCCTGGGTTGCACACCACAACAAGGACGTATTCGGCGAAGATGCTGCTCTTTTCCGACCTGAACGATGGCTCTCCTCGACGTCTTCGCCGGAGCAACTCGCGGCGATGGAAAAATACTACATGCCCTTTGGTCTAGGCTCGCGCACGTGTATCGGAAAGAACATCAGCCTCCTTGAGATCTCAAAGCTTGTGCCGCATCTGATCCGCCACTACGAGTTTCGTCTACTCACGCCCACTTGGACCAGCTTCAACAACTGGTTTTGTAAACAGTTCAACATCGAGGTAACGGTTAGCAGAAGACAGTTGTCGTAAACTACGAGGATAGATAGTGCGATATCACAATACCATCCGGATCAGCACAATACTTGATCAACTGGTCCAGCACCAGAGAGCTAATACAAATCATATCGGCTGGATACTGTATCAATGTCAAGGTTGAGGTAAGGGGCCGCATGCTTCACATTTGAATCGACTTCCATCTTCTCTTCAGACCTTTGTTGACTTGTAATCCTTTGCCGTCAACGGCCGTGACCCAGTGACCCAATGACCTTAGTAGTAGTGCGTCCACCTCCACCACGGTTACCTTCCATGTTGCAATCCCTCCTCGCGTAAGCCTTGTTGTATCTTCTCGTTCTCAGCTGGCAAAGCTGTCAGTGTGGCCAAAACCATTCGGTCCCCTCGCGCTTTTGCCGCCGAGTCGCCGTTGCAGTCGCAGGAATGGCATAGCCTCAGCACGCGGACTGGGTAAACTTGCTGAATTGTTTCCACAACGCCAAACACCAGTCATAGGGAAAAGCGTGCTTCCTGTCGACACCAATACTGCGCTGGAAAGCCATTATTCCTTGAACCACTGACCATAATAACAATCACGAACGCTATTGAGTTGGGTCGTTACCTGCGAGAAGGACGGAAGAATTGGCGGAACTTCGATGTACGCTCTCTTTTTCCATGAATGATCACCTCATCAGGCACATCGGTCTCGCTGCTGGTCTCGCTGCTCGTCTCATTGGTTTCTTTGAAACAGTTAGTCTTCCACTTGCGAAGCTAGTTATAGATGGAGATGGCGGTACCTTGGACTTGTAGATATTTCCTCTCATCGATCCATCGAGCCAGCTTCTGACATTGTTCGTGAGATGGACCATATACCTCCTGATATCCGGTCAACGCCCGATGAAACATCTGGATAGCTTCTTGCCGTCTGCCCAGGTCAAGAAGCAACGAACCGAGGTACTTGCACGTATTGAGTGCAGGGACATAGGTAAGGATAGACTCTGCTCCCACTGCGTTCTCGAAGCCTTGTAGGGCACGCTCGTACATCTCCTCCGCCTTGTCCAGCTTCCCTTGATGGTTGTACAGAATGCCTAGATTGTTGACCGTCTCTAGTGTAGACGGGTGCCCCGGTCCTAGTGCCTTTCCCTTGCCTTGTAAGGCACGCTCGTACATCACCTCCGCCTTGTCCAGCTTCCCTTGATGGTTGTACAGAATGCCTAGATTGTTGACCGTCTCTAGTGTAGACGGGTGCCCCGGTCCTAGTGCCTTTCCCTTGCCTTGTAAGGCACGCTCGTACATCTCCTCCGCCTTATCCAGCTTTCCTTGCTTGACGTAGAGAGCACCTAGACTATTAACTGTATCGAGTGTAAAGGGGTGCCCCGGTCCTAGGGTCTTCTCCTTTCCTCGTAAGGCTCGATCGTACATCTGCTCCGCCTTATCTAGCTTTCCTTGGTCGGAGTAGAGAAGGCCCATTTTGTTGACCAGGGTGAGCATCCACTCATGCTCAGGATCCATTGTCTCCTTATAGCCCCGGAGAGCCAGCTCATACATCTCGCTTCCCTTGCCCAATCTGGTTTGAGCTACGAAAAGATCGCCAAGGAAGCTCACACAACGAAGAATGACAGCTAAAGGGCCAACATATCCGGGTCTATCATCGCGGTCCTGTTCCTGTGATCTCGAGAGCTTGATCGCATCATCAACGACCCATCGAAAGCAACAGTCAGCATGGCCCATGAGACGCCGTTCTACGGTCCATAAATTTCCCATGAAGTAATGCTGTACCGCAAAGCCGTAATGCGGTAACGCAAAGCCGACCGTGATCACCGCAAGTCGGGCGAAGGCAATTCGTTGCTCCTCGTTCTGGACATGCCGCGCCCACTGGTGCAGAACGGGATGAACGATACATCCACTATCATCTTCCAGCCTTTCGATCAGGGAGTATTTGAGTAGGAGCTGGATCGCGTCGATGAACTTCATCTCGTCGCTGCATACCTCTTGGAGGTTCGCGTTGACGTAGGTATGATTGGTCCATATTTCCCTGCTTCTCTCGAAAAGCCCATACCACAAGTCACGGTTGTCAAGGAACGCCCAGAGCAGGAGTAGGTCGGCCGCCGCTTGATTTTCCGCACGGATAGCCTCGAGTGATCTCACCCACGTCGTCCAGATACTTTTCAGCTGGGATCCATTGCATGTCTCGTGCGATTGCATAAGATCTTTCCAGCGACGGTCATAGAGATCGATGTATCGGGCAAAGCTGATCCCAGTCTGCTGCATGTACGCCGCGACTTGAGTCAATGCCAAAGGGAGGCCATCCAAACGCTCCAGTAATGGTCTGGCCTGGTCTTTGTCTGCATCTTCTAGTCAGAATAGAGCTCGACAAGTGATTGAGAAACGTACCAAACTTCCGCGTATACGTCTGACAGAAGATTGCCATAGCAAGGTTGTCATCCACTTTCTGAAGCTTCTTCGAGACTGTGGCATACGGCTTCAGGTTGCTAAGTCGAGTCGTTATCAATATCGCGCCATGATCAGCGTCGGGAAGATAATTCTCGACATTGAAGGAGCCTGGTTGAGGGTTCTGTGCGTAGTACTCTCGATCGACATTATCCAACACCACCAGCCAGGAATTGTTGTCAGGCCGGCTCAGCAGGTGGCGAAAGTGTTCGACAATGAGATCAAGGTCCCCGCCCTGACCGTTGAGGAACGTCCTACTGACTTCCGGAATCTGGCCCTGCGCAACGCGGCTGGCACTATAGCCAATGGACTGTTTCAAGCTGTCTTCTGAGGTGCCATCTAGCCAGAAGACAGCGCTATAATGCTGGTGATGCCGCCGTGCAAATTGAGCCGCCAATTGCGTCTTGCCCATGCCGCCCATTCCACTCAACACACAGATCCGACGTTGACGTCCACTAGATCTTCGTCCGGGAAGGAGGGTTTGCCTTAGTTCAGCCACGTCGAGGGGACGATCTGCAAATTTCTCGATCACGGGGACGCCTCGGAGGCTGAATGGGATATGGTATTTTGAAGTGACTAACACCATATATATTAGCTACGAAAACTCCCAAAGGCTGTGACGGTCATCCGTGGGAACTAACGTTGCTTCATGGACGCCCGGTCCGCACACGCCTTCATTTGCCTAGACACCTCTTGCGATCCACAATACAGCCGCGTGGCAGCCGCAATTTCAGCCTTCTTCGTCGACTCTTCCAGACCAATTGTTTCCAGTCCTCTTGACACATTGAAACGGTAGTACCGGCCCTGTTCGTCTAGGTGTGCTTTACTTTGTCGAAACGTCTCGGCTGTAAGTTCGGTCTCCGTGGCTATCGCCACCAGACTCTCGTAGATATGGAAAACATCGTCGCGTACAGGAGTCAATGATGGAACGCCGGTCCCTATCGAGACCAGACAGTCAAGGTTATCGTCTAGCGGTTCGGGACCGTATACGGCCTGCGCTTGATTCCATAGTTCCCCAACGGGATTGTTGACTGCTGTGCCGCCATCCACAAACTGTTCACTGTAACGTCCGATGGAGATTGGTTCGAAGAATGAGGTCGCTGCAGAAGTTGCACGACAAGCTTCCCAGATCTTGGTCTGTTTGAAGAGGTCGGTATTGCCACGGGGAGGCATGTAGCTTGTCAAGCACATCGGTGTGCCAGTGTGCTTGCTGAAAGCGCATACAAAGCTGCATTCATCAGTACGGCAATGTTACAAGTTCTTGGCTGTCCTACACTTTGCACGCCGTATCCGCCTCGCTTTTCAACAACGTGTCTTTCTGAGTGGTCCACTTTTCCACCACTTCTCGAATCGCGTCTTCTAACTTCTTTGAGTCGAATTGGCCTCGGATCTTGCCTGTGATCTTCATACGAGGCGCTTTCTTCTGGAAGACCTTGTCCGCGAGGGAGGTATATGCTTCAATGCATTCGTCGATCGTCATTTCCAGCCGGCCCAGCATGATAGCGATCAATCCGCCGGTTCTGGTGCCCCCGATCATGTCGAAGTATTCGCATGGCTTGGGTGGGTGTTCGGGATCGATGACTTGCATGAGTTGTTCAAGGATCATCAGCGACGACAGGCCACGAACGCCGCCGCCATCAAGCGCGAGTAGGCGTAACTCTTTGCCTGGCATGGTCGATCAAGAGACCCTCTTCACAGCAACACCTCTGTCATGAAGTGGCTGAACAGAGGAGAAAGAATCTTCTTGCGAGCGAACGTCGCCCATCAGGCAGCAGACCGCTTCACGGAAGGCAGCTGCGGTCAACCAGGCTGAATGGTCCATTCCAGCTGAGGCTGCAGTGTGACCGTCACAGCCCAGCTCGACTTGGATTCGTCGCCGAATTGCCGCTTCAATTGGGTGAACAGGGGATGAGGCACGCCACAGGCGCCTATCCAACGCATCAATCGTATCAATGCCACTCATGCTGTCTATGTACCACATATCGCAGTGAGGAGACCATAGAAATACCAGCCAACCTCGAGCCTCCACTACCTTCTGATCAGCGTCTACGCCTTAAGCCTTACTTGAGGCTGAACGACACCACCAGTAAAAGGGCATCGCTTGTATGGCGTCTGAGACAAAATCTTATCTCCGCGTGAATCCAGCCTCGGCTTTCTCGTTGAACAACAAGACCGACATCTGCGCTTATGTAATCTCGGTAACCTCTCAAAAAGGGGGTTTCGCCAAACTCTCCGGCCATGCCGGGTGTGTCACGGGCTCCGGCCATGCCCTCACAGAAGGTGGGACGCCGGAATTACCTGGGGCGGTGTCGCTTACATGATCGTGCGTATACCTGCTTAGGTATGACATAGGAGTATGTAGCTAGCTCACTACCTACCAGCTGCCTAAATATCTAAATCATGTACAAACCGGCTCCCGGACAACTGTCAATCAACCCTTGGTCTCTCACTGGCAAATATTCGACATGTCCGAAGACGTGACATACGGAACACTCAGATCTGTCACCGTCATCTTCAGCCCTTACCACGTCGGCATCCACAACCACGCTGTCGGTGCCGGACCGGGAAGGTTACGGAGTTCCGGACTCGTTTCGTCGCTACAGAAGCTGGGCGTAAAAGTCCACGAAGTCGAAATCAAGAGAGTGTACAACTCCGAAGGGGATATCGGCCGCAGCTTCGAGGTCATCAGGCGCATTGCATGGGCTGTCACGGCGGCGCGGGATGGAGGGTCATTCCCCATTGTGATCGCGGGCAATTGCTCCGCTACCGTCGGTGTGTTGGCTGGTTTGACTGGCTGCAAGCCTTTTGCTGAGCGCGAGTTGGGATGTATTTGGTTCGACTCGCACGATGATTTCAATATTCCTGATACGGTTATGAGCGGGTATTTCGATTCGATGGGCGTGGCGATTATGGCCGGGCAGTGTTGGAAAGCTTTAGCAGGTAGCGTGCCGGGCTTCAGACCCTTGAAGTTGAAGAGGTTTGTGCATGTTGGGATGAGGGATGTTAATGAACTTGAGCGGGTGAGGGTTAGTGAGGCTGGGTATGATGTTGTTTGGGGGGATGAAGAGAGAAAGGTTGATTTCCGTGGTGAACTGGAGGAAGCCATAGGTGGAAACAAGGAGATGAAGGAAGACGGAGGGTTGACGATGGTGCATGTAGATCTGGATTGTCTTGATGGGAGTGTTGCGAGAGTTAACAAGTTTTGGGGTACGAAGGGTGGGTTGATGGGGGAGGATTTGCTTAGGTGTATGGATCTGCTGGGAAGCGGAGCGGAGGGGAACGTAATGCCGGTGAGTTTGACTGTTGCGAGCTATGATCCGCAGTATGACGATGGTGGCAAGGTTGCTGGGATTGCTGTTGGAGCGGTGGAAGGGTTTGTGAGGGCGCTAATGGAGACGGGTGTATTGGAGGTGGACTGATGGATGCCTGCTTGCAGCGATGCAGCAGAGATCATGCCCGGTTGACGCCGGGGAAGTATAGGATCTCAAGATCTGAATATCATTGTTTCGGGGTTGATGATCGGGCAGACCGATAGACTTATCGAAGTCTTCGTGCTCTTTCTGAGCATTCTCAGGAAGTATTTCACCACTCTTTGTGCTGACAGACAATTGTCCCATATTGTCAAAGGCAGCGGCAACAGCGCCATACCAGAATCTGGAAACCAATCCGTGGCCAATATCTTCTGTCAAAGGGCTCTTGGTCTTGCAGAACTTGACCAGCTTGACAGAAGTGGCAGGTCCACAGCGCTGACAATGGTGAGGAGATAAGCGATCATATTCATGGTCTTTCGACCAAGGCAAACACACCAAGTTTGCATGAGAGCCGCAAACGAGAGGAGTACTCCAGGTACATAGACGTCTGACCTCTCTTTTATTGTGATTCAAGCAAGGAAGGGGCCGAGCGAGTTACCAGAACGGTGGCACCGTCTGGCAGGGAGTACAGCAACGCTGCAAATTTGAAGTCCAGCAGATTCATGACAGCGAGTGCCATGAAGCAAACCACCATGACTAGCCCGATTGACCTGATGGCCTTCCGCACGTCAAGCGCTAAGACGATGTTGTTGTGTGCGAAGGACTTCAAATTGACAACGAGGAGCGATTTCCGGATGAACATGGAGAACTACAGCAATCAGATCGTGCCACTTTTTCCTCTGAGAACCGGCTCTGCGGGAGTTCATGCATTCAATTTAACCTCATCACGTGCATTGGCGTCAGTGACGCGACTGCCCAAAGAAGCGCGGGGGCAGTCGCGTCTCACTTGACAATCTGCAACTTTTCCCATTCGGAGGAAGCACTGGAGAACATCACATTCACTTTCTTCACTGCCTCAGTTCACCTCTTCTTCAATATAACTAGGTATACAGCACGCTTTCTCTGAATGTATCTGTCAACAACCAACAGCAAAGGCGCGGTGGCCAATCAGTCGTGCTGCAAAGTTGTCATTGAACCAGCGATCAGACAGCACTCCTCAGTTTACACTCACGATCAGCACCAGTGTAAGACAACATGGCGTTCAAATTTGTCTGGCTTGTCGAACTCTTCGAGACGCTCGAAGCTGCGCGGAAGGATAAAGCACTTACCACGAACCGTAATATCGACGTCTATGCTGAAGCCACCAATAAATGGTTCGACAAGTACGAACACAAACTTCAGAGAACAGGACCGTCTGCGATAGCCTTTCTATCATGCATCCTGCCAGAACGTCTGCCACAACGCACCTACCGAGTACAGGAGGACACTTTAGTTAAGATCTTTTGTCGAGTTTTCCACTTGGGGCACACCAGTTCCAGTGCACTCCGCCGATGGCATGAGCAGGACGCCGACTTTGCAACCACGGTGGAGCACACAATGGCCAATTCGCATCTGATTATGTCTAAGAAGCTAGTCACATTGGAGGACATTGACAAGACACTTCTTCAACTTGCGGACAAGGGGGCAACCAACACGAAGCGATTGGATGAAATCCTGACGCCCGTACTACGACATCTAACCCCACCGCACACCAAATGGCTTGTTCGCATGATCCTGAAGTCCTATACACCGATACATATACCAGAAGCCACAGTTCTCCAACGCTTCCACTTCCTCCTGCCTGATCTCCTGGCTGTTCAGAACTCCTTCGATGCAGCGGTTGAGATTTTGGAGCACGATAACATCAAGGCACTTCCATACAACCCTGTAGGAAAATCCCGAGATGTCTACCTTGGGTTATGCGCCGCACACATCAGACCCAAGCTCGGTGTTATGATTACGCGTACACAATATGAGAAAGCACGGAGCATCAAGCATTGCTGTGACATGGCCCGACAACGTCATATGAGTGTCGAAAGAAAATATGATGGCGAGTATTGTCAAATACATGTCGACCGCTCCAAGCCAAGAGGGAACCAAATTCAAATCTTTTCAAAGAGTGGGAAGGACTCAACGACCGACAGAGTTCGTCTCCATGGAGTAATCGAAGCAGGACTGCGGCTGGACCGAGAAGATTGTGGCTTTGACCGAAATTGCATTGTCGATGGTGAGCTTGTGGTATACAGCCGAACACAGAAGACGATCCTTCCCTTCCACAAAATCCGAAAACATGTGATGCACGGTGGAACCTTTATTGGTACCGCTGCCGATTCACCTAGGAAAGGCGACGAGCAGCTCATGATTGTCTTTTATGACATCTTACTCCTCGATGACAAGATTTTGGCCAAGGAGCCACAATCTGAGCGGAGGAAGGTACTCGAACGTATCGTGAGGAACCTTGATGGTGAAGCCCAAATTGCATATCGTCAAATCATCAACTTCGGCGTTAGAGACGCCAAGGTGGAATTGAGGGAATTCTTCGAATGCGCAATTCTTCAAAGATGGGAGGGACTTGTGCTCAAAGGCTGCCGTGATCCTTACTTCTCCTGGGAAAGCTCCAAGAGGGTCATCAAACTTAAGAAGGACTACATCCACAACCTTGGCGATACAGTTGACCTTTGTATCATTGGCGGTCGACGTAGTCAAATCGTTGTCGATCAACTTGGCATCGGGCCTTTGTCCTGGACGACATTCTACATTGCATGCATCGAGAACAAGGAGCAGGTGCGTAGACACAACAAAAAGCCCGTGTTTCGCATTATCGACACAGTGTCTATACATGGAATATCGAAGGATAACATCCGGCACCTCAACGGTCTAGGGGAATTTTTGCGCATACCTTTCGCGGATCATCGAGCTCATATGGAAGTTCAGAACCATCGAAAAAATATACAAGCCCCGACTGATCTTTTCAAGTCGCCAATTGTCGTTGACGTTATGGGAGCAGGCTTCGAGAAGCCACAGAATGCAGCATATTACGTATTACGCTTCCCGCGGATCGTGAAGTTGCAGAGGGATAGGAGCTTCTTGGACTCCAGTACCTTCGCGGATTTGCAAGAGCATGCCGATAGAAGCATGAAGGTCTCCTTGGACAACGATGAACAGCAAGAGGAGGGGTGGATCGAGCGCCTCATCGCTGCCGATGGGAAGAATGCCATTGAGGCTGAGGGGAACCAGTCTCAGACTACGGCCAGTCCAGTGCAGAGCACGCCCGGGCAAGCGACCAGTGGGCACCCAGTAATGATGCATAGTCCCTCGAAGACAACACAACAGAATATGGCACCACCCTCGACGCCTCGGGCACGTTTAACTGCTCCAGCTCGTCATATCGTCGTGGAGGACTCGCGAATCACCGCTAGTCCCATACCGCTCACTCCTGGGGCAGGTCAGTATCAGCAGCCTTCTCAAAGTACAGCGACACCTTCGCCAGGCATGGTAGAGACCACCCTCGGGGTCCACAGTGGTCGACCGCAGACCCCTGCGAAGGCCAATCATGATGTGATCGTGATAGATTCACAGAGCACAGCCAGTCCGTTGAAGGAGAGCCCTGCTGCGCAGAGCGAATCCTCTATCGCCATTCAGGCTCCCAAGCGCAAGTACTTAGATACGCCTTCCCTCCTCTACGACGACTCGACAAACAAACGACCAAGAATGGCTTCAGATCAAAACCAACGGCCGCGATACAAAGGACCACGGAAGAGTGTCCCAACCAGCCGTTCGACACGAAGCGATCCCTTTAGCCCTCAAAAGGCGACAACAACGTCTTCGCGGAATATGCCAGCTGTAACACAGCCTTCTGAACCCCGGACTGCGTCACGAATTCTTCCGTATGAGGACATCAATAAGCTTGGGGGATCAGCCTTGCGCAATGATTACACTAGGGCACCACCCTTCGAACTCCCGACTGTGTCCAGTCCTTCTTATGGAGGACGGCCAACCCAAGTGGAATCTTCCTTGCGAAGTACGATGCACAGAGAACACCCCTTCCAACCTCCAGCTTTGTTCCGAAGTCCCACGAAATCCACACGCCCGCTTGCACAAAACGCGACAACGTCCCCGCCACCGGGGTATATGTGGTCCAGTGCGGCATTAGTCAAGGACGATGACAAAGAGAATTCCGACCGTCAGGACCCGCCGTCCAACCGTCCAGGCAATGGCAACATCCTTGGGCTCAGGGGCGGTGCTGCAGACAATCAGACACACAGCAACCGAGGTCCAAAGCGCCTTCGTTCGGATCAGACGAACTCCCTGTCGGGAGGAACCAACCATGTCCACGAGGCGCCAAAGATCCAACCTCTGCCTCTCAAGTCTCAATACCAGGCAGACACTGGAGCCACCTCTATGTTAGGCCCGACGCCAGAGGTTTCCGGAAGAACGTTTGCGAAGCAGGTTCTTCGTCCGCAACCTCTTGAGGTGGACCGTAGGCATCCTCCAGATACGCCGCACTGTCCAATCGACAAGGCATTGTTCGTCAGGTTAGTCGACCAGTCTTCGACGCGTGCCACAGCCGAAAAAAATCTACGACGTTGGCAAAGAGGTCCTCAACAAGCGAAGAGCGCTTCTGATATCTGCAAGTGCGCAGCAGAAGAGGTTGGTAATGTTCTATGACACGCAGATCACAAGCCTTGTCAAGTCCTATGACTGTGGTTGGCATTCAGGAGGCGGAGTCCATAGCGATGAGTGTGAGATCCTGAGAAACGCAGATCTGGTAAGTGGTTTCTTTGCGGGAGCTCTACTTATCACGACTGGCGAAGAGTTTGATATCAGAGTGATCTGGGATTGGAAGGAAGCGATGGATGGAATCATGTCGCCGTAGCACAACAGGCACGTCATTGGAGCGCGTTCAATGCAGTCGGCGCCTTTGCGGTAAATGGGTAGAATTATAATAATAACGTCGATGACCTCCTTCACGTCAATGGCAAACATTATAGCGTTATGCGTGGCGGGCTTCGTTCAGATAACGTCGAACAATTCGTGGGTATCCATCTGAAGCCGAGCAGCTACAACGGGCAGACAGTGCCACTATTGAATGGAAAAGGCTGATGTAGACGATTCAGTCTCCGCCAAAAAACGAATCCCAGAATGAGGAGAATAGTCCTCCACCGCCGCCTTCATCACCGCCCGACGGAGTCTGTTGGCCCGCATCGCTCCAGGGATCGGAGCCTTCTTTGCCCCAGACGTCTTCACCCTGGCCGCCCTGCTCGGGCCATCCGCTTTGCGGAGATTGAGCGTCAAAAGGCTGGTCAGGATTCTGCGGTGACTGAGAGTCATAAGCCGTTGGGCTATTGAAGGCTTGGTCCTGTTGAGCGGTGGTGGTGTCTGATTGTTGTTCTTGCGGCGAACTTCTGCCCGAAGCTCGCTGCATGGCTTCGTATCCTGCCATTGTGCCTGCACCGGCGATGGCACCTTCGCCGGCACCTAATCCTTGCGCAGCACCAGCTGCTCGGCCTGCTCCGCCGACTACAGCCCCGCCAGTGGCTCCAGCGGCTTCGCCTGCTGCGACTCCACCAGCAGCTCCTGCGGCCTCACCTGCTGCAACGCCGCCGGCTGCTTCACCACCTGCGCCGCCCATCCAGAGCGGTATAGGCATTACGCCGAAGTGACTGCTGTGCTGGGAGAAGTAGTCGTAATCGATGGTGACAGCGGTTGCGAGCATCACTGCTCTCTGGTCCAGCGTCATGCCTGGTATGTTTTCCGTGGCTGTTGGTTTGCTGGCCAGAATGGGTTCTGTCGGGGTCGTCTGGGTCGTCTCATCGACCTGCTTCGTTTCGGGCTCTCGACCTGCGGCGTCCATGCGTAATGCGTAACTTCCCATGTCTGTGAGAAATTCTCGGCCGAAACCACCCCATTTTCGATTGACTGAGCCGATCAATTGGTTGTTCTGGTCGCGCAGGGAGAAGTCCCATGACAGAGCGGGTTCGTTGACTGACGCGAACTTATAGATGGAAGAGCCGCCCTCCGATGATACAGATGCTTGTCCCGATGGTGAGCCATCGATATTCAGGTCGTGCGAGAGAAACAAGTGATACTTGCGTGCCATGGCGGCCCATTCTGACTGGGCTTCGCCGATGACGGGCATAGCATCAAGGGGGAGTTGTGAGACCTGCTGCAGGCCTGCTAGAGGGTCTGCTTCCGCTGGTACATCGGAGGTAGATGTGGGTTTTGGACCATTGAGCCTTGGGGCCACCGGATTGTACACCCGTATCGTGGTGTTGATGTATGAGAACGGGCGATGAAACCTCAAAACCTCCGTTGAATGCTTGTCGAAGACGTGCGTTGTAAACGCTCGGTGCGTCCGCGCCAACTGCCTTGTCATACCCTGTGCCAGACCTCCGTCTTGTTCTGCCATGTACCCGACGTGGTTTCCATGCGGATCGAGGATCACGTATCGGTTCGCCTGTTCGAAGCCAATGAATACATTCATCATCTCGAGTTGTCTTTGTACAAGCAAACCTGACTGGGCGAGGATAGTGGAGGCGGGATGGTCTGACTTCAGGACGGAACTTGGATCTTCGGGCACATGGACGGGTGCGAGGAGGGAATTATCTTCTGGTCTTGTCTCGGCGAGGATGTTTTCCATAGGAGGGGATTTGGGCGGAGCCTCGCTTCGTGAAGGAGGTTTGTCATGTTGGGCAGAGGGCGGTGGTCGTTCCTGTCGATGCGTAGCAGTAGTTGAGAATGATGGCCGCCGGGGCTTAAGAAATCTTCGTGAGGGAATGATGGTAATACATTGTGTCTGTAGCCTCAGCGCAGCGCTGGCTGGCCGTGAGACTTGTAGAATGGTTTTCTGCATGCCAGACTGTATCGAGCAGTACAAACAACAATCGCTAGAAAGACAGCACAGTCATTCGTTGAGAAGATTAGAGAGAATTTTTGACATATAGGTGGTACCAATCTCCATGGCCTCGAGATGTAACAATGATCGTGTTGCGGAAATGCAGAGGACGGGAAGACGTCATTCCAAACAGTGATATTAATTCCCGCTGTACCTGCCGCAGCTTAACGAGATACTCTGCGCGCTGCTTTCCCAGAACACCCTTCTCGATATCATCACAATGCTAGCCCCAGGTGGCTTCTATGGCTCTGCTAAGTGAAAGCACCTCTGTTGGTCGTGAATAAGGAGTAACGGTAAAAGATGGAAAGCCGCTATCAGCTACTAGACATGCACATTCTGAACGCCAGCATTCCCAGGTAGCAACGAACGTGATACGAGCTAAGGGCTAACCGCAGTACGACTCCAGAGGACCTCCCTTCAGAACTTCGCCTTTGCTAGTCTGACATAGCACTGCTTAGGAGATGTGGCCAATGTATCGATGGCGTCGAACAAATTCAGCTCCGCCGGAAGAGGCAGCAATTCGAAATTCCAGATCATCAGCACGAGAATGATGCGCATCTGTAGATATCCCAGCCGTCGGCCGAAGCAACCACGAGGTCCCAGCCCGAAGGCCAAATGCGGACCAGCTTGGGAGTCGAAGGCCTCATTGCCATCTGCGTCAGTGACGAGCCAGCGCTCGGGGCGGAACTTCTTCATGTCGTCTGCATCTGGCGTCCAGGCTCCGACCTGGTATTGGGCCTTCAAGCTGCTTTCGTGGCGTTGCGAGTCCGCTATCGGAAACGGGGGTAAGAAGTAGCCGGGGCCCATCTGTAGCAAGAATAGGTTCGTGCCTTTAGGGATAACATGGCCTAGGACAGTGGTGTCAACGGTTGCGATGCGCACGACGCCCGGGAAGATGCATGCAGTACGGACCACCTCCTCGATCGTGGCATCTAGATAAGGGATCCGAACCGAGGTTATTTCATGGGCAGTCGGATTGCGATGCTCTTTTGCTGCCGCTTCGTAGGCATTGCGTAGGTGAGAGCGAAGGGTCGATTGAGCGTTCTGATTAACAGCCAGGTGTTTCAAGGCCCATGACAGCGTCGTGGAGGTGGTATCATGCCCACCGACGATAAAGCCAAAGAGCTGGATCATAGATCAGACGCTAGAGCCGTTGTCAGGGTAAGAAACATACCTCGTCATATATCACCCGGGAGTGGTATGCAGGCTGCTTTCCCTCCTTCTCGGAAATTGCGACTTCGCGGTGCAGGATGTCGTCCAACGCGGAGCGCCTGATGTGGTCACCAGAAGACAGTCGCCGAACCCCTTTCTCGACCTCATCGTGTATCAGGCGTTCCTTGATGGCTCGTGCCTCTCGCATATATGGCAGCTGTCGGAGACACCAGTGCGCTAATCTGGGAAGGGGTGCCTTGATGGAGATTTCCATAGACTCCGTGAGCGTGGTGATGGCCTCAAAGGTTGCCGGACGGTGGGTCCTGGGGATATCGACAGGCATATCTGCCGTCTGTGGCAGTCTCACCTCGTTGGTTGATGTGTACGACAGGAGGTGCTCCAATTGCGAAGTGGTCGCGCTGTTCTTAGCCTCAAGTCCAAAGGTTGCAGCAAAGACTGAGTCCAAGGTAACGTTGTAGATGTCTGGAGCCGCATGAAAAGGGTGACCCTGAGCTAGCTGAGTTTTGAGATCCCACAGTTTGACCAAGGTCTCGACGTTGGCGTGTATCTGTGGGGCCTCGACCTCATTCAGAAATCCCGGTGTCATTAGGTCTTTGAGCAGATTTCGACACGTCTTGAAGCGCGGATCGGTAGAGTGCATGGTGATTCTGAAATCAGGTACGAGACCCACCATGGCATCGATAACGAAGGTGGAGCGATCGAACTCCTGGGTTCGACGTAGGAGAATGTCCTGGCTCTCGCGATAGTCGCTGATGAGAACCCATGGTGCAGCAAAAAGACGAGCGAAGACCTGTACGATAGGAGACTGGTGGTTGATGTTCTGCTGCATGATCCATGGCCAGAGGCGACCTGTCTTTGACATGTAAGATACGATGCTGGGGATGTCTCCGAATAGTGACTTGGTGGCAGACGCATTGTATGGTATCCCTGCAATAGGTTTGGGAAGAGCCCACTGATATGCCAGGAAGAGAACGCAAAGAATTGCGACGATGCCAACGGCAAAGGGCGCAGGAGGGAGCATTGTCTGGACCATGGTCAGGGCAGAGGAGTGGCCGGCCATGTTAGCTACCAAACTTCTTGCAAGAAAACAGAGGAACGAGACAAGCAGTGTCAGCACGATGTTCGGAACATATATACGGAGATACAGCAGTAGCTGTATTCTACTCTTCTCGGCTGAGATGTGCGACATCAGTCTCGCATGTAAGTACTTACCACATTCGGTTGAGCTCCGCTGTGATCTGTAATCGGATATTGCTTCGCTGTAAGATGCAACTCGTCTAGACTGGGGAAAGAGACATGATTTGACGGAGATGCTGGCTAGACTGTGCATGCTGAGGTTCTTGTGCGCCAGTCAGCGTCGTACAACCAGGGAAACGAACCCGCGATAGACAGTAGCCCTATCGTAGGTGACCGGCGACGAAATGCAGGCGCGGAGCTGAAGATTTCCAGGGTAGCGCCGCGATACCAGGGAAGAATGTGGGCAACCGGTAAGGGGGGATTGTCGACCACAACGCAGCCATATATATAACTGTTAGTCTCAAAAGCCTCATGCGCTGCAGCCGTAATTCTTCCTCAGGAAACAAAAAGTCCCTAACGAGGTGCTGATAGTGGATCAGAAAGACCCAAAGGTACCTTCCAAGGTTATTACGAGGAGAAAATACGAAACTTATGTCAGCGGAATACGAAAAAAACGTTCCAGGTTACATAGGTAAACTATGCCCATAACGGTAGGTGGTGTCGAGGGGTTTCGGAGCTGCGTCCAGGTGGTGGCAGATTGACTTGCAACCCTACCAGGTACGGAGTAGGAATACGTGTAACCGTCATGGACTGCTTCATTGCCGCCAAAGAGCATCCCGCATCGTTTAGACGGGTTGTTTAATTGCGGCCTCACAAGGCATCAGCCATTTCGAAAGGTCTTGTCAACGGATCCTCATTTCATGGTTGGTGATTGCCCGGAACAATGTCTGATCCAGGCACTTGATATACATGTCTTCCTCCTCGAGAAGTTCTAAAATACCCTGATGGCGACAGTGGTTTCAAAAAACCAACGACAGCTTTGTGCCTTCAATTCCATCGTACCTCTTCAAAATGACCATTTTCATGCGTCAGATCATTACCCTCACTCTCAAGAATCTTCTCGTCGCCTTCGTGCGGCGCTGGTTCTCCACGACCATACGAGCATTCCTCTTACCCTGCATCTTCATTGGCTTTCTGTGAGTATGAAGCACACATGATTCTTGCGCCCTAACCCAACCAGGTCTTATGCTCGATTCCTGTTCATCCCTCCTTCAGTCTATGGCATCGGACAACCTGCTCCGGTCCGCGACCTCCCACAAGCCCTCAGTCTGGTGTCCGGCGGTCGAGACAAACTGGTCTTTGTCAACAGCGGCTATTCCGATGGTGCAATTCAATCCGTGATCAATCGAGTCGTTGACGATGTTGGGTCTGCTGGGGCGAAAGTTGAAATACTATCACAAGAGGAGGACCTTTTAACAACTTGCAGAAACTCCATACGGGGGACATCTACGTGCATAGCGGGGGCTGTGTTCTTTTCCTCCCCGTTGGAAGGCGACGCAGGCCGTTGGAACTACTCAATCCGAGCAGATGGCGGGCTGGAGACCAAGATTGTGACCGATTCGTCCAAGAACGATGTTGAAGTCTACTTACTCCCTTTTCAGCATGCCATTGATCGTGCCATCTCCCAAGTCGAGGCGGGCTCCAATGGTTCAACACTGCTACCAGAGGCAGTCCAAGAGTATCCTTACACCTCCATAACGAAAGAACAGCGACTGCAACAGATCCGGACCAGATACATGGGAGGCATCATCGACATACTTGCGGTAGCTTTTTTCATAGGCATGGTCGGAGTCACCTATCAACTGACTGGGCTTGTCGCAGCTGAGAGGGAGAATGGTATGGCACAGTTGATCGACTGCATGATGCCGAACCTGAAAAGATGGCAACCACAAATGGCAAGGATCCTTGCAAATCACATCGCATTTGATCTGCTCTACGGCCCCGGCTGGATCATAATGGCTATAATCCTCAGCGTAGGTGTATTCAGCAAGACATCCCCTGCCATTGTCATCATATTTAATCTGCTATCCGGTCTGGCCATGTCATCTCTCTCCCTGTTTGGAGCCGCGTTCTTCAAAAAGGCACAGCTCAGTGGTATCACCTCGGTCATTGTAAGCTTGCTTTTGGCCATCATTGCTCAGGTCGCTGGCAAGGCGGGGACAGCATCGGTTGCGATACTTTCATTACTCTTTCCACCAATGAATTTCGTCTACTTCACTATTTTCATGGCTCGATATGAGAGACAGGATCGGGGGACAAACCTTGTGAGATCGGCTCCAGAAAATACTTCCTCCCTACCAGGCATCGCCCTTTGGATCTTTTCTGTTGTACATATCGTGGTCTTTCCCATTCTTGGTGCATACATTGAGCGGGCGCTTTACGGCACAGCCTCAAAGAGCCGCAAAACGACCTCCGCGGAAAGTGTAAACGCCATTTCGCTTGTAAACTTTACAAAGAAGTATCCTCCATCGATGCTCGCCAACTTACGCTCGGTGTTCACACGGAAACATCCAGCCACTGTCCTGGCTGTGGACAATCTGAGTTTCAATGCCGCTCGAGGTCAGATCATGGTTCTTTTGGGAGCAAATGGCAGCGGCAAGTCAACGACTCTTGACGCCATTGCCGGTCTACATTCTATCACGTCTGGTGAAATTATAGTCGATTACCCTGAAGCAAACACAGGCTTAGGTTTGTGCCCGCAAAAGAACGTTTTGTGGGATGACTTGACAGTGGAAGAGCATGTCCGAATCTTCAATCGACTTAAGAGCAGTCAGCCGGCTTCCAAGGACGAGAATATGATGCTACTGGGGTCCTGCGACATCTTGGCCAAAGCCAAGTCCCGATCAAAAACGCTCTCAGGAGGGCAAAAGCGCAAACTTCAATTGGCCATGATGTTCACTGGCGGATCAAAAGTTTGCTGTGTGGACGAAGTTTCCTCGGGCCTAGATCCCCTGTCACGACGCAAGATCTGGGATATCCTGCTTGCTGAGCGTGGTGCGCGGTCCATCATCTTCACAACGCATTTCCTGGACGAGGCAGAGCTACTCGCCGACAATATCGCCATCCTTTCGAGAGGTGTGTTGAAAGCGTTGGGGACGTCGGTCGAACTGAAGAACAAATTGGGGGCTGGCTACCGAGTCCACGTCTACCATAACCATGGAGCACAGCATGTTCCCTCATATCAGGATATCGATCAAGTTCGTCGTGATGACCAGACCATATACTCCTTGACCGACTCAGCAAAAGCTGCAGAATTTCTGGGTCGAATTGACAGTGCCGGGATCACCGAATATCAAGTCAGTGGTCCCACCATCGAAGACGTCTTCCTGAAGGTCGCGGAAGAAGCCAACGTCAAAGAAACTCCTCCCAAGAAGTTTGACTTGGACGACAAGCTTCATGAGACTGGTAGTCATGGTAACAGCGAGGCTGATCCAGCAAAGGCCGCCCAAGTGGTCCTGGTGCAAGACCAGTCGTTCCCCGATGTTCCACAACTATTGGACGGACGCCGAATCAGCATGACCCGGCAAGCCATGGTTCTTTTCTACAAAAGATCGGTGGTCCTACGTCGGAATACCCTACCGTATCTTGCGGCACTGCTTATCCCGATCATTGCCGCTGGCCTTGTGACACTCTTCCTCAAGCACTTCCAAAGGGCAGAATGTACTCCAGCCTCCACGGCCTATGCGTCCGACATAGTGTCATTGTCAACACAATTTGACTACGAGCTCGTTGCAGGCCCACGAAATCGTTTGGGAGAAAATGCTTTGGAACGACTAGCCTCCACATTCCTTGGAAGCAATGACAATGGTGGGGTTGCGGCGAATACCACGAAGTTGCTCAACTCACTGCATATTGTTGACACTCTTGACGAGTTCAATGGCTATATCCAGACCAACTTTGCCAATGTCACTCCAGGTGGCTTCTTCTTGGGAGATGACACCACGCCGCCCGTTTTTGCATGGCAGGGAGATGGCGACATCGCGTTCGCAGTCATCGTCCAGAATGCACTTGACGTACTCTTGAGCAACGTTTCCATCTCAAATCAGTACCAGGCATTCGACGAGCCCTGGGGTGCAAGCGTGGGCAGTGCCTTGCAACTTGTCACCTATTTTGGCTTGGCAATGGCTGTTTATCCCGCATTTTTCGCCCTGTACCCTACAATCGAGCGGCTTCGCAATGTCCGAGGCTTGCATTACAGTAATGGGGTTCGGTCGGCACCTCTCTGGCTTGCCTATACTGCATTCGACTTCATCATCGTTGTCATCATCAGCGCCGTTGCTATCATCATTTTCCGAGCGGTATCAGACGTATGGTACCATATTGAGTATGTCTTTGTGGTGTTCTGTTTGTACGGCTTAGCGTCGACGTTGCTGTCCTATGTCATCTCGCTATTCTCGAGGTCGCAACTCGCAGCATTTGCATTTGCTGCTGGCGGTCAAGCAGTTATGTTCTTGCTTTACTTCATTGCATATATGTCCGTCCTCACATACTCACCGATTGAGAAGATTGACAGCTATGTCAACATCTGTCATTTCACAATCGCAGCGATATCTCCTGTCGCCAACCTCACCAGGGCACTCTTCGTCACCTTGAACATATTCTCGATTACCTGCAGAGATCGACAATTCGCATCTTATCCTGGGTCAACGACTACATTTGGAGGTCCCATTCTGTACCTCATCCTGCAGTCTTTCTTCTTGTTCGGCTTGCTCCTCTGGTGGGATTCTGGTCCGCTTCTCCGTCGCTGGCGAGGCAAGCAGCAACAAGACGACGCCGAAGAGAGGGACACAGTCGAAGCTGAAGGTTCAAAGGAGCTGACCAGGGTCGATGCTTCGCATGATGGCCTGAGAGTGCTTCACCTGACCAAGCATTTTGGTAAGAATATTGCAGTTGACAATGTCACTTTTGGCGTGCCGAGAAGCGAGGTGTTTGCATTACTAGGTCCCAATGGTGCTGGGAAATCGACCACGATATCACTGATTCGAGGGGATATTCAGCCCAGTCGTCGTGGCGGAGATATCCTGGTTGATGATATCTCAGTCATAAAACATCGAGCTCAAGCCAGGTCGCGTCTGGGTGTTTGTCCGCAGTTCGATGCCATGGACACGATGACGGTCGCGGAGCATCTTTACCTTTACGCAAAGGTCCGTGGTGTGAGCGATCCCCGGCATAATGTGGACGCCGTCATGCGTGCAGTCGGACTTGAGCAATACGCTGATCGAATGGCTGGCAAATTGTCTGGAGGCAACAAGCGTAAATTGTCCCTAGGCGTTGCGCTCATGGGCAATCCTAGCGTCCTCTTACTCGACGAACCATCGTCAGGAATGGATGCGGCAAGCAAACGCGTCATGTGGCGGACCCTCGAATCGGTAATCCCTGGACGTTCGCTCGTCCTTACAACTCATTCGATGGAAGAGGCCGACGCATTAGCAACCCGGGCTGGTATTATGGCAGGAAAGATGCTGGCGCTAGGGACGACCGATGATCTCCGCCGCAAACACGGAGATGCGTACTATGTGCATCTAGTGCACCAGCACGCACCACATGCATCCGACAGCGATATGCAGCGTATCCGCAATTGGATTGCAAGCACATTTGCAAGGGCCGATATCGAGAGCAAGATCTACGCCGGGCAGATCAGGTTTTCGGTGCCTGCATCTGGGTTTGGTGGTTACGATGACGAGATCAGCCGCGCATCAGGGATATCGACGTTGTTCACAGCTCTGGAGAAGAATAAAACTGGGCTGCAGATCGAACACTACAGTGTCAGTCGAGCGACGTTGGATCAAGTCTTTCTCAGCATTGTCGGCAAGCATAACGTTGCCGAAGAAGGTGCAGAAGCAGCTTCTACAGCGCATGCCGAGTCTGGTAAGCGATTTGGGCGACTGAGCACACTCGTGTTGAAGAAGTGATTGTGTTGCTCCGAGATATATGGTCTGAGAGCAAGCCTTATGTATATATATGTATGAAGCGTAATGATGATTGATGAACTGGACGACCGGACAAGGAACACACTGATCCAGCTCGCCAGTACTTGAAAACTGCCTAAATCCAGGAGACTTGGCGAGCATCTGGTGCCTGATCTACCTCCACACAGCTCAATATTTCCCCCACAAACCACAAGTACGAAGAAGATGTCTGCTCGAACACATGCAACTCGTGGGCATTCGAGAGCAGATCATCGAGGCTTTGGAGATGGACGCATCTTACAATCAGCGGGGAATCGTGAGGTGAGCTTTGCAACCAGGAATAGGGGCAGCAGTGGCATGATTAATAATGCACTTGTTCGTACAAGGACGAAGAGGGTAAGTCAATAAGCAGCCGATGCCAGTCACATCTGATGCAGGTTTGAGTCACAAAAAGAAGGGTCTCGACGGATCATCCCACTTGAGTCACTGACCGCCACAACCCTGACACCACCTCACGGAAAGGTCCAACCTGAAGTCGAGTGGAAGTACTCTGCAAGAATGTGACGACTTCTCGATTACGTCCAGCGCGTCGATGACTCCTATTATGCAGCAGTAGGGTTGACAAGTTCAATCGACCCCAATATTGGCCGGTCCTTGCAATATCTCTGTTGATGATCAGTATGAGAGCCATTTCACTAAGGGCGCCAACCCCACCGTACGAGATAGCCGACAATCTGCGGGAACCCCATTGACCCAGCGAGGACATGCCCGTCCGGCCTTGGCCCTTGGGAGTCATCGCCTTGTTTAGCCGGCGTCTTGGGCTTTGAGTTGTATCTGCCGCACCCCCGGGAGAGAAGCACCCTGCATTACGGTCCCCCACCAGTGGCCTCGGTTTTGACGGTCGATGGAAGACATCCACTTTGCCAAACGTCGCTAACTTTCGTACAATTCTTTCTTTCCTTTTTTGCTTTCTAAAAAGCTAAGTTGCCTAACGGTGTTTATCAGCCATACTACCATGTTTTGCGCGCCTCGAAAAGTCCTTTGCTGTTTGTCCCTTTTCTTTCTCCCCAGCACTCTCGTGGTTGCTGCATCTGCTCGCTGAAGTCAACACAGTCCAGAGTACGCTCCGGGAGGTGGTTTTGTGGGGGAAGGAGCCCCAGGTTGGTGGGGTCTGCCCGGAACGTTTTCCGTAAACAATGTCGTTCGCATCGTATGGCATATTGGGCCTGCACGAACATGGCTCTACAATGAGCCAGCATGGTCAGGAGACCATGTCTCCATCTCATCCCGACGCCATAGGACAACGTCAAGCTCAAGATCGGGAGACGCGCTCTGAGAGGACCAGAACAGCAGACTCGTATGGCCTGGAAAGAACGACCTCAGGCGTTGACGTTGAGCGAGCCGAGAAAGATTTCGCAGAATTGAGCAGAGAGTTCAGTTCCATCAGTCGTCGCATGTCAAGGCCTCAATCGAGAGCCTCTGCCGCCAAAGTAAAGGATGTGGAGAAGGCGATCAGCTCGTCCGACTACACTTTGGAGGAAGGGTTCGATCTCGAAGCTACACTGCGTGGAAACCGTGAGGCCGACCATGCTGCCGGTATCAAGGCCAAATACATTGGCGTCATCTGGGACAAACTTGCGGTACGCGGCATTGGTGGCGTCAAAAATTTCGTCAAGGTCTTTCCTCAGTCATTTGTCGATTTCTTCAATGTTCCCGGCACAATAATGTCCATTCTGGGATACGGCAAGAAAGGCAGAGAGTTCAACATTCTGAATGGTTTTCACGGCGTGGCAAAGCCTGGAGAAATGGTACTCGTCCTGGGTCGACCTGGGAGTGGATGCACAACATTCCTCAAAGTTATTGCAAATCAACGATTCGGGTATACTGGCATTGATGGTGAAGTGCTCTATGGCCCTTTCGATGCTTCGACCTTCGAAAAGCAATACCGCGGTGAAGCAGTCTACAACCAGGAAGATGATGTCCATCATCCAACCCTCACGGTCGGCCAGACACTTGGTTTCGCGCTCGACACCAAGACTCCGGGAAAGCGACCGGAAGGAATGAGCAAAGCCGAGTTCAAAGATAAAGTTATCCGGCTTCTCCTGAAAATGTTCAACATCGAGCATACCATCAACACTATCGTCGGCAATCCCTTCATGCGCGGCGTGTCCGGGGGTGAGCGAAAGCGAGTGTCTATCGCTGAAATGATGATCACAGCAGCAACTGTGTGTGCATGGGACAACAGTACTCGTGGATTGGACGCTTCTACAGCATTGGACTATGCCAAATCTCTTCGAATCATGACCAACATCTACAAAACAACCACATTCGTCTCGTTATACCAAGCCTCCGAGAACATTTACAAGCAGTTCGACAAGGTGATGGTGATTGACCAAGGTCGACAGGTCTTCTTTGGACCTGCCAAAGAAGCCAGATCATATTTCGAGGGACTGGGATTCTTGGAAAAGCCTCGTCAAACCACCCCGGATTATCTCACAGGATGTACCGATGAATTTGAGCGAGAGTACCGAGAGGGTCGGTCCTCCGAAAATGTACCGTCAACACCAGATGCCCTTGTGGCAGCGTTCAACAAGTCGGTCTACTCGGAAAGACTGCGCAAAGAAATGGACGACTACCGAATATCAATTGAAAAAGACAAGCAGATCTACGATGACTTTGCGGCTGCCCACCGAGAAGCCAAGCGAAAACACACCTCGAAGGACTCGGTCTACTCCGTTCCCTTTCACCAACAGATCTGGTCTCTCATGCAGCGACAATTCTTGATAAAGTGGCAGGATAAATTTTCGCTCGTCACCTCCTGGATCACTTCGATAGTCATTGCCATTGTTGTCGGAACAGTGTGGTTGAACCAACCCAAGACTTCGGCTGGCGCTTTCACCCGTGGAGGTGTCCTGTTTATTTCCCTGCTGTTCAACGCTTTCCAGGCCTTTTCAGAACTTCCATCCACGATGCTTGGCCGACCTATCGTCAATAAACATCGAGCATACACTTTCCATCGACCGGGAGCATTATGGTTGGCGCAAATCCTTGTCGACCTTGCATTCTCCTCGGTTCAGATCTTCGTCTTCAGCGTCATCGTATATTTCATGACCGGTCTGTCACGTTCGGCTGGAGCCTTCTTCGTCTACGTGTTAATCATCATTTCGACGTACCTATGCATGACGCTGTTTTTCCGCACGATTGGCTGTTTATGTCCGGACTTCGACTACGCTATCAAATTCGCGGCGACAGTGATCACTCTCTTTGTCATCACCTCAGGCTATATCATCCAGTACCAGAGCCAACAGGTATGGCTGCGATGGATCTTCTACATCAATACACTTGGCCTGGGCTTTTCAGCCATGATGATGAACGAGTTCAAACGGTTGACCATGCAATGCGAGGGCACGTCTCTGATACCGAACGGGTCGGGGTACACTAATATCAACAACCAAGTCTGCACATTGCCAGGATCTAAAGCCGGTTCGGACCAGGTCTCGGGATCAGACTACGTCAAGACGGGGTTCTCATATGACCCCAAGGACCTATGGCGGAACTGGGGCATCATCATCGTGCTCTGTGTGGTCTTCCTGATTACCAACGTCACATTGGGCGAGACGATCAAGTACGGCGCCGGAGGTCGGACAGTGACATACTTCGCCAAAGAGAACAAGGAGCGCAAAGAGCTGAATCAAAAATTGCAAGATCGAAAACGCAGGAGACAAACGAAGCAAGACGCCGAAGACAGCTCCGAGCTCAACATCACCTCCAAAGCAGTCCTGACCTGGGAGAGTCTCACTTACGATGTGCCGACGGCTTCGGGTCAAAAACGCCTCCTCAAAGACGTATTCGGATACGTACGACCAGGCCAACTCACAGCCCTGATGGGTGCCAGTGGTGCCGGCAAAACCACCCTTCTCGACGTCCTCGCGGCGCGCAAGAACATCGGCGTGATAGGCGGCGACATCCTCGTCGACGGACAAAAACCCGGCATTGGATTCCAACGAGGCACATCTTACGCCGAACAACTCGACGTCCACGAGTCGACACAAACTGTGCGTGAAGCCTTGCGGTTCTCAGCCGACCTCCGGCAACCCTACGATGTGCCCCGCGAGCACAAGTACGCTTACGTCGAAGAGATTTTGTGTTTGCTTGAACTCGAGAACCTCGCCGACGCCATCATCGGCAGTCCCGAGAGTGGGCTTTCCGTCGAAGAGCGTAAACGCGTGACAATCGGCGTCGAACTCGCTGCCAAACCTCAACTGCTTCTCTTTCTCGACGAACCAACTTCAGGTCTCGACTCACAATCCGCGTTCAACATCGTGCGGTTCTTACGTAAACTTGCAGCCGCGGGACAAGCCATCTTATGTACCATCCACCAGCCTAATAGCGCTTTGTTCGAGAACTTCGATCGCCTACTATTGCTCCAAAAGGGCGGCGAGACAGTGTATTTCGGCGACATTGGCAAAGACGCACACGTTTTGCTTGGATATTTTTCCCGTCACGGCGCCGAGTGTCCCGCCGACGCGAATCCCGCGGAATGGATGCTCGATGCCATCGGCGCCGGGATAGCGCCTCGTATTGGAGACATCGACTGGGGCGAGATATGGCGGTCGAGCGACGAATTAGCGACAGTCAAATCCGAGATCATCGCTATGAAAGAAGAACGTCTTCGCCAACACGCCGACAGTCAAGAAGGACTTGGGGAGCAAGAATACGCAAGTCCGCTATGGCACCAGGTCAAGTGCGTGAGCTGGCGCACACATTTAGCCTTTTGGCGCAGTCCGAACTACGGCTTCACACGACTTTTCAACCACGTCATCGTTGCGCTCTTGACTGGTCTGGACTTTTTACAGCTCGACGACAGTCGGTCGTCCCTGCAATATCGAGTATTCGTGGTGTTTCAAGTCACCGTCATTCCGGCCTTGATTCTCGCCCAAGTCGAGCCAATGTACGATATGAGCCGGCTGATTTTCTACCGCGAGAGCGCGGCGAAAGCGTACAGTCAATTTCCCTTTGCGTTTGCCATGGTCTGCGCCGAGATGCCGTACAGTCTACTTTGCGCCGTGTTCTTTTTCATACCGGTATATTATTTGCCGGGCTTCAATCCGTCAAGCAGTCGAGCGGGATATCAGTTCTTCATGATCTTGATCACCGAGTTGTTCAGTGTCACGGCAGGACAGATGATTGCCGCGCTTACACCGTCGAGCTTCATTTCTAGCTTGATCAACCCCTTCGTGGTGATTATCTTTGCGCTTTTCTGTGGCGTGACGATTCCGAAACCGCAGATCCCCAAGTTCTGGAAGGCTTGGTTGTATCAGCTTGATCCGTTCACGCGGCTTGTGTCAGGTATGGTGACCACGGAGTTACATGACTTGCCTGTGGTTTGCAAGACGCATGAATTGAATTCTTTCCCTGCTCCGAGTGGACAGGACTGTGGGAAGTACATGGCGGATTTCTTTGATAGGGGTGGTGCGGGATACCTCGTCAGCAATGTCAGCGACGTGTGTCAGTACTGCGCTTATAAGGTTGGAGATCAGTTCTATGAGCCCTTGTTGTTGAGCTTTGACACGAGATGGCGGGATCTCGGGATCTTTGCGGCTTTCATCGCGAGTAACCTCATCCTTTTGTTTGTGGGGTCGAGGTATTTGAACTTCAATAGACGGTAAATTTTGGTGGAAGAGATGAGATGGATATCCGGAGAAAACGTTTTTCAAAAGATGGGCAGTGGATGGAGAGAAAAGTCTAGCGAAGCGTGCAGGTAGCCGAATGTCATATATAGCTACCATTTAACTCATACCATGCTAAGCTTTTCTTATTATTCTCAAGTCACGTTGGGTCGTCTTCTGCTCGACCTGTTTCTTAGATGCATCATACCGTGCCATGATGCTCAGATCGTCTGATTTTCGGTGGGACGGGGCCATGTCCAACTCGCTCAGTCTTACGCGACAGTTGACCAGTTTGTCGATGTGCCCGTGCCCATCTCAAATTCAAGCACATTGATCGACCATGCCGGCACCGCCCAGGTGAAGGTCGTCTGACCAGCTGAGACCGCCGGCAGATTCGTCATAGGCGCGGGAGAGACCGCGGTGGCATTGTCGAGATAATTGAATGCTCCAAGGTCGGGATGTGTCTGATGAGAGTCAGTGTTAGCATTCTTTTCTTCCAGGTCGGCGTTGCCGAAAGCGCCCAGATCTCAGGTCACGCCCAGGTACTTGTTCACTCACCAGAATCGTCCCATTGACGGCAGTGAACGTCCTATCGAAGTCAACAGTCAACGGCACGCTACTGTTCCCCGAGTTGATGACCTTGAAGTACACCACTCCGTCGCCCTGCTCGGCTGTGGCAACCCACCACAGCGGATCGAATGTTCCCTGAACTGTAGTGATAGGCAATGTCTCGGCTCCTCGATGCAACGCGAACATCTGCTCCATGTAGTAACTCGCGCTCAGTACCGTTTGGTCATAATCTGCCGTGAATGCGACCAAATCGGGCGTCCAATTCTGCCAGTTCAGGTTGAGCAAGCTAGGCGCGTACGACGACATTTTGACGACGTTGGGATTACGTTCCGCGCCGAGAAGGTATACGCCTTCGCCGATGGCGGCCATCAGGGTCGGAAAGAAGATGTGTTCACCAAGTGGCATTGAGAAGTTGACCACTCCGTCTGGGGTATCGATTTGGAAGACCGAGTACTCGCCGACGAAGATGGTCACTCCCTCGTTGTTGGTGGCTTCTTGCCAGTTGTCCCAGTAGTCGAAACTCTCTAGGAAAAAAGATGGCTCTTCGTAGTGGTGCGTGTCCCACATGCCGCCGGCTGGAATAGAGATGTTGTAGTTGGCATTCTCGTTGTACGCGGTCGAAATGAGAGTAATGTTTGGGTATGCTTGCTTAATGCCATTGTACAATATCGGGAAGCGGTATGGGTATGTTGAGCTGAACCAGTCTTCGTTGCCGATTTCGACGTAGTTCAACGAGAAGGGTTCGGGATGGCCATAAGACGCACGGAGTGCACCATAAGGCGTGCTGATGTCGCCTGTGACAAACTCCAGCTCGTTGAGAATGTCTTGCAGGACATCGCCCATGCGGTCTTCAGGGAAGGAGACACCATCTTGGCCCCAGATGTCAAGCGAGTAGCCAGCATAAACGGCGAGCACTGGTTCAATGCCGCCGTCTTCGCAGAATTGGAGATACTCCATAAGACCCAGACCGTTGGTATTCGTATATCCCCAATCACCGACTCGGCCTCTTCGATAACGCAGCGGACCAATGGTTTCGTTCCATTTCCAGCGTTGCTCGATACTGTAGCCCTCCAGGTTATTACCACCAGGGAAGCGGAGGACTTTTGTGCCGAGGTCGACAATGGCCTGCCCAAGGTCCCGCCGTATCCCATTCGGACGGTCATGAAACGTCTCTGGGAACAGACTGACAAGGTCGAAGTAGTACGTATTCCCAGCAACTTCGCTTGCGTCGAAAGTGATAGCGAATGTGTTGTTTGAGTTAGGGGCTCTCACTGTGTTCTCCAATTGGGCTGAATATTGAGTCCACTCGAAACTTGATATGTTGGTTCCATTGCTGAACGGTATGCTTGTAGTCGCCCATATATCACTTGTCAGGTTTGATCTCAACGACAGATCGATGTGCGACAGAGAACCGTTGTTGCGTGGCTTGTCAGACAAGATGTAGAACGAAGCATTGTACGTCCCAGGTCGGACATCAATTCCCCACCAGCCCTCGTTAAGGATGCCGACCTCGCCGGTCGCGTTGAATGGTATGTCCACCTGCAAAGCCACCCGTAGGGCGTCTGATAATGGGTGCAGCAAGGTCAAACTCAGGTCAACGCTACCGATGCCTTGCCAACCAGTGATGACCGGGCCCCAAGGGAGTATTGGATTCTCGGAGGACACGACACTGCTGCCAGGAACGCCTGGTAAAGCGCCGATGGTTGCTCCTGAGCCTTGGAAGGCACGGTTTACCAGTGCTTCGCCATATATGCCACCGTCCCCTGAGTGCGAGATGTCCTCATGCATCCTATGTCACTCAGATTGATGGTGCTTCCGAGGAAATTGACTCACCAGCCATATAGTAGGGGCGCAGTTTGATTCCTGCCTCCGGCTTTCAGAGACACACTGACTTCAACCGGAGTAGGTGTGCTATTGTATTGGGTTATGTTGATAAAGTCGAAAGATTGTCTTTTGTTAGTCCTCACCACGCCTCGGGCCCAGGAGGACGTGGTGAGTTGGAGCACTCCTACCAGCACCGTCAATGACAACATGGCGGATGTTTGTCCAATGTCTGCCAGACTCACCTCATGGTACGCATCCTTTTATACTCAGCACGACTGTGAATACATTCTTCCTGTTCTAGTTAGAATCCGGTGGGCGTGGAGACGCCTGCAGATGATCTGCAAGAGTATGATCTGGGGTGCGGAGGAGAAGGGGATTAAGCCAGTGAATGAGACTTGAACAGGTTTTTCACATCTCCACTCACTGCTGTGTTCCTGCGCTATGCATGCAATACGGACAATGGCTCGTTAAGGAAGCTGGAAATATTGTAGGAGCGAAGACCTGCATTGGTCGCGAGGAGTTGTTTCAATGACGAGGATTTCGGTCGATCATCGGCAGTGACTACAGACCGCAGCCTTCATGGGGGTGGCAGACATGACGAGTTTCTATCTGATACACTGCCAGAATATACAACAAACCCTAGCCAAACCACAATGAACAAAGAAAGAATACCTGTCATCAGACAGCCTCAGCAATCCGTTTAGCATTCTCGTCCTGGTCTTGCTTCCCCCGTCCCATATTCGAAAGATTTCTGGTTTCACCCCAGGACCTTATCCGTGCTCCCACTTCTCCAGTCGGATAGTTGACGGGGCTCTCTCCGCCGATAAAAACAAAAGCATCATAGCATAAGGCGCCAAAAAGAGCCCCAGTAATAGTTCCCAACCATGGGCCCCAGACCCACCAGGCGCCTTTCATTGTGAAGACTTCGCTACCAAACCCGGCAGCCAACGTTATAAGCCTAGGACCCAAATCCCGAGCAGGATTGAGAGCAGTGCCGGTGTTGTATGAGAACGCCATTTGCAGGGCGATAATAAGCAAACCAACGATAAAGGCGCTCATACCAGCTCCTGGTGGCGAGTTGTCGCTGTCTCCGAGCGCTAGGACCGAGCCTGATGCGATTGCGGTGGCTGTGAACTCGGTGAAAAAGGCGGAAGCGTTGCTCAATCCTGTGCGAGGTTGTGTCCAGAAGGCCGGACCGAGTTTCTCGGCTTTGGAAGCCTGATATTCCTCAATCGTATCTTTGTACAGCCCGTACACAATCCCGGAAGCTGCTATGGATCCGAGCAATTGCGCAACGATGAACTGCCAGCACTGTGACCATGGAAAGCCTCGATAGACCGACAGCATGATGGAGATGGCAGGATTCAGGTGACCACCAGACACTCCGCCTGCAATATAAATCCCGATCATCACACCAATCCCCCAAGCAAGGTAGGCTGTCAGCAGATTTCCATAGTCGTCAGCAGCCGCTGTACGGACGACACTTGCACAAAGACCTATGGTCATGAAGACCACGGTTCCGAGGAACTCGGCGAATGGCTTACGAATCTTGCGGCGAAACCTACCCCAGGCGTTGAAGTCTTCCGGCTCCTTGTGCTCGGCTTCATCTGTAGACTCGTGCTTTTCATCATGCGTCTCATTGATGTCTTCCCAGTCGATGTTTTGTGGATCGTCGTGCGGGCCCAGCTCAGGCTCTGCCGTGTCCGCATAAGACTGCAAAAGCCTCCGAGCACGGTCAACTTCGGACTCAATTGTGAGGGAAGGTTGCCGTCCATCGGCTGAGTTTTCCGTCTTTTTTCGGGCGGCAGCTTGGCCAGTTGACCTTGATGGAAGCCTTTGAAGGTCGGCACCTAAAGCGTTGCTTGGTCGAGTTGTCTGTGACGGAGTCTTTTCTGAGGCTGCCTGGTCTTGCGCACTGATGTGCTCAACTGCCAACTCTTGACTCCGACGACTTTCTCTTTCGCTGACGGCATCTTCCGGTCGTAAGGTTGAGTATTTGTCAAGTCCTTCGTGTAGTGTTGATGGATGTGCCGTCGTCGCGCGTCGTAGGATGTCACCCCTTCTAGCTGCAGCCTCCTTTCCGCCGTCTTGTGGTTGTCTGTGCTCCTCATGCCTATCAGGAGTCACCTCAACCTGGGGGGCTGGCTGAGTCCCTACTGGCCCAGACGGTTGTCTTGATACCTCACTTGTGGACTCCCGGAGAGTTCGAATCGTGTCGGCTGAGGCTTCCCTCTGTTGATTTGTGCTTCGACGGTCCATTCGAGCGCGCCTAACGCGTGGAAAGGGAGCGGCCAGACCCCAGATGGGTTTATCAGAAGAACTCCGTTCATCGCGTGTGCTTGAGTTTCGATGTCTTCGAGTGGTAACGCTGCTGCCATCGTGAGTGCTGGTACCGGTTGTAAATCTCCCAAGCTGACTTGGTGGAGGTCCGGCGAGGGAATAGGGTGAGCTCTGCACTCTGGTTGCTGATGTTTGCCGATTGGGCTGTTGGTCACGCGACCGTGTTTGGGACATGATGAATGATGGATTCTTTCTTCGATATGATAGTACAAATGTGCCCGAGGAACGAAGTGGCAAGGCGAGACTCTTCTCAAGTAATGTATGATGGGCAATATACAGAATGAAAAGTAGAAGAAAGTGAAGAACACAAGGAAAAATTCCAATGATGGACTGTTGTTACATGAGACACTCAACTCACAGGGTCCTTCGCGCCTTCATGGAGTATTGCATTTCATCGTCGGACGGCAAAGGCGAAGGAAGCGATTCCCGTCGCGGGAGGCATATTCAGCATTGAAAGCAGTAACGATTGTCAGGGAAATCTGCAAGGCTGTACATGAAGGTTCCTTAAAAGGTTCAAGAGTGAGAAAGAAACATTGAAAATGATGGAAAGCGCCGGCAATAAACCTCCGCAAGCGACGTCATTGGTCGTCAGCAACAATAGACTCATCCGTCCAATCAATAAATAGCAAAGACCGAGTCAGCAGAAGACCAATATTTCTGTAGCGCGAGTCATCAGCATAGTCACGTGTATGGAGGTTACTATCAAGTGAAAAGGACTACTATTGATGAGACCACATAAGTACATAGAATCACCACAATCTATTCTATCATGCCCGCTTGCTTTTGTCTGTCATGACTTCATCACCTCATCAGATCTGGAACACTGGTAACGGATTGAAAAAGGTTCAACCCTCAATACATCTTTGAAACAGCAGGGTTGCCAGTGTTGAGCGAAAGTGCAATAGCATACATGGCTCGGACTCGCTTGCTGCCATCACCTTGGAACCAGCCCATGTTCGTATCTCCGTGGAAGACCGCATATTTGCCGTCCTTGGTAACATCAAACCCTCCCGGGATGTATACGTCGGCTGCCGTGGCACCAGTGTCCAAGAATGAGTCAGCCGCTTTTTTGTAGGGACCGGTAATGCTTGTGCTCGTTGCATAGCGAATGTTGTATGCAGTAGTGACAAAGCATTCTGAGCTATAGAGTAGAACATATAGTCCCGAGGAAGAGTCGTAGGTCAATGCTGGAGCCTCAATGTTGGGTCCATCACTGTCATCATTCTCCAAAATGGTCACTGGGTCGCCAGTGAAAGTGTATCCGTCGGTAGGACTGACTTCCTGAAGAATGAGTGGTGTCGGTGTAATGGGAGCGACCGTGTTGGAGCACGCTCCTCCATGTCCTTTGGAGTTGCCATCGACCTTGTAGACGATGTACTGTCGTTGAGTGACAGGATCGAGAAAGCCGTCTGCATCAATTGCTCCTCCAGCGGTCAGGTCACAGAATAGTGGTGCGGACCCAACAGGTGTGAATGGACCCTGTGGACCGGAAGCAGTGGCTGCTGCAACACAATGCTGTCCTGGACTTGATGCCGTGGCGACCGAGTAGTATAGCACAAAATTGCCGTTTGCCTATCAATCAACGTTAACTGTCCCGTCTGACACAAAAATAGAACACAGCCTGCAAGACAAGCAGCTCGCTTACGTACCAATTGAACGACATCGGGAGCCCAAACGTGACCAGGAGAGGCTGCCCACGATGGCAGAGTCGGGAATGCATCGTAGCCATCATGAACAACCCACGTTGCGAAATCCGCCGAGGTCGCCGTGAGGACGTTGATGTTCGCAGGGTTTTGATTAACCCCGGCGTATGCTATCCAAGTGCCATCGTCCAATTGGAGTACTGCAGGGTCTTGGAAGTTGGTACCAATGACAGGGCTGCTCGACTGTCGCTTATGCAGAGGAGCAGCCAGAGCCACTGCCAGGCCAGACAGAAATACGAGGGATGCCAGCAGCATTACGAGCAGGGTCCGACGAGAAGATGCAAAGAAGGAAGAAGGATTGGGTTCCTCAATCCATTTGATATCTTCCTCATCAGCCAGCAGCAGGCGGCTTTCAGGGTATTTGTTTGCTGTCATATTGTTCGTGGGCTGAGCGATCTGAGCTCCGGTGATGATGCTGATGGCTCAGCTGACGGGCTGGGGTTTTCGAAGTCAAGCTGGGCCTCCCGTGAAGATGGACGCCATAATGTCTGCAAAACATGCCATAAAAGCCTATCATCATTGGCCGATTGGGCTGAAAAGAGAAGACAACGACAAACCAGGGACTTGCATTTGAAACCCACATGAGATAGCGTCAAAAACAAGCTCTATGAGAAAGCTGTTGATGGTTGTCAAAATGCTGCATACCAGCCGTGGAATGATGCCTGGTGGACCAAGCGAGGTCTGAGACAATCGAATGGATCCATCTTCTCAGAGGGGTAGCCAATCTTGGCCCGGGCGCAAGCTGAATGATCCCGTAAATGGCATGCGCAGGGTCTTTCGGAAGAGTGTAAACGAGTGTAAGTTGAGGGGTTGGCTGGAGCTTCCACTTGGTGTTTGTTTCTCGTTAGGCCAAAAAAAGAATTTACTTGAATGGTGGGCACGGGTCGGTTGCTTACCTTGGTATAGCCTAAATTCCCTATAATCATGTGCCTTTGATGCCTAACACTTGACTGGCTCCAGGCACTCGGTAAGCTTACCTTATGGTTCAAAGTCGAAGTCCATCTCTCCTTCTTCATACTGTAGAATAGCACTTTTGCAATTGCCTGACTCACTATTCCGTACTCCGTATTACCGCAGAAGATGTGTCTCTTCACAGACCACAGCATCGGATTTTCGATTGGCAGTATCTGGCATGTGCACTCTCAAGGTTTTTCAAGATCCGACCTCTGGTTGATAGGTGGATCCATATTGGACAATGGCTTCATACTTGCCTTTTTGAAGATCCAACTACCGATGTCAATGCGAAAGACCTGACCCATCTCTCTTACCTTCATACTCTGCTGTTTAAACTCTCAAGTCGATGAAGGCTCCCAAGTGCTCCACTGTTACAAAGTCTGCATAGGGTCGCAGATAGTGCGGCATTTGGGTCACACGACGCAATGGCGCAATTTGTGGAAGGTATGGGCAAGAGCAGGACATGAAGCATTGCAGTAAGTCAGAGTTTCTGCCGATAACAACATAGTGCAGATCTAGATGTCTATTCGTGCTGGGGGCCAAGATCAAACAAGCAATCTCAGAGCCTTGCAGATCTTGTGAATATCTTGACCATCCTATTTGTTGTCATGCCATACAGGATCTCAAGCTTTCAAGACGCCTGTCATGACGTGCTTGGGCGAAGTTCTCGTGTCAGCATCAGCGAACGAATTCAACGACATCCCTCGCCGATGTAGCCAATGATGTCCCTAAGCATCATTTCGTTGATTGCAAAGCATAGTCTATGCTTTCGAGAACGCAAGTCGGCTTCTGCAGCCAATCCAAAAGCCCTTGGAGCACCGTAGACCTTCGGTGACCGATCTTGATCAGGCGTTGAAAGCTCTTTCAAAACCATTGCACTTTTTTCAAGGCAAACTTCAGCGACGGCGAAGATCCATATATCTGTGGAACTGCCTATGCCTGGACACTGGTCTGGAGCTTTCAGGCACTATCATCGTCGATGTAGGCGACGGAGTATCATGGCCATAGATTCAGGCACGCCCCAGGGTCCGCATTCCCCCGGATAAGATACGCGCAGTCATCCAGGGCCTCGGCCCGCTTCCGCTTGTCTTATGAGCGGCAGTCTTCCTGTTCTGGTGGTTATGTGACGATGTAATGGAGCAATTGAGGTCGAAGGTTTTCTCAACTTTCCCGTTCTGCTCACTGCTTGTCTCCAGCGTTCCCGTTAGTCAGGGCAAGCTTCTTCGCCGACCCAATAGCGATGCCTTGTGGCAGCATGCAATCGAGACTTCACTTGGAACCACTTACGATGTACGAGTGACAATTAGGACCTGGGGTCTTTCTTTGAGGTACTCGTAGCATGACCATCCAACACTGCGCAAATGGAGGGTTCTCGGCTCTGGCACACTTTGGCTTTGAGCGAAGACGCACCAGCAAAGTCTGAACTTCTGACACAAAGCCCAAAAGTCAGAATACTCCTTTGTTGTTAGTGACGATGCAGATTGGGAAGATACCGCGGAGATACGACGACAACCGTAAAGCTGAACCGGCTTCCACGTTGAAAGACGTCCGTAACAATTGACTGTTTGGATTGCCTTAAAGGCAAGTTTGTTATCGGTCAATAACTTGGCTGCCCTGCAATTCTACTGCATCTCGCATCGCATCGGTCACGAAGCCACAACCAGCGCGGTGTGTGTCTTTGTGGCTGTCCTGGCCCAAAGCATTACCAGGTGACTTCAATATTCCTCAGCACTCGGTATGATAAAGTGCGTTTTCCGGGGAATTTAACCCCATACAAGACTTTTTTCTCTTCTCCATCTGCTTTCGACTATGAGTATCCATTGACGTCAATGAAACCATTCTCTAGTGTTCGAAGTATATGCGGCCGTCGCAGGAAATCCGCCGGGAACACTCTTCAGGTTCTAAGAGGACTATTTCCGCAGGATCTCCCGCGGAGCAAGGCACAATTATCGACCCCGGATATTGAGTACCCCAACTTGTGTTCTGCGTATGTCATTGTCATTACGGCATGGCTAACACTACACGAATTGCTTACACGCGTAAGACGACTCAGAACTATATCTACGGTCCTGCCTTTTGGACATCTACAGGCAGCAGTTAGAAAAGAAGTATGAGTCACAACGCCGACGATGTACTTGAATGTCTCGATTACAGTGGCTCCTGGTGAGCCTTACGGCCGTTGTGCGCGGCTGACTAAGTTAGCTAGGTGGCCCGCGCTTCAATAGCGGCGGGCCTGACCTTGCATGATCAGGGAAGAATATGAATTCTGTATCAACGACTTCGACTTCGAAGTTTGGTCACAGGTAAGCCCTTCGAGTAGCCACAGCAATGCCGACTTCGAATACCACGGTAATACCTGTCACACAAGAAAGAGACTCAGCCAAATATAAGCGGAAGTTGACCGACGCAAGGCGCGAACAAAACCGCCGGTCTCAACGAATATGGCGCGACAAGCAGAAACAGCTTCGCGACGAAGAGATCAATACAAAAGTTCAAGAAAAGTTGAAGCGACTTACTGGTCAATCATGCAGCGACTCAACGGTGGAAATCTCTAAAAATGCACAACACAATCCAGCGACCGACACCCTGCCATTCGTACAAGCTTTTCCCAACGATGAAGAGACAAGCCAGGTGGATGCACCATTAACACACGAAATACGCCTACCAGATCCCATCTTACCGTCTTTGACAGCAGTCTACTATTTCGTGCCTCCGGACCCAGATGTCGAGGACATGCGATGCATGTGGGCGGTTCCGGCAGATACTGGACTCAAAATGTACATTCCCCCACCAACTAAAGCACCATCGATCCTGAGCCCATCATCCATCTCGAGATCGGGACATGGAAGTCTTTCTCCCAATATATCGACTCCATTCTCTTTATCATCGCGCTCTACGACGTCACAGACAAGACCGTCGGAAACTACCTCAACCCTTCCATCGCCATACCTCAACAATCTGTCCCTCGTCGGAGAGTCATGCTTCGCCGCCACCCTCTCCATCGCAACGACCCTCGGCATCACCCGCGCGTCTTACGTCAACGATCACCCTTCACCATTTCCGGCATCATCGACGCTCGACGTGCAAACCATCCCCTCCGATCTCCGCCCGACAGCATATCAAATCATCCTCCCTCACCCCTGCTACCTCGACTGCATTCCCTTCCCGCACTTCCGCAACATGGCAATCTACCTATCGAGTCTGGCGCGGCTGGATCACTGCGCACTATTTCTCGACATCATGCACGACGGTCTCGTATGCTGGGGCCGCGAGCGCGCAAACGGCGCTTATGGACGGAGCATGCGCGACGGCGTGGCGTGGAATCGGCGCAGTTGGGAAGCCAAGCGCTGGTTCTGGCGGAAGTGGGGATGGATTGCTGCCATGACCATCGAGGATATCGACGCAGGTCTCCCGCATACCCCAGGAGAAAATGAGATCGACGTTGATGATGAAGACGGGATTCTCAGCGGCAGTCAGTGGTGGTGGGCATTACAGGATGAGGAGCAAGGGGCGGCGCCGGCCTCCGAGCAAGGCGAACAGATCGCCGTGCGTGACGCACCAGCTGAGGAAGAATTGGGAAGTTTCCTCAGTCGCCAGTGGACTTGCCATGTGGGCATCCGGCAGACGAATGAGAAGCATATGCTTTACAAGTGGGATGGTGTGAACGGGCAGATTCGCCCGCAACCATTCGACCTTCCATGAACTGGAGGGGTCGCCGTCTGGGATGTAAATCTCGTCAGCCCTTTGACGGCGGTCATCCCTTGTTATTAGTCTGGGGAGCTTTGGACGCAGTGTTGTAGCATTAGCCCTTGACAGGCGGGAGGACCTCCGCTCTGTCATTTTGGTTGTAGGAATATTGATCTTTAATCCGAGTCTTCACCCTTTCGACCGGCTTATTGGCAGCGATGTTACTAGCGGCTCTGCAAAGCTCTGACATCTACTCAAACACTTTCGCTTTTTCTTGCAATCGGTGGTCATTTCACGACATCTAGCTGTCTTCAGAAATCATTGAGACTATTTGTTAGCACAAGACAGCACTGTCGCAGTTTGTCAACACACTACTGCCCTTATATCCCCCCACTGTATCATCCCGTCCTCTCAACATCTTGCCAGCTCCCACGTCCTTCGCAAATCTAGAAACCATGTCTCGAAGCCCAGTTCATGACGACATTATACGCTCCAGTAGCATTGTAATGTAAGTTGATACCATGTCCCACATTAGGCTGGATATAAGTCTCAACACTGGAACTGCCATTGAAAGCAGTCACCTCTGCGCTAGTGGGGCCAAAGAAGGTCGTGCAATTCGACGCGCAGAATATCAAGTCCGCTTCGGCAGCGAGATATAGCACTGGTCCCTTGAAGCTTGGAGCCTGGAGAGGAACGAGAGCGGCGCTCAAAAACTCGCCGAGGGTGAAGGGCCATTTGCCGGATTCACCATAATTCAACACGTTGTCGTCGAAGTACGGGTACTCGAGGAATGAGTACTGGTTGGCATACTTGTCGGGCCAGGTCAGGAAGCCTGTCGAGTACGTACTGTTTGGAAAGCGAGCTGGCTGATTCTGATTTATGAAGCGGAGACCCGTGCTGGCAATGAACAAGGCGTTGAAGATGACTTGGTGGGAGTAGCCAGTCAAGACGACGCCGTCGGAAAGTGTTGGTGCGGTTGCTGCGAGCGCGTTCGACAATATACTGCCCCAGCTGTGGCCGACGTGGATGACTTTCTGGGGTACGGGAACTTGCGTGACGTTTCCGGCTCGTACAAGGGTCGTGAGGCCGGCGAGGACAGCGAGCTCGACTGGGGCTTGGATCTGAGTATACGGGTTTGCCACGGTGGTTGGTGGATGGCCTAGACGATTCCAGGACAGAGTGCTATAGCCGGCACCCGTCGCAGTGTTGATGTAGGAGTATTGAGCATTGTTGGGTGCCGAAGGAAGGTAAAAGTCCCAGTATGTTCTGTTGAACCCGAGACCATGGGTCAAGATCTGCAAGGTCGACGCCTTTGGTCCTGGCTTGGCTGGCGTGCAGTATTCAGCACTGATGTTGAAAGTTGTAGTCAAGGTCGACAAGTTGGGGGCTCCAGAGGCATCCTGAGGTAGGGTCAAGTCTTCTGTGATCAGATTGGCAAACGACGTCGCAGTGTGTTGGTCCGTAAACGGTGGTATCGGTGGGACAACCACTGTCACGTTGTTGACCGGGACATGGACGATGAAACTGGTGCAGTTATAGGCGTTCTTGGCTATGGTGGCAGCTTCAACCACCGCAAGCAGGAGCGTGAACAGGACTGACTTGAAGAGAGACATGGTAGGGCTTGTCCTGTGGTTCAGATGAGAGTGAAGAACAAGCTGGCAAGCAAGCAAACAAACAAACAAACAGCCTAGGACATATTTATATCCAATCGTGTCACCACCATGTCCTGCTTCGAAGTCTCTTTCATACTTGCCTTCATGTGCGCCCTCAATTTCCCTGGGTCCCGACGGACATCTAGTCGTGCCATAGGTTCGTGCGAACACGATGTACACCTCATCCTTCCGATTGAAGCTCTTCTGTCCAGGGCGCAATCGATGAGGTAAATTGTGGTTGTTCATGCTACGCGGAGTAACTCCCTTTGGCAGTAGTACTTGATCCTAGGCAGTATTTGGAATGGCTCTGATCATAGCAAACTTTCAGATCCATGAGAGATCCAATATCCGCCGTCGGTAAAATGACCATCCTTAGTAAGGCAACAGCCACATACGACCAGCGTTCCTGGAGGAAGATATGAAGGTCCGATTACTAACATACCGGGATTCCTGTTGCGGAGCTGCGTCCGCCACTGAAGGCCTTCCACGTGACAACAGCCTCACGATGGAAACTGTCACGATCGGACATGAGGCACTCCAAGAGGGAAATGAGATATTTCCTTTTTGAGGACCGGACGGCCTCCCAGATACCAAGCGCAGTCAGATCTTTGTGCAGTGGGAGGATTCCGTGGATACATGCCGCCAGTAAGTATGAGTGGCCTAACTTGCTTACAACGCAGCTTCGTCGTACGCAGCATGTTAGACGAGAATTCTTGACCGAATGTCGTTGAAGGAGGCTGCCATTGCCATGCACGACCCGATTTGCATTAGCAGATTTGTCATCTCTGCTTGCTTCTTCATGCGAAATGCGATCCTTAGGTAAGGATACTAATAACGCGCGGCGCCGAAATGCTTGGGGGACCAACCACTCCTAGTAAAAGGGTCATCGAGTTGCTTGATAGGTGGTACCGAAGTCCCGCCGGGTTGGGATGCCCCTGTCACCGTCCGATGCGAGATGCGAAATTCTTCAAGCAGTACGAGCGTAGAAGAATCGGAGGAGTGTGAGGCAGGACAACCGACACCGACGTGCATATCAAGATGGACCAGTTCAGAATTCAAATTCTGGTATGTTGCATTCGTCTGGAGCACCATCTAATCCTGCGCCTTCTGCTCCGTTCGCCAGGGCACCCAGCTCAGATGTCAAAAGCGCTCAATAGGAAACGGTCAATTTTCCACTAAACCTCCCCGGATGCGTTGCAACGTTTCTAGCCATCTCTAAGTCCTCGTCAGTCTCGACGACAAGGGTACGCATCTTATCGCTCGTGCCGATATTCACCACGTCGCCACCATCGGCCGCCTTCTTGTTTTTGTCATCATCCAAAGTGAAACCCAGGCAGGAGACCTTGTGGGTGACGACTTCGCGCAAGTAAGCACTCTTTTCGCCGATGCCGCCAGCAAAGACCAGGGCATCCACCTTGCCATCTAGCTTGACAAAATAGTTTCCGACATACCCGACAATTCGGTCAATGAAGATATCGAAGGCGAGCTTGTGCGTGTCGGGCGCGTTGGGGTCGGCAATTTTGGAGAAGTCGGTGGTGCCCGCGATAGCCTTCCAACCGGACTGTTTGTTTAAGATCTCTTCGGCTGTGGAAATGTGAAGATCTTTTGTACTGTTGGGACTGAGTGCACTAGCCTCTGAGGTATAGTGGAAGACCAGACTCGGATCAATGTCACCAGTCCGGGTACCACCAGGGAGACCAGAAACAGGTGTCAACCCCATTGTCGTGTCTACTGACTCGCCATTCTTGATTGCGCAGCCTGATGCTCCACTACCGAGATGCAGAGCAATGATGCTGGTCTCTGCCTGCGGCTTGCCTAGGTAGTCGGCGACTGTTCTGATGATGTATTTGTAGCTGAGTCCGTGAAAGCCATATTTGCGCAAGCCCTTCTCTTTCGCAATCTTTTGGTCTATCATATAAGTTTTGGCAGGTGCAGGTATCGTGTGGTGGAATCCTGAGTCGAAACAGGCGACGTTGGTGACCTTGGGGAGATGTTCATGACAGGCAATCATCAGACTGACTGCAGAGGCATTGTGTCTAAGTCATGATTAGCACAGAAACCTGCTTTTCGATGTGGACAGGCATACAGTGGTGCTAAGTCTGATAGTTTATTGATCTTGTCAAATGTTTCTCTGGTGATGAGCTGATCTTCCTCGAAATCGCCGCCATGCACGACACGGTGACAGGCATAGTGTATATCTTCTTTGTTTGAGGCTTGAGGGATCTCGGAGTCGTTGAGAAAGGCATGGAGGATGTGTTCGAAGGCGCCTTTGTGGTCCTTGATGTCGCCGAGTTCACTGGTATTCTTGTAGGAACCACGGACATATTTCAGTTTAGCCGGGGGTTGATTGATGGCGCTGAGCTCGGCGCTCGCCAACCGACTTAGCTTCTTCTCACCATCTTTCTCTTCTTCAAGAAACAGCGTTGTCTTTAACGATGAGCTGCCTGCATTGATAGAGAGGATGAGGTAGGACATTTTACCCTACAGTAACCCGAATTCAGGATGCTGAGAGCATATTCATTCCCATCTGGGGGGCATCGGCGGCTTCTTGTAGGTGTTGAGATGATATCACACCACGTGTGCAGCTGAGTGACACAGGTACAGAATTACCTGTCAAAGGCAAAGGTTGTCCACCACGAGATCTTTTGGAGAAAACAATGGCCAACTCGTAAGATACGGTTGCACCTTCGCGCTTGATCTTCGTGACGTAGAATTCCTTGCTTCATGAAGTCAAAAATAAATCAATGCTGAAAAATCATTGGATGCCAACCAACTTCACCTCGCAAACTTGACCGCATCACCATAACTTGGATCTCTACATCATAGTGTCGCAAATAGAATCCGAAGCCTCCGGTGGAAGTTATCACTTCTTTCCCTTCATGCCCATTGAGACCATCTCACCTTTGTGTTTTGCTGACTGAGCAGGATACTTTAGATCTGACGTTGAGTTCGAAGCACTTTCATCAGTGCCTTGGTAATCAGTCCACAGCACTAAACGAGACCACTGCGTCTCTTCATCACAAGTATGCCCGGCGAGGTGATTGACCGTCCTAACCCACAGCCAGCGCCCTCCACCGTCCCCGACTATGTCGCCGATTTACTGGTCAAGCTGGAAAAGCCAACATTACACGATGACACGAATCAAGTTCTGGCAAAGTACAGACGTGCTGCCAATTACATCGCAGCTGCAATGATATTTTTGCAAGACAATGTCCTTCTGGAAAGAGATCTCAAGTTCGACGACATCAAGCCACGCCTGCTCGGTCACTGGGGAACATGCCCGGGTCTCACTCTGGTATACTCACACCTCAACCTCCTGATCGAAAAGCATGACCTGGATATGATTTATGTTGTTGGGCCGGGACATGGCGCTCCATCACTTCTTGCAAATCTGTGGATCGAGGGTTCTCTTGCCAAGTTTTATCCTGAATGCTCACAAGACAGAAAAGGCCTGAACGAGTTGATTACCAGGTTCAGTACCACTGGGGGATTTCCGAGCCATATCAATGCTGAGACGCCGGGAGCCATTCACGAGGGTGGTGAGCTCGGGTATGCTCTCAGTGTGAGCTTTGGCGCTGTCATGGACAATCCCGACCTGATCGTGACATGCATCGTCGGCGATGGGGAGTCCGAGACAGGTCCTACAGCCACGGCCTGGCATTCTTACAAGTACATTGATCCGGCGGAGTCAGGTGCTGTGTTGCCCATCGTCCATGTGAACGGATTCAAGATCAGTGAGAGAACCATTTATGGATGTATGGATGATAAGGAAATGGCAGCATTGTTCACCGGTTACGGATACCAGCCGAGAGTAGTGGACGATCTCGAAGACATCGACGCTGACCTGTCAAACTCTATGGAGTGGGCACTTTCCGAAATCAGAAGAATCCAGAAAGCTGCCAGAAGTGGCAAGCCTATCATGAAGCCGCGATGGCCTGTCCTGATCATGCGTACCCCCAAGGGTTGGTCAGGTCCAAAGAAAGTCCACGGCCAATTCGTTGAGGGATCATTCAGAGCACATCAAGTCCCGTTGGCAGCTGCGAAGACTGAGAAAGAAGAACTCGAACAGCTTCAAGAATGGCTGGAGTCCTACAAACCAAATGAGCTCTTCAAGGACAACGGTGATGTGATAGACGAGATCAAGAACCTTGTGCCGAAGAAGCCTGAGCGCCGCCTTGGCCAGAACAAAAAGACCTACGACCCATACCAAGAGCTTCAGCCGATCGACTGGCGAAAATTCGAGGTCAAAAAGGGCGGCTCCGAGAGTTGCATGAAGACAGTTGGGAAGCTGCTCGAACAAGTCATCAAAGACAATCCCAAGACCTTTCGAATCTTCTCTCCAGACGAGTTCGAGTCGAATAAGTTGGACACTGTTCTGAACTCCACCAACCGCAACTTCCAGTGGGATCAGTTCAGTAATGCCCAGGGTGGCCGCCTCATCGAAATCCTATCCGAGCATCAATGCCAAGGGTTCATGCAAGGCTATTCCTTGACTGGTCGCACTGCTCTCTTTCCTAGCTACGAAGCCTTCTTGGGCATCATCCATACCATGATGGTGCAGTATGCCAAATTCGGCAAAATGGCACGAGAGTCCACCTGGCGTAAGCCCATCGCAAGTATCAACTATCTCGAAACATCAACTTGGACCCGACAGGAGCACAATGGATTCTCTCATCAAAACCCAAGTTTCATTGGGGCTGTTCTGAACCTGAAACCAAGCGCGGCCAGGGTCTACCTACCGCCTGACGCAAACACTTTCCTGTCCACCATGGCGCACTGCTTACATTCCAAGAGCTACGTCAATCTTATGGTGGGCTCCAAGCAGCCTTCCGCCGTGTTTCTCTCTGCACAAGAAGCCGAGAACCATTGCCGCGCAGGTGCATCAGTATGGAAGTTTGCGTCCACTGATGGAGGCCTCAATCCAGATGTTGTGCTTGTGGGTATCGGAGCGGAGCTGACCTTTGAGGTAATCGCGGCCGCTGTCTTGCTGAAGGACAAAGTGCCAAATCTGCGTGTTCGAGTCGTCAACGTTACGGATCTGATGATACTGGGGGCGTCTAGCAGCCATCCCCACTCATTAACCAACGAGGACTTTGATGCTCTGTTCACCGCGGATGTGCCGATACATTTCAATTATCATGGCTATGCAAACGAATTGAAGGGGCTTTTGTTCGGCAGGCCGAATACACCCAGAATCTCAATCGCAAGCTACAATGAGGAAGGTTCGACGACCACTCCGTTCAACATGATGCTTGTCAATGAGACCAGTAGGTATCACGTTGCCATACAGGCGGTCAAGGGTGCTGCCAAGCGCAACGAGAAAGTTCGACTGCATCTCCACGAGACAGTCAGTGAGTTGAAAGGCATGATCTCGGATACGCAGAAGTTCATTGTGGAGCAAAAGACCGGTAAGACATTTTCATATGGTCACGACTGTTACTGACTTTAGCTCAACAGATCCAGACTATATCAACGATATTGGAGGCTTCAGCATTGACACGGCCTCGCTCAGTGAAGGCTGAATCAAAGTGGGAGAATACGGCAGCAAGGGTCGGTGAGACCGTTTGACTTAGCGCATCAGTGGTAGAGTAAAAGGGTCATAATATCATAAATGCGTCCCAAAAACGCTATGCGAACGAAATATGAAGACTATTTACTCGCTGCACAGACCAAACTGTAAAGCCTGACTTCGATGTCCATCGCGTCCTGCTCGTTGAGCTTATCGGCAATAGTATCAGTCAGTGTGAAAGCCCTGCTGAACGGCGCCCCGAATGGCTCCGCAAACTCAATCAGCAGCATCCATCGTCCTTGACTTTCACCTTTGTCGTCAGCCTCGGTAGTTTGGAATCGTACCTCCTCGTATGACTTCGTGGAGCTGCCAGATTTTGAGGCTGCATTGTCATGCTCTAGCAGATGCAGGGCCAGCGGACTCGGGAACGCCACGAGACTGGGCCACCCAACATTGATGATCCACTTTTGTAAGGCTTCCTTCGCTTCAGCAGTTGACGGCGGGTCAAACACGATATGCGCGACTGTGCCGCCAATGCCGTTATGCGTTTGCGGTCCAGAAGTGAAATCGTCCCGTGCCACGGAATGCAGGACCCGACACGCCGACCGGTTCATCGACGCAAGCAACGGCATGTATTTCGCAGTTGACGGCGTCGGATTATTCAGTGCGTCCATATAGGCTGGGGATGTCAGTGTTTCGAGAGACTCGACTTCATAGATGACCAGGTATTGAGACTGAGCATTTCTGAGCGTGTAGAAGCGCCGAGTCCGGTGGAAGCCTGCGATGGATAGACGTTCGGGGAGATGCTCGTTTGTCCACCATGCGTTGAGGGCTTCTTCGTCGATGTTTGAGTCGTTGTCGATGCCGCCCCAGATTATGAGGATGGCTGAGCCGCGGAGAAAACTACTGTTGGTTGCTGACGCCATTTTGGGCGTGGGCTGGTGAGTCGGTCTCGATATGAAGTCTTCTGATATGTTCACGGAGGATGATATGCGCAGATCTCGGTGTGCTTACGATACCTCGATGTGTTTCTCACAAGTCATTGATGAGATCCTGCTTACGGTTGTCTAAAACGTGCTAGTGAGTGCCTCCGCACCATGGTGGTGCAAGTCGGTTTAGTGTTGGATTCATAGCCTATTGAGCCTGTCGTCAGCCTCGGCCTCTTGACGGGCATACAGCGCGACCATATTCACAGAATGCTTTCGGATACTCAGAGGGGTACGGAATATCTGATAACCATTTGAAGCTGAGCGCGATGGATCGAAAGGTGAACAGAGCAGAAAGGTGAGTTGTAAAGCCCAGCTTTATTCTCTGCCAAAGTCGCAAGGCGTATTCACCGGCCGCCCAGTGAAGAAATATGCCTCCCCACAGAGAATGGGTTGGGCTTGGGGTCCCACTGGCGCAGATTTACTCCTTCTCGGGTATGGTATGTACAACCTGTCATCTTTCAAACTTTAAAGGCATCATCACCTTTGCAAGAAGGCTTCACGGAGCCATATATTCCCGGATTCTCCCTTTCATGAGATGGTCTCGCAGGCCATACTCTGCACTCAACGGCCGTTCCCAAAGGCGAATGGCTCCGTACAAGGAGGGAATCGTGCTCGGTATTGACTGCCGGCAGCGAGAGCCTCTGCGGTGCCATGAATGATCGGCGAGGCCGAGTTATGAGGACCAGCAGCGCCAATTCCTCAACCCTGTCACCTTTTTCTTCCCTTTGCAACCGTCAGTCATTCACTATCCTTGAGCTAGACTGGCTGTGAGCGGTGGACCTCCTGTGTACCATGTGTGGGAAGATTTTTCAATCAGACCACCATGCCTTCGCTCTCTCCCAAGGCTCATATGGCTCCATGCCACGCTTGCTACAGAGAACTATCACAGCTCCATCGATCAATGCTAAGACCTCCAAGACCTGTCCAAGAATGTCCCGCCAAGTCGAATTGACCAGTGTTCCGGCATTTAGGGGTCAGTCGGCCCATGCCAGAGCCAATGGGGACTCCGCAGCGGATCAGATTAGATTGATTTTTTTCATCTTGGCCCTGCAGAACAACGCCCATTCTCCTCACGACATCCCAATCCTAACCTCTCTCAGCTATTCCAACACCTCCACCTCATAGCACCCTGAAGCTACGACCTTGGCCGATCAAAGCTATGTCGCCATATTTCGGCCTTGGCTCTGTTCTGAACTGTTGTGGTTGCGCGAATATTCAAGATGTTACCTCAGAATGCTACCAGTTTGGATTTCTGATTTGACTTCCGCGAGAGCAAAATTCCTGAAGCGAGACCATGCTTGCCCGATCTCGGCTTCTTACGGTGAGTAACTCCTGTGTATATAACGGTGCATTGATCCGAGTTCTGCAAGTTTAATCTTATCAATCTGTTCTTATCAGTCTCTGTCGCGATTCACTCTCGTCAGATCAATTCATCACTGTCATAGCGCATCCTCAATATGAAGCCTCTTGCTGGGAATCTGGGGGTGCCTGGCATCTTGTCAGCCCTCGGCAGCAAGTCTGCCAAACCCCAGTCTGACGTGCCGGCCTCCGGAGTCACCTCTGAGCCGACACACGAAAAGACTGTCCACCACAACACCACCCCATCTCTGGGTGAAACGTCTGACGATGAATCCGTCGAGAAGATCGATACCAATGCCGAGTATGGCGTGCAGGCTGTCCAAGCTATGACGTTCGCCTGGTCGAAGAATGAGATCATCTTCCTTTATATCATGTCAGTCCGAGGCCGATCAGATTGTTCTACTGGTATACTAATGCCGCTCAGGATATGGCTCGTTGAATTCCTCCTCGCATTCTCCAACGGCATCATCAACACGCTGACTCCCTACGTAACAAGCAACTTCCAAGAACACTCATTGACGGCCCTTACCGGCGTTATCTCGTCACTTGTGGCTGGTATCTGGAAGCTCCCGTACGCCAAAATCATGAACATCTGGGGTAGACCACACGCATATGCCTTGAGCGTTTTGTTCATGACAATGGGCTTGATCATGATGGCAGGCTGCAAAAATGTCCAGACCTACTGTGCGGCACAGGTCTTCTACTGGATGGGCTACAATGGCATCGACTTCAGCATTACTGTCTGCATTGCCGATACGTCCAAGTTGAAGAATCGAGGCTTCATGATCGCCTATTCTTCTTCGCCTTTCCTCGTCACCACCTGGATCTACGGGTACGCCGCCAGCAGCGTCATCAACGGCATTGGTTATCAGTGGGGTTTTGGAATCTTCTGCATTTTCGTCCCCATCGTCATGGCCCCATTCGGTGTTATGCACTGGATCGCTCAGGCAAAGGCTCAGAAAGCCGGTCTCATCCCTGCACGTGCCACTGCGAACATGACGCTGGGTCAGAAGACACGCCACTACCTCAAGGAGTTCGATGTCATTGGTCTCCTCATCCTCGCGACAGGTTTATCTCTCTTCCTCCTGGCCTTCAACATCTACTCCTACCAGCGCGATACCTGGCGGTCTCCTATGATCATCTGCTTCCTCATCTTCGGTGGCTTGCTGATCATCGCTTTCGGCGTATGGGAAGCGAAGTTCGCTCCGATTACGTTCGTCCCCTGGGATCTGCTGAAGAACCGCACCGTCATTTTCACCTACACTATGGCTGCTTCCCTGTACACTGCTTGGTATATCTGGGACAGCTACTTTTACTCGCTCCTCATCGTCCTGTTCAACCAGACCATCGTTCATGCAACCTACATCAGCAATATCTACACGATGGGAAGTTGCTTCATCTGCCTGGTCTACGGGCTTTGCTTGCGCTACATGAGCGGCCGTCTCAAGATGTACTCGCTGTTCTGGGGTGTTCCACTCACCATCCTTGGAGTCGGTCTGATGATCAAGTTTCGCCAACCGGACGTGAATATCGGCTACATCGTCATGTGTCAGATCTTCGTCGCCTTCGGTGGTGGTGTTTTGGTCATCTCCGAGCAGACCACCCTAATGGCCGTCTCCAAGCAACGCGATTTCCCAGCTCTTCTGGCCTGCGAATCCATGATCATTGCCATCGGCAGCGCGATCGGGTCCACCATTGCCGGAGCTATGTGGACCGGTATCTTCCCGGAGAAGTTGCTCAAATACCTCCCGGCCAGCGCTCAAGGAGATTTCGCCAGTATTTACGGCGACCTGACCGTCCAGGCGAGCTATCCTGTCGGCAGCCCGGCCAGGATTGCCATCAACAGAAGCTATGCAGAGACTCAACGGTACATGCTCGTTGCTGCGACCAGTCTCTACACTATTACCCTGGTGAGCGTCGGCCTCTGGCAAGACGTGGATGTGCGCACGATGAAACAACGAACAGTTGGTCTGTTGTAAATGCAATGAGACGGGCCCGTCGTATCGTTCGCCAGGTAGTGGGATGGAATAGTTAACATATTGCACTATTGCGAAAAAGTAAGATAGCTATTGGGTTATCCTCAGCCTGATGTTCATGGTGGCATAACCGCGGCACATGACCATGGAGAGGGTGCCTAGGGTTATGTATGTGTTTTTCTTGTAGTGTGTGATTCAATTAGAATGTATTAATGAAGTTTCTGGAGAGATCAATCGGGTGCAGCATTTCCCGAGGTGGAAGAGAGTTACACCTTCGTCCTGATGATTGTGAGGCCTCTGTGAGCGCTGGACGGTATAGATCTGGCGTTATCTGGATCGCGATGTCCGGCCCGGCCACATTTCGTACAATCCCTGGAACAAACGCCCCTCGCCCTACCATACCAATACCTCCTGCCATAGGCCTGGATCTTCTTCCACCACGACCAAGCATAAAAGCCCGCGACCAACGAGGTGGCCACTTCTTGGCTTATGACCTTTACAAAGCGCCACCTCGTGCTAAAGGGGTCTCCTATGGAATGCACGCTTCTCATTCCGCCGAGGTCAAAGAATGCCCCTTTATAGGATGATCCCGTTTCCCCCACTCTACCCCCATCCAAGGAATCGAGAAGATAGTGTTAGGGTATCGGATCGCAACATGGGGGGTTGACGAACTCTTCACGCGCGGTGTAGAAGCCGTTGTGCGTCCATGTCATCGACGGTCTGCATAAAGCGGACGCTATAGTTGAGCATGCTTAGAGTGTTGCCGACGAAAGCCTCGGCGAGAAAATGCTGACACTGCCATGACTTCCTGGGATCCGTCCAGCCAGGGGTGATTGATATCTTTGGGCCCGTGAGCCAGGTTTTGCGCATAACTCCCCTACGACCACACCTGAGTCGCCTGAGATTGCGTTCTAGAATCTCAATGGCTGGTTCAGATCGAGTTCTTTGAAGCCAATCGACAACTGCGGCACTTGCTTGTAATCACTTTGCCCAAGAACTGATCTCGTTTGTTGCAATGTCTATTGGAACTCGTCAGCATGTGCAAGAATATTGGGGTGGGGACAAATGTAAACAGACCGTCAAATATGTCGGATTTGGGTTCCTTTTCATCGTCTCCAAGAATGCCCATGACATGGCCCCAACACTCGCTCCACCGATACTTGCATCTGCGCTCGTCTGATCGTCACGGCAGCCAGAAAACATGGTCACAAACTTATGCTCGGATTTCCAGTCCTCCACAAAATGCTCCTCACCAACGCCTTCTTCCTGCGGCTCATCGGAGTGCTGGAGCTGTTTGAAGAAGGTGTTTGCGCCGGCGAATAGTTCCCTCGCCTGCACGAGCTTGTCCATCGTGAAACCGCCGTGGACCAGGCTGCTAGCCTCGTGGAGCAATCCCATGCCAGTTTTGACATTGTCCAACAAGGTGACATTGCCGTCGGCGTCACTGCGATAGACGTACGGTAGCTCAATAGCGGAGCCACTGTGGCAGCAGTCGAAAATCACAAAGAGCGTGCTGTTGGCCGGTAGCGCGGACACAAGGGTACGATGTAGCTTGTCACTGTCGATCTGGCCGTTGGATTCAAAGTCGACCGGCACGATTGTATCATCAAAGCCTGACTCGCGATCGCCATCTGGATCCTTGACCTGGCTCCCGTGGCCGGAATAGTGCAGAAAGTTGCAGGTGTTAGGCTCAGATATTAGCCAGTGCATCGCAGCCAGGATATTCTTGCCTGTTGGGAAGAATGGTCCCCGTGCGTCCGTATGTTGGTCATCTCGCATGATAACTTGATCCTTTGGGTCGCTCGAGTAGCCTTTAAATTTTAAGAAATCCATCATATTCGTCACGTCCTGATGACACCCACGGAGTGAATGTTGGCTACCTACATAATTGATTCCGATCAACAGAGATTTTCTTTTAAGAGGCTGTGGTAGCCGTTGATACGGATGTTGAGCTTGCGGTGGCGGTCCTCCAGGATATGGGTTCTGTTGTGACGCTCCTTGGTGGGGGTCCTGTCTCCAATATTGACTCTGTCCTTGATTTTCGAGGCCTGGGCCTCCTTGGTGTTGATAGCGCTGATAGTCTTGAGGAGGTCCACCCTGATAACCTTGAGGAGGTCCACCTTGATAGCCTTGAGGAGGTCCACCCTGATAGCCTTGAGGGGGGCCACCTTGGTACCCCGAGCCAAGGTTTCCGGATGTTCTCATAGACCCCGATGGCTCATATTGCTGAGAATAGCCCTGGTTGGCCTCGGCCTGTAAGCGCACGGCCAGTGCCTCGTCTGAGTCGATCTGTTCCTGTTCAGCGCGATCATGGCGTTGATGATGATGATGGTGCGACATTACGGCCACCTCTTAACGACTCCTCACAAGACCTGAAAGGGCAGACACTTGTAAGCACAGCGCTCCACACATCCAAAGGCTGGTAGGACAGTTGGGAGGTCTTGTTCAGCTGCGCAAGGAACGCTTCGAGCATTCGGCTGGAACAGCGCGCAGGTGGGAATTCAGAGACGCTCGAGTGTTCCTTCAATCTAGCTGTGCCAAAGCAGGTTTGGTAATTCAATGCTTTCCCAGCATGCTGATGGAGATTGCGCTTCTAGGAATTGGAGACGTGCTGTGAAGCTTGACTGTCGATCTCGAAGACGCAGCGATCGTGAGGAGAAGGATATTAGGCAAGGAGCCACGGAATCGAAGGGTAGGAGCCTGCGTCAATCCCCTACGTTCCAAGGCGGGAAGAAATTCCAATGGATCTTATCGTTGACTCGATATGAAGAGGATCGAGGATCTCCCTCAATAACGGCGCGCGCGGGGAAGCGAGAGATTCCGGCAGGGAGGAACGGGGGGGATCACTGCGGCTCGCGGCTTTATCCTCGACCCAAACGGTGTGCGCTGGGTATCGATGCTGCACTTGTTTTACACAGCCCACGGATCTGATACGGACAATCTGGAATTACATTTCAAGGACGGAATCGAGTGACAACGAGCTGGTCGTAACCTGGAACACCCTCTCATCTCCAGCAGTGGAGTTTGTACACAAGGACAAATCACGGCCCTTCGCATTTACAAGAACATAATGTCGCCAGGTCCATCGTGAGCCTGCATCAGATTTTCACCCTGATAAGGCAGCATTCGCTGTAGATGTTTGTCGGCGGAGCTCGTGCTTCAGAGACGTAAATATGGCTGCTCTGGAAAGAGCTTCTCGGGTTGGTGATATCAACGCCTTTGCGTTTCATGCTGGAATCTGGACAGCGCTGCGGAGATTCACCCTTACAGAACGTGGAATTTATGGAATTTCCTGTTCTTCTCAGAAAGATCGACGGGGATGATCGGCATAGATTGATTGGCGAGGCTCTTGTGCTTGGAAAGATGAAGGGAGAAGTTGTGGAAGGGGAAACACATCTAGATGTCAAGGATGATCATTCTCTGCTAAAAGCAGCAACCACCCTGTGGTCAATGTGAATAGGGCGGCATGATATTTCTTTCCAACGGCGTGAGCAGTGAGCAGCTTGCCCAAACCTTAAGCTTGGCATTGAAGCTCCGCATCCGCAACTTGTAAGTCGCTGCTGCGTGACGGGTCCCCATAGACTTCAACCTCCAGACAGTTTGGTCTCAATCAATTGTGATATTGTTGCTCAGCGGTCGCAAGCATGGCGAACCGCGAGGCGAGGTACGTCCCTATCTCCCACTGGTTTCAAACAAAGCTGGTCTAACCCTCCCACAGGTTCAGCACCGATGTCATTATCGACACGACGCCTCTGCCCGATCACATTCCCAAGGTTAAGGAGATTGGAGCCACGTCCGCACCCTTGATGAGCGCCTCGTTCTTTATCGGTGCACGATGCCGACCATATAACGACGACTACATGCAGTGCAAGACCGAATCTTATGGAAGGGGAGAATTAGATTGTATGAAAGAGGGGAGGAAAGTGACGAGATGTGCGGCTAGCGTGTCAGTACTCCCGTTCGACGAGGGTGCTGAGTGCAAGATGCTGATACGTGGCGTGCAGACTAGACGACATCAACAAGAACTGCCTTGAAGAGTTCCGAATGCACTATAATTGTTTGGAGAATAACAACCATCAACTATGGCAATGTCGGAGGGCGGAAAGACTGATGAATAGATGTGTGTTCCAGAAGATTGTACGTTGTCGGGCGAACGAAGAGGTTTACGAGGAGTCGCTAACGAGAAGAACAGGGACTGGAAAAGCACATCCCCGATACACCGAAAGGACAGACCCCCGTACATCTCAGAGACCAGCAATTATTTGCCGATCATTCAAAGGTCCTGCGCTCGTGGGAGAAGGATGTGGGCATTCGAAAAGACGGATCACCTGCATGATTGTTGAGCATTTAGGTGGCTATGGCATTTCAATGACCTCATGCTCGAGTCTCCTGGTGCGCGTTGATCCGGAGACGGAAAGCACCAGCAGTTGAGCCAAAATCTGTACATATCCTCCATGCCTACTATGGTAGTGGTCATGGAAAGGCGTCATGAATGGAAAGTCTTTTATCAGGAATACTGTCTTTGTCACGTAGGTATCGTCTTGTCTCCCGTTGCCTGCCTCCGCCTCCCTCCCTCACCGGGCGGTACTCGCTTGTACCAGACCTCTTTACCGCCCTCAATATCCATATACTGAACTCGCGGAATTTTGGTCAACAATTCCTCACTGGCTCTGGGTTTCACTGAAAAGTGAAGCTATCAAACTAGCACCGGGCTAGAAGGCGTGTTAGTGACGATTTGTCTTGATGTTCGATCCTCCGTCCGACGACTTTTCAATCAAAAAATCTCTCGACGACAAAAGTCCTAGGTCTTATCAGGTCAGACTAGCATCGGGCTAGAAGGCGTTAAGATCTCGACTCGAACACGACGATCCCACGAACCCGAAACCTCGACGACAACTCGATCGGAAAAAGTCTGCGAACCCGGCTTTCACTTACCATGACCCCTATACGACAGGGTTCATGGCAAAGTTTTTGTTTTTGTTTTTTGTTTGTATGATGGATGATATCACTCCTCGATTGATCGTTTGTGCTAAGATGGTCTTATCAACTGACATTGAAATACTGAGATGAGGTAGCATGAGCGAGCTGAAGCGATTTTGCAGTTTGTCACCAAAAGAGGCCACGCTCTCTCATGATCGTAGATTACATCCAAAGGCCTAAAAGTACATTCCAATAAGCGAAACACACCCTGCATCCTTGCTGCACGTGCTGCGCGCCCTCATTCATCTTCCGTGGGTGTTAGACACTTTTCTTCCTCTGTGTCACTTTCCTCATCATCATAAAACCCGGAAGTTTCAACGCTCAACACTCCGACCTGAATGGCGTCCAAGTACTTCATGATTTTGTCTTTGTCCGCTAAGAGAAGGCCCGGCAGATGTTCCAGGAATTCCGCTTTTGGCATCCCATTCAAGTACTTCATCTCCTTGCCTCGGTCCCTCTCAATGCTTTTGATTGCCTTCCGAATGCACATAGCGAGCATCAGGTCTCTCTGTGCTCGATCGTAGTCTAGTTCGCGCACTTGCTGAAACGTCATGGGAAACAGCCCTTGGCGGACTATCATTTGCCCCAAGCCACCTGGACATACGTTTTCGTGTGCGCCGATGTGGGCGGTGGAGCAGCCGGTGCCCTGGCAATTGATGAGTTTCTTGCCGTGTCTACAGGTCTTCGGAATGATGATAGGCTGTTGACAAACTTCGCAATCGACCGTCTTTGGTGGTGGAGGAGGATCATTGCGACGAGACTTTGACTTTTTCTTGTTCGGCATGGCTAGGATCTGTTCAAGGCGTCGAGTGTGAAGAGTGTTTCTCTGGAATCGAAGGTGTCTTTTGATGTTGATAGACGGTGAAGTTCAACTGTTTGTTGTCAAACGATAAGGTTTGTGTAAACGTCTGGATCAGGCTGCAATCAAAGATACTTCTGGTAGAGGTTGAAATTAAGTCTGTGGTAATTGGTTTGATTGGATATGAGTTGTGGTGTTTTGAAGATGGATAGTCCTTTTCTCGTCGTTCACGAGCTCATAATGCTTTGTGGGAGTCTGCCCGTCCTTTGCACCTGCCTTGAGACCATATAATTTGGTTGGCTTGTCGAGCCTGCTTCATAACGAACGAAAGCCTCGTGGCAGGAACAGTCTTTGCGACCCCAGAAACAGCATGGTGATAGACCTGAGTTCAGTCGAGCAAGACGTGATGGAAAATAGAGTGCTCACATATCTTCGGGATAAGCAGGACGTTGGTTGCCTTCGGAGAGCGAGGCTGACAAGGCTGAAATTCAATACGCGTAGTTATGAAGTGGCAGCAGTGATGAAGGGGCAGAAGGGTCGGCACGGGCAGGAATTCTCCGGGGGACAGTTTCTTGTTCATAGGCGAGAAGGTCAGCCGAGCAGTTGAGGACACTCCCAAAAACAGCCCCTTTAACTACCAGGTAAACATGACGTTTGGTGGTGATGCATAACTGGTTGAAACACTCCCACCTGCGGTCATCGAGTCCATGGGGTGATCCAACACCCTGGACTTTCGTTACACACTCATTCCCTGACCCTTGAACGTGACCCTGTTTGCGTCGTGTTCAGGTGATGTCTTTTATCCTTTGTTCCTAGTAAATCCATCCTTATTCGCAGGGGCGCTTTTGCCGGATTGGATGCCAACAATATGTCGACACCAACCTCGAATCTCTCTCCGCCATCTGGGTCGCGAGCATCCTCGACATCTTCTCATCGACCTTCCGTTGCACAACGATCGTACACCGCCCCGGACAAGATGGCGAACGGCCACTTCGCGTCCACAGGACAGAATGGGACTGCCAATTTCGAGCATGGCGTCCAGGTTATAGACGAGGACAAAGAATTCAAGTACGTATCTGTTCAGCTATTGAGACTCGCCAAAAAAATGCTGTATGCTGACAGCGAAAAGTCACGATGTGTCCAAATATCTCGACTACACCGGCGTCTCGCGTGCCGGTTTCAATTACCACCTAATATCTGTGTTCGGATCGCAGTCGACCGGCAAGTCCACCCTTCTCAATGCCCTTTTCGGCACCGACTTCTCCGTCATGGCAGAATCGGAACGACGACAGACAACAAAAGGAATATGGCTTTCCAAGAACAAAACGACCCTCGCGGAAATGGCGGACAATCTCCTGGTCATGGACGTGGAAGGTACCGACGGACGCGAAAGGGGCGAGGACCAGGACTTCGAAAGGAAGAGCTCGTTGTTTGCGCTCGCGACCAGTGAGGTGTTGATGGTGAATATCTGGGAACATCAGGTCGGGTTATATCAGGGTGCCAACATGGGTTTGCTGAAGACGGTATTCGAAGTCAACCTTCAGCTGTTCTTGAAGGACAAAAAATCCACGTCGAGGAGCTTGCTGTATTTTGTTATTCGAGATTTTCTGGGGACAACACCACTACAAAATCTGCGGAATACGTTGATGCAGGACATGGGTCGCATTTGGTCCAGTCTTTCCAAGCCGCCGGGTTTGGAGAAGAGCAGTATTGACGATTACTTCGACTTCGCGTTTACGGCACTTCCTCACAAGCTATATCAGCCAGACCAATTCAAGGCCGAGGTTGCAAAGATGGCTACTCGCTTCCGAGAAGGACACCGCGATCGTCGAAGAGATGCGCTACTGGGCGAATTTGAGGGTGGCGTGTTTCTCCCTGAATACCATCGCAGAATCCCGGCCGACGGTTTTGCTCACTATGCTGAGGGCATCTGGGACCAAATCGTGAACAACAAAGATCTAGACCTTCCCACGCAGCAGGAGTTGCTGGCTCAATTTAGATGCGACGAAATTATGAGGGAGGTCATGGTCGCTTTCGACGAGACGATAACGCCCTACGAGACACAACAAGGCGATGCAACCAAGACTGGCACAGCAGAGGTCATCCCTGGACTTGGGACTGCCATGAAATCAGCCCGTGCCGAGGCTGTGAAGAACTTCGAAACAGAGGCAAGCAGATACCACAAAGGCGTCTATCAAAGAAAGCGAACCGAGCTCGAAAGCAAAATTGATTCGAGACTCAAGGCTCTTTTTGCTGGTCAACTCACCGCGGCACACAAGGATGGTGTTCAACAGTTCTCTGATGCCGTTAGTGGCGCAGTCAAGGCAGGTCAGAAGAAGGGCGCCTCGTATGACTTTGCCGAGATTGTCAACGAGCAGAAGAAGATCGCTTTGGGGAAGTTTGAAAGACAAGCCAAAGAAACCGTCATCGAAGGCCTGACATGGTCCAATTACAAACAGGAGATGACCTTGTATCAGAAAGACCTGGACAAGATCTCGGGTCAACTGCGCCGTGATGAAATGCGCCGTTTGGCCACACGTGTCGAGCGATGGGTTCGAAGTAAATTGAGCGACAGTATCGGCTTGGAGTTCAATGCGCTAGGGTCTGGTCGCGGTGGCTCTGGAGCTCCAGAGGATGGAGAAAAGCCTTCAGAACAGCGGATATGGGATCGAATCTGGAACTTGTTCACTTCTACTGTACAAGAGGCCGAGAAACGATTCTCCGACCGAGCTGCTTCGTTCGACGCTAGTGCCGAGGAGGTCGAAGTGGGCATTTGGCGCTTACGACGGAAATCTTGGGGCGTGTTGCGGTCCAAGATTGATGAAGAAATGATGGAAGGTAATCTCTTGTTGAAACTTCGCGAGAATTTCGAAGACAAGTTCCGGTACGACGAAGCGGGTGTTCCGCGGATATGGCGCCCCACAGACGATATCGAGGGCATTTATACTAAGGCCCGAGAAAGCACGTTGACGCTCATACCCTTACTCGCGCGATTCCGACATTCGCAAACTGGTGCACCTCCGCCGCTGGACCGATGGATTGGACCAATGCCAGTGGGAGCCACCCCAGCGGACGAAGAGGACCTGACACCAATTGGAGGTGTGGACGAGGACGAAGGCAAAAGTCTGGAGGAAGAAACCACGATACTCAACGAGCCCAAGCGTCAGGACTTGACTGTGAGATTCAAGAAGGCTGCCGATGGGGTGTACGTGGAAGCCAAGCGTAGTGCGATTGGTGGAATGACCCAAGTACCCCTTTATTTCTACGGTCTACTGCTTGCGCTGGGGTGGAACGAGATCGTGGCAGGTCAGTTGAACACCGCAACTACTCTTTTGGAGGTCACTGACATTTTTCTAGTCCTTCGCAATCCAGTCTACTTCTTGTTCCTCATCCTCGTCGCGATTGGGGCGTACGTCACGTATACCTTGAATCTGTGGGGTCCTATGTACCAGATGGCCAATGCTGCCTCGTCACAAGCTATGGTCGAGGGCAAGAAGCGGCTTCGTGACTTCTTGGACGAAAGTCCCGCTGCTCGACAAGCAGTCGCCATGACGACCGGCCGGGACGAGTATGAGTTGCAATCCATGAGTTCTAGACGGGCGACCAAGGAGAAGTCGGACGGTGCGGAAGATGACGATGAGGAGATCTGAGCGGGTGGCGGCTCAAGATTGTGGATGATGTGCATTGTCATGGGCAGGACGTTCCTCTGTCAAGTTTGCGGCATAGCGGGCTATTGAAACGATTCCATAACCTTGGCGGACCATGCTGGTCGATTGGTATAGAAAGAGCATCTTGTGTGGCAGACTCGCGCGCGGTCGACCTGAGAGCATCTGCCACACCCTACCCTACACTGTCAAAGATATTCAGCCCTCATCATTTTGAGTCTTGGAATTTTGTTCAACAATTCCCGACAGAGCCATCCGCTTCTCAGCCCAGGCTAAGAAGTTAATGGGCGCTCTGGATGAAGGGTTGTACTCGTAGAATTTCGTAGTTGTAGAAAGCCGCAAAAAATCTCGCCCTCAAAAAAGAGGACAGGTTTAACTTCCCACAGACCAGATGGACATACGTTCAATCTGCTCTGTGGGAAAAGTTTTTGGATCTTTTTGGCATACTTGATGGTGTCTTCGCGAGGTCAGTGTGGGTGTGGCAGTATTGTATTGATTTTTGGACGAAGTCGGGTACGGAACCTCGTCGGCGACATTGATGAACTCTATCTTGACATACTCTCAACATTTCACTGCTTCTCAAATCGTTGTCTAAAGTAAGTCTCAAAGGTCGTCTTCTTCACATATGGGAACAAATCATTCGCCCTCTGCCCCAGAGGCCAACGAAACCGATCCTGGCCCTGCGCGCCCTTGACCAAGAACCAGAAATCCACGGGGAACGCACTCACGTCTTTTCCCCGCAGGTTCTCAGGCGCAGCATCCGGTCTTGCAAGAACGATATGCATTTCGCTTTCCGGTAGGACCTCCACATGCACGGGCTTGCCAGAGTATGTACGCAACAGCTCGGCGATCCGCGTGTGACTGACAGTGTCGCTGACAAAGTTTAGATGAGCGTTGTGCGACTTCTCGGGCTCACAGATCGTCGCGACGAGATACTCTGCGAAGTCGGATAGGTGAGTGAAGTCGGCGCGAGCGTTAGGGTCACCTATCACATGGAACGTGTAGCTGTCCACGTCCTTTTACCTTTTCACGGTCCTGGTTGTAGAAGTCGCCGCATCCAATTAGGGTGTAGGACATTTTGCCGGATTCGATGGCCGGGTGGAGCAGTGCTTTTTCATTGACGCGGGCTTTGGAGTCCCATAGCTGAATCAGATCAGCTTTAGCGAACAGCACATGCCACGCAGTGCAAGGGAGGCAATGAACAAGCTAGGCCAGCAAGGACAAGAACCAGACTCACCGGATGCACGTATCCCTGCGGGTCATTGGGTTTGCGGTAGATGTGGTGCATGCCATACTCGCTCGGGTAGAATCTCTGGACACCAGCGTCGGCGGCGGCGTCTTGTATCAAGATCTGGGAGTCGAGTGCTGGGCCGTTGAGAGCGCTGACGACAACGTCAATGCCCTGCAGGTGCTTGGCTAAGTCTTCCCGGGAGATCTTGGTGAGGTCGAGCTCGAGACATTCTGCTTGGTCTTTGCCAGAGATCTCTTCGGGTGCAGGGCTGCCTGGCGGAATGAAACATTTGACGGTGAACGATTGTTTCGCGCAAGTCAAGAGAGCATGGAGAATGAATGAGCCGATTTGGCCATTGGCGCCGAACAAGGCGACTGACGAGAACTTTGTCATTGTTGCCGCCGTTGCCAGGGAATTGACAATTGGCACTTACAGGTATGAGGAAATCCAGTCATCGGAGTGGGATAGCTTTAGGACGATAACGTCCTTGCATCATGATGACCAGTCCGGTTGTTACGAGGCATTCGGATTTCATTTCCATTACCTCTCCTGGCCGTCATCATATCGACCTCACACGCAATGCAGACACAAGGATAAATCAGTGATCAAGAGACAGACTCCGAATGTCTAAGTGCTGATGCTCAGAAGCATCCATCTGATCCCCGACCCATCCAGCACTTTTTCACATGGACACATTCCTCTCCCCGCAGGAGCAGCACGACGTCCGCAGTCGTTTATGTGTACCTGACGTCATATCACCACACGAGGCGCAGTAAATAGGCTCCAACGAGGCTAGAGGCTCGACAACTTCAACGTTTGATCACAATTGCATCTCCATGAACATGCTTCCCAAGGATACTCTTCGGTCCTTACGTGACAGAACTTGACGCTCTGGTCGTCAATGTCTTGGTGACAAGAGCGGCAAGGTCATTGTGTCATGCTGCCGAACCACTCTAGATGGTGCCGCTTCAGGCGGGAATTGTGACCGGCTGAAATTACTAAGATGGATACCCAGCTAGATTCAGGAGAAGTGCCTTTGGAGAGCTTCCCATATCCACAGAACGATGAGTTTTATGCTCGCGAGATCTATACTCAACTCGATGGTATGCAGGATGAGATCAGACTGGTCCGGGTGCTTCCTGGAAACCCCGAAGCTCCTATTCTCTGTGAACTCGTGCAAAACCTCAGTCTTCGATCCCTCCAACACGAACGACCAGAGCTCACGAACGATATCCGGTTTGAAAACTTCGGAAGAGAAGTTTTCCGCTCAAGGGGAAAGAATCCTGACGGGACAGAAGTGTATTTGGCCGATTTAGGTCACGAGGATTGCCTCCAGCAAGGTTACTCGGAAAATAAAGCAATGTGAATCGCAGGACCGGCACCTGGCAGCGGAGACTGATAACAACAGATCACCTTTGGGAGACGAGTATTACGCTTTGTCCTATGCCGCAGGCGATCTCCAGAACATCGAGCCCATTACTCTTGCTGGAGTGGTCTTCAACATCTACAGCAGTATTGCATATGCAATCAGGCGGCTGCGCTCGCAGTCCACTACTTTGCAGATTTGGATTGATCAAAGGCTTGGCACCCCCACATCAGGATTTGCACCGTCCGCGAAAGTACTTTTGCCCACTTTCTACATCCTGACAGGCTTTCAATTTCTCAGTTCTGAATCACATCACCACTCAGCACAGAAACACAATCCGGGACACATCACTACTGAAAGAAAACATGGCAGACGAGAATCCGCAGGTGAGCTTTCCACTTGAACTTCCCAAGATCACGCTAACAATATAAGGATCCTGCGGAATACACCGCACTCATGATCGTTCCCCCAGTCGTCACTCAGCCAGTCACTCAGCCACCGGCGGTTGAACCTAAGTGGCCCGAGCGGCTCACTTTATCTCCATACATCCTAAAGAAGATCCACCTCGTCCTTATCGTGTTGCCACCCATCCTTACCGCCTTCTTCTTGACTTTCAGTCATGAGAATATCTGTCGTGCTGAAGCTGGCACACTGATCTCCACCGCGATTTTATCGGGTGCAGTGGCCCACATTTTCAATTGGGGATTTGCATCGCTGGTCGAGGAACATGTTCAAGATCCGTTGAAAATGGAAGTCACGAAAAGAATCGTCAATGTGATCTGGGCCTATTGTTGCGGATTGTCTCTCACTGCACTGTTCCAGTATCTCTATGAGAGCGACTGAACCTGCAAGCCTGACGAGTCTGATTGAGGAAGTACTAGGGTGCAATTTGCAGTATGACTGGCGTTGGGATGAAGTGTTTGGGTCAAATGATCGTGAACAGAACGCATAGGGATTGAAAAGAGATGGAGGCTATTTTCTTTCACCTTTGTACGAGATCACGTGTACTCCACCCTTGGTCTTCTCGGCAAGGATTATGGAATTCAACCCGACTATAGCAGAACCACTTCCGTGAAGAATGTCTTTGTAGTAGCAGCGAGAGCAATCATCGAGCACGAAAGATGTCTAGACTTATTCGCCACTCGTCCGGATCAGCAGAAGCACAAGAGCCGCTTTCGCCTGCCATGGTGGGTACCTGAATTTTCCACGGAACGGGATTATAGCACTTTTCTTCTCTGTCATGCCAGTGCAGAGCAAAAATACACACCAGATCCTCGCTTGGACTTTGCCGCTGATACTGCTGGGACTCCATCGGCCATTTTGATGTGCTCTGGCAGGATCTTGAGCTCTCTCGTGGACTCTCCGGAAGCCCTTGGCGAGGTTGGGGCAGCTTCAGGTGAAGCATCACTTCGTACTCTCCTAGCGAATTGGAGGTACTGCATGTCTCACGCCAGCATCAATAACGTCTATCGACCAACTCAGGAAGTCGCTGACATGGCTCTCAAATCAGCGATGACCATGGGTATCTTGGGAGTCGGAGCGACTGGAGACCAACACCCGACTTACATTGCTGCAATACAACAAGCAACGCAATGGAAAACATGGAGATTCTTTGTCTCTCCCAGTGGATACATAGGCTTTGCGCCAGCTTATGTGAGGTCTGATGATTTATTAGTCCTGCTTGTGAACTGTCCCGTAGTCTTGGCCGTCAGAAAGATGAGTACGGGGCCAAATCACAGCTACCGGTTGCTTGGAGCGGTATACCTGCATGGTTTCGACATTGACAGGGACTTTCAAGACAAACTCAGGGATCCGGCTGAGATGTCTGCTTTACAAACAATTAGACTTATCTAGCATTGAGATGATCCCCTTGCTGGGTCCTACCAATCGCGAATGGTCCCGACAATCTAACACTGACATGCATGCCATGGACCGAGAGCAGACCATGGGCGTTCATTGATGAAGCAGCAGTGGGAAGGAGGATATCGGTCATTTCAGTGAGGAGGATGGGGAAAGGGAAGACTCGATATATGATTGTGGAATGGTTTCAATCTACTGCCTGAGTGGCAACGCACTCTCAGATAACGAACTGAATGAATGAATGAACCAATGATTCACCGACAAGGCTACCGAATGTTGTGCCTGCGGACGCGTCCAGGATACTCGTCAACCTGTTGCGTCGACAGAGTTGCGCAAGATGAGACTCGGCAGTCTTTAACAACCTTGGACACGGCGATGTCATCTTTGCGGTGGCAGCAGTCTACATGCTCTTCATGATGCAGTGTAAGAGTGTACAGGGGTGCTGCAACTCTCATATTCAAGCCCAATGAATATCTAGCTTTTGTTCGGTATACGTACAAGCATAATGGATGCAAGCAAATAAAACATGCTTCTTGGATTCCAGTCTTGTAGTCAAACCAGATTTTCGCGATTCATCATCATAATTCCTCGTGTTCTCATCATTCATCCTTTCGTCCTATAACCCACTCTTACTGGCCGTCCAAGTAGCACTGCTTTGCGCCGTTCACCCATCCTAGCAATCGATTTGCAATATCACTCGAGTAGCATAAAGTCGCTCCTGGATCACCTCCCAAGTCTCCATCTGCTGGCAAGGAGTTGAGACCAGAATTGTAGAGTCTTGCAGCGCGATAGAAGGCTTGTGCAGGTTCACAGTTGTCCAGACTGGCTGCCTTGTTCAACGCACTGACCAGTGTTGGGCCTTGGACCGGTGCTGCTGTACCATCAACGATCATCTGACGAATGACCGATGGTGGACAGGGAAAGACTGGCATGCCATTGCTATCACAAGACCCGGTGCCTTCGAAACTTTGCATCAGGCCGGGATTGTCATTTCCACCTGTAGTCGAGACGACTCGAACGCAGCCATTCGATTCTTGCATGACAACTGCAAGAATGAAACGCGGGTCCATATATGACTGGTTGGCCACGGCTATAATGGAATCGCGGATATTATCGGTTTCGCTTGGCGAATTGGCTGGAACACCATCGACGCATCCTTGGCCGATGTAAAGTTCGACATTCCGGAACATGGCATTGAAAGACAGCCAGCTGGAGATTGGAGGCCATCCCTGTTCAACAGATCCGTCTCCTGAGTAGAAGTTGTATACGTCTCGTGGAGATTCTATTCCTTCCCCGAGATCCAGGTTGCGGACAGCCAAGGCCCCTGTGACCTGCGAGAGTTCAGATACGCTAGGCGTCAATGGTGTTGGACTTGATGGTGGTGTTCCCATATAGCCAGTCGGGATGCTGCTGCTGGGGATTGCAACTGAAGCAGATGTTGCACTTGACAATGTTGATGCCACATATCCTGATGGACTTGTTGCGAGGGTGGTGGAAGCAGCCGATGGTGATGGGCTTGTCAGTGCTGTTCCCATATAACCTGTCGAAATCGTTGCAGAGTACGCGGACGCAGTCGATGGGATCACTGGAGGGATCTGTAGAGTGATGCCAATTTGTAGAAGATTCCAGTCGGTCACAATTCCAGAGTTGGCGACCTCCAAAGCGGCCAAAGATATGCCAAATCGAGCTGCAATGTTGTACGCAGTATCACCCGCAACCACGGTATAAGTTTGTCCTCCAGTCACACCACTCGCACTGCTGGCCTGCGACGTGACCACGGTAGTAAATGTTGTGGTCGCGCATGTTGAGGTAATGCTTGACGGTACTACCTGGGACGCGGCTCCAGAGGACACTAACCAGGGGCAGTTGGCGGTTGAGGGCAATTGGATGGTCTGATCCGGTTGCAGGCTGGTCCAGGAAGTAATTGTTGGGTTGGCAGCGATCACGTCGTTCAAGTTGACACCGCACTCAATCGCAAGAGCATAGGCAGTGTCGCCAGGACGGACAATGTAAGGTATGGTGGTGTCTTGCGCGAGTCCGTGAAGAAACGCCAGCGTGAGTAGTAGGAGCAACTTAGCAAGGCGCGCCTGGGAAAAGCGGTCAGTCGCAATCTGTGCAATTCGCGCGCAGGCTTACCATGTCGTCCAATACTGTCTGAGATATTCTGTAAGCCTGTTCTTGATGGGTGAATTTGAAGTGGTGTTGAGTGTGAAAAGTGAATGAAACTGAATGAACGATTGCGTTTTGTTATTGTTGTGCAAGGCGGGAAACCTGGAAGCTGCGACACACACGATGCACACTCCCATCCTCCTTTCTCGAGAGTGCTCCCGCTCACCTCTTCATCTTGTAATTGTTTCACTTTAGCCTTGCTCGCACTGCTCACAGTCATTCCAGTACAGACTCTGCGACCCCTTGCAGACTTGTCACAGCACTCAGATGGCCACGACTTGCCATACTCACTTACCGCGCCACGGTCGTGTTAGCACCTATTGCTGCTTCCACCACGCTATCATTATAACAGATGTCTGTTGTTTGCCATCTTTGGTATCTTCGAGCAAGTCGAGGCATCTGATAACGAGCGGGATCCAGCCTCCTTGTTGTTGACATGCGGCTAAATGTCGGCAGCACTGAGAGGCTTTTGGCCCCGAACATAGCATCGAACCTTCATCATCTTTCTCGTTTACTGCATCAAACGTTCGGCCGACTTTATGTCGTAGACGACGTTGCATAAGGCCAGTCAAGACCGTGAAGTCGGCGAGGCGCCAGTCAACAGTTTCCTTCCACGATAAACCTCACACTCTCAACCCCTGCCTGATAGTGGCCAAGGATCGTTGTCGTGCCTCATCTTCGGGGCCTTCTGCCATGAGAGACACACAACGTTGATACGCCACTGCGGCTGAGATATTCCACCAGATGCCTTGACGTATTGATCTGGAAGCTGATGGTGAGTCGTTGCGGATAGACCACCAGAATGACCCAGTGTGGACGCCTGCTTCCCGAGATTGTGCGGGAGACTGTCATCCCATCAGACCCAGAAGCCTGGCCTGAGGAGACCTCGATGTCTCAGACCAGCACCAGGATTCCCACGAGAGTTTCCTTCGTAAATGAAGGCGCAGATCTGACTCAATCCCACGGTTCCATCGTGATGGCACGCCTCGACAGGATGAGATGAATATATAACACGGGCAGATCACCATCAAATCCTGCATCAAAAAAGTATTCGAGCTCACAAATTCAGTTCACTTCCATACAGCCAAATCTCTCTCTACCTGCCACTCTCGCTCAACAAACCTCACATCTCGTCAAGCCAGTCCCTCAGCAGAGAGCCAGACGACCGCAAACAGAACATCAACCACACAATCGGACTCACCACTCAGCAGTAATCATGCTCGCCTTTGTCCTCCTCCCCGTCGTCTCCATCCTCCTCTCTGCATCTTCTGCTCTCGCCCAAGGCACGACTGTTAGCCTCGACAACACGAGTTTCTCGGGTTCGGGGCAGACGATCTATTTGTCGACCTTGACTGCAAGCGCAGCGCCAACATCTGCCACTTCGACAGGTGGCGTGGGCCCGGCTATCACTGCTGGACCGCTGGGCGTGGCTGGTATGGTTGGATTGGGGTTGATCGTTGGGAACCTCCTCTAGATATGATGTTGTTCATAATTCACCTCTTCGGCTGTATAGAATGGGACCATCGAGGAGTATTGGTCGGACAAAGTGGTAGATGGGTGGAAAATCTACATAGCAGCTTTGTTACATTAGGCGTATAGATCTATTTAAAGTATTTTGTCTTACAATATCCATCAGTCACTGAAACTCCTTGTCAACCTCTTCATAGTAATCGAAGAACCCCTTGTACAATTTCACACCCAGCCCCGGGTCAAGAGACCCTGTCGTAGCCCGAATCGAGTGCATGCTCAATTGAGGGATTCCACAATCGATGGCACGGCACCCTAGCCGTGAGCTTGTCATGGGACCGATAGTCCCACCACTCCTACTGTCGTTACGGATCTGGAAGACCTGAAGAGTACTTCCAGCCTTCTCGGCTATCCGGGACAGAAGTGCTGTTGAGACGCTAGTGGTCGTCATGTGTCCGTTCGGATCAGCTGAGACAGTCACACCAATATTCAATCGTGGGTAGTGGTTCTCAAGATAAGCTCCCAGGAAGTTGGGGTTGACCGCGTGGATGACATCGGAAGACACCAGGAATGAGTTGGCCAGCGTTTGGTTTATGAGGTTGGGGCCGCAATGATCGGAGAAGTTCTCGCATATCCTCTCAATCGCGCCAGACATGAAGTTGCTGCGGGCACCTTGTCGAAGATAACTTCCGATCTCCTCATCATCAAAGCATCCGACCATCTTGACGATACCTGATGATGCATCGTCGGAGGACGCCAGCAGAGCCTCGATGGCGGCAAAGCAACATAATTTATCGTCGATTCTTCCCGCGAAGATGAACTCCTTGTCCAGTCCGCCAAGTTGAGCGGGCTGTGTGTCGAAGAGCTCCAACTCCCAGTTTACGATCGAAGTGTAGTCCTCAATCCCGAGCTCGCCCGCGATCGCTTTCACCAGCCTTTCCGGCTGAGTGGCTACAAAAGTGCCGGCAGGGAGGTTCAGAGAAGATTCGGCTCTTCCAGTGAGATCGGAGTTGTCCAGTCCTACGATGGGAACCATGTTGGTCTCCAAGTTGAACGGCCCGTTTGCAGCGGCACCAAAATGTGGTGCCAGAGTAGGTATCCTGGCGATGGGCCAGTCCAGCTTGACCAGCTCTTCTTTAATCTTGCCATCGCTGGTCTTCACGAGTACTTTGCCGCCGATTCCAAGATCTCTGTCCCACCAGGTACTGTTCATTCCTCCGGCATAGGGAGCGACACCGAGTTGTACGTAGCCAGCCTTGGTTGGTAGCTTTGGCACAGGCTTGACCTTGGCAGTGAGGGCGTCAATATGTCCAGCAACAATTCCAATGCCATTGCCAGCTTTGTAGTCTTTCCCAACGGCGAATGCAATGAATGCGCTACCGTTACGTGTGGTATAGTATTTCCCACCTGGCTTTATTGTCCAAGACGATCGTTGAGAGAGGTGGACATATCCTGCATCTTCTAATTGCTTGGTGAAGGCGTCAACAGCGTGAAAGACGGTCGGGTTCTTGGTCATAAACTCGAGGTAGGGTTTTGTATATTGTTCCGGTGAGAATCCCTTTTCCTTCTGAGCTTTCTGTTTTTGAGGACTGAGAGGATTCGGGGATGGAGATGACGAGTACGCCGAGTGTGACACCTTGCGGTCATAGCCTCGAGCTATGTGAAGAGGCATGTCTTCATGGATTGAAGTAAAGAAACCAGAGGATGTTTTTCGAACCATGATGAACAATGTGCAGCGATGCTAGATATTGGTACAGACAGGCAAATGGAATATTATGACTCCTGGTTGCACGCGGCAGAGAATAAGTAAACGAAGATACAGGTCATGCATGCATGATCAGCAGGGGAAGCTCTGCATGGATCGACGACGTCAACCTTGGTCGCAACCTCCACAGCAACCGTTCCTTATCGATAACACCATCGCCATCTCCCATCAGACATTCCGCAGATCACCGACTTCAGCCACCGCAGGTTCCAAGTCACACAAGACCAGACAATCCGTTCGATTCCTCCCTGTGTCTCTCCATACATCCACCAATTGCCAGTACTTACCACAATGGGGTCCAACGTCGCTTCGAAGCGTCTCTTCCAAGAGTACAAGTCATTGTTGACCAACCCACCCGATGGCATCACCGCCGGCCCTGTCAATGAAGATGACTTGTTCATCTGGGAAGCGTTGATTCAAGGCCCCGAAGGCACACCGTTCGAAGGCGGCATCTATCCTGCGGAACTCAAGTTTCCCAAGGACTATCCTTTGAACCCTCCCAAGATGAAGTTCCTCGGCGAAATCTGGCATCCGAATGGTATGGCTACTTGAACACTCGTGGTATCCGAGCTAGACTAATGTGTGTATAGTATATACCAATGGCGAAGTCTGCATATCCATACTACACCCTCCTGGCGACGATCCGAATCATTACGAAAGCGCTTCCGAGAGGTGGTCACCGATTCAAAGTGTGGAAAAGATCCTCATATCAGTCATGTCTATGCTGGCGGAACCCAACGATGAGAGTCCTGCAAACGTTGAAGCTGCAAAGCAGTGGAGGGATCGACGGCCAGAGTTCGAGAAGAGAGTGCGTGAGGGAGTAAGAAGGTCACTTGGTCTATGAACGACACCAAAAGTGCGGTGCAAGTCCCTTAGTGTACAATGCTATCGTCGTGCAGCTCGATGGCAAGCCGATTTGTCAACCACCTTTCAAGACCGCCCTCTCTATCATCCAAGCTCTGGATCTCTGCCTTTCGATTCAGCATGAGCATTCGTCGGAGCTCGTTCATCGCGTCAACGAGACCTGGCAATGAAATATCCGAACCATCTCTCCACTCTTGACTTGTCAACATTGAAAGAGCGATTACTCGATCCCGCATCGATAACGGCATGCTTATCTGAACACCATCTCCAGGAGCAACGTCGTCCGCTTTCAAGCCCAACCACTTCAATTCTGGTATATTGCAGACGTGCTCTCGTGCCAAGTTCTTCGAGCCATACAAATAGCACTTGAGAATCTGTATGCCATCTGGGTCCCAGTCGATCAAGCAGAATATTGGCAGAGGTGTTTCTGAATGGTCCAGAACGAAGCGAAGGAAATGGCGAGTTGCTAAGTCTGGATAACCTTTGGCCTTTTTTGAGGTCAGTCGTTGGATAACACGAAGGCAAGAGTCAGTACAGTCACAAGCAGGCCGGGGCCGTTGATAGAATTCAGATGGAATTTTCTCTCCACCAGTGCATTGAACGTCGCCTGATGAATGTCAGTCAATCCTGTCGATTCCGACTGTTGCTCCAACCTCTTTCTCGACGACAAGGATCCAGTTGAGATGAGAAAGTCTCATTGAGGTCTCAATATTATTCACTGCAGGGACTATCGCCATTCGGTCATTGGCATCAGGATCTAGCCCGACAAGGAGGCCTTTGGGACTACCAATCTGTTATTTGTTAGCCTTCTGGAGAATGGACGATACAGGTGGCTTTGTCCTCACCACGTTCAGATCACTCCTGGTCACCTGGCAAGTGTGAGCAATGTCGTCGATGTACCGATCGACGGTTTCTTGCTGCTTGAAGAGAGCCGGGTCCTGGTAGTAGATGTCCCTACTTCCGTCAATGACCTATCGGTATCCGACTTCGATAAGTGAACCTTTTGGTGACCGTGATTCCATCCTTGATTGCTGAGTATATCGCAGCCAGAATCTGCCCGACGCATGCTGATGCGTATCAGTATCTGTGAATAGCTACCGTTTCCTTACCTACCAAATCTCCAAGCCTCATCCTTAGTTTTCGCTGGAAAGGAATACGTTACTTCACGGTCTTCAATATGCCATTTCAAGCGGTTGAGGTCATTCTCGTCATGGTATGGTCTCACTGAAACGATGCGTCGAAGCACAATCACTGGTTTACCACAAGGACGGATCTGGATCTCATGTAGGATATGGTTGAATGTTGTTTCGATGTAGGCGAGGACTTTTCTATTGCCTGCAGTGGTTAGTGGTTCTGGCGGTAAGCTAGATAGATCATTTTGAGGGCGAATGAAATCCATCTCGACAGTCAATGATCATTCTTGGGTCATCTCATTACCGCTGTACCCGAGGCTCCTAGGGGTAGACCTTGGAGGATTGAGCGGTGTATGGCCACTCTGACGGATTGGATGGGTGCCTGAGATCTTTAGGCGCCAATGACGCCTGACAAGAATGCTTGAGTTCTCCCCCAGTCCCAAACCCTATTCCCCACACGCTCCAAGTCCATTATCCGATTCCGATTCCGAGTGGCATCATGCGGCATCATGCAGGAAAATAAATTGTCCCTGGCTGTGTACCTGCATGTGAAACCACTTATCATCCATGCTTTTCACCTCGAGATTGCGGTAAACCTGCACTCTCCTCCAACCGTCAACAATGTCATGAAATTTCCACCATGGTGCAGACGCGACAGTACGCTCAAAAAGCCGTCAATGGCGCTGCCAACGGCCATGCCAACGGGAGTGCTTCAGCCGTAGAATCCAGTAACAACAAGACCGATCGTTCTAGATGGAGGCTCCTGGACGAATCAGGTCGACATACCTGGCACTACTTGAAGACGGATAAAGAAATCGAAGACTGGCCACAGACGACGGCGGACAAATACAATCTGGGGTTGCCCACAGTATGATCACTTCAAGTATAGTTGCACATCACACTGCTAACGAGCCCAGGATCTCCCTGACCTACCACCCGCCTCAACACCCTCCGACGCTATAGACAATTGCATGACATTCTACTCAAAACTGCAACTTCCTCCCGGAGACTGGGCCTGTGAATATGGCGGACCTCTCTTCCTCCTCCCTGGAATCGTCATCTGCTGGTATGCGACAGGAACGTCAATCCCACCTGAATGTCAAATCGAAATCACGAACTACTTGTTTGCGAGGCAGAACAAAGATGGTGGTTGGGGTCTACATGTCGAGGGACACAGCTCAGTCTTTGGCACTGCCATGAACTACGCCATCCTGAGAATCCTTGGAGGCAGCGAGGAAGAACCGCGTATGATCAAAGCAAGAGGCAAACTACACGCAATGGGAGGTGCTGTCAATGGTCCCCACTGGGCAAAATTCTGGCTGAGTGTACTGGGTGTCATGCAATGGGATATTGTCAACCCAGTCCCCCCGGAGTTATGGCTACTCCCGGACTGGGTCCCAATCGCTCCCTGGAGATGGTGGATTCATATGCGACAAGTCTTTCTACCGATGAGCTACATCTGGTCGAAGAAATTTGTCATGCCAGAGACCGACCTTGTCCGACAACTGCGTCAAGAAATGTTTGTCCAGCCTTATGAAACGATCGACTTCGGCTCTCACCGCAATTCAATTGCTCCAGAAGACAACTATCACCCTAAAACCTGGCTGCTCCACCTAATCAACTTCATCCTCGTCTGGGTCTGGATACCGCTGTTGAGGTCAAATTCTATCGTCGAGCGAGCAGAAGCATGGGTCTGGCGACTGGTTCAGTACGAAGACGTGAACACGGACTACTCTGATCTGGCACCAGTCAATGCTCCCATGAATACACTAGTCTGCTTCATCAAGGAAGGCCCCGACAGCTACTCCTTCCGCCGCCATCTGTATCGTCTAAACGACTACCTGTGGGTCAATAAGGAGGGAATGCTCGCAAACGGCACCAATGGGGTACAAGTATGGGATACAGCATTCACCATCCAAGCATGCGTGGAAGCCGGCCTGGCTGAATCACCCAAATGGAAACCCACTCTCACCAAAGCACTCGAATATCTCGAGTCCGAACAGATTCGCGACGAAGTCGCAGATCGTGAGATCTGCTATCGGCAATCCCGCAAAGGCGCGTGGCCATTCAGCACCAAAGTGCAAGGTTACACCGTATCAGACTGTACGAGTGAAGCGCTGCGTGTCATCCTGCTTCTACAGCGCGCACACGGCTACAAACCTGTCCTCGATGAAAGTCGTCTCCGCGACGCTGTCGACGTGCTTTTGACCATGCAGAACAAACACACAGGCGGCTTCGCCAGCTACGAACCGCAACGAGGCTCCGAGTACCTGGAGATGCTCAATGCGGCAGAAGTATTTGGACGCATCATGGTAGAATACGATTATCCAGAGTGCACGACGGCCGTGGTGACGGTTCTTTCTCTGTTCCAGAAATACTACCCTGACTATCGCACCGACGAAATCAAGAGAATCAAGGAGACTGCACTCCAGTATATACGCAAGGCCCAGAGCGAGGATGGGTCCTGGTACGGAAGTTGGGGCATTTGCTTCACGTACGCCGCCATGTTTGCCTTGGAATCCTTGGCCTCGGTCGGTGAGACATACGCCAACAGCCCTCGGGTGAAGAGAGCATGCGACTTTTTGATGTCGCACCAGATGTCCGACGGCGGATGGGGCGAGAGTTACCGCTCATCCGAGCTGAAGGTGTGGGTTGACCACGAAAAGTCCCAGGTTGTGCAGACTTGCTGGGCTGTCATCGCCTTGATGTACGCGGCATACCCTGACAAGGAGCCCATTCGAAAGGCATTGACCATGGTCATGGGCCGCCAGCAACGGAACGGCGAGTGGCTGCAAGAGGCCATTGAGGGAGTGTTCAATTGCTCGTGCATGATCACCTATCCTAATTACAAGTTCTACTTCCCCATCAAGGCGCTGGGCATGTACAAAGCTAGATGGGGGGACGAGAAGTTGTTATGAGTTACGAAGAAGAATATGAGCATCTAGGCGATGGGCACACCAGCCACTAGATCAATTACCTTCCCCATTATAATCCTATCGAAAAAGGCCATGTCCATGATCTGTGATATAATCACCATGATCCCTCCTCCTTCTCCTTCAGTGCCCAGTCGAACTACCAGCTTTAGCTAGCACGATTGTCCGTGCTAGTGTGCAGCAGTCCACAGTCACACACTTCTATACTTGCAAGGTTCTCTTTGTGCCCCACCACGGTGTGCACGCCCCGTACCAAGCATGGTACTCAGACCTCCCGTCTTGTTGGAAGGTGGCCCTAGCCGCGTCATGTAGCGCCTTCTTTTGCAGTTGGCCTTTTCGCGCAACAGGTTGTGGCAAGCAACAGTCAACGTGACCTTGTGCAGACCCGCCGGCCACTGTTTGCGACAATGACTCAAGTCGTTGCCTGAAAAATCGCGCCTCGAAACCTCGATCGGCTGTCGAAGGAGAATCCTCCTTAATCGTAATTTGACATCACGAATGTCAGAACGATGAAAGCCGGGAGCCGCTTCGAGAGGTGTCCCTCTGGAGCCTTGTGCACCTTTGACAATCCCAGGGATCCATCTCGGCCGCGCTAGAATTTTCATCGGCGTCGATCGCTTGTCCTGGGAGTCGGTGAAATTGGATGACCTAGCTGGCCAGTGCTGGTCATGTTGAATGGGCATCGTTGCAGATGTCACCATAGTGTTGTTGTGGAAAAAGAGATATGAAGCAGTCTAATGCGGTGATTTGACTGCATCCAGTTGTTGTCTCAATCGGGATCATCGGTCGCAACATAGTAGCCCTTGGAAGGATCTTCGTAAACAAAGGTCGTAACTGCACTGGAAATACTTTGACTTGAGCCTGGCGAGTCCCCACTCTCACCAGACTCAGTGCTGGACTCTCGCTTTACGTGGTAACTGTGCTCCTCTTTTCCTGATGGATCCCCGAAGAGCCAGCTAGGGATGGTCTCTGCGTGAACTCCTCTTTGTTTGACTGTTTCAAACATTTTCTCAAGCCAAGTCGTGGCATCAGTACGGCCGATCCGTTGGAAGTAGATGTAAGCGAGGTTGGCGGGAAAGTTCACAATATTGGCACCCCATGCTCCCATTTCCGGTTGTAAACAATAAGTTACCGTCCGACATATGTTGGCCGCGTAGCGTTCGGCGTTGAGTAGATCCCTGAGCGTCACTGGCTTGATCGAAGGGGGCAGCTTATGACCGCGTAGTTCGATGGCCTGAATAATATCATCGGCCACCTCAGCCAAGACCAAAGAAGCAGCATAATAAACCACGCGGGCATGCACAAATAGATGATTTTCAAACCAAAGGTCGGTTCCAAACGGGTAGTCATCGTTGTCGTTGGAATCATGCTTTTGCACACGAGGCGTAGCTCCTTTCTTGGTGCCGTCCCGCCATCGATCCATGTGCACCTGAACAGTCTTGCACTCTCCCAACAGTTCGACAAGCTCGTCTCCAACATCGGAATTGCTTTCGCGAAGGATGTCGAATTTTTCCATGAGACCCGGGATCGTAGTCACACTGTCGACCAGACGGTCGAAATATGTCTTATGGCGTTGTTGAGCCCAGGGAATCGTGAGCCATTCTTCGGTCGCCAGGTAGGTTGATTTTCTCTGCAATATTGCAGCGTATACTGTCGGAATTCGAGAAGCAAGGAATGGGTGATGAGCATCCCAGTGCTGATGGCGCTCTGGACCTCGAAGCTCGATGAGCCGAGCAGCGCCTTGGGCGTGTGCGACCCAATTGAGGGAATGCAGTCCTGGACCTTCAAAGAGCTCGTATAGTCCAAGCAACATGCAAGCCATCAGGATGTGGTCCGAATACATGCGTGTTGGGTCGATGAGTGCTCCCTGTAACTCTTTCAAGGCCCGACCATAGACCTTGCTACTTTCGCGTACAAGACGAATATCGTTATTGGCCTGACCGACTCTCGATATGCTCAAAGCGGAAAATGCGTCTTCAAGAGGTCGCTCTTGTTTCGAAACCTTTTGTATGAGTTCGGTCCAATTCATAGGGTGGCCGCAATTGAGCAGGAAAGCGTCGCGAACCACACAGTCGCCTTGTGGCATGTACAGATCCCAGAAGAGGCTTCGACATTGTGACTGGACGGCACACTGGTTGAGAGATCCGAGGATAGGAGTACCGATGGATCTCGCGTAAGGAAGGAAGACGGCTTTTTCAACGGCTTTGCTGGCAGGATGTAGGATGAATGTCCTGTCGCGTTTGTACCCTCCACAAACATATCCGCTCGAGGCACATTGGCCGCACACAGGACGCTTTTGATCACACTGGCGAGCTGGGGTAAGCAACGAGTTAGAGAACGGTGGAGGACTACTTACACCTTTCTTGCGGCGCCGGCAGGTGCTGCAACCTTTGCTTTTTCCCGGAACACCCACCATGTTGAATAATCATTTCCGTGTCTAGTCCAATGATGGCGGAGGAATGCCGGTATCAACTGGATGGAGCGCGCAAGAAGTAGCCGAAAAGGTCTCCAGTGAGGTGTTGGAGGACGCACATTCTGCGACGAACAAATAGGTAGAAGACGGATAGCAGGCGAGGGATGCTGGCAGGATAATGGCCAGATGCAATGGGTAGAAGGGAGGAGAAGTCTGTACAAGGTTGTAGTTGAGCGATACTTCTTTTGGCCTGACTAGCAGAGGTGTGTGTGAAGGGGTCAAGAAGTTGAAACTGCGCTGCTGTGGGTGCAAGGGTGATGCAAGTCTAGGGTAGCCTTGGGTAGGACAGTATTCCGTAAAGTCGTCCAGGCAAAAGGGCAAAAGAGATGTGAGGGAAAAGCAACCGCGGCGGGGATGGGAATCTAAGAAGGAGAAAAGCCACCGATGGGCGCCGCTGGCTCCGACAGGTCCTGCGCATCTCTGCAAATGGGTTTGAAGGGCAATCTTTAGGAAGTTGCCGGCTTGGATTTGGCACTAATCGGCCGTCGGGACCTATAGAGCAACGGGATGAGCAGCCTAGGGAGCCTAGTGCTGAGTCTACTGACCGTCACATCAGTCAAGCCACCGCTATTGAAGGTCCAAGCACTAAGTTGCAGCGACCGGCAGTGTTGCAGGCCTAGAATATTTGAGAAAGATCCGAGCTATAAGCGGGATCGTCCCAGCGTATCATGCCTAAAGCGGTGCCGATGTGCTTTTAGTGCCCTGGCCGAATCATCCGGGCGTCCCAACTATTTGAGCCACAGCTGTGAAAGTTGCGGGGGCCAAACTCAGGGACGCCGGGCGGTCATCTCCAAAGACTCCGGCCGGCTTGTTGAACTTAACTGAGTCAGCTGGGGCGTTTAGGCTTCTTCAACGCGACTCGAGTACTGAGACCACAATGCGACGTCACTGTCTGTGCCCCACGCTTCGAGTGCCCGAGCGTTGGTAAACAACCAAAACACGAGGCCAGCGCTTTAACCAGTAACCACTTCTCTTGAACAATATTCGAGTGTAGAATACTCAACTAATATTTCTTTCAGTGTCCTATGACTACCTGCGTTTCTTTTGTACCATGCATTGTTTATGACACGCCTCCAACTAATGTCGACACCGAGTCATCATGAACCATTCCCAGCTTGCCGATCTCCTCGCTAAGACGATGCCTCACAATCCTTCCTCCGGCTTCTCCAATCGGACTGCGCATGAGACAGCTACCCTGTCACCCCGACAGAAGTTTCAGTCACACGTCCGCACCTTGAGCGATGATGGTTCTCTCGCTTCTCGAGACACGCCATCTCCACGAAGATCACCTGAACAACTGCAACCTGTTTCAACCTTGCGCGTCAAGAAGAGTGAAAGTCCTCCTCCACGACATCCTGCCCGACCAAGTCCGGTTCACAGACACACAGACTCAAACCTCAGCACGATTCGTTTCGAGCCTGACTTCGTGGTAGAAGAGCGGGAAGCCTGGGCAAAGCCGTCACCGCTTAGAATACGGAAACGACCGTCCAACGATATCTACCTTCTTCAACCTCCCGAAGAAAACTCTCCAGTGCGTCAACCTAGCAAGCAGAAACTGAAGCAATTTGGTCCTCTGCCAGATACGGTAGACAGTGATGGAAGACCCAAGACCCGCCATGGATCTGACCCGAGTCGGTCGAGTCTCACACTTGATAATCTTAATGATAATGGAGAAGAAGAGCAGAGGAAGAAGAACTCAAGGTTTGCTGAGGGCAGCATGAACAATAGGTCTACTGGGGTATCCTCAACGTGGCATGAACATGGTTCGATTCTCTCCGGTACTGAATCTGACAATGAGTCCACTCCGAGACCATCTCCACAACGTTCTTCGATCGACATTGACGAATTCAAACCACCGACTGTCACTCCCGGTACCTTGAAACAACGCCTGTTCAAGATCGGAACCGCATTCAAACCACACGAAAAGGCCACCAAAGCTGATGCAGCGCCACCCAACGAGAAGAAAAAGAGGGGCTTACGCAAGAGTATCTCCATGTGGAATATAGGTCACAAAGGTGATAAGGTGAAAACCCGTGGGCCTTCGACGGACGACCAGACACTAAAAGCGCCGATGCCAACCGAAACAGCTGTGCATGACCCGAACGTAGAAGTGCTCAACGAGCGGAAGAGACGAGCTGAAGAAGCGTACGCCGTACAATTCGGCACTAAGAGGAGGAAGTCCACCGGAGGTCAAGTAGTATTGCCGGATCTCGCAGCTACGGCACCAGCCCCAACCGACATTCCACCCCTACCGGTGCACCGGTCGTTGAGCAAAACACCCACAGGTGCTCGACGAGTACGGAGGCCTTCTGCAGTCTATATCAACACCGACTCTGAAGTGTCTGATAGCCACAGCGACATCGACCACCAGAAGCGCCCGAGCCTGCGTGAATTGGAGAAGGAGAACCAACAACTCAGAGCAATGTTGAAACAACAGCAAAACCAATCGCAACCACGACCGAGTGATGCTCTTGTCACTCGAACAGTCTCAACTTCCGCATCTGCACATCAGCTGGCTAACTCGGAGAAAACGCAAGATGCCACTTCTCGCAAAACATCCGGCACCAGAAACTTTTCGAAACCAGTTGTGAAAGACGTTCCACCTCTCCCTTTGGTACCCGATCGAGTCGCTCTCAGGACTTTAAGCAACACAAGAAATCAGCCCAAGAACAATAACAGCAACAATGTGCAGAAACCCAGCACCACAATTACCGTCGAACCTAATAATGACGATGCCCCCATTGCTCTGGATGTCAAGAAGCGACCTCGAGCACCAAGCGCAGGTGCTGCAGGTTTCCTTCGACCAGTCTCGATGATCCTGGAGGAAGATGAAGACGCCGGGGAGAACAAAACGCCTACTCCCAGTCCGAGGCGAAGAATGCTGGAACCGAGCTCCATAGAGAAAAGAAAGGTCCGAGATCAAGTTGCAGTGCAGATGAAGGGCATTAGAAGGGAGCAGTGGGAATGGCCAGACGATGTGTTTTGAACCGTTAGATGTTGGGCATCATGAAGAGATGAATAACGAGGGTGACGAGTGAAGATTGAAGATTGGGGACGTGAAAGCCTGACGGAGCACCAAGGGTGTATGGATGTGGATGGTTCAAGGTGCATCGCCAGTGTGGGACAGCATGGCATACTCTTGTAGCGGGTACACACGCGGTACCAGTCCCGCCACAGCAACAAAAATCAGTACAGAAAGAGGCTACACAGCTTCCTCACATGAACAAAGAGACCGTATTGGATTTTGCAGACCAACAGAACGGAGCAACAGGGGTGGCCAAAGGAACAATTGTTTTGGTTTTTCGTGGTTTTGTTTGTGCAGGAAACGAGGACATGACATAGCGTCCTGTCAATAGCTTTGAATACTTTTGTAGCGAGGTGCTTTCTTTTGAGCTGAGTTTGAATGAATATTGCAGCCATTCACTGATAATGCTTAATTCTTCGCACAGTAGAGAAAGCTGCGACGTTGACGTTCGTGTTTACGGGTCAGGAGGAAAAAGGTTGAGTGGGGTGAAATATATTTCCAGCTACTAACCCAAAAACTATAACTCATTCCAGAATGTAGAATAGCTGTGACCGCTTCTTGCGGGGACAGTTTTATAAGCCGTGAATCAATTCGAGCTGCGAGTGAGGACCACGTGTAGACAGTAAAAGGCAGGTTATGTTCAGACTCGTGATAAGACAGGGAGGTAGAATAACAAAATCGCCAATTGAAGTGTCGTATAATCATTAAACCGATAAAGGAGGTCAATAGTAGGAGAGGGCTGCTTGCGAATGTGATATCACCCGCATGTACTGAGGATGAGTAGAGACGCCGAATTGATGTCGGGCATGAGTGAAAGGATTGGTGGTCATTTAGGTCCAGTACCAACCGCCTCGCCTTGGTCGTTCAGAGTTGTCTTTCTTCTCCTCCTTGGGTTCTGGCGCGTCATATTCCTGAGGGATATTGTCGTTGACGAAGGCGTCCACATCAGAAACAATATGCTGGGCTCTGGGGTCCGCGCTCTGCTCTCCGTTGGGTGGATGGTACCCTAAGCTCAGACGACCTTGAAACTCCTCAGGGTCAGGAACCAAGGGCCGTGTACGTTGAAGGCGATCTTGATCTGGAGTCGAGGACGCGTATTGTATATGCTTGTCGACGCCGTTTTCGTTCGGAGTCTGTGGTTGAGCAGACTGAGCACGGGGAATGTTCCTTACATCCACACTCTCGTCGACCTCTTCAGTTCCATCGGCGAATCGTCTCTTGGCTACACGTTTTGTCTCGATAGAACCGTCAGGAAGAGTACGCTCGGATGTTGAGGTAAGCGTGCCGACCACATATTTAGATGAGCCACTTTCGTCAACGGAGCTGAATGAGCTCTCATAAGTGTATGACGACGATGAAGAAGTCGAAAAGGATGGGGCAGAGTCTTCTGCAACTGTCGGTGCCTCGAGCTGATCCATAGGTTCAGGTGCCGGTTGGTTCGACGCTTGCTCGAACCCCTTCGCGGTTTCTTCAACAGCGGCTACGATTGCGTCAGCAGCAGCGAGGATGCTACCAAACACCGGGTATGGTGCAAGAGACTTAGTGGCCTTGTCAATGAGATCCTCAACAAAGTCGTCCTCCGGAACAGGCTCTGGCGTCTGGACCTCATCAGGTCGTTTTTTGCTACCCCATCTGCGCTCCTTTCGCCATCCGCAGGGGTCTTTCATTGATGCAGCGCTCTCTGTCGACTGAGTATCGGCCAGCTTCATCAAAAGACCGTCCTGGTTGAATCCCCAGCGAGAGCCTAGAGTGCCTCGATGGACCATGTCGTGGATCCAGGTGCTCGGTGTCCGCCAAGTCGAGTAGTCCCTATCCACCATCTTGCCGGTCTGCTGTAGACTAAGCAGATCCTCAAACGCATCTGCCCATGGGACTGCTTTTGCCATCTTCTCATCGACGTCGGAGTACCACCTTTCGAAGAATCGAGGCCGTGAAATCTGTAAGGGTATTCCTTCGGAATGTTGTATCCTGACTTTGAAGAGCCGTGGTTGGGCGGGGTTGCAGAGGTAGATGGGAGAATACGGGCTCAGCATCAACCACGGGATGGTCTGGTCAGTATTGCTGAAAGGGTCCATACGACGGCTTCCAAACATTACATAGGTGGTAGGCCGAGCCAGGTATGTGCCGATACCTTTGATCAACTCTTGACCGTCGCTGGAAGCCTTCTCCTTCCGTTTTCCATCCCAGCCGATCGAGGAGAACCACGAGGTTGATGGTTTGGTGGAAGTGGAGTGATCGGTTGTCTCGAATACTTTGGCATCCTTTGTGTTTTTGTCTTTCTGGAGTAGGTCATACGCATCGAGCTCGGTCTTCGGCTGTCCCGCCTCATCGTAGAGAGCCGGGCATTTTGATGCATTCCGTTGAGGCTCTTCGCCATTCAACGCAGGACATTTCGCTGCACTTCCTTTAGTCCACCAGGGTGATGTGTCCGTTGATGGCTCCTTGGAATCTGTTGTCGCCTTCCAGGTCTCGTTCTTGGCTTGCGAGAATTCTTTCCTAGAATCTTCAATCTGTTGCCTCAGTGTCTGCATGTCCTGCTCGAACTGCCTCTTGAAATCGTCGTGGAACTCCTGTTTTTGCCGCATCATATCCTGGAGTTCGTCCCTAGTAGACAGGCCGAATGAATTGGCCAAGCCCTGGAACAATGATTGAAATTGTTCATCGGCAAAGCGACGGAAGCGAATGAACTGGTTGTCACTGTCCTTGTCGGAGCGAGGATACGGCGTCTGGTAGGTGGGGAAGGGATCGAGCGGCGGAGGGATGGATGTGTCTTTCTCGTGCGAGGGTTGTTCGGGCATGACGGATGGAAGACGCTGAGTACGAAAAGCAGAAAGACTAGACGGAACAAGAATTCATTTGATAGGAATTTGATACAAGAATGCGAAGGAAGATGGTGCATGTAGGCTGCCTGGATGAGGCATTCGATGATGCTCGATGCGGGGAGATGGATATCCGACGCGTTATGCAAGATTTATTACTCCATGGTCACTTTCTCGAAATCCCGCTCATTCGCTCACGATAAGTATCAATATCCAGTTGATGAAGATCAGCTATGATGAACATGACTTCGACATACTGTACAAAAGCGTCATCTTTGTTCATAACTTAGCCCTTGATGGTACCTTCTCCCACGCTTCAGCGAATCCGCAATTGCGTACCCAGTGTGGATCACCGGCTTCAACCGAATCGATGGCCATATGGACCAATTTCAACCACATATCGTCTCCTTTGATGGGAAACACGTCGTCTGACTCGCCCTCGTAAGGTTTGCATGCTTGATGGCCGTGTGCTATGGCTCGAACCAGCTTGCTTGCGTGGCCATCATCCTCCATCTTGTCAACGCGTCGGGCTACCTCTTCCCACCCATCATTTGGTCGTCGAGGCCTGTAATCCTTGATCTCGTCCATCAACAGTTCCGGGCTTCCTCTCGAAACATACATGGCCAAATCCAGTCGGCCTTTCCACTCCAAAAGTCTGCACTTGTTTTCTACACTCAACCAGGGCTCATCAATGAACGCTGAGAAGAATATTGAGCAATTGACGCAATGCATGTAGAAGAAGTCGAATTTGATTTGCTTGTCTGGACGCTGTGCTGCCGCTGCGAAGTACACAGTTGCGTTGATCATTTCCGCTGTTTTCTGTTGCAGCTCATCAGGACTCACTCTCCATTGGGCAGCGAGGGCATTCATCTCGTCTGGGGCGCGCACGAACACGCCATCCCTCAATTTGTTCCCATCTTCGGATTGTGGCGAATTCACCAGCTTCTCGTTCTTTCGACCCTCATGAATGAGTTGTACCAAGCTCTTGGATTCCGAGGTCTCACTGGCGGCCTTCTCGCCAGCAAGGAGGAATTTCCCTGTCCAGCCGTCATGTATGGCGGCTTGCGCCAGCGCCTCAACGATGATGGCTGGCTGCTTGAATTCCACGCCGAAGCCGAGATGGATCAAGGGGTGCAGAAAGCCAGCGAACATTCTAACAAGCATGCTCTCGGCGTGATCCCCACCAGCAAAGACGTGCTCATTCAAAACCGTTTCCCACCCCTTATCTTCCATCTCCTTGCGGAAGAAAATCTCGTAATCATGGAAGTATTGTTCTTGGCCCAGAAAGTTCTTGAACTTGGCTGGGTCGGACATTTCCTGAACGTTCTGTTTCTCAACAGGAAACTGCGGCCTTTGATATCCCTTGTTGATGTCAAAACCATGTTGAATCTCATCAGGTGTAGCACCCAAAGCGAATATCGTCAGTAAATGATGAGCGATATGATTATGGAAGCCACCCCTGTTGAAGTACATGTGGTACCTGTCATGATTCTCTTGCAGGAGTTGGCTTCCGATCTTGGAAGACTCCAACGTTATGTCTGGGAGATGATAGACCCCAGCCTGAGCCGGATCTAGCTCGATATGAGCCGCGGTCGCCATAGTTCGCCGAGCAGGAGGCCTCTGTTTCCGCCGAAGAATGTGTGCAGGAGAGGTCGATAGGCGTAATCTGTGCAATGAAGACGTCAGAGCTGGAAGCCGAGGTCTTGACAACATCAATGTGGCTGTGACTGTGCTGCAATGATTCTTTGTAACTCGTAACACCATCAGTTATCAGGCAGCCTGTCACCAGGACGACGTAGAATGAGGTCAGCACACATGGCGGTTAGCCAATAGGAGGATTCCGGCAGTGCATTAATCGAGCCACCTCGAAAATCCGGGGAGAGGGGAAACCCTCAGATTGCCGTCGATTTGTAAGCGAGGATCTGGTTCTGGTGGCTCACCATCATCGAAGTATTGGCAGCGATTGGGCTGCATGTTCTCCAGGGTAAAGGATGACTGCGCGCAACCGAAGGACTGGAAGGCTGAAAGCTTGTGATCCCTGGGCAGATATCAAGCACTATGCAGGCTTGATATCTATCACGTCATCATACAGCCATCGCTCATATAACACAATGGAAATCGACATACGGTGTTTGCCAGTCAACCTAACCACCACAGATGCCCAATTTCTCTAGCAGGACGAGTGTTCGATCGGTCTCCTTACTGCTTGGGATGCTTGCTGGCGGGAAGAAGATGGATTCTGCTCAACTTCCACTCCGACATTATGTCCCAGCAAAGCCCGATGGGCCATTCCCGTACTCGGCAGCAGACCTCACACCTATGGACGCGGGAAATGATACTGGCTTTTATGGTCCTGCTCGCTTTGTGACACATATTGATGACAATGCCATTGTGAATCTTCGCGGGTATTATGATCAGGTTTTGCCTCGAAAGGGACGAATTCTTGATTTCTGCTCCAGTTGGATTTCTCACTATCCGCCCGAGCTCGAACAGGCGGCTGCCTCAGGAGAATTGGAGATAGATGGGACGGGAATGAACAAGGCGGAGCTGAGCAAGAACTCGGTGTTGAAGCATTGGTCTGTGCAGGATCTCAACGAAGACCCTGAGGTACGGATACCAGGCTCTATGGAAGGGGGACTCGACGCGGCGACTTGTGTGGTGTCTATTGATTACTTGACAAAGCCGGTGGAGGTACTGCGGAGCATTCGAAAGCAGACAAACAAAGGTGGCAAAGTTCACTTGATCATCTCGAATCGGTGCTTTCCCACAAAGGCGGTTGGTCGATGGTTGAAGGTGGACGAGGACGACAGACTGGACATGGTCGGCGATTACCTTTGGTGGAGTGGATGGCGTAATATTGAGATTCAGACACTGGTAGCAGGATCATTCATGAGAGATCCTTTGTGGGTGGTAAGAGCACAGAACGAACCTGAACAGACTGAGCAAGACAAGGCGCAGACACAGTAACAAGGCTGGGTCGAGGGGCCCGATTGCCAGATGATTGGACAGGATAGGGACGGACCTGCCGGGAAATCATCGGTTGGTGCCTAAGGGCAAGTCCCATAAGCTTCACGACCACCCCAATAGGCGTCACGAACCGCGACTTCCCGCTATATCATTTCTCTCAACACGTCAATAAAGAGTCACGACATGTGAATATAGAATCAACACTTTCTTTCCCACCCAACGCCGTTTCTTTTTCTTTCTTCATTATCCCCCCGCGACTTCATCTCCCAATTCCCAATCATGTCCTCAACCTACCTCTTCCATCCTCCTATTATTCTCTGGATCAAGTTGTAAACCTCCTCTTCATCATGGCAGAGTCGAGCGGGATCGAATTTGTTTGGTATATCGTCTTTGGGACCTCCCTTTCCATCCTTACTGTCTTCATGATCTTCCTCATCGTTGATCACTTCATTGAATATGCCAAACGTGCCGAAACCGAGAACGCCTCAGAAGCCTGGTTGCGGATCTTCCATACCATGTCCAAAGCAAACCTCCTCCCAACTTACCCTGTAGCAATGCCAGAGATCGGTCCCAAACCGTCAGAAACTTACGAGATGGCGTTCCTCCTCTCCAAAGTCCTTCTTCCCGACCTGGTGCCAGCTATCATGGATATGGCTGAGTTCTGGGCTGATGTTCCTTTGGCAACGAACATACACGAGATGCGTGTCACTGAGGAGAACGCGGGATCGGTCTATCTCGTGGCTGAGATTCCAGAAAATTTCCCACCAAAAGGCCTACGCAGTCTGACCTTCTCTGTCACTTCTCGTGATCAGGGATTCACCAACTTCGAGCAGTTTCGTCATACCTACCATCATAGCCACACATGGTTCGAAGTTGCTGTTCTACCTGATGACGACGAGAAAGATACTGACCAAGAAGAGACCAAGTCTCCGCCTCTGGGAAAGTGGATCATCACCAACATCCATGCAGACAAGGAATGGGAAACTCATACTGTCACATGGAGCTGCAACGACGAAGATGAAGAGATTAGCGAATTCGTGACAAGTCTCCAACCTGGCAGCAAGATCGCCATCACCGCATGGGCAAGATATCCTGCTTGGGTCAACAATGTCAGAAGTGCCAGGATCGACTGTCAAATCCCTGCCGTGAGGAAGCTCTGAGATTAAACTCTACAAATCACCGCCTGTTTTGCGGAAATGATAGAGGTTCAGAAGAGCAAGGCGAACTTTCAGTCTGTTTCATACCGGTGAGCATATTTGTCTCACTAACAGATAGCTGACCTTCTAGTAGGCTTTGCCGTCGACGAAACACGAATAATCGACTTGCCCACACGAGCTTTTAATCGGCTGAGCTGCGGTCTACCAGTCGAAGTTGCTTTGCTAGCCCTACGACTTGACGACCAACGAATGACGAACAACAATCCTATTGTGCTACATTTCAATATCGATACGCGACAGGGAGAAGGAGAAGACATAATGGAAGCTGCCCATGTCTATCATTTTACAGGTGGCTTCAGTGAGAATGCGGGGCTAATAAAAGGTGATCGAGGTGAGGGCTGGAAGGAGTGGACTGTTGACCAGGGCTCATGGTTCATACAGTGATTAATTGAGTCACCAATAAAAGTTTTGTCTCTGCTCAGAAAAGGAATTGTTCTCGTGATTCAGAGAAACGGCAGCCATTGATGATTTGGCTCATAGAACCGTGTATGGTGATAGTTAGACGTCACTATCCAGCGCGGCCTCTCTGCGACCCCTGACTTCCCTGACGAGACCTTTCGCTTCCTCGACTTCATAGCCATCCATGCACAACTCCTCAGCCAATTTCTCGGCACGGTCCAAATCACCCATCTTGACACTCCATCGCGCAAGCCACAGCCGCGCCTTGGACGTTGTGGCCGTAGTGCCCGTGCCAAATCCATCATTATCTCCAGGCTCTTGGTCATCGACATTGTCCATAGACGATTCCAACGGCGAAGACGACGACAGAATCTCCGTATCATCGTCACCTTGCCCTTCCACCACATCATCATCGAGACTCACGTCGGCATCTTGACCAGCCTCAGCCCTCATCGCAGATACTCTCGCCCTGCGCTCATCCGTCACAGCACTGGCCCTCGCCTCTTTACGTTGTCGCTTTTTGAGAGCTTTTTCCGCCTGCACCACGGACTTATGACTCCCCCCAATTTCCTGCGCGACACACAATTCCATGTATCTCGCGGCATCAGCCTCGCCGGGTGCGCCCATCCGCTCATAAAGCAAGGCGATCTGGTACAATGTTTCTGGATCGAGCAATTTGCGCGGTGTTTTGCGTTCCTGCTGCTGAGACTGCGACGGCTTGCTCCTGTTGGCGAAACTCGACTGCGGCGAAGAGTCTCTCGTGTCGTCGAAATACGTGCCTGCCACCAACGCGCGTTTCTGCGCTTTGATAGCTTGATCCAATCTGTCCATTTTGGCATAGCATGACGCCACGGCTTGCCACATCTTAGGGTCATACGGCCTGAGTCCGGCAGCGCGTTGGTAATAAAACAATGCGTAGAAGCCCATGTCTAGCACCTCGTAGGCTTGGCCGAGACCGTACCAGGCTCTGTAGTCCTTGCGGTTGACGTCAACGGCGCGTCTGTACGATTCGATGGCCGCGTGTGTGTTTTTGAGTTCGATGTACTCGTGGCCCATGAGTGTCCAGGCTGACAGGAAATTGCGGTCTAGAGTCAAAGCGCGTCGGAAGTACATCACCGCCTTCTCGTGCTGGGAGCATAGGGAGTAGTAGTTGCCCACGACGCAGCATGTTTCTGGGCGGAATTTGTCGACGGATGTAGCGAGATGGGCCAGAAAGGCTAGCTTGGGCCGGTCCGTCATCACGTACAGGATATTCGAGTAGTGGTCTAGTCCGTCGAGACGGTGCGGATGGGCGATTAGGAGGTCTTGGAAAATTGAGGCGGCGGTTTCGTACTCTTTAGCGTGGTAGTGCAAGGTCGCGAGCTGGGTGAGAAGGAAGGTTGAGGTTGGGAAGTAGCTGAGCAGGGTGCGCAGGTAGCTTAGGGTTGCGGACTGATCGGTCGTCGAGAAGAGGTCGACTGATGCGCAGGCTTGGTACATTATACTCATGATGTTCGTTGGGAGGATGGATGGGGATATTTGTGCGCTGAGGTCGTCGACGGATGATAAGAGAGAGGCAAGTTCTTCCCAGGCACCCCAGTGGTAGGGGTTGATGCGAACGGATCGGAGGAGCCATTGCTGCGCCAGATCTTCTTGTCGCGATTTGGAAAGGACGACACCGTATAAGTATTCGAGCCAACCTTGTGAGCGCTTTTGCTGAGGATCTGTCGCGTCTCTGGCTCGAAAGTATGCTTCCAAGCCCCTGGCCAGGGCTGAAAGTTCGCGGTTTGTAGTCTGTCCGCCGTCTGCAGGCCCCAGTACCATCTCCGTCTCTTCATCTTTGCGTTTCTCGCCGCCTAAGTATCGAGCATACAGTGACAGGAACAGGGACTTTTGGCTGAGTCGGGGAAAGGGGTTGACTCCAGTCGAGTCGGCTTGCCTCGTCTTGCCTTTGTGTCGTGGCGGTGTAGACGTGGGCGTTCGACCTTTGGGACGGTCAAAGATCGCCAGACCTCCTGCTGGTATGGCTGGCGGTAGAAATACCGCTGCACATCTATCAAACTCTTTCGTGTCGAAGAATGCTTTAGCTAGCAGATATTTTGTGGCTTCCTTCGCTTCTAATGCCGCCTCTTCAGGATCGTCGTAACTCGTAGAAAATATGCGATATGAGGATTGAACATTATTCGTATCGTACATGCGGGAATCGGAATCGTCGTCAAGGTCATTATTTTCGGGTAGGGAATTCAACAACTCTGCTGCCCTGAGTCAGTCAGCTTGGATGTAACGTGAATCAGAGTCCGTTCGTCCTACCATTTTGCTGATTGATATAAACATCGCTCCGAGCATTTTATGGACACTTCGGTGAGTCTGTCTCGCAGTTCTGACACGACATCTGGGTCAATATCTCCAGCCAAGCTCTCATTTTGTGATTGCGACACCATATTGCATGGCGCAGTCTATTCCGCTCGAGCAAACGTTGCCTGACCGCTTTGCGAAGTGGTAGTCGTTGTTGAAGTTTCCTATTATTTACAAATGCTGAATTGGAGAACGCGTCGCGGGGAAGAACAAGCGCGAAGTGGGCACCCAAGTGGCACCCCTTAGAAATTGTGGTTTAGTGCAGCCTTGTCATTGTCACTGATGGCATTATCGGGACCCTTACAGGACGAGACCGAGATCAAGCATGGTGAGTTCATAGAACAGCATGCATGCTCGATTACACAGAATAGAAACTATTTTTCATATACCGGGTCATACTCCAGACCAGAGTCCAATGCCGGTCAGAGTCTACCGGACAGTCAACGCATCCACCAGATCTCGTACTATAGTCGCATGGGATACACCAGATGCAAGTTCTTCAAGCACTAGACCACTTTGCCCGCTCTGTGCCCAGACTGCTGATAGTACCTCTCACGACAGGTACACCATCAGACTAAGCGCGAAGGGCACCATTGCCAGCCACGAATGACATTCGTAGCTTGCTGCAACACTCGAGGAAGTTGCAGAAGCCGTCGTTTGACTTGCCGTGCCTGTGGCTGAAGCACTCGAGCCTTCACTGCCTGCAGTATTGCTTGCGCTCGTCCCTGTCGTGGTCTTGGGTGCCGGAGAGGCCGCCGTTGGGCTGGAGACTGTTGATGTTGCACTTGTGTTGACGGAAGCACCCATGGCTGTGATCAGTTGACCTTGGCTGTATATAGTCTGTGACAGAAGCGTAAGCCAGAGTTCCATGACAAGATTGATTCATACTCACTCCGCAAGCCCCAAAGATATCGATATCGCTCAAGGCTGTACTTTGGTTTCGGCATGTAACAGCAACATCGTAGAAGCACACCGAAGCCATCGACAGTAAGCTGGGCGCGCAAGCACAGCTGTAGAAGGATGACGCAGTAGCTGAAGGATCAAGGCTCAAGCAATCCGACTCAAAGTTCGTCAAGATCGAGCACGAAGAGCTATAGTCGGTGCATGCAGCTGGTTGATAGGTTGGTACGGTCGTGGTAGGATTACTCAGGACAGGAGTGGTGGGTGTATATGTGACATAGTCGTCGCACCACTCATTCCAATCATCCAAGACACTAGTGTAGTAGTAGTCATACTGGTCGTTGAGATAACAAAGCCGGTACTCGCTTCCGCAGCTACGCAGCTCGATTAGTACTGGGATAGGTCAGCAATGAGGCGGTAGGACTTACTCCACGATATCGTCAACAACCGCCTGCTTGCAATAACAGCCTTCAACACTGGCTGTGTTGGTTGTCTGGGCAAAGCACGAGTCGATGGTGGTGCTGAGCCGATCACAGGCTGTCAATGAAGTCATGCTCGCCTGGGAAAGGCAGCCGTAGGAGTTGTTCTGGCCATAGACAACCGCGATGAGTAATGCCAGCACGGTCCCGCGGATTGAAGCACCCATGGTATCGTAAGGCTGACGGTCGTGTTTTTAATGACCAATATTGCGAGGAAGAGTATTCTCCTGGGCAGGAATCTAACGCTTACAAAAGTCGTGTCAAAGGCAAGACTCTTCGGAGAGGAACAGTTGCAGCGCCTGGCGGCGTACATGTAGAAGTACTTCTCATTATTGACGGCTTTGACTTCTTGTTCCTGTTCTCTGCATGCACGTACCTTTCTCCGCCTTTGACTTCGGTGTGGACGTTTCAGCTGAGGATCCGGAGGCGGCCCCGATCATGCATGTCCGGAGATCCCTTGGCGCCATTGGATGGGGTGCTCATGCGTGCAATGCCGGAACGGGCAGTAAGCCACAAGCCTTGATAGCCTGTTATATGGCGCTAGCGAAATGAGTACGAGGGGTCCCTGTCTAGGTCTAGACAATCAGGCTGAGACATGGACGCAGCCGGCCTGATTGTGAACACAAATGTTGCGGGAGCCCAACAGCAGAAAAGCGTGGTGGAATGAGTAACTGGCCCGGTTCGGGCGACATGCATGCTTGCATGCCAAGTGCCTCAGGCCTGTCACGAAAGGATGCCGGTTCTAGGATTGACTGGTTTTGTGGCTGGCTGGTGTTGAAGGGTTGGTGTTTTAGGCAATGATGAGTTTATTATTTGGGGTGACGCGAAACCTTGGAGTGTCTCAGCCTCGTAGCCGCCACCTACTCCTGAGGCCTTCAGCCTCGTGACAGTATGTTACAGCCATACTATCTGATGTCGTGGAATCCGCCATCATTCACCAGAAGACTGCCATTCATATAAGAACTCTCATCACTCAGTAGAAAACTGAGCACATTGGCTTGCTCCTGGGCGAACGCCATCCTTCTCAGACCAATCTGCTTGCTGACACCAGAGTCCTTGTTTTCTTGTGTTCCAATGGTGCCTTCCTTGCCCATACTATGTTCGACCATTTTCGTCAGAGTCCAGCCTGGGCAAAGTGCGTTCACACGGATGCCACTTGGACCATAGAACTTTGCACCGTTCTTGGTAACTCCTATGGCTGCATATTTGCTGGGTGTGTAAGCAGCCAGGCCAGCCGCTTGAAGTCCCGAGATCGAGACGACGTTGGCAATGGCTCCCCGCTGACCCGGAATCGTATGTGGGCTTTGCGGAAGAAAAGTGATCTCCCGAGGCTGCTGCATTCTCATTTGCAATGCTTGATACTTCTGGCATAGCCACAGTCCTCGAGTATTGATAGCATAAGTCCTAACAGCAATAGTCAGCCAATTTCCTTCCCGAGGGCGCCATCCCTTACCTCTCGAAGAGTTCCGTGGTAATACTTTCTTCCTCGGCCCATATTGACTCACAAATCCCAGCACAATTGGCAGCGTAGTCGAGACGACCTGTCCATTTGGTGGTCGAAGCAATAGCATCCTTGACCTGCTCTTCTTGGGTAATGTCGACCTTGAGAAACTTGCTGCGTACATTCCACTTCTTTTCAACCTCATCCGATACCCTTGATCCGTCCTTCTCATTCATGTCGATGACGAACACAGATATACCACGGCTAGCGAGTTTGTGAGCAGTGGCTTCTCCAATACCACCAGCAGCGCCAGTGATCATGGCCACTCTCCCAGCCATCCCAGCCATAATCAGTCTAAATGATTACACGATGGCACCAATTCCCTTGAACCTACCGTACTGCGCAAGGCACACCTGAACAAGAAGCAAGTCTCTGATTCAGGCTATATAAACGTACTACAGAGACCGGGACCTGCCCTGCCTGCCCCGTCAATGCCGTGGAACTGGATTATCCACGGGTTTACCTTTCTTTCATCAAGCGGTGCGGAGAAGAGTGAGAAGAGGAGGTTCGGTCCCACGATGTACCTGAGCTGAAGATGCCTACGTCCTATCACGACATCGCAGGCAAATCTATAGGCCTGACTCCGCACTCCCCGTGTCCCTCGGGAGTCGGTACGGGTATGCAGATAACCGGATCCCTCCAGCCAACGGTCCCCAATCCCCGCACTGCATTCCATGGGGTCGATGAGAAGAGTACACCCATTTTGGTCCTTTATGACTGCCTATCAACTTGGGGCTTACGACTGATTGGCTATGACGGGCGGCGGTCGGCCTTGCATAGTCGATCGTGCATCTCTGGACGTCTCAACGTTATCTCTGCCTGGCGCAATTGCAACCCCAAAATCCTGAGACCTACATTCACATATCATGGCATTCTCCTCCTCATTCTCGGGTTGGGGACTTTCCCTTGTAGCATACCAAGATCGCTACAACCGACAAGGCAACGGTATATATCTGGGATCAGTATGGGCGCCTTCAACAGAGGTTATGCTAGATCTCTGCACGGATTTCAGCTGCAAGCGGCTATCACCCTCTGTTCAGCATGGGCATTTACACTATTTGGTGGGTCCTGGGGGTTCACATCCACGGCTTCTGTGGCTGACACTGAATTTTCAGGATACGACCAGGGCGTCCTTGGAGGCTTGATCGCTCTTCCAAGTTTCCTCAAAGCCAACCATATCAACCCAGACAATGCTGATCTGCAAGGCACAATCGTGGCCATCTATGATATCGGGTGTCTGTCGGGGTGTATTGTCGCCGGCTTTGTTGGCCAGAAACTCGGCCGCCGTCTATACATTGTCATCGGCGGTGGCCTCATCATTGTCGGAGCAGGATTGCAGGCTGGGTCACATGGCAGCAGCTACTTGATAGGCGGCCGTGTGATAGCAGGCATCGGAATGGGTAGGTGCAATTCCCAGAATACCTCAGCATTCAAAAGCTAACCCCCTGTCGTCAGGCCTCACAACAACGATGGTGCCCATCTGGGTCGCTGAAACGTCGAAAGCCAGTTCTCGGGGTGCTCTCATCGCCGCCCAGCTCACAATCGTCATCCTTGGTTTGACTATCGCGTACTGGGTAAGAAATCCCCCGAGAAGTATCGCAAGTGGTCGGGCTAACGCTTCGTAGTTTGACTATGGCATGCTTCAACACCAACCCAACACCGAGGCGGTATGGCGACTGCCAATCGCTTTCCAGGTCGTGTTTATCATACTCGCTTGGGCCACAATATTCTTTCTGCCCGAGTCCCCACGTTACCTCTATGCAAAGGGCGAGATAGACGACGCTGACGATATCATGGCTCGAATTTACTCCGTTCCTGTGGACAGCGCAATAGTCACCAAGCACCGCGCCGATGTCTTCGCCACCCTCGAAGCAGAGAAAGAATACAAGTTCAGCTTCAAGAATCTTTTCTATGACACCTCGCCCGTCAATACAACGTGGAGACTCTGGCTGGGCGTCCTTAGCCAGCTTTTTCAACAGATGGACGGAAACAATATTGTCTCCTACTATGCGACATACCTCTTTATTCATTCTCTCGGGATGTCTCAAAACACAGCATCCATCACGTCCGGCGGTGTGACACTACTTTTTCTTGGTGGTACTGCTACCACGATCTGGACAGTCGAGCACTTGGGCCGGCGCACTGTCATGCTTTACGGAGCGATCTTCTGCTCCATATTTATGATCTTATTCACAATCGGTCTCGGAGTCAACACGGACCACTCGCTGAAGCTAGCGGTAGTGAGTATATTCCTGTTTGAGTTCTTTTTCGGTGAGTATTTCTTTCCTCGAAGATCTGTCCCGTAGAAGCGCGAGACTTTCGATACTTCCCCTGTTCTACCGGTATAGCATCTAGACTGACCGTAACCAGGCGCTTCGTGGTGCCCACTGGTATGGGTGTACGTACCGGAGATCGCTCCTCTACATGTCCGACACGTGGGCACAAGCATGGGCGTATTCACCCAGTGGTTCATCACCTTCATCGTGGTCAAATTCGGCCCGATGGGGATACAGGACATTGGGTACAAGTTCTATATCCTTTTCTGCGTGTTCAATGTGCTTGCCATCGTGTTTGTGTATTTCTGCGTCAAAGAGACGAAGGGACTCAGTCTGGAAGAGATTGATGTCCTGTTCGCGCGGAAAGAATACAAGCATGTGCTGCAAGCCCGTCTTCGAGGAGATCCTGAGGCGACAGACAAGAAGACTGCACATGGGCGGGAGCTAGTCGAGCATGAGACAGTTGAGCAAAAGTGAAAGGCTGTGGGATATAAGCAACAGGATGACCTGCATTGGAATGGTGTATAACATGGCTGTGGATGTAGAGCGAGGCCCTGAATGATATCTACATGACGCCATGGAGTAGGAAGAGCACCATGAGGAGTGTTGAAGGTGTGGCGTTTGGCGTGGAAAAAGGGGAAATCTTAGTCAGCTAAGTCTGGCGGAGCAAGCATGATTACTGCGCAAAAGCTTCGGTCAACTTTGTGGTCACAAGCGCCGTCACAACTTCCGCATTTCCGCATTTCTTTGCGTGAGGCATGAAAGTGTCCAGTACATGACTCGCGACGTTTGGTGAATGCGCGTCGATATGCGAACATCCTTACACATCTAGCAAGAATCCTCGCTTTCATCTGTCCCCTGACGTCTAATCAGGCCTCACGATACAAGACACAACGGCCTGTCCTGACGGCCACCAGTCAATACTAGACCCTTCATAATGTCAACGTACGTCAGAGTCCATGCCTCGTGCCCTCATGAACATGCCTACTAATCCTGTTCTTGCACAGCAACCGCTACTCCGCCCTCAACAGGCGCGCGGCGCCCTCATCAGCCCTATTCCAAGACTATCCCGGCTCCAGACCATCCAGCTCATCCTCAAGTCGACCTGGCTACGCCTACTCTTCACAACCCGACGGACATCGCTCTTCTTCACCATATCTAAACTCTTACACCGGCACGAATGGCGCATCACCCGATGGGTCTTTCAGATCCGCAACGCCGAATTCGAAGGGCCAGTACTCGACGTCCGTACTCGAGGAGCTGGAATCCCAAAACGAGAACACTGCCACGACACTGTTGTCGCAAAAGGTGTCGCAGTTGAAAACTTTAACAGTCGCGATCGGCGATGAGATACGAGATTCGAGTGCGTTGGCCAGCCAGATCAATGACAATTTCGAGAACGCTAGTGTACGGTTAAAAGGCACCATGAGGAGGATGTTGAAAATGGCGGAACGGACGGGCGTCGGGTGGAAGGTGTGGGTGTTGTTCTTTATCGCTGTATGGGCGATATTTGCGTACGTTTGGCTGTTTTGATTGTCTGGAAGACCACATATGCGGGCGTTCTGATATAAGAGTATCGACGTGACGCCACATGTCGTGAAGGCGACACCGAGGCTTCTGTCTCCCTCACCTCGTCCACCTCGTCCACCTCTGTAACGAATCGGCCAGGACAGGGACGACCAACCCTCGAGCATGGACTCTTCTCCGAGCAACTCATCGGCCGAGTGTTTGCCTGATCAGCACGTTTTCGCCACACCTGTACATTACTTCGGATCCGGTCTTTTACGTTTTTGCAGAAACACGAACGAAAAGGAAGAGCATGGCGTAGCGGCGCATCTGTCTTGATCTGATCGCATGGATATGCAAGAATATTGTGGTGCACAAGGCACTGGTCACATACTGTTACAATATGACCCTAATAATCATAATCACATATGCACACTACTTGTAATTCTGACTGTGCAGCAAGGTCGTAGCACTTTTGCGCATGATGTTATCACCCCATGTCCGCCCTCCTTCTCGAGCCCAGAAATCGACCGCTCCGCCTCCGCTGATGCGCTTGAGTCTGGCCTGGATCCTGGCTCGCGCTGTTTACCGGCGTTTCCCATTCCCCTTCCACGCCGGATTCAGCAGTGACTACTGCAGCTGTTGAAGTCGAAGGCGGCGTGAACAGTCCCCCACTCGAAGTATCGGTGATCACTGCTCCCGCAGCACCTCTTCTGGCAGATCTTCCGAATAACGTCCGTCTTGCGCTCCCGCCCACCGCGGCAGCAGCACCGTCAAGCCATGCCCTTGCCGCAGTGGCCCGTGACGGTGATGGACTTCCACTGACGTTCACTGCGGTCGTGCCTGCACCTGTCCTGCCCGTTCTATCATGTGAAACTTCTTCAGTCGCTGAAGCGAGCATAGACAGTCCATGCGGATGCGGCCTGGGGATGGGTCTGGGACCAGCACCGGAGGATGCGAATGGATCGGCGTCGATGTCGCCGTCGTCGTCGCTTGCGCCAGTACCCTGGGTCTCGGCGTCCATCGGACTATCTAGCATGGCCGGCGTGTGGAAGTACGGCGCTCGCAGTTGGCGGTGATGTCTGTTTCCAGAAACGGCGGCTCGTGGTGCGGGATGGTCCATCTCTGGAGTCGGTCTGTGTGAGTGTCCTGCCCGGGGTGGAACCTGGGGCGAGACATTGAAGCCCCAGCCTGCCTCGGAGTTTCGTGGTCCAGACGCACGTCTCGGTCCGCCCGCAATTTGAGGTTGTAGCCGTCCTCCGTGACCTATACTCGACCGTGCCTGACCCGGCACTGGAAGGATGGAAATGTCCATCTCGCTTTCTTCGAGCTCGGTATCCGTATGCTCCCATGCCTGGTCTGATTCTGCCGCGTCTGGAACGTCATCATCTAGGTCTCTTTCGCCGCCGGCCGCATCGTCGTCCTGCTCAAAGATCTCATCCTCATCGAGCATCGCATTCGCTAGGTCTTCGGCCTCGCGCTCATCGTAGTCATACTCGCTTCCTGGAACCGGGATCCGCACACCCGCGATATGTGCGTGTCTGCCCTGCCGGCCTGGGTATCGCCGAGCGCTTGCACCACCTTCTTCATCGGAGTCTGGCTCTCGGCGCGTGTCGTAGGTCCAATTCGTACCGGTATCGTCCCCAGCAGGAGACATGACCTCGTCATCGTCCTGATCGTCTGCATCCGGGATCTCGTCGTCCAGATCGCCACCCAATCCGTCATCGCCGTCGGAGCCTTCTTCTTCTTCCTCGTCGTCCTCATCAAGGTCTCCCTCTTCCTCTCCGGCGTCGGCGTCGGGTATATCTTCGTCCAAGTCTCTGTCACCCTCCGGTTCACCTGTCTCGGTTTGTTGTGCTAGGCGTTCTTGTTCTTCCGCCTCCTGCTGTAATCGCTCTTGTAATTCCACCTCCCTTAGTTGTCTTTCTACTTCCTCCCTCTCAACCTCCTCTTCTCGTCGGCCGAGCATTGTCTTGGGACATCCTGCCGGTTTCAGCCAGCTGTAGCCGTACATTGCAATGGCCATTTTGCGCTGTACTATCGTTCGCTCATCTGAAGATAGGACTGCGAGAGTGGTCGTGCGGTGAAGTGCTGAGGCATGTTGTTTGTTGCGCCGCGATTGATGTTGGTGTGGTTGGTTGCTTGTGTGGTCTGGTGTCGGTTGAGTGAGAGGAGGTAGAAGGGACGATGCGGGAGGAGGAAACAGGGGGAGGGATGTCGTTAGAAGCATCTTGTCTTTTTCCCGGATTGCTTTGGTTGGATTGAGGTCTATGGTTGGTACAGATGTGAGAGATATTGAATGTTCATCGCCATTGTTTATTTGCACGATACTCGGCACCGCGAATTATTTTGCGACGTCTGCAGAAGGCCCAACGCGCTTCGTGTAATCGGGGGTCTTTACCCCGAGTGGCCGACCTTACAGACTACCCCTGGTGAAGTGCGTGTAGCATAATAGCATTATCAATGATGATATATTTGACATGTTCAAGCATTTAGAACGCTGATGAAGCTCACTGCGATGCTCAAAGGAGTGTCAGGTCCATCTAACCGTCGTCATTGAGCAACGTTTCACGCCACCAGATAACCCCTGATGCTCACAGCCTCGCCAGGTTACACCCCACTCGAACGTCTGTGAAGGGCTCTTCCCATCCCCAAATTCTTGATTTATATGCGTCTGGGTGCATATCAATAAACTTTCACTTGGCGTCACGCGTTTCTCACGTCTATAGTCTTCCACATTCGATACCAGTCTCTTACCTCTTCTCTTGCTTCGTGGTGGCGACTTCACCAGTCTCTACATCATCGCCAGCAGCCGGAATGCCTTCAATCTTGGCATCAAGATGAAGATCCTTGCGCACGTGGAGTGGCACAATCACGCTGTCCTCGTCCAGATAGTTGGTGTCCTTCAAGTATTTCCAAGCAACGAAATACAAAATCGGCCAGCACAGTGTCGCCAACGCGAAGTATGCTCCGTTTTCATTTTCGTACGGTTGGGCAGTGGCGTCGACCCCAAAGGAGACGGCAGTTCCCGCACTGAGGACTATTGAATGGTCAGTCTTCGACGGCTTCTAGAGTTTTCGGAGAGTAACTCACTTCCAACAAATATACCACTGTTTGCTGCACTTCTCCGAGGTTCGTTCGTCAACCCACCGAGAACATAAATGACGAGGTTCTGGAAGATGCCATATTGAGCAGCATAGAACATGTAAATGACGACGGCTCCGGCATATGCCTTGTCGTGAACATCAATGGAAGGTCCAGCCACGGACCTGTCGAACTTCCAGCTACTCAACCAGGCGGTTTGTGCAATGTAGGCCCCAGTTATCCAGACAGCATCGATGGTGATGCCGATGAAGGCACGCTTTCTTCGTGTGCCGAGCTTTTCGCAATCCAGTATGTAACCCATACCAATGGTGACGGGGATCTGAATGAGATTGTTCAAGAGGGTGTTCAGAGTTCTCGTGCGAAGATTGAATGCATATGCATTGATTGACGCTTGCATTGGGAAAAAGACTTCGGGCGCGAACAGTGTCGGGATAAGCATGAGAAGTCGGACATCTGTAAAAGCCTTCTTGGTTTCGAGCAACGCCTCTTTCAATGACATTTTGTTGAAGATCGCAATTTTGGTTCCATCAGGTCGGATCAACTTCTCAGGGTCCAGCATCAGCATCGCAAAACCTATCGAGGCTGTCTGGATGATGATGAAAATGATATAAACTGAGTGTGGAACTCCGGCAGTTTTCGCATGCCAGTTGATGCCCAATGCAATACATGCACCTATTGCAGCACCTGTAACATTGAATGTCCATTGTATAGCTCTCCAAAGGCCTTTGTCTTTCTCTTCTGCTAGAGAACTGGACATCCAAGCGGCTGTCGTCCACAAGCAGCCGGCAGTCAGTCCCAGGTAGGCACCAGCAAAGACGGGATACCAGAGATGTCCGAAGGCGTCAAAGTACCACATGGCGCCGATGTAGATTGGGTATCCAGTGATGGCGAATGCGACAGTGATACGAGGTCCGAGAATATTCAAGACCGAGCTAGCTCCAATGGCACTGAAGGTGAAAACGCCATAGAGGACACCGTTACTGGTGTCGGCCATGGAACTGGATGAAGGACGACCACCACCAGCCCCAAGGAGCGTGATTGCAAGGTATAAGCCGGGGTTGCAGAACAAACATGCTGACATGAGTAGGTTTTGGATGAAGGGATTAGTCCGGCGCAGAAATGGCAGTTTGACGCTGCCAGTATTGACAGTGTTCCCATCGAAGGATTCTGCCATGATGAAGAGTTCTGCGTAGGTTGCTGTGATGCGATCTAGGGGAGCGATACTACCTGGTTGTACCAAACGTTCTGAGGGCACATGGAATATATACCAAGATACCACCCATGTCCAAGTCAATGCTTATCTTCAGGAACGGCCCATGCAGTAGTGATCGACAACGGGCAGGTTGATGTTATCTTAAGGGACGATACGCGGTCAACCCCGCTGCCCCGGACGCACTCCGTATGGTGGTAGATATGAGTTCGTCCAAAGTGGAGTTTGTTGGTATACCATACGAATGATACGAGTGATCTACGAGGGAAAGCCTCGGCTCCACCGGACTCGCTAATATACCTAGTTTCTTCCACACTTCTTTATCTAACCGCTGGTCGTCGTTGGCCATATTGGCTACCTCTTTACATTGCTCCATATAATCCCCTGGTAGCCTTGTAATTGGACAACCTTGTTATAGGCTATATTCGTGCTTGCGCTTGCATTGCAGATCGAGGGTGATGGCCTGATTTCCGATGCCCATAGTCACCTTTCGGTCGCACCGAAGACGAAATACCCAATTCGACAGGTGAGACTTTCTCACACAATCTCGGACCAACCGAGCTCTTGCAACTCATATGCAACAAAGTTGACAGCAGAGACTAGACTAGAGCACCAGTCTTGCTATCAGTGACTCAAAGCAACACCAAGAATAGCCACCGAGACTCCTGGCATTGAACGGCCAACATCAAGCGAAATCCGTTTGACATCACCCAGCTTCACTCATCGGGAAAAATGGAGTGGCAGGGGATAGCCAAAGATGCTCGAAGCAAGGTGCTCGATGCGATACCATCAACCTGGTGCCTGGATTCAAAATGGACGTCTCAGACTGCTAGTAGTGTCATCGATATTCCTCGAAACAGTGGCGTTCTGACCAAGAGGCAACTCGATATCACCGATCAGAGTCTGGTTCAGCTGGTTGTGAACCTCGCTCGCGGGATCTTGACAAGCGTTGAGGTTACAGAGGCCTTTTGTGCCAGAGCAGCCATTGCTCACCAACTTGCACGTTTGTTGCTTCCCCCCAGACGAGCAAAGGCTTACGGTTTCCGCGACAGACGAATTGTTTGACAGCATTCTTTCCCGAAGAAGCGATAGATGCTGCCAAGGCTTGCGACGCCCATTATGCGGCAACAGGCAAAGTCATTGGACCATTACACGGGATCCCTTTGGCAATCAAGGTATGTCTCGCAAGTCTACCCAACCTTTGCTGATACCTCGGCTTCTAGGACCAGTACAATGTCAAAGGGCATCCCTCTACTCTGGGTTACATTGCAAATTATGGGAATGCTGCGCAAGATGATGCTGCCATTGTCAAAGTCCTGCGAGACTCGGGAGCCGTCATATTCGCAAAGACTACGATGCCTCAGACGGGTATGGCACTCGAGACTACTAGCAATCTGTGGGGCAGGACCATCAATCCTTACAACAGAGAGTTGGCTTCAGGGGGTTCCTCTGGTGGCGATGCTGTTCTGGTTGCTATGAGAGGCAGTCCTGTTTCCCCATCCTCCGACATAGGCGGCTCGATCAGAGCCCCGGCAGCCTTCAACGGACATTACTCGATCAGGCCTTCTGCCGATCGGATTTGCAAGACTGGTATGGCCACGACTTTATCGGGCCAGATCTCCATCAAAGTTTCATGTGGCCCAGTCTGCCATAGTCTGGATGACTTGAAGCTATTCATTAAGGTCATCAACGCATATCCGAGCATGCAATTCGCGCCAGGCGTGGTGCCTCTGCCATGGAGGGACGTCGAGACGCCCAAGAGAAAACTTACGTTTGCCTTGTGGGACTTTGATAGCGTCTGTATGCCGCATCCACCTATTCTCCGGGCTTTGAAGGAGACTGCAAATAAACTGACTGCTGCTGGACACGAAGGTGAGATAGTACTACTCGAAAGGTGTTGCAAAGCTTGCTGACTCGTTCAAAGTGGTGAACGTCGACCTTCCCTTCGATTGTTGGACAGTAGCGTTGACGACCTGGAAGATCTACTTCCAGACTGGCGCTGTGGAAATGAAAGCGAAGCTTGCAGAAGGCGGAGAAGACATGTTGCCGTCGCTCAAATATCATCTCGAGGCCTTCGGCATCAAACCCTTAAGCGCAGCAGAGGCCTTTGGCTTGAACCGTGAGATGTCGGAGTACAAAACAGCAATGTCACATTGGTGGAGCACATCATCGTCAAGGACAGACAGCGGCCGACCATTCGATGCGATCATCGCCCCAGTGCATCCCTCCACCAGCTATCCTCACAATTTTGCGTCGTGGTGGGGTTATACCACCATCTGGAATATCCTCGACTATCCTTCATTGACCATACCAATCAAGAAGTTCAAGATTTCCCCTGAAACCGACCCGAAGGACCTCGATTACAGACCAATGGACAACAAATTTGACAAAGCAACTTATGAGATGTGTAAGTCCTACCCGGTGGATTGAAATGCAAGTGGAAAACTGACTCTTCTCAAGATGACCCGGAGCTTTTCGCGAATCAACCTGTTTGTTTGCAAGTCGTCGGAAGGCCTTTCCAAGATGAAGAGATTGTTGCAGTCGCAGAGGTCTTTGATGGGGTTGTCAATCCGCCCACATGGAGGCTGGAAGACTACAACTAGCCTTCGAAGAGCGCCTTTAGATCTGTCGATATTGGTGAATACTAGTCGGCCTCCCTGCATGAGTCTGCCTATGTCCATGTTTCTTGGCAAACAAAAGGTGATCCGACAATAATGGAGCACATCTACGTGGACTTATGATCTCTGGTGCCGATCCTTGCAGGAGGCTTTCTTTGGAAGTTGCAAAAGTCCCTGTGATGTGTCAAGAAATAGGCCAAGAGAATAGTTTGGGGTCTAGAAACTAATGAAATACGAGGTCGGTTAAGTCATTTGAGGAACACGAGGTATGTCTGCGGATCAGTCCGGTGGTGCTTCCTCCTTTGTGCCTGGCCGGAGTTGATATCTACTTTTCTGAGATCGACGAAAATTCCTCGTTCTCAAGCCTTTGACGTTACTATTTCCAGCTGCCATATGTACTTCGTGTTGATGGTGTTTCCTTCATGGCCAGTCGGCAACAACATCCACTGACGTCTAGGAATTGATGGGAGTCTCTTATTCTGCAAGCCTTCGACTTGACTGTTCCAGCTGCCAAGTCTGTTTCGTATCGACGATGCTTTTCCATTCCTGAGCAGATTGGAAGGACCCGCGAGGCCGGCATGCAAGCAGATTTCCAGCCTTGAAGAAGCTCACCCGACATTTCTCAACATACTCAACGTACGGTCATGATCACTGTAAGGGATGGTGTCTCTGCAGATCACAAGTCTCAACATCACCGGATTAGCGAGCTTGGTGCAGAAGATGCGCTTTTACTCACCTGCATTCAGCTTCCTTCGCTAAACCACCTCTCCTCCAACCACATGGGTAGAACCGCCTGAGACACGGGGGCTGGAAGACAAACACGACGCGATGTCGCCCACAAACACGAGGACAGGATCCGAATACGAAAGTGGTATCGATTCCCTCGACTGAGTAGTGGGGAGTGCAGCATTTGTTCTTTGTTTTTGTGTCCTTGCCTGTCCAAAAACTGTTTAGACTTTGACGGAAAGGGGTTTCATCATCTGCGAGAGCAGTTCACAACAAGGGTCGACTCTCCTCTCCGCTGCCTGTCTCGCTCACACCAATACGAGCTCTACCGGTCTCTGGCCTATATAAAGGACAATGGAGTATAGGTGGGATTCCTTCGATTCCTTCATTCCTCTTCTAAGAAACAAAGTTGATTCCTTTTTTCTCAACACACAAAACAAACAAAATACTTGCATTCTACTGTCCATCATGCACGTCTCCTCAATCTGCAGGCCCGTACTCCTTGGGGCCATCGTAGCAGTGGTCTCTGCGTCGAAGCCTCCGGGCATGTCCCATCTCAAGTCTCATCGCCAGCTCTTGCATAACCTCATGCCTCGTCAGGGCTGTACATCCGATCAAGTGACTTGTGGAGGGGGGTGTCTTGTCGCAGGCAGCGACTGTTGTGTCCCTGGCGCCACCCACTGGTATTTCTGCGATCCAGGCGCGTTTTGCTGGTCCTTTGCCAATGAGACCACTGCTTGCTGCTCACCGGGCGACGTTCAATGTGGCGTTAAATGTATGCCACCAGGGTCAGTCTGCTGTGACGATGAGGGTGATTACTGTGACGCGGGAGAGTACTGCTTCATCAACACCGCTGGCAGCTTGAAATGCTGCCCTCCAGGGGAAAGCTGCACCGGCACGAGTACGACATACCAGGCCGGGATGACCGTCACCGGAGCCGCCACAACATCCGCAAGTACGTCAGCCTCAGCTTCAACGTCGGAGCCGGTGACTACAACTTCTTCAGTCTCAGTTGCATCAATTGAGTCAACCACATCTGCTAGCACTGGTGCCCCTATCGCCACCTTTACTGGAGCTGCAGTGACGGCCGGTCCCCAAGTCGCTGCCGTCGTTCTCGTGGTGGCCGGGCAATTGCTCCTTTAGATTCACGAAACCAAGAGCGACCAAGGCAGCCCGGTGTCTTGACAGCTGATATTGAGAAAATGTGGTGTATTGACATTAATGCGGAGCTTTTCTTCCATCGACGATTCAGCGCGGAATAAATAAGGCAGTGACAATGACAGTGAATCGTGACAGGCTTGCACGATTCTGCTTCTTGGTGATTTCGTAACTGGAGGAAGCAACAACGTTTCATTATGAGTTAATCGTAAACTCCCTTTGTGCCCGGCAGAAAAGGAACTTCACTGTGCCTATTATCACCTTCCTTCATTTCACTTCTTTATTGTTTCCCAGCTTTCTTCCTTCGTACCCGCCTTCATCATCCCTCTATTTCATTTCCATCTCATTCCTCTTGTACGACAAATCTACCGTGGTCCCTAATCTTCGACCCTCCACCTTCGTTCATCATCCGCCGCCACCATCCACGAACGATCTTGCTCAATCACCTGTCGAAATCATGGGTCGTTGGGGGCATCGTAAGCATTCATTCTTGATGATGAGGTTGTGTTTCACTAATGCATCGAATAGGGATGTTCGAAGGGGACACCGATCGGGATCTCATGGGAGATGTCAATCATGCCATGGAGCAGATACTCAAGGCCAAATACAACATCATCGAGCAAGATCAGCTGGACCGTTTCATCGAAGACATGACCAAGGATCAATTCCTGGAGAACATCAACAACATCAGTGTTGAGTTGTTTCAAGAATACCGTCAGAAGAAGGACCCCTTGTACGGCGTATATCCTACTGTGATACTGGGAGCAGTCATGATGACAATGGGTGCAAATATCTCCCCGGAGAACATCACCTACCTTCGCGAGGCGGCCAACAAGACAGCAAGCTATCCTGGATACCGGCTTCCTATTGGAGATCTAGGCTTTCGGGATCCAGGGAAGGCACAATTTCTCGCTGCTCTCGATCATTATCGAAATGGCGAGGCACGAGACTTCCATCAAGCTAGGTATTTCACCGCGTGCCCTACTTTGATGGACAGTAACCTAACACAGTTTATCCTAGCTGCTTCTACTGCGGCCGAATCAACAAGGACCTCAACCCACGATCTCTCATGAAATGCGGCCGTTGCAAAGAAGCTTGGTACTGCGACCAGGAATGCCAGCGCTCGAATTGGAAGAATCACAAGCTCATCTGCCGCAAAGACGGGGAACCACCAATGACCGCTGGCGGCTTCGGAATGCTGAACGTCTGAACACCGTCGGCTAACCAGGGTTGACTCTCAACAGAGACATGACAGTCGAGCAGTGAGCCGATCTGAAAGACACAGAGGCGAGGAAATGATGAGCAAGTGGAGAGGCGCAGACTAAGGTCTTGCTTGTACGAAGTGAAACGGAATCTGCAAGGCAGCAGAGTTGAGTGAACACGTGCTGAATGAGAAGCTCCACAAGAAGTCGCTGAAGTACCACTTTCTTTAGTCTAGGGAGGTTTGAGGTGCTCGACTACGAAACATCTCTTCTCTCAAGGTCGCTGCAATGTTATGCCCTCAATGAGTCCCATGTATGACAGTATAAGAAACCTCAAGTACTCAAGGTATCGATTCTCGTTGACTTGTGATGAGAACGTCACAGACGTCGAAGCAGGCAGAGAGACATGTCCCAGCTGTGTGGCCGTTCGTCGCTGGGTCGAGGAGATCATCAGCCATCATAAGTGATGGTGGCTGGCCGAAGGACGCGTGTGTCCGTCTCGGGAAGGTACACTGACTGCAGGGTTCTCACTTCCACACAGGATTGCCTCTTCCGAAGTAGTATAGCACAGTAGGGGTGTCGCCTGTCCAGAGGTCCCAAGTCGCAATGAAAGCTGCTTACTTGTGTGGATCCCGAGAGATCGAGTTCTGAAAGGGTCTATCTTGTTACCGTAATAGGTGCCCTGTCCGCTAAAGCACAGTCCTCAGCCAACCAATGGAGAAGAATTGTATCCGATGGCGAGTAGACTTCTGCCATCATAATCCGGAGACCCTGACTAGAGTATGTGGAGACAATCGCTCATCTGTGGGTGGACCTAAACACCGGGATCTTGCCACAACTCTATCTCAATGGTAGATGGCTTGACCACTCCGATGTCAAGTTTCGTCTTCGTAAGGAACATTTCTTGTGGTATGCTTTCACCAGGCACATCACAGCAGCATGGCGAACTCAATACCTTTCACGGATGTCCAGATCAAATCGGACTTCTGGGACGACATCATCAAAGTTTCTCGAAAACAAAGCCTGGAAATCATTCACCAGAAGCTCAGGTCATACGGACAATGGGATGCTATGCGACTTACGTGGAAGCCAGGCGACAATGGCGTAACTCCTGACATTTTGTGGGATAGCGACGTTGGCAAATACGTGGAAGCCGCATCGTACGCTTTATACCACGAAGAGAATCCTGAAATGCGAGACAGGGTCGACGAGGGCATAGACATGATCATCAAAGCACAACAAGACGACGGCTACATTGGAATTTATCACACCCTAGTCCAACCAGGAAGGCGATGGTCTAGCCTGGCACACAATCTAGAATTGTACGGAGGTGGCCATATCCTGGAGGCAGCCATCACGCATCATCTCACATCAGGACAGCCTAATGATGACAAGTTTCTCGCAGCCATGCAAAGCTACGTTGAGCTACTGCAGAAGGTTTTCGGCGAGGACAAATTGCTTGACTACCCTGGTCACCAAGAAATTGAGCTAGCTTTGATGCGCCTCTACGACATTACTGGCGACCAACGATTGGTTGACCTGGCCAAATTCTTTATCGAGGAGCGAGGTCGAACCGACGCCCCGCGTGAAGGCCATGCTTGGGATATTGCTGCGCTCAGGAGAGGCGATGATCCGAAGACCTTCTTCCCATATTACTGGCCCCGACCTCGCTGTTACTGGCACATGCAAGCACATCTTCCCATCCGAGAACAGCATGAAATTGTCGGACATTCAGTGCAAGCCATGTACTGGCTCTCTTCTGTTGTGGACGTCGCTCTTGCAGCAGGTGATACAAGCTACCTCGAAGTTGTAGACCGACTCTGGAGCAACATGGTCGACCGTAAAATGTATGTCACTGGCGGCATCGGCAGCGTCCATATCTACGAAGGGTTCGGCCCTGAGTACGACCTCCCGAACGAGACTTCGTACGCCGAAACATGTGCAGCTATTGGCGTGATGTACTTGGCTCAGCGGAAATTGAAGGTCAAGGCCGAGGCAGCAGTGGCAGACATCCTCGAATTGTCCATGTATAATGCCATGCTTGCGGGACTCAGCCTTGATGGCAAGTCTTTCAATTACGACAACCCGTTGGCGACAGTGGACTGTTCGCACAGCCGCAGTGACTGGTTCAAAGTGTTCTGCTGTCCTTCAAACATCTGCCGGACCCTCAATTCCCTGGGTGGCTATCTGTACGGCTTGGACGAATCCGACAAAGCTGTTCGTCTAACTGTGCATACGTACGTTGGAGGAACAGTTCGTGCAGGCAAGACATTATGGAAGGTGGAAACGGAGTGGCCCTGGAGCGGTAAGACGACTTTCTCTGTCACTGAGAACTCCGAAGAGAAGACGATTCTGCGACTCCGTATACCTGGCTGGGCCAAACAACATGAGGTATGCCCCTGACCAAAAAGACGGAACCTGGACTGACTCAAGCTTTGCAGATTACAGTGAATGGACAAGCAACCAACGCTGAAATGCAGGATGGATACATTTCACTCCCTGCACGCACTTATAACACACAAGATTTCGTGGAATTCACTGTTCCCATGGCACCGCAAAAACTCGAATCACATCCACTTGTGCACCAGAACAGAAATTGCATCACGCTGCGACGTGGCCCTTTCATCTACGCGATTGAGTCCGTCGACCAAGACCCGGCACTCAAGGACCTTCGACTCGCGCGAATTGATCCTTCAGCCAAGATTGAGGATTTTGAAATGGATATTAACGGCAAATCGATGGTTGCCTTGAAGACCCGTGGTTGGGCTTTGAAGGTACCTCAAAACCCTCGGTCGTCTCGTGACGAAGCAGACCACGAAAAGGACGATGGGGTGTCTGTGGACCTGAAATTCATCCCATATTTTGCATGGGGGAATCGTGGCCCAAGTGATATGAGAGTATGGATCCAGAAAGCGGGAGATCCGAGCAGATGATCTTACCGTTCACAACGTATCAACCTTTGAAAGCATTCTAGGGCCCATCATAGTTCGAGGAGTGGTCATGTCGCCGGTGGTACGCATCTTGCTGGCGGTGAGCAGGACCGTGCCACACATGCTGAGTACCTAGGTAAATAGCGGAAGGATAGGGTCAAATGTCCACCGGAGACCAGAGAGTGACAGGTTATGCCGTTTTGCCGAGCTCTCCAATGTTGTCCATCCGCAATTGGGGGACCTCCACTCCTGTGCCGTCTTGACAGGTTCCACTCCGCCTAATCTGATAACAGTCTAGTTGACGGTATTTCAACCTGATATCGCAGTCCCCGTGCCGCTTGTCTGTTTTGCCACGCTTGTCAATAGTTCTCTGGAGCCTCCGCAATAGGTGAATCTGTCTCTCCGCATCAGGAGACACGATCTTCCGCCGGAGAATGTCCCAAAACGGAAGATTCCTTCTTCATGCGTGGTGTATAAGTACAGCGAGCCCATATTCCAGATGCCTACCACCACAATTTGACCTATCACACATCGATCCTTCTCGCTTCGATCGTTCCCCCGCAGAGGTATACCTGCTGCAGTTATGGGTCTCGATGTCGCTTCGTCCAGTTTCTGGTACATGGTGCTCTGCGCCGGGGTAGCAGGGGTGTCAGGTCTGATGTTCGGATATGACAGTGGTAGGTTGCTTGGACAATCGCATCGGCAGGTCTGATCAGTCGCAGGTATCATCACGGACACCATTGCGCAAACCCAATTTCTGAATTACTTCAACAACCCCACTTCATCCATCATCGGGACAATCGTGGCCATGTTGCAAGCTGGCGCGGCTGTTGGAGCAGGTGTGGCAGCGCCCGTCAACGACAAATGGGGACGCAAAAAGTCAATGATGGTCGGTGCAGCCTTTGGCATTGTTGGTGCAGCTCTCCAGGCCGGCGCTGTTTCGACCCCAATGCTCATCGTCGGTCGCCTGATCATTGGCTTTGCTATCGGTGTTTTGACCATGGTAGTGCCTGTCTACCAGGTATATGAAGCTTTCCATTCGACTTCTGTGCAGACAATGCTGACACAGCGCAGGCTGAGATCGCACCGCCCCATGAGAGAGCCTTTCTCATGAGTGTCGAATCCATCATGACCGCCCTTGGGTACGTCGTGGCAAATTGGGTCGGATATGGTGCATCTTTCTCCAAGACGTCATTCCAATGGCGTTTTCCTCTCTCTGTCCAAGTCCTCTTCGCTTCGCTGGTGTTCTGCGCCGCACCGTTCCTACCAGAGTCGCCACGATGGTTGATCGAGCAAGGCCAGGAAGACCTCGCCTTCGAGTTGGTCAGAAAGCTCCACTTCACTGGGCAAAATTCCGTCTTCATCCAACGTGAGTTCCAGGAGATGCGAGACCAGATTCTGGCCGAGAAGGAACAGACGGTTCGATCTTACAAGGATGTCTTCACCAAGCCGTCTTGGAGGCGACGTGTATTGCTCGCCTGTGGTGTTTGGATCGGGGTCTCGCTCTCGGGTATTACTGTTGTGAACTTTTACCGTGAGTGCAATGCTGGTACTGTAACCAAGCGAAACTGACCGAATGACAGTGAACACTTTCATCAAGAATCTCGGCTTTTCAACAGACAGGCCCCTCCTTCTCACCGGAATTTATGGCTTCGCTGGTCCTATTTCATGCTTTGTTGCCATGATCTACCTCGATCGTCTCCCACGAATCAAGATGCTCTGGGGTGGAAATGTCGGACTTGCGATCATATTGAGCGTCCTCACTGGCCTGACCAGCCTGAATCAGAAGACCGGAAATGCTGCAGCAGGAGCAGCTGGCATCGCAATGCTCTTCATATACTCGATTGTATATTCTGCCACATATGGGTGAGTGAACGGTTCCTTGCCCAAAGCACAAATGCTTGACAAACCTTGCCAGTCCGATTTCTTGGATTTACCCAGTCGAGATCTTCCCCATGCAGATTCGGTCGATTGGGTTCTCCATCTCTTCGGTCGTCAATTACGCCGTTATGGTCATGTTCTCCCAAGTCTCTCCCATCGGTTTTGCCAACATCGGCTATAAGTACTACATCTTCTTCATCTGCAGCAACGTATTCTCGGCCGTGGTAGTCTTCATCTTCTACCCGGAGACCAAGGGCAAATCTCTTGAGCAGATGGATGAGCTGTTTGGTGATCAGCTCGTACCCCACGCATTGGATGATCCCAAGGCCGCCGAGCTGATGCACATCGAGAGCCACAAAGGAGAGCACGCGGAGGTGACAATTTCTGAGAACACGACTCCTGGTAAATAAAAGAGTGGAACGGAAAAGAGTCGGGGGTCTGGAGCATGAAGCTGTCGAGTATCTTTGACACGAGGATTGAAGACTTGTTGTCCGACTCCGATATCGAATTTCGGATGAAGAGGTTGTCGCAGTCGCAGAGTTCTTTGATAGTCTCATCAATACGTATGCATAAACAGTATCGCCGTTGAAGATACCTCCAGGATATGTAGGGATATATGTCGAATTTCCTCACCTAGCCATCCATCCACCATCTACTACGACTGTTTCGCCCGTGACATATGAGCTTGCTTGACTGGCCAGAAAGATTGCCGGTCCTTTAAATTCATCTGGATTTCCCCATCGTCCCTGTGGAATGCGCGTGGTTATGGAATCGTAGTATGTTGTATCCGCATTCGTTCGTGTGTCGACATTCATGTCAGTGGCAATGTATCTGCAAAGTGCTGTCAGTCCCCATGTAACGCACACTTCGTCCCTCCAGTGAGTTCTTACCCAGGGGCAATGGCATTGACCCTGATTCTTCGAGAAGCCCACTCATTGCTAAGGGCTTTTGTGAGTTGATTAACTCCACCTTTACTGGCAGAATACGCTGCCATGTTGATGGCACCTTGAAAAGACGCCAAACTGGCAGTGTTGATGATACGGCCCGCAATGCCCTGTTCAAGCCAATACCTTCCAGCGTCTCGGCAGAGGGCGAAGGTGGCACCAAGATTGACCTGCAAAACCTCATCATACACTTCTTGTGGAAAGTCTTGGGCTGCAACGCGCCGCTGAATCCCGGCAACATTGACCAATATCTGAAAGTTATGCTCGGCTGTCACTGTGGCAATGATGTTGCTAACAGCTTGGACATTGCGAAGGTCGGCCGCGTAAGTCCAACACTTTCGACCCATTGCCTCAATCATCGACTTGGTCTGGGTCTGTGAAGTGTCACGCTGGTGCCTGTCAGTACTTGCATCTTCATGGCACAGGATTCGACTTACTAGCACTAAGACAATGTCTGCTCCTGCCTCGGCCAACCCTATAGCAATAGCTCGGCCAATGCCGCGGGCTCCGCCTGTCACAAGGGCCGTCTGGCCGGCGAGACTGAAGATGTCAAGCATGATGTATCAGGGTCAACGGTGGTGTCTCTCTTAGAGTATGTGGCAGGGGAAGACGGCAAGACATGATGCATCGAGGCTTTTAAGTGTTGTCAGATACTATTAGGTCAGCCGGCGAGTCCGGCTAGGTATTAGAAGTATCTGCTGCCGGATCTACCGGACTGAAGCTGGCTACCGATTAATAATGGTGAACCCTGTTGTTAAACAAGGGTCGGTGGAGCCGAAGAGCGAATTACGGGTGTCATGTTGGCAACTTTCACAAAGCAATAGTTTGAAGCAAATCCTGTAATCCCTGGGACAAGCCTAGGGCAGATTGTCCTCATATCCACGATGCTCAGTACACTGGGAGGTCATGACAACAATGCAGTAGCCATACCAAGGGTGGTCAAGCCTTCGGCCCTCTACGGCAGCAACCTCAGGCGCTGATCTCCATGTAGGGAAGGTCAAGCGCACTGTCGTCGGATCGTTATCGCGACGGTTCAAGACTCGGTCCACCCGAACTTCCCCATGGCTGCATGGTAGAAGCATGCACATTAGCATCTGCCCTCGGGTGCAGTGTACAGGGTAGTGAGCAGACGAGAGTCTCGTGTCACTTGGTGGCGTCTCGACCGTCACAAAAAGCCCATTCCTAATGGCGTGTGACGCCTGCTACAGGCGCAAGGTCCGATGTGACCTTGACAATGGTCCGCCATGTTTGGCATGCCTCACTATTGGCGCCGAATGCAGGTAAGGCCGGTGCTTCATGAGATTAATACCTCGGATGGATCATTGTTCGGCACACACGCATGTACAGACTAACTGCAACCTAGCTTCCGGCTCGCTGAAGAGCACAAGGCCAGGCGCAGAGCCCGTAAGACCAAGCAACCCCCGAGATCTTCTGCCAATACCACACCGGCCACGACGTCCCGGCGGGCGACGTCGGTGTCTCTCCCTGCGGCCCATGAAGGCTCACCAAGTCGTCAGGACCGATTGGAGCGATCAAGCCCACAAGAAAGAGGTGGAAACGCGCAACCGATAGTGCCTACAGAAGCCGACATGGTGGAAGACACACTGGCAAAGACCGCGCTAACACGGTTCTACCACCATAGCGTCAACAAGTCCAATTGGGAGATATTCCATGAAAAGGGCGTTATGCGTATTGCGTATGTGGGAAATCCCATAGCGAACCTGGCGCAGATTGTCAATGAAGAAGCATACTTCAGTGGGAATGAAAGTTCGACGTTGCATCTGCCATTCCCGGCAATCCGGCCGACACTACCATGGAAGCCAACATCGAGCATGCCCCAGGTCAAGTGGCATTCTCAATCTTTTGCCAGCGACATCAGCTCTTTACCGTCTAAAGACGTTCGCGACGACCTTATAGACTCGTTCTTTGAGAAGGTTCATCCGGGATTTCCAGTCGTGGACGAATTTGCGTTCAGAAGTGCGTACAGTGATCTCACAAACCCTCCTCCTCTTCTACTGTTCCAGGCAGTGTTACTGGCGGGTGCCCATGTTAGTCAGCACCCGAATATTGTATCATCGAGGTCCTTTGTCAAAATGGTTCTTTTCCGAAGAGCCAAAGCCCTATTCGATTTGCGGTATGAGAACGATCGAATGCACATGGTTCAGGCAGCTTTGCTCTTTACATGGCATTTCGAAGGGGCAGACGACGTAAGCTCAAACGCATACTCTTGGGCAGGGATTGCCTGTCGCACGGCCTTCGGCCTGGGCATGCATCGGAATCTGTCCGCCGACGCGCCCAGCTTGATGCCTGTCGATGATCGGAGGATATACAGGAGAATCTGGTGGACAGTCTTCCAGACTGAAGTCCTCGCCAGCTTACACCATGGGCGGCCTTCGATGATCGACCTGGATGAGATTGATCAACCACCGCTGGATGAGGACGATCTTATTGAGCAAGACGGGAATCGAAATGCTAAAGTCGACCTTGACTTTTGTGTACAGAACTCCAACTTGTGCACCATCATTCTCTCGATAATGAAGCTCTCGAGCCCTGGGGCCGTGCAGAGATACCGTTCCGCGCCAGACCAGTTCACAATCGCCCAAGGGAATCTCGACCAACGGCTCGTTTCGTGGTATCTGCATCTTCCGGCCCACCTCACAAACACGTCGAATCCTACATTTTGGGCACTGCAGCTTCAAATGCATTACAACCTAGCACTGTTGAAACTACACCGGCTGTCACGAACGCTGTTCCCTACAATGAAAGGCATCCAAGAAACAAATTCTTCAAGGACATGTCATAGAGCAGCCTCCTCCATCTCAAAAATCTTTGATGGCATTGTGTCAATCGATCGACTCGGCAGTTGCTGGATCACTGGCCTTACTTCACTGTTGGCCATAACTATTCAAGTCAGCCACGAGGCACGGACTGCGGCCAAAGATGGAGTGGCTGTCCTTGCCATTCAAGCACAAAATGACCTGGAGCGGATTCTGCCCGTCATATCTGCATTGTCTCAGTATTGGTCCAGTGCCGAGGCAATCCTACGGCTTTATGAAGACTTGCTCATACAGTTCAAGAGGCAGTCTATGTTGTGGGCCGATCCGCAGCCACTTACACAATCCCCTGCAAACTCTCAGGGAGTACATAGCGACCCTAATTTTGTCTCTTGGGTCGATGACAATGATAGCCTTGGAAGTGCAGGCGCCTTCGGATCTGACTGGCAAGCTCTCTTCGGAGCAGGATTGCCCTCGGAAGCGGCAGAGATGACCTTTGACAGTCTTGACCATTCATCATATCTGTAAGACTTTTGATTCCTTGGAAGCGAATTCATGTTGGCGCGCGTACGACTTGGATACTGGCCTTGGTAACGGTCAAACTCCGCATCCCCGCGACTGGACCACCTGAGTGCCATTACCCAGCCCTTTTGTACTTCCAGAACTGCCGGCTTTTGCAAGGCCAATCACGCAAGCCTTGATGGACTCTAGACAAGTTACGTCTTACAGTCTACTGGTCCGGCTATGAACCCATGCCCCATACCCCGCACTTTGCACAGGGGTCAAGGTCGGCAAGCATCCACATCATTCAAATTACAAGCCTGAGGCCGGTGAATGAGTTGAGATGCACCGTCGAAAAGAAATTACGGGTATACCAATGTCCTCCTGTCTGCTGATAGCCTGTAAGCGGGCATTACGGAGCGGGAACCGACCGACTGCCTATGCCGCTGCGGTGTACTGGTTGTTCTTATAAAGATGACTTCACCTGTCTCATCTCTCCTCTTTCCAGGGTGACAATATTTCCACCAGACCCAAACACCGCACCAGACTAGCCGCGACCATGGAAAAGCCATCGCCGCCCACTGAGCACCTCGAAACGAAGGGCCTTGAGGTAAGGACCACACATCTTTGCTTGAACAACTGCGCTGAACAGTCCCAGATTCCCTTAGACGCCTCTCCTCCGTCGAGTATCGACAATGACCAAGACCTTGTACAACGCAACAAGAAGCTCAACCGGAGGATCGACCTTCGCATCCTCCCACTATGTTGCTGGGTCTATCTCCTCAACTTCCTCGATCGAGGCAACATTGGCAACTCGAAAGTCCTCAACTCCGAGACAGGCGACGACCTACTCCAGCAGACAGGCATGACAGCCAGTGACTATGCCATCACAGTAACCTTGTTCTCTCTGGCGTACGCTCTGTTTGAAGTGCCCTCGAACTGGGTCATGAAGCACTACGTTCGTCCTTCAATGTGGTTGGCATTTCTCCTTTTGGCATGGGGTGCATTGACAATTGGCTTCGCGGGCGTGCACAACTATGCCACTGTCCTTGGCCTGCGGTTCCTGATCGGAGTGTTTGAGGCGGGGTTCTTCCCTGGTAAGCAATGTCTCACGCCAGTGACGAGTGCAGATGACTTACTTGAGTCGTAGGTATCGTGTACTTCATCACTATCTGGTATCGCTTCAACGAACGTGCCCTACGAATCGCCCTTGTGGTGGCCTTCTGCAACCTTGCCGGAGCTTTTGGTGGTTCCATTGCCTACGGTGTCGGACACATCAATGGTGCTGGGGGATTACAAGGCTTCAGATGGCTCTTCATCATTGAGGGCATCATCACGATCGTCAGCGCCTTCGTACTCTTCTGCTTTCTACCCGACTACCCCGCTCGAGCTCGCTGGTTATCCCCCGAGGACAAACGCTTCGCAGAAGACCGTCTTGTCGAACGAGGTGGTGGCTACAACAGATCTCATGCTTCTCGACGAGAGATATTGGAGACATTCTTCAACCCACGTATGCTTGCACATTATATTGCCTATGTAAGCATTTCCCTTCTTCCGGAAGTGATTCCGTCACGCTAACACGAACGTCAGATCGCCGACGTTGTCCCGCAGGGCTCCTTTACTTTCTTCACCCCGACCATCGTCAAAGGCCTCGGCTACACCTCGATCCAAGCCCAACTACTCACCGTCCCGCCATGGTGCGTAGGTTTCGTCTGCGCAATCACCATATCCTATATTGCTGATCGCTTCAATGCTCGAGGTTGGACCGTCACAATTGCCTCACTTGTTGGTGGTACAGGATGGCTAGCAGCCGGACTGCTTCCACACGATGCCTACGTCAAGCGTTATGGCTGTCTGTGTCTGGCGGCGTGCGGTGCTTTTCCGGCTGCGCCGTCAATGACGAACTGGGTGACTTGCAATACGCCGAGTTTGTTGACCATCCCATTTGCCATTGCTCTGCATAACTCTTGTGCGGGTATCGGGCAAATTATCGCTCAGTGGATCTGGGAGGCTGATGAAGCGGCCAGTGGCTATCCTACCGGGAATTTCACCTGTGCAGGCTGCAGTTTCTTTGTGGCTGCCATTATGATAGGGCTGAGGCTTTGGTATGGCAGCATGAATGCGCGAGGAACAACGGATGCGACTGGCCAGAGCAGAGTTTGGGCTTATTGATTGGCACTTCACAACCAGGACGCCGTCACCCAAAAGACCCTTGTCGCGACAAGATTTGTCTTTTCTCCTGCTTTACAATCCGCCATATAGTGGTAGTGAATGACCGGTCAACCATGATGATGACAAGGCAGCAAGTCGTGCCTTCCACCAACTACCTAGGTAGCGTCTTCTTGCCCACTGAAGCAAGGTTGACTGACAGGTATCTTTATTTCTGGTTGAACGGGGAATTCACAGCACAATGACCTCTAAATTGTCCGTGCGTCCGCCCCAAAACACACATGGACGCACCTATGGCCTGTGCACATCAGAGCCGTGTTCTCTTCTCGAACCCCATCAATGTCCATGATCGAAGTTAGACCGTTATCGAAAAGCTACTTCATCAAGGCGAGCAAGAACGTCCTCTTCCTTTTAGCGTCTTATATGCAGAGGCAAACACCGCGCACATACAAACTGTTCTTGCACCTACCAACTACAACGCCTTGCTCAACATGTCCTTGTTCTCACCAGATCTACCGCCTTTCATCGCACAGCAGGTGACCTGCGTCTATCCACTGACAGACAGATATGGCGCTCTCCCACGAACATTCTACTACTGTCTCCTAGCAGCATGCTTCGTGACGCAACATCATGGTTGGATGAATAAAGTCTTTCTGGGTGCCTCTTATACATATGCCGCCACAGCTGCCATCCACACCTTCGTCCTCAGGGCCAGACAGTCACCAGTGAGTCCGGGTGAGTGGGTCGACATCCCGCTGGTATCCAATGCAACGTACAACTCTACAGTAATGAGCGCGTTCAAGGCCAAATATCCGAGACTGGTGACCAACTCCCAAAATGTTTGGGTCCAGCCGGCATCCATGGATCTGGATGTCGACGCACTCCTCGCGATCACGGTGACGGGTTTTCTCGTTGTCCTCCCAATGCAATGCTGGTCCAGCGCCGTCCGGGGGAATCGTCTACGATACCTGCTAGTCAGTATCTGGAGCGCAATAATGTTCGCAGGCGCAATATGCTCTCTGCTCCTCTGGCCGCGCCTGTTCTACACCCTACCACAATACTCGTTCTGTATTCCTCCCGCAGTGGGAATGTCGCTCAAGGAGAACATGCAAAATCCGGGTTGGAATTCCAGGGTTTGGCACGGCAATTGGAACAGTACGATATGGTCAATTTTCACCGACACAGGCACGCTCACCGAGCTGGGCGAGCTTTGCTTCAATCCTTGCTTCAACACCACCTCGGCCCTTCGAGTACCTTCGCGACTGACCGCGACCATGCAAATGGAGGACTCGGGACGGTTCACGGACGTGCATTCGACATGGGACCACCTGGCCGATGACGAATACAGACGACAACTCGTCTACAATGCGATATTCGTGACGGTCGCATGCAATGTTTTCCTGCTGCTGGTCACGGTGGTGCCGAGTGTCACCAATATCCCCGTCCACCAGCCTAAGCGTCTGTGGAGGGAGCACCAGGCGATATGGTCAAGCATCATGGATCATGCAAGGAATGCGTTCAGCCTGTCAACGTCGGCGAGAGCATGGACCAGCCGTGCCCGTCTCTGTCTCGACTTACTGATTCTGTGTGTCTTGGTTTTTGCAATGGTCGCATCGCCTGTTGTTTTGATACTGGTCATTGTCTGGATCGAAGGCTTTATCAGGAAGGATCTTGTGAGCGGGGCATACTTTGCGGTCAATCAATGGGGACCCTTGACACAGTTCGCGTTTGTGCTGGTCGCGGCGTTGATTATGAAACTTCGGTACCGTTTTGCGGCGAGGTCGGATATCGAGAGTGAGATCCGACGTACTGAGGGGCATCTCAAGAAGCTGTATGGGATTCTCAACACACAGAGTGGTGACCGGAATGAAGAGCAGAATGATGTGGTGATTGACGAAGCTCGGCAGATTGAGGTGCAGCCCGAGAAGCAGGTGTAGATAGTGGTCATACGGATCCAGGTGGGACAAATATTATGCACCATAGAACCGAGTCGTGGGAGGTACTAAGGTTCAAAGAGAATTCCCGTCGAAGTTGCAAAACGCAGAACGTGGAATATGAGTATAGCTCAAACAGGAAAGACGAGGCTGACGTCGCAGGAAAGCCTTGCATCGCTCTCTGCGAAGAACGAAGCGATCAAGCCGACAGACCTAACAACGCAGATTTGACGGACACGAGCCCCGCCGTTCATGAAGCGTAAAGCCGTATTCAACATGCGTCAAGCATGGCATTGTTGTGGATTGTGGCATGGTTAGAATCATTGGAAACATTGACTATCTCACTCCCACATTGCGCCTCCACTTTCCTAACTAGGCAAATATGGAGGCGAAGTTCTCTCCTGGCTTTGCACACCCAGATCACGAGGTATGGGTGCGTGATAGTAGCAAATGTCTTAGCAAGGCCTTTCATACAGTCAAGTAACGTAAGGAGCTGAGCGTCGCATCTGCCTATGCTCATAAACCGCCTTGACTCCCGAAAGTTCTATATGCAATCTCACTCCTTCAGTTCCTTCTTCGCTTCTTTCCAAATCTGATCGATCAACGCTTTCTTCTTCTCATCCCTAACACGAATATCACACTCAAACGGCACCGGAATAGTCATCCAACCAGGAACCATCGAAGCATCAGGCTCGACGATTTTGCCGTCCGACCCAACTTTCTTCGCGATGTCAAACGCCCACAGCACCCGCGCAATGTTCAAGTACAAAGACTTCTCGGCGACGTGTACACCTGGACAAATGCGTCTTCCAGCACCGTAGGAGTAGTGGTCCCGCTCATTCGGGTCGGCGATGTTGATGTACGCTGCTGCTGGGAGGTCGTAGCCCAGAAAACGTTCGGGCATGAATTTCTCGGGCTGGTCCCAGTGTGCTGGGTCGTAGTTTATGTGCCTGTTCAAACATCGTATCAGTATCGAAATCATCTGTTTTGTGGGACGTTCGTAACTTACCACCAGTTCAGCACAACGACCGTGTCCTTGGGAATGAAATATCCCTCATACCAGTCGTCCTCGGTCGTATAATGCTGCATGCCGAACTTATTTGGTGGTCTCATCCGGAGCAACTCCTTGATGATAGCCCGAAGGTACGGCAAATTCGGCTCGTCCTCCCAACTTGGCAGCCTATTGGGTCCGACCACCCGATCGACCTCCTCTTGAGCTTTCCTCATGACATGCGGATTTGCCGTCATATTGAGAATGAATGAATTCAAGTACGCGCTGGTCGTCTCGGACCCGGCCTCGACAAGTCCGCCAGTCTGGTACGCGGCCTGGAGTTCATCGAGTCCGACCTTCGCGGGGTCACTCAGATAGAAGTCCTTGGCGAAACAAGGGTTTGCTTTCCCTTGGTCAACCTCCTTCTTCAAATCGCCCCAGAGACCCAAGTACACCCTGGAGTCATGGTTGAAGCACTTCTCGCCGAATTTGCGCCAATTGCCAAACATCCACTGCGGAAAGTGCTGGAGCGTGGGGAACGTGTCGACCAGAAACGCACCCGGCGCCGAGAACACCTGCAGATTGTTCACGACACTGTAGATTTTCTTCGTGAGCGGGTTATCCCAGTCCGCCATGCGGTGGCCGTACGCGACGGTCATGATCACACTGTTCGAGTAGCGTCTGTTATGGTCGTAGAAGTGGATCGGGTCGTGCAGCAGGTCGTACATCAATTGCTTGCTCTCCACGTCCTGGACGGGCTGGTAACTTGTCGAGATGGAGATGTTGAGCAGGCTGTGCGCGATCTTGCGGACGACACGGTATTTCGGACCGTATGGCATGAAGAGTTGTCGACGGCCCGCGGAGGCGACGTCGCTGGCTAGTGGCGCGGGAGGGCGCGATGAGTAGATGCCGGATTTCTTGTCCATGAGTTCCTTGACGGCGGTTGGAGACGACAGGTAGATGTAGTCTGCGCCGCCCATCTTGGTGTAAAAGACGTCGCCGTATTGTTTGGCCCATTTTTGCGCTTGGAAGCGGAATGTCTCGGCGTTGGACAGTGGGAAAAAGTTGCCTATGAAGGGCAGGCCGCGGGGGCCGGGTGGGAGGTGTTTACGCCGACTGTCTTTGAATGAGTTGGGCGTGACATAGAGGTAGAAACCCAAAGCGAAGAGGACGGGGGACAGTAAGACCAGCACGGCGGCGAGGCGCCATGTTGGAATACTGGCCAGCGATGGCAAGGCGTGGATGTTGTCCATGTTGCCAATTGTTTGTAGGACGTCGGGATTGAGTCTGAAGAGAAGTTCCAGAAATCCCGGCGACGTGACTTATTACATTTCCCATCAACGGGGTTGGAACAGCCACTTCTTGCGCGCTGTGAATCCCCTCATAGTTGGAGTCAAGGTTCATTAGGCATGGAGAGGTGCAGGGTTCCCCATGGCGGGTGGGATGATGGACCCCTCCACATGAGACTTGATGGGGCTGGCGGGGTCAGGCGACGAGTATTGGAGAGACGCATGAGGCCGAGGCTGAGCGAAGAGGCAAGGCTAGCATCGAAGCACGGATCTTAAATATATTGATCGTCCTTTGTGACAGGAACCCGAGTCATGCTAGAGCCAAGAAAGTCGTGTTCACATTGTTCAAACATCAAGGGCCATGGGCAATGCCCTTACAACATCAGAATCATAAAAGAGATGTCTCAAGTTCTACATCGAACCGAATTTGGACATGACGCTGAAGAAAGCAATGAACTAAACGTACATGCGTTCCCATTAACTATGCTCCTCCCATTACCGAGTCCGTGTTGCTGCTGCGTGCAATTACATTTCACCAGACCTAATAGCTGTGGCTTCGTGCAAATCTCTTGTGGCTGTGGGCGGCGTGTCTCTTGAACCCGGAGTGGACGTTCTCCGACATTCCAAGTGCCTCATAGGTGGTACGTCTCTTGAGTCCGGATTCACCTTGTTGCTTGACTGCCTGAGGGTTGGCAGATTGGTACTCGTCCAAGGCGGCACATTCCTCTTTGTAAGATCCCTTGGAAGTGTATTTCTGGCTGACAATGTCATTGGGTCGTTCGATGAATTGCAACGCCAAACCGTCATCAACGTGCCAGACAATGTGGCAATGCATGAGCCAGGCACCCGGGTTGTCAGTTTCCCACCCAATGACGGTGTACCCGGCCGGGTTACCAGGTCCAGCGGAACCTTGCAACACGACAGTGTCACGACGCATAGGGTTATCGAAGTTCAAAGTGTTGGTAAGGGAGCTATCCCAAGTTTGTGTACCAGTACCCAAGACAGACACGTCATGACCGTGAATGTGCATTGGATGCGACGCGAAGAACTGGTTTTGAATGACGAAGTAGACCCAGGTGTTGGCCTCGTTCAGGACCACGGCATTGCTGATGGCGCTGTTGTTGGCCCCCTCAGCGCTGTCCAAGAGACCGATAGTGGGTGCACTGTAGTTGACGGAAATAACACCGTTGTTGATGAACCAATTGAAGACGAGACCGTCCTCGCTGGTTTGGACTTGAGTGACCAGACCGGCAGGAATGGTATCCACAGATGCGCTGAATTGGCTGGAGTCGCCAGCTGAAAGAGTAACCCATGGCACCAAAGAGGCCAGAGGCTCATCGATACAGCCTGCAGCGGTGACATTGGTGATTGGTGTGTTCGTGACTGGAGTAGAGTTCGAGCCAGCGTAGTTCATGATGGCGTTGGCCGTTCCCAAACCAGTGTTGGCACCACCAGAAGGACATCCGGTTTGGATCACAGCACGAACGTAATAGCTGCCGACTGGTTGATTTGTCTCGACGATAACATCATATCTCTGGCCAATGGCGATGTTGAGCGTGGATGTCTCGTACGGCTTGATGGGGACGAAATCGGCAGCAATGACTGTCATGTTATGGGCATCAAAGCCAACAACATACATGTTCTGCGAAGAGCTACATGGGCTGTTAGGGGTTTTGTGGCCAATTGGGAGAGCAAACTGACCTATTAATGATGCGGAAACGGTGCTTTCTGCAGGGCTGGACAGTCCACTGGAAAGCCTCGCCACCTTCGCCAACAGGGTTGACGTTCTTTCCGTTGAACAGGGTGTTGAACGAACCACTAGGTCCATAGTGGGTGATGAAATCGGCCTGGGTGCCAACAGCATTGGCGAATCTGGTCATGTCAGTAACGAAAAAGCTAAGAGTGAGCAGCAAACATACGTATCGTCAATCATAACGGTTCCCATGTCAATATCGTAGTCGGCAGTAGCAGGTCCATGAATGACGATAGGACCACGGACACCATCACCATATTGAGCGAAAGCGTGGCTGTGATACCATGAAGTACCATAAGAAGATGCGAGCCATGTGTATGTCTTGGAGCCGCCGTTTCCAGCGATGGCACATTCAGTGACACCAGGAACACCATCCATGTCGTTGGTGTTCTCTTGACGGATACCGTGGAAATGGATGGAAGTGGCGTTGTCCTGGAGTTTGTTGATGACGGTAACCGAGACGTAATCACCCCAATTGGCCTCGATGACTGGTCCGGGGATTTGGCCGTTGATGGTGAAGGCAACCTTTGGTGCTGTGCCATCGAAGGACATGGTGGTGTTCTCGATGGTCAGGGTGTAGTGACGAGTCACGCCTGTCTTGTATCCAGTGGTGTAGACATTGGTGTCGATGTCCAGGTTGTCGCACCACATTGAGCGGTCAGAGGCAGAGTTGCAGATATCGGAAGCGTTCTTCTCCGGAGTGTATGTGGCGCATCCAGTGGAAGAGGAGGTAGTGCTCGTGGATGAAGCGCTCGTAGAGTTGCTGCCAGAAGTGGTGGTTGAATTCCAACCACCGTACGGGGCAGAAGTGGTGTAACCCGTGCTAGAGCTTGTGGTTGAGCTGGAGCTAGCCTTGCCGGGCACACCAGCACCGGACTCTGACACACCCCAGTCGTTCCACGGACCGTTATAGTTTGTTTTCTGTGCATTCCATTGGGAAGCCCAGGCGTTCTCGGCACTGCTTATTGAGGCAGCCGGGATGGACGTGGTCGTAGTTGCACCATCCGGGCCTGTGGACCAGGTAGGATATGCGGACCAGGAACCGGTCGAAGAAGAACTTGCACCATCCGGCCCTTTGGACGAGGTAGAATAAGCAGACCAAGAACCGATCGTTGAAGAGCCGGGAGCTTCGCAAGTCTCAATGGTAGTCGTGGTAGTCACCGGGCAGGAGGTATGGGTTTTAGTGGAAGTCACGGTAACGGTGACGTCGGCCTCCGACCATGATGCTCCAACCAGCCCGACAGCAGCGGCGGTAAGGAAAAGAGAAACTGAACGCATATTGAATGAATGGACGCAAGCTTATGAGCTCGCAATGAAAGAGTGACTGGTAAAACTAGTGGTGCGTTGGGAAAGAGAGAGAAAGAGAACGATGGATCACGACTGAGTGAGATGGTATATCAACGCGCCGTTGCTTCTGGACTCACGCTCTCCTGGCGGCCACATTGTGATCAGCCTGATGGAACCAATGCAAGCCACCAAAGTCTGTCTCCGGACGCCGACATTGTATGATACAATGATATCGTGGGATTTTCTGTCTCAGTTTAGGACAGTGGAGGACAAGCATTGGCGGTCATATCTCCTGAGAAAGGAAGGAAGATAGCAATCTTTGGATACGGTCATGAACGTCAGCCACATCGTATTGACTGGTAGATGGCAAATCTTCCCTAGCAAGGATGTAGATCAGGCGAGCAGTGACTCCATTGTTGTGGTTGCAAGCACAAAAGGCTGAGCAAAAAGCAAAGCCTCGAGTAGAGAAGAAAGCGTTCAGGGGTAGGTTTTGGACCGAAAAAGGCATGAATGTCTTTGTAGAGCTTAGCATCTGCTTAGCATCTCGCCAAATTTCTGCGCCGGTGGAAATTGGATCAAGTGGCCACTTAGCAGAGGGTTTCTCGGCGCCAATTGCGGGAAAGATGAACTTCCCGTGGTCTCCATACGGAGCGGCAGCCCGAAGTCGAAGCGAAGACGAAACAGGGGAGAAGATGGGCATGGCATCGGAAAGACAAAAGGAATGTAATCTTTGTGGAGCAGAGACTCATGGTTGAGGCGAAACATCGGCTCGTTGAGACACGAGAGAATGATTGATGATGGATGAAGGTACAGGGACAAGGAGAAGTGCAGAAGCGAAGCATAGGCACGACTAGAGGTTGGCTAGAGTTGCCGCTATCATGACATTATCAATACCACTGACATTAAGCCTTCACCCTTCAAGTTCTCCAGATCTCACGATTTCAGACAGCTGCCATTCCTTTCCTTGTACCGAGTACTCACATACACGACACAGGCCACGCCTACCGCGGTCAATGTTCTCCGCTGGGTAAGCTTGGGAATGTATATATACGATGTCAGCTACAGACAACGTTCTCTGATGAAAAACGACCCTCCTGGTGGTTGAGAACCGATGACAGTATACATCCGCGGATCAACATCGACGCGTCTGTTTTGTTTTTCACACGCGACTCTCAGTCGCATCGCTTCTTGTTAGGCTTGAACTATGAATAAACATCGCATTCATGTGCGCCACAAGCGCTGCTTACTGTACCGAACGGTGCCTGGCCGGACTTGGTAAAGGTTGATATGCCTGCCCCCTTACCAGGGTCGACAACGACAAGGCGCCCTTCAGGCGACCTGATCCATCTTTGGCAGTCTCTTCATCAAGATTCATGGAGATGTTCAAGAGCCTTTTACTGAGATTGGTATGATATAATTCTGCATATCGAGACATCCAACATGGGGCAAGATGCTTTGGCGCAATTTCGACACTCACTCGATCTCTTCTCTTCTTCCCCATGGCCATCCTGGTCGCGTGCCGTCATCGGGAACGATCAAGATAGTCTGGACCTCGACACGCGACCCGAGAAGAGATCCAATGACTTGCATGCATCCGGTGGTAATCACCATCCGCCATACCGTATATTGGTTGATGCCAGTCAAACTATAACCATAATCGTTCCCCTGTTTCATCTCCATACCTAATTTCCGCCGATTTCCACAATTTTGGGGGCACCTTTTCTTTTACCCTCCTGCGCTTTCACCACCACTAGTTTTCTAACAACGATCAAGCATCATGTTTTCCTAGTTCTGAGATCTTTCGGCTATGCAAAGATCTGTCACTGAGTCCACTCAGAAATCGCGACGATCTGTAAGATTGCTGGTCTGTTCCCGCTTTCGACAGGGAAAGGGAAAAAACGTGGGTTTAGGCGAAGATTGTCCCCGGCCTCCCAGGTCGTCACCCCAACCCCGGAAGAAAGGTAGGAAGATTGGACGTCCGAGCAGTGCTCACCCTGATGCCCTCTCCATGGAACACCATGATGGACAAAGAAGATAATTCTCTCCTCCACGTCCTCGAGGAAGACAATTCTGTGTGCTCCCAACCACACACATACATGAGCCATCCGATGCAGTCTCTTTGTTGAGAGTAGGCCGGCTACTAAGATGCTGTGCATTCCGTGAAGACCCCCAGCCAGGGGCCGAATTGTGCATTTGTAAATACCATTATTCAGGCCACTGCTGCTTTACAACTCACATGCACCCTTCGAAGTCTGAGGGCATCCGGCATTGGGACATGCACGCACTGACTATTCAGAACATGAAGGACCCTTGTTTTGCGAACTTACACAACTCACATCCCAATGGTTATTGGAACTTTCAAGTCCTATCAATTCTATCAATTTTCTGTTTGGGCCCAATTGACTTCAGGGTCTACACTGTCAGTGAATGAACGGTGCAGCAATGGGACCAGATGCTGCATTTCGATGGCCCGAAATCTCCGTCATTTCTGACAAGTTGTGGTGGCAAATGCTGAGTATCGTCTTGTACTCTCCTATGGACGAGAACAACATTGTCTTTCGTCTATAGGATAGCTCTGTCCGCGAACAGCTACACTCATCTGCCTGGTATTCTCAAGTGGAATAACAATTGAACAACAACCCACCATTGTGCCAAACATGCCTCTCTGATCTAGGTGGAGGCATGCATGCACTAAAAGTCGATCATACAGCATCGGAACCATGACCACGCCTGCGTCTAGGAAACGCAAAACTCTGCATGAATACTTTGACCGGACTGCTCATACGTCTAACGATCGGTCCCGAACATCGAGTGTCCTGCAGCTGTCCATTCCAGGTCTCACACTAATACCTGAGTTTATATCCAGGGACGAAGAGACAGCCCTTCTTACATTCCTTGATGGACAAGATTGGAGGACCGACCTCAACCGGAGATGCCTTCACTACGGCGGTACCTACTGTCTGATGCCGCCACGTGATGCATCTGCGGAAGAACGCAAACGCATTGAAAGCACCATTCTTAAGGCTGACAATATACCTGCCAAGGTTGATCTCGTCGTTGATGGGATGATGGAACGCGGTCTTTACGATGGCAAGCAAAGACCCGCCTTCTGCATCGTCAATGAGTACATGGGCACCCAAGGCATAAGCGCTCACGTGGAGAACTTTCGCTTTGATAGCCCTGTTTGCGGCTTAACATTAAACAACGGAGATTCAATACGCTTCCATGAATTGGTTGACGCCAACGATGCGAGCGTAAGATCCGGAGGCGCATGCAAAGTACCGCGGACAGGGAAGAAGCAGGATGTATGGCTACCGCCTAGAAGTCTGCTCGTCATGAGCGGCGAATCAAGGACGAAGTGGCAGCACGAAATCCGGCACATCAAGCGGCCGTTGAATTTCAAAAGGGTATCCTTGACATTCCGTACGGAAAAGCTAGTGCGCTGAAAAGATATGCGATCGAAAGATCAACAAGCTGAAGCAGTAGAGGCTTCAAGTACCTACGCGTTCTCCCGGTCAAGCGTTCCCCGCGTCAGCCTCATTGAAGATCTAGGGCGAGTGGGGCTACCGCGCGTCCACCTCCTCCTGTCTCCTGTCAAAGATAGGAGATGATGCCCAACCAAAAAATCCCCCTTGACGACACACATTCTTATTGGAACAAAATGAACGTTGACAAGCTTCGTGGGCGGTCCACAAGCATGCACAAGCTTTCTCGGCATCAGCCAGCATGCGTGGCCATCTTTGAATCATTATTGACTTACGCCAAATGAGATCCACGACGGTCCAGGGCAGCCGAACTGCTCATGAGTACAATGGGAATTTCTAAGTCCTATGGGCTCGACGACTGTCGCTTCATGTGTCCCACCTCGTGGACAGCTGTCTGCCCGGCTCGAGTCCGTTATCTACAAGACAATGGGTCGGTCATCGCCCTTCTGGTCTTCCAAATGTCCCTCCACGCCACCAGGTATCTATCAACACTGACGTCTTTCTGGCCGCGTGTGTGATTTCACGGAGGACTTGTCATTGCTCAAGGGCCGTAGGGGCCTATCAGACTATATACCTATCCGGAGGTCGTATATCGTGTACGATATCCACCTAAGTCAGTTAACGGTCTTCGGTCGTCTTTACATCCCTTGGTAGAGCTAAGGTAGCTAAATAATTATATCCTTCCCTATCTAGCTTAGATATCTATAGCCTTATAGATTCGTAAATAGCTAATTAAGTCGACGATAACCTTTGATTTTAGCGTACTAATACGAATAAACTATTTCGGAGCTATTCGAATATCTTAGTAACCTTTTAGAAAATAATTAACTATCGTCGACGAAATATAGAATATATTATTCTCGATCTAAATATAAGTCGATATTTTCTATTTAGCGTCTTAAGCTTTAACTTATTATCTTATTATTATTTTACTTTTTTATATACTTATTATATAATATATATATATTTAAATAACTTTACTTAAGGCCTTACTTTAGTTTACTTAAAGTCTTACCTTTATATTCGAGAGGCTTTATTTTACTTTACTTAATTATTAAATATATTATAGCGATAAATATCTCGTTATTATTTATTTTTTAAAGCTCGCTATTAACTAATTAAGTAGTCGTATTAATAAAGTATTATTAATAATAGTAGTATAGCTTTAAAGACTATCGTTAAGTATATAAGAGCTTTATATTTATATATATATATCTTTTCTTTCTTCTTAATCTTCTCTCTTTTCTATTATAAATAATTATTTTTCTTTATTATTTATTCTTTATTTTAATTATCTTTAAAGTCTTTTAAGTTATTTAATTTTTAATTTAAGTCTCGATTATTTATTATACGAGTTTAATATATTATTTAATATTTATTATTTATATATAAAGTAATATCGATATATAAAAGCGATTATAAAAGATTTAAAGAATTATACTTTTATTAAGATACTTATTTTAATAAGAATTAATATTTCGCCTTAGTTTCTAATTACTAATATTATTTATATAGTAGTATTCGAAGTTAATTATTAAGAGTAAATTTAAGTTAATTATCTTCTTTAAGTAAAAGCGTAATATTCGAAATAGAGTTTAAAGCTTTCGTAACTCTTAATCGACTCTTTTAAGCTTATTCGATATCTTTTCGTATATTTATTCTTTAAAGTACTATAGTAATTATAATTTTAATAATATTTATATTTAATTTATAACTATAGTATATATAAAGAAAGAGATCGAAGATTAAGCTTATACTTATTATATCGAAATTAATAAATCTTTATTTTCGAAAGAGTTTATATTTCTAAAATATATATTAATAAAGAAAAATAATAATTAATATCTCTTAATTAATAATTATATCTCTTATACTATATAAAGTTAATCTTATTTCTTAAGAATTAACTATAAGATTTAATAATCTTTAAAGTATAAAGTAATCTCTCGTACTACTTTAACGCGATATTAATCTAATTCGAAAGCTAATTATCGTAAGTTAGTAGTTAAGATTTCTTTTACTTCTACTCGCTAATTTAATTATAAGACTCGAAGTATAGTAAAGTAGTAAAAGAGTTTTATTTTCTTAAAGAATTATTTCGAATAAATTAAGACTAAGCGAAAATAAAGAGATTCGAAGATTAGTACTTTATATAGTATTAAGAAGTAAGCTTATTCTAAAGTAATTAATTTTAATAATAATAATTAAGCGTTATTTATATTTAAATTAGATTTAAACTTAATAATTATTAACGAAATAACTCTCGAAGACGAAAGTAGTATAGTTACTATATTCGAGCTTTAAAGGGCTAATTAATCTCGATTCTTTACGAAGAAGAATATAATTATATTTTTTCGAAATATAGTTAACGTAATTATAAGTAGTTTTTTTATATTATCGTTAATCTCTTTTTATATATATTAATTATCGAAAATATAGTATAGTTATTTATTATTTATTAAGTATATAGTTAAGCGTTAAGATATATTAATTTAAGATTCTTTAAATTATTTAAAACTAAATTCGTATACTTATTTATTAATTATTTAAGTATTATTTAGAACTTTAACTATAGGCTCTATAAAGGCTTAAGTTAATTCGACGCTTATATAATCTTAATACTTATAATAATTATTTAATTAATAATTAAATATATATTCTTAATCTTTTCGAAATATAAACTTAAGTATTTTAATATAGCGAAATTAATTTACTATAGCTTCGATAAAGATTACTTTAGTAGCTCGAGATAACTACTTTATCTTTAGTATTATTAGTAATAATTATACTTATAGTACTTTTCGCGCCTTATTAGTTCGAAGTAGAGAACTATTAAATATACGAATAAATACTTTTAGTTCGAAAGTATAGTAATTAGTTAAGTTTAGTAGTCCTTAATTAAGATAAAGTTCTTTATTATTTAGTAATATACTATAGAGTATACTAAATTATAAGTTAAATACTTTAAAGTCGCTAGTACTTAATAAAAGAAGAAGATAATAAATAAGAAATAACGAGTAGTTATTAGTATAGAAAGAGATTAAGGAACGATAGAATATAGTATTAATAGCGCTTATAAATATACTTTTCTTTTACGATTTTTTAGTACGATAAGCCTATATATCGTTTTAGGAATACTTAGTTAAAAGGCGAGATCTATAGTTACTTATCGAGATATTACTTTTATACTTCTTTATTAAATATTATAGTAGAAAATCCTAAAAATAAATATATATTTATTAATTCTTAATTTCTTTATATTTTAGTACGATTCGAAGACTTCTTTTTATTATATTTCGAATTCGCGAAATAGTCGTTATAAAATATATTTTAATATATCGTTATTTTCTTTTCTTAAGTTAGCGAGACTATTTTAAGAATATCGAATTAATTAAAGATAATTCTAAAGAGCCTTTAATTATTTCGACGAATAAAATCTTAATAAAAGTAGTTTCGAGTATAGAGATAGCTATATTTTCTATATAGATATCGTTTAAGTTTAAATAGCCTTTTATATAGTTTTAGTAAGGTTTTCTACTACTCTTCGAAACGTTTAAATCGTATTAATAATTATTCGATATATTAGATCTAAATACTAAATTTACTTCGAGTAATATAAATACTTAGTCGATATTAAGTACTTCTCTTCTTATATCGTCGAATATAGACTTAATATTATTATATTTAATCTTTATATCGTTAAATATAGGCTTAATATTATTTACTTCTTTTATTTATATTATTAAATATAAGCTTAATATTATTATATTTAAGCTTTATATCGTCGAATATAAGCTTAATATTATTATATTTAAACTCTATATCGCGAAATAAAGAGATAATATATAAGTCTTCGATAAATATATTCGCCTATAGAAGATCTATTTAACTTAATATTATATTTATTTTTAAATTCGAAAGATATTACGCGCCTTCGAAGGCCGTATTTCTTAATATTAATATAAATATAATATTTAAATTCTTTTTAGGAGTAGTCGCGCTATTCTATATTAGCGAAGCGTTATTATACTTTAGGGATATCGAAATTACTAAATCGATATTATTAGTATATTTCGATAGCTATCTAAATAGAATTCTAAATATATATATAAATAATATAATATTATTTATTATTTTCGATATTCTTTTCTTCTTATTCGAGAGCTTTTATATCTTTTAAGCTCTCTAATTATATTATTAATTCTTTTTATTAAATAGTATTTTCTTTATTTCTTTACTCTTCTTTATCTTACTCGAATATACTTCGATATATTTTTACTCTTTAAAGTCTTTATAGAATATTATTAATATTTCGTAATAAGTAAATAAAATAATTTCTTTATTAAGAATATTATCGATATTCTTTAGTATAGATAGAATTATTATTATATCCTTTTATATTTATAATTATATAGTACTTATTTAGGTCTAAGCGATATTATCGCCTTAGTATCTTCGTAAGCGACTACTATATATCGATAGTTTAAGAATCTTATCTTTTATACTTAGAATATAAGTCTTAAATTAAAGCTTCTTAACTACTCGAAATAGTTCGAAGTATACTAGTTCGAATTTTTTCTTTACTTCGTTTCTTAATAAGATTTAGTTATTAATATTATAGTTAATTTTTTAATTACTAAACTTATTAAAGCGAAGTTTTCTTATACGTAAGCCTTTCTTTATAGGAAGTCGATTAACTTTATATTTTATAGTATATAGCTTCTCGATTCTTTTCGCGAAGTCTATATCGATATTATTAAGATTAAAGTCTTCTTAATCGCTCATTAAACGAGGTTCGAGATTATAAATAAGTTAATAAGAGTTTAATCTTATTACTAAATAAACTCGAATATATATAGCGAATAGTATCGAAAATAAATATTTATTTTATAGAATTATTAATTTCTTAATTAAGTATTTAGTAAGAACTTACTTAAGTATATCGTTAAAATACTTAATCTTATTATTTATCTATAAATAATAAGGAGTTATTATTCGATACTTAACTTTAATTCTATCGAGATAGTAAGTTATTATTTATAATATTAAATTAACTTTATTATTTAAAAGAAGTTCTCGAAATATATTATATTAATAGTAAATATTAAAAAGAAAGTCTCTAATAATCTTATTAGTAATTTTCGATAAAGATTATATTATTAACTAATCTATAATAAAGTTAATTATTATTAAAATTTAGCGATTATAGTATAAAGTAATTAGTAAGAATTTAATAAAGTTTATAATTTATTTTTCGAATAATTTAACTATTATTTAAACTTAGCTATAAAGTTCTTTTTATTTTTTCTTTAGTCTTTAGCTAAGTTAATATTTTTTATATTAGCGTATAAATTTAGTAATATTCTTCTTTAATATTTATTATTAATTTTTAAATTAAATAATATTTATTAATACTAATATACTATAATATTTATAATACTTATAATAATATTTAATAAAATCTCTTCGAAAGCTCTTAACGATATATAAAATATAGCTTTTATTTACTTTTCGATAAAGATAATCTTCTTTAGTTATAAAATTTTATTAATTTATATTCTTAATAAGTTCTCGCTCTTTAAGAGATAGAGTTTTATTCTCTTAAAGAGTAAGTATTTTAATAACTATCTTTTTTTATTTTAAATCTTTATTTAATGTTTAAGTAGCTATAAGAATAGCTTCGATAGTTTTCGAATTATTTATTTATATTTAATTAATAAAGCTATTATTTATAAAATCGAGTCGACGCGAAATAGTATTAAGTATAATTACTTTCGAACTTTTACGATAACGAATATTAAGCTTATATTATATAAATTTATTAATTTATTTCGCTAAATACTTAAACGAAGTTTTAGTAGTTATTAAATACTTAAGACTTTTATAATTAGTTACTACTATAATAGTATAGTTATTCTTAATATATACTAATTATATTTAAAGAGTATATTTAATTACGAGTAATTTCTTTTCCTAAATCGAGTAATTAAGCTTAAGGTCGCGAAGTTTATATTTATTATAAATAATCGAGTACTATTTATTATCGATATTAAATTATAATAGTATATAGTTTAAGATTTATTCGAAGTAATTTATTTCGATATAAAAGAGATTATTCTTATTAACTTATATAAGAATCGAATACGATATAAGACCTTTCTTTAAGATTCGAAATATTATTTTATATTATACTATTTAGTAAATAAAACGAAACTTTTTCTTTCGAATCTTTATATTAACTTTAATAAATAAATTTAATAGTATTAAAGCTATTTTAGTAAAGTCTTTAATATATTAACGATAATAAAAAGTAAAGCTTAAGAACTAACGAATCTCGTAAATATTATAAAATTATAATTATTTCTTAATAATCTTAATTTTAATCGAAATTAACTTATATTAATTATTTTTAATAATATATTTATAAAATTTAAGCTCGATTACTTCGATAATATATTTAAATAATTTAGCGAATAGCTTATAATTCTAAAGAGTCTTAAGAACTATTTTAAAATATTTCTTATATTTTTTCGAGTTCTTAAAGAAAATAATAATATTATTTAAATATATAATTATAAACTTTTTTATAAAGAGTTTAAGTATATTATTTATAATTCGTTAAAAAGTAAAAGAAGTATTAATTAATTCGAAAAGTATAGTTAGAAACTCGTATTTTTCTAAATATATATTAAATATTATTTTCGAAATAGTATCGAGCGTTATTTCTATTTAGTAATAACTTTACGTTAAATTAATCTTTAAAAGATAATAAGTATTATTAATTATATTTAAGTAGTTTTAAATTTAAAGTAAAGAATATATATTCTTAATAATTATATTATTTAATAAATAATAATTAATATATATTCGTTACTTATTTTTTAGCTTCGAAATAAATAGAACTAGAAATCCTTAAGGGCTCTTTAAAGATTAAATAAGCTTTTAGTTTAATAATTATTTAATTTAACGCTTCTACTCGTTATAATATTATTTAGAAAGAAAGTAATAAAATAAATTAATAGCTTTAGCTTTTTTCGTATTAATTTCGTACTTAATATCTTAAGTTCGAGAATATTAAATAAATAATTTATTTTATAAAACTTATAAATACTTTTCTAAAATCGATTAATAACGCTTTAGTATTTTAGTAAGAAACGCTTTTAGCTATTAACGAGCTTTATCGCTCGACTTAATAATATATAATATTAATATTCTCTTCTTATTAATATTTAAAGACTTTAGCTTCTTCGAATTTAATTTCGAAGTAATTAATAAGATTAAAAGATCGATATTAAGTAGTTTAGCTAATATAAAAGATATTAATTTTCGTTTTTATATTTTCGAGAGTATTTTATTAACTTTTTAAAAACTAAATAAATTAAGTTTACTTTCTTTAATACTTTTATAATTAATAATTCGAAAGAACTTAATAAAGATAAAAGACTTCTTATTAGCTTTATTTCTTATCGTTATATAATTCGAAGCGATATTTTAATAAGTATTATACTATTTAAGTTAGTTAAGATTAAGAATTATATCGTAAATATTTTATTTAAGAATTTAGAGTTTAATATAAAATTAAAAGTTACTAAAAGTTAAATCGATAATTATTACTTAATTTAAAAGAGTAATTTAGCTATTTATAAAATAAACTCGTAATAGTCGCGCTATTCTTACTTTTCGATTCTTTAAAAGATATTTAAATATACTTTTAGAGATATAGAATACTTCGAATTTAATATTAAGAAGAATAGTTATAAAAATAGATTTTTTCGATTATTTTAATATTTTATTAATAAGATTATAGTTATCTTTTATTAATATATTATTTATAAATTTATAAGCTATTAAGTAAATATCGAGAGAGTTTTTTCTTAATAGTTATATATTTAACGATACGATATTATCGACTTATTTAGTTTTGAGGTTTATAGATTATTTATTCTAGTTATTAAATATTTTATTATTTAATAACGCTAGTCTTTTCCCTAAAAAGATTCTTTTTAGTCTCGCGCGATATTTTAACGCGTAGATTTAAAGTATTCTCTTTTTTAATAACTCGATTTATTATAATTATAATATAACTATTAGTTTATTTTAGATATCTAGTTCGATTCGCTACGAGATATATTCGAAAACTCTCGAAAAAATCGATTAGTATCTCGACTAAAAATAAAAGTAGATTTTATACTATTAAGTATTATTTAAGTATCTTTATTAATATCTCTCTTATAGTAATTAATAGAATATATATATACTTATTCCTAACGAGTTCGAATATCGAAGAAGTCTTTTTAATAAATAATATAATATAATTTACGCTTTATTTTATTGATAAACTCGATATAAAATTAGAAAAAAGTAAGTAAAATAATATTAAGTAATATCTTAACTCTATTACGAATAGTATTATTAAGACTATATTTAAATAATAGTAAATAATTATTATTTATAGCTAAAGAGTTAAGATATATTCTTTTATATTAAATATTATAATAAAAGTATTATACTATCTTCCTTAATTTCTATCGAAGATTATCGAATTTATCGCGATATTTATTATTAATATAAATATTTTTAAAATATTTCGCTATTAATTCTTAAAATTATATTTAAGTTTCGATAAATTAATATTCTTTCTTTCGAGCCGTTATTTAATAAAGCTATTACTATATATTAGCTTTATTTTATAGAGTATTACTAATATAGGCGATCTTTTACTTATTTTAAAATTATTTATCGAAGAGTTCCTCTTAATTAGCGATAATATTATTAGTTCGTATAAGCTAAATAGTTACGATATTATTCTTATATTCGTCTTTATAAGTTAATATACGCTCGAGCTTCTCGATAGTTATCGCTTCGAATATATTATTAATATATATAATAAATATTAAGTTATTATAAATAGTAAATAATAATAAGAAGTAAATATTTAAATAAGCTCTATTTAAATTTATAAAGCTTAAGCTAAAGCCTTAAGTTCGATTATCGCTATTACTAAAAGTAGTATTTATATTAAATTAAGTTAATAAATCTTTAGTTATTAAACCTTAAAAATAATTTACTAAATAAATTATTATTTCTTTAATATTACGAATTTATTTAAATAGTTATTAAGTAAATAAAACGACTTTTATTAATTAACGAAGCTAATTCTCGACTTAAAGAAAATAAGTTTTATCTTTTATTTAGGGCTCTTCGGCCTTTATAGTAAATAAAGGAAATAATTTAAATATTATAAGTATACTATATTAAGTATAAAAGATATTTTAAAGTTTTTTTTTAATAAAGCTTTAAGAGTTATTATAAAATAAAAAAGAAATAATAATTAATATCGAAAGAAAGAAGAGGGCTTTTAAGTAAAATATATTATATAGAAGTAACTATCTCGATTAGCGAGTATTCTCTTATAATATTTTTCTTATATTTAGGTATATCTTTATTTAATAGTCTTATATCTCGAATAATTATTACTATAACTTTAATTATCTAAAGCTTAATTATTTCTTTCGAAAGAATCGTTTTTAAAAATCTCTTATTATACTAAGATATAAATAATATATTTTTCGAATTATTAAGAAGAAATATTACTATTTAAATTAGATTTAAAATATTTATTTATAGCTATTTATTAATTTAAATAAAATATTAATATAGTTATATAGCTTATTTATTAATTATTAAGAGATTTAAGTAAGAAATTTATAGTTAACTATTAATTTCGATAAAGTTTTATTAAAGAACTCGTTAAGTTTTAAAGTCGTTAAAGATTTTATTTTTATTTTCGAAGATATTTATATAGTTTATAGAGAAATCTTCGAAAACTTCTTATTTTATTATATAAGATTAAGATAATTAACGAAGCTAAATTTATAAAAGATTCGCTTTAATATAATTATATACTAAAAATTCTTTCTTAATTAATATCTTTTTTATTTCGTTATTTTAAAGCTTCTTTAATATATAGATAGTCTTCGAGAGAGACGAAAAAAGCTTTTTCTCGAGAAAGAAGAGATTACTTTAAAGTAAAGATATCGTCGTTATAAAATAATATTTATTAAAGTTCTTAATATTTTATAATATACTCTAAACTAAAGACTATATTATTCTCGCGATCTTAGGATTATTCTAACTATACTCCTTTCCTTTTCGAAAAAGTATAGGGGCTTTAGAAGCTTTAGTCTAGGGTAGAGAGTTATTAAATCGTTACTACTAAATATAATTTTACGGAAAACTTATTATTACTTAAGGGCCGTAGGGGCTCGTTAGACTATATATCTATTCGGAGATCGTATATCGTATACAATATCCACCTAAGTCAGTTGACGGCCTTCGGCCGTCTTTACATCCCTTGGCAGAGCCAAGGTGGCTGAATAATCACACGTGCTCCCAATTGCTTGTACGTGCCATCATTGTAAGGTTTGCGTTTCCCTGGTGAGAGAGGCATTTGACATATGGATCCGTAACAGCTGCTGGCACGAGCCAGAGCCTCAACTCACACTTTGAGTCTCAGGAGGCTATCACAATCATGCTCTGCCCTGCGCCTCTGTGCTTAAAGGTCATCACTCTGGCACGAACCGGGCTGGCGTTATACCAGCAAGATACTTCGCAATTTGAGCCCTCTAGCACGCCATCATCTTGTGAACAATTGGTGATATGGAGCGGGTATGGATGATCATCCTAGTTCTGTGCTTACGTTGTACTTTTGCTATCGATCCGATCCGCGGCCCAACACAAGGTGACGACCTACATAGATACGTAACTCGACCAGAAATAAGACCGCCGAGACTTGGAATTCTACATTCAGAGCCCGAAAGATTAACACCGGGCTACTGGTTCGTCGCACCATACGTGGGTATTCGAGGAGGTGACCGCGATGCACGATTCATACCATTCCAGATCGGGCCTCACATCTACCGCAGTGATGGAGAACTCGTCTGGAGTGGCGCAGAGATTGTCAACAACCGAAACACCTTTGACTTTCGTGTGCAAAGTGTCAGTGGAAAGCCGGCCCTGACATACATCATGGCCCCGGGAAACGAGAGAGACAAGGACAGGCAGTCATACGGAGTGATTCTCGATTCCTCATATCGACCGTGGAAAAAGGTGAAAATGCAAGAGAACGGGTGGATCTGGAATCTTCACGAGTTCTTCATTTACAACGAGACTACCAGCATCAGCGTTATGGAGGAAGGAAAGATGGCGGACGTCTCCTCGTTCAACCTGCCTCAGCCCGAGGGACCAATCTGGCAGTATGGCTTCCACGAGACCGACGTCAACACCAAAAAGACAACATATCAATGGCGGCCACTCAAGCACAACGTCACAACAGCAGAGTCGATGATCAAGCCTCCGAATGGATGGTTGGCGGGCGGTCCAGGATGGCAGAATCCGCATTGGGATTGCTATCATATCAACTCGATCGATAAGAACGCCGAGGGCGACTTCCTGGTGTCCATGAGATACACCAGCACAATCTACAAACTCTCCGGCAAACATGGGTCCGTCATCTGGCGCCTTGGTGGCAAACACTCGGACTTTAAGCAAGACTTTCGTTTCTCATCCCAGCATTTCGCACGATTTTATTCACAAAACGGCAATGAGACAATCATCTCGTTCCTGGACAATGGTTCAGACGAAGAGAACAGACAACCACAGACGGCCAAAACATCGTCGATCAAACTCGTCTCGCTTATCGACGATGGCAAGACCAAGAAAGCAACACTGCTCAAACACTTCGACAGACCCGACGGCAAGCTCACTAGGTTGCGTGGCTCAGCGCAGGCACTGCCAAATGGAGGCTTTGCAGCAGGATGGAGCGAGAGCGGGTATATCAGCGAATTCGCGCCGGATGGTCACACCGTGTTCGAAGCCAGATTCACGACCGACCGCTTCAACACCTACCGCGCGTATAAATTCGAGTTTGTCGGGTCGCCCAAGGAAGCCCCAGTGCTCAAGACATTCGCGTTGAGCAACGGCAACGACGATGTCCTGGCGAATATGTCGACTTCGTTCTACGTGAGTTGGAATGGTGCGACCGAGGTTCATAGCTGGGATTTCTACGTGACCAACAACAAGTCGATGGTCGGGCACGAGGCTCAAATGCACAAGGCTGGAAGTGTGAACTCGACCTCGTTTGAGACGTCGTTTTTGACGAACGAATTCTGGGCATACGCTTATGTGGAGGCACGAGATAAATTCAACAGGACTTTAGGACGGTCGAGCTTGACGACTGTGATCTTACCAGGCGGTCTGCAGCGGGAGTATAATGAGTCGACGTTGGCGGTTGAAGCTGGGGTCCTGCAGGTTGAATGGGAACAGCGGCAGCAACGACCGAAGACGACTGTGCGCATCTTGCCCGTCATTTCGGTCGTCGGGCTGTCGTTTATCACGCTGGGCTTGATCGGCTTCTGGGCCGTGAAGAAATTTGAGGTCCTTGCCGCGTTGGTCCGCCATCATGGGCACCGCCTGTATGGAGAGGATGACAAGGAGCTCGACCACGAGTGGTCCAAGAGAAGAGACGACCGGTTCCTTGAGGACTGGACGCAGCAGAAGGATGCACTTTTGAAGTCGTTTGCTGTTTATATGGATGACGATGAAAGCAATGAGAAAGAAGAGGCGATGAGTGATATATCCCTGGATGAAGGGGGAGGAAGTGCAAAGAGGTGCGAGGGTGTATAGAAACCTCCAGGCAGCCTGGAGGCATGATCATGTCATTATTGGCCCGCGCTTGTACGCTCATCTATGTGTGACCATTCCTTCGTGATGCAGAGCTATTCCTGCTATATTGGACCCCCACGCCAGAAAATGCCTGCGTTTTATATGAGCCTGACTCCAGTTTCCAAAACTCCTTGAAATGACCCTCTAACACCTCCCAAATTGCATACAATAACACATTCTCTCGTTCGGACAGTAAACCGCTTGCTTCCCAAAGATGACATGCCATAAATACTCAAAGACACGGCCACTTGTATAATCGTCCAACTCGGTCGCCAGCAACCAGTCGCGATAGCGGACGTATTCGGCCAATTCGCGTTGGCGGATCTGATCCCTAGACACGGCGAATTGTGCGCAGCAAGGCACCGCGAGAATGTCCGGCACTGTGAGCTGTGCGCCGAACATAGTCCTCCACGCTTGATGCATGGCGCGCTCTGCACCGTGATCTTCCCGGCCGTCATCGCGGTTTGTCTGACACTCGGCGGGACATCCTGGATTCTGTTGACAACGAAGATTGACGTAGCCTTGTTGTTGGACGAAGTCGAGCCGCAAGTCGCGGAGTAGAAAGACGCTGTCGGAGTTGGGGGTATCGGTGTGCCAGGCTCCTTGGTGGTGGGCGTGCATGAATGCTACCGTGCTGGGGAGGGTGTCATAATGGTCGATGATGAAGGTGAGGTAGGCCATTGCTTCGTGGCCTTTGTCGGCGGGGACTTTAAGGCCCGTGGGATCAACGTCGGTCTCATTCATGTGATATATGGCTGTCTGCCAGGTGGGCAGGTGTTTTGAGAACCATGACACGCTCTCTCTGGGTGTTTTGGCGACGACAACAACTTTGTCTTCCGAGACGGGGGTTTTGTGGATGAAGGAGCCGCTTTGGAGGGTCGGTTGTTCATCGATGTAGGGCTCCCACGCGAATACCGATTTGTAAGACTTGATTTCGGGCCAGTATGATTTCACATCGTACCGGGAGGTGATGAAGAGTAATGTTAGAGCGACGGACAGGATGGCTCCGATCAAGGCGAGTCTGAAACGGGATAGCATTGTTTGATGCGCTGTGAGCGCCCACGAGCGGATGTGCTCGACATGGCTGTTATATGGGCTGTATGCTTCTGGGGGCTCTCAGGGGATGTTTACCTGGAAGACAGAGCACTGATCCACCGTCATGGTCGAGGTGCGAAATATGACAGGCGAGTTGCGTGTCAATAGAATTGCTGAGTGACGCGGCCAGGTGCCACCACATAGACTTTTTGCCGTTTCACCTGCCAACTCCATAGCGATAACTCTGTTGCATATGGGCAGAATGGCAGGCTTTGCGTTAGTATCTTGATGAAATGCTGATCTTGGTGTGAAGATAGTATAGGTGCGACTGCTGAAAGAACTTTGAGATAGGGAAGTTCCGATGTGCGACTTGGTGTGAGGTATTGAAACACATTCCCCTGATCCCCACGACGCCGTAGACTCCCCTCCCGGCACCGGGATAATATTCGGCCAGGGGGCTGTGGGAGAGCCTTGACCAGCCTTGCGCGTCCCAGCAATACGCAATCCATCCCCATTACTCCGTACTTTTACAAAAAGCCAACCTTCCCTCTGGAAACAATACAATCTGGACGATTGTGGGCCGTGAACGTTTCATCTTTCCCCCAACCACGTGTCGCCGCGAGGTCTATAAAACCGAGATCGGCCCGACCGTTACTTGGTGTGGAAAGCAGCATAGACCTGCAGAACACCCGTGACTGCTCCGATGACTCCAAAAGCAACAGTGAGGACGAAGGCGACAATAGCAATCCACAAGGCAGACCACTCTCTCACATTTCGGCGATCGTACCACCATTGTCCAAAAGGCCTGGGTCTCGTGCTATCATGTCTTGACTGCGATGCCGCCAGTCTCTCTCCGAACAATGGATACTTGCTACATTGATATTTCATCAAGTCCTCCATGTCTTCCCACATCCGGAGCGCTTCAATGTCCACTTTTGGTTCTTGCAAATATTCTGAACTCTTTTTGCTGACTTCAACTTATGCCTGGGCCAAGACAGCACAGCGGGTGTGGACTCTGGACGCAGATTTGAGTAAGTCTTTCCATTCTCATGATACTGTCAAGTCCTTTGTGCGGATTTCGCATTTGCCTTGGACGTCTGATTCTAATCCCCAATCAAGGATGATGACGACTCTGGATCATGGGTCGTGGACACACCTGGCGACACACTCTATGATGTGATAGTGGCGGTGGCCATTTTGCCGGACTTGGGAATCGTCTACCTAATTCGAGCGGAAAACTTGTTTGAGGATATCACGGCATCCTGGCCGAAGCAACCCCCACTGGATGACATATTTTCCTTGAACAGTGCGCACGAGTGTCACGGTTCAAGCACGGTGTACGACCCAACCACCGACCGGAGCCATGTTTGGGGATCATACATGGACGATCCTGATTTCGATGAGGATGGTTTGTATGGATGGGTTAGTGGTGAGGCCCATCCGAAACACCCGAATTGGCAAAGACACAATGTCCACCGAGGACGTTCAGAACGGGAAAGGAGTCTCGGTTGAGGTCAGAACACAGTAACTGTAGTCGAGCCAAATGGAGGGACGATTAAGTCCAGCCGGAAAGTTGATATTCTAGACTGCGGGTCATACTGCTCCCATGTACCTAGATAGGTTGGCGATGTCCAAGTGTCATCCCCTTGGCATTAGCACTTCTCGTATGATGTTTTACTCCGACCGATAGCCGAATTATATCGCACAGACTTGGCCCCTTCCACCACGGTCGATTTACTAGGCCTTATTGAGGCTGAGGCAACTTGGTCCGCCGCGTGAAGACGCACCGCAATCCCTCCTGCCTCACAAACCAGTAATCATGCAGAGTCCATTCCGCCAGTGGATCAGCCAACCGGATATCATATCGTCTTAAGAGCTGGGGCACTAACTTCGACATCTCCATTAACGAGATATTCTTACCGAGACATGTCCTTGCACCAGCGCCGAACTGGTCATCACGTCAGCAATAGCATCCGGGCGAGAATGACTCATGCTTACCGCCAACCAATTCCTATCCATGAGCTTGAGAGTCCTCTCGTCTGCCTCAATCCACCGTTCCGGCCGGAAGACATCCACGTCCGCGCCATACACGTTCTTGTCTCTCGCAGCCACCCAGGGATTGATTCCAACAACCGTGCCACCAGGCAAGAACGCACCGGATATCGTCGCGCCTTCCAGCGGTACGATTCTTTCCAGTAAGAGGCCAACGGCCGGGTGCATCCTCAGCGCTTCTCTCATGCACGCCTGGAAATACGGCATGCGCTGAGCCTCATTGTAAGTGATATACTCCGACAGCTCACCTCGAGCATCAAAGGAGAGAATCTCGTCGACGACGGTACTATACGTCCTCGGGTTCTTCAGAAGGTAGTAAAACATGGCACGCAGAGAGATAGCGGTGGTGTCGCTGCCCGCGAATCTGCCCGGGATCAGCCCCATTTTTCTGCCTGTGAGAGAAGAAACTTACACATTCGAAGCAGCATGACCCAGAAGTTCCTTGTCAGTCATGACCTGCTCACCTTCCTTGCCACGCTTGAACCTTGCAATCATATCTTTCTTACCATGTTCCGCGGTCGTCCCTTGTCTTCGGGACATTTGCTCGCCGGCAAAGTTGACGATGTATCGTGACGAATTGAGCCGCGCCAGACTCGGGATCATGTCGGCTAGTTTCGAGATATACCGATTGCCGAGCAGATACTTGTGCAAAGACGGCACCTGGCCGATGATGGAGTTGTAGAACAAGCGGCCTTCAATGGCGGATATAATGCCTTGGACATCTGTTTCTCGTTCCAGGAAGCCCATTGCGTTCGAGAACGTGATGTACGTGATCACATCGAAGGCGTACCAGTGCAGCCAGGTTCCAAAGTCGATGTTCCTGCCTTCGAGACCGTCGAGCTTCCTCTGCATTATCTTCGTGCATTCGTCTGCCAAGGTCTCCAAGTCGAGCAGCGCGCTCAACGCGTATGCCGCGCCGACCGGTCGTTTCAGGCTGCGATGGCCCTCAGGATCTGTGATCGAAAAGACTGTCGGGATGTTACCCACAGGTGACTTTGCGTGGAACAGCGTGTAGAAATCGCTCTGGTAAGTATTTATAAGCTTGATGACTTTCGAATGACGCCGTGAGGCTCTTTCTTACCTTGTTGAACTTGGATGTGATACTATATATCACGGAGATCTGGTCCGAGTCTGAGATCGAGACATGCTTCGGACCTATCCGGACGACTGGGCCGTACTTGTCATGATAAGCAAGGTGTTTTGCGAATTGATGTCCAGAATATGCCGTGGAAATCCTGTCAAGCGGCAAGACGCTGGCTAGGAATGGACCAGGAATGTCTCTTAGTCCTTTCCTGAACCGGATTTTTAACAGGAGCACGCAGGGTATGATTGTAAGGAGGAGGGCGACCAGCACATAGTGGTGCTGTAGATAGTAGGCGTAATTCAGAGCCATCCTGTGGTCAGGATTCGATTCAAACCGTTCAGTGAGACTGGTGAAGAAACGACTATCTGAGGTTCACAGCTTGACCAAACCAGGCTATCGTAGTGATGAGAACTCTGGACCAGGTCTGGGGATCCCAGGCCATTGCTATGTGTAAAGTATTCCTCCGCATATGCGGGGAGAGTTCACATCACTTGCAAGCCGTTCTATCCCCGCAAGCTCCAGATCGGCAGATGGACTCAGGGTTGTCTGGGTGAGCATTGCATGGTCATTCATATCTCCGGAAGGTCAAAACTTACGCAGATCCTGGGCCCTTCGTAGGAGTATCACAGCCATTGACTGACAACCCTTGGTAGACTTCAGGTCTGACATCTTGACCAAGTCGTTCAACATTGTTCGGGCGAGGTTTCGGCGACCTTTCGGCAGGGAATAGAATAACTGACCGCGCTGCTTGCCCACCTCGATATAGTAAATGTTGTCTGCTGAAGTGTAGTATAACGTTCAGACTTTTGATAGCGCTTGTAACAGCCTTTAGGGACGATATTCGTATCGAACAGCAGGATTGTAGCAACCTCGCTGCAGCAGCATACTGAACACGGGTCCGCCTGAATCACTGCTTTCGTCAGCGGGTAAGGCTGCAGCAACCCCCCCATAGCGCCAGGATCATAGCAGTGGCACAGGTCTGCATCCTTTTTCCTGGACAATTACCGTATGGCATGGAGGTTGTTCTTTGCCATCCTTAGTACTGTCCCCTAGCTCATTCCGTATCGAACGGACAGGGGTCCACGGCTGGTCGCGCCGATAAGATAAGGAGAGTCCCCGGAAAATGTGCCGATTAGCCGACCACCCACCTGCCGTACACAGAAAGTCATCACAACATTTCGTCGGCATATGGCGCCTTGTCATTATCGTTTAGGCTTTCAACGTCTCTTGTGAAGATAACTCCGTCTCAACAATTGAGCTAATATGGTTAGGAGTTGTTTGAGAGACTCCAATGACGACTAAAAAGCCATCAGTCCCGCACGCAAAGACATTATCAGTCCAACATGGCCGATCGCAACCACACCGACACAACGCGACGGCCATCGTCCACTGACCGACATTCTCGACAAGGCAGCGATGTGCGCCGCGAGGACTTTGACGACTCGCTCATGCTGAGACGCACAAATTCCCTGGAACCTGGTGGCGCCGAGAGCGTTGCTGTACAGGAATCTCTCCCACCCAGCCGGCCCAAGCACGTCGCCAATGGGGAGGATGATGCCGACGAGCCCGTCTGGCCTCATTCAATTCGATATATGGTCTTGCTGTGTGCCTTCCTCACGAGTTTGAGCTTTGGCGTCACGCAGGTCCCGCTACTGTACGTGTTCAGACTGATGACCTGTGACGCATACTTCAAAGACCACCCGCAGCATCAGCCAGGGTCGTTATCGCTACTCTCATATGCCTTTGGGACCAGCACCGAGAACACGGCGGATAGATGCTCGATCCGCCCCATTGAGAGTGCCACCGCATTATCAGTCTCCCTATTGGGTGCCAGCACCACGGTTTTCGGTCTGCTCAACCTATTTTTGACTGGCGCGTTGATCAAGCGGATCGGCGTGAAACCTACACTTCTCATCCAAGTCTTCTTCCCCGCTGTACGGCTTCTGGTGCAGAACGTCGGCGTCGAGGTATGGGGCAATACAGGCATTATCATCATTCAGTGCTCCCAGATCGTGAGTATCATTGGCGGGCCCAGTGGGTACCTCTTGGTTCTAAACACATTCATTACCGAGGTGGTCGAGTATGAAGGCCGCACAGCAGCACTGGGCAGGTTGACCGGAAGTATGATGTTCGGGTCCGCGCTTGGGTTCCTGGCCGGTGGTATTGTCGCGGAGTCATTTGGTATCAAGGCGCCCTTCCGATTGACTTTCATACTGTTCCTCATCTCGGGTGTTTTTGCGGCTGTCTTCTTACCGCACATCAACCCTCCGGAGGCACCGGGCGACAATGCGCCAGGCTCAGATGCGCTCAAAAACAAGACCAACAAGAAGTCATGGTTTGCCAGGTACTTCGGGCCATTGGCGGTCTTTGCGCCACGCAAGTTCATAGGAACAGATGGTGTGGTGCGCACGGAACACGGCGCTTTCCTGCTTGCCTGGGGCGTGTTCCTTGGTATTTTGGCGACAGGATACCTTCCGACACTGCTCCAACTCTACGCAACAGACAGATTCTCCTTCGGCACCAAGCAAAACGGCTGGCTGATCTTCGTGTACTCGACCCTCCGGGGCGTTTTCCTGACATTCGCATTCCCGAAATTCATCGCAATAGGACGTAAAATCAACATGAGGAAAGAAGAGCGTGCCCGCCAGACCGAGCAGTCCGAGACGACTGAGCGGCAGCCCCTGCTCAGTAGTCAAAACGGACACGCTGATCCGGACAACAAAGACGCGGCACATAAGAAGCAGCAGACATTTACTTTCGACCTGACCTACACGCAGGGTTCGCTGATCGCTGACGGTCTCCTCACGCTTCTGTGTACGTTCGTCCGCAACGGCTGGCAAATATACCTGGTCGCGGCGGTGTTGCCGTTCGCCGCGGGCACGGGCTCAGCATCGAAAGGCACGATACTACAAATGATCGGTAGTTCGGCGACTAGTAGTGAGAGGACCGATGCTCTCGCTGGTGTGAGTTTGGTCGAGAATATGGCGAGGCTTTCGACGAGTATGTACACCTGAGCTTCGCTGGAAAATATGCTGACTCAAACCTGAAACAGCTTCGATATTTGGTATCATCTTTGCCGTATTTGCGGGTATTGGCAGGACGGAGCTTGTATTCACGGTCAATGCTGTATGCTTTCCGTCACACGACTTGTCATATAAGATACTGACTTCGTACTAGGCCGTGGCACTGATAGGATTCTGTGTGTTGCTCTTCGCACGGTTCCCTCTAGAAGGGAGCCGTCCACTCGACAAGGAGAATATATCGGAAGATTGATGGAAACGACGTAAAAGCAATATATATGAGCGTTCCATTGAAGGTTGGTCAAAGTGGACTTGGGCACGTTTCGCAGAAAGCGTGGGGTATATTATGGCCTCTTGTGTTAAGGCCTAGACATCAACCCGAGATACTGGATCGGCCTGTTGAAGGGCCTCGAATCCAGCATAGACACCACCCTTCACATCATTGATCGACATCCATTTTATTCAGGATGGCCTTTATCTCATTTCCTTGCCCATTACCACCATCCATCTCACTGATAAGTGCCATGGCTTTGATCTTCAATTCGCGAACGACTCTGCGACTGTACTCGAAACTTCCGGTGCTCTCCATATATTGGACTGCATACCTCTTGACTTGTTCGTCAGTGGTTTTCTGCTTGAGAATGTTGATAAGTTCGAGATTTGCCGTGTTGGTTCGTATCGAGTGGATGACAGGGAACGAGAATTTGCCTTCCGTCAGGTCCTCACAAAGACCTTTATTCTTCGTATAAACAGTGGAGGACAGATTGAGATAATCGTCGCATATTTGAAATATCAATCCCATCAGATTGACCAATGGAACGCAGTCTATTCGCCCTTTTTCGGGAGACTCGGCTTGCATCAGTTTGACTGCCAGGCGGAAGAGACCACCCGTTTTGTTCTGCACCATTTCCAGATAGTCATCCTCGGAGGGACATGTCAAGGTATCACGCCAGTAAAGATCCATCCCTTGCCCGCGATGTAGGTTGAGTAATTCTGTTGTAAAGATCTCCATAGCCTCATCCCGATTGTCCAAGCGCTGGAGTTCTTGCAGGGCTAAGAAGTAGACGTAGTTGGCACTGTTGATTGTCTGAGCGACTCCAAAGATATTATGTGCCACGGGTACACCTCTCCGTAGTTGACTTCCGTCCTGTACATCGTCGATCAAAAGTGAAGATGTGTGAAGCATCCCAACCACTTTTGTGATAATCTCCAGCGACTGTGGAGGGACACGCAGAAACGAATTGAAAGCTTTGATCAAGGCTGATCTGATGTCCTTGCCTGGGTGCGCCCATAAGTAATCGTACGGACCCATGATAATCTTCTCTTTCTGCGGTGTCCATTCTCCCATTGGCCTCGGCGCGATGTAATCTGAAGTAGACTTCCTCTTAGACTGCCTCCTCACGTTATTTGTGTGGTCGGCGAATTGTTGGGCCGGAGTTTGCGGAGGCATTGAGTGGTGTTTGGGTGACAGCCAGGAGTCCTCGGGCAGGGGTTTCAGGACGGACTTGGAGGGTTGATGTTGGATCCCATCATGGATGCCAGCCGAGCTATATCGAACGGGAATGGCGTTTGGGGAGGTCGGGTTTTCTGTGATGGTCGCCATGTGTGGTAAGACGTTGACACGTATCAGGAATGAGTGGACATGTGAAAGCGAGTGTCCGTCTGGGCAGGATGTCTCGGATTTGGCCCAATTGCGCAGGTGGCCTCAGTGTGTAGAGTGGATGGTATCGTTTGCGCGCTAGAACATTACAAAAGGTCAAACGCAAAGGGAGAGGAACGGAGGTGCAAGCAGTGAAGACATCTAGGCATCAAGATTTCATTGTGTTGGAAGACAGACCCGAGTCGTCCGAGTCGGGCAGAATCAGCATCATGACTTTTCGATCGTGTCGCCTTGCATGACGAAAGCGCAAGGCTTCGGATCGTTGGGATCAGGCGCTAAGCAGGGGACCACTCAAGCCACTGCAGATGATGATGACTGAATGACTTTTAGGCGGCCCCAGCACGGAGTGCACATGACTCGGGGCGGTCTTTTGGGTCGGGGGCCTGAACTTGCGCCTAATGGACTTGATCCCCGCATGTTTGGATCTAACTTGTTGTGGCCTTGACAACCAGGAACCCTTGAGCACTTTATCAGAGGTCATTCTTTATTCAAGACCGTTCCATCATTACACAGGCACACTTCCAGACTCCCAGCAGTAAGCCGCACGTACAATTCATCATGGAGACACTCCTCTCCCACTCCTTCGACTATCTCTCTTCCCCTTCTCCTCAGAAAATCCGCAAAGGCCTGCGCCAGGTCGAAGGCCTCCTCGCGCAACTATGTCTCTCCAAAACCCCAGCTGCAAACAAGCGACACTCACTGCAGCCAACATCATCCCCAAACAGCAAGAAGCTCGGTGAACTGCCAGAAGACCCTGCCTTTCAAGAATTCTACAAACTGCAGCAGAGCTTCCAATGGAACATTGCCATGAGACTGGTTGCATGTCTAGAGAGACTACTGGGAAAAGAGAGCAACGGAACAAATGACATGTTGATCATTCAAACACTGGACCTCATTCAAGGAGTCCTACTTCTACATCCCCCTTCGCGAGCGCTCTTCTCGCAGGAGATATACATGAACGTACGGTAAATCCTTGTCTACACACCGAGATCACCGCTAACACCTCCCTAGCTCTTCCTCGACCTGCTCGACCCTGCAAACTGCCCTGCCATCCAATCCTCTACCATCATGGCCCTCGTCACATCACTACTGGACCACCCACAGAATGCACGAACATTCGAAGCCACTGACGGGCTGTTAGTGGTCACTTCACTGTTCAAATCACGCAGCACATCTCGGGAAGTCAAGCTCAAACTGGTCGAGTTTCTGTACTTCTACCTCATGCCCGAGACACCCGCTCCGAAGACTTCAGCATCTGCTTCCGCCCCAAACACGGCGATATTGGGCGGACGTGGAAAAGAATTGATGCAAGCATTCGACCGGCGGAGGGAGACCGTCAATGGACCTGACGCAGTCAAGAACGCCAATGGCAACACGAGGACAACGGAGGAGAAACAGTCTCTATTGGGCAAGCACTTGAGCAATGTGCAGGATTTGGTTGAGGATCTGAAAGAAGGAGGTGGCGTCTTTGGCGTGGGTGCGATGTAACAACAGTACTGTCACTGCGGCGTTAAAGATATCTGTTTGAGATACCCAATGCTTGAAATGAATTTGAATGCAACCTTTGACCAACATTCTGACTCCCTATCGGCGCCCGAGAACACACGAGAACACGACATAGCCGTCGAGATCGTGCTGTGACTCATGCTCTCTGAAAGGGAGAGCGTGGATTGGACAGCTTTCTCAATAAAACTATAAAATTGACATTGACAATCTCCAATGAAAATGTTCTCCAAGCTATATTCTCGAGTACGTTGACAGAAGCAGCCCCAGCGGCATTGATATATAGATTATCGCGAGTGTCTGGTTTGAATAAAGGTTGACAACCAAGATATCGGAGATATTCATACATTCAAGGAATTTTGTACACACCACTTTTTACGCCTCCATTGATCTGAACGCAGACTTTCAAGATGGCAGGGCAAATCCCGCAAAGTACAGATCCGACTGTCCGGTACATGTCCACATCTCAAGCCTACGATCTCTGGGCCTCAGTCTACGACACCGATGGAAACTTCCTGCAAGCACTGGACACCATTGAGATGAAGTCGCTTCTGCCGCGCATGCTCGCCTTGCTGGAGACCTCACGATTGCCTCGCCCCTGGAAACTTGTCGATCTGGGTTGTGGGACAGGGAGAAACACGGCTGCTCTGCTGGGAGTCGAAGGAGCCAATGTCGTGGGATTAGATGTCAGTCCCGGTATGCTCCAAGTAGCCAGACAACGGCTGGAGGGGATCGGCAGCCAGAACCAATTGAGACTAGAAGTCTTCGACATGATCGAGGAGGCTCTCCCGCCCAAATGCTCCCTAAATGCTGATGTGGTGGTATCGACGTTGGTGTTGGAGCATGTTCCGGCGGACATCTTCTTTGGTCATGTCTCCAGGATCCTTAAGCCCGGCGGAATCTTGTTGTTGACGAATATGCATTCAGAGATGGGTTCGATGAGCCAAGCTGGATTTGTTGACCCCAAGACTGGCGAGAAGATCCGGCCGACGAGTTACTCTCACACTGTGGCAGAGGTTGAGGCTGCAGCAGCCAAGAGTGGACTAGAACCTGTTGACAAAATTGAGGAGAGGGCCGTTGATCAGTCCATGATACCATTGCTCGGAGAAAGATCAGGGAAGTGGGTGGGCGTTACAGTGTGGTTCGGAGGGATCGTTCGCAAGAAGCCTTGATCAACCTATCCGATTTCAACTGTCCGAAGCCTGCTCTTTTCCACCTCAACTGGAGAAGAACCCACGTACCAGACGTGCCCTATGTTGTACAAGATTGTCATACCGTTGCAACGCCAGCTTCAATGTCGGCGTCTTCCATTCCAGGTCGTCATCGAGTATGATTTGGGTGTATGCGAACAGACTGGCATCAAACAATCCGGGCGTTGTTTGACCAAAGAAGAATTGGTCGTCCCCTAGAAGCCATGACAGAGCTTTGAAAGCCTCTTCTGCTTTCGAGTACAATTCCTGCCCGTCGATTATAGTGTTTGTCTTCAGCAGCTCTTCCCGGGCGGCACCCCGCAGTTGTTGTGCAAGGCTTGTTCTCACAGCATAGGAAGTTGAGGCGGTCTCGACATACATTGGCCATGCCGCACTCCGGAAGTTGTTGTCGTCCAAGTACAGATAGTACAGCCAGGCACTTCGGAGGTTATGATCAATCAACGCCGTGTATGCTTCTTGTCTCAAGTGTTCAGCCTCTTCTTTCCCTCCTTGTGAAATGACCCATCTTGCTAATCGATTCGCTGGTATCGGAGATGCTGGACGTTGAGGGTCGGAGGTTGCTGGGAGCAGGAAAGGTAACGAACCAGTTGGAGAAGCATGATTGTTCGATGCTTGAGTGCGTAAAGGAATCCCATGAAACTTGAGATATGCTTGCCATTTTAAACAGGATGGGTTGAATGATGGTGCATGCCGACTTCGTGATTCTTCTGACTGGAAGATGTAGAGGATGTTCTCGTTTCGATATCTGGGAGCTCTCTGTGGAAGGCTGTTCGCAGGATAAGTGACGAGAGGAAACCGATCGAACACGCGTTTGATGGGTTCAGGTAAAGACCACCAATGTGACTTGGGAGCTTCTTGTGCTCCTGATCGGCCAGCAGTCTTTGATGGACGCGTCGCTTTCGCTTCTGCAGTGGTATTGTCAGTGTCGGTCATGTCCACCCCCATTGCCTGCAATGTTGTAGCGATTGCTTCGAAAAACCTTTGGAGATCTAGGATGAAGGGAACGCGGAGCAGACTATGATTCGCAGCCTCAATATCAGGCGGGCAGGATCGAACACGGGAATGATGTGGTATGGCTTCGTGCAATTGTTCGATTTCGGTTCACGCAACTCGAAAATTTACGTTCCGCAGTTGTGGAAAACCGAAAATAGTCCTATTACTGCACGATCTACACCGGAGAGTCCCTTTCATCGATCATGTCCCCGCGTGGTGTTCCTGAGTTTACGAGTACAATCACGTTGCAGTCTCTTCGCCTCATTTGGCCCGTGATGCATCCCGAATCTCCATTTTGATCGGTGAGACACGACGCTAAATTTATCAACACCCAACTTTCCTCTCCACATTCTCTTGTCGACCCCTCTCCATTGTTTCTAGAGTCGCATTCCGCGGTGACTCCTGAACAAAACCTTTCTTTGTCTGCTCCAGTACCTTGGTTCGTCCAGCTCATATCACGCGCCAAAACAATACAAACACTCGTGCGCACCTCACTCACGTACATCCCACAACCCGACGAAAATTCGATGGCATGCTGCCGCCCGAGCGAGGCAATGCAGGAGCGGTCGGCTGACAAGGTTGCGAGCCCGCCTAAAACTGGGCGGGTCGAGGACGGGAGGATACGAAAGATCAGAGGTGCCAGCAAGCCCGAAATGACGGCAATTCAACATTTCAACGGGAAGACCTATGCCTGCGAATCATGCAAGAGAGGACACCGAGTGAACAAGTGCGACCATGGAAAGACGAGGCCAATATCAGAAACGAATCAGCCCGGTCGACCATCTGCCGGTCAGAAGAGAGGGTGTCAGTGTCCTAGGAATTGTGCCTGCACAACAAAGACATGCAAATGTGAAAGAGACTGTTCCTGCACTCAAGAGATGTATCTCGTTGTCCGAGTCGACGGTCCTCAACCCATAAGCCGAGAAGCAACTTCCAGCCCCAAGCCTGTCTGGGAAGATGCGAATGGAGAAAGAATGACTCTGAAAAGAGTATGGGCCGATGCAAATGGCAAGCAGATTGATGTCGAAGAATACATTGAACGTAAACGACGGATGAAGGAACGCGAAGAAGGCGCTACATCCACACCAGAAACTGTCAAGTCGAGTTGTTGTGGTTCGAAGAAGGTGAAAGACGAATCTTCATCACCACAGCCCGCGCCAACCGGAGGATGTCGACACCGCCAAAATGTCGAGAAGAAACCTGAAATCGACAGTTTGACTCCCAACTTCGCTGGACAGACAGTGGATCACAGTACTGGATCATGGAAAGCAGCTTGCTCTTGCGGATCAGGCTGTTCTTGTTTGTACTGTCCGGACCATCCCAACAACGCAACTTCCATCAATCACACACAGCAGCAGGTTAAGAATCTTGCTCAACAACCGTATTCCGAGATCGACGGGATGATGCCACTGTCGTTCATGCCTGACACCAATTCAAGGTCGTGTATGGGAGGTCAGCCATCATTCTTCCTTTCCAGGACACCCGATGTCTCGCAGCAACAACTACTTGATCCGAACGCCATTTACCTCAGATATCCAATTTCACAACACTCCTGGACCAACCAACCAGCAACCGCACACTGTTCTCATGGCGCATCTCCCTCCGCTGTCATGAGTATGACTCCTGATCCGAACGAGACCTATGTAGAACCTCTGAACGAGGTAGTTGACGGATCCATGCCATGGGAATTCTTGCCCGACGAGTCCAACGGCACCTGGGATTTCTCAGGAGGCCAAATGGGTGGCACGGCATTCAGTTGGACGGACCTCGATGCAACCCACGGCACAGATTACAGTATCGGCGAGGCTACGGTCGCTTCCGTGTCTCATGGAAATATGTTCGCGCTTCCGCAGGGCGCAACAGCCCAGCAAACACCTAGCATCCACGTCAGCATGGATCCGATGTTAAGTCCGACACATCTGAATGGCTTGTCGATTTTTGACAGCAATCTAATGCCAAGCGGCACTCCCATACCCGAATCGCGGCACTTCTACATGAATCTACAACCGCAAAATGACCTTTCCAACCATAACGGCTTCATCCAAAACCTGCCACCAAGCCAGGTCTTGTCCCAGCATGATCTCTATAATGGCCATGTCATCAATGGCATTCCCGATGTAGCTGGACAACCGTACGGCCATCCAAATCCCTCAGGTGGAATCTCGCCCATGAGAAAACCTTCTGCTACTCCGGCCAATTGGAGTTACTCCGAAGCTTTCTCAAATATCGAGGCCATGGGAGCCCCTACGGCCAATTCTCCTCCAATCGCAAACCAGGTGTAATAAATTCAAGGTATGACAGGAGTGAGGAGGTCATTACTTATACAACGCAGTTACGAAAAATATTCACGCGATATGACTGGGGGGTTCGGCGGCATCCAAGCAAGCGGGGACAGGCGCTTTAGTGACGGACCTGCATTATGGCTTGCACATGGGAAAATCTATCATATAGTGTTGAGATGATATTTTAAGACATCAAATGCTACAGATATTACAGTATCTTGCCCCTGATAGCGTTCAGTCTTCATTCTGATATCTCCCGCTCGAGACAATGAAAGAGGTATACTCTACCATCTAATCACCTCTCATAGGTCATGCCGTGGGAGGCACCAGGACTACGAAATCCTCCTGGGGTATATAACGAGTTGCCGCCTCCAACCCTGGTGTATCGTACCCTGGCTTGCCGACCCGGACCGAACGATGGATCGATCTGCCCAATACGCACGTGCTCCGGGATATCGCTCGCGTCGATCAAGTGACCGCCCGACTCGTCTGTTGCCGAATGATACCGTCTTGCGGCCTCCTCTTCCATATCGATGATCCTCTCCGCAGCTAGCGCGGTGATGGTTGAGTCCCAGACACCTTCCCGACGACGACAGTCGCGTAAGACGTCCAACGCGCCTCGCCGAATGATCGGGTTGCGAGAGCGAACGCAGACCAGCCATAAGCCTTGGATGATGCCCAGACTCATTGTGAATGTGGGTGTAAATGTCTGTGGGTCGTTGGGATGATTCTTCCGTCTGTCCAGCTCCACTACCTTGGAACAATCAGAGATGACTTGTCGCCATTCAGCATCGAGTTGGTCCCATATCATTTCACCCGAGGTAGGATTGATCTGTAGCAGGATATTCATGAGAGTGCGCCAGATGATCAGGATGAGGGTTCCCGAGTTCCACTTGTTCTCCTCTTCTGCGCTTAAAAAGGTTCGGTCGTGGCGGTCTAGCATGTTTTGAAATGAAGCGCACCACTGCCGGTAGCTGTTCATCAAGTCTGCTTGTTTTGCACCTATTTCTTGCAGCTGTCCTTCGGCCGGGGTCTCTGGACGCGCTGACAGACTCTCAGCATGATGAAGAAGATATAACAATGAGTGTGTAAGGGCGTCAAAAGTGAAAGCTGCGCTCTCAACCGACTGGAAAGCCTGAGGTATGGCCTGATCAAAGCTCGATAGTCCCAGAGAGGGCGACTGAAAGTTTGCATCCCCTATCTCGATCAATTGTGTGCCGAGGCGACAAAAGACCTCTTGATACAAGGATGGCGGAGCGAACCACAGATTGAATGTAGTCTGCTTACTAACCACTTCGGCAAAGACGTTCACTCCGCTCCTCACATGGCTGAGTGCAGATTGATAATGGCCTCTTAGTGTCTCGTAACAGGTGAATAGGATGCAGGTGGAAAGAGCAACATCGGCTGCCTGGTCATTCTGCACAAAGTCCGAATCAACCACAAGTTTGATCGCTTTGGCATAGTGTTTGGTGGCACTTTCGACTTCGGCGGAGTCATCTTCCAAGTTCTCGTTCGCCAGAAATAGCTCATGCAGGCTACTCAGTGCTATCACAGCGTGCCTGATTGCAGGTTCGTAGTGAGAGACCAGAAGAATATGCCTGGACCATATCTGGGATGTGAATGGGTAGTTGAGCGCGCTGACAGTCCTCAATTGGAAGAATTCCAGTGCTCTAGACTCGAAGGAGGAAAGAGGAGACGAGCGGCCACTGGGCTGTGAGTAGCCCGTAAGGGGCACGTAGTTGATGAAACGTATCGGCGACGATCTTCCGGTTGTTGCAGCAGGAGAAGACTCAGGGTATCGACAAGCGCGATCGGATCTAGCACATTTCTGACATTGAGGCCAAGTTTCGTCGCACTTGACTCGTCGGACTCTGACATTGTCAGACAAAGACTCTCGGGCCTCGTTCAGGAAGCGCCGGAGCGGAGCCACACGTGGCCTCTGGGCAGCGTGGCTTTCCATTGGAGGTCAGGCACCTACCTGCAAGTCAAGCATCCCGTCGTCGATCTCCCACCACCAATTCGGATGTTCTTCGCAGCTGTTTGCGTCATGTTCAGTAGTCAGTGGCGTCCATCCAAGGTACACATAATCGTGTCCGAGGCCCAGAAAGAAACGACTCTAGATACAGGAGGAGGAGGGATTGGAGGCCTGATCCCGGTATTGTTTCGAAGCCAGCTGTGGCTGTCAACTGGGCATGTGCGTCAACTTGAGGCAGTCAGGCACCGCATCAGGCATGACCTTGGATGGATGGTTGACCAGCGAGGTCAATCTTACTCCATGGCTCGGCTGAGGGAGAGAGCGGAGGAAGGACGCGAAACGCGGGATCGGGGGATCAGTCGACTCCTATCTGGGTTAGTCATAGACGAGCTCTTGGCGTGAAGCACGTGAGTCTATATGCGGTATTGAAGTTCCGATTTCGCGGAGTACTTTATTCTATCCCCGTGGCCCACCTATTACTACAGTGGTAACTACCGCTTTAGGCCTGGTAGCCTCCATTTGGGCGAGGTTGATTGGGCCTGAGACTTCCTCTAGACTTTGACCAGCAAGGCCAGATACATTGGTATCACTTTCATATACTCGACAGCTTTATGTAATGGCTACCCTTTGTCTTGATTTAATAAGCAACGCAGTGTGTTGGAGTCTGTTTATCGTCTTATCAGGGTCGAATGAGGAGAACAATGATGGAAACTGATATGAGATTGAACCCGGTGTTGCAGACTAACCTGCTCGCAGAAGAGCAATCTGTAGCTCTGATCAAGTCAGGCTACTAGTATGAGCGCACTGACCACGTATCGCCCGCGTAAAGAAGCGCAAACAGTTTTGCGTCTTTCATTATTTCTCGTCAGGCTTTGTCTAGCTTGCTGTGTTCGGGGTCAAGAGTGCTCTTACTCCACGGTATTCGGTGCATTTTGTTGTTGACTGCAGGACTCCTCACACTCACGCAGCGCTGATCCCTGTCACATACACAACAACGTACTTGTAATTGGGTGGCATTAGTCAAGTGTATAGTACTGAGCGGGTCAACATCCCAAACGAGAGAAACCGATATCTCAATCAAATCCGTGTAATGTTAGGAATGGGGATTGCGGACATTACACAATCAGACCGATGAACATGATAATATGCTATGGTAATCAGGATGGGGGTGTCCTTGGCCAAATCTATTCGGAAGATGTGCCGTTAGCGGTCTTAGCTAGCCCCTTTTCCAGTCGTCAGAGCGATCACAAGGCGTAAGGTCCAGGCGAAGTAGGGTGGGGGAATGTTAACGAGGCCTCGAAGTGATGTTGATAAACCACCTCGAGTCCGAGAATGCATCCCTATCAGATGTAATAGTCCATCGAGAATAACTTCAACCAACAAGTGGAAGACAAACAGCAACAATGAGCACCACCACTGTAACTCAGACGATAATCCAAGGAGGCGGGATGGAGGCCAGGACAGTCAAAGAGCCGACTGGGGCTACATCTTTCAAGGAGGTTCCAGTCATTGACCTCTCACCCATGGATGGTACAGATCCAGCCAAATTGGAAGAGCTCGTATCACAAGTCTACGACGCCTGCACTCAGGTTGGCTTCTTCTATGTGAAGAACCACGGTATCTCGCACGAGACCACGGAGAACATCAAAGCTCAATCAGCACGATTTGCCAAAGAGCTCCCATTGGAAAAGAAAATGGAGCTAGACCGGCAGTATAATGAGTTCCATCTGGGTTACGGTCCATATGAGACCGAACCAAGGCCCGGCGCTCTAAGAGCCCACCGGTTCGAAAGCTTCATGATCGGCCGCGAAGCCCAATTTGACAGAGAGTACGGCAGCAAAGTCGGCCCTGAGCAAGATGCGAAGAACCAGTGGCCCCGAGAGGAGGATCTACCAGGCTTCAAGGCGACAGTCGGCAGCTATTTCGGAGACGTGTTGTCTTTGAGTCGAAAACTGATTCAGATCATTGCCTTGTCTCTGAAACTTGACAAGACGTTCTTCGACGATAAACTCGACCGGCCGGGTTGCTTGTTGTCGCTCAACTACTATACAGAGAAAGCACAGGAGTCTGGTGCCAACGCATCCATCGCCGCGCATACCGACCATGAATTGTTCACAATTCTCCTACAAAGTGAAGGTATCAAAGCGTTGGAGGTCGTCAACAGTGAGGGCTATTGGGTGCCTGCTCATCCAATTCCCGATACATTCGTCATCAACATTGGCGATGCGCTGGCAATCTGGACCAACAACGTTTTCCTTTCGACGCTGCACAGAGCCACGAACGCTGGAGGGGTGGAGAGAATCTCGGTTCCTTTCTTCTTTGGTGCCAACTACGACACTGTGATGCATACTCTACCCTCTTGCATTTCAGAGACCAGACCACTCAAGTATAAGCCGGTGACGGCTGGGGAGCATTACCAGATGAAGATGAATTCATCGTACGGGAAGAAAGGTTCTACAACCTAGATAGACCAATATACTTTTTGCCCCCCATGAGTTCGATGTTATAGCACCAAAACCTGTCCTTGTGCACTGGTAGAGTGCAGGTCGAAGAGCCGCATCGCCTCGATCTACACCGGAGTGTATATGTTTTCCCGTCTGTCTTGTGCCATGTTTTGTGCCTTGATTGTTAGTCATTCAACAAATTCCCACCGCTCCGTCCTATTTCCTGCTTGGGATTGCGTCTTCACATCCATTCGCATGGTCAACGGAATCAATTCGAGTATTCTCTGTTGCTAGATCGTCTCAGGAGTGTGGTTATGGAGTCGGGCGCATGATGTTCCCCAATGTAGCAAAAGCAGGCTTCCTCCACTCAATCAGCATTCTATCAACGAACGAACCGGATTTTTTCGCATCTAGAACAACCAATGACTATGGATGAGGATCAACTGTATGCTATCAATGAGTTGATCGCAGTTCCCCCACTTGATTGATCGGCGAGTATTCTGACTGGCCAAAGGGCTGTCACAAGCATCTCAGCGCTTTTGCCCTGTCCGAGTCTGGTGCCTAGTCTATCGTTTGCCATATCCTCTCTGCCAGAACCGATGTTCATGACTGAGGCAGTGGCTAAGAATGGGGTGATGATTGATAACGTCCATACCACGTGCGCAATTGTTCCTCCGCCTGAATCTAGGTATGGTTGAGAGACATGCGCATACTAGGGACACTGCGGACGTATGTCAGGGTCTAGAGTCTAATCGCCGGTACATTATAGGCAGCGAATCAGTGTCTCCGTCAAGTACATGTCATACGTGACGATTCTCTAGGTTGAAAAGAATGGGGGACTCATACTGGTAGCCTGTGATTGCTGGATACTGTAATCCGACCACTCCTGGTCATCGCGTTGATTGAGGATGGTGTCTTGGTCTCAGCAAGCCACACATAGAGCCTGGGCCAGGAGCGTTATGTCAAACGTGTATTCTTCAAGACAAGCGCATGGTCGCCAAGGGCCGTTCTCTTGGCTACTTGACCAACGCAGTCCCTTGACTGAAGCGAGCTTGGCCCTGACCGGAAACAATCAGCTTTCAGGCAGACCTACGTGGTTGAATATAGTGTCCTGAAGCTCCCACTATGTATGGATAACCACGGACTATTGCTGGTCCTTCCATACCAAACGTGATATACAGACTCACTGATGGACGGTGAGCCTTCAGTTACTGTTTCCATTGGGGTGAGGCTGGGTGGAATGGCGGAATATGCCGCTTTGCCGTGGTCAAGAAGCTACTCCGTACCTTGTTAACCGCCGGTCCCTTGGCACGACCTTAATCGACGATCTCTGGATTATGTCCTGATTAGGTACCAAAAATACTATCCTTATCGGTCCGTCTCAAAGCAAGAAACAACGGCAATCGCGATTGTTGTGTATGATGACCACGTGAATAACAGGTGTACATCTTATCAGTTTCTGAATTAACCCCCACTCTATCAGGTATATCCACTTCCAGTGCCCTGATATCCCTATCTGTATTCCTGGTCCATGGGCCTCCGTCGGTGATGGAGGAAGTGTGGCCAACGGCCTTGCATATGTATATAATACTCCCAGTCATTCCAAACTGTTCTCGGATGGGCATTATCTACAGGTATCCTTCATCCGGACCACCCTGAGCAAGGTAACACTATGGCCGAGGTCACAGAGATGCAGAGCATTCATCCATCAGAATCGATTGAAGAGAAGGGTGTCCATACAACAGGAGCAACTCAACAGAAAGGTATGGATACCACAGGATCAATTGAGGAGAAAGGCATACATCGAACCGACACCGCCGGCTCCAATTATGAAATCGACAAGGCTGTCGAGCGATCGTACCTCTGGAAGCTTGATACAAGATTGATCCCTCTTCTCTCTTTCATGTATCTCCTTTGGTAAGTCACTGCCCTGAGTTGACACTTTCCTTCACTTACACGGCAAAGCTTCATGGACAAATCTAACATCGGTAATGCCAAAACTGATGGCTTGGAAAAGGACATCGGATTGTCCGGAGGGTGAGTAACAGGAATCATCTCCGTCGCAGCTGCTTACATATGCCAGGCAATACTCGACTGCGGTTACGATGCTGAGTATAACACAAATGGTCTTCGAGCCGTGGCAATGTTCGATGGTCAAGAAGTACGGTGCAAAATGGATCCTACCTACCCTAATGTTCGGTTTGTACACCTGCATATCATCTGTTAGTATCCGCATTGACCAAGAGGATATAGGCTGGGGCTCAATCGCCATGATACAAGCTGGTATGGTTGGAAGAGGATTCGGTTCCTTCATCTGCCTCCGCCTCGCTCTTGGTTTCTTCGAATCTGGCTTCTTCTCGGGGACAGTCTTCTACATGTCGTTGTTCTACAAACGCGATGAGATGGCCTTTCGGATTGCCCTCTTCTATATCAGCGCAACTATCGCTGGTGCTTTCTCCGGTCTCTTTTCGTACGGGCTCTTCCAGATCAAGCATGCGGCACTGAAAGGATGGCAATACCTCTTTATCCTCGAAGGCTGCGTTACCCTCCTCGTCGCTCTGTTCGCATACTGGCATCTTCCAACAACTCCAGCGAACTTCAGATACTTCACCGAAGCCGAAAAACGAGTCGGCTTCGTGAGGATGTCATTGGACGGCACCTCAGAGGTTAACTCCAAGTTCACCTGGTCAAAAGCCGTCGCTCCTTTCAAGCAGTGGAGGCTCTGGCTGTTCTGCGCTCTCTCCATCTGCTACGGTGCCGCCACGGGCTCGACTGGAACTTTCCTCCCGCAGATTGTTGCTCGCCTGGGTTACAGCACTGTCAAGACCAACCTCTACACCGTGGCTCCCAATATGGCCGGGTGTTTTGCCACATTGGCCATTGCGAAGTCTAGTGACTACTTTCGGGAGCGTTCCATGCATCTCATAGGGGCATTGACTCTTACCATGACCGGATACATTGTCCTTGCAGCCATCGATCCTGTCCACAACATCTCGGTATCGTACTTCGCTTGCTTCCTACTCTCCATGGGCACCTACGCTCCCAGCTGTTTGGGTAAGCACTCCCCGACAATGTTCAAGTTATGAAGCTAACTCTTCTAGTTCATCAATGGCATCAGTCCAACAACCTGGACGAGAGCGGTCGTGCCTTCACGACTGGCGTCATGCTGGCTCTCTCGAACGTTGGAGTTATCGTCACATCACAACTATTCCAGAACAAATGGGCACCGGCATACAAACAAGCCCTCTATGGAACTGCCGGGTTCCAAGCCGCAGCAATCTGCATTGTTGCCTCGCTCGGAATCATGTTTCGTCTCATCAATAAGAAGAGGGACAAGCAGATTGGTTATAACATCAAGATACAGGACGTCCCGACGAGTGAGTTGACCGGATACAACGATCCCCGTTTCCGGTATCAGTACTAGGAGGTAATCTGCACAAACACAACCGGAGTATAAGATGCGGATGGAGAGATGGTATGTGTCTTGGTTCATGGGGAGTATTCAACTGCCTGGGGGAGAGCACACCTGGTGCACTTTGACAGAATATGCCTCATTTGCTTGTTACCTAGTTCAGCTTTGCTCTCAATAGTCGAACAATGTGCCATTTCCTGTAACAACTAAAGCAGTGCCACACCTGAAGTGCAGGCGGTGTCACCATGTGCATGTCCCAGGCAACTGAGTTTATGTGATCAGATCTCCCTGTGTACATCGCATCCGATACGGCCTACGAATAGGAGTTGGATTACTCCTGAAGCCTTGCCCCACGTTGCGTGGGTCTGTAAGAGGAACCCCTGAATTAGCTAAGCCATGAATAATAATACCATTAAACGTGAAGACGCGGTCGCGTTCGACACGATCGTCTAGCGCGTCGTTCTACCAGTCTTGTGTCGCGATCACCCCTCCAATATTTATCGTACATAGTCTCCGCCTAGCATCCAAGTGATTTGCAGATCAAGGGTTGACAGCGGCTGTGAGTCTGTCGGGCACTCACTCTTGACCAACATGACCTCCTCGTCGCCAGATTCTCCGGAGTACGAGTACCCACTACCGTTGGAAGAGATCAAACCAGAGATATGTGACATTCTGGGCCAGATCACAGGACCTAGTACCTTCGCTTGTGGCGAGACGATATCAGAATATCCAAATCCAGGATTGGTTTTAAATGAGCATGGGACAGTTGGGCTGCCACTCTCATCACATGATGCACAAGCTATCATATCAAAAGCGCGACAAAGCCCTTTCGGCAAAGGAGCAGAAACTCTTGTCGATACAACCATTCGAAAATCAAGGCAGCTGGAACCGTCGCAACTTCAGATCGGCAATCCTCAATGGAACGCTACCGTGAACAAAATTCTCGGCCAGGTTTACACTAGCCTTGGGCTTAGTGGTGGTGCGCAAAAAGTCTCAGCTCAGTTATCCAAACTACTTTTGTACGAAGAAGGAGCGTTCTTCAAGCCTCACAAAGACAGTGAGAAAGCTCCTGGGATGTTCGGTACGCTGGTCATCTGCCTCTCATCCGCCCATGAAGGTGGTGACCTTGTCCTCACGCACAACAAAGAGACGAAGACGATGTCTTTAGCCTCGGAGTTTGGTATGTCATGGGCAGCCTGGTACTCGGATGTTGCATGAAGTCAAGCCTGTGACGTCCGGATATCGGTTGGTCTTGACCTATAACTTGGTCAGACAAAATTGGTCACCCGAAGAAATGAGCTTGGTTTTTGGCAAACACAAAGATCAACTCGTGACCGCCCTGCGACAATATAACAGGTGTCTCGAAGCGAGGAACTCCAAGTATGAATGTCCGGACTATCTGATTCACCCCCTTAACCATCAATACACTCAAGTCAGCCTACGGGCTAATCAACTCAAGGGTGCAGACTCAGGACAGGTGCAATGCTTACGAAAGGCAGCTGCTGAGCTCGGCTTTTCCTTATAGCTTGCCAGTATGGAAAGGACGGTAGTCAAAGGCGATGAGTACGACGAGGATGGAGAAGAGTACTCAAACGAAACTTGTTTCAGATTTGTGGCCAGAGTAGCTGATGGTGTACGTGTTGACGACGCCACGAGCTTGACTGGAAGGGTTCGTGTCGATGACAACGCTTTGCTCGATAGTGAATGGTACGAAGCACATGAGCCCGATAGCAAGGAGCGCTCAGGGTTCACTGGCAACGAAGGCTGTACTGCGACCTATTGGTACCGCGATACGGTAAGTGAAAGCAAGACTCTGGGAGTTTCGTATAGCTGAGACATGTCATCACAGGTCTTGGTCATCGTTCCTGCGGCTAAACATATTCCATTTCTGTTTGTTGCGATGCGAAAGGCAGGCAGATCTGCGCATGGGTGAGGGGCTATCGGAAAGCTGCCAAGTCCGACGCAGCCAGGAAACAGGAACTGGCTGAGTTCTGCAAAAAGGTTCTCGACGGACGACCTCTTCGCGATTGGGACCGAAAAGACCGCTCCCAGGTTGACCTCACGCAGCAAGTAGCTCTGGCTTCTCTAGAAGTCGAAAACCTGGACCTGTTCGATCGAGCCACGAGAGATGCAAGCACATCCTTGCCTGATGAGGCCTATCAGAGCTTTGGTCGTCTCATGGCACAGGCAAGCGACGTTGATGCTGTCCAAACGAGGTAGGTAGTTTGCGCCATCCACTAACCACGACGTTGTTTTGGTCTACGACTGACGGCTTTTAGGGTTGTAACTGCGCTCGAAAAGGTACCCTCTTTAAAGATGAAGTACGAGACGCTACTGAAGCTCGAACAATGCTTCCCCGACACGCTGTCTAGCGCCGAGGTTTCCGAGAAGAGAGACCGATTCTCAACCTGGTTTGGAAAGACCTGGATGATGTGGTATTTCGAGCTGTCCATTCTGGCGCAATGCGGAAAGTGGATGGGACCAGTCTCGCCATCATTGTTGAAAGACGGAATCTGTTAGACGCCCGAGACCGGTTCGTTGTTACAGCCATTGCTCAGTGGCTACAAATCGCTGACCGAAGTGACAGGATCATCCCTGAGTTGTTGAAGACCCATGGCACTGCTTGCAAAGCTGCTTTCGCCAACCACTTATCGAGATCAGAGGACTCTCCTGTTTCAGCAACTGATGCCACAGGAACTCTGAACTCACAGAAGATCCGACAGTACGTTTGCGGACCAGTCTACCAGGATATATGGACCACTTGCGTGTTTGAGTCTGAAAAAACTGTTGCTCAGCTCAATCCTCCCAGACCGCGTCAACTTAAGTTCTCAGTCGACGAGACGAGGAAAGCGTACGAGGAGACCCTGCTTGATGGCGAAGAGCTAGCGGATCTGGTCAACAACACTTCAACCAGAAAGTTGCAACGGTCGATGAGATCACTAGTCACCTGACAAGCGCGATCAAGTCTGCCGACACCGCCGCGTTCCTGTATACATTGCTGTCTTTCATCAAGGCAATTCTTGAGCAGAAGGTCGATTGTTACAAGCTCGACCCAAATGGCCAAGCAACCCGTCACAGCATCCAATTGGCCACATCAATCACAGATCAATACGTCACAGTATATGTGGGAGATGAGCCCAAAGTTCCATCAAACTGGGCCTTACCAACCCGGGGCTGCCGGTCCAACTGTTCCGACTGTGCCGCCGTTAATCGATTCTTGAAGAGTGCTACGGAGAAGGTCGGACGCTTCCCCATGAGCAAGATACGTCGGCTACACTTGCACCAACATTTCAACAATGTCTTCAATGTACAATATACTATTGAGACATTGCGCAACAGCAATCCTAATGTCTGGCAGATCACCAAGGACAGACAGCGGCACGATGATAAACACAAAGCTTGGAAAGGCAAGGTTGAGGATGCCAAAGAACAGATAGGAGCTTTAGTGGACGCCGGCCCATTGGGCAGTTATCACGAAACTACAGCGGGGAAGCCTCTCTCAGACGAAGTCTACCGGCTTGTTTGGGCTCGCGTTGACCCTGGCTCTATCACCCCCAAGACTACTGTCACCTCAAGCCGACCACCACTCCAGGACGCCAGCCCCAACACTCAGCCCGCCGGTGTCTCATCCGGCTCGAAAAGGTCAGCGGATCATAACCTCTTGTCGGGCGGTGAGAAAGGGCAAGGCCGAATAATGCGCAGGGCCCTGCTGCACAAAGTCCGAGAGGACCGGTCGAAGTCATCGACTTGACTGACGATTGAGGATGCATGATTGTGGTGGTTCTGTTGGCATTGAAGTGAAGCTGATGTAAGGGGGTTCCAATACCAGGCCTGGAGAGTTGATGACGAGCTTGGAGTTGCTGACGACTGTACAAACATACCTATGTACTAATACCCCTATCTTTCGATAACTGAAAGTGGTCGAAGATTTGGTCTCCGGAACTGAGGTGAGCCACTGGGCAGAGGAGGTTGGCGCGCTGGGAAGCAATGCTCAGCCAGCTGTCCTTGGCGGCATATCAACAATCGAAAGGCCGTCTTTGGCTGCGATGAAGCATGACGCCCTTTGTGAACTATTGCCTAGGCGTGGACTTGCTTAGCTTTTACAGATAAATGCTTTCAAGGGCGAGAAAGCACCACTAGAATATCCCTCCTAATCTCAAGTATTACAAGCTCTCACCCAGGCTCCATCAACCGGCAGTTCCACACCACTGACATAGCTGGCTCTCTCACTGACCAGCCAGACCACCGCCTCAGCCAGCTCTTCAGGTGTGCCCATCCGCTGGAACGGTATCAAGCCTACGAGCTTTGTGTAATCGGCCCCATTCTTCTGTGCCTCCGTGATGAGAGGCGTGGAAATGAACCCCGGACAAATCGCGTTCACACGAATGCCATCTGCTGCGTATGCCACGGCATCTGTCCGCGTGAGCCCCAAGACGCCAGCTTTGGATGCAGGGTAAGCGCCAGCAGTGGCGTGGGCCGTGAGACCGAAAATGCTGCTGATGTTCACAATGGCACCACGCTGTGGGTCCACATTTCTACGCATCTTTAGCGATGCAGGTTGCTTCAGGAATTGTCGTAACTGTGCGCGCTCGCAAAGCCAGACGCCTCGAAGATTCACATTGACGACGCGATCAAAGGCCTCGACGTCGAGCTCATCTGTGCGGACACGAGGCTTGCTGGTTACGCCTGCGTTGTTGATACAGTAATGTATGGCTCCGAATACCTCGACAGCCTCCTCAACCATGCGGTTGACGTCGTCTTCCTTCGACATGTCGCCAACAAACAGATGGGTCTTGACCTTGGGATCGATGGCTTTTAGTTCCTGGGAGACCTGCTCGAGTCCCTCTTTGCTAAGATCGGACAGAACCAGGCGTGTACAGCCTTCATCGACCAGGACATGTGCACAGGCACGCCCGATACCAGACGCAGATCCGGTCACAAGAGCGACACTGTAACACGTATTAGCATGGACAGACTTTTGCAGCATTGCTGTCATTCTCTCATTGCACCAGAAGCGGCCGGGGGGGTCCACGTACCCGGACATATAGTGAGGAGCCATGACCGTCCTTTACGGCGGAGAGATGAGTTTACTACTGTTCTGAATGTCGATGGTCGACGTCCGTCAGTATCCGAAGAGGTGCTATGTCGTTGAGTTTAGGGCTCGGACATAAATTGTCCAGCTGCGGAGAGTTGTCCGCAGTTGTGATATAACCGAGGTGTCTTGAAGATTAGGAACATAAATTCGATCGGTTCACCTCCGCATCGGCCTATACCAGCCGAGGGCGATCTCCCCACTAGGAAATTCAAGCGCAGGCACGTATTGTCGGGACGTCTCATTAAACTTGCGGTGGTGGAGATAGTCTATCCTCACGACTTCCTTCTCTCCTGTGACTCTTGCTGAGCCCCAAGTTAGCCGCCGCCCAAATATGAGCTGTCATCGCTTGAGCACCGAAATTTAAGTACACAGTACACACAATTACCCTTTGGTGGCTGACCCTAAGATGGGCCTGGACTCAGTTTTCAGCCGGGCCACCACTGCTTCTACAACGTGGCTGTCCGACCGCGGGTACATCTGTTTTCAGAATCAACAGTAATAGGGACTGCTGTCTCAGATGCGCACCACCAGGTATGCATTTTGCCGTGGACTGGTGCTAAAACCACAAAATGCAAATCCCAGTGAAAATCATTACTATAGCAGAAGACATGGGCTGGGTGACGTGAAACCATTCCCTTATATACCTAGGTACTATACTAATACTTTAGCTTCTAACAACGATTCAAATCGGCAGGTTAGATCCGTGTCGTGGAACTTTAAAGTCTAAAACATCCTTCCTCGATCGTGTGCACCCAGATTGCATTAGACGTTTACAAGGTTTTGGGGGAGAAAAACCCGGCGGGGTCTCCATGCGACCACTCACAGGCGTCTAAACAGGAGGAATCGTTGTTCTGGGGGCTAGTTGATCCTAAGAGACGTCAAATATTGATGTGTATGATTAATCTGCCCAACAGCTGGTCTAGGACAAGACGTTCGCAATCTTTTTGAAGAGCGCGACATGATTGCTGCTCGGTCACTCTTTTCCGTTTCGGAGGCTTCGATCGTAGAGGGGAGGAAGGTGGGTGCGCACGCTTCATTGAGTCAGTCTTTCATCAAAGAATAACGCTGGCGGCTCACATAGAGATGTTGAACGCCACAGGCAGGAGATGGCAGATTCTGCTGTCTGCACTTTTGCCGACTCTCGTGAATCTTATTCAGGCAGTTCAAACGAGCGCTCCGCCGAGGAATCTGCTGTTGTCTCTTGGTAATGCCTTGAGGATGTTCCCCTGGCTGGTCAGTTGAGCACGAAAGATGTAAGCAGATCAATGACCTTCGTCAAGCAATCAATTTTGAGGACTGCCTTTGGGTCTTCCGGGCGGTCACACTGTCCCTATGCACCATGGAAGCTTGAGTCGATCGGTGAAAAAGAATAGGCAAAACTACGTAGTTGCAAATAAAGTGCTGTCGCGGTTATAGACTTAAGCACCCAGACTAGCCGGGACGCTCCCCTTTCATAAAACTATCGTTGTAGTTTGTTGCCCATAGCCTTCCTTTGCACGTTTGACTTCTGTCTCAACTTCGGTCGCGGCAATAAGTCTTCCTCGAGAATATTTCTTGTAGGTTGACATCCCTTTCCTCTTTGAGTCCAATCTTTATACTTGAAGGCCATTCTACCACGAAGAGGCCGTAATCAGCCAAACGATCCCCGTAGGTGATAAACGTCAGGAAATCTTGGTCTAGTGCCGTTCATGTAAGCCCTGTGACCCTGGTGCAACCGATAGAACTTCACATCTTACGAGGGCGAGATTAAGTGCATCTTATCGAGCGTTTATCGCGGAGCCTGATCCCAATAACGAATAGACACCACGGTGTCGAGAAGCCGGACTTTGATAATCCCACCAGAAAGTTCTTCCAATTTTCATTTGTTCATGGAACAACCGGCTGTTCAGACGTACTTTGCTTCTCTGCTAACTTAATGCCAACCTAATGGAATACGTCCTCCCTTGTAATCCAAAATTCCCAGATATGGTGTATCCACCCGGGCACGGATTGAGATCTTCATATTGCCTTCGCTGGTGTTCCTGTGAGATTTGGCACAATAGCCTGAAAGGCTTGGCCCGTGTATACCTGCTGCCTCGCGTATCTCCATGAGTTGCAGCAACCCCAAATCGATCCTAAATTTCGATAGAAGAAAGGCGTGCACCAAAGCGAAGATTGACTGGAGCATAAGAAGGATGACTGTCATAATCAGAGCGTAGTTATCAATAAGGATGATTTTTGAAACCGCTTTGAACGCAATTCCCATGACTCCGGAGGGTGAGTCTTGCATTCGCACCAGAGAAAATCCGAGCATGGCAGCTACGAAGCTCACGCGCGTGGCAATGAGCATCACGGAGAAGCTCTCATCGGTGGAGGTTGATGTGTTCCAGTCCCAGCCGGAGTAGCCAGCGGTAGTTCCCAAGGCGTCAGAAATAATGTCCGCCATCATATTCCATCTGGCTGGTGTGGTCATAAAAGCTACAGATCGACCGAATCCGTTACGGTGGAGGAGTAGTTCCAGTTTCCACTCATGTCTGATACATAGAAAGCTGAGCCGGTTGTAGTTCCAAGTGCTGCGGTGCACTGCCACGCGGTATCCGTACCTGTACTTATCTGGATGAGCGCAGTTCCATCCAGGAGGCCGAAAAGCTCGATGGCATTGTTGCTGTTTTGGATGGAGCCTTCGCCCCCAGTGAGGACCTGGTACGTCGGGCCACACCTGACTGTGACAGATAGCATAGGAACATCGGTAATCGAGGCGTTGAGGTAACCAGCCGAGCCTGAAGCAACCAAAGCAGGCATGCAGGGCATCAAGTACTCAACAGTGTCGACGCCGGAGGCGTCGCTTCTATTCGCAACGATGTATGTCCATGCGCTCTGTGCAGGGTTGAATCCACTTCCTAGGCTCGAGGTGCTATTGTACAGAATTGCTCCGGGCCACGAAGAGCCTCGAATACCATTGCCCACATCAACAGGGTCCAGCAATGTCGAGGCTTTGGCATCAAGTACCACCTGGGAAGCTTGCAGGGCGGTAGTCAGAGCCTTCTTGAATACTGCAGACATCAGAATCGCGAGGATGGGGAACAAGAGTCTGTAAAACATTGGCGACAACCCGGTGGATAGTATCTGAGCGCTTGGCCCACGGATTGCCATGTCCATCTCATGGATGTCTTTCAGTGACACTGCCTCGGCAGCCCCCTTCCCCACCAAATATTGCATACGTGCTGTTTGACATTTCGACTGTAACTCTCGAGCCCCGTAACTGAATATGGCACCAAGAATGGCAAGCACAGTCGTCAGGTTTTCGGTATCCCCATCCCAACTTCTGCCGGCTGTGCCGGCAAACCAGATTCCTACCCCGCCAAGCACCCCATAAAAAAGGAAGATGATGATTAACGACACTTTCAACCCTCTTGTAGTCGGCAAAGGTTGGCCGACGAAACCATGGGCGGCATGTTCACGGTTGGGAATAGGAGAATAATGAGAGGACATTGTGAGTAGCGGGAGCAAGCAAGAGAATCTAGAGAAGATTAAGTCACTAAGCAAACAACCATAGGGCAGGATGTGTATTCCAAAGAGGAAAACAGCTGTTTCGGGACTCACATGGGGGTTAAGCTGATATTTTACACGAGGCCGAACACTGTAGAAGATGTTGTAAACTCAGCTGCTGCTCAGTCCTTGGTTCTAGACTCTTCCGATAGTATCCTGTCAACTCCGATATTTATCTGCTCTGGTTGGAGGGGTAGCGTGGTCCAATCGAACGGTGAGAGGACATAGTCAACCTCTGGACAGAAGGAAGGAGCCATGTCGGCAAGGTGCAGGTTGGTCTCGCTCTTGCCTAACTTTGCCTTCTGTATGTTATCAGTGTAGTAGTAATTGTAGGTTATGGCTGGAGCCTTTAGCCCGACTACTTGTCCGAGGTGGCTTCGAGGCGACCGGTCTAGGCGTATCCCATCCTGCAACCCTGAGTACTGTGCCTTTCAAAACTTTGTAGAATTGTCAACTTAGCCGAGGCCACTCACCGTCCAAAGTCCTCCTAAGTGTCCAGTGACTGACTGAAATGCTATCATTGGAGCGTCTAATGTTTTGGTTTGGGAACGCCACCAATGAAGGTCCGGTCGAGCTGGGTGCCCAGTAGGAACAAGAAACTCGTATTGCAACTCGTATGAGTGGGGTCCGGAGTCCGGACTCTATTAAACTACTAAGCTGTTCAGCCTCACTCTACCCACCATTATGGGCTTGATGGTTACACTAGTCTCAATACGTGCAAGAGGCTTGATATTCACTCGGCTCGTACTAATTAATTGTGTTCTGGCCGGAGCTAGATTCGACGATCTTGGTGTCCGATGGTGCGAATTTCTGGGATCGGGCTGCATCCTAGTGATTTCGCTGCCATGCAAGAATTCGTAGCGCACCTTTAGATGATATTCCCGCGCGTAGTTCGTGTGAAAGGACATTATAGGCAGCCCATGTAGCATTGCTGCAGAGATTCCGTTCTTAATTCTTTCTACATTCTCTTTTGGCTACACAAGGCCGTATCTTGTACTGGACAGATAAAAGTTGAAAGCTACCCGGATCAAGAATGAGTGTTATGAATGTGTCGTTCCTTTGCTTGCTGGTCTTTCCTCTGCTGTCTTTGTCGCAAACAGTGGTTTTCACGACTCAAAGCGATGGGTCTGAATCTAGCTCTACCATCTACGACGCTACGGCAACGACCTCGTCTGGACCCTCAAGCTCATCATACCCAGGCAGCACACTCTACAGGTCATACACCACTGGTATCAACAATGTTAGCACTACAAGTGTCTCAACCACCCTGCCAGCTCTCCCAACAGTACCATATACCGGCCAGGCGATACTAGTTGGAACGTATGTTCAACCACAGAGAAAAGGTCTGCCATAGTCACTGATAAACACCGCCTAGTTGTACGATCCCACAGTTTACCATCCTCACGTTTGCCGATGGAGGGACTCTGGAAGTGCCACTGATCGGATGCTCCGACGACAGACCAGATTGTTGCCCGTCTTTGAATTTGACTGCTTCACAACCTGCAGAGACAGGATCATCAGCATCGGTCTCCGGAACGGGAGGAGGTGGCAATCCACCGACAGTCTCGTCGACAGGCACGACAGCGAGCCCAACTCCCACAGGCGTCATATCTATGCTCAGCGCGGCTCCGTTGACCGTTTGCCCAAGGTGCGAAAAGCGCCCATCATGTTTATTATCATGCTAGCTAGCAAGAAGCTCACTTCTAGCGCAGTGGCATGGTTGATATGGACCCTGTGTGCTGGTAAGAGCAACCCCGATGGGCGTAGCTACCTACTGACTAATCCCCCAGTCCGATCGGCTTTTCGAAATACGGACAGAGCATCATCGGCAACTTACCTTGTGTTACCACTGTCACAACGACGATATTGTCACCACCACCCTCGGTCCTTGCCTCGATCACCTCGGTCATATCGGCATCGATGGAAGCTGCATCTACCACCACAACACCGACGATCAGCATCATCGTGAATGAGTACGTCGTCGCACGCATCGTTCTATTGCTAATCCACCTCTCTTCTGTTGATCATTGTGTGCGAGTTCATGTATCGTACTAACGGCTTTCCTTCTTCCAGGGTCTTTGCTCTCGGGCTTCCCTGCGCCGATGACGATGACGACGGCCACAGCGGCTTGAGCACTGGCGCCAAAGCCGGCATAGGTGCCGGCGTGGGCGTCGCCGCCGTACTTCTCATCCTCGCCCTAAGGGGGTGTTTTGCGGTCCATCACCACCGCCGTGCAAAAGTGCGAAAGCTCGAGGCCGCCAACATTGCCAGTGTAGATCCAAAGCATATGTCTGGCGCTACAACACTGGCACCAGGCAGTCCGAATATGCAGCAGCGCACCAATCCCATGGGTCATTATGATTTGGGCGGATATGCCCAACCACATGGATATACCCCGGCATTTAGATACATGCAGGCTCAGACGGTGCAAGACATGTATGGGAACTATGGTATCCACCCTGTACCACTCGGCATGCCGATGCATATACCTGGTAGTCAGGGGTACGTGGGATTGTCGCCGCCCAGCTCGCATTCTCCTCCACCTGTGTACCCGTACACGCAGTATAAAGACATCCCGGAATTCGATGGAGCCTCGGTTGTCCCAAATACCGAGCATCAAGGGGATGTTCGGGTACTAGGGCATTTTAGTGATATGAGAAGCCAGGAAAGCGTGACGGACAGGACGGCAATGAATAGTTCTTCCGGAGACATGGGCCAGGCGGCCGAGCTGCCGTCTGACGGAGGTAGCATTAGACATGGACATCAGTTACCACGGTGAGAATCACCTGAGAGGCACATATTGGCCACGAGACAGAGCAGCGATATTCTGTTATCTTCGAACGGTTAGTCTGGAGTAATCTGAGGGGGTGTTAACAGGGTAAAATCAAAGCTGTGGGACCAAGTGAGAAATTGCAAGAAATGAGAAAATAGCATATATCGACGAAATCTGCAAGGAAACAACTTGGCCACGAAATATGTCAGGAGATTTCAGTCATTTCAATGGTTTGCTGTATGGAGCTCCGTCGTTGGGGCCATATCCTGTCCAAAACCAGTCTTCTGGCCTAGATTGCGACTGCGTCCAACCCTGTACCCTGCACTGTTATATCGGGGCCAGTAACGATACATTGGTATGCTTCGTGAGGGAAACATTATGAGTCCTACCGCGCAAGAGTCATACTAGTGCATGTGACCTTTTTGAGGAGCACTTCCTGAACCAGGCCCAATAGTTCCTACAATTTCCGTCCGACGAGAGCGGGAACTCTCGACATCAGGCGAACACGCCCAGAAGCCTCATATTATTCCAGCAACCCCGCCTCCGTTTGGCATTAGTATCCCTCAACATCGTGCGTCGGCACCATTCTTGACATGGCTCCTTGCGTATTGTGCAGAAGCAAACACGTGGGTTACACGAAACGATTAGTTACAGAACTCGCTAATGAACTTGTTATGATCAACAGCGGTTCTGTTCGCGGATTCGTAATTCTAGCCAGACAACTTGCACCTTGTGTGAAGAGTACGGAGTTCCATGCATACCTGCACCCCTGCGGACTGCACGCGAAGGACGTCGTTCTACGCCTAGCACTATACAAAGACGGGGCCAAGCTGAGAATGACGCTGGTCTAATACCGTCGACGATACGGTCATCATCCGAGATCATCAAAATAGTGATAGGTCTCGCTATCGGGTCTTCAGAAGGCGGGGCTGCTTACTTTCTGTTGGCAGGCGGACATCCCAGGATCGGTCGAACCCACTCCCTCCTCCAGAGGGTGACCCCAATCGAGTGGGAGAATGGACAGGCCAGTGTACCCACTCAGTTGGCGTACGTAGCAGACGTAAGGCCAAGATCCAATGCCTACCGTCAGATTTGGGGTGATGAGGTTACGAGGCACCTCAGAGATGGGGACATCCCCAGTGAAAATATCATGCGGTATTTCAAACCAGTCATCCACGGTGCAGACTGGCGGGATGTGGAGTTACTCGAGCAACAAGTCAGCAGTCTCCCGGCCGCGGTCAGGCAGACCTTGTCGTCACCTAATCTGGCCGCTGTCGACCTATACGTCGACACCCTTAGGCATGCTTATCATTTCGTTCTACGGCAAATTGCCGAGAACGTTAGAGAGCTTGCATGGCCGATCTACGATGATTTGAACTCCTACCAAGGCTTCTGGCCAGAGAGCTCGCGTGGTATAGAGCTCGAGGTGGGCATACCGCTTCCTGGAGCAACAACAACAGACCAGGTACAGCTTGTCGTGGGAGCAGCGCGCAAGGCAGGTATCAGGAATCCCGTTCCAGTGGCAGAGCCCACCGCAGCACTTGCGTACTATTTCCAGTCGCAGTTCGAAAAGCGGGTTCCGCCTCTGGTGGGGAGTACAGTCATGGTAGTCGATGAAGGAGGAGGGTCTTCAGACGTACAGGCGTTGTATGTTGACCAGTCCGACCATGGTTTCGTTGTCCGTGAGATGGTACCTGGTGATAATGAATGGTGTGGTGGAAGGATTTGCGATGAGATATGCAGAGAGATCATCATGGGGAAATTCCTGGCCAGCCCCCTCGATACCCAGAGGGTTCTTGAGTCGCTGGGAGTTCCATCTTCACCAATGACAACGAGAGAGCTACAAAGCCTCTTGGACAGAAAGTTCGAGCAGGCTAAGCGCCAATTTTCCGGTGATCGAGGCCAAGATCTTCTCATTCGTGGCTTCCCTGCGGTCGCTGTTCTTGGTAACCGGGCAGGAAGAGTTCCAATTTCGGTGGAGGATACGGCGCAAACATTCAGACTTTCAATTGATGGGATTACCGATATGATTAAGCGGAATGTCGAGGAGGTGCGCGAGGCTGGCGCCGATGTTGACAAGATACTGGTCGTGGGCGGAGGTTTCAATCATCGATATACGCGTAATCGCGTCCGACATAAGATTGAGGTAGCGGCCGAGGCAGGCTATCCAATACCTGTGGCGACAACAAGCGAGAATACCAGCTCGAGCTCCGCCACCGTGGCCTATGGCACGGCCCTCCTGCTGGCTGACAAAGCGTTCATCAGTGAGAGAATCATCCGCCGAGGATTCTGCATCATCTGGGATGTGCCGATCAAAGAACTCGAAAACAAGGAGAGGGTATATCCTCGAGAATGGATCATCACAGATATGCATGACGGCGCCAAAAGCGTCATGAACGTGTCCAAGTTTCTCATCCGTGTGGGAGATCGGCTGCCGTGGGAGAGATATGTGATTACCGAAGAAGCCTGGCGTGGTCTATCGCACATGGAGAACGGCCGGCGGAAGCGCCGTTGGGTTATTTCTGAAGCGTTGTGCTACTGCGATGCTCAGTGTCACGATGAGGAATTGGTCGATGACCCAGCCAACGAGATCCATCGCATGCCGAACCCTATCACATTTACCCTGTCGGAAGAGAATGTCGTGGTTTCGAAACATATTGGACGCCCAGCACTAATTTTCGCCGGTGGTACTATCGTGTCGAGTATGACGTTGCCTTGATCCTCGAAGGGTTGAAAATGACTTTCGAACTGAGAATTCCGAGGTCCGGGAAGCTTGGGCGCAAAGTAGAGGATACCGCAAGAGATGGGTATTCGCTTGAAATGAGTTACAGGGCAAGATATGGGAATGGTCCCATTGTCAAGTCGGGGGAATACGACAACAGGGGCGTCTTTCAGCTGCTTGACTCATAGTATCTGATGGCATATATACGTGCTCTGGCTATCACTCGTCGCCATGAGCTTTAGTATGCTCAAGTGGAATATCGGCATTGTAGGATTGAACGATGATGAGATTCATAGGTGAAGATTTCCCCGTGCCTAACAGCAAATGTCAGAGTAAAAGCAGCAACTCCATTTCCACCATTTCAAGTCATGGGAGTAGGACGAATCTGCTAGACTCTTTCTGTTCCATCTCCTGCAGTAACGCATCGGTCTAAAGATCGGCAGGATCGCCTGAAAACCCAATGTTTTCTCTTACCTAAATTCGGTTCTGGTCACGTGGAGCATAGCGCCTTCTACATTCAGTTAGGCCCAATGTGGGGCGGCCACCTTACGCCGGAGACCGCCTGACCCCTGACAAGACCCTCAACTTGATCTTCTCCTTCATGTGAGGACTCTACCTTGAACACGCAGAAGCACTTCTAGCCCGGGGTTGTCGCCCTGCCAGCCCACGCACGGAATGGTGAGGGACAAGAGTGGCGTTCAATGTCGTCGTGTCCGCCTTGCGACGAATAAATGTTCCTCGACACGAAGCAGCAGATGCTCAGGAAGCCATCCGGAGAGGCAGTCATCAGGGTTCTAGCAAGAAGACGACAAGACGGCCTGTCAAAGTCCACAACGTCACAGGTTGGGTCATGTCTAGAAATGGGCTCGCCCTGGATGCTGGGCACATCCAGCCACCGGGTCAATCCTCGTATTTCTTCAGCCTGACCGCTTCTACTCCAAGCCAAGTAGGCAATAGTCTGACTGCACATCAACTATCCCTAGCTGCGGTAGCTTGGTCTCCTCGTTTGGACCGCGTAACTCGGGCTGTGCATGTGGCAGCGGCTGTCTCCAGTTCTGAAGCATTCCCAAAGAGCTGACGTGGTCCCCGACGAGATGTACTCACATTTTGCGCGAGCTTCGACAGCATAATAGACATTCCTAGATGTCCTCGTTATTTCAGGCAAAATGCAATATCACCATCAGGCTGAGAATCATGCCAAGCAGTCTAGATCTCGAATACGAGCCTTAGTGGCTCGGCTGCTCACAGGTGCTCTACTATCTTTCATTTCTGGTTGTAAGTGAGCCAAAACGATAACACCATTGCAGCCACAGCGCCAGGTCTGCTATTTCGACAGAACCAAGCCAATCGCATTGTTTCGTGTCCTACAATCTTCATAATGTGGTGCGTTCAAGAGAAAACAATCATTCAGCGACAGGTGTCGAACTGCTTTGACATCTACAAGACAATTTTGACTTTGCTTCAGATCTTCTTTCTGTATTCGGTCTTGCGAGTAGTGAGAGTGGGATTGTGTGGGTTCAGCCCCGTTTCCTGCCACAATCCTCACAGCACCGCCCAAGGTACCATCCCGCAAGACGCGCTTGTTGCTGAAAGAGGGGTGGTCCAATGAAGGCCAGTCAGGCTTTTATCGGCCTAGAGAATCTATAAGAGTGCTTGAGAGTACGTAAGGTAAGTGCCAGGTGCATTCCTCGCATCCCTTTTTCTGTATCACCTCTAGTAATCCTACCGTACACGAGCAATGGGCTTCACTCAGAAACTCTCCGAGACATTCGACTTCGACGAATCTGAATACGCTCGCAGGATATCAAACGAAAACGAATATCCGACCTTGAAGCTGAAGACGCACGAAGTCGCCAAATGCCGACAACACGTCTCTGCTGGTGCCAGCATTGGGGGTGGAATAGGCGCTGCACCCTTCACGCTTGGACTGAGTCTACTGGGATCAGCTTACGGCGCCAGGCGTCTATACATCGCTGAAAAGAAGCTCGAGATTATCCGAGAAGAGCTCGTCCGCCGCGATGTCAGCCTGCACAAATTCAGTAAACGTGACTTTTTCATCCCAATGGGAGTCAGTGTCGCAACCTTGGGTTTTGGTGCTGGCCTCGACGTCTTTGCAGCTCATGCAACCAGCCAAGTCGCCACACATGTGGTCGCTGACCACGGCTCCCGAGCCGTGTCTGACATCGTTCAGAGCCCTGGCGGTTTTGTCCACTCGGTGGAGGCTGGCGCAAGCCTACAACTCCACGAAATCGCTCATGCATTGACTGGACATGCAACTGCAAATCTAGACTCTTACTACATAGTTGCAGGAGCGCCCTACACCACTGCCGTCGCTCTTGTGGGAACCGGAATCGGCATGTCTGCAGCACAGGTCGCCGAAAAGCATCTGGCAGATTGGGCAGCCGGGAGGATAGCGTATCGGCACGTGGATCGACTACTGCCGAAGAGGTCGCAAGCTGTGACGACTGCCTCACCACCTGCGAACTGTCGTCGCATACTGTCGCCGCCATCGAGCCTGAGGTGCGAGCACTGTGCAGACCTCATCGATACGTCTAACGAGACATACTATCGTAAGTCGACGTGACAGCACTCTTTCCTGGCGCTAACACTGGTACAAGACTGCTGCCAATGCGGCCCTGACCAAGCAGATGACTATGACACCTGTGAACATTGCTTCACAAAACTGAACCAGTCGTGCTCCAAAAGAGACAGACACGTCCTGTTCAGGATAAGCCCCTCGAGCGCTACGGATGCCTGCTGCCGGAGACTTGCCGCTGACTTCACTTGCTGGAAGACTGCGACCTTGGTATGTTCCTCTTGCAAAGGGTGTATCAGCGAAGGTGATTACTACCGTAAGTCTCCTACTACGACCTGTCGCATATACACCTCCATCATGAAAGCTAACATGTGACGGCTGACCATGATAGATTGCTGTCTTTGCTCCAACGATGACTTCGACTTATGCAAGGGCTGCTTCACTAAAGGAGAACGCTGTTTGGATGGCGCTCACAAGACGTTGCAGATGATGCCTGAGCCGCGTCGCCATTATAGAGAACTAACAACAACATACGTCCCCAGCAGTTGTGCGAGATATGGTCGCGACCGGCAGATACCGTTATCATGCAACGCGTGTGAACGAGTCTTCCAACCTGCTGAGATGAGTTATCTACGTAAGTTCGATGTACTTATTCCCTGCTTGTAGGCATGCCCAGAACCATCCTGCTGACATACGCTCAAATGACAGACTGCTGCAGCTGCAACGATGACTACGATCTTTGTATGGCTTGTGTTCTTGAGGGTTTGCGGTGCTGTAATGCAGCTCATGTGATGAAGTTATTTCCGTAAGGACTGAACAGCAGGCGTTCCGAGTTGGCTGTTCACGGCGCATGAGGTCAATGCTCGGCTTTGCAATAGTTGGATTCTTGCATCTCTTGTTTGCCTTGTCGGTAACTGCTTTGACTTTGGTACGCTCACATGATGTATTGGGCCCGAAGAGCATACAGGCAACAATGTACATTTCTTCGATAGATGTTAGTGTGCGATGCTTGCTTGTCTTGACCCTTCTCAATGACCGGTCTGCCCTCTGCTGCAGCCACTTCACCCGGGCAGGATGGGGTTGATGTTCACACGTATCAAGAACGTGATAGGCCATAGGCTGCTTTGCATCTTTCTTCGGGCCCGCGCGCGTCCGACGACTTGTTCCCCGACAGATCCAGATCCATCTCATCCACAACGACGAAAATCCTGTTCAGCTCTCTGCCGTTCGTGGATGCCTTGTACCGCAGAAGACCCACAGTAACACCGCTCTCATCTTACGCGGTGATGTCGAAGGATCAGAAGTCTCCCCTACAGAGTAGTCTCGGATTACCTCAATGGTCAAGTAGGATGTACATCAAAATCAAACCATAGTAACTACTAGGTGGGTTCTCCGGGAAGTGGCGAAAGAGGGGAGGCGGGGGTGGAATGTTCCGAAAAGCATTTACCGGGGGTTGTGGGGGAGAACTGGGGTCGGGTAACATTAAAACGACTGAGTTCTGTGGTCCAGTAAATGCCCGGGTAGAGGCGTGTACCTGGCGGTGTCGTCGACCCCGAGAACTGGCTTGGATCTATAATACTTCCTCTGGAAGTGGAGTCATTGGAATCAGGTAGTTTGACCTAGTTATTATTGTATCGAATTACGAATAGAATGAACGTGGAGCCGAATTGCGCTGTGAGTAGGGCTGATATAAAGTGTCGAACGAGAGTACTTGTATGTACCATTCATCAAGTTCCTCAATCTCCACGACACGATAGCGATAGCAGTCTACAATGCTTGCATTCTATCTACTGTCCTTGCCGCTAGCCCTCGCAGTGGTGGCCGTCTCCGCAGCTGCCGTGGCAACGACAAAGGGATGTAACCGCCAATGCTTAACGAATATGGTCGATGAGATCCTGACGTCCATGGTCGCACACAACCCGGATATCTTACCTCTTGCAGATCTATACAAGGCAACCGAGAACTCGCATCCAGCAGCGCTCACTATGATGCAGTCGTGGCGCACGATAGTTTCAGCGGGCGAGCCCAGTCTACTAGCAATTGACGTGAACAACGGCTCAGCCTACTTCGCTCTCGATATCAATGAAGGCGACCCCTATGCCCCGAATATCCTTCGCGGAAGAATCGTCGTCTTCAACGACACGCTCACGGAAATCGAATTGTTCATCCACCGCTCCCGTGGCGATCACGGCTTTTCCTTCTCTCCAGAGCAACTTGCCAACAATTCCGCGGTAGTGATGGATGTTCCGTCGAATGCGACACTGCCCACCCGCGAGGAGTTAATGACAATCAGCAAAGGTCTCTTCAACGGCGCGGACTACGAGAACAACTTGACCATCGCCGATAGTTGCCAATTCACGGAAATTGGCTGGCTAGTCCCGAATGACCACGGCCCTTACGGAAATGGTACATCGTACGGCCCAGCTGGCTGCGAGATCGGGTGGACTGATGGTCCTTTTGACACGAACGCACGGGTAGGCTTAGTCATCGACGAGCAGTTGGGCCTCGTGGTACAAAGTGGCATGATCCCCGGTGTCGTCTACGCATACCGCAACTTATCAGCTTTCATCCCCGACGCCTTCCCTGGCGGCCAAAACCAATCAGTGCAGTGGACCAAGGATTACCTCGGCGATTACCCGCTGCTGTATGCGTTCGGATCTACTGGAGAGACTATGGAAGTGCTCCAGTACTACAACGGTGCCCTTCAGGCTATTCAGATCAATGTCTTCATGAATCCTCCGAACGCGACATCGGCCTGGTTGTCAATGTAAGCGCTATTGATGTGTTGAAAGCCCGAAGAGCATACACCAAAAGTTATATTTCTGTTCGACAAGTACGTATGTGATGCTTGCTTGTTGTTCCTTTCCCGTCGCCGCGACCAGTATACCTCTACATCAGGTCGTTCGTCACTGGAGATCGCGGTTGGGTCATAGTTAGGGACTACCTCTCATATTTGTTCGGCCCCTGATAAGTCAGACGACTCATCATCTGATCCTTCCACATCCATGTCGTGTTCAACGGCGAACACCCTCTTCAGGTCCTTACCCGCTGTAGACCCCTTGTACCGCAAAAGACCCACACTGTCACCACCCTCATCCTCAATCGGTGACGTTGAAGTATCAGAGGAACCCCACCGCTGAAGCAAAGGCGTTCCAGGCGTCGACGTCTCCGCATATCGCAATCGCCAAAACACCCAGTACAAGCCGCCCATCCCGAGGATCCCAAGCGAAGTTGCAGGATACGCGTAGTAAGCGAACCTCGAATTTCCTTGGCCCTCCCCGGGGTTGATCCATGGGAAGATCAACAGTAGAAAGTTGCTGAGCAGAAACACCAAAGTATGCAATCGTTTCGCCGGACACGGGCTCTGCCAGCGTTCTCTGCGTGATAGTTGAAGATACAACAGTCCCGCCGAAATAGCGACTGATAGGACCGAGACAGGGTAACCGCCGATCTCAAGGAGAAAATTGTATATCTCGCCTGGAGGCGGAAGGACGATCACCAGGACACTGACCAGCCAGTGCAGGAACAACCCCGGACCGGGTGCACCGGCAGCGTTCTTCTTGCGCCAGAATTTCGACATAGGAAGCAGACCCTGCGCTCCCAATTCCTGGTTCACCCTAGCCTGTGCGAAAGAGGTCGCCGCTATATTTCCAAATGCTGACACGATGATGAAACAAGGCAGAATCTGTTCTCCCCATACCGGACCAAAGACGTTGCGGAGGAAGTGGCTGGCGATAACTACCCCTGAGGTGCGGAAGTCTTCCTTCTCTACGGCACAGAAGTAGGCGACGTTGGCAAGAACGTATCCTACTGATGCGATGCTGAGAGCGACAGGGGCTGCGATCTTGATCGTCGAAATCGGGTTACGGACCTCGGACATGACTTGGTTCGCCGTGTTGTAGCCGCGGAAGCAGTAGAGCACCTGAAGGAGCGCGGTGGCATAGTTGTAAGGCTTGGTGCTGGTCCCTTCCCAAATCGACGTGAAGTTCTGCCGTGCGACGGATGGAGTATCACTTGTGGAAGTGCGGCTTACACTGGCGACACCGCTGAGTATTACCGCTGCCAGAATCAACATCTTTCCCACGCCTAGGATGTTGATGATGCGTAGACCGGTCGATGGTGCTCGTGCGTGGATGAGGCATGCAAGCGTGACGACGAAGACGGCGAGTCCGCGCACACTCCAGACGTTTGGCTCAAATCCCAGCGCCGACACTGCATAGTTGCCGAGGATGATGCAGTTGGGTGTACTGAAGCCGAGGAGGACGACATAGGCCATGAACATGCAGGTGGCAAGCATCCGGGGTTGACGAAATATCCGTTCAAGGTAGACTCGTTCCCCTCCTGACCTTGGCATCGCAGTTCCCAGGTCAAGGTAGACGGACATTCCGCAGAAGGAGATTATTGCTCCGACGACCCATACAAGCAATGTCATCCCGACAGATCCAACCTCTGCAAATATTGCCGATGGCACTGAGTAGACCCCGACGCCGACTGTTTTGCCGAGGATGAGGTTGACCGCGGAGAAAGTAGTAAGGTGATGTTCCTGGGTGGCATGTTTAGGCTGGTTGATCAGGCATGGTGTAATTGACAGGGCGCTGAGAGGGAGAAAGTTGTCCTCGCCGTGAGATTGGCACAGCGATGAGGTGTGTAGACATTCCGGCTTGAGATTTGGTGGTCTAGAGATCCTTCCCTTCTTGGAGCGGCCATCTCGGGCGGCGTGAGATGATATGGTTGGGAGTGAGAAGGTGAGCCCTGAAGGAAGGATCGGACAGGTATCTTCATCTTCTTCTTGCGGGAGTGAATGACCCTGCTGCGAGACTGGCTTCTGACCATGAGGGATCCTCGGTGTCCGTGGTATGCGTGGTGTGACTGGTGAGCGGCAGTTCAATCCTGGAGACGACCAGGCTGTTGCTATACTGCTGGTCAAGCCCTCGCCCAAGGATTTTGGTCGGTCCATGTCGACGGAGAAAATGTGCTCAGATGGGTCGTTTACTTGCTCGGTTTCAAGATCTTGCTCAGATGCTGCTCCCAACGACGTCCTTCACGTGCGAAAGTCCGTGCTATCGATTGGATCTGATCTTGACTCAATACCATAGATGTCGACAATATAAGCAAGCAGACGCAATGTATATGATGCACAGATAGTGAAAAGAAAGACCTGGGAGGCTTGAGAAAGGGCAGAGCTCGCCTTCTGGCTAGAACACTTACGAGGCATAGTTCCTGGCTGTGACCGAGAGCACCCAGCTTCCCCACGACGGGAGCAGGCTGGAAACGCCTCCCGTCGATCATTGTGGGTGATGAGTAACCAGGGTAGACCAATGGTTTGGTAGACGATGTTTTGGCACCAGGATGAAACGCCCTTGAAGACGATCCGGGGTTACAAGTTGTGCCAAGCGACCCTCATCCCCGCCGCGGAACCAACCGCCGCCAACACTCTCTCCACCGGGGAACTCTCTGATACTGCCAAGTCTCCGAGAGAACAAATACAAAGTAGAATCTCGTTTCGTTCCCAGTGGTCGTAGATGGTGACTACGCAGCGGCTGCTAGACGGGAGGAACGATTCCTACGATGGTTTGACGCGGAGGTTGAAGCACTGTTCCCTGTGTGAAGTAAGGCACTAGCCTTTTTCAATGACCACAAGAAAAGACTCATTCATTAGTTTCCCAATATGAAGAGGCATTAACGGCCAAATGCTGCTAAAGCAAAGCTTGCCTTCCACCCATTCATCATACAAGCATTTCCTCTTCTCCATCTGCATTCAGTGTGTCAATTCCGTCGCCTGCGAGCCCTGCGGCATCTTCGTCTTCGAATGTCTGAAACACCAAGATCTCCTTCTTCTTGATTGGCAGCTCCGTTTGCTCCACCATGCCGCTACTTTCTTGTGTCTCCGGGATCTCTGTTCTGGTGTCGGATCCAGGTTTCGCTTGCTCGACCTCGTTGTGGGGCTCCTCAGACTGTCTTTTCCGTTTACGTCGTCCGTGCGTAGCTTCGAACGCCGAGACTCTTCTCACATGAACGACTTCAGGACTTTCTTCTCTTCTACCAGCATGGCCATCAGGGAGGAAGGGGGGTGTACCTGAGGCAATATAGCTCTCGGTCCCAGTGAGAAAGTCTGTCGATGCACTGACTGACCGAGCCCTCCTCCTCGCGTCATCGTTGTGATCGATTCTCATCTTCTTCCTCGACTCACGTTCATGAGTTTGTTCTCGGAGTTGGGCCGCACACTGCGCAGGTGTTGAGTGCGTGAAACCTTCCTCTTTAACATCTCGTCCATTCTCTGGGCGCTTTCTCGGGCGAGCTTCCGATGTCGCGTCAGGGACTTCGAGTCTCTGATTCTGGGCCTGTACGTCCGAATGGTCTTCATCAGCAACAAGACACTTCTCGGAAGGCTCGCCTGTTCGCTTGGCTGCGTCCTCGGAATGCTTGATATTCACTGGAGGCGAGGCATTGGAATCGTCCACCACGGTATGGTATCTCGATCTTGCCGCGCCAATTTCTTCTCTGGTCGGTTGTATGCCGGAAACTGCCTCCTCAGGAGGTCGTAGCTTCTTCTGGATCATGATGCCGCTAACCCCAGGGACATCCATTCTCGATTCCTCATTTTCCTGTCGTCGATGTAGTTCGAGCAGCAGATCGCGCAGCCTCGATCTTAGCTCGTGACTGTAGATCTTTTCAGGCCACTGCTGGGCGCTTTCCACCCGCCGAAGAATGCGGTACACAAATCCGTCGGGGTCTGCGACAAATTGCTCCAGGTACATGCACAAATACAGCCCGCAGTCACTGAAATTGCTCTGGGTGGGAATCTGTTTGGCAGTCATACCCTGAATGTGGCCGGTATCAATGACCAGTCCCAATTTGTTTTCAGCTTCAGCGGCGATATACTGTTTGAGAATCGAGCACGTAGCAGAACGTGGGGTACCAAGAGAATCCAGAGTGATGATGACAGGCTTATTGATGTCGTATTTCCGTAATGGGCCAGACTTACGTCGACCACGACCCTTTTTCGATTGTGCTTTGTTTTGCTGACCAGTCTCACTGTCACTGATAGAGAGTTCAGCCAAAGATTTCTGCGTCTCTTCCGTATGTGATTTTGGCTGCTCGCCAGGCTGGTCAGCCGGTGTATCATCTTCGTCGACCTGCCCTGCAGCTTCTCTTTCGGCTTCTGGTATGAAATATTGCAGGTTGCAAATGATGGCGAGATACCAATGAAAGTTTTCGTTCACAGGGACCACCACAAAGTCGCGCTTAAAGAGGTTGAGGTTCTTCGTCCACTTACTGACGCCTTGATAGTTAATGCCTTTCTTGCCCTTTGGTGTCCTGGTTAAAGTGTCAAAAAAGTAGCTGTTGAAGAAATAGATTCTTCTCCATGCGGCCACATTTGTCTTCTCGAGGTACGCTTCCAAGTATTGCACAAAGAAAGAAATGAGATTGTCGTTGAGATATTCGTCATCGTTGAGTCTTCTGAGGTCTTCGAATGGTACGATGGCAACCTTCTTGTCGGAAACAGGGTATGCCAGATCATTCTTCCAGGGATCTCCGAGTACTTCTCTTTCTGATAGTTTTGGCTTGGGCCGACTTTCAGTCAAGATATGCTCACTCGTAAGCGCCTCGTTGTGGTCTCGTGATCGTGTGACCCGCCGTGTGGGGAGTGATACTTCGGTCTGCTTTCTTTTCATTGATATATCCTGCGACGAGCCTTGGTCGACAGAGCCGGTGTGTTGATCTTTAGATTCCTCAAGCCCCGAGCGCTCATGTCCTGTGATGACGGTACGTTGTAGGGGAGTTGAGCGACGCGCGTCGAGTCGGTCAATGAGACGACCGAGCTTTTCACCAGTGTGTGCTTTCAGGGACTTCACGGCTGTGGATGTCTTCGTAGGCTGCTCCTTGCTGGCATGCGATGGTAGGGACATGTCTCCTCTACGAGTAATGCGGGGCGGGTTCTCTTTCGCCTTTGCCAAAGCGTCTTCCAGCCATTCACTATTCGTCTCTGGTCAGTGTTTGCCTTGACTGCGGCTCTGGTGACTTACGTGTCTGTAGGCGGAAGACGTAGGTGTGTGAGCAGGCCTAGCAGCAAAGTCACAAAGTCCCACGCTGGTTTCTCCGACTCGAACCTAAGATAAGATTTCGCTTCGAGGTGGTCGCTGCTGCGCGAGAATTCGAGTCTGACTATGTTGCACTTGCTCGCATACCGGATGCCAATCAGCTTCTCCAGCGACTGCCGAAAGAGAGGCTCGTTTCCCAGTTGTTCCATGTTGGTATTGATCAGCATCATTTTGTGATTCTCGTCAACCTGCACAACGTAAATCGGATGGACAGGAAGGTCGGCGCCAATGATCTCGCGTAAGTTCCATGAGTTGACTTCAGGCTGTCCGCTTGTGCGTGTGTTTTCGGGCCTGGCAGCAACAGAATCGCGTTTTTTTCCAGCTATAAGGGGGGCAATTCGTTCCTTCGCGCCCATACTCGAGTAAGAATTTGTCGGACCATTCGCGGGGGGCGTACGACCAAACTGTGCGTCATCGTCCTGCAGTGCATCGGGGCTTTCCTGCTGCAACACCCTTGTGTGGTTGGGTATCTGCCCCTTGCGCCGAGCTGCTGCCAAGGCTCCTGGCTTGCTAAAATACGGGGACTTAGCAACGGCTGGGGTTTTCTGTCCAAGAGGAGTTGGAGACGAGCTCCGCAAGATTCCATCCTTTTCCTCCCTTCGTTGCTTTGCCGACATCTTGGTGAATTGACTTTCGTCTTTCGGAGACGCTCGCTCCAATTCGCTTGATGCTCGCTGAGTCTCGTGCGCTTGCTCAGCTGGAGTCTTATGAGAGCCCATTTTCCCGCGCTGGGACTCGTCACGCCTCCGAAGGATACCAGAACTTTGACCACTCTTCACGTCCGGGCTGAGCTGGAGTTCATCGGGTGAGTCTTCGGTGATTTGGCTGTCGTCTAAGGGAATGGCGGTTGTAGTGCTATGCCCTTCCTCTCGAGGATCATGTACCTTTCGTCGCTTGAGTGGATGTGCGTGATCGTTCGCACGAACTCCGACCCGGGCGGATGAGGTGTGCTCCCTTGATTGAGGGCGGGATGTGTTGGTTCTTTGCATGAGGTATTGCGTTCTCGAACCTGGCGGCGGTGCGCTTAGGGTGTCTACTGGCCTCAAGCCATTATTCCTAGTCAACTAAGGGAAAGGTCAGAGAAGAGAACAGGCAACGTGACATGACTTACGAAAGGCTTCCTGTTTAGCGTCATCGGATCCGGAATCACGACGGTGCCGTTATTTTTCCTGTAAGATATCTCAGTGCCTTGTGCAGTATAGCCCATGAAGAGGTCATATCATACGTTAAACCGCCGAGGAGTCTTGCCTCGTCTCTTGATTCCGCCCTCTTGTCTCGGCCTCCAGGCAGCGCGCCAACCGCTCTAACAGTTGAACATTAGTCAGGTATTCGGAGACATATGTATCGGAAGGGTAGCTGGTACTGTAGTCGAGTGGGTTGTGGTTGTTTGACACTTCGCAGCGAGGGTTCTTTGACGTGGAGAGGATCGTCTTCATCATCACTTGGGATCTGAGCAGTATAAACAGTCAGTGAATGAGAGGCACAACCGAGACACTGCCGGCAATGGTGAAGAGACGGCGGCTGACCTGTATTGGATCGCTTTCCGCATTATCTTGATTTTGCACAAAATCGCTCACGTTCTTGGTAAGGAATTTTGATGTAGGATCTCGTGGCGTCCGAGCCCTACGCGACTGCGTTTTAGACGCATGTGGTTGAGAAGACGAAGTTTCTTCCTTATGCGGTCGACTGTTGTCGGCTGTAAAGAAGCGACGGACGCCGTTCGCGATGACGGTTCTCGTGTCATGGACACTTTCTTGCCAAGTTTTGAGCATTGGCTCGTATGAGATACATTCCTGTGTGTTGGAGCCTTCGACCAAGGACTGTCTTGTAATGATGGGCTTCTGTTGCTACATGCGATCTCCGGATCGCGTGGTTACAACTGGCTCAAAAGTTGGGTGAAGATCCCCACAACCCTGCAGCCAAATATTTTGCCGGAAATGGACGGAAATGGCTACGTCAACCCGCTCGAGCATTTACTACTTGATCCTTTATGAGATATCTTAAGGTGTAGCCGTGATGTTGATACTGAACGCATCGAGATATTCAATTCATTTAGCCACACCGGGTTCCCTGTAGCTTGGACAAAAGCCGAGCCTATATCCAGGAAATATGCCCCGTAAGAATAGTGATACAGATGGGATCTTCTTGTCCCGATATCATGATGTAGCCTTTCCCTTACTCTTCTCAGGATCCTCGTGTAAAGTTGTTCGCCGTCGCTCGGTTCCAGGGTGGCTGGGTGTGGTGTTCACCTTCTGCTGTCTAGCCTCATCCAGTGCAGACCGCTGGGCGATGCTATCATCGTGGCTTTTCCAAACAATGTTGGTGTCTGTTGGGAGGACGAGTATTCGCTTGATGGTCTCACTATAACTGGGTCAGCCTGGATCTCCTGCTAGTATTCGGACATACGTACCGAATCTTGATGTTTCTGCCGCCATCGATCTTCGTCCAGACACTAAGGACATCCTCACCACTCCTCACGCTGAGCACTGCACCACATACCTCTTCTCCGGCCTCCATAAACTGGTCGCCAATGATGGCCAAGAGTAGATCTTCCCAATAACGATCAGACACGCCTTTTTTCAATCTGACGATCCATTTGCCTCCCTTCTTGTTGGCTTCATCCTCCCACACAGGTCGAATACCATCCTTGAAAATATGATAGTCAGACACCGTGGGCAAAAGCGACGGTCGCTTGAGATGTGAATATATCGACCAGAAGCTCTCCACTGAATTTATCGAGGCCAGCTTGAGAGTAGATTTTTCATAATCCGAAAACTTATTCGCCGGAGGTCGGTAGAAAAGGTTCCAGGTGTTTCTCAGTTGATGGCCAGATGGTGCCGTCGCCGGTCTTACTAGATCCGAACTCTCCCTAGCTTCTGATTTTTCCGCTGGTGTTTCCGGCTCCCTCTCTCTCTTCTCGCGCGATGTGAAATCAAAGCCCGACCCAGTGCCAGGAGTTTTTGGTGTCTTTGCAGACGCCGAACCAAAGGAAGCAAATGCACCACTACCCAAACCAAAAGCCGATGATGCGCTAGCAGAGGGAGATTTAGTGGCAGAAGGAGAGAGGGCGTTGAAGGGGTTGGTTTTGCCGTGAGAAGATGAGTCGCCAAAACGTCTGCCCGTGAACGATCGAGGGGATTCTACTTTGTTGCCATCCTTGCTGTCTTGATCTTTCATAGACAGTGAAAGCTTTCCAGCACTGGTCAACAGTCAGCATCTCCGCAGAGCAAAAGAGTATCGAACATTAGAACGCACTTGGAACGTCGAGTCCACAAATTTGCGTTTTCCATGAGCAGGACGAGGGAGGGTAGAGGAGGTTTGCAGGTTGAGACCGAGTCTCAAGCGCCTTTAGCATCCACACCGCTTGCCCTGCTACAGCAAATACTCGACGACTGCAAACGAAGGAATAGTCGAGTGGAATTTGTTTTGACGGGGAATCGAGCGAGCGACTGACGAGGGCGGAAACGACTGAGATCAAAGAACAGAGGGGTCGGGAAACAGAGTAGGTCGTGATGTGTTACAGTATGGTTGGCAATTTATTGATGGAGTCGTGAAGTTGAACAATGGTGAATGGCGAGAGGTGCGTCAAGAGTTGTTTGGAGATTCAGAGACCTCGAAACCCTTGCAGCCCACGTAAAAGCCTTGCCGCGCCCAGGCCACTGCAGTTCGGATTGCGTGCAGAAATCCCCAGCTCGCTGCTATTAGCTTTTCAGCCGCAGGCTAGACCACCTTGAGTCTAGAGCACGCATTTCTCAGGAACCGCTCAAAACTTCAGGTCTGAAATCATTTCCTTTCTTCTTCTTTTCTTTCTTTACCAAGGCACCCAACTCAAATCATCGTCAGCTGCGACACTCGTCACCATGAAGCTGGTGATTCCGATGAATGGTGTCGAGATTAAATCTCATCAGATCCGAATCTAAAACCATCATCACGAGGGCCTACTAGTAGTTGCTACCATGATGCGGTGATGACCTGAATATCGGAACATCATGACCCTGGAGGAGATATATCAGTCAATTATGTGTGAATGTGGGTATTTTCATTCTCCATCCTGTGCTTGTTTCCATGAAGAAAAATATCATACTCTGGTAATCCGACAGCTCAACCGCCTCAGGCATGTTCTGCATAAAGTGCTGGTCGAGCATGAGGTTAAAGGCATAATCTGACCGAAGTCTCTGTACTATCGATTCATCTACCTCTTGGCCTTGAAGCACATTTGCTGATGGCGTTAATTTGAGATAGAATCTTCAATCCCATCAAGCAAGCATTCAAGAAACCAGATTCGATCCGCCTGCGATACATTATAAGTCTTCCTTCATTTCACTCATCCTTCACACTGCATCTATACTTGCACGAGAAGTGAGTTGCTCGTTCTGGTTGCCTATCTTCGATATCTGTAGAAAGGCGTCGACTCCGTATCCTTCAAGACTGTGGAGCTCAAGACCACCCGCCCAGTACTCTGCGTAGACTCTGCTCATGGGTAGCCCCATACCCAGTCTCAGATCAGGCGGTCGGGATGCGAGGCTGCTTAAAGAAGAGTCTTTAAACTTCCCAGTCGGCTTGTTTCCGGCGGGTTGTCGAACTTCCTGCATGGTCGCGGCCAGAGTTGGCACGTCTTTGAATTTCTGAAGCCTTTCAGCGCTTCTGGGCCCTTTGTTAAAAGACCATAGAAATGGCGCAATCTCGCGCGGGACGCCTCCTCCTTGGTCCGAGATGCGGATGACAACCTGCTGAGGTGCTTCACATATCAATACCTCGATTGGTGGTGGGGGTTGTCGCGGGTCTGGGTACTTGGCCATGACTGCCTGGATCGAATTTCGCAGTAGTTCGCCAGTGATATATTCCAGATGGCTTAGAACATATGGGAAAGTTGCGCTGACATGTCCTTGTATCTTGACCTCCGGCACTATCGCATCAGGACCAGCGAGTGACTTGCAGAGGTCCTGGGTGAACTTCCCAACTCGCTCGACAATATCCTTTGCATTGCATCGAAGAAGGACTTCACCCACAAATTCATCTTCGGCGCTTGGTTGTTCCACGTGCCACGGCGAATTGAATGTGTCTGTAAGTGCGAGGTGTTGTTCAGCAATCACTCGCCGCGAGATTCTAGCTCGCAACATGGCCTGCACAAATTTGTCCATGGTGTCAGCCGGAACGAGGTCTTGACACTCAAGTACGCCCATGACCAGATTCGGTATTACAGCGAGATGCTCTTTCAGACTGTCGGTAATGACTTCGCAGAAATCCTCGTTCTCCTTCACTGTTCTGATCACCGGCGTCCGTCGAAAGGTCTCGAAAGACTTGTAGTACAATTCGTATACTGTGGAAAGGTGTGGGTTGGTCACGACGACGTAGGGTAGACGTTGCATCTCGCGGAGCCGATGCGCAATTCGAGTTGGCAATTCCATTCGCACATAGTTGGCAGAGCTGAGAAGGCGGCTCTCAGTCAAAGTGCGACCGAAGAAGAATAGCTGGCGCAGACTGATGGGACGAATTGGGCGATCGACCCAGCTGCGAAATAGACGTTAGCCATATGTATTGCGATTGAGTAGTGCATTTATGTCCTTACTCGTCCAGTGTCGACGCTGGCCGCCATGGTGGAGGACTCCGAGAAGATGTCCATCTACATTGAGGTAGAGATGTCAGTCCCGTCACCCACGAGGCTCGGGCATTTGATAAGCGGGAAATCTGCAGCATTTCATGCCACTTGATTGCGTATTCTCGTTACAATGACGTTTGATCATCTTTGGTCGACGGTATAAGCGTCAGTAAAGTCGGTGTACCCAACACTTTGGAGTGGTAGCTTAGTGGGTAGGAGTCATATTTCGTGGGCATGTCACAGTGGGGGAGTCGACAAATGTACAATTGGAGAGCAGCAATAGTAAATACGGTAGGTTTATGGATTGCAGTACGGATTTCACCTGCCGAGGATAAGCGGCTACATCTGACCAGGTCTCAACGGGCCTATAGCGTCTTAATGGATGTCTTGGTTGCGTCTAGGGAGCGTGCTGGAAGCGATATCGCAAGTACATCGCCTATATCAGGACTTAATGTGCTAAGCAAGCCCAAACACGGTTGTACGGGCTCTCACAGCCATAGAGATACACTGTCAGTCAGACTTTTTGGATCCTTGAATGTCGGGTCTTGCACCGATGATGCTGAGGTCGACTTGAAAAGGACCGACCAACCGGTTTGGCAGTGCCCCTCTGGAGGCCTCACTGATGGCGACTGAGTCTATTGTCAACCTTGCGATGCCTTCTGCGCGAGAGCGGTCGTGTACATATAGAGGGCGAATATATGGCCTTGACTCGATAACACTGGAATATTTATTCAGTGAGACTGCTGCTGCTCAGAACCCAGTCGACTCTAGGGGCGGAAGTTCTGATGACTTCCACCTTGAGTCCATTCCTGTGCCACAATTCCATGTCATTATCAGAAGCTTCACTCGCCCAGATGAGGGTCGATATAAAATGAGTCGAGATGAGAATGATGTATCGCAAGCTGATATAAAAGCGGCGCGCACGTGCGTGCGGGTGAGTGAGCGACCGGAGCAGTTCTAGTTTGGCCTTCGTCATTATTCGATGTCCCTCACTCACGTTTTGCCCGCAGACATCCTGGACTTGACATCTGATCTGGTCTGTAACTGCGCACGCCCCAATTCTGGAGAAGGCCTGCTATTATTATTCGTGTTGAACGATAGCTACCTTCGGATCCTTTCCTCCTTGGACTTTTCGCATCGATTGACACCCTGACTGCCGACATTTTGGGTACTTTTGTCTTATTGTACACCCTTTCGCATCAGCCTGGACTGGCTTTTGGGGATAGGTGCGCTTCCCTGTCACCGCGCGGAACTTCGAGGAAGGAGCTGCGCAGTTCCTTCCACGTCGAGTCCTTTTGGGATTACTCGCCATGGACAACGTATGTGAACTCTCTTCCTCCTCATCCTCAACATAACCTGCAGCATGCTCGTTCGAAAACATGGAAGCTGACCTCGAACCTTTGTTCGGCTGCCTACAGTTGGCAGGTCCTGACATGTTGATTGATGGATACGATCAATACAACGAAAAGGAAAATGAAGTCGTCAACATCTCCCCCGACGAGGGCTCTGAAGAGCCTACAGATGCTCTTCCCAGAGCAGATGATTGTATGAATCTCCCTTCCCACCCATTTGCTGCCTCTCTGACCAGCATCCAGACGAAGCCATGAAAAGACATGTCCTCGTCGACCTACCCGACACTGAGCCCGAGGCCGAAACATACAACACCTGGCACATAGAAAAATGGCGGACACTGTCAAGAAGAGAACATGGACCGACCTTTGAGTGCGGTGGCCATCCTTGGAGGGTCCTCTTCTTCCCCTATGGAAACCAGGTAGACTGCGCTTCTTTCTACCTGGAGCACGGCTTCGAAGGCGATCCTCCTGCGGATTGGTATGCCTGCGTCCAATTCTCCCTCGTCCTATGGAACCCGAACGATCCATCCTTATTCCGCACACATTCCGCCACTCACCGATTCAACGCCAAAGAAGGTGATTGGGGTTTCACAAGATTTGTAGAACTCAGAAAAGCATTCCACCAGCCTTGGGAAGAAGGAACGAGACACCTCATCGAGAATGACGAAGCAAACTTGACTGCATACATACGCATCATCAAAGATCCTACTGGTGTACTGTGGCACAACTTTGAAGGATATGATTCAAAGAAGGAAACAGGAATGGTGGGCTTGAAAAATCAAGGAGCAACATGCTACCTCAACTCCCTCATACAATCACTATACTTCACCGACGCCTTCCGCAAAGCCGTATACCAGATTCCAACCGAACAGGAAGCGAATCGAAGTAACAGCGCATGGACTCTGCAAAGATTATTCTACAGACTACAAAAGGACAAATTCGCAGTCTCGACCAACGAACTAACGGCGTCTTTCGGCTGGGATACCCGACAGATCTTTGAACAACAAGATGTGCAGGAGCTGTCTCGAATACTGATGGAAAATCTGGAGAAGAAGATGAAAGGCACCCCGGCGGAGAGAACACTCCCAGAGTTGTTTGTCGGCAAGACGAAGACATACATCTCCTGCATCAATGTGGACTTTGAATCTTCCAGGATAGAAGAATTCTGGGATCTGCAGCTCAATGTCCGCGGCAACAAAAACTTGCACGAAAGTTTCATGGACTATATTCAGGTGGAGACCCTGGAAGGCGAGAACAAATATGATGCGGGTGAGCCTTACAAGCTGCAAGACGCAAGGAAAGGCGTCATCTTTGAGAGTTTCCCGCCAGTTCTACATCTACAGTTGAAACGATTTGAGTACGACATCAATCGTGACGCCATGATGAAGGTCAACGACAGACACGAATTCCCTGAAAATTTTGACGCCTCCCTATACCTTTCTGATGAAGCCAAGGCATCTACGAACGAGCCTTGGATGTACGAACTGCACGGAGTATTGGTGCATAGCGGTGATTTCAATGCTGGCCATTATTACGCTTTCCTCAAGCCGACCAAGGATGGTCATTTCTACAAATTCGACGATGACAGAGTTACTCGAGCCACTATGAAAGAGGTACTAGAGGAGAACTATGGTGGCGAGTACGCTAATGTCGCTAATGGCGGGCCTGGGCAACGGCAGCCCTACATGAGGGGCTACTCTACCAAGCGATCCATGAATGCCTACATGTTGGTGTACATTCGAAAAAGCAGAGTGGACCAAGTTCTTCTCGGAGTCCAAGAAACCGACATCCCATCACATATCGAAAGAAGGATTTCTGAGGAGCAAACCGAACTGGCCAGAAAGAAGAAAGAACGCGAAGAAGCACATCTCTACATGAACGTTGGCCTGATAACCGAGAAGACCTTCCAGTCTCACCACTCGTTCGACCTCACGAACTATGATCTAGAATCTAGCGACCCAGCAGCTCCACAGGTCCATCGACTATTGCGTACAACCAAAGTCAGCGAATTTGCAGCCACAGTTGCCGAACAGGAAGGCCTTGGTCCGGAGCAAATCAGATTTTGGGTCATGGTTGGCAGGCAGAACAAGACAAATCGTCCAGACCAGCCAATCCGAGAAGTCGACATTTCCATCGAAGAAGCTATGAATAAATACGGGTCTAGGGGACGTCCGTTTTATTTGTGGGCTGAAGGTGCCCCAAGATCAGAAGATGGCAAAGTCCATTTCCCTGACACAACACAAGGCGCTGGTGGCAATGCTCCGATTTTGGTGTTTCTCAAGTACTTCGACGTGAAAGCGCAGACGTTGACCGGTGTTGGACATGTCTATGTCAGAAAACTCGACAAGGTCGCGGACGCTGCACCGCAAATCAACAAAATGATGCAGTGGGATCCGAGCACGTCGATACTTCTGTTCGAGGAAATCAAGTTTTCAATGATCGAAGCGATGAAGCCGAAGCAAACATTCCAGCAATCCGAGATCCAAGATGGCGACATCATTTGCTTCCAGCAAAACCTGCCCGATCTCGATTCGTCCACAGTCACCTACACCGATGCTCGTCAGTACTACGACTACCTTTTGAACAAAATACCCGTCACATTCTATCCCAGACCAGGAACAGAAGGGGAAGCTTTCGTGCTAAACCTCAGCAAGAAGATGACCTATGATCAATTCTCCGGCAAAGTTGGCGATCATCTGAAGGTGGACCCCACTCACATCCGCTTCGCTACCATCAGTGCAACGAACAACAAGATCAAGATGTGGATTAAACGTGGCTTGAATCACAACCTCAATCAGATCTTACAATCACAGTTTTCCTCTTATGGTGGGTATGCCACGCATCGTCCCGATGGTTTATACTACGAAGTCCTGGAAACGAGTCTGGCCGATTATGAGACCAAGAAAATTATGAAAGTCATTTGGCTTAGCGATGGCATCAGCAAAGAGGTAAGTTTATTCGTGGAATTTCGTGGCACGTTTTCTGACCCAAGCAGGAACAACTGGAGGTACTCGTCGCCAAGAACGGCATCATCGGAGACTTGATCAGTGGCATCGCGACTAAACTGAAACTTGATGAAGAAGTTGCGCGAAACATTCGCATTCTCGAAGTGCATGGGGGTAAAATCCACAAGGAACTGATCGAGGATTTCAACGTCGTTGGCGTCAACGAGTTCACAACTTTATACGCCGAAAGAATACCGGACGAGGAGCTCAACGCCTCAGATGATGACAGATTCATATACTGTTACCATTTTGACAAAGAGGCCAACAAACCGCATGGCGTCCCCTTCAAGTTCATGCTCAAGCCCGGCGAGACGTTGAAGGAGACGAAAGAACGAATCAGCAAGAGGACAGGTATCAAGGGCAAGCTTCTACAACAGATCAAGTTCGCTCTGGTGTCCAGAGCATTGTACGCCAAACCCAAATATCTCGAAGATGACGATGTCATAGTGGACCTCATCCAAGACGGAGATGAAATGCTTGGTCTAGATCATGTCAACAAGGCCAGAAATTTCTGGGGTAGGGCAGAAGGCATGTTCATTCGATAGGACCCAAGGCACGGCTGGATGAGCATCCGGGGAAACGTCGCCGATCATGATTGGCAAGGACTTTACACGGGGAATCGGCTCTGCCACACAACTATGCATCCTGTACAACGTCAGTGTCACATGTGGGTGGACTCTTTCTGCTGGCGTTAAAAGAGTGTATGATTATGGCTTATACCTGGTCAACAGGAGACATGAAAGTCAAGATTGGCGGGAGCACGCGGTTTCGTCAACAAGGCATTGATGACACGAATATCCGACAGAAGCACAGCGTGGCGTCCAGATGGAGGATTGGTGGGCAGAGCCTTTTCAGAGGGCGACAAAAAAGCGAGAAGGGGAGTCGTTCATGTTGTCCGTGGACTGACTTGATCCTCCCCCACTGTATACAAACAGACATACACAACATGAGTAGCAAGCTATGGATAGTCAAAGACACAAACGAGACGCTATTAGTGTGGATGGGTGCTTTTGTATGGCTATTTGACTCGAGTAACGTCTTCGTGCGTTTAGACGTTGTCCTTGATCCATTTCCACAATTGCAGGAAGTAGTCTTCGTCGGCTCCTTTTGTGATATCCGTCTTGAGACACGGCATCCGCATGTATGTCTTGTTCATCTCATATCTAATAGGGTCATGGCGTGGCTGATCTCCCGTTGCGGTCTGTCCACCATACGCGCCTTTCCAGAAACCAAGCAGCCGCAACGCCGGATGGTCTTTTGTTTTCTCATCGTCCTGCAGTGCCGACAGACGGGAAAGCCAGTCGTCGGCCGGTACCACTTGGAACGATTCATGCTTTGCCAGACAGGCTAGGAGGTTGGACCACGAGACGTTGTTGTGTGGGTTGAGGACGTGGTGAACTGGGATGTCATCATCATTATTATGCCGGTTTTGATCTTCGTGCTGGTCGTGATCGTGGTCGTGGGTTGAACTAGCGGTCGTGTCTTTTACTGATAGTACATCTTCAACGAAGGCGTGGGCGGCAATGTCCACCGGCAACCAGTTCAACACCTCGTTTTGCAAGTCCGGAAGCACACCCGTAGCTTTCATGCTCGATAGCATTAATGGGTACGCCTCGGAAGCATTCCATACACCTGTATCGCTTGCACCGGAGATTTGACCGACACGAGATATCGAAATACGGTTGTGTAAACGTGTCGACTTGTGCGCGGCAAGACATATCGCTTCAGCGACCCATTTCGAGCGCGCGTAGCCTGTGGGCCCGGAGGAAGAGGGAGTGGTCATTGACCTTTCAGGGACGGCTGCGTCCGGAATATCTGGCAGAGAAGGATACTGTGATACAGATGCCACGCTGGAACAGAATATCAGGCGTGGTGGCATTGGGCGCGGACTGGATAACGACAGGTCGATTAGATTCCTCAGGCCGGATAGGTGTGTACCGGCAAACGTCCGGAGTGGGAGAAGGAAGTTGACGCTCCATGCTAGATGGATTATCACGTCGACTGTGCTGGAGAGGTGGGTGTAGTCTGTCTTGGAAAGGCCGAGGTCGGGGTTGGACAGTTTGCATTGCCATATTGTCGTTTTGTTGGAGAAGTCTTCTGGAATGGGAAGCTGGCGGGATGTGAGGGCCTTGAGGACACGCTCACGGGAGGCGTGAGGTGTGCTGCCGCGGACGAGGAGGTGGATGTGAGCTACGTGAGGGTTGGACAGGAGATTGTGTAGAATGTGAGAGCCCAAGGACCCGGTTGGACCGGTGAGCAGGATTTGAAGACCTGTCTGCTTGTCGTCTGGTGAAGTCGATGGAGCTTGAGCGTTGCTCGAGGCATGAGGATCGGTGAAAGTGCTGTATTGTTTTGCCAGATCGAGCATGAGTTGTTGCTGGTCTGGGTCGGTGTCCTGCGTGCCGTTGACAGATTCCCCCGAGCGCATTCGCAGAATCAAGGCGCTCAGTCGAGATATGCTCCCCTGGTCCTCGACAACGGTGAGCGGCAAGGTTGAGCCCTTGGGAATCAGCTGGGATAGTGCATGGCGGATCTGGATCCCTCCGACAGAGTCTACGCCGTATGCAAAGAGGTCGGTATCGTCGTCTAAAGACTCTTGGTCTGTATGTCCGCGTTCGCCAACGACATTGGTCACGATCTGTCGGATTGTCTTTGGGATGTCGGTATCCAGGACTTCAGAGTTGCGCTCGGGAAGGACGTTCTCGTATGCCTTGGTGATAATCTCCGCGTAGCGTTCTTCGGCCGCCCTGCGCAAAATTGTGCCTTTGCTGCTCTTCTCCAGAGGCTGCACGGTGTATGGCATGGGAATGAGCATATTCCGGGGGATTCGTGCATGACTTTGGCTTTCCTTGTTCAGTTTCTCGATGTAAGACGACAGGTCGCTGATGAGGTCGTCATCTCCTTTGGAGGCTGCAGCCTCGGAGGGAAAGAGGAGTACGCCAGGGTATGGCTGGCCGTTTCCGAAGATGAGTGCATCGTCGATTAAGGATGAGGAAGCACGAATGGCGTCTTCAAGTGGTGCTGGATCGAATTTCTTCCCGGTAATGAGCGTGAGCTGGGAGTCCGCCCGGGAGTGATATCGCCATGCGTTTGGTATGGTAGGATGAGGTGCGAAAAGGTCCGCTGTGGCGAAAGATCCGTCCTCGCGGTTGCGTTTGGCCTGCGCATGGTCAGATTGTTATAGCTGGAGAGCAAGGGACTTACCATATGAGGCCAATGCGGTTGGATGACGAGTTCGGAGAGGCCATCCTTTTGAGGCTCGAATTTGAGGTACCCCTTGCTAGGATCTGATCTGAGGTATTGCCACTCTTTATCGTTGTCGAAGTCTCGATATGAAGACATCAGAAATCCGCATTCTGCACTACCAAACCGTGATATCAGATTGACTTTGCTGTCAACGAGCCTATCTCCAACTTCCGCTGGCAAAGCAGCGCCTCCGACACCAACAACGTCCATTCGCTGAAGATGTCCCAGACCATTGCTGTCCTCCCCCATCATCTGCAGCACGTATGGCACGGAGGAGAAATACTTGACTTTTGGGGTCACTTCATCCGCTGCTGCTGCGTCGAGACATTTGCATACATTCCCAGCCGTGATTGGGACGTTCTTCCCCGGAAACAGCCATATCAACGCATTACTCATCCACGCTCGGAAGAGATCAGCTACGCCGCCGTGATAAAGTGGTGTGGTGGTGAATGAAGCCCTTTTCCTGTCGTCAAGAATAGGTAGTACTCCTAGACCCCCGTGATGGGTTTGTGGGATGGGTTTGGGCATGCCTGTGGAAGTGCCGGAGGTGTGGTGGAGGTACGCAATATCTGACTCATGGACAGTGACTGGTTCCTCAAGGGCACGGGAAAGTGGACGTCTGATAACGTCGAAGATATCCTCTCCCGCAAAGGGAAGGTGTAGACTTTCCATAGAATCTTTCCCTTCCTTAGAGAACTCGCTCAGAGCATTGTCCGCGAGTTTTTCGTACACCTCATCGTAAAGCAGGTACTTTACGTCGCAGGACTTGCATAGATGAGCCACGGCGGATGGGGAGCATTGTGGTGCAATTAGTAGCGCCGCATGCCCGAGCCTCATGATGGCTAGCCACGTGAGTAGGAACTCTGGTGAGCTAGGACAGAGAAGTCCTACCGTCTGATTCGGACGGGAGTTTAACTTGCTCGACAGTGCTTCTGCCACAATAGCAGAGCCTTGTCGGACGTCCTGGAAAGTCAAGATTTGCGACTTCCATGGTTGTCCGTCAGTTGTGGGCGAAAAGAAGCCAACAGCTGGTGTGGAGGGTTCACTCTGTGCTTGACTCTCAACGAATTTATCAATTGTGTTGAAGGGTTTCCCATTGTGATATTGAGAAGCCTGCCCCAAAGTGCAGGTGAAATAGGTCGGTTCCATGGGTACAGCAGAATCAGAGCGATCTCAGTATCGAGTTGATTGTACGCCTTCCCACCGTCAATGCTGCAGCCGCTCTCATTTCGATGTGGGATATCTGCATAAATCTGGAGCAAGGCTTGTACTTCGGTAAAAAGATTCTCTGCGTTGCTAGGTATGGTCAGACGTGGTTCTCGTGACAACTCCAGGAAGTCTTTGAGTACGAGGCTACAATATATTGACAAGTCGTGCGGAGAGGATAAGTGCAAGAACGCGCAGTACACTTCGGAGATTTGCGACTCGCGATCTACAAAATGTCTGCTGTCTTAGAGCCACCGACTTCGGTTGGTGTATTGACATCATGATCCGCTAAATAGACTGCAAGTTGAGCAGAGGGACACTCCACTCATATTGCGCTAATGGAGAAGGTCTACATGAATATTCCTCGATCGTCGAACAAAGGCGAATCTGATCAGCTGAAGATATACGAGTCCGACATTAATGCGCGATACCAGTCCACTCAATGCGAGGAAAAGAAAACATCACAGCGATGGAAATTCTTAAAGTATTTGTCTTGAACATGGTCGAAGTCATATCTCAATATCAACACTGTTTCTCAAAAACCCCCAATCAGGTATGCTTTTTATTTTCGTATCACAGGTTATCCCAGTCTCATGATGAAACATGCTATGAAGCTGTGAGACTATTCAGAAAATGCCGCTTCAATGTACTCCGTTGACGTGGCCGTTGACTCCGTTGGTATGACCATTGGCTCCATTGGCCAAACCCTTCGCCAATCCATTCGAAGGCTCAGTAGGCTTCTCCTCGCCGGAACGAAGTTGAGTAGCCTTCGCCACACCGTTCGTGTTCTTGCCATCCACATTGGAATGTCCATTGGTGGCAGCACCATTGGCCTGGGTATCATCGTTGAGAACATTAAGCTTCTTGAGGCCGTTCGAAATACTGCCGTTCGTCTCCTCAACAGGCTTGTTGTTCACCGTGTAGCCGGTGTCGCTGGCATCAACGAACGCCTCGAGACCTTCTCCGTTTCGAGGATAGTTCTTCATCAGCTCCTTGTGCTTCCTCAATGCAGCGTACATCTCATCCATCGAGACATCGTTCAAGAAGACACACTGTCCAATTGGGCTGGGTACAGCAGCGCGGAGCAGACCATCTCTGGTCTTCAAGATGGCCTTGGTAGCCTTATCGAGAATCTCTTCGTCGAATTGGTGGTGATCCATGGACAATCCTGCTCGCGAAAAGAGGTTCAATATCCGCTTATGCTCCTCATCACTGAGGATACCGCGCATGTTCGCCAGGGTGGCGGAGTATGCCATGTCAATAGAAATAGCATGACCGTGGCGGAGTGGTACTTCTGGCACCAGCTCGTGGAGCGGTGACCAACTGAGACGCGTTAGTGGGATTTCAAGAACGCGGAGATGAAAGACATACGTGTGGCCGTAAGCGATGACTCGGTCAAGTCCAATCTCGTGCAAGTTGGGGGTTTCGAGCTTCAACATCTCGTGAATTCCAGCACGGTTGATAGTATCCGCAGCCTCCTTGACTTCCTTGGGCGCACCCTGTGTTCGACCAAAGCCAGTCTTGATCAACTGCTCGCAGTATTTGTCAAGCAGGTCAAAGGTGGGAAGATGAGCACAAGTGGAGATCTTGATTAGCTCAGCAAAACCGTTGCGGATTTGTGCTTCCGGTAGAGTTCGGAGGAACCCGAAATCGAGGAAGGTATGCATCGGGGCATGGTAAGCACCCAATCTGTTTTTGTAGTTGCCATAGTTGACAGCAACCTTGATAGACACGGATGCATCAATGAGGCCGATAACTGTGGTCGGAATACGGATGAAGTTGGTGTTTCTTCGGTATGCCGCACACGCAAAACTGGATATAAGAGGTTAGTAAAGCGTTCATGCCGGTAAACAACCAAGGAGATATATGGGTCAGAGTGCCTTGAAGTCATCTTTGGCAGGTGGTAGCTTTTACCCAGCAACGTCCGTGACCAGTCCACCGCCAATGACGAGAACTGGTTCCTGCAACATGTTAGCTGTGCGGCGGCTAGTTGTTGGGCGGCTTCTTACCTTTCGGTAGATACCGAACTTGTTCATGGAGTCGACAATGCTCAAGAAAGTGTCGATTGACTTGGCCTTTTCGCCAATCATTGTCTTGTGGATGTCGAGGTCGATGTTGTAGTGTTCGAAGTACTTTGCCGTCTGCTCGCCATAGACGTCGAAGATGTTGGAGTCCATGACAGCCAGGCAACGGCCCCACTTCTTGTAGCAGTCGGCCAAGTCGCTCTTGCTGGTGTCAAAGACATCGTCAATGAAGGTGAAGTCGTACTCGATCTTCTCATAACCCTCGACGTGGAATCCCGCTTTGGTCTCGGCGACGGTTGCTTTGAGGTCAGACATGTTGAATGAGAAAGTCTGGCAGAGATGGATTTGCAAACAAACAGTCACTAGGGAAGGCTGGGTTGGGAAAAAGCCACAAGCTAGGAGGATAGTCCGGGGGTATTATATCCCATACCCTCCCAACCACGAGGATCAACGACTCGTCAAGACGTGATCAGCAGTGGACCTTTGACTTACTTGCTGTATGCCATAGAAGACGTCTTCCATGTCGCCGGATGCTTTACTCGGTGGAAGAGTAAGGACGGGTGCAGTCGTCTTCCGTTGCACAGATCTGTGTGGAAAGGTTCCACTAGGGAGCTCCTGCAGCCAGGCAAAGCAGGGATCGTGTAGCGGGTAGCCCGTTACAAGCATGCAAGGCTCACGAAAGAGATTTAGCATGCAGATTAAGATTCAAACCAGGTACAGTCATGATGTAGTAGAAGATCCTACTCGAGTTGAGTTAAGGAAAGGGTCTGGGACAACGTGCTCCGGAGAATATAGCCAGCCTCTGAAGAAGGAGAGATTGCCGTGCCAGCTGCAGGTCCTCATTTCTACCGTTGGATGGGCGTACAGCAGCTGTCAGGGAATATGCCGGTTCAGTGAGCCTGTGATAGTGGTCAGGGCAACCGAGGATGAGAAATGGTGTGATGGGCATGTCAGATCCTAGCGCAAGATCGGATAGCAGATTGAGTTGGTGGGTGTCAAGATGCGGCGCGTTACGGCGTCTGCAGAGGCCCACCCAGGGACAAACACATGCAGTCAAAGACGTCTTCCATCTGGTTCATGGCAACGCCTGTCTCCGTATATAGCGAGTCATGACGAAGAAGTGGGAATATGACTTTCAAGGATCTCAAGAAAGCAAGAAAAACTGAGCGAGAACGAAGCTGTGCAGGATCTGGAGTAGCCAAAGATCGCTAGACCTCATTTGGAGTTAGTCTAGCTCTCTGATTGGGTCGTCAGACATCATCGAATCATCAGCGTCTAAATCAACCTCGTCTGTAGACTCTCTACTCCTCTTGGTGGTACTTAGTGTTCCCCTACCAAGCTATCACAGTACACAAGTACTTCATCGCGTTACGTTTACATATGCACGTCAACGAAAACTGTGAAAATCCCGTTCCCCCGTTCTGGTCTCGACTGGCGAGTCCCTTTCCCCACATGGGCGCACACCAATACCTGATCCCTCGCTTGGTACCCGTCCCTGAGCAAGGGGAAGTTCCAATCCAAGTGGCCGGAGGTACTTCCGGAGATCTGATCGATCCCGCTTCGAGTGGTCCTAGATTCAGATCTCAAGCCGCTTAAGACGCTAGTTATGCAGACTCTTGTCATTACTCTTGAGCTGTCAGCCACAGGCATGTAGGATTTCTCATCCGTTCGGCAGATTTGTTGTATGGGAGACTGGCAAACTTCTTCATTCTCAAGAGACCGAAGCAATCATCTCAGAAGATAACTTGAGTACCGACCACAACAATGGCCGAGTTTGACTCTTCAAAGCAGTATCAGGAGCAGGAAGAGACATTTGTACCCGCTGACCCTTTCAGCCTACATATACCATTCACTAACCAGGCATTTAGTTTGATGATGGGCGCGAGATTGAGCTTCTGCATTTCGTTTACAGCAAATCAGATGTGGAAAGCATAAGAGGCTCGCCAACAAAAGTGCTGGCCGCCATCGATGAATATGCCCGAACCAAGAAATATCTCATGAATGTGGGAGAAGACAAAGGACGTATTGTTGCCGACCTTATAGCAGAAGTCAAACCCCAGGTAATGGTTGAGCTGGGTGGCTATATTGGCTACTCGTGCATTCTTTTCGGTGATGCAGTCCGCAAGGCTGGGGGTCAACGGTACTTCAGCCTTGAGAGAAATCCGGAGTTTGCCGCCGTCATCGCATCTTTGGTCGATCTCGCCGGCTTGAGCGACATTGTCAAGGTGGTTGTTGGCTCGAGCGATGTCTCGATCAAAAGGCTGCATTCAAGCGGCAGTTTGAAGCACATTGACCTGATGTTCTTGGATCATTACAAACCTGCCTATACGACCGACTTGAAGCTCTGTGAAGAGCTGGGGATGATCACGGCAGGCACAGTCATGGCAGCCGACAATGTCATCACGCCGGGAAATCCGCCATACCTTGAATATGTGCGGAGCACGGTGCAACAAAAGAAAAATGCCAACAAGGCCAACGGAACTGTCAACGGCGTGGACAATCGATTTGCCGACAAGACGGCCAAACAATACGCCAAGCGAGAAGGCGAGGCCAAGTTGGACGAGACCAGGACTGGTAATCCTCTGTTGGTCTACGAGAGCAATTTGGTCAACAGCTTTGAACCTACAGGAGTGCCGGTAAGATCCTTCTTACAATAATTGGTGATAGTATTACTCACTCATACTCAAGGATGGCATCGAGATCACAAGGTGCACAGGGGTTGAAGCAAACTGAGCTCTGCTGAAGCTTTCTTGCCCTCGCTTGTCCTACGTCCACCATCTTATTCTAGGTCGAAGTACTTCAGCCTTGCTGCATGTATGTGGGTCCGGGTACAAAAAATCTTCTTAGTTCCACACTATCCGTTCGAGAATCAGCAGCACCAGTTTATTCCGCCAGCAGCAAGAGCAAAAAGAAATTCTCATGGTCAGAGAGGGGCTTGAACCCTCGGCCTTTGACTGTTCCACAAAGTATTAGGTCAACGATCTAAACCAACTGATCTACCCGACCATTTGTCAGATTCTGTGTGCGGATTTGTGGCCAAAAACAGCAGACTTCACATTGTACCCACTCATTATTTGTGCAGGCACTTGTGAATCAGAATCATTGGCGTTGGTTGGCCCTATGCGCAATGAAAGAAAAGAAGTGACTCGGGGTAATGACTGTGATGAGGATATTCACTGTTGGGGCAGGCATGCATTTAAAGCTGGTATGCTTCCCCGTCTAGCTCATAGAGAGCCTACGGTGGACCACGCTATGTAGTACGCAAAACTCATGTTTGCGTCAAATCCTCTAGCAATTGATATTCCTTGCTTCGTCAACCAGGGCAACTGTTCTCTCTATCCGAAGACTGGTTACTCCATGCAAGCTCCCGGCCTGGCTGAAAAGATCCGCAAGGATTGTCGTAAAGCTGTCCCCACCCCGTGTTTAGTGACGTTTACACTTTCATCCATTATGGCATTACATTACCGCCCGAAATCCCCAGTTTGGTACAGCCATGTAAACACCCGTACGTTTCCCTTCTCTACTGGATTGCATTCTCCTCTTAGTAGGTCACCGACGCTATTCTGTATATCGCCACCATGCTCGACGGCACTTCGTCTGTCCTTGCCCACAGGCTGCAAAATGCCGCACTTCTCATTCTGAGCCTCATATTCCTTCCATTTGATACTTTCATTCTCTTTGCTGGTCTTTTCGTACGCTCAGTGTTCTCTGGGGTGGCAAAATTCAAACGAGACCAGGCATGGCAGAAGTCTGGTTTCCACCCACGAAGAATACTTGTCACAGGTGTTGGTATGACCAAAGGTCTGGTTCTGGCAAGGCAGTTCCACGAGGCTGGTCACTATGTGATCGGAGCAGACTTTGAGCCGAATGGGTCGCTTGTCTGTGGAAGGGTGTCAAGATCGATCAAGCAGTTTCACCCCTTGAGAAAGCCAGACCTCAAGAGCGGCTCGGCGCCGTATGTTCATAGTCTGTTGGAAATCATCTCGAGGGAGAAGATTGAACTCTGGGTCAGTTGCTCAGGTGTGGCTTCGGCGGTGGAAGATGGGATGGCAAAGGAGATCATTGAGGGAAGGACGGACTGTAAGGCCATTCAGTTCGACATTGAAACGACTCAAACGCTGCATGAAAAGCATACTTTCATCTCACACACTCAAGAAATCGGTCTTACCATTCCCGAGACTCAGGAAATCAGCAGTCGAGCTGAGGCGGAAAAGTTCTTGCAAGACGCTCCTTTGGGACGCAAGTATATCATGAAGACGATCGGTGTCGACGACGCCGTTCGTGCCGACATGACGTTACTCCCCAAGGCCACGCCCATGGAAACCTCCAAGCATATTGCGAAGCTGCGGATCTCGAAAGAGATGCCATGGATTATACAACAATTCATCAAGGGCAAGGAATATTGCACACACTCACTGGTCGTCAAGGGCCAAGTCAAAGCTTTCGTGGCATGTCCATCTGCTGAGCTGCTCATGCATTACGAAGCACTTCCCGCAGATTCTGCCCTTAGCAAAGCCATGCTCGAATTCACCAAGAAATATGCAAACGTTGGAGGTCCAGGGTTTACCGGTCATCTCTCCTTTGATTTCATGGTGTCGGATGAAGATGTTGAACAGTCCAAGAACATCACTCTCTACCCAATCGAGTGCAATCCGAGGGCACATACGGCCGTAGCACTGTTCAACGGGACAACTGCCATGGTCGATGGGTATCTTTCGGTTCTTGGAGAGAAGTCGAAAGGGTTTAGTCCGGTCATCCCGTCACGGAACGACAAATACTATTGGGTCGGGCATGATCTGGTCACGAAAGTGATCATTCCCACGCTTTCCGTTCTGACACTCCAGATGTCTGTAGGCGAGCTCATTGGCAACTATCGCACTTTTGTCAACCACCTCCTCACCTGGAAGGACGGCACGTTTGACATCTGGGATCCGCTTCCTTGGTGGTGGCTATACCACGTCTACTGGCCAATGCAGTTTCTATCGTGCTTCCGGAAAGGCAAGAAATGGAGTAGGTTCAACGTTAGTACGACGAAAATGTTTGAATGTTGAGGCAAGGCTGGAAAAACTCGGAGATCGTGAACTCTCACATACACTTTTGCGGGGTCGCTACGCGCAAAATCCCACCGGCCACCTCGCGGCTCAGCCTCACTATATATATGTTCGAACAATTCTCTTGTAAAGCAATCCGGGATCTCCCCGGCGTGGGGTGAAGTCACGCTCAATATCCAGGAGCCAGGCTTCACGACCATGCCAAAGGCTTTCTCGGCACACAGTCATCGCGTTGTCCCGACACGATTGGTTAGTCCCAGATCGGAATGTTCGCTTCGAATTTCCTTCACCGCTCCAACCGGTCGATCATTCGCCGATCCCTCTGCAACATCTGTGTCAGACACCCCAGACAAGCATTCAATATACACTTCTCGGGCATGATTCGCTTGGTCGTGGACTTCACGATCGTTGTTGCCATTTCAGGCCTCCACGATAATGGTCGAGATATGTGGTCAGCCTGAAGAATGCTAACCAATCGGCTCTGATTTCCATCTCACTTACAATCAGCGAGGCTATCGTATGCTTATGCTTACTACGTACGAAGTCCGCCCCTTGCATGCGTTAGACATCTGAGGCGTAAGGCTGGATACATCATCGGACATTCTTGTCGGGACCACACGGCGTCCGCACCCTCAGGAGGGCCTTGATTCGAAATGACCACGGCACGCGTTCGGATTTTCTTTTATCAGGCGAGCCTCAATGCTCAACCCTCGGAATAAGGCTACCGCTCTGCGACTGTTGCCATACCCGGAATCACTATGCCCTCCGCACCACCCTCAACAACCGCCGAGATTCTAGAAACGGGCACTATCGACCCAGCCTTTGCCGCGGCCCTCGAGTCCGAGCCCATCCCAGCAGGCACAAGCTACAGCCTCGCCGACCTCAAACAACAGAGCGCATCAGCCCTGGCATCTCTCCAACAACGCCTCTCAGCCTCACGACCTCCGGACATAACTGAAACTCAACATTTCATCAGCCTCCGCGACAACTACCCATCCCGCATAATCATATGCCATTCAACATCCGCCCTCGAAAGCACCACTCCGGCCCCTCTAATTGTCCTCTTCCACGGCGGCGGGCATTGCGTCGGGCATCCGGAGAACGAACTCCCACTCGCCCGCGAACTGGCGTCGCCACATTCAGCGATCGTGATCTGCGCATCATACCGGCTCGCGCCAGAATTCCCATTCCCCTTCTCCATCTGCGACGCTTGGGAAACGCTGGAATTCGCGGCCAGTGAGTCACGCAAGTCGAACTCCGCCATCCTCCCGCGCTGCACGGACGCGCGAACGGGCTTCATCGTCGGCGGAACCTCGTCCGGAGCTAATCTCGCTGCATCACTGGCTCATCTTGCGAGAGATCATAACTTGTTTCCACCACTGACTGGACAATTCCTGTGCGCGGGGTCGTATATCTCGAGTATGAACGTCCCTGCGAAATATAAGGATCAGTATCTCAGTTTCGAGCAGAATCGGAATGCGCCGATGTTGGATGAGGCGACGTTCAAAATGTTCAGGGAAGCGTTCAAGCCGGACTTGTCGAGTAAACTGTATGCGAGCTTTGATCAGCATCATCCTCTTGATGAAGGCATGAGATCTGTGCGGCATGGGCATCTGGGGGTTGCGCCGGCTTATTTCCAGGTTTGTGGGATGGATATGTTCAGGGATGATGGTTTGATCTATGAGAGGGTGTTACGCGAGGAGTGTGGTGTGTCTACACGGTTGGACTTGTACGCTGGGTGGGGGCATGGTTGGTGGTCTTTATCTCCGGAGCTGGAGATGAGTAGGAAAAGGATGAGCGATGCTGTTGATGGGGTCGGATGGCTGTTAGACGAGGGCAAGAAGAAAGATGGCTGTTAGCTGGTGATATGTGATTCATGTCTTGCCGTCGCGAGTTGTCGGCGGAGAACAAGATGGCGGAAGAGATACCCACGGTTGATGAATAAATGAGGAAATATTACAGTATTCGCTCCGAGCAGAGGCGTGATGCATGATTGAGCAGTTCTTTCCATATGAACGTACTGCATAGTGTGACTCTTTCACAGAATGCATGCTTCGTCGGGACGGGCGAGACAAGAGCGTTGCCACGTTGCCACTGCCCTCTAAAGCGATAGAGCGCCATCTGGACCGTTGAGCGAGCAGTACGAGCACACGACCTATGGACCGACCCGCCCCTGTTCAACATTGAAGTGTGAATGCGGGTAGATGGCAGCGAGCCTGTGGCGATATAAACAGGCGAAAGACGAAATCCAGAGGAGCATGCATGACACCCAGTTCAAGACCACCTCAAAGGCATTGCTGCTGCCGGTCACTGAGTCTCATCGTGCTAGTAAATGATCCTGACGCAGGTGTTGTGGTGATACAGATTGACATTTGTTCCTCATTATCATTCGAGAACCACGACATACGTGTAATTTATACATATCCTGCGGCCAACGTGTTAGTACGTAGAATTCTGGACGATGATCCAAATACGACTCACCTTTTCGAGCACCCTGGAAGAAGAATCTAACGACCAAAACCTGCAGACCAGCCATACCCACCATCATGCATACTTCGATCATGCTGAAATTGAAGACTCTCCGCTCCGTACTCCTGACCGTGCTGAAGTTGCGGTTCTCTCTTGTCCGGAAGTATTTCTGCATCCTGCTGACTGTGCTTAACTGCCCACTGATCTTGTAGATCATATCTTCCAGTGCAGAGGTTTGTTCGGGTGACGATCCGGCCTTTTGAGGGAGGAGAGCAGACTTGTTCTCATCTTCGACCTGTATCGCACTTGTCAATTGTGCTCGCCTCTTCACATGCCTGCCACCACTTACGGCGACCTCAAAGTCCACCAATTTGTCCGCGAACGTCGACATTTCGTTGTTGAAGCAAAATCGATATTCGCCAGGGGTCTGCGCGGTGAAGACGAAATCGCCCTGTCTTTCTTTCTCTCCTTCCATTATTTTCTTATCGTTGGGGCCGTACACCGAATAATCGACATCGAACGAGCCGCCGGATTGGACCTAACGATGTCAGCGAAGTTAGTGAAATGCAAGCTGGCCGACCGTACAGCAAAATAAAAGGCGACTTTGGCATTCTGTCGCTCGACAGCAGCAAAGAAGCAGGCTTTCTCATTGGCGCCGAGTCGGTATGTCAAGGCTGTCCCGTAGACACTGGAGATGGCCAGAGCCAGCAGGCCGAAGAGGATTGAAAGCGACCGCATAGCTGAGCAGGGTGAACGGAACGAAAGACTTGAAGATGTCCCACAGGAGCACTGAGCACACGAGGATGCAGCACCAAAGAGCCACGATTGCGCGCCGCAGCCGGCCAACTTTCCCCAAATCTTGGCGCGGTCTTGAGGCCGGAATTACCCCTAAACAGAAGAAATGTCACACTGTTCACCGTACAGTACAGGCAAGACCTCACACAGTGTCTACACGTGGTGTGTACTGGATGGACGCACAAGGTCTGGTTCGAAACTGCCCTTCTACTATTCGGTCCGATGATGTCTCGTGTGATCAAGAATTAATTTCGAGAAGCAACCACCATGCGCCCGAGATGCGCTACAAGGTCCAGAAATCGAAGACTTGCATATCAGCCAGTCGCTGTACTGTATCCTACCTGCCACGAGATCGGGCTGAATGGAGCGAATACATGGTAGGCAAGCGCTACGGTGGTTCGATACACGTGTTGAGGGGCGCCTTTCCATGCAGTACAGCCAATAGCTACCCCTGCATCTAACGAGGCGGAGAAGCTCTCACTGCCTCGCTGAAGCGGTGGCAGTGTTTCTCAGGATCGACTGATTACAATCACACATAGATCGTGAGAGTTGTTGACTTTCTGTCTCTTCTGTTCATATTGTGCTCAAAGAGATTTCGACCTTGACGCCGTCCTATTGACCTGTGACAGATCCAACAACTACCTCCTTAGAGAGTCTAGCAAGTTCGCACCAGGCTGGGGAACAGGCAGATCCCCAAAGATCTTCCCGCTTTGTTGTATCGCCCCAATTCCGACTTGGGAGTTCGACCCAGTCTGTTGTTATAATCATGTCTGGCGTGGAAGCAATTCTTGGTATTGTCACCGGGGCCGCGGGCTTGCTCTCGCTAGCCATCGAGCTTGGTGAGAGCGCTGAAAAGCTGAGAAGACTGTACCATGGGGTCAAGGGCGCGCCCAAGACCATTGAAGTGCTGATGGTTGACCTGGAGACAATGTCCATGGCGTTATGCGAGGTCGAAAGGACCCGACAACGGGACACTTCCACTAGTGCTATACTCGAGCGTTGTATCTTCAGATGCCAACAAAGCACGGGCACCATCAAGCATGTCGTCGAAAAGATGGAATCCTGCATCGCTAAGCACAACCGACTACGTGGAAAGTTATACACTGCTTTCAGGGAGAGGGACGTCAAGGAGCTGCTTGATGACCTTGAGAGAGCCAAGACTTCATTACATTTGGCGTACACCATGTATCATACTGAACAGCAAATTCAGCGAGATCATGAATACGGCAGCATGCTTACCGCTCAGGGCCACAGATCGGACGATATACTGCAACAACTGATGCTTCTGTCGCAATCGTTCACGCCACGAGAGCAGCGTCCGTTGGCCATCGCTGACGATGAGGCTGCAGCAACATGCCCCATGCCAATCATTGCCCGTGAGATGAATATTACAGTAGCGGGCAATGACAACGCACGGCAAGATCAAACCGGACATTGTCAACCTCCGCCCCGGCGTGTCAAGAGCGAACACACTAGAAACCAGCGGCGGATTCGATTTCATCTTCCGGTGTGGCTTTGCAGTAGGATATGGGATCTCACTATCAGTAGCAGCCACTGTCGCTGGAGCATGCATCTGAGCACGTACAACGTTGTTTCAAAACATGCGGCCATCTTCCGCTATTGTCGTTTGGGCAACATTGGAGAAGTACAGAGGCTCATTCAAAGTGGGGAAGCTTCTCTACTAGACATCGCAATATCGGATTATGAGGGCCAAGATCTCTATACATTGATCGAGGTATGTCTTTCCAGACGCTTCATATGGAGCAGGACTGACGATATAGCTTTCCACACGTTGTGGTCAGCATGCAGTTTGCCAATATCTCCTGCAACAGACGTCCTGGCCAGATCAGGCGAAGGTTCTGAGCCGTGCTCTTTCCCGTTCTCGAGAAGAACCCGAGGAGCACATGTATCGCCTCTTCTTCGACACTCCAGGCTTTGACGCTGATTTCGAAGATGATGATCATGAACACTGGCTTTCTCGGTGCATAGACGTACCACGTTTGAATTTCGTCCTAAGATCCCAATTTCCCCACTTCTTCGCCCTCTCTGCAGATGAGAAGTTTGAGCTCGTTATCCAGAAACGCATGAGATACGTCGAGACGCCCACTGAATTTGTCAACCTCATCGGCTTGTCACGGTCAGACCAGAGACTTGTTACTTTAAGGAGTATCAATGGCACAACGGTCTTACATTATGTTGCGAAGCGGCTCCGCGACATTGCCAGGGGAAGGGTGTTGGCATGGCCAGAGCCTTATGAGCGGCCCTGCAGGATTAGCAAGAGGGAGCCATTGCAGGATTGGCTCTCTTTTGGCGCAAGTCTCCTGAAGGATGGCGCAGATCCGTGCAGTATCGCATACCCAGAGTGCAGAGATCGAGGGAATGCTCCTGCAAGTCCGCTTTTGGAGACGTTGGGCCTTTGGAACTTCAAGTGGCAGTTCAAGCCATCCGATAAAGCTCGTATCATTGAGCTCATTGAACTCATCCGGATTTGGGCCGAAATGTTGCAGCAAGCTGGGATCGACTTGTATCAATATGGTGCTTCAGAGAGCGAGATATGGCAGTCACTCAAGCCCTTCTACCTACCTTCAAATCCTGGACCGAAGGCGGAAGGTTTCGCCGAAACGATGATAGTCGAACAACTTGTATACGGATCAACACCGGCAGACTGGGGCGTACTACTTTGCCCGTTTTGGACCATTCATGTTTACAAGCTGCGCCGGTTGCCAGGCGACTTCGTGGGAGAGAGGCTGCTGCCTGAAGTGATCCCATGGAGCCCAATGAGAGAGGAAGATGGCGAAGGATATTGGGATATTGTCAAGTCCACAACCATGACTTCCACTTCTACTGATCTCCGGAATTTGGCCTATCCCTCAATTCCGAATTTCGTGCAGCTGCTACATGGTACGCAGGATGACCACGGTGTCATTGTTGGGTTGCAATATCGAGCCTCTCGTGCACAGCACTGTCCGGCAAGTGCTCGACGAAGGTCGCGTAGCCAGCCGCCCCTTCTGCAGCGAAGGGAAGCTGCGTACTGCGGACGCAGCTTCCGACATTTCAGACGGCCTTGGTTAGATAGCATCCATTTCTGCCTGTTCGACTCGCAGTGGACATTTGGCTGCGCAGGAAGAGGTCCGTACCATGACGAATACGGATACTCCGTATTCGAGGATAGGAACTGTGGGAATGGTACCCTTGGACGGTGCTCTGCAGTTCAAGAGACTGATGCCTGGACGTCTTTCAGTTTCCTAAACGACATCAGACAGTGTCAGCAATACGACTCAGGGTCTCCGGATGCACATATATTGGGCCACACAGGAACAACCAGCTGCCCCAGAAACTGTAGCAAGGTTGACTTGGATCAGCTTAACGTACCTGAGTCCCTCAGACGCTACCATCCATGGCTATCATACTGGTACGATGAAGATGGTGAGATGTGGGACTGGGACAACGCACACGGCATCATATTGTTGGCAAGGTTGACGACGCCGCGGTCTCCAAATTGTGCGGTATGCTTCAATTCTATTCCGACATCTGAGCAGCCTCCAATCTGTTCACCACCATAACATATATCTACCCTCGACCGCCATTCCTCAGCACAACAAATACCCACCATCAGCATAAATCTCGACCCCCGTCATGAAAGCATTCTTCATCGCCGACAAATAACACTCCGCCAAATCCTCCGGCGTCCCAATCGTTCCCGTCAACGTCTTCGCCCTATAACTCGCCATAATCTCCTCCAAGCGATCGGCCGCGAAGCGATCAAACAATTCCGTCTTCGTCGCGCCAGGACACACACAGTTCACTCGTATGGGCTTCATATCTTGCGCCAGCGCCCTCATCATACCTTTCCTCGCCGATCCCACGGGCGCCATGATCGCCCATCCCTGAGTGGGCTTGAGGTCGCTGACTCCACTGGTCACTGTCAACGAGGACTCGGGACTGACGTTGAGATACCGCATCGCTATCTTCGCGACGATCAAGCCGCCTGTCAAGCGGACTTGTAGGACGTCCTGGACCTTCTCAGGCGTTATTTCAGATAGCGGGATCTGGCGGAACGTCCCACCCGCGGTGTCGACTACGTGGTCGAGCTTGGAAGTGCCACTGTCACTGGCGAAGTCGAAGAGAGATGTCACCTGGTCTTCGACGTCGGAGGCCGCGAGATCGAGTGTCTTCCCGCTGATTCGGTCCTTGGCTTCGGGGTAGGAAGTTTGGATACGGTGAACCGCCTGGTCGACTTTTGATTGCTGCGAACTAGCGAGGACGACGATGGCGCCGTATTCGATTGATGCTTCGGCAGTGGCGAAGCCAATGCCTGATGTGCCGCCTATGATGACTATGCGTTTGCCTTGGAGTTTGTTGATGTACTTTGGTGCCATGGCTATAGCAGTGTGGATGTGTCGCTCTAGCGTGGGATATCCTTACAACGTTACGGTTGACATGAATATTCGGATGTGCTTTACGACTCTCTCTCCGATTCTAAGTTCCGATACCAGTGTTTATACAGGTTGGTCTTGAGGAAAGTGGTCTACGAGAAACCCCTCCGCATGACTTCGGCCGACGATGGCCCGTGCGGATCTTCGGGACGTATAAATGAAGCTTTGAATTATGATTGGTCCGCAGTTGGGAGATACATACTGTGTAGTATTTCCCGGGGAGCCCAATGGTAAGGACTCCGCCTTACATGAGGCGCCCAGTGTCGCCCTAGATGATCAGATGAATGCGAAACGAGGCTGAATCGGGCACATGTTGTCCTCCCGTCACTTTCTAGATCGTTGTCAAGATAATCGCACAGCGAAAGTGGAGGAATGATTCCTTGTTCTTGCTTGATCAGCCCTCAAAAAGGCCATGAGCCAAGAAAGACCTAAGTGGAGCAGATCCAGGTATCTCTGAAACTCTCCTCCTGTCATCAGACCTTTCACCGCCAGCGGGCTGGTCTTCAGAGAATTTCGCCTCAATATCCCCCCGATTCCATGCCCAGCACAACGACGCCGGGCGAACTGACGATCCGAGCACCGCCGGAGACACGGACGGCCTATGAGTGCTCAATCATTGAGTATTGAAGCCCTTTGCTCGTTGCGCTTCACCATGTGAGATTGTGATGGACGACCAAGCTCCGGTACAAAGTGCGGACGTCGCTGTTGATGTTGACACCGTGTGGCGTTGAAATGATCAGTCGAGGCCACCTATATCTCGACCACAGGCGACGCTGACCCAACTTTTGGTGTTTGTGGCCCGTCCTTCTCCTTGACAGTCTCTGTCTTTCCTTTCAATGGAGGGAACGTGAAGACTTGGCTCCTTCCCACCTTGCCAGCGCCCCATTGTCCGACCCTGCCGCCCAGGGATCCTTTGTCCCATACTAGAGCGCCAACCCAAGGCTGTATATTCCAGCGTACTTCCAGCGTCGCATTTCCTCGCTCACTGAGCACGCCCGTGGGATCCGTGATCTGATACTTTGGTTTCTGGTTCTTCAGCGATATCAATCCCGGCTTGACAAGATCTGTAGTCTTCGACTTCGCGTCCGAACCCTTCCTGCTCTTCGTCCTGGACTTCTTCTCGGGGAAGTACTTCTGTTTGAGGTTCTGCCAGGAATATGGCGTGGATGTAGCGGGGATGATGGCGTCCCAGATCACAGCCTCGGAGTTTCGGACTTCTGAGGTCTTGTCGCTGGGGTAATTCGCCGTCACGTAGACGAAGAGCTGTTTCGTGTTCCAGGTGAATAGGCTGGATAGATCTGCTTCGAGATCGAACTTGATCTGCGCGTATTCTTCGCGTTTGGTGGCGTAGTAATGAGGCCGACCCTTGACGACTTGTACATTGCGGACGGATATCGAGGCGCTGGGGGATTCGGTAGGGGCAGGGATGGGGATCAGGGAGAGGAGAGCAATGAGCGAGGCGAGGGTGAATGCGCAGGTGGTGAAGAACCCAAAGGTTGTTTGGACTCGGTTGAGTGCGTTGTGCATGATTGCGACGATATTCGGGGTGGCAGATGGATAGACTGTGCCTTCTAGAGCAAGATGCAGTCTTCAGGTCATCTGTAGCGCATCATGAGTGTCGTGCGCCAACGCTACACAGGCGGCGCGCTGAAGTGAACACGGTTGGACAAGTATACACACCACGACTCATGATCACGCCAAGCACTTATCCCTATGACTCATGCTCTCCTGGTTTTCAAAGTTTCGATTCTCACAAACAATTCTCTTTCTTCTATCAAGGACTTCAGCTTGGCAGCTCACATTCGCAGCACAACTTCATTGCTCAGAAGTGGTTTCAGCCATCAGATTCTCATTTTGAGAGTCTATCCATGGTTGCACAACGGAGTCCCAGACGGACTAAACAGACCTGTCGTTAATCGCCCGTTTCGTTCTCGTCCATGAATCACACGGGTTTCATATCAAAGGTCACATTTCCCTCCCAACCCAAACCCCCCGTGCGCCAGTATTCAAACCAAGCCAAACGCAGCATTCCTCATAAGTCTTTGATCATGATCCAGTCAGTTTGGATACACCGGCCCATCTTGAACTCGTGTTCGCCAACCCTGGTGAACCCCATGGCTTCGTACACGCGTTGAGCTTTGAAATTACCCTCCCACACGCCTAACCACATGATCCGATACCCTTGACCTCGAGCTATGGCTTCGACTTCCTTGGTCAAGGTCTTTCCTATGCCGGAGCCATGGAAGTCCGGGTCAACATATAATCGCTGCAACTCAATGATACTCTCCAAGTCTTCGATACATGGTTCACTCGTGAATTCAGTCAATTGCGCAAAGCCGATGACTCGGTCGTCTGGGCCGGCACACGCGACGATTAATTGTGTCGAGGCACTGCGAACGTCGTTCTCGACTGCATCTGTACTGTACGCCTCGTCCAGGTAAGCTTTGAGATCACATGGTGGTATTGAGAAACCGAATGTCGTTGAGAAGACTCTTGAGCCTAGACTGGCGATAGCTGGAGCGTCATTGATTGTCGCCGGTCTTGTTGTGAACGTGTGCTTGATCGGTCTGTCTGATCTTGGTCGTACTTGAACAGCTGTCGGAGAGGAGATGTGCGCATTGAAGGAATATTCGGACCGAAGTACAGCGCCAGCTGGCTGAGCGACGAGCATATCGAAGTATTATTTTACTGCTGGCTCAGTGATGACTATGTGTAAATGTCACATCTCCTTTGCCGAAGTGTATGGCTAGGTATATATTGTATGAAAAGTCAAGCCATAATCCGAGGCAATCGACAGCGGAGGCTTATTGTGATGTCTTGTACGAGCACGCCCTGTAGATCGAAGGTTTTCGGGTTGAAGGCGATCTCCATGATGGTCATCCCACCGGATTTGGAACATGTAGTACGCACGCCCTATCACAAACATTGCTTCTTTTTCTATGATGGCCTTACGCCTTTTTTCGCCGTTGCATCTCCGCCCTTCTGCTGATAGCACTCTACCCATCGTTGACCGAGAAAATAGCGACGTGATATCCGCAGAGGCGAAATGTTCTCTATTTGCTGTCACCTTACAGCCTCTCAAGAGCTTCATAGTTGTACCGCTTATATCCGCACTGAACCGTGGAATACTCCGTAAAGTCTTCACAAATAGCGGCATTCCATTTTCATTCGGTGCTATCCGAAGTGCTGCGAGAGCGAAACCTTGCTTGGGCCTTTACTCTCGTGACATCCTTGACAGCACCCGTCTTATGTGATGCATAGCTAGCTCGACTTGAACTCGACAGACAAACTTTCCAACCATAACGCGATCCAAAATTGTATCGCGCCTAGCCAGCCTGCCGAAGCACTGGTCGACAGCGCTCAAAGTACTCGTGGTACGCCTCTTCAGCTCCTCTGATCTCCGCTTCTCTCTCCAGCCATAGTGTTGTGCATACAGTCCGATGCAAAAACAGATTTGCAGGCGAACCAACGATGTCGCCCTTAGTCAAACATATCTCAAAGATATTGCCCGTTAGAGCTCTCTGTGTCAATCCGTACTCCTTCTCTTCCTCCAGCGTGATATGCAGCCCATGGAACTCCGAGTCTCTCATCGCAACCTGGTATGCAACTTTCGCGGCTGCATGGATCAACATCTTCCTCTTGTTGATACATTCATCCGAACCTATTCCAGCATCATGCTTGTTCAGGTACGTTGACAAGCCCATCAGGCAAAAGTCGGCGGGTCGCATCACTTCCCGATGAAGCGTGATCTTGTTCAAATTAAGAAATCCAGGGTAGTCGCGCATCATCTTCCAAATGGGCTCGTACACGGTGTCTCCACTTTCCATACACAAGGTGGCCATCGATGCTCTCTTTTTGAATATCAAGTGTCGGATATACGTCATGGTCTTGCGTCGTAGTCCCTGTACACCATTTGGCAGGAACAGCTGAGAGGGATCTGATGCGACAAATGTATTTGTGCCGTAAAGAATCTGTGACGCTTCTCGATACACCTGCGAGTTCACGTGGAGAATGGATGGGTGGAGCTCTGGATTGAGGTATATTGGCTTGATTGAGGATCCTTTCGTTGGGAACCTGATGGTTTGTGACCTAGGAATCAGGAGATGCTGGTAGATGAGCCGGCGGATTAAAGGGTCTACTTTACAGAAGTCGAAGGTGGTCCGATTCGGAGGGCTCTCTGGTGGTGTAGGAGGAAGACGGGCTAGTGGTGATGCTGAAGGACTTGAAGAGGTCTGTATTTGCGGCTGAGGCTGCTTCTGCAAACGCTGTCGTACAGGGACGGTATGACGGCGAGGAGAGGTGATCCGGCGCACTCTTCTGGTCTTCTGTACTGATGCTGTCGTCCTTTTCCTGCCAGGCTCATAATCGGCATCGTCGTCAACGTCGTGTCTTTTCCGATTCTGGGTGATAGGCTGGTGTTGCTGTGGTTGGCCATGCAAGGGACACAAGGATCGAGTGAAGTCGGTGGTAATGAAACCACAGATACAGGAACCCGGCCTAGCGTACTTCAAGGTGATAAAACTAAGATGTTCAGCCATGACAGATAGAGAAGATGAAAATGGTGATGATGATGACATTGTTGATGGGGAAGCGAGTGTGGGAAGTGTGTTTTGATGGAGAGTGAATGGTCGCGGCGCAGGAGGGAGTTCGTGGGTGACTGTCCATCGTGAAGGCCAGTTTTTAGGGGAGGTCCTCGGGAACTGATTTTTTCCGATTTTTGACTGTGACGGCGTCCTTCAGCCACAACAAGATACCAAACTTCGGTACACCTCACATGCATCGAGCTCATCCTCTTCGCCTGATGGCGCATGGGACGTGATGCGCACCGTCGATGGTGGGCGTATAGGGCATCACTTGCTCAAAATCACGTTCGCCGTGAATCGAGGAACCTGGAGTCGAAGTCGAGGTCGGTTTTAGTTACGGATCACGTAGGAAACGCAGCCATGATGAGATTATAGGACTGCAAGGCGTAGTTGCAGACTCTATATTTTTCTTTCTCTCTGTCCTTTGCCATCATCCTGCTTGCAGCTTTTGTACAGGGGCGATCTACTCGAACATAGAAGAAGCCCGGCCGCGGTGAACAATAATGGTTTCCTGCATTCACAATCATATGCATGGGTGAAAAGCGTCTCCCATGCTTCATCAAAATAATAAGAAACTCGCTTTCTTGAAGATACTCATTTCCTTTGTGACATCCAGCTACGCCCAAGCCCCTTGGGATGCTGATCGTATTTTGATATCGCCTTACCGTCTTTGAGGTCTTCATTGGCCTCCGCACCTTGGTGCAAACAACTGAGGCAATGCGAACGTGTCGATGTGAGGCCATATTCCTGGCGTGATAATTGAGGAAGTCAAGTCGATACAGCTTCCCCGGAGCTATCTGAGGCCCCAGACACCTCTCCAGCTTGATCAACCAATCAGTGTTGACGCAATACAATCCGGTGCCAAGGCCGAGGGACGCTTCCGACGAGAAGCATCAACCTCGTCGACATCACGAAGCTTCATTCCGGACTTGCAGTCAAGATACTCATCCCACACGAGTCGTCACCATGTCGGCCAACATGATCTCGCGACGGATGCTGCAGGCGACTACGCGGCGACGTAAGAGCTTCGCCTTATCCAAACTTCCAACCAGGAACTGACAACATCGTAGTAGCCGCAGCCAATCCTTCCGTGTTCAGCAAGACTCCTCTGTCGAGACTGTCGGCTCCTGCAGCCATTGCGATGGGCCAGCATCTTCAACACAGGTGAGAAAGACCCTTTACTGCCGACTCAAACCCGTCTCGTCAACACCACAACTCCGCCGCATGCTATCTCCAACATCCGATACCTCCAGTGCTCTCCCAGTACCCGCGACATCACGATCAGCGAAGAAAGGGAATGAATGAAGAGCTGGAACCATGTCGCGCTTCATATCACATCCTTCCCGAGGCTGCCAGCGCAGTCTGCCTCGATCCATCCTGGACTCGACTCCATCCCCATCCAATTACTACACCTCCCCTAGTTACTCTCTGCAACTAATATCCCAAGCGCATACTAACATCACCCAGACAAGCAGCAACAACCAGCGTCTCCCAAACCGCCGGCGGTGAAATCCTCGCCGAACAACGCAGACACCGCCCCGTCTCCCCCCATCTCTCCATCTACCGCCCTCAGATAACATGGTACTTGTCATCTCTGAACCGTATCACCGGCGCCGCCCTCTCCGTCACCATCTACGCCTACGGTGCCGCATACCTCGTCGCCCCCCTGTTCGGCTGGCATCTCGAGAGCGCCGCCGTGGCCGCCAGTTTCGGTGCTCTTCCCATCTTCGCGAAGATTCTGGCCAAGACTCTCCTGGCCTTCCCGTTCACGTTTCACAGCTTGAACGGCATCCGACATTTGGTATGGGATACTGGTGCTGCCTTGACGAACAAGCAGGTCATTGTGACAGGGTGGACCACAGTTGGCCTTGCCACCGTGTCGGCTTTGGCTTTGGTATTCATGTAAACAGGTAGAGGGGTTGTGTGAATAAGGTCGAATACTTTAGAAGCAGGGGAAGATTACGAGTTTCAATGCATACAATATTCCCACTGCGAGGGCACACGTGTGTTGATTTGATTTCAGGACCTTTCGTGAGTGTTCAGAAAGGATACTGTACTGCCAATATTGAAACCGTCCAAGGCTCGGAGGGTCTGACATTGATCTGCTGTGTGATGCAACCGACTGATTGACGACCTGATCATACCAGACAATCGTCATGTTTATCCTACATGCCCGCTATGCGATATGCTAGCGTCCAATGTCCATCCGACGCCACGCTATGCTATGCCATGCTCATACAATAAGTGATACTTCATCATGCAGCAGCCCACGTAACCTGCACGAATGACTACACCCTCATCGATCAAGAACTCTACTCGTCAACGTAAGTTGCCCCGTCTCTCAGCTCATGCACAACGCTACCGCTTCTCCGGCGGTCATCGTCCACATACTTGGTCCCGTCTCGAAGCTCATGCACCACACTCTGAGATCTGCGATGCCGAGCGCTTCGGCGCGGTGTAGACGCCTTGCCCGCAAGTTTGACAGCTGAAGAAGCAATTGAGATCGTCGATCCTCTCCGGTCGCTGATGGTGGGCGCTGGCGGATTGGTCTCACCAGCTTCCGCTTCATCTTCCTCAAGCACATCACTCATTCCGCCGTCGTTGCCGAAGTTGTCCGTCATGTTGTCTCTCCTGCGAATGCTTGGTGGTGGCTTCGTCATCGGGCTCTCTAGATCATTGGTCTCAGTTACTGGCTGTGTAGTCATCTCGACATCGTCGTCCTCGATGACCTGTTCTTTCTCATCTCCAACATTATCCGCGATATTTGCCTTCCGTCGAGTCCTTGGCGTGGGCTTTCTCTTCGGGCTGGGCGAATTCGATACTCCGTTGACCATATGTGTTTCATCAAGGGCATTCTCAACGTCTGGTGGTCCAGAATGCTTCTCGCCTTCTGCAGCCCACCACGAAAGTAATGAGCTCACCGTGTCCGTCTCACCATGGCCATACTCGACAGGCGGTCCTGCCACAACGACCTTTGACCAGGAACTCGACGCATTAGCATCGGGCTGAAAAACCGCCCATGATGATGCTTCGTTGCTAACAAGCATGAACGTTCTATTCAAAGTCTGAACCTTGAAATTCCGTAGCAAGACCGCATCGCCACGTTGAGCCACTGGCAGCGCAGACTTCGAAGGTCGGAAGATCTGCACGGTAAAAGCAGACTGAACTGAGGAATCTGCCAGTCTAAGACTCGTGAAATAATCCTTGGGTCCTAGCTTTGATCGTTCCGGCCCGGACGAATGCTCAACGGAGACACCAATGACATCGACCAGCTGTCCGAAGTGCTCGTGAAGAGACTCTAAGTACGGATGGTAGGCCAAAGGCGTTGTGATGCCACTTCCTTCACGCTTGAGAGGCACATTGGACGTGTCCGTGACTCCGCGTTGACCGGCCAATATTGTTCCATATTCCTGCTCTTCGATTGGCTGCAGCGGCAAGGGCGATTTCGTGCCACCACGTGAAGACGAGGGAATGGGGCTGCTGAGCCGTGGCGTTGATGGGTTGATATTCTCCTTTCGCGTTGGGGAGGATGATGCGGCGCGTGGTGCCTTACGAGGAGTGAAGTAAGGGCTCGAGATGTTGTTCGACATGATTGACCTTCTGCTGGAGAGGCGTTGCGAAGTGCGACGGGCGGCTGACGTTTCAGGATGTACTTGAATATGGGTAGTTGCTGTAACAGGAGTCGCAACTTCTGCTTCTGCGTGCACCTGCGCGACTTCCTCAACCTCGACAGCGGCTGCATCTCGCTGGGTTGGAAGAGGTGAGGGCAGGCCCGGAGAGACAGCTCCTTGCTCCTGAACAGGCTCGTGGTCCTGATCACGGTCACGTGGATACTGCTCGTCCTGAGTGTCGTCCGGAGTAGGTAACTGGATGGCAGCAGTGTCTGTTAAGTGTGGACTGTGGGGTGTGGGGACGACATGAATGAGGTCGTCTTGAGATGAGATCGCCTGACGCTCTTCAGCAATGGCAATTGCCTCAATCTCTGTCGTATCAACCAGGACCACTTCATGGGCTGCGTCTTCAGCCTCAAGCATATCGACATCGACTGCTGCAAAGTGGGGTTCGGCCTGTTCTGGGCGCTCCTCGATGCTCCTGATTTCCTCTGTCTCTTTCATATCACCATGCACGACGTCCTCCCCAGTAGTATCCACATCCTGCATTGGACTATCGGCATCTGCAGACTGTAGCGTAGGCCTTGACTCTACGGCAGGTAGCAACTCTTCTTCTATGAGTTCGGAAATGCTTTCTTCAGCAGCTGGAAAGGTTTCCCGCTCATCAACATTGCCGTCCAGTGATGGGATGGGTGTATAGATCGCAGAGGACCGACGACTGCTTGTGCGAGAGGTCTTTGGCTTGTGCCATTTTTGTTGAAATGGGAATGGTGGAGCTGGATATGTACCCGGCGAGTTGCATTCGACCGCGCCGACAGTAATCTTCTCTTGCCAATTCGTGTCTGGACCATCACTAGCTGGGGGTCGATCTTGAGGTTGTTCATTTTGATCTTCAACAACATGAGCGGCAGGATCGGAAGCGAATTCCTCGGTAGAAGCTATCTGGAGAAATTGCTCCACCACATCTAACGGACTTATCAGTTGTGGCTGCATGTCCTGGACCATTGGAGATGCAAGGTTGGATGCGCTTTCCGGAGGTGGTCCATAAAGATCATCATCCTCAATTTCCACCGCTTCGGCAGCCTGTGCTGCAATGTTCAGGTGAGGTGGTTCTTCGCGTTCGTAAAGTTCTCGGTCGATTGCCAACTCTGTCGAAGATAGCCATTGCTCGGTGATCGTGCTTTCATACTGCTGGTCGTCAAGCCTAGCAGTAGGCTGAATGTCTGGCTCTTGCACTGGGACTGGCTGTTGAGCATGTGACGAGTCAGGCGAATTGTTTTCCATTGAAGCCTGCGCATCCGCCTGGGGTGATATCGGTGTTTCAGTCGTGGTGTCTTGCACGAAAACCACAGACTCATCAGATGGACTGGAGATGTGCGCAGTCGCAGTTTGCGGCGTCACCTCTTCGTCCTCCATGCGAATGTTGAGTCCCGCATTCCGTATAACCTCACTGGCCCCATGCTCAAAGATGTCCCGCCGAACTCCAATTATGTCGGCATCTCTCCCTGCCCCCGATGCGTCCAGTTGAGAGGCATCGTCTTGATAAAGTGGAAAATACCCAACATCAACACCAGAACGTTGAACCAGGGGAGAGACCAGAGGTAAACCTGGAGAGGCGAGAGGATGAAGTCGAGGTGTCGTAGTGGCGTCAGAAGCGGGTTCGCTGTACTCACTGACGTTGCCGGCGCTTTGTGTGCGAAGCATACCTAATCTCAATGGTGTCTGAGGTGGTCCCATGATCGCTGGCGGTGCTTCCAGCATCTGATCTGGCGGCTCGGTAGGGTGGGATAGACCTAGATCATCCACCTCTTGTTCCCCCACCAGACTGACGGTAACGGGTGTACGAGGAGGAAGAGAAGGTTCGGCCTCCGAGTGATAGAGAATGTCCTGCTGCGGATGGTCTTCGGCAGCATGACCGCCTTCAGCACCAAAGTGCTCCTTGGTACGACCACTTTCATCGACAAGAAGCTCTTCCTCAGCTCGGTGTTCCTGTATATCCTCATTCTCTGTGCTGACACTGAGGTTGTCTCCAACAACTATCGGGTCAGGTGTAGTATTTTGCTTTTCCGTGCGAGTTCCGGCCTCGGTGTCGTGTGCCTGAGCAGTATGGTATGCGTCCTCAGCAGATTCCTGCGTTGCAGAACCTTGCCTGTCGATTGCCGAACGCTCTGCAGCAGAAGCATCCGGCGCAACATGTTGGGAGGCTTCCTGCTCCTGTTCCACTGGATCTGAACTCAAATCGATCACTTGTCGTTCCGAGGGCTGATCTACTGGTGTGCTTGCTCCATTTGGCTCAGCCTCAGCAACAGGATCCTGCGGTGTGGGCTCATCTTCTGCGTCGACCAAGCTCCACGCCCCACTGTGCCTGGCAAACTTCGTCCGCTTGCGACCGCGACCATGAACATATCCGTCATCCTCTGCAGAAGGATCTTGGGGGACGTCGAAGAAACTGCCTCCGCTAGGGTTTCGAGCTGATTTCGAGGGTGTCAAAAGAGGCACTCGGATCGTGCTTGGTTCATGATGCACGACACCGTTCAACTGTGGTCCAACATCCTGTGCGCTGCGTAGTGCCTCAAATACCCCATTAGTGGGGGGCTGTTCAGTGTCGACGCTTGTATAATCCACGCCGGCAATCTGGTTGTCCTCCCGTGACACTCGTAGAACGACACGGTTCCGATATCGTAGGTCCCAGTCTATCTTTTTGCCCGGTGTTGATATGGTCTCTCCGGTTTCCTCCCACTCGCAGCCGACCAGTCTCAGACGAACCTCATCCCCAATACCGACTTTTGTTTTTGCAACTTCTCTGGCGCTTCCATCTCGAAATATCACCTTGACTTGACCTTTAGACTTCCGAGCCCGGATATCTGGGTCGGCCAACAAGAGCGCAAGTGTACCCGTAGAACTGGAGTAGGGCCAGACCAGGGCAACATTGGCCAGTATATAAGAGGAAGTATTCGTGAGACTTGGAGAGATGTCGGCAATTGAAATACGATCGGCGGGCTCGAACTGGAGCGGAGTTTCGTCTGGTTCTGGAGCGCTGGTCATGATGATGGCGGCCGAAAGGGGAGTTTGATATGCGTAGCAGCCATAACTCGTAGTAGGATTGCGAAGGTCATGCAGCCGTTTGGAACGGTTCTCATAGAATGTCTATGTCTTGTACTGTGATTGTGGCGCAAAGAATTAATGACAACCACTCAATGGAAACACACTGTCGACGCGATCAAACTGCGGAGAAAAACGGCAAGGGCGATTGCTGAAACGCGTCTCACAAGATGCGATAACTACCAGGTATGGTCTATCGCTACTGACACCACGTTTCACACACTTTGATTCATTTCCATTCTGACTGGGCTTGGACATACTAAAAGGTCAAGGCTATGTTATTGCTCAAAATTAATGCAGACCTGCCAACGAGCACCTTTGTCACTATGGTGAACACGACGAGTAAGTCTCGATGCCTCCTTGAACGCGTTGGATCACATTCCTGGGGATGCCTCCCGTCACCGCGGTGTGGCAGAATGTCAAAAAACCCATTCCAGGCTGCGTTCGAGCGTGATGTGGAAATCAACTCTTGTTATTGAGACATTTCGTTCTTTATTGAAAACTTCGCCTTATTCATTCCTTTTCAAACCATCGCTCTCTTCCTGCGCGCCTTTGTCGTGCAGTCCCACTCGTTCCATTCTCTCGAATTGTTCTCGCATTACAACTTCAAATCGTCCGGGACGAACAATCATTGTTGTATCCGAATCGTTCTGAGCGACGACCGCAGGCGGCAACCCTCCAATTCTATCATTCATTGTCGAAGAAGGAGAAGAAGAAGAAGAAGCACAATGCTTCCCACTCACTGCCTCTTGCTGCTGGTCAGCGCCTTGTTCCAAACCACATTCGCTACCTACCAATTAGTGCAAGACTACACCGGAGATGCCTTCTGGCAAGGATTTGAGTTCTTCACCGAAGCTGATCCCACCGATGGTCTTGTACAGTTTCAGTCATTGGAACAAGCAAACGCCACCGGATTGGCAGGGTTCATCGAGTCTGGAAACTCAACTATGGCGGTGTACATGGGGGTCGATACAGAAAAGGTCGCACCTGAAGGACGAGCCAGTATTCGCGTCTCGTCCTCTCAAACATTCCAGCATGCCTTAGTCATCGCTGATATTGCGCATATGCCGGGAGGAGTTTGTGGTAGCTGGCCAGCGTTCTGGATGGTCGGGGAAAATTGGCCGAACAATGGAGAGATCGATATCGTGGAGGGTGTCAACGACCAAATCACCAACAGCATGACATTGCACACCAATGAAGGTGTAGTAGTCAACAACGGCACCGACTTTTCAGGCGACCTATTCACGGCCAATTGCGACATCAGTGCTCCGGACCAAGCAGCAAATGCTGGATGTTCGATCGCCGATAATTCGAACTTGACCTTCGGAACCGAGTTCAATGCTGCAGGAGGTGGTGTTTATGCGACGGAATGGACGTCCGAATCGATCAAGATATGGTTCTTTCCCCGCGGCAGCTTTCCTGACGACATTGCCAGCAGCTCCCCGGACCCCGATGTCAACTGGGGAACCCCAAACTCCATCTTCCAAGGCTCATTTGATATGGATGATCACTTCAACAACCTATCAATCACCTTCGACACCACCTTTTGTGGACAGGTTAGTGTTTCGGTTTCATCACGGTGTTCGAGTCTAACACTCTTTTTAGTGGGCTGGGGCCATCTGGAATACTACTTCTTGCGCATCCCTTGCGCCAACCTGTGAGGACTATGTGGCCAATAACCCTCAGGATTTCACAGATGTATTTTGGGCTATCAATACGCTCCAGGTCTTTCAAGACAATGGGCAGGGATCAAATGTGACGAACACCACGGGTGCTGGCGTGACTGCTAATGTCAGACGCTCTCAACCGGCTGGGCCGAGATCAGGCTCACAAGTATTGCCCTTGTATTCTTGACCACAAAACAAGCATGTTTATCAGCAAGGTGTTGGGGTTGCATTTGAGGGCAGGTTCATTAGGAGGCAGTGGATTTGTTTACACGTGCTGCAAAAGGCGTTGGAAAGGCCGGCCATAATTCGGGCACACGAGGACAGACAAGATACTAGATCAATCAGGCCTTCATGTCACTTTAGATCAAACAATGTGGATGGTCGATCGCCATGCGGCATGGTCGGGAGGTTAGTGTGCTTAGCAGAAAACATGGCAAAATGGCACACCGGATGTTAGATCCAGTTTTCATTTGATTAGGCCCTGCTCACGCGCCACATGAAGCCTGATATCGACTACTTCGATTGGACCAGAGTATGCCCTAAGTAGAGTGATGCGGGCGATGTTGCTTTCTCGTATGTGCCGAAGACCGAGAGGATCGAAAATTGACATGGACTTCGTGGATTCAGTCTTGGCCTTTTGCAAATCGACGTCATCTCATAAGCCTAAACAAAGCCTAACAAGCCTAACACTGGTAGCACAATTAGGCTTCTGGAGCCTCAAGGCTGTCCAGTGCCCAGTCGAACCAAGCATTCTTCGCTCGCCGGGAGAAGATCAAGTCTTGTTTCTCTTCTTGACAGGTAAAGACACATGTACAGCATCATGACTCCATGGTCGTCTTCCCAGACATTGCCCCATCTTCAAGATGGTCTGAATACAATGAGAATTAATATATCGTCTCGCTGACAGGCTGACGCAATTAGTAGCCCGCTATCGGGCCTCATTGGTGCATCTGCCACCTGCTGCCACTGTCACTGACTAAGTCTGGCCACTAACATCTCCATTCTACCACTGGCACCGTCTTTTTTCAAGCCCTTCCCGCCCTCGCCGCCCCCCGCGACACTAATGGCGCCTGACCAAGCGAAAGAATAATATGTGGGAATGTACCCAGGAGTGCCAGGTCCTGCGTCATCACGCAGCCAGCTGCGACCTTGGACTTGCGCCCGTAACTTCGCTATCCCTCGCTATCCACACCCATCGCAACCAGAGAACCGCCCCGTTGATATCATCGCACATGTAACATTTCCGCATTTGCAAACTTTATATTCGATATACTTAACGGTACACAGGCGCACTCAGGCAAACACAGAAACCTTCTCACCCTACTTACCGTCTATCTTGTCCTACATCCCCATTTCCGCGGCCGTGCGTGTTTGTTTATTCAATCTCGTCATTACGCATGTGTAACTAGATACCTCTATTCACCTACCTGTCTGAGCCACAATGGCTACAACCAACGGCCATGATGGCCAAGCTACCTTCTACGACGCTGCGACCGGTTCCGCACGTGGGCCAACTCAGGAAGGCAGGGAAGAGACTGGAGAATGGGAAAAGGCTTCCACTATGCGACCCGACGATGAGGCCGCTGCTGCACCGAAACCTGGAGACGGCGCTCTACAACAAAAAGAACATGTTGGAAGAAGACCTGATATAAACGGAAAAGTCGAATCAAATCCTGAGAACTTTGATAAAATCGAGATCACAGAGGAGGATTGCTACGACGAGCTGGGCTATGCCTGGCCAAGTTGGAAGAAATGGACAGTCCTCACCGTCATTTTCCTAGTCCAACTGTCCATGAATTTCAACACCAGCTTGTACTCGAACGGGTTGAAGGGCATCTCCAAGGAATACGGCGTAAGCGCGCAGGGCGCCCGATGCGGTGCCATGATCTTCCTGGTTCTCTACGCTTTTGGCTGTGAACTTTGGGCACCATGGAGTGAGGAATTTGGTCGATGGCCTGTCCTACAGCTCTCCCTGACTTTGGTCAATATCTGGCAATTGCCTGTCGCTTTGGCTCCCAACTTTGCTTCACTTATGGTAGGCAGAGCTCTTGGAGGTTTGAGCTCTGCTGGAGGTTCCGTCACACTTGGAATGATTGGTAAGTGGTCTTCTCATTCCATGAACCTCCTATACTAATCTTTCGCAGCCGATTTGTGGGACGCAGACAACCAGCAGTACGCTGTGGCCTATGTGGTCTTTTCTTCCGTCTTTGGCTCAGTCCTTGGTCCCATTGTTGGTGGTTTCGTCGAACAGTATCTTGCATGGAGATGGACCATCTGGATTCAACTCATCTTTGGCGGTTTCGTCCAAATTTGTCATTTCTTCTTGGTTCCCGAAACTCGCACCACCATCCTCATGGACAAAATTGCGAAGAAGAGGCGTAAGGCTACCGGTGAAAACATCTGGGGTCCCAACGAACTCGAACCTTTCAGAGACCGTTTCTCGGTCAAGGAAGTCCTCATCACCTGGATGCGTCCATTCAAAATGTTCCTCACAGAACCTATCGTCCTCACCCTCTCACTTCTGAGCGGTTTCAGCGACGCTTTGATCTTCATGTTCATCCAGTCGTTCAGTCTCGTGTACGCACAGTGGGATTTCTCCGTCTACCAGGTTGGCCTCAGCTTCCTTCCTCTCGGTATTGGGTATTTCATTGCATGGTTTTCTTTCATTCCAGCCATTAGACGAAATATCCACGAACGAAAGACCAAGCCAGGCGACGACAGGGCTCAATACGAATCGCGTCTGTGGTGGCTGCTATGGACTGCACCTTGCTTGCCCATTGGCTTATTCGGCTTTGCTTGGACCATTCAAGGTCCGCCGATTCACTGGATCGGATCAATGATTTTCGCCGCCCTAGTCGGTATCGCCAACTACTCGATTTACATGGCCACCATCGACTACATGATTTGCGCCTATGGTCCATATTCTGCTTCCGCCACTGGAGGTAATGGCTGGTCCAGAGATTTCTTGGCTGGTGTTCTCACTATCCCTGCCACACCATTTTTCACAAGTATGTGAATATCACCTCCACATTTATGATCCTGACTAATTGCGTCTTAGATATCGGCGGTCGCTACCATCTCGATGATGCCGTTACCATCCTTGCTTGCATTGCGACTCTACTTGTTGTTGCAGTGTATGTGATCTACAAGTACGGACCGGTTTTGCGGAAGAGATCGCCCTTCGCCGAATCATTGGCTCATGCCAAACAAGACAATCCCGGTAGTCGTCGTCCGTCGTACCTGCGTGCGTACTCCGGCACAACCCAGTCTAGAAGAGCTTCGCGTGTGAACCTCGATACCGCCCGTGGACTAAATTCGCGCCGACAGAGTCAGGCTTCTTTCCACAGACAGGCCGCTTCGAGACAGAACTCATACCGACAGGAATAGAGTAGATGATCGTGTGAGCGGAATACAACAAATCGTATTGAATCATGTTGGCCTCTGATCAGGTCCACCCGGTACAAGCACGATGGTAGTGATTGAATATACCCATGAAAGAATTTAGGTGGTCTTTTTGTATCGAGGTTGGCATGGGTCGGCTGGTTGTAATATGGTTTGCTCAGAAGATATACGTGTACTACTAGCCACTGAGAGAGAATTTGATTTCAAGAGTACTAATGGATCCCGGTCCATTTGCGATGCATTCGGTCCAATATCAAATCTCAGCCACCATTCGTTCATGGGCCAACCTGGTCCTGAAATCATGCTTCCACTCCCCTACCTTGACTTGCTGCCGAGAGCGCTATGAGAAACACTACGCTGATAGACCTCAGTTTGTGTACGCAGCTATGCCAAGGCCCGGCTGACGAGGCTGCGGAGGGAAAGGGGTACCAGTCCGTTGCCTATCGATGGTCCTGTCACAGCCCTGCGACTCACTGTACGTTCTTATAGCCAAAATATGCGTGGAACGAACTCCTCTCGCTTGACTACAGGTCTGATCCGGAGCACGTGCCATAAATGAAAGTTGCAGTGAAGATATCCTCATTTCGCCAAGAGATTCGAGATAGAGACCTTACCTTTTTTCCATCAGCTGTCTTCGAAATGATGTATCTATCCATCTTCCAGCGACATGCCACCAGATCTAGCCTCACAAAAAGTGAGTTGCTCCACCTGAAAGAACAGTCTTGAAGAAGACTCATCTGAAAGAACAGTCTCGAAGAGGACTCATCTGAACAAAAAACAAGAGGACACTTACACGCCGACTACCTCCACCTCCCACCTCCAATCCCTGCGTCAGTCGAAAGTCAATAAATACAGACGTCAAGAGATGGATCCTGAGGAAGCCAAGATCTTACACACCATGACCCCCGAAGAGCAAACAGAGCTCGAGTCATGGTCAGCTGCAGAAGAGGACAGATACATCATGACAACGAACAGTCACAAGCAGTACTTGCGCACCGAAAAGGCGAAACCGTTGCAAGAATGCAAAGAGTTCGAGCGCGATTATCGCTACAAGGACAACATACCTATTACCGAAAGAAGAGCTTTGGAACGGATTTGTTTGGAGCGGACAAAGCAGTATATGGTGAGAAAGCCTTGTGGCTCCCGGCAATATGCTAGCTGACGATGTGTAGGCAGATGCCCTCGAAAGCTCCGCGCACTTCAAGGCCCTCTTGGAAGACAATATCGCTCTGGCTGATGAGATGGTCGACAGACAGCGAGCCCAAGCTGAAGAAGAGGGTGAACTGGCACGATGGTTTTTTGATCAGCTTGTCAAGGAAACGGAGCAGCGGATAGTGGCTGAAGTGGGGATTCTTGCACTTGCGAAGGACAAAGAAGAGGAAGTAAGCGACAGGCTTGACAATAATGTTTCGGAGTGAATAGCGCTCTGCAGGCAGTCCAAGCTGAGGATGGTTGTTGTCAAGTTTCTTTTTGCTTCAATGGTGCTCTGTACTAGGTACCACCTAGATTGACGGAATCGACGAGTGCAAAGAGACTTGGGCAAGTCGTCGTCAAGCAATTACAGGCGGCACTGCGAGATGATTGCGTGCAAGGGTATCTTGAAGTCATCTTTCAATTTTACTGATGCTACCTGGGCAGTATTCAAGTTCGGGATACGCCTTTCATGCTTGGCTGACGTCAATATCAAGCCCGATGTGCTTCGCCAGGGACTACTCCCTGGTCATATTTTCTGTCTCAGCAATTTGCTATCTCTCAATAATTACTTGCACCAAGTTCAGCGGCGCATTTCTCTTCGTGTTCGATCTCGACTCGACGGTTTCGGAAGAATCGCTTACGGAAGATGTTGAGGGCTTCAGGAGTAAGGTCGCTTGCTGCTCCTGGATAGGTCTTTGCGAATTCTGCTTCTCTGGAAGAGGAAGGTCAGGTCAAAATGAAGGAAGGCTGGTTAGATAAGCTCACAGGCGCTTGTTCATCTCCTCAACGTCCGCGTCCACATGATTTGCATCTTTGACCGGGTCCTGATTGCCTAGCACAAGTCAGTACGAAGGTTCCTGGTGTTGTTGCAAGGTCAACTGACCATGTACTTTAGCGGTCTGTTGGCCGCGATTGTCTGCCATGTTGACGTCTGATCCTTACTTGCAGCTCGTGACCCAGTTGTGCTTGAAGAAGTATCTCTGGATCGTTTGCAAGAGGTGGGAAGGGAAGCGAGGCAAGAATCATTCTGTAAGAGAGAAGAAGACAAAGAAATACCCAGGCATGTTTGCTGGCTTGGCAAATCAAAACATATCCAACTATCTGATCACAAAGAGGTAAGTGCAGTTGGGAGGCAGTCCTTTCTAGCGTTCGGAGCTGGACGTGTGCGATACCACACCTCTTCCCTCATGGACAGACAGATCACTGTTCTTTTGCAACTGCATTCCCAGCAGGAGCAATAGTTTCAAGCAGGTCCTCTACGACTGATCCATCTGTGTACAGTGAGCTGTGACGAATGGAATCCGCACGACCCAAGACACCACTATCCAAGAGACTGGACATATAACAAATCAGCGATCCGTATGAGCAGAGTAAGCACAATCCGTCGCCCGATGGAAGGCGTTTCACGACGCACTGCTACCGCCTTCCAACTGGGAAGAGTGAAATCGCAGCTACCTCGATTACTGTCACTTGGGTATTGAGAAAACATGGAAGAGCTTCACTGGCGAAAAGACGCCCGGAAACTCTCGAATATGGAAGACCGCGCATCTACTATTGAGGTCAAGTCACACCTCGAAAATTGAGAAGGCACTCCAATATGACAGTCCCCGGTCGCATTGAGCTGTTTGTTTTTATTTGTAGGCTAGTTCAACCGAATTTCTGTCGGAAGCTCTCACTTCTACCGTCTCCAGATCAGTCGACAAAGTGTCATTTTCTCCATATCTCCAGCTGATGCCACGCCTTTTCTTCCGTGACCCATGATAACGCATTACTCTCATCAACTGCGCTAGAGTTCGACCACCTCTCCAACCGGAAGCCTTACTGTGGGTGACGAGCCTCTCAAAGCTCTAGGAACATTCGTTCCTCGCAACTGTGATTCGTCGTTGTCGTCCTCAATCTCAAACGCCCTTTTCTTTGCTCAATTCAGAATCACCAGCGTCGTCCGATCTCCTTTGCAACCGTGCCCTCTCGTAGTCACCCATCATAGGCGCTCTTGGCATACCTCAATTGTCGCTTGAAATTGTCATCAACCGTGAAGTCCTCTTTGTGATGGTATATCGCACGGATCAGGTGGTGTTCGCCAAGTCTTGCCCGATGCCATGTCTCGATTTTGTCGAGGATGATTGCGTACGCTCTTTCCTTGCCTGGTCTGGTGCGCACACCTGGCGTCTTGGATACCCACTCGGCGAGGTCATCGATAATCACGGCTGAATCCAGTTCATGTAAGTCCACATCATCGATAGCATCGCTCCGAGTCAGATTTCGCACAGGTTTGGGCCGAGAGAAGAGTTGGACACTGACTTTTCCGTGGGGCATATAGTAACGTGTAATGACTCTGTCGCTGTCGCCAATGAAATGGAAGACGTATCTTGGTAGATCTGGACTGTCTCGATTGAGTTGCGCAAGTGTCATTGCTGATCCGACACGGGTAGGCTCATTGCCGACACATTCCTCGAGAACCAGGCGGATCGTCTCCTTGAGGAATCTTCGGACGTCGGCTTGCTTCAACAACTTCAAGCTTGCAGGCACATCGTATGTGTCATTTTCGTCTCTCTGGGCTTTCCGGAGTTTGTCTAGAAGTCGGACAAGCCATGCGGCTTGCTCGACGCGGTGAACCTGGAAGAGCACATCGAAGTCTCGGATGACGCTGGACTTCGTCGACTCTCCTTTGAACACTCTGAGATTGAACCGTTCCCCATATGATTCGAGACGTGCCCAATAGGAGTCAGCCTGACTGTTTGAGGCTACGTTTCGGGCAAGATAGACCACCTTCGGTTCGTTGTGGACGAAGCGGACTATAGGATAACGAGACCTAAAGCCAACTTAACTTGGAAGTGTGCGGATAGTCTCATATATCTTACTGAAAGCGGACACGGTTGACTTGAAGATAGTCTGGTGGCCAGAAACCAATTGGTGGTGGCATGATGAGCTGTGATTCGACCTCCCTTGTGCTGATATACTGAGTATGGGATTGCAGTCCAACTTGCAGTTGATACAGTTGAGACAGATCTGGCTCTTGACGTACTTGATGCAGAACCAAAGTGGTATCCACGCCCTAGGTATGCCGAGCGGGGATTGGTATTGGGAAGAAAGGAAAGGAGAGTTCCGCTGCTGCAGCCAGGTTGATATAAGGAGGAATGCCAAGCCTTTGATACTAGACCGATGGTGGCCGGAGTCGACGCTGAGCGGATGTGAGGATGTCTTGGAATTGTAGAGGGTCCTCGACCTCTCGTGATGCCTATTCCGGACCGGTGCCGATAGTGATTAATCACCTTGTTCGATATCGGATACTGAAATGCCAAGCCTGGGTGAGACAAGGCTGGGAGAAAAGGGGTCCATGTGGGAAGTTGAGAATCCCCCAATGGAAGTGGCGACAACAGTTCTTCAGTCGATAGGGCTTTGCGAATCGATACTCACGACGAATTGCACAAGTTGACTTGAGACTGATGATTGTCTGAGCACCTTTTTCCCTATCATCGGCCACTAGATTTCGCATGATGATATAAACGATGCCCTCGTCAACGGCTCGGGTGATCGCAAGGATTCTGCCTGTAACAGTATTCGGTTCCTGTTCTTTTGTCCAAGAGCCGTAAGGGCAAGATTGCTGAGAGTAGAGTCTTTGACTGCTTGTTCATCTCAGCTCTAAGCACATATAGCCTGCCGGTTCAACTACCCCTTAGTATCTGATCTCCTTCTACTCACACACATCATTCAACTTTTTCTGTAGTTCCTCAACTAGGAGATTAATTAGGAATGAAAAGTCTAAGTCTTAAAGCAGATAAGTTTTTATAGCGACTGGCACGTTTCGGCTGCCTCAGTGATTTTCTTCAGTTCGCGATCATCAGTTCCCAAAAGCAGTTGAATCGCTTTAGCCACGGGCACGTTCTGGCCGTCTTAGTGATTTTCTCCATTTCCCGGCAGGTTGGTGCTCAGCATTGTCACCAAGACAGCCAGAATGTGCGCGTGGCTAACGCGGTTTAATTGCTTTTGAAACTTGATGATTTCACCAGCTACTAGTAATATGGTTAAGACAGCTGAAACGTGCCCATGGCTATAAAAACTCATCTGCTTTAGGACTTAGAGATTTATAGGTTCACCAACTAGAATTCATGAAACATAAGCTGCAAAGCATTGGGCTCTTATATCCGTCGACACATTAACGTTCAGCCTTACTAATGCGACTACTATCTATCACGGGCCATACTTTTAACGGGACTTATCCGCAACTTCCGAAGGCTGCGGTGAACTGCATATATCTAGAACCTCTACCGCTGAAACAGCTGCTGATCCTGTGGAATCCATGTGCGATACTCGCATATCCGGGAAAAGGAGCCTCTAATAATGCAATCGGCGCAATCCCGGTCAAGGAAATTGTGGTGCGAAGCCCTATCAGTGTCCTACTGGCCCGCTGAAACATCTACTAACGGTTCTAGCATTGAGGTTCATGTCTACCATGATTCCTCCTTGCCGTTATGCCACCAGAACTTGCCACCATGCGTCTCCTTTGTGGCCTCATCAAACAGCTTAACCAGGTTATCACAGGACTCGTCAAGACTATCCGGAGCTTGCTCGAGCCCAAAAAGTCGAGCGCCCATGTTACCCATATCTGATGTAACCCAGCTGGCACTATCGTTAGTATTCCAAAACAGACAGAGACCAATGCCAGGACCAGCCTACCCAGGGTGGATTACAAAAGCGGTAAGCTTTTCTTCCTCTCGATCCATTGCCTTGGTGAACCAGTGCACCGCGGCCTTTGAAGGCCCGTACGCAGAGTTCGGAGCATCGGGTTGTTTCCTGTCCACTATCAGAATCCGAGTCAGGCTCTCGTGGACGCACAATACTTACTTTTGGAAATTGTCAGTCAGCCATTTCTATCAGTCATAACAAAATGGAAGACATACCGCCATACTTCCCGCGAGGGAGCCCACGGTCGCCCACTTCGGATGCGACGATTTCAGCAGCAGCGGCAGGGTCGCCTGGTACAACCGCACGACGCCGTACACATTCGGTTCGAAATGACCTTTCACATCATCGATACTAATCTCCGACACTTTGCCGAAGGCATACGCGGCGCCTGCATTTGCGATAACCAAGTCGATGTGCTCAATTCCCTGCTTCTCGAGCTCTTTGACCGCATCGATAGCATCTTTTTCCTTTGCGGCGTCGACCTTGACGACAATGAGATGACTGTTCGTCCCTCGTGGCAGGTCTGCCAGTTCCTTGGATGACGCATGCTCAGGATCACGATTTGCTGCAATGACTGTATAGTTTGGCCGGGCAAGGTACCGCTTGAGAAGACCTTTGCCTATACCTCTGTTGGCGCCGCTAATTAGAACGACGGTTGATGGCATCTTTGATGGCTTTATGCCAAATCGCGAGGAACTTTGACTTCGGAAGAACGAAGTTATATATGCTCAAGCATCTGCCAAGACGCTGGAAGGCTGAGGGTCCGTCGACGGGTCTATCCACAGTCACACCATGAACTACCATGTATGTCTGACCACGTATTGTCAGAAAACAGCCTTTCTGACGTCGACTTTCTGACATTGCCCTAGGTATACTGAACGCCCAGCGTCATGCTGGAACACCCCAGCGCAGTATTGGCGTTACAGCGCCGTCAGACATGGCTAGCACGGGCGCGCAGTTGGTCCGAATCGCTCCACAAATGGTCCCTCTTCTTAGTAAGCCAGTGACTCTTCGTCCGCACTTGGTCCGCCGCTCATCCGCCAACGACGTTGTTCGGCTGAACAACAAAACTGGAGAAGATAAGAGTAAGTATATTCTAGATTACAATGCTTCCTATAAAGCAAGGAAAGTATCTAGGTAATTGTTAGTAGTAGGAATCTAGGGTAGTACAAGGGTTCGCTAGCTACTATATTAGGAGATCCTTCGGTCTGATATCGAATTGGCTCACCCGTTTGACGTTCGCGGTCCTTCGTCCACATCAGCATGAGAATAAGCCCTTAGGTTTGGAGGCCGTCAGATATCGTATCCCACATGGTCCTCGACTATTATCGGGGCAACCGTTGCCTCCAACGTGGCGGCAATCCGGGTGAGTGCGTTGCTACTCAAAGCCAAAGTCTTCAACGCCCCAGTTCAGCACATCAAAGTGGAGGTTGAAACCCAGAGCCGCTGCAGGGTCACTTGCAAATGCATCGTCTGCTGACATCTCGTACGTCATGCTTGTATCCAACTGTGGTGTAGCTACCAGTACAACGGGCGGTTCCCCGACTGGCAAGACGGATGTCGTCGTTCGTGCAGCACTATCCGGGTTGACGATGTGTGAAACAGCGCAACGATCGAGGTATGACTTTGTGTTCGACTTGCCGCCCATGACAGCGTAGATCTCTGGTATCAGTGACTGCCAAATGGAGTTGGACGGCCTCACACCATCTTCGTCATCTTGGCCAAATCCCTGGCGATATGCGTCCAACAGCTTGGTGAGTACAGCCCGTCCATCTACCGCCATTGGTAACGACCTGTGACTTTGGGCCAGCTTCTGCAAGTCTTGAATCACAACTTCAATGTCGGACTGCATGCGGGTCGGAATGACGGGACGTTCGACCAGCAAGAACACGGCTATCGAGACCGCCGAGCAGAAGATTTGGTAACTTTGAGCAAACATCTTATGTGACCGCTGGAAACGGAATGCATTGGCCGCTCTTATAGCATGATACACCCCAAAAGCTCCCTCAACTGCCGATATACATTTCGACCAACAGTCATTGTGCTGCGGGGAGCGAAGGAAAGGCCGATACATCCTGATTCGTTGAACACATATAGAGTTGTGGAGCAGATGATGTTGCCATTGAAGATAATCAAAGGCGAGAGGTAGCGTCGGACTCACGAACGTGCAAGTTCCAGGAGAGACGCTGAAGTACCACGGAAACTGGTCCACGATGGCGAGGATCTCTGCATCGATGCCGGAGACCTCTTTGTAAGACGATAGAGGTGCTGCATTATTGGCGTAGAGTTTGTTCATCGTTTTGAAGAGGCGAGCTCGGAGAGTGTGCATCGACATGACTGTAGGCTCAGTCATTGGACGAGGGTGGATCGAGGATCGGGTAATGTCGCAATCTTCGCAGTTTTGTGGCATGGGCACTTCCGATAGATGAGCTTGTACCAACGGTTGTCTGTCAAGGCAGAGGGATTGGAACGTGTCCGAGGAACAGAGATCCCACCATAGTCGATGACGGAGCTCGGAAGACAGGTTGGTAGACGGTATCCTATCCTTGTCAAGGCCAATCGCCTGAGCACATCGGACAGTCTGACCCATTGCACTGGACAAGGTCAGCAAAGTACGAGTGAACTGGCGTATACTCACGAGTTCAAGGCTTCCACATTCTTGGTAGAATACCAGTACAGTTGTGACACGATGAAGACTTCAATCTGAGTCAAGCAAGGGCGTGATTCGTATTCGCCAGCATGAAGCGCCTGGCGAGAGAGCCGGAACCACAAATGGGCACTCTCCCTGATTTTGGAAGACTCGAATCCAACACTTTCACAGGTGCTTGGATCAATGAACAGTGCGCTCGGCGACATCATAGCGTACAGTAGGGCGAGAAAGATCAAATCGATTTCGTTGACCGGCATTACCCAGAGCGTTTCGTACTTTGAGCGAAAAGATGGACAGTGGATTGCTTGATAGATCCAGTTAATGCTCTCGAAGTAGTAGGATACGAACAAGTCGCATTGTGACCGTGGAGGGAGACAGTTTGCAAGGTAGACCCGCCACGCAGTCTTCTCGGAAGCCGAAAGCGTGGCGCCAAAAGATGAAAGTGTTGGTGCTAATGGTGGTTGCTGGCCTGCCATTAAGGACGCAAGGCTGTTATGTGCGTGGAGTGCTTCAATGGTTTTGCTTGCCAACGAGGTCGTATCAGAGACATCACCGGTGCCAGTCTGCGCGTATGTGGTGCCCACATACTCATTGCTAGGAGTAGGCACTGGAAAGATATCGGGCGCACTACTGACGTTGTTTGTGCGAAGGACGCCAGAAACGTCGTCCAAAGTGCTTGGTGTCAAAACATGTAATGGCGTTGGCGAGAGTGCCCTTGGTAAGGGCACCTTGTAATGGTTCACATTGGCCCGTGACACCTGAGAAGGCTGGCATTGAGCCTCACAGCGATGTCTGACGCAGCTCTTGCATGGGAAGACGCGGTCGCACCGAACTTTGCGCTCCCTGCAAGGGCGGCAGCTGAGGATTTTGTTGTTCGCTCCCATTTGATCCAAGCAGATAATGTGGATGAAGTCGAAAGTACGTGTCCGGCCGAGTGGATGAAGGACTCACACCACACCTCAGCATGACCGCGTGAACTCCTCATCAGTCTTGGAGGCGCGAGGTCCGATCATCTTGCATGGCAGGTAAATCACGGAGGGCGATAAGGAAAGAAGAAAGAAGATAGAAATGGGTCCGTGCTATCTCGGCAGAAGCATGCATGACCCCTGCTCTTATCTGCCTTGGTTTTAGCGTGTTCGAGATGGCGACATCCTCCGAAAACCTCGGTGTCTGTCGTCCGTGACTGGTGGACTTCTTTCTTCCATCGGAGGAACACACGTCGACGTTTGCACTTTCTGCTCCTCAGGCATAATCATCTCTAACATGCCGGCCATCGCTCAGTGGGACCTTTTGGCTCAAGGAGTAGCAGATTGGCGTGTCTAGACTCTCCGAAAGATGATCAGGGTCTCGCTTGCCGGGCGCCCGGATCCATTGACCCTCCGATTGAGATCATCTCGCGACCACAGAAGAAGAGCTTATCTTATGGCAAGTTCGGTACACTTCCACCAGCCATGATAAGGACCATCGATGGAAGTTGTCGCTGTGAGCTGCAGCAAGCCTCAGTGGCTTGACGTCAATGGGGTTCGAACATGGACGTCCATAGTTCACCAGCCGTCGCCATCAATTCATCTGACACCAGATGGAATCGAGGAGAACGACACTGCTGCCCATGATGCTCAAGTCTACGCCTTCTTCAGCCACCACTACGACTACTGGAAAGACAGACTGGGGCTTCCAAAAACAGCGTGGAATCAGTGCCACTGGGGCGAAAATATCACTTTGAAGACCGACATTTACCTGGACGAGAACCAGATCAGTCTAGGCGATGTGTGGAAAGTCGGCAGCGACGTTCTACTACAGGTCTGCGGTGCTCGAGTTCCGTGTCACAAATTGTCTTGGAGATGCGGCCAGAAGGATATGTGGTTGAAAGAACTTGCGGACTCAGGCTATTGTGGTGTATACTTGAAGATCCTCACTGGTGGGCTTATTCAGCCTGGTGATCGGGCGCAAATTCTGGTCAAGCAGACGGACACGGCTACTGTCGCTTCAATCACGAAGCTGGCGTTCGACAGCTCCCTCAAGACAAAAGACACGCTCAATCTGCTGGTCAAAGACCCGAACCTGCTTTCAATGAACAAGCTTCTCTTCTTGCGTAAATTGTCAGTCATGCACGACCAGGAGCTCGTCAACAAGAACCATTGGGACGGCTGGAGGGCATTTCGTCCTACCAAAATCGTGCAAGAGTGTGAAGATATCCTCTCCTTTTACCTTGAACCAGGCGACAAGCAGCCCCTCGGCACGTATCTTCCCGGCCAATTTCTCACAGTCCGACTTCCAAATGGCATAATCAGGACATGGTCAATCTCAGACTTTCCAGACCATAACAACCCAGAATACTACAGGCTGAGCATCAAGAAGGCCTCAGAAAACGGAGCCTCACACTGGATGCATACGAAATGCACCACGTCGACGAAGTTGTTCGTCCGGTCACCCATGGGCCTCTTCCACCTCGACTGGTCGCCGTTATTTCCAGGCCGCCAAATCTACATGTCCGCTGGTATTGGCATAACGCCTACGATCACCATGTTGAAGGCGCATCTCAAACACTACGCCATGTGCAAGGCTCCTGCAATCTGGGTGCACGTGGGTCGCGATGAAGCGTCCTTTCCTCGAAATCTTCTGAATGAGGTGCTCGACCTGTACGACAACGAGGTCAGACGGACTGAACTACTTAGAATCTACATCTTTTATACCAGAGGTGTTTCGCCCCTACAGCCAGCGAACGTGGACGAGTGTGTACAAACCCTCCAAGGTCGACCCACGGCGTCCTTCCTCTCAGATGTGATTTCACCATCCTACAAGATCAACCCTCTCAACATTACGCCGATCGAGATACCGGGCCACATATCCACATTCTACATGTGCGGAACCAGCTCCTTCGAAAAGGACATGAAGTCGCACTTGAGTGGGCTTAAAGTCCCAGAAGGACTGATTCGCAGCGAAGCTTTCACCTCTTCGGTATTGTCGTCTTCTTCTACCGTCAGCCTCGAAAAAGCGACAGTCAAGTTCGCCCTGTCAGATGTCACTGCAGAATGGTCATCGAAGCCGCTTCAAGATCAACTCACGCCGTGCACTCTGCTTGAGCTGGCGGAAGCAACTGGGCTCAAGCCTACTTTTGGTTGTCGAGCTGGGGTGTGTGGCGCGTGTAAGGTCAAGGTACTCAGTGGGTCAGTTTCAGGTGGTATTCAAGGTGATGGAGGTGTCTTGATATGCTCAGCGCGGCCGGCGAGTCAAGTCGTAGAAATCGAGGTGTAGATTCCTTAAGACTCAAGGATATTTATCTATAGCTGTCCAGCATGGTCTAGAGACTAATGGTAGAAGTTCTGGGACGAGCCGGGGCGTTGCTGCTCAACAATAATCATACAAGGAATATAATGGCGTATGACATCGACACAGCCTCATTGCATACGTTCGAGACGCCCTGTAGTATTCCTCCTCAGCCGCTTCCCAACCACCTCTCCTCAGCATATAACATACCAGCTAATCTCTCCGTGCCCCAAAAGTCAACCTATACAAACTCTACTCTTCATCTTTCGACTTCTCACTCATCTTCTCCCCATCAAAGACATGCGAGACTTCAACCGGAACGTTTTCAGCACGGAGAATGTCTGGGCTGTTGATAAACTCCTCACACATCGTACGGGCATCATCGCGCGTTACGGACGCAATAAATTCTTTCTGTGCAGCGACGGGAAAAGCGTATCCCAGCGCCAGAGCGACCGCGAATGCTTGAGAAGTGTCAGCTTCGAGCCCCAAAAAGATGACGTTCGACTTACCGAGAAGAAAGCTCGTGATCGAGCATAGATAGTAGATGTGTTTGGCGCCACTGCTGACGGTGATAGAAGGTCTGACGACGTTCAAGAAACCTGGGATATGGGGCATTACACCGACGAGCCACGCAACCACAGCTCGCCAATTGACGCCATAGTTGTACCAATAGATTGATTGGCCCTTGAGCCTGTAAAGGTCCTGCACCTTGATCCGCTCCTTTTGCAAGAGGAAGTAGTAGGCAATAATGATGCCGAGGAAAGGCTGTAGGAAGATGGTGTACGCCGACATCACCGAGATGAAGATGATCGCCCCAGATACCAGGTACCATGGGTTGATCACCAGGCCCAGAATGGCAGTGAGGTATTGTCCCCGTCGAATGTTGATCCATTTTGGCAGCAGCGTCGACATGTCTGTGCCACCGGAGAAGGAGTTGCCAACCACGTTCAGTGCAAGTTGGCAGACGAGGAACGCGAACGCTGCAAACCAAACGGCGGCACGGGTCGCATGTGTTGGATTGGCATCTTGGATCGCAACGAGCAACTCCACAACGCTCCACAGCTGTGTGCCAAACCGATCCTGAGTACCAGCGACAGTAATGATGCCAAAGACGTTTGAAAGCCAAGCAGGCAGGAAGCCCACAAATTGTGACCATTGACCGGAGGCCGGAGTTGATGCGAATCGAGCATAGTCACAAACGCTCAGAGTCCCGGAAGTGATGCTTGACATCGTGACTGTAATGCCGTACATAAACATCCAGCCTAGATTTCCGCCAGCAAGTGCAGCATCATTGCTAAGTACCGAGCCGAATTTGTCCATGGTGGCACAGGCCCAGATGAGGAGGATCAGTTGGACGAGAAAGCCTACAGCGGTGCTTGTGGTGACTAGCCATCGAAGCTGCTTCGGAGACAGAAGTAGAAAAGGCAATTGGATGACGAAATACACGATGAAGCCGACAAATTGGGGCAATGTCATGCCTGTGGACGTTGGGAAGGTTGCCGGAATATTGTCGATGCTAGGCCACATTGCTCGGAGGCAAACATAGGTCATGAGTCCACCTTGCCAGCTTTGAACACCGAACCAGATGATAGAGAGAAGGATTCTGTTCAGCACAACAAAAATCGAGCCGTTAAAACCTGATCAGGTGTCAGCTACAGATCTTCACCTCCTGAGTACGAACAGCATACCCCATGCGATCCTCATAGAGACTGGGAAGGCGATATTATAGTATAGACCTGGGAAGCTGGCAACCACGACGATGGCAGCTGCAAAAGCATGTCCAATCAAGGTAGCCAGAAAGCTTTGCCACCAGTTTAATCCAACGGCAAGGAGTGAGGCGCCGAGTTGCCAATTGCTCATGTTGAATGCGACGGTACCCCATAAGGACAGGAAGATGAGCCAAGCTATGGAGAATCAGCGATTGAAGCTTGAATGGCAAAGACGAGCTTACTCCAGCTGCGCCTTTCGCGCTCGATGGGCTTGACATCATGATTGATGAGATAGGTAGGAGGAAGCTCCTCTGGGTTATGGGGGACTTCGAGTCGGCGAAGGAGAGTCATTGTGGGTTTTTGAGGAGGTCTTTCGATGAACCAGAAGCTTCTGTCCAGACTCCTGTGGTCTGAAGATGATGAGGATATTCCAATGTCTTCGTGGAGACTGCTGACAAGATATACTCTTCCAGAAGTACGTCTCTTATCTTCGGTCCCTGGGCCTGCATACGTGACAGATAACGATTGAAGCCATGTCTGATCTAGATCATGAATCTCTCACAGCTTATCAGCTGTCTCCGGAGGAGACTTTGCGTGGTGGCCGAGATGTTCGGAGGAGGAAAGTTGGATTTTGTGGGGTTCCACCAACGAGAGGAACGGCTCGGACGAGACCCTGCAGCTCCTCCTATCACTTCGACACATCCGACCACATCCCCACCCACTGTCGAGGCCATGTGCCTTTGACATTTTTTAAGTACCAGCGGATGCGACGTCTTTGATTACTTCGCAGACGCTTATTGGTCTAGAGGAAGGACAACAACGCCTGGGCATTTGAAGTCAATGATGCCGCCTGCAGGTACCGAATAGGCCAGGCTGAGCTTGGACATCATGCGCAACACCATCGTGGAACTTGGAGTAACCTCGAAAATATCAGCCTCCTGCAGTGCTTCATCTCATACCTTTTCAAGCCTCTGAGATAGCCGCAGATAATTACGAGGCAGCTCGAGCAAAGTTGCAGGCCAAAATGGTGTCCGAGGCAAGATACTATCGTATCGGCGTGGATGTTGGTAGGCATACATGTCCTCAGTCCAATTGGTCTTGCATTAACTCTCCCAGGTGGTACAAACACCGACGCAGCTCTTGCGGCCGCCATCTTTCACAATGGTGATCAACAACCCAAGGTCAAAATCGTCGGTAGCAGCAAAAGCCCAACCACATCAGATGTTACCACTGGTATCTGCTCAGCAATCCGAGACCTGTTAAGCACGAACAGGATCGCGGCGCCAAACATTTTGTCCATCAACATCGGAACCACCCATTTTGTCAATGCCATTGTCCAAGCCGATCAGCAAAAGCTGGCACCAGTTGCGGTCTTGAGACTCTGCGGTCCATTTTGTCGCGAGGTTCCTCCTTTTGTCGACTTTCCGAGGGAGCTCAGAGAGGTCGTTGAAGGTCCGGTTGGGTATTTGAATGGTGGACTTGAAAGTATGTAACGTCCGTTTGTCATTGACCATCAAATCTCACCTGCTTGTCAGTTGACGGACGTGTCATCGCAAGCATTGACGAAGACGAAGTCATCCGACACGCGCACGCCATTGTTGACGCCGGGATCTCAACGGTCGTCGTCAACGGTGTCTTTTCACCTCTCGATTCTTCTCCAGTAACCCAAGAAGAACAAGTTCGGAAGATTCTCGAACGCCACATCCCAAGGGTCGACGTCGTATGCTCACGAGACATTGGTCGAGTTGGTTATCTCGAAAGAGAGAACGCTGCGATATTGAACGCCGCTATCCTTGCGTTTGGTCGAATGACCATATCGCGCTTCCAGAAGGCTGTAGAGGATCTGGGTATTGATTGCCCACTATATCTCACTCAAAATGACGGAACAGTCTTGGATGCACATTCAGCCTCGCTGGCACCGATCAGAACGTTCTCATCCGGAGCCACAGTAAGTCAGACCGCTACCGCAGAATGAACATTGCTGAAGCCCCCCAGAACTCGCTGATTGGGGCCTTGTTCTTGTCCGGAATCCATGAGGCGGGTTCCGAGATAAACTTGAAGGAATGTCAAGTCATCATGGTGAGTCGCATGCAAGAACGTACTCCGCCATAACTCATGATTCGTTCAGTGTGACATAGGAGGGACCACTTCTGACTTTGCCGCCCTGTCTCTGTCCGGTCTTCCACGGGAGTCGCCAGCTACAGTCAAAATTGGTGGAGTCCGTACTGCCTTCAGCATGCCCGAAGTGCTTAGCATCGGTCTTGGTGGTGGATCCGAAGTACGAGAGGACGAAGACGGCATTGTCAAGGTCGGCCCAATATCTGTTGGTCATCTGCTGTTGGAAAAGAGCAGATGCTTTGGTGGCTCGACTCTAACCGCCACGGACGTTGTGGTTGCGTCAGGAGGAAAGGATAAAGTCACCATGGCGGTCGCGAAAGTTCAAGATGTCTCAGACGAAGTGGTTCAGAAAGGTCGTCAGAACATCAGGAAGCAGCTTGAACGCGGAGTGGACATCATGAAGACATCAGACGCTCCCGTCGTTCTGCTTCTGGTGGGAGGAGGATCGATCATTCTGATGGATGATCTAGAGAATGTGGAGAAATGCATCAGGCCACAGTTCTCCGATGTTGCAAACGCTGTCGGTGCTGCGATAGCAAAGGTAAGCAGAGGGTTCTAAGACCCCAATTTATGCTAACCCACTTCCAAGATCTCTGGAGACGTTGACAGCATAATTATACCTGGTCAGAAGACTCATGAGGAGATCAAGAACAACATCAGCGCAAGAGCAACAGATATTGCGATCACAAACGGCGCACAACCAGGCACGGTAGAGATATTGGACCTTGATCTCATTCCGATTCAGTACACCAACAACGGGGCAGTAAGGGCGATCGCCAAAGGCGTAATACCATCCATGCAGCTCACTCCCATATTGGCATGCTGACATATTCAGGTTGGCGACCTCGGCTGGGACAGAAGACCACGGCGATCACTGGTGTTGACTTCCATCGAGGCCGAGGGTAACGTCAATCGTGCAACGCGGCCAAGTATGAACAAATCGATTTCGATCCTGCCGGCCGTTGACATCGACATTGTGTCATACAGACCAAAAGTATCGAAAGCGACCGGAGAGTGGTTTATATCACCTACTGATCTTCTCTTCATCTTGGAGGGCACAGGCATTCTTGGAACCGGTTTGTTCGATCTTCGCTTGTCTCGAAGAAGTACTGACAGCTCTACCGGTGGTGGTGGGTCGGGCTATACTGCGTACCTCAACTCGCTTTATGCTCTGTCGCTAGCCGAACAAGGCAAGATGCGAGTCATCGATCCTGGCGTCCTCAAGCGGAACGACAAAATAGCAACAGTCGCTTACGTCGGTGCACCCTCGGTCTCGAACGAGCGCCTGATTGGTGACAGCGAGCTGCAATATGCGACCGAAGCTTTGGCGAAGTACGAACAAATTGATGGCTGGGCAGGCGTGCTTGCCGCAGAAATTGGTGGTTCGAACGGAATGCGCACATTCACTATGGCAGCTGCGATGGACATACCCGTCATTGATGCTGATACGATGGGCCGTGCTTTCCCGAGAGTTGACATGTCGCTGCCATACGTATTCAAAGCTGCAACGCCTGTACCGTCAGTGGTGAGTGAGGCAAGAGGAAATGTGCAAATCGTCGCACAGGCGGAAAACGCGACAAGGTTTGAGAATATGGTAAGCAGGCGAAACGTTTATCTCGCGTCAGGCTGTTGGACTAACGAGCGATAGGTCAGAACCATCAGCGTGGAATTAGGGCTGTATACGGCCATGGCCCTGATATTGTCTGGCTCCGTCATCGAGAAGTATTGCTGTCACCGCTCACTCTCGGCTTCCTGGTTCATTGGGAGGGCAGTTTGCATGGCGCGGGCTCTGAAGATGGACGTCGTTGAGTCGTTGGTATGGCATATCAAGAATGAGTTTGACGTGACGCTGAATCTAAGATAGGTCGCAGACATCCCTGGTGGGAGGAAACTGTATTCCGGCAAGATCATTAACGTGTCGAGGACTGTCAAAGGTGGTTGGACGATCGGCACCGCCACACTAAGTCTCGACGACGAGGTGAAAGCTGCCATGTCTGAGGATAGAACAAGCTCGATGGACGAGAGGCCACTCGTCCTCCAGTACCAGGTAGGGTTTGTTGTTAATGCGATGATGCGCTTCGAAACTGATGTTTTGACAGAACGAGTTTCTCTACGCCGCACTGCAAAATCAGGACTCCTCTCTGGAAGCCCTGTGTACGACTCCTGATCTCATTACCGTACTTGACCAGAATGGGACGGCTATTGGAACGCATGAACTGCGGTACGGACTGCGGGTCAGTGTGATCTCTATGCCGGCAGACCCGTTATGGAAGACGCCTGAGGGAATGAAAGCCGGCGGCCCAGATGCTTTTGGGTAAGTCTTTCGTCCTTGGTTGTTTTCGGACCGCGGACAACTATAATGAGTCACCAGCTGATTCCATTCCAGTATCGACATGGAGTACAAAGAATATGGCGCAGAATGGAAGAAGCCTAGATCTGTCATTGCGGAGTTCGGGGTGTGATACATCATCACCTGAGGTGTTTCCGTACACTGAGAGGCAAACGTGCACTCTTTCGAAGTTGAAGCCTTGCAGATTATGAATCAAAGTTCTGAGTACACTTGGGCGTCCTTCGCACGAAATTCTTGACCAAAGTGAACGATAGAGAACGCGGTTGAGGTAAACATAGACCTAAAGGCGGCGATGGACTGGGGTTTTTGGGTTTAGATGGGCACCAGGATAAGATGCGTAGATAAGATTAGATTTGTCAAAAAAAGTCACTTTTTCATGGACGAGAAGCGCAACAACCACATAACCACCTAGTTCTCGGACTGAACAAACCATTAGTGAGCTGAATCGGTCCAAGATGTCACAAACGAAAGACGAGAAGCCTGTCCATACCATCATCCTTGACGCCTCGCCCCTCCTCCTCAACACTCCCGGCATCTCCACCCTCCTAGCCAACGGCCATGTACTGGTGACGACCCCTTCAGTCCTAGCAGAAATTCGGACCGAAGAAGCAAGAACAAGAGTAGAAACGCTCTACAAGCCGTTTCTCGAGATCAGAACGCCGAAGCCAGAAAGTGTCAAACACGTCAGAGAATTTGCCAGGAGAACTGGCGACGGCGCAGTACTCAGTCAGACTGATTTCGAAGTGATCGCATTGGCCTACGACATCGAGTGTGAGCGGAATGGCGGCGATTGGAGGTTACGTGCGGCGCCTGGCCAGAAGAGACTGAACGGTAGTCCGCCTCAGACGACAAGGGAGCAAAGCGATGGAACGATCGACTCAAAACCCGAAGATGCCACCACAGAGTCCGCCGTAGGAGGGGAGAAGGACGCAGACGACGCCCAGGCTTCCCAAAATGAACAGGGGCTATCAGAAGACCTAGCGAGTCAGGTACAGTCCCTGGATCTACAAGATGAAATGACGGCGCAGCAACAACCGGAGCAAGAAATTGAGACGGTTGAGGATGGCGATGCGGAGCAAGACGGCGAGACTCGAGCAGATGAGGAAGAGCCTGACTCAGATGAGGGTTGGATCACCCCATCCAACATCAAGAAGAAACAAGCGAAAGACGAGGCCGCAAACACCAAGTCGAAATCGGAAACAAAACATCTACAAGTGGCCACAATGACAGGCGATTTTGCCCTGCAGAACGTTCTCCTCCAAATGAACTTGAACCTGCTGTCAAGCAGGACTTGCCAGAAAATATCACAAATCAAGCAGTTCGTCCTTCGATGTCACGGCTGCTTTGGAACAACCAAGGAGATGAACAAGCAATTCTGTCCTCGTTGTGGACAACCGACTTTAACCCGGGTTAGCTGCACGACTAACGACAAGGGCGAGGTCAAACTCCATCTCAAGGCAAACATGCAATGGAACAACAGGGGAAATGTGTACTCGATACCGAAAGCCATCCACGGAAGTGCGAACCAGAAATACAAAGGCCCCAGACAGGGTGGGGGTCAAGGTGGTTGGGGCGATGGCCTGATATTGGCGGAAGACCAGAAGGAGTATATCAGAGCCATGACGAACATGAAGCGGACCAAGGAGAAGGATCTGATGGATGAAGACACCCTGCCCAGCATCCTCACGGGAGACAGAGGACAGAACTCGGGAAGGATGAGAATCGGAGGAGGCCGCACTATCAATTCGAGGAAGCGGTAGTGTTGTAGAATTCGAACTAATGAAGCGATGACCGACCACAATTCTGCTTGGGTATTCCTGTAAATGCTTTTGACGCCAGACACCTTGACTCCATCCATTCCTCTATCGAATCATTTCTTCTCTTCTTCTGCAACCGGATTAGTGCTTGCCCGGGTACAGTTGGATATGGTCGCACATACTTTGTTGCGTGAGGAGGAGACCGTATCGCTTTTTGAGCGTCACTCGGTGCCTGTAAATGTATGAGTATACTCCTTTTTCCCCAAATGAGACAGCCGTACCTCGAGTACTTGTCGTCTGGTGAAAATCTTGCAGGATGTGCTGATTTGGTGACCTCTCCGTCAAGCACTTTCTTCAGTGTGTAGACTCTTTTCCCCGACGGGTCTTCAATGTACATGAGATGCATCTTGTTGGTGTCGTTTCGAAGCCGAGTGCCCTTTAGCTGTTATGTATGTCGCCTGGACGTCTGCGCGATCTCTTGGTGCTTGTACAGAAAATAGAATTGGCGCTGAAATTGCAAAGATGTGGTTGGAGAAAATCCACTCGGCAAGATCGACTGCGATTAAAAAAATTTCCCCGCGAGCCCGAGACCAAAGCAAGACCTTCAATCAGACCAGCCAACAGATGCTCGTTCCACACTGACCTAATTTGCTTCTGACCTTCTTCAAGCAAAGCAACAGACACCTCGAATCGCTTCATGCGTGGTCTGACTCTTTCATTCTTTCCCCCAGTACGGCTGGTTCGTGTCTTGAGGGCCCTTTCCTGCTCATAACCGAACGACTCACACCTCATCCCGACCTGCGGCGTACCGGAAGTCAAGTAAGTGTGCCCAACACGCTGAGTCACGTCCCTGTATTCTCCGTGATGATCCTTTTCTTGCCTAGGAGGAAGCACTTTGATTTCTAGCTTCCTCGGATGCGGGCCTTTGTATTAGACTACAACGGTATCTGAGAGATACAACAATATCTACCTTTGACTGAGTTGCGCGGTTCTCACGAGACACCAAGGCTGACCCAAGCATTGCACAGATATAATGCCCCAAGCATCATGGCTTCTCCTGCGACACCGGTGAAGAATCAGGCTGGATCAGCATCGGCGACGAAGGCCGACACATCCAAAACACAACGAAGACCACGCCGACCAAATTACAATCACATCCATCGAAATTTCTTACCTGTCGAAGTCCACCCTTTACCCGTTCTCATCCCCCACAACCCGTTGTCCCTGGTTGCAATTGCACTCTCCTACCTCGCTCAAATTCTTGCTCCGCCAACACGACCTACATACAAGGGTTATTTCTCGTCAGCAACTTCATCCATACATGTCACAGATGCAGAAACGGTACGAAAGCTATGGGAGATGGGCTTCTTTGGAAGGGGTAATCTCAGTCGAAGTGAACCAACATGGCTAGACAATCGAAAGAAAAAGGGGTTGACTGCAGAAGAAAACACAGCTCAACGTCGACAAGCGAGAAGACAACAGAAGCAGGAACGGGCGCGGAAAGAACAGGAAGAGATAGAACAAAAACTTGCAGAAGAAACTCAATCGAATGGTACTTCGAATGGGCATCTGAATGGTGTGCTGTCAGAGAACGTTTTGAAAACAAATTCCAAGGATTTGAATGACATCGCTAGTGTTTTGGAGTCTGCCAGCGGTACTGCAAGCCCTCAAGACGAGGAAAACAAAGAGAACACTTCGTTGCATGAGTTCCACGAGTGGAAGAAAGCCATCGAAGCAAATGGGATTCCGACACCACCTCCAACATCGACGTCTTCGGATGCTAGTCACGCCGAAGGTCAACCGGTGAAAAGGTTGCAACGGACCAAAACCGTACGCTTCTCACCTACAATCGAGGCGAGAGAGTTCGATCTCAGCTCCCCGATAATCTCGCCAATCAAAAGTCCGGGGTCAGCACCACTGGACATCGCGAAGCCTGAAGAGCCGCAGGTGCAGGAGAACCAAGAACACTTGAATCTGTCACTCGAGGAGGCGTTCTTCTTGTCATATGGCCTGGGTGTGCTCGACGTCTACTGTGACGACAGTGATGCGGTCCTACCACCATCTTCTCTGCTATCGCTGTTCCGTCGACACTCATTTTATCCTCCGAGGAGTCTATCGGTGTCGGCCGAGCCTGACGACCCCTTCATGCTATCATATGTTGTCTACCACCACTACCGCTCGCTGGGCTGGGTTGTTCGATCCGGAGTCAAATTCTCCACGGATTACTTACTCTACAATCGAGGACCTGCATTCTCCCACGCCGAATTTGCCATTGTCATTGTCCCGTCTTACACTCACCCTCACTGGACGGATACGCCAGAGAACAGGAAACTGGTTGAAAACAGTGCCAAGAAGACATGGTGGTGGCTTCATGGCATCAATCGTGTACAGGCACAGGTGCTGAAACAGCTGGTCCTGTGTTATGTGGATATACCACCTCCACTCGCGGGCGAAGAGAAGGGGAAGGATATTGATATTGGACTGCAGCTTTCGCGGTATAAGATCCGAGATGTAAATGTTCGCCGCTGGACACCGAACAGAAGTCGGGATTGAGTGCGAGGAAGCAGCCTTCCTATGAGTGCTGGTTCACTACGATGATCATGAAATAACCACAATTAATTCACGTCGCAGAAGCATTGTGGCTGTTCTTCTTCGTGATCCAGCTCGTCCATCCATCTTCCCTGTATTCGTTCACCGTAGAAGCGCTCTCCACATGTTAGATCCCTATCTGATCGGATCTCCCACGTGAAGAATGCGTGGGCTCACATGTGTAAAACTAGTAGTAGTTTGGTATCATGAAGAATGCTAAGCCGCCCGTGTACGATGTCACCACGACCATGACAGCCTTCATTTGCATCATCTCATGCTGATGATGACATCGCCTACCCTTCGCCTTTTACACATTGTGGAAGAGTCAACGGGGTGTCTAGAATTGTACCATCCGCACTTTTACGGTCTACGCGCACCCTCCGGTTCTCCATGACCGGATCGCTACCCAATCGGGAAGGCAACCTTGCTCTATCAGGAAATCACGGTAGTTTTCATCTCACAATGACCGATTGACTCGGGAGCTATACGCCGGATGACGGCGAATGACCGACTAACTTAGCTTGGCATTGTTCAAAGCTACTAGTGTCTCCGTACTTAGTTCAGGCGTCGAGTATCTATGCAGGGAGAATAGCTGGGGTTCATGAAAGCTCAGTTATGGGGCATGAGATCATATACGAAGTAAACAAAAGACAGCAATACCGTATCTCAACGACAACCAACCGCGTATACCACCAGTCCTTAAGAGATGCAGTCTCTCCACAGCATTCGTGCCGAACACCGTCGGTACTTCTACGAAACCCCTCGCGCAAGAATGGTAGGGCCGAGTACTCTATGCAGTATCAAGCCAACGAGGACTTCTATTGACCCTGGTCCTCGCTAATCACCTTGACGCAAGAGCAGCGCGCTCCTGAACAGCTCCCTCAGCCCCCGTGACACCGCGCAGCACGTCAATATCGCAGTCCTTGAAATGCCTAGCAGGAACGTGATTCTCAAAGAGCAAATCCAGCTCCAAAAAAGTCCGGGCTTTGATTTCTGGCAAACGATAGTAACAGTAGACGAACAACAACACGTTGAAGCCTCCCCAGAAGAAGCCGGCCTTGCCCCTCCAGTTCCACGCGGCGCTGTTGATCTGGTACGTGGTGAGCACGTTGTTGACCACCGTGGCAACTTGGTAAGCGTTACGAGCCAGCACCGTCGTCTTGGCGCGCAGACGGCTGGATCCCATTTCGGCGACGATAATGTATGCCAAAGGTCCGATCGTCATGGAGTAACTCAGGATGTACACCATGAGGACGGCGCCCGTCGCCCAAGCCACGCCGCTCCTGGGCGCTGGTATACCCAGCCCACCGACGATGATCTGCGTGATGGCGCTGATCACGAGACCCCAAAGCATCAAGGTGCGACGGCCCACGCGAGGAAGGATAAACCACATGGCGATCCCTCCGCAGAATGCAATCGCTTGCTGACCGAGACTCAGGCTGAATGCATCGTTCGAGTCGATCCCAGCTTGTTCAAAGAAATATGTCGCATAGCCCACCACGGCGAAGCCACAGAAAGGCTGGATGATCCAGGTCATGCAGGCGATTTCAGTCCTGCGAAGGTTTGTGCCCTTCAAGCAATCCAAGTACGAGGTTCCCTGCTGCAATTCGATTTCGTGTTCATTGGTCACGACGATCTGAGCAAGATACTGCTGGATCTCCTGTTCGGTGAAACCGTGAAACAAGCGCCGCAAGCTCTTGCGGGCGTCCTCAACTCGGTTCTGTCTGACCAACCAGTAAGGCGACTCGGGAGCGAAGAATGTACCGACGAGTATGAGGGGCGGCCAAATCCACTGCGTTGCGAAGGGCACTTTGTATCCCCAGTGCGATTCCGTGTTGACGAAGGCTCGAAGCACGCCGGCGGAAATGACCTTGCCGATGGTCCAGCAGAGGTTGACCCAAGTGGTCAAGTACGGTCGCAAAACCAGCGGGCAAACGTCCGCAGCATAGACGGTGGTCAGAGTGAGGAAGACGGATAGGGGGAAGCCGAACAGGACTTCTGCGCCGGTCAACATCTTGAGATCGGTGCTGAAGAACTGCATGAAAATGACGGCCGCCGTCAAGACGCATGTGACCATGGTGGTTCGTCGAAAGCCGAACTTGTCAGAAGCCCAGCCGGCGATGAAGAGGCCAAAGAATTGTCCAAGCATGACGGCATTGGAAACGATGCTTTGCCATTTGGCTGTGATGTTGTACGTGCCGTCGGGTTGGCGCACGCCAAACTTCTGCTGGAAGGAAGGAAGACCGTAAAGAGAGTTAAGGAGGATGGCATCGTAACCTTCCATGATGACTCCAAGAGATAGGAAGGCTGACCAAAAGACTGCGCTGTAGCATCGGCGCAGCCCGTCGCGCAGGGACCGATGAACCTCGGCGTCATGTCCGTTGAGGATCTGCTCACCCTTGATGTCTGCGACCGAGGTGCCAGACGTGGTGACAAGATCGACTGCCTTCTCAAGGCTGGATGAGGCCGCAATGGCGTGCTCTTCGACAGAAGACATGGTAATGATGGTGGTCGTTGTGCCTTAAGGGAAGGAGTTTCCGCGGCGGACTGCTAGCGATTGAAGACTTGATGGACTTGAGGGCGAGGGTGTGAAGGCTGCCGATTTATATGTCCGTCCATACCTGATGAGCTCACTCGATACCCTCACGCCACAAACTCCTAAAGGGATAAACGCATGTAAAAAGAGTGTTGGACCTGTCGAGACCAGTGTGCAACAGGTTATCTCAATCTCTAAAGATGTTCCGCGCGGGTCAACAAAATTGCCCGCGGCGGAACGCTGTCGACTCCACTCACAGACCACTGACATACGAACTTTGTTGAAGCGGGATGGAACTTGTCGCCACCAGGGGGCCACGCTTATCTCAACGCCTCGATGGGTTGCGCGCGGGTCAAGCAAGGTTTCCCGCGGCGGAGTCTTGCTTGCCGCGTGTAGGAAGTAGTGAGACACTCACATTGTACCTACTTGCATTGCAAATGGACGCACGGTGGAGTGCCCTCCATGACTGATTTCGTTCGGGGTGAGGTGCCCGCCGAACTTCGAAGCCAGAAAGGGAAGTTGCATCGCCCACGAACTCGATCTGACAATTCAAAAGTCTCGCATCTTCAATCCTGTATTCTGTTGCCATTGCCAAAATATCCCGTCGTCGCTCACTCGCTATGAGATCTTTAGCGACCATCGCCAAACCATGGTGGAGGGATGCAGTAGTCTATCAAGTCTGGCCAGCCAGTTTCAAAGACACCAACCAAGATGGAGTGGGAGACATTCGAGGCGTCATTGAGTCTCTGGACCACATCCAGAGCATCGGCGCGGACACCGTTTGGATGTGCCCTATCTACGCCAGTCCTCGTATCGATTTTGGATACGACATCTCCGACTACGAGGCCATCGACCCCAACTTTGGCACCATGGCGGATGTCGATGACCTGATGCAGGAGTGTCATAACCGTGGCATGAAGCTCATCATGGATCTTGTCATCAACCATACCTCAGATCAGCACAAGTGGTTTCAGGAATCTCGAAGCTCCAAGACCAATCCAAAGCGCGACTGGTATATCTGGCGTCCGGCCAAGTATGACGAGAAAGGACAACGGTTGCCACCCAACAATTGGCGATCAAACTTTGTCGGGAGTGCCTGGACCTGGGACGAAACAACACAGGAATATTATCTCCATCTCTTCGCTCCGGAACAGCCTGACCTGAACTGGGACAATTTGAAGATGCGAAAGGCGGTCTATGACAGCGCTGTGCGGTTCTGGCTCGAGAAGGGCATTGACGGCTTCCGCATCGACACCATGACAATTTATAGCAAGAACCCGGCCTTGCCGGACGCTCCGATCACTGATCCGACGTCCGAATGGCAGTCGGGGCGAAAGTGGTACGGCGACCAACCCAAGGTGTTTGAGATCCTCAAAGAGATCACGGCGATCACGTCCCAGTATGGTGAGAAGATGACGGTCGGAGAGTTCGGAGCGCTGAAGAATCTGAACGTCGCCCTCGATTACGTTGGCGCCTCCAACCGTTGTGTTGGGATGGGATTCCAGTTCGAGACGGTCTGTGTTGGTTATGCCTTGAATCACTGGCACATCCGAGACTTTTCTCTCCAGGAATTCAAGCAGACATTCGGCAAATGGCAGCAATTCGTCGAGGGGACCGACGGTTGGACATGCGCGTTCCTAGAAAATCATGACATAGCACGCTCGGTTTCGCGCTTCGGTAATGATTCGCCCAGATACCGGGCCACTTCGGCCAAAATGCTGGCCATTTTGCTAGCCACGTCAACGGGAACATTATTCTTGTATCAGGGGCAAGAGATTGGTATGACCAATGTTCCAGCCAGTTGGCCGATCGAAGAGTATCTAGATATCAGCTCGCAGAATTATTGGAAGTCTGTCAAGACTGCCACCGACGACAAAGCTGTTTTGGATGGCGCCCTGGCCAACATCCGGAAGGTTGCTAGGGATCATGCAAGGACCCCTATGCAGTGGAGTGACAAACCTCATGGGGGCTTCACCACATGTGGAAAAGGACCGTGGATGCGGACCAACGACAATTACGTCGATATCAGCGTCGAGAAGCAAGCTCATGACCCGGACAGCGTGCTGTCGTTCTGGAAGCAGATGCTTGTATTGCGCAAGCAGTACTCGGATATCTTTGTCCATGGAACTTGGCGGACCATGGACGTGGAAAATCCTGCTACCATGACTTTTGTGAAGCAGGCCGAAGGAGAGAAGGCTTTGGTGGTGCTTAATTTCACCGATCAACCACAGCCGGTCAAAATCCCAGAAGACTTTAGGGGCTCCAAGCCTCTGATCACGAACCTGAACCAGTGGTATCCTGAGACTTTAAGTGCGTATGAAGGAAGGGTATATGTCGCATAGACCGACGAGAGAGACAATAATATTAGGATACCAGAAAGCACATATCACCCACACGGCTTGCAATAAAAAGCTCATAGAGACTTTCCGGCGTAGCAGATGTCTCTCGGCCATGTAGCCGTAATCTCTCTCCAGTCAGCTTCTGCTCATTAGATGAGCCTAACCTCTCAATGCATAGTGATCTCGGGCAACGATCCGAGATTGAAGAGGACAGGAATAAAGCATGGAAAGTAGACTCACCAGTGGATTGCAGAAACACCAAGCCCAGGAGCCTGAAAGACTCATGGAGAACTCTGTGGGGTTGATTGATTGGTGTTCAAGGGGAGCTGCTCTGCTTGCGCGGCTGCGTACCGTGTCACGGGGAACCCAGCACTGTGAGCCTTCAGCAGTTCTTGGTAAGACGTAAGAGCTGCAGTCCAGCTATCTGCATCGGCGTCCTCGGTTGACGACAGTATCATGCTGACTATGAAGGTTCTGATCGTGGCGAGATTAGTGTGCGGCACTATGGAGCTGTGAGCATAGAACGACGACCAATTCAGACGTGATAAACATACTTGGCCACCATAGAACCGATGTGCGGCTGATAGTCAGATTTCGGAGGATTATCGTGACTTGCTTGATCGTGAGTGATGCTTCGTGTCGGAGATCCATAGACCGCGCTTGCAATATGTCTAATTTGGGTAAAATTGCGCGAAACAGGATGATTCTGACAGTATACGCAGCCAGCTCAAGACCACCTGATCGCTTGATCAGCCTTGAACATCGTGCAATAAAAGCCGTTGCGGCCGCTGACTGACCTGTGACGTCTATGGACCCTGTCGAACCGGCCAATGGTTCAAAGTGTGCCGCTGCCCAATGGTCCAAGTCTCTTGAGTACTTCTCAAACAAGGACTGAATATCTGCCACTGGGAAGGAGAGGGCGTTATCGAGGCCACGGACCGAGTAGAACGTGGCGATGATCATGGCTAAGATGTGAGTCAAATGCACTGTGGCAATGAAGACGTCGGCGCCTTGGCTAACGTTGTCAGAAGGGTCTTCCTCTCCCAGTACGGCAAAGTCAGAACGCTCCAACATTGTCACGTTAGTGTGCGCTTCGGTCAAGTAAGGTGGTCGGCCCAATGCTAATGCTGACCTGATGCAAAATGAGACGTTAGTACAAGTTGCCTCATTCGATAAGGGTATTGTGCTTTGAAGCCTTTGATTACCACTTGTCTTGAATGAAGACTGCCCACCAGATTCGCCGTCGACGTCGTTTCTCGTGTATCGGTATCTCCCAACCTGTGCAGTCAATGTTGAGACCGAGATCTTGAGTGGCCGCGACCAACTGTACATTGTGTTAGTCGGCATCTTAGGAGAAGACGTAGGTAGAAAGAGTACATTTCCCGTCTCGAGGTGACTTCCGCGCTTTTCTGGAAACCTGGATGGTGATTAACTAGAGTAGCTGCGATAGACTTCTCTGGACGAACCCAGCATTGTACGCGTTCCTCTGTTGGAACAGAAGAGCGCCCTCGATCGTTTCGAGCTGGGCCAAGCGCAGTTCCGTCGGAAGGCCCAGGATGTTGAAGTCATTGAACACATCCGATGGCAACTTCTGCGCAACCGAACCAATCTTGTGCGCCACCGAGCAAATGGCTATTTTCAGTATGGGAGCAGCGGTGGCTTTATGTGGTCTTTTCGGACCCAGAAGAGGGTATGACGGGTGAATGTAACGATCAAAGGTCTGAAAGAGGTCTTGCTGGAAAGGCTCGAGTTGCCCAAGTAGTGGAATCGCGCAGCTTTGACTCAACGACGTCTCCAGCCGGTTTTGCATCGACAGCTAGTCTCCATGTCAGTACACAGATGTTCCTCTTTGGCTCCTAAACGTAGTACCTCGAAGTGAATCGGCGTGTATGGATCCTTTCCCCTTCGATCATACGAAAACGGTGCCTCGTCGTCATCTGCGAACATGGTCTTCCAGTTGTAGTGGCGGAGTATAAAAGGATCCAGATCACTGCTGAGACCGACGAATCGTTCCACTCTCGTGGGCATACCCATTGATTCCGACGACTGAAGGGGGTGTTGCGAATCACCGGAGGCTGCCCCTCGAGACCTTCTCTGTGGGCTTTTGATCCTCGTGACAACCGACAAAGCTCCATCATCTTCGACGATAGGACTGTTCACCGTTTCGCTCATGGCCACCCCTTCTACCGTGCAATCTATGCCTCGATTGCGACATAGCGCACATGAGGCATTACCTTGTCGAGAACAGAATACTTTGCGGACTCGACATTTGTCGCAAGGTCTTTGTTTCCGGGATCGATATGGTCTTTCCATGGCCAGGATTACCCGCACGCTATTCGTGCTGGAGGCCTGGAGCTCTTAAGATTCTGGGTGCGACTGAAGAACCGAACATTGGTGTAATCGTGGGGGCATCCACATGCACGTGTAGAGGTGAAAGTAGCTCAACGCTTGAGAATAGGTAGGTACCATTGAGAGGAGTACCTGGTAGAACGTGATGGTATCGCTTGCTTGAATAAATATTGTTGTAGCGGCGTCAGGAATATCATAGTCTACCCAGCCATGACAGCAGTGGTCGCCGCTTTATATAGCTTGCAACAACGCGAAAGATCAGTTCGAGGTGAGCCGCGAGCCGAGTTTATGAGCGTTGGCATGCTCATATGGATTTGATACAATTGCAATACACTAGAATTACACCTCAATGAGCCTTTCCGTTCCTCCGTGATGCTACATATTCTGCGAGGCCTTGCAACCATCACCTGGCAATCTGGTAAGCCAATATGGCAGCCAAGCAAACACGAAGGATCGGTCGACTCTCACACTGATTGCCGAACACTGACTGACATCTTCAAGCTGGTATATTCTGCTCCCCACGTACTATACTGACAGGGTCTACCTCTCTGGACAATTAACAGTCATGACTGTGTGGTCACCAGCCGGCGTCATCCTCACCGACAGCATGAGCCAAAACGTCGGCTTTTTTTGTCGACGGTCTTGTAATCTTTTTAACCAGAGACCGAGGGTTGTCATGTTCCTCCACTGGCGCTTCTTCATCCCCTTCTCTTGCTAGGCTCTCTTGCGTTGTACTCTTCAATCCTTCGTTCCTGAGCCACGCGATATACATTTGCAGAAACGCACTGTGTCGCCAGGCAAATTTTCGCTGATTCCTCAACCAAGTTTTTGGGAGTAGAAACGCACATCGGTGCTCATAACAGTCTTTCAGCTCGCACTCTTTTAGCCCCCCCTTCGCACATTCACTGTGCGCCCTGTCTCGATGATCTGTCATATTGTTGTGGCCTGCAAACCCTGCCTCACAATGATTGCATATTATAACAAGACCAGAATCTTTAGAGATCGACGAAGATAAGGCGTTACCATACCCTATCTTCTTTCTCAGCTCCTGTCTTCCACGTGTGGTCAAAAGTTTCTCGGTGTCAATTTTCTGCAAGATATTTGCGCCAATTGATCGGATATTTTCAGGATGTATGGGTGGCATTGGGTACATGCCGTGTGAATAGTTGTTTTCGGGAATGAATAGACTAGATTCGTCGCGGACGAAGCCGTCTGTGGAAAAGTTACTTGTATCTGCCAGGAACAACGGGTTAGCAGCGATCCTTTGACTGCCTAGCACTTCATACCAGTGTCTTCGGACTGATCAGATTTTTGCCCGCCGGTCTGCTCCACTTGCACATCATCCTGCTCCGGTGATGTTTCATTCTGTTCCTCTAGTACTTCGTTTGGCTCGTTGTGGACGTCATCCGGCTGACCAGATAATTGTCTGCCATTCTGCTCCACCAGCACGCCACCCCGTTCTTGTGATATTTCATGATGTTCCTCTAGCCCTTCATCTGGCTCGTCTGGGACGCCATCGGGCTGATCAGATATATGTCGGCTATTCTGCTCCGCTAGCACATCATTCCGTTCACGTGACGTTTCATGATGTACTTCTGGCACGTCGTTAGGCTCGTCAGGGACGCCATCCGGCCGCTGTGATCCTGGCGGTGAGCCAGCTTGGCGGACGGGGTCAGATGTCGGAATTTGGTTTCGGCGCAGACTGTGGGATGTTCTAAATGAGCCAAAACACTCGGGGGGTCAAAGTCCCCGATGAAGATGTTCCCGTGACTCAAACTGAGTGTCGGCCAGGAAGAGCGTTGCCAGGTCTCTCCATCGGTCGTACGAGACAAGGTGCTCGCGAAGGCCTGGCTAGACAGGAAGACATTACCTCCATTGACTGCGATAACCGATCGGCTGTCGTCGCTCGGGTGATGGAGCTTTTGTTTCTTTGGTTGCGACATAGCCGGGTGTATAGGACCAATTGAACAAGAAGTTTCGACAGCGGACTCAAAGGTGGCTCAAAAGCACCGGTGTGACTCTGTCACAAGAAGTCTTCATGCAGGAGTGAGAGGAAAATCAAAGTCTTCAGTGATAGAGCAGATGGAAAGTGCAGCCGAAAAGGGGACAACATGCCAAGGAAGCAGGCGTTGAGGTGACCAGGGGTTGGCTTTCTAGCAAACTTCCTCAGACTGTTTGATGCAGTCAAGGAACAAAGACCAACGAGACTGATACCAGAGTGACGAGTGCTGGCTTCTTTCTGTGGTTCAATTCAAAATATGACAGTCCACACTCGGCTGCCTGCAAATTCTTATGACGAGTTGCATAACACATGAGAAAAGGCGACACTGCTGAAAGACATTCTATTCTCTCACTGACCTGTTTCGTGGACTTCAAAGGAGTGGAAGCATTGCATAAATCACAACAAGAGCAACAGCAAAGGCATGAACAACCTCCATGCTCACCTCGTCAACATGCCAAGATAACCTGCATCCACACCTCAACCCAGATTCCCCACCCAGCATACTCTAGTAGCCTCTCTCACCAATGCGTGGTGCGCCTCCCTTCCAGTCATATCGTTCGTAGTGGCGGAAAACCAAGTCGTAGCCATCAAGATCATGGACGATACGATCGATCCGACGATAGCCATTGATATTGTCCATCTTGGCATTGCGACGAGCTACCTTCCGCTCCAACGCCTTGATCTGTGCCAATTCGTCGTGGTCGGCATGAGCACGCTCTTCGAAATCGGTCTTGGCCTCAAAGAGAGTAACGCTGAATCGACCGGGCTTGAAAATGTCCACGACATGCTGAATGACTTCGATGGTCTCTCTTCCGTTTTGACCGACGGGAACATTAGTCTCGAAGGAGGCATAAGAGCAGATCGGCTCCGGAGTCACATGCACCGTGAAGTAATGAGTGCCCTTCTCACCATGAGGTGCAGGAATCACACCGTTGGCCGAGAACCCACAAGGCGTAAAGAGGTAGGCATCCACACGAGCATCCGGATACTTTTCACGCGGATAGACGTCAGACAAGCCGCACGTGTCGGAGACCACAGTACCAAGTGCATGCCCTTCAGTGGTGAGTTCTGTAGGATAGACTTCCTCTTTCACAGAGATATCACCGTCCGATGAAGCATTGCTGAACACATCAACGTGATCATCTTCTCCTCTCTGAGATCCCCTCCACTGATCCTCTGCGACCGCACTCGCATGGTCAAGGTAGAATTGCTTAGCATTCTCCTCGTCCAAATCAGTCATGAGGATCTCAAGAGTCTCGTCTTCACCTTCGCACACCTTAGAGCCACGGTCGACCACCAGAGAAGTCGGTAAGTCCAGCATTTTGGTTTCGGTGCCTGGACTGTCCGGGCTATGTGGGCTGGCTGGTGGTGTCAACATGGTATATGGCTCCGTCAGGTAGAGATACCAATGCTCGCCATTCATCTTGCCAATCATGTAAGCACTGCCACCAACGAAAAGCTTGTCCAGAGCATGCACCTCGTCACGCCAGCTGCGATGTGGTCCCCGCTGTCGGTCCGGGAACAAGTAGTTCTTGCGACTGTAGAAGACGCGATAAGGAGGTGCTGCGACCACGATGCCACGAGATGGCGGAGCAGTAGAACGTTGGAAGCCTCCAAACAAGGTGGCAATCTCGAGGATTCGTGGTAGACCACAGAGCAAAGTGGTGGTGCCGCATGTCTTCAAGATGAGCTTGTGGGGGAAGACAAACATGCTCGACTCCGAGAGCAGGTAGGCATCGACATCCTCGGACTCGACAATGGACAAGACCTTGCAGTTGACCAAGTCAAGCATTTGAATCCAGATTTCGGCGGGCACGGCCTTTAGACCGGTTGGCTCGGTGCAGCCATGCAAGGCATGGGGAGATGGACTAAACCATACTTCTAGTAGTTTTTCGGGACCTTCAAATGCATTGCTCGAGTCCAAGTCCACTGCGACTTCATGATTGATAGTCACTGAAGGCGTATGACTCAAACTCGATGGTGAAGTAGTATAGTTTTGGGGAATCCCAATATGTACCATATCCTTGTCGAGGATATGGACAGAGTCCTCTTGTTATTGAATATAAGGCAGGAAGGTCAGGAGACACTGATCCGAAGATTCAGTGAAGCACTATCTGCCACCCAGACGAACAATGCGGTGTCCGCCTGAGAAGAGAAGGCCCACTAATCTGTGGGAGAATTGGAGGCTGGCTTGAGCCAGCAGCAATGCGGTGATTTGTATGTATTCCCTTCTGAAGGGTCGTTATGGAGGTCGGGAGGAGGAGAGGAGGAAGAAGATTTCCTGCACGAACGGAATTGTGGGCGGTTGTTTTTCTTCCTCTTTGATCAAAGCTCGATACCTCTCACAGTATCGATGAAGATGTTGGTTCGTTCGAGGTTTATATGGAAAGACAATCGATTTTGGGCTGATATATTGGAACTCGCAAGTAGCTGGTGTTATCGAGGCCTGGTATCGTTGTCAGTAAGCACCATTGAGATAGGACTATAGCAACATACTTTGCTGGCTTGGACAGGAAACGTAGCAGATCTTTGCGGCTCATAGAAGATGTTGCGAGAAACTGCTAAGAATCAATGTCGGCTGTTACAGCCTGTGGGAAGTTTGAATCGCTGAGCTGGTGGAATTCGCCAGAACTGCGACTGTAGAAGGTGGATTTCTCGAGGGCTGAAAATGTCTCAGCGGAAAAATTTGACACCGCTCTGGGTCGGATGATGCTTCGGAAGCGTTGAAAAGGAGTTGCAGGCTCTGATAGCAACCTGAGTATGTTCTGACGAAGAACAGTATAAGAGCAAGATCAGTCCAGTGCGGAAAGAAGAGGTCGCATGTGGCCAAATTTTTCTTGTTTGCGTGACCAACGAATGAGGCTGCGCTGGATTGTTGTGTGTGTGACACAGTGGAGCGGCGAAATTTTGGGCGCGGGGATGTGGGATTTGGATAGGCGAGGAATTCTAGAGGGATGACGCCAATGGATTGAGCCGATGACGCCCGATTGACCCTGATATCTCCTCGCTACTGAGAGCCGGTAATTTAAGCCGGGGTGGATGCCTCAAATCATTTGGACGCCGACGAGCTTCACCGTGGCAGTCTTGAAATAAAGAATCCCAAAACGTGCCGCATGGAAAACACTTGCAGAAAGTGGTACTGTCTGAGAAAGCCCATTGCTGACCGAATGAAGCAACGAGTAAGTGCTTGTTCCATATATTGAAACTACAAACTTTGGTCGCCATGCAATTGAGACATCTGTGAAGGGTCTCAGGCTCTTTGGAAACGCAAGGCTGGAATCCAAAGCCTATCATTATTTCGCGGTGCCTGGAAAGCTTCTACGCCACCCCCGCGTATCGGCATAACAGGCGAAGGAGGCCTAGAAGCCCACCCAAAAGCCGCCCGACGAGGCTCCGAAAACATATGTGAACATGACAATGACGCCACCTGCGGATGTGGCCGCGGCTGCTTAGCAATTATTTTTCAGATTGAACAAGGACAAACTGCACTCGCCAGACACCCATTTCCAAAACACAACCAGATATCGATATACTTGCTACGGCTCTTCATCATGGGCCTAGAGAACGTCAAGCACGTTGTCCTCGTCCTCTCAGGCAAAGGAGGCGTTGGCAAATCCAGCGTGACCCTCCAACTCGCTCTCTCCCTCTCCCAACAAGGTCACAATGTCGGTATCCTGGATATCGACCTAACAGGACCCAGCATACCGCGCCTGCTCAATCTTGAAGACAAAAAGGTGACACAAGCGCCTGGCGGCTGGTTACCAGTCAAAGTCCATGACGCCGTCCAAGCAGACTCGAATGGCGCAATCACAACCACCTCATCCTCACGCCGCGGCTCGCTTCACGCCCTCTCGTTAGCTTTCCTCCTTCCATCGCGCTCCTCCGCCGTAATATGGCGCGGCCCCAAGAAAACTGCAATGATTAGACAGTTTGTCTCAGACGTCCTATGGCCTCCGAATACAGACTACCTCCTCATCGACACGCCACCCGGCACCAGTGACGAACATATCGCAATCGTGGAAGAACTACATAAACTCGCTGCGGAGGTTGAAACGGTCACCAATGGCAACGGTATATCCTTACATATTGACCACCGTCCCAAACTTTCCGGCGCGGTCGTGGTGACCACTCCCCAGGCAATATCCACAGCCGACGTACGGAAAGAACTCAATTTCTGTGTCAAAACGCAGATTGACGTACTGGGAGTGATCGAGAATATGGCGGGATATATGTGTCCATGCTGCGGTGAAGTAAGCAATGTCTTCAGCAAAGGCGGTGGAGAGATCATGGCTAGAGAATGCAATGTCCCCTTTCTTGGCTCAGTGCCAATAGACACAGGATTCGGCGCCATGGTCGAAGGTGCAACGGCAAGTCAACAGGCATCAACTACTGATGGAACAAGCTCCAATTCCGAAAAGCCGACAGAACTCGTGGAGCGGTATAAAGAATGTGGACTATGTCCTATCTTCGCAGACTTTGCGAAGCGGGTAGATGAGAAGGTACAGCCTGTGACGGCCTCATGATATCCACATTATCTGAACACTATCTTCCTGCGCATCGACTCTTTGGTATTTCCAGTTGAATCACCGCCTGATGCCTGTTTGGTGCATCAATCGAAGAGGCATCATCCTGCTAACCCCATGTCGACTGTTTTGTTGACCCCTCTATCGGAAGGAGGAGATCAATATCGCGACCTTGGCTAGGCGTTCCAGATCGCTCAAATATGCTGCTATCCTACCCTCAATTCCCCGGATTGGAAACCCCACGAGAAAGGCGGGGAAAACTCACGACTTTGGAACGTCTATCGGCAGTTGACGAGGAACTCTACATCGGCGATCGTATTGATACCATACACGATGCTGCTGGCGAGTTGTACTCAGGGTTGACGCAGCAGCAATAATCGCGGCGTCGAGTGAAATGTTGCTTCTCACAGAAGAAAACGGACAACGGTCTTCCAGGATAACGAAGGAAGAGAACTTCAACTCGGCTCACTTTCCCTGTATCGCGCTGTTGACGAACTTCCCAACAACCGCATCACCGCCAGCTTGTCATCCATCATCTCTTCTTTCTTCTCCAACTCGTGGGAGAACCCTGGCATGTGCCAAAGGAGTCCCTGCATCAAGACTGAAAGCATGTTACGATTTAGACTGATACAAAAGCCTCTTGTACTGCGGGGTATGACCATGGGGCATTGGCTGCTTTTGGAAAAGTCTGTACAACCAGTGTGGAGAAAAATGCTGTACCTGAAGTATACAAAATGAATACACAAGGACACAAGTCTGAAGGGAACTGAGATCATTGTGCTTTTTCTACATCCTAGACGCACAAAATGGAATCTCAACTTGCTGACCTACAGGCGGAAGTCAAGAGACTTCACGACAAGTTGCAAAAGGTCGAAGACGAAGCAGAGATTCGCAAGACCCATTTCAAGTATGGATACTACCTTGACAAGTGTCTCTACAATGAGGTGGTGGACATGTTCGCCGACCACCCCGACGCCTACGTAGAATTTCTAGGTTCTCGCTACAGGGGAAAAGAAGGTATCAAGCGTCTTTACCAAGGACGATTCCAGAAGTACTTCGTCAATGGTCGCAATGGTCCAGTGTACGGTTTCCTGCTTGATCACCCAATGTTGCAAGACATCATCGACCGCGACACGGAAACCCATGCCTGGGGTCGACTTCGCGCTTTGATGTCTGCTGGAACTCATCAAAGCATTCAGGAAGAGCACCCTCGCGGCCATGCTCAATGGTGGGAAGGCGGACTTTACGAGAACGAGTACATCAAGGAGAATGGCGTTTGGAAGTTGTTCAGGTAGGCACTTCGTCCTTCTCGTTGAGACTGACGTCCATTGACATGTTAAGGTACCGCTACTTCCCATTCTGGCACTCCGACTTTGAGCGCGGTTGGGCGCACACCAAAAAGAACTACATTCCCTGGCCGGAAAAGACATACCCAGAGGATCCTTCCGGGCCAGATGAGATCATCGAGCAGAAGATGCTATGGCCTGACACTCGTGTCATTCCATTCCACTATCCTCATCCTGTGACGGGCAAGCAGGTCAAGGACGATGACCTACGGGCACCACATTATGGCCAGGATGTCAACACTTCGGAGCCACCCTTGACACTGGCATTGCCCAAGGATCAGCTGGAGGCGTTGGCGAAAGGGAAAGGTGATATTGAGCAAACCGTGCTGAAGAATGGAGAGGTGGCGGACAGTACACCTTGAAGTTGAAAACAATGTGCTCGTGGAGCTGTCAGAGAAACCTACTAGCGGTAGCCTGCGTAGATGAAGGAGAAAAATATGCGTGTATTTAGGAATCCTGCAAGTGGAAGACGAGGTAGCCACGCAGGTAGTAGAAATCGAAGCATTTCCCAAAATCTCAGGCGCGCCGGTGTGATCAAATGTGACGAAGCAAATGCAAACTTTTGGAACAGCAACATGTTAGACGCATCTCCCGTAGGACGTCGTGTCACACAATCAATGCTAGGTTTTCAAAGATTCCCCGTAATTCAGGTCTAAGGTCTGGGCGAGCAGAGGAAAGTGGAGGAGGCCAAGAGCGGAGATACGGAAACTTAAAACAACATCATAATGAACAACAACAAAGTATTCATATCCTGCCTATCACCGATCGTGGGGTGCATACACCTTACTAGGAGAGAGAGCTCGACAACGAGGTCCTTCTGAGCAACAAATGCAGTGATGTCGTGATACGGTGGTAGTCAAGTCAAGAACCAGTGCAGCGCCAACTTACTCCTCAATGTACTGATAAGTATTCAGGGCTCGGAAATTCAGGGCCGGGGCAATATACCGAGACTATGAGAAATTCAGGGCTTAGACATTCAGGGCTCGTGCAATATACCGAGGATGAGAGACATTCAGGGCTTCACGGGGCTTGAGAGATTCAGGGCTCGTGCAATATACCGAGGATGAGAGACATTCAGGGCTTCACGGGGCTTGAGAGATTCAGGGCTCGTGCAATATACCGAGGATGAGAGAAATTCAGGGCTTCAAAAATTCAGGGCCAGTGCAATATACCGACGATGAGAGAAAATTCAGGGCTTCAAAAATCCAGGGCCAGTGCAATATACCGGCGATGAGAAAAAACCCAGGGCTTCACGGGGCTTCACAGGGCTTGAGCAATTCAGGGCTCGTACAATATACCGACGATGAGAGAAAATTCAGGGCTTCAAAAATTCAGGGCCAGTGCAATATACCGGCGATGAGAAAAAACCCAGGGCTTCACGGGGCTTCACAGGGCTTGAGTAATTCAGGGCTCGTGCAATATACCGGCGATGAGAGAAATTTCAGGGCTGGGACAGTATACCGACGACGAGAGAGAATTCAGGACTGGCCTCTAGTGGCCGTCTGCCTCACAAGGACAGAGTCTGACAGGAGCTCACAGGGACCTCGCCAACGCCAGCAACGTCATCACTAGCAGCTGTTCTGCATATTCTTTATTCCATACATGAGTTGCTGAAGGCCAAGTCATCATTGGCACTATTCCGCCTCATCAGTCCAGAGACAGCACACTTCGTCTTCTCAACAACAAACAACCACTGTGCTCGACTATTCTCGCACGATCACACCAAGCAGATGCGCACACTGCGTCCAAATGTTGACTTCTCACCAAGGTCCGATAACATCGACAGATGGAATCTCCGGCAAGTTTATCACCATGAGCATGAAGACCTGTCATCTTTCACATCTCATCCTCAAGGCCCTTCAATTCAGCAATGTAGCGTCTCAGACACTCGCTTTCCTCCCAGCGGAATCTTCTGTCTGTCTCGATATGGGATTTGGGAACTCGGATTGCAAGACGCTTCGAGTAGCACTGCTTCATTGGCTTGCTATCGCAACCTTTGTGTACAAGCTTCCAATGTTTTGACACGCTGCTGAGGCTGCTGGACATACGACCACAGTGGAGGCACAAAACGACAAGGCCAGAGTTGTTGAATGTCAAGGTGCCTGTAAAGCCCGAGTTGTCGAATCGCTCTTTTCCACGCTTGCCAAAGAAATCGCCGACATCGAGTTTCGCTACAATATCCTCACTGATCGAGTCGATGTTCCCCATGTCGTCGGCCGGTAAGTTGTACGCACCGTGAAAGCTACCTTTGTACCCATTTTGCAGTCTGTTCCGTCCGAGACCCGGCAAAGGCCCTTTGGCTTGCTGCTCAGTCGTCTCGTCAAGTTCGTTGTCATCCACGGCTTCTTCTTCCTCGTCACCTGACTCTTCGACTTTGATCTTGTTGGGGTTCGTACTCGCAATGAGAGCATCCAGCATGCTTTTGGCAGCAGATCGAGTTGCTGGTCGAGGGTTATTGGCCGCTTGGAGTCTGTTGTCGCCACCGATGGTGACTTTCTCGTTGCTGATCTCAATGGGCTTTGCAGGACGCTCGCTGGTAACGACGAGATCGTCATCGTCATTTGCGTGAGCATGGTTGGTATTGGCAATCACATTGAGTTCGCGATTCAAAGGGGGTGTGACAATGCCATCTCCTGGAGTTTGTTAGCAATAACGCCTATCAGCAGGCATTTGTAGTTCGCATACCATTGTATCCAACGCTGGAGAAAGGGTCGTCTCCATCGGTGTCGTTTGGGAGCGGATTGTCGTGAAGGATGTTGCCTGAAAAGACGCTGTCTGGCAGAGTGTTGTCATGAAGGACGTTGCTGGGAAGGACACCGTCGGGCAGAGCGTTGTCTTGGAGATCAGTGGCTAGAAGAGCCTTGTTTGCATGAGCGTTGTCTGGGAGAGCGGTACCCGGAAGAGCGGTGTCTGGGAGAATCTTCTCTGGAAGAACATTGTCTTGAGCCGGGTCTTGAAGGACGTCGTCATGAAGGAGGTTGTCAGCAAGAACGACCTCACCTTCATCCTTTACACCATCCACCTTTTCCTCTCCTGTAGTATTCATCTCTTGTCCAAGGCGCGGAACAACGAGCGCAGATGAGGTTGGGACGGTGAGGGTATCCGCGGATTGCATCATGCAGTCGTCCACAAGTCTGTTGATGATTTGTGGATCACACTTGACTAGGATGACTCGTTTGGCTCTGATAGCGAGTCCATTGGGCCACGCAAGGCGTGTGAGAGCATCCTCACGGCCCTGGTCGTTGACGAAGACGTTGCAAATATCGGTATCAATACCAGGGGCAGGTCTTGGACGCTCGTCATCATCGCCGTCGTGCTTGCGCTTGTTCGCCATGTTGACGACGCGAAGAGAATTGGATGGAGAGAGATTTGATGAATTGGGAGGGAAAGATGGTTGGTTCAATTGAAAATGAACTTGAAAAAGTGAAACTAAAAAGTCGCAGCTGCGAATGAATGGCATGGCGAAGTGAAGTCTCGAGGCAGTGGTTTGGCATTTAGCATCTGGAACGCACCGTGACAATTTCTCAGAGGCAGTGAGTGAATGCACTGTCGCCCTGCTTCGCCAAGATGATCCTGACATCGCTATCGCAACAGTGGCCTCCCACGGCCAACGAGCTCATGTCCAAAAATTCTGCTGTTTACGCCCTAACCACCAGTCTCCACGACTCACTCTTGTGGACGGTGGACTGCGGGTTAACGGGGACAAGGCATCGTCATTTAAAGCCATCGTGCCTCCGTGCTTCAAACACATATTGTTTATGGCTCGTTGTGAAGAGTCCCGTGATGGCATTGCTATTGGGGCCCTGGTGATGCCTGTCTGCACCCTGCCGGTAACATGGCAAGTCTTCGACATCAAACGCGCATTGAGAGAAGACATCGTCGCCGTAGACATCAATCCCAATGAGGAAGACGTCTCTCACCCCACCAGTCCAGGATATCGATTGGCCAGACGTCCCTCAACCCCGCTACCCCAGAATTAGGAGACTTGGAGATCCCGCCGGCCAAATTCCAGAATCTGGAAATGGACTTTTCCTAGCAGTAAACCGTTGGCAGCCGGCAGTTGGAAGTGTGGAGCATTGACAGCTGAGCTAGTATTCTTTGGTATGCATGGTCGAAGGCTCTCGGCACTATCGAACCGATAGTTACTGCTCATAATGTAGTCCTCAACCTCTTTGCCAGACAGCAACAAGTAGTCATGGCACACATATTCGACCTGGCACCACAAGTGGTGTCAAACTACACCGCCGGCCGGAAGACCACAGACCAGGTCAAATACCCTGTAACAGGTGCATTTGATGGATTCAACAAACCCTCCCGCCTAGAAGGCGATGTCTTTGACCTGGAATTCGATGGGTTCATCCCGCCCGAGATCAATGGAACATTCTATCGGATTCAGCCCGACCACCGCTTTCCACCAATCTTCGAGGACGACATCCACTTCAATGGCGACGGTAGCGTGACGGCAATAAGGATCCAGAACGGCCACGCCGACTTCAAGCAGCGATACGTCCAGACAGACCGCTACAAGGCTGAGACTGATGCTCGAAGAGCACTTTTCGGGAGATATCGAAACCCATACACCGATAATGAGACTGTCAAAGGTGTCATTCGCACGGCGGCAAATACCAACATCACCTTCTGGAGAGGCGTATTGCTCGCTTCAAAGGAAGATGGCCCACCTTTCATCATGGATCCCGTGACGCTAGAGACAATAGGACGATATGATTTCGAGGGACAGATCCTCACACCAACCTTCACAGCGCATCCTAAGTTCGACCCTGATACAGGTGAGATGATCTGTTTCGCGTATGAAGCGGGTGGTGACGGCCACGACGGGTCCAATGATATTTGCGTCTGGACGCTTGACCGCGACGGCAAAAAGACTGAAGAGTGCTGGTACAAGGCGCCGTTTTGTGGCATGATCCACGATTGCGGCATTAGCAAGAATTACCTCGTACTGCCTTTGACGCCTATCAAGTGGACTGGAATGGATAGACTGAAAGGTGGAGGCAATCATTGGGCCTGGGATTCGAAAGAGGATCAGTGGTACGGAGTGGTCCCAAGAAGAGGTGGAAAGCCTGAAGATATCGTGTGGTTCCGCGCTGATAATGGTGAGTGGTCCTCCTTGTGAAGGGTGACATGCTGATTGGAAAAAGCTTTCCATGGCCACATTGCAGGGTGCTATGAGAACGAAGACGGCCACATCGTCTACGACCTCACGGTAGCCGACGGCAACGTATTCTTCTTCTTTCCACCGGTTGACGAGGAAGAGGCACCGCTGGGCAAACGGAATCAGCTCCGCAGTCCAACCTGCCGGTGGATATTTGATCCGAAGGCCAAATCAGGCACGAGAGTGACTCCAGCAGAATCTTGGTTGACAAATGGCGAATTTTCTCGAATTGACGACAGATGGGTGACGAGGAAATACAACCACTTCTGGCAGGCAAAGGTCGACCCAACCAAGCCTTACGACTTCGCCAAGTGTGGCTCACCAGCTGGAGGGTTATTCAATTGTCTTGGCCACTACACCTGGGACGACCGGACCGAAGATGTGTACTTTGCCGGACCAACCGCGACATTCCAGGAACCATCGTTCATCCCGAAGGATGGCGGTGGCGAGGGAGAAGGATACATAATTGCATTGCTGAATCAGCTTGACGTGCTGCGGAATGATATCGTGATCTTGGACGCATTGAATGTGGCACAGGGTCCGTTGGCGGTGATACACCTGCCTTTCAAGTTGAAGTTGGGCTTACATGGCAATTTTGTGGACCAGAGAGATATTCTTGAATGGCAGAAAAGAAGGTCAGAGTCCGGGGATCTAGGTCCTGCACAACCTGCGAAGGAACCTCTGCCGTGGCAAGTGCGACAGCTAGAGACTGAGCCGCATGCCAATGATCATGGAGACACCAACGGAACGGCGTCAAACGGACTGAATGGACACCATTGAGATAGATGTCATGTGTTCGCTGGTAGGAAGAAGGGGCAATCCAGACGGAGGTTGTCGGCCGGCAAGTCTTGACAATAGATAATCTTATCAGCCCCATCTGCCGACCCCATTTCACAGCACAAAATCGAGGGGCTGCCTCTCAAACCCCACACAGGCAGTTCGAGATCTAGGGCATTCTTGCTCGCACAAGCGACAGGCACGGCCGGTGAGAATCGGTCCCGGTGTCATAATGTAAGCGCCGCGGTACATAGTGTACCTCAGACGTGAAGGATTGTGACCGGCCGGCAGTTGCATTTTGACACCCTTATGGTCGACATTGGTTTAGGTGCTCCGTAAGCTTGGGTAATGTACAGTCGAATTTCGTATCTTTGTTTTCTTCAATATTTGAGTAACTTAGTCGCCATTCGAGAAATAATCCGTATTCGTGACATCCAAGATGGGGTCCATGGAGAAAATTGAGACAAGACTGTTCATCAACGGCAAGGTATAGCTCCCCTCAGCATATTGGTTTGAGAGCTACCCAACAAGACCTAACACTTGCCAGTTTGTAGAATCTTCAGATGGAAAGACATTTCCCATAAGGTCTCCCACGACAAGGGAAGTCATCGCTGAAGGTATACCATACGAAGCCCGTCCAGGAATGATGCGGATTTGCAATCTAACTTGTAACAATAGTGTCTGAAGCCAGCGAAAAGGACACCGATGCTGCTGTTGCTGCTGCAAAAGCGGCCTTTCCAGCATGGTCGGCACTGTCGCCTGATGAAAGGGGCGCATATATGAAGAAGTTGGCGGCTCTGTTGAACCAAAATTACAAAGAGCTATCCCAGCTTGAAGCTGTGTCCATGGGGCGACCAGTGTCGACGTATTTTGATAACTATGCCGCCGCAAGTACATTCGAGCACTATGCCGAAGCTGGATATGAGGCGCAAGGCATCAGCAGTCTAAACACGCCAGGCTTTGTCAATATGACCTTCAAGCAGCCATATGGCGTGGTCGCTGCTATTATTCCATGGAATCTTCCTTTGGTGTTTTTCGGAAATAAAGTGGCTCCAGCCATTGCAGCTGGCAATACTGTGGTGCTGAAAAGCAGTGAGAAGGCGCCGCTAACGGTACGTACAAACATCCAGAAGTGTCGCGCTCTGAAACTTCCGGCACACGCCCATATCACAGGGGTTGTTGACTGACAAGATGTACAGTCAGCCAAAGTCGCCGCATTGATCGAGCAAGCAGGCTTTCCACCCGGCGTCATCAACGTTCTATCAGGCCACGGTCAAACATCAGGAGCCATTCTCTCTTCCCATATGGACGTCCGAGCACTTAGCTTTACCGGATCATGTCGAACAGGTCGCATCATTCAAGCTGCTGCCGCAAAATCGAATCTGAAAAACGTGATACTCGAACTCGGCGGAAAGTCGCCAGCGATCATTTTTGAGGACTCTAACCTGGAGAATGCGGTTGTGGAGACCCAATCCAGCATTCAATTCAACAGTGGTCAGGTTTGTATGGCCAACAGCCGTATCTATGTTCAAGACACCATTGCCGACAAGTTTGTCGAATTGTTCAAATCCAAATTTGCTGCAATCTCTGCTGGAGATCCTCTAGATCCGGCAACCAACCATGGTCCTCAGGCAGATTCGGCTCAGTGGGACATTGTCCAAAAGTACCTGGCCGAGGGAAAGAAAGCTGGCGATGTGGCTCTGGGTGGAAAGACAGAGGTCAGTGGTCTTTCGGAGGCGGCATCCAAGGGTTACTTCGTTGAGCCTACGATATTCCTGAGTACGCCTGAAGATGCGGTTGTCATGAAAGAGGAGATATTCGGCCCTGTTGTGAATATCAACACCTTCAAGACGGAAGAAGAGGTGATTGCCAAGGCAAACGACAGTGAGTTCGGATTGTACGCGGCAGTTTATACAAAAGACATCAATCGTGCCATGCGGTTCGCCAAGGTGTTGGAAGCAGGGACGGTGGGTGTTAATTGCACAAGCCCGACCGTGGCCAAAGATATGCCTTTTGGTGGTTTCAAGAGTAGCGGTACCGGAAGAGAAGGTCTTGGTCACAGCCTAAACAACTTCCTGGAGACCAAGACTGTACTGATGAAGATTAACTCATGAAAAGCTAGTCTTCAATTCATTCCTGATATAGATCAGTTTCTTCTTGTACATCGTTGTCGTTGTCTTGGCCCGTCGAATGTGGTTGTCTGTTTAGTATCTCTCTTAGTTGGGCTTCTGCTGTTACCACCCGTTGGTTGCGTCCATTCACCCACGATAGAAGACTGGTCAAGTCGTTTGCTGAGACGAACGATTGCAGTCTTTCCCTGATAGTCGTTCTAGTAGGAGGAGCGACCAACAATGAGCCTTCGAAGAGATTACTTTCGTCAAAACTGTACAGTGGATATTGTCGACCGCTTTCAGATCTTGTTGGTGGTTCTAATTCTGATACAGCCATCGCATTTGCTGCAGCGGAGAGATATGTCTCTGACACAACGGCATCTGTGGTGGTAAGAGAAGTTTCTTGTCCGGCGCCTTGGTCTCGCAGCAAGCGTCGTGGAGTTAGTGGCTGACCATGGTATGCAACGTGATCGGGTACTTGCAGCACTAGAAGCTCCGTTGGTGCCGGGCCGTTGTGAAGAGAACCGGTCTCGGGAGTAGAAGCAGACTGAGCTGAGATCTCGCCCGCCGGTTCCCTCGTTCGTGGATGAGCTTGTGATCTTTCGAGGACACGATATGCTGCTGAGCCAGTCAGACTCCCATTCACAAGACTGGCATCTTCCGCTAATATGATAACATCGTCAGTCGCTAGTCTTTCATTGCTTGAGCTCGCTTCCGCCACGGATTGCAAGTGATTGCTCGACGCCCTGATCTCGCCTTGGGGAGGCAGTTGACTGTCATGCTGATCAGCAAGAACCAGTCTACTCCTTCCAAGAATTTCGGATATGGCATTCACATCGTCTTCGATCTCTTCTCGAACAGCTGCGAGAATAGATTGTATGCTATATTCCTGTATCGGTGGCAGCTCTTCTCTACTCATATCTCTTGCCCGCTTAGTCGAACGGTTCGTAGGATGGATTTGGATAGAAGCGGTATCGGAATGTACTCGAAGCAGGACAGGCTGGGAAGGGATGGTTGTAGAAGTATCACCAACAGACGGAGCTGGGCCATTTCTAGGTAGGGAGGATCGGGATGCATTTAGCTGATTGATATGCAAAGCGTTCGACAGTGGGGACACGTTACTGCGGTCGCTGCGAAGGTAGCTGGAAGACGGTGGAAGGGATCTTGCTTGCCCTTGATGTGTAGGAGTGGAAAGGAAGGCCCATTGTCCACCGAAGCGGCCCGACGACGTGTCTGCTCGAGAAGCCATGTATTATGGTAAACAGCGCATCAGGATCGGGAAAAGGATGAACGCAGAGCCGCCCTACAGGTCATAACCAACCTTCGAGTGCTCTCAATTCGTGCGAGGTGCAAAGACCAGCATGTAACACTAATGACGCTGAGGGCAAGCGGGCACACGTGTCTCAGACATCGAGGAAGTGGCAAGCTTCGAGTCCAACAGCATGTTGGCAGAGATAACAGCGCGAGAGGTGTCGTTGTTCAGCCTGCAGGAACATGTTAGTTAGTAAGTACAGGGAAGGAGGAGGTTTGCAGGGCCGGAAATGAGAGGTGGACAGGGTCCAATTGGCTCTTGCAACACCGGACACCGTTTAACGTTAAGCGTCATGCACCTGACAGATGGCGGTGAGGTATTCGACACATTCCAAACCTTCCACCATTCCGACATGCATGGCATCCTAGATCGGGAGATAACAGTGCGTTACACAACATCGATCCAGCGTCGTCTATGCAGCCTCGATCCTTCAGGCTGGTCCTGGGTGGGCGTCATCGTGGGACAACATGGTTCGTGAAGCGCAACTTCTCTGTACGTGACCACTGGAGCTTGCATACAGAGCCACGATGAATCCACTCCGTCAGCATCTATATCGAGGATGACAATATCTGAAAGGTCACTTCGAGATTGTGCTAATAGAGCCCAAGCCTTGGTGTCGATGTCGGCATTGTCGAACGAATGCTGTCGCGCAGGACGATTGAAGAAGGTACCAGCGTTTTATCACTGCAGCGTGGGTGAAGCCCTGCGTCAGGATCAGGAGAAGGTGAGTCGTCGCGCACGTAGGGACTCTCGCGCAGGACTCTCGGCGTCGGGCGATGATGTCGTTTCACGACGCAGTACGTCCAACGCTCCGCGCGACGTCCCCCCCATCGCAGGCAGTGAGTGACTGCCTACCTTCTCGGCGTTGATCAAGTCTTCATTTCTTCTTTTGCCATCATCACAACTCTTCTTCCTACATACCTCCCCTTCTACGCCCAGCTTCTATCTTGCCACAATGTCTCTACCGGGACCTGCCGATGGTAACGAGTCCTCGAAATCCCCTCTCGCAACAGCTTCCACCAACTTGGTGCCGGCTGACAACCCGACCTCATCAAGCCCACTGGCCAACGATGAGAACCTCACTCTCCTTCCTTTCAAGTTCCGCATTGAACTCGGCATGATCCTGGTGGTTGATCATCAAAAGATAACCGATAATGCGGACTACCTTGGGTACATGTATGTTCACGATCCAGACTATGAGAGAATCAAGGAAGACTATGAAGAGGAAGACGAAGAAGGAGGCATTCCAATGTATCAGTCAATGGAAGAGACATGGGGCCAACGCAAAGTCCAATTCTTGCAAGGTATCATCGAATTGGAGGGGGGCCTTGACGTCTGTGTTGGTAACCGGTGCAAACATGGCTACAAGACATGGCACGTTTATCGGGACTACTCGGTAAGTCTATCCTTCTGCGACAGGCACGGACTGCTAACACCCTCGCAGATGGACTTCCCCAAAAAGTATGAGGACGACGAAGAGACCCTTAACATAAAGCGCATTCGTCTTCAGGAGCACGCGAACTTTGACGGCTGGGATCCCGAAGAGCTTCCTGCGCCTTTGTGGGTCGACTCCGTTGGTGTCAGCCTGGACTCCCCATACCTGGAATGTCCTAGCCGGGGAGAACAGGGGATCTGCAATAGGGGGTTGGATGAGGTCACAAAGTATCTCGGCGTCCTGGACGACAATTACGACAAACCATGGCAATGTCTTTCGATTGAGGAACACGGACGAGTACACGTGACTATCGGTCTACCTTCAAAGGATGGCTTCGCAGACATCCCACTATCTGTTCTTCAACACCTGGCTTATCTGGTCATCAAGTATGAAGACGTGATCCTGTTGTTCACTTCCCCGTGGCGGGCGGGATGGGAGAATACGAACTCTGAGGACGTGGGAAGCAATCGAGCTGGTATCGTGGAGAATGGCAATCATCTCTGCAGCAAGTTCTCTCTTGGTCCATTGGAAGATGTCAAACGCAAGATCTTTTCGAAGGACATGACACCGACAAAGCTGTTGAGGCTCCTGCATGCTTATCATTACTGGAATTACTGGGAGCAGCCAGATGAGGAAGTGAACTGGACAACTGACAAATTTGTCACTTTCGGCACCAAACAGGTCACATTCCGCCAGCTTCATGGCACTATGGATCAGATTCGGGATTGGGTTCGATTTGTCACGGCTCTCATGCGTCTTGCAGAGAGAAAAGCCATGGAACCGGTCCCAACCCCACCTGCCATCGACGTCTGTTCCAAGCGAGACTGGGGACTACGAGAAGGCAGCAAATACAATAACGTCTTCGGTACCAAGGACGAACGCATGGCAGAACTGCTGGACCTTCTGGAGTTCTCGGGCTGGGAGAAGTGGCACTGGATTGAGTACTGGAAGATCTCCAGATGCAACGTCAGTACGGAGTTCAAGGAATACAGAAACTGCCCTGGATGCGGTTTCTATGACCCCGCAGACCACAAACACTACTGGAGAAGACGGAATTACAATGGAAAGCGTGGTGACTCTGTGCCACCAGATGATCTGGACGGAAATCGACGCCCAAGAACACCTCTTCCAGACCCTCCAAACATCGACAGGGACACCGACGATGAAAGCGAGTACGACAGCGATGGGGAGCGCATCGATGATAACGACACAAACAGTGCTAAGTCGGTGAACATGAGCCCGGACAAGGACGGCAGTAAGTCACCAAAGCACGACGAGACCCATGTTCAGGAAGAAATTCCAACAGCCGAGGATGACCTCAAGGTGCAAGATGAAGAATTGACTGGACAGAAGAGAAAGCGCGAAGGGGAGGGCGATGCTACTGGTGTGACGGACATGCCACCAGCAAAATGTGCACGAGAGGCATGAATGCAAGATGGCGTTTCTCATTCGAATCTGTGAGAGAACTTCAACCAAGCAGCAAGATCATTCAATGAGCTGGAAGAGATTTCAGCCAGGAAATCCAGGTTGTGCTGCATCGAGAGTGTCCGAGTACCCTACATACTGACAAGCCACCAAGCCGTGGCAGCAGAGGTCCTGTGACTGCTTCTTTCACTAGGTTTTCATTCTCTCTAGCAATCGGGCTTGTTATTAGCTTTAGCAACAGAAAAAGAAAACAAAAACACGAAATCCCAATACTAAGCGTTCTAAGGTCGCTGAAATCCTAAATTGATAGTCCCAAGCTTGGAAAAGGCTTTTTTCTCCAATGGTACACCTTTATCAAATCGGGCCATTTATCGACACCACGTGCGATGGATGCTCTCAACGTCCCTCGCTCGGTTCATGACGAGCTTCGCTACCTTCACCGTGGGATCGCTCCAAGCCGGGTGATGCCCCGCAAGATCTTGAACCATTACCCTCTTTTAGTACCATGATGAGCCTTTTTCGGTGCTGCTCGAGGGTCGACATCGACTTGTCTCAGTTCTCAGACCCATGAGGCTCACGTGACAGTGCATACGCACTAGTCCTTTTCGGAGAAAAGTCCTTCGCCAGAAGGGTCTGAGCTCCAAAATAGATAAAGTAGGCTTCTTCTCGTTACTCGACTACGTATTTTTCGATCTCTCTTAATAGTTAATCTTTTCCTTTTCTTTAAGCGTATTTATATATATAAATTTAATAAAGACCTAAATAAAGAAGAAAAAAGTAAATAAATTGAGTTACTATTCGTTAAGATAAATAATACCTAAGTATTAAGTATTACGATCGGATATTCTTCGTACTTTAGCTTCTTAATTTAATAACTTTTTAGTTTTAGGGTCGATTTAGCTTGGATTTTAAATATTATATATATTTTATTTATATTTATATTATATTAAAAGCGTTAATAAAAATACTTAAAGCGTAGCTATATATCTCTAAAAAACTAAGATTTTTTTAAAAATTACGATTTTCTAAAGGTTATAGTATATAAGAAAAAATTCTCGTACTATAGTTTTAAATCGAGGTATAAAGTATTTAAGAAGAGCTCGATACTTTCGAAATTACTAATAAAATCGAGTATATTAAGGGTTAGTTAGAGCAATATTATAAGTTTCTATATCGATATCAAAAACTTTTGGGAGAGTATTGCCAAGTAAGCGCTAGTAAGCGCTAAGAACAGGGGTTTTGACGTATTGGAGCTCAGACTCGTTTGGCAAGAAATTCTGCTGAATTTTTTGATTGGCTCGCCAATCCTGCCATACCCAGTCTGAGAACTGAGACAAGACATCGACATGTCATTCGCAGGAGAGCTCGACCTGGCGAAGTTTGTTTTTTTCAAAAGCTTACCTAGCTCCATCGGGTCGTCATCAGACCTCAGGAACAGGAAGCTAGATTTTAAAAAGTACAAAGATACTGTGCACCGACCATGGATCGTCTGTCTTTCGGCCGTCCTTTACTCTCGACGACATCCTTCATTTCGGCGTCAGAATGCTGCTCCAATCCACCACCGTCCTAGCGTTTCTGACGGCTCTGGCAGCCTCATCGCCATACGCCCCCAATGTTCGGCACCGTCGGCAATCCTCCAACTCATCCTCTTCTACTAATTCTACTCTGATCACAGATCTGAGTATCATCCAGTCGTATTGGGGTCAGATCACACCTTATGCCGATAATGCAGAGAACTATTTTGGTGTGAATGCCACAGGGCTACCAAACGGATGCCAGGTCGAACAGGCGCATCTGCTTCAACGTCATGGTGCTCGTTTCCCAACCAGCAGCTTCGATGACGGAGTCAACGACGAAAACTTCGCCGCCAAAGTCTACAATTTTAGCAAGACCGTCAATTCCTCCGCCCAGTTCACAGGACCACTCACCTTCTTGAACACCTACCAGTATCAGATGGGAGAGAGCTATCTGGTCGGAAAAGGTGCGTCGCAATTGTTCCAAGCCGGAGTTACATTCTGGGAACGATATGGTCGCACTTTGTACAATGCCACTCCCGGACAAGTGGCGTACAACGCAACCTACTCGAATGGCACCGCCAGACCCAAGCCTGTGCTGCGAACCACCAGCCAGTCGCGAATGGAGAACACTGAAATCAATTGGGCTCTTGGGTTCTTTGGTCCATCGTTCTTGACTACACCAAACCCTACCTTGGCGAACGCGACCAGCCCTTTCAACGTGGTTATCATCCCAGAAGGTGGCACCGAAAACAACACCCTTGCCTCGTATGACAGCTGCTTGAACGATAACAACGACCCCGAAGGCTATCTGGGAGATCATGACTTGCTCTCCGAGTATGTGCCACTTTACCTTGCTAGTGCTACCCAGCGGATGGCTCAATACGTGCCTTCGGGATTCAACTGGACCGTCAATGACACATATGCTATGCAGTATGTTGAATGTCCCCAATCATCAAGTAGCAATCGCTAACCATCCTGATAGGAGCATCTGTGCGTACGAGTACAACTTCCTAGGACGTTCGGACTTCTGCACTCTGTTCACTGAGGAGGAGTGGCAAGGCTTCGAAAACACACTCGACATCGAATACTACTACGACTACTCATACGGCAACCCAACTGGTCGAGCTCAAGGTATCGGCTATCTTCAAGAACTGCTGGCAAGGCTGCAAAACGAATATATCACTGTCTCCAACTCCAGCGTCAACAGCAGTTTGACCAATAACTCGGCAGACTTCCCGCTCAATCAGCCATTCTACGCCGACCTCACACACGACGACATCATCATCTCTGTCCTGACTGCTGCTTCTCTCGACTATCTCCGAGACCCACCCAGCTTGACTCAATACCCACCGGATCCCAAACGCCACTTCATCCTCTCACACTTGACACCATTTGCCGGTCGTCTGGTCACGGAAGTGATTGGGTGCGGCTCTTCCAGCCCGCCTGTGCAGAGCTCGAGCCGCACGCTGTACTATCCTGGGCAATACGGCTACAAGGCTAGCAATGCCACTTACAAGTTCATCCGTATGCGATTGAACAACGGTATTTTACCCTTGTCGACCATCCGTGGAGGATACTGTGGTAGCCGAGCTGATGGCATGTGCCCGCTGAGTGCGTTCATTGAGAGTCAGCAATCGGCTTATGCCCAGAGCAACTACGACTATGTTTGCTTCGCCAACTACACCGTGTCCTTCCCTAACAACGGCACTGACTACGATGGCACCCTCTTCAGTGGCTCTGCTGCACGTCGATTCTAATCGACTCGACTTTCCGATTGATCCTCGGTCATGAAGAACCACATGTATATAGCAGGGGCTCGACAGTGTCAGCACACTCGTCACAAGCATAGAAAATGGTAATGATAATTAAGAGTGCCTCCCAACTACCCAAGAATTGTTCACTTGGTCGACTCGGACGAATTTCATTTGTATTCCGTAATCAAAACCATCAGTGATGTATCCAGCCTTGTCCAGCCTCGTGAGGGGATACAGAATGTCAGCATCTGCCGGGCCGCGGCTCTACGGCATGACGACAAGACGAGAGCATCATCTCTGGGGATGTAGAAAAGGTTCCACGGCAAGGCGACATCCTGATAGATTTGTCATCCCGGTTCTCAAGGTGATACACATATGTTGCACACACTACAACCAAGACCGCACATATTAGCACGACCTCCCATCTTCAAACCAACATTCACCCCTCGCCAACCCTCCCGCAGTATCAAGATGGAATCCTCCCTCCACCCACTGTCCGGCCTATACAAGCCCAACCAACTCAAAGGACTCTACTATGGCCCCGACGTCGTCAAATCACACCTCCTCTCCGTCCTCCCAACCTCAGAATCCAAAGCATTCATCATAACAGGAAGTTCTCTCGCCAGCAAGACCCCTCTCATCAAGGACCTCGAATCGCTCTTGTCGAAACACCACGCCGGCACATTCAGCAACATCAAGGAACACGCGCCCGTAGCCCAGCTTGACGAAGCAACAGACCAAGTCAAAAAGGACTCGACAATCGACACCATCATCTCCGTCGGCGGTGGCTCACCAATCGACTCCGCCAAAGCAATCTCCTACCGCGTCCACGAGACCTCAGACAAATGGCTTCTACACATCACCATCCCAACCACACTCTCCGCCGCCGAAGCCACAGCCATAGCAGGCTACACTAAATCAGACGGCGTCAAGACAGGCGTGTCAGACCCTAACATCTACCCAGCCTACATTTTCTACGACCCCAAGTTCGGCCTCCACACACCACCACACCTATTGCTATCCACAGGTCTACGCGCTCTCGATCACGCCGTGGAATCCCAGTACCACCCAACGACAACGTGGGTGCCCTGCCGCCTGGTCGCGCTCAGCGCCATCAGCGAACTATTCAAACTACTCCCGAAGTACAAATCTAACCCGAAGGACGAAGACACGATTACAGGTCTCTTCCTCGCCGCGTACGCCAGTCTAGGATTTCTGGGTCAGAACATGAAAGGCGGATTGGGCTTGTCGCATACTCTGGGATATGCGTTGGGCTCACCGTACGGCATCCCGCATGGAATCACCTCGTGCATGACGTTGGGACATGTGGTCAAGTTGAAGGCCAAGCAGGACAATGCAAACGCTGAGGAAATCGCAAAGATCCTGCCTTATATTGGCGAGAAGAGGACCGGGGATGATCTCAAGGATAGTGAGCTTGTAGGCGACAAGATTCTGGGACTTGTGAAGGATTTGGGACTGAAGACGACGTTGACCGAGAAGGGCGTGGGCAAGGACCAGGTCGATATCATTTGCAAGAGAGCGACGGGCGGGTTGGTGCCGGCGAAAGACGATGGGCCGGATGATGGGACGAAGAAGGCGCTGAAGGAGTTGGTAGAGGGATTGTACTGAGCAAAATCATCAAATGGCGACTGCGCGGGAAGCCTTCGGCCAGGTAGTTGTTACTGGCAGCATCTGCCTTGAAAAGTAGTGGCTAGATATGCTGCGTCGAACATTTTACCATTAATCCGCTATCAGCTTCTACTATTCTGCTATTTTATTGGGGTTTCACGACCATGTAGTCTGCCACGTACTTGAGTACGTCGGCCACCACGCTCCCCACGACGCTGAAGCTGTGGGCAAGCCTTGCAACACTGTGGAGGTCGACCCTCCTACGGCGCCACTACTACTTACGCCAGCCGAACTAGAACTCCCTCCTGTGGAACTCAAAGTTGCACTCGAACCCGACCCTGTCTGTCCACTCGGCACAGCGTAAGGCCCAATCCCAGGTCTCGGAAAGTTCGGCGTCCCATCGCTGTTCCACGTAAACTGCTGCGTACGTATCGTCCTCGCCGACCATCCAGTCAAGTAGTCATGCATACCATGGTACACGAGCCAATCCTGCGTCCCATCCGGACTGGTGGTGAAACTCGCATGACCCACACCGTACACTTCTGCATCTGGATTCTGGTAGAACACACAACCAGCAGTGTATTTCTGCCAGGAACTCGGGTCCATCGGATCGTCACCCACAAGCTCAAGCTGGCCAAGACAGTAATTTCGATTATCGCTACGGGCGGCAGAGTATATGATGAACTGCTGTCCCGTGATCGGATTGACGAGCTGCTCTGGTCCTTCGTTGGAGGACAGCCGAACGTTGACGGTACGATTGTACGGCGTTTTCTCCCAGGGTTGATCAGGTCGGGAGATCACCGCGCGCTCGCTAAGAGGCGAGGAGACTGTCCAGGGGTCCGACATCTTCGATATGCAAAGCATGCTTGGCCACGAAATGTACTGTGCTTCCCAGCATGAGTAGACATGGTACAATCCCGTTGAGTGGTTGAAGTATGTTCCGTCAATGGCGAATTGGTCGTACGTGTCGAGCTCGGACTTGATATTGTAATCCGACTCCCAGGGATCGGAAGTGCTCGATTCGAGGACGAACATCCGGTGGTTTACTGCCGGACAGGTGAAGTCGCAGAGCATGTCTTGGTTGGGAGACGGCGAGTCGGCGTCGACGTCCGCGGTGAAGATCACATACCACAGCCCATTGATCTGATGGAGCTCAGGAGCCCATAGGTCGTAGCTATACGAAGTGTTGACAGGTGGTGAGAAGGCGAGTTTGACGTCGGCATTGTTCCAGTCTGTGAGGACGCTGCTGCGGAGAATGGTAATGTTGTCGTTGGTCGAATATGTCATGTAGTAGTAGTCCTCATGACGAGTGACCCAGGGGTCAGCTCCGACGCCATTCAAGATGGGATTTGTATATGTCGGCGGACCGGCGGTCGATGTGGTCGTCTGCCCGAAGCTGAGGGAGGTGAAGAGCAAAACGCTCGTCAGTGTGATGTAGCGATTCATGACGTCTGAGGGCACCGTGTGGGTGTAGAGAAGGAGGAAGGCTACGACAAGCACAAAGGAAAAGATCGTGAGGACCTGCAACAGGCCATGTGATGTGTGCTGCATTATGGTAGCATTGGTCCTCACCGTGGATGCGGAGTAAATATGCAGTGGTACTCGTATTGTAGCACTGTTCATGACGATCAGTATGGGGAAGATGCTTGCTCTGATCTCATTGTGCAGATTTCCATTGCGGAGAATGCAGTGCCCAAGTCCGTGGCCGGAGTTGAGTCAAAGCGCTGAACAAGCCCATGTAACAGACCTTTTTGGTATTTCTCAGATTTGATATTGATGTTTTCTTCACGGTATATTTAATTCGTTCGGCAGATTGACATTTGCAACATACAAAGGTCGAGTTGCTCGGCTTAGTGGGTCGGTGGGTATACTATCGTCGGTCACTATTCTTCATTCCCTAATCTCCTCCGCTTGCAAATATAATGATTATGCTAGATCACATTAACCCGGCGTGACCCAAGTGTCTTTCTCAGGACATTTCCTGCCTCTGCTGACTCTCTAGATAAGTATGTACTTCCAGCCGATATGTTGGCTAATCCATTCAGCAGAACCGAATCTCAAACGTTGATGAGAGTCCTGAAACAGCAGTCTAAGCCTGCACCGTGAGACTTGCTTCATAGTCGAAATATCCCCCGGTCACAAAAACCGATGGACAATCGGACAATTATTCACGATCCCAGCGTCGCTCAACGGTGTCCCATCCTGTCAAAGTCAGAAAGCTGTGTCGGTGAACGCTGGGACAATGCAAAAGACTCATGCTTCAATGGCACAGGTTTTCGCTGGAAAGGATACTTACAGGGTTCGTCACATAGCCAGCAGCTGCCATACCCAGCACCTCAAACTCACCCGTCAATCGTGTCCGAATACCATTTTCAATGCTATAATTCGTCCATGCAAACAGGTTGAAGTCCCATAGAGGCGAATAATCTGTCATGGCGGTCAGAACGGGAGGTTCACCGTCGATCTTGGGGGTGACAGCTTACCGTAAGCTACTGACGGAATAGCTCCAAGGATATTCAATGGGTTACCATCCCCAAGGATAGCACTACTCAAACCCTGTCGCCATCGATGATGTGTCTCGTTGTTGGGTGCACCTGGCGGCAAATCCCGGTTGGCGTACCCGTTCGTGTTCACAAAGAACCGCTCAATACCGCTGAACAGGGCATCGTCATCGCCGGTTTTGACCGCAGCAAGACGAGGAGCATAGGTCCCGCCGTCCAAGGTGGCAGGTAACGGATCCGATCCATCTGCAATCAAATACAGCACGGATTTGGAGAATGAAAACCCGCGGATGGTAGCAAGCGTCACAACTTCATCACGCGGGCAGATTGAGAGGACCTGATCGTGAACTTTGCTGCGAAATTCCGTGAGACGATCGGCAGGGATGCCGTCGCAGAACTATCAATTCTTAGCAACAATGGAAGCCTTTCAAGTAGGTGACTTACTTGATTCAGATAGTCCTCATCCACATCTCCCGCAATGATCTGTCCCAATTTTCAGTCCCTCGGTCTCTTAAACAGTACTTGGCTTGGACGGCTTACCGGTGCATTCCAAACTTCGTAACCCGCATTTGTAATCTGGATGAGCGGTGTATAGTTACTGTCACCAACGCTTCCAGGTTGTACAAACTTGGGTGGAAATGGAGACGAATCGCCAGGTACGATTGATCTCACTGGCGAGAACTCGACCATTCCTTGTCGTCCACAGACTGTGTTGTTGACAATTTCGAGCTGTTCAGCAGCTTTTATTCCTCCACTGGTTAGTCCTTGAGCTGCAAATCGGAGTTTGGGGGCAAAATTGAGGCCGAGTTGTTTTCCGTTGCCTTCGTCCGATGTATCTGTGACGATCCACCAGTAAGTCGTGTTCGCCGCTGATAGACCCTTGTATAATGGCATCGTGAAGTTTGGGTTGACTCCATAGTTCACGTGGCCGTTTCGAAGAAGATCCACAGGTCCAATAAGTTCATGCTTCTCGTATGAAGCGAAGGGCCCTTGATATCCAGCTTGGACTGCGGTGGCGAAGGATGGATCAGCGATATCGATGGTAGGGTCATCAAAGCCAGATGATGGATCTGAATCGAATTCTGAGGGCAGATCTTGACGGCCACGGAGACTGTGTCCTGCCAGAGGACTGGCGAAACAGAGTGCGGCTTCAGCGAGAAGGATCGCGAGTACCTGAAGCTTCATCTTTGCAGTGACCACCAAACTGACCTGTTCTCTCGCAGAATGCTAATCATTCTCTGTCCCGTCTTTTATATGTTGGAATTCGTGGCTGGCCAAACGGACGGAAATAATCCAAAATTGCCGTTACAAGAATGAGTTCGTCTTTTGCTTTTATGGCTTGATTCGAACAGTGTCATTCGCCAAAACTTCGTTGCTAGAAGTGAAGATCCCCTTGTCGAATGTTGGCGGAGGTCATGATGATGGAACCAGGCTCTGGGTGCTGCTGACCTTCTCAAGAGTGGTAAACAATAGTTACTTGATCCGGTAATACGATCTTTACGGGAGGCCTTATAAAAGCCTACGTGATACTGTAAACATCGAGTAGGTGTAAAAGTAAGTTCGCCTTTGACTTATAGTGGAGGTTCCTGATGATGGAATCAGGCTCTGGGTGCTGCTGACTTCCTCAAGATTGGCAAACAAAATTTGGTTAACCCGGCTGGCATTATGATGATGGTCAGGGTCCTCCGCGGGTGACCGGTTTCTTTGGTAAGATGGCTTATCGGCGTACTGCAGTCTTGTTGACTGATCGTTTTCATACGATACTGAGGCGCAATAGCAGGATCAAACCACGGCGCGACGAAACATTTTAATGAGAGTTCTCTAGATTGACGACGATCAGTATGGGAAAGGAAGCTGCTTGCTCTGATCTCATCGTGCAGATCTCAATTGCGGAGCATGGAGAGGCCAAGTCCATAGCGGGAGTCAAAGCGTTGGACAAGAAATCATAACAAACCTCCTTTTCTCTCTTTCAACCTCTCACCAATGTTTTGCCCTCCTGTATGGCAATCAATTTGCATGAGCTGCTTGCGGAGAAGAAGACAAATACTTGTCCATGATTGTCCTTCCTAGAGCTGGTCGGCCTCAACATCATGGGTTCGCTCTCCCGAGCTACTTTTCCACATAAAATGTGTGTTCCACGGGAGATGGGATGGTTTGTTCCATCAGCGGGTTTACTGTTTGTGGACATCCGATGGTTTGATTGAGCAAACCATGACAAAGATACTGTCCAACATATGGACCGCAAACATGCACCGTCCTCATAATAAGCTGACATGAATGATCATCTTTCTCTCTCCCACAACATTTTCAGCCTCTTGAGCGTTCCAGCAAGCCATCTTTCCTCACCCTTTTGACACTGACACGATGTAAGAACGATGTGGCTCGGAAAGCTCATACAGTTTCCATCACCTGATCTCTCGTCGTGCTGGTTCGCTACAGCAGCCTGCGATGGAGTGCGTTGACGCAGTCGCAATGCCAGACGTGGCAAAGACTCAATAGGAAAATGCTACATGTGAGCATCGGCTTGAACAATAACAAAAAGCAACGTCTCCCTTGAGTCTACAAGGATATCACAGCTCCACCAGCCGAATGAAAATGGCACTATCACATGCCGGGTGAAGTCGCAGGAGACGAAGTGACACCTTCGCTGCCTCCAACTTATTGCAAGTCACTGCAAGCACAAACCGACGGTCTGACGGAGTGACAGTATCACTGCCTGGATCACCCTCACTCGCTGCCTGCGGCTCATTTATATACATCATGTTCACATTCTTCCACTCTTGTCCGGAAATTGTATCAGATCTTTGCGTTCAATCCCATCTGTTGCCTTCACCTTGACCAACACGTTTTGGTTACCTTTCAAGAGCCCCGAGGATGGCCACATCCAATAACTCGCTGGTCGTACAAACTGACGGCGGTCAGATCACCAATGCGAACAGACAAGGGCGACGATCTCGGGTACGACAACTCAAATGCGGACATTCCAGCTGCGGCAAGTACGGGCACAGCACAGACCAATGCTGGGTTGCGCATCCTGACCTTCGACCTCACAAGGGTGACAAAGAAGGAGGAAGATTAGTTCGAGGTCATACTTCTGGTCAGCATACCGCAAAAGCCAGTTCGTCAACTCCATTTCGATTTCTCGACCTTCCGGCAGAGATACGATACCGAATCTATGAGGCAGTCCACGGACATGGTCATGCTCTGATCTTCAAGAAGCACGGCCTTTACCCGACAGAATGGCATGAGGGTTGGAAGGATATGTCAAACCTCTATTTTGTCTCAAAGAAAGTCTACGCGGAGACAGCCTTTATTCGAGAGACTACCAATGCGTTCAATGGTCATATGCGCGTCGAGATCCGGCCATTCGGTGTCAACCTATACGCAAACGACGGCGCTCTGGTACGCGAGGTTACTAAAATGACGTTTTTCGGCTATAACAGCTACAACATGTTCGCAACCACATTTGACAGACGTGAATGGAACGAAATTGGTTGGTTCCCGAACGTCAAAGAAATTCATGTGGAGTGGTCGATGCTTCAGTACAAATACAAAACAGGTTCCAACAATACCTACAGCAAGGGGTGGAGGCACCTGTGGCAGCCAGGCACAATGAAAGCCTTCTACGCCGGCGAGCAGGACTACGACTTGTCGTGGTACACACCATTCGAGCGACTCAAGTTGAATCATCTTCTTTGGCTTCTGAAGGTGCGCAGATATCATTGCAAGCTCTTTGTCACCATCATGCAACCGTGGCTTGACAATGATCGGAAGCCTGTCTTTATCAAAGTAAGTGTCGACAGCCTGTCGATCTGAATGTCTTCGCTAATCATGTGCATAGGAGATCAAGTACAGCATTGGAAGAGGAGGTCTCAAGTCCGTCCTCTATCGACGTGCGTACCATGCGCCTCCGTACCGTGCCCCAGCCTATAGGGATCCAAGACTTCCAAGACTGCCCTCAGCTTGGTATTATCAGGAGGACGGAGGTGAAGTTGCGGGCTAAGTCAGTGGAGACTGCAGCTGAGAACGTTCGTCAAAATCCAAAACCTTTCCGACATATGGATATGGCAGTCTCCACCAATAGCAGAGACCTGCCCACAAGAGGCACAATACCAGAGGCAGTGTCAAGCAGAGCCAAATGGAAGGAAAGTACTGCGAGTCGGAGGCAAATGACACCTCTTTTGGCTTGCCAGTAATCACAGACGTGCTGGACAAGAGTCGGGCTGTTCAATGTAGTGATAGTCAATATCCTTTTTTCACATCAACTGCCCTCCGCATCTCCTGCACAAACCGAGGGCCTGCCGGAGTGACAGTATCACTGCCTTGTTCGCCCTCACTCGCTGCATGCGGCTTATTCACATACGTCAAACAGTGCCTGGAACCCTGCACCAAACTCTTCATAGAGCAGGCCGATCTCATCAGCGATTCTTTTCTTGCCACGACGCCAAAGGTTTCTCCTACTTCTCAGCCAGTTCTCGAAGACTCAGGGGTCCAATACCTCGACTTAGCATACTTCAATCGTTCGTCCAAGATTATCTGAGGCACCGGCGGAGGCTCTAATCATCAACCATCGACCATCAAAGAGTAGGCCGAAAAACTCCGGCTTCGTTGGCGATCTTGCTCCGAGGCTCACGACTTCGACCTTGTATCGTTCTTCCAGTACCAAGAAGATGGCCTCGTCAAACAACACAACAGGCTTGATCGGATATGGCTATCGAGGCGAGTTGAGCAGACGCACACGACGAGGACAAGGACACCGAGTCAGATGCTCACACCCGGGTTGCGGCAGATATGGACACACCTCCGATCGATGCTGGATCGCGCATCCTGAGCTTCGACCTGAAAATGTTCGCCACGCTGGTGAAAAAGCCGGTCGAGGTCATGTTCTTGGAGATCAGACTGCGAAGGACGTTTCACCTACTCCGTTTCGATTTCTCGCCCTCCCATCAGAGATACAGAATCGAATCTTCGAAGAGGTTTACAAACAAGGACACGTGCTTACAATCAAGAAACTCATGCCACCCTTTGGACCTACAACGCTTTACCATCATATGAACTTGCCAAAGCTCCACCTTGCGTCTAAGAAGGTGTACGAGGATTCACGCTTCGCATGGGAGACAGCTTCCAATGGTCATCATCTCCGCGTCGACTTCTGGCTCATTCATGACATTTACCCAACCCCAAACAACGACCATCTGCGTTCCAAGATCACCAAAATGACCTTCTTCGGTTACAGTCCTCGCGACATGCACTGTACCAATTTCGAAAGAATTGAATGGGACAACATCGAGACAGCCTTTCCAAACCTCGAGGAGATCCATGTGGAATGAACTTGCACTCGATTCAAGTATGAGAGATGGTCCAACAAAGTGTGCACTCAAGAGTGGATGGAGAAGGAGCAATTTGGCGACACAGCCTTCTTGCCCGCCCCAGGCGCCATTTATGAACAGATGGACTTCTCAGACCAGTGCCACGCTTGAAGTTGTGGTACCTGTTCAACCGCGTGAATGCGGGTGACCGGCAGTGCAAAGTCTTTGTCACCTCTACACTGCAGTGGCTGGATCACAAGCGCAAGCCTGTCTTTTTCCAGGTGAGTTCTATCGGCGTGCGGTTTTCGACGTTGTGACTAATATCGCCATAGGAAGTCAAGTTTCTCGTCGAGGACGGCGAACAATTCTCGGCACCCCAAATTGTCTCTCATCGTTCTTTCCAACCACACTCAAAGAGTGTTGAGTCGTTGATTGAATGAGGGACAGCAAGCGATTGTCCGGTCTTTCATTGAGCACCGATCGGTAATGGTGTCACGGTTGTTCCAGCCCGTTGCTGCTCGAGCTGTGCGAGCTTGAATACAGCACTACCCTGCATCTGGTATTGGTCGTCTCAGCCACGGACGAAGATCTGGCCAGAAGGATTGACACAGCAAGGAAATTGCAGGCATTCATTGGTGAAGGAAAACTACTGCGAGCTGAAAGGAAGGAGAGCAAGTTTGGGTTTTTTTACTCTTTCAGACGTGCTGGACGATGATCAGGATAATCCTCATAGTAATAGTCAAGTCTTCTTTTCATATCAGAGTCCATTCGCCATTCCCTGCCCACATCACAAGGATGCTTTAATCTTCTCATCCAGCGGCTTAATCTCGACCATCAACTTGCCTGCGCCCTGTTAGCTCAACCATGCCCATCACAGTTGAGTCGCTTACCAGTATTGACACCATCATACAGATCTCTCAGCGCATACTCTGCCTTCTCCAGCCCACCCTTCACTATCGTCTCTTTCCTCTTGATCTTGCCTTCTGATAGCCACTGCGCCAAATCTTTCAGTGCTCGCGGATACTCCTTTGCGTAGTCGAACACGATGAATCCTTCCATGCTATTCTGGTCAGCTCCGAAGGTGCAGCTGCGGAAAGTACTTACCGAATCCGCATCGATACTATCATCAAGTAATTCTACATGCTGTCAGCGGCCGCCATCCAGACTCATTGGGTCCATTCATACCTTTGGCCCCTGCGGATTAGACGTGTTATACTGGCTGATGCCTGGCTTGATGTCAGCACCACCCCTCGCCTTTGCCAACCCTGCCAAACGTACCACCACACATAACGAACCGGGCATGCGCCTTCGCCCTGCTCAGCGCCATATCCAGAATCTCACCACCAACTGCAACAAGGTCAGCCCGATACTTACCACGACCATCCGGCCTGACAAACCGTTATCAAAGTAAACGTCAATCAAATCCTGCTTCTTGTCAGTCCTCTCTTCTCCCAGCACTTCATGCCCCCAGGGCGGCCAATGACTCACCTTCGTCGCGGCCCGAAACTTCTTCCCAAACTCCTTATCCTTGTAATTCAACGCCTCATCAAACCCCAACTCCTCCGTAAGCCATCGACACTTATCATCGCTCCCGGCAATACCCAACACAGTAGCACCCTTCAATTTCGCAATCTGCCCGACCACACTACCCGTCGCGCCAGCCGCGCCCGAAACAACGACAAAGTCACCAGCTTTGACTTTCCCGACGTCCGTAATGCCAAAATACGCCGTCAACCCAGTCATGCCCAGCACACTCAGCGCATCAATCAGCCTCGCGCCCCTAGGAAGCTCGATCTTCTCCAATTCCTTTCCCTTACAAACCTTGAGTTCCGTCCAGCCCACCGTTCCCTGAGCATAACTTCCCTTTGGGAACTTAGGGTCTTTACTCGTGAGGACAACACCGACAGCATATCCGCGCATGACCTCGCCGATTTTTACGGGAGGGACGTACGATCTGGTGTCGTTCAACCAGCCTCGCATCGCCGGGTCGATGGACAGATAATTTGGCTGGAAGAGAATTTCGCCGTCTTTGAGACTGTCGGCTGATGGAGCGGCGTTGGTGGATATCAACCTGAATGTCTCGCCGGGGATGACATTATCTTTGGGCCGTTTGGCGAGGACGACGGTCTTGTATGTGCTGGCCGCCATGTTGATTATCTTACGACTGGACGCGCTGTTATTCAGCCAGGAATGAAGCGACTATGGGCTGATGGACTCGCTTCTTGAGGAGAGAGCAATCAGTTGAGACAAATGAATGGCCTAGGCATCTTCATGGATTACTGAAACCTTGTGGATGCAACATCACATGTACTTAGTTACGAAGCATAAGCATAAGGTTCAGGCATTTTACCTCGGTCTGATCTGTATTGAGATAAGATTAGATGGTGGATTGATGGCCGCTTTACGCGATCACGACGCCGCTTTCCTTTCCTGCGCTTCATCTTTGGGCAACGATCACCTTGATCTCTTCTGGTCTTTTCACACAGTGACGCGCCATTCTTGTTCGCTCTTCATGCAGCTGCCAGGATGATCCGAGCGGAGAACAGACACGTTCTTTCCAACGTATTTGGTACCGCTGGCTCGCATATTCAGACATCCCGACCCGACAGAACGCGTTTCTGTGCTCCCAGCAAAGTAGCACAAATATCGGACATCGGTATATGTAGCCGTGTTAAGGATAGCATGATTGGAGTAGCTGTCTTTGACAAGTCTTCCGTGGTCGGAACGTGTTTGTATGACAGAAAGTTTTGGTTATTATTGTTACACAATATTAATATCTTTTGGAATGCACCCGCTTGTCCGGAACAATGCAACGCTTGCTATACACGAAAACCAAATGCAGGAAACCAGTTGATCGCTTCAAACACCACCCGCTCAACCGAAATATTGTTACACGGCTTCTAGACGGCCACCGGAAGCAGCTCGACCTTGGAACAGGAGTTGGGAATGCTGACATTGGCAGTGAAGCCAGCAATGTTGAACAATTGAGGTGAAGTCAACCACCAATCGCAAGCCAACCATCCACCAATGCTGCCGTTGTATTGGAGACCGGAAGAGTTGAAGAAGAAGCCTTCGTAGCTGACAGGATCGGCAGCGATGCTGATAGTAGCTTCGGACCATGCTAATACCACAGTTAGTCAAAACGTTCTTGCATACAGGACTGTCCAGTCTCACCTTGGTAGTAGTTTCCAGTGGACTCCACAATGGCAAGAGGCCATGGTCCGATGTTGTTGTCCGGGTACGTGAACAGCTGCTGGGTGCCGTTCAAATAGCCAATCATAGCATCGGTCTTGTTGGCGATCAAGGCGGCATCTCCGAGACCAGCACCGGTGTGGTAAGAGAAGATGTACATGCCATCCTTGTCGCTGCCGGTGTCCTTGTGGTCGCCATTGACAACCTTGGTTTGAAGGTAGTATTGGGCGGGTACAGTGGTGGCTCTGCTTTCAAGGATGGGCGAGGCGGACGAGATGGCGAAGAGGGAGAGGGCAGCGGCGCTGACTGCTGTGGTGAAATGCATTTTGATGGTAGCTTTGAGAGTAAGTTTTAGCTGTGTGTAGATACTCGTTGTAGGAGAGTGGTGAGGGTTGTGTATGGTTTATTAGAGGTGAAGCTTTGTGATTTTGGAAAATGTAGAATGGGGATATCCAACGGCAAGAGCGAGAGAAGAGGTTCTTTTATGTCAACGACGATCCTACCTGTCGAAGCCATCAGGCCATCATCGCTCAAGTGGAAAGTGGCCACCGAGGCAATTCGCATTGAGTAGTACAAAGGGACAAATACCTTGGGAGTGAATTTTGTGGGGAACGGAAGCAGCAAAGGGTGACAGTGAGGGGTGGCAAGCGACGAGGTTTTTGGCTGCTGATGCCATGATGCGGTTAGCTGCCGTCTTACCGTCTTGTCTAGCTGGAAGCACAGACCAATTATACTGCAGCACATGATGGTAGACGTGCGTCAAGTCTTTCTGTCTTTATCGAGTCGGGTAGAGATCTTTAAGACATTGATGACCAACTCCTACAGGTACCCGCTGCCCCAGCCTCTACACCAAGCTGAACTGGGTACCTTGCTTGAGGATCAAGCAGAGGCCAAGACATGCAAAGTCTCCAGCTGCTCATGTCATGCAGCTGTCCTGCAGACCTCGGCGCTACGAGTACGGGTGCTGAGGAATTAGCGGGATGCGGAAGATCCGAACATCGAACATCGAACTTCCATTATACAAGTAGAAGCGATGCCATGCGAGGTACGTCTGGTTCGACATCGAAGACAAATATCACCATACTCCCTCCCGTACTATTTACTGTAGGTACATCTTTGCCCATCGTCTAAGCCGCAGACAGCCGGGAAGACCCGCTGATAGCGTGGCTAATAATAACCGGAAAAAGTCTGTGACTCTGGAACACTGGGCTTGCAAGCTGCGTAGAAAGCTTATAACCTTCAAGCTATGACCCCATCACTGTTCGTCATTGAGCGGTATTTGGCGGGAGTAACCCTACTCTACTATTTCGAGTATGTACCTAGGTACTTTCTGTCCATCTCAAGTTCGGTCATTGTCATCAAAGATGTGGTTCCAAAATGCTCGATGGTGATGAGTGTTGCCCGTGGTCGAAATCTCATCCACTTCCTTGGATGTGAGCTTGAAGGTAAAGATTCTGAGCATGTCACTCATTCTCTGCTCTTTTGAACTGGTGGTGATTGCGACAACGTTTTGATCAATGCACCAGCGCAACAAGATCTCTCCAGGGTTCACACCATATTTCTTGGCCAGTTGCTCAAGGTACCCATCAAGGGGACCTCCTTTCGCTTTGGTGACGGGAGTCAGAGGTGCATATGCTGCGACCTTGATATCTTTGTTCTTGTGGTATGCCAGCAAGTCTCCATGTTGAAGGTAAGGATGGAATTCTGCCCAATTATCAGCATGATAAACTGCGACACCCTAGAAACAAGACATACCAATCTGATTGATAGCAGGGCGGACCTTGGCAGTTTCAAGAATAGCATCGAGATCGACCTTACGAAAGTTACTCACTCCAATGCTCTTGGCCTTGCCTGAGGCGGCGACCTGCTCCATGTCGGCCCATTTCGCTTGAAGCGCCTTCTTGTCGCCCTTGGCGAAGAAAGGTGCGTGAATGAGGTACAGATCAACATGATCAAGTCCGAGTTTCTTGAGACTTCGATCGATGGCAGCAGGAATATCGTCAATGTGAGTAATGACTTTGGTCGTCACATAGAGCTTTTCACGGGGCCCTTTGCTTTCTTTGATGGCTTGACCTAGTTCCTCTTCTGTGTTGTACACTTCAGCTCCATCGAGATGGTAATATCCGACTTTGATCGCGGTTTTCGCTGCATCGATCAAGCCTTGGTCTTTGGGAGAGTTTTCATCATTCTTGTACCATGCTGTGCCCGTGCCATAACCTATCTAATGGACATCAATGGGTGGTCTATCAGGAGGGATGCACTCCAGCTTACCATGGGTATCTTATTGCCATCAGGCAGAGTAAGATCAGGGATGTTGAGTTCCAGCTTAGCCATGGTCGAAAAAGGATGACGCAAGTGATGTCGTGTTCCGGATACGAGGTGAAGACTGCGGAGACTTTGAAGACTTCGAGAGCAAAAGATAGAAGATGGAGATCGAATCATACAATGTGATGCTGATGAGTTCAGTTTGATGCGAGCTCTCAGTTGTTTGGGGAAAGTGAGGTTTTTCCTCTTTATGAGCAGGAGAATATCCCGCTGTTCGCCGATCCGTGTTGATAGTAATGGTGGTGAAAGGTGGGGTAGGAAAAAGGTACCCGAAGTCGGCCATTCGACGACATGACGTGCTCGTATGTCACTTACAACGCATCTCGTGTATTCTTCCTCGTAAGGAGCTGATACAGCGTGCCATATCTCGAAACGCAGTGTCGTTGGACCTGGGCGTTTCTGATTACCACGACTTCCCGAAATATCGCCAATGTGCGAAGACATTGAATCAGGCTTTCTTGCCTCAAGCTCCTGGGCGTCAGTCCCTTGATCCGGCACGAACTGGACATAAGCCAGAGGAGCCGTGAAGTTTTGACCAGCAGAGGTCTTCACACTCGGTCTTCCAGCCTCCAGCAAGGCTGGGATCCAGTCGAGACAGGAAACGCTGCAAGTCTGTGTCCAATGTCCAGCTCAACAGCAACCTCTGCCCTGTCCACTTTTGACCGCATCGTTCATGGTGAGATTGACTGTTCTTGGAGCCTTTCCTTCTTCTCGTCCACCTCCTGTACCATATCCTTTGACACCACTTCTTCTGTCATTCAAATCATATTTGCCGGCTTCGATGTTTTGATATATTCTTTCCGCGACTTTGAGGAATGCAAGTTCGACGCCTTCGCCACTTTTGGCACTGGTCTCGACATATTCAACAACATTCTCTCGCCGGCACCAGTCTTCCGCCTCTTCTTTCGTCACAGCACGTTTCGTTCCGCCCTGGACATCAGTGCTTTGTTCTGCAAGATCCGACTTGTTCCCAACTAATATGACCACGATGCCCTCTTCGGCGATTTGTCTGAGGTCATTGAGCCATGCCGTGACTGATTCAAAGCTGCTTCGTCGTGTGATGTCAAACACCAGCAGTGCTCCTGAAGCTCCACGAAAATAACTCCGGGTGATGCTTTTGTATGTTTCTTGACCAGCAGTGTCCCATAGCGACAGCTTCATCTTCTTCTGCTCCGACGAAGTGGAACCATTCGCGACACCGTGCGGGTTGCCCATCCCTAGAGATGCATTTGCAGGCGGACCTACAGGCACTATTCGCGAACCGAATTCAACACCGATCGTGACATCGTGAGAGGAGGAGAATCGCCCTTCGCAAAGCCGGACTGTGAGACTGGACTTGCCAGTTGCTGAATGCTTGTGAGCTATATTTGTGTAGACACAAGACCACCCTGACTTACCAGAATCACCTATGCATACAAGTTTTGCAATGTAATTCCACGGCAACGTAGGTTCAGGCACGAGTGTCGGCATCGGTGTTATGGGACGTGTTTATCGTCGCTCAGCTGCAGTCAAGACTGTTCACTCGTGATATTGACCTTGACGGAAATGACTGTGACTATTGATCATATAGGAACATGTGAATGTGTCTGGTGACAAAGGCAAAGAGCGCGCAGACTCTAATTAGTGACGCGCCGGGGCACCGCAGCACCTAAACTCAACAAGGGTTCGAGCCTGGGCCTTTTGTCAGCCTAACGATAATAATGACGAGCCACCCAATCCAGCCACCAGACCGCATGTCACTCCTCCAACCATGACCCTCCGCAGGCTGCCTTTCACTGCCTTTGTCCGACCATACCAAACCATCGTTACCACACCGGCTTCAGACACCGACTCTGCTTCACCTTTGCTCGTCCTACAAGCACGCGATCAGTCACTCGTCTCTCACATCCCGTTGCCACTGTTCATAATCCATCTTCTTGTTGGACCTGCTGCGTGCTTGAACTCTTGAATCATTGCTGCTATCTTATCACGATCCACTCGCGTCGACTGATAAGTCGCATGGTCACTGCCTGCGGGCAGGATGTTCTCCGAATGTACGTATCGCGACAACATCTGGAACACAGTAGCTGACCATACTTTAGATGCCTCTAGATTTCTCGCGCAGTCCCAGTCTCGCATTAGTTTCGCACCGACCGAAGAGCGCCGTCCTGGAGACGGTCAGACTCGAAGACAGAACCAAACATGGCGGTCATCCACCGCTTCAAGGACCTTGAATACTCGAAACCCAAATCCTTATCAACCCACATCCTCACAAATATCCGGCTTTCCATTTGCCTCACGGCTTAATCCTCAGCAAGCCCCTCTATTTTACAGTGCGACAGACGAATTCCGGGAAGAGAATGATGAACAAGAACACGAACGAGACTTGGCTGACTTCTACGCTTTGCAAAGATCAAGGCGACAGCTAGGAGCCAGCGCTGATCTCAAGGCGTCGTCCGATGCGGGGGATGCAAGCGAGTCCAGTCTGAATGGAGCAAGCAGTCACGGTGAAGATACTCGTGACAGCCCTGGAAGAGGAGGTGGTATTCGAAGTTCATGGCATGGCGGCGCTCCGAGTTCTCGACGAAGAGCACCTAGGCTAGGTGATCTGGTGGAGTCAACGGAGTCGCAGGCTCAGAATGCAAGTCCATCAGCCTCTAGAACCCATATGGTCGACATTGGTTTAGGAGACACCCTACGGACCGAGTACGATGATGAGCCACCTGAGGATTTGATGGAAGACCCTCCATCTGTTCAACAACTGCGAAAACCGGCGCTGGCGGACTACGATTCGGAAGGATCGGATCAAGACTATGCGACGAGTTCACAATTACTGGCTGGGCAAGGTCATGTCGAGAGTAATCGTCCTGACGACATACAACAGCCAAATCAGCTGCCGAGACATGACTCTTTCTGGGGACAAGTCTACTTACTCAACCTGGCAGCCATGTTTACTACCTGGTTCCTTGTCTTTCTTCACACCAGCTCACCCAGTTCGAGTCAACCATTGGGTGACACAATCTACACAACACTCCATGGATCTTTCTACCTTCTAGCGAGTTATACCGTTGTAGCGACGTTCGTCTCACTGTTTTGGCTTGCGGCACTCAGATCATACGTCCGATACTTGGTTTACGGCATCTTGGTCACCGTTCCAGTCATACTCTACTCATTCTCGCTTTATCCGTTCATATCCAGCTTTCAAGGGTCCTGGCACGGCTCCAGCATTCAGGATACCGTGATGCGATGGAGCTCACTTGTACCTGCAATCATGGCTACACTGTGGATCCTGTCTGTGATAAGGGGCAGACTGGTCATGCAAAAGGCCATTTCAATATTGGAGTTTGCAACAAGAATCCTGGCTGCCAATCCAACTCTGGTACTGGTTGGCTTTTCAATACTGGGCTTCATAATCAGTTTCACCTGGTTATGGTTGTCCATGTTTACCAGAGTGTTCCTGGGTGGGCATCCCTCAACTCGCTCGACCATCAGCAAATTCGTCATTGACACATCGACGTGGTGGCTCGGAGTCTATTTCATCGTGGTATACCTTTGGACGATCGCCATCGCCTTTGGGATGCAACGGACTATCACATCGGCAACTGTCTCACAATGGTACTTCCATCGTCTGGCTGTACCTGCACCCACACCGCAGGCCATCGTGAAAGCAGCGCTGTATCACTCGTCGACGACTCTTTTTGGCACGATCTCGCTGTTTACAGGCCTTGGGCTTATGGTCAGATTACCTCTGCTGGTCCTGCCTCGGCGACTGACAGTGTTGATTGGATTGGCGATGTATGCATTCATACCGAGTCCAATCGCCGTCCTGATCAACCCATTAACACTCACCTATGCTGCCATCCATTCCCAGCCTCTTAGCGTCAGTGGGAGAGGTCTTGCACAAATGCATTTCCTCACGCCAAATGACACTACCACAGCCTTGCACCCAAACACCTTCAATCGAAGTCGCCGCAATGATGGATGGTCTGCCGACTCCTCACCACTCATGCCATATCGTCTGGCGAAGCTCATCCTGCATTCGACGCGATTGATCATGTCTCTTGCCTTGGGTTTTGGTGGATGGGTCACGACAGCCCGAACTTTAAGGGTCGAAGGTGCCGGCGTGCGAGGCAGTCTCTATGCTTACATCGTTGGCCTGATGGCTGGCGCCATTGGATGGGGCATTCTTGGAGCAATGGAAGGTGTCCTTGCCTGTATCGTCGATGCGGTTGTTGTATGTTGGGGCAGTGAAGTTGGCAGCACTGGAACAGGAGAGGTTCGGTATTGCAGAGAAGCTGGCCAACTTTTCGGCCACGACGGGGCAGAGAGAGGACCACTTAGTCTTGCGTGAAAGGAGAATAGGAAGGATATGTAGTTCAATCACTACACCAGATCTGTCTTGTTGACAGGTATTGATGTGTTCTACCGAAAATGCAAGCCCCATTGTTGTTGCGTGACCATTGGGAATTTCACGTGTCCAAGGGTCTTTTTCTGGGCGTCAAGTTAATGCGGAGCAGCAGCTTTAAGCCTTTAGGCTTGTCCCCCTGAAAGTTTCCGGTCGCGCCAAGTGGTTCGTAGAGTCCCGAGTCTGGCACTTCAGCCAGAGTGGCCCTTCGACGCGCAGCTGCCATACCCTTCATTCTTCAATTAGCAGTCCTCCTGAATTTATTTCTCCCTGTCAACAGGGTTGAGAGATGTGTTCTCTTTCTTCTTCAACTTCATCTTCATTCTTCTTCTCTTAATCGATCACGTTGTTGATCTTCACCTTTCATCACAACTTCTTCCGTTGGCGGAAGGGGACACGCGTTTGGGGAACCCTTTCATTTCACTCCTTGGACAGCCTTGACATACCAGGTTACACCAGCTTTCGGAGCTGCGGTTTGACCCTGTTCTGTCGAGTGCTCACCATCTTCTTCTAATCCTCCCCAACCCTCAAAATGACCACCGTAAACGGTGGCTACACCACCGGCGCAGGCGGAGACGAGGCTGAACTGCGCCGACGCAACGTCACAAGCTATGAGAATGCCAATGGCTCACATATCTACAAGGTGGAAGCGGAGGACACAAAGAAACTCCAGAAGGTTGGTCATATCATATCATCTAGATACCCAAGATCTGACACCACCTCTAGCAGAAGAGTGGTTTCGTCTCCAGCACACTGAACTTCCTTGACGAATGGGAGTTTTTGATCGCTCCCATCATTTTCACCGGCTTTGCCCTTTTCACGAGGCTATGGAGAATAGGACTCTCTCCCATTGTAACATGGGATGAAGCCCAGTAAGTGATCTCAATGATTCCGTGCAATTAATGCTGATCAGCCTCAAAGTTTCGGCAAGTTTGGCTCCCATTACCTCAAACGAGAGTTCTATTTCGATGTGCATCCTCCCCTTGGGAAGATGCTGGTCGGTCTGTCAGGTTATCTGGGTGGCTACAACGGATCTTTCGAGTTCAAGTCGGGCGAAACATACCCTGATCACGTCAACTACACCTTCATGCGAATCTTCAATGCCCTCTTCGGCGCAGTCACAATCCCCCTTGCATACTTTACCGCACGAGAACTCAACTTCAAACGCTCTACTGTCTGGTTGGTCACTCTGATGGTCCTCTGCGAAAACTCATACGCCACGATCTCTCGATTCATCCTCCTCGATTCGATGTTGCTGTGCTTCACCTTCACGACAGTCCTTTGCTGGGCCCGATTCCATCGCCTACAACACAAAAGCTTCTCGGTTGAGTGGTTTGCATGGCTCTTCCTCAGCGGTCTGAGCATCGGTTGTGTTTGCAGTGTCAAATGGGTTGGATTGTTCGGTACCGCCTTGGTTGGTCTCTACACCGCGGAAGATCTGTGGAACAAGTTCGGCGATCTTAAGATGCCAAAGACAGAATTGGCCGCACATGTGGTTGCAAGAGTCGGTGGTCTCATCGTCATCCCGATGCTTGTCTACATGTTCTCCTTCTACCTTCACTTCTTGATCCTGGAGAACTCGGGACCTGGGGATGCGCAGATGTCATCTCTCTTCCAGGCAAACCTTAAGGGAACCGAGGTCGGCAAAGACTCACCTTTGGAACTCGCCTTGGGCTCCAGAGTGACGATCAAGAACATGGGATACGGAGGTGGTTTACTGCATTCGCACGTTCAAACATATCCTGAGGGCAGTGGACAACAACAGGTGACTTGTTATCACCACAAGGATGCCAACAATGACTGGTTCTTTTACCCCAATCGAAGCCAAGCTGAATTCGACCCTGAAGGACCTCTGAGCTTCATCCAGGACAAACAGGTCATGCGTCTTATCCATGCCCAGACTGGTCGAAACCTTCATTCTCATTCTGTGGCGGCTCCTGTAACCAAATCTGATTGGGAGGTGTCCTGCTATGGTAATCTGACTGTGGGAGACGACAAAGACCACTGGCAAATTGAAGTTGTCAGTGATGCCGCGTCTTCTGACCGATCCCGGATACGAACCTTGACTACTGCATTCCGATTGAAGCATCCTAGCCTTGGCTGCTATCTCCGTGCTGGAACGGTCAACCTCCCTCAATGGGGGTTCAAGCAGATCGAAACGACTTGTGTGAAGAATGCCAGCCCTCGAGATGTCTATACTCATTGGAACGTGGAATCTCACGTCAACGAGCGATGTAAGTCAACAATATCCTGCGTTCAGATTCGAGCTGACCAATTTTACAGTGCCTCCTGCTGAAGCAAAGAACTACCGATCACCATTTCTGAAAGATTTCATCCATCTCAACGTCGCCATGTCGACTTCCAACAATGCTTTGGTACCTGATCCAGACAAGCAAGATGACTTGGCTTCCAAGTTCTGGCAATGGCCTATCCTTCATGTTGGTCTTCGCATGTGCTCTTGGGATAACCATATCGTCAAATACTTTTTGCTCGGCAATCCCATCGTCTACTGGGGCTCTACGGCAGCAATCGCCGTGACCCCATTGCTCGTCTTATGGTATTTGATTCGATGGCAGAGAGGATACGATGAGCTGCGTCCAAGTGATATTGATCAGATTCACTACGCGGGCATCTATCCTTTCATTGGCTGGGTTTTCCACTATCTACCCTTCTTGATCATGGGACGTGTGACCTATGTTCACCATTACTACCCAGCACTTTACTTTGCAATCCTGGTCGCCGGCTTCTGCGTGGACTGGACAACACAAAAGCTCAACAAAACCACTCGATGGGGACTTTACACTATTTTGTACGGCGTGGTCATTGGACTATTCGTCCTTTTCAGTCCAATTGTCTTTGGTATGAAAGGACCAAACCAAGATTATGCATACCTGAAGTGGTTTGACCGATGGAGAATCTCAGACTAAGGTCGGGAAACGGTCATGCCTTCTTAGTCTATCATGACATCTTGTTGTCTGGTGGTACTTGGATGGTAGAACGAAACATGAGAGATTGCAATGCAAGATGTATGAGGAAGCTTTCCTGGAATAGTCGATGCAAGCAATGGAAGTTCCGTCATCTCGGCAAAAAGCAGACGTCCGGCACTGATGGCGTGGGTCTCACATTCACTGCGAAATGAGAGTTTCTAGCGAAGGCTTTTTCGATGACCACGAAGATGATTTGTATAATACATGGGAAAGAATTCCATAGTGAAGTCAGGACTAAAAGTAATGTCGTCGCAACGAGATTTTATCTTCGAAATTCCTCACTCATCCAGTGACTTCCTCACTACAAGTGCCATAGTTGTTCAGATAGCATTTGCGGGATGTAGTTCCTCCTAACTCCGATATATCGCGGCGACTTTTGTACTTTGACCGCCAACGACGATTTACAACGCCGCTACAGGACGTATATAAACTCATGAGACGATCAACAGTAAGTTTATTTAGTTCTCACAGCCCTGGTTGCCAAATTGCTCGGAAGAACATGCCCTCGTCAGCCTTTTACAGCATTGGAATATCAGGCAGGCTTCAGCCAACGCTACAATCCCAAAAATGGCAGACCAGTCTTCAATCCTCCGCCAAACAGCACTGAAGTTCATATCGGCTTTTGAGACCCTTTCAACAGAAACATTCGCATCTTTACAAGCCGAATCTTACATTCACACATTCGCCCCGAAATCATTTAATCCGCCCACACCCCTCGACGGGCCACGCTTCATCCAACATGTTTCACACCTGAAGGATCTCCTGCGCGGGTTTCCCGTACGCCCGAAAGAAGTATTCGTCAACGAGGGGCTCAAGCAAGTAACTATTTATGCCGACAGTGAGACGTGGTTCCATGAAGACGTCAAGGACGACAGTGTGCCGGCTGGGGATTGGTTATATCATGGCGAGTATATCTTTATACTTGATATGGACGAGAGTCAGACGAAAATTAAGCGGGTTTTCGAGTTTTTGGACAGTAAAGGGACAGATAGGCTTAGGGTGTTGCTTGGGAAGGCGAGGGAGAATAAGACTGCATCGCAGACTGGTGGCCCCGCGAATTCTGGGAAGACGGAGTCATAGCCATAGCCATAGCCATAGCCATAGCCATAGCTAAAGTGGCGATAGACTATAGTCCAGAACGGAATGAACTCTCGTGGTATTAGTGTGGTACGGACGATGATAGATGACACTTTCGATAATGCAATGATTCGGATTGTTTCTTAGGCTATTCCCAGCAACAACTTTAACCGTTCGTAGACACAGAATTTCACAGCAGTCATAGGGATAACCTTGACATTAGCTGATCGACAACCCGACGAAGAACCCGCGCCAGCCTCGTTCCAGGTAGACTCGTCTTGCGGTCTCGCAGATCCCTAACATGTGATCATCGCCCACGACGCCGCTTACCTGCATTCGCCGGCGGATGATTTCAATCGGGCATGAAGCTGTTTGAGAGACCAGTCTGGCGATGGCACCAGCGGTACTTCGGCGGAAGCGTTTGATTGTACGGGGCCATTGCGCTTTGTATGCTTCTCTGAGGGTGATTGTGATTGCGATTGCAGGACAGTGTAGGAAGCCAGATGAGCATGACGAAGGACGTCGCTGACAGTGTCGTGGGTTAGGAACGATATCCCTGCGTAGGGTATCATGCCGAGGATCGTTGGCAGTAGACCCCGCTACAAACTGGTCAAGCTAGATCTTGACCGCGACTGCATGGTAATTTGACCGTCCTGGTCGACACCGCTGGATGTCGTTGTGCCTTGTGATGGGGAGAGAGGGTGCAAGGGAGCTTAAATGTACCACACAACCTGCCACGCCGCCGGCAATGCCACTCTTGATAAGTTAGTCGCCGCTACGTTGCTTCAGGGACTTCTTCTCTGGCGGCGTGAGATGTTCAGTCTTCACGGCTGGCATTGTCCGTGGACGACTTCAAGCTAAGCTGTAGCAAATCTGTAGCTGCTCTTCTGACCAATGTTGAGCCATACCCGTCTCCGTCGTCGAGAGGTCATGGCCGATGACAGTCTCGGCCAGTCATGACTTCGAGAGTCGCCAATCGATCTGTCAAGAGTCGTCGCATTTCGAGGCTACTCAAGACTAAGGAAAACAGCGTCCTGGGTATTCAACTTATCTAGGCATGTTGTTCAACTAACACCAACAATAATCGGCACATGCTCGGACGATAATGGCCGACGGTGATGCACGATCCGAAATCACAGTCACGGAGTGACGGAGATAACGGGGCAAAGACCGTCAAGCTTGCTTCGATCAGATTATGCTCATCATTATACTAAGTTACATTATATCTTATGTTTCATGGTATATGTTTTCTCATGCGACGGCAATGAAAGTTTTTGAACGCCGTTGTCATGTTCCTCATATCCTCATGTACGACGATGTCCTTTCTTGATCAGATCATCATCAAGCAGTCTCAGTCTCCCTTACAGCCCCAGTTTCATGTGCCGACCCTGACCGCGAATGGGAGGATCGAGGCGATGAGCCAGACTCTGTTTCAGATGGGTTCTTCTCCTTCTCATTCGTCAGGGCACCCGCACCGTCGGAGTGCCCATTCTTAAGACTCTTCCACTCCATGCACAGACTGCAAATGAGTGCACCCCCACACAGGACGACGGCAGCGATGAATGCCTCCTGAAGGGAATCGTTGTACAGCTTGACCAGCGCTGGGAGAGCCTTCGCGGGGACGACGCTCCTGAATTTGGTGGCACCGAGCTCGATGACAGCCCTGACGTCGACACCAGGGATGAGTTTGTCGTTATTAGCGTTAAGCAGATTATTCTGCAGCAATGTGTTGCCGACGGACACGAAGATAGCGCCACCGAGGGACTGAGATGCTACGACCGCTGCTGTGCCGATGGGCACTTCTTCCAATGGGAGCGAGGCCTGCACGGCGCTGAAGCCCTGCTGAATGGCCATGCCGAGACCTGCGGAGATCAAAAATTCGTATCCAATCCAGTTGGCCTGGGGTGTTGTTGGCTTCAGTGTCGTGAGAAGCCCGGATCCAGCTGTGCCGATGGCGCAGCCTAAGATGGCTGGTGGTGCGAACATGCCGTTCTTAGACACAAAGATACCAGCGAGCAGCGCGAAGAAAGCGTTGGCCACCATGTAGGGGATCATGTCGACACCAGATCGAATGGCGCTGGTGCCCTTGATGGCTTGGAACCAGATAGGCAGGTAGTACGAGTGGATCAGCAGGGCGCCGTAGATGGTGAAGGCGGCGCCGCAGCTTGCCGCCACGGTGCGCTGGCGGACGATCCGCGGTGGGATCAACGCTGCGTCGCCACGGTACAGCATCCACGCTATGAAGATGACGAGTGTCGCGCCGAAGCCGCAAAGACAACCGACGACACGAGCGCTGGACCATGCATATTGCTGCTCGGAGAACTGGAGGGCCAAAAAGAGCATTGTTGTGGCACCAAGGAGGATGATGTTGCCTATGATGTCGAGCTTACGGACGCGCTGGAGGAACGAGGTGCCTTGTCCCGATGTGATTGCCTGGGATTTAGCCTTGAAGCAGAGGAATACAGTGCCGAATGTGATGGCGCCGATGGGCAGGTTGAGGTAGACTGCACAAGAGAGGTCAGCAAGATCCCAGTCGGACGTAAACTTATGTGGTTGTTGTAGTGAAAAAGAAGGATTTGCAACTTACAGCACCACCGCCATCCAATGGTATCAGTGAAGGCGCCACCGATCAATGGTCCAGTGAGCGAACCGACGCCGTACAAGATACCCACACCAGCGAACAGGACAGGACGATGTTGCAGACGGACGGAGTGTGTGCCGACGACAAATGCGCCCGTCAACAAACCCGCACTACCGAGGCCTTGGACAGCCCGTCCTACGATCAAAGCATTAGAAGACGGCGAGGTAGCGGCGACGACACTACCAATTTCGAAAATGACCAGCGCAGCCAGGTACGACGTTTTGGTCTGGAAAGACATGTAGATGCGGCCGTAGAGAGGCTGGAACGCGGATGCAGTCAGCATGTACGCGCTACCGTACCATCCTATGTCGTCGTATGAGTGGAAACGTGCTGTGATGTTGGGGATGGCCTACTTGCTATCAGGATGGCGGTCCGTTCAGTGAAGGGGGAGGGACACGTACCGTTGTGATGATGACTCTGTCCAGCGAGATGATAAACACGGACAGACAGATACCCGTCACGATGAGCGCCAGCGACAATGGGCCTGGGTATACAGTTGGATCATCGTCGCTAGGACCCGCGGCTTCACCTAGCGCCTTGCGGTCTTCTCGCTTCTCAAGAGGGCGGACAGCAGGATGTGATTCGAAACCCGAGAACTCGGACACCGTGGACAGACGACGTTCAGGCTCGATGCGTTGTTCCCAAGGATTGAAGCGGACGGCTCGTGACTCCTGGTCAGACCACGACTTCTTTTTTTCGTTGGTGGTGAGGCTGCTGTCGCTGTCATTGCCAATGATTTCCGGCTTCCGATCAACACGGCCAGAAACCAGCGTCTCAGGATCGTACGTCGTCAAAGCGTGCGTTGATATTCCGGCAGACGACTCGCTGTTCATGGAGCCTTCACTGAAAGCCGACATAATGGGAGCGTGGTTGAAGCGTCGAGTGTATGCTGGCGGAGGTGGGGATGCCGACAGCATCGATCGAGGCGTCTCTCGTCCCGTGTGCAATGAGCCCGTTTCGTCGCTGAGAGAGCCAGTGCGTGGTACATGATCCATAGACTGCATGGGTTCTGCTTGTCTCGACTTCTCGCTTTTGGCACTGAGGAACGTCGCTGCATCGTTGTCCTCTTCGACAGGCGACGGTTTGCCAGCCTCATCGACGAGGGGTTTGCCATCCTCATGGTCGACTTCTTGTTGTGCTTGGTCTTGCTCCATGATCACAGTGGCAGGTACTACACGACCTGAATTTTGACGGCCTAGTCGACCTCGACGTGATGTTTCACGCTCAAGTCGGCCTGAGTTCTCACGGGTGAGGTCTCCCCAGCGGCTGCCACCGACAGACCTACTCCGGCTTCGGACTGAACCTCTTGGGCTTCGGATGGACCTGCTCAGGCTGCGATTGGATCCATTCCTGCTCAGGCTTCGAGAACGCACCGATGCTTGATCGATTATATCGTTGACGACCTGGTTGAGCCAGGCATCGTTGCTTTGATGCTGGTAAGCCGGAGCAAAACCTGCCATGATGCTGCTGACTGTTGCTGTTTGGATGCCTTGGGCGGCAAATCCTCGAACTTTTGTGGTTCTTTCGTTGTCGTTCAATCCTTCTCATGCGACAATGGAGATTATTGCTTCGAATGAAAATTCTTGCAAGCAGTTTGTTGGGAAATTTTTCTGGGGGACCTGCAGTCTCTCTGTGCTGGCTGATAAGAGGGTAATCCTTGGTATGTCGAAGACCCAGGATCCTGGTTATAGCAGTGTTGTCATTCTTGCAGGGCGGGAGGAAAGATGTCCCACGGACATACCGTGCAGTGGGTAGAAATTGTAGCAAAGTGAGCACGGTTGACATGGAGTAGATTAAGGCACAAAAGGCCGTGGATTCGCTTATTGGGCATTACATAGCCAAAGTGTACTGTGAAGGGTGTATGGTGGGACGATCACTTACTTCAGTCATGTAGTGGAGCTGGAGGTGCCTGCCTACTTTGGACGAGCATCAACACATGTTTTTCTCACCTGCAGCGCGCGTCATCAGGAAATGCAGGACCCCGCTGGAACACGGGGGGGCGTTCACTAAAGGAGCTGATGGAGAATGATTGTCGGGCTCTTACGGATATGGGGTTTGTCAGAGAGTGGGCATGGAAGAATTGGGAAATGCTATGGAAACACAACTCCCTTGTTCATTCCCTACGTAGGGACCTAAGACACCGACTAGGTATCAGACCCCTCATAGCAGGGTTACCTACCAAGAATCTTTTTACTGCTACAAGTATTTTCCTCGTTTCAGATTAAAAGTGGGTGGAAATGGCGACATTTCTCTCGTAGCGAGCGAGTGTACGTGGGCGTGATATGCGGCTCTACTATAGTACAAGCGCAGGGCATTTCGTTAGGTAGTCTTGCGAGGTTCTGTACCTGTTTCGAGGTTAGTTCTGACATGTGAATTTACTATGGGACCATGGCACCATGGGTATGTCCAGGTGGATACAATGGGAGAATGGAGTGTACCACGGCACTCGTATCCAGCGGGAAGAAAGGGACAAGGAACAAATCAAGGTTGGGTAAGACGTCGATGTCATATTCGACCAGGCTATCCCGGCACATCTATTTACGTGAAAGTGATCGACACCAGGGTTCCCAGGTGCCAGAGAATTTAAGCCCTTCGCCTATTGCACATCGTGCTCATCGCTTATTGGGGTTGTCGGATGACCGGATTTCCTGTGCCTTTTTAGCCCGGATTGTGATAGACGGGTTACGAGGCTCTGCATAAATGCTAAAAGGCCATATCCACCAGTATATTACGAGCTACGATAGTAACACCCCTGATCTCCTTGTCCATCCACGTCTATCTACTGCAGGTATTATCCACTCGCCGGCAGATGACGCTAAATCGTTCAACAATTTTTCTTCTCGTGTAGATCGTGTACAATTTCAGCATGGCTTTGCATGGCTTGTCCGAATCGGTAACCCTGGTCATGGTTCCTGTCATGTTTGGTTTCTATAACAGGAAATACCGTTGGAAAAAAGAACAACGCACATCCTGAACACCGGGGTCATTAAACATGGGCATTCCCAGACAAACGCACAGCGTTGAACATGGGCAATCCCAGTCCTTGATAAGCCGTTACACAGTAACGCCTCAAACAAGCTGATATGGAGAGACTTTGCCGAGCTGCGCCAATGTCGCAACAACGCCTTCCACTCCAATGCCATCGTAGTGTCTGCCCAATGCAGTGTCGCTGTTGAATTCGCCTTCCAATGCACTTTGCTCTGACAAGAGCGCTGCGATCCGCATCCCGCGTTGTCTCTCGGCCTCGATGGCCGTTGCGAGCTTGATCTTCTCGGGATCTTCGCCAGCCGCCTCATCCTTGTCGTCGCCTGATTGGATCACAGGCATCAAACCCGCCTTCTCGAGCATCTCTTTGGGCCGAATGGTGATTCGGCCGTTCTTGTAAACGACTTTGCTGAGAGCGGAAGCTGCGATGGGAGCTGTTGCCGGTCCTGCAGTGCTATCCGTTGTCTCGGTGTTGAAAATAGCAGTATCCTCTTGATCTTCACTCTGGTCTTGTGCTGACCTATTTTTGTTTTGTTGGGGATACAGGGAAGATCGACGAGGCTCGATCTTGTGCCCTTTTTTGACAAAGTGTGTGACCAGGTAGAACCACTTGTCGTCCCAAGCGAGGACTTTTGTCCACATATCGTAGGTTTCGTATGGAAGTATCTCTTTCCGGAAGACACAGCTGACTGCACCCAACGCCACGCTGAATTTGCTGGATGGTTTGCCACGCAGGCCGTTCATCGTAGTGTCTCCACGGATATTGGCAATCCCATTGCCGAACAAGGTGGTGATCAAGTGCACCCTCGCAATGTCGATGTCACAAAAATAGGTACTGTTGGACTTGTGGCCGAACACATCGATCTCCATCAGGGGAGCCTTGGAGGACGTGATGATCGGCTGAAACAGGTTTTCAGGTCCAACATCTCTCTTGGGCCGTTGAGACCGCAGGACGAAGCGGAGACCATTGAGAATGCGGAGATGGTAGACAAAGGGAAAGACTTTGATGTTGATGAGAAGGAGCACCAACGTCGACAGTTTCCAGAAATTGTTGAAGGTGATGAGTTGGGTGAAAAACACCCATGTAGTGATCAGTGACTTTGCTTCGAAGTGGTAGTCTTGGGTGTAGTTGGTCAGCACAGTGATGGGCTCAGTGGTCCACACTGTTGGAAAGCTGGAGTTCAACATCTTTGAGGAGTATTGTTCTATGTGACTCTTCGGTTGTCTTTCAAGACCGAACTCAAAGCGGGTAGTGTTCGCTCTAATATGTTCTTAGCTAGGCAGGCAGACAGATTTCTGCGCCTTGTTTGAAAGAAGCGAGACACGTAACGAAGGATGGCGAAGTACATGGACAACGACAATACCTATTGACGATCTCACTTTTGCGGGAATCTTTTTCACATGTCGCGGTCGCACAGGGAAGCCGCTGATGTCGATGAAGGAATGTACGTGATTGCTGGCCCGTACTGTCAGACTCCAGCAGGACTCACCGTGCTGAGACAGGTCGAGTGCAGGTCGTAATCGTGGAGCAGTGACAATGTCGATCGCAATTTTGCTGCATCATCATAGTCCATGTCCTGTGAGCCGGTGTGAAAAGGTCATTGAAACCTATTTCCATTTTCCAATCACCTATCATAACAAGGCTATAGTTTGACATGCTAGCGAAATGGATGGAGCGCACAATGAACCCTCCAGTCAATAGTAGTGGTGATTGGGGGCATGACCGGACATTGATAGCGTCGTTGCTCCATGAGATGCAGTCATCTTGCAGGACGAAGACCTACAGCGATGTAGCCTTGGAGTGCCGAGAGACTGTGGTCCTCGCATCAAACTGGCAAGTCACAGACATGTTTGACCAAAATTGGAAAGTCAGGTATCCGTCAGGGATCTCCACCTCAATACGTACCTGGTCAAAGACCTAAGGTGGTGGATGTTTTCCTGCCTTCGTCGTGCAATCAGAGTTTCACTGGCAGGCTGACGAACACCGATGATAATCGCCGAAACCTTCGCAAAGGCGCAAAGAGACCAAGGTGTTTGGCTGGTCACGATCCCGGTCCCGTGTCCCGGGCATTTCTGATAAGTGGTCGACCCTCCATTAGTTGTTTCATAGTGGCCCTTCCTAAGTATAGTGCTGAACTTTACCATTATGTCAAAGATCCTCTCAAGATTTCCATGATCTGCGGTAGAGATCGAGCCAGGAACCTTGGCGCAATCCGTACCGATGGGGTTAACTTGGTGAGGAAAAGGTTGCTACGTACATTTACAGTTAGCTTATCTCTTACCACCCAGGATACTTGGGCCGGTGGCCATGCGGCTCGTTCTCTTATCTGACTGCTTGCCGAAAGCGGGCCTGTGAATTCCGGACGGTCCTTTCGCCGGCTTCGGTCCCCATGCACGATGACGAAGGTGTAAGACGGTAATTACGGTCCCACAGCTGTAATGACAGGGTCGGTAGTTGGCACACAATCTTCAGGGGGAGAAGCCTGGCAGAAGGGAGGCGTTTCCAGGGGTTCTGCTTTCGGGTCATTGCTGTCCGGAAATGTCATTCCCCCTGGGACTTTGGGACTGTGCACACCCTCCCGGGAAATTCAGCAGGGAAGAGCTGATAACTTTATCTCAACACCGATTATTGTGTATGGCATTTTCATTCTTTTTCTTTTTTTGCATGTGCTCTTGGTACTGGTCGCTGTCAACACCCGTCCGCAACAATACATTCGCTTGTACAGAAGATCTCTTACTCTAGGCGATGGCTAGGAATGCAGCAATTACACTAGAATACCCAAGTCATGCACATCTTGCATTAGACATTTGTCACTTTATTCGCCTAAGACCTAGCTGCCGTCCTCACATACAATCTTATGTACACATTATGGGGGTGGGGATAGAATCGTGTCCTTGCTGCATGATTGTTTTGGTGATCTCGCTGATCCCACGAAAAAAAAATCGTTGTGTAGCGCTGAACCCCGAAGAAATTCAGTCGCTTGATGTGTGCCCTTGTGCGCTCGCAATCACATTGGTGGTGCGAAGTTGATGTTGCCACTGGATCTCTCATCTTCTCTTAGGCGCGGCATTTGTTCTCGTTGACAGTCTCGACAATGGTAGCAGTGGCCGACTTGACGACATCGGTGGCAATGTCTGCAGTCTCAGACATGCTTGGTACCTCAGTCTTCTGTGCTTTCTTCAAAGCCTTCTTGGTTGATGGCTTCTTGTAGGTTGAGAAGTAGAACATGATGAAGAGAACCAGATACGAGGAGAGAATGACACAGCCAGTGAAGGCAGCAACTTCCTGGCGTTTGTCACCGCAGGTTCCGGCGTGAGGCATCCATGGAGCGTATGTGTTGGCGAAATATGTGTAGCAGGCAAAGTAGATGAAGCCTAATCAACGGTTAGTCGCGAAAAGTCTTACTTGAGACAGATTTTACTGACCGAGATCCAGGATGAACTGGGTGATTTGGAACATGGTAATGTACTGCTTCCACCAAACCTTAACTCCTCGCGCCGATTGGTAGTAGTACCTACGAATGTTAGTCTGCTTCTGTTTTTGTGTCTGCTCACAAACTTACCAGTACATGACCACGTGAACTCCCAAGTTGAGAGTGATGGGCACCCAGGAAACAGAAGTTTGTCCAACAAGCTGAGTGTAGCAAAGAAGTGCAGTGGCGCCATGGTGGTAGGTGTGGAGGAAAGTCAATGGCTTCTTCTTCAAGACCAAAAAGACGGTGTCCAGCAGCTCAAGGTATTTGGTGAGGTAGTTGAGGTAATAGAGGACAAGCAACTTCTGTGACCACCCAGTTGCGCCGCAGACACCGTCGTAGAGGCCGTTCCTCCAGAGATCTGGGACGAGTTGCTGAGCGAACAAGAGAAGCAGACCTCCAGAAATGGCTGTGAGGTAGAAGTTGTGGATGAGGAAAAGGTTGTTCAGTTGCATGGCGGGCCTGTTGCGCATGATCTCACGACCACCAAAAATGACCAAGTAGTAGGTCGCAATGAAGGCGGCAGTCTCCTTGAAGGTCGACATTGGGGTCACGCCCTCAACGAAACGGAAGTCTTTGGTGGACTGTCCTGCGACCATGGTATAGACACGATCAAAGACCGACCATGGGTCGAGCTTGATGACCGAAGGGCCAACAAAGGCCATCTGGCCCGACTTGGGCAGCGAGGTTGCATAGGGGATGAAGCTCGCTGCCGCGTTGTAGGTTGAGTTGACAAAGTCCATGGCGATAGAGTGAAAGGTGCTTTCAACCAAATGACTGGTTAATGTCTGAGTGCCTTGATGCCTTGCGAAGAAGAACGAGTGGACTTGGATGATTGAAAATGTCGCAGGGGAATGGCTGTCTCTGTCTTCGAAACCTGGGGAGTTGCCTCTTCTTTTAGGTCTGAAGGAAGACTCATTGAGCGATCGTCACAGGTCCGATTCAGGGCGCCGGACATTCCCTTCCAAGGCGTGCCTCTTTGCACAGTCTGGAGAGGATCCACCATGGCAAAGATGGTTGTTGGGGACCTTGACAGTAAGACCGACAGTGAGACATTGCATATGACGGAATGCAGAAGAAAATAGCTTCACGAGGTGACCCGTGAACACGAACTATTGTCGAAATGTAGATAGTTTCTCCGCTGTGATGGCGATCGGTCAAGTCTCAATCTGCATCAAGGGACATTGGATGCTGATCGCCTCACCGGCCTTAATGTCGTGGATGGAGACAGTATGACGCGCTGTTGGCCCGGGTGCTTTTGGTGTCCCAACCCTCAGGATGGCAAATTTCTTGGAGTTGATGTCGTTGGATATGATAGAAGGGTGGGTCATGCTGAGGAAAGCTGCCTCAGGTCAAGCCCGCATGATGGAAAAGTGGATAGACATGGATAAACACGTCGATACCCATTCTGCGCTTAGTAGCTGGCTGCTGGCGGTGGTTCCTGATCCACGGTTGGGTATGCCCGAGTCCGTAGCTCTGACTACATCTGCAAGTATGTCAACCAAGTTTCCCATGGGCCACAGTGTACATGTAGGAACATGCCTAGTCATAGTGCAGGAGACCCACTCCGAAAGCAGGTCTCCAAGGCTCCCCCCCTTGGCGTAACGATCGGCGTAGCACATGTACCCCTGCTACGTAAGACTTGGTATCTGTCTTGTTTTGACCATGATCCTAGCATGGTATACGCCAAGGGTCGTCCTTTATTTGGTGCTTTTTGTCTCAGTTGTTGTTCATCGCAATACAGAAAGAGGTCATTGGTATGCGCATCTTGGACCGGTGAATTTTCCATATCAAAAGTCCAAAGGCAAAGGGTCTTTGAAATTTGTCGACTCATTCTCCCATCTCTTCTTCACCAAGTCCTTTGTCTCACAGCACTGAACGGCCTTGACGATGAAGCCCATCCAAGTTCCTTACTTCCCCTTCATGGGGGCAGTAACACTTGCTGCACTGTCCGTGGGGAAATTTTCTGAGACCGTCAGCACTACGACAGCTCTGTCGGTGTTGCTCCCAGTGGCGACTGTGCTGTATACGCTCTATTACAGCTGGATTTATCCTTTCTATGTTTCTCCCTTGAGACACATTCCTACAGTCCCAGGATTCCCTCTCTGGGGTCAGTTCTTCACCATCATCACCACCGAGTGCGGTGTTGCGGCTCGTGATTGGCATGCGCAATATGGCACAGTTGTTCGATATTTCTTTCCATTTGGCAGCGAGCGTCTCTCGGTGGTAGACGACGATGCGATCAAACAGATGACGGTCAGAAATCCTTACAACTTCCCAAAGCCTGAACGTGCCAGACAATGGATGATACCCATTTTGGGCGAAGGCAAGTTCTCCTAGGACTCAGAGGACTTTTCTTCTCTGACGCAAAAATAGGTGTTCTGCTGGCTGAAGGACACACCCACGTTGTTCAGCGAAAGGCGCTCACACCAGCTTTCTCCATCACTTCCATCAGATCTCTCATGCCAGTTTTCTGGGCCAAGTCACTGCACATGGCCAAACTCTGGGAAGACGACATGAAGGCTGAAGGCGCCAAAAGCAAGTGCTTCGAGGTTTTGGAGTGGCTCAACCGAACCACACTCGACATCATCGGCAAAGCCGGCCTTGGCACCGACATTGACTCGCTCGACAACCCTGAAACCCCATTGAGAGATGCGTACCGACGTTGCTTTGACTTCGACTTGGAAGCCCGCATTATCAATGGTCTTGCGGCTTTCACTCCCTTGATTCGACTTCTGCCGGCACGCGCCAATCGCGACATTCAGATTGCACGAAACATCATCCTTAGCCGTGCCCAGCAAATTATCCAGGAGAAGCAGAAGCCTGGAGAAGCCGCAGAGGTTGCCCGCCACAAAGACATTATCGGACTGATCGTCAAGGACAACATGACTGCCAGCAAGGAGGATACGCTCTCACTGGAAACAATGCGCAACCAAGTCATGACCTTCCTCGGAGCTGGGTAAGTGCAAGTCCCTGTTTGTGCAGACCTCGTGGCTAAACAAAATTTGCAGACATGACACAACCGCAACTTCGGTCGCCTGGACACTTCTCATGCTGGCCAAGCACCCGGACATTCAGAGCAAACTTCGTGAGGAGGTCCGGGAAAAAATGCCATTCCTTTTCGACGATGCGACTCGCAACATTGAGGACACCATCGAAAAAGCCGATGTCGACTTGCTGCCATATCTCGAGGACGTCTGCAAAGAATCCCTGCGCTATATCCCCTCCATCCCAATGACGGTGCGAAAGACCATTGAAGATGATACCTTGGCTGGATACTACATCCCAGGTGGAACCACGGTGTATCTCATGGCTAACACCATCAATCGCCTGCCAATGTACTGGGGAGATACTGCCGACAAGTTCGACCCATCTCGCTGGAAGAATCTTCCCGAGACATACACCACCAATGCCTTCATGACTTTCTTGCAAGGTATGTCTTGCCGATGCTACTGAAGAAAACGGAAGCTAACAATTATTGACGTAGGACCACGAGGATGTGTTGGCCGAAAGTTTGCCGAGGTTGAAATGAAGACAATCTTGTGCTCCTTGCTCAGCAAGTTCAACTTCGAGCGTGATGCCTCGGTGCAAGATCCAGAAGAACTCAAGATGTGGAGACTTGTGTTGAGACCAAGAGATGGTGTCAGTCTGAAGGTCACTCCTCTCGCAGCATGAGATCGGAAATTTGTCAAAGTATGGAGAAAGAAGGTTGGCAAAGAACACAATCAACGATGAATGCGGGTCAAATCGGATGTAGCCTTTACCGAATAATTAGTCGGGCTTGGTAAAAGATGATAATGGTATTATTTTCCGTATCTCGACCACAGCAAAATTCGCTAGTGGTGTTCGTAAAGTTGACATTTGCTTTGGTTTCGCTTGATTATCTTTTGGTCGGATATTCTGGCCGGGCTCATAGTCTTTTGGCTGGTGGACAGCAAAGTTAATGGCGGACTCCACGCGCCCTCGATATTAGAGTTGAGATCTCGATACAGTTGTCAGTTGCTCGCCGAAAGACAAAATAGTGCCCAAGCTGGGGGCAATGGGGGAAAGCCCCATGCTTAGCATTCGGATGCAAAGATTGTCGATCGCGCTGGGAATCTTCCAGGTTGAGATGAGGCTTTCAGTAGCTTTCAGCCAGCCCCATCGAGATAAGCTTTGAGTTGGGGGCAGGTGGGATGGTCCTTGGTGTCTTTGAGGTCATTCAGGGGAGACCGTCATTACAACCGTCATGACAGCCCATCCACCCACCACCATTTACGTGATATTGCCCCATTCGGAGCAAAGTGATGGAAGAGACAATCATACGAGACAGCCGCACGCTCATTGGTTCCTGCAGATCATTGAGCCGCCCTGATACAGCAGTGATCCCCCTGGATTATCACATGCAAGGATGCCTCAAGCCCCAACGGAAACCTTTGACGCACCACTTCGCTCGACAGACGAAGCGACACATCGACATGTACTCCGGACAACTTGCAGTCAGCCTGCAGGAGTGGCCATCCCGAAGCAATGGGTGGCGCTTTGTATCATTGACATCGGCTTCTGCCAGTGAGATATCCTGGGACTTGTGGTTCGTCACAAGTCCACGTACTCACCCCACTTGTCCACATAACGCAAAAGTTCGAAGACTGGCGTGCTCGTGTTCTCAGAAGGAGCTTCGGCCTCCTGCGACACTTATGCATGTTGCGTGTCATGAACAGAGCTTGTCCTGATCTTAACAGGCCTCGGACAATCCACATCTGGCAATGATCCAAGCTGTCGCTGCACTTTCTCGTCAACCTGCATGCGGTGATAGCTCGATAGCTCACTGGCATCCACCGAGCTACTTGAGCTCGGCGGAGCTCCCACAAAAGGTAGTGATCGTAGCTGCATGTTGTTGCAACAACTGTGCTGTCTCGTCCGAGCACACCGACAGGAAATACCTGAGGAACGGGTCGCCAATCTGCCCTGAACTGAACAGCCGTGTTGTCCCGTCCGAACGGGCATTCCTCTGAGGAGTGGATTCCCATTCTGACCTATACCTCGTACCTCTCGCTTGTGTTGGCCTTAACCCAGAGAAGCATTTGACAAAGTCACAAAATGTGGGTAGATCTTGGACGTTTCCGATCGGAACTTCTGCTCTTCACCGTTGAGATCATCGCTGATGACGAGGACTGCCTCCAGCAAAAAGATGAACCTTGCGCACCCTGCGGCACGACCTGCTGATGGTGGTCTCACTTACACCAAGGAGAGCTTCGACAGGACTGTGAGGTGTGTTGTGAACACGAAGCCTCTGCCGCCTCACAGCATGTTGAGAGTGCGCAAGATGTTGCATTTCCGCCATCGACGAAGGTTTCATGCACCAAGTTTCTGGACATCAAGTTCAGCATTATTTCCCAAGTATCATTTCGACCCCATCCCTCGAACGCATCCAGCACGTTCTTCCCCCAAATCAATCAAAGCAAGATGGCATTCATTGTAGGACTTGTCGTTCTGGTGACCCTGATTTCATACAAGATTTTTTCATCCATCCGGCTGCGAAGACACAATGCTGAGCAGGCCGCGCTTCGTGGATGCCAGGAACCAGCAAAAGCGCCTCGCAAGGGCTTGCTTGGGACCGGCATGCTCGTGGAAAGTATCCGAGCAACACGCGAGGAATGGGGTCCGGTCTGGATGCATCAGACTCTGAACTCCATTGGCAAGACGAATCATACTGTCAAGGCTTCCGTCGCCGATTTTGACTTGATCATCACCAGAGACACGGAGAACATCAAGGCCATGTTCGCAACTCAATCCCAAGACTTCGACATTGGAACACACCGCGAAAATGCCTTCAAGTCCCTGTTAGGCCTTGGTGTGATGACCACCCGACAGGAGAGATGGAAGCACTCTAGAGCCCTGGTTCGGCCACAATTCACAAGGGACAATCTCGCGGATCTAGACTTGTTTCAAAGACACCTGGATGCGCTCTTGCAAAGAATCCCACGTATGGAAGACGGCTGGACGGCCAAGGTCGACCTTTCTCCTTTGTTCTTCAACTTCACCCTGGATACTGGCTCAGAGTTCCTCTTCGGGCAGTCTGTCCACTCCCAGACCCCTGAGAAAACTCCTGCCATGTGGGACGCCGACGCACCGGATCTCAGGAACTTCGGCCATCATCTGGATAAAGCCAAGCACATGATCGACAGACGAGGAGCCTTGACCAAGTACGGGTGGCTGCTCCGGGACAGCTCCTTTCCCAAACACTGCAAAGCAGTCCAAGATTGTGTTGACTGGTTCGTGAAGCAACGCCTTAATCGCGGCTCCGATGACGAAAAAGTGATCGAGACGCCAAGTGGAAAGCCCAAATTTGTTCTCCTGGACGAACTGGCCAAGGACACCAGCGACCCATTGGAATTGCGATGTGAGCTTCTGAATATATTGCATGCCTCGCGCGATACCACCGCGTCATTGATGGGATGGTCTTTCTATTTCCTGGCCAGATATCCAGACGTATTCAAGACCCTACGGGAAGAAATCATTGACAACTTCACGGCAAATCCCGAGTCGGAGATCACCTTCAACAAGCTTTGGGCATGCCAATACCTGCAGTACGTCGTCAAGGAGACAATCCGAGTGGTCGGAGTTGTCCCTATGAACGAGCGTGCAGCCACCTGCGACACGACGTTGCCGCGAGGGGGCGGGGCCGACGGTCTGAGCCCGGTCTTTGTTCCGAAAGGTACACAAGTTCTTATCCCCACATACTCCATGCAACATCGTGAGGATATCTGGGGTCCGGATGTCGACGAGTACAAGCCTGAAAGATGGCAAGATCGAAAGTTTGGCTGGGACTTTATTCCCTTTGGCGGAGGTGTCCGTCAATGCCTCGGGCGTAAGTGATCCCTGCACTTCGAGCTGATGACCACCACTAACACATTCCAGAACAATTTGCACGTACAGAGACCATGTATGTGCTTGCCAGAGCGTTGCAAATATTTGACCAGATTGAAAACATGGAGGGGCCAGGTCCCGTCAAGATGCACCATACCATTGAAAATAGAAGCGGCACTGGGGTGCAGGTTCGCCTCCACCTTGCTTCGGCAGAGTCGAAACATTGTCGAGAGCAACCAACAAGTGAGTTGAAGTTGGGCCCCGAGTATGATTTGGGTCTTGGTGCAGATAGGCCGATGGTTGCACCTCCTACCACTCCAGCGGCATATTGTCGAGACGAGGAGAGACAATATGAGCTGAAGCTCAGCAAAGATTATGATCTTGAACTGGGTGCGGACAGGCCGGAAGAGGCCATGGTGGTTTAGAGTGTCTTGAAGGTGTCCAATGTGATCCTGCCGCCGTACCTGCAGGCAGCACACGACATCGACTCGTGGGATGGGAAGGCGGGAACGCCATTTCGGTTCAGTGGCAGGCAGACTGAGGCGTTCTCTCCGGCGTGCTTCCAGGAAGGACTGCCCCTCATGATTGGATGAATGCTGTATAATAGATTGTGATTGGTTGAAGGATGAACTTGATGGCCTCGTGCCAGATCAATGATAATGAAACGGAAAATCAAAAGCAGAGATGAAAATTCCAACCTCGGTCAGGCTGAGTCACTGACGGATCAGTTCCGAAAATGAATAGGTCTGACACAAAGGAATGTCCATTGCCTCGGGCCTGCTCGAATGCGCGTACTTGGCCGATAGCCCTGGAAATAACGTTTCACTGCTGGGACAATACCAGCTGTTGGGCGTTGAAGGGGTCATCAGCATCAATATTATCAGTAAGTATCTCACGAAGTCGCCACCAGGATGGCCGCTGGGCTTATTGCTCGCATTGAATCTATAAATGAAATTTTGTCAGACCGGGTATTCCCTTTCCGTGGATTTTCCGCTTCCGCGGGTCCTTCTGCCCAGACCAATAGGCGTCGCAAGCCTACAAATCCCAATTTTCACACCCGGAGCCGTCGAGGTCAAAAAAACGCGGGATGTTGGTGCGCTGCGCTGCGTTCCTCTTCTCTCGCACTAGTAAGCGATCGTTCAGTCCTGATTGACATCTCGACCACGCTGCCTTCTCCGTGTCCAACCTTAGCGACGATTATGCTTTAATCCTCCTCCGTCTGGGGAGCGGTTCACTATGCCTTCGTAGCACCTTCGACCTCACCGCAGCAAAACCTCATCCACCAAAACCTGCTCTAGTCATTCCCCGCACGGTCTACGATCGCCTTCACCATGGACGCCCAGCGCGTCTCCACCGCCAAGGTCGACGTCGATGACCCTTCCGAGGAGCTAGCCGCGGCAGATGGCAGAATCGAGATGGCGCAGGAAGACATTGATGCCATCATCAGAAACAAGAGAAAAGTCAGAGATCCGAAGGCCTGCTATGCTTGCCATCGCCGTAAAGTCAAATGTGACCGCAACCTGCCCTGCGACTCTTGTGTCAAACGAGATCACCCCGAGCTATGTTCCTACGAACGTCCTACCAAGAAGCGTCGCATCGCACTTACAGGTACGGTACAACAAGATGAAGGACAAACTCAAGATCCAGCGTTGCAGTCCGGTCCCAATGTTACCGTGCCGCGTGAACAGTGGGAACGGATGAACAGGGAACTGCAAAGACTGCGCGATACGATCAAGGGCGAATCTCTGTCCCCGGGCGAACATCGCGAAGAGTTGGACGATGTTCATCCTACAGGCACACGCAGTCGATCAGATGAGGCAGAAAGAGAGGGAATCCACGCTCCCAGCAACCAAATGGGTACCATGCATTTGGGTTCAAGATCTGTTCTGGCATACATGATGGCCCTCGGAAGAAGTCAAACAACTCAAGATACGGCTCGGTCTCTGCTTGAAGAGAATATCCTCCCCAAATTAGGCCTGGACAATGAAAGCGCTACCTATCCTTTCGTGGATTTGTGGAGCACAGCATCGAGCATGCAGGATGTCAGCGGTCTCTGCAAGGCGATCCCGGACGATGAATTGTGCAGAGAGTGCGTGCTCCCAATCGATAACCATGCTCATGCTAATTGCGCGCAGATTTTTCGTCGCTTATCGTGATATTGCAGGCACTCTCTATCCAGTCATACCCGATGCTGCGAGTTTCGAGGATACACTGACTTTCATGCTGTCGAATCGAGCTCGTGCTCAACGCGACAATCTAGAACTCGATCCGAACAAGCCGTACGGAGTCTCCCTGGCCTGGCTTTCGCTTGTATTTGCCGTTTTTGCATCAGGGTCACAATGTGCAGACAGACCGGCAAAGGAAAGAGAACTTACCTCCCAAGTCTACAGTACGTCTCCTGCAGCGACCATGATGCCAGCCACTGACCTGATGCAGTATGTTGTTCGTACCAGGCACTCCGCATGGCCAATTTTCTTACACATCCATGTCTGGAAACTATTGAGGCTTCGTTGATCATCGGAAATGTGCTCTCGTACAACATGAACCCTGGCGTTGCGTACATTTTCCTCGGCATGACCTTGCGAATGGCATTTTCTATCGGTCTGCAGATCAATTCGAATCACTTCACCGAGGCGGAAAAGTGGACTCGCAGGCGAATCTGGTGGGCCCTAGCCTGGCAAGACTCGCATTTCGCCGTCAGCTACGATCGCCCAACTTCAAGCGTGTTATGCATACCCGATATCCCTTACGGCAAGTACAGCTCCCCGGGAGATCGAAGCTATGCCGAAAGCATGTTTGCCATTATCAAAGAGACTCAAGAGATCGTCCGAGAACGTCTACTCCATCCTCGATCTTATATGACCTGGGAAACCATCCGAAAATATACCGACGAGATCGCCAATATTGTTGCTCTGGGTGCAGATCACCTACGAGATCGCAACAAATGCTACAGGACAACCCAACATCTGGAGCGTCTTGCTCTAAGACTCCATAGCTCCTACATAGTAAGTGAGCTATGTCGGCCAGCCTTGAAGGAACCGTCCGCGTCATCAGGAGAGGGCGCCACTGCATCGAATCTCACTCCGATTCAATCCCCTGGCGGCAGGCGCAAGTCATCTCATCCCAATCAGTCACCTCATTCCCCGACTTCCGACGCTGCGGTCCGAGCACAACTCCGACGTGATTGCGTTCAAGCTTTGGAGGCAGCTGTGGCTGCATATGTTGAGCTCCATTCGCGAAGCAAATTCGCCGCTCGATCTTGGATTGGGATTCAACGAGCCATGTCTGCCGCTTTCTTGTTGGGCACTTTGCCAGACACTGGCTCGGATCAGCAACGACTAACTCTACTTCGCGAGCTCGAGCAAGTCATCGCCCAGCGGACAACAGAGGACCCTACTTTTGACCTCCAACCTCAAGATGGACCTCCTCAGCGGCGTATGTCTGCCACCGCGCCACCGCCTTTGGCAGATTCGCCGCACTGGGTACGCAGTATGGCCAAATCCCTCAATGCACTTGGAAAGCTGAATGCCACTCTCAATGGATCCAACCCCGCTGCAAAACACTCATATATCCAAAATGCCAATGGCCAAGCCAAATCATCCGGCGTCCTCATGAATGTGGGCGGCAGTTCGGCACAGTCACAGACTCAATCCAATCTACGATGTGCTTTCCCGGGGCTCGCGAACCTCAAGCAAGAACCATACTCCCCAGCTTTAGCAACAAGTGGAATACTCAGTGGAAACTCGGGTATGTCTGGAGGCATGGGGTTAGGTCCTATCACACCAGACAGTACAGGTTCGAGTGATTGGAACTTTGGCAACTTGCACGAACGTGCTGCCGAGTTCGTACAAGCCCCCCTGTGGGGTGATGCTGGCGTTGGTAGCTTCCCAGCTTAGGAACGCGCTGGAAGGCAGGAGTTTCAAGCGTCCTGGTCAACGAGGCTGGGACTATGACATTCGGAGCTGAAAGCATGCATGCCAGCAGACAATCTGCCTTGGGACAACGGAACAACCAAACAACAAAACAATATTAGCTACCGAGAAGGAGCCGAATTACAGACAGTACGATGCTATGACTATGACTGGATGGAGCAATGTTTTCATATTGATACACCCCCACAATGCAGAGGTCAGCACCTGTCACTGTTATCAGTCCTAGCTGCGAAGTATATGTCATTATCTGTTCCATCTCCACTGCCTTCGTTTGTGCTTCGTTCTGAGTTTGCATCTTCTGCTCATATATCTATCTACGAGACCTTCCAGCTAGTGACAGGTGCATTGGCTGTGAATCGTGGTCTCGCACCTCCGTCCGTACTCTGCGCCTGTATCACAGGTCTCAAGGCGTCCTCTTTCCCATCACCGCAAACGCATCCATCCTCTCCGTCGTAATAACATACTCCTTGGGCACACCAGCGTCCTCGCCTCGTTCACCCATTTCGACCTCGTTGTCTTGAACCTGTCGCCAATCCTCACCACGCTGACTACTCGCCACCAACCTCGCCACATGTCGTCCACACAATCCGGCATTTGTCATGCCATGACCCGCATAGCCAGCACAAACAAACAGCCCTTCCAACCCAGGCACGCCTCCAACCCAAGGATGTCCATCGGCCGAATGCCCGAGAATTCCCGTCCACGAAGCCGCGATATCAAGCAGCTCTGGCTGCGCCTGCGTCTCGGACTGACTTCCAACCAAGCTCAACCTAGCCGGCAAACCTCTCAAATAAATCTCAGCGTCCGCATCAACGTAGTCATCATCACTAACACCGACACCATTCCCTCTGGCGACGTGCCTCCCCCCGCCAAACATGAGATGTCCGCCGCGACCAACAACCGGATTCTTGTCCTCGTGGTCTAGAATAGGATTCTGCACAAGATAATCACTCATCACCCGGTCCTGCGACCCTACACCCTCGAACCCATAACTCATTGGGATCAAGGTCTTCGAGTAAGGTGACTCCGGCGGCGGTATCAGAGCCGACATCTGCGCCTGCACAGGTGTGATGCACTGCTCAAACTCCGGGAGTAAATGCGATGTATACCCATTCGTCGCGAGTATGACCTGGTCAGCAAGGACATCGCCACGACGAGTATGGATGATCCACCCGCCACTACCACCACCACCTCCTGTGCCGGCTGTTTTTGTGATTTTGGTGACAGGCGTCTCAGTCTGCAAATTCACCCGGTTCGCAAATTCAGTCAGCATACCATTCCACATCGAAATGATAAGTTTATATGGCGACAGACTCGCCGCATATTGATCTTGCACCAGCGCACCAACAACACCCCCTGTCAGACCCAACGCCTTGAGTTCCTCGGCATCCTCCACTACACGAACCATTTCGTTCTGCTTGGTTGTCGTCGTCTCGCTGCTGTCCTGGCGTAGATTTGATGATATCGCGGCTTTCGCCTCGTCGAAGTAAACTCGATTCCAGAACCCCAGACACCCGCCCCCCGGGACCTCTCTGAAATCGCAATTCACCCCATTCTGGGTTGCTAACGCCTTGACGGCGCGGTAGTTGCGCATTTCGAAGTCAATGATCCCCGCGCGTTGCGAGTGGATGAGTGGTCGGCAGTGTCCGCCATTCCGACCTGTGGCGGCGGAGCATGTCGTTCGCGCTTCAAGAACCAAAATGTTGTTGACGTCTTTGTGGCTGTTGAGCAGTTCGTGCGTCGCGAATGTCCCGCTGATGCCTGTCCCGATGACCACGATTGATGCGCGTGGTGGTAAAGATGGCGAGGACCGGTGGTGAGTTATTGGGTTTGGGTGGGATGTCTGCCAGAATGATTGGGTTGGATTTGGGATGGGAGACCTGCCGGTCCGCTTTCGACCACGGGATGGCCGGCGTCGCCCATTTTATGATCTGTCTCTGCTTCACTCTCAAGGGTGCTGAGGCAGGCTGTGCACGTAGATCCTCCGCCTACGGGATGGGGTCGAGCGATAATGTCATCACACGATGTTATTAATTTACAGCCTCGCTCGGTCCGATATCGTCACATGTCGGAGATGTCCGGACACTTTACCGTACTGACGGCGACTCCAACCGTGAACGATCCCTTCGAGAGTGACTCGAAGACTTTGGATGTTGTGGAAGCGTAATTCAACACAAAGTCTCAATGCGGTCGTTCGAGTGGAAGCTATCAGGGGACGACCAATATACGCCCAATTTGGTAGGTCGTCAGGCATCCTCCAATCATCGAGTGAATGCGTGGATTGAACATGCGAGGGACCTATTTTTAGAATGCGTTCGACGTTGAGCACATGCCATAAGTTGAATATCTAAAAGTCACACTAATGAGCGCACATTTGCATGGACCGATATCTGACTACTGTTGATACCACGGCTCGTGCCAATTCGCCTCAAGGCACCACTCCCAAGGTGTTTCAGGATATGACATGCTCTAGGACATCCGGCCTTCGGTAGACCCGGGCGATTTCCAGCATAACGGCAGTGCGAACCGAGACTACTATATCCCACTATTCTCCTAATCGTAAGACCTTGGAAGACGTGGTCCGTGGTACTTCCCCCTCGCATGAACAAACCAATTGATGGTCGCGAATATGGCCATCGTTCCCAAAACCACACATGTATAATCTGCAGCGAGTTAGCACCGACATAAGAGACCACGAATTGAACTTGTGGAGGGTGGTAGAAACATACTCATAGTACTCCCAGTGACAGGCAAGACTGTGGGAAAGTCGAAGAAAACAAGCACGATCAAGCCGAACAAGACCGTCAGAATGTTTGCAACCCATCCGACAACACCTGGAAGCCGAAATGACCTTGTTTTTGGCAGGAAGGTCGCAGATCGTTTTTGCCACATCAATAGACCTGCCGGGATAGCGAATGTGATCTGTTGGAGGATGAGTCCACTGCCGATCAAAGCATTGAATGCTGTCGTGGATCCAAGGTAGACAAAGCCCATCAAGAACACGACAAAGGCGTTGAAGAGAAGCGACCAGACAGGAGCTTCGTAGCGCGGATGTATGCGACTCAGATAGTGAGAGAATATGAGCCCATCGTCCCGCGCAAATGCCCATGTGAGACGGGACGCTGTCTGTTGAGCGGCGTTGAGTGCAAAGAATCCTCCCAGCAGCAGGATCGAGATGAAGACAGTGGCAGCGGCTTCGGAGGATGTCGCCTGGTACCAAAGCTCGTACATAGGTTGACTATGCATGTTTTGTCAGAGTGCGACTGCGATTGGCAGATAACAGAACTTACCCGGTCGGAGTACCCAGGACACCGTCCAGATCTTGAATGCAGTATAGCATAGCGATCATAAATGGGAATGCAGAGAGAAAGCCCAGCAGTAGAGTCCACATCAAAGCGCGTGGTACAGCGACCGCAGCGTTTGCACATTCTTCTGCAAGATGTAGAGCTCCGTCAATTCCTGAGTACGCGTATGTAGGATTGACGAGGCCGAAGAAGAAAACCAGCCCGTCAGGCCAGCCGTTTGAGAGATTGACATAGGTCGACCAGACAAAGGTGGATGAGTTCTTGGTTGGAGCCAGTGCGAGGCATGAGATGAATATGATGATGAAGAATCCCAGAGATATGAGTACTGGCAATGATGAGCATACATAGACTGTGCCAAAGGAAGAAATGTCCACTTACGTCCAATGTTATGCACCCAGATCGACCTTTTGAGGTAGTAAATGTTGTTGGCCATGAACAAGAGGTTGAAAGCTTGGTATAGAAGAAAGACCTTCCAGCGCGAAGCTTCATAGTCTTCATCGAAGAAGACGACGATTGCAAAAGTGATCTGTGCTGGAATGATGGCAATTCCGGCGGAGGTCGCGATCCAGCCAAAAATATTGGTGGCGCCGCATATATAGCTCTGTGTTCTCAATCAGCTGCACGTTTCCAGTCATGGGAACAGGATACTCACCAAGCCTTTGCTCACGCTCGGGGGTGACAAGATCGAAGTCCAGTGATATTGTCCACCCGCAGTTGGGTAAACGCTTGCCAACTCAGCAAGGGTCAATATAGTGGCCCCATCCAAGACGAATACGACGATCAGGCCATAGAGGACGACGATCGTACCGCCCTGAGTGATGCCAATAACTGAGGTGGCAGCAACACCTGCCCAGCAGTTGCAGATATTCCAAGCAGCGCAGACGATTGCGAAGGCACTGATGTTGCGCCTAGTTTCTTCCTCGAGGCCGAGTGCGGCCAAAGTAATGACTTCACCTTCACCTTTCTCTGGAGAGACAACTTGGTGGTACTGTTAGCCTTCAGGACAAGGAAGGATTCCTCAGTGTATATACCATTCTCTATAAGCACGAAGGTCTTGTCAGTTACTCTGAGCGTTTATAGATTGTTTTCTTCACGCACCTATACCGACATCTTTTTTGTCGTCTTCACGAGCCACAGTGGTAGCCATGGTCGAAGGTCTCTCGATATGGCGTAGAACAAATCTGAACTTCCAGACATCAAGTCTAGGGCGTGCAGTCCGTGAGAAACATGGTCGTTTATAACCACTTCGGTTGTGCGTGCACTCTTGATCCCTTATCTCTGATGGTTTTGGCGTGTTCCAGCCAGGCTTTCATTGCCCACTCCCTTAGACTAAAAATCAACATGTTAACGATGCGGAACGACTGCCGCAACGATAGAACCGGTAGTCGGCACCATAAGATGAAGATAAGAAGCCTTAGATTCCTTTGGTTTATGCGAGATTCGGAGTGCGAAATGCGAAGTGCGAGATGCGAAATGCGAAGTGCAAAATGGGGTAACATAGAGCATGGCCAATCGTTTCAGCTTTCTAATCAGCCAGCAACGCGCTAACCTCGCACCATGAACAGGGACGAAGAGACCCTTATCAATGCTGACACACGACTTTTTAAGAGCATAGCGACGCTTCGGAACTTGTCTACAACACGTTACTAGAATGTGAACGAACTATATCAGACCACACTGATGGTTATTCCAGTATCGACGATGGTTCGTATCTATCTCGTCTAACAAAGTGTGGATATGGAGCTCCACAACCTTATCTCCCTCGAGAATAGCTGCTATGATCGTAAGATCGCAAAGCGACCTCATCGGAAGGTCAGGTCCGGCTGCATCGAGTGCAAATCACGGAAAGTCAAGGTATGATTGCAATAAAGCGGCGTCGGGAAAACGCCTCAATGCACTCGTCGAGTTGTCGCACAAGTATTTACGAGAGATATAGTGCGATGAGGCTGAACCACGATGCTCGATGTGCCGGAGATACAACAAATCCTGTGTTTTCACGCGTCCGAGCAATGTATCATCTTCAGCAAAAACATCTCAGACACCTCCTGCATACGAAGATGAGGTTCCAAGAGACCTTAGCGATAGAACGACGGACCTAGAAGTTCAAGATCTGGAACTTCTACACCATTGGACCACATCCGCCTATAAAGGCTTTGGGGACAAACCGGGAGATGAGGTCCCCTGGCAACTAGAGATGCCACAAATAGCTTGTGAGCAACCTTTCCTGATGCGAGGAATACTCGCCATGTCTGCACTCCACCTGTCATGTTGTCGCCCCACACAAAAACAAAAATGGCTTGTACGAGCAGTCTACCATCAGAATCGGGCTTTGCCTTCATACCGGTACATTGTCAACGACTTTCAGAGCAAGATGACAGAGCAGAATTGTCACGCGGTGATTGGTTTTGCAAGCCTGACCAGCGCGTATGCTTTTCAAGACCCTGATCCACCTAATCCCGATCGATCACCGGGGAAATCATCACCCATTAGTTTCCCAGAGTGGCTGTACTTGCTGCGAGGTGCTCGACAAATCCTCGATGTTGGACGAGACTGGATCTCCAGAGGGCCAATGGCCTTTCAGATTCGTGTAGTAAACCATCCAATCGACCTATCCTGCAACCCACGCGACTCACATATGGCTGTCCTTGCAACACTCTTCGACCGGAAGCGCCGGGATCCATCGCTCTACAAATTATCAGACCGCGAGATCGAGGCATATCAATTGACGCTGCGATTGCTCCGCGAAAGTAGTGCGATGCCATTCTTGCCGTGCAAGACTCTTGGTGTCAAGCTCTCAATGTTTCGATGGGTCGAGAAAGCTCCTCAGGCTTATCTGGATTTGCTGGCAGAAGGGAAGCCTGAAGCATTGGTCTTGTTAGCACACCTGTGCCTGTTGCTCAAAGAAGGAAGCCGAAGCTATTGGTACATGGAAGGTGCAGCTGAGCGGCTGATGGCTATAATTTGTGATGCCTTGCCCGCAACTTGGAGACCTTGGATCGCTTGGCCGGTAGAGGTAGTCAACGGCACCATTCCGTCGCCATAAACGTGGCTTTACATTGTCGTCACGTTCAAAAGTGTCCTAGTCGATAAGTAAAGTCATGTTGCAGGAATTGTTTCTGCAATTTACCTATATCTCCTCTTGAAGCCTATCCGGCATTCTACCGGTTTGTTCAGGAATCCGTCTCTTAATTTCCATTGATCTTGATACAATTCAAAATCATACCTTGAGAACATTGTAGAAATAATGAGCACCATCTCCATCTCCGCCACATTTCGTCCGACACAGGCTCTCGGTCCATAACTGAATGGGACGAAACCCGTCTTCTGGTCTTCAGTTAGACCCTCCCACTTTTCAGGCCGAAAACAGTCCGCATCCTCTCCCCAGACTTCTTTCGAGTGATGAATCGAATATGTGGGCACACTCAGAACCGTGCCTGCAGGAAAGTGATGTCCCAAGATCTCGAGACCTGGCCCAGGTGGCACTTCACGCGCCAGGCCGATGCTGTTGGTGGAGTGCATCCGCAATCCCTCATTGATGACAGCACGCAGATACTTCACATCTTTAACCTGGGAGAATCTTGGAGCACAACCCCCTTCTGGGATGACTACATCAAGCTCCTTCTGTAGCCTTTGCTGCACCCCAGGGGAATTCAAAGTCCAGTATATCACCGCACATAGGGAGTTGGCCGTCGTATCACTTCCGGCGACCATCTGAGTCAGTGCTTCCGAGATGAGTTCGCTTCTGCTCAAGCTGTTGCCCATGTCATCTTTTCCTTCCATGAGTCGAGCCAGCAAATCGATCCTATCACTCTTGGTACCCCGTTGCAGCCTCTCCGTTACTCTTGCTGTGCCAATTGCGTTCACACCAAGTCGACCAGATAGACCTTTGTAGAAGAAAGGATCCGGTATCCATTTGGCATATGGGATCAATGCTGGTGCACAACCCAGCATGGCGTTCAACTCGCCGCGTTTGTCGAGCAAATACACGGCTGGTGCATGAGAAATGGGTCCGTTGGGCTCAAGCTGGAGCTCAGCGATATCTCTTCCCTTCTCAAGCATCCCAAAGGGCTGGCCGAATGCCAGGTCACCGATCATGTCGAACGCAAGATAGTTACACCAAGCCAATGCATCAGCCTTTGTGAAGTGCCCGTTGGCATTGTCGGCCTTGAGGTTCCACTGTCGTACAAAGACGGCTAGGTTCTGCTGTATGTACTGCTCGAAGCCGCCCACGGCTTTCGCCGAGAACGTATGGCTGACCATCTTACGCTTGCGTGTGTGCTCTGCGCGGTCTCGGGTACTGAAGAGCCCACGTTCGAAGCTCACAAATGCGTCATAAAAGTCGCTTTTCATCATACCATTGCCATGGCCATAGATAGGGTGAATCGCCGCTGTAGATGCAATCGAAATGTGATTCGGGGCAATCCGAACGATCGGGCCAAGTCGTTGGTGAGCATCATGGACAGCGGCAGAACGTCTGACACGACGTGCTTGGAAAGCCAGCCAAAGGTTGCTGAAGGCAGCGGTACGTGAAGCCGCTGGAATTTCTCGCAGGGAAGAGTAAGTTATAAGATAAGGCACAGAATAGTAGCCTATACAGAGAATGATCAGTGCACACCATACGAGGATGGTCTCTAAGGCTGCCATACTTGCCCAACTCGTTTGCAAGGTGATTTGTCCCGAAGGATGTGCGTAAGTTGGGAGTTGGACTCGGTGAAATCCTGGCCCAGAGCGAGACTTGATATCTCAGCGTAGTGCACTTTGGAAGAAGAAGTGCTTTATGCTAGATTGCATACCAAGTCCGTGCAACCCGAGCAGGACGCATTACAAACTCACAGTATTGGCTTGACTGATGACAGAAGCCTCCACCATTGTAGCTTCCCACCTACATAGTCCGATCATGCCACACTAAACGCTCTGCCAACTGACCTATGGGGAGATTGGCCCCTAGCTAACGCATTTGTGGAGGGTTGCGCTTTTGATAACCTGGCAATGCAGCCGTTTGTCGTTGATAAGCCTAGATAAGTCTAGACGTCAAGCTGATGTGACAAAAGTGCGAGATGCGAAGTGTGGGTCGCTGATGAGGGCGCGAGATGCGAAGTGCGAGATGCGAAGTCCCACGAAGAATTGCGAACTGCGAGATATGCTCGTCGGTTCTGAGATGACTGACATACAGCCACAAGACGGACGTGATCCATTCGAATCAAGAGGTCGCCATGAGGTTGCACTCCATTCGTAGTCTGCTAACGTGGCCTGTCCGTTATCAAGTTAATGAGGCCTGCTTCGCCATTCTCATCTTCAAACGAGAAGATCTCCCATACATCATCCAGAAATGGACGTCCATCCCAACAAGCAAAAACTCGTCGGTCGAGCGATAGATCTCTTCCAGGAAGTACAGAACTTGTAAGGCAACGCCCTTTTTTTGTCAAATGTGTATCAGGGATTGATATGCTGCATAGAACGCCGGGAAAAGACCTGGAAGCTCGACTAAATGCAGAGTACGGCCCTGGAACACCCATCTATGACGATTTATGTTCCTACATTCGGCAGGGAATCGAGAACGACGAAGGCTGGGTTGCTACCGACGAGTTGGACGGACCCAAATATCGGCGAAGTGTTGTATGTCGACCTTCAGCAGAAACGCGGTTCTTCAGCATCACCACCGTTTACATGGCAAGCGACGAGGTATATGCAGGGCAGTATCACCAGCATCCTTATGGGGAGATAAATTGTGTTGTGCAAATCGACAAGACCGCTGAGCTGAAGGGTACGAAGTCGTGCCGAGGTCCGAATGACTTGCTGCTAACAGTGTGGACAGGCATGAATGGATGGCAAGGCGCTGGATGGACGTCTCCAGGTCCCGGAACCCATCATTACCCAGAAGTGCGGAGAGGGAGACTGGTAGCATTGTTCTTTCTACCAGCTGGTCGGATTTCTTATGAGGCGACACCCGAAATGCCACAACCGCTCGCAATCTGAACGTCCGCATGTACTGGTTTTCGTGGGAAAGCACATTTTATGCATATGGTGGATGATTCCTGTTCATAGTGCATGCCGACACTTCATGGCTAGCACGTTCGGTACAATACATCCCTGTTCGTGCTGATGAACGCTGACGCCATGCTAATGTATGCATCAACAGACTGTACCTGACCCGCTAAAATACAGTTCGTTTCAACCTCAATTGATCAATACCCACTTCCATCCGGCCTCCTTGCCGCCTTGTCTTACTGCAATCGTCTCCAGTGTGTTCTTGATGGCGTCTTTGGGGCATTGCTTGAACAGCTGCTTGAGTACTTCAGTAAGACCAAGCTTGGTCAGTGGGCTTCCTGATACAGCGTCTCGGAAAGCTGGTAAGAGATCAGCCTGGATCATCTTGACCGGCTTTCCTGACTTCGAAGTGGTACCAGCCCCGACTTTCGCATTGGACGTTGTATTCTCAGTCTGACCAAGCGTCGAAACTTGACCCTGAACAGTTGAAGATGGCATCAATGTTCCACTATTCCCGTCAACGGCCATCAATGGTAGACGAGGTGGCTGCATAGGGACCTGTGTTCCTACTGCCTTCTCGCGTTTCTTGGGGCTTGTCTTTCCCAAATCGGACCAGTGATTCGTCGAATAGGGGTCGATCGGGAATGTGGTCGAGTCGTGAAGAACGTCCATGCGATAGATACTCAGATCGAATCCATCTGAGGGCTGGGCATCCATTCCCTCCCAACAAAGTCCACTTGATTTAGGTTCCATTTCGGTCACAAGAGCCTGTCGTTTGTGAATTGCGCCTTCATCGTCGAGAAAGTCGTCCATCTCCTCCTCGCCATCTTCATCTTCAGACTTCTCATCTTCATCCATGAGATCGTCATCGCCCTCTTCTGGCTCCTGCCACTCAGCTTCACTGTCATAGTCATAATTTGTGTCTGGCAATGCGCGAACAGATGGATTGAGTGCGATTCTGTGAGCACGACGTGGAGAGACCACTCTTGTGTATGTGCCTTGATAAGGAGGTCGAATGTCTTGATGAAAGAACATGTACTTGATTGGGATTGTCGCAAGAGCGTCGGTAGTTCCAGTAAGATCAACAGGTGCATCTGCCGAACCAACTTCTTCCATGATCTGCTTCACTGGTCTGATTCTGGCCAATCTCCGACGCTTATGGAATCTCGTATTGACCTTTTCTGGAATCACTGGTTGGTTTATAGGCAAATCATCATCGGAGGCTTTGGCTGAGTGGAAGCGATTGAACGGAGCCAGCTCCACGTTCTCGTGGACAAAGAATGGGTTAATCCACTTCCTATATTCTGGGTGTGGAGGTTTGAATGTCTTCGACTCGACAATCGGTTCTTCCATGTCGATGGACGCAATGGATGACCGTCGGCTTCGTGTACCTTGAGAGACATCATCCGGACTCAAAGGCGGTGTAGACGTAAGAGCAGGTCGTCCGAAGAAGGCACCGATACGCATTTGTGCCTATAACAGTCAGCATATGGAGGTAAGTGGATGAGCACAAAACCTACTCTCTCCTTCTTGAGTGCTTCGGCAGCCTTGCGCTCCCTCTCGGCATCTTTCTCCAGCTTAACGGCATCTTTCTGTTTCTGTTTCTGCTCTTTGGCAGCCTCCTTGGCTTTCTTCTCTTCCTCTTTCTTGGCTCTCGCCTCAGCCTTCTGCCGCTCCTTTTCTTCCTTCTGTCGCTCTTTCTCTTCCTTCTGTCGCTCTTTCTCTTCCTTCTGTCGCTCTTTCTCTTCCTTCTCCTGCAGTCTCAAGGCCTTCTCGACTTCTCGTTCGGCGAAAGTGAGCTTTCTTTTCTTAGAGTCGCTAGGAGCCATTCCGGATTGTGACGGGCTGAGGTGGGGTGTGGAACCAAGTTCGGTCAATGGTGTGCTGGCTCTGCTGAGAGCAGGAGACACGGAGCGGGATCTTGTGCCGGTGATGGGAGTTCTCTGCTGTTCAACAGGTGGAGTGAGAGTAGATGAATGATTCACAATCTCTCCTTTGTAGTTGCGTTTCCTGGAAGTAGGCGTGAGTTGTTGCGGTGCTGAGGCAGGAGCCCCCGGCGTAGTTACAACTGTCTCGGTCTCCATGATCACAAACACGAATCAAACAAAGGTAGAAATGACAGTAGTACTACAACGGTCGTCTGCCTGGATGAAGCAGTGTTGTTGACCTCGAGGCAGTAAGCATTGAGACGTTGGATGCAGTGAAATTGTTCAAGGATAGTGACGCGCCACGCGTAGAAAGGAACGCGCCTATGCCAAGAGCGGAGCCCCGTCCATTTCACTGTTGCTCAGGTACGGAGCGACAGTAACCACGTCATGTGTATAAACACGATCGCTCAGTCGAATAAGATGAACAGTCTTTGAGTATTGTGCACCGATACCAAACATCAATGCCTACCATATATTCGCACAATAAGGCTGATCAACCCTCTTACAACCAGCGCTGGGAGAGTATCTCGCGAACTCTCTTCAGCCTAGATCTCAGCACATGCAAAGATGTGCAAGACCTGGGATACCAGCTCGAACAAGCAAACGAAGAGCTAAGAAACCTCGGAGATGCCTATTCTGAACTCCAAATTATCCGCTTCTTCCTCATAGCCATCAAGGGACATGGCTTCGTGAACACCGTCCAATTCTGGATGAACACCACCGACGTGCTGGATAGCACAAATGTGAACTTCAATAAACTTGTCCGGCTGGTCGCTCACGCCGAGAAGAATCAAGCGCGCGAAGCCTCCGTTGTTCGGGCGCGTGCTCTTGCAATGAAAGCAGCGGGTACCTCTATACCTCGCTCCGAGTCTGTTTGCTCTCATTGTGCCAGAAAAGGACGCACTGTCGATGTGTGCTTCAGGCTCCGTGGCTACCCACTCAAGCGCAGAGTCGCAGGGCAAGCCCAGACTAATCGCAAAGCCCGGTCTCACCTCTCGGACTGAGAAGCTTAGCGCAGGTGTTTGAGGCTTAGATTGCAGAAGGCGGACTCCAAGATGTTCCTATGCCGTGTCGGGACAGCATATGATATCGCAACAGTAATTGTTTCGAACCCCAGAAAGGATTGTCTGCAATCCATGGTGCCTGACCCAAACGTTCAAGAGCGTTGCATCGAACGTTGGTAGCACAAAGGACAGCATTGCAATGGTGGATTGGGTGCCGCTAGTCCAGCGCCTCGTTTGTACGTATGGCTCTACTCAGCCGCATCTGCCTTACACCGGTTGACTTTATCGCGGTAAACTCCAGAGAAGCGAATCAATATCAGGGAATCAGGCGCAGACCTGTACAGCCCCTCCACTACGGCAGATTCGCGTGAAGCTCAGGTGACCTCATCGATGGCGCCTGTCGAGATGCTAGATGGTATCCTTGTAAGATGGAACATCGCCCAGAGCCCACTGCAAGTTAATCACCTTTTATCAGCGCGACCTCTACAAGCGACTGTCCTTGCAAGAGCTCCCGTCTCTACCTCACCGTTTGCACTGTCACCAACAGCAATGTCTGACCCTGTCCGTCGCCATCCGCCGCCATCCTACGACGATGACCAAGAAGCTGATCCATACGTGTACGATGATGGTGACGCGCCTGACTATGAGAATCCTGACTATCTCACGGAAGATCCAAACCCTAGATTCGCCCAGGAAGGGGAGGAAGAAACCGACGAGTTTCTAGCTGGGACAGCGATGGACCCGAAGCATTCTGACGTTGTTGACGTTGATGATGAGGTCGCTGCGGATGCATTGGAGCATGAAGGTGATATTGATGTTCCTGATGGTTATAATGCTCGCGATTATGATGTACAAGATGACGGAGGAGATGGAGACTGGTTGGAAGCTGGCCGGGACCCAGAAAACGTCAGGAGGGAGATGGCTGACCGGGAACCCGGAGCGCAATATGAGGAGCTGGATGATACATACAACATGGACGACGATGATGACGAGACGGCGTAAGTTTGTGTGGTGAAAAATCGTCTCGGGGCAGGAGATGAGATCTTCTATGATTTCACGCATACCAAGAGCCGTCGGCGTGGGATTCGAGGTGTGTGGCAACTGTAGTCATACGGGAGTTCGTGGCTCAAATTCGAGGCTCGAGATCCCTGTTCCTGAAAGAATCTGTATTCTGTACCTGACGGTAGTCTAGGTGACATTCTGTTCCTCACAAAAATTCTGTATTCTGTCCCTCACGGTAGTCTGGGTGACAATCTGTTCCTCGCAGAATTCTGGATTCTGTACCTGACGGTAGTCTGGGTCAATTCTGTATCACTCAGAGATCCAGTATTCTGTAGTGACGGTAGTCTGGGTCGCTATCGAGCGCCGACAACTCAACGCCTTACCGAATCAAGAACTGGATATATTCCGTGTATGAGGCACAAAGCTGATTCAAGACCCATATATGATCGAACAATGGCTGCTGCTAGACTTGCATTTCGTATAGAGAACATTTGTATGCGAGATGCATGGAGGATGATCATGTGCAGAAAGTCCTTCAATTGTAATTCAAGAAGTAGTCCCTATCCATACAGATATCTGGAAAGCCGTCGCAACACCAATCCCCAGCTGTCGTGGTATAATCCTTGTGTCGCACAGCCGTGTCCATCTCAGACTCCATCGCAGTAAGCATTTACCGAAAAGTCGGCCTTTCCAGCCGTTAAAGCACCATGTTGCCCACGCCAATATCCTGCCATGCTTTCCGAAATTGTTGTACACATCGCACCTCGTCGTCGATTTCTCTTACACCAGGCCACAATTCGCTCGACTCGACTATACTGTCACTCTCCGTCCGTATCGCGAGGTTTGTTTGCTCCTTTACATGGTTCCATAGCCCTGGAACCCACCATTCTGCACACGGTCCGAATAGACGCCCGGCGCAGCGCGTCCAGTAAGTTGACCGTGCCTCGCGCGCTCGCGGCGATCGAAGTAGACGTATTCGAGGTAGAAGGCGTGAATGTGACCCGGGAAATAACCGAGGAGGGTCAAGCAGATGTTGATGAGGAGATCAGCGCCACAGCCTGCGATCATCGCAACACCCACAGGTGGGAGGAGGATGGTAATAAGGATGACAAGGACTGCTGAAATTCCGTCGGCCATATTGATGGTGAATGAGGATAGTTGGTCTCGTTAGGGGTATGAATGTATATGAGATTGCTCGCGCGTAGGATTATTGTAGGTCAGAGGAGTGTAGAAGACTGAATGCAGTTGACAGATAGCGAGGGAGGTATATATTGGAAATTTGGTAGCAGCACTGAAACCTGGCAGTGCCTGGCAACGGACCGATGACGTAAAATGTGGCACTGTGGCGCAGCGTACCAAAAGAACAATGTGGCGGTGTATATCTTGCGCCACACTTCTCGCTACTTCCAAAAGAACATGTCTACCATTATCGCTCAACATCTCGAGCTTTCATATCGTATATCGTACAACTCCCATTGAGCGCAGGCCTCAAGCCACAAGTTCACTGATTCCCGTCCTGGGCACGTGATCAAGCAGTGCCAACAGCTCATCATCATTCTCCTGCAAAAGCGTAATCTCTGATAGTCAAGCCCGTCTTGCTATCCTTCAATGTCGGCTCCGCACCAGCTTAAAAGCAGAACCTGCACTGTCTTGCATCTGCCCCAGGCTCTCAGTCTCTTCTCACACGTATCATGAACATCTGTTTTGATGACTGCGTGCATGAGAGCAGTCATGCTGAATCTGTCTCGCGCATCCTTATCAGATTACTGATCGATCAGCATCTCTACCAGCACTGGATCACACATCCCTAGGACCAAGTCCTTTTCTCCTCTCAATTAATCCTTTCAAGCCAAGCTCTTCAGCTGAAACCAAATTCCCCTTTCAGCATGAATACTTGACCCAATGAGTGGCTCGCTGCAAGGGCCTGAAGCTTATCAGCCTGTTGGTGCTCTGTACCGCAATCCTGAAACTCAGGAGCCACGTATGATCACGAAACACACACACGTCGGAGCACGGCTCCCAGTAAACCCTGTGCCGGACTTTGCAAATGGTCCACATCTCTGGACGACCCGTTGAAAGGGCTTCGCGGACAATGTCCTGCATCGAATTTGAATGATTCCTCCTAAGATCTTGCGTCCTTCGGCGCAATGCTGACCAGGGGATTCAAGGTAATCAAGGTAGTCTCGCAGATAGACATCCTTGCCATGGATCCTAGACACAAGAAAGGATCTTGATATGAGCATGAAATTCGAGAAACGTGGCTTGCAGTAAGTTGTGTGTGACCTAGACGACTGTGTCGATTCGACATCCATGATGGCCGGACTCGATGTTGACGCTCTCGGAGTTGGGAGTATACCGCCACGAAATCAAATGAGGCCTTTCCTAGCCAATTCGATCTTGCGAGCCGTCTCGCCAGCTTTGAACCCTCCTTTGCTTGCGCATACTGCAATCCCTTCGCCTAATTCGACCTTATCCTCTACCTGAGGGAAGGGACAGGGACAATGATGAGGGAAATGGACACAAGCCAGAGTGTCGGGACAAAGATAATTTGAGCAGTGCGCTAGGCGGATATACATGAGTTTACAAGTCTCGTATTCGAACAGAGAAGGTCACGAACCTGCTTCCCAATTCTGTTGGAACCAACTCGAATCACTTTTGGTGTTCTGTTTCTCCTGTTGACCTTGGCCTTGCTGTCCTCCTTGCTGGAAGAATTGTTCGAAGAACTGAAATTGTGCGGAGGCCAAGCCCACCAGCATCAAGACGAGACCGAAAGTGTACTTCATGTTGATCGGTGATAGTGCTATAAATGCTCAAGAAATGTGTCGATAGGCAAGACGGAAAGAGACAAGTTGGTCTCTTGCCGTAGAAAGGGATTCGTCCTAAAAGAGTCTAGTGTGATGTCCCCATTGGCATTTGCAGATTCGGCGAAACTTCAACATCGAGAGCATCAAGCTTCTCTACATAAAACCAAACACCGTGAACATGCTGCAACCTCGATTATACAGGTCTGCAGTGTCAGCAGACGCGTCTCTAACAGCTCTTGCCTCATCACTCAACACCCTCAGTCTCTGCGCAAAGCATAGACCAGCCCAAATCCAGCCCCGAACATCCACGATTTTCGTCCGACACGCCTCACACGCACAACAAGGTCGAGCAAATGGCCCAGGAGACTCCGCTGGACGGCGTCTGGGCGCTAAAAAGACCGCATCAGAATTTGTAGTGCCGGGAAACATAATCTTCAAGCAGAGAGGCATAGTAGATTCCGTCCGTACATCCCGAATCGCACTGACCCAACCATTGCAGGCACGAAATGGCATCCCGGCGACAACGTAGGCATCGGCAAGGACCACACCATCTTCGCCACCGAGTCCGGCTACGTGCGCTACTACCGCGATCCCCTCAAACACCCGAAGCGAAGGTACATTGGAGTTGCGCTGGAAAAAGAAGGACCAGGCTCACAGCTTCCCGTGCCTCGCAACGCGCCCTCGAGGAGACGATTGGGCATGTTTGCCACGCCGCTTAAACAGCAAGATCCGGACAAAGACTTTATGGAGGCACATTTGGCCGGCAACAGCAGCAGCGTTGCTACATTCAAGTCCGGTGTAACAACACCCACACCACCTCCAACGATCACTCGACAGGGCACGTATCGTGAAGCGAACGTCTCGATCGGTATGGCCGCGGAGAGAAAGGGAATCAAGGTGCGGGAATTCGATCGCGGTGACCGATGGCTTGCCTGGCGCAGACGTGCTGCTAGGGTGAAGGCCGGTATGGAAGCCAAGGCGGCCAAAGGCACGAAGAAGACCAAGGGCAAGAAATCAAACAAAGGCGCACCAATTGGCGGGAAGAAGAGGTGAGCCGTGGCCATTACGGTTTGACGGATTTTGTATATAATAAGGGGGCCTTTGCGCTCCCAACCGGTCGTATATGATGGCTGGAAAAGAGTATGATGATTTGCTTGCACTATATTGTGTTCAAGGGCGGTACCCCATCTCCGGTTTGGTTTTTGGGTTCAGTCTCCATGATATGCTCTTTGACTATCTATATGCGGACATTGGCATCGACGGCGGTTCACCTGACACGATGCCGTATACTTGTATATTCCGCCTACAAGCTTGAACCCTTCTATTAGAGCCCATTCTCCGTCTTGAATTTATCCCACGCCTCATTCAGGGTACTAAAGACCGCACCAGCGATCATCCGCTGCTCAGTTGTCGCGTCGGTCGGAATCTACACGGAGATATAAGTTAGTAACAGCGATGCAAGCATAGACGATTTTTGCGCGAACATACCTTGTCAGGATGCACCTTAGCAATCCCCTTCATATACTGCACCTTGACTTTCCCAGGGAGCACGAGATCCGCCATACTAATCTTCTTCCACCCAGAACCTTCCCAAAGCACATTTTCTAAACTACCGAGTAGGGCGCGGAGATTGTCGGCCTTGCCACCCCTCCAGGCCTGTATACGTGCGTCCACAGCGTCACCAAGTCGAAATCGCTCATCATCCGCTTTCTCGGCAGCTGCGTTGGCGGCGCGAAGGGCTTTAACTGCTGCGGCTTCTGTGACCGGGGCTGTTGTCACGGGCCGGCGAAGGGTACCTGCGGGCTTCTTGACTGCAATAGCAGCAGGAGGCTTGGGTTGCGCAGCTTTTTCAGCGCGGAGACGACCTTGAATGCTCGTGGCGCCGCCGTGGCCTCCTTCCACAGCTTCGCGCCAAACGGATGCTGCATCGGCCCATTTCTCCATCTGCTCTAGGGCTTCGGCCTTACGCATGAGCGCCTTGCCGTAATACTCACGCATAGGCTTCGGAGCGTCGCCGTTGCCGAAGTCGATGGTTTCTGACTCGCCTTTTGACGACCCGATGACGCTCAATGCTTTATCGGCGTCCGAGATGGCGGATTTCGGCTGACCTGTTTTGAGCGATGTCAGGGCACGATTGGTGAGCAGGACTATGACGAGTGGGTGAGTGTCTGGGAGGTGAGAGAGCGATGTGGCGTAGGAATCGTGTGCGGAGGAGTAATCGCCACGCTTGAAATGCTCGTTTCCTTTCTCACGATGAGAACGACTTGCTTCAAGTTTTATGTTAGATACGGCGGGCATATTGCGAGAGGGTGGTGGGCGGCGGACTCGTGTTCCAGTCCGTGCTACAGGTACTGATTGCGGACGAGCCGCAGGTGTACTTCTTGAAGCGGATGGTGTCTGCGACGGAGTAGGCCTTTTGAAGCTTCCGTCAAGGAGGTCGGGTTCCGAGACTACCACAGGCGCCTGAGTTGCGGGCTGAGGCTTCCGCCGGCGGGCAGAGCTGACATAGGCCTGAGCGGCTTGTTCGTCTGCGGCCGACTTGTTCAGTGTAGAGCGCGACGTTGTAGCCGGAGGCGGATTTTGCTGTTGCATAAAGGCCGGCTGTTTCTGCGGGAGTGTTTCTCGCAGTCGTGATGGTATAGCTGGGGAATGGTCTCTTGAGCTGTCGTCACTCGAGTCAAAGCGTCGCTGCTGTCGATCTGGTCGCGAGGAGGCAGAAGGTCTTGTTGAAGTGGAAGGTCGCGCTGGAGGAGTTGGTCGACTGGACTCGAGCATCAGAGCCTCATCTGTCGCAGTCACCGCTCTTTGAGCTTCTGGACTTCGACTTCGCCGCCCGCCCATGCCAGCTTGTTCGTCTGCTACTCTTCGCTGAGTCGGCCTTTGTGGTTTCTCCCCTTCGCGCATCCACTTCGGTTGACTTGACGGCTCACTGTCAGAATTCAAGTCTTGGACAGCTTGTTGCACCTTTTTCGTGCCTTGCTTCCATAGTGAGCCTGCAGTCTTGAGGAAATTGCTTCCCAGCTCCGCAGCCATCTTCTCGAAATCCTTGTCTCCACTGGGTGCTTGGCCTTGTTGACGATTGCGAGACCTCTGACCTTCCTCCCAACGTGTGCGCGTGGCCATTGCTTCCGAGTCTGATCGCCCATGCCTCCGCATGCCCTCCGCGTCCGCTCCATGTCGGCTAGCCTCCCTTGATTGCGATTTTTGACGTGCCTCTTCGTGTGCCTGATTTAGAAGCCAACCCACCGCCGCCTGCACATCCATGCCAGATTCAGTGGCTTCCAACGCTCCCTGGGCTTTGTCTGCTGGGAAGCCCATGTCAACCAGCTCGGCAATGGCTTTGTCTTGTGGATGCATCTCGGAGGTGTCGTTCTCGCTCTGGATCGGTGGTGGTGTCTCGACCGCTGGCCGAGCGCTTGCAGGCTTTCCTAGCAGACCAAGTACGTCGTCGTCGTCCATCGCATCTTCAGTAGCCGCAGCTTGCGGCCTCCGCGGTTCAGACTCTGACAGTCCAAAGGGGTCGTCGTCTTTATCGATGGTTGGCGGTTTCTGTACATTCGCAGTGACAGAAGAGTTCTGAGTCGTGGCAGGCTTGTTGAACGCGGCGAATAGATCGTCGTCGTCACCAACAGGAACTGTGTTACTGCCCGAGCTTGTTGTTATATTCTTAGTATTGCCCACTACGGGTGTGCCTTTTCCGCTACCCAGAGTATTCCAGAACTGCTCATCTCCTCCAGCATATTGATCCTTGACTGTCTGAGTCTGCGTCTGCTGCTGTCTTAATTTCGCTTCTGCCAGCCTTTTCTGCTGTTCCAGTAATGAAACATTCTTGTTCGAGTTGGGTCCAAAGGGAACGAGGTTCGCGAAACTGTCGTTGGCAGGGGTTGTAGACTTTGACTGCGGCTGGCTAGACGGTGCAGTCAAAGGAGAGGCTCGTCCTGAGACCGGGGGGCTAGGTCGTAATGCAGAGAAGGCAGAATAGTTCGCGTTCGTAGGCTTCTGTCCATTTGCTGGGGTTGAAGTCCATTTCAACCCCGCTATGTCGTCCATGGTTGCGACGTAATTATACTCATAGACATCAAGGTCTACCTCCTGGTCATTATGAAGAGAGACTATACCTAATGAAGGGCAGCCTAAAATTCGCAGTCGTTCTGTCGCAAACAGTTCGGGAGCACGGTTGTCAATAGACTGGGGTGACGAAGTGCCTGCGCCACAATGTCAACATGCAGGCGCCACACTCGAGAGTTCAGGGGTCAAGTTTGTACTTCATCGCCTAAGACATAGGTAGGTTCCTCTTCTTCACTACCAGGTAATCATGAACTACCACTATCCACCTCAATGATAGATTTTTCTGTTTCAGAACGAAGTAGCTTTCCAGGTCATCGTCACCACGTAGTACCTTCGTTTAGGTAGATCTTCCCTGACAGGCTTTTCCCTCAATGCCACAGAATCGTCCTTGAGGTCTCGGAGGCCTTCCCAAGCGGATTCCTTCAACGTACCCGTCCATTCAAGAAAAACACCTTTCCCAACCAAGGGGAACTTCCAACCTTTTGCTCTCTCGACGACCGCCTTCAGTTGTAGCTTTTTCACCTCGTCGATCTCAAACTCGATTTTGAGCGCTTTCAGGCCTTGTACCTTGCAGACCTGCCCTCCCCATGTCGAGTTTGTCATTCGTTCCTTGATGTACTCCATGCTGGGACGTTCTGGTTCAGCTAGCATTTGCTGACAGGAGGTACGATCTTCTCGCCATGGACAAACGCCGAGTTTGTCACTGGACTCGGCGGGCGATTCCCAGGACCACCAATCCTGGTGACGGATGGTCATATGTAAACGGGCTGTCCTGAATTGGAACAAATCGGCCATGAAGCGGAACCCGAAGCCTTCTAGATAGTATTGTTGAGTGAACATGTGGACAGTCTGAACAGCTTGTTTCTGGTCATCATTCAGAGATTCATACCACTCTTTCCACCTTGCGCGAGGACGGTTCTGTTGTGTCGTTATTGGTAATGGGCCACCCTTCCAGAGCCAGAACATATGCTCATTGACTGACACAGGCAGGAGACGCGTCTCCAAATAGATCAGCTTACACGTCCGCAGCAATGTACAGTCAATTTTTTGGTGACAGTGATATCCTGGGCGGTAGAATTTGCGATCAGCTCGATAGGGTTTTGTGGGATCATCGAATGATGTTAGGGCCAGTTCAAATATGTGAAGCCTGATCTCAGCAGGTATTCTTGAGAATAGAGGACTCTGATCCTGATGGTTGGCCGTCATTGCCTCGGTCTGTCCTGCCTGCAGATGCATTGCCGGCGTGTCTGTGCGGTCAGAATAGCCTCGCAGTGATCTTAAGATGGCTCGGTCGACGGCTCTTTGGCCCTTTTGGTCTACATATCTTTTAAAGGCCTCAAAATCTTGGTCGAGATGCCAAAAGGAACCTAACGAAGGGTGGTCCATCTCCCGCATGTGACCCCTCCACTTAGGCACCAGTTTCAGCGGCCTTTTGACCAGGATCGACGGACCGGCTCCGGACAGTTCGCTTGAGTCGGTTGCTAAGCGCAGGCTAAGATCATTGGGGCGTAAGTTAGGCGGTATTTAGGCTTCCGCCATAACATCCATGTCTGTTTCTAATCCTTCTATCTCTATGCAAACACTTCCTCTCCTCCTGAAGTCTGCATATCGGAAAGGATTCGTCAATCTACTAGATTGCCACGAGGGAAGAACAGGTGTTTATGTAGACGAGGAATGAGACAGAAATAGGTAACTGTTGCACGTAGCGCTTTCCTCCTTGAGTCTTGTCTTTCAGCCCCTTCATCCACTGTAGAAAATCACTCTTCTTCAACTTCGACCATCCCAGCAATTCTCTCCTGCGCCAATCTCAATCGTTGTCTCAAGTTGCTTGCAGCCTTTTCGTGGCTTCTATTAGCCTTTGTCTTTTGAAGTTCCTTCGAGCGTCTACATTCCATCCTCTGTGAATCACCTCTTGTCGAAACTCCACGCAGCGTTGTATCACCGTCATAACACAAGCCTATCACAGCGTATGGCTTGTGCGATCTCCCCTCTACCGCCCCTTGCAGCTTAGCCGCCTGTCAGCTCCCCAGGGCCTATCGGTTACCTGCATTGCCTCCCGTCGGCAAAAGCAATCACTGTCGATAGGCCTTCTCCGCCATGGTTAATATCTTCAGGAAAAGAGACTCGAGAAACACTCATCATGACTCAAATTCAGACAGAGCATCTTTGAGACCCGCTCTCATTGAACGCATCTCAGACTATTCCCACAAGTCCCCAAAGCTGGTCAGTGATCGATTCGCCCTTCCGTCACCGTCGTCCGAAGCCATGCCGGACGTTCCTATCCCAGATCCGCCGGATCCAAGATCACATCCTGCTGCATATCTTCGAAGTATCCACGCCGTTAGACAACGAAGCCGGTTGGTCCTGGAGGAAGCCAAAGTCAATGCTCTCAACCATTTCGCTGTAGATTTATCCAAGTTCAAGGACACGGCGGATTATGTGGTGTCCATTATTAAAGTGAGTCCTTCAAAGGGAACTCTGAAACCTCAACACGACACTTCTGACTGCATATAGCGAGACTTTGAAGGAGATTACTCATCTATACCACCTCATGGTCGTTGGCAGCATTTCGAAGTTGGTGGTCGTCCGAGAGTGACTCAGCTGCTGCAATCATGGCCAAACTCAATCGACAATCAAGAGCGCACTCGACGGCTAATTGACCTTTTCCTCGTTTCCGTACTCCTTGATGCTGGTGCTGGGACCAAATGGTCCTACAAGTCCAAGGAGTCTCCGAAATCGTACGCTAGAAGCGAAGGTCTCGCCGTGGCCAGTTTGGAAATGTTTAAGGCTGGAGCTTTCAGCAGCGACCCAGATCAACCGCATCAAGTGGATGCTGCTGGCCTGAAGAAATTGACTGTCGATACGCTCGCCAAAGGCTTGCAAGTGTCGGAGTCCAACCCTATGTCAGGCCTGGAAGGTCGGGCAGGATTGCTCATCAGGCTGAGTACCGCTTTGGAGAATGCTGACATCTTTGGCGCGGATGGGCGGCCAGGAAACATGATCGGTGCGTGTGTGAACCTATTAACCTTAACAAACGCTAATGTGAACATAGACTATCTCTTGTCCCATCCCACTACTCAGGCGGCGTCTGTTCCCATCGTTCTCCTGCCAACGCTCTGGAGCGTACTGATGGATGGTCTGTCAGCCATCTGGCCTTCAACAAGGACCAACATCCAGGGAACACCACTCGGTGATGCCTGGCCTTGTCACGCTATGCCAAAGTCCCCGCCAGCTCAACCGTGGGAGAATATTGTACCTTTCCACAAGCTGACCCAGTGGCTCTGCTACTCATTAATGGTTCCCATGACCAAATTGCTCAATTTTCACTTTGCAGGAGCGGACCTAATGACTGGTCTACCCGAATACCGGAATGGAGGTCTCCTAGTCGATACTGGTCTTCTTACCCTGAAGGAGGAGGATAGACGGAAAGGTCTGAAGACTTATCATCAGATGGTCGGCGATGGCAATGCTGTGGAGGTTGTGCCTACATTCGAGCCTAGTGATGATGTTATCGTGGAATGGCGTGCTCTTACAGTGGGCTTCCTGGACGAACTGCTGGCGGCCGTGAACAAAGGGCTTGGTTTGGAGGGTTCACAACAGCTTACATTGGCGCAAATGCTCGAAGCCGGTACTTGGAAGGTGAGGGCTTTGGTGCTATTCTCGTAACTCGAGCTGACGCTGTTTTTAGGGAGGACGTGAAATTGCACAAGTCTCACGGCCGATTACTGGAGGACCACCAATTGGCATTATCTCTGACGGAACAGTCTTTTAACGAGCAATCACTGCGTGCAACCCGACACATTGAGGGCTCGACGAAATACAGGGTTGATGAGGTTACGCAAGATCCGTAAGCCAGTGCGGACATGAACAGAACAGTGTTCTACGGCCGAATATTCGAGTATCCTGGCCCCGATGCAATTGTCAGAGGCTAGGCCGCTCAAATGTATAGATTTGACGATGTGCTGTTCATACACGGCGCTCTCCGCTGTTCTGTTGCTTGGTTTCTTTCTGATCATTCTCATTGACCGCCAGGCCTACACTCGGAACGCCTGATCCTGATTATTCCACGCTGTCTCGTGTTTGGTACGCACGTCCGCTTTGTCGATGATCTTCTTCTTCATCAGGTGCGTGGAGAAGGTGCGCTTCTTCTGTCTGCAAGCCTGGCATGATTGGGAACTGCGATGAAAGCTGCCCGGATTGAGCTGCATTGCTAAGGATTTGCTGCCTCAACTTCAGCTCTTCCGCGGGTCTTTACATTAGTAATGAAGGTGCTTACCAGTAGTATCCAGTTCAGCAGACTAGCCAACACTATCAGACTTGCTGCTACCGCCTGTTGTCTCTGCCACCGGTCTGCACATCTGCTGGTATACCTTAGCGTCCGCTCACATGCTCTTGCATCGACTTCACGACTCGGGAAGGGCCAGGCTCTGTCGTGGAGCGAGTTCAGTCCACAGCATTGGAGGCCACTCTGTATCGCTCGGATCCCCGCATCGTCTTTTTGTTGGAACATGCTGCGCCACTGGGACTCCATTGCGCACTGGGACATGTCCGACGGAGCACCGTACATCGTGGCCAGGACTAAGAGTATGAAGGGGATCAAGCTGGTAAAGTACCAGGCGTATGGAAGCAGGGATGCCGATATACCTTCTTGACATGGGCGGTCAGACTCCTCGTAAAGGGCATCATCGCTGGCAGGACAAGAGGCACTACGATGTTGATAATCGGCAGGGCTAGCGGGAGTGGGAAGGAATATCGTGTCGTGGTGGCCCAAGCGATGCTGGCGTGGTCAATATGCCACAATCATTAGACACGAGAGGAAACGCACCTTGAGAGAATGATGGAGGTGATGGCAAGCTGAAAGTGTTAAAACAGTCTAACGATGGTAGCAGTACCACTTACTGGGACGGCGACAATAAGCAGAATGTTCGGCGAGGTCATCGTGAAGAAGGTCTCCCTACTGACGGAGTGGTGTTGATGAGGGAAGAACGACTGAATGGTTGTCAAAGACGAGGGCTCAATTGGAATGATTGATGTTGAGTTGTGAGGGATTGAGAGAGACTTGCGAAGTCTGCGGTCTCAAGTATCTTGATGTTACACAAGGAGGGGTAGCCTCAGCGTTATCGTGCATGTATCTTGTTCCAACGACCTCACATACTGGAAGCCGACCCATGGCAGTCAACAAGACACACCCGATCAGACATACCATGTGCCGTGTCTCTCACTGTCACGAGTTCTGGCAGCCCTGCTACCATTCAGTGAGATGTTGAAGGTCTCTTCTTGCTTGAGTACAGGTGAATCGCGCCATCAGATATGGTTCGAGTTTTGCTTCAAACCTGTCCGTTGGGCAGTCTTTCTACCCGTTCTCGCACGTCCAAGTCCAGCCCGTCGTAGCATCTTGCACCCGTGCATGGCTCAATGGATATCGTGAGACTGCCCGGAAGGTAAGTTGACATGGTCGTTGCACACCTCAAATCCGGGGAAGAGCTAGCACGAGTCATCCACCGAGGCAGAAAATCCCTCGGCGAGTCATTTCAGGGGTCAACTCTCACACCCAATACGAGTACCTCATCTCGTGCTCACCCCGTACAAATGAAGATTTTGTTGTTGTAGTAGCTTTCTTCACGCCTCATTGTTCTTGTTACTTCCAAGGAACCTTGAGCGCAGCAAAAAGTCGCGCAAGGAAAACGACATGATCTCGACCAGATGATCAACATATCTACGACTAAGGTTAACGACTGACAGGACCACAAGCCTGATCCGTGCATTTACTTTCTGCGTGACAGTGACATGGCGCGCTACGTCTAACTACTTACCGAGTCGCGTCGCCAAACCAGTCATGCTGTCAAAGCAGGCCATCTCCAAACCGCGAATCACACGGACACTCACACTGCTGGTTCTGGTCTTTCTGACCTGGCACGTGTACAGACATGGCATATCACTGTCTATCACACCTACCAAGCACGCCCACGGACAATCCAAGATCGCCAAGGTGACCGTCCTCGCGAACTCCCTCTCGAATTCATCATACATCTCGCGCGCCTCGCACCCATGAGGTTCAGAACACTATCCACGATTACCGCCACTTCCAATGCAACACGTCGCTCATTCAAGAGGCTTCAATACCCGGCCGGCCCACCGGGACATGGAGCAAGCCGGCATACCTCCTCGACTTGATCCTCTCTGAACTTAGCAAACCTGTGGGTTCTCGACTAGAATGGCTCTTCTGGTTCGACGCGGACACAATCATTCTAAATCCGCACATCAGCCTAGAAACATTCTTACCACCCGCCAACCTATTTCCCAACATCCACTTATTGCTAGCTGAAAATTGGGACGGTATCAACGCGGGTGTCTTTCCCATCCGCGTACACCCATGGAGCGTGACACTCTTGAACGCCATGCTCAGTTACCCTCTCTTCCGGGACGACGAGCACCTCGAGTTCCAGGACCAATCGGCCCTGTCGAATCTATTGCACAGATTCCCCGGTTTCCAAATGAACTGGACGGTCGTGCCGCATCGGTGGTTCAACAGTTTCCCTGTCAACAGCGTGTTTGACAATGGATCCTGGATCTACGCCGATCCAATGGACGCCAAACACTTTGACGACGGGGAGAAACCCGAACCCGAAGAGGGGGACCTGTCGCCGTGGAAAGTCCTGAAGGGAGATATGGTGGTTCATTTTGCCGGGACGCAAGAGCGTGAGAGTTGGATGGTGCCGTGGGTAGAACGGGCGGAGATGCTCTCGCCTGAGTGGAGTGGGCCGCAACATCTGGCACCGCTAGAAGCTAGGGTTGAGCAGTTCTGGGAGGAGGAGAGGAGTAGTACCGAGGTGAGGAATCGGGAGATTCTGGAGTTGGGAACCCTGGAACGCGTCAAAGACAGGGCGAAGTAGAAACAACTTCAGACCCCGGAGAGTGTAAGAGATATAGATCTGCCTGTTGCACCAAGTGCCGGAGGAGAACAGGAAGCATAGGATGCGAGTTCTGTGCTGTGTATAAGTAATATCATTTGTTCATTGTTCATTTCTGCTCGAAAAGAAAGGGAGAGCGACCCTAGGCCGGTTGAGAAGTGAAGAGACCTCCAACGCCCTCCAGTACCCAAAATACAGATTCTCGCTATGTATAAACAAATCATGGCCCCGATGAAGGACCCCAGAAAATAAGAAAATCCATCTCATCATGAGTGATGGACCATGTCATGTTCCTTATCCTTATCCTGATCCATAAACAGCTCCTTGTCCCATTTCCCACAGAGATGTTTCCATTCGATCCAGGTGCCGTTTTCCATAGCTGCACCACCCCTGTTCTCGATGGGACTCCACCACTCAGTGATGGTGTGTGCTCCTCCACGAACGGACTTGTGAACCTGGACAGCAAGAGGTTGTTTTGCACCACGGACGTGAGCTGCGAACATTTCTCTGGCATACTCGTTCCACCACAACAGTCCCCACATATGATGGCGAAGGTTCTTCATTCCTCTTTGCCACGCGTTATGGTGCACGCTCACGGGGACTTGGCCAGTCCAAAGATGGGTGTTCAGCGGGACGTGTTCCCATCCGACAGGTCCCAGTGGTATCGACGCATTTGCTTTCGAAGGTAGGTTGAAGCCCTCGAAGGGCGGTCTCGAGTTGCCAATATCATTAGGGAGCTTGCCGATATGCGAAGAGCGGATGTTATAGTACATCGATGGTATTTCTGGTTGAGAGAATACGACCCAGTCTGTATCACGAGGAGCGAAGACGGTGACATGTGAAAAGTCATCTTCGTAATCCAAACCCACGTTATATTCGAGCAAACGAAGTGCTGTGGTGTTTTCGTATGGGAGACGGGGAATTTCCCTCTCTTGGTCGAGATCGGGGTGTAGGATTTGGTCTCGACCTTTTTCGAAGCTGCTTTTGCCTAGGACCAGGCCAGCAACGGTGTTGGTGAATCGTCGGAAGGGATGTCTGTAGAAGTACATTTCCCGCATGAGTTCACGGGCGTACTCTTGGAGGCCGATGATGTCGGCCAGGACGCCCTGATCGCTGCCGGAATGGGGATCCTCCTTCGCGTGCGCTTCCGCAGCTTCGAAAAGCCTACGCATCTCTTTCACAGGCCCAATGGCGAAGCCGGAGTTCACGTGGCGTGATCTTATATGCCGCAAACGAGTCTCCTCGTCACCGCCAGGTATTTGGTCGGTGTCCGGGCCGAAGATGTCGTCCGGCATTGATGATTCTGCTGCAGCGTAGCAGGCTACATCTTCGGCTCGATGAGGCCAGCATAGTTTTTGGGTGCTGAAAATGATCTTTTGTGAGATGTGAGAAACGGGCGAGTACGGGCATTTGTCACGACCGCACATGCGTCTGGAGATGCGTTGGCTCATTCGGGCGTTGGCGGCGTAATAACGGGAGAGGAGTATATCGGGTCGAAGTTGCAGCCAAATATCGTAGGCATCAATGATCATCACTAGGTCCTCATCACCATCTGGGCCGACTGCTTTCAGGTAGCGTAAGACACCAGATATCTTCGCCAGATGGGAACCGCCACTGGAAAGGCTGTTGTCGTTGAATTCTTCACCCCAGTTGATGAGAGTCGGTGTCGAGTAGTTGAGCACCTCCGCACTGAGGATAGTCTTGCAAAGGTTCACATCTGGCTTGCTGGCCGGTACCAGTAGATGCAACTGCCTTTCTTGCTTCTTGATCGCAGGGTGTGAAAGGAATTCTGAAGGTGTGTCTTGTTGTGGGAAGGCTGCTGTGTATTCGAATGATGGTCCCGCTCCTACCGGTGGCTGTTGCCATGGTCAGCATCAACTTTTATTGCTCCTGCATCGTTGAGAGGATCCTTACCCCGACACCATAGAAAGCAAGCAACAATATCAGAGCAAGGGCGAGGGTGATCCGTAGCGTCAATCGTTGGCATCGTCTGGCTTGGTGCATAACATGGGTAATGCTATTCCGCCAGTCCTTTGCAGGTTGTTGGAGGCCGAACTTCTCGTCCATCTTGTCCATCTTTTCGATTCACCTTGTCCTTGGCTGGAGGACTGTGGGAAAGAGCGCGAAGCCTCCCTTTTGAAGGAGCCATGCCTCCCGCCACGGGTATGTGCACGGATCCTGCCATCGTTAAGGAGGCGGCTTGCTGGCACGGTCACCACGCGTATCGTCAAAGTGGACGTGCACAAAGACAAGCATTGTGGAGGCAGATTCTGAGGTCCGAGCTCTGAAAAGGGGATGTGTTATCGTTGCCGGAAGCACAGATTACCATCTGTCCCTCACTGTCAACATCAACTTGATAAAAGATATGTCTCGGCCCCTGGTGTTGTCCCCTTCAGCTGTCAATTTGATTGCCAAGGCTGTCATAGTTTGCAGCGTTGGCTGACAGCCTGGCTGGGCTCCTAGGGGCCACTTACGACCCCTGCAGTACCCTCCCAAAGTGCAATACTCGGTGTTGAGTCTTCGTGACGATCTTCAGGTCCTATTGATGACAGGCACTTCAAAAACGGAGAATAAATATACATTGAATTGAATGGTACTGTGCAATCTTATATCTACAGTTGATCGCCACTGTCATCATTGTGGCAGCTTCATGCTCTTCTCACGCTGCGTCTCTTGCTGCTTCTCTGCCAGCTTGATCCAGCTATACCACGCGCTACCACCCACTGCAATGGCCATTCCTAGACCATTCAGGAATCCCACCTCAGTATGGAATGTGGCGATGGCCAGAAGAATCGTCATCACCTGCTTCACATTCGCGCAGACGGTCAGCGTGAGTGCTCCAGCGACCTTGTTCGTGTGGAATGATGAGACGTTTTGGGCAAAAGCCAGCATGCCGTTGACAGCGAGCAACAACCCGAGGCTCTGCCACAGCATGCTGACTCCCGTGTACTGCTGAGTCACTCCTGTGACCTCACCAGCCAAGCCCGCACAAATGAGAGACTGGACAGCCGCAAGTGGGCACATGCGCAATAGAATGTCTAGTGGGTGTAGCTTCAGTGTGCCGGTCATGAGTCGGTTCGTAGCAACAGTCTGTTCAGATGTGTCAGCTCGACTTTCATCCGGAGGTTCATGTGTCTACCAACCTTGACAGCTGCAAGCAAAACACCCAGGACGGTCAGGCAGAAGCCCATGAGGGTGAAGTAGTAGTCACCAAATGTGGCAGCAGCAATTCCAACCGTCATAACGACCAATGAGAGATAAATGGGCGTGGTGAAACTTTGTGAGTACATCACTCGATAAATGAGGACTGCAAAGATTGGTGTGGTCGACCTGACGACCTGGTGGAAAGGCAGCGAGACGAGTGAGCTGGCTGGACGTTAGCAATGTTGACAGCAGAATCCACATCCATCCACACGTACAGGGACACATTTGAAATGGCGATGTTGATGGTGAACAAGCTTGAAAAGGCTATGAGCACCAGATTCTCATGCCTGGTCAACTTGGCAGGCTCGAAGTAGCCTCTCATCAAGAGGATGAGACAGCCAAGAGAAGTGAAGACGGCGTGCATGCTGGTGACAAGCCATGGATATGGAAACTGGAGCAGCTGGTCAGTCTCCATGTGTTGCCCTCCATTCACATGTTCGACTCACAGCGTTCAGCACGAACTTGTTGCATGTGCTCAAGGACAAGTTGATGGCGAAGTATAGGCCCAGGTTGACCAGTAGGTTGGTGTTTGACGACGACATTGTTTTTCGCTGGCGCTTGCCTATGCCTTTCCGTACACAAAGATTCCAATGCAGAAGTCGAGTAAAGCTATCACATAGCTCATGGTCAAGGAATCGCCTTCCTTTTGTTGGCCGTTGAACAGGCGCCGTGGTAGTGTGCACGGCCGCCTGTCGATACCCAATTTCAGGGGCTGCTTTTAACTGACAGCCATGTCATTTAGGGGCATGTCTGCCAAGCTTTAAGCCTAAACTCGAATAATTTGGGTCAAGCCGTTTAGAGACTGAAGAAAGCAAATGTCGTTAAACGCCCACATATAGTCAACTGTCAAGAAGCTCGATATGGTAGAGAGGTATGCTCGGACCACAGAGACACGTAAGCAGTCAACCCAGATCAAGCGTCAGTTGGAATGTGCTCCCATGTGCATGTCAATCAGCTATCGGAAAGGAGGCGGAACTCTTCCAGGAACGAGCTTTGTGGAGAGATGTGAGCTTGCCACGGTGAGATGTTAGAAACTTGACCTATCTTTTGCAGTATCATAGCAATTCGAGTTGCACTGGCTTCTCCGCCAGTATTCACGTTGCCTCGTGTCTTCGCGGTCCATATGGCTGGGAATCGAGTGGGAATTGAGGAATCAAAACTGGGCACGTATCCTTGCCTATAGGTGCCGGTTAAGCGGTACGGTACATCCCTTGAAGTGCGTCGTGGTCTTGTGCTTGCACCCCTTCAGACGGAGCGGCTCAAGATGCGCGCTGACACTCGGAGCGAAGCGAGGTCGCGCGACTTGAGAGCCAGGTTCAATGCTTAGCAACGCCTAAGATGTTGACGTCCCGCTGACGTGCTGGCCGACAGATCCGGTTTCTGGGATAATGGAATTTCAACTGAACCACTGGTCGCGCATGCTCCGAACTCCTTTTTCGCGTCTGAGCCTAGAATAAGCACCTGATCTTGTTGGCAGTTCGCGGCATCTTGAATGACGGATGTGGCTACAAGAGATACCCAAGTGTTGCTCGGCCTTTCTCCCTGCGTTCCGAATAGGAGGAGGTAGTTTGCAACCCTCACCAAGCTTCGAAATGATAGGACTGCTGGTAGCAACCTTGTGGGGCCCTGATTATATGATGCGCCGGAGCCAAACCCGCTACGGAGAAACATTTGAATCAGTGCGCAATAGATTCCCCAGCTTTTGGAATTTGAGCATCGACGACCCCGCCTGAGATCTTACTGAATACCTATAACCAGGGTACCTCGCGTCTGTAAAGGCTCGACAAGATGGACTCCCGCAAGAGGAAGAAGAAGGTCCTCTTGATGGGCAAAAGTGGCTCTGGCAAATCGTCTATGAGATCCATCATCTTCAGCAACTACGTCGCAAAGGATGTTAGGCGACTCGGCGCAACTATCGATGTCGAGCATAGCCATGCTAAATTCATGGGCAACTTGACCCTTAATCTCTGGGATTGTGGAGGGTAAGCATAGCTTCTCCCTCGACTCTATCTTCACACTAACGTTTCATCCAGTCAAGATGCCTTTATGGACTCCTACCTCAACGCTCAGCGCGAGAATGTCTTCTCCGACGCTGCAGTGCTCATCTACGTATTCGACATCGAGTCTCGAGCCGTCGACCAGGATCTCGAGACCTACAGCCAAGTCATAAAAGCTTTGAAAGAGTTCAGCCCAAGCGCCCATGTCTTCTGCTTGATACACAAAATGGATCTGGTTCAGAACGAGCACCGCGAAAGAATATATGAAGAAAGATGCCGCTTAATCACCGCTCGATCCGAAGGACTTAGCTTGGAGACTTTCGCCAGCAGTATCTGGGATCAGACATTGTACAAAGCCTGGGCCGGGATAGTGCACAAGATGATTCCAAATCTGGTGGTGATTGAAAGGTTTCTGCAAGCTTTCGCAAAACAGTTACAAGCGGAAGAGATTGTCTTGTTTGAGCGGTCGACGTTCCTGACCGTCACGAACGTTGTGACTGCCTATGGTGAGGACAACCCAAACCACGACCGGCACGAGCGTATTTCGAATATTATGAAGAGCTATAAACATACTGTCGCCAGGAACACGAGGACGACTTCTGCGAGTGCGGGCTTCCTGCTATTCAAGGTTCAGACACCACGATTCAACTGCTTTCTCGCACGGTTCACCGAAAACACGTATATCTTTGTGGTCATTCCACCTGGAGAAGCTGCTTTTAACTGTGCAGTATTGAACACCATGATGGCGAGAGATGTGTTCAGCAAGAAAACTGGCGTCGAAGGTTGAACACGATATATACACTCGATATCAGATTTGAGTCACTTCCGGAGCAAAGAGGGTGACCGCGTTTGTCCCCGCGGAAGACTTGGGCCCGAATGCCGTGGTAGATGTTATGGTTGGTTGGATGGTGGCCGACCAGAAAAAAAATGCCTGGGTCCTCACTGCGACAAAATGGTTCGGGGGTCTTTAAAAGGCCTTCCCTCCCATGGCTGATCACCACCAAGACACATCATAATAACACATCATCATAATCAACGATTACGAGCTTACTGAGCACACCGGCCCATCTGGACTCTCCATCATACAAAATGGCACATATCTTGGGCAGCATATGGAGACCTCGATTCAAATACTACCTCCTCGGCTGGTCAGGAGCGTTTATCGGCTGTCAGATTGTGGGCAGCATATGGGGACCTCAAACTAAATACTATTTCCTCGGCTGGTCGGGGGCGGTCATCAGCTCTCAGATTACGTTGTATTACGAACGCAAACGTTTCCAACAAACGTGGACCGAAGTAAGCAAACGTCAGGACGACATCGAAGCTCTTCAGACCGAGAGGCACGCCGCTACTATCAGAAGACTCACGGCCGAAAGATACTCCGCAAACATTAGGGAACTCGAAGAGCTTGCAAAGCAGAGAGACAGGCTATGGACTTGGATGTGGGCCGTTTCGAGACGCCGCACACAGAATGACTGAACCAAGGAAGGCACCCTTCACGAGCATCGGCGGCAGGCGGTCAGAAGCATATCGGAAGAACGCACATGGTTGTAGAAAGAAGTATCTGATTGTGAAGGAAGTACTGCTTGTGTGAGAAGAGCACTTGAGATCCACTCGAGTAACATAAACAGCATCCAGCGTCAAGCTCAAGCGTCAACATGCTTGAAAACAAGTCTTCATCGACTTTTCGCGCTTCAGTTCCTCAGGCACCGACTTCAGCGACAATCTTCCCACCCTCAACACTGACATTCTTGATTCCCTCCGCCTCAGCAAGCCGCTTCGCCTCCAGGGCATTGAAATTTCGCATCATAGCATTTCTGGTGAACTCCTCACCCGTGACGAGCGGGTATTTCTTGTGCGGTCCCTGGATCAAGGTATCGCGACAAGGCTGGTTGAAGAACGCGATACTGTATCGCTCCCCATAGTAATCATCCGGTTCAGAGGGTGCTTTGACGCGATGGAACGTCGACTTGAAGCGGTCGTCGGACCAGGACATCAACAGATCGCCGATATTGCAGATGATAGCGTTTGAATCTGGGTCGGGCTCGACTTTGGTCCATGTGTCGCCGTGGCCGAAGGATGTAGAGACTTCGCGGCCCGGGCAGATCTATTACAGAAAAACAAATTAGTTATGCACCACAAATAAGTACGCTGTTGGCAGGTGTGGGTACTTACCTCTAACCCTGACTGTCCTGCCTTTTGGAACAAAAGCGTGAGCAGATCCCAATCTGTATGTGCACCAGCGCGATGCCAGACCTGACCGTTTGTGTTGGCCGGTGTCTCGAAGTAATGTAGGAGTCTCGCCACAGTCTGACTCTCCGGTCTCTTGACGTCGTGAGCCTTGATGAAATAATCGTCGGGAAAGCCCAAGCCTCTCGCGAGACAGGCCATCAATTTCTCGGAAACGTCCTGGACTTTCCACATGAACTTTAGACTTGAGTCCTTGAAGCCTGGAAGTTCCGAGTCCTCGAGCCACCTGCCATCCATGTTCTTGCCGAACTGCATCTGGTAGGACTCCTTCCTGTCGGCGGCGCCAGTAGAAGGTCGAACTTGAGAGTTCTTTTCCCACCCAGCATTGTGAGCGGATGAGAAGGGTACATGTGCTTTGACGTCGTCTGGCAGCGAGAAAAAGCGGGCTGATTGTGCGAAGATGTCGTCTACTTCTTGCCGTGAGATACCATGGTCGACGATGCAGAAGAAGCCAACGTTCTCGGCTGCCTCGACTAGTTGTGCGGTGATTTTGTCGGCGCGACTGTCAAAGTCCGCTAGCGAAATGGTCGGAATGGCGCGCTTGCTGTATTTTGTCTTCTCGACTGGCATGGCTGAGGGCATGGCTGTGGTGTTATTGTGTTGCGGAATTGTCCGTTTGTAGTTCTTGATAGGAATCAGAGTGATAGGGGGGCTTCTAGTGTTTTGCCTGTTGTTGTTAGACTATGAAACTGATGTCGAGAGTACTGACTTGCAAAAGGCAAGGACTGCTTCTTTTTATATTCGTCTTGGTCAGAGTCCAGAACAGTTCCATGCACTGATATCGACGTCTTGTCGTCTTTGAGCGTACATAGTACAACCTGATAAGGCTGTCGGCCGCACCCCGCGCCGTTATCGTCCAATCACAACGCTGAGATTGTCGTACGGTCGTTATTAGCCGCCGCATCTCCATGCGACAGCCTCATATTCATGTTCACACAATTCCTCATATGTCAAAGTTCAGTAAATCTTCGAATAAAAAATTGTTGCTGATGCCTGTGTGAGGCGGAAATAGCTGCTCAAATGTTTCGTACCCAAGATCTGAAGTGAACACGGGATCTTGCGGTGCTGGCGTACGCACAGGCGTACGTGCTTCAGGTTCGAACAAGTCCATGGATGATTCAATGCCTCTGTTCGCATTTCGCAAAGAGTGGGTGAACGAGTCATTTCCAACAAAATTCTCCACGAACTTCGGTACATTGAATTTCTGCTTCTTAGGCTGTGAAAGGTCGTTCATGGCATCATGTGTCCGCTTCCGATAGTTCTCCAAGGTCTGATCTGCGGTAAGACGAGCTTGTTCAGCAAGCAATGAGGATAGCAATCGGATACCTCTGAGCGCAATCATGCTGTGTTCGAACTTGCCCAGCATGCTGATGGTATTATCGACCAACCTGCGATGTTCCTCGTACTCTGCTTCATTGGACTTGCGATGAAAGATGTCCAAAGCAAGAGTGATTCCCGCAGCAACCATGAAGGCTTGGTCGATCCACAACATTGGTCCTTCTTCGTCATATACCTGCCTAGCCTCCTTCAGTATCGTCTTCGCGGCCGCCATGCAGGTGCGCCTGGTGAAATCGAATGCTTGTTCGGTAAAGCTACGGCCAAGGAAAGCTCGATGAATCATGATAATCTTGTGAGCGAAGCATATAGTCAAGCTCCGTCTCGCCCATGGGACGAACGCTGGCCAGTCCGGTGATATTGGCTCCCTCATGGAGAAAAATCGAGGTAGGCCGTCGCTAGCCAACGTTCTCATCTTATCGTCGTAGTGGAGGACTTGCTCGTATTTTGTATACAAGGTGTTGGATGAGATGATGGCGTCGTGGATTTGAGGCATGACGCTGGCAATGTCGACGAGGACGTTTGGGAAACTGACAATGGCCGGGAAGTCCTCCGGTAAAGGTTGCATCGTGGCATCATCAACGTGTGAAGGTCTGGGCGAACTGAAGTGGGACTTCTGGATCGAATACATCTCGGAGAAGGGTATGGAGAACCAATCTTGAATGCATAGTTGAGCCCACACTCGCCTGCCTGTCTCGCGCTTAACGGCTTTGTCTCGTTGAGCCGCGGTCAGCATAAGCGAGCCAGATGTTTCCTCTTCAGGGCCGAGACGCTGAAGACCCAAACCTTGGGCTATTTTCAAGGCCGCTCCTAATAGTGTACTTTGGGTATTGCTGAATCCCAGGACATGCGCCGACATGGTCAAGACCGCGATCGCTTGTACCGAGTATACGTGATGGCGCCACATATAGTCGGCAAGATTGAGGCAGGTGACAGTGGCCTTGTACCACTGTCGTGTAAGCTTGGCCCTTTCGTGTTTCTTGAAACCCCACGACGAAGCTAATTGGTCACTAGCGCAAGTCGTGCTGGCGGCCATGATTGAGAACAGGAAAGCAGCCCATCTCAAGTCCATATCCCTGATCTGCAGCCCACCAGGTGCCTTATAAACCTCGTTCAGCTCGTCGAAAAAGGTCGGTCCATGAAAGCAACCGTGGTACCACAGAATCGAGTTGACGTGATACTCAACAAGCTGGTAAATCTGGCGGCGACTAGGAAGCAACAACTGTAGAAAAGATATCTGAGCTGCGCCTGTGCCCCCAAAGCCGCTCGAGGCGTCCCAATCCGGTCCACTGTCCTTCGGTACCAAGGCAGGACCGCTGTTATGAGGCTCTTTCAGCAGTTCAAGAGCTTTGAGATCATAATCTGAGAGCTTCGATCGACCCCAGGTCAGGAACTCTAGGGTGGTCGCGGCGTTGTCAATATCTGTGACCGGTCCATTGGTGGGGGCGGGTCCCAAGTTACTGGGAAGAGATGGATGTTGCGTTTGAGGGCTGGTCCGCGATTGTGCTGATGCCGGAGTCCTCATGGAAGGGTGTAGTGAGGGTTCCGACACATTGTGAATGGTTGCAGCAGGGGATGTATCGGTGATGGTAGGACTAGCGATAGAACCTGACCGCTCCCCTGATGTTCGTGGATAGATACGATGGACCTTGGGGTCGTAACCACCTTCGGGCCATATCCGGGTACATTTGTCTGCATCCCCTCGTTTCACGCAACGACTACAGGGAACGTTGCGATCACATTTCTGCCGGCGCATAGAGCACTCGGTACATGTTTGGCGCTCCTTGGGCATGGTTGATGACTTGTCCCAGGGGACCTCGTACTACCTCTGGATACGCCCCCCGTCGTCCGAAGCCGTGTACGCAGAGATTTGATGAGGTTGTACGAAGGTGGAGGCGGGGGGATTACGAAGAAAAAGATGTCATTCAAGTTGTCCACTCACTCAAAATGGCTTGGCAATCACCTGACATGCCCATGATTACTAAGCCTGGCCTTGGTGACTCTCATAGCATCTATTGCGCGGCCTCTCCTCTCACCCCATCATCTATTCCTTCAGATGCGCCGTGTCAGTAGGCTGCAGAACCTCACCTGTCGTCTCATTCTTGGGAGGCTCAGCCGGCACCAAGGTAAACAACATACGACAGTTCTCCTTGCTGACATTCATCCATGCCTGTTCGCACGCAAATTAGCTATCTGTTTCGAACATAATACTGGCTCAACGGTCGATGCATACGTGATTCGTTGCCCTCTGCACGCACACATCGCCTTCGTTCATGATAGTCTCGTCACCATTGTCCAGGACCAACTTAATTGACCCCTTCAGGACAACTCCAAAGTCCAAACTGTGTGTAAGATGCATGAAATTCACATCGTCCGGCGCATCGCTTACGGCTGGGAAGTCGACGATCCGGCAGAAGACGCCGGACCGGTCCACTAAGCCGATCTTTTTGCCATGGTAGTCGACAAAAGGTGTCTGCGCTTTGGCGGGGATCCCATCGGTTTTGGCGATGTTGGTAAACCCTGGAATCACGCCGGTAGGAGGATTTCCCTCTGGATCGAGCGGGTTGGCTGGGGTCAGGACCTGATCGTCGATGATGGTGGACTTGCCATTGGCATCGATACCTACATTTGAATCAGTACCTCAATCATATCTGGTGCCGATGGTGGAAGGACCTGTTACTACTCGTCTAGTGGTTGGCATAGACATAGTGAAAGTAGTTCGTGTATACCTCGGTACTGTGGTGAGATGGCTGTTTGATCAGGACCTTAGATGTCCGAAGAAAGGACTATGCTCTTAAATACTGCTTACCTCTGGCTCCTCCTAAGAGAATATATATCATAGACACGGGTTATATTCCGTTAACCTCAAGAGCATGGTAGCATTGGCTGACTACAAGCCATCACGCCCAGAGGTCAGCACAGTATACTCATGATCAGGCATGCAATATTACCGGTAAGCACCGACCCCGCTATTATTATTTTACAGTTTGTGAACGAGGTGCTAGTTCCGCATGGGCCGTAACATCATTCATATAAGCGGCGTACAGCCAACGACTATAGAGGCCAAGAGCAACAGGACCACAACACTGAGTCAGGGATACGAGGCTGAGGTAATATGATTTTAAATGTTCATACATCGCTTTTGATACTGATCCGAGCAGTAGACACCAGCTAATAAGAAATGCAATCAACGTGCTATGCCATTCGTCTGATCGGCCCAACTTCCATGTGTCATTCTTCACGGAGAAACCTGCCCTCCCTCGAGTATTGTACAATTTGTGATCTCTTCAAAGTGTCCACAGCTTACAGCAAGGCTGCAAGACCCAAAAGAGCAGCACCAGCAACACCAGTCAATCCAGTTGGCAAAGCAGCAGCGGCATTCGTGGCGCCAGCAGAGGATGCGGCAGATGAGGCTCCAGATGCAGCACTAGATGCCTTACTGGCTGCGGCGGATGTGGCAGAGGAGATGACGGATCCAGCCTTGGAAGTGGCAGAGCCAATTGTGCTTGTAGCAGAGCTGAGAGCACCTGCAGCCTCGCTGGTGATGCTACCCAGGATCGATTTTTCGGCCGAGGTCAATGAAGCGAGGGAAGAAGCAGCACCGCTGCTGCCGGCGAGGGCTGCAGAGCTGAGGCTCGAAAGGGTGGCAGAGAAGGCGGACTCGGCGGAGCTGAAGCTTTGTGCGATGGAGCTTTCGGCGGCAGCACCAGATGCGGCTGCAGACTCAGCAGATTGAGATGCGGCGGAGGTGATCGAGGCAATTGAGCTGGATGCGGAAGAAGCGGCGTCAGAGGCAGAGCTGGCAGCAGAGCTTGCGGAAGAGGCAGCACTTCCGGTGAGAGCAGAAGTAGCAGAGTTGAGGATTGAGGAGGCGAAGGAACTGCCAGATGCCTCGGCTGAGCTAGCATCCTGCGCCAAAGCCGGGACGGCGGCGAGGAGGGAGAAGAGGAGGACGTTGGTGAGCTGCATGTTGGCTGTCTTTTGGAAGGAGACTGAGTATCAGGAAGGAGGTTTTAGTTGAAAAGGTGGGTTGCTGTCTTGTAGAGGCGAAGTGTGTGGCTGTTGGAGTGATGTGAGACGAGGTAGATGCGAGGGATGGGGGACGATGCAATATATGTCTCGATTGGCGAGAGCGACGAAAGATCTGGAATTCAGGTTTGACTACTCGGTAAGGAAGCGGCAAATCGGAAGTGACTTCAAGTTGTTGCTGCAGTTGCAAACGAGTTCGTGTGTCACGGTCTTAACTATGAGGTCACTGTGACTTGGAAGCCATAAACAAACCCGAGCGAGGCTGTTCCCGGTTGGTCAAACAATAATTTGGCAGCCTTGTTTTTCAGTCAAATTGGACGCGCCTAAGACAACAACAAGCAGATTTCAATAAAGAATGAGCGCGTTTCAGGGATCCCGAAGGCTGACAGCGCCTTGCAGGGGACTTGCACTTGGTGATCGGGATCAAGGGTTGTCAGAATCATCCTTTTTCTTGAAGAATGCCGTCATAGATGGGCGCCTCAGCCTGATTCAATCTCAAGCTACACTCTTCTTGGAGATTTGGCCTCCACTATCTCCATATCCTCAGCCACTGTCACCGCGATTTACTTCTGCATCAAGACCACCGTCTCCATCCCCAGATGATTCTCCTTCGCCGACGATCATCTCGTATCGACGTCGCTAAGTAGCGATTTGTCCACTCCTTCGTCAATCCGGACACTTCCGGCGGCGCATCTTTCCTTTTTGCTCATCTCCTGAGTTCTGACAGCGGCTAGGCGTGCAGAAAACATTGTTGCACAGCCTGTACGGCCCGCCGAGCGATAGAATGGAGGCAACTACTCCATCGATGGCTACTGGCACAGACGATGTAGTATTGTGGCTGAATGAGCGACGGTGCACATTGACCTTGGACCTGGTGAAGGCTAATGCACAACTCATACCCCTTCAAACATTACCTCTCACTCGGTAGTCGCGAGGGGCCGACCCGGGCACTCTAGGGCACCTCGGGATGCAGTAATATACTGCAGAGACTCCGAAAAGGGTTTGTGCATGATGAAAAGGCCGTGCCGTTGTTCTTCTGGCTGGCCGGCATTCAAACTCCATGCCCAACGACCTAGACCAGCCACGGCGATATCCGTGGGGGAGATATGCGGGGTACTATTTCCGAGGTAGCTTATTCTGTAGGTACAAGTTCCAATGTCATAGCAGCAGCAAGGAAATGGTCTTTCCCGTCTCTTTTACTTACAAAATCGTGATTTCCCATGGCCGGTACCAGCCAGCCCAGTAGTGGGCAGTTGCATTTCCTCTTCATCCGACATGGCGAGACCCAGGACAATATCGAGAAAATTTTGCAAGGCTGGCACGATACGAATTTGACCGAGAAGGGACAACGAGAGGCCCAATTCTTAGCCGACAAATTGCAAACGCAACATATTGACGCCGTCTACCACTCACCTTTGACACGGATCAAGCAGACTATCGAACCATTCCTGTCAGGGCGTGGCGACGTCCAACGTTATGCAGATCCCGATCTCAGAGGACAGGGACTCGGTGACCTTGAAGGAGGCTCATACGATCTGGTGGACATGAGCAACCCGAGATCTGCGGATGGTCAGCCCGGCGTGGAATTGTTTGATGATTACGTGCGAAGGACCAAGCGAGCCTTTGCTCGCATCGTGGGAGCAGAAGCACCTCAAACTGGGCAAAAGGATCGCACAGTCGTGATCGCGACACATGGGGTTAGTATCACATCACTGTTGAAGTGCCTGGAAAAGACTCCATCATGTGATGGGTTCAATCCCAAGTTCGCTGTTCGAGGTCCGAATGCCTATGAAGTTAGATGGACGGACTCAGACGATGTCGCCCGGATGGTCGTTTCAGAACCTGCAAAACTGCCTATCAAAGACGGCGTACTGGATTGGTCCAGCATTCCAGGGCAACCCTTTTTGATCGAGACATGGGGTAAGAAGGAGAAGGCTTTATAGACATTCATTTCCTGCAATAGCAATAGACGATATGCTTGATGAAAGGAGGTGCATTTCCGTACCTGGTAAAGACTATTGCAAGTGATGTCATTTGCATTGATATACTTATTCCGTACGACGAGTGCCTTCTTCGGCCCTTTTCCCTTCCTTGAACGATGTTTGCACAAACACCCAGGCCTGATCATCGAAATCGCTTCCTATGAGACTCTTAATCCCGTTCGTGAGAGACTGCATTATGCCACGACCGAGAAAGCGAGTCAAGGTCGCGGCGACCAATGCCGAACCAGCCGAATCAATCAATCAATCCTACTCCCATTGAGGAGCATATAAACAATGTCAGTGCAGTCAATGAAGTTCAAGCAGACGCTGTGAGTAATGCCAGTAGTGCACCGATCTTTGACGATATTGAAGCTGTTGACCCGGCACTTTTTGATGAGGAAGAGGCTCCAGATGACTTAATTAGTCGCACAGCTGGACCAGGAGCCAAAAGTAAGGCAGTCCACAGCATGAGCAGTGGAGGCTTCAATGCACTTAAATTGTACGATGGCCAAATATACTCTGGCATGGCGATCGGTGGCTCTCACACCTGGAACTACGATCAAGAAGATGGCGGAGAGAAGAGGAAGAGGGATGGCGACAGATGAGCAAGACGTGCACGATATGGTAGTCTCCGATGCCGCATCCAGAGGTGATGATATATCTGCAGGCCAAGACACAACAGCCTTCATCACGCAACATTGTAGCCGCATGTAGCATGAACTGCGAACATTAGTATCATCGGTATGCAGGCCTGAGATTAGGCAAATCATATAATAACCCTCGTAGAAAAGACAAGCTCCTTGACACGTGGTTGGCATTGACAGAAGTCATTGGATAGAGACTCTTTTATATGCAGGTACGCAGCAGATATAACTGGGTGAAGAAAATCAACGTGCTCTTGGTATTCCAAGGATAGCTCGCTGTATGGAACGATGGATATCCCGATACTCCATCAATGCATGATCACCTCACCGCGACCAGGGTAGTATTCGAATAATATCAAACAAGGTATAAGTCATGATGTCTCCAGCACCTTTTCCCTTCTGTCCCCTTCGACAATTAACACCACTGCATCATCCACCATGAAATCTTCGTACTTTGCTCTAGCACTGCCATTGGCGCTTGTCGCCGCCGCACCGTTGCCCGCTTCGGCTACAGCGGAAGGATTGGACCTTCCGGCAGCCTTACAAAACATCCTAGCCAACACGCAAAACAGCGACGGATACACCTACCCTACCGACCTCACCAGAGGAATCATTCCCGTAAGTGCCCGACTTTACCATCATCCTCCAGCCTTACTGGTCCGAATCATTCATGCTGACAATATCAAAGAAAGCAATCCACTCCCACAACGACTACTGGCGCGACATCCCCTTCTACACGGCATTGAGCGTAGGCGCCGTCTCCGTCGAAGCCGACGTCTGGCTCGTCAACAACACATTATACATAGGCCACGAGCAATCCGCACTAACAACAACCCGCACCTTCGACGGCCTGTACATCCAGCCCATCCTCGACACCCTGCAGCGTGAGAACCCAACCACAGCATTCACAAGCGGCAGCACCACCAAGAACGGCGTCTACGACACCAACTCGGGCCAAACACTCTACCTTTTCGTCGACGTCAAGACCGACGGCGAATCGACGTGGCCGGCCGTCGTGTCCGCACTCCAACCACTCCGCAGTGCAGGGTACTTGACGACGTGGAATGGCACCGCTGTCACAGCAGGCCCCGTCACGGTCGTCGGCACGGGGAACACGCCGCTCGACCAGATCCAACCACTACAAAATAGAGACTACTTTTTCGATGCGAATCTCGCGCTGTTGAGCAGCACGCAAGCTAATATCACGAGCAGTGTGAGTCCAATCGCGTCTACCCAATTCAGTAAGTACTTCGGGACCATCAACGGGACGACATTCAACGACACCCAACTTGCGACGCTGTATGAGCAGCTCTCCGTGGCGAAAGCGAAAGGTATTGCGGGGCGGTACTGGGATACTCCTGCCTGGCCTATCTCCACGAGGAACGGTGTATGGACCACGCTTGTCGAGGCTGGTGTTGGGTTGTTGAATGCCGATGATTTGCCTGAGGCGGCTGGATATGGTGGGATCAATGGATTTTGGTGAGCCTGATAGACCTTGTTTCGCTAATGATGTGAGCTGTGGCTCTTGCGCAAAAGTATCTTATTTCTTGGAAGCAAGCGAAAGACTCAGGTTGGGCGAAGAATCTGCCTTTACCATCCCTTAGGCCTTATATCTATGAAAAGCATTAACCAGACTTGTTCAGCGACAATGTTAATGTGCTTTCATTGTGATTGTGGTCGTCGGGCGTATAGTCTACAGTTTGCTCTTCTCTTTCTTTATAAAAGCTCCCTGAGAGCTAACATCGTAATCCCGTCCCTTGCTCCAGCCTGCCCATTCCTTCAAAGCCGCTTCGCCGCCTTCACCAGGTCTCAATGCTATACCCTGCCAAGGCGACTCAACCTCTCTGGCCGGCGACTTTGTCAAGCCCACGAGAGGCCGGTGATCATAACCAGCACTTTCCATTTCCTGATGTTCCAGCACCGGCGCGCAGCATGCATCCGTCCCGTCAAAGATTGTCTCCCACTCTTTCCGTGTCTTTGACCGGAACCTCTCCCGGAACACCTCGCGCATGTACGGCCAGGCGCGTTTATCCTCTCGGTCCAGCCCGCCTGGCACAACTTCGTCTGGCTTCAGGCCGAGGCCCTTGAGCAGTACCGCGTAAAATTGCGGCTCTAATGCTCCCACTGACATGTACTTCCCGTCGTCTTTACACTCGTAGCAACCGTAATAAGGTGCTCCGCCGTCGAGCGTATTCGTTCCTCGCTCTTCACTCCACATGGGCATCTTGGTCAGAAGCCGCGGGAACATGCCCAGGTAGCTGACACCATCAACCATGTTGGCTTGGACAACCTGCCCTTTACCACTGGACGAGCGATGAATCAGGGCTAGAAGGACGCCTGTGAATGCAGCATGGCCACCGCCAGCAAAATCTGCGAGAATATTGCCTGGATGGAGAGGCGGTTGCTTGCGCGCACCGAGCATGGAGAGTACACCGGAGACGGCGAGGTAGTTAATATCGTGGCCGGCCATCTTGGAGTATTTTCCATCTCTTCGAAAGCCTGTCAGTCGCACGACGATCAACTTCGGGTTCTTCTTGAGTAAGACAGTCTGCGGGTCAAGGCCGAGTTTTTCGAGGACGCCGGGGCGGAAGGGATCGATGAGGACATCGGTGTTGGGGATCAGGGAAAGAAGGATGGCGAGAGACTGAGGGTTCTTCAGGTCGAGCGCAATGGAAGACTTGTGGGAGGTAAGAAGGTCGGCAGTAGGTTGAGTGCCGGGGCGGTCGACGCGGAGGACGTTGGCTCCCCAATTGGCAAGCAGGAGACCACAAAAAGGACCTGTCAATGTTCGATGGCTGTAAAGCATGGGGCAGCAAGTGAGTACGTACCTGGTGCCAGACCGGCGAGTTCAAGGACGCGTAGCCCAGATAGTGGGTGTTGGGAGGTCATCGTTTCGGTGTTTGAGGTTGTCGAAATGTCACCAACGTGAATGTGCAACGGGAGTAGACACCTGCCCGGTGTCGAATAGATGTTGATCACATAATTTCAAAGCCGTCTTTCCAATACTGGCGATCAAGTACTGCTAGATTGACTTCGCCGCACAAGCGCGGCATCAGCGACGACCAGCCCGAGGAGGGCCGAGGTTTAACAAAACGTGGAGAAACCAACCAGTTCTCATTCCGGCCGGATATCGTTATCCAGCCCGGGTGTATATGTACACTACATCCTGTACTTTCCTTCAAGTATCATATGTATTGTGATATTCTTGACGCTCTGTAACAGTTCCGTGTTCAGCTCTTGGACGTCCATACTCTGGGAGACTGACACAGGCCGAGCTGGCTGTCGGACTGAATGTCACGATACGAACGAACCAAATGAGGACACAGTCGACAAGGGCAAGCTGAATGCACGCGAGCTTAGCGAAGTTGACTTACCGTGTCAGCCAAAGAACTTCGCATCGGGCCATAGCGACTTGTGTAGGTCTTGTAGTCGCATGGTAAGCGATGCGATTGAGAACATTGCGTGATGAAAGGAATATCCGAAGCCCTTACTCAGCATGCACATCAGACCACGATTACAAGTATGTTTGCACCAAGGAATACTACTGGAGTGACATGTCCAGGTACAAAAGATCCGTCCTATCCAGGGACCATCATGAGTGATCACCCAGTGGATATGCCTGGTGATGTGCTCCGTCAAACGACGTCACGGAACGACATGAAATGTTGAAATCAGAATTTCTGCATACCTGATATTCGCATATGCATCATTGAGCATCCAGCAAACAAGACAAGTTTGACAGGTCTCTTGATAAGTCGACAGATGGCTGAGCATCAAAAAGGAGAAAGAGGATAATAATGCTTTCATATGCCAGCCTCGAGGAGGACAGCTACGGCCGTGGCTTAAAATGTTGGAATTCTTATCAATCTGAGGGGTTTCATCTTTCCACCGCTGCCATATCTATCCGTCCCAATCCACCAATCGGCGAACCACGGACTACGCCATTTGGATCATAGTCTTTTTCGGCCATTTTTCAAACTTTTCCCCTAAATCGTCAGCCTTTCATCTTCAGCACGGTTCTCCTTTCCCAATATTTATAGCACTATGGAGCACTATCAAGCAACTAACACATTACTGCATCGCATCGGTCTGCTCGGATCCAGTAACACCGAATTGTCCAAGTCGCTCTCGCTCTCGCACGCTCCGATCAGGACGCGGCCTACACGTCCTCACTGCAGCATTCCAAACACAATCCATCCTCTCAGGCTCTCAGTCAGCATGCACGCCACCTCCCTGTGCCTCCCAACGGAAAAAAATCTGCTGCTGCTGTCGCAATCCTGATGGCGTTGGATGGAACCACTCCATCATATGTCAGCCTTATCTCCTCGAGTCGCCCTCTATCCGCTGGTAGGTTCAAGATCGCGCCAAAACCGTGACTCCTCCCTCGATCCTTTTGTTATCAATGCTGGTTCCACAGTGTTCTGTCCACAAGCACATGCGAAATCCTCATGTCTTGAGAGCCTCTGAATCTAGAATTTTTTATCTCATGTGGGAACATCTATCATGAGAATTATGGTACTCGCCTCCACCACGTGCAGTTCTTGCCAATATGTGTCGTTATCGACGCATGGACATTTTCTATGAGCTCATCCCAGCATTTCCACACCGAACTTCACCCTTTTGATCTCCTGGAATTTAGTACCTGAATTCGATCTTTTCTCCTACCCAAAAGCATTTTCTGTTTACTTGCCTCGCTCCCCGTGGGTCCGCTCGTTTGAGCCCCGTACTCTTGACCTCGGTCGACTTCAGCGGCCTCTCTGGCGCGTTGTATTGAGACTCGACAGCGGTCCCTGGTTGATTTCTGGGCGATGTCGAGTTGATATACGATTTGGCCTGTTCAGACACTCAATAACACACTCAGCACACTCGAACGATCACTTGTTCAACGGCATCTGCCCGCCATGGCTGACGGCGTTCCTCATGTTCAAGTGGAATCCGAAAGTAGCAGCAACAGTGCCAGCGGTATTCCGAGCAGGAACCACAGCTTCCGTGGGGCGAAGGGTGGGCCAAAATCGTCTCGAAAAGTCAACTTCAACACGGGTGATCAACAAGGAGAAGAGACTTTGAGAGCTACAGTGCAAGGAAGCAGTCGCTGGGGAAATATACCTGAGATTCGCATCCCAGAAGCCGATGTCGCCGACAATACTATCACACCACCCGATTATCTTGGGAGAGCCAATGCTGCCGCTGCCGAGGCTCAGAGCCGTGCTAGCAAGCTGGCAAACAGATTGAGCAACTCTCATGCAGGACTCAGGGTGAACTCGGGCACCAATACGCCTAATATACTAGCAAACCAATCAGGATATGCCTCACCAGATACTTCGCCACCAACCAGGCCGTTGCGCGACTGGCTTGTCAATGTTGACGATATCCCTCTTACCACATTAGATAAGGATAAAAGACCATATACTATTCACGATGAAACGACCGATGATGACGAGTCCGACATTGAAAGACCGAAGGAGCGACTCAAACGACAGGATGATGAAAACAAAGAAGAAGCGAGACGTCTACTGAGGACGCTGACTAGCGGTCGTGGTATGTCGAATTGGCAAGAGCCGTCAAGATCAGGAACGCAGACTCCAGCCATTGATAAACAGCTTCACGACGTGGAGTACGTCCCTCCCCCCGATGACTATCGGCCTGGTATTTTCGGCGCCATTCTCTCTTCGAAACTATCAGCGCTACAAAATGAAGGCATCACCCGTCCGATGTACTTAGACGACACGCCGCCTCAGGCTGGTGCTAAGAACGGAGCCAAAGACACTCGACAATATGGACACTCGCGGTCCAACTCCGAGCAGCATGACCAGTCCTATCCGTCGACTGGAGCGACAACACCCTCGGGTAGACTGACGCCTTCGGGGAGAATGACGCCGTCGAAAAGGCCTAAATGGTACGATAACAATCCGTCAACGGGGTCACTGGCGACGTTGGTCGCGCACGCATCAGCTGCTGGTACAGCGACTCCCGGACTGAGCGGACATCTTTCCCACAAACCACAACGACCTCATCTGCCACGGTCCAAGTCTTCCAGCAGCATGATCGCCACTGCGGTGGATATGATCAAACATCCTACCAATCATTTCCACCACAAATCAGAGCAGATCCGAAGACAAGAGGAAGAAAGAGTGATCCAAGACGTGGCCGAAATCATCGCCTGTAGGAAATACCTCAAGAAGCTGGCGAGGTGTCTCATGGCAGTAGGTGCTCCTTCACACCGGCTGGAAGAATATATGAAGACGTCGGCACGATCACTCAGCATCGACGGGGACTTCTTGTACCTGCCTGGATCCATCCTGGTCTCGCTCAACGACAAATTCACAATGAGCACCGAAGTAACACTTGTGCGAGAGACAGGAGGTGTCGATCTGGGGAAGTTCAAGGACGTCTTCTCCGTGTACAAATGCGTTATCCACGGGAAGCTGGACGCCCACGAAGGCCTGGCCGAGCTGGAAACGATCATGAGCAGCCCCAAGCGGATCAACACCTACTGGCAGATCTTCGCGTACGGCATCGCCGCAGTGGCAGTCGGCCCTTTTGCATTTTCCGCGCGACCAGTCGACTTCCCGCCCAGTTTCGTCCTCGGCTGCATTTTGGGGTTTCTTCAACTTGTCGTCGTGACCAAGTCGTCGCAGTTCTCGCACGTGTTCGAAGTACTCGCCACCGTCATCATCTCTTTTGCAGCCCGAGGTCTGGGCTCGATATACCACAATGGCTCACCGGTCTTCTGCTTTGCGGCCATCGCACAGAGCAGTATCGCCCTGATATTGCCCGGGTACACGGTCCTCTGTGCGGCGTTGGAACTGCAAAGTAAAAGTCTCGTTGCGGGGTCGGTACGCATGGTCTACGCCATCATTTACTCGCTGTTCTTGGGGTTTGGTATCTTGATTGGCACGGTCATAATGGGGGTTATCTACCCGGGAGCCCAATCCAGCGTAACCTGCGAGATGCCCTGGTGGTGGGACAGCGCAATCAGCTGGCGGCTGATATACGTCAAGTTCATATGGGTGCCCATCTTTGCGGTGTGCCTGGCCGTCATCAACCAGGCGAAATGGGCGCAGGTGCCTGTCATGACGCTCATCTCGTTCTGCGGGTATCAAGCCAACTTTTGGATCTCGCAAAAACTCGCCAACAACATCCAGGTGGCCAACGCGATTGGCGCATTTGTCATTGGGTGCATGGCGAATCTGTACAGTCGGTTCTTTCATGGGTTGGCCGCCGCGGCGATGCTGCCCGCCATCTTCGTCCAGGTGCCCAGCGGGTTGGCTGCTAGTGGGAGTCTCGTTGCGGGCATCACGAGCGCGAACCAGATCACGGGTAACACGACGGGCGTGAGTGTCATTAGCAATGGCACTTCTGGATTCGAGAGCGCTTCCGAGTCCTCGTCGGACGTGTATTCGGGGACCATATTCTACGTTGGATACGGCATGGTGCAGATTGCCATTGGGATTAGCGTGGGCTTGTATTTGAGCGCTCTGGTCGTGTATCCCATTGGGAAGAGGAGGAGTGGATTGTTCAGTTTTTGAGCGGCGATAGCGCATGAACGAGTTTGGATGGTTTATGATCTGTATACTATGTAAGGAGCGAAGACGATACCTACTGTAATCATGATATTTATTCCTTTTGGAGCCTCGTGATTTGTGGCGTTGTAACAAGACCTTTTGAAGCCTTGCAGTTCTCCGGGAAGAAGTACCAGTGACATGTCGTTGGAGGGCATATCCATGGTATCGGTGCCGGCAAGGTTGGTACAGTACAAATTGACAACTGTCACATGTGTAGGTGCCCATGGTCTCAGATAGAAATGTCATTGAGAGACATCGGTGAGACCGCACACATCATGCGCGCGCGGTACGGAAGGTTCCGCACGCATGTCTCAGACACCGGGTAGGAAGCAAGTCATCACTGCATTGCCACTATACGATGATAAATAGGGTTCCAGCTCCTATCACCAGGTAACTTACAGGTAGCTTGAATACGTACGCGTACTTTCGCTCAAGTCTTCTCGATGTGATGTCACGAAAGCTGTGAGCATTATTCTTGCGAGCCTTGCGAGCCTTTGGCTCTGCTCTGCTTGCCGTAGCGTACACGTGAACTGCAAGTATAGACTATTCTCTCCTAGCACGGGTATGGGCCGAGCTAGCCTCAGATCAGTGACCATACGGATTATAGAACATGAGAGTGCGATGAGGTTATGCTGGTCAAAGTGGAACGATATAGACCGTATTCAGCGTGATCAGCTGCTATAGGCATCACAAAAGTCCTGGAAACATGGGCTAGCAAGATAGAACGAAAAGTCAGGAAAGGAACTTGTAGAGTGATCTCCAAGAGAACGTGTTGTATTTCACCAGACCACAGTCGGCGTCTGTTGCTGGGAGCGACCGACATGTGCTGGGATTGAACCCTTGTATCTGACCAGGAAGAGTCATCCTAATCAGGTCCGCTGCATCCTCCAAGGATGCGGCCCCCCAACTTCAATTACGTGATTCCAAGCTCTATCACACTATGCTTGCAGCCAGTGGACTGATTGCCTGGAGCACGCAGCTCGTCGCTTGGGACAAAATTGATCATCTCGCCGATCTGTTGTGTTTGAAGACGATGAGGTCGAAACGCCTCATCCACAGCTCCATTGAGAGAAAGTAGTAAGTAGCATCTGCTCATGATGCACCAGTTCTCTGAAGCGCACAATGCCCTGATAATCAGTCGACGTATGCCTCGTCGATATCAGCCAAACTCCCGCAAATTAAAAAACTCATTCCATAAGCCTTGATTAGTCCTCCACGTCAGGGTTGGCCACAAATAATCGAACACCTGCACCCATGCTCATTGTCCGTTCGTCCACACTGCCTCGCCGCCGTAGATCCTCTGCTGTTTTGGCTTGCTCCAGTGCTCTGTGTACCGAACTTGGTCCTGCCAGGTCTTTGAGCTCGCCAAACGAATCCTCGCTGTCGGCTGGTGTTCGTTTTCCATTATCATTATCGTGATCGTCCGGTCTTGTCGGGTGCTCTGGGTCTTCGGGAATGCCTCGACTCGGGGATCCTTCTCCACTGGGCGTACTCGTACTGCTGAAGCGGCCCTGATCCTGTCTGGGATACCCGCTTCGATATTTCATGCTGTTTGTGCTGCTTTTGCCGCTTCCTGTCCGTGCGTGCCGCATGCTGTTGTCTCCCAAACTTTGGTCTTCTTCCTCATCACCCAACATCTCGTTTGCACTGAGTCGAAGTGGTACTGAGGCCCCGTTCATATTAGCCGGAACATATCCTGGGGCTTTGGGAACGCCGCCATGTCTTATTTTTCCGACCACTCCTCCCGAACTGATAGTACTTGTTCTTCCGGAATGATTCACAGCTTGTACTTCCATAGCCGCCCGTTGCTTTGCAACTTTCTGCGCCGCTGCTAGTCTGGGATCGATGCTTTGTGATCGGTCGCACCATACTGTGGCTTTTTGTTTCCGCATTAGTGCCACATACGAGGTTGGACTATTTGTTGCTGTAGATCGACCAGAGGTAGACCGTCGAGGTAAACTCGTGGCGGAGTATGTGGTCCCTTGTCTGTGCATACTCATGGTGTTGGAAGTGGAGGAGTGACGGAAGTGAGACGAGGAGGGAACTCGCGTGTGGTTCGGTTGAGGATAAGCGGAGGTTGAAGAGGAAGGATCTCGAGAGTGAGTGGAAGGGTTAGTGTTTGAAGAGACGGTTCGAGTATGGTGGTGATTGCTAATCGTTGGCGCTGACGGTATTTGAGAATTTGTCGTCAAGGTGTAGGACTTTCTATCTGGACGGGTGTAATTGCCTGGAGGCGCCGACGCCGCCGTTGCGTCGGTACGAGAAGGTAGAGGGGTGTTTTGAGAATGAGAAGGGTTGTAGTTGTAGGGTAAGGTGGGATCTGGGATATTAGTCCCAGTGACCGTCAAGACGCTCATCGAGCTGTATGTGTTCGTGTGCGGGCGAGGAGGAGATGTTGGAAGTTGGTAAGAGACAAAGTGCCGGCCGGTTCAAGTTGGCTGGCTGGTTGGTGGGGATACCCAGGTGCGAGTCAGTCCTATCGCAAACGGGCTTCAATTGGTCGATAGGCGTAGATCCCGCTCAAAGGTTTGACAGTAATGGAATTTCCCGCCTTTACGATGTTGGATGTGCGTTCGTATGAGTAGGTGAGAGAAGGTGGGAGTTTATGATTATGACAGTAGCGGTGAGGTTTTGACCGGAATACGGATGACGAGTAGATAGGAAGGGAGTCTTGAAGCAAAGTACGCCGCAGAGATAGTCCGAAAAGAGGATACTAGGATATTGTCCCGTCTCGTATCTAACCCCTCCCGAACGGACAATTGCTAAGTATAAGTGAAGCCTGAGGAATCAAGACGCGGTTGCGGGCCAATGACGATAGCAGAGGGCGCAACAGAGTCCGAGCGTGGGAGAGGAAATGAGGACAAGATGAGGAGATGAGGATGCGAGCCTTGCATAAAGAGGAGTTGGTGGTGTGGGTGTGAGAGGATTTTCCTGGCATGCAAAGCAAGGCAACGTGCCCTGTCTTTTTGTCTCTAACCGGGATTTAGTGATGCAACAGAGGACTGACACTGAGGTGGATGTGAAAGTAGATGGATCCGTGGTGACAAGGATTTTGGATGCACAAGCGATGATGGTGATGAGTTCAGGACTTCAGGAATTGCAGTGAAGGGTGAATTGGGCTGGATCCAACAAGCAGCAGTCAAACAGCAACCTGCGCCTTGCCTGTCACTGTCACTTTTGTGTTCAATGTGCAGCGCAGTCTCAAAGGATTAGGTTGCCATTTCTGTGCCATTCACGGTAATCATTGAATGCTATTGTTGCTTTGTTTCCTCTCGTCTTCATGGCATTCATTGTTCCTCGCCCGTGCTTTCCACCCCAAAAAAAACCCTATGCTACTCAAAAGATCCTACTCCAGGCATCCGATTAGGCCGTGGTCACATCCACTTTCCAGGCCAGCTGAACGTTCATGCCGATGCGATCCTCGTGCCTTCATCTCCATCCACTCAGCTGCCACGCAGTTCGCGCCTATAACGCCCTCCCGGTCCATCACACGAAGCTATCACAGCCACCCAGAAATGAAACCTCGGGCTTTCAATTGCTTAAACGGGACACTGCTGGCATCTGCCATTATATGCCACACAACCTACCACCTCGCATCGTAACCTCTTTTCCTATTATCATGCCACGATTTTGAATCAACCCTGCTATCAGCTTTGCCCTTGAGACAGACTTCTGCATACGATGATCAATCATCAAGGCACTCCCTGCCCCTCAGCCGCTGCACGTATCTCCTGATCAGTGGATTCGGTACAATGTGTCCTCGGCGGCAGCTACGCCGCAAGGCCCGCAATAGACAGGCACTGATTCTCCACGTTTGACGAAAAGGCCACGCGAAGCACGGTGTGCTCGGCACGTCAGAAGAGAGTCAGGACCCATTCGTACTCGCAATTCTTGGAACATACGAGTGGTAATCGAGATCAACTGAGATCATATGGAGCACAAAAAGCGGTTCAACAGTCGAGTTGGATACGTCACGTTGTGTTCAGGAGCTGTTTCTCTATTCAACGAAACACTGTCCTCCGCAACTGCACAACCGATGTCCACCCAGTGCTGCAAATGCTACCCTCGCGCAAAAGGAGGAAGGAGGAACGTCATCCAAGATTTCGGCTCCTTGCAGATCCTTCGCACCAACTGTGCCTGATCGACCGGAAGTCCCAGTTGTCAAAATTTTCCATCAAAGGTTAGCATACCATTTCCAGACCACTCATCGTTGTTCGGTCAGTGATTTAGGTTCGTGAGCACATAAGCTGGAGGACATCCTCTCGCTTGCTGATGTCTACCAACTGCTGGCCATATCGACCTTCTTGAAGCCGAAGAAGTGCATGCTGCACAGCTCTCATGTTTTGCGGTGCTGAAGTACGATGATTTGCATCGTATCGCACCATCCATTCCGGCAGTGCTTGTTACAACGATTGTTATGATGGTTCCCAGCAGAGTACTAATTCACCGGTCCCTTGAAAGTCTAAGCAAGCATCACGGCCAAGGATATCACTCTCCAACCCTCGAAGGACTCCCCAGTCTGATGCGTCGTCCACATTAAATTACAGTGAGTCTTTTCGTTCGCGTTTGCGGCACGCATAAATATTGCAGATGATCACAGTCGGCACCCGGCGAGTCCTCAACTCGAAGACACGTCAGCAAACGCACTGTTCCAATCAATGATGTGCCTGAATTAATAGACCAAGAGCACCTGATGAGTTCGATACAACCGCAGCGGTCTTTTGCAGGTTCTCTAGGTCAATTCTGTATGCCCTCACCGGTTCCAACAGTGTCTGCGAGCGGTCAATGGAGAGCATTCTCCAGACATGAAACAGGACCAGCAACCAGTAGCACAGCCACCAAAATTTGCCTCAAGACATATCCCAGTCTGTATAATCTCACTTTAGCTGAGCAAAAACGTTCTTGATCTACGGTAAAGCAAGCAGAATGGGTTGTTCGCGATCTGATTGACAATCGGCCAAATACAACCTGTCACTTGACACCCAATCAAAGTGCGAGACTCGATATCTGCAAGCGTACGTCTAGATGAATATGTTTCAAGACATGATTGATGGAAACAAAATAGGTTCTGAGAGCCGTTGCATTGCCAGCGCATCATGCGAGTATCGTGGGTCCAACAATGGTGGCAGAAGTGGCCTTGTCGGTGAGCCGGTGAACTTTGCGGGCAACACATGGCTGAAGATCTTCGGAACACCAGATCGAAAGAACATTTCGCCTATCATCCACCAGTCAGCAAGGTCTCACGACCTGACGTGGCTTCACGTCCGAGCATCGAGAGACCTGACCAGGCATATTCTCTGCAGGAGTGGCGCGACACCGACGGGCACTAAGTGAAGGGCTTTGATGGCTCGAAAGCCGCAGATGTATCCTTATTCGAGATCGGCGAGTATTTCTCGGAAATATGAAACTGGTGAACCAGAATCTGCGCCACTCAGTCGGTAAGGCGTAGAGAGACACTGACCATCAAGTAGGTCGAAGCAATTGACATCGTACTCTACCATTCGGTGGTTGGAGGCGTACCAGGCAAGATTACCGGTCTGACTTGATCGCCACCAGACGTGAGAATCTGGGGATGCCAGCAGAGGCCCTCTTGTGCACCGCCAGTGTGTCCTGGAAGTTCTAGGGATGTCGGCCCGGGGCGCATTAGGTGCACTAAATTGCGGTTTGCCCTGCAAGATGAGTGGCTCCAAGCACGCCGAGGTTATGTCAAAGAGCCTGTTAAACATCGACTAATGCAGCTGCATATGCATTCGTTGGCAAGACGTCGTCAGGGCCTGCAAGTCATCAAACGCTGCGCTGTGCTTTGTTCGACGCTCTTTGCCTGTGGTGTGTTGTAATGGTAGCACTGTGGCCACCACTGAACGGAAAAAGGCGTTTATGCTCATTTACGCGCCGCGATAGATAGACGTGGCCACTGTTTGTGTAAAGCACCTTTTTCCCTGTGCACGGTAGATGTTGGATTATTCCCAATCTCCAGGCTTCAAATTGGCCGTTTAGGTACAAGCGAGTCGTCCCCCGCATTGGCACTTTATCCCATGCCAAAAGTGAAACGAACACAGGTTCCTACAAGCAGAGTCTTGAAACCGGAGTTCTTGCTACGATAGTCTTCGAAGGCAAAAGTCACGCGTTGTGGCCATCAAGACTAAGCAAGTCACAAGTAAAGAGAAGCCAATCCCGCTGCGTATCAACGTTGCCACGAGTCGGCACCGTCCCACGCTTCGCAGGTCGTCCCGTTGATGTGCCTCCTTCCGCACCACGCAGGTCCTTTGTGGAAACTCCTGATGTGACAGTGTTAGCAGAAATCACTGTGCCGAGCTCGTTCCTACAGATCATATGAGTTGCCTACGAGCGCAACCTGGAATGGAACTAGCCAGCGTATGACACAACCATCTGGCACCGCCGGTGTCGAGGCAAGTCAAGGTCGGTCACAGAAACCTCTCTGCTAGTGCCTGCGACCTCGACCACATTGCTGATATATTGCCAAAGCAGTAGAACCATCGCCTCCGCCATCGTCGTCTCCTCCTCACAATGCCCAAGACCATGCCCGTTCTATGTCAGGCCCTGGACCTTCCAAGAATACCGCACAGGATTCCCCGCAGGTCCGAATCTCTTCTCAGGGGATTCGTGGAAAGGATGCCCAAAGAGCAGGCCGCAACGAGGAGCAACTCGGACAGAGGTCACAGATGAGGATGCGTCGAAGACCCACGAACACGATGCGGGATCCAATACTGCAATCAAATACCCTCAGTCGAGAGATCCCTTTCGCGCACATGCGCGTCCATTTCGAAGACTTTGCGAAGGAGCTGCGTCTGCACCGCCATCACGAACATCGAAAACGACTGCTTTCCCGTCGACATTACCATCTTCAGAATGCGGTGGCGCTGTCCTCCCGCTTATACCGAGTCGGAGAATGGCTTCATACTGGGGTTGTGGCAATATCTTGCCAGTCCGATGCGAATGGCTTCGCAAGAGTGCACCAACACTTGCAGGAGCTTTCCGACTCGTGCATTTCTCACTGGAACCATGAGATCAACACCTTTCAAGAAACGCCTGCTACAGGCTCTTCGGTCAAAGCATCGTTTCTCGCAAATTTACCCATTTCCTCTCAGCAGGACTGCATCGAGCTGATTCAGACTCTACGAAGCAACCCCAGATTTTTGGTTGAAAGATTTAGAGCACTATCTCCTGCTCAAATATCTTCCCTCTCTACAGCGCCAAAATATCAAAAGCTTTCTGAATCTGTCTTGACGTCTTTGTCGCAGAACAGGGGACGAGGCTCGCAGAAACGCCGTGTTAAGGCCTATTCCAAAGAGCTCGAAGACTACGCCTCTTCTTTTGAACGATCGAATCCTTTGTCTTTCTTAATTCACAATGTATATGGTTCATATGGGGATATTCAGAGCGATGAGAGCCGACTGCGACTTTATACGTGGTCTACGATTTGTGCAACACTGATGAGCGAATTTGAGCAAGCCTTCCACGCCATTCTGACCCACGTCCTTCGCACATTTGCAGATATGTATGAGTGGCAGATAAAAGAGCGTTTAGAACTTTTCTTGATGTCCTTCCTGCAGAAAGGCGGATTCTTGCTGGAGATGATCGACAATCCGACACTGTCGCTTCAACATGAACTGGCTTTCTTGGATCCTTTCAGCACACAGGAAGCTCGAGACTTTCTGGAGACCGCGGTCAAAGAGCTCTTCGAGATTCTAGGCTGCGATGGGGGCATCCCTTCGGCTGCGCTTGCTTTGGGCCGTGCCATAATTGGGAAACTTCCTACAATGGAACTCCAGAGTCAATTTCGTGGCACCTTCTTTTTCCAGTGGTATTTGAGAGACTTCCTACGACATATAATAGAATTTCCAGAGGTAGGAGCCTTCTGTTTGCGTGTTGTCAAGCTGCTTATCAGAGACAGGAGGAAAAACTGCTACACCAATTCCACGTCAGTGATAAGGCAAGGTCGCATCTGCTGCACAAGCTATGGGATCGTGCTTCCGCCGGTGCGGAAGACGCCTTCAGTCCAATGTAAGGTGCAATGTCCCGTCATAATATCTGGTGGCTGATACCGTTGCAGAGCCTCCGAACAGCTTGACAGTGGAGTGCGGGACTGTATACTGTCTATGATCAACCAACTGCATCCGGACACCGAGTGTTCTGATCCTTATCAAGCAAGAAATTCTCGTGCCGGTGCCTCAATAGCATCTCTGTCGATCTGTGCAGCAGACATTGCTCATATTCTCGAAGCACTAAGTCCCCAGTTTATTCACACGTCGAGTCCGTGGGATCCGTTCTTGAGCTCATCGCACTCTACTTTCAGTATGCAATACAGTGGAGCGAGCAGCAAGTTCGACAAATTGCGGCGACGTATTCTGGACTCCGTTGAACCGGGTCAATCTTCCAAGAGCGTCCATCCCTGTCAGGAGAATTGGGCCTTACTCTCGATCTCGGACAAAGGTCATTTATATGCCTTCACGGATGACTGGTCTAAGGACGCCTCGTGGAGGAGCCACAGCTTGCGAGATCTTCAGATAGTTGAGGAAGCCGCACTCCGCCTGGTCGAAGGTGTCTCCTCAGTCCCAGAGCAAGACCTTCCGACTGGCCCCGGTCGCCTGTCAACCTCCAAAGAATCTAGCCTGTGCGCCATGTTTGCGGAACAAGCAAGCATAGCTCGCATCAAGACCGACAGTATCATGTCCATGTACTGGGACGACGCGCTAACGTTTCTCAAGCGCCATTATCCGCTAACAGTATGGACAGGGGACGATACCAGGATTTTGGGACCATTCATCAAGAGGCTGAAGAGCGACGAAACGGAGATTGTCCGTGACTGCCTGCATCTGGAAAAAGACGTCGCTCAATTAGAGGCATCGTATGGGCTCGCTCTGTCGAAACTATCGCAGCTTTCTGCTTGGCTCGACAAATTGCGTACCAAACTTTGGTACAAGCTGGACGTCGTGGATTCCAAAGCTTGCGAAGACGCAAGGAATATATCGATGGCTCTCAACAACATGGCAGCATCGCGACTTCGAGTCTTTGTCCCTTCTCAAGCAGGAGGCACTTCGCCAGGGTCAAGCCGGCCAGGCACAGCTGGTACAACTGCCTCGTCACGGTTTGAACAATCAAGAGTAGACACCATTAGCATGTTGAAAGCCCCATCAGAGTATGGCGGGCCTAAGAAACTCTCCGATGCGCAGATTGAGATAACCAAAAGATGGCTCGAACGTAATCATCTCGACAATTTCTGCAAGGGCGAAGAACGAATCCATCGATTCTGTATGGAGATCAAGGTTGCCACACGAAAACTTGTTGGTGAAACGCTTACAGATAGCCCAGTGCTGTGGTCAAGCGAGCTTTTCAGCCTGGAGAAGTCCTTCTATGATATACATGCTGGGACGATTTTTAGTACCCAACCGAGCACACGACCTCCGAGCGTCTGGAGTGAGCCTCTCTCGTCGGCCTGGATCCCATCTCGGTCGCGGCCCGGAGGGTCAAGGGCATCCTTCCACAGTCAAGGCTCTGGCAGGCTTGGAAGTGATCTTGCGTCCCTCATTAGTTCGCCCGGCCGTGCGGCGACTGTAACCACACTAGAATCTGGCAGCAGCTTCTGGTCGCCACCTCAATCCAATCCGAGATCGGTGACTTCGGCGTCCTCATTGTCCAGACCAGCATCAACTTTCGAGGACATGGGCTCGAATCGTCAGCCAGACCACACCGAGAAAAAGGCTGCCTTCTTGGACAGAATTCAGCAGGACTTGACTTGCCTGTTACTTTCTGACCTTGCCTCACCAGTATGGAGTTGTGGAAGCGAGACAGACGCTTGGATGGCATCAACATTACAGGCTTCGAATATCGTGCAACGAATTGGCCAACGAGGTGTTATGGCACGACTCCTGGACGACCGCGATTTCGGGCCGAGCCAGACCAACCAGAGGGCTGCAGCCATACGGAAGCATAGAAGTCAAAGTGCAGCTCCTGGACGAAAGGGCGCTTTGACTAGCGCCTTAACGACTGGTCCAGATGTCCTTCAAGAAGCACTGAATGGTGCAAGCATAGAGCTACGATCGACGACCTTCTCCTACAAGTACGCATTCGAAGATGTTATCTGGAGGATAAGCGAGCATGTGGACCCAAGTCAGAAGCTCAAGGCAATTCAGGATTTCATGACCCTGTCGCAGGCTCTCCGACGCGACCTGAAAGCCCTCGCCGACAAAGACTCGGATCTTAAACAGCCGGAGCAGTCGGACCCTACAACTCCACGGAGGCGCAGTCTCGATCCTAACGCCCTTACATCGAGCGGTCGGCGGAAGCACCGGACGATGACATCTCCTGAAATCGCAGAGAAGGAGGACAATACCGAGAGCGAAACCGTTGATTTCTTGAAGAGAATTTTGGTCGTTCTACGCCCGAAGACGATATTTCGGGATCTGCAATATGTTGCAGCATTCGTATCGTCTGATACACTGGATGACACAGATCTAGGACGAGCATTTCTTCAGGTTGGACTGGCTTCCCTCGCGTGGAAGGACGAGGTGTGTCGAGCTATGGTCGATGTTGCTGACCGAATAGTTGCCCGGGATTCTATTAAGCGACCAGTGCGCCATGGAGAACGGAGTGAACCGTCTGTTCTTCGAGCCGCGGACTATTGGGTCATTGCAGCGCGGGAGGGCAATGCCATTGCCCAACGAGAGCTGGCGAGTCTATACCTGACACATCCTGAGGTGCTACCGATTGTTAGCTTGCCCTTAACACTCTCATCCGAGATCTTCAAAAACGATATGATGTGGGAGGACGCATCGTCCTCACCACCACGAAACCGGCAGGCACTCTGTCTTGCGGTTCACTGGATGCAACAGGCAGCAGAGAATGGCGATGAACTAGCCCAGACAAAATTGAAAGAGCGACGTGCTGCTCGGCCAGGTGGATGATGGAGCATCTTCTGTGTTGGACAGGAGAAACGGGAGGGAGGCATATTCTGCTTTTTGCGCGGCTATCCCATTCTTTTCTTGAGCGACTGGGAAAGTCAATGGTCAACGGCGTTTAGTCTTGTTATCGCACGTGTATCTGGTACCGGAGGCAAATTGACTTTTACGAGGTACGGAGAAAACGTCATGTGCAGTACGGAGGCTTCTTGATCATACAGTGTAAGCATGTGCGTCGCCATTCTATGACAGCTTGAGTATGCAAAGGTGTGGTGTCGGACAGATAGTTCATGTCGTTATTCATTTGTGGTCTCGAGATCAGGTGTCACTGCATACGGAGGCCGCTTGCTCAGCAAATCATGGGCCAGATCGGACAGCGATACAGGCACATGCCCATCGATCAGACACAGGAGGCACAAGGTACAGAGTGCTCGTGACAGGGACTCATGCATCAGGCCCAAAAGTACGAGTGATATGTGACCGGCTGAGTAACCTGTCAGAATGGCCGTCCCGAGCCACTGCATAAGGATTTTGGGGTCCGTCGATTGCAAACGAGAATAGGGAAACATTATTTGATGGGATAGAGGCCGTGGTATACCTGATGTCAGTGAAGAGTGGTCCAGGCCGTTTGATTTCTATGAGTTCTTGAATTCTATGAGTTCATGTCATCAGGAAGGGCCTGCCCATGACGATGACTTGGTACTATATGCAAAGAATGACCACGAATGACGTAGCGAGGGGGTTAGCCCCAAGTGTGAGGGGCTGAGAGAGAGGCAGAGTGATAGGGGCGTTGGTCACCCGCAAACCGAGTCAGTCCCGCTCTCTTTAGGCTGTCCCGACGACCTACCAGGCTACACCTCAGGTAAGGTCCGCCTCGCCTCATTCCTCCTGTTTGCACATGCTACCCAAAACAACACCTGGAAGCATATTAGTCCAGGCAAACGCAACAACGATACTGTAAGTTGCACCCCCGGTACATATATTCTTTTGATCCTACGGCAACCCTCCTTTGATCAACACCAACACCTCCACGAGTACTTGTCCCTTGGTGATTTTATCCGACGTGGTCCCTAAGTCCATCCTTACCTGGTAAGTACCAGCTGAGAAAGTCATCCCCTCAAGCAACTCATACTCCATACCGTCACCCACTTCTACACCCACAAGGATCCACCGTTGCCGCCACTTACCTTACCAACAAACAATTCTCTTCTCTAGGATTTGGCCTGTTACAAGAAAGAGATCGACAGACAACGAAACTCACTGTTACTCTGTTACTTCGGCCAACTTTCCTCCTCCTTCTCCGTCCGGATAACATCTGCGTCGCGTGGCCTGAGACCCTCCCGCTCCTCAAACACTCCTCAGCCGCAGACACTCGCGACACCTCGTTGTCGCAGCCTCTGTCCAATTCGAACCACCTCAAATCCCTCAAAATGCCCATCGAAGTTCATCATTCACCTCCGCCGCTTCATCACCCTAACTCGGGTAATGTTCGACCAAAAGGTTTGCTACGGCTTTGACCCGGACACTTGGCGTCTACTAACTGACAATGCTGCAGGTATCCTCAAGAACCCTTCGTTCTCCTCCGCCAGCGGCCGACCAGCCTCGCCAACCAAGGAATTCCACTTCGCACCGAGTACACCTCTTGACCCTCAAGAAGAGCGAGACTTGACCCTACAAAACACCCTTCAAAACGCCGGTGCCCGTCGTTCTTCCTCTGCTGCTGGCCGCAGTTCAGCCTCTCGACGTCATTCTTCCGCTGTCGACCCCGACAATGCCGAGGAGTCGGAGAAGATGCGTTTGAAGTGGGATGAAGCGAACCTTTATCTGGCTGAACAAGAATCTGGAGGTCGCATGAAAATCACCGAACCAAAAACTCCTTATCAGTATGGTGATGCGATGGAAGAAGTCGAGGACGAGGAAGATGTGGCTATTGACCCTCGTTTTGTCAACGTCGACGAAGTCGAGATGGCTAAAACTCGATCAGAGAAGAAACACCGTGCGAGCGATATCCCAGGTTTGGAACTGGGTGAGCCAGAAGAAGAGCTTGGTACAGGTCCCGGGCCCGAGGATGACCGGATCGTGCGAGCAGGTAGTCTGTCTAGAGAGAGTAGCAAAGAGAAACATGTTAGTGTCAGCGATGTTGGTGATGCGAATGGTCCCAACGAAGAAGTCGGCATGCCTACACGGGAAGAACAAGAACAACACCGTCAATTCGAAGAGCATCGAAAGAAGCACTACGAAATGAGGGATATCAAAGGCCTACTAGGGTAAGTATTTCATCTGCATGACACAAGCAAATAGAACCCTACATACTGACATTGAGAAACAGCCACTCAGAAGATATGGAAGACGATGAAGATCCACCCTCTCCAACATCCATGCCTAGAGAGCTACCTCAGCGACCCATCAACGGCTCTCGATAGAGTTATCCCTCTGCCTCGAAGACTCCAATGCGTTTTTCCCTGACACGGCCGTTACTTCGATAACTGAGCCTGTTCAACGAAGGACGGCCTTGAAATCGTGAAAAGGGCTTGAGTGCACGGTTCCGCGACCGTTCTCCATCGGAAGACTTCTCATACGACCCTCAGGTGCCGAACTCTTGGTGCCACTGAGGTCTCATTTCCTTTGTTCTACAATTACAATCACGAAGCCAGTACCCGAATGATCAGAATTACCATCACGTTCGACTTTCACCCTGCACGGAATGCCTACATCTTTGCTACCGCTGGCGCATGGAACCCTCGAAGCACGGCAATGACACCAGATCACGACGACCTTTTGTGTCTCGAACCCCTTTTTCCCTTTTTTCAGCATAGGAGCATTTTTGGTGGAAAGTATGTTGCCCACAGACCTGGCGACGATCAGTGGGTTGAGTGTTTCAAAGGCCCAATATGAGGACAGTTCCGACTATGGCCGGTTTCGTTGGTCCACCCTAGCAACGTTTGCTAGGGAGCTGTTCTGTGAGGCTGTTAGGAGACTGTGTCTCGAGGAAGCAGATAGTCGTAGTTTTGGCTACCTAGGTAGGCTCGATACACCTTTCAAGAACAGCGAGACGAGCATTCCTTCACAACCGTGTCAAAGTGAATGGTTTGAAGAAAAGCATAAACCGTTCGAATATACTTTCTTGTGTTGTCCCTTGATCGCCAAAGCGTAGTGCTCTGCTAGGACTTTTCCTTGACAGGTTCAGTTTACTTCGTCGTACACGTGATCGTATTCCTACAGCTGTCCAATATTCTACGGTTGGCAACACCCAAGGCGTCTCATGCCTGTCTCCTCCCAATTGAGATTCAGCCCACCCACAACTTGCCCAAGATCAGGGTCTGCACGATGTCCTCATTGCACATGACTTTGACGTCCATACCTGGCGCCGGACGCTCCTCGGATTTGGTGAACCTAGCCTTCTTCCGACCCTTTTCCCCAAATCCGGATGATGTGAACATTGTCTTTGCGGCATCAACGTCTAGATTGTCCACAAACACCCATCGGAGTGCCTCGACCACGTCATCAGAACAAGACCGCTCAACTGTCGCCTTGGCAGCGTTGAGATCCGGCTCTGTCTCAATCTGTCCAGCACCAAGCGCGCGGATGAGGAGCAAGTATTCTTTGCGCTCCTCGGAGGTCTTGCGGCCTGTGACGACGACCACACGTGAGCCATTGAAAACGTTCGGCCTCAAGGCGAACATGTCTTTGACCTTGAGAGCCCCCAAGGCTTGACCGAAAGGCAGGATCCTCGATTTGGTCGCCCCGTCTAGTTCTGTTGTCTCCCCTGCCGGCAAGAGGTAGGTGGTCCAGTCGAGGAGATCGTCCGCTTGGCAGCATGCTTCGATCCATCTACCACTGAGACACGGGACACCGAGCGCCAATGCTTGCATGTACTTGATCTTGCGTGAGTGCTTGTCTGTCAGAAGCGCCGTAAAAGCCAGACCGGAGAACTGTGGTTTGAGTTCCGTGGATTCGGATTCCAAAAGATCAAGGAAAGAGCCTTGTAAGACCAGACCACCCTGACTTCGGATCAGGTGTTCAAGCTTGGTTCTGCGCGTGGCGGACTTGTAGGTAACTGCGAATGCCATGTTGGTAAATATGCCGTCAGCCAGGTTTATCGAGACTGTGACGGGTACTGCCACGGCCGCACCTCTCCGGTTTCTCGAAGGTGGAGTGCTGGGAGTCGAACTTCGTTCGACAGGCGTTGAGCTGCCAAACGGCGACACCTTGTGTACCAAAGGCTTGTACTCGTATGGCCGGTCTTTCATCTGCCCCCACATGTTGCTGTCCAGGTAGATTGAAGAGACTGGAACGTCCTTGACCAGCTCCGTGGATACCTCAGCAGGCAGACTTTTGCGCTGCTTTGGCGCAACGAGGAGAGTCTTGTATCCTCGAATATCGGTCGTTGGCTGAACGTCGTCCACTGCAGCACGTTGACCAATTTTATCTTTGAACCCTTTGATGACATATGACAATTTCGGGAAGCCCTGCATATTGACCTTGACTTGGTCGCCAACGCGCAAATCGAGACTCTTTATGCCATATTCGTCGATTTCTTCCGCAGCATAGCCTTCCCACTGTATGAGGTAACGAGCAGGGTCTGTAAGTGAGGGTCCCAGGCATAAAGCGGGATAGTAGGCGCGGGTTTTGCCATTGAAACAAGCAAATACCATGTTAGGAGCCACGAGCGAAGTATCCAGATCGGGTTCGACCATCTGAATTGTTTGGGCACGTGGATTTTCGTTTGGAGGCACATGAGCACTGGGCTTTTCTGCACCATTGTCGGCATTGATGCTTATAGCCATACTCTGAGCAGCCTTCTCTGTGGGTCTTCTTTGTCGTTTTGTGGAGATATTGGCCTCCTCGCCTCTCGAAGAATCCAGCTCCTTTGCTTTTCGCTTCAAAGAAAGGCCTGGTTTGCTCACCGGCGCTGGCTTCGTCGGAGGGGATGCGTCAAGTTCCCATTGCGAAAGTCGGTTTGTATTGGCTGCTGCTTGCCCGTTGGTGTTCGCCATCTCGGCTACAACGGAGATTGACTTTGGGGTTTTTCGAGAAAGCTTCGAAGAAGAAATCGCAAGCCCAGTGGCAGGGACAGTACCTCTTGGATTGGGAGGGTGGCTGGCAGGGGCACCTGTGTTCAATGGTCCCTGCTGCCTGTTGCCTCCGCCAACGGGCTGATCGATTCGCTCATCCTCGAACCTTGCTCTTACTGGAGAGGAAGGACGCCGTCTTGCCGTCTTACTTTGACTCGAATCCGGCGTTCTCAGGAGTGGCGTCCGTCTCCCAGGACTTTGGAAGTCGGCATCTACTTGAAGAGCTTCGGTGGCGTTGAAGCTGACTTGAGACTTTAGAGGTGAAGGTTCAGCAGCAATATCTAACATGCGCTGCCGTTTGCGAGTTGTAGGGGTGGAACTCTCTGGAGGGACACTTGGATCAACGGCCGCTTGTTGATCAAGAGCCTCTGTTGATGACGGAATACGTGATCGGGCAGTCTCGAAGCGGCTACGACTAGAGTCCTCTCCGGGTCTATGTCCTTCGTCGTGGTGAACTGTTGTCGCTTTGGATGATGATTGCTGCTCGTTTGAGCTGGTTTCTGGGATAGTACTCCGCCGATGTTGCTGGTCTTGAGAGCTGGAAGAGCCCAACGGCAGACCGGGCGAAGCGAGTAGAAGAGTGTCGGGTGGCGCAAGTTTGTCCGCGTTGTTGACTCCATTAACTTCATTAGTTGGTTCGTTCTGTCGAGGTGGCGATGTTGGAGACTGAGGGACCAAGTCGATTACTTCGTCCACAGGAGAGGAGTCAAGCACACGAGCTGCCTTCTGCACCGTTCTTCTGGTCTGTGACGCCTGAGAATCTGCTACAGCGAAGAATTGAGAGCTGTGCAGCACCGGCATCTGGTTGTCAGCATCGATAGGTCGGCCATGTCTCAGAGATGGGCTGTCTTCAAGAAGACCTAATGGCCCGTTCGTAATGCGGATCAGTCTGGCTGTTGTTTCAGGCACTTGGCTTCCATTCCCCAGGAAGTTCTCTTTGTCTTCTTCATCCAAAGGCACCAGTGCTTGACTTGACCTAGCCACGGCTATGTCGGCATTATCTTCCTGTTCTGTTTCCTCCTCGCTATCGTCGGATGCAATACGTCGTTTTCTTCGGGATGGGCTTGACCGATCGAGGAATCTGGTACTTCGCGCCGAATGATTGTCTAATGGGGACGCCCGAGTGGGTGGCCGTATCGGAGACGATTTGGACATAGAAGGACCGCGCTTGCAATGCCTGGAGGGCGAGGATAGTCGTTGCATCTTGGCCTGAAGCCGCAGCTCGATCTCGCGTTGCCGTCGGTCTCTTGCCACGGGACTCGGCTCAAGCCCAAGTCCATCGTCAGAGAAGTCATCAGTGTCCAGGATTTCTTGTCTCCTCGCGAGAGCTTGTCTATCCCGCTCGGCCTGTTCTTCACGAACGGAGACATACCGAGAAGCAGGCTCCGTTGATGCTCTTTGAAAGGCGTAGATGGGTCGCATAGGCGAGGAGCTCACAGCCGTCATAGGCCGAGGCTGGAGCTCAATACTCGGAGATGGTCTGTCGGATGGTAACATTCCATTGGCATCTGGAAGGAAGGGAGAAGTGTTTGCTTGTGTTGCTGCAAATGCCTGGCTCAAGCCTATGACATTGGCATGATTCTCCGTGCCATTTCGGAGTAGTGGATTTCGTGGTAGATCTGGACTTTCAATGATGGCTCCATCGTACCTTCTCTTCTTTCCTGCTGTAGCCGGGGTTTTGAAACGTTGAGACTCAGGGAATTGGGAAAGAGCGTGCTGGCTCTGAGTCGGCGAGAAGTCGACTGGGGACGAATCGGCCTCCTCCTCTCCATCCTTCGGGTAACTCGAGAGCAGATCGATATGGCCCTCCATCCCCTCGTGGAGCGACTTCTGAGATTCGCCCTCGGCTTCTTCGCCATTTTGATCAGTCGGCAACTGAACTTCGCTTCGACTTCTATTCTGCAGGAGAGTGGTATAGAGTGATTGTGACAGCTCTTGCGTTGGATCATCACTCCCTTGACTTGTCATCTTCCGCACACTGGCTGCCGATTTTGATTTGGCGTTCGTAGGTGTAGGCTCGGACACGGGCTGGCTATCGACATTGAGGACGTCGGACTCAGCGACAGTGCTGCCGAGTTCTGGCAGGCTGTCTAGATTTGGTGATGCGACGGTGGTGTGTTGCTGGGCAGGTCGGCGAGGCGATAATTGTGCCAAAGTGGTGTCGACGGCGGCAAACTCACGCTGCGCGAACAGACTGAGTTGTGAATCTGGCTGTTCATGCGCCGACTATGGCACGGTTAGCAACAGGGTCTCGCGACGAGCAGGGGGGAATGTTTGCCACTGACTTGTAAGGGTCGCAGAACAGCTCGCTTAAGGCTTGAGATGTCTATGCTTTCGCTATCATTTTCCATAAGAAGGGGGCCCTCCATGACATTTCTAGTACTAGGTACGCATGAAGCCAGAAGACTTGCATCTAAACTATGCATGAGAGTCGTGTCAAAAAAGAGGCACTATGGGTGTCTGGCGCGTGCCACTTTAGCGATACGCGACAAAGAAAGTTCGCGGGGCACTAGTTAAGATTTAGTTAAGAGACACAGCCTCGCCCCCAATTCACAGCCTTGGAATTGTTACAGTACAGTATGGACACGATCTACAGAGTATCCCATATTGACTCGTCCGACTAGGTCACTCACTCACTTCAAACAACCATTGTGAATTTCAACTTGTCGTGTTCCATGATCTCACTCTGCATTGTCTCAAGCTCGTCCACATCCCATGCTGCTGCGAGGTATCTTCCACTCAGCCATTCTCTTCTTTCCTTTGTCAACCACGTCAGGAAACCGCCACAAAGCCCAATGTCGTCAGTCAGCACTGTTGTTCAACTCGTTAGATCAGACACATTAAAAGTCATCTTGCACTCACATGCGTCCCAAGAGTCGCCCTCCTTCGTGCTATGGAACTCTGTCTGAGGGGTGAGCACTGCTCCAGGATGGACCGCGAAAGCCAGTAACCCATCCTGTGAATGATCATTGTGCATGTGTTCTGCCATCCGAATGTTCGCAAGCTTGCTCATATTGTACGCAACTGGTACGAAAGAGCTTTGTGCGGCATGAGCAGCCATGCTTGTGATCACAATATAAGCCCTAAGTGTCGAAGGATTGGCTTTAGAGAGCAAGGCCGGCGTGAAGTACTTGGCAACATAGTAACTTCCAAGAAGGTTGATATCAATGACCCGTTTGAAATCGTCATCCTCGATGATCCCAACAGGTAGCCGGCGATTTGTCTGCTCATCCGTCTTATTGTCCGAGCCGTGTGTAATATACTTGCTGATTACACCAGCATTGGCGATGACGACGTCGAGCTGACCGCTGAACTTCCGCGCCACGGTCTCTGCTAGGCTTTTGACTGCATCTGGATTGGATGCGTCGCAAGCCTCGGCCAGGACGTCGATCTTCGGGTTGATTGAACGGAGCTCTTTTGAAAGGGCATCCAAATCCGACTGAGTACGGCTAGTGATGCATATTCCTGTAGCGCCAGCTCGAGCATATGCCAGGGAGATGTGATATCCAAGCCCCTTGCCAGCACCGGTCACAACAACAACGAAGGAAGAAGATGGCTTGTTGTTCTCCGGTAGTGTCGGTCCTTCTGCATGTGTGTGAATGGTGGGAGTGAAGGTCAAGCCAAAATGGCTTGGGAAATCCATGTTACACTGCTTTCTTTGCGTCCAGGCAGTTCAAAACAAGCACGTAACGAGCGACACTTAGACCGTCGACACGAAGACGGGATATAATCAACGTCCAAAGATGAGGATATATACCTGCATCTCTAAGCTTCGACAAGAGGGCTTACCGTAAATAGGCGGGGAATATCCTCGGTACCGGGTACCTCGCAAGCCTCGCAAGAAGGGTCATGCCCTTTTGATGATATGCAAGGTGACTCCGCACTTGACGAGTAAGTGGTTACAGTAAGTTTAGGTGATGCAGCCCTCGTTAAAGTAGCCTAAAAAAGACTTCAAATCTGCCAAGCAAAATCTCCAGATTTCGAGATCGACGTCAACAATGGATTCTGCGCCGACGGCCAGAGTCTAGGTTCTACAGCCCGAGCCAACATCCTGTAGATGGACTGTGAGAGACCCGACACACCCAGGTGACCGCAGTCACCCTGAAGCGATCATGTCGTCGCAGTATACCACGGAACCCCCACCAACCGCATCCGTCCTCCTCCATACCACTGCCGGCCCTCTAACCATATCGCTCTTCGCAAGTCAAACACCCTTGACATGCAGGAACTTCCTCCAACATGTCCTGGACGAGGACTACAATAACAATATATTCCACCGTGTCTCACCCGGCTTCGTAATTCAAACAGGCGATCCAACAGGAACTGGAGAGGGCGGACAGAATATCTACGAGGATCGGGAATTCGAGCGCTATGATGAAGACTGGGCGAGGGTCATGGGACGTGAGAAGGACGAGAAGATTCAGTTCGGGGATGAAATACACAGCAGGCTGAAGTTCAATAGGAGAGGCCTGGTCGGCATGGCCAAAGGGTCCGGGGACGGAGCAGGTTATGGAAGTCAATTTTTCATTACCTTGGGAGACTGTAGGGCTCAACTTGACGGCAAATGCACCATGTTTGGTCGCATTGAGGGCGATGGGATATACAATGTGGTCAAAGTCGCCGAGGGCGAATTACTAGAGGGCACCGAAAGACCAATGTACCCGGAGAAGATCAACAAGGTCGAGATCCTCGAACTACCCAAGGGAGACGCATGGCAGGAGATGCGGAAACGAGTCAGAGTAGCGGAGAGATTTGTGGATGCCCCAGCAAAGAAGAAAGCGCCCAAAAAGAAAGGCGGAAAGACATTACTCAGTTTCGGTGGCGACGAAGGTGAAGATGCTGCCGACGAGATTGCCGTCCGCCCAAAGAAAGCCAAGTTCAACCCAACCCTGATCGACGCCGCAGATGAACCAGAATCCGCGCCAGTCAAGAATGGCGCCCTTCCCAAACAACAGCCAGTTCCCACAAAATCGAAACAGCAATCACCACCGCCCAAGCCTACAGTCCCGCAGAAACGAAGAGCAAGCCCGCCACGCGCCACGAGATCTCCATCTCCAGTCCATCGTCGGAAACCCTCCTTCCACGACCCAACGACACAACTACCCCTTCGCGACCCGGAGTCACCCTCACGCTCACCCACCCCTGAAGACCCGTCCGCATCCAAGACATCCTCACTGCAAGCCGAAATCGCAGCGCTCAAAGCCTCGATGCGCCGTAACGTCGCCGCACCCACCGAGACCAACCACAAGAAATCTGCCCTCGAATCTTTGATCCCGTCAACCAGCACCCGAGGCCGCAAGCGCCCCCGTCCCGGCGATTCCCACGCACAAGACGACGCCAACGCCCTAAAAATGCTCAATGCATTCCGAGCACGACTCGATACGGTAGATGGCACTGGAAACAAATCCGCCAACAAGTCCAACGGCGTGAAGCCTGACGAGCCTAAACCTGCAGAGCCCGAGCCTGCACCGGCGCCCGCCGACGACGAAGAAGCAGCCCTATGTGACCTCCATTTCATAGCAAACTGCCAATCTTGTTCACGTTGGGACGAAGACGGAGCGAATCCCAACGCTGGACCTGACGACGACGACGAGCAACAATGGATGAGCCACTCACTATCGTTCGCCAAAGACCACCTAGGCAAAGATCTGACCTGGAAGAGAAAGAACGAAGAAGAACTCGTGGTAATCGACCCGCGAGAGCGAGAAAAGGAGCTGAAGTCAGAAAAGAGGCGCGACCGCGATCGCGATAGAGTCCGTGACAAAGAAAAGGGGAAGGGTAGAGATGGACGATGGTAAGACAGCAACGTCCAGTAAACGGTAAACCTCACCTATCAATATAAAACGCCAAATCCACCGCCTCGCCACCATTTCTCTCACTCTCTTCCGCCATCTCCTCCAACCTCGTAATCCCATTCCCCATGATCCCTCTCCACCGATTCTTAGACCTATACCGTATCTCAAAATCCTCACCACGAATCTCCCGCGAAATGATCTCGCGAAACAAGAGCGCACTCCCAGGCCACGTGGCCGTCACCCGCCCATGGACTCTGTGATTCTTATACCAACTTTTGCAACCCCCCGTCCACGTCAACGTCTTGTGAATCTCGTCGCCATACCTCACAAATTCATCCGTCACGGCCTGCTTTGGAGCTACACTGTGTATATCCTCGCCCGCAATTTTCCGCAGCCACTTGACGATATACTCGGCCGTCCATGTCATACTGGTGAGCAGCGAGCCGTGACCGACCGTGGCATTCGGACCCGTAAAGATAAAATAATTCGGAAAATCAGGGCACGCGACGCTCAGGTACGATTCTGGCTCGTCTTTCCATTTCTGCGCCAAAGTCATTCCGTTACGCCCTGTGACCGGGTAGTGCGGGACATGCGAGACGTCGAACCCAGTAGCGCAAATTATCACGTCGAGGTTGTGATGCTGTGAGGCCGTCTGAATGCCTGTCGGCGTGATCTTTTCGATAGGCGACTTTTCGAGTCTCACGCTTGATAGCAAAAAGGACTCGAGGTAGCCTTCGCCAGGGGTGAGGCGGCGGCACCCGAATGTCCAGTCTGGAATTAGTTGCTGGCATAGTTCCTCGTTGTTGTTGAGGGCGGCCCTCATGCGAGCGATGGTGACCTCGGTGGACTTTGAGTTCTGGACGGATCCTTTGCGGAACTACGTATCCCAGGCCTGTCAGTAGTCTGATCGAACGAATTGAGCGCGAGGCTGTCATACAACTCTAAAACCTTTGTTCATGCCGTGCTGCAGCATTTTCCGGTACTGTTTGTGTTTCTCAGGCTCTCTGAACCGCCTCTTGTCGTTCCTGGTGTATCGCGGGTTGAAGTTGCTGCCAATCTCCTCGTCAGACTCACTGACGTCCGCCATGTCCACGCTGCCCACATCGCCGTTCACGATCTCCTGGTCTTGAGGCTCAGGCTCGCCTTGAGAACCTGCTAGTAACTCGCCTAGACTCTGCGTGATCCAAGTAGTTCCCCTCTGGAAGCTCACAATCTGGGTGCCGGGCAGTTTGGCCATCTGAGGCAGGATCTGGATGGCGGACGACCCATTGCCAATGATGCCAATTCTCTTGTGCGAGTAGTCGTATGAGTGGTCCCATGCCGCAGAGTGAACTATGTGCCCTTTGAAATCATGTAGACCTGCGATGTCTGGCCATTTCCATTGACTGAAGGCAATCTTAGTCCTCTGTGAAGAACGGGCTCGGACGGGCTCGGACGACAAATGACTTACCTCAAGAACCCCTGCGCCGAAACCAGGACGTCGACCAGTTCATCTCTCTCTTCTTGCCCGTGTTTTCGTATCCTGATCTTCCACTTTCCTTGGTCTTCCAGCCAATTTAGGGCAACGACTTTAGTGCTGAACTGTATGTCCCTGTCCAGGTTCCACTTTTTGACAGTCTTTTGCATATATTCCAGGATTTCTGGACCATCCGCATAGAACTTGGACCACTCCGGGTTTGGGTCGAACGGAAAAGCGTATATATGTGCCGGCACGTCGCATTGGACCCCCGGGTAGGAGTTGACTTTCCAAGTTCCGCCAATATCATCGTTGGCTTCGAATATAACATGCTCGATGAAGTCTTGGAGCTCAGGGTGTTCATGTTGGATCTTGTGGGCGAGAACTAATCCCGAATAACCAGCCCCGATGGTGCCAACTCGTAACTTTCGTGGCTTGTAAGCCACTTGATCAAGCATAGGTATACATATTTCTTTCAATCTTTCAGCGGAAACCATTCTGACTGTTGTTGTCTTCTGGTGGTGGCTAACCTGCAAGAGATTCGTGTCTGGATCTCAAGATGACCTGACATATATACACATGATATCAATGACATTATCGACAAAGTTTTGCCGACAACCTCATAATGTCCTTCAGACTATTTGGAGAAGCATATTACCTCGGAGCATGACAGGGGAGTCGCCAGGACAGAGTCCATGTATCAAAACGCCGCTGGCCCACCCGTCTTTCCCCGCATGGAGAAGGAATTGCTGACGTCTGCGAATGTCGGGAGTCTGGCTAGCAAAGCTTGCTTTGACAAGACTGGGGTTACCGTTGACTGACCGGTAGGACAACACAAAATGGTGATGTGGTTCTTGGGTTTCCATCTGTATATTCGTTGCAGCGAGTCTCCCGACCAGCACGCACACTATATATATTTGTATGGATTCATGATGCCGTTGGGATCGTATAAGTTCTTAATCTGCTTCATCAGCTTGATCATGTTCTCGCTCCGACTGTACCCAATGTACTTCTTTTTCGCTATGCCGAGACCGTGTTCAGCACTGATACTTCCGTTTCTTTTCTGGACCCATTCGTATACCCAGGGTTCGATGGCCTCCTCGACTTCTTTCGTGTATCGTCTGACCGGGACGTTCAAGTGTAGGTTCGAATCACCCATGTGGCCATAGCCAACGACACCAAGGGCTGGATGTGAATCGTCATCACCTATCAGACCTTTTGAGGTCAATCTCTCCCGCGTCTCCTCGACCAGCTTGTAGAGATCCGAAAGTGGTATCGACAGGTCATACTTATATGTGCCGCCAAAGTGTCCAATCGCCTCTGTGATGCCTTCTCTCCATCCCCATAGAGCCCTGAGTTGAGTTTCATTTTCAGCCACAACGCCATCGGAGACGATCTCCTCGCCCATGACGTGTTCCAGGAACTTTTCCAGTTTTTCACTGTCATGTTCAGTATTTGAACCACTCGTCTCGATCAAGCAGTAGAATGGATGTTCTCCTTCAAGTGGTCGTTTGTTGCCAGTGACCCGATGCACGAATCCCTGACTCTGGGAATCCATCAGCTCGAAGGCGGACAGGATCTCGCCGAGTTGAATTTTGGCTTCCTTGAATGCTTTTTGAACATGTTCGAATGACGGCAGACCGAAGTAGGCGACGTTGACGGCCTTTGATCGTTGTGGGCATTGCACGGACACGCCGGTAATAATTCCAATGGTGCCTTCGCCGCCAATAAAGAGCTGTTTGAGGTCATAGCCAGTGTTGTTCTTTCGGAGTTTAGACAGATCGTCGACGATAGTGCCATCAGGTAGGACGGCCTCGAGACCGAGGACATTACCGTGCAGCGAGCCATATCGTAATAGTCTGAGACCTCCTGCATTCGTAGCCACATTACCACCAATTTGGCAAGATCCTTTCGCGCCTAGATCAAGAGGGAACAGATGGTGATGTTCAGCGAGAAAGTTGTCGGCCACCTCGAGGATGACACCTCCATCAACAACGAGGATACCACTGACGTCGTCGAAACTGCGGATCTTGTTCATGCGCCCTAACGAGATGACAATCTCATCGAACACTGGTACACTGCCTCCGACCAAACCTGAGTTTCCTCCTTGGGGAACGACAGCCAGCTTATTGTCGTTGCAGTATTTCAATACCTTGCTCACTTCTTCCGTGCTCTTTGGTCTCAATACTAGCTTGGTGTGCCCCCTGTACTTTTTCATCCAATCTCTGTTGAACGCCTCAAGGTCATCAGTTGCATCTTGTGATACACCATCGACCACGGCTGCCTCTTCACCCAATGCCGACTTGAAGAACTCGACATGTTCGGATGTGATATCCGCATATTTGGGATCTCGCTTGAGCGTAGGGTACATGTCGGTGGTATATCTTACGTCATGGCCAGGCTCACTCAGGTCTTCCCGCCGCCGCGATGTACAGGAGAAGGTTCGTATGGGCTCATGAAGGGTTCGGACGGCCTGAGGTTGTCGACTTCGAGAGATTGAAGGTCTCTTTACCTGGCGCAGGGCCCGGGCGAGGCCTTTAGATGCTGCGCCCGACATGGTGGCGGATTTGGGTAGTAATAAAAGCAATGAGACTCTGAAAAGGTAAGATTGAACTCAAGGTGACTACTGTACAACGAAAAGCCCTGCAGCCAGCGACTGGGGAATATAATAATCGCGGAAGAGCGAGATCGGAATTGGGAATCCGTGGTTTAAATGTTGGAGATTCTCCCTCTCCCCACTCTTCTGGCTTGTGTTTTTAAAAGATCACCGCCGTCACCAGAGCTTCTGTTCCTCTGATGTTATTGGACGCACGTTTCCGTCGGAAATGGATGCAAGCGAGGCAGAAGCCAAACGTCGGGACATCAACAGTCGTTACCAGACCTTACTTAGGAGGGCACGAAGCCACACGCCCGAGTACGATTTCAAGGTATATTCGCGGCTCCCGTCCCGCTTAAAGTTCGACCAGGAGTTGTGGCGATTCCCAATATCTGCAACTGAACTCTAGCTCAGCTGCGGGGAAGCAGCCTTTGCTCAAGTACCAGACTGCAGGTAAAGGCCTTAAAGGGCACGCACCCAGTCACGATCGATGGGCACCGGCCACCTGTTTGCCCGGTGGGAGGCCTACATAACCAAACACGTCGGAGACATGTAAGTGGACTTGTTCACATCCGTATTCACCTGCCTAGATACAAAGAGCTGGCTGACTCAAGAAGATTACTTGAATCAACGGTCTACCTAACACCAGCAACCCACTCCTAAACTGGAAAACATAAGCGCCGTTATTGATCAACACCATCATCGGCTGCTGGCCTTTGTCGTTACCAGTTAGGAGGACGTTAACAGCAACTATACTCAGGCTCAACAAGACGCAACCGCCAACAATGTCTACAATATCCTCCTCTCTTGCCACCCACTACCACAATTTCACCCGTTACATTAATACCCGCCCCCGTGAAGCAGCGCTCACCTCTACGGCTGTAGCTTTCACACTATCTCTAGCCTGGGTTCTCAATGACTTCTACGCCTGGAAAGCCTTCGGCACAGGCGGCACACCACCAACATGGGCCGGATACTGGAGAATGACCAAGATCCGTGTCAACCGATTCTTGCTTTTCGGAAAGGACGACCTAGCAAACGCTTCGACTCTCTCAAGCGCAGGTCCAAAGTATCTTGACGCCGCAAAGGTTCCCGTCCGTCAAGGCCAACGCCCTCGCTCCATCGCCCGCACCATGCCTCAACGACAGGTCCCATACGACAAGCGTGTTGTTGCACCTCTAGTCGAAGACCGCGTCGCTGGTATGATGGCCACATTTGCAACCAAACATTCCGACATTCTCGAACTACGACCTAGCAAGACCGAAGGAGGTAGCGCCGAGGCAATCTATGCTAAACCAGATCTTCCGACACTCAATGCTCTTGCACCGTACAATAAGATGCTCACCACAGAAATTGCGCATGCCCATTCATCCGAAGGGAGTCTGCACGTCTGGTTGAGCGAGGCAGACGCAAAGACAGTGGTTGAGAAGGGTTGGGGCGTGCGGTTTCCTTTGTCTTTCGTCCCTAAGGGCTGGGCTATGGTCTACGCGCCCCGGACGATGGAGGAGGTGGATCTTGTCGAGACTGTTGTCAGAGCTGGTATCTCTTTCGTCACTGGCGTTGAAGTCTGATGGGCGCTCCTCCATGTATGATACTACTGGCTCCGGTGCTCTCACTTGCTTCCACACTCGTTCGATGTGTTGATATCTAGATTGCCCCCCTGCCCAACCTCAAACCCCCTCCTCACTCAGCGTATTTTCATACAACGGATTCCTCTCCACCTCTCTCACCCACAACCTCCACGGTTTGTCCTGATACGTCTCACACATGACCTTGCACCCTTCTCCTTGCTCTTCGGTAAGTCCTCCAAACCCACTTTGACCATCCACACCATATGAGTGCATTTTCGCCATAGTCATAGCCTTTGTCTGCACCTCAGCATTGATCTTCGTGTAAATCGCCCGGTACACCGCCGTAACCAGATTTCCCGCCACGCACGTAAACCCATGTCTTTTCATCAGCACCACCGTCTCGTTCGGCGTCTCCCTCCCACCGAACATGTGCGCCAATGCCGCCCCGAACCGGGCATTCCTGACCAACATGTCCCGCTGATCACCGTGTTCATAATGATGATCAATGTCGAAGACCTTGACGGGTTTCGACCCCAGAAACCCAGCCATATGATACACCGCACGCAATGGCACTTGCGTAGTCACGACGTAGGGCAGAACTTCCTCCGCGTGGCTATGGACCACACAGTTCACGCGGGGGAACCGTTTGAATATTTCGCCATGAATGAAGCGCTCCGAATATCCTTTTTGGGCGTCGGGGTCGATGGGGTCGGAGTTGGAAACATGGTATTGGATTAGATCTGATGGAGATGAGACCATCGCAGGAGCCATGTATCCGCACATGATGTACACTGAGGAGTCTGTGGGGTGGCGTATTGAGATGTGGCCGTAGGCGTCGACCACGCCATGGTGATGGAGGATGTGGTTCGCCCAGATGAGGTCGCGGAGGGCGTTGGTGAGGGTATCTGAGTCTGCCATGCTGGTTGAGTTCCAGAGCGGAATTCAAGTGATGAGTACTTTCTGGTATCAGCTCTTGCTTGATCGTGTTTGGCGTTCAGGCAGCCACTAGGTTATTAGTGCTGTGAGTTTCATTCAACTCCTCTAGACCGCTCTTGCCTTATTGACATGGAACAGGTAGATCACGGGACCATAGCCTCACAGAGCAAGAGGCATCGACGCGAAACTTACCTGTTCGGCATTGTCCTGGAATCGAACTTGCGATTGTGATTCGTACAGACGGTCTTACTGACGAAGTGACAGATCGGATCGATGACAGACATTTGATGACAGGGACAGCGAACTGCGGGGGAAGCCTAACGGCATCGCATGGTCAGGAATCTAGAACGGTGACCAAGTACGGATTGAAATTTTCAGGTTGCCAGCCACAAACTGCCAGGCATCGAATCACTCACATCCAAGGCTTTTATCACGGTCAGCTGAATACGAAGTCTGTCCTCATCAATCCCTGTCACAGCGTTCTCGTCGACAGTATCACTGCAGATGGTCGACCACTCAATCCAGCTCCACTCTTTTCGTGAAGAAGAAGGTCAACTCCTCGGGCGTCGCCCTTCCTCGTTTCGTATGTTCAATAGTATTCGCGATTCCCTCGGTCGCCTCCACTGCACTATCCCAGCCTGAAAAGTGCACTCGGACGACATCCTCCTTGTCGTCTTTCGCGATGTTCCACGCAGCCAGGGCCCCATACCTCGCTCCACCCAACGAGGACGTCCCCGCCGCGAAAGACTGATCGAACATCAACTTATGCTTGTCCCGTCCCACGACAGCTTTCACAATGACCAGCACCGGCGCAACAAGTGGGAGATGCTCCTGCACCACGTCTACGTAGTGCATCCAGTCAACATCCATTTGATTCTCGACTAGACTTAGAATCTTGTTCTGCTCTGGCGACCCGGTGAATCCGTCCTGGTGCCTTTCCTTGCTCTCCCAGCCGCCGACGACGAATAGGACCGATGGGTCATCGATCTGCTCGTAGAAAAGCGTCTGCAGCTTGCTGTACTCTTCTATGACGCGCTTAACTTCCTTGAGATTCGTCGTGAGTTGAGAGTCAGTTGCTTTCTGGCCGTTCTTCAAGCTGATGTGGGCCAACTCGATTATCGCCATCTCACGTTCGCTCTGGGTATTGTGCAGCCAGCAGTCGAGTCAATCTGCTGCGTAGGTACCAGTATCAGTAATGGTATGTGTTTTTCGAGGCGGGCCTGAGAGGCGGCCTGAACCTAGGGCTGATTTTATGGTTTGTATCGAGATCTCTCGTCTAAAGCTAGCCGCAATGGTCTGACGGGAACATTGCACTCTGGCACCAGCCACGATAAAGTGTCTCGCATAGTAGAGTGTAGAAAGTGGTGCGGGACTTGTTAGCCCCATGCACTTCGTATTCTGGGGCAGCCAAGGTGTGCGGCGTTGCTGAATCCTGTGGAAAGTGGTACTACTACAGTCGACTATGCCTGCACACCAAAGGGAAAGCAGGTGCCCTCTGGTCTAGCATATGACACTTAATCCTCCCTACCTGATCTGTACCTGACCTCCTTCGATATTACTTTTGTTTGACCTTGTTCACTTGAATTTGAATCGTTTCCTGAAGTCCTTTGTCCGCTTTCAAATTTCTCCCCAGGTTCCGACCCCGCGTTTTGGTCCCTTAGTGGTGGAGTAAGTGCTGCATTGCCTTCGGAAACCCATATTCGGCACCTGCCCAGATCCATGAGCGGGCATCTCAAGGTGCTCATCGTGGGAGCTGGTGAGTCTGCAAACCCAGCATTCAAAGCCGTATCTCATTACTTCCGCAGGACTATCGGGGTTAGCAATAGCCCAAGGCTTGAAGAAGGTGAGGTATCGATACCCGAGAGTAAACATGCCAATCTGACACTGCGCAGAATGGCATCGACTATGTCGTCTTTGACAAAGAAAGTTCGCCGCGCGATCGCAACTGGGGCGTAACAATCGCGTGGTCTCACCCATTCCTCGCACAACTCCTACCGGAGGAGCTTTTCGAACGGCTGTCCGAATGCCAACCAGACCCGGAACTGAACTCGAAACAGGCAGGATGCGAAGGCGTGCTGATTCGAGACGGTGCCACTGGCGACACCATAGCTTCACCACCGTTTCCTGGCGTAAGACGACTTAACATCCAGAAAACTCGGAAGATCTGGTCAAAAGACATCAACGTCAAGGTCGGCCTACTCTTACCATGCTGTAACCTCCAAGAAACCGTTCCATCTGACCAATGTCATTGTACGTATAGTTCGGCAAGACCGTCAGCAACATCGAGCTCACACCCGATGGCGTAACGGCACAGTTCGAAGACGGCACCTCCGAGTCCGGCAGCGTTCTGGTCGGTGCAGATGGTGGAGGTTCCTGGGTCCGAAAGTGGCTGCTAGCAGACCAGGCCACGCCCCAAGTGATGCCTTACATCTTCCTGAATTTCCCCATGCGTTTCACGGCCGAGCAAGCACTGCAGATGGATCAGATGATGCATCCGATCGTTGATGTCGGCGTGCACCCGAAGTCGATGTACATCGGTGTCTTCCTGCTGGACAAGCCTGACCTGCACGACCCAACGACATGGATCTTTTATATTCTCGCGACGTGGCCAAAGACCGTCACACCCAGCGAGGAGAACGCGGATATGGTCGATGAGCTGCGCAAAAGAGCAAAAGACTGGGCAGACCCATACAAGTCTGCAGTGGAGTGGATTCCGGAGGACGTCAAGGCCAAGGCTGTGCCGTTCAGGATCTGGGGGCCACCTTCATCAGGCTGGAATAACCAGAGTGGTAAGGTGACACTGGCTGGAGATGCAGCCCACAGCATGACTTTTCGTGAGTGACCTGGGAAAGACACCGAAACAGTCTGCTGATATGTGTCCAGATCGTGGCCAAGGAGCCAACAATGCCATCCGTGATAGTGAGCGGTTCGTCAATGCTATGCTTAAAGTCAAGGGCGGAGAAATGTCGCTGTCTGAGGCTGTTTCGGAGTATGATGAGGACGTGATCGCGAGGGGTAGCCGAGAGGTTGAGATATCCAGAATCCAGACCGAAGCCTTCCATGATCACGCCAACTTTCTGGAAAGTCCTGTTGTGAAAATGGGAATCAAGCCGGTTGCAACTGTGACCAATGCTGACGGCGAACAGACGGCTTGATCAAGGTCAGGCTTTCGAATGTGTACCTTAGATTTTCCATATATTGTCGATATAGATTGGTGAAAAAGGAGAGGAAGACACGTTTCGAACGGTGTGCAATTGTATGAAGGTGGATGTTGAGGCTCTGTACAAACATATTGTCAATATCAAGCCTCTTGGCCCCACGGCGCAAAAGTCCCTAAGACTAGTACTACTCTTTACCTCAAAATCACCCTCATATCCGCTGTAGTGGGTTGCAGCACAAGCGCTCATGATAAGGCCTGTCTTGCACATCGGCTTACCCAGTCTGCCGTCTCTTCCACCCGACTCAGGAACGGACTATGACTACTAGCAATACCTGTCACCATGATCGCTCTTCCACCCTTCTCCGCAATTTCCTTACTAGCATTGTCCACAATCATCTGCTGGAATTGCTTGGGTAAGGCGTGGTCGTCCTCGCATATCAGATAGTATGTTGGCACGACCAAATATCCCGCAAATTTGATTTGATCGTAATGCCCGTTGAAAACGTGCGGTTTGAGCATAGCCGCATACTTTTCTGCCTCGTCTGCGGGGAGGTCGTGGTACAGCATAGCAACTGGTCCAGGCGGAGATGCTGGCATGCTAGTCTCGATATTACTGTCCGATCCATCCTCGTTTTTGAGCCTCGACATGGTGAAGATGGGCGGGTATTGACCTCCCCACGCTGCAATCCAGGCTGATGTTCCCGTCGGCATAAGTGGGCCGGAGATTACGAGAAAGGCAACGATACCGTTGGAGTAGCCGGATTTCAGACGCGTCTGTTTGTCCAGGTTCTCAATTGCCGAGGAGGCGGGTAGGGAGCCATAAGAGTGACCTAGCAGAACGACGTCTGTGGTCGGTTCCGTGTCGAGTTCGGTCTGGATAGCTGTGCGGACTGCATTGATGTCTTCACTGAGGCCGCGAGGTGGTGGGCTGTTCTGAGATGCGTAGTGTACCGAAGCAAGTCTGGGAAGCACGGTCTTGTATCCTTGTGAGCGCAGCCGAGATGCAAGTAATTCATAGTGCTCGGGTGAGTGCCACGCTCCGTGAACAATAATGATAGTCGGTAGCTGTTTAGACATGTTGTATGTGGTGGTATTAGTTCTTCAGAAATGTGAGGCCTGAAATCGAGAAAGTGTCTGCCTTATATACTTTTGTCTCCGAGACTGGCGTTAACTGCGCGCGCTTCTTGGACGTCGGCGGACAGTGGTCCCGGTCGAAGAAGGGATGTAGACACTGAACGAGATATGAGTTCGGGTTTGCCGAAGCCAATAGGAAGAGTGGTAGTGCACAACCTGGTTGGGAGTTCGGCCGATTTCGAGTCGAGACATATTATGATGGTGCGGGACGCCTGAAGCGAAGTGACTTCCGTCGTTTCCTCTTGCAGATTCCTCCGCAATCTGCCCGCGAATGTTGCCAAAAAGGGAAAGGATGAATATCTTCGAAAATGAAGTCGATATCTGCTCGCGATCAGTTTTGATGTCTTGTCTTGTTTTGCCTCATTCGAAGTTTTATTTGGCCATCGTTAGCGCGACAATGACTGCTGCTCCAATGCCACTTCCGTCTTCAGCAGCCGTCAATTGGATCTTTCCCACCTCCAAGTCTAGAATCTCGGCCACTGCCGCCTCCCAACGTCTTCGGAAGTGCGGGTGCTTGATCGCTACGGAACCATCTGCAGCAACATGTCCGGTCGTCGAACCTTGCCGCTTGCACAGCGCTGAAACACCGCATGCGCATAGCCTGGCGCCACGAACAGCAATGAGTTGTGCAAGGTGTCGCAGAAAAAGAAGTTCCTCACTAGAAGGCGACAGACGTTTCGATTTGTTCTCACCAGTCGGAAGGTAGACTGTTGATTCAAATAATCTTCTTGAGTCAGCCAGCTCTTTGGATTCGTCATTTTCAATCTGTGACAGAAACCCTGTGTCCATGGAGTATGGCTCATCGAGGCTCTTTCTTTCGTTCCCGTTCTGGTCAGCCCGCCCCTGATCTGATTGGAATAGTACACCTCTCCGCCACATATCCACCACTGCCTGCCGGAAAATCTCGCCGAGGTACAGGCCGGCGGACATCTTCTCGAAGCTCTGCTCTCCTGGGCGCGGTGATTCTTTGTCGATTGCTTCGTCGTAGGGTGTGCGAGGGAGTACCTTGTGTGAGTTGTCGAACGCCCCATACTCACAATTTATGGCCATCATATCATCTTCATGGCCTGTGCCAACTTGTGAGATGTTCTGATCGTACGCTTTCAGCTTCGGGATGTTGTTGCATTTCTCAATGTATGCAGCATTACACCCTGTGCCGAAAATTGCGCCGATAATGGTCTCTGGATCTTTGTATCTAGATGCAATGAGTGCGCCAGTTGTATCGTTGATCAGCGCCACCAATTTGACTGGGATTTTCTGGCGCAGAGTTAGTAAGCTGCCTTTGAGAGAGCATGGTTCGACATTTGGAAAATCATAAGACGTACCCGTTTCTCGATTGCGCTTCGTAACAAAGCCGCTACATCCTTTCCCTCTACATCATTGACATCCCACCCCTTGGTCCAGGTTTGTAAAAGTCCATGATCAATTCTGTCCTGTGTGGCTGGATAGCTGAACGTGAATCCAAGCGGGAGTAGCTCCCCGTCCTTTGCGGAGCCTGATGGGTGATCCGCGACATATTTCTCTAAGGAATCTGCTATAAAATCCCAAAGGTCGTTCGAGGTGCCTGTTTTTGTGCTCGAGGGTAGCAAGTATTTCTCCTGCTCGACTTCGGCATCGCCACTTTTTAACGTGATCCGGCATACACGCAGGTTAGTACCGCCCAAGTCCAGTGCTAGATAGGTTCCTGTTTCCTGGCCTGTGGGAAGTGATGTGACCCAGGTAATGTTCATAGGCTATATGGGTATGATCAGTGTATGCAATGAGGGATTGTCAAAGTGCCAACGCACTATATTTTGCCCTTGTTCCTGGAGGCCTGCATTGGTGCCAAGATCAGCACTACTGCCAGGAGACAGATGGCCCAGTTCTCAGAGACTCACCTTCCTCGAGCTCCTCGCCGAACCGTTTAGTGATCCTCTTCAGCATTGCAGTGTCCACTGTAAAGAGCTTCTCGAGCCTTTGGCGCTCTTTTTGGAGTTGGGGAGGAAGGACCTCCAGGGGATCTGTTCTTTGTGTCAACTCAAGCGTTCCCAGACAGCTGATATCGGTCACACCTCCATGCTCGGCTGGCGTGACGAAAACATCTTCCTTTCCTGTTTGAGGCGGCATGTCTTCGAGATAATATGCTTATGTCAGAAATTCAATATGCTGCGTGATGGAAATGCGAATGGCTGTTTGCAAATATGCTTCAAGGAACAATGCACGGAAAAGAATGAAATGAAAAGAATTGCATCAACAACAAGCGTAAGTACATCTCCGCTGCTCCGGCAATTGTGCGATATGATGTTTTAGCTGCTCATCATGCGAGTGAGATCGTCAGAACATCGGACAAAGGGGCCGACCGCAACCTCACTATGACGTATGTGCCAACCTCATCGCTGAGAAGGCCTTTCAGGCAGATTGTCATATCAACAGAGCCCCGAACGTGGTCCGGGATGTTCATGAAAGTTGCTCGGAGCATATACTCGTACAGCATGCCATGAAAAGCATCTGACATACTGAAGTCAATTTGTTGTCCATAGGGTCAGGGGCGGCAAGGTTTGCTCTTTGCCAAGACGAGGCTGAAGTCCTTGCCGGTCAATGCTGGTTCAGCCTTGTGCGGAACACCTGTGTGCAACAGGGATGAATCTCAAGTTATGAGCTTCTGGACTCGTGCTTATGGTCGATGGGTGAAGAGGATGGAGCTGGAAGCCTCGAAAGAGTATCATCTTGAAGGTACTTATAATCCCATCATCGATCGTCTACCCTCGTGCCCCATACACTGGCTAGAAGGCACATGTTACGGTGAGAGGCATAGCCAATCGGGTCCCACACCGCCCCTGCCTTTTAGCGGAGTAAACCCGATCTGGAAAAGTAGTCGACAAGCGCGACCGAGCTGGCAGTGGCGTCAATGACGACGGTGATGTCCATGTCGCACATGATCGATTTTCCTAAAATTCCATTCTAGGTGCTGACTTTCACCATTGCGATGCGCATGGAGTTACACGAGATACTGGTAATCCCAGTCCGCAAATCTCAAAAAATTGTTTTGAAAGAAGACCTCTAGCTAGCTGATATTGCACAAACAGCTATCTACACAGTCTCCACTATGATAGTGGTTCCCGACACAGCTCTATCGTGATTTTCGCTGGCTTTGACGGACGCAACCCAGTCTCAGGATAGACATTTTGCATTTACTTACCCGATTTACGTGGTTGACATTAAGCATGGAAGACAACTCACAACCCACAAGCCCTGAGGAGCATCCTCAGTCGGCTCCTAGGGACTACCTTGAGCGCAACCCGTCTTCCGCCTCAAGGTCCACGGCACATTCGCATTCGCGTACCAGATATCCCGATTTCGACTTCAACCCAGGGACTGTTCGACGTCGCTTAGGCAGTGGGACAACCAGCATAAATCCAAGTCCAGGCCCAGCTCACTCCATAGGGGGTTTCCTTCGTCCGACTCGGAGCAGAAGGTCCATACTTGTTGCAAAGCCATCACGGTTTTCACTACGAGGACAAGACGAAGACGATGATGCTGCATCACGAAAATTCTCTCTGGCAGGCCCGGCGCCACTAGACACTCTGGCCGCCAACCAACCCTACGTCGACCCTGGCTATGCACAACTCAACCCTGCCTACGACCAGCCGACAAACGTCCGACCAGTATGGGGTCTAGCCAAACCTCTGCCCCATGTCCTCAGACCGGGCATGGTTCCAGCAAAGGATGAACTAGAAAAAGAAGTTCAAGCACAGCAAGGAGCAGCCGCAGCCCAGCCCGAAGCCCTTGGCGACCTTGAAGCCGGCAGGATCGAACCCACGCTCAGACCGGATAAGGTCGCTGATCAACTCGACAGCATCCGGCGAGAACGAGAGCTCTCTTTGTTCCGCGCTTATCAACATCTTCACGGAGAAGCGCCCACCGGCTCGCCATTTCCTTCAGTACGGGCACGGCGAGCGTCGGATGCACCTACAGAGACGCCGTACGTGCCTACAATCCGCGAAGAACCAGAGGACTTGCAACAAGAAGAAGAGCAAGCCCTCGAAGATGAAATGCCCCAACTAGCACAAGCAATAGCGAATGTCAAGCAAGCCAGACAAGAAGCAGAAGAAGACTCGAAGCTGTCTTATCAAGATGCGATTCCTTTACTAGCGTACGACGCCGAAGACGACGAAATCCACAATCTACATACATACTGGTCCCTGATCCGACTACGCTTTAGGGAGCCGCTTGCAGAACTTCTCGGGGTATGTCCAATCCTTGTCTGGGGATACAAGCAGCTAACATAACCTTCAGATCTTCGTTCAGTACACACTAGGTTTCAGCGCGAATCTCTCAATGACAGTATCTCGCGGTTCGGCGGGCGCCGGCGACACAGGGTCCTGGGCGTGGGGCCTTGCAACAATGATAGCGATTTACATAGCCGGTGGGATATCCGGCGCACACCTTAACCCAGCCATATCGCTCACACTGTACATCTACCGAGGGTTTCCAATTGGCAAAATGCCGGCCTACATTGTGGCGCAGTTCGTGGGAGCATTTCTCGCCGCGTTGGTATCCTTTGCCATCTTCCGGCCAGGTCTCCTTGCGCTTCACGCAGAGCAACAAGCCATGTTATTCCAAAGCACGGCGGCTATGGCAGCGAAGTCATCATCAGAACTGATCTCTTTATCAACTGTACTACCCAACTTCATCACCTTTGCCCGCACACCCTGGGTCGACACCCCCACGGCCTTCCTCACCGAACTTGTCGGCACAGCCATCCTGGTCATCGCAGTCCTCGCGCTGGGCGACGACACGAACGCACCACCAGGTGCCGGCATGATGGCGTTTGTCGTCGGATTATTGATCGCAGTCCTGGGCATGGCATTCGGATACAACACCGGGCTGGCAATGAATCCGGTCCGCGACTTTGGACCGCGTGTAGCAATGCTGCTCCTCGGATTCGGCGACGGCCGCACTTTGTTTGCCGACGGGTACTGGTTCAAAGTAGCGTGGCTGGGTCCCATTGTCGGAGCGATACTCGGTGGCTTGCTGTATGATGGCGCCATCTTTGTCGGTGGTGAAAGTCCCGTCAATTATCCCACCCGCCGGATATGGCGAGCTGCAAGGAAGTGGAGAGAACGGTGGAGAGTGAGGTTAACGAGAGCGAAGAGGATCGTCAAGGATGTTAAGGATGATGTGGTTGGTGGTGGTTATGAAGCTCTACGGGGTTGATGTCATTTTGTTCCTTCATTGCGCTGTTCATTTCGTGGAATCTTGTTGGAGTTGTATGCGCATATTCAGCATTGGCGTTGTGTGGATGTAAAGATACCTCTGTCTGCCTGTGTCGGGCCTTTCTTGATAATATCACGACTTGCAAGCTCTCATCTGAAAAGTCGTCTTCCAGAAGCACCATCGCCCAATCGCCATGCTGTCGGTCCAGGCACGCCCAAAAGACCGTGACTTTGGCCCTGGAACCCGACTCCCCCACCTTCACCGTCTGCCTTGTATCTTCTCAAAGCTTCTCGCAGGTGATCAGGCAACAGTCCACCCCGATGCGGGTTAGGAATATACTCCTTCGTCACCCTCTTCAATCGCTCAATATCCCTGACAATCAACCGAGACTGTTGATCCGTGTCGTTAGTCTGCTTCTGCTTCTCTTCCAGCACTTCCAATTGTTTCTGCCTCCGCTCCTTTTCTTCCTGTCTGGTCGCTTCATACGCTATGGCCGACTCTTCCTGCACTTCTCTCGCTCGCTCCACGATTTCGCCAACGAACCATTTGCCGTAGATCCGAATCGCTTGTAGAGGGGCCGAAGTGACTGATTGCGACACGATAGAGTTGACCAGTCGCTTCACCGTAGTGTTATTGAGTGACAGCGCTCGCCATTGATTATATCGAGAATACTGGTCCGGGTCGAGCGTCTCTGCAAGCCGTTCTCGCCGTTGTTCTTGGCGTATCTCTTCCTCTTCGGCCTGTCGGCGTTCCTGCTCGTCCATGTTTTCGTTCTCCAGCATTCCATCGATCTCGACTTCATCTTCCTCTTCCTCGGCCTCGGCGGCGCCCGATCGACCGCTGACTACTGATTTAGTGCCACGACCTGCATTTCGTCCTGCACCGTCGGCTTGGCTGGCGTTATCTGTTGCCGATTGTTGTGAAGAGCGTATATCCTCGGCGTTGAGTTGTGCGGATTTCCTGGGTCGTCCTCGTCCTCGGCCTGGGACTTTCCCGCTGGCACCGGAGAGCTGGCTGTTGGCGACGCTCGCAGTCTCTGATCGGGCGCTGTGTATTGCTGAGCCGGCGCCATATTGGGCGGGGAATGAAGTCTGTCTGAGAGGATGGAGTTTTGGTCGCTTGTTGGGTCCTTGCGTAGATGCTGTTGAACTCATTGATGTTCGCTTTTTGGATGAAGGAAGGCTTGCCGGAAAGGGCGCGGGAGGTGAGGTCGCCATGGCTGGAAGGGGCGAAGAAGTGATGTTATTACTGAAGCAAATGGGATAGAGTGTGGTTTAAGACTGAGACTGTGAAGACCCTCAGTAGACAGGTGCGAGGACAAGCACCGTGATTAATCTATACTGGTCTTCAAAGTCAAGTACGCGTGAAGGATGACAGTGACAACGGCATGCGACGGGGGAACTTCGGTGCATAAATAATGGATGCCGCTTTAGATATAGACATGGTTGCTTCAACATGCTTCCCTCCTTAAACTCTGCTAACTTTCAACATCTTCTATCACGCGAGTTATTTTGTTCATACTCGCTCATCACTGCACCCAAAAGGCTTCCCTTCCTGAAAGGCTCACGGCGATGTATTCCGATACCGGCAATGCGTCTCAGACTCCGGCGATTCTGCTTCCCTGCACAGCCAGTAACATCGTCTAGGCTTCTCCGGTCTCGAATGCTGCTATCGCTGTGTTCCGTCGCGTGCCTCGAGATACTGACTCACATCTTTGCCGGCATGAACAGCGACCTTCCCCACGATTTGTAAAGGAACATGCCGATCGATGTTGCTCTCGCGGTTGATCGAAAAGCAAGGTAAGCCATTGGCTGTTTCACGTGGAGTCTGCCATCGGTCTTCGTGCCGTGTGAGTGAATATGCTGTTACAGCCTCATCACCTATTTCAGAGTCATTTTATCCCGTGTGAGAACGTCCATCGTCCAAGAAAATCAACTCCAGACGGTACTCTTTGCATTTTCTCAGGGTGTTTCAGAACTAGCAGCTCCTCTGAGCCAGGCGCATCAGCGTTCGAGACGACCTCTGCCATTGCACATCATACTCCATACCAAGGATCACAAGGCTTGAGATATGGGTGCCGCAAAGGACTTTGACCCAAGTGAGATCGCGTACGTACCAACCACAGGTGTGCGCAAGGTCTTCGAACTCTCCCTGGTCGAGGCCACTGCGGAAAGTGTCAAAGGCTATGGCCATATCGTGGAATCGCCAGATAACTTCCCCATTGAAATCGTTCGCTGGCCAGCGCAAGGATGGCGACCAATTGACGACAATTCTGGCGACCAAGGCGGTACAACCGAGGGCTTGTTCGAGTTCTGGTGGAAGGGAGACACATTATATGCCCGAAACAATGCTGTAGGTGACAGCTACCTGTTCGCCTGGAGTCAATTTCCCGAGGAAGCGGCCGTCAGCGGCGACCCGCAGCCTCGTGAAAGAGCATTGGTCTGGCGAGCAAACTACCACCCGGATGGCGGTCAATTGTTCTATCCACTCGACGGTCAAGACTTCATTGTCCCGGTGGCATTGCCCGGCGACGATGTTACCCCTGAAAAGTTCATTGCTCTCTGGGCCAGTGGTGGCAAGGGTCTCTACATTCATCCCAATATCTGGCACGGCGCCGTCGTTCCTCTCGCCGATCAATGTCGCTTCATTGATCGACAGGGCAAAGTTCATGCCCGGGTATCGGTGGACTTTGCGAAGGAATTTGGCGGCTACATCTCGGTGCCCTTGGGTCCTTACAAGAACTAGCACAAGTCTTACACTGGCATTGCGCCAACAACGACAACGAGAACAGCTTCAATGTCATTTTCAATTCCATTCACTTCACTATAAATATCACGACTGATCTGCAATGGTCGATGACCCCCCGCCCTCGACCTCACTCAATACACTCGTAGCAACGACGTTACTCGCTGCATCCAAGAAGATCGCCGCAACAACGCTCAACCCACCGAACGGATTGTACGAGTACTCCAACTCCCTCACATTCTCCCCATTCAGCACCACACTCCTTTCATACCCCGTGAAAGTCATATCGTGCCAATAACTCCCGACAATCGTGCTCTGATACACCTTCCCATCATTATGCAGAAATTGATCGACAATATTTCCCGCTTGGTCCAGCACCCGGTTCGTATGCGTGTTGCCTGTATAGTCGTTGACGGAGTACAATATCCCCTGCTGCATATCGAACGAGCGGGCGCTCAAATCACTGGTTACACCGCTGACAGTATCATTGACGAGTGTTCCGACATCCTGGCCAAGCGTCGCAATTATTGGGTTGAGGTCGATTGAGCTGAGTGTGTCGTTGATCATCATCAGAAGATTTTCCAGACGGACTTCGAGTTCCACTTTAGCCGAGATATTCTGGATGGTCAGTGCGACTCTGTTGATACTCAGGTCGACGCCGGCGTTGAAGGTGAGAAGACTTAGGACTTGGGCGTCAAGATTGAGTTTCGCAGTAAGGTTGTCCACGGTGAGGTCGATCTCTCCAACAAACAGTGTTGCGTTCAGATATACATCTGGTGGGGAGCTGCTGTCTGTGACTGTGCCGTCGGATGTATCTGTTGAGTCGGTCTCATAGACGGTCGAATTGGTGTCATCCCTCACTTCGAGCGTGTAGCCTGTGTAACCGTCGCTGGAGGACAAGCTCTGAGAGGCTGCGAGTGCCGTGAATGTCGCTAGCAGCAGGGCGAACAGTGGAGGAAGCATCACTGCGAGAGTTGGGACTTTGCGAAAGGGTGACTGCGTCTGCGACTCGATTTCCTGAGGACCGAACGACGTATGGACATGCAATCAGTGTCGTTGGGCAGAAGGGTTCAAGTGTTCAACGCTCGAATGTGGCTCCAGCCAGCAGTGGCTAATATTGCAGAGTCCAATCTTCCACCATACCGACCGTGGAGTTGTCCTGCGGCTCATCGTCATCAGCACTGTCGGCAACAGCGCATTTTGAACTGGTTTGGGAACGTGGTGAACGGCTGTTCTTCCTCAGACATTTTAGTCAGGGGTAAAAGGCACCCCTCATCTCGCTAAACATCCAACCGACCGTTGAGCAGCTGGGGGATCACCCATCAAACAGGTTTATCCTGCACGCTTACCATAATCCAAGGGTCCGTGGAACCTCATCCTTGTTAGTTTGCCGGCTTCGAAACAAAGGAGAACGCATTTCCGTCTTCAGGAAATGGGCTTTTGCTAGTGTAAGCGGTTTTGCTGGGAGATTGCCATTTTGCAACACCCACGGTAATGGAAGGGGTCACTTGAATATACTGGGGGAAGGATGACACCCGTCGAGGTCGACTTTGCCTTTCTCGCGGCCCAGTCAAGTCACTCCAGCAAAGATGTTGTCGAACGTATCGATCCGGGTCGTCTTGACCTTCTTGTGTCTTCTCATCCTACAGCACGGCGCTGTTGCGCAGAGGACGACCACCACAACGAAGAAGACGACAACAACGACGACATCGGCATCGACAACCGCGTCGGCGACGACATCGTCCCTGTCAAATTCAGCGTCCGCCACGAATTCTCCAACAATCACCTCAGCCTCCGGCGCGACAACCAGCGCTCCAGATGTCTACCTGAACGTACCCACCCTTTCTGTCGGACGCATTGAGCTCAATGTCGACGACCTCCAAGCAAACGTCAACTTGAATGCGCAAGTCGCATCGCTCGTCACCCTGAATGCCGGTGTCGCGGTATCGATTCAGACAGTGAACCTCACAATTTCGGATGTCGACGCAAATCTCGAATTGATCGTCCGACTAGGCAACCTAGTGAACATTGTCAACCGGGTGTTCCAGTCCTTAGATCTTAATCCTCTTCTCATCAACACGCTCAACAATGTCACCTCAATTCTGGAGCCCATTGTGGGTGAGGTCGCTGGACTCTTGGGCTCCATCACCCAGGGCGGCACCACTCTATCGTTCTTGGTCGACAATCTGGGCAACATCGTCCAAGAGGTAGGCGGTGTGTCCAGCATCGTGGGCAACTATCTCCAAAACATGACCGACACGGGAGTGAGTCAGACATTATCTGGTGGGCTTATCGAAAAGACGTTCTCGTACTCACCATTGAACGCTTTGGTGGACATTGTCTTCAACGCCGCTGGTCAGGTAGTCCAAGCAACTGTGGCGACCACAGGTGCAGGAGCAACGGCCACGAGTAGTTCGAGTGCGGCGGCCTCCACAGCATCGGCATCCAGTGCATCAACAACTGCAACTTGAGATGATCGAATGTTGAATTGGAGATGGTTCCGGCCGGGAATGAGTTCCAGGCGGTTGTTTGATAAGCCAATGCATATTGTTCTATTCAGTGATATTGTGACACAATTTGTCCCAGTTCATCCAGTGTGCGTGCAGACCGTGCTCCTGAGCACTCACAAAGCACTGAGAAGACCAAAAACCCGTCGTCGTGAAAAACCTGTTAATAGGACCAGCATCAGCATGCCCACAGATTCCTGAATGCTCACCACCTGCTGTTGTCCTTGAGAGTATTTGTTCCTCAACAATCCACTCCCATTGATCGTAGTCGAGTGATCGTCTCTGCAACTTTGGATTCTGATGGAGTTGGTACGGGTACGCCCGGGTGTTCTGGATCTGCTTACCGCAAACGCCATGCTCGTCTCCTTCAACCACTTCAAATATTTGTGAATATAGGGATGGTAGAACCACCCCTGCGCTGGGGTCTGACCCGTCGTAGAACACACTGGCATGGTTAGCACGATGAGAACATCATACACCAATGACCTTGCCTGTCCATGTCAATGATGTTCACTTTGAGGCGGTATTGCCCAGGCTCCGCGATGACGAGTCCTCGGAACGTTGCGTATCCTATGGTAGGACGGTCTACCACTTGCTCTTGATCGATGGGATGAATCGAGTCTGCCGTATTGCCGCGCAATAGATCTGTCCTAGGTGGTGCCAAGTTTTCTTGCATATCGGCAGTTGTGAGAGAAATCATCGCCCAGGCGCCACTCAGATCAGACAACGAAAATGTTTCTGCATCTTCTCTGTTATCAACCTCTGTGATAGTGGCAGCTGAGAACGTTACGATGATTGGTGTCCGAAAGGGCACCCCAGCTGCGAGTCTGGGAGTTGGGGCAATTGAGAACTCCATTTGATAGTGGCCCTCAGGCATAGCAAGCCGTAACGGTCGCCGTTGATAAGATGCTTTGATAGACACGTTGATCTTGGACAGAACCTTGAATATTGTGGCGAACTGAAGCTGAGTCTTAGCAATTGGTATAGGCAATGCAGCAGAAAGACTGAAAACTCACCCGGCCAGCACGACGAAGACCTCTTTATGTAAAGCACTTTCCCAAACTGAGGCGGCTGCTATTTCCCGTAACAAAGCGACAGCATATGGATACGTCGAGGAACTCCTGCAACTATTGAAAGCCCTTGAGTCTAGAGATTTGAGTTTACGCGCACTGTACTGTTGAGGTACATCGAAGGTTGCATACCAAACCGGAGATCAATATGTACGTGATGATGATTCTGGTGAATAACATTGAAGTAACGTGATGTCGTTTCTGGTCCCTGTGGATGCGTACTTCTGTAACTCTTCTCAATATGGAGACACCGTCTCAAGCAGTGGAGGGTTGCGCGCAGACGGGTGACTCCGCTAAGGTGCAAGAAGGCGTCAGCCCAGAATGAATAGTGATTAATACTCTGTATGCAGGTCGACCGTATGCGGCCTAGGAGTCATCAGAGGAGGCGTAACGAGGGTCGCACCCTGGCATAGATCGATGGCTTCCCGATACTGGTATGAGTATGTTAGGCGTTCGTACGATGGTGGATGTCATAAGCTCCAGTAACGAAGCGAGGACAGGCGCAGTGAACATGACTCGAGTCAGGCGCCACACATTGAGTGGAGTGCCTGGAGAAGGCAAGAGTGATGCCGGCACAGCTTGTCCGCAGCAGATTCTCCGCGGACTGAAAGTCGTTGTAAGTTACTCTCGTCTTTGAGGACGGATGATGAGAACCAAAGTTCTTGGGAGCTTCCAGTGGCAGTGAATGTGATCCTGTATGGTGTTGATCTGCTCCTTCCCTTGCAGCAGTAGGAGTGGTTGAACTGATCCTTAGTCGAAGTGAAGTCGGGTGTCTTTTCCTTGCTTGTTGGTACTCGCTCGACAACTTCTCGGTTTCACCTTTCCGTCATGACAGCGGCTCTTGGTTCGATCGTGGCTACAGGCAGGCGGCGTCATTCCGCGTTGAGTGGTACCCTGATCAAGCTGTCTCGACATGCTATATTGGGACTGTAGTGGAGTAAATGTCTGATTAGCAAAACCCACAGCTCCGGAACTTCAGTTTGACACTGACAGATTCAACTGACAAGCACTGCTGGTCATAATTGGGTGTACGGTCACTCGGCACCTTGCAAGGCAGCCACTGCCACACAGCCAGAATGGAAGAGAAGTTCGGATGCGTAGGCTTGAAGCCGAAGTGACAGTGGCTGCAAGGTTAGAGAGACAGAAGAGTACTTGCAGGGGTACATTTGGCCGCACGAGAAAGGACGAATCACACGTTATGTGCATGGCGAAAACCAAACACCGATGGACCAGCGATGAAAGTATCGAGTCTCCATATCCTGGAATCGACACAAGAGGAGCCTAGAAATCTGCCCGGTGTGCTGGCGGGATGACCAGCCCGGGAAGCTCACCGGTGGTGCCAGCTTAAAACCCATCATCGGACAACGCGTACCAGTGTAGCCTGGGATGAAGTGCAGAATTTCCGTGGAGGGTAACATCAAACGGTTGCCGCTGCGAGCGGATTGAGAATCATCATGCTTGGGTGGATGTTTACGAGGTGAATTGTTGTTACGAGGATGTCCAAATTGAGTCGACGTCGAAGGAGGGTTTTCCCTTTCAAGTAGTGGGCCGACGTCACTCTGAAAGTTTGTATGACGATCCTCGACCTCATTTCTCTCCATTGCTTTCTACTCACAGCAGGAATACAAGTGTCAAGTACGGTACCTGCTTCCTCGAGTGCGACCCTCCTCAAGTCTGATAGCACGGGTTGGCCAAAGTGACAGAATTGACACACTGTCGGTAAAGAAGCCTCGAGACAACTGACCTGCCGTCATTTTGGGTACTATGCCCCCTTTCCTACGACGACGGGAAATATACCGAGGTCAAAAGGTAGAATTCGACCCAGCAGTTGCGATGGTGCTAACGAATGTGTTTCCTCCTGATGATCAATTCTGATCATATAGCAATTCATTCCCCATGCACAACCGCTTCTTCTCCATGTACGATTTGCCCTGATCGACGAACTTCCGTCTCAATTCCAGCGATCGCGGGTCTCCTATTTGTCTGCGATCCTCGAACTCGGACATAAACTTGGCACTAGCGGTCTACCAATGCGAATACCATACAGCCATCACCGTGCGTTGCCGATCCACCCACTGCTGATAGTGATCAATCTTGTACCATGTCACACGGTCAGATCTTGGCCCCCACGGTCCTGTGTCCATCGATCACGAGCCCGGGGGGTACAGATCAGACCATCTTGTTTTCTTCCGCTGCAAAATCTTGTACTACCACAAATGAAAAGGGAATAAATCACAAGAGAGGCAAGACAACTATACGCTGTCGCTGACTCGAGTGTGCCGCCATCTGCTGCAATGCTTGCATCTGCAGCACGCAGCCTGATCGGTCACAACGATTGATCAGTATCTTGCCCCTCTTTCTCGTGGGCTGAGGCCTAGATCAACGCCTCGTCTGGCCATCACCAATCAGGGCATCACCATTCATCCTTCTGGCTGCAGCGGATGTTCTATCTATCGTTGTCGTCGAATTGGAAAATATACCCTGCCAGCTGGCCCTGGAGTCTGACTTGTCACATTCATGGTATTATCAGGACTATATCTTAGGGTTGCTATACTTGTTGCGACCGGAAGAAGCCGTCACAGGTTCAATGAGAGCTGAATTGACATCCGTGACAGAAGTCTATGACACCTGCACGGTCAAATTCCATGACATGATGTGTAACAGTGCGACGTGAGCAATGTCCCGTACTGTGCCTCATCATAGAGATCGCAGGGGTTGGTCATAAAGGGAGCATGTCCGGTTTAGCGGGAAGCGCAACGGAACGAGGAGACTGGTTGCCGGTACGGAGTAGCGTGCTGGGAGTGCATGCTCGATCCTCACCCCCCTTGCACTTGGAGCTCTTGATCGGCTTCTCAGATATAAGACCAGATGCGGAACATCACAATGGCCATCAGAAACGGACCGACTAATGTAAAGGTGGAAATATAAATACGACCACATGGCAACTAAGCGAGCAAAACTAATGCATGCAGGCAGATCTTCACCTACGTCTGTCTGAACGCAGGGAAATGCTGTGGTCATGATGCATATTTTCTGGTGCACAACAACGCCCGGATATTGAGTGCCAAAAACAACATACGCAACAAGAACTACCCGGCTCATCCGCAAGCGACCAAACACCCTGACGAGGATGATGTCAACCCAAACAGTTGCCTCATGTTCGCGCAAATCTTCGGATTGTTCAAAGGCGCACCGAGCATGGAACAGGGCAAACTTGTGCAAATGGTTACATGATTCAAAGTACCTTGAGGTGTTCTTTTGCGTCGGCAGCTCACGCGCCAGAATGGCGACCAATCGTACACGACATGCCCTTACCATCATTGTGTCGATGAGAGCAAATCCATTCCCACCGAACTTGGCTTGCCTATGTGCGACTGACGAATGAGCCTCTGGCGCCAGTCGCGACTTCGGGATGCATCGATCAGGATAGGTTACGAGTGATCCGGCGCTCCTTCCTCTTTATACCTCTTTCCCTTCCCTTGACCCGCAAGGTCAGCCGAAAACCTCGCATAGCATCGTGTCGAGCGCGCTGTCCCCTGTGTCAGTACATCCTACTGGACTTTCTCCTTCTTGCGCTGAGTCCACGATGCATCCGCAAAAAGAGCTAGTTGGAGGACTAGACAGGCTTCAGTGGCGGCGCCGAGGTAAGACAACACGCACGACCAGATAACTGGTACATTATAGTACAATACTGGAGCAGCTACACAGCAGCCGAGTCCAAGGACTGCAAGTGCCCATGTCCAAATCACTGCCCAAGGGAGATTGTGTATCGAGGTTTTCCTGAAGACTGGGTAGACCGTGGTGAAGAGACTCAACAGTTGCATGCAGGATGTTTGTATCGTAAAGCAAGAAGTCTGCATCATCGCGAGATCCGGATAATTTCGTCGACGGTTTCTTCGCCACGAATATGAATGGGACGATGCTGGCCAGAATCGTTAGAAATGTTATGACCAGTAATGTAGAGTTCATCTGTGGTGAGAAAGTCAGTCTAAGCGAAGATATAGTCGCCATTCGACGGCACAACTCAGGTCCTGATTAACAGGCGCCTCCATCTGCTTACAATGATCATCAGTAAACGCGGCATTGTTCGAGAAAGAGGTGGTTGTTTGCGCCTACCTCGTTCTGCGTGGGCTCATCAGAAGGCTTTGGGTCAACATTGAGGTGGGGATTGCGCTCGATGAGCCTGAGGTCCTCTACACCAAGCTCAGACCTGATCGAAAACGGTCACTCAAAGGATTTTGGGCAAGAACAGCATGGCCTTACAGCTTCTTGTTGCTAATTCTGCCAATATGATAGCTGCGAATTCCTAGCTGAAGCTCAGGAATACGGAAAGCGGCGTCCAGTGTCTCATCGAAGAATGCTATCTTTCGCGCGAGCAAATGGTAGTTGGCAGGTTGGAAGACGGGGACCACGCTGTGCTGGCACTTCGCTAAAATGTCTGGGATCCACTTCGTTATTTGATCCAGCTGCCGAAACCATAGAATCCACTTCACTTTTTTCCTAGGGTCTTGAGAAGTATTCTGTGATATTACCAGCGAAAACCCTATGGCCCGGTCCCAACGTTCTTTCATGTGTAAAGGGTTCAGGAATAAGTCGGCCAGTCTTCGCGCCACAAGTGTCCAGTCTCTGATCGGAGGCTGAAGGATGTGTGGAAGTTCATCGATCTCCGCCCGGTACCTTTTCGGAAAAGTTCTGGAGTGCGAGAGCAAGGTTGGATCTCTGGAGACCGCTGATCGTAATGCTTGAAGGAGATGGACTTCAATCTCAGTGTGCAAGGCGAGCAGGTCTGCGCAAAGGGCCTCGGAGGGGCCCAAGGTCTTCCCTTAGTTCATGTCAACAGCCACGTCCATATGTAGCGAGGTCGGATATGTTTGGATATATACCTGTATCAAGGCTGGCCTTCGTCCCAACACTTCGTCGAAACATTGCTTGTTCTTACCAACAGACTTTCATGGCGCGAACAAAGGAACAGCCCGTGGGAAGTACAGAAGCGCAGGTGATGCACCTCTTCAGTAACAGGTTGCCTATAAGAGAACTGCTTCCCCAGCCATTTTGAAATGGTTCACCCAAAACTGGCCCTAGCTGGAAACGCGCTGGCGCCTATGGCCCTAACTTATAGGAGGACACAGATTGGTCGTAACACCTAGACATCCCTCTCCCAAAACGACAAAACGCCGACTTCACCAATAAGGAAAAACCTCACTCCATACGTCCACTTGATATCATTGTCGGCGTCAAAGTGTAAGCAGTGCGGACCAAGGTCAATTACACGCCACTCCTGTACACTTGGCTCCCGCCACTTCTCAGCCTTATCGTTTCCCTTCGCTGCAAGACATGCAAAGCCCGCGCCAGCGCTGATTCACTGTACCCTCTCCCTTGGACAAATTCCCGTCGAAGGGTTGCGAGACTCGTGCTCCAACCAATGGGAAGGCGTCTTCTCAATTCTTCCTCGACCTTGCCCACTTCTTCCATCAACTCCCTATTGGCGCTCATACCTCCAGCACCCTCGCCTTGGGATACTGCGTCCATGGTACTGGCAAGGAAGAGACGGATTGCCTCGTCGACATGATGCTCTTCCGCAACAGGCGATAGTGTCAATTTCGCCAGGGATTCGGTAATACGGATGATGGCCTCGAGTTGACGGACTGTGATTGGGATGGAAGACCGAACGTTGCTATTCTTTTCCGCTTGGGCGACGCGAGCTCTGATTGAAACAAAGTGCGAAGATAGCTTCTCTGCGGCAGCCACTGACAATCGAGGGGCGCATCGTCTGCAACATGCGAAGTTAGCTTCCAAACGTCAACCAGGTCGGCGGGTTACATACGATTTGCAGAAACTGATATACCTCTTCATCTTCTCAACGGGAAATTCAACTTCAGCTTGCTCTTCTACGCCCTGATTGCCCATATGAATACCCATGACGTGCTTGGCAATTCTTTCATCGCGATTTCTGTCGTGGTCATCTCTGACAATGAATATCATGTCAAACCGGGACAAGATGGTCGTTTGGAAATCGATGTTCTCGCCAGGTGATTTTAGGTCGTCATACCGACCGAAGATCGGATTGGCAGCCGCCAGTACTGACGTGCGAGCATTCAAAATTGTCGTAATGCCGGCTTTAGCAATCGATATGGTCTGCTGCTCCATGGCTTCGTGGATGGCCACGCGATCTTCGTCTCGCATCTTGTCAAATTCGTCGATACATACAACACCGCCATCCGCCAGGACCATGGCACCACCTTCCAGATAAAATTCGCGTGTTTGGTTGTCTCGCTGGACAGAGGCGGTCAGACCAGCTGCCGAGGAGCCCTTTCCAGATGTATAGATGGCGATTGGGGAAACCTTTTCCACGAATTTCAGCAATTGTGACTTTGCTGTACCTGGGTCACCTAGAAGCAGCACGTTGATATCTCCTCTTAGTCTCATTCCATCGGGGAGAATCTTCTTCGAACCACCCATCAGCAAGCATGCGATGGCTTTTTTAATGTCGGCATTGCCGTAGATGGATGGTGCGATGCAGCGGGCAAATCGGTTGTAAAGCTCTGGTGATCGGGACATCTCCTCGAACTCTTGAATCTCCTCGTCTGTGAACGATGCACCGCTTGCCGAGTGGTCCACGTCAGTAGCGATACCCACGGCTCGAACGTAAGGATTCCGGATGGCGACTGCCTCCTTTTTGGAGCCTTTGTTCTGCTGATAAATTGAAAATACGCCCATTATGGTGCATCTGGAACCAGGTACCACTCGATTCGTGAGGTGTCTGTCAGCGGAGATGAGTATGTGACGCGGTAGTTCTCCAACCGGGACCTGATCTGGAGCTTCTTGAAGCTTCAGGATTTGCTGGTCGATGAATTGCGAGCTTTCGTGAACCACAAAGTATGGGTCCAAGGGGCATGGGTCTCCCGCCTCTTGACCTGGGACTTTTCTTCTTGAGCATGTTCTTGGGAGTGTTATTCCTGAAAAGCCGCCTTCAATTGGTAGATAGTCGATATGATCGCAGTTGCGACACTGGATTTGCAGGAGTGTCGCTTTTGAGGATAAAGTGGACGCGCCAATGACGATGCCTGGGATGCGCACCAGTTTTGACACATTCGTGGCATTGAGGTCGCGAATAGAGGTATGTGAGACTGAAGAATGAAGTAGAAGTTGGTGTTGAGGGAGTTCGACGTGTGCATTGTGAGGAAAGACGATGCGCTGAGTGCATTGCTTGAGGGCGGCTTCGAATAGAGGAATCGTGTCCGCAGGGTCATTGGTTAACCTGTGCGCCAGCTCCTCATTATATGATATCAAGTGACCCAAGTCGATATCGCAGTAGTATTGCTTCACCAGTACATTCTCTCGGATCTGGTCTCTGTAGATGTATGTGCCGTCAATCTGGAACGCAAGGACGAATTCCTTAAGTCGGGACTGCAACTCGGTGCGCGGTTCTGAGGCTTCATCCTGATGAGGAGGGAGGACGCTGAGAGAGTACGCTGATCTTGTGTCGAGAGCCATTTTGAGGTCGTCGTTGTGTCAATGTACTATCTGGTAGTGGAAGCGGGTTCATACAAAAGGGATCAGATTCGAGGGGACGAAATGGCATTCAGGAGACGCGTCGCGCTCTGGAAAAGTCGCGCGACCGCGTTTAGAGGCTGCATGACACTAAGCTAAATCTGCTCCCGGCTCAATCCGTTTCGAGACGAGGGTTGATGCCGCCCTGTGGTCGCCCTCGTCACCTCCTCAGCGCGGGCGAGCCTAACTGTACAGTATCTGTCTAAAGTCCCCAAAAATAATCTTTCTTCCACGATCTTCGTCTTCACCCACAGGGTCAACAAGAGGTACATGCAGCAAAGGTATCCTCATAGCTGAGCGTGGAAGTGTCTGAAAAATGTCGGCAGTCTTCAGAGCGTGAATCAGGTCCACAAGCTGGGCACATCACTTGTTTTGGGAAATGAGACGACCTCAATGGTGCTTAACCTGACTATCAAAAATCCGAAGACTGCTAAAAGTGCCCTTCAGAAAGCCATCTCGTGTCACGAGTGTTGGGAAGCAGATATATCTACAGTACCTTATCGTGCCTATCGCTGATCGGCGAATTCGATGTCCATGAGAGATCCAGGCTCGTTCTAGTTCCGAGTCTCCGCCATAAAGTTTTTGAAACCTGGAGATCGGGGACTGCGATATACTTTGATATCTATGCAGCATAATCTTGGCCGATGACTAGCGTTATCACCAATCACCCGGGTCAGGGTGCCAGTGCATGCGGTGGCGGGCTGCATACAGATTAACCTTGCGCACTCCTCAGGAAGCCATTGCAATCAGTGGTACGCTGGAACGGTCATTTGCACGAATTTGAACAGTCGACGTCAACAATACCTCCATTCGCACAGCCAGCTTTCCCAAGTTCGAAAACCTGACCGTAACAAGAGGGAAGTTTGTCTCAGTTCTCAGACCCATGAGGCTCACGTGACAGTGCATACGCACTAGTCCTTTTCGGAGAAAAGTCCTTCGCCAGAAGGGTCTGAGCTCCAAAACAGGTAAAGTGGGCTTCTTCTCGCTACCCGACTACGTATTTTTCGATCTCCCTTAATAGTTAACCTTTTCCTCTCGTTTAAGCGTATTTATATATATAAACCTAATAAAGACCTAAATAAAGAAGAAAAAAGTAAATAAATCGAGTTATTATTCGTTAAGATAAATAATACCTAAGTATTAAGTATTACGACTCGTATTCTTCGTACTTTAGCTTCTTAATTTAATAACTTTTTAGTTTTAGGGTCGATTTAGCTCGAATTTTAAATATTATATATTATATATTTATATCTATATTATATTAAAAGCGTTAATAAAAATACTTAAAGAGTAGCTATATATCTCTAAAAAAACTAAGATTTTTTTGAAAATTACGATTTTCTAAAGGTCGTAGTATATAAGAAAAAATTCTTATACTATAGTTTTAAATCGAGGTATAAAGTATTTAAGAAGAGCTCGACACTCCCGAAATTACTAATAAAATCGAGTACGTTAAGGGATAGTTAGAGCAATATTACAAGTTTCTATACCGATATCAAAAACTTTTGGGAGAGTATTGCTAAGTCACGCTAAGAACAGGGGTTTTCACGTATTGGAGCTCAGACTCGTTTGGTAAACAATTCTGCTGAATTTTTTGATTGGCTCGCCAATCCGCGCCCTTGGCGCGCAGCCATACCTAGTCTGAGAACTGAGACAAGAGGGAAGTTTAGACCATTAGCCGCTCATGTGTCCATGCGACACGTCCCAATATCCAAAACCCTAACGAGATCTTACTCATACTGAATGCCCGCGACGAAAAAAGCAACGTGGAGGACAGAGGTCAAGCACTAAGGACATCACTTGGGTTGCAGTCGCATTCAATCGCAGTCCGGTCCACAGGACGTATGCTACCGGGCAAGGGCCGTCTACGTGAGTTACAGGCTCGTGGCCAGAGGCATCTTGAATCCAGCGGCGAAACACCTGATGGTACATCTTGATTAGACCCTTGATCGAACATTGCCTGCAAGTGGACCTTCTCTCCCTTCTAAATAAAAAGCGGGATGGAGAGAAGACCCTTTCACCTGATGATTGTGACCTTTGTTTTCCCAAACCATAGAACATCCTCGAGCTTGACACCGTAGAGATGATTACCAATGAACGGCTCGACCGCCCACGCACCTTCCATTATGGTCTCGTTGTACGCGTCAATGTAGCCAGCATCATATGAGGAGTTTTGTGCCAGCGAATGTCCTATATTCTGCAGTCGGTCCAACAACAGATACTTGGTGTCTGCCAGTGCCTCGGCGAAGATGGAGAACAAATCGCACGCACGCATACCTGAATATGCTGATTCCAGAACATGTGCGTGAATACTTCGGATTGTTGCGTGTGCAGTAGCCTGCGGCCGATTGTCACCGGCTTGGATCATCCTCGTGCAGTCTCCCAACCAGCCATCGTCGGTCACGGGGTGGACATCTAGATGTCCTAAATCGATATTCCAAAGCGGCCGGTCACTTGGAACATCTGTTGGAAAGCAGCTCAAAGTTCCAATCCCAAAGCCGACCACAGTAGGAGTCCAAACTCCGACTCCTCCCAAGGTCTTGATCAAGTTGTCAATCCGCACGACAACCTCTTTCTCGGTCTGTCCTGGAACGGTTTCCTTCGCGATTTGCTCTGCAACTTGAATAGCTAGTCTTTGAGCTTTGACAAGCCCAGCAGGCGGTTCGTCCTGGACTTCGACCTCTTAGCACACCAATGCGGGTTAGCCCAGAAGCAGAAGCTGTTAATGAGCAGAATACCTTCAAATTCAGTCTCACTGCGACGGATCGCAGCCGCAGCGCAATTCGGTAGACTCTGTGAGGGGTCGCCCATTCCAAAGGGTCAAGTCTGGTTAGAGATTCGTTATTCTGGAAGCAGTAACTTGAGGTAAGCACGAAACATTTGGCTTTCCGGTGCTAACAGCCTCATTCCTTCAAACTCCAAGGTGAAGGCCACCCAAGTTCGTCAATTCCTTTCAACAGCGCATAATTAAGTCGGCAACGTTCTCTCTTTCCTTTTTGGTCGATTCCTGCCATCTCCGCGTAATAGCCTAATTAGGATCTGAGATAGGGTTCACGAGGGGTTTAGCCCCAGTCTACTAACTTAGAGTGTGGTCTAGACCCACCACGATAGCGAAGAGATTAGATAGGCGAAATGGACGATATCGATACGGAAAGTCTGGAATAGATTACGCAGGCACAGCTGATTTGCAGCGAGTCGATGGTCCGGTTATCAGGACCATGTACCAAAAGGTGCTGTAAACGGGTCTTGAATACAAGGCTGGGCTCTGTAGCACTTATACCACATATATTCTCACCAAGAGATTGATCCCTTCCACTGTTTCTCTCTGCCAACTCACTCTTTGCTCCTGAAGTTGTATCTATGCAATGGCTCCGCAAGTTGTTGATGATGATATTGCCCCCACGCAGAATGTCGATGATGTGCGATACGTTTCCGACATCCCATTCCCCAAGGAGAAAGAGGGAAAAGCCACAGCTGCAGGCCGCGCACTCATTGAAGAAGCGGACATTGTGCCCCTGACCTCCCTCGAGAGAAAGACGACGACAAAGTGGGAGCTCCTTTGCTATTACCTATATTACTTCGGGAATACAGGAATTGGACCGTGGAATTACGCACCATCTCAACTTCAGAACGTCTTGTATCAAGCCGGTTTCGACCCAGACCAATCCCCAGTAGGAAAGGTTGCTTGCGGAACTGGACGATGCTTCTTGGGGTTTGCAGGTGCGCCCAAACCAATCACGTCCATTGTACTCGACATTTCCGGTATATCATTCGCGATCCAGGTCGTTGTCAGTCTCGCCATAGGAGCATACGCCGACTATGGCTCATGGAGACCGCTGATCTGTGTCGTCTCATCGGTTATCTCATGGGGCATCGGCTTTGCTTGGCTGGCTGTCAAGGGGGGCGCGCAATGGCAGACCGCCATCGGCCTTTATATCAGTGGTTATGTGGCCTTCAATTGCTCCACCTCCTACTTCCTCGCTGCAATGCCTGGGCTGGTCAGAGATCTTCCAAACGTCCAAGAATCTGAGCAGGCTGTCCTTGAAGGACGGAAGAATCCTGAGGAGCATCTCATTTTGGATATGGTCGAGCGTAATCGCATCGCCGATTATGCCTTTCTCTGGACCTCATATGGTCCGGTGGTACAGCTGGCTATTGCGGCTGGCATCCTCATAGCCTTGAACGCCAGCCTCAACACCTCCACAAACACAAATGCCATCAATGTTATCATTGCGTACACCACAGGTATCTGGATTGTCTTTGCAATTCCATGGTTCATCAAAGAGCAGAAACGCCCTGGTCAGCAATTACCTCCTGGAACATCCTATCTCACAATCGGTTTCGTCAATTTCTGGCAAGCCCTGAAAGAGATTCGGAAATTGAAACAAGTCATGTTGTATCTGGCCGCCTTTTTCATCCTTAGCGACGCCGAAAATACAGTGGTAACTGTCATTGGAACCCTCCAGAATTCCGTTGTGTCGTACGATATCATAACCCTGAACTATCTCACGATCCTGGCCTTTGGAACTCAAGGGACTGGAATGCTCGTCATGTGGCTGATTCAGAAGAAATATCAACTGCACACAAAGACCGTCCTACTTTTCAATGTGGCGTGCATCGTCGTCTTGTGTATCTGGGGCTTCATCGGCATCTGGGCTGACCACGTCGGGTTCAAGAACGTTGGCGAGATTTGGGCATACGAGGCATATTTCGGCCTTTTGGTCTGCCAGTGGTATCAATTGCCCTACACCTTCATCTCCGACCTCGTCCCTCGCCCGAAACTGTTCTTATTTTGGAGTTTGTTTTCGATTTCCGGCAAGACAAGCGCCTTCATCGGCCCGTTCGTTACCTCGGCCATCATCGATCGCAGTGGTGGCAATACCAACATGGCTTTCGCTTTCTTATTGCCACTTTGTTTGATTGGTATGGTCATGCTTTGGTTTGTAGATCCAGAAATGGCTTTACTCGAGGCAAAGGAATATCTTGAAGCTGAGGCTAGTATGCTTTACAAGCAGGATATTCCACAGGTTGAGAAAACAGCATACTAGGAGCATGGAGTAGGTTGAAAGGCGCACCAAAGGGGCCATCAAATGTTGACATGGAAGAAAGATATATTTGACATTAGAGGACTTGTTGCACAAATGGTTCAACGATCAAGACCTTTTCCATCCCAGTCCAATAGATGGCGTCGAGTCGCAACAAGCCCATGTTTACTTGATCAGAGCATTTGCTCTGAAATCGAAGAGTCTGCCGCCATGTGTCGGCAATGGATTTTGCGTTTCTGGCATGCTCTGCATCTGGTGCCTGAATGATCAGTAATATGACGAAGCTAGACATTGTAGCAAAGCCAATGCGTGACCCTAAAGTGACAACGATTGAGAGAATGTCAGCACAGTCTCATCATGTTTTCAAGGAACACAGAAACAGAAGTCAAAGCTACTGGCTCAAGAGTCAAGGTATCAGAGGTACAGGCGTGAGATAGTGTATCCCAATACTTACACGAATACCAAAATCCGGAATAGTCTCGAGCGTTGAGACCTGCCGTGAAGTCCGTCGTAAGACGGGCACAATGCACTGCAGCCGAGACTGTCGGCTCTATAGCTGCATGTAGTACGCCAAAGCTACCAGCCGTACTGGCAGAAGTTGGTTCAATGTCTCTCCCCAAGGTTGGAGGATTATTGTTGGGATCACGACTTTCAGAAGCCTGTGAAGATCCGTTCATGTTTGAAACAGGGACGTCATTGTCCTCGATGCCAGGGACGTGCAGTCTTCCCAACGGGCGAAGAAGAGCACGATAGACGAGGATCTCCAAGGTCAGATAAGCAAGGTGTAGAGGTGCATTCGAATCGAGGTCTTTTGTGGTACCAGAGGATCGAGGTCGCATTTTCAGACAATCTGGCAAGGAGGCGTACCAGGTTTGGAGTCGTCGGCGTAAAGATCGGGCCTTTTGGACCGACAAGAGGAAGTCTCGAGATGTTTTCCTCGAAGAGCTTAAAGTACTAGAAATTAGAAGTTAGAGAGCACTCGAGCATGGAAACAAACAAACCTACTAGAAAGATTGATAAACATCGTCTCCAATCTCGGCCAACGTTGCAAGGTGTCGGAAATGCAGTCCACATTCCTTCGAGAATTGAGAGATCACATTATGATCATCTAGGCCTTGGGAGTCGACCAGAAAGTCGTCATCATGTAAATGACTGACCTCCCACTGATCTCTGCTGATGAGCGTGGGTCGGCCGTATAACAGGCTTCTCCATTTCTCCTCTGAGTAGACGGTCCACCACAATCTTCTCCGGAGACGTTTTTCCCAAGCTGGTATCCGCCAATCTTGACAATCGATGTGCAGACCCAATGTATTGGCTAAACTCACCGTGGATGCCATGAAAGACCATGTGAATGGTGTATCAGCAGCGGCACTATTGAGTGCGGTACGTGGTTTTTGAAGATACAAGAGACAAGCTTGCAACACAGAAAGCCGTGGAGTATGGATCTCACGGGCGATTTCCTCGTAGACTATGCGCCAAAGTTGGCTCGTGGGTGGTTTCTGATAAGCCTGGAGCACGCAGAGGTCGGCATCGTAAGCGCAGAACGCCAGGGAGGTTGCATATATCGCTGCTAATAGGTCTGTCGACACTGTCGAGAGAGAAGAGATGCTTGGTAACGGCGAAGAGCTGCTGATCCCGAGTTGTGACCTAGAAACAACAGGAAGCGCTGGAAATATATATTTGAAGAAACTGTATATGGTTAGCATGTTCGAGCGACAGCAAAGAAAAAGACTCAACACCAACAGGACTACCAGTTTGCATCCATCCACAGGACGAACAATATCGTCCAATTCCTGTCTTACATTTTCTTTGGTCATTTGTGGGCGCACAGCAGTGTCCGCTTTAGCGTCATCCGCAAGCTCGTCCGCCGACATCATGAATTGGACCGGGATGGACACCCCAGGTGTCGAACAAGACGCTGGAACCGCTTCCTCGTTTTGGTCTCCAGATATGTTATTGAAAAGGTCATTTGCTGTCTGTCGATAGACAAGTTTGAACATACTGAACTCGGCTTTTTCGTCGTATCGATATCGTCGAAGAAGATAAGGGTCGTTCTCCCCGGAAAGACCAAAGTATGTTCCATGTACTTCACGTTTCCCGTCGATTGGATTTATGGCTGGCGGTGTCCCTGTCTGGGAAACCATGGCATACCGTGTGGAAGATGAATCGTTCGTACTTGGTTTCGTAACGTTCTGATGGTCAGGAGCTAGTTCGATCTCCGTGCTTCTTCTTGCTTCCAGATCGTCTCCAGTGAAAGGAACGTCATCATATTGAAACATTTCCATGTTGGACTGAGATGGAGTGTCGGTGTCATCTTGGGATTCAGCAGCGGATGTTCCAGTATTTCTAACCCCAAGCTGATCGTTTGAGTCATTTGGATTGTTGTCGGTGTCAGAGAACTGGAATATATCGTCATGGTGTTCCAGATCTATCTCGTGATACATCTCACCGGATGCTCTACCGTTCCCATTTGAGTATGCAGATTGTGTCGAGGGAACGCTAATCCGAGGTCTCTTGGCTGGCGACGTGTCAAATGTGCATTCGACATCTTGCTGCTGACACAGTGAGCACGGCGGATGCTCCTCGATGCGACAGTACACGTGCCGGACCCGACATCGATCGCAGGGACGGTTACGTTTTGATCTGTACTGCCTGGTTGTTAGATCCTGTTCATCGGCCATTCTCATATCTAGAGCATTGATCGTGGCGTGCTAAAAACTAGCTTTCAGAGGACCCGAGTCGCACAGCCGTTCAGCCGTTTACAGGATGTTGTATGTCGGTTGCATTGGTTGCGGGCACTGGATGTCTAGTTGCAGACTAAGCCGTAGCATGAACACTCGCATCATCGAAGCCACTGCGGCGATAGTGCCGTGCCAGATCTCGGTTTCAGAGCCAGAGAGTCCAGGCTTATCGCTCAGCGTAACTTCCCTCACCTTGGCACCGAGGCTAGGTGACATACCAGGTAAGTTTCATCACACCGAGGCAGTTCGAGGACAGGCCTTGGCAGCCCATCGCTACGCCTGACGAACTATATTATCGAGACTGTCATGGTGCTGGTGAGCACGATTTGACAGGTGAGAAGAGTGAGAAGAGTTGGGTACAGGGAGAAGACCTCGGAAGAGGGTGAGTCGCGCGTAGATGGTATTAAAGCGGCGCGGTCTGGGTTCGAGGGCATTCGGAACTTCTTTCCACCGGGCCTACGCCTTGGCGAGCTGACTTGCGCTGCGCGTCCCTTGCCGCGGTGTTTGAGTTGCATGAGCAATTGGCCAGATCAACATGAGCAGTCACTACATGTCCCAACAAGCAACCATGGGATCTTCGACTTGGCTTCAGTGCTTGACAAGACCATTGAAGTTGTCAAACCCTGTCCAAGTCGGTCGCTGTAATCAATGACGCCGGCAAGCCCGTTGGCGACAGCAGCAAGATGGCCTCTCCGGTCAGGCCTAGATCGGAGGCTGCCTTCTCCCCTACAGCATCGTCTCCATTGACAGGCTACCCCTTCCCAGATGTTTCGCAAAGACAGCATGGTCAGCGAGGAACTGTGCGACGAGGATCTACAGCGAGCTCGATCACGAGTATAGGAGGAGCACTCGACACTGGATCTATTAATCATCCTACGATCGCGGAGACGAGTCAGAATGCTATCTCAACATTGCTACAACACCCGATCACACGTACAGGTCTGCAAGCGAGCACCATCGTACCTAGTACTGGTTACAAAGCCCCAACGCAGCGCGACATCCCTCCTGTTGCCCTTACCAACATTCCTCACATTGAAGCCAAAGCCTTCCATCCATATCTCGCACAGGTCGGGTCGTTATACGAAGCCTTCCAACGGGCCAAGAATGAGGGAGAGGGGGAGGCGTCCCTATTCCACCGAGGAAAGAAGGACACCAGGAATGAAGAGTGGGAAGCAATACTGGCTAAGCGACTGCAGAGGCCGCATTCGCGGGCGGGGTCTGTCAGCTCTACATTGTCCACGCCGCTCGAGAGACCACAGCCCACCAGGAGACAAAGTGGTCAACGGCGTCAAGCTGTAACACCCCTGTCAACGATCCCGACTGTGTACTCTGAGGAGGAGTTTCACTTAGAAAATCCGAGGACTTTCGACATCGTCTCGGAACACTCTGAAATTGTTCGAGATCCAAATGGAGCACCAAGTGGGAGAAAGTCCCTGGCAACCAATGCTATCCTCCAGGAGAAATTGTCCTGGTATATGGATACTGTAGAAGTTCATCTGATCAACTCGATCTCAACGGCATCAAAGTCTTTCTTCTCTGCACTGGGTTCTCTGAGAGAGCTACACGGTGATGCTGCTGACTCGGTAGATCGTATCCAGAGGTTGCGGAAAGAGCTGGCCAAGCTCGACAAAGAGATGGCAATCGATGGATTGAAAGTCATCAACCTGAAGCAACGCCGTGATAACGTTCGCCAACTGGCACAGGCGATCATGCAACTCGAAGATATTGTAAAAGCTGTTCAAAGCTGCGAAGACATGGTGGAAAGCGGCGAGATTGACCAAGCATTAGACGGGCTGGATGACCTTGATGCGCTGATGGCTGGTAGAGACAGCAAGCCTTCGGAAAGCAAGGCGCAGGAGCGATATCAGAAGCGCGACCTTAGAAAGCTGAAAGCCCTGCAGGGCGCCTCGGACGACCTCAATCAAATACGGTACAGAGCAGGCAGGGGTTACGAGACACGCTTCCACAATAGTCTGCTCAACGATATCAGGCGGCATGTTGATCAGACAGAAACCAGTGCGACACTTCAGAGATGGGGTGTCGCTTATACGAGACCGAGACCTGGTCAAAGGCGAGCTCCGTCGTCATTTCCGGGATACATGAACATTGGGCCCGAACTGCGAGCAGAGCTTGAAGCCGAAATGAAAGGGTTGTCTCGAGCTCGGTACACAACGCCTGCAGCGACGACGTTCAGGGCGATCGTTCTACGAGAAATGAGGAACATCATTCGGAAGCAGCTACCAAGTTCCACTGACGACGACAATGTGTCGACGGTGTCAGCGTCAACAGCAGGAGGCAGGACGATGAGCCAGCAAGAGAAGTCTTCTATATTGGCGCGAAACCTTCGCGCTTTGGATGCGGATGATTGGTATCAGATGTTGGCTACGATCTACACAAACCTCAGCGAAGGTTTGCGCCGATTGAGCGTACAGGTCAAAATTCTCTTGGACATTACGAGCAATTTACCCGAAAATATTCTCAAATCCCCACCGACCAGTCCAGATCCTTCGAGCCTAGACAGGTTGAGAAGTCCTCAGGCGGGTCGACCACGATCCACGAGCTCTGTCCAAGCAGAGATGCAACAGGTTCTTGACCTTTCGAGTTTGTTAGGTGAAGGTGTCGACCTGGCGCAGGCGCAAATCACCAAGGTGGTCAAAGTGCGCTCGCAGCAAAACGCTGAATTGTCCTTAGTTGATTTCCTGAAGTTCTTCACCTTGAATCGACTCTTCACGGACGAGTGCGAAGCAATATCAGGTCGAAGCGGGACTGCTTTGAGAAGCGTCCTTGATTCGCAGATCAAAGATTTTGTGGCACGGTTTGGGGAGTCACAAAAGCACCAAGTTATCAAGGTTATGGACAGCGACAAATGGGATGCGAAAGACTTTGGAGACCGCGAGAATCAATTACTCCAGAGGATCATTGATGGCAGTACCAGTGACGCCCTGTCCTGGATTGAAAGCACCATGATCTGGCAGTCACCAACCAACGGTAGGAAGGACACCAATGGGACAGCCACGAACGGAACATCTGCCCCTTTCAAGGTTAGAAGCGCCGTGGTTGATGAGCAGAGGTATATCCTTCCAGAATCAGCCATTGCCATGCTCCAATCGATGGAGACTTTCCAGCATTTGGCCGTAGGAATTCCGAGCATGGGTCAAGAAGTGGCCACTCTGCTTTTGGAAAGTTTGAAGCTGTTCAATTCTCGAAGCTCGCAATTGATCCTTGGAGCTGGCGCCACCAGGAGTGCAGGACTGAAAAACATTACGACCAAACATTTGGCACTTTCATCCCAGGGTTTGAGCTTCATCGTCGCTTTAATACCCTATGTCAGAGAATTTTTCCGACGACATATTCCGTCTTCGACTGCTTCGCAAATCATGACGGAGTTTGACAAAGTCAAGCGTTTCTTCCAAGAACATCAAAACAGCATTCACGAGAAATTGGTTGACATCATGTCTGGTCGGGCCTCGATGCACGTCAAAGCAATGAAGGGCATTGACTGGGAGGAGGCTGCGAAGAACAAATCTGTCTCCGTGTCTCCTTACATGGAGACCTTGACCAAGGAGACGGCCACCCTGCAGAAGGTGCTAGCCAAACACTTGCCAGATCCGGTAGTCGCAGGCATCATGATACCCGTTTTCGCAAGTTACAGAGAACAATGGTCCAGTGCATATAGGGATGTCGTGCTCAAGTCGACGGCGGCTAAAGAAAGGTAAGCCAAACTTGGCTGTACTGCCTAGTATGTCCAAAGCTAATTTTGATGTGCAGGTTACTCGCAGATGCCCAATATTTCGATTCTCGAATCAGCAAGATTGACGGTGCCGGTGATTTGGGCCAGGAGATCGTCAAAGTCGTTCAAGCAAAAATGGTGGCAGAGACAGCTGTGCCGGCGCCGCCTACAATGCAGGAGACCACAAATGGGCAGAAAGAACCAGACAATTCTGCGCAAGAACAACCATCAACGGAAGCAAAAGGCGACGACAAAAAGGAAGAGACAAAATCATAACGTCGTTCATTTCCTGGATAGATACAATACAATATCTTGCAAAAGAACTTGCCTGCTATATCATGCTCGATGCAATTTCAAAGTTGAGGGCACAACCCCCTTGAACTCGTGTTCGGCTTGTCGCGTTTCCGACAGGCGCAGCAAATGGTCCTATTGTTGGGGCGCTTGTATTCCTCAGACTGGTGCGTCGATTACATGGTAGTGGCGTCATCACCTCGTATTCGCGCCACGTCCAGACTCCAGGGCCAGGGCCCTAGAAAATAGCAGTGCCATTGACATGGCTACTGACACCACCAGGACAATTGGTCGGAGCGCTACTGAAGAAGAACGTATATCGCTTATGCTTCTTCGCCAGCTCCGAGACCTTCTCCAGATCGAGCATCTCGCCCAGTGGCATACCCCAGAGCGCGAGGATGTATTCGTGCAGATAGTACGACTCGGGCGTTGGCCAGCGCTCGAACGAAGGGGCGTCACCGCCCACAGCAGAGAAGTAGCAATCGTGAAGCCACTCCTTCATGGCTTCCTCCTGCTTGATGCCCGCCCAACACTGCTCGCCTCCGTGGGTGTCGTGACCGCGGAGGGCGAGACGTTCGCGCTCCTCGGGCGTGCGCTTGTAGTAGTCCTCTGTCCAGCCTGAGCGAATCAACAGAATGTCGCCGATCTTGATGTCCCCTCCTAAGGCGGCGGGTCGGATGTCGAGTCCCTGCCAGTTGCCGCACGCCACGAGGTCGTCGTACGAGATGGCGTGCGAAGTCGCGGTGTCGTATTTGATGCCTTGGTCGTCGGCGTAGGATCGGTAATCCAGGAGCACGGCGCGGCCGGTGAAGCCGTGGGTGGACCAGTGGTGGATGCTGCATTTGTGGTTCGCCTGAGCGCCCAGGACGTCCGAGGCGTGCGTGTTGTTGTAGAAGGTCTTGGTTGGGACGTGGGCGAAGTGTCGGAACCCGTCCCATTGAGTGCCGCTTTGGGTGTTCATGTTGTAGATGTCGTCGAAGCAGATGCCTTCGAACAATTCGACGATCTTGTGGTCGAACTTTTGTCGGCCAAATGCCGGTTGTAAGGGCACGTTGGTCGGAAGGTCCAGTCGTGCCATTTCGCCAGTCCGAATCTCTGAGGCGGCTGCCTTGACTCTCGTTGGTGTTAGCAGGTTGAGGCGGCCGATGTAGTCATCTTTGCCCCAGACCCAGGCGGCGTCGTCGGGTGCTCCCACAATCTTGGGCAGATTCTTTCTTGTTGGGAATGACGTCGACTCAGGGTCGAAGGGGATGGTCGTGGCTGTCTTGCCTAGCAGCGAATCTTTCATCTGGTTCAGGCGGCGGCCAGCCTGCGAAAGTGAGTCTGTCATGGTATATATGATGTATCTGTGGCTTGTGCTGTGGCTTGGGTGATTATGGATACGAATGTAGGTTCAATACTTGAAGTAAGAATAAGAGGGCTTCAAGGATGTGTCCAGGCCCGAGGTACTCAGCTCGGCTTAAGTCTGTTCTCCATCTCCATCACCATCACAATGAGGGGCTACGAACATGACTGGGGAGAGCTTGCCCCGCGGATACTGCGGCGGATGTCGCGTCAGTGCCTAATAATCGTACTACTGAGTGGTCCGTCATGATTGCCATGACGATGATTTGTGCCGTGTTTGAATAGCCGTTTTCCTTTGCTGGCGGACAAGCTTATACATGCAAGGATGGAAGGCAAGCCACGTTCCTGCAAGATGAAGCGGGGGAACGACCCTCACGCCAATAAGAAGCCCAGGCCTCGGCAAATGTGCTGATGGAGGCTTACCACACAATACTATACTGACACAAGAGTAGTCTAGAATCTGTGGTACTTGATTTCTAACACGGTGAAATAGTTGATATCATAATCAACGTCGTGCGTCTGTTTCATATCCATCAAAGGGCAGATTTACTAACAATTCGAGCATGACTGTTTTCACGCTGTAGTACGGCCCCCAGCACTAATATCGGTCAGACAGCAATGTTGGTCAATGAAGCCACTTTGGCGGCGGCCGATCCCGAATCTCGGGAACCAAATGACAGAATGCGGATCCAATGTGGCAAGACTCAGTATCTCTCTTGTCTACAATCCAGGAACATGAGTGCGAAGCTTCCAGACGATCAACACGCACACATCAACACCGCACGACGGTATCTTCGAAGATGAGAGGGTCCGCGACATCAACCTCAATAACTCGTATCAACGGATATACTCGCGATGGAGCACTAGAGGTTCCCAGTAGACTCTGTCCCGCCTCACGCCAGCCGTCGCTCTCTCGCTTCAAGCAAGTATGCGCTCAAACCGCCAACCCGCACACGTATATAAAGGCGTTCTCTATCACGTCGAACATTCCCGAATATTTCTCACCGCATGAATTGCAACTCAAAGATCCGGAATTTATCGACAGGTGGCAGGACGAATTGCATCACATCCTAGTCTCCGGACCCGGGGTCTTCGTTATTCGCCAGTTCTGCACCGATAAAGCTCTGCTCAAGGACGTCAACACTGTCTTTTCTGCAATAATTGACTCCGAAGCTTCCGAATCCAGGGGTGATCACTTCGCTGTGTCGGGAAAGAATGCACGGATCTGGAACTCCTTCCAAAAACACGCCGAAAGAGATCCTACCTCGTTCGTCAAATACTACTCGAATCCCTTGCTAGCCATAGTGGCCGAGGCATGGCTTGGTCCTGCATACCAGGTGACAGCCCAAGTCAACATCGTTAAACCTGGCGGACAACCTCAGGTCAGCCATCGAGATTACCATCTAGGATTTCAGTCATCCGAATCGTGCTCGCAATTTCCGAAAGCAACGCAAGTCGCTAGCCAGTTCTTGACGTTACAAGGTGCGATAGCTCATTCAAATATGCCTCTAGAGAGTGGACCGACTCGATTCCTTCCATTCTCGCAGCAGTTCCAGGAGGGGTACATGGCTTATCGGCACAAGGAATTCCAGGATTACTTCAACGACAATTGGGTCAGTGTCGACCTGAAAATGGGAGATGCGGTGTTCTTCAATCCAGCCTTGTTTCATGCGGCCGGCGAGAACAAAACCACCAATCTGGATCGCAGTGCAAACTTACTGCAAATCAGCAGCGCTTTTGGCCGGACGATGGAAACCATTGACACCGTAAAGATCATCTCCAAGTGTTGGGAGGATGTGAGACGATTGTACTCGGAAGCTGGAATGACGGATCAAGTGCGCGCAATCCTGGCGGCTCTCGGAGAGGGTTATCCATTCCCTACCAATTTGGATCGTCGTCCACCCGCTCCAGGCGGTATGGCTCCCGAGAGTGAAATTGACGTGCTGCGACGAGGATTGGAGCAAGACTGGGACACGACAAAGGTCATTACGGAGATTATGATACTACGGCAAAACTCAATGGCTTAGACTCTAAGCTTTACGGAAGAATACAACCTTCTAGTTCCCGGTCAGCGCAGACAGTCCAAGTGAAGGTGCAAGTTTCACAGAGAAATGGTCTATCGATTATCGATTCATCTAATTGCCACGCTCCAAGAATGTGATGTTACGACGTTGCAGTTGCGGCTGCATACATAGTGCGTGTACTCTTCTCCAAGCCTCGCCTCAAGGGTCAAGAACATGATGAAAAGACAAGTCAAAGACAAAAATTACATCCAAGAAGTTCCCAAAGGAACTTCAACAGAAGGAAAAAGACCCGGTTGTGCAATGGATCGATCCCCTCTGTGAAACACCTGACCTCATGATCTCAGGTGTTCTGAACTAGGTAAGTATGAAGAAAAAGGAAAAGGAAAAGAGTAAGCTAGATGGGAGGAGGGAGGGGATATTTATACCTACCTGTTCGCCGCCAAGGCTGGGTTGATCTGAGGCACCAGCAGGCAGCAGCGACCAGTAATAGCTTGGCGGGCGATTGAGAAATCACTCGATCTGGACGAGAACAAATGAAAGGCAGTGAAGTGAAGACCAAGTCATGCGGAAAGCACTGGAGGCGGCAGGCTTGCCAATATGTTGAAGGTAAAGTGATAATTGAGGCCAGACCCAGATGTCGGAGGGACAAGGCTGAGTTAGGCTGGGTACGGCTGACTGCTACAATTTCGAAGTGTGCCATAGGAGGAGGACCGCCCCTGGTGTTCGAGCCATGTCACAATGTGACAGGCGTCGAAGGACATAGACTGTTCAGAGCTCAGAGCACGTATGGTATGGTAATTGTCATTCGAGTGTATCCTCAAGAAAGCCCTTGTTGCAGGACACTGTATGTTACAGGCAGAACCACCAGGTTGACATTCGTCCAACGGTAGACCCAATGACTTCTGATCCAGTGTAAACAAGATATGCCATCCAGTTCCATGACTCTTTGTCTCCAATAGCACAGCCTTATTCAGCAAGGTGTAGGCACATAATCCGCCAATTCGTTTGTTGACCAACATTCATGGCCAAGTTTCAGCAGTCCAATGACGACAAGATATGTCCAATGCAGGAACAAGAAGCTTTGTGCCGTTCAATGTAGCCGCTCACAAGCCATACTCGTCGACGAATGCATCCAGCATGGCTTCGATGTCGTCAATCTCCTTGTTTCTGGCCGCATCAGGAAGAAGCTCATCAGCCATGATGAGGATCCAAGACTCCTGAGTTGTAGCGACTCCGGCGTTCATCTTTAGTCCCGACATGACCACTTTTTCAGCAATGCGCTGTTGGCCCCGGATGAATTCGTGGCTTTCTTCGAATATGGTCATGATTTGCTTGAGGCCTTCGATCTGGCTACGTCCCTTGAAGTCCTTGCGTTCAATTTCTCGGCGGTGCTTGTGATCATCCAGAGTCAGATCCTTCATACACACAGCGAGCCTGCCCTTCTTAGCTTGCTGAGCACGAGCCCGGCCGCCCTTTAGTCCTCGTTTGCGAAACTTGTTGTTCTCTTTCCACATCTCCTCAAGCTTAGCATGAATGCGATTGACTTGCATGTCCATTTGGGCGTGCGCAGCGCGGAGCTGGTCACAGAGAGTATCTAGACGTGCAACAAGCTGTTCAATTCCTTTGAGGCTGGTGAACAACTCGTCGTCGAAGACAATGCTGTCGTCTGTAGAGGCATTCTGTCCGGGGATGGGTTGGTGAGGTTGAAGGACAGTCTCAACACCTGCTTTGTTCAGTTCAGTAAACGACAACGTCGTCGCCGCGACGATGAGACGCCGAGAGCCCACTTACCACTTGCGTCGGTCTCGTTTAGGGGCATCCTGCTCTTTTTCTGCCACTCACTCCTTCAATTGACCAAGTCTCAGGCGGTTGACGCGACTTCACTGCTTGGTAGCGGCAAAATACTGCTTTGGTAGTGGTGAAAAATGAAAGCGGTACGAGACTCAAGGCAGTCTGTGTTGTTTACATCCGCTTCACATTTCGCGTTCGATTCTGCCGCACCGGTGCCCTCCAGCAGAAGTGCACCCAAAGACTTCTTTTCTCAAAATCGTTACCTTCACCGCCTCCATCGCCATCATGCCACATCTCTGGAGATGTACATCGAAGCAATCCGCTCACAACAAAGTCTGTAAGACACACTACTTCTGCCGGTGAGGACATAGATGTGTCGACATCGCCTTGACAGTAAGTCTCAGCAGCGGGCGTGGCGATGGCGATGTCTCTGCAGTATCTTCCATGATATCAAACTTCAGGCTCTCATCCCACTTTTCTTCCTGAGAAGAGAGGCGAGCAAAGAGAGCCTGAGCGCAAGTCTGAGTGGAGGCGACCAGGAAGTGTTATCAAGTTTCGCCAACTTCTCTGGGAACGCTTGTCATCCGACACCATGTCGCCGAAGGTATTGCTCGACTCGTGCATGACATCAACTTACTAGCCCTGCGGGATTTCGACCATTGCGTGCCATACGCTCGGCATACCATGATGGTGGTAGCAGGCTGGACCCACGTCTTTCTGATGTCACATGCAGATCGACGACCTTCAGACGAGAAGGGGAGGTCTTGTACGGCTGTCCATCTCGCTACACTGCAAGCTGGCAGCCGACAATCATCCACTGTAAAGTGTCGAAGCTGTTGCGAGCATCAACAATGCTGCCGCCGGAAAGAATACGAGATGAGTAAGAAGAGAGGAGGTTTGTCAGGATCCAGATCGAGAAAGGTGACATCCATGTCGGAGAATTTATCTCGTCCACTAGTAAGCGCCGCTCCCCCTCATCTCTTTGTTTACCTTGACACTTCAACCCCAAAGAATACACAGGGCCATATGACAGATTGGAAGGGTGCGTCTCAATCGACAAGATGATCATCACAGAGTCGTACAAGGATGTGCCGACGAAGGCAGCCGGAGAAGGCAAAATGCGTAACGACTTCTCCAACATCCCTCCTTGGGAGCTCTTAAGCTGAGGCGACGATACAAGGCATCTACCTCTATCATCCCACTATCGCCGGCTACCCACACGCAAAGTTCCCCGGCGTAGTCGTCTTCTCCGAGATATACCAAGGTGAAAAAAGCTCTCCGCTCCAGCCGACGACACGAACTGACTTGAGTGTTTGTAACAGTCACCGGTCCTGTTGCTCGATTCGCCAGACAAATCGCGGGTCAGGGCTACATCGTTGCCGCGCCATCGTCCTACCACGAATTCACCGGGCCCGAACCTTTAGCGTATGACGTCCCTGGCACCGACGCAGGCAACGATTGGAAAATTGCAAAGAAGCTTTCCGCCTACGACGAAGATGCAGAACTCTCAGTCACGTTACTGCTAGGTTTGAAGACATGTAATGGCAAGGTTGGGGCCACGGGAATGTGTCTGGGAGGTCATCTAGCCTACCGATGCGCGTTGGACTCCCGAGTTAAGGCAGCGGTCTGCTACTTTGCGACAGACATTCACAGTCACAGTCTGGGAGAAGGAAAGGACGACGACAGCTTGAAAAGAGCCGGTGATATCAAGGGAGAGCTGGTAATGATCTTTGGCAAGAGCGACAACCACGTACCGCCTGAAGGAAGAGATCTGATCCGGAAGACACTCCACGAGACGGGCGTTGATTTCTCTTTCTATGAGGTCTACGGAGCTCAGCACGCTTTCATCCGCGATGAATTGAGCAAAGGCAGATACGATCCCGCGATCAGCAAAGTATGCTTCGAGATGTTGCTGGAGGTCTTTGGCCGTCGACTGAAGCTGGATCTGGGAGAGCGCAGTGGAGAAAAGTTGGTTGTGGAAGATGTGTGTTGAACAAATGTACAAGTGAGTTGAATTGCAAGCCAGACTGCACAGTTTTTAGGGACAAACGCCGCCTTCTCTACAGCTTTGCTTCACTCTTTTTGAGTTCTTGCTCGGTGCTTTTCTTCTCCCCTTCCTCGCCTGTGGTCTTGTATCCGAACAGGTAAGCCGCAACTTTTCTGATCTGCACTTCCTCACTCCCCTCGGTGATTCGGTACCGCCTAAAATGCCTCCAGATATGTTCAAAGGGATAATGTCTCGAATAGCCATCACCGCCATGTACCTGGATGGCTCGATCCGCTGACTCGGTCACCAATCGATTGGCATAGTAATTGCACATACTAATCTTATGGCCCAGCTGTTTCTCGATAGCAACCCAGGGCGCCCTCCCATCCGCCTTGCAAGCAGCCGAGACTTGGTCCATTTCGACGGCCGTGCGCAGAATCAGAAGCCGCAACATCTCAGCCTGCGTCGACAGTTCCACCAGCGGCCACTGTATGGCCTGGTTGGCGGACAAAGGTATTCCGAACACAGTCCGTTTCTTTGCATATTCGACACTACGATCGATACAATACCGGGCCGCGCCACAACTGGAACTGGCTTGCCGAATGCGGTTCTCGTGCGTGAAGGTCTGGGCAATTGCGAGTCCATTGTCGGGGGGGCCCAAGATCGCCGAAGCAGGGACTCTGACGTTCTCGAACAGAATGGTCGCGTGATCCGTCGGCATATTGAGGGTCCACTCGTACGAAGCGACCGTCAGACCAGGTGTGTCGCGCGGCACGATAAAAGCAGTGATACCCTTCGGCGAGCCCGCTTTGCCAGAAGTACGCGCAAATACCAAGCAATGAGTGGCACTGTGCATGCCTGTCTGCCATTTCTTGTTGCCATTGATCTCGTACCCGGACTCACCTGACGGTAAGGTGATCGGCGTGGCAGTCGTGTCCATGTGCGTGGCGTCCGAACCATGATGGATCTCTGTCAGGCCGAACGTCACTCTGAAATCGCCGCGGATACTTGCTGGGATGAACTCCTTCTTCTGCTCGGGTGTGCCGTAATGGTAGAGCATGATGATAATGGGGTTGTTGCCCACGACACTGTGCTCATTCTGCAGATCGTTCGCAAGGCCTAATCCGCCTCCGTACACGGGATGCGAGGTCAGGTGATACCGGATGGTGCACATGTACAGGTTCTGCGACGTGCTGCCTGCTCCGCCAAATTCCTTGGGAAATGGGAACCGGTAGAAACCTGCTTCATCGGCGAGTTTACGAGCTTGACGGAGGAGGTCTTCCCAGGATTCGGTGGGGAGACCCTGGTTGTCCCATTGCGTTCTAGAGGCCTCGCGGCGATGATCGAAGAAGCGATTGTTGTCGTCTTTGTGTTGTAACGGGAGGATCTTGTCGTTTATGAATGCATCAAGGCGGGAGAGGTACGTTTGGACTTCGGCTGGCAGCTCGAAGTTCATGTTGGTGGTAATACGGGGAATCGAGTCAAAGGGTGGCCACTACACATACATGGCAGCTGACACTCATGAAAGCATTGCTGCGAAAGATATGTATCTCTATACATGACACCGACCTGCCATACGGTCTTCGTTGTCCCTTACCGTGCATTCGGCTATGCGGGGAAAGCGACATGTCCCAAAGCCGCGGTCAAATTATCCTCGGTTCACTGAGTCAGGCTGCGCACAATGGTCCGGAGTAAGGTTGCGAACCACCTTGTCGCCACCCCCACCTTGTCGCCACCCTTTTACACCAAAACACCTTAGTTTCTAAGACTTATAACTCAATATCTAATTAAGCTATTTATTTATTTATTTATTTATTTATTCTATTTTATTTAACGTTACCCGAGTCCTTTTTAGGTCTCATACGAACGCCAGCCCACTACTAAAAGCCTCCCTTCCTCCTTACCTCTCGTCCCCGACCTCTCTATCCTCTCTTAATCCTTACCCTACTCGGGATCCTCTACCTTGTACTTTTCGAACTAGGCTAGGAGCTTAGTACGTTATATTATTCTTATCGCTACTCGATATTTCTTTTCCGTATTTATAATTATCGCTAACGAGGGCGTACGCCCCTTATCTAGACTATCCCTAAAGTACTCTCTTCGTAGTTCTCTCTATATTAAGTACTTTAGTAGAATATACTATATTATTTTTAGTTTCTAATCGCTATAGAACTCGTATTAAGGATTCTTAACTCTAGGGACCTTTCTATTAAATAGAAAGACCTTAAACCCGATCTTTCTCGTTCGTAACTATATAACTAACGAGAATTATAGTTTCTTAAGTCGATAGTAAAGAGCTATTATCTTTAAATTTAGCTTCGACTAGAGAAATCGACTATATATCTCTAAACGACTCTTCTTTTATCTCTCTTTTTATCTTCGTTAGTAATTTATATAAATAGCTTTCTTAGCTCTCTTTAAGGTCTTCTTCTTCGAGAGGTTCTCTATTTACTTCGCCTCTTATTTAGGTTTCGATAAGATATTAATTATTTAGATCTCGAGTATTTATAGAGGCCCTTAATACCTTAAAATTCGTTCCCTAATTCTTCGTCCTCGAAGTATAGCTATTACTCTTCTCTCGACGTCTCTTTTAGTGTTTAAGAAGGTATATCTCGTCGTCGCTCTTAATATAAGCTTTTCGATATAGAGGTTTAGTAATAATATCTTTAACTTCGCCTCTAAAGTCTTAGTCGACGTTACTCTATATATCTCGATCGCGACTCTTAGGAACTTTCTTTATATTGTTTTAAGCTTCGCTATTAACTCTTTATTACTACTTAGGGCTTTAAATTTACTCTAAGCTAGTGATTTATATATAATCGCTAATTTTACTATCCTTAAGTATACCTTTCTATTCGCGACGAGTAATAATTTCTATATCGATCCTTATAAGATCTTTATCGCTACTAAAAGCTTTAGCGCCTTACTTAGAGCTTAAGTCGTTTAGATATAGTCGCTAAGCTTCTTATCGAGAAGAATACTTAGAATCTTTAGAGTCTTTATTAACTTTATTCTTTAGTCTTAAATCTCGAGCGAGACTTTTAAGTTTATCTCTCTCGCTCTCGCTATATATATTATTTAGTATTTCCTTAAGTTAAATTATAAATTATATTTTTTAATTTATTTCTTATAGATTTAGTAAATTTATTAAAGTCTATTATAATTCGATACTCTTAACTTACTATATACTATAATATTATTATTATTTATAAAGATTATCGCGCTAAATCTTAGTCTTATTATCGCGTAGTTCTTTACTAAGTTAGCGTTATAAAAGAGATAAAGGATCGACGAAATTAATAATCTCTATAGAATTTTAATTTATATTTCTTTTAATTTCGAGACGAAGTTTCCTAGGCGAATTAAGGTCTCCCTTTCTTTAAGAAAGCTCTTTATTTAGCGCACTAGGGATTTCGGAACTCTTCTCTTCTAGAGGTTATAAAGTAATCTCTTATATAATATATAATCGAATATCTTTACGATATTAAGCGATAAGATAATTACGATCGCCTTACTATTTCGTATTTAGATCGCCTTAATTTATTCGTATAGATTAAGAAGTATTAGGTTTACTAATCTATTTAGTCTCGTTTCGTACTATATATTTAGTAAGAGATTATATCTTTTCGCTAACTTACTAATTTTCCTTACGATAATTAACTCTAGTATCTTTCTTATTATATTAAGTAGCGTAATCGATTTATATACTCTTAGATCGATATAGTTCTTTTTACTTAACTTCCTTAAGATTATCGTAATAGTCTTTCGAAATTTCTTCGAATAATATCTCTATCTTAGATAGATTAAGAAGAGTCTTCTTAGGCCTTAATATAAGCCGAGTAAACCTAATTAGGTTAGGGTCGAGTTAGGGTCGAGGTCGAGTTAGGGTCGAAGTACTCGTTGACCCTATAGCCTAATAGGCGGGTTAGTCTTATTTATAACTCGACCCAGAATTCGGTGGGCTACCTAAACCTTAAATATAATATCGTGTCGTATCGAGATATCGTATCGTATCGAGATATCGAAAGTCCTTACTATTTTTTTTAAATATTATAGGATAGAAAAAGAGAAAGCGAGAAAGAAATAAAAACGCTTTAACTATTATAAATTCTATTATATTAAAAAGAGTATATAAATTTAGCTTATAATAATAATATCTTTATATTAACGCCTAACTAAGTCGCTTATTTCTTTCCCTTACTATATACTTATATCGACGTACTATCTTTATCTATAAGAGTTAACTATATAGTCGTCTTTATCTTCGCTCTATTCGTCTTTAGCTAATTACTAAGAATATATTCTTTACGAGAGATATTTAGCGACGATTTACTAATACTTCTCGTAAATAATATCGAAAGTTATAGTTCGATATATTAAGTCTATTTTTTACTACTATTTATCGCTAGACTCGAAAGCTTTAATAATTCTCGATTATCGATATCTTAATTATTATTCTCGTAAAAGTAAATAGTTTTCGACGTAAATAGGCGAGCTCTCGTCTCTATAATAGAACGTAAAGTCTTTTAATCTTAAACTTATACTCGAGATTAACGAGAAATAGTAAGAGAGATTATTTTAAGTCTTGATCGAGGCTCGTTACTTTACTCGTTATTTTTTTTAAGAGTATTTACTTCGTTACTTATTATTCGTTTATTATTACTTTATATACTTTATTACTCGATACTTTTATCTTTATTTTTCTTATCTTTATACTCGCTAATTATACTCGATACTTAATCTTTTAAATCGAAGTTCTATTCGGAATAATTATTATCGTTACTAAAATCCTTACTATTAAACTTTAGTTTCGTCGCCTTAAGTTAACGATACTCGTCCTAAAGGTTAAAGATTATTATATAGATTATTAGTATAAGTAGTCGTAGTATATCGAGCTTTAGACTATAATGGCGATAGTTATAGATATCGCGCGTAATATTAAAAACTCGCTTAACTTTAACATTAGTTACGAGAATTACGAGATAGTCTTATATAACTATAGTAAGTATTAGTTAATATAACTTCGCGATCTTTTAGTATTAAAGAATATTTCTAAGATTAATACTAAAGTTTATAATAATAGTTAGTATTCGAAAAGTAAATTAAAGCGTAAAGAATATATATAATAAGTATTAACTAAATACTTATTAAGCTCTAACTCTCTTACTATTATTTAAGAGCGAGTTTTATATCGCTTCTTAACTATAAGACGCGATAAGTTATCGCTAGACTTATACTTTCTATCTTATACGAGAGTATAAGTCGATAAGATATTAAGGGAACTCGTCTATAGACTAAATATAACTAGTAGCGACGATAAGAAGTCGAACTCTTAGAAACTTTCGTCAAATATTTAGGACTTTAGTAGTCTAGTTACTAAAGAGAAGAGTTACGCGCTCTTTTACGTATATTATATATACGCTTTAATAATTATCTTTAAATACTCGATATATTTAATTTACTAAAGATAGTTAATAAATTATAATAAATATTATAACGAACTTTATATCGAGATAACTTATATAGTTATATATTAGGCTAGTACCTACTAAACTATCTAAACTCGTCTAGCCCTAGTAGGCTTAGCGTATACGATATATATAGAGAATATAGGTTCTATGGACACTTAAACCCTTAAGGCTTTAAGTCTCTATAGAACCGCTTAGTTAGAGAACTTAGTCTAGTATCGCTACTTCTATTTAATCTTATCTATTTATTAAGACCTCCTTATAATTCTTAAAGTCTTCCCTAGATAACGATCTAACGAAAGTAGTAATAGCACTAGTAACCTATTCGAGCGGCACTCTAGGCCTAACCCCGACGAGGGATAATTACCCCCTAAATATATTTAGGTTACGCTCGTATAGGGACTCGCCCGATATTCTCGAAGACGAAATCGAGGCGGCGTTTAACGAACGTTACGAACGCGTTTAAGCGCTAGTTATCGAGTAGCGTAGGCGTTAGAATCGTTAGCTCGAGCTCGAGGCACTCGAACTCGAAGCTATAGGCGGAGCGCCTACGAAACTAATCTATATCGAGGGCGTAGCGTACGCTAGTACGAAACGACGACGCTCTTTAATACCTTTAAATAAGGAACGCTTTACGAATCGTCTTAGAATAGTAGACTCTTCTTATTACTATAGAAAAAATATTTAAGAGCTTCGGACTTTTAATACTAAATAGTAAATAAGGAATAAAGTTAATAGACCCTTTACTTTCGAAAAGTAGGCAAAATATATCGAAAAAGTAACTATATACCTTAAGGGTATTATAACTACTTTCTAGCTAAGATATACTAAATCTTATACTACTTAAGACGAATTTATAACTTTTTATTAGAGAGTTATACTCGACTTAAGGAATTGTATAGTAAACTTACTATAAACGCTAGCGAATAAGAAGTAAGGCGACTCCTAATTAGTACGATATCTTCTAGATAAAATCGAGGTTCTCGAAAAGAATATATCGACTCTTACGAAAGATAAATAAAAGGTATAATTATTTCTTAATTATTTACGTCTCGACCTACGTACGGAGATTCTACGCGAGTATAAGAAGATTAATAGCTATAAGTAGATTCTAGCTAAGACTTAGCGCTAGAAGAAGCTAAATCGCTAAAGAACTTAATAAGAGAAAGCTAAACGATTCGATAAGCCCTTCTTATCGAGGCGTAGATATAACGAACTCTCTTTATATAATAAGAGTACTAACTAACGCTACTTAAATACTAATACTATTATCGAAACCTATTACTCTAAAAGAAAGGAATCTACGATAACTAAACTAATTATTTACTATAAGTATAGTAAACTTAGATATAAGGTATTTAAATATCGTAGTAAATCTAAAGAAGAGAGTAAGGGAAGCGATATAAACATAATCGAAGCGTACTCTTATCGCGGTAAGCTAAAAAACTAAATACTAACGTTATAAGCGCTTCTATAGCGTTAGGTATTCCTATAGTAAGCGCGCGTAAGTTTAACTCTCTTATTATTTAGGCTAACCTCGTAATAATATTTACGAATCGGCCCCTAAACGTACTTATTAACTTTAGAGTTAAGGAGAACTTTATTTTATAATCCGTAATTATAGATAAAGGGCTACCCCCTAGTAATCGTACTATTTAAGCGTATAGCGTAAATAGCTATACCTTACGAGTATATAGACTATACTCCCTCGAGATAAGTATATAGAATACTCGTAGTATATTCGCTTCGCGTATAATAAACTTTATTACGATCGATATTTAAAAGTATAATATAATACTTAAATATCTATAACTTAAGAAAGTAAATCTCGATATTAATTAAATAAATAGAAAGTAGTACTATCGTACTACGAAGCCCTTAGTTATAGAGATAAGCTTAAAGAAAATCCTTACTAAACTATATATTAATATAATAGTCGCTATACTAAAGCTACGATCTTAAAACGAATACGAAACGAAGTATTTATATATCGCGAAGATAGATATATTATAATTACTATCTAAATATAGCGATTTCGTAGAGATCTTCTCTAAGAAGAAATCTAAGATCGTTTTATTAAGAAGTGTTAAGATAAGATATAGTATATCTATAGAGAAGAGTAAGAGTATTCTATATAAATCTATTTACTCTATAAGTATATATAAGTTATAAATATTTCGTAAATATATTAAAAAAGCTCGAGTAAATAAATAAATCTAGAAAAGTTAGTTACTAATAAAGATATTAATACTTTTCGTATCTAAAAAAAACGAGAAACTACGTCTTTACGTCGATTACTAAGCCTTAAATAGAGTTACTATTAAAAATCGAAGACTACTCCTACTTATCTCGAAAATCCTAGATTAACTATTACGAGTAAAGATATTTACTAAATTAAACCTTTAGGACGCTTACTATAGAATATCTATAGCTAAGGAAGATCGCTAGAAGACTATATTTTATACTTATTATAGCTACTATAAGTATATAGTTATACTCTTTAGCTTTACGAATATACTCGCTATATTTTAAGATTATATCGACGAGATTCTAAGATAATTACTCGACGAAATTTATATTATATATATAAATAATATCTTAATTTATAACGAGAACCTTAAAGAGTATATATAATATATATATTTAGTATTAGTAAAGCTTTAGAAAGAATACTTATTCGTAAAGCTAAAAAAATATAAGTTTCGAAAGGATTTCGTAGACTTTCTAGGGTTTCGAATAGGCGTCGTAAACGTATCGATCGATCTCGATAGAATTTAAGTAATTTAAGAATAGTCTATATCGATAATATATCGAGATATTTAAGTCTTTATTAAATTTACGAACTTTTATCGTAAATTTATATATCTTTACTTCGCTATTACGACCTCGATTACTAACCTCCTTAAAGGAATAGAAAAAGAAAAGAAGATCGAACCCTTTCTATAGCTCGAGAACGTAAAGTATACGTTTTAACTTCTTAAGGACCTCTTTTCTAATATATCTTTACTAGCTTACTTCGATTATAGACTACGATTAAAAGTCGAAGTTAACGTATCGATAAAGATAATAAGTAGAATCTATTCCTAACTCTATATAAGCCCGAAATATACTAAAGGCGTATAGAAACTAATAATATTCTACTTTAAGAAGTTTTCTAAGAAATAAAGAAATTATTTTATCGCGAATTAAGAAATACTCGTAATTATAGAGGTCTTTAAGTAGTAAAGACACTATCTTAAAGTCCTCGTTAAGATGGGACCAAGCTTAGCTTCACCTTGTTGGTCCGCATTGGCGTGCGATAATGATGGAGAACAGCACTGTCTGGAGATGCTCACTCTCCACAGGTGAGAATGAAGGTGATGTGAGGTTTGGAGAATGAAGAGGCCGACATACATAGAGAAGGGAGGGGGTGCATGTCTGAGAGAGAGGGGGCGCTTGGAGAAATTAAAATTAGTGAGCCACCTACCTAGTAAGGAGGCTCAGCTCGACCACTGTCCGGGCGCAAAATGAAACTGCGCCATGCCGAAATTTCTCACTTGGCAAAAAAACAATATCTCTTAAATCAATTACTACTGTTCTCGTACTATTCTCTTAAAAAACATCTAGTTAAACAGGCGTACCCAAACGGGCCCGTTGGAAAACGCCAAGCAGAATACCTGATCCGACTCCCATCACCGCGACAAACCGTAGTCCGGCAAGTCCTGACGGGCCGGTACGTAAGAGCCGAGTTCCGCCAGATATCGTGCCTTCCTTAGAATTTCAAGCTTCAATCGCTCTCTCCAGGCAGCCAGGTTAAAGACCTCTCCATGATCAAGATTAGGGCACCAAACCACTTCCACGCAGCCGCGCTCATGAGGGGCCGGTACGCTCTCTTCGGGATATTCTTCCTCATCTTTGCCCGGGTCATGCTCTTCGATGTCTTGCAGGTACCTCCGCACTTGTGGGGCGTTGATAATGGAGTCTTTCCCGGAGAGAAATACTGTTGCACGATGGAGGTTAAGGTCCTCCTTCCACAGGATATTCTGCGACCAGAAGAACGTGCGAGAGAGTGTATGAGCCACGCCCATGTCCTTCGAGCCGAAATACCATAGTAACCATTCATTGGCGAATTTGGGTGTCCGGACCGTCTGAATCACGTCAGTGTCTATAATCAATCTTATGAGAGCGATGCCACTTACAAAGTTGTATACCACATCTGGTTGATGCAACAGTATTGAAACGGGGTCCACAAGGATGACTGAAGAAATTCGATGGGTCAGCTCAGGTGTCTTGAGTAAGTGCGTACTGATCACCGAGCCATATCTGTATATCATATAAGTCACCATTCTCACCTTCAAAGGGGGTGGTGGTTACTGACGAATGAGACACTAGGATAAATTTGTTGAATCCGTGATGATCGAGAATACACTGAATCTGCTGACATATATCTTCCTTTCGGGGTAGTGGGGGGGTGATTCGAGTCGATATAGGCAAAATCTCCACCGCGAGGATCCCAATCATCCCATCCTCGTCCCGGCGGCCCGTGTTCACTTCCTTCAGAAGTCGCATATATGGGTATAGGCCAACTCCGATGCCGTGGAGGAAGACTAGTGGTAGTTCCTTTTGTGAGGTGTGAGGGCGGTGCCAGTAACTCATATTCTGGCTTGGCGATCGATAGCTCGCCATAAGTGCTTGCGGTCGCGGAGGGATGATGCTGACGGAATTTGCGATCGAGCCACGGTAAAAATCAAAATCGTTGATGTACATGTAAGCATGCGTCACGATGTCGACCACAAAGATGCACTGCACGATTTTGTCTCAGTCAACATCTCTCTCTCCAGATCTCTTCCTAGAGTGGTGCCTTACCAGATACCAAGTCAGACTCCGATGAAGCGCGTCGACCTTGTCGAGCGTCAACCGTATGCTTTTGACATCAGCTCTTCCGGGTTCGAAATTGGTCCCGAGTTTCGTCTCAAGCTCCACAACATATGCTTCCAACTCGTCATCCTGGTTGGGGTCGACGATTGCTGTGTTTAGAAAAGCCCATCGGAGCCACTCTTTAATGTTCTCTCTTTTGATAGCAGCAATGGGTGTACCCAAGAACCATCTTGAGAAGAATGTAGCGAGGTCTTCAGAGCTTTCGACACAACGGCGAAAGAGCTGAATTCGTTCCTCCCTCTCCAGAGGAGGGGGATGTAGCGCGGGGTACTGGAGGTAGTATTTCCGGTAGCCGTAGGTGAGAAAGTAGAACAGCGTCTCTATCAACGCCCAGTATTCAAGATACTTCCAGATTCGTAGGCGCTCCGGCAAGAACTTGGCCGAGACGCAGTAGAGGACGGAGAGTGGACCAACCGAGTGTAAAATAACGACCCAAGTCACCATCCATAGATACTCGAGTCGCGGAGTTCCGAGCATCTTTCGACGAGGTCCAACCGTTCTATCTTGGCGTCAGTCCGAGCGTCGTGACTGTGAATAGCCAAAACAATATTAAAAGAGTAGAAGTCGACCCGGAGGTACGCCCTGACGGAGGATGGGAAGCGAGAGGTTATGTATCCAACGAGCCCTGCGGATGTAGCATCGGCCTGTTGAGAGATTCGTGTGGGAAAGTGAGCGCATTCCACGGCTTTCGCCAATTTGGTTGGGAAAGCCTTTATGTACGGCACTGTACTGTCTCCAAAGCCTTACCGGAGGGCAGACATCGGCCCGTGAGATGGCATGTGAACCTCAACAAGTTGCCTGGCTCAAAGAGATGCCAACCGGGTAGCACATGCCGAGTTGAGCTGAGGCAGGGCTTTAAGGAGGGCACATGCCAGAGCGAAGACCGGACAAGGGCCATGTCCACGTGATTGCACTCGGCTTGCTTGGACAATTCTTGTCTTCGAAAGATGCAATGGTTATGCCCTGATTTTCTGCAGTGTGACGTAGGAAGATGCCGTGCTGTTCGGCCCTTATGGGGGACCGATAAGGCCGGAGATATATAACAAGCTCTTTGACTGGCCGAGATACCAAGAGATTGGACTTAGTCTTTAGGGATTAAGTTTATGCAATCGCGCAGCAGGGACTAAGGACCCGGCGCTGAAATAAGGGGCTAGGTTTAAATATTAGTTCAAAGTAAAGGGTTAAGCCGTTCCTCCGAAGTTCACTGAGGATATCAACTTCAGGGACGTCTGATTAGTAATAAGGTACCGGGAGGCTTATATTAAGAAAATATTTCTACTTTATATCCATTATTTCAGCGTACGTTCTGTCCAGCCTTATCACTCGAATCACTTCTTATTTTCCCAACATCCTTGTCATGATCGTTCGTCCAGCTCAGCAGTGCCAATCACCACTGCAGGATCCCCGGGTTACCCTACCCATTTCAGATGGGACTTTGTGAAAGGGTCGGGCAAATATGGAGTGATGTGTCGCCATCGGTGCTCGCATAGCACAGTATTTCGCAATATGTGCACAACTATCATTTCAGGATATTAATAATTACTTTGAAAGCCAAAAGGATGCAGCTGCGATTGTCATTGACGGAAGCATAATTGGGGTACATGCTCTCAATAATACGGTGGTGCTCGACGCTCCACGCGTCTTCAGCACCGAGCGTCAGCAATTTGATCATGCGGTCCAGGAGGGCGTCTGTCAGGTTCCGCTGTTGTAAAGTAAACCACAGCATTTTCATAAAAAGTCTCTGGAGATTAACCAGCGCTGCGCGACAGCGAGAAGGACAACTGCCACGATATGAAAAATATCCGGAGTAACAGGCTCACGGATGTCCTCGAGGAGGCCATAGCCGGATACTGTCTTCGCCTGCATAAGGTGGCAGCCAGAGTACTTGAGGTCGGTAAGTTTTTGTAGTTGCTCGGACAGCCGTTCAAGGTTCCGGCCGCCTGGAAGGTTTAGAGTATCTCGAAATATGCCCTAAACCGGGTGATATATTGCCTATGGGGCTATTGAAACTAAAGGAACAATAGCAAGCTGTCTACGCTGACGAGGTGAAGGAAATTGTGGCCGCGCGCAGATGTGGCGTATGATCTTCGTAGTTGACCATCGTTACATCAAGGCGTACTCGTCGAAAATTCTGTTCTGCTTCGTGGCAGCGACTCCGGCTTTCGATAGGCTAAGCGACAAGATCAGCACTGTTGATCGTGTCACGTGGGTCCTTTTACCGGATCTTTTCCTGCCGTCCTAAAATACTTTGGCCGATCTTTTTAGCCTCGATATATTCGCTATTATACTAGATAAACCGGGATGATTAACTTATCTTCTAGTATCTATAAGTCCTCTTCTCTAAGTACCAACCCAGGAACCGTTGTCGCTGGCTAGTCGAAGGAGCTTTATCTTCGACATCAGTTTTCCAATCGCAATATAGTTATCTAGTTCCGCAACGTTAGGGTTCTGCTCCAAAAGCTCTTGATAGCACGGAGAGTTCGTATATTACTGTCTTCCAAAGGTGATGATGAGTCGCTAACGGGCGATAAAGTGACGAATCTTGGAGGTAATATGAGGCTATCGGAGAATGATTGTGCTGCTGAAGATATCAGGGGCCTTTGGGCTTCGTTGGATCAAGGGATGCATAAGATGGGGCTGGGTGGGTTCGATGTTGGCGAGACGGGCGTCTGTGGAAGTAGAGATAAAGTGGCCATGCCATGGTCCACATCCGCGCCCAGCGCCTCTTGGAGACTCGCCTACCAGTGTCGCCCTATACTGCTGCAATTGTTCTTGCCATATGTGACCCAGTCGTGGGCAAGCGCATCAAAATCATTGTTGGTGGCAGATGCGGCCCGGCGTTTCGAGTCTGGTGGTGGGCTTAAGAAGAATCGTAATCGATTCTGGCAAGCGAGAATTCGTGGTCCAAAAAAATCTCTCCCACGGATCGCTCGTACCAGTCTTTCTTTTGCCCATGGATTATGCCACTTTTGATCGTGCCGGCTACCGGGGCTCGTTGTGAGGCCGGCCAAATCGGTTCGCCTGCTGGCTTCAATCAATCCAAATCTCCTTGCATAGGTGGTACGGAGTCTCGGGTGGCTGCAAAGTGACAACTCTAGTGAGGTGGAAAACCAATTGTTGTCCGAGTGATGTGACAGTCTGGAACATGAATGATCGAACACGTTTCCTGTCACCGACTGTGAGCAACGATGCGTTCAAATAAAGAACCTGAGAGCGCTTTCACGCTTGAAATTTGAGCATGAGATGTTCTAACATTTATGTCTAGGCTCGAAGATAAGTCGTGCCAAGCTGCATAACCATTTTTAATTGGTGGACGGCAACACAGCCATCACAGCTCCCTGCATAGTTGACAGGTCATATTTTTAAAACCTTGTGCACTCGTGACAGATCACAAAATTGAAACCTTGTGCACCCGTAACTCACACATGGCTACAGCGCGTTAACACATTCTTGAACAGGCGTTGAGGTCGAGTCTGGTGTTAGAAAGTAAGCTGCCTGAGAGGTAATGGTGCACACAAAGCATACTTTATAGTATTTAAATTGAGGTTGCTTGGGAACTTGCGTTTCAGTTCAACTTCTATACGTGAGTTAATTTCAGGTGGGAGTTGGAGTTTTACGCCACGATTGAATGGACTTGGTATTACAAGGAGTAGAAGAGACTCACTATCTGAGCTCTGCTACTTGTTTCTTCCAGAGCGGAACCATTGTAGAAACTTCGGTTTGGAACGCCGTAGGCGATGTGAAATCTCCGGTGTTGAGAGAGTCTCTTCAGTTTCTTGACAGAGATAAGCAAGAAACTTTTCTGATGCTAACGTCTCAGGGTGATCCGGCCCTCGCTTGCTCTTGTGCAGTTCCAGCACCTCCTCCGTCAGTTGCAGTGCCTCTGCTCGTCGCCCGGCCTCGCTGTACCAAATCGCCAGATTGTGCATCGACATCAACGTCTCAGGATGATCCTCCCCGAGCTTGCTCTTGTGCAGTTCCACCACCTCTTCCGTTAGAGGTAGAGCATCTTTCGTCCATCCATTCTCTGCTAGAACAAGGGCCAAGACCGACCACTGGTACATTTTGTCATCTATCGACACATCATCTAGCTGATCCCCGAGTCGCAGAAACTCGTGCACATGGGACACCAATGACCGTCGAAACGTGTAATCTTCACTCGCAAACTTCCAATTCACAGAACTCGCCAACAGCGACAGCGCTCGTTGGTAGCTGAGCTGTCGCTCGTCATCCTCGGATGTTCGGTCGCGACACCATTCATGCACTAGAGGATGGAGAGATATCGAAGCGTCCGTATTCCTCGTGATCAGCGAAAACGATGCCAGCAAGGTGACGGACGCTTGCACTGCTTGTCGATAGTCGAGAAAGCCCGAGATCGCGTCGGTCCATGGTAAGTAGTCGAGGGCTCGAGTTGACTGCGACCCGTCCCATGCATTGTAGAACATTTGGACGGGAATCTGGTCGTGGTGGTAGAAACCGAGAAGACCCAGTAACCGAAGAGCATGATGCGCTGCCCTGTCTTGCTTAGACTCGATCACGTCGGCCGATATTTGCCATGTGGTGTACACACTGTATCGGTAGTCGGCCCCGAGGTGCGTCGGGAGATGCAGAAGAAGATCTCTTTTTCTCCGGCCAAATTACCAATGGTTCTGTTGGTAACGTGCCTGCTCGCGAAAGAACAGAATTCTCGTTGTTGCTTACCGCTGTCTACTCTGCTACAGTATCGATGGCGCAGACAGGATACTCGCCAGAACGACCACATGTTCTAGTTTAATATTCTTATAATCAAGATTGACGCCAACACGGTGCAAGCACGAGCTCTTGAATGGGCTTCCAAGGGAAGTGACATAGGTGAGCAGTAAAGCAAATATCTCACGAGTGCAGAATTCTGGATTTGGGAAACTTCCCCACCCTCACCGTACACACAGAAGAGAAACAGTGCAAAGTTCACCGTGCCATTGTCTGTTGCCAACCTGATGTTTTGTCCCGCAAGTGTGTATCACCTTTCAAGGACTGACAAGCCGACTCGAACGCAGACGGGATCATGAATCTTATCAGGAACAGTCTGCAGAGGGACATGAGTCGTCCCACTGCGAGCTATACAAACTCTGGCTGGATGAACAGCATCAACCACGCGAATACAACGACTCCTTTACTGACAATATCCAGAAGGCTCGGGAGCGCGAAGTCCAGCGTCCTCCCACCGGTGGCTGAACTTTTGACGTTCAAAGTCCAAAGTCTGCCATTGGCTGATCGTTGTGCGCCCCGTGCCGTGCTTGGTACGCATCGAACACTGTCCTTCCGTAGGACCAGGAAGCTGATTCCTGCGTCTCTTGCTGCACCTCTTCTGTCTTGAGCATGGCATATCTTTGGCCACAGGGGCCCTGATTGGGGTGCCATGCCCCGTCCGCCAACTGACTCGAATGCCAAGGGTATTTTTCTGACCCAGGGACATGGGTGTCGATGGGAATGAGCTCCCGGTGGCCCATGCCATGGTAATCTCCATATTCCCCCAAGGTAGGCCAATTCAAGGGAACGGAAAGCTTGGCGGCACGAGGAATGACCCATTGATCAAATATCGATGATGGGCTGTTTTGTATGATGACGTGGTGGTCGTTGGACGGACTTTCCTGTGGTATCGAGCCTCCCTCGATGGGCTGTATTTGGCGACCGCAGTGCTGGTCCATCGAAGGAGTCCTCAGCAAATCTTGGAGAACATCCAAGGACCGGTAGTAAGATACCACGTGCCAGATCGTGCCTGAATTTCCGGACTCTTTGATGCTGATGGTCTTCTTGACCAATTCTCCGGCTTTGAAATTGAACGATTTTGCCAAAGGCCCGTACAGTTCTTTGTGCCGATGTGGCACAGCATCTTTCGTTGACATAGGCTCGTACTCGGTCTCCGCGGTCTGCGATCGGCCCGGTGAAGCTGGTCGCTCCGCATAGATCCAAAACTCGCCTAAGACGCGGCTCGGGCTCCAATGGACGCCATCGGTCCAACGCTGGATACCAGATGCTTTCACTTCGTACACGAAGACATGCCCACTTTGTGCAACAAAAGGGCGTTCTGACGGGGTAGCTCGTCTTTGGACGAAGTGTAAGCGGCCTTGGAGGCAAGCTTGAATCACGATCATTGTGTCGTTACGAGTTTCGACGAAGCCGTAGAACGAAGGTTGAAAGTCACTGCCAGGCTGCATGCTTGGCAGTCAAGAAAATCTCGAGTTGGTGAGACCCGGACGGTTAGTGGCAAGCTTGGCAGTATTTGTAAACGGTGTACCTCCATCAAAATGGACGAGTCACTTTGATGAATTGAAACCCTTGCATAGGTGACACTGCGTCCCGGGTGGCTGCATAACTGGCAATTCCTCGCCGATACGATAACGGAAATAATTTTGAGAGAGTATGACACCATGGAGCAGCACTGAGAGTCCATTTCGCCGTCTACGATTGTCAGCGAGGATGGATCTAAAAGTGTCCTGGTCGCTTTCATAACTGATATACGAGCGTTGGGGGTTTGCATGATTTAGGTTGGACAAGAACCGAATGGTCCTAACACGAAGACTAGTTAGTTGTACTTAGCACCAATCAAAATCACAGGACTTCTCCCCAGCCGTGCCACGTCTCGGAGCCAAATCCGCCGCACGTGCAAATTGTGATTAAGTTTTTTGACCACCTCTAGTCCAAAGCAATCGACGTCTTGCAATTGCTGCAGTGAGTTGGCAGCTTCGTACAGGCGCGTTATACGGCAAGTAGTACATACGGGAGTGCAAGTCACCCTTTCTGGGTTTCAGCCAAGTCCATAGACTGCGGTGTATCTGATCGCATGCGGCATCTTCACTGCCTCTCACAAGTCAACGTTTGACGGTCACAAACATGTCACAGAGGTCTGGTGTCTACACGCGGAAAATGCATCATGGCCGAAGTTCCAACATCTGCTGCCAAGTCTATCTGGCGATTTTCATTGAATTAAGCCACTTGAGAGTGGCCTGGAAGAGCCGATTGCTTCTACTGCTTGATCTCAAGAAGGCTTTCTTAGGCTACCTAAATACCAAAGTCAACTATACGAAGATAAGGAAAACACGTATACACACTAAGAAAAAGGGGTAGGCACTCACTACTTTACCTCTACCGATACCTTCTTAGAAGACGAAGAAGAGAAAGAGGAACCTATATAAGAACTTATAGCAATATACGACCTTACGATATAAGAGGCGACAAAAAACGACGAGGAGAAAGCTTAACGAGGTAAAGCTCCCTCTTAGAAGAGCCTTAGAATCTATTCGCTACCTTATACCCTTAGTATTTAATACCATTAGTCTTCGACGCTACACTAACCGATAAGGAAGTATAGATAATAATAGATTACGGAGTAAATTAGAATTATGTATTTATTTATTCTGTCTTGTTTAACGTCACCCGAGTCCCTTTCAAGTCTTATACGGACGCCAGACCACCGCTAGAAAGGCCCCCCTTCACACCAAAGTCAGTGCCCAATCTCCCTAAATCCCCTCCTCTATGCCCCGACCTAGGGCTCCTCCACCTCGTAAGCCTCGAACTGGGCTAGAAGCCTAGTGCGTTGTATCATTCTCGCCGCGGCGCGGCAACCTCTCTTCGTGTTCAGTAGCGACTTTAGCGAGGGTACTTATCCCTCTTCTAGGCTATCCCTAAGGCACTCTTTTCGTAGTCCATTCCACGCCGAGTACTTTAGTAGGACGTGCTACACCGTTTCAAGTTCCTAGCCTTCGCAGGACGCGCACCAGGGATCTTCGACTCTAAGGACCTTTCTGTTAAATAGAAAGGCTCTGAATCCGATCTTGCTCGTCCGTAACTAGATAACCAGTAAAGACTAGGGCCTCTTGAGTTTTCGATAGAGAGACAACGTTTTCGGGTTTAGAGTCGGCTGGAGTAGCCGGCTGTATACCCCTTAATAGCCTTTTTCCTACCTCTCTCTCTACCTCCGCTGGTAATCCCCTTAAATAGCCCTCTTAGCCCGCTCTAGGGCTTTCCCCTTCGAGGGGGTCTCTATTCGATCCGCCTCCTAGACGGGCTCCGGTAGGATACTGGTTACCCAAGTAGTTAGCGTTTATAGGGGTCCCTAATACTCCGGGGTACGTCCCCTAACTCCTCTTCTCCGAAGTATAGCCGCTACTCTTCTCTCGATATCTCTTCCTGCGTCTAAGAGGGAGTATCTCGTCGCCGCCTCTAGTGCAAGTTTTTCCATATGGAGGTCTAATGGCGGTACCTTTAACTCCGCTTCTAGGGCCTTAGTTAACGTCGCCTTGTATACTCTCGCAACCGCCCTTAGAAATCTTCCCTACACCGCCCTGAGCCTCGCCGCCAGCCTCTTATTGCCACCTAAGGCCTCCGGTCTGCTCTAAGCTAGCGCCCCGTATGTGATAGCCGATCTTACTATCCCTAGATACACTTTTCTGCTCGCGGTGAGCGAGACCCCTTACGTCGACCCTTGTAAGGTCTTTATCGCTGCTAGGAGTCTCGGGGCCTTACTCAGGGCTTGCGCCGCCTAAGCACGGCCGCTAAGCTTCCTGTTTAGGAGAACGCCTAGAACCCTTAGGGTCTCCGACGGCTTAATCCTCTGGCTCTAAACCTCGAGTAGGGCGGTTAGGTCCGCCCCCCTCGCCCTCGCTATATATATTATCTGGTACTTTCCTGGGTTCAATTATGAGCTATATTTCCTGGCCTAGTCCTTATAAATCCGATGAACTTATTGGAGCCTCTTATAGTTCGATACGCTAGACTTACTATATACCTATTATGAATCGCTCCACTAGGTGTCACGAGACAAGGGGTTCCTGAGCAGGGGGAAGTATCAAGGTATGGCAGTAAGAGAGTACGCTACTATCTAAGCGAGACTGATCGATACTCAAACGTATGGGTATAATCGTTAACGAAGTTGACTACGAAGGAAAGCTATGTAATGACTATCGTATATATACCTCTGATGGCTCCGTGGTGCTCCTCATGGCTCTAGTGGCTCTGCACGGAGCACTGAGAGTCATGAGATCCAATAGAGCCACTGAGGTCACGTGATAGCGTTCACGTGCCCTTGACCCTTCCTTAGTGGTCTAGCTATCGTCATAGCTTGGCTGCGGCTATATATAAGGCCTAGTTCGTAACACTTTCCCCTCTCTTCCTTTATACGTTGTCCTCAACGTATATATAATGTAGGATTCCTCCCTATTATTTAATGTCTATTTTCTTTCCGTTTTCATGGCTGACTATATCTACTAGTCGCGTATCTAAATATCCCTACCGTCTTTCCTCAACTCAACGTCGAAAACTTGCCGCTAAGCGATCCAAGCTTCTAGGGCGTGAATTATTCGGAATGGGTAGATATTCGAATTGTATCTAGTCGGATTCGCTATACTAGATATTAGACGAGTAGTTTATATATAATACGTATCGGCTAAAAAACAAAAGAGTAGGTAATTATGATAGGTATTTCTCCGTGCTAGAATTCGATTCGCTATAGGCGCAACGTAAAAAGATAATGCAGGATATTGAGGAGAAGGATAGAGAAGTGCGATAGCTTCTAGACACGCTTCGCCAAGCCGCTAAGGCCTTAGGTTAGGCTTCGGCTACTATTTCCCGGGCGCAATAGTAGAAAGATTACCTATAGAAGAGCGTTAATCGTCTACGCGACGTCCAACACTAAATATTGTCCCGCGAAATAAGTGCTTTAGACGCTATCGACGAAGTATCTTTAGACGAGCCCTTAGCTTAGTTCGCCTTTGCTTTAGATTCTGCTTTTGTCCCTTCTCTATAATAGATAGTTGACTTCTCTAGTGGTACTATTATACTAAAGTCCGTAGGAGGTATTCGGTAGGTTCCTAGGTATTTTCTAAATCTTCGTATCCTAACTATTTAATTAGGTAGTGTAGTTTATTATCAATGAGTTAGTAGTCTAATATCCTTTCGACGTTATATAACGATTATTATATCTCTTTATATATTAGTACCGATCCTAGTTTAGCGTTTAATAGTACTTTCTTAATAAGTAATTTATGGAATACTAGGTAAACATTTATGCCCTTAGGTAGGTCGATTTTAAATGTTACTATTCCTAGTTTCTTTTTAATTTCATATAGTTCGATTTTAGTGTGGTCTAATTTATCGCTTAGTCGTTATATTTTAATGTTTTTTCGTAAGATATAGACTATCTCCCCCTCTTGGAAGTCTAGTCCCTTAGATCTTCTCTTGTTTACTTGGATTATCGTTTTCTTTAATATTTCTTCGAGTTCTTTTTATAGTATTTTGTATAGTTCCCTTAATTTGTCGACTAATATTTTTGCTTTTTCTATAATTAGTTTAATGCCCCTTAGTTCGTGTTCAATATTTAGGTGTCTTTCGTAATTTATATAGAATAGTAATATTTCTATTATCGATATACTATTATTAAATACGAATTATACTATAAGTAAGAGTTAGACCTAATTATCCTATTTAAAGCTAATATAGTATCGTAGATATTGTTTTAGTGTCTAGTTTATTCTTTTCGTCTATTTATTTAACTATAGATAGTATACTATCGATATTTTCTAATGTATTCTAGTAAGGTCTATAAGTGACTATTAAAATTATAATATAAATAGTTTATCTCGGTCCGAGCGTATTTCTTTTAGTATTCCGTCGATTAAAGACAAGATAGGGATCGAGCGACTAGAAGAATATAAGAAACTAGTCGCTAGATCCATTAAGATCGATAATTAGCTCTACGAACGAGCGATAGAAAGGAAAGGGTTCTAAGGGAGGACTAGTAGAACGTTCTATTAGAAAAAGAATCGTTACTAGTCCTATAAAGACCCGATAGACTTAGATAATATAGAATATAACTGATCCTCACGACCCCGAGGTAAGCTCTAACGCTAAGGTCTATCACCTAAGGAGCGAGAGAGACGCAAAAAAGAAAACCTATACTATAGTTATGGAAAATCCGGATATAAGGCGCGAGAATACGATACCCGCCTATAAGGACTATATATAATAGACGATATAGTCGGTATTAAAGAAACAAAGGCCGACACTCCAATAAAAGAAGAACTCGAACGTAGGGTATAAAACAATGAACGTACTTAGAAAGCTAGTAGCGCCGAGAAAGCATAGAAGGAGTTAGAAAAGACTTAGGGAGAAGGAGCGCTCCCACCACTATAAGTTAAACGTAGTGAAGAGGTTACTATAATCGTAGGGACCTATTATCTAGAAAATTCGGATAACGAAGAAGCCGATAAATACGAAATAATCGATAAATATAAAGTAGAATTATAGGCTTTCTATTTTAACGACTTATACCCTATCTATCGACCCTTCAAGGAATAGTCGAGATAGTTCCCTTACGGAAAGAAAACTAAGGCAAAGACGAATAAATTTAGAAAAGCTCGACGAGATATACTTATAGTCATAGAATAGGAAGATATTCCTTACTAGGAAAAATATAGGGTAATTATATAAGGTAACTATATTATAGTTATCTTAATATCGTACTAGTCCGAAGTACCCTATAACGGGTATTGTACGGAACTAGGACTAAACCTATATGGAGGAACTCATCGAAAGTTTAGTCTATACACTAATCCCGAAGGAAAAGAAGAACTAGTCCTATTGATACGCTATGTTATAATAAGATACGATCAACGACGAACCTATATATACGATATAGTAGGAGAAAATCGATACGACTTTCTATTCGCCCTATTAGACGATACCGATATAGATAGCGAATATAAGGAAGCACTCTTAGATAAGACTAACTTACGAGAAGTAAAGAATATCCTAAGACGGAGAGGAACGATAGTAGTTATATAAACTAAGTACTAAATACAAGAACTATACCAATACTAAGGCCGATACGTATAAAAGTATCTCCTCTATAACTTAGAAGGAAAACCTTAAGAAGAAGATAAGTATATTATCCTATAGAGATACTACGACTACGACGTAAGAAGCCTAGCACACTATCACTAAGTAACTAATAGTCACTAGTTTATATTTCCCTTTAAGGAAGAAAATACCCTTACCTAAGAAGACCTAATCGAGAAGATAGCCGTTAGGTATCACGTTCAAGAAGTTAGCGACTACGGAGTAATTATTAAGACCCATTTCTAGGAAGAAGACGAATAGCAAGGGAGAACTATTTGCAAGTTTAGCCCTAAGACTAGAATCCAACCGAAATACAAATTAATCGAGATCCCGAAGTGCCGAAGCTAACTATACGAGAATAAAGAAAATACGTATATACACTAGGTAAAGAGAGTAGAAACACACTACTTTACGATAGCGGATACCCTCTCTAGCGATAATAAAGGATCTAAGAATACTCCACGAGAGACTAAAACTATAGAGATATTAGGAGATGAAATTCGAAAATAGCAACTAGAAGACCCCAAGAAGGAGAGGCCGAGAGGAATTCCTAGTTAAACCTTATACGTAATAGAATCTCAAGAATCAAAATAGAATGTTAATCAATCAAAACGCGGAATAGATAAGAGGTCCGCGCCGGAACATAGATATCCGAACTAGGAAGATCAATTACCCAATAAGAAAAAAGTTCAAAACGAGTCAAAAAACGACAACGAGGAAACCGTATAAAGTAGCGGTCCCTCTAAATAGAGCCTTAGGATCTATTCGCTACCTTATACCCTTAGTATTCAATATCATTAGTCTTTAGCGCCGCACTAGCCGATAAGGAAGTATAGGTAATAATAGATTACGGAGTAAATTAGAATTACGTATTACTATAGCTTATAGAACGATTAAAAGATTAATATCGATAAAAGGCGAAACCCTACCTACTAAATATAGTAGATAGAATACCCGTTAAGTACGGCGGAGGGTAAATTCGCAGAGAAATTCGAGACGTCCGACTCGAAATCGAGGGTTATACCGAATAAATTAACCTCGATATTACACTAATTAAATACGATATCATACTAGGAATAAAATAGCTTTAGAAACAAGAACCAGCAATAGACTAGCAAGAACGAACTCTCAAGTTTCTCAACCGTAGTCACGGAGATAGGAAAGAGAACCGATCATTCTCTAGGTCGCCCATTAGGGCAATATAGGTAAGACCAAACCGAAAGATCCTCGCTAATATAATAGAGGAGATCTCGGAAGAATATAAAGACTTCGTAGACCTCTTTAAGAAAAGAGAAGACTTAGCCGCACTACTAGAGTATAAACCATAGGACCATAAAATACCCCTCGAAGATAGAAAAGTACCGAAGCATAACGAGTAGCTTCGATAACTTTCTAAGAAAGAAGAAGATTTTCTTAAAGACTATATCGAAAAACACGAGAAGAAAGGCTTTATTCGACTATCTAAGTCTTCTATAGTATACGGAGTGCTATTCGCGCTCAAAAAGGATAGAGGACTTCGAGTATATATTAATTATCGACCACTTAATACGATCACTAAAAAGAACCGATATTCGTTACTACGTATCGACGAACTATAGGATAGATTATTAGGTACTAAATACTTTATCGCTATCGATATACGAGACGCCTATTATCGAGTACGGATAAAGGAAGGCGAAGAATAGAAGATAGCCTTCAAAACCCGCTTCGGATTATACGAGTACTTAGTTATGCCCTTCGGATTGACTAATATATCGACTACTTTTCAAGAATTAATTAACGACACACTAAGAGAATATCTCGACGATTTTACAACGGTATATCTCGACGATATACTTATATTCTCAACCACACTTAAAGAATATATACAATATATTCGGAAGGTCCTAGAACGACTTAGATAGAAAGATCTACCTATGAAACTCAGTAAGTATAAGTTCTATAAACATCGTATACGCTTTCTAGAACATATCATCTCAGACAAAGGTATCGAGGTCGATCCGGAAAGAATCAAGTCTATTTAGGAATAGCTATAACTAACTAATGTCACGAAGATACAAGCCTTTATAAGACTTATCAACTATAACCGAAAATTTATCGAAGGATTTTCAAGGGTCGCTATATTACTAACGAACCTCATAAAGAAGGAAACGGAGTTTCTATTCGGACTATAATGCAAAGAAGTATTCGAGAAACTTAAAGAAGCTATTACTAGCGCCCCTATACTCGCGATATTCAATTTAGAATACGAAACCAATATAGAAATAGATGTATTAGATAGAGCTATCGGCGCTCGCCTTACGTAAAAGAGCACCGATAGAAAACACTATACTATTATATACTACTCGAGAAAAATAACTAGATCGGAACTTAACTATAATATATATAACAAAGAACTACTTGCCATTATTAAAGTATTTAAGGAATAGAGAGTATATCTAGAAGGCGCGAAGTACTCTACTTAGGTCTATACGGACCACAAGAACTTATTATACTAGATAATAACAAAACAACTCAATAGACGATAAGTTAGATAGGCTAAAACTCTCGCACCATTTGATTTTAGAATACACTATATTCGAGGAAAAGAAAACGCTATAGTAGACGCGCTTAGCCGCCGGCTAGACTATATAAAGAATATTTAACCAGAACCCATGGCTATACTCGATTAGTGTATCTCTTAATATAAATAGAGTTAAAGATAAGATTCGCGATATTCCCTTTATTTACGATAGTATCGCTATCGTTATCTAGGATCCCTTAAGGAAGGATCTCTATTACTATTTCTTTTAGTTCGTCGATATATTTATATTCCTTAGAGTCTTCTTATCGCTCTTCCTTATAATCGTACTCTAGCCTTAGTCTTAGTCCGCGAGTCCTATTCGTATATTTACGAGCGATTCGGCTAGTCTTACTAGGGTAGTCTCTACTATCTTATCTCTTCTCGACTTCGAGTCCCTCGTACCTTTACTCTTCTTCTTGCCGCTCTTTCCCTTTACTACTAGTAGTAGTTTTTAACGCGGTGATTTAAACGCGCTATTTTTATATTTTTTACGCGTTTTTTCACTTCCGATTAGTTTATAGACTTTCTATAGGATTCCTTAGGCTATATACTTATTAATATACTTAGTTTAGATATTACTAATATTGTTCTCGAGTTGCTAGAATAGCTTAGCGAGCTATACTTCCTAATCGTTTTATTACGCTATCTTTAATTTCGCTTTAATTAAGCTATTTAACTCGAAATTTAAGTAACTAATAGTAAATTAATAGAATTTATAGTTTATAAGATAATATTATAATTATTTTAGAATCTCGAAGTAAACGAATAGAATAAAAATTAGCTAGTCGATTTTACTAAGAAAATCGAAAATCTTAAAATTTCGACGAAATTTACGAAATTTACTATAACTTTTTAATTACTTAAGATATTTAATTTATTTTTTTAGATTTTTATAGATAAATTAGTTTAAAATAGTCTTTAAAATTTTCGAAAATTTTAAGTTTATATTTTATATAATATACTTAATATTATACTTTTTTAAAATATTATTAAGGTATAGTAAATATATATAAATATATTTATATATAAGAAAGAATTTTATAAAAATATTAAGTACTTAAAAAGTTATAGTAAATTTAAAAAATTTAAATTTCTTAAAAATAAATTATTAAAATTATTTAAAGCTTTTTAGCTTATTTAATAAAATATAATTAAAGTTTAGTATTTAAATATAATAAAAAATAGCTAATAATAATTATTATAAATTAAAAAATATATATCTCTTAATTAATCATAAAGAAATACTTAGTAAAATAAGATTTTAAATTTCTTTCGAAAATAATATATAAGTCGTATTCTTAAGAGTACTAATAGTAATATTTTTAATTTTATTAGATAGTACTATTATATATATATTTAACTATCTACTCTAAAAATATTATTTTGAAATACCTAGTACTAAGATAGTTATCGAGTATTAAAATATACGTAGTAAAGTTATAAGTACTAGCGACAAGGTGGGGGTGGCGACAAGGTGGTTGGCAACCTTAGGACTTTACTGTGAAACATCTGGCCAGCAACACAATCTTGACAGCTGAACTTTCTTTCTCGAAGATTGTTCTTGATGTGTGTAGAAGAATCTTACCTTTCTTCCATTCTTCATCCGACGCCTCTTCTCTCCATCATGGACCGGACGAGTGATGCATGACAAAAACACTACCGGAAAAGGACATCCATGCACTGCGGGATCATCCAGGAATTGATCTGAGCGGGACCGTGCCTGGATCTAGATCTATCGAACCTTTCAGATCTACCATATTTTGGACTTCACGTAAGGTAAATATAGCCTCGATATGTGAAAGTAAACGAAAAGCGCATGACTGCCACCGTTACATGGGACAGACCTGTCCAATGATTGAGTTATGTCTGTGCTTCAAGATGGCATATACAGTAAGTAGAGGTGATGTTACCGCCCGCGAAAGGACTATATCAAACCTGGTGCAACTCCTTTCACGATACTGAACACCATCACCTCGAGTTGCTGGGAGCTTCCTACTCATCACCCTAGAGCACCACAACACTCGTCCTCCACCAAAAAGAATCAGCAAGCATGTTCTTCCCAAAGTGGCTGCTGTATTCAGCATCGTTGATCACAGTTTCGGCAGACGACGGCGACAACCCGACTTCGGACGATTTCGCACCCTGTCCCGGCTCCCCCGTCGACGTGTGAAACGACTACACTAAATGCACCTGTCAAGCCACAGTAATGTGCTACACCACCCCCTACTCCCCATGAGAAACTATTCTACCAGTCCTCTTGGCACGATAACGTATATACAAGAACCACAAAGTAAATACTACGAGCGTCGAAAGGACAATCGCAAGCATAAACACCCACCACAATTCCGGCGCAGAAATAATCACGCCCGAACTGAAAATAGCCTGTATTAAGAGCTAAGTTAGCTCTGAACTCCCCACGAGGATACCGTATAAGCCACGATTAACTCACCGAGATTAACGTCGCTGGTAGGAAAAAGAGAGTGACTACCGCAATAGTCCTCACGGCTCCGCTGTCCTGTTGCGCTGTAATAGCCAGAGAGATATTGGCTTGAGCGTCTCGCTGAGCGATAAAGCCACGCATCTAAAACGTGTCAAAGGTTAGCGGTGCCTAGCATAACAATAGGTGGTGGCAGCACTTACAACATCAACCTGTACCTGGATACGTTCGTGCAACAATTCCAACTCAGTCTGCAGACGCCTGCATGTTGTCATCTGATATTTTACGACCTGCAGCACCGCGCTTCGCCTCCATCTGGGTTCCGGACCCATCCCACGTTCAGCTCGTAACTGGTTAACAAGATCGACGCAATCGTGCAGAAATTGTCCAAGCTCTTGTTGGAAGTTCGCTCGTCGCTGTAACATGGACAACCATATTCTGCAGTGATGTACTTGTTTGTTCCACTGCTCGTACTGCGAAGCGGCTATGGTTGAGCTCATCTCCTCCCAGAATCCTGTCCTTTGCTCTGCTGTCTGGATGGCACCGGCCAGCCTGGCCTCGTCAATACGTCTGTCCACCCCGAGAGCCTCGAATATTGATACTAGGAATAATACCGGCGATATCGAAAGAGCCCCTTGTCGGCTTCGAAGTAAATGAGGTATATCGCGCGGCTGACCTCGGTCGCTATATAGAAGAATGCCAGATACCCTACTGTTATCGAGGTGGATCCGGAGACAACACGAGAACGCCCCCCACGTCGTGGGTGGTGTGGAAATCATGACCCCTGCCATTATGTCAGCTAGCTTAACGGACTCGCCTCAGGACCTACATATTGACTCCGGCAGAACCTGGCCATCTCGCTCTTCATAATTGATAAATGTCGAGTAATGGCCACTGTACTCGGTCATAGGCTTGACGAACATCGGTGGAATTTGCATATGATTCAATAAATCCCTGAAGACCGCTCGTTCCATTTGTATAGGAGATAGGGAATTGTAGCCAATCCCGGGTACGACACTTTGCAAAGGTGTCAGCGTCTCTCCAGCAGCCTTGATGGAGTCCATATACAAATAGGACACTTACAAGAGATTGGAGTGAAACGTTTCCCCTGTCTGGAAAGTCTTTTTAAGTGAGTTAACAAGGATGTCGAACGTGACCGCGCTCACCTCTGCCGCCAAACGCTCCTGCACCTGCGCAGGTTCCAAGGTTTCCACGACTGCGCCTGTCTCGGTATTGTAACGAAGAATGTTTGCCGGCTCCGCGAATTTCAGATAAGAAACGTATCTCTCGAGCGTGTGACCGTCCATTGCAACTGGGGGAGGAGTATGAACAAAGGGCTAAAAGTCTTTCATAAAAGTTTGCTCCCAATCGGCATAACGGTTCAGGTACAGTATGTTCTGTCGTCGCTTCCTTATATAGATCCAGCTTCATAAGGCTGAGCTGAAGCGGTGTGGCTTGGACACGAGAGTGGCGGGCTAGGCATTGATAGTATGCTGTGGTATGCATAACACATGACTCATCTACCTTTGTGGCGTTCAGTACGCCTTTTAGGCAGACTAGCCCGGGGCAGTGCTCCTGATCGTGGTAAGAGTTACAATTGTGTCCTGCTCACAGTTTCAACTTTCCAGCAGCAAGGTTCGCCGCATCAGAAGATGTCCCCTGCGTTATGGAAACATCAAATACTAGGCGCAATCAGGCACCAGGATACTTACTGAACACTCACGACCAGGACCTGAGCGCAAAAAATGAGACATTGACGTACGTGAATGAGTCAACCTAACCTCGCTCGCAACTTATACCGGGTTGTTGATACTTTGACTTGCAGTGTTGTTGCGAGGAGGACGTTACATGGGCTTTCGCTCTCCCACTCGAATGACACGAAGGTCTGCGTCGAAGATGACCAGCGCACTTTCGTCGCGGCCTGCTTAGCTGGTTCCGATACGCCACTAGCGAGGCGATGCACTCTATTGACAAACGTTGGACTTAGGACGCTGTTGACGCGGCGGGCTGCAGAGGGTGAGTGAAAGGCAGAAGTTTGGAGTACGCCTTCTGACTTCGTTACGAGGACTTCGCATAAGAAATGGCATGTCCGCTGTTGGCAAACTGCGAAGCCTGGCGGCCCAAAATCTCCGATAACGCCTAGCGCCCAAACACATTAGGTAGCCTACGGTAGATTTTCCCTCTCAACCCTAAAGTGATTAGAGCCGGTATTGAGTCATCGACGAGAGTGGTTCAGTGCAACATACCCAACACAGGGGTAAAAATTATTTTGGTCATCACTATCCTAGATGAGTGGAGCGCTGATAAGAGCAAAAGGTAACCAGAGCCAAGGCAATTGCGTAGACTGAAGGACTTTATGTGCGTACAATTGAATGCAAAAAGGTCGTGGGCATACTTCGGGATGAAGGTGTGACACTCATTTCATTAAGCAGGTACTGCCAACCATACCAGATTGGTGCCTCGGTGTGGTGAACGGTCAAACTACCCTCGGCGATCGGTTCGTTGTTCAAAGACGTGCAAGACGTGCAAATAATTCAGAGTAGCAAATCTACTGTGAAACCATTGCCTCCGAGGCAATTCTGATAGATGCATCTCAAGTTAAATTGTGACTTTTGAATCCGTAAATCCTGAAGGATTGTATTGTTTACATTGACATAAAATCTTTCCATCACACTACACCAATATCGCGCCCTCAGATGTCGTTCAGTAGCCTCAGCGCCTCCATCTGTCTTCCAGGGGAGTCTGGAACCAGGTTCAGGTCAGCCACTGATCGCCATCGGGCCTATGGGAGATGTTCCTTGCGGGTCTAACCAACTTCGCTAATGGTCCTCAACGTATTTTTAGCCACGGGGACACTCAAAGGAAGGCCTTTAACTTCCCTCATCCGAAGTTCTTTTGTCCTGCTCGACGTTCACTGTCGCAAGCCACAGGGTCAACTGTCAAAAATGTGGTTGTGCTCCTTTTCAACGGGCCGACGTCTGTTTCTTTCGAAACTGACACATCCATGCGTTCTTTTGCAGAGCCATTGTTTTTCACCCCTCGCATGCAGAGGTCTTGGATCAATTCTGAACCTCACCAGACACATATTTCCAGGTGAACGGTAACTTATGCGGTTCCGAGGGATCGGGCTCATTTCCACGAGGTCAGCCTTTCAGCACATACAGATTCTAGCCTCACTGAGAATGCTCCGCGTTTACAGGAGAGACTTCCCATTCTGGAAGCTATCTACTTCTCATCTCTGCGCCATCTGGTCGGCTCCTGTCAGCCTCATGGACACCCATGCACGCCGCGACCGCTCGCTTGTTGACCAGCACGAGCATGTCACACGCTGACAGCAAAACCGACCAGCCAGCTTTGAAACCTCCAATCTCGAACTCCCTCCGAAAGCATCTGGGCTGGCCTGACTTATGTGATGTGAACGACTCACTCCTGACCTTCAATGTTCGTGGCGGCGGTTCAGAGTCTCAACAAGTATATCTGCATCCCTCCTCCCCTTCGACTCGTTGTTCTATTTCTCTTTCCATCCTCAACCACAAGTCCAAGTCACTCGTTTATCCCGCTCTTACCAAGTCTAGCCCAAGCCACTCTTTCATACCTTCATTTATCACGCATTCCCAAGATGCAATTCTTCAGCACTGCTCTCGCCTTCTCAGCCCTATCGGCTCTGGCCGTCGCCATTCCTACTCCTTCCTCATCATCCTCCAAGTCCACCTCCTCTGGCACCACATGCCCACCAGCCCTATGGGGATACGACCCTGTCTCACGGCCGGCTCGGCCTCATACCTCGTCAGCGGCTTCGCCTCCCTGTTGACCGCGCCCTCCGTCAAGGCCTCCGCAAATAGTCTATTGGCACCCAGCTTCACCGACACATCCGACTCGATCAACTTCCCCGCCGGATATCCACTAGGCAACACGACCTTCCCATCCAAGACGGCATTCGAAGAGGGCCAAGGCAATGAACCTGCCATAGGTTTCAAGGTTCTCAACATCGACGCCGTGACCTGCAACGTCATTGCTTTCCGTTGGGAAGCCATTCTCGGATCTGCCGCTCCGCTCAAAGGTATCGACATCTTCTGCGCTGCCAACAATGGCGGTGACTGGCAGATTACCAGCGTCTTCTCCGAGTTCAACTCGGGAATCTGGTTGGAGGAGGTTGGTGGGTCTTGCACGGCGCCGACCACAAAGAAACAGTAGTGTCGTATAGGCCATGGCCCTGCAAGACACAAAATGGTTCAAGTACGCTATGCGAATTCAAAGGGAGGTATCCTGTGAGAGCGTGAAGGAGCAACGCGTGAAAGCCATGCCAGGCACTCACATGTTTGAATAGAGTGTCGTAATTACTTCGATAGATTTCTAATACCAATTGATTGGGATCCTGAATCTTTCATCTAAAAACCTGTCCTTCGTCCTGAAGAATGTTATTTCGAGCCCGAATTCATCAATGTCATAATCATTATTCAAGCTGACTGTGCACATCGCAAGAGCCAGCGAACTTTTATCTCCTCTTCTCAATCTCAACAATCCTTATTCCAATACAACTCTGCCATCCTAGGCAGAGTATCAAAACTACTATAATTCCCATCCGCATTGACCCAATCACTAGTATTCCCCGTCAAGTACTTCGCCGCGCTCGCCGTGAAGAAACTCGTCGCATAGACATCCACCAACGTACTGTCATCCGTGATATTGCCAGTCGACACATTCCCCTGGACATAATGCGGCACATTGGCGCTACCCTGATCGATATGCACGACATTATCGCCGTCTTTACCAAAATCATCGCTCGTCACGTACCCCAACGTCTTGACGAGCGTGGTATCATTCACCGCGCGTTTATATACCTTGTCGGTCTGCATGTTGACCAGTAAATCTTTAGCAACGCCCCATGGCGCCGTCATGCGTTGCCAGATATTTAGGTAAGGATTAGTCTGATATGCGTCATCGTATGTAAACGGGCCTTTGAGCACATCATATCGAAATCCGCCTGTATTGGTGAGAATGATACGGGGCATGTGTGTGCGATTGGCGTCGAAGACGACCTTCGGGAAGACTTCAGTCGTCAAGTAATTGTACAGAGACTGATTGCTGCTAATCGGCACACGAGCAAGGTAGTAGTTGTTCGGGCAGCAGCCGAGTTTCTCAGTCAAAATGGGTAAACTGTCGACCTCGTTAGTGATAGTCTTGCTGATGTTCACCCCCGCGCTCGAATTGAAAGTTGCTTCGGTCGTGCCTGTGTGGAATTCGAAGCTGTATCGGTTGAAGTCGAGGTATTGTCTTGTGTACGACATCGTGGAGTTGCGGTGAGGTGTCACGCCTGGCACAGAGGAGGGTGTCAACGTAGCGACTCGGGTAGCGTTGCCCTGTGGTGAATTTGCTCTTGTTACATTTGAGGGCAAACCGTTGATCGACACCCACCCAACTGTCTCGCAGTATCGACCGGACGCGATGCCCACGGCGTTCGAATCCCATACAGCCGCGTCGCGGATGTGTCGGTGGCCCCCGAAGATCTGGATTGGTGTCGTTGGGTGGTGCTTGCGGATCGCGGCGTAGATCAGATCCCACTCGGTCGAACCGCGGAGGGTGATGTGTCCGGCAACCAGGAACAAATCGACATCTGTCCGTCTAACTTGCTCTTGGAACCATGACTGGTTGACAGCCGTACCGACCGGGGTTACTACCGACGCATTGCTGTTGCCGGTGAAGTTGTACAGGAAGGCAAATGACATGATGCGGACACCGAATTTGGTCTGCCAGTAGGCGTATCGCTCAGAAAAGGGCTTAGCAACGCCCGTAAGATTGAAGTCCACATTCGATGTGATGTAGCGCCCAGCCCAATTCGGCGCGAAGTTGTGGTAAGTGTCATTAGCGATTTCGGTGGTGTATAGCTCGTGGTTGCCAATCGAGAGTAGGTCGTAGGGCAATTTCTTGAAGACGGGCAAAGTGAATTTGCCGTTGGGAGTAGTGGCATCGCCAAAGCCCGTTCCGTCATGAAGGTCACCCGAGTCGATGAGCAGAAGGTCGACTCCAAGGGCATCGGCTTTTGCCTTCATTCTTTGCACAAAGTCGGCAAAGTCGCCATAGTCGGCGCTGTAATTATCATCCAGCAGATGACCTGCTAACCAACCGTGTGTATCTGTCGTGTGGAGAAAGTTGAGCTGACCCCAATGTAGGTCTTTGATCTGCTGAGGAGGAGTTGCTTGGGCTCCTGGTTGTATTCGTTTCGCCAGATCATGGTTGTGCATGAGGCCATGGTCAACATAGCCTCCGAGCACGGGAGATGTCCAATCATGGTCTTCACAGCCGATGACGGGTCGAAGAATCGCCGTGAGGGCGAACAATGAGGTTAGCAACATGATGAAATCCCCAGAATGTGACGAAATACAAGGGTCCCAAGAATGCGGAACAATATAAGGTGAATCAATGCCCACGTGAAGCGCTCTGGCCACAACCTACGAAGTGGTATTATTGCCTTACCTCTGCACGGACCCTACCAATAGATGGACATGAGGCTGCCTTTATAGGCACAGCTACCAACTGCCAGCTGCAGCTCGGTACTGTTTAGCTTCGTGGATATCATGCTGACCAGCTCGTTAGTGTAGCGGAAGGAGTGTCGAAATGCACCTCGCTCGACCTAGGAAGGTAAGATTACCTTTGATCGACATGGTTGGGAAGGGATGATTTCGTCCAATAAGCATGGAAGAGGCAGTCCGAAGAGTGACGCATACACAGAATCATGAGTCGTAGTTGAACTGAGGTCACATACAGGTACAGAAGGTGGGAAGTCCTGCATGAATGGCGGCTGGGCACGACGCAGGCCAAGGACGGTGGTCGAGATAAGAAACGCAAATCACAACCACGAGGGCCGATCAATTGGAGATGACCGCGAAACGAGGCTTCCGGAATCAATATGGCCAAGAAGACCTCATAGCGTTTCTTTCTATCCAAGACGTGTTATTCCTTCGCTATACCCATCATCTCTGCTTTGTAGTTTCTCAAGAAAGGTCATCCAATGCTCCCAGTTCCTCTCATGCACCTCGTAAACGTCATGCCATGCCAAATAGTACAATCTGTCAACTCAACAAATGATGGGGTTGACAGCATACAATCCCTATACAGGCAACGTTAGCCCATCCAAACAGCCGCTTCGATGACGAGACTTACCTGATTCTGCGCTGCGATCTTGTCGAATCTCGCCTGTGCCGCTTCCTCATCTTCCAGAAGCTTGTCGATCGTCTTGACGTCTTCAATTGCCCAGAAGTCCGTAAATGCGCTTACCACAGCTTTGCTATGCTTCTCAAGGACATCATCGTCGACAGCGGCAAAACAAAGGCGGAAGTATTGCCAGCCCTTCTCTTCCATGATTTGTTGTGTCGGGCAAAAGATCGAGCCAGGACTGAGCAATACCAAATAATCGTCCGTTGTCATAAAGGTCCACAATGCTCTGGCAAGTCTTTGATGGTCCACCTTCCTGTAGAGCGGATGTGTCTCGTAATGTGCCCGCATCCACAGAAACATGCCGGCCATGGGATAGGCAAAGTCGTACAGCTGAGTCTTGTGGAGCATCTGGTAGTCGTCCTCGTCTTCCGACACGGTCGATCGTCGCCGTCCGTCTTGAATGAGGAATTTGCCGTCCTCAAGAATGGAGCTCATCAGCTGCATACGTCGTTCGTAATTGCCGCGCAGGCCTTCGAGCCATCGGACCCAACCATCCACCTTCCAACCACTACCATCCTTGCTGCCACCTTTGCCTGAGTCTGCCTTCGACGAAGGACCCGCGAGGAGTTCGACAATCAGACTTTGAACAAACCCGCTGGGTTGTTGCGTGCTGGTCTCGGTGATCTGTTGGATTTTAGCACAGACAGCAGGCTGGGCTGTAATCCAGCCCAAACGGCAACCAGGTGCCACAGTCTTGCTGAATGTGTCCATTCGCACGACTCGGCCGTCAACGTCGATCGAGAGATATGAAGGTACCAGGCTATCCAGGAAGTCGAATCCGCTTGATATACCTCCGGATGCAGTATTGTAGTTGTGTGTTGAAACCGAGGGAAAGTTTTCTGACACAGGCTTGCCTCGTGCCTTGATCGAGAGATCGTTGGCAGAAGGATATTGCAGATACCAGTATGGGTCGTCTTCGGCGATGATGATATCGTACTTCTGGCATACGGAATAGATCTCCTTGCGTCTCTTGACCGAGAGTAGCCCAGATGTCGGGTTTTGTCCCATCCTGACATTGTTAGCAAAGGTCTTAGTCCCAGATATAGAGTACTCACGTCACAGTATACATAATATGGGGTCTCTTGCCCTTGTTCTTGTCCCAATTCTCCAGAACCTCGTAAAGCCCACCTTTTCCAAATGCCAGCATACCTTCGTCATCGATTGCCACAGGGACAACATTGAGACCACGAGGCCTGGCAGCTTGAATGGCATTCATATAAGCGAATTCTTCGCACAGGAGACCTTCTCGCTCTCGGATCCAATCTCTTTCCTCGTCCCAGATGTTAGTGAAGCACTCAAGAGTTTTGGCAAAGGCGTCCGTAGAGCCGCATGTCAAGATGACTTCTGGTCCACCTTCATAAGGCGTATTGGGGTGCAAGTTGGTCTGCGCAAAGGAGCGAATGAAGGTGTAGAGGGGAGGATATCCCTGAGCAGTGCCATATTGCAGAGCAGTAGTCAGGTCGATCTTGCGCAAAATGTTTGACTCGGCGGAATCGTGGGGAACAAGGACTCGGGAAGCCTTCACACCGTCGGACAATGTGGCTTTGGCAAGCCTTTCGGTTGGAGGATCGACTGGGTCGTTGGGAGTCGGCTTGAACCGATCTGGCGTGGCAGTGGCAGCCTCCAATGTGTCGTAAGGGAAGTAGGAAGGGTTAGGAAGGCCTGAGCTAGGTCAACTACCACACATAATCAGACTCTTGCGAGACCTACCTCCAGCGAGATTGCCGATGCCCGGGATGAAGAAGTATTGATAGAAAGACTTCATCTTGCTGGGAACCCGGTTCTTGGTAACACGGGAATAGTGGTAGGACAAGTCCTTGGGCGCGGGCTTATCCATGGTCGTGGTGGCGGCCATTGCTGCGTGGACAGAGATTCGATGAACGGTAAGTTGGTCGAACAACGATGGTCGCAGTGTGGGCAGATTGTGTAATCCGTCAAAGATGATGAGGTGAGGACGCTGGACGCTGGGGAAACGGACGCAGCGACAGCAACGCCCTTCAATGATGACTTATGACTTATTGCCTGACATGGACCCCGATAAGGAAAGTAATTAAGCACCCCTGCGGTGATAACAAATTATTGCGGATCATCTTCCCACCGAACAAGCCGCCTAAACCTTAACAACCAATGAAGCCATTGAGGCCGTCTCCGGCCTTGCGGTATTGTTCACCCTCTGACACGCGACGACCACCTTGATCAACTTCAGTCGATATAAAGATATAACTCATACCGTTGAGTAGTCTTGAATCCAGCAGGTACAATGACCCTTTCACACTGTTGAAGTGTATCCTCCAAAATGCACTTTTAGGCAGTATGCCAACCTCACTCCCACTTGTACATACTCCATACACATGACCTGCCTTTTCCCACTCATGCGGACACTCATATAGGTATTCTTGACTCCATCCTCACTTCGAAATATCCTCTCCCCAGACCTTTTTCGCAATCTCCACCTCCAATCGAATCTTTGCCCACTGTTGCTCCTCGCTCAACTCATTGCCCTCCATCGTGCTAGAGAACCCGCACTGATGACTCAAGCAAAGCTGATCAAGTCCCTTCTTGCAGTACTTCGCCGCCTCATTGAGACGCTGCTCTATAGCGTCCTTCTCATCTAGATCACCCTTTTTGCTCGTCATAACACCCAGAACCACAACCTTGTCCTCAGGCAGATGTCGAAGAGGGCTGAAATCACCACTGCGAGCATCGTCGTACTCAAGGAAGTAAGCATCAACCTTCAAGTCCTTGAATAGAACCTCAGCGACAGGCTCATACCCGCCCTGCGCAAACCATTGGCTTCGGTGGTTGCCCCGGCACAAGTGAATTGCAATAGTCATATCGCTAGGTCGTTTCTCAATAGCCTTGTTGATGAGGCTGGCATACTGGCTGGCAATTTGCTTCGCATCGCTACCATGTCGTGACTCGGCCTCAGATCTCATCTTAGGATCGCACAGGTACGCGAGATTCGTATCGTCGAGCTGAACGAATCGACATCCCGCATCGTACAAATCCTGCAGTTCCTCTTGATAGACCCGCGCCAGATCGTCGAAGAACTCGTCGAGTGAAGGATAGGCTTTGATGTCGATCGTGTCACGGCCACCACGGAAGTGCACCATCGTCGGACTGGGGATGGCGACCTTTGTAGTGACCTTGCCATATGTACCTTCGCCGCCGGCCTGAGCAATCTGGTGCTCGAGAAACTTGAAGTCATCGACCTGGATCGGCTTACTGTGGCCTAGTTTTCCAGTCACGACCAGCCGAGGTGGCGTTATCCCGCCCTTTGACATGTTGGTTGACACGAGTGCTCCCTGAACCTCTACGCCATCGAAATGCTGGAGGAAATCAAGATGGAACCATGCTCGGCGGAATTCACCATCGGTGATTGAGCGTAATCCCGCCTGTAGTTGTTTGCGAACGACTTCGGTAATGTACTTGTCTTCGAGCTGTCGAAGATCCGAAGCAGATACGCTTCCAGCAGCAACCTTTTCACGTGTGGCTAGGATCTCTTTAGGTCGAAGCAGTGAACCGACCTGGTCGGCCCGGTAGACACCAATTGGGAGAGGCATGTCGAGTTGATTGTATATGTGTATATTTGTGTCTTTTGTATCGATGGGAGTCAAGCTCTTTCAGAAAGTGAGCGTGTTTGACTGCAGAAGATTTCCTCGTAGACGAACTTGTCATCTACTCTAAAGTCAAGCAAATGCAAAAATTGGGCCAGCCATGGGCAGCCTATGGAAAGCGTGGGTAGTCTGATCCTTGTGGGCACGTTCGAAACAAATGCCTTAGAACATCAACTGCCGGGCTTTTCTCATGCTTAAAGTACGTCATTCAGAGCGGAGGTCAAGTGTGGAGAATAGGTACCATCTCGTAGTAGTAAGAGGCCGAGGCTCCAAGGCTGAATGGGTTTGGCGACAAGGCTGACCAACCTTACAAAAGACACATTTGAGGTCGGCGTTCTGGAATGATGGCTTCTCAACTGCAAGATGGAAGGTTTACTCAATAGGTCGGAAAGTCTTGCGATGAGTCCCTTGCCACAATATCAAATCTTCGCCAGAACCCGCCAACCAGTGCGATACAGCCTCAGCGTCACCAAGAACGCCGACGTTCCCAGTATCGCAAACCCACAGAACAGCTGCACGCCCAAGTAGCTTCCCGTGCCCTTCAATATAGCCCCAGCAATCGGCGCACCACAAAGCGACGCAATAGAGTTGAAGAACGAAGACATACCCATCCTCGTCCCAAAACGACTCATATCCTTGGTCAACGAGGCCAGAATCACCGCAGGCATAGAGATAATTCCACCTGAAGAGAAGCCCCACGCCAAAGCAAACACAACACTTCCCGCCGTACCCTTGACCGCAATCCAACATAGGGTGACAATTCCACAAGCCGTCGCCGCACAAAGCATCGTGTTGATCGGCCCAATTTTCCCCGCGAAATATGAAGGCACAATTCTCCCTGGAATCGAAGCTGCATTCAGGATCGCGACTAGATACAATGCGACCATTCCGCCTTTCAACCCATGACTCAGCGCGTAAGGCTGCAAATAGAAAATCGGCCCAAAGTACCCAAAGTAGCTGCAGAATATAGCGCAGCAGTACATTATATACGGCGGCTCCGTGAACGCCTTCATATCGACCAGCGAGCGTCTCGTGCTGGGTTTTCCGCGTGGTCGCAACACGCAGATCGCAAAAATACACGTTGCCAGACTGATGAATCCGATCACCCTCGTCGCCCACCCAAACCCGATCCGAGGCTGTAATTGCTGGAAAACAATCGGGTAGATCGTCCCGCCCAGACTGCTCCCCGCGGTGACGATGCCCGTTGCAAGAGCGCGCTTCGTGGTGAAATACCTGGGCAATAGTGCTAGGGAGGGAATGTACAAGAACCCCGTGCCCACGCCGATAAGCGCGGCCTGAGACAACATGATCTGCCAGTAGGCCGTGCAGAGGCTGGTGAACATGAAGCCCAGGACGATCATGACTGACCCAGAAATCACCAGCGGGCGGAACATGCCCATGTCGTAAAGCGGACCTGCTATCACCCCCACCAGCAGAATAAGCATGGACTGCGTCGACCCTATCCATGAGATCGTGTCGGGCGACAGATGCGAGAACATTTCCTGTTCGTAGTACGTTTGGTAGACGCCGAAGGAGTTGATGATGCCCCTGTGGAAGTGATCGTCAGTGAACAAGCCCTTTTCTACAATTGTTGAACCTGGTGCAAGGTCCGACAGTATAGTGGGTAGGAAGGAGGTGAACTGTACCATGAATTGAAGAACAAAAGCCACGATCCAGCGACTTGCAGCCATGCTAACAGTCCTCCATCGGGGATGATGTCCTCGTCAGGTTGGCGGACAGCAACTGGTACATCTGCTGCTGCGTCTGCGTCTGCGTCCGGTCCTTTCACTAGCACAGAGCCATTCTCGTGGTATTGCTCTCCCTTCTCGGGTACAGAATCCAGAGTCGCACCACTTGTGTCCGGAGCTGATTGCATGGCGGCGGATGGGCGGTCTCCTGCGTCGCAATGTCCAAACGCTCAAGTCAGAAATGTCGTAGATATCTTGCACTCTGTAAATACCAGCGACATCCCAATCAAGAACACACGAGAATTCAGGTCAAATAAAAGGTCATGGAGTCATACCCATGTACAAGTAGAAATTGAAAAGTGTGGGGTTCGTTACCGTGGTAGAAGTTCTCCGTTGTACGTTGTACGCTGTATGCATTTCGATTGGTTGTTGCGAATCTGGCAGTACGAAGCACATCATCAACATGGACAAGCGCGTGCCGCGTTTGCCGCTTGCTTTCCGACGACCTAGATCTGCTTTAGAGGTGATGCTCTTCATTGCTGATGTATCTGAGGTTGAAATCAGCTTTTGTGATGATGGATAAGTGGATGTAAGCTCAGGAGCGACACGCACTGATAAAAAGAGTCCCAGAGCCAATACGGAGAACTTGAACGCGAATCGTTGTAGAAGGCACATCCGAAAGAGTACTAGTCCAGGTACATGGTTCACGATAAAGCTGCGAGCATGTGAAAGGCGGCCACCATCTATACATGGTGGTAGGCACTTCACTACATCATTCAAGGGTAGCCCACCCATTGCAACACGAATGGGATGAGTATATCGCTGACAAGACGTGTGACTTTTTGATCTGGGGGCATTATCATTGCTATTTCCATCATCGATTGGCAGTCAACGGCCCAATTCCCGTGTTCTAAAATACACCTTTTTGATACATGATATCAGGAGAACGCTCAGAGCAAAACAAATCTGTCGTAACATCGTAATAGAGCATGGACTATTGCTCTGAATAACTGGCAAGAGGGTGTATTCATTTCGACATTCTGGCCGCACTTCAGAATCAGTCCTGATGGATTTCATCTGTGCGAGAGTCCTTCCACGCTTCGCAACCCAAGACCAATGTTCCCACCACTGTTGTTCCTCATAGGATTTGAGTTGAACGAACCAGCACCAGTGCTGCTCTTCCCAGGAAGAGGCGGCATCGGCGGAGTAGGGAACCCAGAAAGCTCCATAGCGAATGACTTTCTTGGATTCCGGGGAGTCGGCAAACGACCCGCGAGCAAAGGCCCGTCGTGCTTCGTGTTAATCTTGCTGAGGCCCTTGAGTGCTTGACCGATACTCTCGCTTCGTCGGCGCAATACCGAGAAAGACTTTTTGGCCTCCATGGTCTGGCCATGTGCGGATCTTGTATCGAAGTCGTCATCATTATCACCTAGAGGACTGGGTGAGGATGGTAAGGCAGTCATGGCCACGTTGGTTGGGCTGGTGGAGCTCGACGAGCTCATTGCCGTCGAAGGTCGTTGGATCGTCGTGGAGTTGCGTGGGTTGCTGAAAAAGCCAGTGTTCTGCATCGGGAACGCTTCGACGCCAGACATGCTCGAAGTCGAAGGTCGACTTATGTGGCTCGAAGGGCGTGAAAACGTGGTGGACGTAGGTGTCTTGATCAAATTTTTGATACTGCTCATACGGGCATGGCTTAGTGCTGTCGAAAGTCGAGGTACACTGGACTTTCGCAAAGTCCTCGAAGTGGGTTCTCTTGATGACAGCGTCGTTAGTGGTAGAGACTCGTGGCTAGCATTGGCAATGAGCTCAAGGGCATTGACAGGAAGGTCTGGAACTTCGAAAAGTGTGGCTTCAGCGGCAGGAAACGCAGCCTGCATCGAGCTTGTTGACTGGCGTTTGGCTGGTCGTTCTGACCGTGAAGCTGTTTGCGACAGCGGGCTTTGTACCGACTTAGTCCTTCTCTTGCTGCATTGCGACACGCTGCTAATCGAGATGAGCGAGGGTCTAGATTTAGGTTGTTGGAATGAAACTGGGGTGGCAGTCTCGATGGGTGAAAAGGTCTCGTCCGTATCGAAGTCTGGACTCACAACTTCCGATAATGGTGAGTCTAGGACAACAGAATACCGGTCATATCTGAAATCTGCCCATGAAGCCAACGAAGCTTGCAAGACAGGTCTGGGCGAGGGCGGTATGACAACACGGTTCTCGTCCAGTCCCAACTGCAGGATCTCCTCATCGTCTGGTATCTCAAGCTTGAGTGGAGGTAGCACGCCGGTGTTATAAGAGATGGGTCTTCCAAACGTCGCTCTGTGCTCTTGAGTTTCGTCCGGTGTCAAGACACTGCGTTCTGATGGTGTTTCCACCGAGGACTCTCGATCAAACCGCTCTGCGTATAGTTCATCGTCCTCCGTATCGTTTCCATGTGTAGGAATGAGGTTGTTCGTCGCATTGGCGTAGCTCAAGATCTTCCTCTTCTGCTCATGGAGCCGCGCCTCCGCCAGTACTTCCTCGTGTTGTCTTTCTTGTAACCTCCTCCTCTTGAAAGACACAGACTCTGGTCGGCATGCTTCAGTCATGGTAGCCATGGTTTTCCTAGGGTCAGGATCTGAGGAAGGAGGAAGGAAATTGCCGCAAGGTATAGAGGTATCGCCCGGGACTTGCATCATCGCGGAACCATCAAAAAAGGCCTTGGGAAAGCCTGGACGATTCTCTGGACGGGGCTGGAGACATCTGTCACCTGGAACTCTAATGGTAACAGGGTCCGTCTCATGTGGGTAGAGGCTGCAACAGAGTTCAAAAGAAATGGGGTCATGCTAGGGAAGGTGGATAGAGTGATAGCCCTCGGACTGTGGAAGGGTACGCTCGGTTACCAACAAGCACGGACTGAACAGGCAAGCCACATATGTTCACATCCTGCTAAAATTGTAAAGATGCCGACCTGGGGTTGGACAACAGCCCAACCCAATAGAGAAGACGATTGTTGCCAAATGGAGGATAAGAAGAGAGGTCGAATCTTGAGAGAACGGACCTCGGAGAAATGAGAAGAGAAGATCTGTCGATGAGAACGAGATTGCAGGGAGTCGATGATGGGAAGGGATTTGCAGGAACCATGGATGGTTCACTATGGTTCTTCTCTCGGACATTTTGTCTGTGATGAAAATGTCAGAGGTTCTGCTGCAGGCTCGAGGGGGAAATAGTGGAGTGGAGGTGAAGCATTTTTGACACGACTTGCCCGAAGCTCCAGCGTTTCATCGCGACACCGCTCTCGCGTCGACCACTAAAACGCCATTCAAGCGGTGTGATTGACCTCTCGTGACCTCTTCACATTTTGGGTGCCATTCAGCATACGCAATAGCAGCCACAAACATGATGTTGTGTGTTTGCTTACGATCAGGCAAAGGGTACAAATAACCAATGAATATGATGTTGACCGTCAGGATAGCAATTGTGGAGAGTAGATGACGGATACGAGGTCTCAAGCAAACAACGACAGGGAACCGGGGACCAGCTGGCACCTCGCTTACATTTTTGGATCATTGCGTGGTTCTGGGGAATTTCCAGGTATCAGGGACAAAGAACCAATCGTCAGGTGCCAGAGTCTGCGAGGTACAAATGCGAGTGTCATCCCGGTCATCGAGGTCGCCCAATAATGAAGGCGCAAAACTTACCAAAGATGTGACTTGCAGGTGACAGTGGCTGGGTCGGCCCCAACTGGCACCAAACGTCCTATGGGCATTTGGAAGGCATCTCGTGCATAGTATGTCAAATGTCGATGCTGCGCAATAACTTAGCCGCAATCCGTCAAGGCAAGTCACTAAGGCTTTGACCTGATAGACTCCAGCTTGACATCCAGGCGACCGTTAGCAAAACACTTGGAAACCGGCACCGGTGAAGCCTGGCCGCTTCCACCTCACCACTGCCACAGATCCTTACGGAGCAGACTATCCGTGCTCGGTTGGTGCTAGCTGCAGAATCTGGAGAGCAGCGTCAAACAAGACCCTTGACCCTGGCTAGACGGAGATACTGTGGCAACCAGCCTGTCTCACCTGGGAGGGAAATCCATTGATATTGCCAGACACGTGCCACTCAGGTCGTCCTCGTACAGGCTCACATTCTGGGTAACCTCTTTACACACCAAAGTGCGCCCGCGCTGTCCGAATTCTTGAGACTCATCAGAATATTGGCCCTCACTCTCACCTATACCAACGCAATATGAAGCTAGGCGTCCGTCCATCACGTCACCCGGGCAAGTCTGTCTTACCTTTGACCATGCCGTGTTACCACAATAACCGAATCTGCACAAGAGGAAGTGTTGACACTATTCCTGCTTGGGTTGCACAGGTTTGGTTGGGAATCCGAAATCCACAACCTCAGAATCACGGTGCATCCGGTGTTTGTTTTGACCGTAAGCCTACCCAAGGAATTTGAAGCAGAGCAGAGTTTTGAATTCATCTCTCATAACAATATGTATGTTGTGGTACCTGTAACCACACCTTACTGTTGTCTATACGATATCCGTTCAGGCGTGCTGCTTATTTCCACTGTGTCAACCATTCCTTCACGATTGACACCTCTTGCTTCTGGGCTTGAGCCACAGGCGCCGGAGGTAACGTGGACGTTGTCTCATTCGGAAACAAGCCATTCTCATCCCAGTGATGGACCGCTCCGGCGATAAGAATCACCGGCTCGCTTGCATTGCTAGTTCGGTTCAGCTGATCGGGAACGGTCAATGTTGCCAACGGCGTCACCGGTCGCCAAGGGTCAGCTTCTCCTCCAATAAACGCCAGTCGTGGATATGAGATGTTGTATCCTCCGTACTTGTTGATCGCCTGGACATCTGGCGGAGAAGTGATGTTGAAGGCTAACCGGCAGACGAGGGACTCGTATTCCAATGTCAAGAGGCGAGAGATCAAAGGCAGCTCACTCTTAGGGACCCCCGATCCCGTCTGTAGGTATCCCCATTGACTATGAACGTCAGCAAGCTGTACGGAAACACTTGGAGCAGATGGAAAGACTTGTGGTACAGTGGGACCGTCTTTCGGAAGGAGGAAAACTTACGTGCAGTATTGGTAAGCCCACGAAAGAGCGTTGTAGTTGTCAATACTCTTATCAGTGTACATCTCCGCAGAGGCGTTGTGGTTGTCGTAACACGAATTCAGAGGTCCATCGCATGAGGAAACACCGTAGCTGTCGTTGGTCCAGGCCATCATGTTCAAGAAACTGTTGGTCAATGTGGCCGTCTCATTACCCCACCCTCCAGCCTCGATCAGAGATGATGCAGTCGATGCCATTGCGGAGGTACTTGGCCACAGGACCTTAGTCGATGAAATGTTGCCGCAATAATAACTGAAACTTGGGTCGTTGACAGCAGGGTCCCAATTGCGGCTCTGCCACCCTGATATTCCATAGGAAACGAGGTTGGCAAAGTCGTCGTTATATGTCAGAGTCTCCAACCCGAATCCACTTTTCAGCTGTTGGACTGTTGCCGAGTCATTCTTCATGAGAATGTTGTCCACAACGTTGATGAGCTTGGTTTGCGCCGCGATGCAAGCAGGTGGTCCGTACTCGCGGATCTGTTAATCATCAGCAAGTGTTCCACGACAGACACATCAGCCGAAAGTGCCATGCCGAAGGCTTACCGGCTCATAATATTGCCAGTAATCATATATGGCCTCAGTCACGCCGGACGATGAAATGGCACCAAAATACAAGTTCGGGTACAGCTTCCGCGTGAAGGCAGCAAATCCGCCTGCATATGACCCACCGTACACTATGTACGGAACATTAGGTGCAGTCAAGTTCATATGCTCCAGCCCGGGAAAGACGATATGTTGAGCAAAATAGGCTTGATCCGCCAATGCCTGCTCGGTGGTGAGGAAGCGTAGGCTCTTCGTGGTCAAGTTCGCTGTAGGAAAACTTGTGCCATAGTATCTGTGCTCGAGGACAACTCCGATGCCATTGGTGGCATTGACCAATTCAGCTAATATGCCTTTCTGTAGGTATGGCAGACGTTCAGTCGCATCAGCTTCACCGCTCTGCAAGATTATAACAGGGCCGCCTGGTTTATAATGCGACGCATCGAAGAAGTAACGCAGGTTGAAGGAGGCGTTCGTATGAGGGACATATTTGGTTTCGTTGTGGAAGTGGTCGATGGGCACCGAAATGTTATGGCCAGGATACAGTTCCGTTGGGTCGACGTCGCGTGCCTGTAGTCGATGTGGTGCCGGACGGTTGCTTCTGTTTGAGGTGTTAACATAAAGGCAATAATGGCGTTCTTGATCTCAACATACTTTGCGAGCGCAAGGCCGCAGAGCGAGACTGCGGCTAGCAGGAGAGATCCTTTCATCGTGAGCAAGTGTCCCTTGTCCTGCGGGAAGAATACTAGTAGGATTGCATACAAGAACAATTGCAGCAGGATATACGCAGTACTTGACTGCCATCAAATCGTGGACCACAGTCCATTATTGCCGAACTATGGTCTTCCATCGTTCTTTGCTCGCATCTAGCTTCAACCCCGCTCAGCAGCCTAAATGCTACCTTGATATCGATATTTAGATAGGTTCAGGAAGGTACCCTGGCTATGACCGCATTGTGCCTGGGGATGCAACGTTGTAGAGAGTCTGCCTTTCACTCAACCGGAAGGTGGAAGATAGTGGTTGGAGGTGATCAAGGAACAGGTGATTCTTACAGCTTAGCCCGCCCCAAGCCGTGGGCTGATCAAAGCTTCCATAATGCAATGTTGTGGAGGTGGAGGGCGCTGTAGCCACTCAGCTGCTTGCCGAAGGAAGCTTGGAAGATAAAGAATATGCAATAATATGCAATATGCCACCACCATCCAGGGATCTGAGTCCCCGTCAATCATGATAAGCTTCTATGTCGTACAATTTGCGCCACCCGCCCGGTGCCCGTCATACCCGCAGGTCTCTCCCGAGGTTCATCAATACCATGTATTCCCCAGTTCTGCTATTCTATCGCCCCAGGTCGTTCAAAGTGTGACTTCATTTATAGCATTGAAGAAGCTAAGTAGGATTCAACCTTAGAAGCAGCGAACCTACTTCTCACTGAAGTGGCATCGTGTACGACATGAGTTGGAGTTCAGCAAATTGGCGCCGGTGGACACCTTGAAACAATCACCAGATTTATATTGATGAAGCTAGCGGCTTCACTGAGTTGGTTCGAAGACATGGCCTGGTATAGGAAGAGTTCTAGAACATTAATAACGAGTAAGTACATATAGTTGACGCTGACGAAGCCCGAGAGTTAGACAACTCTAGGCCTGCCGCGCAATCCGCCTGGCCCAAGCTTGGGCGCCATCTAAATGTGGCTTGGATATTGAAGTTTCTCGGCGACGTTCGCAAGATGAAGACGACGACAATAAAATATCATCCCTACTCGAGTCAAAATGTGAAGGAATTCGTCTTCTCATCATATGAGAGCGTGTTCAGGCAACATCTTGATGCTATATGACTGTCGCTGCAGGGTCATGCCTTTGCAGAAGGAACAAGCGAGCCTTGTCTATTCTCTCTTTCCTAAATGGGTCATTTATTTGGATTCAGGTAAGCTTCATGGCGCCATGCAGATTTCATCAAACATATATTCAAGTGAGCTTCCTAAACCAAATGTACTCCTTTTCCTCCTTATCTACTTTTCGCAATGCTTGAAGATTGCAAACTTTCATTATTGCCCATTTGCGAGCAGAACTCGGCCACCGTCGATACACAGACAACGGCCATCGACATAAGCCTGGTTGAGAATCAGTAGTGTACTCGTCCATACTCTCATCGTACATTCGACTTACCCCTGCTTGACTGCTAAGGTACAACACTGCACCAGCAATGTCTTCCGGTTTGCCGATACGCGCTGCAGGCATGGCCTTGAAAAGTTCTGCGAACTGGTTGTCTCCTTCCTCCACAGGGTTCATTTTGCTCGGTACGACTGCGGGCGAATGTCAGCACCCTTCACCCAAATTCTCCGGACAAGCACTTACAACCAGGGTTTATGGCATTGACCCGGACATACCCTAGACCCCCATAGCATCAGTATTATTGCGGAAGCCAGTCATCCATCAAACTCACATCTTGCAAATTTACTTGCTAGCAATGGCACCAAATGGTCGATGGCGGCCTTGCTAGCAGCATAACTTGTCAAGTCGACATTCGTGCAGTTATGCATACTGGCACAACTGCTGGTAATGATCACAACTCCACGACCTTCGTCCCTTCCTTTTCGGCCGTTTCCCAGATCAAGTTCCCCCGCAGCTACCAGCAGTTTCAAGAGAGCCACGGATAAAAAGTAATGGGCTGTCACATTGACCCGGAAACTATCATCCCAGTCGGAATGCCGCGATGACCACAATGAACTCTGCAATTCATCCAGTGGTGCAGTCTTCACATTGCACGTCTGGGGAGGATCCCGGCGTATACCAGCGTTCGAACACAGAATGTCAAGATGAGTCTCGTGCTTCTCGATTTCTTTTCCAATGGCGGCGATGCCTTCTTTCGAAGACACGTCTCCGGCAAACCTGTGACAATATCAGCTTAAAAAGATATACCAAAAAGACTGATACTCGGCTTACCCAACAGCGCTTCCGCCAGATGTCTTCCCCAGTTGAGACAACTCAGTCACAACACCTTCGATGTCATCTGTTGGCAAAGCTGTCACATAGACCTTTGCACCATTCGATACGAGACCCTAAACAAGTGTCAGGCCCAGTCCAGCGCGTCCGACTCAATCAGCTCACCTTTGCGATCATCAATCCCAACCCAGAACAGCCACCCGTCACCAGGGCCACACGGCCCTTGACACCAAACAAGTCTAATACTGACAAGGTCGACATAGGCACTGAATGGTTCTCGAAACAACGGAAATCATGAAAGCTAGATGCATCTAAATGCAATGTGGAGAGTCGATGATCTGCGGTCCTTTCCGCCTTCAATATTTTTCAGTCGTTGTTCTCCGTCCGAACGGCCCCAGCGCTCTTCGCACATGTCCGGTCGCTCCTTCCGCCATACGCTTTTTCAACGTTACACCATTTCGACCCGATCATATAAATCTCCCTTCTCATCTTCGAATGAAGTCCCGAGCACTCAAACTATCTTCAAGGTGATTATTGGACGACAAACTTCCTCGTCCGATTCGATCAACATGACTACGGCGCCGCCCATCGTAGGGGGCCTCCTCCAGGCTATCAACCACGATTACACGATATGGGTCATCGGCTCGATCCTCTTTGTCTCTGCATTGTACTGGGTCAGTCGCTACCACCAGTCTGTTGCGTACTTCTTGACTGACATGTTAAGTGGTCGACTCAAACCGACATCCCAAAGATCAAGGGCATCCCTGAAATTCCAGGCGCTTTGCCTGTTGTCGGCCATCTCAACGCACTGGGTCCAGATCATGCTACCGTCTGTGAGGGCTGGTGGCGCAAGTATCGTCAATCAGTCTTTCAAATCCGCCTAGGAAACACTCGAGCGGTTGTTGTCAGCTCTTTCGAAGACGGCAAGAAGATGCTTATCGGAAACCAAACCGCTGTGATTGACCGTCCGACTCTCTACACTTTCCACGGCGTCATTTCTTCCACCCAAGGTTTCACTATCGGATCCAGTCCGTGGGACGACTCGTGCAAGAACAAACGCAAGGCTGCCGGTCAAGCCCTCGGACGACCAGCCATGCGAGGATACCACGACATGTTTGATCTTGAGTCGTACTGCATCCTCCGGGACATTTTCCGCGACAGCAAGAACGGCGAGCTCGAGACTAGCGTTCGACCGTATATCCAGCGCTATGCTCTGAACACCACTTTGACGCTCTGCTACGGCATTCGTATGGACAACGTGTACGATGAAATGCTTCGAGAAATCCTGCACGTCGGCTCTGCCATCTCTCTTCTCCGTTCTGCATCCGAGAACTACCAAGACTATGTCCCAATCCTACGCTACTTCCCCAACAATGAGAAAAACCGACGCTCCAAAGAACTTCGTGACCGACGTGACAAGTACTTGAACTTCCTTCTCGACAAAGTGCGAGACATGATCAAGAAGGGCACCGATAAACCTTGCATTAGCGCCGCGATCCTCAAAGACCAAGAGACCAAGTTGACCGGCGTCGAAGTCTCCTCTATCTGTCTCTCGCTTGTCTCTGGTGGTTTCGAGACCATTCCCGGCACTCTGACATCGTGCATTGGCTCTCTGTGCACAAAGGAAGGCCAGGTCTTCCAGGACCGCGCGTACGAAGACATCATGCGATACCACGAAGATTTGAACTCCGTATGGGCAAACAGTTTCCAGGATGAGAAGGTGCCGTACGTCAACGCTATCATCAAGGAGGCCGCGCGCTACTACACGGTCAGCGCTATGTCGCTGCCCCGAAAGACTGTAACGGAAGTCGACTGGAACGGTGCCAAGATCCCGGCGAAGACCATGATCCTGATCAACGCTCAAGCAGCCAACCACGACGTTGACCACTTCGGACCTGATGGCAGCGTGTTCAACCCTGAGAGATGGTTGAACGACGAGTTTGTGATGAAACCGTCCACGACTGTGCCGGAAGAGAAGCCTGCCGCAGGTATTCAACATTTCTCGTTCGGTGCTGGGGCAAGAGCATGTTCAGGACAGTTCATTGCGACCCGACTATTGTACACAGCTCTGATCAGATTACTGTCGTGCTACAAGATCGTGGCGAGCGAGACGGAGCCACCGAACACAGATTATGTGGACTACAACCAGTTCAAGTCAGCATTGGTGGCGATCCCGAGGGATTTCAAGGTCAAGTTGATCCCCAGACACGAGGAGAGCGTGATCAAGGAAGTCATGGCCCAGGCAGCGGACCGGACCAAAGGCTACTATGCTGAACAGGAGTAAATGGTCATCGAATTGGATTACATAGCTTGCTGGTGTTGGGAGTACCGTTTTGTGCTTGAAAGCATCGTTACCGACCATGTTGACGACCATAGCGAAATACCACAGATTACCACATCATGCTTATTTTACTGTATCATGCTTCACTCTCGCCCTACTTAGCAGAGCCGAAGGGTGACTGCCACCCCAGGTAGCTTCGGACCATCGTAGCCACGCAAGTCTTTTCGATCTTGCCGTCTCATCCAGCCCCAAGCGGTGAACTCCTTCGCCCACAAGCCCAATCAGAAACTTTATGGTTTTGACCCACGATCCAAAGGACATGGTCAGGCCACGTGAGGCGGCTCGACGAGACTGACGCTGTGACCACGGACATCCGCGCAACCCCAATTTTTGCGGTCGTTCGTCTGCGGCCACTAGATTTTTTCTTGTGTCACCCACAACCCCGCCGGGCTGGGGCCGTGTTGAGATGAGGTAAGTCGAAGTCATGTGAGCGAGTTCAAAGGTATGTGCGGCGGAGAACAGCACTTGGCTGTTGCATAATGATTACAATATGATTGATCGCTCTCTTTTGGCATGAAAATGTGGTCTCGTGGGACGGTGATGGTGCCCGTCGCCCGAGGTTGATCGTTTACCTAAGGTAACTTTAAATCGATAGTCGAGGGGTTTGCTTATCGCAGCCTCGCCGATCTGCGTCCCGGCCGTGGGTAGATAAGCACCACACCAAGGGTCCAGGTCCAGGTCCCAGGTACGAAGCCTACGGAGATGGTAATCCCAAGTGTACGTGTAATATAAGGTAGGTGAGTAGTTTCCAATGGAGGTTCCCGCTTGAACTGAACGGATATTGTCGTGGAGAATTTCTTTTCGATCGTCTTGTTCGTTCCACTGTTACCTGCGCTTTGTTTCATTTACTGCTAGAACACCGTGAATCAGCTGCTCGACAATTAGAGGAGCCACAAGTTACTGTTGTTGTAACGGTTGTTGGAAGGGTGCCTCGAAGTTTCCGGAAAAAGCGAAGGCGACAGCAACAGCGAGAGCAAGAGCACTAGTACTTCGCTCGTTGGTTAGCAAAGGTGATAGCGCTGCTCGACGGTGTTCAATCTGCTCGAGAGGAGCGTTCTGCGATAGATCAACTTCAAGCCGCACGACAATTAAATTAGCGAAACTACATACAAGATTCCTAGCCGACAAGTCCTAGCCGACAAGATGGCGCCCTCCGAATCTTCCGGCGACGTCGACGTCGATGTCCTCATCGTGGGCGCTGGACCCGTTGGTCTCAACCTCGGGTACCAACTTCAAAGATACTCAAATCCACCTTTGTCCTCCGCCACGAAACCCATCTCCGTCCACATCATCGAGAAACACCCCAAGCCAATGCAAGAAACGTTCGGACGTGCCGTCACTTTCTGGCCGCGTTCCATGGAAGTTCTCTCGCAGATGGGCCTGGGCGATCAAATCACACAGCAGTGCGTCGCTGTACGGCAGTCAGCGGCATACGACAAGGATGGCACGGAAGTGTTTGGACGGGGATGGAGTTTCCTCGAGGGCATTGAGGACTCTCGGTTCAAGTTCGCGAGTGTGCTACGTCAACGATTCGTCGAGGACATTTTCCGCGCCGAACTCAAGAAATTTGGCGTCGAGGTCAGTGAGAACAGTAGCTTTGTGGATCTGGAGGTCGACGAGTCTGTTCCAGCAGGCGAGAGGGGCAGAGTCAAGGCTACGATCTTGGACACCAGTGGTGGCGAGGGTAATGAGAAGAAATATACTGTCAAGTGTCGCTATCTGATTGGATGTGACGGGTCGAGGACACTGGTCCGAGGAGCGGCGGGTATCGAGTCGGAGGGAGACAGGACGGAAGATAAGTGGGTGAGAATCGATGGTGTGTTGAAGAGCACGACGATGCCGAAACCCAGGGCGTACGGTGCGATTGAGAGCCCAGTGTACGGAAACGTGCTTTGGATCCCGCTTGACCATGGCGCCACGAGAATTGGATTTGCGATGAATGAAGATCGGAGAAAAATGTACAAGGAGCTCAACCAGGATGTGTTCATCGAGGAGGCGAAGCTCTCGGTCAAGCCTTTCGAGATCGAGTATGAACGAGTCGACTGGGCGAGCGTGTACAGTGTCGGTCAGCGAGTCGCGAGGAATTTCTGGGCGAAGGAGTCGGTATTCCTTGCTGGTGATGCCGCGCATAGCCACAGTAGCGGAGCAGGGCAGGGCATGAACGCTGGTATGCACGACGCCGTCAACTTGGGTTGGAAATTGGCTCTTGTGTTGACCGGCGTGCTGAAACGGAATGTGCTCGAGACTTACACGCTTGAGAGGCAGCCGAATGCCGCTAAGTTGATCAAGTATGACGAAGATATCAGTGTGCTGGTCTCGGGAAGATTGCCAAAAGACTATGCCGGAGACAGAACCGAAGATCCGAATGTTGTTCTGGGGAAGATTTTGCAACAGGCCAAGGGCTTCAACACCGGGTTGACGATCGGATTCGGGCCCAATGTTGCTGTTTTGAGAGACGACAGCGGCGAGGAAGACCTCGCTGCTACCATTGCGAAGCGGTCTATCGTGCCGGGACCGGCCATTCCTGGATACAGAGCTCCAGATGTGCAGGTCTTGACGCCTGCTCTGTGGGAACCTGTCTGGCTTCAAAATCTGATGCCGAATGTGGCGAGATTTTATGTTGTCGTGTTTGCGGGCAAGTCAGCGCAGGCGAAAGAGGCGTTCCTCACGATGAAGGCCGACATCCAGAAGAAACCCCGTCTATCACCTAGCACGAAGCCCTTGGTGGAAGCAAAGACGAATGGGGTGCATCTCAACGGAGATTCGTCTTCTGCTCAGGAATGGCCTGTGGATTTCCTTACCATTCTCCCCGAAAAGGTCGGCAATGCTTGGTTCGAGCTGGGCACAGATCCATTGGGCAGAGTATACTTTGACGCCGATGGCACCGCGAACAGTAGGTACCAGGTCAATGTTGATTCTGGAGCTGTGTTTGTGCTTAGACCGGACGGTTGGATTGGAGCTCGTTTCGAACTTGGATCCAAGACTGTGGTGGATGACATAGACTCGTATCTAGGCGGACTTTTGTATTAGTTGCTGTTGCAGAAAACCTGTGGTCATAGCACTTGGAAGAATTCATCATGACCCATTGTTTGCTGCTGTCCTGGACTTGATCACGCACGAGGGTGAGAGAATACCTGGCATTGATTCGAGACGCGTCGCAGCGTGATCTGGAGAGAAATGCCATCCTCCTTTGGGCTTAGGACGACAGCGGACATGAACGTCGCTTGGAGCAAGCTCTTTGAAGCGCCTTATCGCCGTACTCATCGTTCTTTTCCGTGGCAGTCCCCCTCCAATAGCAACAACATGGGCGGGCGATAACAAAGCTCTCCACATTGTCAAGTGCGGGATGACTGCGGCTAAAGAGCATTGCACAATGGAGATCAGTGTTACCTTGAGATCTTCTGGATCTCAGTGCCCCAGCGTTGCGACCACCGGTTCGAGATGGATGGATCCGATCTGCTCATCGTCAACGGCCTCGTGGTGACTGCATCTGATACTGCCAACTACGACATTGCCATCAAAGATGGTAAGGTCGCACTTCTGGCACCGCCAGGCGTGTTGTCCACAAACAGTGCGAAGCGGGTGATTGATGCAGAGGGCGGCTATGTTATGGTATGGACAAGAAGTCTCAATGAGTGCGAAGCTGACACAATCACAGCCCGGCGGCATCGACTGCCATGTCCACCTTGAAGAGCCCGCGCTGTTTGGAGGGAAGGGAAGGAGTTCAGACAACTTTGAGACAGGCACAAGAAGCAGTATCTGTGGCGGGACTACCACGATCGTCGCATTTGCTCCTCAACCAAAAACCATACCTTCGCTCCTTCAAGTCCTGGAAGATACTCATGCCCGAGCCAAGGACAACTGCTATACCGATTATTCATTCCACTTGCTAGTTGGGCATCCCGGCGAACAAGCCCTGTCGGAGTTCCCTCGTTTACGCGAACTCGGCATCTCCTCGCTCAAGATCTACATGACATATGCGGCTCTTCAGCTTCGCGACGATGAGATTCTCGACGTGTTATATACATCCAGGAAAGAGGGCATCACTACCATGATACACGCCGAAAATGGAGATGTGCTGAATTGGATGACCAAGAAGCTGGAGGAGAGACAATTGTTCGCGCCCAAGTATCACGCTACGTCCAGACCGCAGCTAGTGGAAACCGAGGCCACCAATCGAGCCATTGCACTGGCAGAGTTGATCGATGCGCCCATGTAAGTGGTATTTCGTCGATGTTCGGAAGCAAGCTGACTCACATACCAGCCTTGTCGTACATGTCTCGTCCCCATCTGCGGCTGCCCACCTTCGCAATGCTCAAACACGTGGCCTACCTGTGTATGCCGAGACGTGCCCGCAGTATCTCTTCCTCACCCGTGACCACTTGGATCTGCCAGACTTCGAGGGTGCCAAATGTGTCTGCTCACCTCCACCGCGGGATTCAGCAAATGATCACGATGCGATATGGATTGGCCTTGCTAACGGGACTTTTACTGTCCTCTCATCTGATCACTGCCCGTTCATGTATGACGACTATGAGAAGGGCAAGAAGTCCATTATCAGCAAAGAGTATCCTGAAGGACGCTTTAGTGGCATTCCCAATGGATGTCCGGGCATTGAGACACGCCTTGCTCTCACGCTGAGCGCAAATAGGCTGCCCTTACAAAAGTTCGTTGAAGTGACGAGCACCAATGCAGCAAGACTGTACGGGCTATATCCACAAAAAGGAACGATACTTCCTGGTGTTTCCGATGCCGATTTGACCATTTGGTATCCTCCCGGGAAGCTTGGGACATTCAAACTCACAAACTCGATGCTGCATCATAATGTAGATTATACACCTTTTGAAGGGATGGAGTTGAATCAGTGGCCAAGGTACACCATTCTCAGAGGAGAAGTGGTTTGGGACAGAGATAATGGTGGTCTGTTGGGAAAGAAAGGATATGGCAATTTCATAAAACGAGGGAAGAGCACACTTCCTGGCCCTGGGAAGGAGGGCGAGTGGGACGTCAGTACTTTCTGAGATCGATTCTGCTCGAAACATTCCGAAGTGGTGAAATTTCCTTACCTGTTTCCCTGTTGACGTGAACCATAGAGCACTCCTCACACCCATCAGTACTTGAGCTGAGGAAGCCTCGCAAGTGTTGCCAGCACGGCCTGGAATGGCGGGGATGACATGCAAGGCTGACTGATGGGTGCCACGGGTGGTCAGCCCAGGCACAAACCGAGGTTCCTTTTCAAGCGGGGGTGATACGAGAGTTCGACGCACCACAAAGGAAACCCATCCAGAGAGATAAATACTAAAGGTGATAAGCATAAGCATGTCAGCAAATTTCGCACGGGTTGGTCGTTGTCCTAGTCGCCCTGAACATCATGTCGACCGACACATTCAAACTTTACTCGCAAGCTATCAAGAGGAGACCTCTACCTGAAGACCCTATCACGCGGGCAGATGTCGAACACGTCCTGGAACATGGTTATATTGTCCTCCCTGATTGTTTTACAGCAGCAGAGGCCAAAGAAGGGCGGAATGAAATCATCCGCCTCTTGGGGAAGGACCCCTTAGGCGGACGCAATCCTTTCGAGGGACTCAACACTAACCGGATATATTCGCTGCTGAACAAAAGTCGCGTGTTTGATAAGTTTGTGATGTTACCGCGAGTACTGGCGCTGAACGACTATTTTCTGGATCCGGGATATCTTCTGTCGGCGTTTCACACGATAACAATCAATCCAGGAGAGAAAGCCCAGGGACTGCATCACGACGATGGATATATTCAATTTCCAAGGCCTAGACTTCCATTTGGAGCAGCGATCATGGTAGCTTTGGACGAGTATACCGCTTTCAACGGTGACATGTGCTCCAGCCCCGATCTGTGGCTGCCGACTGATTGGTGACAGGTGCCACAAGAATCATTCCGGGATCGCACAAATGGGACAGTTCACGCCGTGGCTCACCAGAAGAAACCGTTCCTGCGCTGTGCCCTGAAGGAGGAGTAGTATATTTCATCAGCACATTATGGCACGGAGGTGGTGCAAATGTGTCAGATCGTCCTCGACAAAGCGCAACCGTTCAATATTGCAATCCGTATATTCGCCCTATCGAAAACCAGATCCTCGCAGTCGACCCACGAAAGCTTGATAAGATACACCCGCGTATCGTCGAATTGATGGGGTATAAGCACATGGAACCGTTCATGGGCTATGCGGACGGCATGGGCCCGCGACGCGCTGCGAGGAGGATGGTTAGATGGCTCCAGCACGATGTCGAAGAAAGCCCTCCAACTTTTGCACACGAGGCACGGGAGCCCAAACTTTAGAGGGACCCTCAAATGCTTGAGCTGGGGTTGCTCGCATCACTTTCGCCACAAACGAACGGCTTTGCGGCCTTTGAGATCTTATGGGAGTAGTAATCCGGGGCTTACCTGCGCTGGTGCATGTATATGTAGCCTCGTACTGCTGATGACCAAAGAAGACTGGGTGAGAGTCCTCGCCATGTCAGATACGGTTCCCTGTTTTTATGGGGACGATCATCTCAAAACAGATAACGCGCTGGGAACATCCTTGACATGTAGAGATTGTGTACCCACTGAAGCTGCCGTACTTTCACAACATACCGCGTCGGGGTCAGGTACGGGTACTTTCTGCCCAGTACTTAAGGTGGCATGCGCATGGAAAAGCGATGTAGACTGAGTCGCATAAAGTCAACGAGGAATATAGCAAGTTTTGGCAGTTCAAGAAGACGAAAAGACTGGTGGACGGTGAGGTCCAGTTTGTCAGCTAACCAGGCTTACTCAGCCATCGATTGGGCGACCATTGTTGACGCGGATCCCGCCTACGTAATTCTGCAGATTAGGCGTGCAGAATTTGGGTCTGAGCGTTGAATTGGGCATAGCAAACTTCCCAAATTCGGCGCAAAGAGAGAAGAATACCACGCCAGCGCCTGGTCCTGCCAAACTCCTCCTGCGCTTTCGTCCTGCGACAAGCCAATCTTGGTATCTTTCTTGGTACCTCATATACTCACTGTCCCATACCGCTTGGTTACTGCGTGAAATCCTACTCTGGGGTAGCCGTCTTTTCTTATCCCTCCGGCAAAGGGCGGCTGACTGCGACCGCGACTGCGCTGGTCGATACTCCACGCGCTCGGGCGCAATTCCGAAACTAATCTCACATTTTCACCTCTCCATTGTCCTTGCGTTGATGCTGGATCTGTGAGAGAAACCTCATCCTGCCGGCGCCCCGGCCATGGCTTCATCACGTTCTGGTACCCGTCGCACTGGCGGCAACACTTCCACAGACACCGAACCCTTTCCTTCAATACCCGACTCGACGTATGCAGGGCCCAGTTCCTACAATAACAACAGCACCACAACGACTACCACAACCGGTCCGACCACGACTGTTACGACCACCGTCCCTTCCCGTGGCAGGCCTTATACTATAACCTCTTCGCAACCTGGCAATGCGGCTCCAATGACTGTCACGTCGTCCACTGGCGGCACTTCCAGAGGTCCCAGTACGCGAACAACGATAACGAACCCTACTCAAGTCACCCGATTGCGACCTATTGGTATCAGAAGGCTGCCTTCGAGCCTGCAGCAAAGAGATGACGGACCTGCAACTAATGGTGATGCTAGCGCCATACCTAGCAGGAGCTCATCGCTCCGAGGACGCAGCACTTCCGCACCACAGCATCTTAACCCTTCTGGCCCGACTCCAAACAATTTGACAAGGCAGACTACGAGGCAATCCTTACTTCCGACTGTGACCGAAGGTCACGCAACAGCTGGGGCCGTGGACAGAGAGACCATGAATGAGACAACAGATGTGCCCAGACGAAGACGTAGTGTCAGTAATGCTGCACGGTCAGTCCTCAGCAACTTCAGTAGCTCGTCGAGGGAGCGTGAGCCACGTATACAGAATCCGGACTACGATTCGGACGTGCTTGACCTTTTGGATGTTCTGGGTAGGGTCAACTCGATCCATGATCTGACTTGCATGCTGATGTTTTCCAGATCCTGAAGTGTCCACTCTCACCACCCTGAACAACGTCCAGAACTCCCTATTCGTCCCCGATCTTGGAAGATGGATCAACAGACGACCTACGTATACACTTTCCAGTCGCCGTGGATCGACCTCGAGCCGCCGACCGCAGAGCGGTGTTGAAGAAAAGCCAGGTGTTGGTATGACTCCGATACCGAGCGAGCCAACAACCGAAGCGGAACAAGCCGGTCGCCCCGAGGGAGAAGCCCCTGGAACGGCCCCTTCGATCCAACGGACTTGGTCATGGCAAAGGAGGCCAGAGCTTGAACGGACGCACAGCATAACTTCCGTGATGACTGAATCGCATTACGCCGTCTTGCCTCACGGTGTTTCTTTGGATGATTGGAGTGTGGAGGACAAGGAAGCACTGGACGATCATGTTCGACACATGCTGCATTCCAAGAGGTCGAAGTTCAAATACACTATGATCGCATTTGGAAAGTATATTCAGAAGCGTAAGTGGGAGTCGGTTCCCTGAAATCAATGCACCACGCTAACATTCGTCCAGCGCTTGGGTTCTGTGTCACGTTGTATGCCACTTTGATCACCCTGTTTGGCCTGGCTTGGGTGTTGTTTCTGATCGGTAAGTATTCATGCCTCCTCAGTGATCCCGATGACTGAACGATCTACGTAGGCTGGATTTATGTTGGAGACAGACAGGGCTACGACGTCAATGTTATTGACAATGTCCTCGTTGCCCTGTTCGCCGTGGTTGGCGACGGTCTTGCGCCGTTCCGAGCTGTCGATACTTACCATATGTGCTTCATTGCGCATTACCATCACTTGACCTGGAGGCTAAGGAGAGAGAAGGGGTTGCCAAATCTCCAGGATCACAACGATCTCCCATCACAACTCGAGAAAGGAACTGGCCCTGAGGCGCAAAAGCCTGACGACTCCGAGTTGTCCGTCTTGAGTCGGCAACAACAACAGCGGCTCATCCACCATCAAGCCAAATTTTCCAAGTCACACTCATTTTACAAGCCGCACGAAACGGCAACGCACTATGCCTTCCCTTTGCGCCTCCTCGTTGCTATTGTAGTACTGTTGGATTGTCATTCGCTGTTCCAGATTGCGCTGGGGACATGTACGTGGTCTATCAGTTACCACGATCGACCTCAAGCCTTGACCGCAACCATTCTTTGTTGTTCGATAACTGTCAACATCACTGCCGGTATCTTGATCAGTATTGGTGATAGGAAGACGAGGAAGAAGGATGTAGCGCTGAAGATGCAAAGGCAGCAATTAACTGCGGAGGCACTCAAGAAGGTGGAAAGGCATAAGATGGAGAGATCCGAGCAGATGGAACAGGCAGCCCCAGACGGCCGTGAGAACTTCGAGGTCATTGACGAGGAGACAGCCGGTTAAGTCAGGTCGAACTCGAAGTAAATGGTGAACCATGTTGAGCATCTTTTGGTGTGTAATTGAAGCAGGGCGTCGGACGGTGTTATCAGCAAGTATGGCTAATGTGGCACCCCGCCATGATCTGATCGAGTTCTTGGAGCGTGTTATGTCACCAACGAATGTTAACAGGAGTATAATTGATCTGAGGCCCTTGACTTTATGGTCATCTACGAACAGCGCTGAAATCTTCTGTCATGTTCTCAGCTTGGACGAATGCTGACTGGCCGTTCGTGGCCGATCTTAATGTTGCTGCAGATGCTTTTCGGATACCATGATTGCGACTGCCTTTGAAATCGCAAGACAACGTCACTCGCTCGAGAGCCTTTCAGCGTTACGGCAGCGACCTTGTCTGCAACAACGTTCCACCTTCTCATACCAGCCCTGTCCATGGTGATAGTTATTGCCGGATCGGTTTCATTCTTTCTTCCGTTCGTACGTTGCATCCGTCGGCGACCACGGATGTATCCTCAGGACCAGAACCCTACCTTTTGCCTGAAAAGTGAAGCCGGAGGCACATAGCATAGCCCGACAGCAGCATACCAAGCAGCCACCTGTTTTGTCACTCAACGTTTGGATGTCCACTTCCCTGCATATCGTCAATGGGTATCTCACTTCCTAATTGAGGCAGAGCACTGAGAAAGGTGCTTCAACAAGCTCCCACAGATCCGATCACTGCTATTTCGACAGAAACCACTGTTCCAGGTCTCCAGCCCCACCCTTGTTTCTGGTATGTGAATGCTAACCATGGTTCTAGGTATGTTCCAGACCTCTCACGGCAGCGGAAACCGCGCAGTCGAACGAAGATACGGTATCAGCCTTCCGACGAGCCCATTCTGAAGTCAGGCGAGAAGGACACATGATTACCCGCGCAATTGGGGAGACGTGCCTGCTCCAATGTCCCTGAAGAGATAGTTGAACAAGTGAAGCTCGCAACAATTGCTACTGGAAGCATTGACCTCTTTGGGGAGAGAAGAAAGCTGATGTCGAGTATCACAGCCGACTAAACGAGAGGGCATCTCGATCGGATGTTCAACCAGGACGCCGATGCCCACGACGACTGATGTGCTGCTGTTTATGTCATCATCGAGCCTATTTTCAAGTATCAACAATACTTGCCAGATTAGCCCGTGCTACCCTCGTGCTACCATCATTTGGTCGTTATGCCATTCGGACAAGCAATTTCCCGGTGGTGGACAAGACGTGCAGGGTCCAGCAGCAGCAACATTCTGCGCAGGAAACAACGTTCAAACAGACTCCGGGGTAGATCGCGCTACCAAGAATACGGGTGTACATCGAATGGGGCTTACCATCTTCGCTGCATAGCATGCAACGATCCTCATAACCACGCTAGGAACAGGCAAACGAGCAGGACTTTCAGTGTCGCATCGAAAGCGAGGATGGCCTCCCACGTGGCAAGTTCGAGGTGACAGTCTTCTTACTCAGCAGCCGTTGCCACGACAGACAAATACTTCTGGGCAGCTTGATACAGCCTGGCAAGATTGTATTGAACTTCTGCGGGCACTTTTCTGGAAAATACGAAGCACAAACCATCGTCCAATCTGAACCACATCCTAAGAAGACGGCAAGAAATATTGCCAATCAGAATCCATCTGCCTGCATTGGGCAAATCGAGTCGACTAATGACAATGTCGCTAGTGCAGACACCCGATAGGGTATGGCTCCAACTTCGGGACTCATCGTCTTGTTCAGCTTACAAGCTTCCCACCAAAGCCTCTTCTGGCACAGGGAAGTGGAGACCTGGGAGCTCGATACGAGTCGGCATAAAAGTGGAAGTGCATCAACCGCCTCGGGCCTATCATCGATCCCGCCGTCATATTCCTCTGGCTATAGAGATCGGCTGACTCTGATGTCTGATTTGCTCAAACAACTACGTTACCGTACTGGACCAGGTCTTGTACTTGCGATACCCTTGCAGTGATGCCGAGACCCTTGGGAAACTTGCCAGGCCACTCGGCCATGTATGGACCGGTTATGATACAAGATGTGGCCTGATGTGCCCCTAACGAGCATCTCGAACGTCAAACAAGCGCTTCTGTCGATCGATCCTTCGACCAAATGCACGCATTATTCTTCTGGAAGTCTGGACTGCTCTATTCCATCCTTTATACAGTATCACCTTACGCTTTATCGAGAGGTTTCCAGACCTTCTGATTTCCGGACTCGCTGTCAGTGTGATCACGGTCGTATGTTTGATCCTAGGGGATCGCACAGAAAGAAGCTGATCTGTCTACAAGGACGAAGACGCTGTTGGGACTCGGAGTGTTCTGGATACTGGCAAAGGGCGACAGCGCGCACGTAACGGCTTCGTGTGCTGCATTCCACTATGGGTGCATTCATCAAGACCCTCGATGTTGCAGACGGCCCTTCTTCGATGACATACTTCAATAACGACACTTCTAACTTACAAAAGCTTTCGATGCTGCCCTCTGATCTCGCGCCTCCCTCAGGGAACAACACCAGCTCCTGCCAGTGCCCGGTTTGCTCTCCTCTTCCCACCACACAAAAAGCAAGTCCCTTCTTCGCATCATGTCCCTTCAAACAAAGCGATGTGTTCCCCTCCTATACTCCATGGAATACAAGTGTGAACACTCCTGCCTGTGAAATGAACCAGACAATGTTGCAGTCTACATACTTCGAAGGTGCACAGTACCTTCAAACATCATCAGACGTTCTTTGCTGCTTCGATGAAAGTATCGATGTGACGACGAGTATCGATGAGGTCGCTGCTGCAGACCAGTTGCATGAGTCAGCTCTGGGGACTTCACCTACGACCGTGGAATCTATCAGTACAGTGGCATCGAAAAATGAGGTCAGTACCCCTCCCAGATCGTTTGAAGTACGCTCATTGCTCGGCACCGTAGAGAAGAAAAGCGCAGAACCGAGCCGCACAGAGAGCGTTCAGGATTCGGCAACAACAAGCACTCGACGATGCGAGCAAGGAGTTGAAGCACTTGAAGGAACAACTTCAACAAGCTAATGCTCTGAAAGATCATTTCAAGAGACTGTTCGAAAACCTTACCAGCAACCACGAGAGCTACAGAGAGTTGGGAATATGCTAGGTCAAGGTGTTTGCCCAACCAGTCATGAAGGCGCCTTGGAGCGATAAAACATATATCTTGATGACGTTTATGATGACCAGGGAAGTAAAATTTGTCTTTGATCTCCGTGGGAGGCTCTTGTTCATATCTTTACTAAGAAGGATTGTACGGAGAAGAATCTCGGACACCTCAGCGCGCTGCGGGGATACATATCAAACACTTTGTGGGCACAAGAGAGAACCGTCCGGAGGCTTCAACGAAAAGAGAATTATTGGCCTTGGACACAAAGGGAAAAGGCCATGGTTCACAGCGAGCCTGTTCCAGAAAAAGTGGCATTGTCTGACACGGAGTACGTGGAGACCAGGAGTTCAATTTCCAGCAGGCTCAAGACGGCTGGTGCCTCGAAAGCAAATCAGAATGCTGATAAAGCTGGTACACCTCCCCATCTCAAAGGCAAACGTTGTAACCTTATGTATGAAGTGCTCCGATGAGGCAGAAAGGAACGAGATCTTTTGCACACGAGGAACTACGATGGTCATACATGCCACTTTTCCTGGACAGAGGCTCGCCATTCGAGACCTGCACCGGTTGATTACATGATCTAGGTAAAGTTGATTTCCGCATGAGGCTGAGCTTTCAGCATATTGATTGGTTCAAGAGCAGGAATTGTGCTGACGAGAGGCCAATCATGGTCGCTTACTTCATCAACGACCTCATCCCGATGATCAGTCTGTACCAGTCACTCGCTTTCATTTCAGATAGCTCCGCCATCTTCTCGTCTTGCCCGGACCTAACCCATGTCGTGCGAGCCCGGTTATGTGTGTGTCTGTTTTTGAGAGGCACTGCCGCCGTGCACCATGATTTCAATCACTGGGGTCGCTCGGGCCTCCATGTCGGAGGCAGGCCTGGACTTGATGACAATGCCGATCCTCATACATTTCTGGTATGTGCTCTAACGTTAAGCCGTCCCTGCTGCTCGTAGCACTTCCTGGTCGTTATGGCCTTGATGTCTGACCATTGATCTTCTTGAAGATCCTTCCATTTGTTTCACCGGGAATCTACCCAGACTACTCTACATAAGGCTTTTGCTACACACCGGGCTGCATTTCCTACTGCCGTTCCGAAGTCGGCCCTAATTCCTCATGCAAGACTTTCGTCCTTCACATACCAAGTACGGACAGCGCTGCAGCAGTTCATGAGTCATGGCGCTTGACGACAGCCACGACAGTGACCTGACTGTGTTCGGACTTGTGCTCAGAAGTGGAACTGGAACCGGAATTGGACCAGATGGCTACCGATGCCGGAACCAGCAAGATCAGGCGCAGGCGCAAAGGGGGACCCGAAAGATGCAGACCGAGACCCAGACCTCCGCGCCTGCGATCGGGAAGTTCGAATTCGTCATGATGGGATCGCATGGAGGGCTCAACAAGGAAGGAATCAGTCAGATTAGGGCGCATACAACCAGGGAGCTTCACAAAGCTAGACGAAGTTCCGGACAGGTGTGTTCATGTCATTCGTAAAGCGATAGGATCACAGGAAAGTCGTCTATTGACTGACGCATGACGCTCGGCAAGCAGACTTTGCCTCGACGACGTCGAGATGGGCCTGGGAACATATTTTTCGGATCTCATATTGACGCTTTTCAGGCGCTGCCTCAATTGCGCCTGGAGATCTATAAGCCTGGGATCTTTGACGAGGTTAAATGCAACCGTAAGTCTTGTCCGTCTTTGACCTTTCCTTTGCATGCTTTGCATTTGGTGCGCATGAAAACTCTCCTTCTAAGTTGTGTGCTTGTTTGCGGCCTTGCTCAGATGATACTTTTCTATGCGCGATACGCGGTGATTTGGTGTTAACGCTACTATGGCTGATCCTTGGGATGAACTCTGCAGTATTTCACGTGTTCGACCAAAGACTAATGAGAGAGTCGGTATGGCCGCTTGGAGCCAGAGACAACGCATTCTTTGCTGGAATGATGCTCATGTGCTCAGTACACTTGGACAGCATGAACTTTGACAAACCTTCGCCAGTTACGACGGCCCTCAAACTTGAAGCCATGAGGCTTGTGAGAGAAAGGATCGGAAGTTCTTCAGCTGATGTGATTATTGGGTGCATCTCGGCGATCGCGTGTCTGGCGAGTTGCGCATTGGTAAGTCCACCTGATTTGTCGCACATGGCGGCTGACGTTCGAAATCAAGGTACGCGGCGAATTTGGCGGTGCGAATGAATACAAAGTTCACCGGAAGGCGTACGTCGTGCTCATCAATGAGATCTTTCGACAACAAAAGTTCGAAACGTCGAGGTTCTACAAAGACGTATTGAAGATCATCACCATGATTTTGTATGTGTTCCGTCCCACGTTCTTTGCGTCTGGTCTATTGTCACGCCGGGGATTCTTTGCGTACTGATATTCCCATTGGGTAGGATTGGCAGACGATGCCGCATGCCCGTGGCTGGGTTAGCGCCACTGGCAGACTCGGCCACCGCGCTGGACGAGTATGAGTACGTATTTGAAGACGTGTGGCAATCGAGAACACATCCCGATCCGGAACTGTATTCGCCCGTGTACGACGGTCGGACTGATCACGAGAATGATGCATTCCCGTATGTCCAGAGGGATCATCTTCGTTTGTTGCTGCAGATGATGCAGTCGGTAATCAATATATGGCTGCGGCAAATTACCGATGATCTAAGGCCCAAGGACGAAACAGTTGTCCTGGACTCCTTGTGTTCACAGATCCTGGATATGCCTTCAGCGAGGAAGCCGGACCTGGCATGCTCGAATGATTTCATGTATGAGGCGTGTCGATTGACGTCGGTACTGATGGTCCAGTCCGTCGAGCAATTCGTGTCGTGGCGAGACGCAGCGCAGGGGACGACTCTTGTGGCTGAGATCAAGGCGGCCCTGGCAAAGACGGAGCTCGATGGACTGTGGGGAAAGAATATCGGATTACTGTATTGGGTTGTGTTGGTCTTGCATTGCGCTGCTTTCGAGACGAGAGAGTACCCATTTGCGCATGCGTTGCAGACGAGGATACATTTCCAGTTGACGTATGAGTATCGAGACTGGCATGGGGCGGTGAAGCCGATGCTTGTGTTGAAGGACGTGATGTGTGTACCATGACGCCCAGGACATTGGGATGAGAAGAAGATGTTGGTTCTGTTGGTATCAAACCTACGTAAAGAACAAGGTTTCTTACTAGCTTCATATTGTGGTCTGCTTTCCAAATACGAATCTTATGATCTCCTCCAACACTTGGTTGGGGTTGTCCTCATGAATCAAGTGCCCTGCCTCCTGGATCTTGACCTCCTTCTTCCTCGAGGCGCCACAAACCCTGAGTAACTCATGGTTGATACACTGCGCGAAGTATGGCCCATCAGTGCCCGTGATGACGAGTACGGGCACCCTGATACTGCGCGCATCTCTAACAAGGTATATGGGCATTTTGCCGTACCTTAAAAACTGGCAGATTACCTTGGCATTGTTGTCGACTTGATGCATTCGTTCAGGGTTGGCCAGGATGCGAGGCCACAACTTGGGGCCGAGACAGCCGCTGGCGAAGGTAGTGAGTGCCAGCTCGTATTCGCCTTTCTTGGCTTGTGCACTAGCAGGCCCGACGGTGTTGGCACCGTATGGCATGACGTAGCAGAAGGAGATGGGGTGCCGGAGCAATAACGAGAGAAGTGTCCATGGATCAGGAGGCATAGTCGGCACGAACAGCGTGATCAGTGGCGGCTCTTCTAGTAGCAATGTCTGGAAGAGATGTGGTTTGGTCCGGGCGAGCCAGAGGATGACGGTGGCCCCAGACGAGTTTCCCAGAACGTGTACTGGACTGATATCAAGAGTCTCGATGAATGACTCGAGGTCGAGCGAGTCTTGTTCCCACGAGGGATTTTGGCCGTCTGGGATCGATTCGTTCGGCCATGAGTAGCGTTTGCTGTAGTTGTAGATGTGGAATCGAGTCGATAGTTGATGTTCAAGGATCGTCCAGGTGCGATGGTCCGAAAGGTGTCCGTGGACGAGGACTAGCGGTTCGCCTTGTCCAGACTCACGGTAGGCGAGTCTCGTCCCGTTGATCTCGATGTGGCAGAGAGCTGGAGTTGATGGACTGGACATATTGGCACGGATATCTGTGTGGTGGTGTTATACGTTGCTGCGAGTATGACTGTGCTGGGGACGATGTTGCAGGCATTGTTAGTGAAGTAATGCTCGTCAGAGAAACATGATATATATGGTATATAGCTGAAAAAAGCTAGTAGGAGGATCAGCTGGGCATGTTCGACGCGGACCGGCTTCAGGCGGTAGGAGGTGAATGGGGTGTTCACGAAGCCAACTCATTGGGGAATTCGGCGGTGCTTCTATACGAACTCGAGACACTGCGGTCGCTAGTCAGTCTGTTACGATGCGTGAAACTCAGCTGGTGGCGGCAGAATACGAGTTCAGTGCTCATCGACCTTCGCCGGGAAGACGATAGTTGTATTCCACGCGGGAGGGCGATAGAGGTGATGACCCTCTAATGTCAAGACCGTGGGTCATGACATCAGATGCGAAGCACTCCGGACAGATGGCGAGGAGGAATATCTATATGATCCCGAAGGCGCCACATCTCCTGGCGACCGCCTTTGTGATGGATTGCTATGGGAGAGGTGCAGAAAAGGACTATTTGAGGTAAAGCGGCGATGACGTCTGTCCGGGCTGATCATTTTCTCCGCAAATGCAGCCTCGCGTTCATTTCAAGTTGAGTCAAGACCAACCTCACGACCGCGTCCGTGGTCAGAGTAAGTCGTCATCATGCCGCCTCAAAGTAGAGGCCCATCGCCGGAATCTGGGCGACGCCCATTTCCCAAGTCCGAGGCTCTCCCGCCAACCCTACGGCCCTACCTCGATACTCTTCCTTCTCCGACGACATTGATTCCCGACCAGCGAACTCCAACTGGCCCTCGCTTCAGCATACCAGATCGTGATAATGCTACGCCCACACCAACACCGCGGAAGGGCAGAGATCGTGCAGCCACTGCTTTCGAGCTCGGAGCTGAATCTAAGGATGTTTCCGATGATGAGGATGAACATGAAGAGCAGGACAATGATGAGGGTGAGGATGTTGCCGGAGTGACATTGGATGATGATGACTTTGAGAGACACTATTCGCGGCAGGAATCCCCAGAATCGGAAGAAGAAGTCTCAGAAGAAGAAGGAGGATATCAGGACGAAGACGGCGACGAGTCTGAAGCGCAGTCACATCAAATTGGCACGGCAGCGGCAGGAGGGTTCTTTCCTTCATCTTCGAGCAGACCAGATGCTCTTTCACGCGTACGGTCTCTACCGGCACGGCCGCCTATGCAGACGAGTATCCATAATCTCCAGCAAAGTGGTGGCCTACATACATCTCAGTCAACAACGTCTCTACCACCTGTCCCGCCTCCACTCTACCCACCTTTCTACAATCGACCACCAACACCACTCCCACCGTCTCCTAGTCTGACATCCCTCTTGCGTCCACCATCTCTACTGAACCGATCTGCGACCTCGACGCGCGCAACGACACCAGATAGCTCGGACGTCGAGACGCCCAACGATACCGAAGCGGCCGTGGCACATTCAGCCCGCCGTGCTCATCCATTACCACCGACATCCCCCAAAGTGCCAACATACGAGTACTACGGATTTGTGCTGTATTTGGCCTCGACAATCGCGTTTCTCATCTACATTCTCTGGTCGTACCTGCCATCGCCGTTCCTTCACGCGTTGGGCATAACATATTATCCGAACAGGTGGTGGTCTCTTGCAATACCTGCTTGGATAGTCATGCTGCTAGTGTTCATCTACGTGGCCTTGCTCAGCTACAACGTTGAATATCTGACCCTGCCTATGACAAGTCTCGAGTGCATGGTCGACGAAGCAGGCAACGTGGCCATCTTGGACGAATCAGGTCGACTTAGAAAAGGTGGTAGTAAACGATTCGTCCGGGAAATGGAGGAACGCGCCAGAATGGAGCGCGCCATGGAGAAGACAAAGTCGAAAAATCTGAAATCGAGAAAACAATCCAAGAGCGGGAGTGGCTCCAAGGACAAGGGCAAACAACGACGAACGTCCTCGCGCCGAAACACAGGAGAGTTCCGTGCTTTGTCGTCAGATGTTCAACCATGTGCTAATGGCACTGCTCGTCCGTCCTCAAACCAGGGTCAGGCACCCTATGAATATGCCCCGACATTTCCGTATCTCAGCAATGCTACAGTCAATGTTCAGAATCACCTGCAACACAGCGGCCCAGTATATCCGAACTGGCAACTCGTCTGGAATGAGGGCACAGACGCTGTCATGGATGTACCCATTGGTGGTGTCTGTGAAGTCTTGTACGGCTGATATCGAAAAACAGAAAAAAGGAAAGTTTTCTCGACGCCACAGATTCCTGTTCCTGTACTCGTACCTGTATGCCACAGCTGTCATCAGGCTTCCATGTGCTGAGGGGGCTAAGGACCGGATCAAATACCCACGGCCCCAAGAATGTCGATTAATTGGCTACCAGGCGTGCCCAGAGTGCCCAGAACCGGTGGCTTGTCAACACCCAAAGTTCACTAGATGAGCCATGACCTCATCCCTGGCCAACAAAACCTTATCGCCACAAAGTAATCAGTTATCCAAAAGTTGGAAAACCAGCGGGGAGAGAGTGTGTTGTTGTCCGTGGCGACGATAAAGACACTTTTATATAATATATCATTTTGTTCGCACAAATCTACGCCTGCTTTTTGGTCTCATAGATTGTTGCCCCTATTTTCCAGCGTTAGACTATTTTTATCACAACATCATGGGCGGCACACCCGAGAACTACTGCCTGTTGCAGGGTTTCGAATGGAACGTCCCCGCCGATCAAAAGCACTGGCTCCGTTTGAAGAACGTCCTTTCAGAGCTGAAGAATGCCGGAATCGACAACATTTGGTGCCCTCCGGCGTGTAAAGGTGCTGGCGGCACCGAGGCCAACGGCTACGATGTCTACGACCTGTACGATATAGGCGAGTTCGACCAGAAGGGCGGCAAATCCACGAAGTGGGGTCCGCGCGAGGATCTGGACCAGTTGGTCAACAAGGCCCAGGAACTGGGCGTGGGATTGTACTTTGACGCCGTGCTCAACCACAAGGCTGGCGCGGATCACAAGGAGAAGTGTCGTGTCATCGAGGTCGATCAGAATGATCGCATGAAGGACATGGGAGAGCCCTACGAGATTGAAGCATGGCTGGGCTTCGACTTCCCTGGGCGCAAAGACAAATACTCGTCCCAAAAGTATCATTGGGAGCACTTTTCGGGAACGGACTACGACGCGGGTAATGATCGAACCAGCATCTTCAGGATCGTCGGCGACAATAAGCACTGGTCCTCCAGCGTGGGCGACGAGTCCGGCAACGCCGATTTCCTAATGTTCGCGGACGTCGATTACAGTCACCCGGAAGTCGAAAAGGATGTGATTCACTGGGGCGAATGGGTGGTCAAGGAATTCAAGCTCAAGGGGTTCCGATTCGACGCGTGCCAGCATTTCAGCGAGCGCTTCACGAACGAGTTTGCCGCCAATTTGGAGAAGCAATTTGGTAAGGACTCGCTGTTTCTCGTCGGCGAATACTGGTCGGGCAACGCCAAGGAGATGCTGGAGTATCTTGATGAAATGCACCATCGATTCAGTCTGTATGATTCACCGCTGGTGAATACGTTCTCGCAACTGAGTAAGACGGAGAAGGGAGATCTGCGAAAAGTGTTTGATGGAAGTCTGGTGCAGGCTCGACCGCAGAGTGCGGTGACTGTGGTCATGAACCATGATACGCAGCCTGGACAGACTGTCGCGACGCCAATCGAGGGTTTCTTCAAGCCCCTTGCTTATGCGCTGATATTGTTGCGGAAGGAAGGGTATCCTTCTGTCTTTTATGGTGATTTGTACGGGATGCAGGGCAAGCATGCGGAGCCGCCGAGTTGTGGGGGGAAATTGCCTGCTTTGGTGCTTGCGAGGAAATTGTTCGCGTATGGCGAGCAGGATGATTACTTTAGCGACGATGCGAATTGTATTGGTTTCGTCAGGAGGGGAACAGATGACCGCAAGGCTGGCCTGGCGTGTGTCATGAGTAATGCTGGGCCCGGGGAGAAGAAGATGTCTGTTGGAAAGGAGCATGTGGGTGAGGTGTGGACTGATGTGCTGGGCTGGCAGACGGAGGAGGTCAAGATTGACGATGAGGGATATGGGTTGTTTATGTGTCCTGGGACGAGTGTGTCTGTGTGGGTTAATAAGGAGGCTGAGGGACGGGACAGGATTGACAACTTGGAGTTTGATACCGAGATTTACAAGAGGGCTTGATTGGAATTTGGAAAGTGATAGAGATGGGGTTTGGATATTATGATATGCCATGTCAGGGGTAATGTGGTTTTAATTAGAATCGTAGACCCAAGACAGAGTAGACAGTCTAGAGGGATAGAGATGGGCCAGCTTTCTTACAAATGCATAGAAATGGAAGACATCTTATGAAGAGCAATGAACTTAGAATCTAGATTATGGATGAAATTAGTTGTCAGCCCTCAGCATCGTGTCGCATGCCCGAATTCTTTGATGGCTACGAATGTCAGGATATCAAACTACCTGCTTGACAAGAGACAACATATAAGGTCGAATATTAGCGCGGCGTATGATCATCTGCAGCTTATCCCATACTCAAAAGTCGTTTCTCCGTACATGGTCCTGCCATGGTTCAATCGTTTCTCATCTCATCGAAAAAAATCATTCACTCGTCAATCGCATTCATCAATCGCACTCAGCCTATCAGGTTGGTGGCTCGATTCATATCGTGCACGATCATCTTCATCAGCAGCAGCAGCATCGGCCTCAATAGACCCTTCACTCGCTTCGTCTTCAGCCTCATCAGAAGAAGTGAGTTCGGCACTGTAATCGTGTTTGGACACACCAGCATCGACCGACGGGCCGTGTGGTGCCTCATTATCGTCCTCAATGCCCTTGTAATACTCTGACCGTGTAAGACTATCGATCTCTTGTTCAAGATTGTCCTTCCACGCCGTGAGCTCAACAATCACTTCAACTTTGTTGTCCAACTCAGCCTGAAGTTTGGCAGCGTTTTCCGTCTGTTCCGTTGACAGCTGTTGGAATTCCTGTATACGTGCTTCAAGGTCTTTTGCGCTTTTGCCCGCGGACGACTTTGTTTTCAGTTCAGTCCGGAGTGCTTCGATCTTCTCCGTCGCGTACTTCAGTCGTGCCTCAGTTTCGTTCTTTCTCTGAGTTAGAGCGTCGATCATACCGTTCTTGGCTTTGAGTTCCTCGTTGAGGTGCTTGATCTTTGGAGACTCAGAGACTGCCGGGTTCGATGCGTGTACCCTGCCTTCCAACTCCTTAAGGCGGGTCTCAGTCTCTGTCTGAGATGACAGAGTGGCCTTCAGGTCAGCTTCTTTGTGATCAAGCTCTTGCGACGACCTGTCTTCAACATCCCTTAATCTCTCTCGGAGATCGGCCAAGGTATCTTCGGCAGTCTTATGAGCGTCTGACGTAGCTTCGAAAGACACGAGTAGTCTGCTCTTCTCAGCCTCAAGCTCTGCACTTTGATTTGTAGATTGGTTCAAAGTTCTCTGCAATTCATGGACTTGCTTGATAATCTCTCCGCTCTTGTCCTGCTCTGCCGTCAAGGCTGTTTGTGCTGTTAGTCGAGAGGCAGAGATCTCCTCAAACTGTTTCGAAAGCTCGTTGTTTCGGTCTTTGACTGCAGCATGACTCGAAGATTCCGTGGCCAACTGATCTTTCAGTGTCTGTGACTCGCCCAGCAATGCTTTATGCTTCTCTTCCAGGCCGTGTAAAGACGAGATTGCTTCCTCGTGTTTACTCCGCAATTCGTCCAAGACGCTGCTTTTGAAAGCAAGACCTTTGGAGAGATTGCCCGAAACAACCTTCTCGTGTTCCAGCTCTGCTTTGAGTCCAGCATACTCTTTGACCTTATCAGCTAGCTCGGAGATTTCCGCCTCAGATCTTTGCGAAGCCGTCTTACACGATTCGTAGTCGTCCAGAGTGTTGTTGAGTTCGGCGATCTTGACTTCACATCTTGCAAGCTCTTCCTTGCACGCGGCAAAGCCTCCAAGATCAACCATGAGTTGCGCCACTCTCTCTTCAGACGTTTTTAGAGCTGCTTCAGAAGCGCCGAGTTCTTGTATCCGCTCGTTTAGCTCAATGACTCTTGCCTCCGATGCGGACAGAGCCTGCTTAGTATCTTCATACCCAGTCAAGCTCACATTGAGATCGGCAATGTGCTGCCGAGCAGATTCAAATTCGCACTCAAGAATCTTGTAAGCGGAGGAGTCTGCATCGCGATCTTTGGAGGCTGCATCGAGAGCATCTCTGGCATTAGACAATTCCGTTGTCTGTGCATCGATCTGCGTTTGCAAATGTTGTTGTGTTGAGATCAATGATTGCTCGACTGTAGTAAGAACTTTGGCTGAACTTTCCTGCAGATCTGCGAATCGTTGAGTATGTTCTTGGTCAGTGACTTCGGCATACTGGAGTTGGACTGCTAGTGCTGAGAGCTGAGCTTCTAGCTGAGCTTTCACTGCGGAGTTTGCTTCCCGGGATTCTTCTAACGCCGTAGCGGACATTTGCTGAACATCGTGCAGCGTTGATGTTGTCTCGGCAATAGCATGTTTGGCAGCTTCCAGATCGTTGTGAAATGATGCCAGTTCGGCTTCACGACTTGTCACTTGATTCTCGTAGTCAGCCTTGATTTGTTCGTTCCCTGCCCGAGAGCTATGCAACTCCTGTGTGAGGATCGCCACACGTGAGTTGTACTTGTGATGGACATCCTCAATAGCAATCTCGTGTTGTCTCCTACAATCCTCTTTGGCAGCATCACGTTCAGCTTTCTGTGCATCTCTGATCTGTTGTACAACGACAGCCACCATGTTTTCTTCAAGAGAAGCCTTTTGCCTCCTCAGTGATGCCTCCTTCTCCTTGTACTGAGCCTGGAGCTTCTGCGTAGTCTGTTCGTGGGATTGTATTTCTCGGTCTTGAGAAACGACGATTTCTCGGGCCTCGTAAAGATCGAGACGACATTGTTGCAATTCCTTGCGGAGAGCCTCGATCTGACTTTGAGAAGATGCGTTCGGTCTGGGTATATCTGGCGGTTTTCTCGTCGGCATAGGCTTCTCTGCAGGCTTCTCTGCAGAGGACTCGGCGTTGAAGAGGTAGTTGTACGCTCGACGAAAGCTACTCGAACGCTTGGGCATGCCGGCCGGGCGGACAGGTCTGGATTGAGACATTTTGCGCAGTCGCTTCTCAGAAGCCATGATAAGGATCTGGGAAAAGAAATCTTGTAACTGGTAAGCGAGAAATTAGTGCGATCGACGAGTCTGTGGTGACGCTCTGAAGGTTTCAGTCAGTCGTTCAAGGGAGTATGAGACAAGGGAACAACGGATTCGTCGTCGGTGTCAGGGGAGAAATAAGAAACACTTCGGTCTTCTGGGAACGGAATCTCATGGTGAAGGCATGGAGAAGTGCAGCCCTGCATGCACTTTTCCCAGAAACGCACTGCCTGAGGTCGGGTAGCAAACAACAAATGAAGTGATAGCAAATGGTGGAGATGAAAGCAGGGACACGTTGCAGGGTCTCAAGGGCTCGCTAAACCAACTTCGCGGCCGATAGGATGCTTCACGTGTGGGAAACAGCATAGAGAGTGGCGAACTCTGACTTCTTCGTCTCATAGGGGGACCGCGCGTAGGCTTGGTCCGTGTAAAGAGTCTAAAAGAGTATTTGCGGGTGATACTCAAGTGGAAGAGAGAGGATGAAATGAGAGAGACGAAGCAGGAATCTTTTTTATGGAAGCCATCTCCACCTCCGCAACGCTACCTATTAGCTTAGGGGTGCTCCCGATGCCCAAAACCCTCTTACATGTACGACCAATTATGGCTTGTGGTCGACGGTGAGCCACTTTGTTGTTTTCTTCACGTAGTCACGCAGTCAGTGCTGCCTGTCCTGATCATGCCTCTCAACTTTTGAGTTTTCCGCTGCTGATACAAAGTCGGCATATTGCGCAATGTCCAACAATTGGACCCAAGCTACTCGCACAGCAGCGGCGGACTAGTCGAGTCACGGATATTGTGTACAGAACATTTCGAGCTGATATGCCGCCGCCGTTCTTCAAGATCCTATTTCGGGATATTGTGGTCATCACTCATGCGGGCCACAAGGCATATAACGTCTATGCCTGAGTATAAGCATCTGCCAGGAAGGTCCCGTCGGTGATATTGAAACCGGCACTGGCAAACATAGGCTCCCACATATCGTCATCCCAAAGAGCAAAGTCCGGCGATATTGTATCGTTGAATAGATGTGACTGTCCACCGTGAGTGTCAGCTCCGTCCATATCCTGGTGCAAGGCGGTTCTATCGGCCTCATCATGTACCGCAATCCTGCTGTGTTCATGAGGAGCCTCCCTGCCGGCCTCAGCGGCGTCATGGGTATCGGTCCGTGGCCGACTGGGCCGAGTACAGTCATTGAGGACGTTCTCAAGAAACTTCGCCTGTAGCCAGCAGCTAGAATTTGGCGGAGCAGCTTGATGTGCGAAAGATCGGGCGGCATCTCGGAGAGCCTCGATTGTCATGGTCTCGAGGTCCGCTCGCACATGCTTCGGGACACAGAAAAGGAGCTTGATCAAGAACACAGCAGCGTAGGCGATCATGACGTGTACCGAGTCCTGCGCAAAGTAGAGAACTGGAGACACAGAGGGGTCCGAGACCAGTTTGAGCATCTGAATTGCGGTGGCATTGCTGGACCAGATCACTCCTGTCCGGATTTTAGCTTCTGTTGATTGTGACAGCAAAGCAGGCCGCAGCGAAAAGGACGACAGCAACAATTGGAGATGCATGCCGTAGAAGCGGATGAGGAACAGGTGGCAAGTCTCGCAGGCGGCAGTCTGGGCAAGCCCTATCCAGTGGTCTTCCCAAGTCCTGATCTGACACCCCAGACTCTTGAGCAAGGCGTCCGTCCCATAGACTTGAAGTGTGCGGTCGACGGTAGGGTTTGGGTCGAGAACGTCAAAGACATCGGAAGTCAGGAGACGTAGGGAGACGAAGGCAGCCAGCAGGACGTCCATAGGTAGGGCAAGATCATGTTTCAGCCAGACGTCCACCGACTCAATGAGCTCACTACGTTCAATCATGCGCGGCTTCCCGGTCTGCAAGCTGATGCTGCGGTCATAAACGAAAAGTACCAGCCATGTCCTCTGGCAGTTCCGGAGTTTTCTCCGCTCCGAGTCGGGTCTCAGTCGATCATTCTCGTGTTGGGCCTTGGGCAATCTGTGCCATCCGAGCTCCATGCTCAGCCTGATTGCGTACCCAACGGAGAGCCACACGCGAGTGTCGTCTAACTCTTTCCAATATGTAAGAACGAGAATCGCTTGGACAATTTCGGCTGACTTATGTCCTCGGCGAAAACTCTTGGTAAACAATGTTTCGGCATGCTCTTTTAGGGCCGGATACACTGCCGGGTTCAAAGACTTGGCGGAGGCAGCCAGGACCGCGGTCAATAGAAAAGAAGACGTCTTCTGCACGTAGGAGAATGTATGGAATACTGGATCAAGCTGACAGATGTATGGGTTGAGGTGCTTCATGAAGCCCTCGAACAAGGTGACGGCAATGTTGTAGTTGATCAGCCTCATCTGGATTGGGTCATCGGAGCTTGAGTTGGATGGAACCGGGGATCCCATTCTGTTAGTGGTACTGAGAACGTTCAGCAAAGAAAAGTGGCCGCTGGTAGCCTCTCTGTTCAGCAAGTCTGGTGGTCTGAAATTGTCGGACTCTGCCCAGAACGCCTTCTCAGCTTCGGCGCGTGCACTTGAGGATTCCTCTCCATCCTGGGTTCCGGAGGACGGCCTGTGGCGGCCAGCATCGGTCAAAGACTCATTTATCCTCCCGGAAATGGCATTTGCTTGCTTCGTGGCTTCGAGGTTGCTGGGCAGGGCGCCGCTAGCAAGCTTGACCGCAGGGCGACGACCCCGTTGGTGCTTCCGGAACGTACATTCTAGAGATTTGCGTTTGCATCTTTCGCATTTGCTGTGGCTCTCTGGCACCCGACACTTCATCTTGACTCTGCGGCAGGACAGACAAGCATTGGAACTGCTGTGGATGCTGTCAATACCTGTCTGGGGTATTGTGGAAGATTGATACTGACCTTGCAACAGCCCTGTCCCCTGTCCTTGCAATCGTTGGCCCTCCATCTTGCATTTCGGCTGGGAGTTGTTGAACTCGGCAAGCCCATCGTTAAGTATCATAGTAAGTTGGCATCGATAAGGCGACTCAATTCGAGTCTGAGTCGTACCGACAAGTCTGTCTCCTTATCAACGCCAAGTAAACTCTGTTCGAGGTCAGAAACAACCCGCCAAGGCCGCCTATCTTACTTAGTAGGCTGTGCACGCTACTGTACTTTACCCCCAAGGTTGCGCGCTCGCGTCACTCACCTCGCACTCCTCGCTAACTTCATCTTCGCAATCAGTCGTCGCCATTGACTTTGAATTTTATACGAGGAATCTACACCTTTTCCAGCATTGGTCCATTCTGACAGAAGCAAAGTGTCATCTACGTCCGCTCCTTTCCTCGTAGGCGTGGGTACAATTGTGTGTGGCAGGCCACCTTGACACAACTGTGGCACCTCGTCCGCCGCACAGCCCTCTACACAAAGCGTCGAGCATGTTCCAGATCAATGTCACCGACACTTGAAGGAGACCGGCAATACAATTCAGCAAGCATCTGAACATCTTCATCCATGGTGCTTGCCTGCAGCGGCGGTTTAGGGCCGTGAGCCATTCGGCTCTGATGACGGAACATCAATGGTTTCCGTCACCATCTGCTTCGTGAAAGTTGATGCCTGGCGGCAAATGTTCCACGCAGGGGCCGCATCAGCGAACATGGTGTTCAACAAGATCCAAAACCACTCAAGATACCCTGCTGCTGCCTGGTGGGAGGGTGTGAACCGTGGTGGCCTTACTGGGATTGTGGTAAGGCTGAAAATCCACCAACCAAAATCCGTGCCGCCCGCATTGCGAACACGAGGGGTCCTTTGGGTCATAGCCGGCATTATTGTAGGTTTCTCTAGCCCCGCGCTGTGGTCTGATAGGCCTTTCCTTCCTTAGTCCCATCTAGGTACCCTACTTATGCAGACGACAACCCAAAAGTTCGTTTACTTGGCATCAACGTGATTTGGTCACCGTGTGCGCCACGGAAGCCTGCCTAGCACTATCGCTTGCAGAGAATGTCGGCTCCGGTATCTCAGCTCAATGGACGTTAAGACGAGGCACACGAGTCCAGATCATGTGTTTGAGGCTGAGGTTGGTTCATGGATGTGACGCTTACAGGAATGCACGACATCGTCAGTGGATGAGCCGACTATATCTTTTAACCCTACGGATCAACGACCGAAGTCGCTAATGGCTGCTAGGGGCCCCGGCTTCCAGTCACCCTCCGGACTGCAAAATTCGTCATCTGGCCCTGCTTCGCCTCGCTTTATGGCTAGCACGAAGGTCTTTACTTTGGGTCGGCCTTATGGCTGTAAGCAAATGTCTAGTTTCCAAGCCCACCAAAGAACGTAAAGTCCAAAACATTCGAGGCTGAGCTTCATGTCCCCTGGAATGAGAACTTTTGTTCGGACTAAATGCGTCTGCAGACATATTCGGACACGGTAAACAATGGCATGCAGCGCTGCGCCATGAGGAACTGTGTGGAGGATAAATAGGAGTAGGTCCTCGGTGAGTCTTGATCATGCTCAAAACTTTCACATTCATCCCGTTATCATCGTCACACCCCTACGTCTCTCCCTTGAGCGTTCCTGCCAACAGAGCTGTACTTGACCAGAGAGTCGTCCTATACCACTGCCACTATCACTCCAGTATCCTCCTTCCTCGGAGGCATCTCAAGCGCAATGGCTTCCACTGATTACTTCGAAGCCTGGTCAGTTGAGCGCGGCACCCTTACTCTGAAAGGCTCAAAACAGCTCGTTAAAACGCAAGAGGAAATACAAGACATGATCAAAGAATTCAAGAGATCTACGACGCGCCTAAAGGATGATCATCACGATGTCCAATACTTGGTTCGTAAATTCAACGACAAAAACAACAAACGCAACTGGGAATGTGAAGTTGCAAAAGTTGAGAAGAGCAAAACGGGCCACAAAGAGAGAATATTGATAATATTCAAGCGCGAAATGACGCCGAAAGAGGAGATTACCGAGCTACGTGGCCTCCTCCAGAATGAGAGGGAGGCCAATGAGGCCTACCGAGCTCGACTGCAGGATGAGATAGAGAACAATGAGATACTGCGCCTCCAGAAAGCAGAGAAAGAGAGGGAGTTGAACAAACTATACCGCCAGATGATGGAAGAGAGAAGGGAGAAAGAGTGGGTCAGACAGAGAATGCGAGAAGCGCAGGAGCAATATGACCACGAACTAGCTGCAGAACAGAAGAAGGCAAATGAGCTACGCCGCCGGCTTGTGGCGGAGCAGGAGCAACATGACCGCGAACTAGCTGCAGAGCAGGAGCGACATGACCGCGAACTAGCCGCAAAGCAAAACGAGGCAACCGAGATCTACCGCCAATTTGCGGCGGAGCAACGGAAGACGGCAGACCTACGCCGCATATTACGGAAGATGGAGCAAGACAAAGACGATGCAGCGGCAGGAGGCTGGTTCAGAAGGAGGGATGAACGGCAGGAGGACGAAGATCCTCGGCGTCGGCCTGGGGCAAACACCGGTCGAGCACGAACACACCGGCCGCAACAGGGGGACAGAGACAGTGAGCCGGCACGAGGACGCTACGAAAGGGAGGAGGAGAAGTCGGTGGGCGAGGATCCCCAATTTCGCCCAAGAGCAAACGAGGCCAGACGACGAACATACCGACGACGGGATCCCTGATAAGAATCACTGTGGAAGCTCGGGAGGGTATATTGTAGTATGCCGGGCATGAGTTCCATGCTACTAATGGGTGACTTTTTTGAGCACGGCGTTCAAGCACGGCCTGGGACACTATTGATATTCAACGTTCATTCATGTAATTCATTTCGGGGGGGGCATCGGGCTATTCGGCCGGCAACAGTATTGTTTGGAGACTACACATACATCCGTTTCAGGAGGTCTTATGGGCTCGGTGCTACGATCTTCTGGGGTTGCTAGCTGCCCATGCTACATTCGCTCCAGTCTGACAGGGTGAATATTGGAGAGAAGGTGTATTCATACAATTTGTATTGATCTAATATATAGGCAGGCGTCCATATTTTGTGATCCAACATATGCTCTGCTCTCGACGTACCAGAAAAGGAGAGCGTCCCCATCTACCACGGGAGGATGGACTCCAAAGAGGTGAAGGTTCCGTGCTGGCCGTTCTTGCCCTGGGTGATGATGCGGCAAGCTTCGATAGCACCCTCGCTGGCCTTGCCGCCCTTGGGGTTGAAGCCGTTGAGGGCGGTTTGCCTGTGGCCCGGATCGATCATGTTGATGCGGAAGCCATCCTTGGTGTACTTTTGCGTGAAGAAAGCGCCAACCAAGTTCAAGGCGGCCTTGGAGGCCGCGTAGGTGGGGACCGGCGCCATGCCATACCACGGGCTGATGGGCATCAAGGTCAAGGTGATGGAACCTAGACCGGAGCTCATGAAGAGCAGGCGGGGGTGGTCGGACTTCTGCAGGAGGGGCGCAAATGCCATGGTGACGCAGGCCGGGCTGACGGTGTTGATGTCGAGCACCTGCTGGAATTCCTGGCGGAATGCCTGCTGTTTGCCAGTCCGAATAACTCCGGCATTGTTGAAGAGCACGTCGAGCTTGCCGAACTTGGCCTCGACGAACTTGGCCGCCTTCTCAATCGAAGGGTCCGAAGTCACATCGATTTCGACCACCTCGACCGAGGCGTCCTTGGCGAATTCCGTGACAGTCTTGACAGCGGCTTCTCCTTTGGCCGGGTCGCGGGCGCCCATGAGGATATGGTAGCCCGGCTGTTCCGCGCAGAGCTTCTTCACACACTCGAACCCCAAACCCTGGTTGGCGCCAGTGATGAGAACGACGGTGCGAGTGGCTGCCATTTCGTATAGTTCGTCGAGGTAAGACTGAGAACTGCCATCAACGAGGGATGAAACGACCCTTTTCAATACAGTGTGATCTTCTTATCAGCCAGGGAGTGCGATCGACGGCGCTCCCTTATATAGGCAGACAGACTCGCATGCTACAACGTCTGTTCTCGTGGCTCGTGCCCATATTGAGCCGGAGTTAAAAAGCCTATTCAGCCTCAGCAGGCTCAGTGATAGTAGCCAACTTGTGGGGCGATAGCCGGTTGGCAAGGCTCCGAGCTGCAGCTAGGCGTAGTAAGCGAACCAGCCAATGGAACATCCCCTGGAGCCGAATACGGAGGTATCAGTCAAGGCGAATTATCTCCGATGTGAACAAGTGACACCTCAAGCTCGCCAGTCCAAACCCTACAAATCTTCGCGCTTTAAAAATTCTACTTGATGATGGACATGCCGACCCGGAACAGAAAGCGCACACGCGTGATCGAGATAGTCGCAAAATGGAACTTCTGAAACAGTAGCGCCTTGGGGGCGTTGTGCTCTTAATGGTGTCCGAGTTGGTGCCTCAACATCCTCGACGGAGAACTCGCACAGGATGTCTGACGTGCAAGTAGGTTGTTCTTCGCGCTCGAGTCTTCACAAGGCCTATCGTCGCACGCCACATATCTATACGCAGCTAACATCTACTGCATATACAGGAAGAGGAAGATCAAATGTGACGAAAGTAAACCTTCGTGTCAAAAGTGCAGCTCAACTGGCCGCAAATGCGACGGATATGCCCCAACATTAGCAACTGGACTCGCCGGTTTCTTGTTGATGCTCAGGAATCCGGGCGTGCCGGAGTTTGAGGCTCAGGCACAGCAGGCTTTGCAATACTTTTGTGAGGTGTCCGGCCCGGTCCTGACGAACTTTGGCAGTGCTCGCTTCTGGAATCGCCTCGTCCTACAAGCGTGTCATTCCGAGGTGAGCATCAAGCATCTGGTGATTGCCGTCTCCACTCTTGACCATCAGGACCGCATAGCTATTACCTCAACGAGATCCACGGAGTTATCTCATGCAAGCAATCGACTGTTCTTGCAGCATTACGGAAGTGGTCTGAAGCTTCTCACGACACAGTCACAGCAAAACGTGACCACCGAAGTCATCCTCATTTCTTGTCTCCTGTTGATCGTCTGTGAGGAACTCCGAAACAATGCCTTTGCGGCACTACAGCATGTCGTCGCGGGCCGGAAGGTCATCAGCGACTACTGCCAGACATGCCGAAAGCAGCCCAATGCAACCATGCAAGAACTTGGAGCCATTTTTGGGAGACTAGGTTACCGCGCCGGAGACTGTGATATCGAGAACAAAATACACAGCCGAACCAATATTGTTTTTGGTGCTCAACAGACCGACACCTCTGTGCCTAAAAGCTTGCCCAACCCACGATCTTCCGATCTGTCTGCTTGGACCAGTATCGAAACGGGTGCAGATGCCTTACGGCGTATTGTGGCGCTGTGCATGCAACCTTCTGAGACTGGCTGGCCACTAAATTCTTCTTCTCCTCCAAAGACACGATTCCAAAGCGTCGGGGGTGGCATCAGTGAAGAGCTAAATCGTTGGGCCTTCGATTTCAGCACATTCACGGCCACAGTAGATGACGATAAGTCCGCCGAGCATCAACCTCAACTCCTTCTGCTACAAAATTACTATCTATGCATGACGATCATTTCCCGATGCATTCCGTTTCGGGATGAGACTCTGTTTGATGGGTATATCCCCAACTTCCAGCATTTATTGAACACATCTTCCAGGTTGCTCCAGCAAGAGGTGGCAACCGGCTTGGCTCCCATTCTCTTCTTCGTCGCCACCCGATGCAGAGATCCGGCACTTCGACGACGAGCGATCTCATATCTCCACCAATGTTCATGGGAAGGCATCAGGCTGTCTACAATCGCAGACCAGGTCATCAAGTTGGAAGAGCGAAAGATCGGCCACAGCATCTCTTGCTGCGGTGACATAGCAGAGGAACGGCGAGTGGTGGTCACAGACATCTCATTTTCGGACAACTCACTCTGCACATTACATCTAATACGGCCTTCCAAGTGGCACCCTCCCGAAACTCTTCACCACAATTTTACATGGATCGATGTACACGATGATGCCGCTGTGACCTGCTCGATCGTTCAGGTAAGTGCAATCTCTGACGGGCTCCTGTCAATCTGACAGTACCTGGCCCTCACACTAGCTGATGATTTGGTAGTTGCTATGGAGAACTCTGAGATTCAAAGTGCTGTCCCTAGGCTAGTCTGTACCCTGATGTGGCTGGTCCACGTCATGGAAAAAGGTAGTTCGACGTCCGACTCTAGTTGACGTTGCTATCCATTCTGATCTTCAGCCCTGGGCTACCATGGCCAAGAACCATAATCCTGTGCTGCGAAAGTGCCGTGCGGGCCTTCTTTGTCGGTCCGTACAATCAACTCGCACGCCAAGATGACACCGTCTTCGGCTTTGGCGGCCATCTCGTCGAAGCCGTTCATTCTGGTCGCTCTGAAACCGGGACAAATGACGTTGACCTTGAAACCCTCTTTGCCGTACTGGACGGAATATATGGCCGCAAGCATGTTGAGGGCCGCTTTCGACGTCGAGTAAGGTTTGTTGTCGAGCCCGTACATCGGGAAATTGGGGTCGAGAATGTTTCCAATTGACCCGATGCCAGATGACATGAACAGGAGTCGTGGTGCTTGGGATTTCCTGAGCAGGGGCATGAAGGCTTCAGTGGTGACGGCACTACTGATAAGGTTGGTTTCGATGATGGATCTCATCTTTTGCCTGAGAGTGCCCTCAGCGTCGCCAATTGCAGCATTGTTGAAAAGAACATCGAGGCGGCCATAAGTCTCTTGGACTTTTGTTGCCGCTTCGTGGACTGAGTCATCGGAATCAATGTCGATGGCGATGGGAACGACAGAGGTGCCTTTTGCCAGATCGACAATTGTGCTTGCCGCCTTCTTGCCGTTCTCTAGGTTTCTAGACCCAAGAAGGATAATATAGTCGACCTGCTCCGCGGCCAGCTTCTTGACCGCCTCATAACCCAACCCCTGATTGGCACCGGTGATGAGAACAACGGTCTGAGTCGGAGTCGCCATGGTTGCAGCCTTCTAAAAGTCTGATACTCAGGACGTAGAAATCTTACTAGAGCAACTGTTTTGCCTTTTGGATTTGCTCATGCTCTACTCAAGGAAGCCTACGTGGTGTTCGTTATATAAGCTGATCAAGTACCCTTTGACCACCTTTCGCCCGCTTTCGTCCGGGCAGGTTATACTTGATTTCTAAGCCTTTCGAATACGGAACAACAATGTCATGGAACATTTTCACCCGAGAGTATCTAGTTCGCACCTACCCACTGGCCGAATGGCAACGTGCTGTTGAACGAATTTGGTGCTCGAGTGGACCTCGTATCTGTCAATGTACCGAGTGCAGGACGATGCCTCTTTAGTTAGAAATGGCTTGCCTGCCTATTGGCGGCTGAGGCTGTGCAATTGCATCCACGAAGGGGTCTCTACTGTGAGTCAACTGGATCTTGAGAATGGCGCAATCGCGCTAAAAGCCGTTTATGGCATTGCATGACACGAGAGCATCGATAGGTCAACAGCAATGCTGAGTTACGGAGAACGGATGTTGGGAGATGAGTTGGAAAAATGGTCTGCCATACTGCAATTCTGTGGGAACGTCCGTTGGAAGTATCTGCTTCGCACATATGCAATGGTCGGACTTCGATATGCTATTTATACGAACTTTGTGTTCAGATCAACTCATTGTCCTCAGGCCGACTCTATCTCACGTGCCTACCGGTCGATAATTGCCAAAAAGGCATCTCTGCATGTTCGGCTGCCCAAGGTGACCTCGCGAGAAGAAGACTCCCTTTGCCGATTATCTAGCTCTTCTTCGCTACGTCGTTGGAGTGTAACAAAGTCTGTACTTTTGAAGCTCTACGATAAGTCTTATTTCGACTGATGCTCAAGATAATCGTCAAAGTTCAGGACTGATTTCCCCAAGGCTGAAGCTCCGTCCGCACAGTCTTCTTTGTCACTCCATTCTTCCGGAGCATGACTGATGCCGTCTTTGGACCTTACAAACACCATGGCGGTAGGTGCTTTCAGGAGCGTCGACAGCGAGTCGTGACCAGTGAGGGTGCGAGAACCTATGCCTTTGTCTCCACAAGCTCGTGCAACACAGTCTACCGCTTCTGGAGTGAAATCACCAGGAAGCAAGTGAAGCGTCCTCTTCCAGTCATGTTCCAGGTTGTGGAGAGCTGAGACCGCTTTGGCTGATTGCTGAGCTTGTTCTCCCATTTTCAAAAGGCTGTCTCCGTCCTTATGCATCACACAGAAGACGACCTTAGTCTTAGACTGGATATTGCACGACCCGATCGGGCCGCTTTGAAGCGAGGTGACTGTAGAGCGACCACCCATATGGTATGCAAGTGTCTCGAGACTGGTCATGAACTTCGCCGCTCCCTGTAAGGTATCGCGTCGTCCATGCATTGGATAGGTGTTGGCGTGACCGTTCTGTCCGTGAAACACAGCTTCATACCAGGTCATTCCTTCCCATCCTTGCACCCATCCAATAGATTTGCCAGCCTTTTCCAGATCGGTCGACTGCTCCACGTGAACCTCGAAATGAGCAGAAATTGGAAATTCTTCGAACGTGTTGGGCCCGTCTCCAACGTAGCCTATACGCGTGAGTTCACTGCCCATAGTTAAAGGCGATCCATCATTCGACGTGGATGCATGTGCCGCTTCTATGGTAGATTGACCCGCATATACCGTCGAAGACCCGAGTGGGGGAAAGAATCGTGAACCTTCTTCGTTGGTCCAATTGATAGCGACCAGTGGTGCCCGGGTCTTGATATTCTGCTCCTTGAAGCTTCGCAACACCTCCAGCGCGCAAAGTACCTGAACAGACGGTCAGCCGAGGGTGTCCTTGAAGGAAAGGAAGCATAGTTATGCCATACTCCAAGTGCTCCATCAAACTTGCCACCAGTTGCCACCGTGTCAAAATGACTGCCCATCGCAATTGGTGGAAGACTGTTGTCTGTGCCATCGATTTTGGCAAATTGAGTGCCAGTTGCATTCACCTTGCGAGGTAGTGCTATCAGCTGGACTTTGCCGTCTGCAATTGAATTGATCCAATCATACCTTGTACTCTGCACCTAGTGCAAGTACTTGGTCCCGGAACCAATCGCGAACCATCTTGTCGTTCTCATCGGCGCATAGACGTGTTACACCACCAGGCGAAGGTCCGCTCCATTTTGCCGTGTGGTGGATATCATTCCTTGTGAGAGTCGATGTTAGTCAGCATACCGAGCAGTGTCCTAGACCAGACTATGACACGCACCATAACCGTTCACCATTGACAGCAAAACTTGTCGCCTGTGAAGCGTACAGCTTTGATACAGAAAAGCAACGCTTTCCCGTCTGCGACACCAGGCCGGCAAAGGCATGCTTTGATGATGCCAGCAACATCTTGTGTCAGTTGAAGTCAGGCAGAGGACGAGGCGGGCAACAACGAGTCAAAGAATGAGGTCCTTCAGTAGACAATCTTCAAGGCTATGACGAGGCAGAGTATCCCCGTACATTGTCAGGTATCTATCCGCTATCAACAGCTGGCCGTTGGGCGGGATAGACCGTTTTAGGCAAGAGAGAACTGGAAGTTGCGGCCGCGACCTATGATTCATTTTACCGCTTATCAATCTCGACTGGCTCTTCCCAGCCGTTTCAACTCGGCAGGTGGTCACGCAGTAGCTCGACGCTTTGGCACAGCTGAATCACCAATAAGTATGTTCTTACCTGAATAATGTATCGACGATTCATCGTGACGAGCATTTGAGAAGGTGAGAGTTGGTCGACACGGGGAATCAGATTGTTGCATGCGGTGTTCCATCACTCAGAAATGTTCGCCTGGAAATTGAATGAATGACGGACAAAAGACAATGTCGAATGATCAATTTTGCCATGTTAGGTGTGCAGTCTGAAAGCTTCAATTTCCCTGACTTGTAAACTACGTGGAAAGGCATTGACCTCATCAACGCACGAGCACCACACCTGCATTTTCCGGAGCGATCATCTTCGTCGTTAGCATAAATTGTGAGGCAGCCACAGTTTTCCTCAGAGCCTCTCTGGCATCGCCTTCATCCATCATCCCCCGCTCCTGCATTACCAGGGGTTTCAACCTGAATTTATGCAGCAAAGTGGCAATAGTGGCCACGAATTCGACCTGACTGAACTTTTTGCCCGGGCAAATTCTAGGCCCAGCACTCCACCCAAGGAACGTGGCTCCGATCGCAGGACAGTTGATGCTCTCCAAGCCAGTGTCGCTGTCTTTCGTGATCCAGCGCTCAGGCTTCCATTCGAGGCTCGCCGGTCCCCACCAGCGAGGATCTGCGTGGATGCCATAGAAGTTGGTCGAGACCTGCATGTCCTTGGTGACGAATAGCTCTTTGTCGCCGACTCGAAGACTCTGGCCGTCCCCAGCTGGTACGCGAGCCATTTCTGGAAGAGGACCCCACAAGCGAATCGTTTCGTGCTTTGAAGAAAGAAGGAGGGTCAGCCACCAGCACCCGACCATGCAGACAACAATCTGCACAAGCACAAACTCACCATTACTGCTAAGCACCTTGTCAGCTTAGGGAAGTTGGTCTCATAATCTGAATGCACCGGCGAATTGGTCCCGAAAACCGCATCAAGCTCTTCAACCACCCATTTCTGGACATCCTCGTTCAAAGCCAGCAATGGCATTGCGTAGGAGAGACTTCCAGCAGTCGTGTCGAAGCCAGCTATGTTGAAGGCGTACAGATTACCATATAGCTCCTCATCACTCAGGTAGTTCGGCTTCTTGCCGAAGGGCTTGCCGTTGAGCTTGTCCTCCCTCTTTGCCGCCTCGTCGGCCTCGATGAGAGCACTGGCGATATCGGCTTGACGACCGCCACCTCCACTTTGCGTCGTGGCTCGGGTATATGCCACCGTCTCCGCCATGTACTCACCGAAATCCTTGATAGCGCCGTGGAGCTCGCGATACTTCGGCCAGGTCAAAAATCCAGGCAATCTCATCTTGCCGAAGATGATCACCGGTAAGATGTTCATGAGCAGGAAGTTCAGCGCTCCTGCGAAGCTCTTCGTTTTCCCTTCGGGCACTTCTTGCAGACCCGTGGAGAAGTCGTGTGAATGGCCAAAGCCCGCCGCTGAAAGAACGTGGATGGCGAGGAGGTGGAAGTCTGTTCGCCAATCCGCCATGCTGGCGATGCCCTTGGTGGTGTTCATCCTGAGATCGAGCATTTGGTCAGCCTGTTTCAGTGACTCCTCCCAGACTAGCTTGTAGTTTTGTTCTCGGAACGCGGGATTCACGATTCTTCGATGTCGTTGCCAGTCTTCGCCGTTGACGCTGACGAGACCTGGTCCATAGATGTCAAAGACTTCATAGAGATCTTTTGGCTTGACCCAGGTTTTATAGTCTCGCTGTAGAACAAGGCCGGCGTGTGGATCATTGACCTCAAGGACGATCGCGTTTGGTGACACAATGGCAAAGACATCACCGAGCTTCTCATGTGGTTTGTGTCGATCGTCCAGGACCCATCCCAAATAGCTGTATTTATACCAATAGCCTAGCAAAGGGATGGAACCGATCCATTTGAGCGATTTCCGAATCAAAAGCCATGCTTGATCGTGCCACTCGACTGGGACGATCACGATGGAGATCCCGAGTTTCCGAGCTTCGATATAATTCTGAAGCAAAGAATACGTTCGCCTGATCACTGTGAGGACGATGGCGAGGGAAACCAAGATCAGCGGAGTGAAGAGAATTGCTCTGAACGCCATGGTGGGCGCAATCTGGCTTGCGAGGAGATTAAAATGGAGTCACATATCAGATATATAACTCATGAGGGCGAGATGAGCAAGCAGGACGAAGAGCACACTTGCAGGTTTGGTAAATGTACTTAGGTTAGTGGTGGCCTTAGATGGCGAGCGCTGGGCGCCTGATAATGGTCGATGAATCAATACTCAAATGCCGCATCGTAGGTCGTATAAAGTGCCACATGAATACGATGTGCCGTCTTAGTCCTGGACGCGTGCAATGTGGCTATTCCCCAAGGAATGTAGGAACAGTAGAAGCATCTTAAACCGACAACAATGCAGCGCATGTAAGGCGCTGACTCGGTAGTATCATAGTATTGCAGCGTGTCTCTCATCCAGACCTCCGTACATTTCGTAACTCTAGGGTTGCAACGCGTGCGAACGCGCCGCGCCGCGACGCGACTCGGGAAGGTGAAGGTGCGGGGTTCCCACGGGATTCATCCAGCTTAGTAAACTCCAACACTGTCGAGCCTCCTTAGCCTGGTACTTGCAGGTGCTTTGTTTTCCTTTTCATGCCTGAGGAACGTATTCCATCGTACCGTTATCTTTATTCCATCTCAATCGCTCTCGGCTACGTTCCTCGAGGCCACAATTCTCCATGTTGCAGATAAGCGGGATATGCAGTCCGCTGTCGAACGCGTCACCAACAACTCTTATCAATGCTCACCGGTGATTTGAATCTGGCGGCACTCAGAACTCTAATCTCCCAATTCGCCGGTCTTCGCTTGTGGGGTCATGTATGATGCATTCAAAGGCCACCAGATGGTTATCGTCCGGTCTAATAACCTCCCCTTATCGCTGACTCCGGACGATTGTAGCTAGCCTCGCCCATCCACCGAGACCGATATTGGCCAAGATTTCGAGTCCTTCCTTACGCTTCGAGGCACTGGGACGCTCCATTGTCGTCTTCTACTGGACATTTGTGACATTGAACACCCTTGAGCATCAGAAACCTCCTATCTGAGTTCAATACAATGGTTGCCAGAATGGCTATCCAGCCAAAGACCGGTGTCACCAAGGCTCACGTCAATCTCATGACAGACACTATCATCGCCAGCTTGCCGCCTGAAGGTCTACGTTCTGTCATGAGGTCAATCCTCACGACGGACCCCGGCTTTACCAGTGCTCTCGAACTACACACTCGGAGATATTTGCAGAAGTCAGCGTCTGCGCCGGTCCGCGAGTTGTTCATCGAGGATGACGAAAGCAATTGGCAGGTTACTGCCAGTTTTCACCTGACACAGCAACGCATCAGAGCCATGTTGGGCAGTGGCTTGTGCTTCCAAAGCTTACGCCTCCTTAGAGAAGTCATGAATCAATCAGCGAATATACAACTCGACCAAAATGCCTCACATGCACAGCAACTACTGTCTCACCTTACTGCAGTCGACGGTGACATTGTTCAAGCAATAACCGCAGTCGAGAAAACACTACACGTGGGCCATGGAACCCGAGAACTAGGCCACGATGAAGAGGAACCGTTGAGGGGACTACTGCAGTCTATGCTTGCCTGTCGCTCAAAATGGTTCAATCAACAACAGGACTTCCCTTTTGAACGTAGTCTGGCATCAGTTGCAGGCATTTTAGCGGAAGCCCTGGACACGTCGGATGACCTACACTCCGACAACAGCCTCACGCCCAGCCTTCATACAGACCTTCCTTCACATGTCGAGACGTTCAAGCTGGCTGGGAGGATCTTGCCGCGTCTTTTCTCGGGACTTTGGCAGCTGTCGAGTCCTTCATGGGGCGTTGCTTCGAAGGCTCAAATCTTCCAGCAGTTTTCCAAACACGTCGCCAAAGGATTCATCGCATATGATATGGCGGATCATTACGGTGACGCCGAGGTTCTTTTTGTATGCGAAGAAGTAGGTCTTCGATCCTCGACAGCGGCTGACCAGTAACATAGGGAAAATTCCGAGCCTCATGCAGCCGACCCGAGTTCATATTCGGGGCCACCAAGCTCTGTATCTTTCAGCCCACGACTATTACGAAAGCTCTGTTGCATGATAACATCACTGAAAGATGCCATCGAATGAGCTCCACAACAATCGATCTCTTACAGCTCCACTGGCAATTTGTGCGTATAATTTGACTGCTCTGAATCGCATGAGTTGACAATTATACCAGTATGACGATCCACAGTATATCGAGGCACTACGACTTCTCCAAAATGACGAGCGCGTGCGTCTGCTCGGCCTATGTAACTTCGATACTGCTCGGATGCAAGAGATACTGGAGGCTGGCATTGATATCGTCACGAACCAAGTGCAGGTACGACTTCTCGCCATCTTGTGGCTCTTTTCACTAAGATTTTGAAGTTCTCCTTGATTGACTCTCGTCCAACTATGAAAATGGGCAAGGTCTGTGAGGAGCACAGAGTGAAGCTTCTGACTTATGGAACACTGGTATGGTGCTTTTCTTTTCTTTATATATGTCCATTGCGCTCACACAATTGCAACAGTGCGGTGGGTTCATTGCAGACAAGTGGCTCGGCAAAGCTGAACCCGAACTTTTCTCAACCTCAATCACTCCGAGTCAACGCAAGGTAAGGTTTCAATGGTCTTTTTGACTGCTCAGGCGCTGATGAAAACCTCCAATCGACAGTACTTCGAGATGATACTGGCATGGGGCGGCTGGACCCTATTTCAAGAACTCCTCCAGATGCTGAAGGATATTGCGGACAAACACAACGTGGCGATATCCAATGTTGCCACACGATGGGTCTTGGACTTTCCATACGTGGGTGCAGTCATTGTCGGAGCCCGAATGGGTGTGAGTGAGCACCTCGACCAAAACCTCGACAGTTACGGTTGGCACCTGGATGCAGACGACCAAGCAGCCGTCAATCGTGTGCTAAGCAAAAGTCGAAGACTCGAAATGTTCGAAGTCATGGGCGATTGCGGAGGCGAATATCGATGAAGTTTCCGAGGCAACAGACAAATCCTTCAAGGAGGCTCTGCCCGATATTCACCGTCCGCTCAATTACTTCGGCCCGCATCATCGCCTTCAGGCGAGATTCTCCCATCACGATAACCCATACGAGGTAAGTGTCAAATCAGGGGCACTGCTGTCGTTTCGCCATGTGCGAATGACCTTGGCTGCAGTCTGGTGATTTTGAACTGCGACCCGCAGTTGGGATCTGGACATGCCACAAGTGCATCTGTCGACATCCAATCGTTCCGATGAGTTGGACGCTGTTTGGCAGGAAGAAGAGGCAATATCGCAGCTGCTCAGACCATCAGCCACGGTAACCTTCGACAAGTTGTGAGAGCGTCAAGTACCCAGACTATATATACTGAAACCCTGGTTCGGAGGAAGATGAAGCATCTCGCCTTTCAAGACGAAGTGATCGCCTGGCTTTGCACCGCAATATATCGGTTTGTCCGGTGGGCATACCACATCTACGCGTAGATCGTACAATTCGAATTTGTCCTCCGTCTCATCCATCGTGACACGGAAAATGTGCTATGACGGATTGGGTCGTTGAAGAGAAACGATAACAATCTTGCCGAGATAAGTGATGTACTAAGTACTAGTACCGTCATATCGAAGCCCGCGGGGTGTTCGTCCCCAATGAAAGAAAGGCTGGACCTAAAAGTCGAGAAATCTCGGCATCCTTGGACACCGGCGTCTTCTTGGAATTGGCCGGTGAGAAGTGGTCTGAGCGCCCACTCTCTCGGCTGGTTGAGGTTTTGCCGTGCTTGCAGCGCAAAATACAACTCATCTTCAGCTGCACTACTGGCAGCAGTCCGGTGTTCTAGGTTGCCGGCGATACCAGCTTTTGATGCAGGGTTTACTTTCTTCTTCCAACCACCTCAGAGTCTGGCTGCATTTACCATGCTGATGTTGAAAGAAGATTGGCTCATGATCAAGTCCTTATCTTAGGCGGGGCAGACTCTCGACCGTGCGATGAACATTAGTATCTGAGATATATTCAGGTCAATCCGCGAAGAGCATCCTCAAGGTCTGTCTTCGTCCTCGAACATTGCACTCGAAGGTCTCCCGCAAGCCACCGTACAAGGCCTTCGATTCCTCAACATGGAACACAAGAGTCAATACTACGATTCGAAAGCAGCAGAGGCCGGAGTACTTGACCCTTCCCCAGAATATGGAGACATGTCCGGCATGGGGCAGACGATCAAACGGGACCTGCGACGCAGGCACATCAATATGATTGCCTTGGCTGGCATGATAGTGCGTTTTCACCACATGCGAGCTAATCTCGGACCATGCTTACATTGACTCAGGGCACAGGTCTCTTCCTCGCATCTGGTCAAGCAATAGCACTTGCAGGTCCTGTCGGTGCGCTACTGGGCTACATCGTGATGGGCTTCATCACCTGCGGTGTCGCATTGTGCACTGGAGAACTGTCGGCCTTCATGCCTATCACCGGTGGCTTTGTCCGTCATGCGAGCTATTTCGTTCAACCTGCGCTTGGGATGGCTACCGGCTGGAACTTTTGGTACACTATGGCCATCACAGCACCGGCTGAGCTCTCCGCGGCAGCAACAATCATCGACTTCTGGGATACTACCACCAACCAAGCCGTCTGGTTCAGTGTCTTTATCGTCGTCATCGCCGTTCTCAACTTCTCTGGTGTTCGCTGGTACGGCGAATCCGAAGTCGTATTTGCGTTCCTGAAGATCACCCTCATCATCGGCCTGATCATCGCTGGAATCGTTGTCGATCTCGGTGGCGGTCCAGATCATGACAGAATCGGCTTCCGGTACTGGAAGAATCCCGGCCCAATGAACACCTACCTTGTCTACGGCGACAAGAACACAGGACGATTCCTTGCATTTTGGAGTACACTTATTTCAGCATCCTACAGTTACGCCAACGTACAGGTTGTGGCACTCGCAGGATCTGAAACCAGAAACCCAAGAAGTTTAATTCCCAATGCTATCAAGATGACCTTCTGGCGCGTGGCCATCTTCTACATCCTCAGCTTATTCGTTGTCGGCCTCCTCGTCCCATACAACGACCCCAACCTTGGTATCAGCACCGGCAATGCGCAACAAAGTCCCTTTGTCATCGCTTTCCAACGAGCCGGTATCAATGTACTTCCCTCCATCATCAATGCCGTTGTGTGCACTTCCGCTTTCAGCTGCGGATCCGCATGTATCTTCCTTGCCTCTCGAACACTATACGGTCTTGCCGAGGAACGACAAGCACCCCGCATCTTTCTCAGAGTCAATCGATTCGGCACTCCGTGGGTTGCTGTTCTTGGTTCCCTGATTTTCTTGCCATTGGTCTATCTCAGTCTGGGCAGCAATTCATCCGTCGTTTTCGGGTGGTTCGTCAATATCACCTCGGTTGCTGGCCTCATTGGCTGGGTCGTCATCCAAGTCTCTTTCCTCAGGTTTTATTATGCAATGAAGTATCAGGGCATCAGTCGAAATCGTATGTGACTCTCCTTGCTTGGCTAGTCGTCCCGTGCTGACATTGTCGATACAGGTTTGCCGTACAAAAGCCCCCTTCAGCCATATATGGCTTGGACAACGCTGGGTGCATTGATACTCGTCGTCCTGTTTTGTGGTATGTCGTTGTGCATGTTTTCCCCTCAGCATATGTCAAGACTCACTCTTTCCAGGGTACAGCGTCTTCTTCCCAGGCAACTGGAGCACGTCGGCGTTTATCACATACTATATCGACATTGCCATCTTCATCTGTAAGTGTCCTGTTTGAGTACTCAACCGCATCGACTAACGTCAATCACTCTAGTCCTCTGGGCCGTTGCGTGGCTGTTCTACCGCACCAAGCCGCTCAAACTGTCTCAGATCGACCTGTCTGAAATCGAGCAGATAGAAAGAGAAAAAGAGCTCGAACAAGTCGAGCGCGATCTGAGGTCGTGGTGGAGACTGTACATCATCTGAGAAGATGTATAGTACCATGAAGGCACATTCAGATTTCCGTGTCTTTCCTGGAGCAATCAAGACCACGTTTCGTATTTTTCTACCCGCCGGTCTTGCCGCGCGGCAGAATCTCTTTGGCTTCACTGCTTCAACTCCTCGAGTCCTTCCGTTCCATTGAAGCGGAAGGTAAGTCCATCGAGTGTGTCATCTTCGGTGACAATACGGCATCGAACAACATCGTACTTGTCCGTCTCATAAAATCGCAGTGCTTCTTCCTGTTCGCGAGAGGTGACGAGAAAGGCGCTGCCGAACACTTGATTTTCCATGGGCGCATCCACAAGAGCTTTGTACTTGCCAGCCCATGTCCGGACTTGACCTCCGCAGACGTGAGCGGGCAAGAACGATGGCTGCTTCTCCTCCAAACCAAGGTGTTGTGTCAGGACTTGCGGATCGGCCAGAGTTCCGTAAAAGAAGTACCATACAGGATAGTCATTTTGTCTGGGCAATGGAGTGAAACTGTCGGCGACGGCCCGGTGCTGTGGCAACGTAGAGTCCACTCCAAGCATTGGTGCTAGAGTACGTGAGCAGAGATCCTTCTTGGCCTTGGCCAGGCGCACAATGATCGGCCGGAAGGAGGGATGGTGCTCTGCAAGCCATGCGACGAGCATTGATTTGGCAAGGACGTCGATCTCGCAGAACTGTGTCTGGCCGTGTTCACCAACCCCGGTCGCTAGTTGAGGAGGGGCGTTGAGTTGGGCGGCCTCCTGGATTGCACCAGCGCAGTTAAGGGGTCCTCCGAGTTGGACAATGAATGTTCCAGACTCGATGGTTGCGGTGGTTGCTTTTGTGTTGATGACTCGCTTCTGGGTGATTGAGTATTCGTAGGCTTCCCGGTCGAAGCCTTCGGGCTCCTTGTTTGGTCTGACGGCCTCCCAGAGCTCGTCGGATACCCTTGTTTTTGTGAAGTCGTTGCGATGGGCCTCGATAGCTTGGGCGGCCTCTGGGCGACTTAGACCGAACAGGACTTGCCATCTCTCTACGTCGACATCTGAAATGATCATGTTGGTAGAAGGGTCAGAGATGTTGATTGCCATAGATTCCAATTCATCAAGGAGATCCATAGCTGTGGTGGTTTGATTTTATCTGTTGTGTGGATGACAGTGCGAGTGAGTATGGCCTTCGCAAGCAGAACTGTCGAGAATATCTTCCGTACTTTGTTTGTGACTCTATGGACCGGTGTGAGAGAAGGAAGAGTCGCAAGTGGGAGAGTGCGAAGGTATATATGGGTTCTATGCCGGGTGGAAAAACGCAGCGTTTAGGTGCCACTCTGTTGAGTCATGAAAAGTCTGGTGCCAGTTCTGTACCAGGACCAGCAACAAAGGTTTGGCCAGTTGTGATTGGCCAACCGTCGTAGTCATGGTTGAACGGTGTCGATGCAGCCACTGAAACGAAATTCCCAAGTTCTGCTGCGGAAGAAAGGTCCTCAGTGGTGGGAAAAAGTCGGAACGTTCTGGGAGCCAGTCACTAAATGACTACAGTATTGGTGGGTACAGGCACTGCATCCAAAACTGCATCGAAGACCTGACCCGCTCTCAAAATGACACACACCGGTCAGTCTAGAAAGTATTTCTTTCGTTATCCTAGCTCTTGACTTGTCGCATTGGATACGTGTCGACGTTCGTAGCAGAGGGGTAGTGTCGTCGAGTGTTCGCTTCGATGAGCCGAATTGATATCAGCGGCGAACGACTGAGGTCAGCGGTGGAATGCCGTAGTCGATGAATCGAGCAGGAAAGCAATGCCATACAGCGGCTCACGAGTACTGCGAAGACTCGTTCGAACCGCAAGTCGGTACAGAGGGCTGATCGTGCTCTGGTCGTTCCTTGCTGGCTTTGAGTCTAATAGGAAGATGATCTGAACTGCAGATGAGCGTCATCTTTAAAGAGTCTCGAATCAACAATAGACACTGTAACCTTGGGTTTACAAATGTCCCATGACTCTGTGATCTGGTACTCGCCCCTTCTCAAAGTCTCTGCAGCGTCCTGACCTGACATCATAAACAAGGCACCTTAGCCTGACGAAGAGGAGCAAAGAACCACCGAGGAGTGGTTCTGGGATATGAGGACACAGAGACTGCGCTCAACGTACCTAGGTACCTTCGTGCATCTCCCTTTGTGGACTGTATGCGTAGGAACGGGTCTGCGAAGATTTTGTCGCCTTTAGCAACCCTAGGTGCCTACCATCGACAAGTTCTGGGCTGCCCTCAACAAACATTTCGAGTTTCGACCAGATGCGTCCTGCGGGTTCCACGTGCACATCTCCTTGTCAACCGGGTCGAACTCGGACGTCCAACTCAGAGCCATGGCCAAAGCAGTTGCCTTCTGGGAGCCCGCCACCGCACGCTGTGCCCCTCCATCGAGACAGGACGATATCCAGGGATTCTGCAAGAGCAACATCAGCCAGGGAACCATGGTGGCCGCCCCACTCGCAAGATATGGACCCCTCCGAGGACTGGTGTACGCGTTCGACTACATCGACAATGCCACTCGGGAGTCCATTGTTCACTACGTGTGCCCTGACAAGTATCGCGCATGGAACTTCAACCCTTGTCGACCTGGTGGCCATGGCAGCATTGAGTTCAGGCGGGCTCCAGGAGTAACCACCTTTCAGGCATCAATCCACTGGATTGCCTTCACCATGGCATTTATCGACATGGCCATTCAACACAGCCCAGTTTCCTTGGCTGCCCATGTTCGTGAATGCACCTACCTGCCTGAGGTGTACCATCCGGATTTCCGGACCCAACTCCTGGACTGTGCCGCTCAGCTTGGGATTGCTGATTGCCTTGACCTGGACACTGGACAGCGTGACGACCCAGATGCCCTTCACTTCACCATGTCTAATGCCAAAGTTATTAGCCGTTTACAGCGCGTTGACCCGAGATACCATTCGAGTGACAACCCGTAAATTTCTCATGTCGTTTCTTTTTTCACTTGTTCACTGAAGACAAAACACCAAAAAAACTTGAAAATAGGTAGACAAACTGTTTATTGGCTCTGACGTGGTTGGGGAGCCATAGCTTTCAGAGAGGTGAACAGGGAGTCGCAAAATGTGGAGGGGTTTCCAGGCCCATGTTTAGATAGCAAAGGCAATTTGGATTTGAATATGGTACAATCCATTGTTTGGTCTGCGTGAGGTCCACCTTCTCGTGGTGCGGGCTGTGAGTACCTTTCGGAGGGAAACAGAGAGATCTCAAATGTCAAGAACGGGGTGTTGATGAAGTTAAGTCTGACTTCAGAAAGTCGAGATTACGAGCTGTCAGATGTGTGGGCTATCTTAGCCAGGGTCGCTCGCTCGGCTTGTCTCCGGCATTGTTTCAGGTAAGCAATCCTTCTCCAAGGCTTTGACTGTCGTTCAAACCATTTGGTTTCTCAGAAGCTGACATACATTTCTAAGATAGATTTTATGGTTCGGCTCGGCATCTCGCTCACGATTTACGTACGATAGGAGCATCGCAGGATTTTCGGGAATGTGATGTTGATGAACACAACTCCAATGGTCAAAGGGAAGGGGGTGGCTTAGCGTCGCGTTTATCATGGTCAGGCACAGGGGCAAAGACAGTTGGTCTTCGCGCACGAAAGGATCAAGATGTACTCATATTGGAAATTGTGCAGAATAGCGTGGAGTTGTGGCAATTTTCTGATATCCGTCATCAATCAATCGAAAAAAGACTGAATGGCCAAATATTCCTCAAATCTAGAATCATAATATCATGAATCGTCGCCTGCGCCCATTCATATCAAGCCGTCCAAAATATCCCAGCCGCGGCACATCGCAAGCTGATACCATAAGCTCATACCATTTTCTTCTCCCCTAACTAAGCCCAAACCAGTGGGAAGGCATAAAGCGCCTGCTGTGCTGCTGCTCTCGTCGCGCCAACCTTGACGCACTCGTAGAATTCTTCAACTCATACACATTGACCCTGTTCGAACCACCACAGTACTCTGCTACATTTCCGTCACAAATCATGGAGCAGCCAGAACTGGCTGTTGTCGCGCCGTTGGTGATGCCGATGTTGTTGCAGTAGCACTCATCTGAGTATTCCACACCAGCGTAGTCATAACCCCTAGCGTAGCATGCAGCAACACAGAGCTCCACGGTCATGCTGCTGCTGGTCGTGGAATAGCTGCTTGAGCCGCCAAGCGCACGACCTGAAGTGCCCTCAGTGTAGCATCCCAGGTATCCGAATTGTGCGCTTTTACCAGTGATGTTCACAGTAGATGGATTTCCTGGTTGTTCGTACAGCTTGTTCTGGAACAAGCTCAAGGCGTTGGATCCGCCGCAGATTTCGCTGGTGTTGCCCGCGCAAGTCATGTCGCATTTTCCTTCAGCGAGGGTAGTACCGGTAGATGCTAGCGTATTTCCAACCCAGCATTCATCCGAATACTCGAGACCAAAGTACTTGTAATTACTCGTTTGTGCGATTGAAGCACATTCTGCAAGCGTCATGCTTGAATCCGTGGTTCTTGTCGTGAGTGTTCGGCCAGATGTACCGTCGGAGTAGCAGCTGATGTAGGTCGAATTAGCGACCGTAGGACCTGAGGAGGTAGACGAATCGGTTTCGTTGCCGCTGATCAACCAAACGCTTAGGCGAGCTGATCCACCACAGTATTCGGTCAGGTTACCTATGCAGGCCATTGCACAGCCGGTTTCATTTGTCGCATAAGAGGCCGAGATCGAGCTCCCGCAGTAGCATTCGTCCGAGTATTCTGTTCCAAACACGGAGTAGCCCTTATTTTGGCAATACGCCCCACATAGGGCCGTGGTCATGCCAGTGGAGTTTGTCGTACTAGCTCCGGAAAGAGCTCTGCCTGAGGTCTCGTCAATGTAGCACCCGTAATATGTCGCAGTGCTTCCAGATGACATGGTAACAGTTGTAGAATTGATTGTAGGCTTAACTCGTGTCTCCCCATCCGTGTCTTCAGGGGTGATCAGGCTCGGCTCCGTAGAACAAATGCCTTGAGGTGCCGCCTCGGGTCCAGAAGTGACATTGTTGCACCCTGGGAGTTTCGAAAGAATCCCTTTGACTTGCTCATCGACCAGAGCAGGTCGTTCTGGGCAGTTGTTTGCATAGTAATCATCCTGAGAGGCTTCCAATGGTGCGCACTCTGAAATGACACCATCGGTATCATTTACTAAGCATTGCGCAACAGCTTCAGTCAAGACGTCATTGTCCCAGCCGTCCATGAAGTCTGCGACATGTCAGCTAGGAGGCGTCAAGAAGACGTATGTACTCACCGCCATGGAAGCCGTAGCCGGTAGTGTCACCATTGGAGAAGACAAACTGCCCCCCATCGGATGTATCCATTGAGTTCGGGAAGTAGTAGATTTCGAAGAATAAGTGTGGCATGAGGTAAGGGTGTGTTGGTGGGCAGGCTCCATTGTCAATCTGAGACAGGTACGCCACGTGTGACTGATCAGACTTGTAAAGGTTGACACCGTCCCAGCAGCTTTGAAACTGGATTTGTGCCCGGAGACCATCTGGACAGTCCGTGTTGTTCAGAAATGTGGTCTGAGGGGTTTCGTTGGTGTAGTCGATACACACAAAACTGACACGATCTGCAACGGGTCTCGACGGATAAGTACTGTTACCATAAGTCATGGTTGTGTTGTCGTAAGAACGGACTGTCGAGTCTCCAGATACCATCTTCAGACCCTTTGGAAACGGAATGGCGTTTGCAACGTCGACACCTCTGCCCAGATAGTACACCACTGTTCCATCATTGGGTACAGGGGTGAGGGAACCATTGGCAAATTGGTAGTACATTAGTGGTGTCCAGTATGCACTCAAATCTTTTTGCACCGAGCACGTGGTACAAGACGCTACGGACAGAGTGTCGTAGTCGGAGGTGGTGTTGACATCTATCATGGTAAGCCATTGTTCATTGTAATTCATAGAGCTCACTCACTGGTAGCGCCTGATAGCAAGTGGACGTGGCCCGATACGGAACCCGGACTGAGGATGGGATCGACTCTGCCTGTTTGAGCGACACTACAGGTCATTCGCCAGTATGCATTGACGAGTCCGAGCCACGAGCCAAGGCTGAGAGCCAGGGAAACTGATATACTAGTCTTCATGGTGTATGCTTGTTGGTGCGAGGATAAGAGGCTGTACTGATCGACATGGTGTATACTTCTCGTGGAAAAGGCTCGATTGATATAGCAGCAGATCTTGAGCTCGTTTCCATGTGAAATGTAGGGGTTGGACGTGACTCCCGTAGTTGGCAGGAACTGACAGCTTGTTGACGGGAAGAGTAATCTTACCTAAGGGTGAAGAATGTAACTCTAGAAGCCTGGGCCAGGAAAGTTCTGCCGCGATTTAGGTTCAAGGCACCGATGACAAGGAGGCCTTTGGTATACAACAAGGTTTGCGATGCATGCAATCAAGGTAGATGCGCTCCGCTGCGCTTGTGATATTACCTTCCTGTACACGGCTGAAAACGTGTCGGCAGGAGACATGACCTGTGCGGATGCCGCCATAGGCGCGTGGGAAAGAAGTTTCTATGTCCAAGCTCCTTATCATATTGAGCTCACCACGGGTAAAAGGGGTTCGTGCGTTGCGGTGCGAGCCTGAGCCCGAGCACAAGCTCTTCCAGACCAACCTCATACTGAGCCGTAGACGTCATTTTGTTCGGGTGCGAACTTTCATGGCGCTGTCAGTGGCTTATGGTCGCGACGGCCTGGTCATGAACTTGTGAAACTGTGCGCAGAGTAACGTCTGGTTTATCACATCGCAACGAAATAGAAGAGTAGCCAGCGCGAAGAAAGGAAAAAGGAGAAGAGGAAGGAACGCGCCGAGGCTGGTGAAAATAAGCTTCCCAGCCTTACACAGTTTGATTGGCTTGTGCTCAACCTCGGATTTTGCCGAAAGGAAGCACCGACATCGCTCCAGGCCTCCGCACTCTTAACCAACCTCAATCTTCAACTTCAAGCTGCAGCACACTGACATCTCGAGCCACTTACATCAAGACGTGCCTTAGTGCTTGCCGGCAATTGCCCACTGCTCATCGACACGCCCATGATCCGGCAATTGATCTCTTTGAAGGTCCAGATGCGACGGTGGAGTCCAGCACATTGACTACCATCTCAGTCTCCTAGACGAAAACACCACTTACAAGGCAGGAACTGGTCTACCTCTTCAGCGCCTTCAAAGGCCAGGTCATCATCTGCAAGCATGGAGGCCATTATACACGCTTACAAGGATACTCTCCTGCTCCTCGACTATGTCAATGGCTCCACGAGCTCGAGTTCGAGTTCAAGTTCAACTTCGAGCGCCCAGAGACCCCAGCCACCGAATATGCTCCTCTTCATTGGCGGCGTAAGTTCTTCTAGAAGCCCGTGCGATGGAAGCACGAGGTCTTTGAGTTTGCCGTTCTGTGCCAATACGACGTACTGACACTTTTCAGATGTATGACAATTTCCGCAGTCCGGGATACACCGACGACCTCGCAGCGTTATTTCCACGCGATGTGCCCGACCAGCAATGGCGGGTCATGCATGTCCAACTCTCTTCAGCAGGAAGGTCATTTGGCCTGTTCGACCTGGACCGTGATGTGAGTTCAAACCCTGTTAGAAGGGTGGCATGACCAGATGGCTGACAAAGCCTGTCAGGTCCACGAAATGAGTGCAGCAATAACCTACATTCGCGAAACCATTACCCAGTCCTCTACGACGCCCATCGTCATAATGGGCTTTTCGACAGGCTGCCAGGACGTAATGCACTATCTGTGTTCTCCTGGTTCACGCCCACGCATATCGGGTGCCATCATTCAAGCACCTGTCTCCGACCGTGAGGCTATCCTCGACGAAATCAAGACCAACCCCTCGGCGAAAACCGCATACGACCATGCCCTATCCATAGCCAGGGCCACATCTGCCGAAAAACACAAAACCACAATCCTCCCAACCAATCTCACTAAACACTTGATTGGTTCAGCACCCTTGACGGTATCTCGCTTCCTCAGCCTCGTCTCACCAGACTCGCCCGCTCACCCAGCCATGGACGACTACTTCTCCAGTGACCTCTCCGACCAGCGCTATCTCGACACGTTCGGCCGCATCGGAAGCCTCGACTTCCTACAGCCTTCCAAACCAGACACGCCTAAGAGTATCCTCATTCTCGAAGGTGGCAGTGACGCCTCGGTTCCTTCACACATCAACAAAGATCTCCTACTTGCGCGCTGGAAAACTGCCATCGAATCTGCCGGCCGAGCCCGTATGTCACCTCATTCTATGATCATCTCGAATTCCAAACACGACATTTCAGGTGAGTCGATTGAGTGCCGTATCGCAAGACTGGTCGACATGCGCCGCGCGGTCCTCCACTTTCTGGATGACACCGTCGGCCACGTCGGCTCTGAAGCACAAGGCTCGGGCGCATGGAAGGTCTGGAAAAGCGACAAAGATGCCATCGAGGCCGAGAAAGGTGTGGACCAGGTGAAACTATAAGGCCAGCCAGGCGTCCGTGCATGCGCATGGACTGTGCCAACATCCTGCACATGGCCCAACAGTTACCTCTTGTCACGTCCCACAGTCCAGATCCCGATGCTGACTGGCACGACTGAACATTCACGAGTGATGGCAATCCCAACATCGAACCAGTTAAAGGTTCTTAAACAGATTCAAGGCCGCAGTTGCACGCCATGGCAAAGCAAGAGCAGCATAGGATCTCCCTCAGCAAGTCTCACCCTTTACCTCCAAGGTCGGACATGGCAGTTTGCTAGGCTTGACCTACGAATTATCTTGGCGTGCTATTGATACCATGAGAGATGTCGAGGCAAGAGAGATGTGATATCGTCGGCGTAGGGAACAAAGGCCCACAAGCTCGACAAGAGCCAACAGCGATAAAAGTATGGTGAAAAGTAGCTTGATTCTGGCTTACCTAGGTACAGTAGCATCTGAGGAGATATGAAGAACGGCAATGTCACACTTGGGCGAGAGGATAGAAGTTATGTCGACCGTCAATCAATTCAACTACTTCTGCAACTAGAAATACAATAAGAGAACCTATGAAACCTATCCTTTTCCACAGACAAATTGCTCGGCTCGTGTTAAACATGATGTTTCGGCCGTATATTGCACATCCATGCAAAGCAACACTTTTGCCAACGAGTTCCTTGCTTTGCCTCGAGACCATAGCACTGCTCAGCCTGAACGCCTTCCTAATGTCAACACAAGTGAATTGAAGACCGTTCGCAATGCTAACCCACAACGAAAGAAAAGAAATCCCAAGAAAATGCGAAACACACGAAAAAGAAAATCCAAAAGCTCTCACCGCTGGGCTATGCAGCACACACCAAAGAATTCAATCTCAACTTCACCTGGTCGCTCGCACACTTCCATTCTTACACAGCAGGCCAACGCACCCTCAATCCTTCGCACCATCTCTCGAACAGCACATCAGCAAGCTGTCTCGTATGCTCCAATCCACCAGCAAACGCTCTCATCATCTCATCGTCATCGTCACCCTCAGCAATACCGTTCTTGTTCTTGACGGGGCTGGTGCCGCTAACAGCCCTTGACTTCACTCTCGCAGTCCCGACGATCTGGGCACTCTGTCTGCGTCGATGACTCTTGAGGTGAGGATTATTCTGAGCCAGCACCAACTTGGTCCGCGGTGTGCTAGGCGTCACCTGCCGGCTCACATTTGCCGAGACATTGCGTGAAGTCTGCTCCGTCTGCTGTTGCGGCAATATCGTCTTCAGCGAATCGTCTTCCTTCATCTTCGACAAGATCGACCGCATGATATGATACATGCCGTCTGGGTCCACGCTTTCGAGGTCCGAAAAAGCCTCGGCCAGTCTGGATACAGCTTCCCGCTTGACCTCGTCGGCCGTGTCGTTCAGAACATCTTGGCATGATATCCCGATGGCGTTGGCGTACAATTTCCGGCCCAAGGTAGCTTCCTTCGACTCCGCTGGGACAAGCGTCGGCGCAACCGTTGTGGCCGTAGAAGAATATCCCGAGTCAGACTTTGCTTCTTCAAGTAATGAGCTTCCTATGTCCACCAGAGATGTCAAGCCCGGCTTCGCTTTTGAGGGCGTCCTAATGACACTAGCATTGGGATCGTCGAGCTGCTCTTCGTTCTCCGCATTTGTGTTGGTGTTCGTGTTTGGTGACACTCTCCTAAACTGTCGCACTGTACTCGGACTGTTGCCGAACGACATATTCACTCCCAAAGGTTGTCTCGGTTGGGCACTTGAGAGTCTCTTCCTTGCCGTTCGTCTACCCTGGTCCGAGGAGCCAGACACCCTCCTCTCCTTCTGTTGTGATCTAGATTGTGAAATCTTGCGCATCGTCGATTTGTTTGGACTCTGCTCTGTCTCCACTCTTCGATCTAGGACCAGTTCGCCCATCATTTGTGACGGGCTTTCTTCTTGGTGATTTCCAAGAACATCCACAGCAGTCTTTGAGACCTTTCTGCGCTTTTGCGTCTGAACGCCTCTTAGATCCATTGTGGGTACAGCTTTGATTGTCTCAAAGACCCAGTCGTCGGTGTTCTGTGCAGACGATAGGTTCTTGAGCGTCTCGGCATAATACTTCATATTCCGCTCGGCGCCCTTACTCGCTTCCCAGTCCTGCTTGCGCTGAATCAACTCTTGCAGTGCTTCGACCTTGCCGGCGGACCGAACAAATCGATGCTTCAATAGTTCTTTTGCACTCGGCCTTCTGTCGACGTCCTTGGTGAGGCAAGTAGCGACAAATTCCCGAAAGTTGGCCGACCACTGAGCGCCTTCTAAGCGAGGGGCAGACTGTTTGGGAATCAAGAACAAAACCTTCATTGGATGCACATTGGCATGCGGTGGTTCGCCATTTGCGAGTTCCATTGCTGTAATACCCAGACTCCAGATATCCGCTTTGGCATCATGACCTTCCTGCTGGATGACTTCCGGCGCCATCCAGAACGGCGTGCCCACGAACGTGTTTCTTACACTCTTGAGACCGACAAGTTGCGCAGCAACTCCAAAATCGGCCAGCTTGACGCGCCCGTCCATGCCCAGCAGGACGTTCGCAGCCTTGATATCTCGGTGTAGTTTTCCTTCGGTGTGCAAGTATGCCAGACCGAGCAGCAGTTCTCGACAAATGATTGCAATGTGACTCTCTGAGATTCTATGAGGGGGAGGTTTGAGGAGGTCTGCGCAGGATCCGCCTCCTAGGTATTCCATCACGATCCATAGTGTTTGTCGCCGTAGAAAGGCTAGGCGGTACTTTGTGACGTGGGAACTTGAACACGATGATAGAACAGACAGCTCGGAGAGAATGTCTGAGAGATCTTCTTCAGAAGATTCCAGGTCAACCTGTCACACTTGTCAGCTTTGCACTGCGACGTCGAGCCTCATACATACGTGTTTGATGGCGACAATCTCGCCAGTGTCTTTCTCAATGGCTTTGTAGACGACACCAAACGAGCCACTACCTAGTTCTTCCAGCATCTGATATCTGTCCGCCAGTGTGTCGCCATTTGCATGGTCATCTTGGATCTCGAAAGGTGCGTGCGTCGGCGCAGCTCGGTGAGGAGCGGCATCTGAGTAAAGGGATATCATGGTAAATTGTCGATCCGTTGGCAAGACTGCCTCTAGTAGACTGTGCCTAGTATTGCTGCCCAACCTCAGGCGTTGTCCATATGCCAGAGGAATCTATTCTGTGTTGCATGCAATGTCGTCTTGTCGTTGGAGTATACGTCAAAAGATGCAAGCTTCGCCGAAGAGAGGTCCAAGAATACAATTGGCGGTGATACAAGCATTGGAATGAGAATAATGAATGTTGAGGACGGCTGATTGATCAGAGGGTGTTGCGTGGCGCAAGATACAGTAGGCAATGTTGTACTCGGAAGAGCTTGCGTATTGAGGTGAAACCTGCGTAGCCTCATAGCAAGCCAGGCGTTGAATGGGTCCAGGAATATGGATAGATGAGGCTCGGATCATTTACATCTTGGTGCAAGTTGGTGGACAGTACTGTGGCTGGCTTTTGTTTACATGACCTAGGCGCATAGCAACCCAGGCTCTAGGCGGCATAGTGGCAGTTCATCCCGCCCACGCGGGCCTCTAGCCGCAGAAACTAATGCAGGGGCCATTTCCGAGAGTGGACTTTCGAACAGCCTCCCAATCCGACTTCCATCCTTTTGCCTTTTGTTATGGTCCCGAATCTCCGTCTCCATCCTAGCTTCAGCTTTCCTTTTGACAGTCTACGTAAGTAACGTTCGTACAAGGGTCGAAGAGGATCCAGACATGCGCATATAAGGGCATTCTTCAAGGCAAATCCCGTACTGCTCTCAGGGGTTTCTGGCGATCCTTCTCGAAGACTGGTTACTGGGGAGATATCAATTCCTCTCTCCGTCCATTGTGGTCATTCATGTGACAATGCGTGAGGCAGCTGGACGGCATTATATTGAGTCCGAGGGTCACACTGCTATAGTGCTTTCTTGGACATAAAGACCTCGGATCAAGAATCCCATCCTCCCAATCTGCATCACTTGGTGCAATCTGTCAATATTGATATGAGGATCTCCCGGAGGATATCTGCCACGGGCCGGATCTTGCCTCGTGCTTCGCACACAGAAACGTCAGCCGGCCAACGGTCACATAATTACTTCATAGATCTGCCCCATTGAGTCGCGTGATGCTCTCCAGATGCCAAATGGACCGACTACTCGAGTGGACATAGTCAACACTACATCATTTGTAGTTTAAAAAGCCGTTGAGAAGAAGATCTGATTGTCGATCAAGCCTTGACCGGAAGCATCGCCATGGTTTTGCATTTGTACATATGTGGACCGATACTGGTCATATATGTGGACTGTAGAGTATACTTCTTTCATCGTCGCCCCGCGGCGTCGACTTGCTCTGCTCGACTTCATGGTGACCCGTATCCCACTCTTTCATAAGATCGCTCACCGTGCTTGTTAGCCGTGTCGGAGTCAGTGTCTTAATCTCCGGCCATGGCAAACCGTTTCCAGAGGACTTCTTGACATCTTCTCCGGTGTCGATGATTTTCTGTCGATTACTGACAGGCGAGTCCCATGCATCCCATCCGACCTCGACGTCCTCGTCAGTGGTATCTGGGAGCAGACTAGGAGGATTGACTGAGTCGGTACTAGTAGTGCTCCTCTGCTGTACATGTCCATTGGTCTTGTTTGTGCCTTCTTGCGGCATTGGCGGCCTTCGGGGCGTTTCCACTCCAAATTCCTTCCAGAAAGATGGCTCTTTCGACTGTGCTCTGCGATTCTCGGAGGAGGTCCTTCCAGTCGCCGATCGCTTCGGTTGTGGTCTCGAGGGTCGCTGTTGTGCAACTGTACCATTGACGCCTTCTTCTCCTACTGTCGCTTGCCGGATATCTTCAAAGAAGGTCCAGAGCCCCTCTCGAACACCGTCATAGACTGATTTGCCCTGCTTGAGCACGTCTGTGGCGCCAGGGGGCATTGAACGCCGATTTGCCGCCAGGTCCCTGTAGGTTTTCCCAAACCCCAAAGGAAGGTTGTCGTTCTCTATAAAATCATTCAAGGTTGACATCCTCGTAAGTGGTGGCCGGGTCACCTCAGCGTCATGACCCAACTCAGGTGCACTGTTTTGCAAATTCGTGATCTCGTCAATTGAGGTCGTCGCAGGTGGTCGGCCAGGCTTTTGCGATGTCGGACTTAGGAGACTCAATGTGCGAGTATGTCTTCCCTCGAAGACACGCTTTGACCCCTTGCGGCTTAGGTTTGTCGTCGAACCGTTCACTGTCGCAGTATCTGTTTCATTGTTCCTCTCAACAAGGGCACGTTTCCTCCTCCGTTCTTCATCTACGTCGTCTTCTCCTAGGACGTTCTCACGACCTGCGACGTCATCCAGCGCCAATGGTTGCAATTTCTTTACATGTTTCACTTCATCCCTTTTCTTGTTGGCTTCAAAGAGCGCCCATTGTTTCTTCAGCTCCAACAGATCTCCTTCTGCCTTTTGCAATTCTTCTCTTAACTCGAGGACTTTCCTCTCCTGTCCAGCTAGAAGCGTAAGGAAATCTGCACTGCCTCTCGTCTTGGCCAGGTCTCTGGCTTCATGTGCGGGTTCAGGACTCCTGAAGGGCGCTGTCCGAGTACGAGGGGAGGACCTGGCAGACGCGACGGGGCTCGGAAGGATATTGGAAGCAGATGTTGGTGACTGCATGATCTGCGTGTTCGTGGGCAGCAAGATCGGGAAGTTCAGTGCAAGGCCCCTGTTTTGTCTTCTAGGAGACGCATTATCGTTCGAGAGTGTCCTTGTCGGGCTTTGAGGTATTGCCACTTTGCGTTCCACATCCTCAGATAAAGCAGGCGCTGTTGTAGGCTCGGGAGACATTAGTCTGGACTTTGTCCCCATATCGCAATCGGGTCTCTTGTCCCCAGTCGCGTCTTAACTGTCAACACTGTGATCAGACCTCCTTGTGGGGATCTTTTCAGAGGGGCGTAAACAGATGTCAAGTGTGGTCCGCTAATTGAAGTAGCATGATTGGAAGTTTCGAGAAGGGGGCGTCAAGTCGTGAATACGTGGCGATCATGGATCAGTCGTCATATACAGCGTGCAAGATTGAAGTGTGTTTGTGAAAAGGATAGCATCATTGAGAGGAAGAGAGATGGTCGGTCATGTTGACAGGTGCCGAAAACAGAGGAAGCCACAAAATTAATTGGACAGGCCTCCATCTCCATCGGTCGGTCGCCTGCATGCGGCGGAAATGAAACCAACTTTACTTGAGCAACTTACGCCATCATGCAGTTTCGACCTTTTGGGGCGTTACAGCCTGAAATTCCGCTTCTTGGCCAAGTTATCAAGCATGACATTGCCCATGTGCACAGAAGAGGTCGGAAAGGGAGAATTACATCTTATCCGCGAGGACGGGACAATTGTGTCTTGTGTCACTCATAGCTATGGCAATGCTGATAGTTATGACAAAACTCCCAACACAATGCCACAGAAATGCTGCCTGTGTCATACAAATCATGGCCAAATACCGCACACAATCCAATGCAACATGAATCCCATAAACAGCCATCCAAGACTGCATCCGGCCCAGAACACACAGAAACCAAGTCCCGATCTTTGCCGTCAATACTCCAGCGCCATGAGGCATGCCTTGTTCGTTCTATACAATGTCTCGTGTCCACATTGACCAACCGTTGTACCCAACCAACCGCAACCCAAGTATCCAACGCCAATTTCGTTGTCTCCCTGTTGTAGTCCGTTCATACGATCATCCAAATACTTCCTCCAATGACAACAAAAATTGCCAGTACAGTCAACACACCAGCTCCTGCCCGGTCTCCTGTCGTAATGGCCGATTCCGTTGCCGTTGGGGAAGTGTTTGCGTCACTTCCAGCACTTGGGTCGCTTACAGACGTACCACCAGTATTGACCGTCTTCGGAGCGATTGCCGAGTTGATACTTGTCCCGCCAATGACACTCAGTGCTTGCATCTAAAATCACAAGTCAGCGGTTGAACCTCTATATCACCGTCATCTTCCCCTCGCATACCTGCTGGCCGACACCACTCGTTCCATCCCACGTCGCATACCATCGACGACCACACAATCGTCCGTTCGTTCCTCCAGTACACTGCTGTGCAGCAGCTGCAGCGCTAGCAGTCAACTTCGTCATGATTGAGTCGTATGTGCTCGGGACCAGTATGGCCGTCACGGCCATCCAACGTGACAGATAAGCCTTGAAGCTGCTCTGATCGTTGTTGCAGTTCGATGCCGGTTCACACTGGAATTCGGACATGATATTGCCGCCATACTCCGAAGGGAAAAAGAGATTGTAGGCGCCGTCAAGAATCTGCTCAACTCGAGCTTCCCATGTAGCATTACCGCCGGTGAAATTGTACATGTAAGCGGCGCCCATCAGCATGGTTCCATAATTGTAGGTCCAGGCGAAATGAGCAACGTCTGAGCAATTGTTGTCGGTGTCGGTGTTATCCCAGATATATAGGTGTCCATCCTGTGTCGAGAACAGAGGGGTCTGAGCAATCCAATCATACATCTGAACAGCCCAGTCGGCATATGTCTGGTTGCCAGTGTAATAGGCCAAACGTGCTGCCAGCTGAAAGTTACCACCGTTTGAGATGGTGTTCTTCAAGTTGTAACCAGCATTGAAAGAATACACCTGCCAGCGCATACCGCCTCCGCATGTTGCATCATCCCATAGCTCTTTTTGAAAGTTGAAGACCGCTTGAGCGAGAGCCACCCAAGAAGGAGCATCACCACCAGCCTCTGGAAAGTTGGCTTCGGCCGCATCCATTACGGAAAAGGCCCAAAATGCTTGATCGTCCACGCCCATGTTCTTACTCTGGTTTGGAGGGTTGTAGTTCTGGTCTGGTCCAATCTGAAATTGTAGAGCTTGTGACACCACGGAATTATAAGTGTCGTCGCCCGTGTATTGCCAATAGTTGATGAGTGACCCAAACATAGCACCAGCTTCCCACCAATAGTAACATGCTGTAGATGAACAAGGCCCTGGCAGTAGACCCGGGACCTGGCCTGTCTGATTACCAGAATAATAGGTCATCATATCGTAGGCAATTGTTGAACTGACGGAATTGACCGAGTCTGAACTTGTAACGTCGAGCGTTAAACTGTTCGTGACCGACAGCATGCCGGCCAACGAGGCCAAAATGAACGATCGTGATTTCATGATGCTGGTGTATTATCTCAATTGTGGTATGTGTAGGATCTCTCTTTTCCCAATCAACAGACCGTAGCGCCCTTGAGCGAACAGATTGCCCTTCTTCTTACTGACACTATCCGCTGTAATTCGTGACCTTGACGAATATATACACAGACTGTCTAATCGGTCTAAACGTGTCTCGGGGGTCGAAGGGAATCACAGGGATGTCGAGGATCGAGCCTTTTAGTGCGAATACTTTGTCGTCGCAAGGTTGTTGCCGCAAACGAAGGACTTAATTGACTGATATGGGCACCAATGCCAATCTGAATGAAAATGCAGTGTAGGAACGAGTGGTGATAGTATTGAGGAAGAAAGAAAGAATGGCCGGATGTCAAAGAAAGAGGTCAAGGCTTAGATGCAGAATGCAAAAACAAGAACGAAGTCATGATGCGAACTCAAAGGCTGGCACGGGCTGCAGCACGGCTGGATGGATACTGTAATGGCTGTAGGCGGGAGGCGAAGCGAGTTCCTTGGGGGAGGGGTGACCCAAGCAAGATCCCAAGGCAACCCTAACAACCCTAGCCTAGTGACCCAGTGTATCCGACTCGCCGAGCATGCCCAGGCAATTCAGCCACTGACAAGTCGCTTGGCCTCTTCCTTGGTTTGAAACAAACACCACTGTTGGCCATGTCTGACGCAAATAGTCTCCACCGCCAGATCTCGGCGTTGCGCATAGATCTTGGTCAAGGGCCAACCCTTGGACGTACCTACCCGTAGGTAGTAATCTCCAAGGTCATCGAGTCATTCTTGCACCCCCAATAGAAGCACACTTGGTATACAAATACAATTCTGATCGCCTATATTCATGTTCATGCCGGCGTGACAGGATGTCACTTTTGTGATATAATACCTGTGATTCCCAATCCGAATATAACAACCGTGCGCCGTCGCTCGATGACTTTACTGATGCACAAGACACGCTGCATATAAACAAGACCAAGATCCCCTGCATGTACAAGACCGGATATGTCTCTTCTCCTTTGCCAATCCCCGCATTTCACTCTTTGATCGAGCTAACGTTGTTGGCCAAACTGAACATGACATTTCCCAAACCGTGTCGCGCACTAGGCACATGAGCGTCTTTGTGTTCAGAGCTAGTGTTAGAGATATTCGTGTTGCCCCGTGGTCGTGGACTGGACCCGTCTGATCCTGCCTGAAAGCCGGAACCAAGTCCAGTTTCCGGACGAAACTGGCTTCCTTCCATGTTCCCATTGACCGCCGACGTCGTGGACATGCCACCCAGAGACGATCTTCTTCGGCGCAGCACCCGTTCGGCTTCTTTCGCCTCCTTGGCTTGCAGACTTTCCGAAGGCAACAGGATAGCCCGGTCCAACTCGTAGGGTAGACCACGATGTCGCCCACGAATTTGCATGGAAATGATGATCAACTTCGACAGAGTATGAAATTCCGCCGAGAACGAGGCGTTGATGGTCGGATAGCCAAGTGATAAGCCCACAGTGCCGTAAGCTGATACTATCTCGAAGAGAACCGAGAACAACGTAAAGGCGTACTGATTCGTGTTTTGCAGCTGCCCACCTTCGACGATAGCAATGATAAACAATCCCAAGAATATGTACCACAAATCAAAGGAGAGTTGTTTCCGAAGATGCGCTCCAACATAGCTGGGCTCCTTTTCGTCCTCGTCTTCCTCGCCTGGACTATTGTAAATTCCCAGACTCTTCTCTTCATATACGTTCGTCCGACGCATCGAAATGGCGATAGGAAAGACTGAAATGTACATCATGATGAGGTAACTCACTTGGATTGCTGGGTGAAGATCTGCAAGGTTGACCACGCTAAAGCCGGCTGTTCTCGTGGACGCGGCTTGGAATAATCCATCAAGGAAACGGAGGCCGCCGGGTATTTGCATGATGGTGGAGTCGTTGAGATCTAGAATGATGAAGAAAACGAGATCGAGGCCGTTGAGTATGACCAGGATGAAGAACAACCACCAAGTCGCCTCTCGTGGAAACAGCAAGGTAAAACATCGGCGAGGATGGTCCAAAAGAAACTGAAGTTCTTCCCAGACGGCTCCGCCGTATGGTGTCAGTTTAGCAATAGCCCAGATGACGAATCGAAGCATACAGGGAAATCCAGTATTGCCAATGATGATGAGAAAGGTCATCAAAAGCAAAGGAAAGACGGCCGATCCAAAGGAGATCATGGAATTGTTGGTGAGGGTAAATCCAAGGTCATTGAACGCTGAAGCCGCAGTGAAGATTCCCCACCATACCCGACCTTGTCCCTGTGCAGTGACCACTTGACCGTAACTTGTATGCAAGATCCAGGGTATCAGGCATATCATACCCAGTAGGTGGAAAGCGAAGAAGTACGCGACGAGTATCAAGGCCAGGGTCTTCAAGGCACGGTACTCAATGCCGCCTAGCTCCTCGCGTTGTTCCTCCGTCAGACCAATAAAGACAGAATTTCGACCAATCGTCGGTTCCCAACTCAGGTACGGTGCTTGCTCCAAGGTACGGCCTGTGTTGCTGCGCTGGAGGGTACGGAACGTGCTTGACCTCCTCATTCGAGGATTTCCTCCTTGACCCGAGGAATCGTATGCATCTCTCGGCACAGTAGATTGTCGCGTACCCAGACGTGGAAACGTCGTGGCTCTGTCACCACGCTCACGAATATGACGCGGCTCATCGAAAGCAATATGCCCTGCAGCGGCACCGTCGGGCCCAGAGTTGAGATCCATGCTAGCCTTCTGATTCGAACTTTCTAGGTTGGGATCAGTGGTGGCACTGCGTTCTAACCTCTCGTCGATGCTGTCACGGATATTCTCAGGTCGACCTCCCAAATCGAATTCTCGTGGGCTGGGAATCCTCAAAGCACTCGTGTCAGCAGGGTTGCGTTGTCTCTCTAGAAAACGGATGTGTTGTTCGGGACTCAGTTGCGATGGGACGCGCATGTCTTCTGTGGACCGAGTCGACTTCAGGTGCAGAGGGTTATCAACGTCCGGATCTTTCATATCGTCACTTTCTCTCTGAGATGTGTTGGACGAATCATCCATGGCTTTCTCATTGGGTTGGGGTTCAATCTCCACCTTTTCGGTAGAGTGTTGACCATCACTGTGGCCAGTATGCCGCAATATCTTGATGGCTTGACCGTTGACCCCCCTGGCTTCAGCGCCTACTTCTGGATCATCTCTGGCCATGGTATTGTTCCGCGACCGAGACTTCGTGCGCCTCAGGGTCATGGAAGCCTGGACGACATCTTTAAACCTCTTCTCGAACCAGTACAGCCGAACGAAGACGACAACGGAGTTGATGAAGATAGGGTTGCAAAGCATCCCCCCAAGGAACAGCATGGCCTGCTGACCGGTCGTGATCAAGTCCACATCAACCGTGTTCAATCCGCTCTGAGTGCAAGCCCCCGAGGCGAAGAAGAGAGCGTCGATATAAGCCATACCACCTTGAACATACATGATGACAGACAGCAGAAGTGCCATGCCCATAAGGTACAGATAGTGAATGGTGATGAAGTTGAATCTTCGCTTTACTAGGAGGTCCGGTACTATCTACACAGCGTTAGAAAGTTGTGTCGGTACAAGCTGGAATAAAGCAAAGACTCGTGCTTCAATGCCACAGTCTTCTGCCAAAAAGGGATACTTACGTTGCGTTTGCAAAAGCCCCAGAACTCCAACGCTGTTTTTCTCCACATATTGGCTGGACACGAGGTCGAGCGTGTACTCGTGAAGGTTGATCAGACTTCGGGGTACAAGGTCAGCACTGGGCTGGAGAGGGACCGACAAGGTTAAGGGTCATTGTTAGGATTCGATGGCAGTCGAGATGGATCGCGGACGAACAGCAGCGTCATGGGCGATAGTCATGGCTGCAGCCGGCGGCAACGTTAGATGAATCTATGTCGAAATCTGTACATGCAGCAACGAAGTGATGAAGAGTGGTAAAGGGAAAACGCAGGCGATGCAGAAAAGGTAAAACTGGCGGATCGAAAGCTGGCGTTGGGTGGTGGTGCAGATGACGCCAGTGCCAGTGGATGCCAAAATTCTTGGGGGAGCCACGTACTACTAGTAGGATCTGGACCTCCCGGAGTCAGAAATGCTTAACTGGACCTGCAGCCTAAGAAATGTGTATTGGCACCGCAAATGAAAGATCCCATAGATGTACTTACCTAGCGGATGCTGACGCCTTGCGGATTCGACCTCAGCGTCGCACTGATATCAAGTCCCCTCGACGGCAAGGCCATTGCTGGGAACGAAAGACCGATACTACTAGTAGTAATGGCTGCCTCGAGTAAACGTCACCATCCTGATTGGTCGTTGTCTGCTTCGACTTTACTTATTTAGCCAGGTGCAGATGACGCCCATATAATCAGAACATAAATCGCGGATATCAGAAGATGTATATTGGTTACGTGAACTGTCTAATAACCTCGACTCTTGAAACCATCGTCCCCTACGTATTTCCGACAATGAGATAGAGGTTGCGTGCCCCCTTTGTAGAGGCGGTGTCCTCCTTTCAGTAGGACTACATACATTGTACAATCAACAGAACCTCTACGAGAGCGACCATAGATTCCCCCCACTTTTCGAAGCCATACGTCAGAAACAGGAGACATGCAACCTGTTAGCCTTTGTATCCCCAATCGTTGATATTGACCTGGGAAAACATTCGATAAGTACATTCAAAAGACTCAGAGCTGAGAAACGCAATACCTACCGGAAAATGACTTTGTTCCCTGGTGTTGCGGTAGTCACTGGTGCTGCCGGGTCAGGTGAGGCCAGGTTTGGTAACGAAGTGATTTCATGCTAAAGACCGCATAGGCATCGGTGCTGCAACGGCCACAGCGTTTGCTGAAGCTGGCTGCAAAAGGATCGCGATCACGGATTGGAACGCAGAGCTGCTAAGCAAGACACATAGTTCTATCACCGAAAGATGGCCCGAAGTGGAAATCTACTCCGAGGCTGGTGACATCTCAGAAGAGGATTTTGTGAGCCGTTTCATGGCCAATGTCGTGGGAAAATTCGGTCGAGTCGATTACGCTGTCAACTGTGCTGGTGTCCTTGGACAGTCCCAGAGGTCTCACGAGATGGAGACAACTGAATTTGATCGGGTCAACAAAATCAACTACCGTGGATGCTGGCTCTCTTCCCGCGCCGAATTGATGCAGATGCTCAAGCAGGACCCAACCTCTGATGATTCTGGCAGAGCACCTCAGCGTGGTGCCGTTGTCAACATAGCCAGCCAGCTTGGTATCGTTGGCCGACCGACTGCCCGTGAGTACATTGTCTTATCTTTCACCCTTGCGATGCTTTCTTGAGTACAAGAGCAGCTTTTGGAGACTGACACTTGTCTTTGCCAGCTCACTACTGCGCGTCCAAAGCAGCCGTGATATCAATGACTCAGTGCGACGCAATCGATTACTCACGGGACAACATTAGAGTGAATTGTATATGTCCGGGTGTTATCGAGACGCCCATGACGACTTCGGATCAATTCACACGCGATCGACTAGCCCCGGCCATCAATATTGCTCCAATGGGACGGATGGGCAAACCTCAAGAGATTGCGGACTCCGCCTTGTTTCTGTGTTCGAACCGGGCCAGTTTCATCCAAGGACATGCTCTGGTCGTGGATGGCGGTTATATAATTAACTGAGAAGCAGTCACGTCCAGATAACTTATAACCTCGTTCCAAATGACCAAACCCCTGAGCCTCTTTCCAACTTGTGACACTATCTGACCGCTGTAGGTCCTTATCCCAAACTGATGTTGGTTCTTATTGGGATTAAGGAGTTCTTCGCACACAACATTATAGTGTTGGTCCTTGGTTTGGAGAAGAGCGTCAGGAAGCATACTCTCCTACCACCTACGACTCAAGGCACCGGCCATTGCAACTTGCCGGATCTTGAGCTTATTCTGTCGAGGTTCCCCTTCCCAGAAGGTGCCACGTTTTCTGGAAACGAGCTTGCCCCTTGGCGATCATCGGCAGCGCTGCAGCCCTTGGAACAGCAGTAAATCGTGCCTTTCAGAAGGACGAAAAGCTCCAGCTCAACGATTCTTGTTATGGCTTGTCGTTTCCGTTCATAGCACGGCCGGCCGGACGTTGTCTCGTTCATATCATAATGATCCAGCCCTGCGCTCCCAGTCTTTTGATCAGGCTCGGAGCTCTGCATGCTTGAACGTACTCCGCTAGGCTGTTTCCAGCCATCTAAACGACATGATATGGGAGACTGCCAGCATGGCGCTCACCTTTCAGCTATCTGTTTGCACATGGCGACTTCTTCGGCCAACAGCACACAAGGATGCAAGGTAAGAAAAAGCATTGAGGACGCATGTCAAAAGCAATGAGATACGCGGACTTGGTAAGTCCTCGCCTATTCCGGTTCCACCTCTGCTTTGTCGCGAGTATGACCGGATATGTCCTAACACGACAAGAATATTCACTAGGTTCCTGCTCGAACTCGAGATGTATCATTGTGCTCGAGTATAAGGCCAGGAAGCACTCCTTGTGTACAAACCCTGATGACGAAGAAGTCAAATGCGGAAGACAAGCACCCAAGCATATTGGACAGAGACCTTCTCGCGGATAACTCGGCACTGCAACGCTAGACCCCATGGACTCTCCGGACCGAATATTCTCTTCCGCTTGACACGACCTTTATGACACGTCCCCGCACAATTCCATCACCCGGAGAGATTCAGGTCGCTCTGTCAGACGGACATGGTGACTCCACCTCGTCCTTATATTCGTCCGAACTCCCTGCCCGCAGATAGCTTTCTGGTAATTGACCTTGAATCCATTACTTCCGTACCCTCGGATACTGGTGTATCCAGATCTGCATATTTGAAAGCCTAAACGCTACTACCAAAATGTCGGTACATAACTCACAGACTTCTGCTTTCTTTCATTTACAAGACGACTGGATCGTCAGCTCTTATCTTTGTCCTCATGCCTCAAGCTCACCACTCCCCTTGATCCTCAGGCAAAGACAACCTTACCAGTCATGCCACAGTCGTCTTCGAGTTCCTCGCTGTCCACACCGTCAACCAACATGCGAGGCATAAACGATGTTGAGGCCCAGAAACGGCCTCATACTCCCAAACCCGTCGCCCATTGGCGTCTAGTCTTCAGTCAAACCCTGGTCACCAATGAAGACGTGCTCAACTATCGCTACAAAGGTGCCGGCACGACAGAAGATCCCTATCTCGTGGAATGGATCCCATTCGATCCACGAAACCCCATGGAATGGCCAGACTGGAAGAAATGGGCCATCACTTTCACCGTGGCCATTGCTACGCTCGCAGTGTCATTGGTGGCCTCGGCGTACTCCGCGAGTATACCTCAGCTCATGGACCACTTTGGCTGCAGCGAAGAGGTCGCTACACTGGGCACATCGTCCTTTGTCCTGGGGTTCGCATTTGGTCCTACGATCTGGGGTCCGCTGTCCGAGCTATACGGCCGCCAGTACTTGTATTTCGGAACTTATCTGATCCTGACGGCCTTCAATGGCGCAGCCATTGGGGCTAACTCGATCGCCAGTCTCATCGTCTTCCGCTTCATCGGCGGCATATTCGGCTCTTCTCCCTTGACTAATGCTGGAGGGGTGATCGCGGACATGTTCCCGGCCAGTCAACGCGGGCTTGGGATAACCCTTTTTGCTTGCGCGCCATTCCTTGGTCCTGCGCTGGGTCCGCTCATAGGCGGCTTCGTTGCGGAGAACGCGGGCTGGCGCTGGCTCGAAGCCGTCATGGCATTGTACTGTGCCACGCTCTGGATCTTCGGCTCCCTGACGGTGCCTGAGACGTACGCGCCCGTCATCCTATCCCGTCGCGCCAACCAACTCAGCAAACGCACAGGCAAAGTCTACGTATCAGCGATTGAACACCGGCAGGGCAAAGTCACTGCGAAGGAGGCTTTCAATAAAGCCATCAAACGGCCATGGATCTTACTGTTCCTCGAACCAATAGTCCTCCTGCTCTCGCTGTGGTTGGCCATCCTATACGGCACCCTCTTCTTGCTCTTCGGCGCCTTCCCCATCGTCTTCGCAGAAGGACGGCACTGGTCCCAAGGCATCAGCGGACTGGCTTTTCTGGGATTAGCTGGTGGCCAAATCGCCGCTACGATATACTGCATTCTCGACAACAAGCGATATCAACGGATTGACAAGGAGTATAATGGCGAAGCACCACCCGAAGTGCGGCTACCTCCAGCCACGATCGGCGCCATCGCCATTCCCATCGGGATGTTCTGGGTAAGTGCCATGCCGTTCCAACATCCTGTCTAGAGTCCGCAAGTTAACAAAGAACAGTTCGCATGGACTAACGGCCCTTCCGTCCACTGGATCGTACCAATCCTTGCATGCGCCCCTTTCGGCTTCGGAATGGTGCTGGCGTTCCTAGCCTCCATCAACTACCTCATCGACGCGTACACGATATACGCCGCGAGCGTACTGGCAGCCACGGCTATCGTACGAGCCCTATTTGCCGCCATATTCCCCTTGTTTACCAATTACATGTACGCGAGATTAGGCATCCACTGGGCAAGCTCGATCCCGGCGTTCCTCGCGCTCGCATGCACGCCATTCCCATTCATATTCTACAAGTACGGCAAGAGTATTCGAATGAAGTGCAAGTACGCGGCGGATGCGGCTGAGGTTATGGCCCAGATTCGGGCGAGGCAGAAGGCTGTGCAGGAGGAAGAGAAGCGTGAGGCTGATGAGGATGCTGCTGGCATATCTGGTGTGGAGAAACATGCTCAGAAGGTGGACGTTGGTGAATAGTCCAGCATTGTTGGATTGGCATAGCGCATGGCGTTGACACAACATGGAATAGAGCTCTCGCATTCGACGAGGACGTGCTAGGATGAAATAGGAGTGTGGATGAGAGAATGCAGAAGCATCCCCTGGAATTTCTTACTGGGCGGGCCGGATTCCAAAACAAGTGGCACTGTCTGGCCGCAACGGCATCCGTAAGAAACGACATTGAAGGAAACCGGGTTTAAGCAAGGCCCTCTGATGTTTTAGACATTACGTGATCCGGCGTATCTTAGTCCCAACACTGAAGTAGGTAAGTAGCAATGGGCGCGGCAGAACAGACACACTGTTACAAAGCAAATACAAAGCACGCCGCAAAGTCCCCTCACCCGGTCTTGCTCATGTATGGGAGCGCGCACGAACAGACACATTTACGTCCAGCCTTAACCATACGCCGGAAGTGTCGGGCTATCCATAATGAGACCCAAGCCCAGTGGCGACCTACGGTTGTGACTCCGTTCACGATGGGTGTGCTGGAACTGATCTTGGGCGCCAATGGCGTTCCAGCGGTCTGCTTTCGCGGCGCGCTCCAGATTTTGCACAAGCGTCGAGGTCGGCTGGGTGTTCTCCTCGCCATATTGCCTGATATGAGTCTGATACCGAGGTAGCTGTCCCACGTGGGAAGTTAGGCGGTCTCGGGTCGATAGGTGCTTTGAATGATGGGAAGCCAGATCCGAGGACTGAACAGCGTGGTGCTGTGCATGTCGGTATTGGTCGCTTAGTCCACCTCCGTCATGACGAAATGAGACTGGCTCGTTTTCCAGATCGGATGACGGTGTAGGGCTTTCGCCACGAACACTGGCGTCCTCCCAAACGGAGCCACCACCGATGGACGCTGCGGATGGAGAGGCTGACAGATGTTGTGGCTGGGGAGCGGCTAAAGTCGGCCGCACCACTCTGGAGTGGTTCAGCCTCGTACTTTGATCGTTCTGAAGTGCTCCAGAAACGTTGTATGCGGCCAATGCACGGCTTGAATTGTGCATCCTTGCAGCCAAGTCGTCGCCTCTCTCAAAGTCAACTTCTTGGTACGACTTGCAACTGTAATGCTCTAGTAACTTGGCTTCTGAGTTCAGGCTTCGTAAAAGCATGATCGATTTACGAAGATCGACTTCGCCTGAACGACGGTTTCTTGTCATGCGGATGGTGGGATTGTGTTTGTTCCGCAATGGACTTGCCTGAGGGTTGTGGAAGGGCTGATCAAATGTGCGTGGATTGCGAGGACCCTTGACAACAGATTTGTGCGGATATAACAACGACGATTTCAGCGCTGGAGATGGCAGAATGGGTGAGTCATGTGGCAGATGGTCTGCGTGCTGGGCTGATGGGGGTGTGCGGTTCAAGCGGATGCTGTTCTTTGGGGTGGGCGAAAGAGGCAAATGCTGTGGTGTGCCGAAAACCACATTTCCGGGGCCATCATCGGAAATGAAGGTGTCCAAATCGAATCGTGTCTTATCCTCAGCGGGTCTACTGGGAGGATTGATATATTGTTTTCTGAACGGTCGTGTGCCTGGTTTGAGTACAGGACGGTTCTTGAACGGCGAGGGTGTCGGTGTTGATCCTTGTGAAGAGCTGATCTCCATCATAAACGGGCGAGCTTTGATGATTTGTCCTGGCTGTCCGATCCCGAAATTGGTATCGTCGATGTTGTCTGCTGAGTATACATCCTGCTGCTCTTCTTCAAGCTCTGGTAACTGTGCCACTCCTTTTGGTTTCAGCTCCGGAATGGGCAAATTGGTGATGCGAACACAGTTTTGACGTCTGTGGCCTCTTTTTGGTCCTTCCGGAAACCACCAAGAATGCCGATTTGCAACGCGTTCTCCTTGTAGATCCCATTGCAGCGGATTGCCTGTTGCCACGGAGGCAGGTCTTCTGATATCGAGACCATGAGATGTGGCCTCTGGTGTATTTGCTTCAGCCACCAGGGAATCGCTCGCCGCACGCCATTGTGCGATCCTGGAAGGCTCAATCATTGAATGTCTCTTCATGTCCGCGGCGCGAAAACTATGATTATTAGAAGGAAATGGGCTTCTCCATGTGCTCGCATCGATGGTCTTGAAGGCATCCCCACCCACAACGATCCTCGGAACGGGTCGAGCCCTGGGGCTCTCTTCAATTCGTGCTGGACTGTGCTCAGCGGTACTATTGCGATGATAGTCGACACCTGCATCCGGCACAGTGGAGCCCCGCCCATGGGAGTTCCGACTCGCTGGGTCAGCCTGCAGAGAAGCTTTGGACGGTTTGCCCTCAATGGGAAACTCAAAATCTATAGGACCACCTTTTGCGGCAACGCCATGACCCCCTTTAACTATCCCGGTACGTGGAGAACTCATCGCCATTCCTAAGACAGAGCTGCTGATGGTCTCCAAACTGGCAATCGAGCCCCTGGTTCTCGGTTCGCACGGCCTAGTCTGCTTGTAGGTATTCGTTGTTGGCAATGGCGGTAGAGGATCATCAGGTGCTGAGGAAGTAGTACTAGTTATGCTGACAGACCGAGGCATCGTCGGTGGCCGGAAGGTTTGAGCTACATGATGGGTAGCATAAGGCGTGTACATCCGCATAAGCATACTTGCGCGAGCAGCCATGGACAGTACTTCGGTCGGCGCTGCATCTGTTCGAGCCTTTGACATGGCAAGAGGCCATTGAACGGAAAATTGTCTTTGCGCCTTCATGAGCGCTTTCTTCTGTTCAGCAACTGTTGGGGAGTTGGGCGGAAATTCCTCGTTTACAGGAGAATCGCACGTTTGAGAGTCAGTGAACTCAGTGATTGCTGACAACGGCGAGGTATGGGCTTTCGTTAGGTCTAGGAAGTGACCGGTTTTCTTTTGTCTGCGTGATTTAGGGTTGTATAGCGAGCGGTCTGAAGGTAAGCTCCGAATCTTGCTGCCCTGCTGGCGCAGTCCCCCTTCAGGATCATAGAGCATGGTTGTACTTGCTCGAGCCTCTTTGTCTTCATCGATCGTACTCGTCAACGAGTTGCTGGAGCTGATCGTCACGATCCCAAAAGGCATCTGTACACTTCTTCTGAGACTTGTGGTGGGCAACGGCAAACTTTGATAGCTGACATCTTGTGCACTGAATCTCGATCGACGATGCCTGGCCGGGTCATTGCTCGCAAGGTGTTTCCGAAGGATCTGCTGATGCCGTCGTCGCTCCAACTTGACGGCGAGACAGACTCCTATAACAAGAATAGCCACGGCTCCTGCCACCGCGACAAGAATGATAAGCCATAACGGCCACATCTTCGCCAGATGTCAGCACTCCTTTTGCGGGATGTAACATGCTGGAACATAGTGACCAGAATGCCGTAGGTGGTTTCTCAAGTGAGGGGATCGCGCTTTCTGGAGGCTGGAATGTGTGAGATTGAGGGTCTGGCGCAAGGGATAACAAAGGCCATGTCAACTCCAAGGGAATGTGCACTGGATTGATGGCCAGATCGGCCTTCTTCTGATTCCAGTATTGCTATCTAAAATCGTCATATCATTAGTGGGAGGTAGGGAGGGGACAGTTTTCACAATTCGAGGCTCCTGGCCACTTTCGCTTCATTGTAGACGTACCAGGTCGACATCATGAGTAGGGCAAAATCTGTACAGCATGGTAAGTTCGATCAATATGAGTGGACAAGAGAAGAAAATACTTTAAACAGTGCACCTTCTCTATCGTTGAGCGGCAAGCTGTTTTCCAGCGAGAGTGCCACAGTGTGATCTCGAGAGGCCTCGGGCCTCAAGTGAACACACCTACTCGATATCTCTTCGGCTATTTCAATGCATGTCATCAAATGGATATTCTTCCACGTCCTAAAGACCATGTGCTCCAACGGTGCAGATATGTCTGATGGGAGTGCGGGTCGCCGCCGACCATATCTTGTCAGAGTCGAGGTGTTGCGTAGATGTCCTCACCGTTTGACAGCGCCACTCTTCTAACACCAGATCGATGCCACCGGCGTGCTTTGAAGATGAATCAATAGGAGAATGCAACAAGCGCAGTCACGCGAATCGCAAATTACTTATTCTGTGCCGTCCGAATCGAGGTGTTTACTGCAAGTGTTACGAATTCTTGCCAGCAGTATCGCTCTTGCCAGCAGTATCGGTGTTGTTGAAAGGAAAATAAATGTCAACTTCAAAAGAACACCGTCACCAATACAAATGGAGCAGGTCTCCGGTGGTCACCACAGAATTGTGCAAGAAAACGAGGTACTGAGATATGCCGACGACGGGGCGGCAATATTTCCACAAAGAGATGCGATTCTAGTGGGGATATATAATATATAAACATATTTTCCTTTTCGTACGATCATTTGGTATTACCACCGTTGACGAAGGAAGCCGAAAACAGTGGAAGAAACGTACACGAGAGAAGCAGACTTAAGACACCGAGGACAGACCATTTCAAGATGGACGACGCAATGAACGGAGGCAATTTCAAGCACTACAACACCGAACCTCCCACATCAAAACTGGTGTTGCCCCTTTTCTCCTTGAAAGGCAAGACCGCCATCATCAGTGGTGCCGGAGCAGGTATCGGACTCGCTGTTGCTCGCGGATACGCCGAAGCTGGCGCCAACGTTGCTATATGGTATCACAGCAATAAAAAGGCCCTCGAACGAGCTGCCGATATCGAAAAGCAATTTGGAGTCAAGTGTAGGTCGATGACTAATACCACAGATTCTAGACACTGACATCGATCCTAGGCAGAGCATATCAAGTCGATGTCAGGGATGCTAAGGCTGTGGACGAGGCAATTGTATCTCAAGTTAAGGAATTTAACAATCGACTGGACATCTTCGTCGCCAACGCCGGTATTCCTTGGACTCAAGGCTCCTCAATCGGCGGTGAACTTGAGCATTATCAGAATGTCGTGAAAATCGATATTGATGGCGTCTTCTACTGTGCAAGAACCGTCGGAAGGATATGGCGGGAGCAGAAGAAGAACAAGCTGGAGCACTTCAGCTATGGCAAATTCATAGCGACTGCCAGTGTACGACTCTTTCGGTTTGTTCCAGGTTTTATTGACACAACTTTCTAACGATTTGTAGATGAGCGGTCATATTGCCAACATCCCCCAGCTGCAGACTGCTTACAATGCCGCCAAAGCCGCTGTCAAGCACATGTGCCAGAGTCTTTCCATTGAATGGGTACAGTTTGCTCGTGCCAACAGCATCAGTCCTGGCTACATCGCCACAGAGATCAGCAACTTTGTTCCACCTGAAACGAAGAATATCTGGCGGGATAAAATTCCCATGGGTCGTGAGGGTGAGCCGATTGAGCTGGTTGGCGCATACTTGTATCTTGCAAGTGATGCCAGTTCGTACACGACTGGCACAGACATAATTGTCGATGGTGGATATTGTGCCCCGTAGATGGATTTTGCTGCTATTGCGAGAACAAAATGGATTTCGTTCATAGGGCGTAATCTCTTCTTCTCAATCCTCTTATCCACATGGCGATATGAATACTGTACAAGGTGCTCTCCAGAAACTCACCACCTCTTATTGGTGAGCCTGGCTGGTCATTGTGGACTTATTGTGCCTTGTCCGATACAATGCGTGATGAAGAAGCTCGTCTCTGAGCGATTTTCCCTGCTTGAACCTTTCCAATCGCAACAATGCTTGGCTGAACGTACACAAGCCGGGGTCGCTGTCGAACACCTGAGCCATCATCGGGATTGGTGTGGGCGTCAACCACACTGCTAGCCTCTTCCCATGCCCGTTGTCCTTCGAGAGTCGCGGGAGGGTTGGAGCATGAGTACGCATTGAACGTTAGAAGTTCGACGTATCGTCTGCCTAGGAAGACCACCACGAGAGCGAAAGCAAAGAAGAAGGCCAAGGACAAGAAGATCGACTGCCACGTCTCGAAAGGTTGGTCTATGACTCGTGACAGTAAACTGGTACTCGAGGAGACGGCCGTGCAATCCGGGGTTGTTGGCATTGCTGACTGGGAACCGACTCTCTGCGCTTTGGAACAGTAGACTCTGAGCTGCGGAAAGCTGTGACGAACAACCAGAGGGCCGTGGGATACCACCGATCTTAGCGAAGTCAGACGAGCTGGACGCATTTTGCAGCAGATGCAATTCTAGGTGTGAGTGTTATTGTTATGGGTGAGGTATAAACAGTCCTGACTGCCACCGCCGCATCACTTAAGACCGAGTCCCCCGAACGCTCGATCAAGTTCTTCGCCTTCGCGAGTGGGTGACATGGCTGGTGCGGATATTACAGCTGATGGTTGTCCGTCAAGCAAGTCGTGGCCGCTGCCTTGTTTGATGGGAACCTTTGTGGGTTCTAATATCTTCTCTTGACGATCTAGCCAGCCAGGCGCTAACCGTCGCTTTTCTGCGAGATCACGCTCCTTGACGTCTCGTTCCCAATCCCGGACTGCTTTTTGAGCAGCTTCAGCGCTTTTCTGGAGGTGGTCCTGGAGGGCTCTACAAGAGTTTATGATATCTTCCGGATGCGCTGAATGACCAGAGGTAGATGTGACATATTTTGGTTTCCCGTCACCGTTATCAGGTATAATAGAAGGTGGAAGGGTCGCGGGCACGGAACGGTATGTATAAGGAAGAGTTACGGCGATTGGTAAGGACAAAAAGGGTGACACAGTCAACGGCACCTGCGCCAGTAGATGATGAGATTCTGTTGAAGATGTTCAGTAACCATAATTCCTCGAACAGAACGACTCCAAGCATACTCGTTGTGTCAAACATGGCTGTGAGAGGTTGATGACTTCAGAACATGACTCGAATGCACCGCCTGAACCTCATTTGCCTGACCTCTGAACCTTTACGCACAGCGTAACAGAAGTAGGACGTTCAGGGTAAAGCCGCAGGATCGAGTGGACTGGTGTATCACAATGCGGTGGCCGAAAGATGGTCAGCAGTAAACCTATTGCGTATGGGCAAGCTGCCCTTGGCTGGTTGAGCGCGTGCTTCTCTTCCGTGTCGGATGTCTCTAAGAAAAGCAAGGTAGAAATGCCCCTCTTTTACCATGATCGTGGCAGGCAAGGCAGGGTCCGCGTCTGCTGTAAAGGATCGCCCAACGAGCCACCTGCAGCAGCCACACCCGTGCTGAAGCCAAAATCCCAAGGTCTCCAAGGTACTCCATACAACAAGACTGGTCGAGATTTGGGACCTAGAACAGACCACTCAACTAGGCCGCTTTCCAACTCACAGTACGGAGTACTCGTACTACTTACCGCCGCCACACTGCGCTTTGCTGTTACGCCGTACACGCACGAGTTAGAGACAACTCTTACAGCCTCAGCCCCCAAGTCCCAGTGCTCACCTCTACATCGCCTTAACTCAAAATTTCAGCTCTTACATTTTCTGATTTCCAAGAGTATCTTTTCGTCGGCGTCCACATAGTCAGTCATCACTCCTGAATGCTCGCCACCTGTTTCGCTCTGAAACCCCTCCTCACGAAGAACGAATCTACGAGGAATTGAGACGCCTCCTATTCCGCGCACACATTGCCACTCTTCTAGACGCGCTGCCGAACTCGTTCACCAGATCGAAAGGCGATCCAGCGTGCACACCGCGTGAAATCGACAAAGGCGTACAAGAGTCAAAAGAAGCGCCTCGAGCGCTACGACCGCAGCGATGATGGATGGTCCACTAGCAAAGGCTGTCGTGGAGAAGAAACCTATCCCAGAGATCGACTTTACATTGCATATCATGGAGGACGGCTCTCAAGTGTCCACACAGGAGAGAGTATGCAAAGGTGAGTTGCTGAAGGAGTGTCCTGTTGTGTATCGCTAAGCGGCGGGCAGATGTTCAGGCTCCGGCAATGCAAGTACCTACCGACGACCAGTTCTACGCCCCTGCCGACCTGTCGAAACCTAACCTACCATTCCTCAAACAACACTTCTACCGTGAAGGAAGACTCACAGAAGAGCAAGCGTTATGGATCATCAGCGAGGGAACGAAGATTCTAAAGGCTGAACCCAACTTGTTGGAGATGGATGCTCCTATTACTGTCTGCGGTGACGTTCACGGACAATACTTCGATCTCATGAAACTCTTCGAGGTCGGCGGCGATCCAGCTGAGACTCGCTACCTCTTTTTGGGAGATTATGTGGACCGAGGATACTTTAGCATTGAGGTTCGTTTGATCTTGTTATCGTCGACCAGTTTATGCTGACAATCCAGTGTGTCCTATACCTCTGGGCGCTCAAGATCTGGTATCCAAACACTTTATGGCTACTGCGAGGCAACCACGAATGTCGCCATCTCACGGATTACTTTACATTCAAGCTGGAATGCAAGCATAAATACTCGGAGAAGGTGTATGATGCGTGCATGGATTCTTTCTGTGCGTTGCCTTTGGCCGCCGTCATGAACAAGCAGTTCTTATGCATACACGGTGGACTGAGTCCTGAATTGCATACTTTGGAAGACATCAAAAGCGTGCGTCGTCCTATCAAAGCATGCGAGTTGACATGCTAATAATTCTCAGATTGATCGTTTCCGCGAGCCTCCCACCCACGGTCTCATGTGCGATATCCTCTGGGCCGACCCTCTGGAAGAGTTTGGGCAGGAAAAGACAGGAGAATACTACGTGCACAACCACGTAAGAGGCTGCTCATACTTCTTCTCATACCCTGCCGCATGCAACTTCTTGGAGAAGAACAACCTGCTTTCAATAATACGAGCCCATGAAGCTCAAGATGCCGGCTATCGCATGTACCGCAAAACACGAACAACTGGTTTCCCCAGCGTCATGACCATTTTCAGCGCGCCGAACTATCTTGACGTCTATAACAACAAAGCAGCTGTGCTCAAGTACGAAAACAACGTTATGAACATTCGACAATTCAACTGCACCCCTCATCCTTACTGGTTACCAAACTTCATGGACGTCTTCACCTGGTCCCTACCTTTTGTTGGCGAGAAGATCACCGACATGCTCATAGCAATTCTCAACACCTGCTCGAAAGAAGAGTTGGAGGAAGATACCCCAAGCTCCAGCATTACAGCAGAGACACCACCTGCTGCGGATGCTGAGTCAACCGAGGCCAAGCGTCGAGCCATCAAAAACAAGATTTTGGCCATCGGCCGACTGTCTAGAGTGTTCCAGGTGCTGCGTGAAGAGTCGGAGCGTGTGACTGAATTGAAGACACAATCTGGAGGTCGACTCCCAGCGGGCACACTAATGCTCGGCGCCGAAGGTATCAAGCAAGCTATCCACAATTTTGAAGATGCTCGTAAGGTCGATCTTCAAAATGAGCGCTTGCCACCCTCTCCCGAGGAGATCGAGAAGCGAAGTGCCGAGGATAGAAAGGCTGCTTTGGAAAGAGCCGCCACGGAAGCCGATAATGATGCTCAACTACAAGGTGTGGCTAGGAGGATCAGCTTGTAAGTCGAACCCAATTGGACCCAGTTATCTCGCTAACCCTCCGTAGTGGTGCAAAGAATCCTCGTGGACATCGTCACAAGGACTAAGATGCTGGTCAGACATTGGAAATAAGCGCTCTCTGTCTGCATGCACTCCTGACGTGGTGCAATATCAGCTACATGTGGAAATAGAAAGGAAGGTAGCCGTCGCGGTGTGGTTGCTGCCATGTTCGCGATACATGTGTTCAAGTCGCTACCACGTAACGACTACTACACATCCACTGCACTGCCCGGCCGTGTGTTTCGGAATGCCCACTGGGCGATACAGCTGGATGGCTGGCAGCGGGCATGGAAGATATGGTAGATACCGCCCTCCAGGCACTCCATTGGTCTGGACCTCGCTTCTGTGGGCAGCCGGTGTATTCCACCATCTGCAGCGAAAAAAAATAACCCACCGATCTACCTTCCTTCTTCAGTTATTTAGACTCTCTTCACGTTGGTTCCCACGGAGGGTGGATGGAAGCATGACCAGAATCATGTGGTTCAAAGGTAAGACTTACCATTTATTTGCTCCATTTTGAAAGGGCGTGACAAATCACTTACTTCACACGCGAGTTTCATCGTAGTCAACATGCACTTTACGCGCCTGTGAAACGATAGTAGGTAGTCATTAAGTCGAGTAAAATAAATTATCAGGTTTCGGTGGCTGGCAAATTAGACGGAGTTATAACGGCAATGGGTGTATAAGCACAATTTATGTGAAAGATCGTAGTCAAGCGCTTGCCATTGGGCCACGAAATCCCAAATTCACGAGTTGTCTAGTGAGAACATAGGTTCTGTTGACGTAGACTCCAGTCCGAACCGTGTGAGATATTTGGGGGTATCAAAATATGATGTGCAATTTGCGGCAAGCCTCTACGGCTAATGAATCCGGCGAGATCGTGCTTGAACTTTGTCATTATTGTTTCAGAATCATGACTGTGCCCGCGAACAAAAGACGGAAAATGGGTTACCGGGGAAATGCTAGCACCCGAATTAGCCTGCACCAAGCGCGGACGAAGGACCGGCCCGCTGTCTCGCATTGAGCCCAACTTCTTCCGAACAGACCATTCTACCACACCTCCCAATCACTTCCCCTTCATTTTGGCGCCTCAGGCATCTCTACATATCCTTTATCTTCCGTCAATGTCGAAAGCTTGCGCACATCGGTCCTTGGTCAGTCTGGAACGGAGTATGTCGTTACGAGGTGTCGACCAGTAGAGCTTCTCTCATCACTTTTGTTTGCAACATCGGGAGCTAAAGGTTGTTGTGAGCTGGTGAGGCTGGGGGCCGTAGGACGACTCGTCCAATGTGATCCAGTACACATGAGTTGACAGCGTTCTTGATCAGTCAAGGCAATTGCCCGGTTGGCAGCTGGAATCATGCCGGAGACTCCTCAGCATGTTGGATCCAGAGTCGATTGGGCTATCAATCACCTCAACGCACACTGGGATTTAGGTCTTCCCAGACTTCATGGCCACCAAGCTAAAGAACTCGAGAAGGATCAAGGCTCATGTGCGACCAAGTGCTTCAGCAGGATTCGCTACCTGTGCTTTCGAGTTGAAATAGAGGGCATTGTGTCAGACTTCAATGAAAGAGCTCGGCAACTTTGTTCGAAATGGAAATGGAAACCCTCACAGGAGAAAGGAACAATCCCAGTACTTCCTGTGACCAAGAGCTTCCTTGCGAGAGACATACAGGAGAAACGAAATGTATCTCCTATCAGACTCACCACACGTCAGCGTGCGGACTTGCTAGAGCTGCTGTTTGGAATCTTGAACGAGCAATTCGAACTTGCGCGACTGAGCGAATCGTTCTCACACGAGCGTCCATCCAGCACAAGCTTTAATACCGCACCCACAACACCCCAGAAGAGCGGCGTGTCGCGCGACCATGAACAAATTGTCACTCCCACCCGTCAGAATCTGCGAACGGTCGAACCTCCGATGGGAAATGATGAACCCCAATTAAAGAATCCGATGACGGGATCTGCAAAGCGATCCATAGCGTCGCCCACCAGCGTGAGTATGACCCAATCCCGTTCCTTCATGCCAGCTGACAGGCCTTTCAGAGAAACAAACGACAGCAAACATTCCGCGAGTTCCCGGGGTTTCAATCCGCGAGCTCCGCTGATATTGCACCCTTCTTGTCGAGCAGGCTCACACTCCCCCATGAAGCAACCAGCTTCGACACTGTACACACGGCCGGCGCATCTTCGGTTTTCACAAGTGCCGACGTTGAAGATGACGTCTTCAGCTCAACTGATACCTCCATGCTGAGCGTTCGAGATTGGACACAAAAGACAGAGCAATATGACGGTCCGTCAACGCAAGACTATCATGAGACAATAGCAAACGGAGATGAGGAGATGAGGAGATCCTTTGGTGCGAGTCACGCAGTACCCGTCTCGACGGATTTGATTCACGAGGCCCTGGAAAAGACTTTCAAACGAAGAGCACAATTGCCAGCAGAGACTCCTTTCTGGTTGTGCTGGGAAATCTGTCGTCTTGCTGATATTCTTGGAAGGCGACAAATTGACTTGTACAGATCCATTGGAAAGTCCAGTACCTCCAAAGAGCAGACCTTCGAAAATTTCTGGGCCGCTGCCAAACAGCTGTGCCGCGACCAGTCTCAACCACTCCCTCAAAAGTCAGAGATACCCAAATGGATGAACGACAAGAACGAATATGAAGACAGTGTCTCCAACAAGGCGGTCTATCTTACAGCAAATCTGGAATGGGCTGAGAGTCTTTCGGATGGTCTGTTTACAATGCGACCGAATGAGATCCGCTTGGAGAAGTCTTGCCGTCTCTATCGAAAATATGGAGCTGACCGTTTCTTGGTTGTCTTTGCACCTTTATTCTCAAAGCACTCCTACCCAAAGAAACTCCGTGAGGCGCACAACGATGAACATGCCTTACGCCAGAAGATCACAGGCTTCCTCACTCGAGGTCGCCACTTCATTGCAGGACGATACTGGAGAGTCTTCTACGTTGAACCAGAGAAGAACAAGAATCGGAAGAAGGACCAGTCCCCTCGTCAGAAGTTTTTCATGTTCGCCGAGTCTGGCTACGATATGTTGTCAACAGGACCCCAGGATTTTGACCTTGCGTCGCTCAAAGTTAGTGGCCGACACCAGACATTCGCGTTGGATGACGTCGCTCAATGGCACATGCCATTTGCTGCAAACATAAATTCCACCGACTTGAAGTTGTTCTCAAGATGGGGCATTGGCTTGTCGAGGACGATACCAACCACTGTTCTTCGACAGCATGAGTTCCTGCTGTGCCCCGATCCCGCGGAGGGCGAGGTCATGGACGATGGCTGCGCACTCATGTCGCTGCCATTGGCAAGAGCCATATGGCAGGCTTGCGGCGCTCCAGGAGATTCGTTACCCAGTGCGGTACAAGGCCGGATATCGGGTGCCAAAGGGCTATGGATCGTCGACTATGCATGGGAGAATCGATATCCCGACATCAGTGATCGAGGTTACTGGATCGAAGTCTCCGATACTCAACTCAAGATAAATCCACATCCTCGTGATCGCCATGATGCCGACGATTATCTGAGAACTTTCGAAGTTCTCAAGTTTGCCGGAAAGTGCAAACCCGGTCATCTCAATATGCAATTGATCACTATTCTCGAGGACAATGGTGTTCCACGAACTGTACTGGCGGAAGCACTCAGAACAGACACCCGGGCATATTCGGAATCTGTGAGAACTGCAATACAGGATCCAACAGCGCTTTTACGCTGGATAGGAGAGAATGGTCTGTTTTGCCCTTCAGACGGACAGAAGATCCTGGGATCATTTCCAGTCGAACGACGACAGCAATTGCGACTCCTTCTCGAATCTGGGTTTGACCCTGCAAACTGTGCAAGGATCATCAGATGCATGAGACACTCTCTGCGTGACTATATGCTTGATTACACTGAGAGACTCTGGATCACCCTTCCACATTCTACGTCTGTCTTTTGCATACCTGATCCCTTAGGTGTGCTGAAGGAGGATGAGGTCTGCTTCAACGCGAGCGAAGCGATAACAGATCCCAGGACTGGGCTAAGTGAGTTTATGCTTGCAGATGCCGATGTCCTAGTTGCACGAGTGCCCGCCTACCTGTCTTCTGACATCCAGAAACGTAAAGCGGTGTACAGATATGAGCTTCGGCACTACAAAAACGTCATCATTTTCCCTACACGAGGTGACAAGCCACTTGCTTCGATGCTGTCTGGTGGCGATTATGATGGTGACACTTGCTGGGTTTGCTGGGATCTTGAGATCGTTGTGTCTTTCAAAAATCATGAGGTACCGCCATTGCCTAAGCCAGACCAGTGTGGAATGTCGCAACATTCAAGGCCAATATCGGATATGTTCAAGTCAGACTCTCCCTCGAGGGATGCTATGGACGACTTCCTTGCGGCGTCTGTCGATTTCAACGCGCGGCCTAACCTGCTGGGTTCATGTTCGACAGAGCACGAGAGACTGATATACTCGCTTTGTCAAAAGAATAAGGTCGCAAAGTTGTCTGACCCAAAAGCGGTAAAATTGGCGGCCTTAGCTGGTTACTTGGTCGACTGCAACAAGCAGGGGTGGAGTCTCGACGAGGATGCCTGGCATAAAGTACGTAAGTACTCAAGTGGGCCCCGACAGCTGCCCGAGCCTGCATACAAGTCCGGTGTCCCCCCAAGAACAAAAGCTGGAGTTTACGCCAATGTCATCGATGAGCTGAAGTTCAGAGTTGCCGAAGAAGAGAAGAATCGAGTTTTGGCGGACTTCGAAATGCGCACCAAGGATATGGGTACCTATGATGAAGTGCTAAGTCGATATTGGAAAACTGCGTGGCGTCCGTTGGAAAAGAAAGACGATGTCAATACCAAGGTGGAGAAAGAGACCGGCCCAACAAAAGCGGGTTCTGGGAAGCTGCGTGGCGGTGTGCAGCAACCTGGAGAGCGCAGTCTTCTTGGATTAAAAGAGATTTTGGAAGGTCTTTTGCACGATGTGAAGGCTGTTCAACAGTTGGTGAGGGACCTCGGCTTCGAGCGATTCGACTCTTCACCAGATGAGTCGAAGGATCTACGCAATTACAATGCCGCAGTGCAGAAAGTCTACGAGCAGTATCAAGCCATCGTACCCAGAGACGTCGACCACGACCTTCGGCGCCGGTATGAGGAGGAAACCGACTACCCTTTTCCTCACTGGTCCCTCCTACGTGCATCCTGCCTCCATCGGCATGTATGCAGTAAAGGGGGGTTCCCAGGATGGGTCTGGCATGTGGCAGGCCGAGAATTATGCTACCTCAAGACGTTCTACCACCCAGGCCAACCCAGCCACGTCACGAAAGAGATACATGACTGCTTGAAGGTCAACACGAAATATGTCAAAAGTCTATTGGAGAGAAAGGCCATGGATGTCGATGAACTTGATGGAGACGACATTATTGGCGATGAGATGATGGGAAGAAGTGGCTTGGATTGAGTGAAGATGATGATACCCCTGTACGACTATGTTATTGAACCAGCCTTTTCTTTCATCTTTCGGAATATGTTGGACTATTGAATTTCTGGACAGGACTGGATATGGTATGGCATGAGAAAGGGCCTATGCGCTGAATCGGACTTTTCCCTTGACTTACAGTCTCTCTTCCCCCTTGGTTTAAGCCAGCCACCTCCGCTTCTCCTCCTCCCTTGCCTCACCAGCGTGCATTTTTGCAGATGGCTCTTTTCCCTTGCACAGTAAAAGACTTCATCATGGCCCCTCGCAGCACTTTTGAAGAGGCATTTCTTGTCTCTTCTCATGCAAATCTGTGCATTGGAGCATCATGGCTACTGATCAAGTCAGAAGGAAACGAACAACTTTTTTCAGAGTTGCGAACGTTTGCACTGTCCTAATTCTAGCATATAGCATCTTGTGTATCTCGAGCTTTTTGGTGGCAAAGCAAGCTGTTTGCTCCACGACCGCTACCGGCATCTACTTCGCCATTGCTTTCGTGGGTGATCATACAAAGCAAAGTTGTACCGCAGCTAACAACTACCAGTCGATCCCTACTATACTCACGGCGGGCCTTCGCTGCTATCTCATCTTCCGCCAGAGACAAAACTCGCAGACCATATCACCCTCTCTGGCCCTCCCACGCCTAGATTCAGCTTGCGTAGCGGCAGTTCAATGCCTGGTGGCTCTTTGGATGATTCTGGCAGGATGCAGTCTCCTTCCGATTGCACTCCGTGCACCTGTCTGCCTCTCTCAACCTCTACCACAATGGCAGGGTGATCTGGCGGAAAATAACTGGAGATATGGCTTGTCCTGCCGCCTGCATAGAGCGGTTGTCGCCTTGTCCGTCATTATGGCGTAAGTCTTCCAACTCACATCCCTCTGGTTATTTCCCTACAACAACCGGACCTTGCTGATCTCATACAGGGTCTCCATCTGTGCCGTATCCTTCTTCGACAACACGGGTCGGCGCGAGCACCGTCGCGGGTCGAGTTACCTCTGCTGCTACTGGCGAGTTTCCCGCAGAGAACCCAAGCATCGACCCGCCCCTTCGATCTCCAGCACCCGCTCTGCCTCAGAAGTCGACAAGCACGATCGTTTGTTCCTCGTGCCTGAGACACGCCCTTCCCGCTTCGAACACGAACAATGGCTCCAGCGCAGGAACAGCTTGTCCTCACAACGAGCGATATACCCTCACAAATACCACTATTACGATCCACGGTCGCGGTATGTGGTGCACAGTTACGCGCCCAGCAGCCGGTACCCGAGTACGCTGCGGTCAGTCTCAGAGGGCCGATGTCTGGACTTGAGTGACAGAAGCTCGAGTGTGATGCTGAGGTCGTCACAGTCATCCGGGTCATTGGCCACACTTTCTCGCCCGACCACAATGGTGGGCACGGCGAGATGTCGCTCGAGCAGTACAGGTAGTCCTGGGAAACCCGGCCGTGCTCAGCCTCGACGTTCTTCAGCTTCGGCAGCAGCACACTCCGTACCTGATGTCCCTTTTCTGCCTCCGCTACCTGCCCTACCTGCGCCGACATGGTCGCCGTCACTGCAGCATACGCCGCTTAGTGCCGATCCGACGATCAGGGCGTTGAGTATGGGAGTCGTCCTCGCACAATCACAACAGCAGCCGCAGCTGCCGCCGAGACATAAGTCTCGGACTCACATCCACGACGGTATTCCTGGCACGCTCCCGGGTGTGAAGCTGAACGCGCAAGCAAACATGGATGTACTCAGAGAGATTGACGGCAATGCATCATCGCCGCGGGTGACTGCTCCTGTTCCACCCATGCCACAAAAGCCTCCTCCAACGTTACCGCCACCACCACCACCAGCGTTGACCGGACCAAAGATTGCGAACATACCTGTCCCACCATTACCAGTACGCGCACCAGACCACTTCGTCTTCCCGCAGAGCACGAGACAAACTTTGCGACAGACGTCATCCCCGAGGCGGTACCGCCAGTACTACAACACGCCACATGTGCATCGCGGAACTAGTGGTCATCGCAAGGGAGATGCGACTGCAAGCGTGAGTAATTATTCTGCCAGTTCGAGCTCGTATGGCTCTGGGCATGCGGCCAGCACGATTGGGAAGAACACGTGTGTGAGAAAGACGTGATGTGCGAGGGCCTGGCTGTCAGTCAGGGTTGCAGCTAGGAAATACGAGTAAGGGATGAGACCAAAGACGCAACATTTTGCTCGCGGCAAGGGATACCACGGATGCAGGGATGAAAAGCACTAATTTGGATGACGGAGTACGAAACGAGCCATTATAAATGATGATTTTCACACCCTTTAGTGGTGTTTTCAATTGCATTTTGTTTCAGCGCTCATTTTCTCATGGAGCTCGTTCATCGTACAGGGTTCAATTCAGCGCTGTCGGCTGTCGCAATGCTTTTCCACAGCCGAAACTCCGTGAGTATGAGACAATGCCTCAATCGTCCTTGCCCTTAACCATTTCGACGGGACCTTTCCCGACTTCACTCCAGTTGGTGCTCAGTGCTGTTCCATTGCTCTCGTAGTACGATTTCATCATAGCTCGTCGAGTATCGTCGTCAGCACCAGCGTACAATTTCTTGAAAAAGCCATCGACTGCGTCGCCTGACTCAAAATCTGAGTCTACATCTTCGACTCCTTCATCGTCCGAGGTTTTTGGTGAGCTCTTAGCATCGGACTCGGTTTTAGCATCGGTGGGCTTTTTCTTTTTGGGCTTGGATTGTGCATGGAGGTCATTGGCGAGTTTGTCCCAATTTTTTGGACCATTGCGGGAGGACGTAGGGTATGATGGGGCTGTCTCTGTGACTGTAGAAAGTACAGCCGCTTTTGCTGGGTCTGGTGCTGCAGGGGTGGTGTCGTCTGTCAAGGGTTTGAGTGGTGTTGTTCCTTCCAAGTTGTGCCACTTTTGACCGGCTTGCGCTTTCTTAAGCGTCAATTCTACTTTGGTGGACATGATGCTGGATGTGCTCTGGGTTGGGTCAATTAGGGCAAAGAGGGGGTCCGCGCTAAACGTAAACGCTGAGGCTGGGTTCGATGGGTGCGGGAAAGAGATGTAGATCGAGTCATCATGGATCTCGATGTCTGCGGTGTCTTTGGAAACGCCTTTGGCGTAGATTGTGAGGGTGATGGACTGTGCGTTTTGATACCATTCGTGTCGAATTTTGGGAAGAGCGGTAAGTGTCGAGGGTGTGGTTGAGGTAGTAGATTTTGCGTCTCCGTTCGTGCTGGTTTGACCGTTTGTGGCCTGCGCTTTCGTTGTAGAAGGTGGTTCTGATGATCTGGCGACCACGTCCTCAGGGAGAATGTATCTTTGGTTGCTGATCAGAGTCGGGCCTCTAGATGTCCAGGGAAGACGTACCTTCCGTCAGCGCTGAGCTGCGGTTTCAACTGCTCGAGCATGTCTTTTTCAGTGGGGAGATCGAAGTCTGGGTATTCTTTGATTGTAGTTTCCTGCTCTGACTCTGGAAGTTTCTTGAGTTTCGCCTCAATACGAGCCATCCACATATCCCATTCCATCTTTGGAGCCTTTGACTTCTGGTCTTTCGAGATCCATTTCTCAATCGAGGTTAAGATGAACTTGGCGTCAGCGTAGCGACCCAGTCCGTAGAGCGCAATTGCTCGTCGTTGTTGTGCTGCCTGAATCTTCTCTCTCTTCGCTCGTTTCTGAGCAGATAGGACTGCATATTCTGCGTCTTTCAAGGCGAGTTCGTGTCGTGGAGGCTTGAGACGGGTGAAAGCGACTGAGCGCTGTGTGAGGTAGTCTGGGGAGAGAGGATGCTCGATGAGCGCGCGAGTGTAGGCAGAGAGGGCGCCGGCATAGTCTGACGCCTTCAGCGCCGTCGCGCCCTGGGCAGCCTGCTCCATTGGGTCTAACGAGACTCTTGTCTCGCCGAAGGAGGAGGTGGTGGTCAACGGTGAGGTCGAGGTGACCTTTCGCTGGCGGAGGCCATCACCCCCATCGGCAGGGTCTTGGTACGCCGAAGTTTTAGCGGTAACCCCGCTAAAAGCCGGTTGACGTTCCATTGCCATCGTGGTCGATCGTGAATCCTATCGACAGCAACGTGCCTCGGTGTTGATGCGGTCGGCGACCAGGTCAACGCCACCGCCAAGCCGTCTGAAAGCGGTCGCCGACGTGGGTTCTTTACCAACTGCCGCATCGTTGGGACGCGGGCGCGCACCTTGGACAAAGCAAGATGAGCAGCAGGTTCTATGTACGCTTGTTTTTCTACACCCATGTCTACGATGCACACTGACTCTGAACAGTTCGGGGGTTCAGACTCTGGCTCTGATATCGACGACAATGATGCCGCACTTCCTTTTCCCAAGCCGTTAGATCGTTCTTCGTTCCTGGCCCCGGACTTCGATGCGACCGCGTTTCTATCAGGATTGTCCAACCGCTTTCAGACCTTGGAAGACCTTCAGACAGAGTTACGTGAATTGAGCCAGACATTAAACAAGGAACTTGTCGATCTGGTCAATGACAACTACCAGGACTTTCTTTCACTCGGCAGCACATTATCTGGAGGAGAGGATAAGATTGAGGAAATTCGACTGGGCCTACTGGGTTTTCAGCGAGATGTTCAAGCAGTGAGGGACAAGGTTGAGGCTCGAAGATATGAGATTGCAGAACTGTTGAATCAGAAGAAGGCGCTGAAACGCGAGACTGGCGTGGGAAGGTCATTGCTGGAGATTGCAGAACGGCTCGATCTGCTGGAAGAGAAGCTCAAACTCGCCAGGGGCAGGTCAGCGAAGTCAGAGAAGACTGACATACAGGAGATTGGGAATGCACAATGGAGAGAAGACTGGCTAGAATCGGCGACCAATGAACGCGCCGACGAGTACGAAGTGGACGACACCGGCGGATTTCCACCAAAGCTGAGACGACGGATCGAAGAATATCTTATTGTGAAGCACCTTTCCAGCAGACACAGCCCTCGCCATCCTTTCATCCTCACACAAGATTCACGGCTACGCAACATCCAGGAGGTCTTGTTGTCAGACCTTGAGGCCGCAATCAAGCGAGAGCCAGAGATCAAGATGAAGCAACAATTGCTACAAATCCGGGCGGCAGTCGAAGGCTGATGAGACATCTGTCGCAGAACATCACATTTAGAAGTGCATATTCTTCAGGACTCAGCAGGCTAGGAAACGCACGACACCGTACTAGCGTGCCAAACAGCAAATCCTTCTTGTACAGATACATTTCTGCTCCGGTTGATCTATCATACAACAGCCAACTGTTGCGGCGTTGGGGCTCCTGGGGTGTCTCTGTAAAACTCGCCATTCAATGAGAAACCCGGGGTGTTTGTCGAGCTCAAGACCTGCATACAGTTCAGTATCATGGAATGACCCGGAGACGAGTTCGACGTACCACTTCGGCTATATCCTTGAGGATCTGGTCGCTCAATGCTGTGGCATCCTTCTTGACCGCACTGATGTATGCTTTCACATTATCCCTCAGTTGTTCAGGGGTGAAAGTGAGTCTGCCAACGGCCATGCGAACAACACCTGAACGTTCTCGGTACATACTACCACCCAACATGTTCCCTACAGCAGGACCTGGCTTTTCAACGACCGTCCCTAGCTTCACGCTAGGCATCAGTCCTCGTGGGCCCAAAATCCGAGGAAGACCTTCTTTCGCCAGTTTCGGTAGTGATGCAGGTACAGCAAGACATCTATCGAAATCAATCTTCCCGTCTTTGATTCTCTGAAAAATCTCCTCTTCGCCCACGAGGTATGCGCCTGCTTCTCGTGCTTGTTTTGCCGCCGCAGAGTCCGGCGGACATATTACTGCGACCTTGATATCTGTCTTGACCGCGTAAGGTAATCGGATTTGATTACGGATGATGGGACCGTCTTTCTTCGTTCGTAATTTAATTTGAATGTCGTATTTCGGAACCTCAGGATCGCGCGTGACTTCCATAGCTTTGATGTAGCTAGTTCTCGTCAGTTCTGGAACAATTCTACTGGCGATTGCACATTAACTCACCGCATCGCTTCGCACAGGGTGAATTGTTGCATCTCTTTCAAGTCGTACTGCTTATAGAACTGGTGCTTCTTCTTCCTTCTCTTCATCTTCTCTTTTGTTGACTTGTCTTTGCCTGAACCGCCCCTAGGCGCAAATAGTACCGGTATGGACGAGAAGGATCGTGTTGTCGTTCGTGATGGGGACGTAAAGGAGGCAAGAAATGAGGATGTCGTCGAGCGACACAGGCTCTTGGTGGCCACTGACAAGCTCCGGGATACCTCCATGCTGATGCGTGTGAGCTTTCGTGATGGCTCTGCTGTTGTATCTAAATTTCCATTGATCCCAAAAGTCCGCACGCAGTCCAAACCCCGAGCTCCAACGCGCTAAAGAATCAGCTTGGCAGGTTTGTTCAATTTTGCTCAGGCTAACGCGAGGCTGTCGGTCGATCAAGCTCCCCGCGCAAGGCTGTACGTGGTTGGTCCATTGTGCGGGAAAAGTCTAGAGTCAGCCAAAGGCTCGACAATAAAACACCTCATCTTCTCTTCAGCAGGTCTTCTCACAACCCTGCTCATTCTACACCTCGCTGCCCATCATGGCGACCCAAAATGCTCCCAAAGGCAAAAAAGCCCCCAAAGTCAAGCAGATGGAGCTCCCCAATGCCGCTGCTGGCATTGTCACACGATTCCCTCCAGAACCCTCTGGGTACCTCCATATCGGCCACTCGAAAGCGGCGCTGCTCAACGACTATTTTGCACATATCCAGTACCCTGGCGGAAAGATGATCTTGCGTTTCGATGACACAAACACTGAGAAGGAGAATGCGGAATTCGAAAATGCTATTCGAGAGGACGTTGCACTCCTGGGCATTAAGCCCGACATGATCTCCTACACAAGCGATTATTTCGACCAAATAGACGAGTACTGCGTCAAGATCATACAGTCAGGAAAAGCTTACGCAGATGACACTCCTGGTGATATTATGAGTGCGCAAAGAATGGCACGTGAGCCGAGCGTTCATCGGGATGACAGTGTTGAGGACAATCTGGCGCGCTTCGAGGATATGAAGAAGGCCACTGACGAGGGCCGAAGATGGTGCATTCGCGCAAAAATATCACACGCCAACAACAATGCGTCTCTGAGAGATCCTGTCATCTTTCGATGTCCTAAGAATCAAACTCCCCATCACAGGACCGGCCTCAAATACAAGGCTTATCCAACATACCAGTTCGCCTGCCCAATTGTCGACTCGTTGGAAGGGATAACGCATGCGCTGAGAACGACAGAGTACAACGACCAAGACGCACAATACAAATGGATCCTGAAGGCATTAGAATTGAGACCCGTCTTTATCTGGACGTTCTCGAAAATCCAGTTCGTCCGCACCCTTATGTCAAAACGGAAGTTGACCAAGTTGGTCAATGCTGGTGTCGTGTCTGGCTGGGATGATCCACGGTTCCCCACCGTTAGGGGTATCAGACGACGTGGCATGACTATCGAGGGTTTACGGGACTTTATGGTCAGCCAAGGACCCAGCAAGAACGTGGTGAATATGGATTGGCATACCATCTGGACGATGAACAAAAAGGTCATTGATCTCCAAGCCAGTCGATACACCGCGATTGACAACAACCATGTCATCTGCAAGGTCAAGGGGGTCAAGGAAGAGCCATATTCCGAGATGCAACCCAAGCATGCCAAATACAACCTGGGAGAGAAGAAGGTTTGGTATAGCGAGAATCTCCTCATCGAGCAGGAGGATGCACGAACATTCGCCAAAGACGAGGAGATCACTTTGATGAATTGGGGCAATGCCTATGTGCGCGATATCCAGTACGAGAAGACCAGTGACAAATCTGACATTACCGATGGTGTCAACGCGTTGGGTAACGTTGCGTCAATGGAGCTGGAGCTGCATCTAGATGGAGATTTCAAAGCTACCAAGAAGAAGATCACTTGGCTGTCCAAGGACCAAGACCTTGTTCCCGTTGAGCTAGTCGATTTTGACCATTTATTATCGAAGGACAAGTTGACCGAGGAAGAGGAGACTCATTGGGAAGACTTCTTGACGCCTAAAAGCGAGTTCAAGTCCTACAGCGTGGCCGATTGCAATGTGCGGAACGTGAAGGTCGACGACGTGCTTCAGTTCGATCGGAAGGGCTATTACAGATGTGACAAAGCTGCGACCAAGGAGTCGCCAGGTGTTTTCTTCAAAGTCCCCTCCGGGAAGGAATAGGTTGTCGATTCTGCGCCGAATATTGGATTGCGGTGGAAACAGCCTACTCGAAAAGTTTGAAGAGCCCTGCGGTGCATGCACTGAGGAGATTTGTCTCGGATGTACGAAGAAGGTCGCTTCGACGACCACTACATAGTTGAAACGAAGACCAGCTGCTGCTCGATACCTGCCATATATGTTCAGCCTCGTGCGGAGTTGGACGGACGACCCCTTTCTTTCCATCGGATTTTTCCGCCATCATTAGGATTCACCTTCCTGATACATCTCCTGCCTTCCGATAACCGCATTACAGATATATCAGGATCCGACGTGTGACAGAGCCCGGTGGTAGGTGGTGCTTCGTTGTCTGATCTTGGAGTCTCATTTGAGGAACACCCCCGTACTTGTCCTTGCACCTAACTGTCGTTAGCCGCAGCAGTCGAGCGAGGCCTGTGATAACAACCGTCGCAATTGTTGAGCTGATACGAGTACAGCTCAAGGGGCAAGGGTTCGTGGAACATGGATTTCGACCTCATTGTCAAGAATGCAATCATTGTGCGTCCACTTCGCGGCTTTGCTAGGAGGCATTATCTCATGCTGAACAGGTCACAGCCACCGAAGTCCTCCAACCAGGTCTATCAATAGGCGTCAAGGATGGTATCATCGTGGCCGTCGCACTCTTCCTCCCAGCAGGCCCGGATACAAAGATCGTCGACGCTGAAGGAGCTTACGTAACACCCGGCGGTGTCGACTCTCACGTCCACCTGCACCAAGACAATGCTCCTACCGGCGACAAATGGCTGACCGGATCTCGATCTGCCTTGGCCGGTGGAAACACCACAATTCTCGCATTCGCCTCGCAGAAACGGACCGACGAGTCACTCTATCCGGTTGTCGAAGAGTACCACAATCGATCAAGAGGCCAAAGCTATATCGATTATGGATTCCACCTGATTCTGACCAGAGCGACCGCTAAGATCCTGCAAGAGGAGCTCAAGGTCATGATCGAGCAAGAAGGGATTACCAGTCTGAAACTCTACATGACCTATCCAGCCATGAAATTGGGAGACGGAGATATGCTGGACATCATGATGCAAGCTCGAGAACTGGGTGTTACCACAATGATCCACGCCGAGAACAGCGATATGATTGACATGTATGTTGCAACCCTGCCCAAAGCCCACGCGCCAACCTCCCTTTCACAGGGATAAATACTCGTTGTGGACATTGAGACTGATTTTGACGACGCTAGGATAACGACACGCCTCCTCAAACACTCACGCACCCTCCCCAAATTTCACGCCATCGCTCGGCCTCAAATCGCCGAAGCCGAAGCTACACACCGCGCCATCTCACTCTCAACACTGACCTCAACACCCATCCTAATCGTCCACATGTCCTCGCCGGTCGCCCTTTCACACGCCCGCAAAGCACAATCGAAGTCCCTCCTGCCTGTTCACGCGGAAAGCTGTCCTCATTATATGTACTTACTCTCGTCGAATCTTGCAGCAACCAGCATCACAACGCACGACGACCACGGCCACTCGCACGAAGTTGATGACGAATGGGCTGGGTCACGACACGTCTGCGCCCCGCCCCTCCGGCACTCCGACTCCGATCTCCAGAGCGTTTGGGACGCAGTGAACAACGGCACCATAACAGTGATATCTTCCGACCACGCGCCAACACTGTACAATTCGCCCGGCGGGAAACGCAAACCCGTCGTCGACGCCCAGGCAAGCAGCTCAGTCCCCACATTCGCCCAGATCCCCAATGGTCTGCCTGGCATCGAGACACGACTTCCCATCCTGTTCAGTGCGGCGACAGACCCCTCAGCCCCAGCGGGAAGAAGACTATCGCTCCCACGGTTCGTGGAACTCACCTCGACTAATCCCGCAAAGATGTACGGACTGGCGGGCAAGAAAGGCAGTATCGCGCCAGGGTACGACGCCGACCTGGTCGTTTGGTATCCCAAGCTGCATGACGACGCCAACATAACTATCACGAACGATATACTGCACCATAGTATCGATTACACGCCGTTCGAGGGGATGAAAGTGTGCAATTGGCCACGGTATGTGCTTTTACGAGGCGAAATGAAATGGGATCGCGACGTAGAACTGCGCGATGGTCATGGAAAGGGTATCCTCGGGAAACCAATGGATGGCCAGTATCTGAAAAGAGCCAAAGGTGAGGTGCTCGTGGGAAGACTCGGCCAGACGCCGCCGGGGATGTTGGAAGGCGAGACGGACAATTGGATGACATATACGCATGAATAGGAACGGATCCATGTTACCAGAGAAGGTATGAATATCAAACCATATTCTTCAAAATATGCTAAGTCCAAATACTATGTGCACTATGTTGTCTTTGCCACAGCAGAACCACCGTATGCGGCCCCTTCAGGTGCTGAATGATGTTCACACTGTCATTTTCCAGCGGTCGCTCGCGTACTGGTCTGCCCAACACCTGTGCCTTTACCTTCCATCAGTCGTGTAGTCGAGTTATGAGCCCAAGGTGAAGCTCGATGTGTCAAAGATGATGATAGTTCAAATCACACAATGGTGGGGGGCTCAGTGGACCGCGTTTCTGCAAGACTTCCAGAAGAATGACTCCGTAGTACGGCTCTGCTGCAAAAGCAGCATGTCCTTCTGCCCAGGGATTGTTCCCAAGGTCGGCACCTTGCTCGGTCAATCGCTTTTTGAGATCTTGTAGTCTCTGGACCACTGTTTCTGTTGAGATCTTGAGATCTTGTGCTATCGCATCGTAGTCCAACTTCACTTCAGTGGGAGCATGCCTAACACATGCGGCCAGGAAGACATAATTCTCGTATTCCGACCGGGCAATGTACCCAATTCTGGGTTTCGTATCATGACTTTGTAACTCTGTTTTCAAAGGCTCAGGGATTGTGATTTCATGAACGTCTTCGCTTGCTGGCGGCTCACTGGGTTGGGATAGTGCATAATTGGGACTGTCTTTCGAGGTGTCGTCGTTTTCTCCTTGCGGCTGAGCTCGCGGATAGATAGGTTTCTCATCGTACGGTGCTTCCTGTCTGTATAGAAACTCGAAGTATTCTCGAGACTGTCGATTGCTAAACCTGTCCGAAACACTTAAAATGTGATCAAGGAGCTTACGGTGCTCTGTGAACTTACCTTTGTCGCATGAGTCTTTCTATGGCGGCCTCTTTTCTGGCCTCTTGTTCAGCAATGGTCAGGCTGGCCCACTCGTCCGACGATTGCAGCTTCTTTTTCAGAGCCCATCTGGCGTTGCTGTCCGCTTTTCCCGCAGATGCCAGCTGTATTTTTAGGGATGACTTGATTGGACCGTTGTGCTGGGATTTCCTGACCGAAAGGCTTTCGTTGTCTCCGCCTTCGACCTTGCTCTTCTGTTGCGGAACACTATCTTGCGCACGACCTGATCTCAGTCCGTCGGCAATGGATCTTGTTCGAGGTTAGCTTCTCAATTGGTCGGCTGAGCCATCATGTTATCGATGGAAATACCTTGCTGCATTCGAGTGAGTGGCCTTCAGGGATGGTGTACCGTTCGGGGGTTTTGGCTTCGAGATGCTGGTACTCGGTGAACCATTAGGGGTTGCGTCTTTCCGATGGTGGACTCTGTCATCCTCTCCATCGCTGCTGTAGATTTTCCACTCTTCAGCTCGGACACTGGGCAGATTTCGGTCGATATGGGTAGTGCTAGTCATGGGATTATGAGCTCCATGATGTGGCCGAGATTTTGAGATGTCATCGGATTTAGTTGTAGTCGGAGAGGACTGTGGCACCCGACCATTATGCTTCCTCGACCGTGGATGGCGGATGGGCGGCATTGTCGATTGACGTTGATCTGAGAGTTCCTGAGTTTCTGTATGGCCTTGGTATGATATGGTGCTGAGTGAGGAGGATAAGGTCGAGGTTTGGACCAAGAGTGACTTGTAGACCTCGATTGAGCGACACCAAAAGATGGCACAGTGCAGCTTTGTCGTTTGTTTCAAATTCTGCATATACCTGCTCATACACATTAGCTGGCTGTGTGCATTGATCGAGACATTCGGAGAGGTAGCTTGAAGCCTGGTCCTGTAAGACAGGCTTAGACCTTGAGATTTAGAATGAAGTTCACATTGGGTCCATCACCAGAAGAAAAAAGCGGTAACAAAGACGTTCAAATGTTATCGCTTCACTGTCTGTCGTGAGTTCGACCGAGACATGGTAGTCGAGAAGTGAAATAAGAGAAGAGTGGAAGTTGAGTATGAGTGCCTTGAGAACAGGAAGTCGCAACCCAATTGTGACTGCCCCAATGACACCAAATTATAAATGTGGAAGATCATCAAGAGGCAGTACGGTGCTGGGCTCAACCTGATACAGCTTCCCAACCACGGTCGCGAAATACCCTTTCAAGGCGGATTGAGGCGTGCCTTCTCCCAAACGTTTAGAATGTGGCCGCACTAATGGGTTCCTTCCACAAGGATTTCTGTTCATAAACCTGAACGCCTTCAGTCTTAGGCCAGATACATCCCATAACCCGTCTCTTTGGCGCCTTGAAAATGCTCGCTAATTCACACCCAACCAGAAGACGCCGTATTTGTGTTCTAGCCCCAATAGTTCCACTACTTGCTGCTGCAAGCCTGTCAACAACTGAAAGCCGGGTATTGTCGTGCTGTGGACATTTCGTAACTTCAGTCGCTCTCCGGCATCCGCATATAAGCATCAATGGCTGTAGAAAAGGCTGCAAAACCGCCACAACCAAAAAGAGCGGCTTGAGGTCCAGCCTTGTATGCCAAACCTGCACCGGTTATGCAGCCAGCCATCGCGCTGTTCTGAAGATCTGACTTTGCTCTGAAACCCTCGATTGTGCATTCGACGCCACTGTATATCCCACCTATTAAAGCAAAGTTCTTTGCCGATGACCACGACCTTGAACCCATATCTTTTAGACCACGTCTCAGTTGTTCTCGTACCGGAAGTGATGTGATTTGTTGTCCTTGCGCAGAAAGCGGTGTATCGTAGGCCATCTGCAAGTAAATTGTCAGTATCAAGACCTCGGGGTGGAGGAAGATATGGGCGATACGGTCGTACACTTGACATGAAAAGTCCAAAGGCTCCTCCAAGGAGTCCACCCATGGCGCCAGCCATGATGGACTTGGCCATACAGCTTTCAGATGCTGCTTTCACTTTGACCACAAGTCAGCCACTGATAGCTCTTCGCATGCAACTCAAGTCAAACGCGGCTTGAGATTGGGACTCGACTTACTATATTTGACCATCTGCTGTTCTTGTTCACTCATGCCTGCGGTGTCGCCGCCGGCGCCCATACCGGAGCCACCATATCCAGGGTAGGCCATCGCAAGCACTCCGGATGAATTATCGGCCGCAAAAGAGGGGACACGGTGTCGAGGTGCTGAACTCGAGAGGTATGATCGCGGAGTATCAAAGTGACACGATGTGAGGTCGTAGAGACTGCGAAGTCTTTGGTGTAGGCTACGAGAAGATGACTCGAGGTGATTATCGGAGATCCGGGACAACATTTTTCTGCGGAGAGATGGAGGACTCCCATTGGCGGAGGCCAAATCGCCTACTTGACGCCCTCAGCCTCGTCGCAATCAGGCTGCGTAGGTATAGCTCGGCGACTTTGAAATCGTCTTTGCTCTGTAAGTGTGCAGAAGCAATCTCAAAAAGTTACTGGCGACAAATGTTTCCCGGAATCATCATCCTCTTCCATGAGCACTTTGAAGGACCAATACCGCGTGTCTGGAACGCCTGACAATTGTCCATTATAAGCGAACAATCTGCAGCACAGGGATCTGCTACAAAGTGAAGGGCTAAGACTTGCTCCTGTCATATCACATATTGACCGACGCCCTGCAAAGGCGTGTTGCAGCGAAGCTAATGTCTGTGGTCACTTACAAGCAGTCACTATCACTCATCTGCCAAACCACTGCACTGCAACGCTGCAGCTGTCGATGGTCATTCAGACCATGCCTTTCCGCCTCGCGGCGTCCCTCACCACCACCCTTCCCAACCTCAATCGGACATCGTGGTATGAAGCGCGTCGCTGGCTTCTCCAGAATGCTGTTGGCCTAGATGCAGTATCCGCCACAGTTTCGACGTTGTGGTCAGGAATCAGCGCAAATCAACTGGGCTTTCAACCAAGCTGTCCTGTCGTTATGCTCGCTTTCGGCCTCTTACCATGAGCATCGCGACGGCTCGTGACGAACAATAGCATTCCAAGTATCTGAAGTAAAAGAACAGCGGCAACACCATGATTCCAAAGAATGTCCTCGAGCCGCGCATTTTCTCATTCGTCGGAATGCTTCCTCGGTGAGGTGCGAAATCCGTGAGTTTGACTCGCCGGACTTGTGCAATGAAATCTGTCTCAACGTGAGTGTGGACATTTGCACACTGACTTTTCTGACTTTTATCACGGGTCTTTTAGTGGCGAAGCTTGTAATGCCTCGTCGTCGTCGAAGACCTGCGCCAAATGACAATATCACCCGTGTATCCTCAGTCAGTAACAGGTCGAAGTCCAAACCAGGGGTGTTTCCCGCAACTTCCGACTGCAGTCGAATAAGCACTGTGCTGAGTACATGTCTGAGACGTACATCCCCAACACAACAGGACTCGGTGGCGAATTGGTGGCTATCGGATCAGCCTCTGTTGCTCTGGAACATGCTCACAATGAAACACGCATGCATTCTTCCAGACATTAGCGTAGAAGGGGTATCGCATTTGGTACTGGTAACGATATCATCTCTATCATCTTCCGCGTCCTCGTCCTCCACCCGCGCCCGCACCTCCACCAAACATGTTGCCCATCTGGCTCATCATGTTCCCACCTCCCATCGACTGCAACATCTCCATCATCTTGCCCATATCCCCTCCACCGGGCATTCCTCGGCCCATTCCACCCATCGACTGCATTCGTTTCTGCATGGCAGCCATCTGTTGTTGTTTGTTTCCTCCCTGCATCATGGACTGTGCCCTCTGCATGTTCTTGCGCTGAGCTCCCATATTCTTGGCAAGTCCAGACATCACTCTATGTTGTGTGAGGACTTCCTCAACGTCGCGCACGCTTGTGCCAGAGCCACAGGCTATTCGTGTCAGCCTGGTCGGTTGCGAGACCAAGATTTTGCCGTCAGAGTCCAGCTCTTTGGCGGTCATACTGTCGAAAATATAGATCATCCGCTTCAACTTCTCATTTCCGTCTTCGTCCGACATTCCTTGCATCATGTTGCCCAATCCGGGAATCATGGCGCCCAATTTCGATACGGGGCCAAGTTTCATAATGTTCTGTATCTGCTCTTTCATATCTCGCAGCGTGAAAATACCCTCGGCCAAGTGTTTTTGCGTCTCCTTCATTCCTGCCGATTCTCTCGTTATCGTCTGAATCTGTTCAATCAGCCCGGTCATGTCACCGTATCCGAGCAATTTCGAGATAAACGGCTTTGGAGCAAATCGTTCCAGGTCCATCATATGCTCGCCGGTACCCAGAAAGATAATGGGGGTATGTGTTGCTGCGACGGCTGATATAGCACCACCTCCAGCCGCTCCACCATCAGTTTTTGTGATAATAATGGCTCCGAAATCTGCCGTCTGTTTGAAGGCTGCTGACTGTGATTCCGCTGCTTGACCGATCGTGCCGTCTAGCACCATGATGGTCTGATCTGGCTTTATAGCATTTTGAACCTGCACCATTTCCGCGAATAGGTCTGCTTCCTGCTGGTGACGACCTGAGGTATCAACGATGATGATTTCGAACTTTTCTTTCTTGAAACGAGCAACACCCTCCGCTGCGACAACCGCGGGGTCCGTCTGCGTGAGGGAGCCGTAGTAAGGTATTTTCGCCTTCGTGGCATTCTGCTTCAACTGATCGTATGCGCCCGCACGAAAAGTATCGGCGCAGACCAGACATGCTTTGAATCCTCGTTGTGCGTAATGCCTTGCCAATTTTGTACATGTCGTTGTTTTTCCGGCACCTTGAAGACCGACAAACATGATAACATTGGATCTTCCTTTCTTGGGCTTGTAGGGCTCGGCGTGAGGATCTACCAGCTGAACAAGGTGATCAAAGACGGCCTGTTGAATGAGTCGCTTCTTAGTATTCGAGCTCGTGTGAGGTGGTAGATCTTTGAAGTTGACGGCGCTATGTATGGATTTCCGCAGGTTCTTGACTAATCGGACGTTGACGTCTGCTGATAATAAGGCCGAGCAGATCTCCTTGACCATAGACTCAAAGGCTTTCTCATCGAGATTAGGTTCGCGGTTGAGGTTTGAGACTGCGGCGTTGATCCGCCGACCCAAATCGGAGAGAACCATATTGCAGAATTCCTGGTCGTCTCGCAGACAACTCGGATGTGCTTGGTGGTGCGCAGTATGAGTTCAATATAAGGACGACGTGGGTGATGGTTAGAGTGGCATTATCTTGTGGAGGAGTCGCAGTTTCCAGGCGGGGATCGGAAGTGTCAAGCAATCCGCAGTCACTAGGCCTGCCGAAGTTTTTCCGCTGTAGAATTTCAAGAAACAATTTTTTGGGTGACTTGCAGCCCGTAGACAGCCAGACCGCGATCTTCATTCTCAGGTACAATTACGATGGCTAAAATGGCCAAGACGACACCACTATCGCAGAAAAAGCGAAGACTTGAGGATGGTATGCGTGGGAAGATTGAGCGACCCAGGAAGCGATCCCGCAAGCAGGCAGACTACCACAGTTCATCAGAGGATTCGAACGAGGAAGACGATGCAGGGTTTTCAGCAGTCAATCTCATTGATGTTGGTGAAAGAGTAAAGACGAAACCACAACAGCAGCAACGGCCGAAAGCTGCGAAGCAGGAGAAGGTCCGAGTAGACCTGGAAGAAGGGGAAGATGAGGAGGACGACCAAGAATCCGAGGAAGGAGACGATGCCTTTTCGGACGAGGATAATGAGGCTCAAGACACAACAGGTGTCAGCAAACGAAGATCTACAAGCAAACGAAACGATCCAGAAGCCTTTTCCACCTCGATATCAAAGATCTTATCCACGAAACTATCACAATCAGCACGAAAAGACCCAGTGTTATCGAGGAGCAAACATGCGGTTGAAACGAGCGTGACACTTGCAGACGAGAAGTTGGAACGCAAAGCCAAAGCCAAGCTCAGAGCTGACCGTCGGGAAGACTTGGACAGAGGCAGAATAAAAGATGTGCTGGGTCTGAATTCCGGAAAAGCAGGCGAAATCGCCGAAGAAGAGAAGAAATTACGCAAGATTGCCCAGCGCGGTGTGGTAAAGCTTTTCAATGCCGTTCGCGTCGCACAAGTGAAAGCCGAGCAAGCTGCCAAGGAAGAGCGAAAGAAAGGAACGATAGGCATGTCCCATCGGGAAGAGAAGGTCAACGAAATGAGTAAACAGGGCTTTCTGGATTTGATAGGAGGGACGAAGAAGGACAAGAGTTCCGCACCACAGGCCGTATCGACATGAGACCGCGTTTCTTAAATCGGAAGACGAATTTCTGGCTGGAGGAGCATGGAGCATATTATGATAGTACAGGTCTAAACAGAGCCACGATACCGCTCCAACTCTTGTTAACTGCGCTTCTCGAAATCCGAAGCCTGCAAATTGCGAGTCATTTGTGGCAACTTGACCACAAGACCATCCAGCTCCGGTGACATTTGTACCTGGCATCCTAACCTTGATGTCTCGGTCAAGCCAAATGCAAGGTCTAACATATCGTTCTCGTCATCGCTGGCTTCGGGTATATCATCGTACATTTCATCGGACTCGACGATGACATGGCAGGTAGAACAGGCACAGGAGCCGCCGCATGCGCCTAAGAACGAGATTGTCAGTCTGCGGTCGCATATTGCACACACCCAAGCCGCCTCTTCACCCCTTCTCCTGGCTCGGAGTTATAGCTTCAGCTTTCCACTCACCTTCCATTTCCACGTCATTGGCCTGCGCTATATCCAGTAAATTGTCTCCCTTTGCCACTTCAAACGTGTGTTTTTCGCCATCTTTGTCGATAAATGTGACATGCAACCTGTACAACGTCAGCCTCCATAGCTTTCGCCGCAGATGCGCATGATCTTACTCTTCTCCAGGCTTTGGCGGATCAAGGTGGCCGTGTCTACTCGACGGACTAGTAGAGAAGCGCCTCCGTCCCAGCTCCAGCGCTCGGATATGTTGTCGAATCTGTTTCTTTTTCTGCGCTACCTCCGCCTGGTGCTGCCGGCATAATGTCAATGCTGCTGCATGGAGGCTTCGATTGCAGACCCGCCCAAGCAGAGTCCGCGACGGCGTGCGAAGATCGGACAAAAGCGATTTGGAAATACTGCCGCCCCCCAGGGTTCGTGCGCCGTTCCAGACAGACATTCTGTGTATGAGAGGCTGTGAAAAAGATGTCTGTTGAGCGCACCCGACTTCAAACAATTAAAGAGACTGCGGAAAGAAGATTGATAGGAACAGAACAGAGCCCGGAACTTTGATGCGGTTCTTGGCACTTTCGCTCATTGATCTCGGCCTCATCGGCTTTCGGACAAAACTCACGCACTTCCTGTGAGCATCAACAGAACGTTTGCGAAAGGACCTTCGATACACACTTGAGGAAGCTGGCGCTAGTGTGCATCCCGAGGGAGAGTAACAAGCAATGCTTCTCACCAATACAAGCCAGTGGCGCCGATATTACTACAAGCATGTGCACGAGGCTCCGTATGTCAGGGGCTGATATTTCTATCACCACAGATTTTGCCACAGATTTCATCAACATCAAAATGAATGTTTTGCTAAATCTATAAAGAGACTAGAAGAAATCATAAAAGCAATGTTCCAAGGATAATCACAAAGTGCTAGACACCAGATGTCCGATAACAGCAAACTCTTCTACAACTTCCAGCCCGGCGTTGCGGGCACCCATCGTCGTCTTTAGATTCGATCGTTGCGAAATATTCCGGTGTCAGGTTGCATCAATGCACCGATCCTAAACGGTTCCCCTCCCCGCATTTGCCGCCTGAATAGTCGCGAAGCCGCGGCGGAATTAATACACTCGTTGACACTAAAGCAAGACCCTGCCAAGCTGGAGCTGCAGCACGTGCCAGTGAAGCAAGCCTTACCAGCGGCGCAGTCAGAAGTTGTGTCGCAGTCGTCGCTGCCGTCGTCTGCACATTTCTCGCCCAGGGCGCCACACTGCGAATAGCCATCGGTAGTGGGGCCACAAAGACAAAGATCGGCATTTCCTGTTCCATCGACCGAGCCTAGTCCACACTTATATGGCGTAAAGTCTCCGTTACAATTGGTGGAATATTCGAAAGAGGGGGGATTCGTGCAGTAGGTGTTGGGATAGGATGACGTTGTGGTAGTAGTTGTAGTAGTAGTGGTGGAGCTGATTAGGGATGCCGTCGTGGTAATCGAAGTCGTATCTGAGCTGGTGGTTGTTGAGGCCGTGCCAGTAGAGCTTGTAGTTGTAGTCGTTGTGGAGGCCGTGCCATCAGAGCTTGTCGTCGTAGTCGTTGTTGAGACAGTGCCATTGGAGCTTGTAGTGGTTATCGTCGATGGTGAGCTCGTCGTTGACACGGTACCATTAGAGCTTGTGGTGGTTATCGTCGATGGTGATGTCGTTGTTGAAACAGTACCATTAGAGCTTGTGGTGGTTATTGTTGATGGTGAAGTTGTAGTAGCACTGGTGGTCGAAACGGTGCCATTGGAGCTTGTGGTGATTGTGGTTGTTCCCGAAGCCGTAGACGCACTCGTGGTCGACACAGTACTATTGGAGCTTGTAGTAGATTCTGTACTAGTGGTGGAACCTGGAGTGACAATACTAGATGACGTCGTCGTAACAGTAGAGCTCTCACTAGTAGTGACGGAGCTACTAGTGCTGGCGGCACTAGAAGTACTAATAGTACTAGTAGGATCGCCGCTGCTGGTGGTGGCAGTAGTGCTGGACGTGTCCGGAGTGCTAGTAGATGCTTGAGAGGACGTCGATTCACTTGTAGATCCACTACTTGTTGAAGTGGATACCGGAGACGTAGTACTTATGATAGAGCTGTCGGATGTTGTTGAGGTGGTTGACGAGGTCGATAGGCCCGAGGTAGAAGAGGTGCTTGAGGTGCTTGGTACGGTTGTGATTACGGTTGTGGTTGTGGTTGTGGTTCCGATCGTGCTCGGGCCGGTAGACGTGGTAACCTTAGTGGTAGTGCTGGTTGAGGTCGGTTTCGTCGTCGTCTTCGTGGTCGAGGTATGCTTGGTGCTCGTGGTCTTGGTGGTCGAGGTATGCTTGGTGCTCGTGGTCTTGGTGGTCGAGGTATGCTTGGTGCTCGTGGTCTTGGTGGTCGAGGTATGCTTGGTGCTGCTCGTGGATGAAGTTGGTTTGGTCGTTGTCTTGGTGCTCGAGGTATGCTTGGTGGTAGACTTAGCCGTGATAGTCGATTTGGCCGTGGTGGTAGACTTCTTGGCCGTGGTCGTGGACTTCTTGGTAGTGGTAGTTTTGGCCGTTGTGGTAGACTTGGTCGTAGTGGTAGACTTCTTGGTGGTGGTAGATTTCTTAGTGGTGGTAGACTTGGCCGTGGTAGTAGACTTAGCCGTAGTGACCGGCTTCGTCGTGGTGGTAGATTTCTTGGTGGTGGTGGTGGTACCTTTACTTGTGCTTTTGCCTGTGGTGGTCGACTTGGCTGTGGTGGTGGTACCTTTGCTTGTGCTTTTGCCTGTGGTGGTAGACTTGGCTGTGGTAGTGGTACCTTTGCTCGTGGTCTTGGCTGTAGTCGTACTTCTGGCTGTGGTGGTAGTCTTTTTCGACGTGCTCGTGCTCTTAGCTGTGGTCGTGGTTTTCGCTGTCGTCGTACTCTTAGCTGTGGTAGTAGTCTTTTTCGACGTGCTCGTGGATTTGGCTGTGGATTTGGCTGTGGTCGTACTTTTAGCTGTGGTGGTAGTCTTTTTAGACGTGCTCGTGCTCTTCGCTGTGGTGGTAGTCTTTTTCGAACTGCTCGTGGTTTTGGCTGTGCTCGTGGTTTTGGCCGTCGTCGTACTCTTAGCTGTGGTGGTAGTCTTTTTCGACGTGCTCGTACTCTTAGCAGTGCTCGTGCTTTTAGCTGTACTCGTAGCCTTGGTTATACTGGTCGTGCTCTTCGTAGTGCTCTTTGCCGTACTAGTGGAGCTTTTCGTAGTGCTAGTACTCTTCGTCGTGCTCTTCGCTGTGCTAGCCTTCGTAGTACTCTTCGCCGTAGTAGTGGTACTCTTCGTAGTGCTCTTCGTAGTGCTCTTCGTAGTGCTCTTCGTCGTGCTAGTAGGACTCTTTGTTGTGCTCTTCGTCGTACTCTTCGTCGTGCTCTTCGTCGTGCTCTTCGTCGTGCTCTTCGTCGTGCTAGTAGGACTCTTTGTTGTGCTCTTCGTCGTGCTCTTTGTCGTGCTCTTCGTCGTGCTAGTAGAACTCTTCGTAGTACTCTTCGAACTAGTAGTCGTACTCTTCGTGGTACTGGTGGTGCTCCTGGTGGTGCCGGTACTCTTGGTGGTGCTGGTACTCTTGGTGGTGCTGGTACTCTTGGTGGTGCTGGTACTCTTCGTGGTGCTGGTGCTCTTCGTGGTGCTGGTGCTCTTCGTGGTACTGGTACTCTTCGTAGTGCTCTTAGTACTAGTTGTTGTACTTTTTGTGCTGCTACTACTTGTCGAAGTAGTAACGGCTCTTTTTACTCTCCTTGACTGAACATCCTGATCTATCGTTGGCTGTTGATCTCGATCGATTTCAGGGACGACATTGATGATAGTTGTCAGCATTTCCGAAATTGTCACGCTCTGACTGAAGGGATAAGTAACCGTCGTCGTTGAGTTGGCCACTCCATCAAAAGTATATGGAACCGTGGTCGAGATAGATGGATAGGTACTAGATAGGGAGTTCTGCGCAGTAATTGGTATGGCTAAAGTGGGAGCCTGGTGAGTCGGCGAGATACTCGTCAAGTCCGATACTTCGGCGCATGCAACAATTGCTGCGTAGAAGAAGATGGTGGGTAACAACATTATGCTGGAGGCAAATCAAACAATGACAAAAGTTGGATAAGTGAAAGTAAGTAGCCTTACAGCTTGATAACGAAAGAGTCCGGCGACCTCCCACGCTGAAAGACCATACATTACCGCACGAGATAAAGGTTCGAAGCATTCATCATATAGTATCGAAGTGCTGCAGACCTCGGTCGAGTATTGTGACTCTCTACTAGCTTGCGATGTCTGCTGCCAAAATATTGGACACTCGGGACAGCATTTGACATACTGGGAAGAAGTTGAGGGGGCAACATGTTGGCTAGCCGAAAAGAAGTAGTGACCTTGCGCAAGGCAAGTGAGCATAAGTAGATATGAAAGATAGCAAACCGGATGGTAACCATGCAGCAACGACGATGCTCAGACCAGAGTTCGAAAGTAAGACTCCTCATCGTTGTAACTTGGATGGTGATGCTATCACACAAATCAGGTTTGTTGTTGTCGGTGCTGCTGCCAATAATCGTGTGACAAAGTTATACGGCCTGAGTTGGATTACAATTGGGAGCTGGATTTCTCCTGGCAGAAGTCCAGAAGAATCGAGGGGATCAAAGTGGAACTAGGTTCAGGAACAGACGTAAATTTAGGGTTGATTGAAGTTAACCAAATTAGACACTAGCTTGGTAGATCTAGACTCGTCCGTGAGTTTTCCGATGTGGCATGGGGCTTAAAATTGACAACCACGGACCTCTTGTTCGTCCTGTGCGTCCACAAGCTTTGACTCAGGTTCCTGTTTGACCCTTTACCCGCCATGAATACAGATGGTGTTTTGGGAGTGGCTTGGCCATTTTGCGCGCCCTGCTACTATCATGGTTCGTTGCACACACTTCAACTTGGACCAGCTCCCGGTCTGTAACGATGTTCAAACTCTGAGGTCCTTGTCGGCCAGCTTCCCAAGAGAGGACAGCATTGGGCAAAACGTTCCTTTTTGTGCATTTTCTATAGGGTTTTTTGATAATCGACAAAGGCACCACCATTTTCTGCTAGTACCATTCCTCCAAAGATAGCATGTATTAGCATGGTAGAGATATCCACCGAACCCGAAACAGAAAAACAAGCATTGCGGACCTCTGGATTACACTGCTTCCTGTCATACATCCTGGCGGCCACTCAACTATCATTCCTCGAAGGCCACATCTTCGGGCGGCCTTTCAACTGTCGCTTTACAGCTTCAAAGATTTTTGGTTCCCACTCTGCTTTCGGGATGGTACGACCAGTCTTTGTTTCTGCAGTCGCTCCAAAACGTCGTAGGCCCATCCTTGATATCAGTTTCTTCCATGTAATTGGTCCATGTGTCGACCTCGCCATGGACATCCAGGATACCGTAGGCTTTCACATTGCCGGGGATGGACCAACAGGTCAACTTGACTTGACAGCAGTGTGGGGCCTTGCATTCGGTGGTAGCAACGCATCCCAACCCGTCGCCGGTGCCGCTCTCCCTGGTGTCCAGGGCGTTGGTTGAGACGTTGAATCCATTGACTTCATTGATATCGAGTGCAGGTGCGGCGTAGGCCGAGGTGGCCAACAACGTGGCGAGAAGAGCCGCAATCTTTGGTGAGAAATACATGTCTGATTTTGGTAGAGTCGGTAGACTTGATGTTTTGCGGATGTTGGTATATGAGTCGGGGTTGGCGTATGAGTTTGCTGTCGATTGTACTTGTTGAGGACTGCTGTGTTGATGAACAATAGATTTGAGACGAGATATCCAGACGATACTTATACTTGATGATCTCTAGTCCGGAACCTCGATACATCTTCAAGATATCCGAATTTGTCGCTGTTATGTTGCATTATTGATTCTTCAATGTCGAGAAAAGGAGCTCTGTTAGGCAATAATTGACCAAAATGTGAATACCTAGGTACGACCAATTCTTCGTAGACACCTGTGAAGCCACAAAAAGCACTGCACGGGGCAGGGAAAGACGGTCTGCGATATATCGAAACGCTTCAATGTTACATATGGGGCTTGGCGAGTAGCATCGCTCTGCTACAATTGAGTGTATAGAGTTTTTCACGACGATGCGATCGAAAATAGAGATCACTACATCAAGATCGCTAGATTAGGAGACTCCTTCTTAATTGGGGAAATGGTATGGGCGCACTGGTATGATCGTGAAGAAGTCTTTCAGTATTGCAAAGTCCGCCCTGACCCAGAAGTCTCAAACGTATCACCAAAGTAGTCCACGAGCACTTGCAAGGTAGCCACGATACTAATAGCCGTATACCATGTCACTATATGTTGATAAAGTGGCCAGAAGCAAAATAGAGCAAGTGCATATACATAGAGACGGAACTACAAGTGGTGCGAATGACAGAAGAAGCGGTAGCTGGAGGAGAATCTACTGAACGATATGACGTTTGGACTTTACTGACGAGAATTCCTGTGTGCACTCTGACGAAGTACCAGTAGCAGCAAGGCGAGAATACCCGACAATCCAACCTTGTTCACTGGTGGTAAGGACCTCATGCAGAGCAAAAGAGCCTTCTAGAAAAAGTCATAGAAGCGAGTCGTTCAGATCAGCTCTGTTGTACTATTTCGCGAAGCTATGTTCTGCAACCACAAACTTTCATTAGATGCAGAAGCGTCGTTATTGTCAATGAAGGGGAAATTGGGCTTCGATAACTAAGCATTTTGCTATGTTAGAACAAGGGCAACCATCTGGTCAGAGACGGGAGGTTTAAATAAGGCTGAGTTTGACAGAATCTCGAAGTGGGACCCCACGATTCTAATTTGAGGAGAGTGCGCTTCGGATCGATCTAGATGCCACCGAAAACGGCCTCAGATGACGCACAGTAGATTGTCACTACTTATTACAGTTTGGATCGCCCACTTCCACGGTAACTACCCTAGTCTGTACATTCAAAGACACTTGTACCAAGTCAAAAGCGTTGCAGTCAGGATCTTGCCCCTGTCGATCCTTTGTGTCTTGATCGCACACTTTGGGTTGGTTCAGCCGTTCTTCGCTGGAATGAGGCAATTGGCGAGTGAAGGCTGGATTTCTTTCCAGCTGTAGACACTCACGAGCCCTCGCACTGGCCTACGAACTCGCTCTCCACATTCCCATGTTCAACCCAGCACATTATTTTGTCCCAGCAGTAGTGGGGCTTTCCTTCTTCCACGGTCCCGATTCTGAAATTTGTCACAATATAGCCTTGACGACCAGGAACTTAGCAGGGCGCCATAAGACCGTCCGTGGTCTTGCCTGTGAGGGAAGTGGCTAGACCCAGCGTTTCATGGCCAATAATTGTAGCGGAGCTCGGGACAAGCCAGAGCGCTTGCTTTGACACGGACTGGTATTTGGCTTCACTGTCATGGCCAGTTGCAATCGCTCTCCACCAAGTGTCCCCCAGCACACTGATGCCTAGACAAAGCGCTTGGCAAGGTGGGACGTCTGACAGATGCAGAGCTGTCTGAGCCGGTCGACAGGAGCTCTCCATTCGGATACAACTCGTCTGACAAGCTGGTACCATGGTACGCACGATAGTCTCCAGGTGGCCATCGAATGCTTCCAGATTGCTTCGTATTCACGGGTGTGACGACTAGAGCATGAAACCGATTTGGGGTCTTGGAGACGGATTTTGTCACTGTGTCTGAGATCCGCTAGAGGTGTAAAAGTCGTGCGGCCGTAGGTGGCCTGGTGAATGAGAACCTGCCTCTCGTCCAGCTCAGACGAGAGCTGAACCTAGAACGTCTCAAGAGCCTATTGTGGTATACAGTGGCTGGGATACCGCTGCAACCCTGGCAAGATCTGCTTTGATGACATGCACAGAGTGAGAGTGTGGCAATTGCTCCAAGGTCTGACTCAAAGTCGAGAGCAAATTGCGATGCGTGTCCACCCCGATCTTTTCTGCCGCAAGATCTCGGTCTATCGCTTTTTGCATCAAAGTCACCGCGGCCACAACGTGGTGGGCATAGGGGTGGATTGCAACCAGAGACGCTGTGAAGCTTTGTGGAGCACCTCCATCATTATCGTCGGTCATGTTGTCAGGCGGAAGTTGTAGAGTATATTTATTTGTCAAGCCGAACATCAGGATGTTCAGCACCCAGCTTTCGGCGTCGATTCTTCTTGCTGCAATCCGGGACAGAAGATCCGATCGGTCCGTTGCTGCAATGGCGTCTACCAGCATCAATATTGCCAGATTGTAGTGTAGCATGTGCTCAACTATGGAGTGATGTCAGTCAAATCTGCAAAGACGAAGTCAAATTGCCGAAGCACTTACACCAGCGAAGCTTTGTTTCTTGGCCAAAGAATTGTATACGTCGTTGACATTGAGCCAGCAACTCGCGAAAAGTAAGATTGAACTGGTCGATGGCTTCCGAGACCGAAGCGAAGGCATTACTTACTTCAGCCTCGTCGTGGCCGTCCCTGAGCGACTCTTTGAAATTGGCTGTCAACTTCCAAACCATCAACTTCCACGCTGATGCTGCAGCTATTGTTTGATTGGCCTTCTCATCGGTCATCTCAAATTCGGGATCATGCCAGTCTTTTGTGGTATCTCGAAAGATCTCCATGCAAGCTCGGACTAACCGCCATAACGATTCGGACTCGAATCCAAACAGGCCACAAGCGAGCAATGGCCGACAATTGAGGGTCAAGGAAGCGGACGTGTCGAATGTCAAAGCCGCCCAGTAGGCGGCACTCTCGGCGTTGATGAAGTTGGCAGTCACTAGTGAATGAGGACTCGCCCCAAGAGAACGAATTTGAGTATCATAGTTGACCCGGTTGCCATTGAACCGAAGACTTCTCTCATGCACCCGGAGCTCCTGAATTTGTTGTAGTGCAGCATGAACACAAACTTGCCCAGGCACCCTGTCCAGCTCTTCTTCCTCGGACATTCCAGAAGGGATGGGAGTAAGGGCGAACAGGAGGAGAGTGAACATGGAGCGATAAGACGTCCTGTTGATCACCTTCAGCATATCCCGGTGTGTACGCCGCCATAGGTTTCTGATTATCTCGTCGGACGAAGAAGACGAAGACGATGACTGTATAGTCAAGGGTAGCCAGCGAGCAGCGAAAGCCTCGATCGCATGGTCAAACGACTGGTCAATCTGAAGGTTTCTCTCCCGCCTTGCTGAGTCTGCAGGGCTCGGTGGGCCAAGCATGCTGGAGGGGCTTTCATAGTCCTCGTCCATCCATTTGTCAAGTCGGCGGCAGAGTTGGTTTATGCTCACGCACATATCGGACAGACTGTGCTCGCCAAAGCTAGCAGAAATGTGAGACATTGTCAACATTTCGTCTTTTTACTTACGCAAATGGATTGCTGTATTTCCCTAGCCATAGTCCAAAGACTGTCTCAAAGGCTCTCTCGTAGATGACATGAAGCCACCCTTTCTGTGCCGACGTGATCAGACGATCTGTCGTGGAGCTGGATTCAGCATTCGTGGGTTCGGCATGTTCCCTAGAGGGCCACCTTCGCTCCTTGCTGCTAGAGTTAGAAAGTGGAGTATTAGGGAGGAAAGCCGGCGTTGTTACCCAGTCAGTTCGCTCAGTTCCGACGTTGACCGCTTTCTGGTTGCGTTTGAAAATGAGCCAGTGTCGTCGCGAAGACGCGTATCTCGTGTTTTTCTCCGCGCTGGCGTTGTTCCAGAGTCTGGCTTGCGCTTGAGCCACTAGTCAAGTCAGCCTGCCGAGTTCTTTTGAAGGCCAAAACATGCAGTGGGCAGCACTTGGTATTCATACCTCAAATGTACATTTTCGTTGCCGGCTGGTGCATCTGGTGCAGGATTCTAGTCCTCGGGAATCTTCGGTGCTATGTCGGACTCTTCCCGCGTCGCAAGCCACCCTTGATCGTCGACATTCATCGCAGCTTGAGAACTGGACCCGGCGAGGAGTGGACATTGGAGACTCTCCTTTTGAGTCTGACACATGTTGCTAGGATATGGGCTATGGCGTTGTGACTGATAGTTCAGTGCGGTGATCTCAAAGTCCACAGAAGTCGTGTACTCGTAGGATAGCGGGCCGAAAGTCCTACATCGAGGCTTGGCAACCTTAAGAGTCTCCGAATTCCGGAGTCCCCCCAAGTCGTATGGGGGCTTGGTGACGCTTACAAGAGTTTCGGGGTTCTTCGACGCTAGGGCCTTAAGCGTACCTTACTTACCTGGTACGGAGTACTCATGGCAAAGATAGCTGAGCCGGATCATAGTAAGCGCAAGCCCATTACACAGCAAGCATGAGCTTCAAGTCTTGCTCAAACCAAATGGCAACCGTGCTTTCGTATATGCGCTGAGGAACACGCGCATGCTACTTAATGTCCAGGGCGAAGGCACACACTTGGTTCTGAGATAAGAGCACATATAGGATGTAGACTCACCCATTTAGCAATACGCTAAAAGATCAACATCCTCCAAGATGAGGCGCCGGCTCGATAGTCTTTCCCTTTGGCATATTTTCGAACGCTTGAAGCTTCTGAAAACTCAGGGCTGCCGGGACAAGGCTGAAACAACCACGCATTGGAAACTGCGCTTGTGGTATGCTCTCCGGCGAAGCATTTTTGACATTACGTAGACCATGGTTCCATGAAACCTGTTGTTTGTAGCATCATATCCAGAAGGCTGTACACATTCTCAGACATCTCAGTCAGAGAAAGAGTGAAGCCACTAGCGCCAGACTGCACCGTTGCTGTTCTCTCAACATGCAAGATCCGGGGCATGTCCCAAATCCTCTGCGTCCATACTATGTCCCTCCCTCGATAGGGACCGAGCCAATTTCCAACACCACCACAAGCGCCTCGAAACCGTCTTCCTCAAGCTTCTCCTTTCCTGATATTGACTACTCGGACTATATAACCGATGGTTCGCCTTCGATACCAGCCTCAATCAAGTCAGTGGTCGATCAGGCGTTTTGGAAATACACGAATGTCCTGCTAGCACAACCATTCGAGGTAGCAAAGTTGATCCTACAAGCCCGGGTTGCTCAGGACGAAGAGGAGGAGGCACCAAAGACACCCCATCCCGAGGGCGAGGATGGTTACGCAGATAGTTATGAGAACGAGAATTCTGATGATGACGAACCGAACTATTTTACATCCGCCGCTCCCTTCGAGAAGCCTACTACCAGCCATTCGCCGCCACGAGGTCGTCGCGGACGCCCACCACGAGATGATGGAGTACCTCGACACTCCGCAAAGCCGCAAAAGGATGATGGCCGACTACATCTGAAAAATCCTCACTCTCTGCTTGAAGCCCTATCTGCCTTGTCGTCAAGCGGTGGAGCGCTGGCGATGTGGCGCTCTACGAACTCAACCTTTGTGTACAACATCCTGAATAAGACACTGGAGACTTTCCTGAGGAGCTTCCTCGCAGCGGTTCTTGGGCTAGCAGAGACCGACATACTCGCTTCCGCAGGAACTGGAGCTATCCCAGACGCTTCCATTCTTAATTCAACCACACCGGCCGCCACGATACTTATCGCGACCGCGGCCGCCGCAATATCTTCCCTCGTTCTTGCCCCGATTGATGCCGCGAGAACTCGACTCATCTTGACACCCTCCAGCCAAGAGCCACGCACACTTCTGGGGACATTAAGGACCTTGCCGACCGCCTACCTCATACCCAGTCACCTCATTCCAATTACCTTCCTTACCTCGACGATACCAACCTTGATCTCAACGAGTACTCCTGTACTTCTCAAGACCTACCTTGGACTAGATCCAGCAATGAATCCTGCAAAATGGAGTCTCGCGACATTTGCAGGCTCTGCATTGGACCTTTCGGTCAAATTCCCTCTTGAAACAGTCCTTCGGCGCGCACAGATTGCGACCTGGACATCTCCTGCATACTCGCCTCCTGCATCGTCGTCTAAGCGCAAAGCAGTCACGACGATTGTCCCCGTACCTCAATCCTATAGAGGTATCCTCCCGACGATTTGGAGCATCACTCGGGAAGAAGGGTACTCGGAGTCACAGAAAGACAGGACTGCCGCGCTGATGGGCAAAGCACCTAGGCGGAAGCGTAAAGGACAAGGCATCGAAGGGCTATATCGTGGCTGGAGGGTTGGCTTTTGGGGACTTGTTGGAGTCTGGGGCACATCTTTTGTCGGTGGGCTACAGAATGGTGGCGAGGCAAGTGCGGCCAGTACAGGCATTCACGGAGGTAAATTTTGAAGCTGGCTTGAATTAGATGTTTGTGCTGGCTGTTGCTGTGTATTACCTACGTTGTGTGAAGATAGCAGGGCGTTCAAAGGTTGCTCGAATGTGATACCCGGTCTCTTCTCATGGAACAAGAGCTTTGTCGAAACGCTGTGATATAAGCTCACTCCCATTTCAATGGCCTCTTCTTTCTTTCACCATTTGCATGCGTGATACTTGAAACTTGGGCGACGAAGACATGCTTAGGTACTCGGACTACCTAAAGTGGCCTGATTCCGAAAAGCTGCGGAAATTTCCGGCGAGTTGGAGCCCCTCTTGCCAAGCCCGATAATCGGCCGCACCATCTAATCTGATAATGATGAGATTTGATCTCTTCCCAATCTTCCCTCCTACTCATTACATCCCACCTCTTTGCCTTCCACTCGATTCAACACACCATAAAAGAGCGCCTCGGGGCCAAGGATCTCTTGTAGACGTTCTCTGGGCTTCTGAGAGGCCTTTCTCCTCCACCATACCATTCGCCTCACCTGTAGGCCCAAGTTGCATCCGTCGACACGTCCGGCGTGCTAGATCCGCGAGTTCGCAACAATGGCTGCGACCGCCGGATCACCGCCAGCAGCCACAAATATTGGAGGTGCAGTTGAGACGAAACCAATCTTATCAAGACATCCTTCACTATGTATGAAACCGATTCAGAGTCCACCGGTGGGCTCTCCAAACCCCTCGACACCTTCTGCACCATTGTCTCTCACGAGCAAAGAGTGGGTCGTTCCTCCACGCCCGAAACCTGGCCGCAAGCCGGCAACCGACACGCCCCCAACCAAGCGCAAGGCCCAAAATCGGGCAGCGCAGAGAGCGTTCAGAGAAAGACGTGCCGCACGAGTTGGAGAACTGGAAGAGCAACTCAAGCAGATCGAGGATGAGCACGACCATGAAGAAGAGGTCTTGAAGCGAACCGTCGACAAACTCGAGAGAGAGGTCGAACAATATAGAGCCGACCTTGCCAATTGGGTGGATCGTTGCCGACGGCTAGAGAATGAGCTCGTTGCCCTCAGATCGAGCACCACGAGCACCTTGAAGCACGGCGATAGTGTACGAGACAAGCCATCTCCGGCAGCCGATACAGCGATCAACGACACTACCGTCGGCTGCGGCAATTGCACCTTAGAAACTCGCTGTCAATGCATCGACGACGCATTTACGGCCATGGGCGGCGATGCAAACACTGGCATCCATCAGCATGAGAAGCGGCCCCATTCACCCGTGCTGGAAGACGTCGACAAAAGGATCAAAGTTGAGCCTAAAGAAACAATGGAGATCGACTTCACTAGCATGTACATGTCCAAGGAAGCACCACCCAGCGTTACCCGGCCGGAAGACCGCCGAGGGGCATCATCTGCCGTCGCGGACCCCTGCGGCTTCTGCTCCGACGGCACACCATGTATCTGTGCAGAAATGGCCGCAGAGCAGGAACAAGCGCAACTTCAATCTCGGCCAGACGCTGTAACCAACCTCGGTCGACCCTTGACTTTGGGACCTACGGCGAATCCACCTCGGCAACTCAATCAGTTCACACCACCCCCGTCGGAAGGCGACGTGTCCATGTCCGTTCCAGCTCCTGCAGACGCTCCGCTGCCCACAGGTGGCTGCGGCACCTCGGGACCAGGTACCTGTGCTCAATGCCGCGCCGACCCGAATAGTACTCTGTTCTGCAAATCCCTCGCAGCATCGCGGGCACAGTCGGTCAACAGCAGCAGCACGCCAGCACCGCTTCCGCAAGGTTGTTGCGGTGGTTCTACCGCCGGTGGCTCGTGCTGTCAGAGCCGTAACGACAACGGCAACGGGTCTGTTCCTTTGCCGCCACGGACGACACGGTCTCGTGCGGCGGCAGCAGCTACAGTTAGAGTGCCGCCGCCCAAAGCGGGCGTCACGCTGACCTGCGCCGATGCGTACACGACGCTGAGCCGCCATCCTGCTTATGAGAGGGCAAGTGGCGAGATCGCGACCTGGTTGCCCAAGTTGCATGCCAACGACGCAGCTCCTCCGATGGTGGGCCGCCCCGCGCTCGAAATTGATGCTGCGAACGTCATGGCTGTGCTGAAGGACTTTGATCGCAGATTTGGGCAAAATCGATGAGCCCTCATGGAGACATCCCCCACCTTATAGAGTCCAAGGACGATAGGTCGCGCGGGTCCCTGCCATAGACGCGACTGCAACGCTGACGAGTTGGAACGGCACCTACCAGTAATTGAACCCGCCAGCGACGTCTGGAGACCTTTCCCGTCATGCACATACACCCTACGATACTCGGTTCGAGGTCATGGAACCAACATTACGAGTCACGACCTAGCCATTACAGCGGCCACATGTCGTGAGGCAACCACGAACATTAACAAAATTACATGTACATACTTCTTTGCACATATTCCAACATGTCAAATTGTCTGAATAGAAGAGAACCAATAAACTCTCAGTTCCGAGAGAAAGCAGTCTAATGTTCCACAAGTGATCTTGAGTAGCTGCCAGTCCATCTATATAAACCCTCTCACTTGAGTAATGCGTCTTTGCAACAACTCGGTCTTTCAAGTCTAACGTGGGTAGCCCCATAACTAATCCCACAACCATCCCGAGGTCCGCCTCCGTCTTCTGTCCGCTTTGGCCATATCAGCGCCGATTGCCGGACTGGTAAGCGCATACTCCCATGCCAAATTTCCATCAATGTAGAGTGAGTACGTCAGCAGACTACGCTGAGTATCGCCGACGAGATTTTGTATGTGCACCGCACCAACCTTGCTATTACCATCAGGCAAATAATTGATGGCGACATCTTCGTCGTCGATCTGCTTGAATGTCCGGAATGGCAGGTAGAACATACTGAGTGGGCCAACAGAAAACTCATGAGGGCCAGCCTGAGGTGTGGGATCGTAAGACTTCTGCTGTTCGGGCTGCTTCGGGGATGGCCTGTTCTTGATCTGATTCAAGCTTTTGGCTCCATCGACGCTGTGCTCACTGGTAGGCGCTGGATAGCGGATGGCGGCGAACTCATGACGATCTCCAGAAAGAACAATAATTCGAACACCGAGGTCGCGCTCTGCAGCATGCATTGCTGCCAGTATCCGAGAGCGCTCTTGCAGGAACCCGCCCCAGGTGTCGGATGTGCCGAAGCGCCAATTTTTGGTGAATGGGACGGATGAAGCGATGATCTTCCAGTGGACATGAGCGGGCTCAGGAGTAGCGAGATATTTGAGGAGGGACGCAAGCTGCACGGCGCCCAGCATGGTACGATTGGTATGAGGATGCGGAGGATTTGATGGCTGCGAGGAGGATCCGTATAGTGGTTTCGAGGTTGAGGAAGAGGAAGACGCAGATTCAGGATCAGTACGATACCTACGTGTATCGAGCATGAAGAACGACGCTGGGCCATTAGAAAACTGGAAGAATGTTGTGTTCGCTTCCGGGCCAGTAGGAGCGCCAGCTGGGATAGGCGGATTGACCGAGACATGGTAGTGGATGAAAGGATCTGAAGCGGCGGGAAAGGGGTCTGTGTCGTTGCCGCTAGACCAGTCATTGGCAATTTCGTGGTCGTCTAGGGTATGGATCCATGGCAGGGTGTCAAGCCCAGGCAGTGACCATGAAGGTGAGGCGTACACACGTCGGTACTCAGCTCGGTAGTGCTGGAGAGACGAAGACAAGCGTAGGGGAACGTCTACGTAGATGAAGTCTCCTAGGAAGAGCATGAATGCAGCGCGCGACGGCAGTCCGCTGACAACTTTCGAGAGATAGTCAAACCCATGGATGGCTAAAGCCTGCGCTGATGGTTTGTACGGGAAATTCGCCTTGATGCAGGATGAGGTCAGGAAGGTCAAGCTGTTGCTTGCCTCGGAATCAGGTGATGCCGCCGTAATGAATTCTCCAGACTTGTTGTTGGACAAAAGATAACTGTACTTCTTTGAGGGCAGGAGGTTCTCGAAGGTGATAACATGTGTGTAGTCTGTATCCTCTCCGAGATAGTAGATGGTATCTGTAATGGTCCAACTGTTCGTCTGAGCGACTGAGAGATACACGTACATTGGTAGCTGGCTCGAGTCGGGTTCCCTGAATAAGACTTTCGCTGAAGTGGAATCAACATAGCCGACGCGAGTAAAGCTCAAGTCCCGGGCGGGATGTAGGAGCAGTCCTCGGAATACTAGATCAAGCGTGAACAGGGCCAGCAATATGTTTATCCCAATGGTAAGGTAGCTCCAGTCAGGCTCCAGCCAGTCCGGTATGCCGAGCAGGAATATCTTCAGAAACGACTTTTCTTCCTTGTAGAGGACCGGCTCTTCATGGTCGTGTTGTGCCTCCTTTCCATCGTGCTCCTCGCTTTCATGGTTGTCTGGATGGTGGAAGAGCTTGGGAAATAGGTCGTGTAGTGAACGTCTGCTTGGACCGAACGCTTTAGATCTGCCGAACACGAATGACAGGTAGATGACGACGGTCGTCAGTATCAACGGAGGAAAATGATGGCCTGGAATCTAGGTTGCATTCAGCCTGAGTACGTGGGTTGGGCAGGACCTCACAAACCCATCTAAGAAATATGTAGGCGGATAGTCTCGCGACGGTAGAGGTAGAAGCTGCGATGATCTCTTCCGTGGAGGCCATTCCGAGGATAATCAAGTGTATCTCACCGCCTCAGCAGTGAGCCGATGTCGTCGTTACATGTTGGGGAAAGAATGGCTTTGAAGCAGGGAGTGAATCAGGTTGAAGCAGGCTTGCTGCCATTCGCAACCAAACAAATGACGCAGCGATGCCCTACCCGAGATTAGCAAAGAAAATTTTGTCTGACAATGAGATAAGGGGTGAAGATCTAGGTTTCACGTAGCGATTCCAGAGGACGCTTTTGTCAGACTACAGCAATTCTCCTTCTAGTAAACACGGACTGAGGCGGTAACCACCTTGCCAGTCTGCCATGCAGGCCTTTCCCGGTCATCGGCCCAGGTTCATTGATGCCATGTTTCTGCGCATGGACACAATTATGGCGGCATCTCTGACCTTCTTCATTCCCATACACAAGGCCATGGAATATGCCCACATCCAGCAATGCTGCTCCTGTGGCAGAGACAGCCAATACTCCCACCCCATGACCCCCCCAAAGGTTGGATAGCGCTCGACCAGCAAGCTGAGCACTGCGGCCGACAATTCCAATGGCACATAGCCACTCCCACCGTGCCTAGGGTTGGTCAACATCCCTGCGACCACTTTCTCGGGAGGCCAGCCATTGCGCACGATCTCGTCGTAAGCGTCTGTTGTATGCATTCCGCCCCAGCCGTTGTAAAACTGCGCATTATACCACGAGATACTGCTTCCTCTTGCAGCCTCGAGCAGCTTGTGGTCAAAGCCTGACAAATGTGGTCGTCCAGCCATCAGAGCTGTTGCGACTGGTGCGAGTGTTATTATGAAATGTCGCCCGAAGTCACTCTTGAGCCGATCAATCAGATGAATGACTCCCGGCAGGGACATTTCCTCTTCAATGTCCAAGTCCAGTCCATCCAAGCCGTACTTTCGTATCATATCTCGCAATGGTGCGTAGTATGTCTCAAAGCGTGCTAGAGGTACATCGGTTCTGGACTCACTGTAGTCGAGCCGGGCGAAACTCCCCCGTGCAGCCCCACCGAGCATACCCAAGACTTTGATGCCCGAATCCTGTAGCACCACGATTTCGTCCCACAATTGAGTGTACTTTTCGTGGTCTGGGGGATCATCGTTCAACGTGAGCTTCTCTGGATCCCAATTGACGTGAATAGCTGCAAGAATAACGTGTGTCACTCCAGAAGGATTGGTGATCAGGGGAAGTAATGACACGTATTCGCCGTTGTGATGATAGGTTTGAAAGTAGCAAACAATTCTTGGATTCCATGATGGGACCGGTGCTGTTGGAAGTGGTGGCATGCCTCTCCATCAAGACACGGCTTGCCCGAAGTCTTATTGTTTACAACTGTGTGGGCAGGGGAAAGTCCTGACTTCAAGGCGTTGTTGGTCAGGACGTCGTAAGATCAGCCGATGTTTATGCGAAGCATGTCGATATAATCATCCGCAAACTTGTCCTTTTCCTCATTATTACCATCAAATTGTGCAAAATGCACTTGGACACCCCCGACCCCGTATGACCGTCCGAACATCGGTCATTTCTACAGTATTTCGGGAAGCATAAAATGAGTCCTGCAATCCTCTGATGATGACTCCATATCTTCGGACTTTTAGGACCCGGGAAGTCTCGTGGACCAGGATGGGCATTTGGGAGCGCAACAAAAAGCCTGTAAGTTTGGTTACCATATCTCTAGGCAGCCAGGAGCGGAGCACTCGTCAACGACGAAGGTCTCATAAAAGAGCACAACCACGCCACCCCTTCTATCACGGCCAACTGGAACACAAATGGCGGAGTGACGACTCTAATGCACGTGATGACAACGGAACTCTTGCCCGAAACGGTAAGGCCTCGTTGAACGGTATGGCAACATTCCTCTGGTGTATATAGAGGTCACCTGGGACGATTGATGAATATTCTCGTACTGCTGACTTCTTCAGTCTTATATCTCGGAGCATCGACTCACCGACTGAACATCTTACATCATGTCAAGCAAAAAGTACAACAAGACCTTGATCATCGGGGCAACATCTGGTATTGGAGTGGCCTTCGCTGCGAAGCTCGTATCTGTCGGTACCAAAGTTGTCATCACAGGCCGCCGAGTCGACCGCCTTGATGCCTTTGTCGCTCAACATGGCGAAGAGAACGCTAGCGCCATCCCTCTTGACGTTACTCAGCTCGATAAGATCCCCTCTTTCGCGAGCAAAATCGCGCAGCAACACCCTGACATTGACAGCATCGTCTTCAATTCTGGTATTCAACGCTCGTACAACTTCGCTAAACCGGAGACCGTCGATCTTGCCCACGTCAACGAGGAGGTCACCACAAACTATACCTCCTACATCCACCTCACCGTAGCTCTGCTTCCTCTCCTCCAGAAGCAGCCCTTGCAAACAAACATGGTCTATATCAGCGCTACGCTCGGTCTCTGCCCGGGCTTGATCCATACCGCAAACTACAATGCCACAAAGGGCGCTCTTCACAATTTCCTGCTTTGCCTGCGTGAGCAGCTTCAGCAAGACCAGAATAACAACGTCAAAGTGGTCGAGGTTTTCCCACCAGCGGTGCAGACCGAATTGCACGACGAACGGTTTCAACCTAACCTCAAGAACGGACGCGACATCGGCATGCCCCTCGGCGCCTACACGGCGGCGATGTACGCAGGGCTGGAGAAAGGAGATGATGAAGTCTATATCGGGCCAGGAGCCGAAGCGGCACAGAATGGGTTCGAAGCACAAAGACAGCAAGCATTCCGGGCGATGTTGCCGCAAGTTGAGGAGATGTTGAAGAAATTCCTCAAGTGAATGAGGTTGGCGGGCGAGATGACATTTCTACGTACGACGCGAAACCACCCCCGTACGGCATGAATGATCTTCTCTTTAGCACATAGCACATGGTCCAGAGTGTCGGATGATCCTGCCTGTACCAGTCTCATGTGTCGCGTTGTCTCATTATGTGGATCATTTCCTGCAGGTCGAACATAGAGTTCTTCCCTTGCCCAATCATTGTCTGCGTTTCATTGGAGGTTGTACAGAGAGAGTAACAGTGAACCAGATGCCGAACCACAACGAGGGACGATGCTTAGTGCCCCCAGAACGCTAAAGGCATCAATACGAATCCTGAATTGTTACTGGACGACTTGATCATTTGCATTCCACATGTGTACTAGTACCAGCATCTCCTGGACTCGGTCTTCGGGAATACCGTCGTATATACCCTTAATTCCTGGCCCTGGGACGGGCATCAAACACCTATATATTTGGTTTTTGCAAATCCCAAAAACAGTATGCAGCAAAGCAGTGGATTACAAGTCTGTTTCAAATCAGAAAAATCTACACTCAAGCCATCATCATGCCATCGGATCCCCCATCCCATCACAAGGCTCTGGTCATCGAGGCTGTGGGCGCCGATCTCCAGGTCCAAACACTGCCAACACCACAGGCCGACACTGGAAGCGTTGTCGTCCGCGTGATCGCCGCTGGTGTGCTGTCCTACCAGCGCGAGATCTACGGTGGACAACGTACCTACGCGTTTCCCATGCCATTAGTCGGCGGCTTCAGCGCCATCGCCCGCGTGGCCGCTGTCGGACCCGATGCGACGCTGCTGAAGCCAGGCCAACTCGTCTTCGTCGACTGTGTCATACGTGCACGCGATGATCCAAGTGCTCGTTACCTGACTGCGATACACGAGGGTGGCTCCGAGGGTAGCAAGAAGCTGATGAAAGACGTGTGGAGGAACGGCACATTCGCTGAATATGCCAAGGCCCCTCTCGACAACTGCATTCCGCTTGACGAAGCGAGGCTGTGTCACGAACTGGGCTACACGCCCCAAGACCTGATGTACTTGTGCTATCTCCTCGTGCCGTTCGGCGGCCTCCGAGACATCAAGGTCGAGCCGGGCGAGACGGTCGTGGTGTGTCCGGCAACAGGTGGTTTCGGCGGCGCCGGGGTGCAGGTCGCAGTTGCTATGGGTGCGAGAGTGATCGCGATGGGTCGCAATGAGAAGGAGTTGGCAAGACTCAAGGAGCATGTCAAGAAAGGGACACCCTGGGCAAGCGTGGAGACCGTCAAGATTACCGGAGACGAAACCAGAGATACCGCTGCCTTGCAAGCTTTCGGTACCATTGACGCCGTGTTGGATCTCTCGCCTCCGGCTGCAATGAATTCGACGCACTTGAAGAGCGCGATTCTGGCGTTGCGTCAGGGCGGACGGTGCAGCCTAATGGGCTTGGCCAGTGACTTTGTGCCTGTCTGGAAAGTCATTTCCGATGACATTGTCATGAAAGGCAAGTTGATGTACTCGCGGGACGATATGCTGCTGTTTGTCAAGATGTTGGAAAGAGGTCTGTTTCCGAAGGGGGAGAGCTTCGTGGATGCAAAGACTTTTGCGCTAGAGGATTGGAAGGAGGCTTTCGACGAAGCGGCCGAGTACATTGGCATTGGTAAGCACGTCATGATCACACCATGAGTTCGGAAGTGTTGAGGAGCTGGACCTGTAGCGCGACGGAACAAAAATAACATTCTCCTCTCAGTGCTTGCAGCTATAGCTCCTCAAGTCGTTATGAAGTGTGCGTCAGCTTGGTCTTTTCTCCCATCTCAAAACTGGTACTTAGATTGCGCCGTGTCTTTGAAATAGTGCGCTTCCATGTCGGCCAGTAGACCAGGTTCTTTTGGATGCCACCCCAATTCCTTCTGTGTCTTTTCACTTGATAACGGCTTGTCCATGGACGTCACATGGGCAAAGAACCCGAGCTTAGGAAGTCCTTCCTGCATTGGTTTGCTTTCAACAGGAAGGTTTAGAACCTTGCCAATCAGACCTTGAATGTCCTTCTGGGCGATACCTTGCTCAGCAGAGGCGTGATAGATGCCGCCTGCCTTACCCTTTTCCAGCGCAAGTCGATACAATGCTGCAGCGTCGTATCGATGAACAGCAGGCCATTTCGCGGAGCCGTCCCCAACGTAGATTGCTGCTCCGTTCTTGCGGGCGGCGGCGATTAGTCCAGGAATGAATCCTTTATCGCCATCACCATGGACTGTGGGTGTCAGGCGTACGATCATGCCCTTGACATCCTTCTCCTTGGACAATGACAGGATCAAGTCCTCTGACTTCCATCTGTCAGACCACGGCACGCTCCGGTCAATGTCGGTATCCTCGTCGGCCACGTCGCCGCCTAAGTCAGCGACAATAAGACTGCCGGATGTTATGATGACTGGCTTTCCCGTGCCGGCGACGACTTCCGCTAGAGCTGAGATCGCTGCGCGGTCAACGGCCGTGGCATGGGCCATGTTTGTGAAATCGTGAATGAAGGCTAAGTGTAGGGTGCCATCTGTGTCCTGGGCGCCCTTCTTCAGGCTCTCGAGGTCTTCTAGGTCTCCGCGAAGGACCTCTCCGCCAGCCTTGGTGATGGCTTCGGCTGTTGCATCACTACGGGCAAGTCCAAGGACTTGGTGACCATGCTGGATGAGTTCTTTGGTGACTGCACTGCCCACCCAACCGGCTGCTCCTGTAACGAAGACGCGCATGATGTTGAATACAGAATGATAAAAGTGATTGCTGCTCAAGAGGCTGATCGTGTTTTTTTGAAGTTGATAGAGAGACTGAAGATTTGCGAGGGATTCGGCCTTCCTTTATTGTCCTGACTTGTCGGTTTGTGAGCCGGAGTTAAGCATCAGGGCATCGCATGTCAAGGAGCACCACCCGCACGAAAGACGGACGACCTGCGAGTGATGTTGAGGCTGGCATGATGCGAGCAAAGCTGCGTAAAGGAGCGTTAGGATCATGGCTCCGCGATGATTGGAACAATGCCCTCTCTTTGAATTCAAGCCTTGCCAGAAATGGCACACAGTACGACCTGGGGTTAGCGTGACCCGCACTTGGCCGGCTCAGAATGAACCGAATCCGACTGCACGTGATGACGAAATATGGGCATAAAGTCAGCGCAGTGAAGGAGATAACATTTCTTCTCCGACCATACCTCGGACCGGATACCTCAAAGAGATAGTAGTCGAGGCCTTGGCGGAGGCATGCGCAGGAATGCATCAGGTTCTAGATGAGGGGAGTCTGCATGATCCAAACTGGGACGTTGGTGGGAGTTAACTTGCAGAGTCAATCTCCTACAGAGTATCATCACCCTGTGGACTTAGCAATTGGAATCGTCTTGCACGCAGCATTTCCACACCTCCTGAACTTCTCCAGTCCCAGTATCAGTGCTATGCACTGATAGACCCATAGTGCCTGACAAGTATGGATATGGTAAGGAGATATATATAGGCGAAGAAAAGCCGACGAGTTGAGGTGAAGACGGCATGCGGAGAATGAATTCAATCATCAAGATCTGCGCTTAGGTAAGGCAACTTAGTTAATGCGGAGCTCCTTTTTAGGTACAGATACTCCATACACACCCTGACTGAATCCATCAACAAACCTTTCTCTCGACAATCCTCACTCCCACCAACGACGTCAACAACGGCGGGCTCCGACACATGGATCGAGTTTGTTAGGTAGGTTTTGTGACCTTTCTTTTCCTGGTAAGTCATGTTTACTTCCAACAAGCTCGTAACAGCTCCAACTGATCAAGCGCAGTTTTGTTTACCCTCCATTGCCATGTCGACGACCGCAACTTCCCTCGTGCCCTCGTCCGTGAAAAGCACCGCCAATTCAGCCATTCAAACCACTCGAAATGTCGCCTCCGCTGTGCAGAATACGAATGTCACGTCAGCGTTACAGGATACCCGGACTGTCGTCTCTCGCGAAGTCACCAACACCAGTGGTTATGTAGCGCAAAAGGCGCAAAACCTGGGCTTGACACCGACGAAACCTTCGCCGCAAACCGCCCAGTTTTCCACGCCTCCACCGTCCCCAGGAACATTCAGACATCCCAAGACTACAGAGATCCTTGCTCGGAACGCTGCCACATCGCTTTTGGACGGCAGGATACGAAGCGCATTGACAAACACTGCGGCTCTGATTCTCTCCTTTGTCTTCAGCGATGCGTTCTCAAGCAGGTCTGCCTACACCACCAACTGATCTCCTTCATATCGCTGATTCGGTTCACAGTGTAAAGCCTCTCCTCCACGCCGCCGGCGTCACAGATGCCTCCGAAATCTCATCCACCCTCCTCTTGATCATCCGCCTCATAATCTGCACTAACATCATTCTCCTTCTACGCCCCGTCATCCCTTACATCTCCAAGAAAGACGAAATAGCAGACATACCTTTGACACCCTCACAACGCTCGCTGCTTGGTCTGGACCCGTCGGCGCAACCCACACCCAGCCCAGCAGGCTCATCCCTCACATACATCACACCTCCGCGCTACCGACGATCCTCAGGCTCTCCCTCAGGGGGTTCAAGCTTCACGACGCAGAACGGCTCGCGTGGTATGACTAACACGGAGCGCCGCAGTAACTCGGCCAACTACTCGACCTCTCCGCTATCCACATCGCGATACTCACGAGGTTTCTCGCCCACACCCTCGCAGTCCGTCCGCCGCGTGGAGCCAAGCTCAGCATTCTCGCCATCCCCGACAGCCAGTCCTTTATTCCACAAAGCATTGAATCAATCGTCCCAACAGTCAGACATGGACTTCGGCGCCAGTACTCGTTCCTTCTTAGGCGGCAGCATTGGTGCGGGGCTCGGCCGCTCACAGAGCCTACGCGAACGGCCAGGACGTGAGAGTCTCGAGTCAGCATCCCCCACGCCGGGGGCCAAGAGTCCTCAGGTCGTGCCGGGGCTGAATTACAAATGGTTGTACGACAAGGGAAGAAGTCTGCCTACGGGCGAGTCACGTGGATTTTGAATATTGATACGTCCTGGCAAATGGCTATGAGCACAGGCAAGCACTACGTCGGGCTTGTGGCAGTAGTTTGGATTCGTCTTAGCGAAGGAGTTTACTTGTACGTGCATCAGATTTCACTGCACGTGTGGAAATAAGAAAAGTCCTGCAAACAAAGGTCCATCTTTGTTCAATAGACCACAGGGGAGGTCCATGAACATGACATTCGTTTTCCGGTGTCCTTGCTCATTGCCTCTTATGCTGGCGACCCTTAGAGCGAGCTGCTGGCATTGCACCGTCGACGAGACTCTAAAAGAGCGGCGAATTGAGTACCTAGAATGCGTGCATGTATAGAAGCCAAGAGGAATGTATGAGTAACCTAATGGAATACTTGAGAAGCCTAGCACCAATTACGAGTTCTCTGGGATCGGAACGCCACGCTCGCTCCTCGAGTCAGGCAGCGCTGAGCACTGTCTCGGCTCGTCTTTCGTCGTAGCTTGCTTCTGGCCATAAAATCATTGACTGCCGGCACCCTATATCTATGCGACGAAACGCTTGCTCCAAGTAATAGTACACACCACTTCGAACCTCACCGAAACACCACGGCGACAGACATGAGTCAAGTACGAAGAATTGACGCGGCAATGCCCATCAGATTTCCCTCGTCCTCGGCCTCTGTTGTCCATTACCGCCATCAGCTTGTCCCGTATAACTCGCAGAGCGACCGACGGCTCCAACGCGACCGACCAGCCCGCCCAAGTTCAACCCCTGCACACCCTGCACGAGCCTTGATCCGACAGCGTCAACCGCACCCCTCGGTTGCGAAAGACTCGGTCCTTCACGTCTGCCCTCCGTGGCAACCTGGAAGAGCTTCACATTCGTCCCGTTCCAGACACCCACAGGCGCAGCCGCGGCACCAGCACCAGTCAATGTGGCCGCTGTCGACGAAGCAGGTGTGATGGTCATTTCCGCCGTGAATATCAAACTCCACAGTACAGACAAGTACCAGCCCAGCGAGAGCGGCGACCACTCGAAGAGGTGCACGCGGATAGGACTTGGCGACGCCAGAATGGCAGAAACGGCAGGATGGTTGGCTGTTGTTGGGATCTGGGCTCGGAAATCAGTAATTGTGGTCTCGTCATTCGCGATCGAGCTACGACGAGAGGATGGATTGGAACCATCGCTGTGGGTACTTGAGCGTTCAACAACAAGTGGATGTGTTGCAAGAACTTTGATGACGGTTAATAAGGTGTGCAGTGGAAGTTCTGGGAGCCAGCTTTCGAGCCACTCGCTGGTAGCGGCGAAAGAGCCACGAGATGCAGCGTAGTTCGAGCTGGCCGAGAGACTTGTGGTGCTGTTCTGTCGGGAGAAAGTCGAAGATCCGGCAGGCATTTTACCCCGTGCCTTTTCCGACATACCCGTCAACTGTATAGGAACGTCATCTGCAACAGACGACGATGCAACTGATGGTGTTCGTGACGTCCGCATCGATTGTGTGGATTGGGAAGGTGTTGGGGCTTCCTCATTTTCTGAATCATCCGAGTCTCCAATAGCAAAGGTGCCATCTACCGCGCTGTCAGGACCGGGAGAGGCTGGGAGACCGCGAGCCGAGGGAGAAAATGTTTCTGATGTAGATGACCGGGAGAGGTCGTGGCCCACTTCATTTGAGCCCTCTTCTTTCCGTCGCTGGGCTGCACGTTCGAGATCGGCTTGACCGCCTTCCAGTGTGAAAGCCCTCAGAGTTTCAATCCGTTTGCGCGAACGCCACACGGCATAGATCAAGTTCGAATTGGACGTATATTGATGTTCGATCGTGGTGTTGATGGCCTCCAGCAGTGCCTGGAGTAGAGTATGATTGCTCTCGTTCGCTAGGAGAAAGCTTGGTGTTGACATCAAGGTGAGCAATTGTATCAGTCGACCACTAGCTGCAAGTGACAGATTCTGCACATAGGCAGCCATATTGTTTATGATGGCGAGGAGCGCTGGGTAGATAGCCTCCAGCTTTCCTTTGCTGCCGGTGATAAGGGTGTGTATTGATATGATGAGAAAGTCGGCATAAGAGCCTCTGAAGCTGGATAATCGAATGGCCGGAGGCAGTGTTTCTTGTCCCTCGAATTTCTTGTTGAGGTTGGTCCCGAAGGGAGATTCCACACTCATAGTCTGCAGAACAAAGACGCACATTCTCACGATTCCTTGCTTTGAGGCGTCCACTTTGTACTCAATGGCGTAAAAGAGCATGAGAACGACAAAGTCATGTGCTCGATTCGACTCTATGATGAATGCTCTGAAGCGCTTGTTGCATTGGAGCACTTCCCAGAACAGCATTATCATCTCAGGGGCCCAGGTGACTGACTTCTGGCTTCCTGGCAAATACGAGCTTGTCGCCTGCATAGGCTGGCTCAATACTCGCGTCATACCGTCCGCCAGAAACTGAAAGTCTTCAGGTCTGTGAAGGCGGCCCAAGTAATGGCGATAGTAGTTCTTTGACGTTGCAACATTCCCACCCTCCGGAACTGGATAGAGTAGTAGGACAAGGAGAAGCTGTAGGCTGTATATAACCAGGGTCTGTCTCGAGTCTCTGCGGACTACGTGATCATATGGCAGTCGCCAGGAGTTGGTGTTTGACTTGATTGTGGTGTTGACAAGAGAACAAAGGACTGACAAGACGATTTGTTTGTCAGGGCAGGTAGCCATGTATGTGATGGCTTTGACGCCCTGGACCGGAAGCACACCTGACGGCATGTACATGGCCTTGCTGGTAAGAGTCAAAAGCAGTCGCAGGATCTCACACCGGTTGTTCTCGAGTTCTTTGCTGGTCGCAATGGACGCTTTGCAACCGACCCCGCTCTGCCAAATCGCATATGTGACCTTGCCCTTGGCCTGAGGTAGTTCTGGTATCGTGAACCCTGCGTAGAAGAGGAGATCGATCAAAGTGTCGATGAGTTCTTCAGCCAGCGGCTTTGCCTCTTCGAAATCCTCCCCTTGAGGTTCTGTCGTTGTGTCCTGATACTCTTCATTGTCATCGAACAAAATCTCCCCAGAAACCTGAGCCCTTCGTGTCCGCCGTCGACGCATACCCCAGAAGAACTTCTCTTCCCATTCTGTCAAGTTGTCCGCCTCGTAGACAAAGGGCAGCAGTCTGGTCAGGACCCGTGCGCAATTCAGCGCGTCCCGCTCCGGAGCGATGTCTGGATCTGGGAACGAAGGGTGGTTCTTCAGCACATTGAGACGTGACGTTACGGCTAGTATGAGGGTTTCGAGGTTCTCGAGGGCAGAGTCTCGGGTTCTGCGTATGTCGGTTTGGGAGAAGAGACTGAACACATCTTCGACCGACTCGGGTAACTCCCAGAACTGAAGCCATAAGCATACTGATCAGTAATTGCAGAGAAGGTAGACTTACGCCCGTCCAGTAGGGGTCGTTGGCTGGAACGTTCCTCTCCTCTGATAGTCTGAAGATTCCCTGCTTGAACACCAATTTGGATTCTGACGCACCCATTGCGCAGGCACCAGCATGGCAAGTAAACGATGGCGAGGAGCAAGCAGCTACGGGACCGACAGGAAGTATCAAGGAGGGTTATCGACGACGTCAGTTCGTCCTACACATGGGAGGATCGGGAAATGTATGGTCACTTCACTGTTTGGACCCTTCCTCGTCTGCCAAGCGGGTTTCCCCAGCCTCGTGATGACATAACAGGGCCCTACTGTAAATAACGTAGGCTTCAGCTGAAACAGTTCGGGTATCTTCACTCGGAGAATTTCTCTAGATCCACAGCGGGCAATGGTTGCTCACAGAATAAACAATAATGCAATACAAGAGGCGCCGGCCAGCTGCTGCCCGACCCGTCTTACGAACGAAATCATGACTTCAAGAGCCCAGTGTCATTTACATATCTTTCGCTACCTAGCTAAATGTATCTATCACGATTCACGACAACCAAATGCTTCATACCTTCAGCTCAGCATCGTCGGCAGACTCCTCGACCGAACTATCACTCCTGATCTTCTGCCGGGCCATCTTCTTCGTCCTCCTATATGACGCCAATGCTGGGAAGAAGATGCCCGGGTGGATGAATGTCTGAAGTACGGTGGCAAGTCCGATCATGCTGCAAGAATTGTCAGTTTTATAACTCGCAGTACCATGTCCAGAGCCACACTCACCAACTCTCAGCACCAATAAAGAGTGATTGATTCTGCATGATAGGATTCCGCCATCCGCCTGAACGCAATTCGTTAGTTGATGGATCATCTGGCGTTCCTTCAGAGATCTCTACTCACCTGCCATTTCGGCGATTCGGTACACACATCGAATAAAGATTGCGAAAAACGCAATGATAGCGGCCGCTACAAAGACCCGGAATTTGGTGCCGCGCAAGAGCGCCTCTGCAGATGATGACAAGGGTTCCGACGATTTGAAACGTCGTACCGTATAATCGATCGTTGCAACTGCGAAGAGCAGCAGCGTCAAGACTTGCCAGGAGATACCCGTGATCATGAGGTGGTCGCCAACGTCGCGGAAACTTTCGTTATTCCCTGCGGTGGCAGCAATTGCGCCGCCTGCGGCTTGAAGAATGAGTGCTGAAATGTCTGCTGAGATGAATGCCCAAGTGTAGTACTTTGGCCGTATTCTCGACCAGTCTCTTCCAAACTGCAAGACGAGGTGCTTCAAGATGAGGTACAGTGCAGCAGAGTTGAGAGCAGGCGAAAACGTGAGGCAGCAGATTTGCATTTCGAAACCAAGGGACTGAAATGGATTGTTGTGCATCATGCACCGGCCGATGTAACCGATGCAGGCTGCTGAGCAGGCCAAGCCCATGGCGAGTGTATAAGTCCAGGTGCGGTAACGGCAGCCCAGCACCATGTTGACAACAAAGCAGATCCCGAACAGAGCGGCAAAGAAGGCATTGCATGAAAGAATGTTGTAGTATCCATAGATGGAAGCTTGATATGGGCAATCTTCAGAGACATAATTGCAATTGAGAGGATTGACGTGGGATGGATTGACGGCCATATTGGATTGATCGCTGAAGTGGTGACTTAGTATCGGTGACTCAAGAGTTTGGGTGAATTGATGTTTGAGATGTTGATGAGCGAAGACAAGGTCGTAGATATGGCAAGAGACTCGTTGCGAGAATATAATTGTATCACCTAAACTCGCGACTTACTTCGCGGTAGGGTATGGGCAACATATAGCATTGTGTTGGAGGTATAAAACCGTTGCACGGTTGGAAAGCAGGGTGCGGCCTCGCGCAAAGCGACGATTTGGGTATGGTGGCAGCTTTGTTTGATATGCCAGGAGGCTTAAGAAAAGTCATGACGACGGAACCTGGGGGCGGACCCGCACTCTTGTTGGTTACTGAAAGCGATGGCCGCCTGGGGGTTCGATGGGCAAAGAACCTCCTGCAACAGATGGACAAAGGCTGTTGACCAGACTGCTATCCTCTTCGTCCAAATATACGCTTTTGTTGGTTGATGAAGCCATCATAGAGAAAAGAATGCCAGGGGAGCCTAAGGTGAAGTGGTTGAGTTGGACTTTTTACGAATACGCCGTTCTGCATCCAGAGCACTCCGCGAGGCTCTCTATGAGTTACGGCCGATACTCTCGTAATTGTCTCGCAATTGTCCGTGTCACTGTCCTTGCACATGCGCCGAGTCAATTGGCAGTGTCTCGGCACAACGTCCTCAGTTACCACTTGACTTTGATCCCCATGGCGGCCTTCGAGGAAGTATGTCTACATGGTCAATTAATGACGACCCAAATACGAGCATGTCGCAACTCATACGGACGCAAGCCTCTTCCAGGCCCCAAGGCAGCTCGGTGATGAAGGCAAAGCAAAACATAAGGTGCCCAAGGCATTAAGGAACATCGATCGGCCTCTATATACGGTCACTACTCCCCGAGACCTCTTCATGTCGGCTGTCAGCAGGAAGGACATGGTTCTGGATGATGTGAGCAGTATGATCGAGTTGTGGACGGAGCCATCCACGTGGCCATCCTTCAAACGCTGGGGAATGTCTACTGTCTACTACCCGTAGATTAGCCTGTACCTCGGTCCCCGGCTTGCCCGGTCCCCAGAAGCGTTACTCCCCACGATTCTCAAATGTTTGGGACTGTAACCACCTCGGGTCATGCTTTGTTCTGGCAACCGCATGATCTGACTGCCTCTCTCTATATGTCTTTGTGAACCTGACATTCTATAAACCCTCTCTGTTGCTATCCCTTCGTCTTACGCTATCACCACCTGCTCCATCTCCGACCCCTGTTTCCTGAAAGATTGCCTGCCTGCGCCACATTGCCGAACATGGTATTCAACACTGAACTCACACGCCAACTCGGCATCAAAGGTAAGGTTCTTCCAACGTTGTCGCAATCGTTCGACTAACCCTCTTAGTGCCGGTCATCCAAGGTGGAATGCAATGGGTGGGATACGCTGAACTCGCGTCAGCCGTATCCAATGCTGGCGGTCTGGGTATCGTAAGTAATCTAGTCTCGCCGCAACAACGCCCGACTGACACCTTCCCAGCTCACAGCTCTCACACAACCGACTCCCGAAGATCTGCGCAAGGAGATCCGAAAATGCAGAACCATGACCAAGAACCCCTTCGGAGTCAACATCACCCTCCTCCCTACAATGAACGCTCCTCCCTATGGCGAGTATGCGCAAGTCTGCATAGACGAAGGAATCAAAGTGGTAGAAACAGCAGGCAACTCTCCCGGCCCTGTCATCAAGTTGCTCAAAAGCGCCGGGATCATCATCCTACACAAGTGTACCACAATCAGACACGCCCAGTCAGCAGTCAAGCTAGGCGTCGACTTTTTGTCCATTGACGGATTCGAATGCGCCGGCCACGTCGGCGAGTCAGATATCACAAATTTCATCCTCCTGTCGAGGGCCAGACAATCGCTGAAGGTCCCATTCATCGCTTCCGGTGGTTTCGCCGATGGCCAGGGCATGGCTGCTGCGTTGGCTTTGGGAGCAGAAGGCATCAACATGGGCACACGCTTCATGTGCACGGCCGAAGCACCGATCCACCAAAACATCAAGAAGACCATCGTCGATGCCTCGGAACATGACACGGAACTTGTCCTGAGACGTTGGAAGAACACTTCGAGGTTGTACAAGAACAAGGTCGTAGAAGAAGCCGTCAAGATCGAAAAGAGCAGTCAAAGCGGCAAATTCGAGGAAGTAGCTCCATACGTGTCGGGCAAGCGTGGTCGTGAAGTCTTCATTAACGGGGACAAGGACTTTGGCGTGTGGACGGCCGGTCAAGTCATCGGTCTGATCTATGACATCCCCACATGTGAACAGCTGATGAGGAGGATTGAGAACGAGGCCATCGAGGCCATTGAGCGGAGTCGCAAGTATTATCAACCTCAAAGTAAGCTGTAGACAGTGGAGTGGGAATGGCGTTGGAGGAGATATCCAGAGATTTAGACCTGATCAAATACAATCTGAGATCTGAAGGAAAATGATTGAAGTTTATTGCGATGACAATTTCCCAGGTATCTGTAAGCAAGCTCGTTGTTTGTCTTTGCATTCAGTTACCTACGTTGTGACTTGTCCTCCATCCATGCCCTCGGCGCAACCTCCCTCGTCTACATCTCCATCTTCACCTCGGCATAGACATCCCTCTTCCCATGCACGACTGGCTCCGAGTTTGTCGCGTGACTCGTAGTGCATTGCCTATTCATAGCTCCAGCGATCCTCAACGCCGTGACCACCTCCAACGCCAGCGCCAACCACATGAACCCCGTCGCAGTCCATGTCGCCGAATAGAACCCGCTTCCCAAATGTGCCTTGACACTTATTAATACCGTCACACTTGACCTCAGATCCACACTTTTCGAGAACAGTCCAGATTGAATCTGTCTCGCGCGCGCAGTGATCTTGGCCGCGGATATCGTCAGCGTGATAACAGCGGGTATACTCGACAAGAAGGCGACACGCAGCATCGTTATCAGACGCTCTTCCCTCATGTTCGTGGCCACGAGCGCGAGAATGGTGTCTAGATACAATACCTGTGACAAGCCCGTGAAAATGATCCCGACTATAAGCAGGGCGACCGGGGCTTTTAGATCGACTGTGCTGTACGACGCGAGTGCGTTGAGAACTGTTGTATTTGTCGATTTTGCAAGGTCTTCAGACTCGGACAACACACGCGCAAGGGAGAATGTGTATCCGAGAGCTTGGGTGGCACAGGACCGTGGAGAACCTGCGCTCATGTTCCGTCCAGACTTGAAGACGTGGTCGTTCCACATGCCGTAGCAGATGGAGGTGTAGTGCGCTTCGTACCAGTCGTAGATCGCTGGTGTGGTGGCGTTACCAGATCCTGACCCTGGAAGTGAAAGTGCGCGGCTGAGCGAAGAGGTATCGAACTACTCCGCACAGAGAACGTGAGTGTTTACGTCGATGATCGGTGTGTCTAGGGGAAGGGATACGTACAAGCAAGAAGCCCCAATTCCATAGTGCGTTCGTCAAGACTAGCAGCGACTGGACCAGGGCCATGATCTCCAGGATCTCGATCCATGCTAGCAGTGGTAGCTGTGCTACCAGTCGCTTGGAGCGTGTTGTGCGCATCTTGGACGTCCAGTGCAGAAGGCGATAGGTTGACCTTGGATGTATGTCCGGCGCTGATGAGGTCGGAACAGCAGATGGCGTAGTGAGACGGCGTTCTGCCTCGGAGATCGTTCAGTATCATACGTGTGGGACTGTACGTAGAGCACAGCGTAGGGGTTGCAAGCAAGGCTAAGAGACGACGAGGGTTGATCAAGATGTTTGGTCCCAGATATATCCTCCTACAGGGGATGTGAAAAGGGCATAGTCCCAGGTATGAGCGTTTCCGTATTCCTATGACATGCTCAGCGGGGTGATGGTTGTCGCCCGGGTTCGAGTCTGCCTCACATTATCTCATAACGATTTCTCGTATTGATATCCGACCGCGAGACAGACTGCCATGGTGGACGCGGGGTCATGAGAGCAGATGCCATTTTGCCCTGGCTGTCGCGATCCAATCCTGGCATACTTATCGCACAACATCAGCACTGACCGGCAAAACAAATCGCTCACATTGAACTATAGCACTCCACGTTAAAGTGGGTCATTACGCACTACGATGGTATCGAGCTGTAGCAAGAGATATACCTAGGTAGGTATGAAGAGGCTCTGCTGGAACCACTCAGTTTTACCATAGCCAGAACACTTCGGCAGTGTATCTAGAGCACAGCGTAGGGAATCTGGTCAAGTAGGGGAAGCCGAGCACAGTCAGGGTGCTGATACCCCTCGCCTCTGCCTAATTATGTGATATGAGTAAAGTCGAAGTTTGTGCGTATTCGTAGGCCCATGACATGCTCAGTAAGGATGTTGGTTGTTGCCCGAGGTCAGTACTTGCGGCTAGGCTAGGCTATCATAGACTGAATCTTTCGGAATATTGTCGAGTACGAGTGTGTTAGAGCAAAGCTAATAAACATCATGACATCGAGGAGAACCCCAAAAGAATCATAAAGCCACAACATTACCATGCTGCTGGACCTTCCACTTATTTGAAATTCTCGTGCGCATACCTTAAATCAAAACGCGTCACCCTTCGAGATACGGGTTGGCAGATTTCTGTTGCTGGCGACAATCCGTCCATCAACCATACCTAGTCTGATGCCGCTACTTCTACCTTTTGCCGCAGCGACAGCCTCATCGATAATGGCATCCGTTGCGAGGGCGTCCATTGGATTCATCACATCCCAAGAAGGCGTGTAATCCAGTGGCATGAAAATCGCTGTGACAAGCGCCAGCAGCGGCAATGCTGCAAAAATCAGCCACGCATAGAGTCGGCTTCGTTTCCCAAGTCCCACAGTGTTGGACATGAGACCTCCATTGACTCTCGTGGTGTTTGGAGAGTTGGGAGTGTCGAAAGCGCTGTCCGCATAGATGTTCGACAGCATTAGAGCAAGAAAAGAGCCCATACCATCCTCCAACATAGACGTCGAGTCGTTGAACATTGGTATGTTGATGTCAAAATAACTTTGGCTGAAGCTATACATCAGGGTATTCGACCCATCGACGGATGCAAATTGGTACATCCCGCCCGCCATGTCGTTGATCAAAGCTCTGACGCCCTCTGTGGTCGGGAGGTCGTAAGTCGGCTCGCAAGTAGTGTCATTTGCAATGTCCACATAAGTGACATATTCGGTTATTTCTGCTGTGATGTACCTTCCCACATGGACTTCGCTGAGTTCTCTGCTCGTACAGACAAAGGCAGTACTGATATAGGGTTCAGCCGTGATGACACTGTCAAACACACCCACCCCTGCCATTTCAGCGATAGACCCCACGGTTTGGGTCATCATTCCTTGTGGAGGCACGATGCTGCTGTTTTCGAGGGAAAAGACCTGGCCAGTGTAAGGGCTTTTGACTTCCAGGCCAGAATCATTCACCGTGTAGTTGAGAAAGGAGCATCTGATGGGCACTTCATCCAGGACCCATACGCAAGCTGTTTTGTTGGCGTGCTGAAAGCCTCTACGAGACACGTTGTATTTGGTATACTCAGCAAGGTTGTTGTTGACCAAATACCACGGGTAGCCCAAAGATCGGTTCGAACTGATATGGCCCATGACGTTCAATTCAGGCCCGTTGGAATTCCGCGCGTACCCACTGATGGCGACTGAGTAGGATTGTAGGAGGAGGGCTGCTAACGCAGACCCTGTGCAAAATACGTTCGGTGAGATCGAATTACCTTGCATGCAACTTATCTCGTTGAGTTGGAAGTTAGGAGCAATCTGTAAATGGACGTAGTGTCCTGCGTCAACCACCGCGGCAGGAAGAATACTGATCACCGCAGTCGCAGTCAAGCCGGCAGCGAACAGTGGCCCGAGAGTGTACCAAGGCCCATTGGCGTGAGACATGTACGCCCAGGTCTTCGCGCCCCAGATGAATTTCCCATTGGTGGTCAATGCCTTGATGGAAACGAGATTGAGGCATTTAGTGACGGCCATCCTCGTGGCCATGCCCGTAATGGCACCATACACAGCAATTACTGCGTTAACCGCAGCAGTTCGGCTGTTGTCTGGGGCGTACGCGGCATACCCCAACGAGATGAATTGCATGTAGCTCTGCGCCGAAGCCAGGGACATAAGGGAGAGGCTGAACACCGAGGAAAGGACAATGTTGAGCTTCAATCCCAAGGTGCTCTGAATGGCCTTGACCCGCTTCGTATCGTATGTATCATGGGTGTGCGTCTCCGTGGCGTGGAATTGGGGTATGGGTTTCTGTATAGAATGATTCGACAGACTTATCGACTCCGAGTAGTATTGCGGATAGTGACTATAATCCATCTTTCTGGGGTTCTTCGAGCTCGCAAGCTTCTTTCCTGACCTCAAATCGTGGGAAATCTCGAAGAAAGAACGATTCCCACGGCGGACCGACGTGAAATATAGTCCTTTCCTTTGTTGGGCCAGCGAGTTTTGTACTCCGTTGCGTGCACCTCCTCATGCGCATGGCAAAAGGCAGCCACGGGCGGGATACCCGCTGGAATGATCGAATCATCCATGGTTCTTTAGCGAAACCTGCATGAAGTTGCCTTTAGCGAGGCAACTGACTGCCAGAACGGACCTCTGTATCTAACTTATTAGACGAGGCGAACCTGATCTGGAAGCATCGTTGGCAACATTAGGACAGCAACTGGACGTTTCCAGCCTGACCGTCTCGTATTCACCCTCCAGACCTGCATAAGCGTCCTTGGAATGCGGTTTGGTCTTGGCAGAAACCTGCCTTGGGTTGTCGTGAGGCTGAAGAGGCATCAGGCAGCAGAGACGATTTTCTATTTCTCCCACGTAGCTGCCGTAGTGGAAAACCAACTAGCAGTTGGAAGGAGAGCCCAACCCATTGCTACTTAGCCCTCTCAGTTCTTGTGTTGGGTCATCCAGCACGCGAAGTTTGAACGGCTGCAGAGGGGACGTTTGGTCCGGCGAAGGTCAGCTATGCCGTGCTGCTGAGCGTGACAGGTATCAGCCTATCGATCTTAGCTGGTTGATGCAGCCAACTCTCTTAGGTGGCTTGTATGTCCCGCAACCCCAAGAAATTGCAAGTGACATTGAATCGGCGTATTGAGAGGTTTTTTTTGACGTGAAAGCAGGGGTGTGAGGTGAGGAAATGGGTAGACTCTAAAGTGCCTGGCTGGGTTGAAACTTTGCTTTAGCGAGGAATGGTAATTCTCGCTTCATCCGATGTTCCAGAAACGGTGAAAATTGGGCGCAGAACTTTGGCGAAGCGCATTGGCCTCGGTTACGAAAGTCGTGCATGTTAAAATGCACCAATTTTGGGCCTCATGAACTCCGGATCGACTTCGAGCGTGCCTCGTATCATCATGCACCTAGACCCAGCCGAGGCCACATTGAGCTAACCATTGTCTCAGCCTCAGCATCTCAGACTGTAGTAGTGAATATAAGCGTGGACTCTTAACTGCTTTGCATTTCCGGAGTCAATCTGTATGCCTTGAAACGTATCATATACTTGCACAAGCCTTGTGTTCACCAACGAATCAAGCAGTGTCCATCAATTGTCAACGCCTTGCCAATGCCTTGAACATCCCGCGCTCTGTAGCCGTAAGTCTTGGTAGTTTTGTGAATTGGGTCCTAGAGACCTGGACAATGCGCATGTTGTAAGAACATCTGCAGTATCGTCTGGCTAGACTGAGTCGCCACAGAGAGTTTCGCTGCTATGCTGGATGCATAGGCGGTCCTTTTCTTTCCCGCTATATGCCCCACTGCTTCGACGCCATTTATCAGCCATCCACTGACACAACGGTCATTCCTGCTCATGAATAGGTCTTCGTATCAAGGAGCAGAAGTTGAGCTCCTCCATGCGTTTTCGAACACTCCTCTCAACTTTACCGCCTCAGCCTGATCCCGTATTCTCTGCTCCAAGAACCCTTGCAGATCATCCCAGAATTCACTTGTGTGCAGCACCTTCTCTCCACTCGTCTCGCCTGGTTGCACTGGTTCTGACTCTGGGTGCGTCGTCTCTACATCCTGCAATGTAGTCGATTCAGCTGTCTTCCCTTCCGCCTCGACAGCCGCTTTCTCGGATGGCGGTGCTGCTGCCATCTCTGGCGGGGCCTGAGGTGGCGGATCAGGAGCGCCACCCATGACCATCACCCCAAATTCGACATCGCCAGACGCAATCTTCCCATCCAGCGCATCAGCGACGGTCTTCTTCGACGGTGGGATGGGCTTCTTGTTGTACAGAATCTTGATCTTGTCGGTTTGTACGACCGTCGAGCCGCCTAGATGTGACTGTGTCTGTTCCTTGAGAGCCTGAATCGTGGTGCTGTTGGGATCTACAGAGGGTAGCGTCAATGTCATGTTTGGATTGCGTGCAGACTTCAAGCTCAGGGTAATTGTGGGACTGGCGCTCTGGGAGCCTGGTGCTGGTGCTTGGAGGGGTTTCGTCTTGGGCGGGTCAGGATGCGGTGGATTTGATAGTTTGGGGAGGGTGTACTGGTATCATTGTTAGTCTAGCATGCTCAATGACACTGGTCACAAAGTGATACGTACAGGTATTCGCATCTGGTATGTTTTGGGGTCGAAGACATGATCAGGCTGGTACTTTGTAGGTTTGTTGTCGAGAGACGTCAGGAATTGTTTGGCGAATTGTAAATCGCCCATGGTCGTTAAACGAGCTTGTCGCTCTTCTTCTAGACGCCCAAGAGCGTGTTGAAATGCGAAGGCTGCCACGTTGTGATCGATCGAAGTCGGTTAGGGGTTCTGCTCGGAAATCTATCTCAGTGTGGCACGGCACTCGGTGGTATAGCTGTGCAATATACTTAGTGAAGTCCGCGAGATGTGATATGGAAGAATACCTATTATGGCGGATGGCATTCAATGACGGGTGCAAACATTGGTGGGAGTCGCAGTGGCAGACGGCAGCAGGAAGATCTGCGACTGACATCACTTGAGGTCAAAGCCATGCGGAGATGAGAAACTTGTGGAGAAACATGCAAGGCTGTGAACCGAACGATCAACCGCCCATTGTGAAGCAGATTATTGTCTTTTCACCACGTCCCAAGGAATTCAGAATCATGATAAGTTAGTCTTGTAGAATCAATGCAGCAGATATAGACGCATGGAAGCAATCAAATTGGTATCGCTAAGATTCACGTAGACTCATACCCGGTACTAAACATTACCGGCTTAAAAAGCAGCAACCATATGCTCTCCCGTAGCACCCTCAATTGCCATATCATCCCTGTACCAATTATGATGAACTGTTTTCAAACTTCCCAATCTCTTCAGACTTGTAGATCGGCTGACAGTACTATTCATCCTCGAAACACCACTTCTCAAACTTTTGAACCTGGTAATCTGCGGTCTGTCGGCGCCAGGTACTGACAAGTTCTGACCTGTAGCCTCCGCAGTTCTAGGTCGGGAAATAACATCAATCGTGTCCTGCAGGACCGGAGGATATTCTTCGGCCGGAGTAATGGTAACGGCATGGTTGACTACCGCCTTCAAGCTTGTTTGGCCAGATTCCTCTTCTTGCTCGCGCAGGTCGACCATTTCGAATGCATTTTGCTCGTCCTTGCCGTCAACGAAAGAGAATGGAGTCATCGGACGATCGTCTTGCTCGCCCTCGCCGAGCCTCGAGTAGTTTGCGTCACGGTCGTTGACCGGTCCTTGCATGGCGCTGCTGATCATGTTGATCAGTCTTCCCGCGCTTTGCTCACCGGATTGATTTTCGTTGGTCGCAAGTTGTTGGCTAGGGAGAGGTTGTGGATAAACCTTGTCTTTGTTCTTGTCCTTTCTGCTGAATCTGCGGGACAAAGAACGGATCAAGGAGCTATTGCGGGACGGGGTCCGTTCCGCGATCGGCTTGTTGACCAGAGGAGTATCATCTTCGTTGAACGTGAATGGAGACTTGAGCGAGTTTCTGTACGTGGTGGCGGACGGTGGAATCACGTCGATTTGTGGATATACCGAATTTCGAGGTGGGCCCGTGACTGGCTGAATGGAAAGACCAGCCTGGTAAGCTCTCATAGCCGGATGACTCGCCATCGGCATCGGCTCTCTGGCAGCGTAGAACCGGCCTTGTTCAGGAGAAGACTGCTGGCTGGCGAGAGAGCTTGGTCGTTTGTATCTGCCACATTTGTTGCAACATGATCTTCCTGGAGACGAGCCTGCTGAACTAGACGGTCCTGCGGTGGTGCTTTCCGACGGTCTCGACTGGTGAGACGTTATCTCCTCAGATGGGTTCCTCGTATGAGCAGCGGGAGTCGCAGCAGCAGGTGTAGTAGTTGCTGACCCGCTCGTCTTACGCTTGCCGCATTGACCACAATTGGTATGTCCTTCCCCCAATTTCTTTCCACACTTCCTGCATCCCTGAACACTGGACAATCCCTGAGCACTTGACAAGGCCTGGGCGAGTTCCGCCGGAGGGATATTATCTGACGCCTGTCGCCTATACACGGGGGGTAGAGCCCCGTCGTGCATGTCTTTGGCTACCCTAACCGGCTTTCGGGGCATTGGTGCTACGTTGGTTTCTGGGTACGGCTCTTCGTCTACACGTTGCAAGTCCCCCGATCCTCGCTGTGAAGTTGGCGCAAGGCTTTGTGATTGCGATTGTCGTTGTATGGGTTGCGATTCGGCGATAGGTGACACCGGCGAAAAGGGGGAAGATTGTCCATTGGTTGGACCTGATTGAGGTGAGAATGCATTAGAAAATGGATTGGTCGGCGCAAATTCATTGTTGGAAGCAGTGGTCGGCGCAGTCGTCACTGGGACAGGTTGCTGTGTAGACTGCGGCAGACTCTCATAAGGTACTGCGGACTGAAGAGTGATCGTCGAATTCGGTCTACCTGTATAGGCCGGTGGAGGCTGCTTGTGCAACTTGGTCATTGTGCAATTGGTGGCAGGCAAATTGACCTGCAAACTTGGAAGAGACCGCAACCTGGTGGACGTATCATGCAAAAGACGAGTAAGTGAATGGAAATAGGGAGCAATTGGAAAAAGAGAGGAGGCTGGCGTCGTAAGTTAATTAGTGGAGAGGTTCGAGAGCGTCCGTGTGTAGATTTAACTTATAATATGAAGTAAGTTTTTTACACCAGAGGGAGGAACGCGTCAGGTGCGCAAACGTCAAATACGTTAACAAAGTAAGGGAGTGTGAGGGGAAGAGGAACAATCAAAAGGAATGATGCCGGATATGTCTACTTCCTGAAAAGCTACCTGACGATGTCCTTTGTTAAGTTAGGTCATGCCCAGATTGCTTCCATTTACATTCCTTCCTACGAGGCTACTAAAACCGGATTACTTTGCAGCAGCATACGCCTCGCTTTACGACCTTGAGACGTGGCGGATGCATCACCAAGGCCTCCATGAAGCATACCTAATCAAGCCTGCGAGTCAGAGGTATTTGGGACGAATGGACGGTGAGCGAGGCGATGCTCTATGCCTGAATCAGGAAGCCTAAGGAACCCTCATCTCGCAACGAAGTACTTCTCTTTTGCGGACATTATTCACTGCGGGACAAGTACCTTATCGGCCGACTCATTCTCGTTGGTGACTTGCAGGACCTCTTTCGGTTCGCTAAGTTAATTCAGAGGAGAGCAGCGCCTCGTTTGGGCGTGCCAGAGGGGAAGCCTGTCAACCCCCTTTTTGCAGCTCCGGGCATTGGTTTAATCAATTTTTAGGGGCTTGCGCCTCTGCCAAGGGCCCCAAGAAACCCACTCTCTAGCTTCCGATCCATCTACTTGTTTCACCAAATGACAATGCATCTCCGGCGCCCATGTGGCTGTTCTGCTTCTATCTTAAGCACTGTGGCTCTCCATCCCACAATGCCTCAGATATCCACCGAATACCTATACCAAGCTATGTTGTACCCAAAGTCAACGTACTGTGTAGTGTTTCACTTTCGGTTCATTCCGTGGTCTTATCCTCTCCAGCTACGTTTCATCTATACTGCCCAAGAATTCTGTAGGACTAAAACGCCTTGCAACTTTCTTTGACGGCCCAACACTAGTTTGGATGTGAACCTTGCCGATAACGTCCTATGACATCGTGCCAATCTGGTCGCGGAGTTCGGCTGCGTCTGGTCACGCTTGATTGGGCCTTGATATCTCATGCACGGCACACATTAGGCAGGTCTACGTCAGGATGAAGCCTGCATAGCTGTACATGATGCATTTACGCGGGAAACCCGGCGAGAGAATTGCAATCGCATTGGGTGAATTCCTGTTTTTGCATGACATACGGAGACATTGTGCCACGATAAGAGGCCGATCCATGCAAATGATATCCGGGCATGTAGCTCATGCACTAGGATTTCCCTTCAAGTTCTTGGTGTGCCAGCGATAAGAGCAGCTTGATATTCCTGGTACGCGCCCGTGTGGCTCCATGCATGTACATGGTTACTTGCAAGGAATCAATGTCAAGATGACAAGAGAATTTCGCAAGACCCATGAAGATATGAGCTACTTCGCACGAAAATGTATGAGCAGTGCATCCTATTGTGAGGTTATATCCCTGGGTGTTACAAACACGCAGGAACCCCGGACCTATCAAACCGGTGTCATTGTCAGATTCCTTCCATTCCTTCTCGATTCCTGCCTCGTGATAGCGAAGGAGCATATAAATAACCTGCTGTAAGAATACCGGTTGGTCCATTGTCGAGTTGCATGGCTCCAGATCGCCGGTAAATGTCATTCACGGCTATCGTGCATTGACAGGTGGTTGAGATATTGCCCAATAATGCAGACCACTTCAAAATGTCCGTACTCGGAGACCCAGTCGCTTACCCTGATGCCAGTCCAGCACAAGTGGCCCGATCTGAGTGAAACAACTTGTCCACGTGGATGGACGTACTTACTCAATAGATATCTGGGTTTTCACAGATAACCTGGAATAGTTAATTCCTTCATGCTCAAAAAGCCCTCACCTCCGACGCCATGGATATGTTAGAATGCAACTTGTGTAGCCCCTGCATAGCTTCTGGCTACCCAAGTTAGTGGGTAAATGGACTCTTTGTCTGACAGTGCCGGTTTTGGTTGGACCGGTTGCCTCTTCTTACCGTTTCATTGAATCAAATCCTGTTTTCCTCCGGTGGTGCAGCGGAGCACAGCACATGTGCAATGTTGCAATGGAGCGTGTGCAGCAGTTCCTGGCCCTTATTGCTCAAAACAAGTCTGGTTTCACGCAGATAAATCCTCTTTACATGCGTTGGAACTGGTTTGTGCAACGGCTTGGGCCGTGAAGTGATGAAGCTGGAGGACAAGATTGTCCAAGACCGTGAATTGGAACTCTGCAAGGTCCCGGCAGGAATTGCCTAGCGGGCATCGTGTCGCATGTAGAAAGGACAGCAGCAGCCCGTACAACGTTCGAGCCGGAACGTCCTCTTGGAACAGACATTAGGCAGGTCGAAAATATGGTACTGTCTCCAACGGCAACCGACAGTGTAATGTGCGCAACATGGTGGGTCTGGCCGCAGACTAATGGTAGCTTGCTCCTTTCTGCTCAAAAACTGTAATCGAACCAAACCAGGTCTGTTGTGTGCGAGAGGCACTCGCAATGATGCCGTGCATCGCTTCGTCCCAGGTTTCGGCCGCCTAAGGCAGGGATAGACGCTTTTACCGGTCTTCTGCCTTGCTTTGTAGCCATGGCTACCACTCACCACGTTGGAGACACTGCTTTGGCGGGAATGATGTTTTCGCTCCGGACCATTGGATTGTGCAATCAAAAGACGCGTAGGGAATGTAGCAGGCAGAAAGATGAGAACAGGCAGGGAGAACACATCGCAGGATCTGATACCGATATTTCCAACAAAATCGCGGTTGATCTGCATGGCATGCCAGTCTCGAGGACTTGGCCACAACAGCAACATCGGGTTGCATGCCCAAAGGGGAATGTACACATCTTCGAGGATAATCCATACTCAGGCATAGCACTCTCATGTGGCAAACACGAGGATCCGGACAATTTGAAGGACGCATGCTGACTTTTGAATCAGCAACAAGTGGCCGATGGCTACCGGCGAATCTCCCCAGGTGTGAGGTGGTTTGATATGCTTGCTTGCTTGCAATTAAACGAATTCGCTGCGACTGGTCCGTTATGCTGACACTTGTTCTGTTAAGGCCATGTCCAGGGATCTGGGATCCAAACCTAGTACGATTATATTTCGCTTCTTTCTTGGCCCCAGGCCCGATTGTCGAAAGTAAGGGATCCTAGGACATGCGTTGTCTTTGTCCGTGAGTGGTAGCCTAATAGTGGCGGACAGCAATGGACAGGGTCCGCGCCTCGGGAGCATGGCCTGATAGTATCGGACAAGTGATTTGTTCATGATTTATGATCGAGTCGAGGGCCAGAACGAGCGTATACAACGCCGATTGCGTGAGTCAACTTACGACGCACCCCATCATGTGGATAATCCACAAGGACCTCTTTGAGGCGTCCATCAGGTGAGCAAACCGACTAAACAAGGTGGACTATAGACTGTGGATTGAGCATGCATTGGTCACATTTAATCCCTATTGCCGACTTACATTATCAATCAGATATCTCGCTTGTCCGGACTGATAATGTGCTTCGGCTTGCCTAAGCAGGAGTAAGTTACCTCGTACGGAGTACATATGCTTTCAAGGCTGGAACCAAACATAGTTGTACTATGGTACACCGGTTATCGATTAGGTAGGAGAAAAGATCAAATGTACTTAGCCCGCCACTATCGGTCGGGTAGGGCTTCGGAAGATTGCGATACTCGTGGTTGCTTAAATCGAACTCCACCAGGCCTTGTCGACCCATCGAAACGAGGCTGAGGAACCGGCCGTAAGGGATACCTTTCATTGGCATGCCAATGCCGGACTTTGTCGATGCATCCAGGGTGGTGACTTTACGAGTACGCAAAATGCGTGTCACCACTATCGGAACTGCCAGACTCTGGTTGTCCAGCGGGCAATCCTTACTTTGGGAACTGAGTGTACATGGGAGCATACTCGTGGAGTCATCGAATTGAAGGGGGAAAAAGGGTTTCCACTTGCAACCTGGAATGGAAAGGACTGGGATTGTAGATCGATGGCCAAGGTCACCTAAGCGAGCCCCTATCCCTTATCCCTTATCTCTTATCAATCAGAATCTCGAAATTGCAACCTGCAGCATGACGAAGCTGTGTATTCCATAACGGCGTAGTCGAATCGTGATCAATCCCATCTCAGGATCTTTTGTTGTGGATATACAAGTAAAGTTGTCGTTTCACCCTGACCAGGCAAACAAACCTTCGTCGACACGAACACCTCAAACAAAATATCATTTTTGACTTCAGGTAGGATGCCTGAACGACGCCTTAAGTGGACCGAAGAATCACCGGGCAAGGCGCATTGAAGCCTGCCATGGAATCCATTTTGCTTCGCCGAACACCTGGCGTGACTTTACCGCGGTTTAAAGGGGAGATGTTAGACGACCTGTTCTGTGGCTGTTAGCCTAAAAGGCTTGGAAAGAGACCGCCGGCCACAACAGGTATGGCGTCAGGGCGGCAGGACCAAATATAGGATATCACACCAGGCCCTCCTTGTAGGATGGGAGGAGTAACATCACGCTAAACGGAGGTTAAAATGAACAGACCTCAGGCATGTTTGACCCATTCTGTGACCCTGGCCCAAGCGTTGGAACCCTTCCCCTATCACCCACAGGCCAAGAGAGTATCGTCCACCGCTGATTTGTCCCCAACTCCGCCTTAGCAAATCACCTGGGAAGCTTCAGCAGAAGGATTCTTGTCCATGTGAGGGAGAGTCCGCCAAATGGTGACCAATTCCAAACCTCCTATTTCCACGGTACATTATGGTCGTGGTCAGAGTAAAGATCATTTTGCACGAGCTCCAAATTGTTGTCTGGGTGGACGGAGTTTGGGCGCGGACGTCCTATGCTGATTGCACCCTCTGCTTTTCCGCTTGGAATCTCCGGGAGTCATGTTCATCATTGACAGTTGCTAAAGCCCACAATACTCGAAACTCGAGCGAAATTCGTAAATAAACAATGCAGTCGTGAGGACGTCGAAGGGTAAACAATGAGCATGATGAACGTCATGCGATCATCATTATTGAGGTCCTGGCGGATCCCCAGATTTGTCCTATAAGCCTCTTTCTCCAATCTCTTTACCGCCACATAGGGCCATCTCTCAGCCTCAACCGCCCAGCAGGGATGCAGAATTGGGTTTTTGACGTCTTGTCAACCCGTGCTCGATTTGTCTTTACATTCCCGTATTGTCTTGTATTGAGGCCCCCTCTTGAATCTTGATACCCTGGCGTGCCTCGCTAGGGTCTTGGTGTTGTGCTTCGGTGCAGGACTATTCGATGCTGGACTGGCACAGTGTAGCAATATCGCCCATAGACATTGCAATAATCGAGGATTTGAGTGAAAGGAGGACAGAGTCGCATATGCAGTGCCGTTGATCAGCCTTCAGAATGTGAACCGAAGAAAGAACGTTGGGTAGCAGCAAAGAGTGCCAATGCATGGTTGCGGCAGGAGCAGCCTTTGGTTCCGGTCGCAGCCAAGAAAGTGCTTGCAGCAACCGCATCTCGTGTATGCAAGACAAACTCTCACCCAGCCCTTTGTTTCTATTCAGCACAACATCATTATTCTCAACGTCCGACCCCAAATTGCGGCTGAGCATTGGCCAAGCTCGCCTCAAACGACAAAGAAAAAACGTTGTCTATCTGCGTATGATAGGTTATCCTTAATGGTCGGCCTTGCCAACAACTACGGGTGGGAGGCCTGGAGCAGGCGACCCTGCGCGCAGCGGTATCGTTTGGTAAGATTACCACCCTCTAGCCCTGGTCCACACAAGGAATGTGTCTCATGTTGATCCGGCCCCTGTTCAAGCTGTTGCCAGATTCGGGCGCCGAAAACCACTGACTAGGGTTAGGGAAACAATCGCGCCTCGCCAACGCCCAAGCCAGTGGGGACACTTCAATGACCGCAAGACTCGAGGCCCGCGAGAACAGCCTCTCCAGATTTGGATGCTTGCCATGCTCTTGATTTCCAGCAGCGCGCAGATCTCGTGCATGCCCTTGACGACCCACACCAGGGGGCGCTGTCACTTCACCTACCAGTAAATGGGTCATCGATCTATTTTCAAACCTGCCGCGACAACTGGGCCCCCATCTCCTATATGATATTCTGACTTTCCCTTTTTCCTATTTCTCCCCCTCGTTAAGCAACGCTCGTTGGAAGTTCGTCGACTCATCACCCAGCAACATGGAGGAGGTCTACGTCTTCGGCGACCAAACGGCTGACTGCCGGGCGTTCTTCACCAAGGTCTTTACCCGGAAAGACGATGTTTTACTACAGAGTTTCCTGGAAAGAGCTGGTGACGCCCTCAGAGTCGAAAACAAATACCGATCCCATCCTTCAAAAGCAGTACCTAATTTCTCCACCGTTCAAGAGTTAGTCGATCGTTATTACAGAGGCGAAGCAAAAGATGCCGCCGTTGAGAGCGCTCTCGTTTGTATATCACAGTTCACTCATTTCATTGGGTCAGTCTTTCCATTGACCCCTGAACTCCGCACACGCGCTCCTAACATTCGCTACACAGAACCTTCGAGGAGAGAACACCTTCATATATTCCTCATAATGCAGACGCAAGATTGGTCGGTCTATGTACCGGTTTAATCGCAGCAACAGCAATCGCATCCGCCGATTCACTGACGGCTCTCGTTCCATTGGCCGTCGAAGCCGTCCGAATTGCCTTCAGAGCTGGCGCCCACGTAGGAAGGGTAGCGGAGCAGATTGAGGGTGACTCTAAGTCTCTATCATGGTCGACCATTGTTGCAGCGGACGAGAAATCTGCGCAGGCGGCTCTGGACGCATTCCACAAAGAGAAGGGCACATCACCCACAAGCAAACTATGGATTAGTGCGTCTTCGGCCACTTCTGTCACAATCAGTGGTCCTCCCTCGACCAAAGCAAGCCTCTTTGAAGACTCAGAGTTCTTCCGAACGCACAAGAATGCTCCTGTATCGATATACGCTCCCTACCACGCGTCTCACCTGCATTCTCAATCCGACTTGGACAAGATCCTACGTCCACAGACAAAGGCCATCTTCGGCAACACTACCGTCGGATATCCGGTCTGCTCCAGTGTCACTGGCCAACCAATTCCCGGTGCCAATGGGTACGAGCTCCTCCAAGGTGCTCTGAGAGAAGTTGTTGTTCAGCCTCTCCGATGGGATAAAGTGTTGAAGTATTGTGCCTCCGGCAAACCGTCAGAGGCCAAGGTCTTCGCCGTTGGACCGACCAACCTCTCCAGCAGTGTCGTGTCGGCTCTGAAAGCTGTCACCCCCAACGTGACTCTGGAGGACCAGTCTCACTGGAACACAGTTGCGGCCGCTGGCACTCAAAACTCGAAGCGCGAATCTGACATCGCAATCGTCGGCTACTCTGGCCGTTTCCCAGATGCTGCGGACAATGAGCTCTTCTGGCAATTGCTTGAAAAAGGTTTGGACGTCCATCGACCAATTCCTCCGGATAGGTTTCCCGTGGATACCCACACTGATCCAACATCCAAGAAGAAGAACACCTCGCACACACCTTTCGGCAACTTCATTGAGAGGCCTGGTCTCTTTGACGCCCGTTTCTTCAACATGTCTCCTCGTGAAGCCGCTCAGACCGATCCCATGCAGCGATTAATGCTTGCAACCGGTTATGAGGCCATGGAAATGGCGGGTATTGTTCCTGGCCGAACTCCATCCACCAAGCATGACAGAATTGGTACTTTCTATGGTCAGACCTCCGACGACTGGCGTGAGGTCAATGCCGCACAAGATATCGATACGTACTTCATCTCTGGAGGCGTGCGCGCCTTCGGACCTGGCCGCATCAACTACTTTTTCAAGTTCTCAGGACCTAGTTTCTCAGTTGATACCGCCTGTTCATCCAGTTTCGCTGCCATCAACGTGGCAATCACAGCTCTAAGAGCCAACGAATGCGACACTGCTTTCACTGGTGGCGCCAATGTCCTCACCAACTCCGATATTTTCTCCGGTCTCAGTAGAGGTCATTTCCTTTCACGAACAGGATCTTGCAAAACTTGGGATAACGATGCTGATGGCTACTGCCGAGGTGATGGTGTCTGCACTGTCATTCTGAAGCGTCTGGACGATGCTATGGCAGATCGAGACCCCATTTTGGGAGTCGTTCGCGGTATTGGCACCAACCACTCTGCTGAGGCGGTTTCCATCACCCACCCTTGCGCGGAGAACCAATCTTTCTTGTTCGACAAGGTCCTGAAGGAATGCAACGTCCCCTGCAATGATGTCAACTACGTTGAGATGCACGGAACTGGTACTCAAGCTGGTGATGGCATTGAAATGGAGTCAGTGTCCTCTGTCTTTGCTCCGCGACAAGGTCGCAGACGTCCTGATCAACCTTTATATGTTGGTGCGGTCAAGTCCAACATCGGTCACGGTGAGGCTGTATCTGGTGTCTCTGCCCTCATCAAGGTGCTTTTGATGTTGCAAAAGAGCAAGATTCCACCTCATACTGGTATCAAGAAGCAGATGAACAAGAACTTCGCGCCGGACTTGAAGGAACGAAATGTCAACATCGCTTTCCAAACCACCCCATTCCCCCGGCCTGCCGGAGGCAAGCGTACTGTCTTCATCAACAACTTCAGTGCAGCTGGTGGTAACACTGCGATGCTTTTGCAGGATGGTCCAGAAGTGCCCGTCGAGCCAACTTCAGATCCCCGCTCCACTCAGGTCGTCACTGTATCCGCCAAATCATTGGCCGCATTCAAGAATACCTTGTCCAAGTACGAGGCCTACCTTGCCAGCAACCCAAATGTCGGATTGACTGATCTTGCATACACCGTGACTGCCCGGCGATCGCATTACAACTACAGAGCGGCATTCCCCGTGCAGTCGATGTCCCAACTGCAACAATCTCTCAAGGCTGTCCAGGAGCAAACCCACAACCCCATCCCCCTCGCTTCTCCTCAGATCGCCATGGCGTTCACTGGTCAGGGCTCTCAGTACACCGGAATGGGTCAGAAGCTCTATGAGACTTCGAAGCAATTCCGGAACGACATTGAAGAGTTCAACGAGATTGCTCTTCGACAAGGTTTGCCATCCATCATGCCTCTGATCGATGGATCAGTCGAGGTTCAGCATTTGCCACCTACAATTGTGCAGCTTGGAATGTGCTGCATTCAGATGGCTCTCACCCGTCTCTGGGCTACCTGGGGCGTCACTCCCAGTGTGGTGATTGGTCACTCTTTGGGCGAATACGCCGCTCTGCAAGCCGCAGGCGTACTCTCCATTGCAGACACTATCTACTTGGTAGGTATGCGAGCACAGCTTCTTGAGCAGAAATGCACTGCCGGCACACACGCCATGCTTGCTGTCAGATCTCCTGTTGGTGGTCTACAAGACGTTGTTGCGAACAGCCAGGGCAAGATTGAGATTGCCTGCATCAATGGTGTCTCGGATACCGTCCTGTCCGGGACCATGGGTGACATTGACACTGTTGCACAGAAGTTGGCTGATGCTGGACAGAAGTGCACCAAACTGAAGTTGCCTTTTGCTTTCCACTCTTCTCAGGTCGATCCAATTCTCGCAGATTTCGAGAAGTTGGCCACTGCTGTCAAATACCACGCCCCTCGTGTTCCAGTCATCTCGCCTCTCCTCAGCGATGTTGTCAGCGTTGGTGGTGTTTTTGACGCTTTCTATCTGAGCAGGCACTGCCGCAAGACCGTTGACTTTGTTGGTGGTCTGTCCTCTGGCATGTCATCTGCGACAATCAGCGAAACTTCTCTTTGGCTTGAGGTTGGCGGACATCCCCTCTGCGCCAGCATGATCAAGTCATGCCTGTCTACACCGACATTGGCGACCATGCGACGTGACGAAGACCCGTGGAAGATCATTTCGACCTCAATGGCTGGTCTCTACACTGCCGGCAAAGCTCTCAACTGGGACGCCTTCCACAAGGAAAATGAGAGCCTACGCGTCCTGAACGACCTGCCTTTCTACGGATACGACCAGAAGAATTACTGGCTTCAATACTCAGGCGACTGGCTCATCCACAAGGGAGACTACCCCAAGGCCATCGCTCCAGCTCCAGCTACCGCTGCCCCTTCTGCTCCTGTCAAGGCTCGAAAATACCTTTCTACCTCTGTCCAAGGCATCGTCTCAGAAGAAGTCAAAGGCAGGACTGTCAAGATCGTCGCTGAATCTGATTTCGCTCATCCCAAATTGTTCCCTGTCATCGCGGGTCATTTAGTCAACGGTAGTGGTCTCTGTCCATCTACTCTTTACGTCGATATTGCCCACACCCTGATCAACTACGGTGTGGACTTGGTGGCGCCAGGCGAGAAGGTGGATATCAATATTGGTGGCATGGACAACCCTGCACCTCTCCTTTTGAAGAACATCAACCAGCCAGAGAGTCAAATCTTCCGCATGAACATGACCATTGACATGGATGCACGCAAGGCCGACTTCAATGTGACGAGCAATAACGGAAAGAAGGATGTCGTCCACGCAAAATGCGTTATCCGATTCGAGGACGCCGCCGCCTGGAAGGAGGAATGGAGTAAGACCTCATACCTCATCCAGTCGAGGATCGACCTCCTCAAGCACAAGATGGAGAACGGTGAAGCCGACAAGGTCAGCCGGTCAATGGCGTACAAACTCTTCGGTGCTCTGGTCGACTATTCCGATATCTACCAAGGTATGCAGAGTGTCATCTTCGATGGCCCCGAATTTGAAGCCACCAGCACCATCAAGCTTCGTGCTGGTCCCAACGATGGCGACTTCTTCTTCAGCCCTTACCACGTTGACAGCGCCTGTCATTTGTCTGGCTTCACCGTCAATGCTACCGTCAACCGCATGGAAGAATGCTACATCTCCCATGGATGGGGCAACCTACGCTTCACGGAACCTCTCAAGCACGACAAGCAATACTTTGCTTACGTGAAGATGCAACCTGTGGCTGGTAGTAAGATGAGAGCTGGTGACGTCTATGTCTTCAACGAGAACAAGGAAGTTATCGGTGTCGCGGGTGCTGTTCGCTTCCAGTGCATCCCTCGCAAATTGATGGATGTCATGATGCCCAAACCCAAGGCTGCCGCTGCCGGTAAGGCTTCTGTTTCAGCTGCCCCAGCGGCTTCCAAGGTTGCTGCAAGCCCTGTTGGGAAGCCCGCCGCTCCTGTTCAAGCTACTGTGTCCGCCCCAGCTCCCAAGCCAAAGGTCAAGAAGTCAGTCAAGGCACCCAAGATCAAGGCACCAACGCCACCAAAGGCTTCATCTGGCGGTCTCGTTGCCCGTGCTTTTGACATCATTGCCAAAGAAATTGATGTTGAGCAGAACGAGCTCAATGACGACATTCAATGGGCCGACATGGGTGTTGACAGCTTGATGTCGTTGACCATCTCTGGCAAGTTCCGTGAAGATCTTGAGCTGGAGGTCGAAAGCACTCTCTTCACCGACTTCGCTTCAGTTGGTGCTCTGCGCAAGCACCTCAGCGGAATGTCAGCTCCTGAGGCTGTCCCTGCCGGTGATGCAAGCTCAGTCTCTTCCGCCGACTCAGGCTCCGAGAGTGATGAAGACACTGTCGAGTCCGGGATTACCACTCCCGACACCGAGGATTTCCCAAACAAAGCGGCTGAACATGGCAAGTCTGCTGCTGTTGAAGCTGTCGCCCAAGCCCCAAGCGCCGCTACCGATGGAGGTGACATGATCGAGACCATTCGTATCGTGATTGCGCAAGAGATGGAGATGGATCTTGGTGAGATTACCGACACAACCGATCTCAGCAACCTGGGCATGGATTCATTGATGGCTCTTACTGTCCTCGGCAAGCTTCGTGAGGAGCATGAGATTGACCTTGACCCCACCATCCTTGCCGACAACCCTTCGCTTGGCCATCTGCGCAAAGCTCTTGGCCTCGAGAAGCAAAAGGCTGCCCCAGCACCTGGTCCGGCCCGAATCTCAGCCTCAGCTCCTGCCCCTGCCCCTGTCCCGAAGACCGAGGTGAAGCAAAACATGATTGTGGCTCCTGCCGCTCCTCCTGTCGAGGTCGTCATCCAAATGCCTCCTGCGACGTCGGTTCTGCTGCAGGGCAACCCAAAGACTGCGACCAAAAACCTCTTTCTCTTCCCTGATGGATCAGGATCCGCGACCTCATATGTCTCCATTCCTGCCATCGACAGCAAGAACCTGGCCGTCTATGGTCTCAACTGTCCCTTCATGAAGGATCCCACCAGCTACACCTGTGGCATCGAAGGTGTTTCCAAGCTCTACATGGAGGAAGTTATGCGCCGACAGCCTTTTGGTCCTTATATCCTTGGAGGATGGTCGGCCGGCGGTGTTGTTGCCTACGAAGTCACCAGACAACTGGCTGACCTTCAGAAAATGCATCCCGACAAGAACTTCTCGGTGGAGAAGTTGATATTGATCGACTCTCCTTGCCCCATCAGACTGGAGCCTTTGCCTGCACGTCTCCATCACTTCTTCGATGAGATCGGTCTTCTTGGAACTGGAACCGGCAAGACACCCAACTGGCTGCTACCTCATTTTGAGTACAGCATCAAGGCTTTGACCGCCTATCGTCCAGAGTTGAAGTCTACACGTGACTTCAAGGCACCACCAACCCTGCTCATCTGGGCTACTGACGGTGTATGCGGCAAGCCTGGCGACAAGAAACCGCCGCCACAGGCCGATGATCCCAAGAGCATGAAATGGCTCTTGGAGAACCGAACTGACTTCGGGCCCAATGGGTGGGACAAACTATTGGGTGGTGAGGTTTGCAAGATGGTTACCGTCAACGGCAACCATTTCACAATGATGAAGCCTCCAGTGGTAAGTCTACAGTCTAACTATCCCGACCTTGGTCATGAGCTAACTACTTTCCAGGCGAAGGGCGTTGGTCAATTCATCCGCGAGTCTCTGCTGATGTAGAGGACGAGCGACCACATTTTCATGCTACGAGATACCTGATAGAAGCGGATGTAGAACTTTTTGACACTTTACGGCTTTGTTGCATCAGGCCCCCAGGGAAAAATCAGTACATACTGGGTTTGGTAGCGTTCTGGCCCCTGTTGTTTCTTGTCTGGGCATTTTCAGGAGCGTTTGGGAGTATAGGCAGAATTTAGATTGTCAGTGACGCTGGGGATTGTTTCACGGCGCGGGCGTTGCATACTGGTCGACGAGGGCAAGCGGCGTGACCAGGACTTTGTTTTCTTTTCCTTGAACCTATTTGATGTTTAGGGCTTCTCTGAAGTGCCCATCAATGTCATTCATAGCTCTGAAGTCTAATGCACACCACCTTTACGAAAGTCACTGATATGCTTCTCAACGCATCTCGAATGAGGGTCGATACAGCCTGGCTCTTCAACCCGGGTGTCAGCTCGCCTTCGGGCCTCGATAGACAGTTGCTCAAACCTTGCCCTACGCTAACGACGATCACGGCACGCGAGCAACATCTCGAACAGGAAGGGAACTTGTTACGTGGAGTGAACTGATCGTCCATGACTGTAATCGTCGGCATACTGTCGTCAACTTTGGGAACTAGGGAGCTTCTCTTTTCCATATTAGTCCACCCACACGGCACGGCAGAGACCATCTCTAGCGCAGAGATAGTAGCGGAAACTGGCGAAGCTGTTGGCGCCTCGCATCTGCCGTCTGGGCATGCGCACTGCTGCTTCAGCTGACCACGACGTCGCAAGGTCGCAAGATCGCCTGGCACACGACCACAACACCAGGCTGTTGCCCGCTGTATCTCGCATCGCAGAGGAATGATGACGCTACTCGCCCAAAAATAGTCTACTGTGGTGTGGTTATCACGATATGTACTGATTACTAAGTGTACATAGTACTCGCATCACCAGCATGCATGTCTCACTCCTTTGCGAGTAGTAGATACTTCTTTGGTGTTGCGGGTAGGTGTGTACTAACGGTACTATCATATCTTACTGACGTCGACCATCCAATGGCCGGCTGTGGACTAAGATGCATTTTGTTATATTGCATTAGTCCGCGGATATCTCGCCAGCCGGGCGGTCGCACGCTTGCCCTTGTCTGGGCAACTCTGGGTTGATTAGTCTTTGGGAATCCAAACCCGTACCTAACTTAGTAGGTCCCCCAGGAACCCGTATTTTCGATGCGTCATTACCCGTTGGCGCTCCCCTCCCGGAGGTACTGTGGTGTGGTGTGTGGCATGGCATTTCCTGGGACCTGCACGGATGACAAAGGACCCGAGACAAAATGCCCTAGAGTGGTGACGGTCTGTGCAACCACAGTATGTTTGTGGCTTTTGGCATAGCACGAGGGGGGGCGCCGGTGTCATCTTTCACTGGGTGACGGTCATCTTCCAAGAGTGTTCGTCCGTCGCAGAGAAAGATATTTTCTGGTCTGACGGTCTGACCATACACAGTATTTTGTCTTTGATCAATACCTACCTACGTACTATCTAATCTCCTTTTGACGTGCCGGCTTTTCGCTTATCCCCAAAATCCTAGTCGAAGATCCGGCAGTGCGGCTAAATGGATCTATTTTACTTGTGGACGTCTGTGGGTCTGTGTTAAGGTGAAGTCTGTGTGTTTGTTGCTGCACATGTGGTATACAGTACGTGCGTATTCTCATTTCTGACGTGTGCGAGTCCATTGACATGTGTCTGGTTCTTTTTTGCTTCTGCGTTGTCAGGTGGACTTGCGATTCTGGACGGTCGGTTGTCGGACCTGGTCTCCAGTGCCATGAGAACACCCTACAGGCACGCTTGGTAAAGGTTCCTGTCAAAAGTGTCGTGAGTACTAGTTATACTATAGTACTGTCTTTTGTTCGAAACTATTGATAGCGAAACGAAAGTCTCTATGCTGAAACTATTAGATGTCGCGGACCGGTCGAGATGTATGATAATCTGATAAGGTTGGCACCACGCGGAGATCGGGAAAGGAGGCGTACGTAGGAAGGTACGTACCCTCAGGTGAGGGTCTGACTGCTTCGGCAGATCTCCTCGGTTTATTCATGTCTGGTGGCATGATGAACGGTAGGTGATGCTGGTCGACAGGCTTCGCAGCGCAGCCACGCGCTACTCGGCAAAGGTGAGTATGCTGGGGTGCCGTGCCGAAGTTGCGCACGACGAGCACGGAAGCTTCCCCCTAATGGACGTTGTCCGTATACCTGTCATCCCCCAGCGACGAGGGGAAGGTCGATTTGCCAAGGGTATCGCACGGAGGCCACAATGAACACGGGAAGACGAGTGCGTGGTTAAGGTTATGTTCGACGCTCGTTGGTCTTTGCTCATTCAGGTATCTACATTTTGTCGTTTTATATCGTCAGCCGAACAGAAATCCGTACTCGACACCGCGTGGGTATATCTCCGTCCAAGGCACTGTGATGCTCCGTGTCCCTATGTCGCACGGCGACACACTAGAGTCGTCATCGCCATCGCCTTGTAACTCCGATACAGTTATATCTGAATCGTTCCTCGCCCAAACACCAGTCATGAACGCCATTACGGAATCAAAAATCCACATCCCAGTTCTCTCCTTCCACCGATCGCAGTACTCCTCCGCAATTCTGCGATAGTGGCGATTGGTCGCCTCCGCGCCTGCGAGGGCTATTGGTAAGAGGCACTGTTTCTGAAAATTGCTGTCTGGCGGAAGGTCAGCAACGATGTTGAGAATCTCGCATGCCAAGCTATGAGGTGTGTGCAGATCAAAGTTGAGTGGTGAATCTGCATCGTTGGGTGTAGGCGTAGTTGTGTCACTCAAATCTGGAGAAACACCTGAAGACAGAGCCCGCCTGCAATAAAGCAAAAGCCCCAATTTCCAAACTATTGACATAGACACGATCTGAGTGTTTTCCTGGTCTTTGGTTTCGGAGTTGAGAATCCTTGCCTCAAAGGCTGAGGTCATTTCAGATGTACAGCATTCAGGTTGCGCGGCGGCCACTGCAAGATCGTACATGTCAAGGAACATTCGATCAGGGAGCCCATTTAGCCCAAGAATGCTCCATTCCGTGTCGCTCTGCCAGATCATCAGAGTTTCGAGGTAATATCTTGGGAATATTGGCCGCCGACGACTTAGCAGGGCAGCGTTCACGTCATACCATATGAGCATCACTGTCTGACTCCGAAGGGTTTGGCGGGATTCCGCAAGCCGGATACCACCATTCGACTCAAGAATCTGGAAGGCTCCGCGTAGGTGGATTGCCCAATTCTCGAAGCCTGACATGGCGAAGTCCAATGCCACAAGTAGCAGCGAGGTACTAATGCCTGATTCGACGGAGAGGTCGCCCAGGTGAGTTGCGAAGATAGAGAGCGCTTTTGCTTTGAGGTCCAGGACAGCCAGGCCTTCTCGTTTATTGCGAAGATGCGCTTGTTGTCGCTGTGCAAGGGCTATCGCTGCATAGCGGACGCACGGGATGTCGTCGTGGATCGAGTTGAGCGCCGCATGCCAAGGATTCACCGACACGGGAAACGTGAGAGTCGTGTAGGAAAAAGTTGAGTGATAGAAAGATAATGCGTCCTCGAGATCACCGGGATGACGTCGAATATGCGGCGATAGAGATATGACCATACTCTGCGCGGAAGATGGCTCTGGGGTTGTTGCAATAGACTTCAGGTTTTGCGAAGAGTCCGACAGGGTTGATGACATAGAATCACTGGCTGTTGAAATTGATCCACGGCCGACCGACCCTCGCGGGCTTGCGTTGACAGTGCTCAAATCGCTGAACGATGAATTCTTTCGGGCTCGCTTCTTTGACCGTTCTGATGGCTCACTTTGGTCGACAAACACGAATGCCGAAGGCTGTGGCAGTGGTGAGGCTTGAGTGTTGGAGGGTCGTTTCTTTGGTTTCTTCGATGTCGACTCGGACCTCGGTCTCTCCACTCGCACTTTCCCTCTGTCCCAGTTCAGAGACTGTACATATCCACCGCATACCACTCCATCGGCGAGGCAGGCGCTACATCTTGGCCTTCTTCTGTCGCAGTAACGATGGCCTGCACAGGTGTGACAATCTGTGCTTGCCCAACCCAAAGAATTCGTCCTCTTCCCTGCTAGATTTCTTCGTCGCGTAGACGCTGAAACCGTCACAGGTTGCTGCACACACGGTTCTCCTGACATAGTTCACAAACGTTGCACATACTCGGCGAAGATGCTTGACCACGGTAAGGATGTTACGATAAAATGTAGGAATGAGGTTCAGGCTGATAAAGGTGGGTAGCCCGAGCCCGGCCGAGGATCACCAGCCAATGGGGTCTCAGAGATTCCGATTGCAATTGATACACAATCGCGCGAGTCACATTGCGAGCACGTGATACTGCTCATGACTCGGGATTTCATCAAACACCAAACCTCGCGATGTTTGTTCCTTGATCATAGACATGCAGACCATCTCCTCAATTGCAAGAAACCACGTATATAAGAAACTGGACGATAGAAAGACGCCGGTGCATGATAGTGGAACTTTTTGAGACCGTGAGGTGCTGAACGGGTGCCAGAATGTGGTAAGTCTGCACCATGCTGCCCCTGACGAGGCTTCAGCCCTGAACGCTCTGACCATATCGGTAGCAAGCACGTCTTAAACGCGCAAGTATCGATCAGAAGTCCATGTTGTACGTGTCCGACAATGCCAGAGACATCTGGACGCTGTTGACCAATGCCTAGGCCGGAAATGGTTCGATTGTGCAGAATGTCATGCCGAGCAAGAAACCCATCCGTTGATGCAAACTTTTGACATGGTATGTTTGCTGATTATCATGTCTCTGCTGCGGCTGACAATTCTAGGCTTTCATCTGCAAGAAGTGCAAGAAAGCGTTCAGGAAGAACACGAAGGACTGGGACGAAAGGTAATACTAAATGCGACCGGCTGGGATACGATAGTCTGACTAACTTGGACTTTAAGCGACGAGTACTGTCCCAATTGCGACAATCACTTTGTAATAGACGCGCTCACTCCTAAAGCGGCGTTACAAGTTGAGGGTGAAGACGCGAGGGTAGACGCCAGGTAAAGTTTCTAGTATGGGAGACAAATTACAGGCTGACCCAAAAAAAGGATGCTGAAAGACGAACGAGTCCAACAGGCCGAGCAGCGTTCGATATTCGACGTCAAGGATGCGGCTACGCGGCTGGGTTGAAGCGAGGTGGACTACGATTGTCACTCAGCCATCACGCTTCGAGAACTATGCCGACAGATGCTGCCAGCCTAGATTTTAGAATTGCTCAATCATGATTTGCCATGCCGACTGCTTGGGATTCCTTTAATCATTAGAGGCACAAGAAGCAAAACACGACTAAGGATCAAGATGGTCGAGGCCTGATTTGGCTCCATTTATCGCCACAACTCCGGTCGCTCATGCAAAGGACGAATGAAGAGTGTTCCGATCACTATCAGGTGTCGCCTGAGCCCTCTCCTTCAGCAACAGGTCTCGTGGGCAAAGTTGATGTGCCAGGGCCTGACGCCGCTGCTCGACCTGGCTTCTTCTTGGCCTGCTCTTCCTGCTTCTCAGCCTCGATCGTCTTCACATATTGTTCAATATCTTCCGCGGGCAGCATCTCAATGGTCTTGCCTGGAGCCATGATGGCAATCTCAATGTTCTTCGCACCGGTTTGCACAACCTCCAGTAGTGATTTGACAGTCAGTGATATGGTGGTTTCTCGGTCCATGTCGTCTTTGTGATTTCGCTCAAGAAATTCTCGCACAGTCTTACTCGAGCGGCCAATGGCATTGGCTTTCCTGCTCCTAGTTAGCATCTCCCAACCACGAAGAGAAGACACAACCTACCAAGCAGAGTAGATACCGGATGGCTCGGTCTGGTACAGCTTCGGCTCCTTGTCACCCTTGTCAAAGCCGATGATAAGCGTGCTGATGCCGAAAGGTCTGACGCCACCACTCTGAGTGTATCTCTGTTGTACACCAGCGACGTATTTTGTGATGTATTCGATTGTGGCAGGGTCCTCTACCGTCAACCGATGTGATTGTGCTTCTAGCCTTGCTTTGTCGATCAATATCCGAGCATCTGCGTTGAGACCAGCAAAAGCAAGGCAGACGTTTGTGTCGATTAGACCGATCTTTGACGGTGTGATTCTGGTGTCTTGGAGCTTCATTGCTGATCTCTTTTCACATCCTAGCACTACAATGTCTTTGCCTTTGACACCAACTGCGCAAGTCCCTCGCTTGACTGCCTCGAGGGCATATTCGACTTGAAAGACGTGACCATCGGGACTATTTCGGTCAGCAATGTAAGGTGGGATAGGTTGGTGATAATACCTGAAGACTGCGAGAGTTAGCAATGACCATCAATGGATTGACGGCGAACTTACCGGAAAGAGCACGGTCATAACCGGAAGCCATATCTACGAAAGTCGAAGGACAGCCGAGTTATGTTGAAAAAGGTTCGCAAGAGATTGAAGAGTGGTGGTTGTGGTCGGGTTGATTTGTAGGCTAAACAGTATTGCTCAAAGCACAGGAGGTATTGGAGATGCTGTTGCAGGTACGGAGTACGCGATGATGAGCCGCGTCCACGGCCGCTGCCTTCAATCTGCCAAGCTGTATTGTTCGTCTGGAGTTATAATGCTTGGCCAGAAAGACTGCGGTGGAGTATGGGGCCTTATTACTGTTAAGATTCTGAGTTGCAACTGCTCCCATTGGCTGCGCTATCCCGAGCTTCGATGACCTCTTTACAACAATTCAACAACCACAGATCTCATAGACAGCGACAAGCAGATTGACTTGCCGCCATTATGGCTTCAATGTTACCACAGATGCGGACGAAAATCCCCCAATTAGCAGCCTGCTGTTCGCGCACCTGCTCCCGACCACTTTCAACGTCGATCCGTCTCCTGAGACAAGGCCCCGGCACCGGCGAGAACTTCCAGCAAGCCAACGATCCTCACCCACGGAAGCTCACCCCAAATGTTTCCAAAACGAACGAGACACTACCCATCGACGCCATGGGCGCCAGGGACGAGCCCTACCAAGAGTTGGTCCCGGCAGCAGAGAAGCAAAGAACACTACAAGCACCGAACAGAGAAAAGCCATGGTCACGGAACCAGATGCCCCGGGACCTGGCAATGTCAGGCCCGCGATTCGAACAGACAATCATCGAGGCACAGGTGCGGATATACTCCCGTGGGAAATGTGACAATTACTAAGAGAGCTTCTAGCCCGCCCCATATGCTGCGATCGAGCTCATTCACAAACAGCCCGTACGATGGGTAGCCGACAAACGTGTGGCTTGCGATGGTGGTGGTGGGCCCCTGGGTCATCCTAGAATATTTATCAACGTGGACAAGCCACAAATCAATTGGTGCACGTATTGTGGTCTGCCATATGTAAGTCTGATTCAAGCTGCCATGAGATCGAACTCTGACAGAGACCAAAACAGGCCAAAACGGAACATAAGAAGTACCTCGAATCATTACCTTCGACCTCATACCCACTGCAGCCAACAGGGGACCCTGCCGAGGTCGTCATGCCTCAGACACCTACTCAGAAAGGCGAGGTACAAGGCCAGTACGGTCAGATGAGGGCTGAACATATGGCGCAGTCTGTGGGTGATACTGCTTTCGAGCAGAGATGATAACTGGGATAAAGCGCGTGTATATATTCGGCGTCAATCACAATACCACAGGTTCAGATCATGACATGAGTTTCCATCCTCCAGTTACACTCCGTTGCTATCTCAACACACCGCACAGTTGGCTATGTCACCTTACGAAAGTATTCGCCCACTGGCTCGCATTCACGTCGCTCATCAGAAGTCGGGGAGCCTTACTCGACTATCAAATACTCGTTCCACCAATGCACGGCCCAGAATTCTGCGAGTGTCCAGATTCGCTTGGAGCGCCACGGCCATTATTCACTATCGCGACTACAGCACTCCCAAGAAGTTCTACGGAACGGGTGTCCTCGATATGGCGTCCCACGCTGATTGTCCTCCCTACAGGCGTACAAGTACGCGCCGAGAGATCCTTTGCAGAAGCCGCCGTGGCGCTCCGCCTTCCTCGCAAACCTTCTTGCAGAAATGATCATGAATTTTTACGGACCTTGTCTATCTCTGGCAGAGTTGGAGCAGACATAGTCGTACCTAGATCCTGCATGTCGGTTACGTAGAAAGCTTCTAGAATTCAAGTGCTGAATACTCTGCTGCTTCACGTTGTTGAAGTCGTCATTGTTGCTGCCGTTTGCATGACCCACATTATTGACATTATTGATGTGTAGTCAATCCTCTGCTTTGCCGGCCAGCATGTTTGACATCTGAGGGAATGGTATGGAATCGGACCCCTACTGTATGGCAATGACATGTCTTGGACGATAAGGACGTATATCTCAAAGGTGGGGGTCGAAAGTTGTAGTTCTCTCATACAGATGCCGAACTCCGAAGCTTGATGAATATCCCGCCTCGATCGCATTCTCATACTCCTCGGTTCAAGAGAGTGTTACGATTGATTCATATTAATACCAATCCGAACTCGATATGCCATCCAGTCGTCAAGCGGTCTGGGCACCCAAAGCTCCCAAGCCCAACGGAAACTATAGCCATGTCGTCAAGGCAAAGAACGGTATGGTCTACCTGGCTGGCTGGATGGGAGACGATCCAGAGACCGGAAAAATTGTGTCTGGTGGGATTGCAGCACAAACGGTAAGTCGGGAGTATACTTCAGAACTGTCTGGACGAAAGGAAGAGGACTGATCGGTGAATTTTCACGACAGGAACGTGCTATCTTGAATATTCAGGCCTGCTTGGAGGCGTGTGGATTGACACTGGACAACATCCTTACTAGGAGAGTGTATATCATTCCGATGCAGGAGTATAGAGATGTCATGGCAGTCTGGGACAGGTGTGTACTTGGGATGGGCCAACTTGAGATCACAACGGCGCCGAATAACATGCTCGCAGGTACTTCGAATCACCATATCCAGTCTCTACACTCATTGGTGTAAGGCTTGCTTTTCAAGGAAATACGAAACTGAATGCTGATTCTCATGCTAGGTGACATCACTTGCGAAGGAAGGCGCTTTAGTCGAGATCGAGGTTGTTGCCGAACGATAGATCTTTCTGCACCATCGGCCCCTTTATAAGTTCCTGAAAATCGAGAACGAAACATGACTGGCACTCGAAAGATGCTGTGCGGAGTTTGAAACGAAGAACGAATAGACCGGACGGAGAGATACAGCCTGTGCAGTAAGTTAGACCGGCTTCAATGACGTATATTTGCATCCGAATTTCTTCCTCTTCGACTTGACGAGGACCATCTTCATTTGACATGCCTACCACGAGCATCACCCAATCCAAATACTTTACTGTAGTCGCCGTCCTCATTCTCTCCCTCGCTCTCTTCCCCGGACTACCACATTTCCTATTCGGACTCCCTCTACGACTGATATACTCGACTAGACCAATCAGCAGCCCCGCCCCTCCGATCATCAATTGCCCACCTGGTTGTACTCCGAACGGATTGACACCGAGCCTTCTCAAGGAAGTCAATATGTCGTGGTTCCAGAAAACGTTTACCCTCCCCTCAAAGTCTCGAGGCTCATACCTTGTCACCGACCACGTCGTATCATCGGTGCCTGAGATCAAGGACTACAAAGTCGGCCTTCTCAACCTCTTCATCCAACATACGTCATGCGCAATCTCTCTGAATGAGAATTGGGACACTGATGTGAGGGAAGACATGAGCGACGCCTTAGACAGACTAGCTCCGGAAGACAGGAAGGGAAACTTGTACAGACACTCTGCAGAAGGACTGGATGATATGCCCGTAAGCATGCACCGACCATTGGTTTGGGGAGATTCTTGACACTGACGCATGTTAGGCACACATCAAGTCAGCGCTCGTGGGCGCCAGTGTGACGATTCCCATTACCGACGGTGCGTTGAACACCGGCACATGGCAAGGAATCTGGTATCTGGAGTTTCGCGCCTCCAAACATTCAAGAAAAGTGGTAGCGACAATCCAAGGAGAGAAGCGATGGTGAACAGCAATTCTACATTGACGCGATTCTATACTGGAGCAATTCTGGCTCTATCATCGTTGACCTTTGGGAGGTCTCTTTGGATTCCATACCAACCATGCTAGTACCATCGCACCTTTTACACCTGTTGCGATCCATAGAGCACCAGAATATCCTATCGAAGTCTTGACCAAAGCTCCAGAGACCGTTGCACCAGCGAACAGTAACACTGCGCCCATGAACCTCCTGTTACGGTCTGGGTCCTGGAGTAAACCAGCCGTAAACAGATCTGGGTCACTCATCAGATCACAAAACAAGCTCGTCAGAACCACGGTCGGCAAGGCGTTATATTTCAGCATCCGGCCTGCCACGATCTGTCCAGCACTCTGGAAAGCCAACAGAGCGATGGGACACAGTTCGTGCCAGGGGAATTGGGAAGTCATATCGCTGGTTCCGGCATCGGCGGTCTCTTCCGTTTTCGCAACCACGCGTGCAGAGATTAATGAGGCGGTGATGATCATGAACGAGGTTTGGATGAAAAATGAGGACATGATCACCCATCGCTTGAGAGGTCCAAATGTTCGGTGCCATCGTGAGAAGAAGAGAGCTCCGCAGCAGAATGATAGGATAGCAACCAGCGATTTGGCCCAAGTGTAGCGCGGAACGTTGTCAGGAAGATGACTGACTCCAAGGCCTGCGAATATGGTGTTTCCTGCAACTATATTAGTCTGGCCGTCACTGGAAATGGGAGTCATTGTGGACCAACCTGTCTGCATGCCAACGAAACAACTCCAGGTGTTGAAAGCAATAGCATCCACCATCCCAGTAGTGTAAAAGCATCCCAGAAGAATTATATCCGCCCATTTCGAATCAATGTCGTCCGTAAATCGCAGCCGTAGCCTCGTCAACAGAGGTAGAGAATGGGGAAAATCCTTTTCTGGCTCCATGGTATTCTGGTTATTCGCATTTGCATCGACAAGAGCTTGGGGAGCTGCCATCTCTTTTTGTATGTGCGCGGAATTATGTGAGGCGATGATGTCGCGCGACAGCTATGACGGAAGGGCATAGATAAAGGAAGAGATGATCCCTCACCATATTATATCAGGGGAATTTCGGTTATATTTACCTTTGAGAACTTGAGCATTGACTCTCCGCGGGGCCACATCTTACTTTTCTTATCAAGCCGGGCAACTCCATTATTGCTGGAGCACTGGAGAGAACAACGACACCGAAGGAAAAAAAAAAGACGTGATTATTTTTTAAGTTGAAGCGAGCAGCCTTGCCCGGCCATGAGAGATTAATTATATGGAGCTTTTTGCGGCAAAATATTCTTCCAGTGCACTGCTTTTTCAGCCTCATCCGCGATGAACGATTGAACAAGCCTTTTGCTAGGTTCTTTTCGACGCTGGTGTTGTTGGCTATTTGTCGGTTAATGTCCAGTCACTTCACGCGCGCATCAACAATTTTCCAATTTCGATGTCCATCAACCTGTGATCCGCCAGACTAGCCCGACATCACGACAAGGCCGACTCACTGGTACCAAGAGCCTGCGATTGATGTTGTCGCATACGTGGGGCTTGCTCACTGAATCCACGTTCTACTACTGAAGAAAGGACGATTCAGAGATAGAACTAATCAGACAGGACATTGTCTATCTTCGACACCTTCAACATCTCTTCGCATAACTATCCCAGACCCACAACACGCATCAAGATGGCAGGGCTAAGTACACCAGCGCCGCGGCAGCAGCCAGCAAAACAAATGTCTTCACGACTAATGAACATGAAAGTGAGTCTCCTTCTACCGCATCCTGGCTCAATGCCGTGAACAGATTTCCTAAGTGTTGTCTTCCCCGTAGTTCATGCAAAGAGCCTCAGTATCTACAACGTCTATCCCAGCAGCCTCCAAAACATCAACACCAGTGACCGAGCCAGTAGCGAAACGCCGACGAGTCGAAAGCGAAACACACTCCCACTCGACATCAGGCCCCGGAACACCATACACGCCCGCAGCGTCAAGTCAGACATCAGATGCACAAACCACTACCTTTGGGCTGTCAAGAGGAGGCATAAGCACATTCAACCGCGGCGAATGTGCAGATACAGAATGGGTTCTCGACTTGAAGATGAGAGCCCCCAAGGCAAAACCAGAACCACGACCCAATGGGACGAACGGATCTCGATTCGACGCGCTGGAAGATGACGACGACCAGGAAGACGAAGACGACGACGACGAGGATATATGGTCGCACCAACACTCCGGCCGTCAAGCATACGGGTCATTCAAAGGGAAGCGGAAGTCACGCCTTCAACAAAATCAGAATGCCGATGACGAAGGCGAGGACAGCGCGTCAGATGCATCAGAAGACGAGGAACAGAACACGTCCAGCCGGCACACACCGTCACGAAAGAGGCAGAAGAACAGCTCAAAAGACGCTGATTCGGATGAAGAAATGCGCCAAGTCAGAAGAGCGATGGAGGCTAAGCATGGACGTATGGCTGCAACGACACCGAAGAGCGGAGGAGGCGGAGGCGGAGGAAGATTACCGATCACAGGAGGACATCCTGGTGGTGGTGGTGGCGGGCATAAAAGAAGCAGAGAGGATGGGAATTACAAGATGAAAAAGAAGGCGAGGAAGACGATTTGATTTCGGCGGAGCCTGTACTGAAAATACACCAGGTGCTAAATGAGCATCTTATCCGTCGACCATGTTTCAATGTGGCTGAGCAAGGAACGCCAGTGCTATAAGTATCCTCGGCACCACATGTTGGACACTCTACTGGTAACGAGTGAGTGCAACCATTCGATCCATACCAGGGATCAGAAAACCACAAGCTCTTCCCACAACCTCCCTATGCGACGACAAGGGAGCTTGTTGGTAAATGAAAAGAGCCGTGTTGAGGCTTCTTCTGGAGTTCAATGCACGAGATATGATCGAACTACAAACTTTATAGGTATGCATGAATCACACGGCATAAAGGTCAATCACAAGTCGACGATCTATTCTAGTACAACGAGAGAGACTGCAACCGGGCTCCTTTGTCAATAACCACATCACCTCCCATACTCCCTCCACGACCATCTCTCCTGTCTAGCCGCGTGTCTCTGCGCCCGCGCCACGGCCTTCGCAACACGAATATACTCCTCTGCATCTTGCTCCATGACGCTCGATCTCCTTCTTGATACCGACTTGGACTTCCCACGCCTGCTGCTAGCAGCACCTCGTGTCCAATCATACCCGTTCCCATAGTCGGAGCCATAGTTATACCCGTATGAAACGGCGTATGCAGGCCCAACAGCACCATAGCACCGTACCTCGACATCACGGTCTGAGTCGCGGCCACGGCCATAATCACACCGTGACGTCTCTCTAGCCTGACGCCTTCCTGCTCGCCGCCTTTGTGATCTTGATCTCGACCTTGACCTTGGACTCCATCTCCGAAACCTGTACGTGCTGCAGGTGCTGCATGTTGTGTCCGTACAAGAACTCCGCCATCGACGTCGAGACGGAGGTCGATTTCGAGACCGACTTCGTTGCCTACCACGCTGTTCACACCGCTCACAAAGCTGCGGCACAGCCCCATGCTCACAGTTCCTCACTATCCTCTCCCTCGCAGCATTGCCAATGTCATAATAGTCGTACTGTCCATCCACATCATACCGGCCTTCAAGATTTAAGCACGCATCACCGTTTCCCGAGTGCCTGAACACAAAGATCAACATCTTCAATCATATCTGGACTCTAGGATAAGACGGTCGTGAACCGGAGTGTCATACCTGGCCCGCCTGTGTCTGCGTCTGCTGCGGCTTGGAGGACCACCGCCCCCACGCGTCGAGCATGAGAATCTCACCCTATGTCCTTTCGAGTTGGGGATTGACCGCGGTACTCTACCTTCATACTCATCCCTTGGACCACTCGTGAACCAGTGAATATTGCCCCGTGAGTCTATCCAGGCTCGTCGATTCGACGATGGCATTTTCGTGCCGCTCGTGTCTTCTTTCACAATGGCCCCCTTGCTCGTAGCAATGGTGATAGATGAGGGTTCTTGACTAGACTGGCTGTTGCGGGGCGTAGGTCGGACCCGGCAGACCGTCACTTATGCTTTGTACTGTAACCGTGAGGTTTCTTTTGGAGTGGTATCGTAGCCTTAAGACAGCACCGGTCTCCGCCTCCAGGTGGACAAGCGGAGTATGGCTTGATGTGTCTGAGGTTTGCAATGGTTGATCGGTTGGTTGGATGGTACCTGGCTGCTGATTGTCTTGATATGAGGTTGCAACCATTCGTCGACTGAGATGTGGCTCAATACAAGTGCAAGGTGAAAGTAGCAAGAGGACCGTGGTTGTGTGCAGGCAACCGGTTCTTCAAGAAAGGAAAGGTTCGTGGCTTGTACCTTTCGTGGCTTGTAGAGGAGAACGAGCAGACCAGTACTAACCGCACGACAGAACTGGTACTCATGTGGGCCACCATCCATATCTCGAGGACGCGCAGCGCCCCTGAGAAACAATATTTGCTGGGCACCAGCCTGCGTGTGCACAACCATCTTGTGGCACAGCTTCAAGCACCTCATTTGGCCTGGACATCAATCAGCTGGTCACAGTAAAAATGCGTATGAGTTCAGCATCTTTTGCGCGACCCAGGTCAAGCATACTGACTAACTTGGAGTGCGACAGTCATCTTGCCCCGGTGACTTTGTAGAAAACAGGAACCGCGGCAGTACAAGAGCGCGACAGGCCGAAACTGCAGCCGGTTCACACTCTCGAGGAGGCGCACCTTGAGTACATGGTGTGCTGGTGTCGAACATGGGCAGCAGTCAGGAGTCTTGTGGGACCTCGACTATCTCAGCCGGTCCAACATCGGCAGACTCGACGTCTGGTCGTACGGGTTCAGATAAACCTGGACTGTTGGAAGTGCCCTTGTCTCGTGAGCTTCACAAGATTCTGAAACATGTGGGTAACACTCAATACCTCCGTACGTTACACTCACGCCATGATCTGTAAAGCGAACCCGCGCCTTCCCTGGACATCGACAAAGACGCTCCGTGAAGTTGGACATCGCCATGATTATGCATTCGGAAATATCATGGGCTCGGGGCAGCTCGTCATAGCACATTTCGACTTGAACGAGCCGAGATTCTGACTTGAACAGTGGAACAGACGAGGCTTTCAGTCATCGATATATGGCGGGTGGACAAGGCAAATCAGTCAGCGTGTCTCAGCAGGAGCAAACAGTGTCACAAATCCCAGCTCTTCGAATGGAAAGCTGGAAGCGAGGAGGCAGAAGAGAAGGGGGAAGGCGCCGCTGCCTAAAAATGGCAGGCAACAGACATTGAGCAAGAATCACCTGTGACAAATCAGAAATGTAGAGGTCAAATCAGAAACAGGGTATTTGTGTAATTGATCCAACTCAAAGTGAAGCAAAGCTCGACGTTCTCGAAGGCCTTGTACAAAAATGCAATAACAACCTCCTGGGGATCCGCATTCTTATTGTCTGCAATAGTCCATCATCGTACACTCATTCTCAATGCTCCAAACCACCAACGCCACCATCAGCCTGAATCCGCGAAATGCCCAGAGACGCCGAGTTGGGAGGATATTTTCGGAGTTTCGAGTTTTGTAGGGCCCTGATGTTGCACCTTCTACTCGGCCTTGCTCTTCTTCTTCTGCTCGACCTTGAGAAGAAGCGCTCTGTTGATGTGAGGAAGAACACCACCGAAGGCGATCGTAGCACGGATCAGAGTATCAAGTTCCTCGTCACCACGGATGGCAAGTTGGAGATGTCTTGGAGTGATACGCTTGACCTTGAGATCCTTGGCGGCATTGCCTGCGAGCTCGAGGACTTCGGCGGTAAGGTATTCGAGGACGGCGGTGACATAGACGGCAGCTGTTTGCGCGTGTTAGGGTTTGCCACTCTGAAAATATGATCGTGTAAATGCATACCTTTAGCACCAACGCGCATCTTGTTCTGAGTGTTGTTCTTGAGGAAACGCTTGACTCGACCGCAAGGGAACTGGTGCAGGACGCGTTAGTATCCTTGTAATGATTCCAAAACAATGCGCAACATGATGCGCGACCAATGCAGACAACAGACTCAGGTATAACCCTCATAGCAGCCTAATCGCCTGTCGCGAATGCGCCAGGTGAGATAAGTTCGAAATGAGAGAAATGATTTGGGTCGCGTCGCCGTCTTTGCAATGTGCATGCATTCACGTAGACACAGGATCGAAATATGGGAGACTCACTTGCAAGCCTGCCTTTGCGCTGTGCGACTTCTGGCTCTTGCTTGTCGAATCTTTCGCGCCAGTGGCCTTTCCACCAATGCTCTTTCCTTTGCCTCCTGCCATTATGTTTTTGTAATGGGTGGGTGATTAGTATGAATTGGTTTGAGTATGAGATGGGAGTTTGATGGGGTTGAAATGGATGGATAGTCGGAGACGCGTCGGATGTCTGATAGAGATAGTTTGGAAAGTAAGTGGGTGGCAGGGGAATGGATGAGAGGGCAGCAACCGCAGATCAGAATGCTCGTGCTTTGACGGGTGGAAAAACATGCGAATGACCGCTAGTCGACTATGGGTTAGCGCAAGCTTGGCATTTTGGGTGAGGTCGCCATCAAGAGTGAATACACACTCAGGCCGACAGACGGCTGCCTAATGTGCCTGAGATCTGAAGTAGGGGAGTCTGTGACGTGTCAGTTGCTCCGTCGTCTCACTGTCAACAGAATGTAAAATTGGAGGGTGTGAGCTGGAGGAATGGAGGTATTGTCGCAGACTGAAATCGGGCACCAAACCAACAAGAGATAGGAGGCCATGTCAGTGCATTGCCGTAGACTCAGCCGATACGTGTGCTTGTAGACATGTCACAGGCACGAACATCACCTTGACAAGCACGCTCTGGTCAGATTGGAACTGGCAAGCTTCGCATTGCTCACCCAAACAATATCACAATAGGGGTGGAAGTGAGGTGAGGAGGGAGCAAAGCAAGATATGGACAGACTTGGCGCTTATGTAATGCTGCTCTTCCTCAAGTAGCAGCTCGCCAGGTAGCAGCTGACAATCCAACGTAAATCAACAGCAGGTTCCTATTTCCTTCGTCGATTTACACTGGACAAGCAGGATATCATTTTACAGATTTGGAATACTGATCCAGCACTTTTCATATTATGCGCAGTCAACTTTCTGACCGCCTAGCGATTAAAACGAGTGTATCTCATACATTCCCCAAATTCCACAAACATAAATCAAGACAAAGATATGGGAGACTGGCTCCTTGACATCAAGTCGAATGCACAGCAGTCAATGAGAACGGAGCATCTGGAGATCCTCTTCCAAACTCCCATGCATGCATACACCCTTGTCTCTTTCCGACCTCGCCGTTCACAAGTATACAAATCAGATCAATCATTCTTCTCGGGCGTTTTCGTGAACAGAATGCTGTAATGCCGCACCATGAATCCTGTCAGTTCGTTACAACAATCTTTTTCCAATCATGCAGTCATGTAGCTGCCCTATGCGTCTAACTTTTTCTTTTTCCAGGGGGGGCGGGAGGGTAGTCGTGTCATTCGTGGATCATTGACTCGTCATTGCTCAGCAAGAGCATCATCAAAAAGGGGGTATAAGGTGGTCTCTTCATTCGGCGATCGCAGAAGCGGCCGCTCTCAGTTCGTCACTGCCACGTCCATTCTGGCGACGGAAGCCAATGGCGTTATTGGCACCAGGGCCGCGTGATTGACGCATGGGATTAGCATTCTGGGATCCATTGTCAGGTCCGATGCTGACAGTCCGCTTGCTACCAATCGGGGCGGTAGCTTGGTAGCCTTGATTATTTTCCCATTCAGCTCCATTTCCAAAAAAGCTTCTTTGGCGTCGTGGGCTTGTCTGGTTTCCGTTGTTGTTGATGGTGAGGTTGGAGAAGCCAGAGATGAGGAATGGCTCATCCCGGTTGACACCTGGGCCTGGGTTAGAGGACGCGGTGGGTGTCACAGTTGGGGTGCCATTAGTACCGGCTGGGTCGTTAAGTGCCTGAAGGCGGGCTCCGTTAGTCTGCAGAGCTGCTGGGAAGCTTGCTGAGGACGGTACAGGGGAAGGGCTCCAGGATCGCAAATCGGCAAACGACTTGGCATTTCGGAGGTTGTTGTCTGCAACGCGACCATAGGCGTTCGCATCGACGTCCAACAATCCCACCGAAGCTTGGCCGCGGAGTGTGTTGAAGACAGGACCTTCATATGGTCTGCCCTCGCTGAAGTCAGCGGTAGAGGATCGTCCGAGAGTCTGGCGCATGCCATCAGGACCAAAGGCTCCTGGCAGTGGAGGACTGATGTTGGTACCGGGGCCAGGCCGGTGAATGTGAACCTGTCGCTGTTCACCACTACCACGCGAGGAGTGCGCCAGACCCATATGATGGGCGAGAGTATGGACAATGCGGCGATGATGCGGTTCCAATGTTGGTGGAAAGATGAGAACTTCACGAGACGTGTCCCGTTTGAAGAGTGTCATGTCGGTGTAGAACTCCAGCGTCTTAGGGTCATTCATGTCAATATCTAACACCGATAGTCAGCGCAGTTTCACACATATGAGATTTAGGAACGCACCGGGTTTACCGCCACGATGTGACAATGGCGATGGCGTGTCCCTGGGAATAGAAGACAATGATAGTTGATTGTGAAGCTGGGTTTGTTGTGGCCCTGGTCGATGTTGTTCCTCCAGTTGGCCCCGACGTTCACGCTTTTCCCGTTCAATGCGCTCCCGCTCTTGAAGTGGAAGCATCTTCTTGTACTCAACCCTCAACTTGCGACCGCTTAGATCCATATGGTTGAGTGCTTGGATGACTTGTTCAGTCTCCTGAGGTGAGGTGAAGTTGGCAAATGCTAGGCCACGGAAGACACCATTATCAAAGTGGTAGTTGAACGCGTACGGAAGTGGTAAATTCATGTCAACCATCAACTGAACAAGCTGCTCTTTCTTCACAGCAAAAGGGATGTTCTTTATGACGATGGCGGTCGGGATCAATTCGTCGTCATCTTCGTGAGGGTCGTTACGGCTTGAAGGTGGTCCGCGTGGGCCGACAATGGTAGGATGTTGTGATTGTTGTTGCATTTGGCCAGGCTGATCATACCAGAGCTTCACGGATTCAGTCAGTATTGGTTGCGCATACATCAGATACAGTCAGAACTTACGTTCGAAATGGCGGCGCGACCTCGACTGGGCTTGACAGTGCGGGAGGGTCCATAGTTGGAGTTCTGAGGCATGCCTCCCATTCCATTGCCGAAAGATTGTGGTGGCCCACCTCCTGAAGCCCAAGTTTGCGCAGCTCCTGGATCATAGGGGAAGTGCACGTTTCCACCACTCGGGTTTTGCATCGGAGCTCCAAAGGCATCCCTCATGTTATCAAAACGCATGGATGGCACGGAGGGTTCGTGGGCGAACATGGGAGGGTTGATGCCTCCGTATCCATCAGACCTTCCTTGACGACCCATTTGAGGGTTCCTAAATGCCCTTGGAGATGTGCCTGACAGATCATCGTAAAAAGCCTCCGAGGCATTCGAGAAAGTTGCCATCATGAGACGCGACTTGTGCAAGGTATGTGCTTCTATTTCACATCCAAATTCGACACTGACCAAACCGGTCTAAGTCAGTCTCCTCAGAGGTCTCGAGTAACCGCCTGCGGAGATGCTTTTCGATGGGCTCACTGTTTTGAGCAGGATAGGGATTGAATCGAGTTGGGTTCGTTGTTGTCAATTTCTCGAGACGTCAAAAAATTCGCGGAGATTAAAGGGCACGTAGGCGCAACAAGATGCAGCAGTCGTATGGAGTCGTTCAAGATGTCTGGACGGACTTGATGGAGGTCGAGTCGTTGCGATATTAGTTGAGAAAGCGAATGCGCTTGTGGTAAGGGGTTCTGATAAACCGATTCGAAGTGACTCGAGTTGAGAGACGACTTGCGCAGGCACAGGAGGTGTGAGAAAATTGAGCAGAGGCGTCTAAAATCGTCTAGTCGGACATATTAAAGGACAGTCAAGGCGAATGAGCCAGTGTGGGGAGTGAGCAGTAATGCAATGATGAGTCGGCGGCTGCAAGCAAATGAAGCATGCAAACCAGCTGTAGTTTTTTGGGATGAGAGGAAAGAAAAGATGAATTCCGAAGTTGTTGGTGGATGATGTTCGGAGCACAAAGAAATTAGGAGAATGAGTGGCTGCGTGGACTCCAAAAGCAGGCTATCTGGGCTAGCATAGTACGTACCGGGCCACAGACTCCAGGCTAACACGACGAAGGACATGGGGGGGATGATTAGAGGTGCAGGTTGACATTGGCAGCCCGGGAAGCAATAAAAAGGCCCCTCCAACGACTTCCGCCCGCTAACCAATTAGCGTGTCTTCTACCCCCTGTTTTCCCTCTCGAAACTCTCCCTCACTCTGGTTTTTGCTTGGTTCACCACCTATCAGCGAGGTGAACATGATCGTTGCAACCATTCCTTGCAACAAAGTCATGCAACTTGACGGCAGCTTCTTGAGGGTGCAGTCGGCTCAGAAAGGACAGCCACAGAAGAACCAAACACTCGACATTCTACCAAGACACGTACGCGCATCGATCTCTCTTGAGACATATCAACGCACCATCAGCCTTTCCAATATCCACCCTCCTTTTTTTCCTCCCACAGCCGAAGCGCAATCAAACTCCTCCATCATCCTCGACTGCTCTCCTTTTCCCCCTGTTGAACATCAATCTACCTCTTTCCGCATGACCTGTACCAAATAACTTACATCCACTGTTCAGGCTGCAGCGATGACGGCCTCTGCCACTAGGTCAGTCTTACCGAGTGCCGCGAAGATCTGGGTTTCATGTTTCCTGCCTAAGAATCCGCCCCAACCCCAGACATGCGTTTTCTGCCAAACTCCTTTTACCGTCAGAGCCTCGTGCCCACATCTTCTTCATCACCATTATCATCCACGATGCCGGTGCTTGCTAGTTCAAAGTTTCATGTATGAGCCCGACTAACCAGATTTGATCTGGGTGCATTTGAGGCCGGATTGATGTGCGAGCTGCTATCCGCCTCAAGTGTTTTCCCATACGGGTTCAGCCTGCTGAAACTCAGATCGATCATCGCTGTTGGGACTGGAATGTCGTGCAGGCATGAGTAGACACAGATCATCTGTTGACAGACGTGCAGCACTGCATCTGTGTAGCCGTGCAATTTTTGTGACGGGCAACCAGATTTTTTGATGTCTCCTATTTTGCAACGACTAGCTCTGCTGTGATGACTTTCCGGGGCCCCCTTAGGCTAACCGAGTGTGATCTGCAGTTGAAGTCTGCGCCATAGTTCGTCGGAAAGTTAGGAGCAGCTCGTCGACAAATCTAGAAGGCTTGTAAGTTAGATTAGAGAAGATCTCATCACAAATGTGATGGTTGACCATCACTCGTAGAAAACCTGCTAGGGATTCACGAATCCCAGGTCACGCAGCCGCCGCAGAACACATAAGAGAGGGCGTCCGCGGACACTTTCGCGGTGTAAATGAGGACAGACGTTCAAGCCACAGGGACAAAGGATTCCTCAGCAATCCGCTTTCACACAGCATGCTATCGTCTGAGGGCCAGTGACAAATTTTGGGACCCTGAGTTCTCTGAAGTACCATAGTACATCTAGTAGTGCTTTGCACAGTCGCTCCACCCAGCTCACATAATTTGGCTGGTCAAGTTTAGGCTAGAGTGAGGCTCTACCGCACCTGCCCACTCTTTTAAGATCCGAAAGTGATGTACGATGAATGCCACACTCATCCACTATCTGAACAACGTTCATCGTTGATTTCAGACCTGCTGTTCATTCGCAATCACAACCACAGAAAGCCACTGAGTTCACGTGCAACTAGCACTGACAACTGCACCCAAGCGAGAGGGAACTCTCCGTCTGGGGCAAGGCTCTCATAAGCCTGGCCATATATTGATAAAAGATTGAGCATACTCGTTGGGTTGAGTGCTCCTATTCTCGGCGGATTCCAGCAACAATATGACAGCTTCGGCGATCTTCGAGAAGCTGGTGCTGCATGCACCGCACATTTCCACGAAGCAATTGATTCCAGCCTTCATTTATGGGACGGCCTGGAAGAAGGAGGCAACTACCGAACTTGTCTACCAAGCTCTCTGCAATGGTTTTACTGCCGTGGACACAGCGGCGCAACCCAAGCATTATCGTGAAGATCTGGTAGCTGCTGGAGTCTCCAAAGCTATCAAGGAAGGAAAAGTCAAACGTTCAGAGATTTACTTACAAACCAAATTTACCAGCGTCCAAGGTCAAGATCCGGACAACATGCCCTACGACAAAACCAGCCCAGTGACAGAACAAGTTAACGCATCAGTGATCTCGTCACTCCAAAACTTCAATTTCGCAGACGTTGTCAAGGATGATGACAACGGAGAACCATATATCGACACTCTTGTTCTGCATTCCCCTATGCGAAATATCGAGGAAACGATGGAGGTATGGCACACGCTCGAGCAATACGTGCCGAACGAGATCAAGAATCTCGGCATATCAAACTGCAACCTGTTCACTCTGATGGATCTCTACGAGCGATCCACGATCAAACCCAGTGTTGTCCAGAACCGCTTTTATCCAAGCACAAAGTTTGATATTGGTGTACGCAAGTTCTGCCAGGAGAAGAATATCATCTACGAGAGCTTCTGGACGCTAAGTGGCAATCCAAACTTGCTCTGGTCGGCCGAGGTTGGCTCTCTAGCACAGCAGATTGGTATCACTCCACAATCAGCTCTTTATGGTTTTGTGCTGGGATTGGGCAATGTCACAATTCTCAACGGCACAAAGAGCCTGAAGCACATGCAGGAAGACTGGGACGCCATACAAAAGGTCAAGAGTCTGGCAGAGTCCCAGCCACAGGAATGGGAGAGTGCTCTCCGGGCTTTCCGGAAACTTATAGGTCAACCAAGGCCATGACCGGCGCAGAATGAAGCAGTACCAAGGCTCTCGACTCAACTGCAACTTATCGGTCGCCTGGAATATCGTTCCGGCAAGATAGGAAGTTGTAGGATGAATAGAGACTATCATGCAGATCGTATTCTCGTGGTTTACCTTGTTTCTGCCATTTCCATTTCAGAAGTGCTGCTCGATTATCACGATTGAATCTATCCTTCTGGGATACTAGCATAGACTGGTCCCATTGTTCGACCCTAGCCCATCTCCGCCGGTTTAATAATCCGACCTTACAGCCCAGCTGTTGGTAATGCCCAGTTTGGATCCGAATTCCAACGGTGGAGCAGGTCTTGGTATTGCGCCTTGACCTATGAACCAGTCGTAAAGTTTTTTGTCATGGCGATGTCATACCTAAAAAGGCTCCGGGACTCCAATTCAAAGCCCAAAGTACAACAAAAGCAAAAGCCTGCGATCAGGCAATTGTCGTACCACTGTTCATCTCAGCCTCGTCTGTACATACACAACCACCCTTGCACACTCACGGATCCTTTGATCAGTGATCTTGTCTCTCAAATAGTCCTTGTCAGTCACCGTCACTCACTGTTCGATATCGACCGCTGTTCCGACACGCACCCATTGGGCCTACCTAACACCACCTACCTTCCGTTCTTGCTGTGCTTGCGCGATAGATTCGACTTGTCCAGCCCTTCACCCTTCACCCGCGATCACTTAGTCGTCGACAATTGTAACAGACCCTCTCCAATCCTTGGCTGATTCTCGGCGACGACAACGAGGGGTACTTGATCCCACGATTCTCAGACCTTCACAAAATTCCGCAAACCCTTCCACCACAACTCTCCCTCGCAGCATCTCCTTGTTCATCCCATAGAGACGCTATCATGGCGTCCCAGGGCGTCTCAAGGAAGCGTCCTGCGCCAGGAGCAGATCCGATTCCCTTCCCTCCTCAGATGCCGAATCCCACACCTGCATACAATGACGGGCTCGGACAAAACCTCTCAAACGATGAATTCTTCCAGTGGGGTCAAACTGGACAGACAGTCCCAGCATACAACGACAACAACTTTGCCTTAAATGCAAACACTTATCCTCACGTCAATGCGCAGCCTTCGACACAACTTACCCGAAGACCCATGACTCAGTTGGCCGCTCCGCTTCGTACTCGGATGAGTGAAGATGGAAGCGCATGGATTGATCCCACAAATGGCGCACAATCCATGGACTCTGCTTGGGAAGATGACATATCCGCTCTGGAGGCGCGCGCCCAGGTTGCAAAGAGAGATTCCCAAGCCAAGAGAAAGCAGATACCCCCATTTGTTCAAAAGCTCAACAGGTAAGGGAGTGATCACAAGCGAGATAAGGACAATTCCACTAACAGTCCATAGTTTTCTGGAAGATGGCAAAAATACCGAACTCATCCGTTGGTCAGACGATGGCAACTCGTTCATTGTCCTTGATGAGGATGAATTTGCGAAAACCCTCATCCCGGAGTTGTTCAAACACAACAACTATGCCTCATTTGTCCGGCAACTCAACATGTACGGTTTTCATAAGAAAGTTGGCCTTTCCGACAACTCCATGCGTGCGAGCGAGAAGAAGCACAAGAGCCCAAGTGAATACTCCAATCCGTACTTCCGCCGAGGTCACCCTGATTTGTTGTGGTTAATACAAAAGCCAAAGAATGTCACTGGAACGGCGTCAAAAAGAAAGGGTAAGGCAGATAACGACCAGCTCGAAGAAGATGCGGATGAATTCGTCGAGGATGTCCCAAGCGCCCCGGACACCCGTGTGCGCGCTCGACCAGGTCAACTCACTCCTGCCAACAACAATTCATCAGCTCTCACACAAGAACAATTCGGTAGAGTGCAACGCGAACTGGCTGCGATTAGGAATCAACAGGCTCAGATCGCTCGCATGATGCAACAAATCAAACGTGAACATGAGCAGCTCTACGGCCAGGCCACGACGTTCCAGGATCAGCACAATCGTCATGAAAACTCCATCAATGCGATCCTGACTTTCCTTGCAACGGTGTACAACCGCAGTCTTCAAGGTCAACACGAGGGCATGCCCAGTATGGCAAGCCTCTTTTCCAACAACGCCATGCCGGTTGATGGAGCTAGCCAGGCCAATGTCGTCGACGTCGGAGACTTTTCTTTCGACGACGTCAATCTCGGCGCCAGTCCGGGTCTAGGGAAGCCATTTAAGAAACAGCAACTCCTACTGACCAACGGAATGGCCCAGCCAGGTCGAGCGACTACCGTTTCACCTCGCTCCAGCGCCGTCAACAGTCCCTATCCTCCTCGCGCTCAGAATCTCCGCAATTCGCACCAAACTGTCCTCACTCCCAGTGTAGAGGAAGCTTTCGATATGGGCGTCAACACTCCGAGTACCACAGTTCCGCCGCAGCCTTCCGCATACAATCAAAACTTCCCTCAACGTGACATGATGTCGGTCATCCAGAATGCCAATGCTCACATCAACCAGAGTGCGTCCCCAACCACGCCAGCACAGGACTTCTCCAATGTCCTCAACAATCTCGAGGCGACCACGGGTAACGGTCCACTAAGTACATCCCAACGTGCGGACGTTCTAAAAATGATCAACGACTCCACTCAGCAGCCCTCGGGCAGCGACAATGCACTCATCAACTCAACTCCGCCTTCTGGTCCAGCCAACTTCCGTCGGCGTCTAGCGAACACGTCGTCCGATCTCGATAACCTGGCCAAGATGCAAGCCGAGCAGGATAAGAGCGTCCAGAACCTCACCTCCCTCCTCCAACCACTCAGTCCGACTGGTTCAATCCCTGGCATTGGCGATGGTCAATCTTTACCGCCACCGCCGCTGGACATTGACGACTTCCTGAACCACGCCGATTACTTTCCCGACATGTCCAGCGACCCCAACGGAAACTACGATTTCGGTAACACCGGTCTAGATTCCAACGGCGCCAATGACTTCGGTTTTGCGGACTACAAAGACGATGACGAGCTGTTTGGCAATCTCCCGGACCCTGCTGCTGCGATGGGCTTTGACGCTGCAGGGGCGGGTGTAGGCGCGGGAAACCCGAAGTTTGAGACGGCGAGTGACTTTGGTGGTGGACACGTCGAGAGCATGCCTAGCAGCACTGTGACCACACCCAAGTCGGCTTCAAGTGGAAAGCAGAGTGAGGGACCGGCTACGCGCAGTAAGGGAAGAAAGATGAGCGCTGTGGACGAAGATGGTGGTCAACAGAAGCGACGACGAGGCTGAGTTGGTCTGAAGCCTTGGTGAAGACTTGGATTCTATGTTTTGAGTTAACGAGTGAATGATTAATACCGATACCATGTGCCAGCTAGATGGCACCTTCTTCAATGAATACTAGAAGATCCCCATTCGCAAAGTCGTCTGGTTTCGTTGTTCCCGTTGTCTTCCAGCGCGCTAACGCGATATTGGTTGGTCGTTGTGCCAGGTGTTCTGTTTGATAGTCGACTGTTTGCCCTAGCCATCGGAGATGAGGCCAACATTAAAGACGGTTCCTGGACCCTCTACAAACACGCTGGCGTTGTTAATCCCGGTACAGCGAGTGCCCCAAGCCCAACGTCAGTACAAACGACTGCTACTAGGCATAGTCGTCTGTCCCTACCACCTTTTTGTTCGCCCAATTCCAACCCATCGTCGACAAGGACTTCCTGGTGGGGTGATCTGTACCAGCGTACTGGACGAAGCGCAGTACATCCTAGCGGACCCCAATTATAACCCTAGGGACTTTAGATAACTATTACGAGTGATACTTAAGGCGCTGTTCTGGGGGATATACGTCGACGCTCTAGAGTATGTTTTTACCAAGGAGATACTCACGTATATAGGTAGTAGCTACCGGTCCGGACGGTCGCTTGGGTCGGGGTGGGAAGAGGGATCCCACTACAACTATCGCCAACACGAACTGCTTCTATTTTCCCGGGAGCATCGGTGGTCTCAATGTCGTTGGAGCAAGAGCGGGGGCCCATCGTGAGTAATGGGAAAGGAGGGAGTAGACTTTGGATTTGGGAGGTCTCCTATGGCTATAACGCCCGGTCTTCGATGGTCAATCAGATGGGTGAGCGTTGGGCGAATGGAGGTCACCTTACCCAATATGATACTTTTATATCTACCTTGGGAACGTTGTCAGGGGTGGTCTTCTGCAGGCCATCAAGCCCGAATGCAGTTGGAATTCTCCACAAGTTCATCTCTAGTCTCTCTTCTTCACCCGCGGGAAACTCAACCATATCCCAACCAACACCACGATCAGTGCCAGTATGACCGGCTGCAAGACCTCTACGCCCTTCTTCGCGGCGATGGCGCCAATGGCAAATGGAAACACCGTCCCTCCAGTCCCACCAATAGCCATAGCGAACCCAATGCCACTGACGTGAATGTGCTTGGGCAGCAGCTTTGCTCCCATCATCACACAACCGGGGAACATGGGCCCGAGAAAGAACCCCAAGAACGCAACAGCCACAGCGGACACGATGAACCGCGGCACAAGCCAGAATATGAGTTGCAGCGCCATGCAGAATGCCAAGTATATCGTGATGCAGAGACGTTCGCCAAAGCGTTCGGTCACAAAACCTAGTGTGGCGCGGCCGAGAGCCATGCCTGCCCAGAATCCTGTGCCTGAGTACCCCGAGGCGGCGCGTGATGCGGAGCGGACGCGTAGCATGAATGTGACGATCCAGCCTCCTAGGCCAACTGTTGCAACATTGGTTAGTGACAGGCACAAGACGTGGTGTAAGAAGGTGAACGTTACCTTCGATGCCCATGTATATGAAGAAAAAGGCGGAACAAATCCAAGTACTTTTCGACTTGAGGGCTTCTCTAGTGCGACCACCCGTAGCGTTGTCTTCGCGTGGATGTTCGATTTGGTACACTTCACCTGTCTTGTGCCAGAATGTGATACTCAGACCGAGGAGTTCGAGGACCGAAACGCCAATCTGTCGTGCATGTTAGGCCAACGATGGTCGAAAGGAGCAGCAAAAGGAGGAGTAGAGATGGGGGAAGGCGGTTCAGTGGAGTCATACCATGACATAGTAGAAATTGTACCAGGGCATGTTGGCACCAACGACCATTGATGTTGCGATTAGGGGTGCGAACAGTGCTCCAATCGAATAGCAGGAGTGCATGACCCCCTGGACGGCGTTGGGGTTGTCCATGACGCCTACCCAGGCGCAGAAACAGGCGTCCTCAAGGCCGTTGCCGAAACCGGAGAGGGCGTTGACGATGACAAGGGCTGGAAAAGGTGGATGTGCGGCGAGAATGGAGTAGGTCACGATGTGGCATATGGGAGCCATGATTGCGATACCACGCTGGCCGAGTTTCATGTGGATGCTGGCGTTAGTGAAAGCTGCGAGGGAGTAGCCGGCGAAGGGCGTCAAGAAAATGAGTGAGATTATGGTGTAATTCAGGGAATAGTATTGTTCGAGCTGCATGATGTTAGTAGGGTGGGCCCGTTGTTCTTCCAAGGTGGACGTACATAGGGAATGAGAGCCTGTCGAGCACGTTAGAATTGGTTTTGATAGAAGGCAAGACAATGCGTACACCAGTAGCAGCATCATTGAGGCCGGCAATGACGAATGACCAGGATGCGAATACAAGGCGTGGTATATTCCCTCTGGGCCTGTTCCAACGCTGAGCGACTGGCTGGGCATTGTCGGGAGGGACAGCAGCAGCGTCCCGGTGGACATTGTCCTCTTCATCGGACAGAGTGCCTTGAGGGATTGACGAGGAACCGACGACGCGACGTGATAGCTCGCGGAGAGACCTCCCGGGCGTTTTGAGGCTGAGTTCGAATGTCTCCGGAGTTGGTGACGCCGCGTTCTCAGGCCGAGATATTGTTAGCGTCTGGGACATAATCGCGATGGACTTGTGGAAGAAATGGAATGAAATTCATCAAACACAAAAAGCGCCCGGCCATGCTATGCAAAGGGAATTACTAAGGGCAAGAGTGATGCTACACCTGCTTTGTCCGTGATCACAGATGTTGGAGGGCAACCAAGATTCAATATCAGAGATGTCGCCAGTTTAAATGTTATTTTAGGCTGATAGCGTCAGGCGGTCCGCTGGCGATCCCCGAACATTGTTTCATTTTATTGACTTCGATGAGTGTCTCCGAAGGGAAACGTTGCTCCAATTCACCAAGCGAAAGAATGGTTGTTCAATAGAGACTTCTCTTATTGATACCCTAACACCTGAGACTAGTTTCTGTACATACCTTGGAGGGACTGCTGTAGGCTGTTGCACACTCGATACACATTTCTTGCAGAATGAAGCCGATTTCTACCGAACACCATGTTCCACCATCGGCACCCTCTTCTCCTTTGCAGCCTTGGTCGACCCAGCAAACACTTGCTTCTCAGCACCAGGTTTGCCACTCTTGGTGGTCGATTCACTCCGAGACATGCCTTTCTCCTTGGTGACCGAGTTCGTAGGCGTGGTCTCATCACCTCTGACCTCGACTGTTTGCGCACTCATGGACTGGTTGGCAGGACTCGCATCCAGCGGGTTACTCCAGTCATTCTCTTTGCCAGATGCTTTTCGAAGCGCCTCGGGATCAGTCGATTTGTTTTCGAAAGATATTGACTGCGAGGCCACTGCATCGTCAGTGCCGGATTGTGAATACTCGTAGGATTGACGGTCGATTTTGTGACGATTCTGTTGAGCTTGCTTCTTGTCTACACTACTTTCAGTTGACTCGAAGGTGCGTTCGGCTTTGGTAGTTTCTGAGGCGTATGAGCGGCTCAGCTGGATCGTGTTTGAATGTATTCTCGTTGATGGTCGGGTGAGGATCCGGCGCGAAGTAACGTGTCTGATCCACTGGGTGCTTGTCATGGGAGCCATTTCGAAGTATGCTGGAGATTGGGTGTCTATGTTTGGCTCACTTGATTTTGCATTCGTGGAATGTCATAAGCAAGAATGAGTAGGTCAAAAGTGAAGAGAGAAAATGAAGCAATGGCTAAGTCGTGGATTCTGCTACAGTAACGTAAAATAACGTCATTGACAGGGGGAAATTCGCTTTTCGGGCATCGATTCCACTATGCCAGGGGTAAAGACCGGAGTCTACCCCGCAAGATCCACTTATCCGCGCCCATGTGAGCGAGCAAATGCAGAGCGGTGATTCCATGGACCGACTCTTGAACAGGGACCTCTCGGTAAAGGACCTCGTAGGCACACGCTATTCGTCCAGGACAGTCGAGAAATGAAACGACTCGATCAGTAACGGGATTAGCAGGTGTAGTGTGTGACAGATGGTGATCCCAGTATTCTGCACTGTATGCCAGGAATGGATATTGGCTACGCCGTGCGACACGCAAAACCTCCAATTGCTGCAAACCTCATGAAATCCATATCCTTCGCTATCTGTGACATAAGTATGACCGTCCGCAAATTCATCTAGATGTAAGTAGTTCAGACAACAGGAAGCGAGAAAGCCATGAGGATCCATGAGAAAGCCGTTTGAAAGGGTCTCAAGGAAGATCTGGGTTGTTTCATGCACCAGCCGCATAGTCTTACTCTGGGCTTCCACGGTCACCAACCCAGCACAGCTGGAGATCATGAGCTCTGGATCGTCAAGGTCGTATGCCTCATCTATCTCTTTCATGTCCGCATCGATCGCCAGGGCATGTTGCACTTCAGCTACGCAAAGTGGCCGAGCGCAGTAAGTGACGCATATCAGGACCCTTCTTGCTAGGTCTTTGTGCTCTTCGGGTTGGCTCTTTATCCTTTGCATGGTGTCCTCATACGCGCGACCCAGAGCATTACCGCCTTCCCTGAATTTCTTGAGCGATTGCATGACATCCTTAGGTTTTGTCTTGTCCATGAGGGCATCACAATGTAGTTTGGCAAGGAGGAACCTAATCGCTGTCAATTAGGATAGTAAAAGACACGACTCACAAATATACATTCCTTGGACGCTTTCACAAATGGCATCTTTGATTTGTGGATGCAGATCGGTCTTCCCTGCAATGCATTCAAACTTTGGTATCATCGCATCACAGAACGTGGCAAGATCATCGTCCGTGGCATGGATGTTGATGCGCTCCAGTTCCTGGAAGTATTCGAGAGCTTCCGGAATCGGACGCGAGGTGGCTAAGATTTGGATTGCAACTGTTGAACTGAGCCTGTCTTGCATTTTGAAAAGCAACGCGAGCACATCTTCCCAAGGCTTGTCCTCAGGCTTACTTGATCCCTGGCATTCGTCCAGAGCATCAATGATGAATGTGACTCTGGAGAACCTAGCAATAAGCTTTCCAAACCTGAAAAGATCTCTTTTTGGTTGGGACGCGCAGTGGAGCTGCCTTTTCTATGCTCCTCGTACAAGCTTTCGACATGATGACCATGTTTCGAGCCCTGCAAGAAGAGTTGCCGTACAAGACTGGACGTTATGGACAAGGTCGACTGCGTTTCATGTCTCTTGAAGCTGCTGTAGAAGTAGGCAACTGCACAAGCATCTTGCTCAGATACACTGTTCTCCAACTTATGAATGATGCTGGAAGCCACGATTGTCTTGCCCGCGCCGGGAATGCCTGAAAGCAACAATCGATTCAGCCCCCCATCACGCCATGCGCGGTATACTGGGTCTGTGAAAATCCACTGTCCTGTGCCTGGGTGCACCTTGCTGAAGAAGTCCGCTTGTTGCTCAGCGTAGGTTCCTGGCGCCAGCCAGTTGGCGATTTCCTGGACATTGGCGTTGTCAAGACTCACTGTCAGCTTCTTTAAGTCGTGTTGTTGTTGTGCACTGCCTGTCCGTCAGTTGCGGCAAATTGGGGACCGTCAAGCCTGATTCCAGGAAGAGTGGCATCGTCTGACAGCTAGCACAGCAACCTCGTAATCTGGAAATGAAGACGATGATGACGACGGCTTCTTGAGCTTCACTCTGATATCTTGATGCCATTGGAGTCGACTGCCAGCTCAATTTGAAGCGCTGATCATCCGACGCTTTTGATAAGAGGTTCGGTAAAGACATTGGAAGGAGATATTTCATTTGAGTCCGACAGGCTTCCAAGGCCAGACTGTGCCACTCTGTCTGGAAACAGGCTTGATGCATAGGTCACTCACCTGCTTAACCGCTGGCGAACAGTATCGAGAAGCTGGATTGCTGAAATGAGGCGAGAACGTAGCCTATCAGCATCTCCGGAGTCCCATCTGAGACGCTTCCACATGCCTTTTGACAGTATCTTTTGAGGCGGGTTAGACAAGTCAAGTTCCGTAAAATGATCAACAGTCAAATTCAGATCTCTCAAGACGTTCTCGCAATTTTTCGAAGCGTCGTGCAGCTTGTCTCTGTCCAAGGGCGCCAGATCGTCATCGTCGACCCGAATCTTGACATCATTGACGATGGTTTGAAGTATTCGTGTCCTTCATAGGTTAGCCAGGCGCTACGAGATGCAGTAAATGACTTTCGTACTCGTTAGCGAGCGCATTGAATTCGGTTGGAGCTCCTTTGAAACGCTTTCTCGTCTCGTCGACCAATTCTGCCACAGCCAGAAAATCGCCTACTCCAAATCCGAAGCTCATGTCGTCGTGATCCGGGTGCAACGTATGGTTGAAAGCCTCTGCTTTTCTCAAAGAACGTTTCTCATGCCTTTATGGTGGAAGTTATGCGAAGAGGGCTGAAAGAGCGAAGAATGAATCTCAAGAGATAGCACTGCCCAAACAAAGCCCGAATGTCTGTCACTTGTACCACGTGAAATGCTCTTCTCGACGTGCAATGAAAAGGCTGCATGATGGGCTGCGAGCGGCACATATCAGCAACGCAGACCAGGGTGTGCAGCAGATGCCGAGTCGAGTTCCAGAAAGTGGCGGAGTTAGGTGAAAGCACATCCAGGACATCATCAGTACACCTTACAAGGGTTGAAGGCATGGGGAGGCATGACACCAAATCACCTAATCCCAGAGTATTGTGTGGCCTTTCGAGTGTCAGGATAACGACGTTACGCGCAGCACTCCCGGTCGGTATCAAGATGCTGTCCGTCCATTCATCATTTTGCGAAAGCTGATGAGGTAACATGAGGCTGTAGCGTCAAGATGTGGCAGCCTAGCATATGGGATCCAAAAAGACTACTCTGAAGTAATATCTGAACTGATAACATAGTTGCGACAGACGCGAAGGTTTCGAAAGGGACGAAGAGAATGAGTACCGGACGATCTTCGGGCAATACTGTGGATAGTCCAGTTGGGCATTGCCAGGCACCGGGTCACTAGCGATTGAGGGCGAGGGCTTCGCTAGGCTGATCAATAGGCTACCAACTACCGGTAGTTATGGTGGGAGTGGCTGGGCATCTCCCTAGGAACTTTCCCCACGCGCCGCAACGGCCGCCTGCGCTATTGGCACGAGAAGTGTCGGTCCTTTTCTTTGTCGCTGACTCCCCGGCCAGACCGCAGATCAACAACACGCATCCAGACAGTCACAACTCAAACAGTCCGTTTGCCCAAAGCGATGTCGAGAGACTTCACCACACTTGGATCCTCATGAGTCCCGTCTCCAACACACACAATGAAGTTCACCTACGCAAAGACGACCATCGTGCTCCTCCCATGCCCTCCCTAGTGAAGCAACGCTTACCCTGGGTGCTGCCCCTCGTCTTTCCCTCGACCTGACAAAGACAACATGACAGATCCTCACCCGGCCTCAGACTCCTCCCACCCTGATTCCGATCCTCATGATGCGCAAGGTGATTTCAGTCACTTTTCTTTTTCACAAGGTCGTTCGAAAGAGTCAGAGGCATGGAGCGACGACCGGTTCTTGTTGACCCCTCCGATACAACCCACGACTGCTGATCCTCTGGGTCAACCCATGTATCAAAATAAAGCTCGAGCTCTCCAAGCAAATCAGCAGGCATTCTCGGACAATGCACAGCTTTCGAGCTCTCCAGAAAGCTCTGCGGCGCTACACCATGATGCGGCCCGCCTCATTAGTGGCCTACATATCAAGACCGATGTTAACGCTCTGCATCGAGTAAATTCTGCTCAGTCAATGGAATCCGAGTCGCGGTTGCGGTCGAGTACATCGGCGTCAAGCCTTCCATACCGAGTGCCCAGTATTCGAGCACAACTGCATTCCGCTGCCGGCTCCGTATCACCGGGCACCACTCTGTCTTCGCCCCAGATTGCTGCCATGCTCGATATCACACCGCTTCCATCTCCGACCACGGGCGCGTTTGAGTTGCTCAGACCGATTTCAAGAACCAGGTCTCGAGGCTCTTCTGTGTCGTCTCTGAGATCTTTCATACTGGAAATGAATCCTCCAGCGTATGCCGCACCGAACTATAACTTGGGCAGTCTCTCACCTACCTCACCTCGCCGTAAGGGCTACCCAGGCCTCAAGTCACCTCCGAGACGGAATTCCGCAGATGACCGAAGACCTTCCGATGAAGAAAGTCACGCTAGAAGTGTAAGCGACTATGTTCCAGAGGCTTTGGCGATGCCAAAACCACGGCACGTTGTGGTCAGTACTGGGACCCCTGCCGAGGTAAACCAAGCGTCATCAAGTATGCACCGCGAAGAATTCATTGGTCCTCGCAGAAGTATAGCAGAGGGTCTTGAACAAGTTAACGTACATCTTCCAGTTGTGCATAAGATGGAAACCACTCACGAGGATGAACCAGCACCCAAACGCCCAAGGCTGGAAGTCTTCCATGCGAAAGGTATCACTTCAGGGGAACCAAGAGCTTATGAAGCAATCAAGACGCTGGGACAGGGAACCTTCAGCAAGGTATATCTGGCAGTACGCTTTATTCATAAGGATCGGAAAGATAGTGTTGATTATCGACAAGACAGCATTAATATGGCTGGCGTCAAGGCCCGATCGCGGAGAATGGTCGCTGTCAAGGTTGTTGAACAAGGTCCAGCCGGCGGAGCAGATGCGGAGAGAATCGAAGTTGGCTTACAGCGAGAGGTGGAGATCTTGAAGGCAATACAACACCCATCTTTGGTCCACCTCAAGGCATTTGGCAAGGACAGAGCTGGTCGAGCACTTCTGGTGATGAACTATTGTCCAGGTGGAGATCTATTCGAGGTTGCCACGAAACACCAGGAAGTTTTGGTGCCAGCGCTTGTACGAAGAATCTTTTCAGAATTGGTTTCAGCTGTGCGGTACCTGCACCAAAAGTATATTGTCCATCGGGATATCAAGTTGGAGAGTACGTCTGCCCTGAAGTTCTGTTGTGCGCATGCTGACAAGTTCAGACATCCTGCTTAACATTCCGGTTCGCGTTCACTCCGATGTTCGTGATTGGCAGACACTAGATCGAGCTGTTATCACGTTGACCGATATGGGTCTCTCACGTCGGATCCCTCAGCCACCTGAAAGTCCACTACTCACGACAAGATGTGGAAGTGAAGATTATGCGGCTCCGGAAATTCTCATGGGTCAACCTTACGATGGACGTCAGACGGACGCATGGGCACTGGGTGTAGTCTTGTATGCATTGATGGAAGGACGTCTACCTTTTGATCCATTACCTGGAGCAAGAGGAGATCCAGCCACACTTCGAGCACGAACGCCGCACCGAATTGCTCGATGCGAATGGGCATGGGTCAAGTATGGAGATGAAGATGGGGAATGGGACCCGGAAAAGGGTCATGGCTACGAAGGCGCTCCAGCATGCGTGGATGGACTGTTGAAGCGCAACACACGACGAAAACCACTTAGCGACATCCGTGAAATGCCCTGGGTCAAGGATGGGATTCGAGTGGACGGTGGTCTTCGATGGGTGGAAGAGGAATTGTAACAACACCAAAAAAAGGAGATGATTCTTGTGATTCTCAATGGGAACAATCAATGTTTGAGTACAGGCATAGACTGGGGTGACTGGGATAACTATAGAAGAAGCCTAGTTGGGTAGGATGACTCGATGCATTCCTCGAGGAAGTACTCCATACTCCATACTCGATGTATCAAATATGCTTCTGCCGGAGTCATGTTGGACTCCCCGAATGCATCCCTATTGTCTATGTCTTGATTGGCTGCACGATCCCTCGGTCTCAATTGTTCACCTCGCCCGCATATTTTTTGCGGGTGTTGGAGAAACTTCGCCTGCGTCGGAGCAACTGCATCGACCTTTTTCTTACAAACGTGAACCGGGTTAGATAGAAGCTTGCGTCGAAGCTTGGAGTCGTGGAGGACAGTGACTCATCGTCTTGTTTATTTGCACTGGCTTTGCGCGAGTCTGTACACAAAGTCGCGCCCGCTGCTGTCGACTTTTCAGTACCAGCACAGCACATAGCACACAATGAAGGCTTCGGCGTCTCTCAGAAGTCTACGCCTGAGGCAGGCAAAGGCACCTTTGCTCAGCCGGAACATGTACGCTGACATTCCGTGGCTCGAGAGCGTAGATACTGACCCCGTCACAGTCGTTCTTTTTCATCCTCGCCACGCAGTTTCGACGAATCCTCGGAACAAAATGGACTCAACAAAGTCTCAAGAACAATCACACAGCCCAAATCTCAGGGCGCATCACAGGCCATGCTGTACGCCACAGGATTGAGCGAGACCGATCTGAACAAGGCGCAGGTCGGTATATCATCCGTTTGGTACTCGGGCAATCCATGCAACATGCACTTGATGGATCTGTCCAACATCGTGAAAAAGGGTGTATCCGACTCGGGACTGGCGCCCATGCAGTTTAACACCATTGGCGTATCTGACGGCATATCGATGGGCACAACGGGCATGAGATACAGTTTACAATCAAGAGAAATCATCGCCGACTCGATAGAGACAGTGATGAACGGACAATGGTACGATGCCAACATCTCCATACCAGGTTGCGACAAGAACATGCCGGGTGTGATCATGGCCATGGGTCGCGTAAACAGACCCTCGATCATGGTGTACGGAGGCTCAATAGCCCCCGGGTGTGCCAGAACCCAGAACAATGCGGACATCGACATCGTCTCCGCCTTTCAGGCCTACGGCCAATTCATCACGGGCGAAATCGACGAGGAGCAACGCTTCGACATCATTCGCCACGCGTGTCCCGGCTCAGGCGCCTGCGGCGGCATGTACACCGCCAACACAATGGCATCGGCGATCGAGACCTTGGGTATGACGCTCCCAGGCAGCTCATCGAATCCAGCCGTATCCAAAGCCAAACAACTCGAGTGTCTGGCCGCTGGTGGTGCGATCAAGAATGCTCTCAACCTCGACCTCCGCCCCCGCGACATCATGACACGCGAAGCCTTCGAGGACGCCATGGTCGTAGTCATGATTACCGGAGGCTCCACCAACGCGGTGTTGCATCTCATCGCCATGGCCGACGCCGCCGGCGTCAAACTCACTATCGACGACTTCCAGCGCGTCAGCGACAAGACGCCATTCCTCTCCGACCTCAAACCATCAGGGAAATACGTGTTCAACGACCTCCACAACATAGGCGGTATCCCCACACTCCTCAAGTTTTTGATCAAAGAAGGCGTCGTCAAGGGCGAGGGTATGACAATCACAGGTCAAACACTCAAGAAGAACGTCGAATCTGCGCCAGATTTCCCGTCCGATCAAACGATCATCAAGCCGTTCTCCAATCCGATCAAGGAGACTGGACACATCCAGATTCTACGCGGCAGTCTCGCGCCAGGAGGCAGCGTGGGCAAGATCACAGGTAAAGAAGGTCTACGATTCGTAGGCAAAGCCAAAGTCTACGACGCGGAAGATTTGTTCATCGAAGCTCTCGAGCGAGGCGAGATCAAGAAGGGCGAGAAAACGGTGGTGGTGATCCGGTACGAAGGACCCAAGGGTGGGCCCGGTATGCCTGAGATGTTGAAACCCAGTTCCGCGATCATGGGCGCGGGTCTGGGTAAAGACGTCGCGTTGATCACTGATGGGCGATTCAGCGGTGGTTCGCACGGGTTCTTGATCGGGCATATCGTGCCGGAAGCCATGGAGGGTGGACCGATTGGTTTGGTGAGGGATGGTGACGAGATTGTCATTGATGCGGAGACGAGGAAGTTGGATGTCAGTGTTGATGAGGCGACGCTTCAGCAACGAAGGGAGGAGTGGCTGAAGAATAAGCCTAGTCCTAGGTATACGAGGGGTGTGCTGGCGAAGTATGCTAAGCTTGTGAGTGATGCGAGTCAGGGATGTATTACGGATAAGGAGGAGTAGCCTTGAGGAAACTTTTGAAAAGGGCCGTGTTACCATACCACCTTGCATACTCTGGATGGGATTGTACCAAGGCGCGACGGATATAGGGTCTCGTGTTCGGCATATACTACATTAGGAGAGGCTTCACGAGCAGCTATTTTGGAGTCATGAGGATCGTCCGATGAGGAAGGTGAGGACTGACGAATGAGGTTTACCCCTTGCCTTTAGTCATGCCTGATTCATGTCCGCTACATAAGAACCTCCGGATATGTGCCGCTGATGTATTTACTGTAGCACGTTTCAGGCCTGTACTCGGAGTTGCAGCGCTCTTGAGCAGGGCAATCCTGGCTCCGGCTACATGTGGATAGATATGGATACATAGAAGAACACATCCATCTTGTCCGGCCTGAGATATCTCCAGAATTCCTTGGTAATAATGCAGTCAGCATGTACGGATCTTACATGCATAGTATACCTATACCTGACATGCGGAGAAGGAGATGTGCGTACACCATGCTCAAAGGAAATGCAAGAAGTTGGTTGTATGTGGTTCATCCAGGTCTTGTTTGCAGCCTGTGCCACATGTCTATGATGCTATCTTTGCGCCTCATCATGGCTCATGATACCTTCCCTATTGAGTGATGATACAAGTGAATATGCTTCTCAAACCCTCAACCCATGCTGCCATCTCGTGATATCTGGCTCTTGGCCCTAAGGTTGAAGGTTCCCAGCGATGCTCTCTAGTAATGACATAAAGCGGAGAAAGGCGGAGAAGACCATCCCGAAGGATTGTCGTACTGAAGAGACGTGAATAGACTCATCAGACCGTTTTTCAACCTCAAGCAGCTGGACCATCCAGCTTAACTTTGCCCTTTATGCTTTCCCACTTGGGCGTGAACGCTAGCAAGAATGTGACGCACGCACAAGCAATGGCAATAGCGAACGGCACTCGGAGACCTTCCATGTAGGCGGAGAGGATGCCTGGAAGCTCGGCGGCTGAAAAGACATTTCTCAGATCCGTCGCACCAGTCGCAACGACCAATGACGGACTAACGCCAGGAACTTTGTTGGGGATCTCCTTGAGCATTTTGTTGGTAAAGCCAGCTTGTCCGGCGCTGATGAAAATGGCTCCTCCAATCGTCTGGAAGAAGAGAATGATGGCTGAGACTGAACTGAGGTCGGAAGGCTTGACGATGGCTTGCACCACAATGACGGGTATTTGGAAGATAAGACCGACACCAATACCTGCACTACGATATGAAGTCAGTGAAAGCACTTGGAAGAACGAGGAGCTGAATAACTTACAGCGCCTGATAACCTATCCATTTGGAATGACCGCTGTCAATTTCCAGGGTGAAGAGGAGTCCGCAACCCACGGCGGCAATGGCAGAGCCGACTGCCATGGGTGGGATGTACTCTCCCCAGAAAGTGAGAAGACCGCCAGAAGCGATCGTCAACAAGGATGCACCAAAGACAAGAGGCAGGTTGTCGATACCGGATTTGGCCGCCGAAATGCCACGAGTTGCTTGAAAGTAAATGGGAAGATAGTAGAGAAGAAGAAAGAAGATGCCGGCGACGAAAAAGATGTAAGCTGACATGGCGGCAATTGTCCGGTCCTTGAGAAGTCGACCCTGGAGCAAAGCGCGGTCGCCTTGAATGTATTCGATAACCACAAAAGTGATGACCAAGAGTCCGAACAGGACCAGGCATGCAATGACGGACCCATCAGACCATGACTTGGTGGCACCACCCCATTGCATTGCGAGGAGATAGCAGACACACGCTGCCATGATGGTGAAAGTGCCGGGAAAGTCCATCTGCAAGAATTTCTCCCTCAACGTTGCTGCTTGTGGCCTGGCACCTTTGGGAGTGCGGAAGAACAGGAAGATGAGGCCACCAGCAACGCCGCCAATGGGAAGGTTGATGTAGAAGCACCATCGCCATGTGAGATGGTCGGTGAAAACGCCGCCCAGCAGGGGACCAATGATTGAAGCGATACCGAATGTTGCGCCGAGAGCACCGGTGAGTGCAGGACGTCTTGCTGGTGGCGCGGAGAAAGCGATGATTGTATAACCGCCTGAAGCAATGCCTGCACCACCCATGCCAGCCACAGCTCTGCCGACGATAAGAGTGGTTGAGTCTTTGGCCACCGCACAGATCAACGAGCCAATCTCGAAAATGACGATACTGCACAAGTAGGAGATCTTTAGAGGGAAGTACTTGTAGAGTTTACCCCACGTGGCCTGGAAAGAGCCGATCGTGAGGAAGAAAGCACTACCGTACCAACCGATATCGTCGACAGAGTGGAACTGGTCCGTGATTCGGGGAATGGCAGTGGCGACAATGGTCATATCAAGAGCGACAAGGAAGATACTGGCCATCAAAGCAATGACAATCATGAGCAGGGGGAATGCTGCTGGATAGTCGGCAGTATCAATGCGGGAGATTTCGCGGCCCATGTCTTCATCTTTCTCGTTTTCAATCGGGACGGTTTGGGCTGAGTCTTGTCGATCGAGATCGACCTCTTGTTCGTGTTTCTCATAATTGTTGTCAACGGTAGGTTGAATGGGTTTGGATAGGTCGGTGATGGAGGTAGCCGCCGAGGTTTCGTGGGATTTGACGTCCGCCATCTTGAGGGAAAGAACAACTGTGTAAGAGGGTACGTTCTGGGTAAGATTCACGAAGAAAGGAATACACGTTAGTAGACGACCTTCCGGAGATAGATATACATTCGACCATGGAAGGCCTGGCAGGAGTCATTCATGCTGGAGATAAGTGGAAATAACGTTATGGACACGCATTGACGCAAAAAAAGATCACAGTACCTGAAACTCTCCGTTAACACTGGACGAACTCGTCCGGTAGGGTCGGTCAACTGCTGCATGCGGAAAGGGCTGACGGCCAGTGAATCATAGGGGGATCGTATCATGGTTGACACTGAAGTCGAATACGTCGCTTGAGCATGTGGAGATAAGGCTGAAGCAGTCCAGCGGCCAGGAGTGGACGAGCTAAATCCGGTTGAGGCTCCCATCCGGCATCCGAGCGAGGTGGTGACTCTAAGTTGGTCTGTGTAAACGTGTAAACGAGCCTTTGGAACCGCCAGACTGGCTCATGCCCTGTTCCAGGGTTGCCATTCGTGTTGTTGAAGGCCATTTTCCGCCCTCGGCCGACAGCAAGGGGTGTGGACTTTCGCCAAGTAGCTTTGGTATGTCGATGTCGTGATGCCAGGTAAACAAGAAGTTCAGGCAGCCCATTGAGTCGTATAGGCTTTCGCAGATCCCCGCTAGATGACCAGGATGGGCCATGTGCAACCCTACAGATTGGAGGAAAAGCACGAATATGGGAGTCCTGATATCGTACTGTGTTGGGAAGTGGGATGGATGACAAAGTCCATCTCGGAAAAAAGAGAAAATGATTCCGGTGGGATTTTCCACCAACGAGTCGTCGTCAGACAGAAACTATTTGACCTAGAGCGCGCAGATTATACACGGTCTTCGTGCTATTCAGACTGTCAGACTGCCATATTCATCATGGGCTTATAGCCCTCGTGATCGATTGTGCTAGTACACGACAAAACAGTGCTGCCCTTCTCCATGCATCGTGCTCAGCTTCACCGAGGGTTCAATATCGACAGGAAGTGTCATGATGTCGATACCTCAACGCTTTCCTATTCCTCGTAGCACCATTCTCCGTATTATCACAGCCTCGGATTTGGCTCATCCGGACCCCCGATTTAGTAAGCAGAACCATATTTGATCCGACCGGCGGACGGACGAAGGAAGGACGAAGCGCGGTCAATGCGCCGAAACCTCAGTGCTTCACGTTATTGACTCGTCAGCCAGGCACAGCAGGCATCAGTATCGATGACTACGGCTTGCGGTAGTTGAACGTTCCAGAACATCGCATCACGTTGTGCTGCGTACTTGCCCGATCACACTTGCGCCAATCAACTCATCTCATCGCATCGACTGCTCAGTCAGCAAGATTTGTGCTGCGGTTGTCTGTACATTCTCTCATGAACAGGCTATACACATCCGTTGCACACTCAATCTGATCCTTCCTCCGTCCATCTCGAGCGAAATCCCCGTGTCCCGACTTAGGCTCCCGTCAGCCAATCGACATGGCGCAACCATCGAGTAATTCCACTTCCCCATATGATGACCATGGACTTGGTTCAGATCATGGCCAAGGTCCACCACGAAAGAAGATGCGCAAAGGGACCAAAAGCTGTCTAGAGTGTCGGCGCAGAAAGATCAAGTGCAATTTTGAGCCTGGGAGGCCGGCCATATGCAATGAATGTCATGCCAGAGGGTCAACTTGCATTGACCAAGAGCATGGAGATGTCCAGACATACACGAACCCAAGCACGGAACAGTCCAACTATAGTCTGAGAGAGCGGGTGTCACAACTGGAAGACCTGGTGAAACAGGTACTACACCGCTTACCCGAAAAACAAGGAGAATCGACATTCACACACGCCGATGCGGATCAAGTCGATAGGAATCAGGTTGATGCCCAGGCAGCTGGAGTGCTGAAAAGCCTCAAGAGCTCACTTCGTCAGGCTGAGGTCAATGCACAAGAGTCGATACTACTTCCAGGCGGCATTCGGAACAGCGCACCGGCGCTGACATTGTTCGACAATGCGGTTCTTACTCGACAAGACAGTCAACCAGTGGTATCGAGGGAGCAGTACAACAAGAACAAGGCCCTGCTAACCGCACTGAACAAGTTGCTGCCCTCTCCTCACGACTTGGAAATCATCCTCGAGTCTTCACACGAGTGGTGGACGATCTGGCGCAAAATGTTCCCCGAGATCACCGACAGTCGTTGCGAAACCATCAAAGAGTCCGTCTCGCATTCTCTGCGATCCGAAAAGCCTGCCGAACTCGCCAAAATCATGCTCTGTATTGCCATTGGCATCCATCAACTACCACTGGAATTTGATTGGTCAAAACTGTATATTAAGGAATCACCGGGAGAGCTGATGGAAAGATATATTGCTACGGTCAATAGGCTGATCACCTCCGATGATGAGATTGCCGCCACAGTCGACGGCCTCGAGTGCATGATGCTGGAAGGAAAATACCAGATCAACATGGGTCGGCCCCGGCGCGCCTGGCTTCTATTTCATCGAGCCATTGCATTTGCTCAGCTATTGGGCTTGCACAAGTTGGCAGGACGTACCGACAAGACGTCACTTGATTACCAGCGGTCCGTCAACATCTGGTGCCATCTTGTGTTGAGCGACAGATATATATCTACCTTCCTTGGTCTGCCATATTCGGTTGCTGACCAATTCGTCACGCCCTATCTTCCTGGCACAGGCCTGCCTCCGACAGGATGTAGTCCAGGTGAGGTATACGCGGGGAAAATGCTTCCGATCATCACTAGAATCAATGATCGGAATCAAAGCGTCGTTCCCATGGGTTACTCTGCCACCCTACGGCTGGATCAGGAGATGGAGGAATTATATGCCGCTCAGGATCCGACGTGGTGGAGCCTCGAACGTTTTCCGGGAGCCGGCGCCGACGACCACTTTGACCGACTACAAACACAATTTTTCCATCATCAAGCACGCCTCCTCCTCCATATGCCGTTCATGCTACGATCTTCGGCAGACAAGAGATATCAGTACTCGCATACGGCTGCACTAGACAGTGCCAGAGAGATGATCAAGGTCTTCAACGCCCTCCGTACCAACCCCTCAGTTGGACCGTTCATCTGCAAATTGATCGACTTCCAAGCCTTTACCGCGGCGATGCTCCTTTTGCTCAATTTATGTGGTTATGCTCAACAACAACGTGGCAGTAACTCTCAGCCTCCAGATCTTGAACAAGATCAAAAAGACTCTGAATTGATCGATTTGACGATCGCACTTCTGAAGGATGCCGCCAAAGAAGGAGGAGGCGTCGTTGCTGCGCAAAGTGCCCAGGCTCTTGAAATGCTGGCCAAGATCCGGCAAGGATGTGGAGGAGATGGGGAGCAAGAAAGTCGTCCTAAAGACGGTGACACATGTCAAGTCTCGATTCCATACTTCGGTACTATCTCCATCGGAATAGGCAAGCATTTCGTGCCTATAAAACCGGGTACATATGTCCAGCGCCCGGGTGGGACATCCGCCAGCATCACTATACCAATGGGACGTGTTTCCAACACAGGTCTACCGACACCACCGTCTGTCACGTCGACCAGTACACGAGCTTCTCCGTTAACTGCTAACATCGACAACCCTCATATGCAGCCTCATTCGGTTTCTCGAGCACCGATGTACAATTCGAACGATTACAGCGCACAAAGCTTCGATCAGGCGTGGCCCGAGACCGACGACGCGTTCGTCACTTTCGACAGTTTCATGGCTTTTCCGCCACAAGGCCCAAGTGAGCTTCCTTCCGTCAGTACTGCGACTAGCCATTCTGGTTTCACACCTCAGCAGCAGAGTCCTTTTACTGGGGCTGTCACCGACTTCAATGCCGGTGTTGCTCTGGGTGGTCTTGGTAGTGCGTTGATCGGCCAACCCTTTGGCATTCTTCCTTACGGTCAGAACGGCGGCGGCATGGACCTTGATCAAGGGTGGAATTGGTTTGGTGTGGATGCACCTGTTATGCAGTGAGGTGTTTTAACATGGCCACAGCTTGACCATTTGTCATCATGCATTCCGATATTTGCGACCAGATGCGAGGCATAGTGGTGGTGGGAATGTACTCTACTCTGCATTGCGGGTTTACAAAAGCAAGAGTCGTTCAAGCTGGGTGGGTGTATCTGGCAGGACATTCGACGAGGATCGAAACGAATTAAGTGTTACGTTATTTAGATACCCCAAAACAAAGCTCATTATACCAGATCTGATGTTACCTTTCGCTGTACAATAGTCCGGGAGGAGAATTGGATTGCCGTGTCAACTGATATCATTGATACGATGCATATGTCGAGCCTGTTTCCAGAAAAAGAGGCACAGTCGACCGCTGTTGCTCCTCAGGCTCAAAGTAGATACCATTCTCGTTGCCATCCTGGATTCCTACGCACACAACGATAGAGCTGGCCTTTGGCAGAGGGGAGGCCATTAGCTCTACCGTACAGTGCTTCTTGTCTTGCTGTTGAGGCATCCACTGTTGTGATCCAGCTTGACTCTGGATATGTGTCTCCGTTCTATGCCCTGTCAGGCGGTGCTACTTCTTCTGGAAACAGGCTCGCTGGTATCAATGATATGATGTATTTGTCTTGAAACAGTATATGTTCCCCATAGTCTTGTTCATCATCATGCTCATAATCCTATCTCTTTCGCCCATTAATCTGCCAAAGATCTTGTAGATATCATAATGCCATATATTCATCGTCCAATTGCATTCATGTCCAATCTATCTTTTGTCCGTTCAGGTTTCCAAAGTGGGTATTATTTTTCAATCCATGATGCCCTAGCTGTTGCCAAATCTATATTTCCAATCCAGTAGTATCCAAATGTACATGCCATTTTTTTGGTATCGTGAAATCCGTAAGTAATAAAGTCGTCAATCGTCGAATCGAACTGAATCGAAAAGTGTCGTAAAAGTAAGAGCTGTCGCTCTGAGAAGTGAAATGAAGAAATGAAGAAGAGTGGGCGGATCGAGACGTCTCACGAGAAGAAGCGTCGCCAGCCACTGCCGCTGTGACCACCCCTTCCTGAACTTCCGGAATGCCCACTCCAGCCGCTGTGACCATTTGATGAGCTCCAGCTGCTGCTGTCCGATCCGGCTGCTGTGGTTGCTGCTGCTGCGGCTGATGTTTGAATTGTTGTCGCTGCTGCTGCTGTCGTGGCTACTGCCGTTGTGACAGCCGCTGATGTCGCCTCGGCTGTTGCAGGGTCTGATGTCGCAGCGGCAGAAGTGGCTTCCGCAGTGTCGACGGATGTGGTCTCGGTGACGACGACGTTGGTCGTTGTTGCGGCGGCGGCCGTAGTTGTAGCAGCGTCCGAAGACTCTGCGGAAGTGTATGTGATGAAGGTGGTTGCAGTCGTTGCGCCGGTGATGGTGCTGAGATCGCCAGTCGCAGAAGCGGTAGCGACGGCCGTAGTTGCGGCAGCAGAAGTCTCGGCGGCGGTGGTGGCAGCTGCTGATGATTTTGCTGATGTGGTGGCCGCTGCAGTTGATGATGCGCCGTTGTCGGTGTACACTTTCAGGCTGTTGATGAGCCAGTATGTGTCCTCGAAGGCGGAAGGGTTGTTTTGAACATAGGCCGAGCAAGTTGATGCTTTCGCACTGCAGGCTGTGTCTGTCGACCACACGTCGCCGGCCCAGTCGCCGCAGAAGGTGACGTCGAAGACCAATTGCTGGTTCTTGACTTTGTCGTCAATGTCGCAGCCTCCTGTGAATTGTCCTTGAGGGAGGCCCCAGCCGGATGGGTCGGGACTGCCGCTGGTGATGTCGGATGGGATTGCGTCTCTGGAGAAGAACCAGATGCTGATGGCTTCGCTGGTCCATTCCGTGGCGAAGACACCGCCGCCAGCAGAGTTAAAACCACTGCCGAAACTGCTGTCGTCTGTACTGCGGATCGAACACCCGGCGTTGCTGGATTGGTCGGCGGCCTGCACATAGCAATTGTCGGTCTCGAGAGTGCCGGAGAAAGCTCCAGTGTTAGTGATCGTGCAGCCGTCGCTAGTATGCATGGCCATGTTGTTAGCAGATTGGTCGTTCACGCCCTCGATGATGTCGATTTCGCCGTTGTTGGGCCAGTCCTCTCCAAGCATCCAAAAGGCAGGCCATGTTCCACAGGCACCAGCTGGCATGTGTGCGAGGTCGAGGACGACGAGACCATGTTCGTAGGTGTTTTTGCTGGCTATTCTAATACTGTCTCGACCGCGGCCAGAGGCAGTGTTTGTAGAATCGACTCCCATGTAGACAGCACCATCCTGAATTTTGTAAAGGCCCTCGCTTTCGGCAGTGCTGTATGAGACGTAATTGACGTAGCCGTTGGTTGGATCGTCGTCCGTGTAGAAATCGAACATGTCTGCAAACGACGACGACGAATAGTCATCTTGGACAACGTAGGATGCGCTGGATGTCGTAGTAAGTAGGGTCAATAAAGCGATTGAAAAATGCATACTTGTGGTTTGCAATGCGCCAATATATTGGAGTGTAAATGCAATTGCAAGGCTTGGGAATGAATAGTCTGGTACGCCATTTGGAACCGGACCAAGAACTAAGGATATATAGAGGCATTCTGACCTTTGTCCGCCACAGTATCATGAGGTTGGAGAACAAAGAACGCAACTCGACAATAGAAATGCGCGTGGTGGGAGAAGGCTTTGTTGACGCTCGGACTTGCTGAGCCGCCACAGTTCTGCAACAGGCGAGCTGTCATTGGGACCAACAGCAGTTGCGAGCGACTATAGATGTGGGGCAGGCGTAGGAAGGCCAACCATACGGTTGGTTGAGATCTGAGTAAGCATGGACATCGAGGTGCGTCCCGAGTGTATGGCACAGACCACAAATGGCTGGGACGTGGTCGAGAGCCGCCGGGATGGAGCGCTGTCGCCATCGCCGAGAGGTCGGGGGACTGCCGCTAGAACCTCATGGTGAACTGAATTCTCCGAAGCATGACCTCTGACTCGATCTGCCATGGAGGATTGTGGTGGTCGGCGTTGAAACATGAGTTGAAGGTGGATAAAAGTAGGGAGATGACGCACTCGGGCTTGCGCGCAACTCGACTTACTCTTCGCTGGATGCTAAATGTTGGTTTTGGTTGTTGGAGAGGTTAGGACACAATCCCAGAGGAGGCCTTCTCACGAGCGATGTCAAGCCGGGTCAGGGATGCCAAACCGTTTTTAAACACTCAATTAAACACCACTGGACGCGCGATTCGGTAGAAGAGGCGCGAGAATAGTGCTTCGCGTGATGGATTCTTCGAACGATAACGCCGCGGAGCATGCCTGCGGCTCTGCCAGACAGAGCAAAATCCCGTTCCACGGCATCAGGGCCACAACAGATGGCTCCCAGTGGATACGTGAGTGTGGATTGAGACTGTGGCTATGAGTGTCATCTGGCACACTGCCCACGGTGTCCAGCCATGCTCACTGCTGTTGACGTGTTGTTTGGTGGTGTGAAAGAGAAGTGAAGTGTGTCTAAGCTCTGGTAATTTCCCTAAACCAAGCTAAACCCAGAATGGAAGGTCACCCATTATCAGCCTTGGCATCTTGGTGCCTCACCCCTTGTCCTGATGTTATCTCCAACACTTATCTTCGATCATTCCTGACGAGAACCTCTTTCTACAGACTAACGTCAGGCATCGGAACGACGCCTCTATGGTATCTGGGGTGAAACTCACCGAGGAGTACCTACGATACTGCACCGGCCTGGACAAGACCAGCTCTCAGATAAGGCCTGTGCTTGAGCCCATGGCCCGGGCTACCGCGCAACAAGGGACCGTGCCTCAGGTTGGTTGATGCTCAAGCTGTTCAGCCACACCAACCTCTGCTCACGACTCCTATGACCGAGGTCTATAAGGGTGGTCACCCCACCATGGATCAGCACTTGGAGGATCATCCCTCAAGGCCACGTAGGTAGATGATGACCCTTCCATATCCCAAGGAGGCTGGTCCGGGGCAGTGGCTGCAATGAGGCCCGGGATGCCAGAGACGGTAACCTGGTGCGCAACACAGAGTGTACCTAGGATGTGAGTGAAGTCTTCCTGGTATTCATATGTCACAAATTCTTGCGGTGGAAAGGGAGGTCACCAGTGAGGATAAGTATAAGCTGCAGCGTTTTGTTATCGGTGGACGTCATGAAGTCAACCGTGTTGTTCTGTCAAGTGTAGTTCCTATCTTTTGTGCCCTGAATGCCTACTAGAGTACATCGCCAATTGCGTCCGATTTGCCGCAAGGTGACCACCACATCATTTGTGCTATTCTCCATCGCTGGACTGATTGATGACCGCCGTACTCATCTTCTCCGTGAACGGTCTTGGCCGGAGTCGTCATCAACCACTCAAACCTCGGAGTTATATGTGTTTGACCATGTCCTTCTGTTCAAGTTCTGGGGCAGCAATCTTGCCAAACCCAGGGCCTTTGTGTTGATTGGGGATTCGCCGGTGAAGAGGAAGACATCGTACAAGAAGCCGCCAAATGTGCAGCCGAAGAATGGGGCCACCATTGGAACCTGCAAACTGTTAGCAACTACAAACGACCTAGTTCGACAGGAACTGACCCAAAAATAGTAATTTCCGGCACTCCAACTGGTTCAGACGTCAGCAAGCTTTAACCGATCACACGCGGACATATCGAAGGACCCATGCTTCACTGGCACAGTCTTCCAACGGGAATGAACTTACACATGGTGGCCATATCCTAGCATGTAACTCACCAATCTTGGTCCGAAATCTCGAGCAAGGTTGATGGCATAACCTGTCTCCCAACCGAACTGCAGAAAGAAGATCAGATCAGTACGAAAGATATCGGAGCACAGCGGGTTAGTTTAGGGGTACTCACGCATGCACCAATTCCAAAGATCACGAAGAACAATCCCAGTGGAGTGAGGTTACCAGCCCCAAGGTTTCCGTCGTCCTTGAGGGCGTAGATCAAGAACATGAGGAGAGTGCTGGCGATGAACTCCGAAAAAAACTGTCCAGTCTTGGTCATGAACTCAGCTGGATAGGTGCAGAAGATCCCAGCAGTGGCGTTTGCCGAGAAACCAGGTACGGTCCTTAATCCGGGCCCTCCCTCATACACATCGATGGCTGACTTGTAATTTCCATAGACCACAGCTGCGGCGCACATCGCCCCCAATACTTGAGCAAGCATGTAGAAAGGGAACTTCCGCCACGGAAACTTGCGGAAGACACAATTGGCGAATGTCACTGCTGGGTTGAGATGTGCTCCCGATATTCCAGCGGTATAAACACCAAGCATTACTCCCAGACTACAGTGTCAATTAGCAAGGGACCGTGGTGGTGAGTGCGCGGGTGCCCTTGGAGAAGCATTCCGTGAAGTGCAGTGTTTGGTACTTACCCCCATCCCCATGAGATCGATTGATAATCACCCTTGAGTCCATTACTGAGAACGACCTGAGCCACGACGCCGTCGCCAAACAGGATTAGAATGAATACACCAAAGAACTCGGCGAATGGTTCGCGGCAGAAGTGACGTATTCGACTCCAAGTGAGGTCCGGCTCAGCTTGGACGACGTCCTCATGAGTCAAGTGATGATCGATCAACGGACCATGCTCTCTGAATGGGGGTTGTCCTTCGACGGTGGTGTGACGGTGCTCATGATGGTGGTTATTGGGTAGAGGTGGGATTGATTCGTTGTGGGTGGTAGGTGGTGTCGACGACAACGACTCTTTCTCGAGTGCCATATTATGAATGTCCTTGGCAGCAGTATGAGGATAAGTGATAAAGTGAATCTGGTCGGTCGCCATCGTGTCAGCAAATTTCAAGCTGGACGTCCAGACATCTTTATGACTTTGTCGACTCGAGCCGAAATGGTCCTAGTTTGCCTCTGCGGAGGTCACACTTGCCGGGCGGAGGCTTGCGGGATGTCGAAGCTGTCATCGAGTGGAACGCTGGGGAAGTTCTGGGGCCTGATTGCGAGGGTCTCTGCAAGCGAGTCGAAACCTACCTGCATGGCAGAGTGGCGGCCGCACGAATGGAATGACTGACCCAGCAATGCGTCTTCGAGAGCTCGGGGCATCCATGCCGAATGACCACACGAGAATCCGAGACAGCCGGTAGATCTGTGACCAGCAACCCCGAGCAATGGAAGGTTCGTGACTTCGTGGCCTGCAAGAATGACATCGCCGTTACTTGGCCTGAAATCGATCACATCGAACTTTTTCTGAGAGAAACAGGTGGTGAGCACTTTCTTCTCAGCTCGGCCAACAATCCTCCGACTAATCACACAGAGACTGGGGGGGTCGAACTGAGACTGACGTATCATTCGAGTCAGATGTGCTTACGGGATTATGGGACCTCGAATGTCATAGCTGGACGCCTATAATAAAGCAAGCGTCACACAGACGCAGCTTGCGGTTCCGGAAAAACGGACGGACATATTTGCCAGTTATTGTTGGTTCGAGTTGGAAGACGTCGAGACTTGTGTCTCTGCATAGTCCGGGGCTCTGCCTGACGCACAATCTGGGGCTAGGCCATATTCCGCGGCCAAAGGAAGACTTGTCTTCGACCAGGACAACACCAGGTTGCTGGTGCTAGGAAGAGAAAAGCCTGCATAATCATGAACGTGAAGCTTTGTTACCCCGCATTTGAAGGCATGGGTCCATGATGCGAGAGCGTTTGATGAAGTTGCAAGTGACTCCGGGATGACTTCCGTAAAATCAGCAGCCAGCATCTGGCGGCCTCAACGTCTCGTGTTTCTTCCTGCTTAGCTCATCTATTTCGCGCATCACTTGTACCGAACGAGGCCGCCGGAACGATCAAGGGATAGTGATCAATACGAAGAGGCGTTGGTGATGTTGCATCTATTCGGAACTATCACTGCGCTATGCAAGGTGATCATCAACCCCTCTTTGGCACAAGCTTGGTCAAGGGTCCAATTGTGGCCTGACCACCATCAAGCACAAGGCCTCCATCCTAGTGGTTGGATATGGAGTGCTACGCCGCATGCACCACCTGCATGCAACTAGATCAGCAACTTTACCTCTCTTTTTCAACCTCGATACAACCAGCTTCATGCGTCTCGAGAACAGGGAAACGGCATTTACTCCTTCAAGCACCGACTATATCCTGGCCTGAAGGGTCTAGAAGGAGTCTACACCTGCAATCGATGTTCAATTGAATTGAAGGGAAATTATCCCATTAAGTCCTAATTCACGTGGCTGGTGAAAGCAGGTCACTAGCACTCCACAAACCCCGGACTCCACGAAGCACCAGTCCAGCAATTCGGGGTAAAGATACCGAAACCTCGCTTACACACAAACGAACATCGAGATAATACCTCTCCACCAAACTTCGAGTCCGAGTCATTTTCAACATTGCAGAGACAAGACAGCTATTCTTCGAACAAAATATCCATTTGGCCTGAAATCTCGTCCGAACCAAAGTTGATTGGATGCTAGCAGCAATCAGGAACAAAATGGGCGACACCACCAAAGGCTCGCATGAGACCTTCGTGGGATCCATTGATCAGGGAACAACGTCGACCCGATTTCTCATCTTTAAACCGGATGGGGAACCTATCGCTTCTCATCAGATCGAGTTCAAGCAGATTTATCCACATCCTGGGTATGCTTCAGCCCCACCCCATATCAAGACCGTGCCAGAAGTACTGACAAAGGACGTACGCAGTTGGCATGAACATGATCCGCTCGAGATCATTGAGTCAGTCCAACAATGTATCGAGGGAGCTGTGAAAGACCTTGAGAATCAGGGCCACTCCGCCGCGAATATCAAAGCTGTTGGAATCACCAATCAGCGAGAAACCACTGTAAGTGAATATTGAGACATCCTCCATCCATTCGATACCCGACACACTCGGAAATTCCGTCCTTATCTGACTGAGAGTCCTCCTACGTGCCGAGTGCCAACACTACGATTCGCTTCAGGTGTGCACCTCGGTCGAACGTTGCCCCATATCGTGACTACCGGATTCGCACCGCCGGCAACTGCGCGGTTCCCCTCAGGTCATCAAACTAACATTAAGGTCTCTAGGTACTATGGAATCACGAGACCGGCGAACCATTGTACAATGCCATCGTGTGGACAGATACACGCACAGCAGCCCTGGTCCGCAAACTCAAGCAGCGCCTAGGCGCAGACCGACTTCCAGATCTCTGCGGTCTACCATTGTCCACATACCCATCCGTCGGCAAATTACTATGGCTTCTGGAGAACGAGCCCAAAGTCAAAGAAGCCTACGACAAAGGCATCCTGGCTTTCGGCACCATCGATGCCTGGTTGGTGTATCGTCTTAACGGCGGTCCCAAGAAGAATGTCTTCGTGTCTGACCCGACGAATGCAAGCCGGACCATGTTCATGAATCTCAAGACGTTGAACTATGATGACCAGCTCATAGATTTCTTTCGCCTGGATGCCAGCAAAATTCACCTACCGAAAATCACGCAGTCATCGCATCCGACAGCGTACGGAAGTTTGGATTCCGGGGTGCTCGAGGGTGTGCCTATTACAGGCTGTTTGGGCGACCAATCAGCGGCATTAGTCGGGCAGAAAGGGTTTACTCCAGGCCTGGCCAAGAATACGTATGGAACGGGATGCTTTTTGTTGTACAACGTCGGCGAAAAGCCGGTCTTTTCCAGCCACGGGCTCCTCGGCACTGTTGCGTATGACTTTGGCGAGGGTAAGCGAATGTACGCTCTTGAAGGGAGTATCGCCGTGGCAGGGTCGAGCGTCAAGTTTCTCGTCGACAACTTTGGGTTCGTCGAGTCTTCGAGCAAGATCAGTCAACTGGCTCAAACCGTCGACGACAATGGAGGAGTCGTTTTCGTCACGGCGTTTAGCGGGTTGTTCGCACCCTACTGGATAGATGATGCCATGGGAACCATTTGTACGTCTCCGCGCCATGCTGATTTGTGCCAGGGCTGACCTCTCCTCTCAGACGGCATCACAGCGTATACTCAGCGCGGCCATATCGCACGTGCTACGCTTGAAGCAACATGTTTCCAGACTCAAGCCATTCTGGCTGCGATGGAGAAAGACTCTGGCCACAAACTGGCGGAGCTCGCCGTTGACGGGGGCATGAGTAACTCGGATCTTTGCATGCAGGTATGCTTTCCCTTTTCGTTTGCTTCTGACATGCAGTGCCGCTGACGCTGTACCAGACGCAATCGGATTTGATTCAGATTCCAGTGATACGCCCGAAGATGCGCGAGACGACGGCGCTAGGCGCTGCTATTGCGGCAGGTCTTGCTGTTGGTGTTTGGGAGAGTATTGATGAGTTGAAAGAGATCAACCTTGAGGGTCGGACAGTTTTCAAGCCGCAAATGGAAGAGGCTAAGAGCAAAGAGATGTTTGGAAGATGGGAAAAGGCTGTGCAGATGTCGAAAGGATGGTCGTCGTGAAGAGGAAGCGCAATTGCAGTATCGAAGCCAGCGTACAAGAGTTCCTGGTCCCTCACCTCTTCGCAACAGATGATATCAGGTTGCGCACCCAAATCAAGATCATCGACTGGTCAGAGACCACATATCAGGTCGGCCATTCTGCGAGGCTTGTTTCCGAAAGCTACGCAAATCAAGTTGATGATTTGTTCAACACTGGACAGCATGAAGCTACCCAAATGCTGGCCCATTGCAGGGCGACTCGAGTTGACTGCCAATCGGACAGACCTATTGTCTTACTGTTCTGCATATTGGTTCACCGTGACTCTCACCAGCAAAGCCATCGTACGGTCATAGGGCGGATTGCTGTCGGTGTTGCTTCTCCGTCCAAGACATTTGATGCGGTGAAAGTCTCTGTGACGTCCAACCACAAGCGATGTCGGACTTCTTTCAGCTGCAAGAATCTGCCAAGACCGGCATTATCAGCGGGTCATTCTCTGTTATTACAATTTCAATACAGCACGAAGGCCCCATAAGAGTGTAAATCTGGGGACTACCTGGTATCAGCTCTCATATACACCGTCACATACGGGATCGTTTCAAGATACAAAAGTCCCCCTCTTTTAAGCCACGGCTATGGCGGCACAGATCAGGGACGAAATGCATCACAAACTCCAAATTGCAGATTGGCTTTGGGCTTCACCACGCAAACCTAACGCAAATGGGCCAAAAGGATAGGATAATCTTCATCCGACGACCGTACCGCGTTGGAGAATCGACGGATATCCGTAGACCGTCATCAAGCAATCATGGCGGCTTCTTGTTCTTTTGACTCAACGTTCTCACCTCGCCATCCTTTCACATCCTCTCAGTGTTCTTGTTGTTGCCACCAACACTGCCCTTTAAACGGCAGGGACAATTCACCGGCACCAATGATACCGACCCAGCATGGCCAGTATGTCAAGTCAAGACACCTACACCTACACACCCTCCAACCACGAAAAGGAAAAGGATACCGACATCGATGCCATCCAACACCAACATGCCACGCCTGCACGGCATAGTGCCGACACCGACACCGATGACGACAATGACGAGGCCATAGTCCCAATCCACACCCTCACCAAGGAGAACAGCCAGCCTGACCTGCGAAAAGTCGCCAGCAATACCTTAGGCCGTGTAGCCTCGCGCCTCAGCACCCGTCACATAGTCGACCCCGGTCCACCACCAGATGGCGGCCTCAAAGCATGGACGCAAGTCGCCATGGGCTGGATGATATGCGTGGTGACATGGTGAGTCAAACTTCCCTTCCCTTTTTGCCCCCTACTCCAAGCCATACCAGAGCTGACCGGTATGAATGTGAAGGGGCTACATCAACTCCTTCGGCGTTTTCCAAACCTACTACACCGAAACCCTAGGCCAATCCCAATCCACCATATCCTGGGTCGGCAGCTTGCAACTCTGGACCGTGTTTTTTGCGTCGGCATTCTCCGGCCGCGCCCTCGACGCCGGCTTCTTCCTCCCAGCCCTGATCGTCGGTTCCACAATACAGCTGCTGGGCATCTTCATGACCAGCCTATGCACCAATTTCTGGCAGCTGCTTCTCGCTCAAGGTCTATGCACAGGTCTAGGGTCAGGCATCTTCTTCTGCCCTACAATGGGTCTTGTGACGACATACTTTGCCAAAAAGCGAGGGTTGGCCATCGCCATCGTCACCACGGGAAACTCCTTCGGCGGCGCCGTCTATCCTGTCATCGTGCGCCAACTTTTGCCAAAATTGGGGTTTGGTTGGACCGTGAGGGTATTGGGGTTCGTCAATCTTGCGCTCCTTGTTACGGCCCTTGCATTCATGCGTCCGCGCTTACCGCCGCGAAAAGCCGGGCCGCTTCTCGAGTGGAGGGCCCTCTATGAGATTCCGTATGATTGTGTGTTGGTCGGCATGTCGTTGGTTTTTGGAGGGTTGTTCTTTTCATACTATTACATAGCGAGCTACGCGCGTGAGATCATCGGGATGAGTTACGAGGACAGTTTGACTTTACTCATCATTTTCAACGGCGCCGGTGTGCCTGTCAGATTGTTGACAGGGTATATCGCCGACCGCTTCACGGGACCGTTGAACGCCATGGTGATTTTGTTGTTTGTCAATGCGTTCTTTGGATTTCTGTGGATCGCGATACGCACGGAGGGTGGGCTGTATGCCTTCGCGACGTTTTACGGGTTCTCGGCGGGGGCGTTCCAGTGTCTTTTCCCGACGACGGTGACGAGTCTGAATAGTGATCTCAGCAAGAATGGCGTGAGGTTGGGCATGGCGTTCTCAATCTTTAGTTTCGCGGGTCTTGCGGGTCCGCCGATTGGTGGTGCGTTGTTGCAGACGAATGGTGGTGGAAGAGGAGGATATCTTGCTGCTCAGTTGGGGTTGGGACTTGCTACGACCTGTGGAGCGCTGTTCATGGTTGTTGGGAGAGTGTACAAGGCGGGTTGGAGTTTGAGGATAAAATGCTAGGATGCGTTTCCAGCTATGACCATGCAAGTAGCAGATATTTAGGATATAGGAAGTTAGGAACGCCTCTGGTAGTCGTATGAGGTTCGTCTTAGCTTTATGAGGTACTCTTGGACTGATCACGCCATCGCAAGGCTCTGTTGCCAATACCCAATGTCGAACTCACCACGGATATGTTGTCCGATAGCGAAGAAGCACTGGAAAGTTTCTTATCTCGGTGGTTGGACCCGTGGCCGCACATGTCATCGCCAACTTGGCCTTGAGGGCCGTCCCCTCCACCTTTGTCGTCCACGCATTGAAACACGTTTGTTCATTAATTCCAGCAACGTATAAGTCACACATCATGCGACGGGCTGTTCATTGGATTCTATGTCCGTGGACAAGGTTCGGGACGCGCTACCATCTCATGACTACGAAGGCTATACATGGGTTCACTGATGCAAGTCGCAAGCAAATCCTTCTCACAGCCTCGCCCGCAGCGGCGAATCCCAGCTTTGCTTGATACAATCAGCGCCCTTCTCGGCCACAGCATAAATTGTAGCCTGGATGTGCGCAGAGACTTGCATCGGGAAAATACTCGCATCAACGACGCGAACATTCGTTGTCCCATATACTTTCAGATTGGAGTCCACGACACCGCCACTCTTGCGAGGCAACATCGAGCACGTGCCGACAGGATGCCAATCTGTGATCGTGTTTTCCACCATCCAGCTATTCCAATCGACTTCAGGCTCTTCCGGAGGATACACACGCTTGACAACAATGCTGTTCATCGGAGACGTCCGACAAATTTTGTCGCCAAACTTTTGCGCTTCGACCATGACTTCGTAGTCGATCTCACCTTCGCCTTCGTAGTACTTTGGATCAATCAATGGTTTGCTGCTCGGCGCCGCGGTGTTTATGTGTATACTGCCTCTGCTGTACGGGTATTGCAGGACTTGCATCAGTGTGGCGTATTTCTTGCCCTTCTCGCCCTTGAACACCGGACTGAAGTTGCCGTGGTCCATGATGTATTCGACCGAACCAACATTGGCCTTGGGTAAGAATTGGTGTTGCAGAAGCTGGTTCATCAGGTAATCCCTCGACGACTTGCGGTGGCTGGTCGCGTATTCGCGTGCCTTCTCAGCTAGCTTCGAGGCTTCTGGGACAAATGTGGATACAGGAACGTAGGCGAAAGACGATGGTACTGATGTGTACAAGCCTGTCCTTGATTCCTGGTATTGCTGGAATGCCTTGCGTTCGAACTCTGGATCGGCGTAGTCGTCGGGAGTACTTATGTGTGGGGACAATTCGTAGACCGCCATCGTCACTAGCATGACCGTTAGCACAGGGAGGCTGCGCTCGCGAGCAAACTCACTAGGATGCTCCTGCAGGTTCTCCCCGACATTGGGGTTGGCTACTTGGACCTGAATGCCCGCCTTCTTGAGGATTTCGGGACTGCCAATCCCAGAGAGCTCTAGAAGATGGGGCGAGCCTACCGACCCACCAGACAGGATGACCTCCTGTGTGCAGCTTGCCGTCAGTGTGACGCCGCCTGCATTGAACGCAATACCACATGCCACCTTGTCTGCCGACGTAGTACCTTGCTGCCAGAGGATCTTCTCGACTTGGGCGCCTGACAAGACTTTCAGATTTGAGCGGTGGCTGCTTGGGAGAAGGTACGCGGACGCAGAATAACTCCTTGTCGCTGTCTTTGGGTCAGCAGCAACGACCGATGTCCAAGCTCCCACATTCGACCCGCCAAAGTGTGCCTCATTCGTGGCGATGTTGAGTTTCTGTAGGGTATCGTGCCAGTAGTTGTGCGTCTCGGAGAGATGGGCCCCGACCGACGTTTGTACAGGCCCTGCAATACCATGATCACCATCAGTGACCAGGAACTTGAACTTTTCTGCATTGGCCCCCGAGGGTCTTTTCAGACTCTCGCTTTTCATGAAATAATATCTTCGGTCATGATCAGCCATGCGATCCCGCGAGAACAAGCTACTTACTTGAGGCCGGCCCAACCCCAACCTGGGTTACCAAGACTTTCCCACCCGTCATAGTCTTCTCGAGCAGCTCGGTTCCAGACCATGAAATTCATGGCACTCGTACCGCCAACCATTTTCCCTCGCGGCCAAGGAAGAGTCCTGCCGTTGAGACCAGGCTGCGGGATGGTTTCGAAGGCCCAATCATGTTCAGTGCCAATCGTCTGGCCCATGCGGCCTGGGACAGTGACACGAGGATCGTCGAACACTGGTCCTCCAGCTTCGATAACACCAACCTTCACATTGCTGTCTTCGGATAATCGAGATGCGACGACGAGGCCTGCTGTCCCACCACCCACGATAATGTAGTCCCAAGCGGTTTCGGAGAACTCCTGCGGCGTACAAAAACACTCCATGGTTGTAAAGGCGTAGGAGAAATGCAGTTAGATCGGAAACAAGGACTTGACGTTGCTATGACTTGGGGCCCAGTTATAATCATATGTAGGCGATTGATTCCAGGCGCGAAATCAACCAGAGTATTCGATGCGAACAAACCGAGATGCTGACACCTTGAAGAGATGCGGAAGTACTCACGAGCCTATCAAAAGTGGGGGACGTCCATGTAACACGACCCACACGGGCAAGTCTCGAATGCCGAATGTGGCCGGTATTCGATGCATTGCTTGAGCACAATATGTGCACTTGCTCAAAATCGAAGATGCTTTTTGCTTGTTCTCAAAATATCATTGACCTGCACACAAGGTCATCCTGGGCAAATTCCGTGGGCCAAACATGGCTGCAAGCGTCAAAACACCCGTGCCTCTGATCATTGACGGTGCTCCGGCTACGGGGTCATATTCATTTCCTGTGACCAATCCCAGCAACGGCGACGAACTGTGGGAGGCCTGGGGCGCTACATCCACCGAAGCAGACGCCGCGGCCGCTGCAGCTGCAAAAGCCTTCCCTACATGGGCAAATGTGAATTATGTGGAAAGACGGAACCTTCTCAACAAGGCTGCCGATTGCCTTGTTGAACGTCTAGCGGAGCTCAAGAAATATGTCATGGAGGAGACTGGAGCGACCAGTGATTGGGCCAATTTCGATTGTAACACGGCAGTCGGGATCTTGAGAGAAGTTGCAAGCAGAGTTTCGACAATAGCTGGGACCGTGCCGCAAACCTTGGACACTGGACTCACGGCTCTCGTATGTCAAGTACCGTACGGCGTTGTTCTGGGCATTTCACCATGGAATGCAGCATCAATCCTGGGCATACGGTCGATCGCATATGCATTGGCAGCAGGAAATACCGTGATCCTCAAAGCTTCCGAACTGTGTCCGCGTGCGCATCACCTGCTAGGAGACTGCTTTCGAGAGGCAAGGTTTCCACCAGGTGTGGTGAACGTGATAGCACATTCTCCAGAGAAAGGGCCAGAAGTCATCGGTGCTTTGATCAAACATCCTGCCGTCAAAAAGATCAACTTTACCGGATCCACCCAGGTAGGCCGCATTCTGGCTCAATTAGCGGCGAAGGAACTCAAACCCATTTTGCTTGAACTTGGTGGCAAGGCTCCCACCATTATCCTCGAGGATGCGGATGTTGAAAATGCTGCCATGGGTGTCGCGAAGGGATCGAATCTTCATGCTGGACAAGTCTGCATGGCGACTGAGAGAGTCATCGTCTTGGAATCTGTTGCATCAAAGTTCGAAGCGGTATTGAAAGAGACATACGCGAAGCTGTATGCCGATGGGTATCTCCCACAAGCTGCCGCTCAGCCGTCGGGAGCACAAAAGGTCAAAGATTTGGTTGACGACGCTCTCAGTAACGGAGCTGAGGTGGTGGCAGGAAAGCCTGGGTTCCATGGCTCGGAGAAGAGGGCAGTACCACCCGTCGTTGTGAAGGGAGTTGAGAAGTCCCGGATCTACTACGAAGAGTCGTTTGGTCCAGCGATATCCATGATTGTTGTACCGACCGTCGATGAGGCCGTCAGAGTAGCCAATGACACTGAGTATGGTCTGTCTGCGGGAGTCTGGGGTTCTCTGTCGAAAGCGCTGGCTGTCGCAAAGAGGATCGATAGTGGGTGAGTAAAGCCTTTTCAAGGAAGCATGCAACGTCACTGACAGAGACGACCAGAGCTGTGCACATTAACGACTCGACAATTCATGATGAGCCTACCTTGCCTCACGGAGGAATGAAGTCAAGTGGTCATGGTAGATTCGGCGGTTCTTGGGGTATCGCGGAGTTTCTGACGACGAAGACGATCACGTTCAAAATCTGAAACATCGTAGTTCCTCGAAACCATGGTGTTGTGGTAGCCTGCTGCGGCCGCGATGGTGATTGACTGTGTGGAAAGAAGATGATGATGTTCACGTGGAAACACGACGCGTCGCGTTGGAGAGATTTGGGGTTAAATAAGGAAAGAACCTTGAGCATTGCCGAGGTTGAGAGGGTTACAACGACCGACATGTGAGCACCACGAAACGGAGTACATAAGTTGTTACCCTACGGAAACGCATGAACTGTCGTGTAGGCACGCTTTGAAAAATACAAAACGCCTTGGGTATCTCGTATGTTCTAGCTGAGTCTATGATTTATCTGAGAGCGTTGTACAACCTGGTTCGCACAATGTCGCAAACTTCCCCGTGTCGCCTGCCATACTCGGCTTCGTTTCCTGTATGGCTCGACTATTCCATTTGCAGCGCCATCTAGACAGTGAGATTTCTCTGCAACCTCTCCACAACTGTTTCGAGCTCAGTGTTTCGATCCTCCAGCACGGCAAGCTCCTTCTGCATGGCCTCTTTCTCGGACCTCAATTGTTGCATCTTGGAAGCCAGCTTTTCTCGATGCTTCAAATTCTCCTCAAACATATTCTCCATCTGACTCATCAGACTTTTCGTATCCGTTGAGCCACCAGCGGTCACTTGAGTCTGGAGCTCCTTGTTGGCGGTCTCGAGTTCGAGGATTCTGTGCTCCATCGCCGTAGACTTGGCTGTTTGCCAAAGATCATCACCTCCGATGCGAGATTGTCGTGAGGACAGCATAGACACGGGTCTTTGCGGCTTCGACCAAAGCGCCTGTGCCAGCTTCTCGCGTAACATGAGAACGTTGGCCAGATCCTCGTCTCGTAGTTGCCGGATGGCTTCGTGTTCTCGTCGCTCCCGAGCGAGCATCTCACGAGTCTTCAAGATATTGGTGAGGTCCTCGTCACGGACGGCGAAGTATGCCTGATATCTGTCTTCCCATGTCTTCTTCTCGGCTTCTAGCTCGTAGACTCGGGATTTCAGGTCCAGGTAGTCTTGTGCCATGACCGTGGGACGACTTTGTTCTGCATGAGCCACCTTCTGAAGTAAGGACTGAAGGAGCTGTTCCATGGGGCCCGCCACATGGCTTGGATGAGTGACTTCGGGCTCGTCAGGTGTATCAGGGGCGAAATCGAGTGGGAGGTGATGCACGGTAGGTGTCTTCATGTTCAAGTCTTCATCGTGAGGGATATCCATTGCTAGGGTGGACATGGAGTGGTCGGTGGATATGGAGTCTCGTCGCCCGTCTTCCCTGGCATGTAAATCCAGACTCGTGGTCACCAAGTTATTGTCTGCTTGCCACATTCCGATTCTCTTTTTGACCGAGTGCTCCGACATGGTCTCTGAAAAGCTTGAACCGCGACTCGAGGCGACAGACATTGCAACTGAATGTGAGGAAGATGTTCGTGTAAGGTTCCCTGGAGTCCACATGCCGCAAAAGAGAAGGATTTTCAGAGCAAGATATTGTATGATGATGGAGGAGATGTACTTACCGTCGAGATTTCAGGATGAAGGCAAGCATTAAAACATTCTGGCGAGAAATTGATGAAACGAGGAGATCTTTTGCGCTGCCTCCGTGACACGAAGCCGTGACCGAGGTGAAACATCACATTCCTCAGACTCTGATAGGCGAGGCCACTGCCAATGGATCTGCAGATTGGTGAGTTAAAAAATGGGGATTGGACATGACCCTTAGCGAGAGTCTGGAAGACGACAGATTGGAAAGGTGAATGGAGCGCCAGCCTGAGAGTCGAGTTGAATGCAGGAGAGATGGACGAGAGTCGTATGGTCGCCCGCAAATTTAGAAAACACGTTCGCCAGCCTTGGCAAAGGGATGAAACACCTTCAACACAGGAACCTCACCTTGCACAAATGTTCCTAACACGATCCACCAGAGGTAACACTCACTGCACGATGTCAATCAACCATAATGAGGACTCGAGCGTCCCATCTTCACCTCCGCAGAGTCCAGCGCCGTGAGGACACATCTTCTGCGGCCAAATCCGTACCAGGTGCGCAAGACCTAGAAACACCGCAAGGCGTGGGAAACAAGTGAGTCCGTTGCAGGTGTGTGCAATACCATCGCACAAAGGCTGTACAAATGGCGGAAAATTCCCAATGCGCATCTGCACCGCGATTGTCGTGCCGCTGGTGAAGACAACAACAACATCAAAAAGAGACAGCGAGATGGTTATTGACCGGTAGATCCCCGGTTTAAAGTGGCATTCTGCTCCAATGTTTCTCCTCACAACAATGACATGATCCTCGGTATCTTTGATCATGCGTCGGCTTTCCATAATCGCCATGCCGGCCACTTAGCGGGCACAATCAATGTCTTCTCAATGTGGTTTCCTCACAACTCATCACCCAGGGGCGAGTGGTAGGGGCAACTTCGCATACCAGTGTACTGCAACACTCAGGCCATCATGACAAGTTCAAATGGTGAACCAGAAGTCCTCTGGCGCCCTCCGCCGGGAGAGAAAACCCCCATGGACAAATACCGTCGGCATGTCAATCAGCGGTTTCACCACAGTCTACGCAACACGATGGAACTCGCGGACTTCTCATTCAACCAGCCCCATGACTTCTGGATAGATCTCTATGGATACCTAAACCTGGTACCTCCGCTGCCGCCCACCACCAAAAAGGCATATGACGACACAGTCCCGATGAGCCAGAATCCACCATTTTTTCCAGGCCTAGAACTGAACTATGCTGAGAATGTGCTATTCGCGAACCCGGATCCTGAAGCCGTAGCCCTGATAGGCATACGAGAAGACCAGGACATCTACAAAGACGAACCCGAAATCATCACGTGGCGAGAGTTTCGCGAAAAAGTGCGCAAAACCGCCAGCGCTCTCAAACGTTGTGGCATCAAACAGGGTGATCGTGTGGGCGCTCTAGTCGCGGCATCGACTTGGGCCATTGTTCTCTTCCACGCTGCCGCGTCCATCGGCGCCATCTTTACATCCATCAGCCCTGAGCTCGGAGTGGAAGGGTGCGTCGCCAGGCTGCAACAAGTCAACCCGAGCATCCTTTTCGTCGACAGCCATGTAGTGTACAAAGGGAAGACAGTATCCACTGACCAGAAGGTGGACGAAATCCTGCACAGAATGACTTCTCGACCTCAGACATATATCATTCCCGTGGCAGCCACGAACTCCAGGCTGGCCAGCGTAGACGACTTCCTCAGCAAATCCAGCTCTTCCGACGAACTCACATTTACAAGAGTATCGTTCAACCATCCTCTCATGATCTGCTACTCTTCGGGGACGACGGGAGCGCCCAAGTGTATCGTCCATCGACACGGCCTGATCCTCCAGCTGAAGAAAATCTCTGTCCTGCACAACGGTCTGGCTCCAGGAGACGTGATAATGCAGTACTCAAGCACATCCTGGGTAGTATTCTACGTCATGTGCGGGCACTTATCAGCCGGCGCGACGGTCGTCGTCTACAACGGCAGCCCCTTATTTCCTGACGCAAAGCAACTCCTCCGCATATGCGACAAACACCGGGTGACTTTCCTTGGTGCCTCGCCACGATTGCTGCTCGAGGTAGAGATGTCAGGTACCATACCAAAGCAGGAATTCGACCTCTCACCGTTACGTATGGTCTACACTACCGGCGCCCCAACGACAATTGAACAGTATCGATGGTTCTATCGATCATTCCCACCTTCTGTCCAGATTTGCAACACAGCGGGCGGCACCGACACAGCCACGTCCATCCTCGCACTGGATCCTTCCGGACCGGTATACGCAGGTGAAATGCAGGTGGCGGCATTGGGAATGGCCGTTGATATCTTAGATCCAAACACCGGCGAGTCAATGTCACAGACAGGCGAGGCCGGAGAGATGGTCATCACGAAACCCTTCCCAAGTATGCCGTGCTTCTTCTGGGGGGACAAAGACAACAAGATCTACAAAGCCGCATACTTTGAACGCTTCACCAACGTAGACGTCTGGGCACAACACGACTGGTTGAGCAGGAATCCCAAAACAGGTGGATATACCATGCACGGCCGAAGTGATGGCGTTTTGAGTAAGTATCCCACAATCCCACAATAGCTATTTAGCCCGTACTGACGAAGTGTCCTAGATCCGTCTGGCATCCGCTTTGGCAGCGGCGAAATCTACGCCATTGTCGAAACCCAACCATTCACCGAGTACATCAGCAACAGTCTGTGCGTCGGCCGTCGAAGACCCAAAGATCCTGACGAGCAAGTCTTCTTGTTCCTCGTCATGAAAGCTGGTATTAACCTGACCCAACAACTTCGCACGCAAATCAAGACGGCCATCCGCAACGCCCTGTCACCACGGCACGTGCCTAAATTCGTCCTCTCAGTTCCGGACATCCCAGTCACCATCAACGGCAAGAAGGTTGAGATCGCCGTGAAACAAGTCCTAAGTGGCAAAGACGTCAAGGCTAGTGCCACAGTGCAAAACCCCGACACGATAGACTTCATGAAGCGCTTCCGGGACCTCGAGTCCGAGCCCAAGGACACGAAACTATAGATGGTCCATATAGAAATATACTTCTGGGGCACATTCTCTCGCCCCCACAAGATATCGAGATGATGTCCTTGCAGTTCAACAAAAGATCATGGCTGTGCCATTACAACTTCGCTCTCTCCCTTCCCACCTCCTTCTTCGCCCTCTCCCTCAACTCTCTCCGCAATATCTTCCCCGAAGCATTCTTCGGAATCTCATCAATAAACACCAAACCCCCTCTAAGCTGCTTATACGGCGCCACCCCTGCTTTGACAAACCCTTTCACCTCCTCAACAGACACTCTAGCCGTACCGACCACCGTCACATAAGCCCTGGGCAACTCCGAACTTGGGTCATCTGGCGCAGGCACGCCAATGACCGCCGCCTCCAGGATTGCAGGGTGCGTGACAAGCAAGTGCTCAAGCTCCGCCGGCGCAATCTGCAAGCCCTTATACTTGAGCAGTTCTTTCTTACGGTCAACCATATAGAACTTGCCAGTGCGTCGAACAGCAATGTCACCAGTGCGAAACCAGCCATCGTGAAATGCGTCCTTGGTTGCCGATGCGTTGTTCAAGTAGCCTCTCATGACCGTGGGTCCGCGAACGAGCAATTCTCCTGGTTCTCCGTCGTTCACGTCATTATAGTCATCATCGACCAATCTGGGTCGCAGGTCAGCATAACCAACTCAACCCCGAGATTGCCTCGCATCGAGATACGCACCGAACTTTAAGACACGGGAGAATAGGACCAAGACTCCCCATTCCATCGTCCTGATGACTCTGGCCCATCGTGAGGGCGCCAGTCGTTTCACTTAACCCCCACGATGGCGCAATCAGGGCACCTTCAGCGATCCCGAGCCGAGCACTGGCAGTGGTCTGTAAAATCGCACCCATTGGTGCGCTTCCGGTGCTGGCATCCTTGAGCCAAGCAAATTGATCCGTCACATCAGGACTCTTGGCTATCCTGAGGTATATGCTCGGAACAGTGAAGAGATAGGTGATTCGATATTGCTTAGCGTATCGCAGGAATTGATCCCATTGATATTTTCTCATCCAGACGACAGTTCCGCCTCCATAGAATGCCGAGATAAAGTATCCGAAAAGTCCGGATATGTGACTGGCTGGGAGGTGAGCCAGTGTACGAAAGTCAACATGCTCATAAGTCCCCTGCTCCAGTTGCTTGTGTGCAGCCTCGCGACCTTGGAAGTGCGTGATGAACACCTGCGAGACCAGGTTTGCATGCGATAACATCACGCCTGGTGTAGATCTTAGTACGGAAAAGGGGCTGACACTTTGTCTGGGTGTTTACCTTTTGGTACACCTGTCGTTCCCGATGACCAGATGATGACGATGATACTCTCCTCGAGCTGGTGTTGGTCTGTCAGTCTCTCCCAGTCAAGTTGCCGTCGTGACAGTATGTCGACGTTATCGAAAAGTCTTCTCAGACTCCATGATGGTATCGATTCGAGGACCAGGACGTTTTCTGGTCGGATATGGCACGTCATTGCTGCTTTCCAAGCCACGTCCTTTACCTCGGAGCTGCAAATAATCACTTGCGATTGAGCAAGCCTCACTTGATGGACGAGCTCATCAACTGTCAAAGAAGCGCTTGCAGCAGAGTAGACACCACCAGCTGCAATGATGCCGAAGAACACTGCTGGAGCCATGGATTGGCCATGGCTCATAACGGTAACAACATGTTTGTTCGGTCCTTGGGCACCAATGCCATAGCTGGCTCTCAAGCAGTGTGCGATCTGCTGGCTCAACCGTTTCAATCCCTGCTTAGTAAGGCGACATGAGGTGTCTTCCGCCGATGCATGGAGAACGGTGTCATCTGTTGCCAGGCTATGTTCTGAGTCTGCTTTCTCTGATAAACGAGCACGTCTTCAACAGTGTGAACCAAGCATACCGAAGAGAAGGGTTAGCAAATCTAACTTCGGCCACTCCACGTTTGGGTACGCGAGGTTCCGGTAGATTCTGATAATTGCAGCAGGAGTATCCATGGACGAGGCAAATCGTGTCATCTGGTGACCAAGCAAATCTCGATCTCAGTGATGAGCGAAGGGGAATGTTAGCCATGATATCCAAAGCCTACCCAGGATCCTTCTGGCTTTATAGACTGCCAGTGGCAAGGGTGTGGTCGCCATCATTGCAATCTATTGATTGAATCATTGATGAATGCACCATATGCCTCAAACATCGCGAAGCAGGCTTCGGTCGTGAGCAAGATGGCAGCCTACCGGCACAAGCAGCTGACGGCCGGCCGGCTTTGTAAGTTTGTGGGGGATCCGTGTTGCAACCCCAAGTCCGCTCCCCAGCTGGGGATGATCGCTCGGAGTTCCGGTCTATCGAAAGATGCGTCAGAGAGTGTTATTGCATTGGTCGTGAGCAGTGGAGTTGACAAAGAATCGTGATGAGTTCATTCGACTGGGTTGATGATTGTACGTCGGCCGGTAACCCGGTTTACCGGATTGTTGCCGGCCGGCCGGTCTCAATGCATCTCCGGCCACCACAGGATCTTTGATGCATCTTCGAGCATGACCACACGATAATACCGTGCTAAATTCGTTACACACAATAGAGCCAGTACTTACACCGGAAGAAGTGCTGACGGATATTGGTGGCGGTGAGTCCTACCGTAATAGGGTCACCATATAAGTCCCACAGCCTTCATCAAACACCTTGCTGAAATCATTGCTCGATTGAAGCAAACTCCATTACAAAATGAGTGTGCCGTCTCAATGTGTCTCTCTTGCCCAGCTGGACCTGATGTCAGACTGGTCATCAGAAGAGACCTCGCCTTCGACCTACTCGGTGGCATCCTACTCCAGCTTAGACGTGTGGAGGACATCAAAGTGCGACAGCCCTAACAAGAGCTTCTATGGTGCCTCGCCGCGCGAGAGCGAGGAGGACAGTAACAGCATGCACGCCGCGGCACAAGTTCGGAGCCAACCGACAAGAAGACGCTCCCTAGTATACGACAATCTCACCAGCAGGGCAGCTCGGACGCCCATCAGACATGTCAGTGCATTGAGTGATTGCAACGTCAAAAAGCCAAAGCATAAGAGTATGAGCCATCCTGCTTCAATAGATTGGTTCTTCAGCACTTTTCTATCAGCCGCAACAATCACTGACAATGAACGCTGTCTGCTGGAGGAACTGGTGCCGGAGAGCGTGGTTGACGCATTGTCCGTCGAGGCTGTGGCCGAAACCCGCTTGGCAAAGTCGCGGTCCGTTTCTGCCCGCTCGTGCGAGCCACCTAGCACGTGGCTAGATCCAGTCTTTGAGCGAAAGAGAAGAAGAAGGACGTCTTGTAAGACCTGGCATTTTGAGGCAGATAAGCACCAAACAGAATTGGATGCCAGATTTGTTGATTGCAGTGCCACGGCTGATCAGCGTTGGGAACAGCCTAAGGTGTTTCGGACGTGAGCGAGAGCCGCCGACGGCGAGGTCATGCAGCATATCGGCTGGATCAGTCCGCTTCAGTGCTGGCAGATGGATCAAGGAACATGTTATTCGAAATGTCAAACATCCAGTCTTCCCCTTGTAAAATGGCTGCGAAATCGATGGAGTTGTAAGCCTGGAATTCGTCAGGATTCTGCTGCAATGGGCTTGCGGAGATGTCTTTTGGGGATTTGGAACGGTGAATAAGACGCTTGACAAGCAGGTAGAAGTTCTGACAAGGGTGCTGCTTCAGTAGGATGGCAGTTCGCTCGACCTGGACTAATAACGCACTCTCTTGGTCAGGGTTTGGGTAAATCTGCAGTATTTGAAACCCCAAAACGATTGCAAATGTGAGAATCAAGCCGTCATAGGTTGGGGCCCATGAGAAGGCTCGCTTGAAGGCGCTGCAGTCCTCGATGGTCGAGAGCAAGTCACGAATCAGTTGCAGAATATGTGTGCTGATGTTGATGCAATCTTGCTCGGTCGAGGGAGATGGGTTCTGCGCAGCCTGACGTGTGGAAACAAACAGGACACCTCCCATAATAATTCTGGCATAATGGTAGTGGAGCATAATGATGGAACGCTGAAATGACTCCTGATGAACGCAATCGTCTTCGAGGCGAGCATCCCATTTGTCATACCAAGCTTTCAAATCTCGTTCAACATCGGTCATGGAAATTGAATTCATGCTCGTTCGGAGAGTCGTCAGGCTTTGGCACATATCGATGGCAGCACATGGGATCAATGCTGACGGATGCGTGCTGGGATGGTTGAGAAAGCGCTCCATGTCCTCGAAACTGAAGTACTCAACGCGAGATCTGCGTCGGGTGCCAAAGGCCAGCGCACGTTCATACTGAGCGATCACGAGCAGGACTCGGGCGCACCGGAAGGCGTAGCGCATTGTCTTTGTACCCTTTTGTGTCTTTGGGATGGAATCAGAGTCCGATATCAGGCTGACCAACTTCGTGTCAAGGCCAAGATCGATCGCCATTTGAAAGGCATGTCCCAACGCGAACCATGTTATGTCCGAGTGAACCGCTAGGATTGCCATTGCTTCTGTTGTCTCAAGAGAGGAAGGGTTTTCGAATAATGAGTCTGCTGCCAAGCGGCGGGAATCTTCCATGCACACCTGCAGTGTATGATTACCGGGGTCGTGTACATGCTCATGGCGTGCTGCAACGTAGAGGATGACGGTAAGGGTAAATGCGGATCTTTGCCGGATTGAGTCGAATGTATCCAGGATGGGATCGAAGACAGGTACGAATACATTGCCACCGTGCATGTATATGTCGAACAGATGGCGAGCCTCAGCCTCCTCAATCAAGCCACGGGCAATAATGTCCCTCCGCGTATGCCTGGAATTATCCCGACGGTTCCATTTTGATTGATTCTCCGCTGTCCAGCCGGCAGCGTTCCGCTCTGGCTCGCCATGGATAGGTGGGTGTATCATGGCATGTACGGCGGTCACAGGAACACCCAGATTCTCGGGTGAAAAGGAGTGAGAGATGTGGGTCTCGTCTTGCTCTGGTGGAGGTGACAAGGCTTCCATATGTGTCACTGACGTGTCCCGTAGTTGGTTTCCTTCTAGTGGCGATGATGCGGACGGGTCTCGGAGCTCTTGGGATTGTCTTAGCGACGCGACTTGGGTCTTCAAGACTGCAACCTCGTTAGCCAGGGTTTGAGTCTTCTGTCGTTTCGCAAAGCCATCAGCTGTTACGCTTTGTCTTTTTGATGCTGTTTTGTCAAATACGCATTCGACACCGGCCCTGATGCATCTTTGGCACGAAGTCTCATCTCCGCCATCACAACGCATTTTCTGCCGCCGACACGTCCGACATGCTTTGTAGAGATGGTTGGCTGATATTGAGTGCATGGGATGGCCGCTTGAATTCAGACTGCCTGACGGACCCTGAGAATTGTCCATGGCGAAGGTGATGGAGGCGTCAAAGTACCTGATTCTTCGAGGTACATGGTCAGTGACGGTTCAAATGCTGATACGGCTTGAGTGACCCCCAAGGTATCGCTACGACGATTCGAAGGAGAAGCAAAGATTGTTTCAAACAAGGATGAGATAGTACTGCAAGTTAAGTCGATCGACCTTTCCCATGAAACCCCGCACAGTAAGTCCAGTTCTTTTTTAGCGGCTTGGCTTGGCAGGGGATCCCTAGCATTGTTGATTTTGGGCAGAGAGTTCTAGGTCTGGAGTTCTTTTTTATCTAACATTATCTAAGTCGACCAAACCGAGCAGAGGCGGCTCAAAGACGAGCCAGCTGCGCGTCTCCTCGTTTTCTCGAGCGACTTTGACGGTTGTCTTGACTTGGCAGTTGCTCTTCGGTTTCCTGGGCGACTTGTTGCCATTTCGCAATCCTGTCCTGCATGGTCTGCTCGGCAACACCCAACCAAGCCGAATCCCACTTGATGAGTCGTCTTCCCGGGGCTTCCGGACTCGAATCTCCGGCCAGTTTCCGAAGACCTTCAAAGTAATCTTCAAAGTCTGGGGCAATTTTGAAAAACGGTTGTCCGTCGCCACGTGCAGCAAGTCGATCTGTCTCCCACTTCTTCTGCACGTCTTTCGAGGGGAGGCTGATCCGCCCAGCCATGAACCTTGCCACAGCGACTGCTTGCCACTCGAATACGAGGAAAGTGAAACCAGCGGATACCTGCGCAGCAATCAGTGAGTGAGCCGCGGAAGAGAGATTGTGAGCTGCGTACCGCTCCAACGAAAGCTAGAGTTGGGTCATCCTGCATGAATATATGCTGATATATCCCCTGGATCCTGCGATTCTCCACTTTCACCGAAGGGAGGAAAGGCAAACTGAAATCATAGCCTGTCCCAAAGATGATATGGTCAACATTGTCGACTTTGCTTCCGTCCGAGAAGAACACCGTTCGGCTGTGCGGCGATGTGGACACATGGGATATCGTGGGCTTGAGCGCCATTTGCGGATGTTCGAATGGTACTGTGCCATATACGCGATGAGGCTCTCGGATCGATGCGTATAATGGAGTCTTTGCAACTTTCACAATAGCTCTTGCAATATCAGTTGCCGAGACAGAAGCACCGATTGTAATCACTGTCTACGAATGTAAGTCTCTCCTTTCTTGCAGTCTAGATGTCGGGCTCACCTTGCCACGATATCTTTCGGGCCCGCGGTAGGTCTTGCTGTGTTCCACGACATCCGGATGATTCTGTGCAAACTCCGCAAGGCCGGGTACCGGGGAAAAGCGCGGGATGCTGTAATGACCACTAGCTACCACTACTGCGTCGAACTTTTCCTGCCACCAATAGTTGTGTTCTCCGCCAGGAAGCGATTGCCGCAAGGTCAGTACCCATTTGGATCCTTCCTTTATTGCTTTCTCAACTGTTGTATTGTACTCGACCTTGTGACGGTACCCTTTTCGGTCGAACAAGCTCTCAATCCATTCACGAATGACTTCGCTGTTGCGGAAAGGGGCTTTTCCTGGGATGGGCTCGTTGGTTATGGGATCGCGAGGGATTGGAAACGGTTCCTTGGTATATGCCATTATCCTCTCATCGATGTTGCTGAGCATCCCTGGGTACACTGGAGTGTACGAGTACCGGTGTTCTTTGCCATTTAGCGCCGGCTTCTGAGACGTGAGAGCAGGCAATTTGGAGGGGATCGAAACTGGCTGGTCGGCTTTCTGATCGACCAGAGCACGAACGGACGATAATTTTGGGCTTTCATTAGCATCGCTGATCCTGAGACATTGTCAAGATTATCCTCTATAGTTGCGGTACCAAAGTCTTACCATATTCCACCTGCCTTTTCTCGTCTTTCAAAGACTCGGATCACATCGAAATGCTTCTCTTCGGCAAGTGCATCAATGGTGATCGCGCCTGCTGGGCCGGCGCCGATGACCGCCACTGATTTGATCCCAGCAACCATTGTGTAGTCACGTCTTTGAGTTGAAGTGGCAGCTGTGTTAGCGTGGCCTGTAGGACTGTAGTTAAATTGTTCAGATCTGAGAGAGTACTACAAAACAGTTCTCTGAGGCTCCCTTGCTCCAAGTGGCATTACACGAGACAGCCTTCTCCAGTCCAACTGCTAATTCTCTCTGATCATCAGGGCAACACTGCAGGCCGACAGGGGCATTACCACCACCTCAGCAATCTTTGGTCCACCACGGATCCTCGGAACTCGGCTCGAGCACGCCATTTGCTCTTGAATGATGAATGAGTTATATGGAGAGGCATGTTTGTGACAAGCGGAGATGCTCTTTCAGGTATACATTAGTATCTCACGATATCCAATCGAAATACACGCTACTACACATCGCCGAAGTCGCTAACTTACAACATGTCACCGACCCGTACTGGAAACTAGTTTCGGGCCACGCCATGTTTTGCATTGCTGATGCGGCTACACACGTTGCCTCAGCGGAGCGAACCTGAACAAAGATAAGGGTATGGTGTGCTGCTGGCTTCAATGGCATCATGTTCTATCTGCCAACGCTGATTGGCGTAAAAGCATGGTTTCAGTTCCTTATCGGGTCGATCGGATACGACGGATAGTGGAGAAGGTATTGACCTACAGTCGTGCGTAACCCAGACATCGGCCTCTCCTCCGACACTAAATCAAGTTATATGAAAATAAACCTTACGCCGAAATACATGTTCATCATCTCTGAGCACGACATCGAATGCCAATTATATCGAGCATCGGAACACGACAGCAGATTTGCTTGCTTCGGAGGAAATCTCAAAGTCTCCCTCGGTATCGACCTCATCAATTGCTCTCCAGTCAGGCCACTTGGCGCATGATAGCCACAACACATGTATGCTAATCATTGTCACACGCAAGCAGTACACTGACCTGAGTGTACTCATTTGCAACATTCGACCACGCTTCTTACCCAAAACAGCTTCCAGCACCTTGGTAGGAACTCAAACAGAGGTTCGCACCATCACTGCAGACGACTCCTCCCCTTCCACGATGCGCATATTTGCAAACTGGCCCCACGTCGTTCTAAGCTTGCTTCGAAAGCTCTACAACGTTGAGCTCCTGCACATTTTCTGATCCCGGATCCACATCTTCACTCTGAACACTATCGCTTTCAGCTTTGACAATCTCGACTGGCCGAAGGCTCTTTTGGTGCTGTATATATGCCAGTGTGAGAGCGCAGATGATCTGGACAATCCAAAAGCCAGCTGCCGTGAAGTTACCGGATTTGACCGCTGGCTGGTGGACTGTCTGGAAGACCGCAAGAGGACTATAACTTCGTCAGCGTAAACTTCTACCTCGGGATGAGTGACCTACATTGTCGCTGCAAAAACTTGTGACCATACCTGGAGACTAGCTCCTGCGAAAGCACGCGTAGCAGGATCTCCCGCCCTGAACTGGTCAGTCTGTGACACATTTGCTAAGTCCTGGAAAAAGAACTCACAAGATTTCCGATGTCCATGCCCAGAACATACTGTAAAGTGTCAACGGCTTCCGTCATCTAAACAGACATGTCAACTCACCAGTTAGAAGCCTCTCCCCATCCAGTGTTGTAATACAGAAACCAGCGAAATGCTCGATTCTTGGGGAATACAGGCGTGGTGGCCAGAAGGATGCAAACCACAAAGTTGACCGCTCCACCCAGAATGAGCATAGGCCATCGACGACCTTTGAAAATGGTATCACCTAGCACTCTTAGCTTTATTCCTCAGACGCAACCATTTTGACCCACTAGCCCACGCCATGCAAGTAGTGACTGTAATGGTTACAGCGTACAGCGGTGTAGTGTAGTCATCTGAAGCTTGTTAGTTGCGAGGTCACCGCTGAGCTCATTACTTACTGATCTGCTGAACAGTGAAAGAGCCTTTCTTGATGGTATTCCATGCCTTGAACCAGAATGGAAGAGATTGATTTGGTGTATAGCCAATGTTCTGGGACCTATAGATGGAATGTTTAGTCCGAACATGGAGCTAGAAGGTGCCTGAACGAACGCTGCAATGAGAGAGAGTAGCCAGATCTCTGGCGTTGTAAACCATCTCTTGATCTGATTTCGTTAATAAGCTTTGTGCAAGAAGTCTTTCAAACAAACCTGAGTCTTTGTGAATCTGCCTTGCCTGACACGTCCTTCCTTGGGCATTCGATCTCTTGCCAACTCGATTTCCTTCGGCTCGAATCAGCAGCTATCCTCGGGCAGTGGAAAATCGTAGGTACCTTCTGTGAGAATATCCAATTTGGCTTCAGACGGGCGGGAGTTTCAGGGAGCAGGAAAAATTGAGGAATGATGATTCCAACCGAAAAGACTCCGTCGATGATGTACAACTGCATTGATCGTTAGATGGGACGGACCATCATAGTCTTGCCACTGACCCATTGCCATCCTTCCATGCCATTTACGCCGTTCAAGCCAGAATACGCTGCCGCTGTTCGAAAGTAAGTTGCTGCAAGACTGAAGAAGGGTTCGCATTTACTTTGAAGATAGGCACTGAACATGGGACCAGCTTGTGCTGCCATATTCACGATCGCCATGCGCTGGTCCATAAGTTAGCAGAGGCTTCGAGAGCTGAAGATAGCATCGCAACAAACCCGAGATAGTTCTCCTTTTTGATACCACGAGCCGCAAAGGTACATTACTAGGAGATGTTAGAGAGGTCGCGATATAGGAGAAGTTTTTCGTACTGGCAGAGTAGTGCCCTCTGTGAATGACTCTGTTAGAGGAGCTTGCAAGAATTGTGGAATCAGTACAACATACGTTTCGAACAGAGCAAGAATTGCTCTCAACACATACATCTGTGTCGAAGTCTTCATGGCTGATTGGGCAAAGGTGCTGTTGCATATCGTAAGAATGACAAGACTGAGGCTGGGCACATTGAAGCAGCTCACGTTATTGTCCATCCCACCTCCAAGAACCTATGAGATATTAGATGACCTCACGTGTGGAAAGACAGGTACCAACGTACGTGATGAAGTATCTTGGACTGGTGCGAGTCAAGATCAGATTGCTCGGCCAAAGAGCAATGATCTGGCACTTGTCAGACGGATGGAGGTAGTCACAGAGAGTAACGTACCGATGCAACACTGTAGCAAGTCTGTCTTGTCTCTTAATGATCTTTCATGGAATAGTGCTGGGGGGATACTTGCGTTCGCGTAGATCAGTTGCTGCCCGCGTATCAGTAACATTCATGGGCAAGATTGAAGTACTAACATTTCCATAGAAGCCTAGGTCTTCCTTCATTCCAGACACGAAGGCCGTACTCAGATTTTGTCTGTTGAGATCAGAAGAAGTAACGAGCCTCTTTCCATGACAGGCATACCGATCCAAGAACTTGATGAAAGTGCCCAAACAGCCAAATGTCACGAGTGTCCAGTCGACCTTGAGAAGTCAGTGGTATAGAAGGGCTGGAGGACTTGAGGATCGCGGACCTTGGTCAGGAGTCGTCTCTCCTTTTTGGCGTCAGCGGTTTGCATTCCTTCACTACGATGAGTAAGACTCACTTCTGGACTCTTGTCCCATGTATCCCAAAGATAGCTCCTCCAAGAACGCTTCTCTGTCGAAACATCAACATCATTCTCGACCCCGATAGGTGCAGGGTGCTCGATGTGCGCGCGTGGCACATTTTCCTCTATCCTCTTGATAGACATCTTGTTGATCTCAATCACAGAGACAATCTTGATCTTCGTATCTCACAAGGTGCGGCTGGAACCGTGCAGTCAATGGCATCGAGTTTATAGCTAAAGCAGGTTCTCGTCATCACGTCTTCGAGACCGCTGGCCTTCGACCAATGGAAAACGGCACGTTGTGCATGGTCTAGCCTCATGCCAAGGGTAAAGATGTGTAGATATCAGGAGCATCTTCTCCACTATGGATTGCACTTATTGCTATTACATTCTTCCCGTACTAGGCTTCCAGTCGGTAGTAACGCCGAAGTAATCGTTGCTTGTCTTTTACCTCCGGAAGGCTAAGGAGCCATGCTCAAAAAAACACTATCACCAACTGAACGGAGCTTCGGCAAGCGAAGACCTTCACTCAGTCATGTCATCAACCCTAGCTAAAAGATGGACCCCCCACTTTGGCGTTGGGAGTGTGGGAAAAGCGTCGTTGGGGTTCTTGAAGAGGGTCGAAGACACATTGCGTCTTCAATCAGAGAGGACGAAATCTCGAGACATCATTTTAGGGTGAATGATGCGATATCGAGGTACCCAGATATCGGGCGAAGCTATCGAGCTCCGGTGATAGCTCGAGATGGACTAGTACGACATGCAGCCTTGCCGCTCTGTGGGTCCACATTGGCGCGTATCGTAGTGCTTGCTCCATATTTCGTTATTCTGAATGTACTCCGATCGCGCAATATGTCGCACAATCACGAACATATGATACATAGCCGTCCGGCTACGGCCACAAAACGCCTAAGAAACTTCCATCACTAAGACTTGACTGAGCTGCTGTCCAGGCTTGCTCATTCGGGTTCAGGATGTCGACTCGCGCATCGTCAGTCCCTTTGAATTACTCCGGCTCTCTGGATGTCTATGAATCCCGTGACCTCACCCCCGTCATTGGAAGGGAGTTTCCCAGCCTCCAATTGAGCTCCCTTCTTGGGAATGACAGGCAGATCCGTGATTTGGCTATTCTAGGTACGTATGATCTCTTCACCTTAGGTCAGGCATATAATCCTAAGATCATGACTAAGAAGTTCAGTGTCTCAAAGAAGTGTTGTATTCTTCAGGAACCAAGACTTGGAGTTGAAAGACCAAAAGACCCTGGCACAAAAGCTAGGGGAGCTCAGTGGCAAGCCAGAGAGATCTCAAGTTCGTTGTTTGCAAGAACGCTTGTTATAAGAGTGCACTTACCAATCCTTCATCAGCTTCATCGGCACGCAGTAACGGACAGGAAATCTCAAAAGGCGTACGATGGGGAGAAAAGGGCGGATGAAGAGCTTATGGTTATCTCCTCAGACGTACGTGTACATCTCAATCGTGAAGCTGTTTGATCTCACTCGGGACACAGAATGCCAAAAGCGCCCACAAGGAGCACACTTCTGTCCTAAAACCGCTGGCTAGCACACTGTGGCATTCAGAGTGTGTATAAGTCATCCACACCTTGACGGTCGTTCTGACGGGAATACCTAGTATCACGTTCGAACATGTTCCTTCGGACTATGCCATCCTGAAAATGGTAGTTCTGCCAGAATCAGGGGGTGACACTATCTGGGCGTCTGGTTATGAAGCATATGACCGACTGTCTCCTGCCTGGAAAAGATTCGCGGAGTCACTGACAGCTACCCATCACAATGTGAGAACTAATTCACACTATCATGACTTCGGGCGCTGACTCTCAAGGCCATGCTGAAACAAAAAGCCGCGGGAAGCGGCGTCGATTTGATTGACAAAGATCGCGGTTCGCCTGATAACAAAGGCGTTGACTTTGAGGCCTCACAGTACGTATGACTAGGAAAGTCTAGCAATGTTTTGGCATGATGATGCTTACTCTTATTAGCCCCGTTGTGCGAACTAATCCTGTTACTGGGTATGTGCATCCCGAATAGTCAAGGCCCTCGCTCACAAGTCGTAGATGGAAGAGCCTGATGGCCGCTGGTCATCAGGTAGACCAAGGACGCTTCGACGATGTGACACGACGAGAAGATGAAATTCTGAAAGCATATTGTCAGTTCTTCGAAAACTTGTATCGGATTTTGAGCTGATACTTTCATAGTTCTTCAGCTTGTCGTCGAGAACCATGATCTTCAAGTCCGCTTTAGGTGGAATCAAAACGACATAGCGATTTGGGACAAGTCAGTATCTTGTTCTTTATATCTTTGCAGTCAGCTTACATATGGAACAGCCGTTCATGCTTTCACACAGCTACCTTGTAAGTGACACATCCTCGGCCGCACTCCTCCTCCTCCTAACAAGCCATCAGTGACTATGATGGTCCTCGAGCCGGCAATCGGATTGTCTCGATCGGAGAGGCGCCATATCTTGATCCCAAATCTAGTTCTAGACGTGCAGCGCTTGCGAAACTATAGATGCTCAGGATCACCATGGATTAAGTGGCATATCGAATGCCGCTGATCGGGAGAAAAGCGTCTAGCGAGTCGAGGAGATGCAAAAGTATCCAATCATTTGCAGAAGTCAATAAAGCAGAACTCCTGCTGCAAGTTCGGAAAGACCTGAGGTCCTGAAGTCCATAATTGTACCATCAAATTCCTACAACCATAGTCGGCCTATGAGCTTGATCTCATGGTGGTGGGAAGGATGTATTCGGAGTTCATGACGTGGAGCCACTCTACTGTCCCGAACTCAACCTTTTAGCGCAAAAGCCGCATACTTTACGAAAGCCCACTCCACCATCACACCGTCCAGCGGATAAAAGTATATCTTTGAAGTAGTTCAAGCTAATTAGACGACGCATACTCTACGGCATGGCGTCTTCGGTCTATCAGTTGAACAGAACCTCATTAGCTGAGTGATACCCTCTTCGTCGGACCTGCTCCCGACACTTCGGGGATACCAATCGTGGTACGACCGAAACTAGAAAATGATGCCATCGGTTGGTAGTGCCTCTACATGTGTCTACGTGGACACAACGCGATGCCATGTGTTGCGGCAATATGTCGTGATAAGGACCCCAAATGATGCCATCGGCAAGGTGAAAGCAACCATTGTCCCCTATCCTACGCGCCAGCAGCCTTCCAGCTCTACCACGGCGTGGCAATTAATGCAGACATTTTTCCCAGCCAAATTACCACCCCCTCCATAGACATGGCTCCCGCTATAGCAGATGTTTCACCTACATCTACACAGTCCAAGTCAAGCAAAGGGTTTCCAGTCCCTTTGCCGTTGAGCGGTGCTCTTGATCAGTTTGAGTCCAAGGATTTGACCCCCGTAATCGGGACCGAATTCAAGAATGTCAACCTTGTCGATTGGTTGAATGCTCCCAACTCTGACGAGCTTCTACGAGACCTAGCAATCACGAGTAAGCATGCGTCCTGCTAGAAAATTGTAAGCTCACCGGATCAGTCTCACGACGTAACGTCGTGGTCTTCCGTAAACAAGATGATTTGGACAACAACCTACAAAAGGTCCTCATCCAACGATTGGGAGAATTGTCGGGCAAACCTGCCACATCCAAACTACATATCCATCCTACGGTCAATATTGCCTCTGAAGGCCATACAAAGGACAAAGAGATCAGCGTTATCGACTCTACAAGAGGACGAATCATATTCAAGGGTGTCCAGGACCGGGAGGTGATCAAACCCAGCAATACCGACCAGTGGCATTCGGATATCACTTTTGAACCTGTACCGAGCGACTACGCAGTCCTTCGACTCACCAAGCTCCCTAAGACAGGTGGCGGTATGGTTTAGCATGCCATCGTTGTGATCTGAGGACTAATTTCTGTCAGACACCCTGTTCGCTTCTGGTTACGATGTATATGACCGAATCTCACCTGCCTATCGAAGGTTTCTCGAATCATTGACGGCAACATACGGGCAGCCAAAGTTCGGAAAAGCAGCGGCCGCGAATGACTTCAAGCTATTTACTGAAGAGCGTGGGGCTCCCGAGAACGTCGGAGACAAGCTGGAAGCCATTCACCCAGTGATTCGAACCAACCCTGTAACCGGGTGGAAGTCTGTCTTTGCCGTCGGTCACCATGTCCAGCACATCAATGGAGTAACCCAGGAGGAGTCTCAAGCACTACTGAGCTGGTTCACTCGCTTGATCGTCGAGAACCACGATTTGCAGGTCCGGGTGCACTGGGATAACCCTAATGACGTGGTCATCTGGGACAAGTAAGCATCGTGACCTCCGCTGATGGCTTCAACTGACAGATTCGTGAAGTCGCTCTACCTACCATGCAGCCACGCCAGACTATCAAGGTCTTGGTACGCGGACAGGACAACGTGCTGTTAGTCTTGGTGAACGACCGTACCTTGACCCTCAAAGCAGATCTAGGCGAGAGACACTCGCGAGTACTGGGAAACACGCCGTTGCGCTTTTGAAGCTCACGACAGAGGATATTGCAGGCCTGAATGTTGAATAAAGGGAGCTTGGGCGAAAATTTTCTTGAAATTTGTTCATAAACCCCCTTTTAAGCTCGGGGCTCCAGCCTTAGGAGCTAAGGGGCTATACGCAAGTACCGGAAATACAGTATACAATTATCTTATAGGCTTGAAGCACTTAAAAGGACGCTGGTTTCAAACAACGAATGGGACCGGTTCAGGCGACGAGCTTCCCCATAGACCCCGCGCCGCCTCAAGCTCCTTAGTGGCTTGGCTGGAAGTACATAAGTTGAACTCGAAAACAGCTCGTTCTCGCATAGTTTTACATATCAATCGTTCATTTGAATTGTTCATGATCAACAAGAGAGCATGCACCGTTGATGAAGTTCTTTTGGCACAAGGGCCATGCGGAAAGGCTAGGCCACGTGCCTCATGCCCACACTACCACAAGATGCATGCTGGCCAGCACAAATGAGGCCGCCATTGCTCGCTTCCTCACCACGCAATGCTAGCCAGCTGCCTCGGGTGATAGGTGAATGTTTCCTCGCCTAATCTGAAGTCGGCCGAAAACCTGTTGCATCACACTCATCTCAAGCGAAGCGAACACCACTTCCCGGCCCAGTTGAATGATCGAGATGATTATGGTTCGCCAGCTTCGCCTCCCTCAACCCATCACGAGACCCTGGCCCAACACCGGCACTGGGTTGTGCCGGCACAGTAATACTCGCATTTGCACTCGCAAGATGGCTACCCTGGCCGGCTGCAGCGTTGTGTTGGCGTTTGCCATCCATGCCTGCCTCACCTTCTCTTATCTCTGCAAGACCCCTCTCTGCAATCTCCTTGTTTCTCTCTTCGCCTTCGTGCTTGTGAAAGATTCCATCGAGTGCTTCCATCGCACCACCACGGAGTGCTTCTCCTGCCCCATGGATGCCATGAAGACCTGACTTGATGTCCCAAACCAAGTCTTGCGTTTTCTTGTGTACTTTATCGGCCATGATTGATGAGTGCGAACTGTGGTATTGATCGAGGATGAAGACGCTCTGTCGAGACTCACTCCCGGGGCAGCAGATACGACAGAAGTGCAAGAGCACGCAGCACTCGACCTGATCTTGCGCCCAACATTTATACCCCAGGCTGATTCATCCCCTGGTGAGCATGACATCATTGCTAACGTGGCCGAGCAAGCCGCCCACATCCGGTATATCTGTGCCTTCGAGCAACAACAAGCTCCTGATGCTTGTGGGCGACGACTATGTTCAAACTCATGTCCTCGGGAATTTTGACCATGTCGACCTGCTGTTGGACTTACTTAATATCCATGACGAAGGCTGGCCCGTGCCGCCATCTAGACGATCTACCCGCAATGGCTATTGAGCACCGACCAATAGCATATTCTCCGAGCCAATGATCGCAGCCTTGCAAACATCACAAATACTCGGCGCAACAGATCTCTACCACTCTTTTGCAGCGTCCGTGCAATTGATCTGGCCAGAAGATAACGTCGCTTGGCAACAAAAGAGCTGACGTCTCTGGGCGTTGAGTTCAGTAGGTTTGCCTAAGATGGAGGATCTCTGGAATATTTATCTTTCCTCATTACATTGGCTTTTCCCTGAGAAGGCGTTCTTGCGTTACTAGCCGTCGTGATTGTCGCAAGCCACATCCCATCCTAATGGCGACAATACGGGCACTTGCATCTCTATCGTTCCTCGTTGTTTATGCCGTCGCCGACTCGGTGACAAAATGCGGTCTCACAGGACTAACCAGTTACTATAACTCAACCACACTCCCATACCTATGTTAGTACAATATCCTCCCATCACACTAACGGCCACTATCTGACCAGCCACAAAAAGTCTACAACAACCCCTGGGGCAACGATGGGTCAGGATACTCATGCATAACAGTATGCTAGACATCCAATGAACCAGATAACCCTCAACACCATACTAATCAAAAGACAAGGTTGACAACAACGGCACCAGCTTCGACGCAACCTGGAAATGGGCCAACAACTCAGCCGATGTCCACGCCTACCCACACATCACACTCGAGTCATCCATTTTCCCCCTCCCAATCAGCCAACTCTCAACGCTCGAATTCGCCGCCGACTTCGGCGTCAACATAACCTCCGCGTACAACAAAACCGCTGCACAACGCCTCCAGGCCTTCATCACCGACGACGTCCAATACGATGTCACGCTAGACATGTTCCTCGACGCCAACGAAACAGCAGCAACATCCGACTTACCCACCTACGAAGTCATGATCTGGCTCAGCTATTCATACGACGTGTACCCTGTCGGCATCGACACCAGCAGTCCCGATAAGTACCAGTACATCATTGATGGGACGAGATTGTGAGTGCCACTCGCTTAGCGAGCAGTCAACCACCCCTTCCTATCTAGAGCCTTACGAGCGGGTCATTATCACCCTTTCCTATCATAAGCCTTGTGAGACACGTCGTGCGCCCTCTTCTTTCCCGCCTTGCAATGTGCGGGAGATGTACTGTACTGACAGCACGCTCCGCGTGGTTCTAGCTTCCTCTTCAACGGCAACAACACCCAAAACCAAACCGTCTACTCCTGGCTCCCCGAGACAAACCTCACGAGCGTCGACGCCGATTACTCCCCCCTGATCCACTATCTCTGGCAAAACGACTTCATGCCTAAAGACGTGTATCTCGGTACTTTGCAATTCGGCACCGAACAGTTCCACGCCACGGAAGAAGTCCTCTTCCGTGCGGGGAATTACTCATTCAACTTGGCCCAGAACAAAAGTCAAGTCTTTACTGATTTGTCCAGTGTCTCGCCCATTGCCGTGCCGACACAGGTCCCGACGACATCGAGGTTCGAGTCGAATAGTACCAAGAAGAGCGGTGCGTCTCCAGCACTTGCGAGAGCGACGGATGCCGGTGTCCTGGGTTCAGTGTGGTGTGGTATCGGTGTTGCGGTGTTGATGATTTCCTGGCTATAATTTCTGTCCGACACATATCCTGGTCTCTGGGGTACATATGGATGGAGTCTGAAGCGCGCGATAGATTTGATAATCAGTGGTTCTCTGGAGTATTCATACATTCTTCGAATTTGACCTCGCAGCACTCCAACATTTCGCTCTCCTATGTGGGTTCAACGTTCGTGCCATTCTAGAAGCTAGACCTGCGAAAGAGTAGCTGAGCTCTCCTGCAGAACGAGACCAAGTTTTATTACACCACTAGGGATCTACGCAGAACAATTCTCTTTCATGGTGTTTCGCAAAACTAGGACTTACACAGTTCTCGTAATTAACGCACCTCGTATTGATAGTATATACCGGGGTATCTCGTAATTCAGGGTCATAATTCTCACAAAGGTTGTCAAACGACGCCGAGGACATCGTTCCTTTTCTTGGCCGTGGGTATTCGTCCATCTGCCTTCCGTCTTTAGCGAGCGTACGAGCAGGAAATTTCTCTTTCATTCAAACATCGCCATCTCTTTCCCCGGGCCTCCTTCATGCCAACCATGCTTCAAAGGTCGCACCGCCATCAGTCTAGGCCACCCCTAGATTCCTTTGCCACTTCTAGACCAAACCATCCCTTGGGCGTTCATAAATTTGAGTGATGATCGCCTCTACTAGTTGTGACTGATTCTGCGAGCAAAGCTGCCACGACGATGAGCACCCCCGTCCTGGGTTGCGTGGCTCTGGCGACGAACAGTCTCGACGAATTCTTGGTCGCCGTCAACATGCCCATCGAAGGACCACAGTGACGGGCAAGGTCCGATCTTGCGACGGAAGATGTACGTCTTGATCCACCATGGCGCGACGGTACCGACTTGATGCTTCATGAAAGTGCGAGTCGGGATGGCGAAGATGTAGTCCAATTCCTCCAAAGTGCGCTGCTTTGTCTCTGGCAGCCACAAGAATATCATGCAGAAAGCCGTGAGATTCAACCCAGCGTAGAAAGCAAAGGCGCCGGTAACCGTCATAGCCGAAATCATGCGAGGGAAAGTGATCGACAGCACGGCGGCCCAGAAAAGACATGTTGCGACAGCCCATGACATGCCGACTTCACGGTGTGACAGTGGGAAGATTTCGGCCGAGTACGTGAAAGGCACGGGACCTTCTCCGGGAGAATAGAACGCGGCAAACTTGGCCAAACGTCAGCAATTACTAGTGGGCAGAACGAAGAACAACATACCAAGTAGATAAAGAGTGCCACGAGACCCAAGTGAGCACTGCTCGACCTGGGGATCAAGTAGCAGAGACCAGCAGCAAGCAAGGTCCATGCCATCTGTGGGAAAGTGAAGAGCAAAAGTGACCGACGACCGAAAGTATCGATGGTCCAGATGGCGGGCCATGCAAAGACAAAGTTGACCAGTCCGAAACCCCACGAGGCAAGTAGGGCGCTCGTGACCGAGGCGCCAGCTTGTTGGAAGATGGTGGAGCTATAAAAAGCGATGATGTTGACTATTCGAAGGTGGTTAGCCTTTTCGACCTAAATCTGCGTAGAGCAAGCACGACTTACTTCCGCACATTTGCTGGGCAATCATGACCGTGAATGAAGCCAGAGTAGCACGTCGGACTCGTGGGATGGTGAACAGTTGCATGAAACGGCCAACGTAGTTCGTGTTCGTGTGGCCGACCAGAGCCGCTTCCATGCGAAGCTGGGCGTAGATGTAGTACAAGTCACGAGCTGCCTGGAGCTCGGTATTTCTGAGTTTCTTCAACGAGCGGAATGCGTTCAGATATCTGCCCTTCTTGATGTACCAACGCGGCGATTCTGCGATTGTGTCAGAAGGGCGCAGGAACATACTGGATCCGGCACTCACCTGGACAGAAGTAAACACCGAAGAGCAATGGCATGGCCGGGATCATCGCAGAGCCGAATTGCAGTCGCCACGAGATACTACCGGTGTCCTTGACAGCAAGGTTGGCGCATGTACCTAGAAAGATACCAAAGGCCGTCCACATCTGCCAACTCATGACCAGAGCTCCACGGATAGAGGCGGGGGCGTTTTCGGCACTGAAAATGGGTACAGTAGAGCCTTTGCAGCCCATGCCAATACCGAGAAGTAGACGCGTGACCAGAAGTTGTGGCCAGGCTGAAAGACGTCAGTAAAATGGTTCGGGAAAGGGCAAAAGGCACCCACTTTGCGCAACTGCACTGCCAATGGGAGCCAAGAAGCAAAAGATTGCAGAAATGAAGATTGTGCCTCGACGACCGAGGTACTTGTTGAGAGGATCAGAGCACCAACAGCCACTAAGCGGGAGTTAGCATGTAGTGCGATTTAGATTCATAAGGGAACCCACAGGAATGCGGAAGCCATGTAAGGAGCGGCATTGATCAATCCCTGGTACCATTGATTTCGAGCAGCATCGGGATTAGGAGCACCATTCGCCAATTTATCACTGACAGAAATGCCCAAGGCGTCGGGGAAAGACAAGTTGGCACCATTGGAACCAGTCTGATCCCAGCCCTGGACAGCTGCGCCGATCGAGCAGAGAATAATGGTAAAGTAGAGTTTCGTTGGTTGACGCCATTTGTGCAAGACTTCATTTCTGATGGCTTCCTGCTCTGCATCGGTGAGGCCGGGAACGCTTTCGAACGCTGGAGGATCTTTGGCAACGAGCGCGCCTTTGATAATCATGGGAGTCAACTCCGCAAAGCCGTTGGTGTTTGCGAACTCTTCGACATCCCTGATGACCTCTTCGTTGGTCAAGTGTGCGAGAGGATTCTTGATCCTGCCAAAGGTCAGTGACGGATATTCCAACTGTGAGTAGGAAAGAATATACTTCGCCGTTACGCTTGATTCCAAGTCAATATGTGTGGTGTCGCGCTTCTCACCAACATATTTCTCGTTGTCGACGCTAAGGTCAAGTCTGTCAGAAGGAACTCTTAATCCAAGTAGTGATACTTACACGTCTTCCTCGCGCCTGATATCGTTGGACGCCATGATGGAATACAAAAATCCTTCTCTTCAGGTCAAGTATCTCTGTGCCAAGTGTGGAAGGAAAGGAAGATCAAATGTGCGGAATCGCTTGAACTCTTTATCCAGTCGAGCGACCAGCCCATGGGTCCTCCAGGCGGGGATGAACATCCCTGTGCTGTGAAGAGGTCCCCCAATGCCTCCACGTTCAAGTGCGATTTGATTGGCATTTTCGATGTCAGGTGAAGATTTAAAAAGCTTTGCGGATCCCCATATGATGGGGTCTTATCTGCGTGCTTATTCTCCATGGATCTAATCCAGATTCGTGTATGGTTAACCCGCCTTTGTCTTTTGTGTGGGAGTTTCCCATGGGTTCAGCTCCGCAGTGTGGATTGCCTCATCTCAACCTGGAACACATCGTTGGTGGAAGTGTCGTTGTCCGCAAGAACTAGGAAAGAAAGCTAAAGGTCGATCCCCGGTTCTGGTCCGAATCAACGTTGCAACGCCCAGGGTTCGTTTGCAGTATATGACGAGGCGGCGTCCTGCCACTGTGCCGTCTAGCCTTGACTAGCCTTAACAATTCCGCCTGTCTTTCCCAATGGCAATTGGGCTCGTGCGATCTTCGAAGAGACTTTGCTGCTGTCATCGACTTTTTTCTCCACAACTAATTGAAGAAAAGTGTCGCTGAAGGTCATTCCACTACACTAACCCCCTCGTCTTGTGACCACTTGCATAAGTACTCTTTGTATTTCCAATGCTCGGTATTTTCTCGCCGAGAACAGCGCAGAACCTATAGCGGTACTCTGAAGAGCACAGTATTGCGATATCATGCCGTCCTTAACGTGACCCTGCGGTGGAATCCTGGTCGCATCTGTGGGAAGCACATGCCTTTGGGAAGAGTGTGCTTTACTCTGTGTGGTTCCAGGAGATCTTCCGCGGAGCCCAGGTGGCGGGGAAGGGAAACAGGGGTTCGGGGCAAAGCACCCCGGCCGTACCATAGAGTACGCCCAGACGAGTCTGCCCTACGCGGTTGAGAGGCCTACTGTGGGCTAGATTCCCCTCTCGTGGCAACCCTGGGGTGGAGAGAGATACTGATCTTGCAGACCGCACAATAGTGAAACAGGTCGGCTACCTGATGCGGTAGTTGATAGTCAACATGTGCTTTTGTATTTTCATCAACACCTCCCTCTCGGCTCGCTTGACCAACGCTGGGTGGTGAAAGCTGGTCACGCAGCATGACGCGCATAAGATGAACGTTGATGATGCTATCCTCCCCCGGATCGTCAGCTGGGGTATTCCTAATCATACTGTACTTGCGGTAATATCCACGAATGCAGTTGCGAACATGAGATCCGTTTAATGCACTGTGGAGGGCGTCCCATGTGTACTCAGAGTTGCTCAGGTCTTGCTTGCGCGATCATGAAAGCACTGCGTCGTGCATACCGCGTGTTGGACAGGCCCAAATAATCGGCTTGTACTATATGTTTTCGGACTCATGGCACGCGGGCTCCTTAGTTGTCTGAGAGGCGAACACCTTGCGCCAACACCGCCTCTCGTTTACATGAACGCTGGTTGCGTGCGATGACCATCTGTCAAAGCCTTCAAGGCGCCCGAAGGGTTCCATAGCGAGTGATGGGCACATCGACCGACGCTGAAGGCCACTACGAAAATCTCGATCTGAGATCACCTGCATGGTAGCTACTCGATCCCGCTGTGCAATGGAAGCGATTGGCGCAGTCGATGCCATTGGTCACCAGAGGCCTCTTTAATGTGATTCATGGCATGGGCATCCTGGGGAAAGGTGGATAGCCATAACGCCCGACAAGGTAATCGAGGCCAAGCCGTCACGGTTAAGTCCATAATGAGTCAGCCGCCTTGAGACAAGTGCAATGTTGCGGAGCAGGCGTCTAAACTATTGTAGAAATATAGTCCAGTCCATGCCGCTTCACGTTAAAATGTTGCTTTCCAGAGTCGTTTGCCATCCGGAGTAAATATCCAGTTGGGAGAAATACGATTTTCTAACAGAGCGTCGCCTTTTCGGCCGATCTTGTGCCGATGCGCATGACCAACAGGTTTTGACTTTTGACAGCTGAATTGTAGTGACCTCGTCTGTGCTTTCCTCCAGCTTGTGAAACCGGGGGGAAGGCTGTAGCGATCTACTTGGTGTCCAGCAAGTGTGATGGTTGATGCTAGAATTTGATTCCGGGTTGAATTACTTGCTGGATAGAACAATCGCTGTATGGTAGGCATGAAGTGTGCAACTCCGTATGAGTGTAAACTGGGGTATCACATTGAGTATTATAACTTGGATCGCCTTCTGCGTTCTTTGACCGTCTGCTGTACGCTTTCGACCGCAGACAATTCCGCGTCCTCAAAAATCTCCTTGTTGAGTCTAGCAGCCAACGATAATACTCGAGTTGAAACTGTCGCACCATCCCTTCGGTTCTTGCCTTCTCGGCGGTGCAAAGCGATACTCTCAATGAAGTCCCACAGGCGGCCAGATGCTTTGAGCTCGCCGGTCGTGGCAGCTCGTTCTGGTGTCCATTCAGGAGCCAACCGAACCATGGCTGGAGATTTGGAGTCTTTCCCCTTTGCCACAAGAATGATACCTTCTTCTTGGAAGCGGCTGTAAGCGTTCTTCAGAGCTTCCTTGTTGACGGCCTCAAAATACGACAAATCTCCCTGATGATAGAGTGTCCTTCCTCCAAGTTGAGCAGTGTTCTGCGCTTTCTGCGATTCAATCCAGGTGATCGACGAGCCCAAAGGAGGCACCAGTACCAGCAATGAAACCGCACCAAGCCATGCTGCATCCACGAACGGCCAGATCAGGAAGCAATAGAAGTCGAAATTCTCACGGCCCGATTTGCGCTCGGTGTCGGACAACCCAATCACCCTCTCGCCGTCTTCACTGACCGAGAATACGTTGTCTCGCAGCAAACCTTGCATGGCCGCTTCCAAGTTATGCCTTAGCCCCTGACCTGCTGGGAAAATGAATTCTCCCCGAAATAGCTGTGACAGGAACGTGACCTTTTCGATAAGCTCTGTCTCTTTCATGCGCTCAGTGGCGCTGCCGCCTCCGTGCTTTACCTTGGTGTACAGAGCTGCAGCGATCAAGGCCTCGGAGATGAAGAGGTGGATCGTCATGTTCCTGTAGAAGGACAGTTGGAAACGGTCCACAGCATAGTATGTTTCTTCGGCCAGTCCCTCCACAGTGCCTACGAGTTTTGGTCCTAGGACCTCAAGAGCACGCTCGACCACGTATGAAGTTGGCATTCCGTGGAAATCTGCCACTTTCCCACCATTTGCTCTTGTTCTAGCACAAAGCCAGTCGACCCTCCGTATCAGCTCGGATTTTCCGACACCACGACCGCGGAGGGTGAGCAGGACGGTGCCTACCAGGGCCGTGGGCATAATGACAGAGGCATCATTGATGTCAGAAAGAACCTTGTAGCCAAGCGTTCTCAGCAATCGTATCCTTGTGGCAGAGTCGACTGCAGTCGCCTGGAGGTCTTGATAATCCAATTGATCCTGCCGCTGACTTTGATCTCTTATGAATTCTTTGAGGCTCCATGGCTCATGAAACCTGCAGTCAATCCTTCCCAGGTTCAAATTGAGGACTGATGAGGCTGAAAGGAAATCTACCAAGTTCTCCTTTTGCTTGGGCTTTCCCAGCAATTCGTTAACGTATGAGTCCACTTCGATGACTTTGTCATATTGGAGTGATACCGGACAAATGTAGGTATCCTCGGTCCTGCCGGACAAGACCGAGTCCAGCAAGAAGCTCAAGACTCCAAAGCGAGGCCCTAATAGCTTGCCCGTCCGGCTCCTCGTGCCTTCAATGAAGCATTCTAGGTTGTATCCCTTTTGCAGGAGGGTATCCAGGTAAGCTTGGACAACGGTGGCGTAGAGCTGATCATTGTCGAAGCTCCTTCGAATCCACATGGCTCCTACACTTTGCAGGAAATTGCCCACGAGTGGAAAATTCAGGTTGTCACCAGCCACGACAACTGGTAAGGTGAGGCCAAGTCTGTAGCAGACCAAGTGTAGCGTGATGTAGTCAATGTGACTTGTATGTCGTGGTAGGAATACAATAGACTGATTCTTCTTTGCGGCTTGACTGGCAATCTCACGTAGCCGCGTTACTTCTGCTTCTGAGACGTGGATGGCACTGTAGGCTCTAGTGAGCAGTTGAGTGACGACGTAAAAGGCGCTTCGAATGTATGGCTTGCTCTCCATTTTGCACATCATATTGTCAACCATATCACTTGTGATCTCGATCAACTGTGATGCAATCTCATGCCTGCGCTTTTCCCTCTCTTGCAAATATGTCGGACTGGAGGTGTCAAAGAAGCTTTCCTCCTCTTCAACCTTCAGCCGTGCCTCTACCAACTCAGTCACTTTCCGTCTCAAGATCGAAGATGCCATGACGCCAGACTTGACGTTGGCGGTGTAGCCAGGATAGAAGACTGGCTGTCCAACGACACTGTCGTAAGACCGCCATCCGACGCCTCGCACAAATAGCGAGATCTCGCGAGCAAAGTTGAAAGGGTTCTTGCGGAAACGGGCCATCCGCGTGAGGATGCTCTGGTCGGTAGGGTCATCGTTGGACCGGGGCCCGCCTTCTGGGCGGACGAGATCCGACATCGTTCGTAGGGTGGAAAGTGTTTTGAGTTGAGCAATCCTCAGCTGGAGGAAACCGACAGAATCTTGAATCTGGCCATAGCCGTGATTTGTCTCTTCATCACCTTCTGTGCGTGGGAAGCGCGCTCTACTTGACACGGTCGAGTTGGAAGGCACCTCGCAGGTACCTCTGGCCTGTACAGTACATCATCTAAACAACAGCCGAGGTTTCGGCGGCGCCCTCCGCAAAATTATCGACGCGACCCCGGGCGTGCCCCGGCTTTAAAGAAAGCCCACAACATAAACACCAACACCCACCTTGCCTTCATTTTTTCAGATTCCTACAGCGTCTACCCATCTCACTCACGACATCCTCCGAAGCCCAGTCGGCTTGGTGTCCTGAAATCTCGATGCGATGACAATGGTCAGGTGCTATAACTGATCTGGCAAAGTGCACGCTGCTGCAGGATTTTATCTATCAACAATCGTCTTGACGTGACGAGGCCTCCCAGCAAGAGATATACCATGCGGGTATCAGCTCCTCCTGCCAGAGACGAGAGAAGTTGTAATTTCCGCCGTCTTCGAGAGCAGGTTGTCTACCTTGGTGCAATATGCAGCGTCGAGACTCCAGCAGAGCTCAAATCTGTTGAGGACTCCGCCATCTCATGCCCCAACGATGATCTCCAGCACGATTCACAGCAACAACTACGTCTTGCAATGTGAATGTGCTTGAAAATGAAACACATTGAGGCGGTCGTCCAATCATAGGAAAGCACACAACTGTCAGAATTCTCCATGTTCTTGATGTTGATGCAGTTTCGGAACCTGGTTCCTGTCCCTCATATCGAGCTTGGGTGGGTCACTAACTCAGCACTTTTTCGGGTCATCACTCCGTATCCCTGATCGACTTCCGCTTCATACATGGAAGCGGACCTCAAGCTCACGAAGCCAAACTCAATGACTGATTGTATACTGAACCATACAAGCTACGGAAGCAGGCTGAAGAATAGAAACTCCGGAAGTTGAACACCCAACGCTGTGCTTTCATGTCAACAACAACAACGGCGCGATACAATGCACAGCCCTATCGGAGATGCTGATCATGGTCTTCGGAAGTGTCTTTGTCGTTCTAGAGCAACGCAAATATGCACACTTCCGCCTTGAGGTGTGCAAATTTCAACAACCATTCGTGGTGGACGTCGATTGTATACGTTCGGACTTTGTTGTGCGCTCAATGCTAACAATAGCTAACTCTCGATCCCATAGTGGCCTTGAACCAGACGATCTCGTGAGTTTGCATGAAGCACTACTGTGTGATCTATGTAATGATTAACACAGCAATCCATACAGTTAGACTTGTGATGAACTATGAGCTGCATCAATGTATCATTAACGCAGTGTCGAACCGAAGAAGGATACCGCATGATCGTCAAGAAAAGTCTGTACTCGCATCAGGTGGGTATGTATCGCAGCGCATATAAGGATGGCAAGTGTGAGTGATTCCTTCCAGAGCTCGATTCTTCTTTTACAATTTCAAGTCTTTCTTCCAGTCGTTCGCTTTTCAAGTGCCAGTTGCTTTCTACTCCCAGCCTCAGTGCTAGCTACTTTCTACTTTCACACAAGGTGCTTCTGCTTCCAAGATGCATTCAATGTGGCTATCAATTCTTTGCTTTGTCGGTCTTATTGGTGGCGCTCTCAGCCAAGATGAATGCCGCGGGCTCGGAGGATATGGGCCAGCTATCGACTTCTGCCGTAACAGCTTTCCATTCCCGACATTTACCTTGGTGATCAGCATAGAAGGGGCCAATCAACGAAGAGACTTTGCACCACACCATACTCTGATGCGCAGGGCAACTGGGGAGGCTGATGCTGCGGTCACTGCGGATGCGGCACTCTCTGCCCAAGCTGAAACGCTCGCTTCCATCCAACAGGCGACTGAGGCTGAGCAAATACGCTTCTGTGGCTGCATCAGGCCTGTAGTCACCGTCACTGTGACTTCGACTGTGTTCGTTACTCCTTCCACCACTGCGACGACGACAACCACGACAACTACTACAACAAGCACTACTACCACCACCACAACCACGTCCACAACTACGCCCACACCCACAACCACGACAACTACAACAACTACGACCACCACCACAACCGCAACAGGTACTGAGGTCGCCGCTGGCCAAACTATGGCCGTCATAGCCAATATGGGTAACACCAAGCGTGATACATACTACCTTGGCATTAACGGCAACGGCATCGCTGTGTTGGGTAGTCAGGCTGATTCTGCTACGTTCGTTACTGGAGCAGACGGTACTATCCTCTATGGCGCTGAGTACCTCGGCTCCAACCCTGGTTCTAACTCCGACGCTGCGTTCCTTGAGGTCTTTACTACCGTGCCAACTAACCACGTCTGGTTGAGGGACTCATCTGGTGCGCTTACCCTTACTGACCGCCAATTCTGTGTCCTATCCTCCATGGAGGTCGAGACAATTGACACCGCTGGCGACAACTGTGGTGGTACCATTGTAACCTTTATAGCCGTGTCTGCCACTGCCACTACCACCACCACGAGCACTACCTCTACTACTACCAGCACAACCACAACTACACCCACAACCACGACAACTACAACAACTACGACCACACCAACCACTACAACAACTACGACCACACCAACCACCACCACGACCACGACGACAACCACCACCACGACGCCCACAACCACGACTACGACTACGGAGCTACTCGCAACTACGACCACTACAACAACACCCACCACCACAACAACGACAACCACGCCCAGCACGACAACTACATCGACGACGACGACCTCTACGACGTCAACGACTACAACCACGACGACGACTACTACCACATCTACAACCACTACGACCACAACTTCTGCCACAAATACTACCTGAGCAACGACAACAACACCCCGTGGCACGTGGTCCTTTGGTGGTTACGATATCAGAGGCTTTCTGACTACAAGTGATGTCCAGCCTATCAATCTTTACCTATCATTCAACTGATACTGGCAAATGAAGTTGAGCGGAAAAGATGACCTCAACGTCCTCTTGACAAAATATTGCGCTGCTGAGATCAGCATCATAATGAATACCCGATAGATCTCATTATCATGATTATAATATAGGTATCAAGCTAGGAAATAAAGAAAAAAAAGTTTGAAAATCGTGGTAATGGCTTGATCAAGCATTGAATTGCTTCAGTCAACCTAAAGCTAGAGTGTCTCTGCTCTTCTCCGTGTTCGTTTGGCCAGCCTTGCCCTGCCTTGCCGTCTATCAATCTTCGGCCTCGTCGTTCAGCGCTAGTGACCAAAGGGGCTTTATCTACGTCACGTGGCGATATGGGACAACGTAACATCTCGCAGTCCTCCAAAGTCCATCTTCCTCATTCTTTCCCATTGCACTCCTGGCTCTTTGTCACTCGTTACCCACTGCTCAAATCCCTCTTAATCACCAAATAATCACTCAATACCTTCCATTCCATTTTCTGGGCTGGTCCCGACGCAAGTGCAACATTACCTTTACCTCTCGAGCATGCGATAAACCAACCGGCAATGGGCAAGAAGTCCGACAAGCGATACGGAGTAGTGCTGGACGCAGGTTCGTCCGGCACGCGTGTTTATATATACAGGTGGCTCGACAACTCGATCTCCCGACTTGACGCCTCATCTTTACACGCCCTCCCCGAATTAGAAACAAAGGACAAATGGACCAAGAAAGTCCACCCGGGAGTATCGACATTTGGCGTAACACCCGAATCAGTCGGTCCAGAACATCTCAAACCTCTTCTTGAACACGCCCTGGATCACATACCCAAAGATGCGGTCCCAGACACGCCCATTTTCCTGCTCGCGACAGCGGGTATGCGCCTGCTGCCTGAACAACAGCAACAGACGCTTCTCCGCAGCATTTGCTCCTACATACGCTCCGAGACGCACTTCTCCCTTCCAGACTGCGACGCCCACATCCAGGTGATTTCCGGCGAGACCGAAGGACTATATGGCTGGATCGCAGCAAACTACCTGCTAGGAGGATTCAACTCTCCTACAGAACACAATCATGGTAAAGGACACCACACATACGGCTTCCTCGACATGGGCGGCGCATCTGCACAAATCGCTTTTGCTCCCAACGCAACAGAAGCAGAGAAACACGCAAATGACCTGACACTCCTGCGCCTCAGGACAATCGACGGCCTGCCACAAGAATACAAAGTCTTCGTGACAACATGGCTTGGTTTCGGCGCCAACGAAGCGCGCCGTCGGTACGTCGCCGACCTCGAAGAATCATACGACCTTGATAATACCCTCGAAATCCCCGACCCCTGTATTCCCAAAGGAATCAAAATCTCACCAGCCGGCGAGATCCTCTCTCCCACAACATCCTCTCACCACCTTCTCGGAACAGGCAATTGGGACGAATGCATCCGCCGTACATTTCCTCTCCTTGAAAAAGACATCCCCTGCCCCGACGAGCCCTGCCTGATCCACGGCATCCACGTCCCCGCCATCGACTTCGAAGTGAATCACTTCATAGGGATAAGCGAGTACTGGCACACGACGCACGAGATTTTCGAAATGGCCCACAAAGACAAAGCCTACGACTTCACAACCTACCAGACCCGCGTCAAACAGTTCTGCGAGCAAGACTGGTCAGCCATAGAGCAGGGCATCGCCGATAAAACATGGGGCAAGAAAGTCGACGAACAGACAGCATTGGAAGTCTGTTTCAAAGCCTCCTGGCTGATCAACATGCTGCACGACGGCATCGGGATTCCCCGCGTCGGCGTCGATGCATCCACGTCGTCTTCACATAATGGCACCAAAGAAATCCTCCAAGCCGGCAAAGACAAGGGCTTCCTCGACCCCTTCCAGGCCGTCAACAAAATCAAGTCCACGGAAGTGAGTTGGACAATGGGCAAGATGGTCCTGTATGCCTCGGCAGATATCCCGCCCGCACATGAAGATGACCTACCCGTCGGATTCGGCAGTAACATCGATGGCATCCCCGCGGATTTCCAGTACCCCGGCGGTGGGCGCCATCAAAACGATCTGTCTCGGCCGCAGAGCATCACAGACCAGATCCACGATAAATTATTCCACTCAGACGCCCCGCACCGCTTACCCGGCTTTATATTCTTCTTATTGATATTGATAATCGCGGCATTTTATTTATGCGGCCGCGACAGGCGAGCACGCATATATCATTCCTTTTCGCCCTCGAATTCGAAATCGAAAACCCCCGCTCTCTCATTCTTCAGGTCTTTCCTGCGCAGTCCGCGACATGCAGTGGACCAGTATTATCGTGGTAGTGCTCGCAACGACTTCGATCTGGAAGACGGTACTCCCGCATCAACGAGACTCTATGATCCGGCAGACTTTGAGCTGGGAAACATTTCAGGAGATTCGTCCGAGGATGATTTACCCTCTTCTCGGCCTGGCTCACGGCCTGGGTCATCGAAGAAGAACATTGAGCGCATTCGTCCTGATTTGATGGATCGACATGGATTAGTCGTTCGAACCGAAAGTCGTGAGAGATTAGGGCTTGATACTACTTCTCCGAGCGGGAGGTCTAAGAGTCGGGGTGGGAGTCCGACTAGGTTCAAATCATGAAAGGTTGAACACCGACTGTGTGATTATTTTTATGTTGTGTTTGAGCGAGTCCGACAAGATTGTAGTGATACCAGATATGATGATCGAAAATCAACATTGAATATAATTGTGTAAATCAGGTACGACTCACAAGTCTTCATATGGATTTCCTTCGATACTACTGTATTCATCATGGTACATCCCTTTCCACATCCCTTGCCCTCAAGTTGCTCAAGTTGCTCAAGATGCATTCTCTTTCCATGTCAGATGCCAAATATAAACCAACCTCGCGCCACCATTGCTTACTCTGCAAAATCATAATTCAAGCTTGAGTCACTGCCAAAGCGCCAATTACTAGACCCTATCCATGAGCTCCCACTTCAACCCAGTAGATCAGGATTCGATATATTGCACCGGCGTCTTTACTGCCTGTCGATCACTTCCCACCATCCCCAACATCAACATCCACCTTCACACGCTTCTTCATCCCCGAACTAACCGGCTCAGGCAACTTGAATTCCGGTATCCCCCCTTCCGTCTCAGGCTCTCGAATCGGCCTCAACAAACTCGAACTGGTCCCACCACTTCCAGCCTTCCGATCCCGTCCCAGCGGTGGCGGCGCTGTAGGCAACGTCGCTGTAACCTCTCTGTAAAACTCCTCCAGACACTCTTTGTCACAACAAAATCTTTCCAAGCCATCCTTGATCTGCTCGGGCGTGACATACTGTGACAAGGTACTCGTCATCAGTGCCTGGCGGGCACTGCCGAAGACATCGGCTGTGAACTGTGGTGTTAAAGGCTGTAATGACGATGAAGTCCCCAACAGACTTGAACCCGGGATCAGCGGTAGAAGCGGTGTATTTGACAGAGGGCGGATCATTGGTGAGGAATATGGTCCTGTCTTGGGGGATTGGACGTTCAATCCAATAATGCCGGAAGCTTGCATGCTTGGAGTCGGTAGGGTGGTATTGATGTGCGGTGGTCGAAGCATTGAGGCTGGTCCATTGGCGGTAGTGTCTTTCTTGCTGCTGTCAAATTTCGACGAAGTGTCTTTGGTCGAGGCTAGACGCGAGTTGTACAGCCTGTTGGCAAGCAGCAAAACGTCGCCTTCGTCCGTGATCTGAGCGAGGATCACTCCCGACCGATGCACAAATTGAGTGTACCTGTAATCCATCGTGCCCCAGGAGTATTTGACCTCGACGTTTTCGGGAAATTCCGAGGCTGCTTCAAGGTCCAGCACGAAGTTGAACCTTTTCAACAGGGCTTTCTGATAGAGGTGAACATCTGAGTTAAGAGGCGCATGTGGTCCAAAGGAAGTCGCGGTGAAGTATGCGTTGCTTTGTGATTGTGGACGAGGAGGCTCAATGGCCAATTTGATGCGATATGGCGCACGGAACGGTTCGTGCTCTGGGACTTCAGCTGCCTCGGCCATAGGCACCTCAACAAGTTTCAACCCATATTTCTCAGCTTGAGTTGTCCAGCTAACAATAGCATCGTCGACAAGCTTGGATGTCACATTGAGCCATGCGAGCTCGAGGTGATAGCAGTTTTCTGGGTTGTGAAGTCTGTCGTAGTGTAAATTGATGATCTCGGGTCTGTTGGAACGCTTTCTTGTGTCAACATCTATCCGGATCATCTTGCTGAGAGTAACTGTTCTCCTCTTCTTGTCAACCAGCGACTTGGCTAGCTCAGAACTGATTTGCCCTTGGTTCGCGAGACTAGATCCTGATCGTGATCGACCGCCCATAAAATCACGTGGAGGATGCTCGCTGAGCGGAGTTGGAGGTATTGACCGGTCGGATTTGCGACTTGCAGGGAACCACGACTGTCTGGCTTCAGGTCGCTGAGCTCGCCATTCTGGTTTGATGGAGTAGAAATAGTTTCCGTCTTTGAAGTTGTGCCGACCCTGAACATGTTCGAATAGGTCATCTTTCATCAGTTCATTTCCGAGTTCCACAGCGTCCTCACGAGTGTCGATGTCTTTGAAATTGTGGACCAGCCAATTGGTCAAGTCTTCGCCCATAAAACAACTGTAGTACAGACGCAGGTGCCATCGTCTGGTTTTGATTTCGATGCCCTTCTCACTCTGCAACGCTTGTGCCAGCTTCGTTAAGCTAAAACTGTCTCTGTCGAACTGTTCTTCTTCTGACAGTAGCTGAGTAGTTTGCACTTCTCCTGCTTCCTCTGCGGCGATGAGCTTATCCAGTTCGGTGGCCACCAGCTCAGACGGATTGAGAGTCTCCAAATTGATCCTCAAGGGGTTACGATCCTTTCGTTTCATTGTGCTGAGACGGTTATGAGCCGGCCTTCGTTCGTCAGGTGGGACATAGCGAGCCTTCTGCCACATTTGCGTCAATGCTCGAATTCCCCGCAAATGAATTTCCTCTTCATTCTCTTCGACTTCCGCTGGCGCAGATCTTCGAGCACTGGCGGGCGGCTCGACTGGTATCAGCACGAAACGTGCACGCCAGAATCGCAATGCTTTGACGTCTGCGTCCGCCTGTGCTCTGGAGTTGGCAAGGTGATTGTCTGCAGCTTCCCAAGGATACTGTTCCGAGAATCCTTGAAATTGCATCGGTCGTATCGCATACGTTTCGGATAGAATGGTCCTGATGTTGGGATGATAATTTATCTGCTGAGAATATGGAGGTTGCACAGTAGGGAACTTACGGACGTATTTGGTGACACGAATACGATCTGCCTGTTCGAGAGACAGTTTCTGGATGGTGTTGCCCATGTACAAAAAGATGAATGACCCGTCAGGTCGCACCACGTCGGGCGTGAAGAATGAGGAGCTGTCGCATGTGCCAGGACCGACAGCTTCGACCAGGCCTTGCCCCACTACCAGTTGATAACCGTGGGAGAACCTCAATGCCAACATCTCTCGGAGCAGCGTGTCTCGAGATTCGGGAACTTCAAGCATGTCATTTAGATGTTCGAGGTGCACGTCGTAGGTCACAACATCGTACTCCAATTCGAGTTCCAGCCCAGAGGGGAAGTCTGATGTTGTCAACGGCACCGATGCAGGAGTGCACAACGATCGCCATTTCACGATTGAAGCCCGTGGCTTTCGTGGATACAAATGCTGCCATCTTCCGAATAGAGATTCTCGCTCCGGGTGTCGTTTCAGGGGGTTCGAAGCATTGACGTTGCGTACATAAGGAAGGTTGCTTCTTGGTACGGAGCTAGCAACTGAGGTTCCTAGCCAACTGGCAGCCTGTTCGACACTGTCATTGTCGTCTTCATCATCATTCCCAGATGATATCGACGAGCCACTCCCAGAATGTTGATCGGCCGCAAAATCCGCCCTAGAAATGCTGGGAGGACCTCTGGAATTGCGCAATGTCGAGCCTGTTCGATGCGAATCTGCAAGACCATCGTCATGCTGCTTCCTTATCGGTGTATTGATCGAGATGGGCTTCGACGGCATACCGCCTACCCGACCAGTAGCTTGGTATGCAATTTCATTATCTGGATGGCCGTTCGAAGTCCTCTCGTTCATCGCACTGGTGGTCGACACCGACCGAATACTTGCTGCTGACGTGCCGGAGGCAGGGCGTGGAGCAACTGTGCCAGGCTTGATTAAGGTCGGATATGCCTGAGCATTAGTTGTGTTCACCTCGGTGCTAGCCACGGCTCTGATTGGAGGAGCAAGACCACGCAAGGCATAGCTCAGATTTCGATTCACTTTTGGAGCAGTAGATGGGTGCTTCTTCCCAAACAATGCGTCAGACGCATCTCCCGAGTTCAGAGAGGGTAGTTGAGGGCGGAATGGCGTATTGAGAGGCTTGTTGGAGAGCACCTTAGTCAGTTTGGATCCGACTTTTGACTCTTCAACAGAGGGCTGGACCTTGTTCGGAAGCTTCGTGGCCACATATTCATTGCTTTTTTCGAGACTAGAAGATTGTTTGAGGCCTTTGGCCAGTGATTGATGGTTTGGCCGTGCGCGGAATATTGTTGAGTCATATTTCTCCATACGGTCGAATATATCCCCCAAGGCTTTGGCATGAGTAGAAAGAAGACCTTGCCCGGAGCGACCAGACTCGAGGAACGATCGACTTTTGCGTGATACCTTTGGTGAGTGGGACAAGCTCCCTGCCGCACTTGAACGTCGCGCTTGGGACTTTCTGCGGCTCAGCCGGCGTCCGATCGGATTTTGTGTTTCGTTCATAAATGGAATGCTCATGTCCGCAAGACCCAGCTCCATCAAACCCATCATCTGAATTTCGTACATTCTCACGCGTGGAACGAAAGGCAGCTTCTTCCTCTGAAGCTGGCTCTTATCTCTGGTGTCCTCTGCACCCTCTTTAGTCTCTGCAGGCTCATTCTCAGGCGACCAGTATGACAGGTCGATCCATTGGGGGATGCCAAAACACCACCCATGGAGTCCGTCACGGGTTTGTCCCGAAATATGGCTAGTGAAGTATCGAAGACTATTTGTCGTCATGGAGGAGAATGCAGGAGACAACTTTCGAGGTTGAATGGAGTCACAAAAGGATGGGCCGGACCCCGATCTCCGAGGACTAACGTTCAGACCTGTAGGTATGGAAAGGTGAACAGATTCCTCCACTGCAGTGTTTCGATACTTGAACAACGGTACTGAGTGTAGAGGCATCTTTGATAAGCACACGATGTCGATTCCAACCCCATTGTTGGTCAAATTTTGCGACGTCAGGTTCAGCAGATCTCTGTTGACCTCGAAGACGCCAGTCCCTGCTGTGATGACCACAACTGACACTCCGGTTCGAATAAGGTCACGATCAACATAGTCGTTCGCAAACTGGGTGCAAGCAATGTTGATAGCTTCCAAGATATTGCCCTTCAAGGCCGTGCTTGGTCGTCCTGCAATACGTGTTCCGTTTAACTTTGCGTCATTGATTGCCATTTCATTGTTGTTTGATGTGTGCAGTGAGATGTCTCTCAAAAAGACTCGAAAGTCCTTCTTGAGCTCATTGAGGATAGTCGTCCACTGCGCGCTGGCCATATCCGTTACAACCACACGATAGAAGTCTTGATAATCTCGTGCAGTCATATTGGGAGACCCTGTCACTGAAGCAGTTTCCATTCTTCGGTCCTTATTTCTGGCTAGATCAAACCGATCATATTCCAAACGACCAAACATGACGATGCTGACTAGATGACGGACGTCCAGCTCTGTCCAACGCTTGAACAGCTCTGGTAAAAAGCCATTGATCACTCGATTAAACATGATTTCGCCATTGCCCTCAGAGTCAAAGTCCCACATTTCGCTAGACATTTGTATGAACAGCACGTATCGTGCAGCTTCGCTGCGGAAGATAGGAACAGTGGTTCCAGCAAAATAGGCAGTGGGCACTTTGTGGTTTTGGACATGGATTGACTTCACGGTAAGCCGGATGGTCCCCAAGTAGGTGATTTTTTGACCTGTGTAGACTGTCTTGCCTGCTAATTCTTGACCCACAAGCCGCCACATGTCAGACCTGGCCATGTAGGTGTCCCTGAAGCTGAATTCGACATGTGAGGCTGTGCAATCATCGAAATAAGCAGGAAGAAGCCATACTTCGGAGCGAGGCCGGAGACCGAACGCTGCGGCGATGTTGCTTTTGATGGACACCTGCAGGTTAGCCTGCTTGGCTTTGAAGTCTGGCGAGGCGAACTTGACGATCGACAGATAACGCATGCGGGTGTCGGAAACATCGTGCTGGAGATGCTCCGGGAGCCCATTGCGTTTTGGCTCAACGGTGTCAGTATCGGGAGGTTGGAAGTCGCGTACGTCCGAGGCCTCTCTCACAGGAAGGATCTCCACCAAGCTGCCCTCGTGGATGCCAGAGCCTTCGAGACAGTCTTCATTGATCAGGATGTCTTCGGTGGAGAAGTTGTCGTCGTGTATCCAAAGAGTCGCACGGACGGGTGGACTGGCTTGTGCATTGGAGGAGCCATTACTCAGCGCCGCCGACTGAGTCCTGACAATGCCACGGACCGTAGAATGGCTGCTTGTGCGTCGAGGTCGCTTAGAGTCTTCCATACCGACGAAAAAGGTCAGAGGTTATGCTGCTTGGAGCGTGCATGCCTAGAGAAGTCCTTCCACTTCCGCTGTTCGGCAGGCGCGACTGCCCCCATTAAACCGAGAAGTCATCATCTGTCCGAATCATGCATGAGATGAACACGTCGGCTTCAAGGCCGTACCGGAAAGAGGATTCGCGTGATGTAGTGGCAAGTTAGTGCCGCAAGAAACCCTTAGCGAGGGTAGCGAAGATGTACGTAACAACGACGAGCACAGTAGTTGATGTCGAGTTCATGTTCGATATGCCAAGCCCATTTCCTAGGATACACGTGACGGGCGTATTACAACAACTATCTGGTAGAGTGCGTGAAGCTATCGAGGGTCAAGCAAGGAAGGACGATGATGATTACAATAATGTCTGGAAGGTCAGGTCCACCTGACCAAATCTTGACTGCAGTCGCCATCTCAATTTTCCCCCCTCTATACATGTTTTCATATAATAGTACATCTGTTTCAAGGGTATCTTCGCAAGCTCAAAGGACAGGACATGCATAAGCCTCTCACAATCATCAATCATCATATATACAAGTCTGGCGAAGGGCCAATTCACCAGACACTTCTCGTCTCCACGTTCAGAAGCCACTTCTTGACCCCTTCACGCAAGACATTGTCTTGCTTTATTCCTTGCTCCAATGCCTTTCCGTCAACCCTGAGGTTGCCATCCTCGTCTTTGGAACGCTGATGTTTGGCCAGATCATCGTTGACACTTTTGACGACCTCTTCCAGGGCGCCAACCACTGCTTGCCGGCAATCGAATTGAGAGTGCACCAAGCGTCGAGACCAGTCCTTACCCTTGCCAGAGCTGGAAATCTCCAGCGGCTCGGATTTCGCAGACGATGCCATGCCACTCGATACAGTCTGTGAGTGCGTCCTGTGCGGACCAGCGGGATTGTGTCTGGACGGATCGGCTTCGTTGAGCACTCGCTCTATCGCATCGGTGAGGGTGGTATCGAAGTCCATCACTGTCTCACTCACGAAGCGTTCCGACTCGTCGTCTTCTATGGCGGATGCCTTTCCATGTCGGATAGTCCCACCCTTGACTGTGGCATTGCCGGGGTTCATGGTAGGGCCGGGCATTTCAATCTCGTGCCCAGGTGTGTCTGTTTGTACCCGGCGTTGCAAGGTCAGGCGTCGGATGGTGAATGTCCTGTAGTCGGCGAGGAGCGTTGTGCAGACGTTGACCCAGGATTCGCCGTGGTGCGACTGCGGCAATGATCCACCCTGCTCTTGAGTCGGCATTTCTTCCCGTAACATACTCTGCTTGATATCTTCATAGAGTTCCTGGTACGGCTTCACGCCCTGGAGTATGAAATCTTCATGATAACGCTTCAAAAAGCCCGCCACATTTAGTGCCTTCGCTTGCATGGTATCTTTTTGGTGGGAGTGATAACTAAAAGAAGATCTAACCTCGTCGGTGCTTGTAACAGAAGGTGATTGACGACGAGGCGACGAGGGCTTCGCTTCCGTCCAACCAACAAAACCTGGTAGACTGATATCCACATCGATGACGCCATCCTTGTCATCGACTGTGAGTTCTGGTGGTCGCGCCTCTCTTGCCGCCAGGGACGACCGTCGCGCTGGGGTTGAGAAGTGAGAGGTCTTTCCTTCTACAACGACTTTGCGTAAATCGCTAGCTTCATCCACCATCCTCTCCAGTGGGCTTGGCCGACCTGCCTGTATTGGGACCGAGCGAGGAGCAAGTCCTCGCCGGTCTCTGAGGCTGCCTGTACCAGCCGAGGTTGGGGGCTTGTTAGGCGAGGGAGAAGAATCCGAGTTTCTGTTCCACAGGCCGCTGACATTGCTGATCAGCGAACCCCAGTTGATACTTGACTGACTGATTGGTTGGCTGACGCTATCTCTTCGGAGGATGCGGGCCAGATCAGCACTGGCACCGCTTTCTTCAGAGGTCAATACCGCTGCATCCGGAAAGTAACTATCAGGTTTAGACGCAAAGTAGGGTAAAGGTGTGCCGGTGCCAGGAGTGGCAGTGGAACTAGTGGCATTCGTCTTGTGTACCGAGGCCGACCCGTCAGGCGTGAATACCGCTGGGTGTTTGCTGGCATTCGATCGTAGGTCCGGCCGCGAAAAAACTGACTGGGAGTTGCTTCGGAGTGCTTTGCCAATAGCTCCCACGCTATCTCCTGATGAGACACTGGCGGATAGCCCTGTGACCTCCCGACGAGGAAATGTCATGGAGCCATGGCGGGATTTGTTGTAAACGTGCCGACGCAGCGATCCCTCGTTGACCCTACTGGAAGGTACGGGAAAGGCTGCGTCAGGCGTCAAGATCGGAGACATGTATCCAGAACCATCTCTCGCCAGAGCGGCACCACTGAGGGATCGAGGTAGAAATGAGGACAGCAGAAAGATGATCCTTCGCGTCATGGATCTACTGTCGCAAATGACAACAGTCCTGAATGCGAGGCTGCTGGTGGACGGTCGCCCCCTGTTCAACGCTTTGATCTGCTTACGGTACCAGTCCGGTGCCAGTCGTTCGAGCCATTCAGTGTGGTTGCCCAAGAAAGCGGTTAAGAGGTTGAAAAGGAAGAAGTTTTGCTGTTTGTTGCCGCAGAGTCGTACTAGGTACCGCGATTCGTCGAGCCAATGGCCACCATTATCCAGGCCAAACCCAGTAAGAACTCGTGGTATACGGAGAGCATACGCCACCCGCCACAGGGTATGTTTGACCAGGGCATGAAGATGAGCATCTCGAGTCAGCACATTGGGCGATCGGATATAGACATTGCGCTGGTTCGTTCGCTGCTCTGAGGGACCTTTTGGCGACTTCGCTGCTGAAGAGATCATTGCGAGATTTACTTCTTTCAATAGCTCGCTAACCTGAGCACGAGCAACAGCCTCGACAGGGGAGAGGCTTCGCAAGATGATATCCCAGTTTTTGACGATTATTTGAATACTCTTGTCAGTCAACTGACCGCTTGTGTCTGGCGACAGCAGGTGCTCTGGGATGGCGTTCAGGAACACCCAGGAGGAGAAAGAATCAGAACCAAAAGAGTTGGGAGTAGATGAGGCAGCAAAGGACGCTCGTGAAGATGGTCGGCCAGCAGAGGTTTTGGGCCGAGAGTCGCCTGAGCGTGGCAGGTAGAAGAGCAATCCAATGGCATACACTGGAGTTTTCTTCTCCACAAGCTTGGGCCTTTTGGGTTGAGTACCAGGAGTCTTGGGAGACTCGTGGGCAGGTGTGAGAGGGCTTATTGCATCAAACTCCCCAGCTGAAGAGCTTCTGTGCTGCCTCAAATCGTCCTTACTTTCTGGCAAGTTGACGGGGAACATCCGCGTGATCAAGACCGAGTCTCGCACCTCGACTTCAGGATCCTTGGGCGAAGCATGTTGTCGGAGGCTGTGCGCTCCTTGTGTAGACGTCTTTGCTCGTAGAAAAGGTGCGCGGATCGGAACCCCGCTGGGCGTTGCAGCCGCCGATGGTGTGCGTGACGCTGAACTGTTGGTGTCACTACGATCTCCCGGGAGCATGTGTATTTTGGTGCTTGAGCCAGACTTTGCAGCACTGCTAACACCAAACATACAGTCCAAAATGTTGCTGAGTTGATCTGTAGGCTCCGACTCCTTGTTCGAACGCGCCCACGAAGCCGACGCCCCTGATATCGTTGAACTCCTATTCCTCATGTGACCAATGACGGGATATCCATGTTCTGTTTGTGAAGAGAAGTGAGTTTTGGTAGGAGAAGTGGCATCTGTAGGCGGAGTTGCCGACCCGGGAGTCTGGCTGTCGTACAATAGCAGAGGACGATCGAGCGTGCCAAAGGCATCTTGGGCAATTATGAGTCTCAAATCTTTGGACTCGTTCAACTCAAGACCGATTCGATCGTCGAAAGGCGAGGCGCGGAGGTTTGGAGAGCCGAATGGGGTGGTAGGTGGTGAGAGGGAGCCATAACGACTTTCTGGACTGGTATCCGGCCAGAGGAGGGTGCGCGTGTGCGTCTCGTCAGTCGCGCTTTCGAGCTGGCCGCCACGTGAGACTCCCTGTATCAGTCTTCCCAGCATATCCGGATGATGTCTTCATAAACCTGCGAACTTTCCGGCACAGTCGTGTTATTCATGCCTTGGGAAGCAGTCGCTAAACGCGCAGGATTATGGCAGTCGAAGAGCGAGGAGTTGCCGGGAGGAGGTCAGTGCCCGGGACGAAAGGACTAGACGATGACGGCTCTGCCGCAGGTCGCTAGAAGCAGCGAGCATTGTACCTGGAGGGCAGTTGGAAGTAGGATGGATATAGGAAGGAAAAGAATCCCAAGGTATTCGGAATTCGCGTTCCTTTACTGACTTATGCCATAAGGATATGTCAAATGCGAATCACCCGCGATATCCAGAAGTTACGGTGAGTGAGAGATGCAGCGCCCTAAACCATTTGTAGCATTCAACGGCTAAAAACAACGTCACTTCCTCATCCCTGATCCCAGTTTCTCAGACTTGCACTTCTGCATCTTCCTCGTCTTCTCCTTCCTTGATTCGTCTCTCCCTCCTTAGACCACCCGCTGCAGCCGTTGATGGTACTCCGTTGCGGAAATGACAATTTGCTGCTTATCTGCAGGCTTTGATATCAAGCCGTGAAATAGTGCTCAAGACAGGCTTCTCTGGTCGCCAGGAGAAGAGACAGCATCACCACTGCTGGCGCTTTTGTCCTTGCTGGCCACGGCAACCGCAGAGTCCCCTCAAGCGCGAGAGGCCCTGCCACACCTGCTGCAAGCGTACAAGGATCCGGTGAGAGAGATGAAGGTCCGCGTCATTTGCAGTGAAACATCTTGATCGTACTGCGACCCGTTCTATGATTCGATGAGATGCTTCTCTTAGGCGGGAGTAGCCACGAAGCAGAGCAGAATAGGAATCAGAGCATCAGGCATGTTCATCTCTTGCTGAGCAGATTGCCTCAAGCTGTTGGCACCCGGGTCAAAGCGACCCGACCGATGGACCATGGCCAGTCCACGTTGATTGGCGTGCTGGCTGACGGACGCGCATTAGGAAAACAGGACCTCAACAACAGCCCAATGCGTGCCTTGATAGCATCAAGAGCACGCCCGTGAAGGATGGAAATGGGGGTCGTTGCGTCTGAGGCGGCCGCCATGCCTTCCAAACCACTGATGCGATGCCCCTTTCCGTGCATGTGATCCTCGATGATATCTCACATTGAGGTCTACAAAACTCCGCGAGGCTGTCACTTGCACGACTCCCTGTAGCCAGAGCGACTTCACATTACTACGTTTCTCGATATCATCCTCCTCTCTGGTACCACTTCGTCTCGCTCTCTTTGCCAGTCTTCATCTCTACGCACATGCTAACTCATGTCTCCTTCACTTTACCCATACCAAGCCATTATCAAGTCGTGGCACGTGCCTCTTCTCACGCCTATAAATATCCTTCTACGCCTTTGCAACCTTTCTTCCCTCTTCATACCTCTTCAATCGAACAGTCTTCTTTCCTCAAGCCCTTTTACTCCAATATCCTCTATCAAAGCATCCTTCTACCGTCATCGCATCATCTGACAGCCACTGGGGCTTCCCTTCCGCTGCTGCTTCTGAAGCCGCGTTGCCAATCTGTACTGTAGAGGTCTGGAAACTTTCTCTACGACATTGCATACACCAATACAGAACATCATGGCGTCGGTGGGATCGGATCGTGCGATTATTGATCTCACGGCCGAGTCGGACGACGAGTCGCCAAGTTTCAGCACCCATGTCGCGCCAACGGTCCAACCAGTCATCAAGTCTGAGCCAATCGAAGAAGAAGTTGAACTGCTTGACACCACTTCTGGAGCGATCTCAGACCAGCCTGGCGAAGCCGAAGCCGTGCACAAATCTGAAGCAGACAGTGTCGTTACACAAGCAGAACAACTTCATCAAAGTCAGCAACCGACGTCGACTCAAGGCGACCTCACAACCACACAGCAACTCTCGCAACCAGACGTCGTGGAGTCTTACACTGCCCATGGTGAAGCAGACCATGACACTACAAACGATACATCTGCACACGACCACAAAGATTTCTCACCAACAGCGCATCCACACGAACCTGCAGTCACTGAAATGGAGGAGGATAACCCTGCAGATGCTGAAGATGCCGCACAACCAGTGCTGAACAACGACGACATCATGGCAGGAGAACAGACTCTTGAGTCTGAGATGTTCTCAAACAGTGACCAGGACCTCCCACCATTCGAAGTCAACTCGCCGTTCATGGGCACCTTCGTCGACACAGCACCAGGGGGTCTTGACGGATCTGAACCACTCGCCTTTGCTCAGAATGATGCCACCGCAGCAAAAGACGAGCTCAACGCTGGTCCACCGAGCCTTCCAGGTATGGACATGAACGCATTCGAGGCACTGAGGCTCTATAACATGAACAATGATGACTTCGAAGAAGTAGCACCCGACGAAGATGCCATTCAGCCCGACGAACTCGAGGTCTTGGATCAGCCTCAGCAAGATGACGAGGATGGCGAAATGCTGGACTGGAATGCTGCCATTGACGTTGACCACGTTATTGCTGATCAGGAAAATGAGCTCAAGAAGGCCGGATTTGCTCGACTCCGGACAGAATTCGAGCAAAAACAGGTAGAAGGCTCTATCACCCAAGCAGACGAGATCCGTTTCGCCACCGCGGAGTCCGCTGAACAAGCCCGCCTGCGTGATTTTGAGCGAAGCCGGATTGTTGTAGAAGAGATTCCCGTCGCAACAAACGAACTGCCTCCTGGCTATGAAGATCAAGACTCCCTTTTCATTCCGGAAACTCCTGCTCTACCCGAAAAACAGACCAAGAAAAGAGCCGTCCCAAAGCCGAAGAATCGAATCAATGCGCAAGAATTGCGCGAAGCAATGTCCGCTGGTATTGACGCTGGCTATGCGAGCGGCAGGAAGGGTAAGAGAAAGGCCCCAGCATCTGCCGAGGACAAACAGCCACGGAAGAAACGAGAGCCCAGGGCAGGTGCAGCCAAACCTGGTCCCAAGGCTCGTCGAGGCAAAAAAGGACCGAACTTGAGCAACATTCGGAGTCTCGGAAGCACCAACGTGATACGGGCGGCCAATGAAAACGAATCGAGGCCTGATATGCCCACGTTCACAAGCAAGGACAAGGCAAAAGCGTTGAACGAGCTCATTGCGAGTATACCAAGTGCTGAGCAGGGCTCTCACAGAGGTGAGAGAAAGGCGATCCTTGAAGCGACGACAAAATTCTCTGGGCGTGGCTCGGTAAGATCTGATGGGAAAGGCGGCTGGAAGCTCAAAGGCATGAAGTCCTCCTTGTACCACCATCAACTGCTTGGAGCAGCATTCCTACGCGATCGAGAACGTAGCGAGTCCAAACCACATGGCGGAATGGTGTGCGACGAAATGGGCTTTGGCAAGACCATCCAAATGATGTAAGTCGGCTCGATTTGTTCATGATTTCCATCCAGAGTCTAACACAAACAGTGCCAACATTCTAGACGGCAAGCCTGCCGCAGACAGTCCCAACCGAACCACGTTGATTGTGGCGCCACCTACGTTGGTAAATCAATGGATGGAAGAGTTCGTGAAGCACATCGAACCAGAGAAACTTGGTCGCATTCTTTGCTATCATGCGGGTTCCCGTCTACAGAGCAACGATGTGCCCGCCGATCTCCAGCGTTACGATGTGATTCTAAGCACCTATACCGAGGTTCTCAGGAGCTATCCACTGACGGAACCTCCCAAGCATTTATCGTCTGACAAGGCAAAGAACGAATGGTGGAAGACATGGTATTGCGAGAAGGCTGGCCCTCTTCACAAGGTGAAATTCCTCCGCATTGTCCTCGACGAAGCTCGTAAGTTGTTTTCCTCTACCTCATAGACTTGGGGTATGGCACTGACCTGGAACAGAGGCTATCAAATCTCACAAATCCAAGACTTCTGCCGCTGTTCGTGCTCTTGCTGGCACCTACAGATGGGCTATCACTGGAACTCCCATCATGAACTACATTGAGGAGTTATATTCTTTCTTTGCGTTCCTTAGAGTTCCACACACTGGCGATTTTGCGACGTTTCAACACAACTACTGCAACAATCGTTCCGGAAGAGAGCCTGTTGACATGGGCAGAATTCACAACATCCTTCGAGCAATTATGCTACGACGAACTCACGTTGACAGTTTATTCGATGCTCCCATTGTCAAACTTCCAGGTATTTCTCACAACACATACCCAGTGGAATTCAACTCTGTGGAAAGAGCGATCTACAATATGGTGAGGAGACGTTACATTGGTCAAATCAACGCTTATTCTTCCACGGGTGAGCTCACCGCGAATTACCGGAACGTCTTGGCCATGTTGACACGCTTGAGAATGCTGTGTGCCCACATATTCCTCTGTCAGGATGTGCTGAAGCAGATGTTTGTTGCTGCAGACATTGAGACTCTCTGGCGCCTGACGGCCAAAGAAGTCGAGACTTCAACGGAAGAGGCGCCTCGGGTGAATATCCTCATGGCACTTCGCAAGATGTTGCAAGCTAAAGACAACACTATCCAAACCTCCCAGACCCGGACGGCGGATCAGTCGGTTGCACCCACTCCAGATCCCGAAGCCGAACACGACATCAGGACGGGCAAAGCCTTCGGACTCACCTTCAAATTCCGACGGTTCCTCCGAACACTTACCGAGTCTCGCACTTGGACTGAGCTGCATCTCCGCTCAGTGTGTGCCAAGTGCCGCCTTCCACCGGATGAGCCAATGTGCACCTCTTGCTTCCACGTGTACTGCAAGGAGTGTCTCAGTGCCATGGACTTTGAACGCCGCGAACGAGATGAAGAGAAGATTGCGTGTATCGAATGCGGCACTCACTTCGAAGAAACATCCTCCTGCTCAGGTCTCAAAGAGTTGGGTTTTAACAGCGAGGAGGTCGCACAAAAGGTCGAGAAGGTGAAAGCAAAGCGAGGCAAAAACAAGACTGCCGTCAGCTGGCAGGGTAGCCAAACAAACGCCGATGAAGATGAGGAAGAAGACCCACCCGCACCAGATTGGATCGGTATGGATGGTACCGTCCTCACCTCTGCGAAATTGACTGCAACAAAGGCCGCGATCCTCAATTGGCACGAAAAGAACCCCAACGAGAAGATCATCATCTACACGCAATTCTTAGGATTGTGTCGCATTCTGGGCAGAATGTGTGAAGCCGAGAAATGGGGCTACGTACACTTCAACGGCAAAATGACACAGGAGGCGCGCCAAAAGTCCATCAAGCGCTTCGGTGATAATCCCCATATCTGTGTCATGATCTGCAGTCTGAAGGCAGGCGGCGTGGGCCTCAATCTCACAATGGCATCCAAAGTAATCATCCTGGATTTGTGGTTCAACTCGGCGATCGAAGCACAAGCCTACTGCCGGGCCTTCCGTATTGGGCAGCAGAACAAAGTCGAGGTCATGCGTTTCGTGGTCAAGGACAGTATCGACGAGGATTTGGTGAGGATGCAAGACCGCAAAGACGGCGAGATTGTTGGCGCTATTGGGCCAGATTCGCTCAGCAAGCGTGCTACAATTCAGCAGCTGCTTGAGCTCTTTGGCGACGTCAAGGAGGGTGAGGGCCAGAATGAGTTCATTCTTATGGAGGATGAAGGTCTAGATGATGAGGACGACAACGTTGATATGGCGGAACGCCTCCCTCCGAGGCCATTCTGATGCAGTGATCAAGACACGGAGGACGCAATCAGGAATCAAGGGTGAGCATGAAATTTGACTGAGGGCAACCGCGATGTGCTTGAGCTTGAGCATGGCGTTGGGCTTGGAGCGTGCTTCCAGCATCATCGACATCGGCATCGAAATTGAGGCATGGAGGCTTTCACGCAGCGAACTGGCTTTGAGAAGGTGGGCTTCCACATTTGGGCATCTGTGCAGCGAGTATCTAGACACCACATACCAGGGCTACGACAGCAGCAGATACGAGCTTAGCAGCAATGACATGAGCTAAGCAGGTCCTCTTTTCCCTTCTTGTTTTCTAGGACTGAACTGGGCGTCGTTGTCGTTCAGGTGGACTCCCATGGATAAGGGGTCTGGATTCGAACGTCCCTACGATGTGTTCGGGGAGCCCACCGTTGAAAAGGGACACACAGCAGCCAATGCTACGGATGCCAGCCAGAAGCACAGCGACAATGCAAATCCAGTTTTCATGGTTCATATCATTTTCTCATTGTCCAGTCTAATTCTTCCGTGCAAAGTGCGTGGGGTATCATCTAATGAAAAAACTTCCTTTTCCTTTTTTGTGTCATGAAAAATAACGCAGCAAACCCGAAACAAAGGAAACCGAATCCATGCTCGCAGACCCGCCGCTGGCTCATCGCTCATATCATATCCTATCCAGCCCAAGCAACACCACTGGGCTCGCAGCCAAAAATGCTGGGCCGGGCAATCACGCTCCAAGCTCTTTGATAGCAGCCTTCCTTCGTTCCAGAACTTCATTTCTCTTGACTCTGATTCTTAGCGCCTCACTAGCTTGAATCAACGCATCGATGCTGATAGCATGGTTCGTCATGTTGTGATTGATGTACGTGTACACCTGTGCCGCCGAATCCAGTGCCAAAATCGCATTTTCATTGAGTTTCAACAGCGCCAGAGCCAGCTGGAACAAGAACGGTGAACTGGTGCCGTCGTGTTCACCATCGGCATTGTTAAGATCGGGCATGCTAGGCGTGGTCGGCGTAGGCGGTGCGCTGAGGTTGAGCGACGGCATGTCCACTGTAAGATTCTTCTGACTGAGAACCTGCGGGACCGCATCGGAGCTGTTGAGACAAAGTATAACATCCCAGACACGGTAGAGGGCTTCTCCACCCGTCAAGACGCCAGTGTACAGCGACAGAAACCAATGGAATGTGCATGCCTCGAGTTCGACACCGAGCTCTTCCAACTTGGCGCTCAATTTGGGAAGGATCTCGACAACATATTGACGCAGGACGACTTGATCGGCTCTGGCGACCAACAAGGTCGAACTGAAATATTGGCTAGGAAGAATGACGTCGATGATGGCTACGAGCAGCCAGAAACAATCTTCTGCCGTGGCGCAAATGAGCAAGAGTGAGGCGGTGATGAGGTTCATGCCTGTTTGATATGTTAGTCGATGAGAAATCAGCAGTTGTTCAGAGGAAATATACCTTGACAGTATCCAATACGAGGATTGTGGATTGAATACGCCCTCAACAGCTCTTCCAGTCTCTGGACACCAGGTCCATGGCGGAAGAAAACGTTATCTGTCAATGTGCGACGAACATCCGCCTTGATTTGACTTGCAATATCTGGGTCAATGTCTGTGCCTTCTTCCGAACGAGCCACCAGATCTTCATAGTAGCCTGGGTTTCGTAGTGCACTTGCCCCTGAGCATTCCGCCCAGATCTTTGGTCGAAGCGCTACGGGTATGCCAGCGAGAACCAAGGATTTGAAATGCAAATATTTGTTCTTCGTTTGCTTGGATCGCCCGAGCGTTGCAATACCGATAAGTTCGCCGTCAAGAAGATCCGCTTCAGGTGTGTTGTTGCTCGTCCGGTCTGAACTACTCGCTCTCTCGGCTCGCACTCGACGTAAGAAATCGTTCCAGCGAGCACCTCGCTCGGTTTGCAACGCGTCGTGAAGGTCTGTCAACTGATCGAGCAGCATTTTAGCAGGACCAGACTCATTTGCAGATTCGACCTCGCCATCGGCCAAGAAATCTGAAGAAGTGACTGTGACTGCAGAAGTCTGCGGCTCCGTCACGACGCTAGTTGTTGGAAGCGCTTTCTGCGCCGAGACAGGAGCCGACAAAGATGTCTCTCGACTTCTATGTGGGGGAGTAATCGTGCCAGCCACATCAGCAGTGTTGACTGTGACCACAGCACTCGCAGATGGAGTATGCGACAGCAGTTCCCTAGGTCTTCCCGATGACAAGGCTGCAGGGACTTTCAAATAATCCTGCCACGACTTCTTAGGTGATTCATCCTCGATCGAAGCTGGGGTCGATGGTCTTTCAACCGGGGGCTCTCCAGACCCTGGACTTTCTCCGGCTCGAAAGCTCGCTATGGTCTCCGTGTTGCTCATTTTGTTGCGCTTGTGCCGCGCGAGTTGCAAATTTTGTCGTTTGCGTCGATGTTGGTCATATATGAAACCAAATCTGTCTGTTAGCAAGCCGTGCTTGTCATTGTACTGATTGGTCATGGTCGGTGGCAGTTGTGAGCTTTCAATCATGGAGTCCAGCTCCACGGTTGGGGGAATGCTGCTCGCGTTAGACTCCTTTCGAGCATGATTCGGGCTTGGTGTGAGTCTGGTCGCGGTCGGAACACGTCGTGCTGGTGGCCGCATCTTCCCGCTTTCAGTGGTAGGTTGTGGAGGATTTGTGCGTGTCTTCGTCAAGTTCGAAAGCGAGGCTTCCGCTTCGCTTGCTGTATTCGTGTTGTTGGCATCTTGTCCCACTGAGGACGCTCTGGATCGTCCTGCTTGAGTCTTTCCACCGAAAATTTGTGTCCAGGAAGCAAATGATCGACCAGATTGATTCGAGCGAACACTAATCTCATCACCAAGTTTCTGCTTTCTAAGCGGCTTTCCTCCAATGAAGTAGCTAGAGGAATTTGCTGGTTGTTGAAATATGTTTTGCAGCGCTGAAACCTTGTTAGAACTTGAGCTTGCAACCCGAGGGCGCAGAGTGGCATCCAAGTCTTGACTGGTCTCGCTGAGTAGGCTGTTAGCTCTGCTCGCTGCCCTGCTATCTTTACGCTGTATTGACGTAGATGCCGTAGACTCAGCCCTACTGCGATTGCCCTTTGGATCGGAGTGCAAGAGATTGACAGGACTTTGGGGCTCTGGTGTTGAATCGATGGTTCCATCCAAGGAGCTCGCGAATATCATGCCATCCGCCATGGCCTCATTCATCATGCCGTTGAGCGATGTAGCAGATGCTGTCCTGCCCGGGGTGCTTGATCGGTCCTGATCTTCTGCACCAGAAGCACCCTGTTCCAGACGAAGCAAACGCTTTTCCACCTCCGATGTTGATACATTCGCTTCCCGTAGGAGCCTCTTCAATTCCCTCTCCCTTAAATCTGCTCGAATGCGCAGAGTTGAGATCTCGGCATCCCGCTGAGCCAGGTCGGATGCGTATTGTCGGAGTAGCTTCACCGCGCCAGTCTTGGCTATGAGTCGTTCAATGTGGTCGTCTCCTGCCAGGTGCAGTGAGCCCGGGATGTCGATTGACGAACGCGGCGAGTCGTCGAACAGAGCATTTTGTTTGTTCAATGTTGGAGAACCACTGGTCAGCCCAGCCAGAGTTGCCTTTCTTTCTCGCACTTTCTGTGATATTGTTCTTATGGGCCTGGGTACCACCTCTTGCACAGTCACGTCTGACGACTTCGATTCGGGTTCCGGAGAGAAGGAAGGGAAGGATGTCAATGCAGGGTCATCTTCGTCGATAGATCTGGAGGAAGCCTTGGAGCCATGTCGCTTTGGTGCTCCTCGCAGCGTCTTAGGCTTTTTCAAATCTGCTGAGGCGTGAGAGGTCTGAGAGGAAGATCGCCTCGAAACATTGCTGCCGTTGTCGGACATGTTGAAGCCCCCAACCGGCTGAATCACCTCTTTCTGAATATTGAACTTGTCGAAACCACCTCCCTCATTTTCGAACCAGTTTCAGAGATATGCAATTCCGCAGGGTTACTGAAGCGAAACGTCATTCCAGTTCGGTTGTCCGATCCCGGGTAACAGATATAAATACACGGTCCTAGCGAGTGAAACAAGATGCACACGACTTCCAGAAGAGTCCGCAAATTGAGTTGTACACAGTAAACAAGGCACTTGATCTGACTGTATTTGGGCCGCGCACAAAGACTGGCAGTCGGGCATCTGTCACAGACAGGAATGCTCGTGTGATATGACGACAGCGTTGTGGAGTGCCAGGGCTGATGGGATTTTGCAGGGGGGCGTGCCACCTAGGAGTTAGGCTTTAATGGCAGGTCAGTGGCTTAATAAAAGGGGCCACAAGGGGCACTCACGGGGCGTATCTATTAGGGTGAACTATTGGCTGTCCAAGCGCAGTCACATGACACTATTCTACGGCGATTCTTTGTGGCAGCCTGTCATCGTGCATGCCGTCCAACTACCTCTTCTACTCCATCATAACAAGAATCATCGCCTGACTGTCGGTTTGTTGATGGTCCCGGACGGACTGAAGACTTCACTCTCAAATACCATCTGTATCTGAACCTTTCTAGCCCTCGATCTCAGAGTATCGCACAGGGCGCGCCCGCGGTCCCGCCAGGGAAAGGAATCTAACCAACAACGATGGATACCAACATGGATCTGCGTTCATCTCAGCAGACATGAAGACGAATCCAAATTTCAGCATGACTATAGACTGATCAATTTTTCCGAAACGCACGTCCGCTTAGGGATAAGTTGCCCAATCATTGAACATGGGTCAAGGTTACTCCATGACCACGCTTTCGGCGGCGTCGGCCAGTATCGACGTCCCTGAGTTGGTCGACCTTGTTCATGAGAAGACTTTGGCATCGGCTCGGTTCATGAAAAGCATAAGGGCACGCAGCCAACAGGGTTTCGTCTTCGTCAAGGCCGTTATGAAGCCGTATTCATCGTTCCAAGTACACGAATATGTCCGCCAAATCACCGAGGAGAGGAATATCCTGGCCGAGATCCCCAATACGCTGGGCTATCAGCGAATTGTCGAAGTCGGAAGTGGAGGTTTTCTGGTCCGACAGTACATGTTCAACTCAGTCTACGATCGGCTAAGCACGCGACCGTTCCTAGAAGATATCGAAAAGAAGTGGTTGGCATTTCAACTACTGTGTGCGGTCAGGGACTGCCATGCTCGAAATGTATTCCATGGAGACATCAAGACGGAAAACCTTCTTGTCACTTCCTGGAACTGGTTGTACCTTACCGACTTCTCGTCCTCGTTCAAGCCTACCTATCTACCAGAAGACAATCCAGCCGATTTTTCCTTTTACTTCGACACATCGGGGCGTCGAACATGTTACATCGCTCCAGAAAGGTTTACGGACTCCGAGTCTGACGAGAGACAAGATGGGCTCAATTGGGCAATGGATATCTTCAGCGTTGGTTGCGTTATCGCCGAAATATTCCTTGAGGGACCAATCTTCTCTTTGAGCCAGAACTTCAGGTATCGCAAGGGAGAGTACAGCCCTGAGCATACCCATCTCAACAAGATCGATGATCCCGAAGTGCGAGCAATGATCCTGAACATGATCGATTTGGAGCCGGAGAAGCGTTACAGCGCTGAGCAACTCCTTTTGGTTTACCGTTCTAAGATCTTTCCGGAGTACTTCTACAGCTTCTTACATCAATACATGTTGGATCTCACGAAATCTGCAAGTGCAGCAAAACCTGTCGGACTAGACGTGGAGAGTCTCACAGAATGCGACGAAAAGATCAATCGTGTTTACTACGATTTTGACAAGATATCGTTCTTCCTCGGATATGGCCCGAGCCCAACAGGGAAGACTACAAAGTCATCTCTGGCTCTCCGGTCGAATAACAAGCTGAAAGCTGCGGAGTCTGATCCCAGCTTGTATGACGGAAGCTTGATTTTTCTCACTCTGGTCGTTTCAAGCATGAGAAACACCGCAAAAGCGTCAGCAAGACTGAAAGCCTGCGATCTGCTCGTTGCTTTTGCAGAGCGACTTCCAGATGAGGCCAAACTTGATCGCATATTGCCTTACATCATCGGACTGTTGTCAGACGATTCCGACGTCGTTAAGGCTGCAGCGATCTATGCAATGACTTCGCTATTCGAGATGATCGAAGTCGTATCGCCAATCAACGCATACATCTTCCCCGAGTACATCTTTCCGAAACTACGAAATTTTGTGCTCAGTCCTACAGACCAGCAAACCCAGCAAAAACAGCCAAGCACCCTGGTTCGTGCCGCGTACGCTTCCTGTCTGGCGTCGTTAGCGCTGTCATCGTCCCAAATCTTGGATATGGTGCATGCCATTCGCGCTGATGGCCGATTGCCCGCCCTACGCGAGGACGAGTTGGCACCCGAGTCATCATATCACGGCCTGTATGATGTGGCTCGGGCGGAGTTGATTCCCCATTTCGAAGAAACAACGGTTGCGCTCATCACGGACCCTGAACCCTCCGTACGACGAGCCCTGCTTGGATCAATCTCTCTTCTATGCGTTTTCTTCGGGAGCTCTAGAGCGAGCGACGTAATACTGACGCATCTCAATACCTATCTGAACGACAAGGACTGGATCCTTCGATGCTCCTTCTTCGAGGCACTTGTTGGGGTTGCGTCGTATGTGGGCACATCAAGTCTCGAGAAATTCATTCTTCCGATCATGGTGGGATCTCTGACCGATCTGGAGAATTTCGTGGTCGAGAAAGTGTTCCGGTCGCTAGCGAGAATGGCAGCTTTGGGGCTGTTCCAGAAAGCTACGACCTGGGAGCTTGTTGGCATCGCTGCAAGGTTCATGGTCCATCCAAGTCTATGGGTCCGCGAAAGCGCCGTACAGTTCATTGTCCTGTCTGCCAAGTACATCTCCGCAGCTGATCAATACTGCATCGTCCTACCACTGATCCAACCATTCTTGAAGAGCCGACTCCAAATACTGACGGAAGAGCGAATCCTCGACAACCTGAAACGTCCGCTGCCAAAGTTTGTGTTTGATGCGGCCATCAATTGGGCTACCCGGAAAGGAAACAGCTTGTTCTGGACTGCAGCCAGTCGTGACGGTGCTCTAAGTCTTTCTGATCCAACCACACCTCAGAACCCATCAACGCTATCAAAGAGGCTGCTAACACGGATACCACCTTCTCAGAAGGACAAGGATGATCAGACCTCCCTCGAATCCCTCAAGAATCTAGGCATGACGCCCGACGACGAGATCAAGTTGCTTGCTTTACGTGAATACATACTGAGAGTGTCGAAACACAAACCTTCAGAAGGCGCGGACGAAAGACCGCGGATGCTGAACAACATTGTAGCACTGAATCAGATCGGTGCTACGCCGCAAAATGTTTTCTTCGACCAACGCGAAGCTCTTCGTCAAATCAGAAGTCGACCGAGTGCTATTCAACGTGATTCCACGAAGGATGCACGACACAGCTTGGCCGACGCTCTCCTGGATGCTTCCACAAGTATGGATAACAAAGCCGCCGGACTAAAATCACCCTCCATTGGCAGCGGAGCACAAACACCGTCTACAAGGCCTATCGAGATTCAAAGTCAAGCGCTTGCCACTACCAATGGTGGGCCGTCGCTTCGTCTGGAGAGAGCAAGTGCTTCTCCCAGACCCAGCCTTTTGTCCGACAGGGCTTCACCTATCGGCAGTGCCGACAGACTATCATTGCGCCGTCATACGCAAGCTGATCTCAGACACCAACATAGTGGCATCAATCTGCTAAATCGAGCAGATGCCGCCAAGGCGGATGCTGAAATCTCCACGATCTCAGAGAACGCCCTAGGCAGAGTCGATGGCCCTCCGCACCGCCGAAGCACGGCTGGACCATCGTCCTTGACTGTGGCTGCCAAGCTAGCTGAAAAGTCAAGATCCGTTTCACCCAGAAGTGGAGGCTCCCGTACGCCGCAGCACGAAACAAATCATTCTTACACCGGAAATGATCCTAATGTTCTGCGGTTGCTTGGTCAACATTTTGTGGAAAACTTCCCTGTCGACCAGATGGATTTTGGCGGAAACCGACCGTCGGCCAATACTAGGACTCCCATCAAAAGAGCAACGGACGTGTTTCAGCAAAACAATGGTAGAGCAACACAACAAGAACAGGCATTTCGTGTTGATCTGTGGCGTCCGTCAGGTCAATTGCTCACACAGTTTGCGGAACATACTGCTGCGATCAGTCGTGTCTGTGCAGCACCTGACCACGCTTTCTTCGTGACAGCATCGGATGACGGGACTTGTAAGGTTTGGGACACCATCAGACTGGAGAAGAATGTGACGCCTCGTTCTAGGTACACTCATCGACACGCTGAGGGGACCCAAGTCAAAAGTCTCTGCTTTGTGGAATCTAGCCATACGTTCTTGAGCGGTGCCGACGATGGGACTATTCACGCGGTACGAGTGGACTACAAGAGCGTGGAAGGCGGTGAGAACTCCCGGTACGGCAAACCAATCCTGGTAAGGGATTTCCAGATTCCCTCCCAAAAGACGCAGAGAAACGCGGGCAGTACTGGGAATATCGGCCCCGAGTCCACTGCCGAGCACGCTGTCTGGCTTTACCATTATCGGAACCAAACATCGCAGTCTATCTTGCTGGTTGCAACAAATGAATGTCGCGTCCTCGCCATTGATATGAAGAACATGGAAATCATCACTAGCATGGAAAATCCTGTGCATCATGGCACACCTACCACGTTCTGCGTGGACAAGAAGCACCATTGGCTTTTGTTGGGTACCACTCATGGAATACTTGATCTCTGGGACTTGCGGTTCAAGCTCCGATTACGCAGTTTCGGTATCCAGACAAACTCCAGGATAGACCGTCTCCTATTGCATCCGACCAAGGGACATGGTCGGTGGGTTATGGCCAGTGCAGGTGGTGAAATCAGCGTCTGGGATATCGAGAAGCTGGTCTGCCGGGAGGTATGGAGACCGAGCACGTTCGCCGCCTCGAGTACGTCTCGGGCATACGAGACCTGGTCCCCTGACGATGAAAAGAGCGATAAGATCCTCTCGCGCTTCGCTGGTGAGGTAACAAAAGACGACACTGTTGTCGAACCACAACTGCGCCCAGACGGTGGCAACGCATCCAATGGCTCACCGATCAAACCTCGATCTGGCGCCGAGAATGCTGGGTCTCCAGTGAAACCTGCTCCGGCTTCGGCAACGATGCCAGCAGTGCACATCATGTATGATTACCTTTTGAACTCGTCCCAGCCCGACAACCCGTACAAACATGCTCTGCTCTTTACTGGCGGCAGTGATCGCGACCTGCGGTATTGGGACATCCAGCGACCCGAAAACAGCTTCATCATTTCCGGGCCGGAACTTCATAACGAAGACGCGGCGACTGTGAAAGCGAAATACGAAGTCACCCATCCATTGGCCTTGAGTGCGGGTGCGCAAATAGCGCTGGTACAGGAGAAACTGGATGATGAGGCTTCGGCCAGTGCTACTACACGAGGCACGCCTAAGAAGCCCGCACGTTCGGCGAAGGATTCAGTTGCACCTGGCAGACCGGGCAGCCCAGCTGTGCCCACGAGGACTCCGTCCAAGGCGTCCTCGGCGGGATCGGCGTCAACGAAGCCGCTACGCACGACGATCATTAGCGCGGCACAACAGCAAGTGCTCCGGACTCACATGGAAGGTATCACAGATGTAATTGTGCTTCGGAAGCCGTATGGATGTGTGGTCAGTGTTGATCGAGCTGGGGCGGTGTTTGTCTTTCACTAAATGACATCCCCGGAAACAATGGTAGACCTGGACTAGATTTTCGATAGACCGCCAGTCCAACTTCCCAGACACTTGGCCCAAAAGAGTACGTCCAGTACAATGTTTTCTCACAGCACCTGTTTCATGCATCTACCATATGCTCGCTTGCTCGCCCACACTAGCACTTCCTGTGGTGCTTGGTTTTCTGTCATCCTCACAACGACGCTGCTCTCATGCCTCACCTGGCCTCGCTTTACCCTCGATCTCCTCCTGAATCTTAACCACCGCTCTCAAACCCCAATCTCGTTTCTTGATATCTTCAGCCCCAGGCAACCCATACGCCTCATTCGTCTGCTCAATCACCTTCCCTTTCCATCCCTCGTCATTCATAGTGATACTCCCCGCATCCTTCCACACCTCATTGATCGACTCACCTATGTTCCCCAAGAAGCCCGCCATACCTTTCGGTCCACCGCCAAAGCCGTACATCTTGAACGGTCCGGCAACAGCCCATCGTGGCCCTAGACTCGCGCGGACAATCTCGTCGATTTCTTCGGCCGATGCCACACCTTCATTGACGAGGTGGCATGCTTCCCGGAATAAAATGAAGGACAGACGGTTGGCGACGAAGCCTGCTGATTCTTTGTGGATGGTGATCGGGCGGTGGCCTGAGTTGAGAGCTGAGAAGTATGCTTTTACATGTTCTAGTTCTGACGGTGCAGTGGTGGGAGACGGCACGAGTTCGATCAACGGCATTATATGAGGTGGATTGAAGGGGTGGACGACAAGCAACCGCTTTCTGGCGGGATCGTCCGCCTCCAGATGCGATAGTTGTTGGCTGGCTGGGATGCCGGAGGTTGAGGACCAGAGGTGTGCTGTTGGCTTGACGTGCTGAAGGACATCGGACCACGTCTTTTGTTTGAAGGGGAGGGATTCGGGACCTTGTTCCTGGATTATAGTCGCGTCCCTGACGGCCGATGATAGGGAAGTGTGGATGGTGAGTCGTCCGGCAGAAAGCAGGGTTGAGATGGATAGTGTTGGTATGTCTGAGGGTAAGTACAGTGGGAGGACGGACGAGATGTGCTCTTGCAGATCTGGGCGAGGGTCGTACACGGACACTGGCGCGGAACTGTATGTCAGATGGAGGGCCAGGAAGGATATGCCTATGGCGCCGAGACCGATTAGGGTGATATGCTCGTCGAAATGAGGAAGAGTGTGCTGTGACGACGATGTGGGATTGGGGTCGGACATGTTGGCGTGGAACTTGACTTATGATCTTCGCCCAGTGTGGTTCTTCTAGATGGTGTTGCTAGAAATAGTAAGGCAGGATCTATATGACGGGCTTTGCTGGCGATGTTGTTACTGTCGAGGCTCTAGCGGCGTGGATATATATATATATGTATATATTTTCGGAGACGGCGAGGTCTACTTGACGTCTCCTTTTATTGCCTCGGTTCAATCTTCGATCGGGCAGTTCATGTACACGGACTCTCTTCTCAATGTCGTCGGTCGAGACAAACCCTACAAATGTCAAACAGTCTCACTTTCAATCAAGGTGTGAGTCGGCATTTGACTGGTACAGACTTGAATACTGTTAATCAACAATGCACATACACCGTCGTGACCATCCGTTCATCGCAAGAAAGAGGGTTCGGTCAGGCGAGGGCAAACATGCCAAACTGGCTGGATACAAACAAACCAAACATCCTCAACACACCAATATTCTGCTCGAGGATGCCTGGTATCGATATCCATCAGTGTCCCTCTCAAGCTGCATCAGTATGATCTTCGCGTGGACCGGCGAATAACGGTAGGTGGTCTCAATGCAGCTGCGGTCGGTACTGCTGCTTTCACATAAGAGAGAGCTCCAAAGTTGAACGCTCATGGCGCTCTTATCTGGCATCAGGGCCCTGCCCGTTCTTGCCCCTCCGGAGTCAAAACTGGATTGACGCGATCTCGACCAGAGAGTGATGCCGTCGGGGTCGTTGTTAGCTGAGTATCATAGTAGGACGTTTCGAAAGGTTTGCTGCACAGGATCACGGTCCAAGAAACGGCTTGATAGAGCCCAATGCGGCTTGGTAGGCTATTTACCGCTGTTTTCACACCTTTTGACCTCGAGCCCAATATGAACTCCTGAATGAAAAAGATCACTATCATGGTAACATGCAAAAACATAAGAGGCAAAAACAATCAACAGCAGGGATTCGCTGGTTCTCACGAACCCAACTACTAACCTGCCGGCATGAGGCTTAAGTATGACTGAGCGAACGGGAAGTCCTGCATTGACTCATCCTATGGTCGATTGCGAGGAGAACTGGTCGGAAGTAGAATATATAACTTGTAATGGGGTCACTTACAACGGACTGTTGTTGTGATCTTGATGGCCGATATGTTCAACACGCACCGTAGAAGTAGAAATCGAAGCGGCAGTGATCACACACCACAATACTACCCCACAGCGTGAATTTGTTTAGCCAAGAAGGCAACATGACAAGAGGAACGTAAGAGAGAACGACACTCATGAGTTGAAGGCTATATCGATTCATTAAAATACTTCAATAATCATCACAAGATATACAACATTGAACATGGGATATGGAGAAAAATGTTGCCCAACAAGAAAATTGTGTTTCTCCCAAATGCGCCGAAAACTCCCAGCTCCAATGCAAATGTCCTCCAGGTTGTCACAAGGGATATAATATCAACACACGGTACATTCTTTTAGCATTCTCACAGGACCTTAGCCCTCGAGCACACGACTCAACGTCGCGCCGATGGCCCGACCAACGGTCTGGACAATAGGCTGCTTGACATTCTCATCACTCACACTGCCACCGGTTGAGGCATTGACATGCGCATCTGCGTCATCATCCTCGACGATCTTCGTACGCATACTCGAGTTGTGATGCAGACTCTCTCTCGCAGTATAATTCGTCGGCGCGGTACTCGCCATGCTCAAGGCCGTACTGCTCCGTTGATGAACTAGATCCGGCGTCGGGGGGATGGAGCTCCGTTCACTCGCCGGCGTGAGGTGTCCTGTCCCTGTAGTCCTTGAATCAGACTGTACAGAAACCGACCCTGAAACACCACCAGGAGACAAACCCTCTGAGTCGCGCCGTGTGTGGCTCGTCGACGACGACGAAGTCTGCGCCAGCGCAGCATTATCCTCATCGGCATCGGCATCATCATCTTCGACACTGGCAGCCTCGTTGGCGAGTTGCAGGCCTTCAACAGCGGCAGCGCACTGCTCGCTGATGTTCCGGATGATATCGGCGATAGCATCCGTCTTGTCGCGCAGATGCCGATCAGCAACATCACTCATGCTCAACTCCGAGTAGCGCTTGCTAGCGCGCTTCGAGGCCGAAAGGAGCTTGCTCTCCATCGAGGGCGTGACGTCCTGGCCATCAACCGACATTGGCCGCGACGAAAGTCGTTTGTCGCTGCGCGACGTGACATTCTTGAAACGGTCGTGGTCACCCTCAAGTTCTGCAACCTGATCGTCTTCATCCTCTTCTTCCTCGTCGTCATCGTATCCTTCGTTGATGTAATCCGCCAACTCGGACGCCGAGCCAATAGACCGAACAATGTGCTCCATATGGTGCGTCTGGCCGGTGATGAGGGACCGCAAGTGCAACACCACACGTTGGGCCTCGTCCCGTTGCCGCTGCAGCGTCTGGTTGGTATGTTGGAAGGCCGCAATCTCCTTGCGATTGCGCGACCGCTCCTTCTCCAAGTCCTCGGCGATACCCTGCTGAAGGACCAGAGCCTCGAGAGCATTGTCGCGTTGTCTTTCCGTCGTGGACAACCGGAGCGTAAGTCTTGCGGCGTCGTCTTTCTGCTGGTCGATGAGTCCCGTAAGTCTGCGGTTCTCGCGCTTGTGAGATTCGATCTTGACGCGCAGCTCGGCGAGTTCCTTGTTCAGTGACTCGACGAATGCCTGGAATTTCTGGAACTGCAGTTTCCAGGTCTCGACTTCTTGCTCCAAGTAGTTGTTGCGCTTGGCCACCTTGGCAAGTTCGGTGTCCATTCTGCCCTTGAGGTTGATAAAGTCTTGCCAAGCCTCGAGTGCGTCGCGTGAGTACTGGTTGCGCTCGCGGACAATCTCGTTCATGTGCCGCATTGAGATCTTAGTCATAAGTGGCTTCTTCATGCTGCCACCGAACAAGGCTTTGACACCGGTATTGCGGCCGAGTTTCTCGCAAACATGGTCCATGACCGCCATAATGGAGTCTTGGTTCCACCATGATGGATCTTGAACACTCTCGACTTCACCGCGCAATACAATGATCTGACCAGCAGGAATCAACTTGCCGCCACCATAGGCCGACTTGAGATGTTGTGGTACGCCACCGATTTCGACGTCGCTGTTTAGTGCTTGGGTCAAACGGTTGATGAACTTGGTGCGTTGGCCTGCGGTGAGGACATTGGGTGGGTGGTCGGTGATGACCAGGTTGCGGTCCAGGTCGACGAGTAATGCGTCCTTGGGCGGCTGGAAGAGCGATCGGCATTCGGTGGTGATACCAAGGATATATGGGCCTGGCTCCTGAACCATCTCGCTCACGTTTCGGGCGTGTACTACAGGTACGTACAGACCACTCCATTCGTAGACGCGGACGCAGAATCTGATGGTCTCTGCGGCGATGGTGAGCATGGCGGGATGATGACTGGTCAGAATGATGCGTCGTGTTGGGGAGACGGCTGCTTCCACGAGTCCAACAATGTTAGGGATGGTCAAACAGCTGAATAGAGGCCACATGGCAAAGTTCTGGAATCCTGTTGGTGAGGACGGGAATTGATAGCAGAGGGCGTAGTCTTTCATGTCGATACGGACGAGGTCGTTCAGACGTGGAGCTGGAAAGCTAAGAATTCGTGAGACTTCTTCGGCATGGAATAGATTTGTAGCCTTGTTCCAGTGAATCCACATGCCGCGCAAGTAGTCGCCGAGCAGGTTGTACAAAGGATATCTGGACAGGAAGCTCAAGCAGTACGGGATCCAGTAGGTTTCGTCTGCGACGTCTCTGTAGTCGGGCTCGGTCTTTCGGCGCAGATCACGAATGGTTTCAGCTCGTTTTTCATCAGCTCGAGACCAGACTCGAAGAGCGATACCGTAGAGAGTATGCTGAGAGTCTTGCTGGAGAACAAATGAATGGTGGACACAGTGCGGTTGACTTCGACCTGTGCAGATTTCGACATCGTGAGGAAAACACGCCTGGAACATTGTTAGTCAGCCAGTAAGGTTGAAGTGCAGTCATGTACTGACCCTCATGGCACTGTGTAGAGCTCTTGCGATTTCATTATCGCTCTCAAGTCGTGGGCTGCTGCCCAAAATCTCAGGCAACCAAAATTGGCCGACAGCTCCCTTCATGTGCTGGATCTTTCCAAACGACGGTGGTGGTGCTTTGACCCATTGCGACGGCTCCCTTCCAACACCGCATACCATATATGCATGGGTTAAAGTCTTTGGAGTCGGTCGATTATTCGATTTCGTTAGCGTCGACGGTAGTGGCTGCGTAATTCTAGAGTGTAGCGACGACGTTCGACTGGGAACCATCGCATCACTGACGATCTGCTCTCTGGTCGATGGACGATTTGTTTCGCGAGTTTGAGGTCGAGCCATTGAGGTCATAGAGGTGTGACCTCTCAAAGAAGGACCCATGATTTCACACAATCGATGGGATAGAGTGGTGGTCTCTGCGCGCGGCCCGCAGTCAGATATGTCACCAGTCAAGGTCCGTGTCTAGGCCTATGCTGATGATTTTGACAGCACCTCCGCAGAAGAGAAACCGTTCTGCAAGTCGTGCCCTCGTAGGTTTGAAGGGAGTTTGAGGGTGAGAGGGGTATGCAAAAGTGGGAAGAAGTAATGTTATCACCAAGACCGGCTGAAAGAGGGATCCAAAGGAAATGAATGCAAGGTACCGAAATGGACGAGATTCAGGAGGGCTGTTGTTGGGTGCAAGCGAAAGGATGCATGCGTAGCAGGTCCGGACCCGTCGTGTCAAAAGTGTGCGGAGGCCAATGGAAGAAGCAAAGCAATCGAAGCAGCAGGCTAAGAGAATGAGGCTTGCAGGGGTATGAGAAACTCGTCTTTTCCACATCGAGCTGCATTTCACACTGATTTCAGCACTGGGTTTTCGCCTTGCGTGGGCCGCACCGTGATGGTCGCTCAAAGTGATGACGGTTCGGACACTAGGATGCTTGCGATATGGAAACTTGCAGGGTCTCTGACAGTGACAGCTCGACTAGAGACTGTCATCCAGAACTGCGGAGCAGAAAGAACGCGCCCATAGGAAGGAAGACGTATGCATATCGATGCAAATCGGACACTCTATTTCGAAAGGTTATGGTCCTTCTGAGTCGTCAGGGAATTATGTTCAGTTTCGCTGCACCAGCTGGAAATGCGACCAGACCAGCGTCGGTGAGCCCTGGAATGAGGCAGCTAAGGGCCAATAGTGGTGTCTCTTGGGCCTCTGGAAATCCCCTGGCCTTGTGCTTCACCCAGCCACTCGCCTTCCCTGGTGGGCCTCAATTTGGATGATCGGAGCGATCCCCGATCCACTCACCTATTCTTTGAGACTCTGACAGCTTGGGAGTTGGGCGTTCGTGGGTATCATCCGGGCCACTCCCATTACCAATTTGGCGGTCCACTGCCTTTACGGACATGCGAAGTGCAGCACACTGACTTTTCCGCAATCGTCCATAGTCACCAAGCCATGCAGACTCTGGACTTCTATCGAAGAGATGGTGGCTTGCGTTTGGCTCGTGTCTGCGTGGCTCAGGGGGGAGTTCTTGCTAGACACTCTTTTCGCCGTCCGGCATATGTTTCCCTTTTTGGTGGTCACAGTTGCATTATTCCATCTTTTTGGTAAAAGGATATGCAGGTCCATGAAGTTTATGCGGTTTTGACATGAACAGTTTTCCCTATACACGTCAATTGCAACGGAATAGCATCTCGCGCAGAACGATCTCGACATCCGAACCTGCTCCAGCGGCGAACTTCATTACCGATGTCTCTATACCTGTCTGACACGGGTGACGCCGCAACGTCAAAGTGTCTCTGTCACCCTCTATGTCGATGATGAGGTCAGGCCAGGACTTGCAGCCTCGTTAAAAGGTCGACTAATGCTGTGCAGCCACGTGTAATGTTCCGCACGGGCTTTCAGACAGTTGCAGACTTTCTAGATGCATGCCTACCTGCATTGGTTTGGAATGGTTCGCTATCGCGCCCGGACATCCGTAGACGAATGTACGTAGAATTTTGGTCGGGTTGTGCCGGTGGGTGTCTTGAGATTGGCCGAGAGATGTATGAATCATGATCTGGGTGCTTTTGATTGTTTGAACAGGAGACCCTGGTTGCAAAATGCGGGGCTGTAGCCCGTGTCTTCTGTGTGCAACGACGAATCCCTCTACCAAGACGGAAGCTTTGCTACCGTGCCGTCAAGCCTGTTTCCAAAAAAGTGGCACTGTCTGACAGGGACTCCATCGACGATATAGATCGAAGTTCTGCAGGTTCGCGACAACGAGTGTCTTGACAACAAGCTAGTAGGGATACACGATAGAGACGATAACCTCCCTTCTGACAATGCATAAAGCTCTATCGTTGAGTGCGAAGGACTTCGAGATGACAATAAGAAAAAATACCTATTTGCACCTGACGAGCGACACTGGTCAGACCGTGCCACTTTTTCTGGAAACAGGCTTGCCGTGTACGTGAAATCATTCCACACGTGGAAACAAACTCAATCGACCAAGTTGCGATGGACTCGTATGACCGGCATTGGAACCTCGGACTCACCTTCAACACGTAAAAAGGCTTTCCTAGCGTTTCAGGACGAAACCTCCCGTGTCTGCAAGTTCATTTACTCGCCTACTGCTGTGCCATGTGAACAGCCGGAAATGCGAGTCTTGATCTCTGGTCCCTTGCTTCGAGATGAACTCAAAAAGGTGGTCAGAGATCTCATTTCTGAAGAGATCAGATCTGCACCACCTTGAACTTACCGCTATGGATCTCATAGAACGATGTATGAAGGACTCTTAGATTAGGTTCGAGCCGTGACCTGGCATCATGATGATGGACTATTGAAGCATGCCATGTGTCTCTTGAAACGGTTTGGTGACGAAGGAAACAGTTGCATTTTTCTTGGGCTGCACATTGAGATGGGTGGCGGCTCTCAGTGGCTTGCTGTAAGTCGCAAAGTTGCTGGTCAAACCGTGCAGCGTGCCGTGACGAATAATGTACGTATGTAGATGCAGGAAATGGGCGCGCCGAGGTGGTGTGGGCGCTGTGGGTGGTGTCCTTGGTGTGTGCAAAGGGCAGAGATATGCACCTGTGGAGCTCTTCCCGGTGCCGGAGATACGAGGTACTCCGCAAAAAAACATTTTTAGTGGCATGATAAGCGATAACCCAAATTTGCGCCTTTCTTGTGGCATGCGCTGAATGAAATCCGCTGTTACGGAGACTGCTACTGTTTGTGGTGGTGCCTGGAACGCGACAACGCACGCGATCTCTTCCCCAGACAGCCTTGACGCGACACCGTCTTGCGCTTCGTGATGCCGGATACTGGTGGAGAGTCGCTATTGACTGACCTTTGCGCCATTTGGTAAGTCCTGCCGTTCGCCACAGACGCAATCTTTACTGATTGTTTGAAACAAAGTCATGCAAACCCAATCAAGTATACCTGCCCACGGTGTGGCATACACACATGCTCTCTCCCCTGCGTGAAGCGCCACAAGACTTGGGCTCAATGCTCCGGAATTCGCAACCCTGCTGCCTACCGAAAGAGGGCCGATTTGGCAACGCCGGCTTCGGTTGACCAAGACTTCAACTTCATTACATCGGTGGAAAGATCCCTGCAAAAGGCTGATGACTTGCCCCTAAACAAGGACAAAGCCTTGGCTCCGAGCGGGCTACGACGTCAAGAGCATGGATCGAAGAAGGGAAAGTTCGAAACCGAGGTTGAGGAAAGAGGCATTCAACTTGTCAGGGCTCCTCATGGACTATCCCGGCACAGACAGAACAAGTCACGTTGGTACGGAAAAGAAAACTGTATCATGTGGACTACAGAATGGATACACCACGATGGGACGACGAGAACACAGAATATCCTCGAGTCAAAACCGGTGGGAAAAGCATTCGTCGAGTGCTTCGGTAAGAATGCCCTGCTAAGAAAGACGAAAAGGAAACGCAGTGACACTGAACCTGCAAATGTGCCGGCTACAAAAGATGATACTCTTGTGATCCAGGCAACTCGCGAGGAGACCGCACAAGATGCTGCCCCAGCAGAGAAAGATGTTCCTCCTGAGGAACCTGTCAATGATGATGCGGTTCCTATTCATGAAGGGCCACAGGCCCCTACCACCTCTGCTGGAGCAGCAACGAAAACACAAGGATCCGATGCGACAGACTTGCCAAGTAACATTCATTTCTACCTACTCAGACCCATGACCACTGCGAAATTAAAATGTCTGATACCAATATCACAGAGATCAACACTGAAGGACCTCCTTCAGGGCCGGACGATGCTGGAGTTCCCGACCATCTATGTCAGACAGGAACCACCAGAGGCACTAGCCGAACCCTTCATAACCGAAGAGAAGTACGACGACCATTACGGCAAAGAGATACCGATCTCGCTTCCGGCCTATGCTCCCAACGACACTCATCTCAACGAACCACCTACCTCATTAGACGACATTGACGAGAAAAAGGTATTAGAAGTCCTGCAGAAAGACCTCACAATTTGAACGATTCCATCACGTTCTACTCTAGCCCAACTTTCCCGGCACAAATGGATGTCCGGCACTAAGGCCACCACATACAGCCCAGGCCTGGCCGTTAACGTAGCTGGCCTCGTCGCTTCCCAGAAACAGTGCAACTCGGGCAACCTCATCAGCAACCGCTCCCCTCTGCAGCGGGTTGAGTTGGCCGATCTTTCTCTCTGTCCCTCGATCTCGTGCCCGGTCAAACATGGCCTTGGTCATTCCTGTCTCAATGACCCCCGGACACAGTGCGTTGACCCTGACGCCGGTTCCCGATAGCTGGTATGACATGGTTTGCGCTATCGATATGACAGCAGCTTTGCTTGCGGAGTAATCCGTTCCACCAGCATTCGACCTCAACCCAGCCACGCTCGCCGTCCCAATGATACTGCCTCCAGGATAATCCTTTCCAGCACCAGTCTTTTGCATGGCAATGGCCGCGTACTTTGCACACAGAAAGACCCCGACAGTATTGACTCGCAGGGTGTTCATGAAAGCATCGCTTGTTACATGTTCATACGTGTTGGGCACGCCGACAACGCCAGCATTGGCAAACATGATGTCCAGTCGTCCGTACTTTTCCATAGCCTGGTCCACAACTGCCTTGACCTGCGCCTCGTCCCCAACGTCCACTTTGACACAATGTACCTCACAGTCGGGGTAAAGCTGGGCTAGCTCCCGCTTGTGCTTGTCCAAGTGTTCTGTTGCATAGTCGCAAATATATACGGCTTTGGCTCCATTTTGTGCGTATTGATGGGCACTCGCTCGACCGATGCCAATCGGAGAGTTGCAGCCTGTACAGCTTGTCAATGAATCCTGTTCTCCTATTCACTGCTGCGGTCTTGCAGCATTGTAGCATATCGTACCAGTCACGATCACGACTTTCCCTTGGATTCTTTGTCCTACTGAAGGTCCTGCAACATGGCGGATCCGGGGAATGTCCTCGAATGTGCCTTCGGAAGGGATCCCTTCGACCAACTGCTTCGTGAGGGCGGCCAGGCGCCGTTTGGGAACGGCGGTCATATCTAGGGAGGGCGGAGGGGAGGTTCGGAGGTCCTATGGTGCCAGACTGCGTTCTGTATAGCTTATGCGGGAGAGTGTGGAAGGCAGCGCTCACATTCGGTGCAACGGGGTTCTACTGTTCAGTGTCAAAGCAATTGTATTCTTTGGGCGAGCTTTATATGCCTCTTCCCTTAACCTGACTGCGGATTCGTCCGCGTGAATTATCGCAGAGGGGAGAAAGATACCGAGGCTCAACGACCGATTGGGAGGAGAAGGACTTGTACTCTGGGGAAGACGCGCTCGGGGTGCAAACCTGCCAAACATGTTTGAATTGTACAGCGGCGTCTCCCCATCTCTTCCTATCTCATCTCATCTCATCTTGTTTCTTTGCCTCACCTACATATGCACCATCATCATTCCTGTATGAGAAGCTCCAATATTCGTGCGCGCTCTCGCTCACACCAGCAAGGCTGTTCATTCTCTCCGCAAGTGGCGCACCACTTCCAGGACCAACGCTGAAGCCAGTTATGCCCGTTGTACTGCGGCTCTGGATCCTGGCTGGCTGATCCCTCGTTGTAAAAATGTTCAAGATTCCAACTCAATCGAGAGCTTTGCTTGAATTCAACCGTACTCCAATCAAAAGAGGAGTCACCGCCCGGGCGATTCGAAGGATTGAACAATGTATCTTCCATGCAATCTCCACCCTCAGTCCGATTTCGCACGTCACATAGACCTCCGAAGCAATGCCACGTCTTGACCTGGACCTTGACATGCTCTGGCCCTTTCTGAGCCACGCTTACACGCACATTTGTTGCACACATTGCGCAGGTTAATAGGTCCTGGCACTTCCTGTGCACGTTCCACGGTCTCGACACCCCACGTACCGCATCCATAATCACAGCAGGCAGCGTGCTATTTGCGTGGCTGCAGCCCACGCGCCTGAACTTGTCAATTGTTGGTGCAACCACAGCCATGACCTCATTGGGTAGAGACGCATCCGAGGGCCCGAATTCCACCACTGGGGGTCTAAACGACGGCAAGAACATAATCATCGCATATGTGGCGTGGATGAAGAGCTTTCCATCAATTATACGTCCTTCGGAATACATTGGAACCTTCCCGCTCGTTGCACACGTAACGGCAGCACATACGTGCGAAAGCCCTGAAATGTGCGGTCCATACTGCGGACCAAGTATGTGCCCTCTGAGAAAAGCTTCGACAACTTCGCGAGTCATCCCCAAGCTTTCTCTGCCCTTGCAGATCCGTACCTTATACGATGCAGGGTGAGTGAGTCGCATGGGGCACTGATATTTGCGCGGCGACGATGTCCTTTTCCACGGGTACACCTTCTTGCAACTGTGGCAGAGCTGCAGCTCGGGGTGTTCCTCCTCCAGCAGATGCAGGAAGTATATCCTCTGCTCATCATCGGTGAATGCCGTGTCGATGTTGCCTTGCAGGGTGTCGTAGAAGAATCGCGACGTCAGGCCGAGGCATATAGCGGCTATATTCGGCAGGCGGGAGGCGACGTCGAGGATCAATTCTTTCGGTAGCCTGGCGAGATGGCAGAACCGAGTAGGTTCTGACGGATCACTGGCAGCAGTCAACGGGCTGCGCATGACCTCTCCAGCTGACAAGTTGCGTAGGACTTCTCCTGCTGACCAGCTGCTACTCGGATGAAAGAGACCAGGGCCTTCTATCTCTGTGGGAGGCGTGACGCAGATGGCAGGGATGACTGTGACTCCCCGCCATCCTCCACGTTGCTCCGTGAGAGTTGTCTGTCTCATGATGACGAAAGTTGTCTGTTTCATGATGACAAACGTTGGATATGAAAAGGGTGGAAAGTGAGGATGAAGGCAGGAAAGGAAAACGAGCAGAGATTTTCCGTCCCTGTCCTTTCCTGCCCGGTCTCTGAACAAGGAAGATGATAGATTTGGTCCCATCGTGGCTTGTGTGAATCTGTCCACAAGCAACAAGCATAACTCGCTATCCAGAAATCTACAAAGTTTGTTACGGCTACTCCCTGGACTATAACTCTTTTTTTCGGTTACTGACCAAGCACAGCGAGAGGTCTTGATCTTGAACCGCTCAAAGGTCCAAACAAAGCTCGGACAGAGTGCAGAAACTCGGTACTTCCAAGAGGATCGCCGGGGCCCCCAGGGTAGGCACACAGCGACAAGTGGCACTGAGAATATCACTTATTGCTCCAATGGATGAAGAAGATAGGAGTGCCCAGAATACTACTTCTGCGATCAGCTCATCTGATGTCGCGGAGGTGAATATAATCTGCAAGAGACAAGCGTTTGTCATGTTCACATGTATGTCAGTCGTTGGCAGACAGACACGCAAACTACCTTCCACCAGACTGTAGGGATAGGAGAGGCCAGTCAGCGATTCAATCCACACAAGGCACTCTCAACCGGAGAAATCACCCACGCAGTTGGACCTTTGAAAAATGCCCTTCCATGGTATGATATGATCATGTAGACTGCACATCTAGTCCGTCAAAACCCGTTATTGTGTGCCGTACCGTGGCCTTGACGCCCGAGATGTGCATGCATGATTTGGCCATGTCAGCATGCTTATGTGCACGCAGTAAGGGTCCCTGGACCGCCTGCAGGTACGGACGTCGGGCAGTGAGGTCTTGTTACACAGCATGGAAGCGAGGTCAAGTTTTGAGCCTTATTCTTGGCTTTCCCTAAATTCAGGTACAGGCTGTTTGAGCCCGAAGCCAACCCTATTCGTAAACGCCCCGGCAGGCCGTTTAGTGCTAGTGACCCTGACACCGTGCATTCCAGTGGCGGTGGCCCGAACCGCCCTTGGAGCTATGCACTGGTGACCGACTATTTGGTGCAGTGATGAAACAACCGCACGGACGGCGGCTGCGGCAGGATCCCAGGGCGCACGTTCCTCCCTATCTCTCACAATTTCGACAGGTATGCACGAGAACCATGTGCGCAAGCAGTTGAAGTTCAAGACCGACTGCCAACACAGTTACGAACCGATTTGGGGAAAAAAAGATCGATCATCATATGGTAGGTATAAAGTCCACCAGCAGAATCCAAGCTCCAAATGTCAGTACTGTGCACTGTCCCATTGTTCGCCAAATAGATTAATGGTGTATATCACCACCGCTTTGGTTCCATCAGTTCGTCATGCCTCTTTAGCGGGGTCACCGAGAAATGCTGTCAAGCTCGGAAGGATGTGAAGGTTGGTTATCGCTCTTCAATAAAGGTCACCGAGGATTACTGTCGAGCTCAGAAGGATGTGTATAGGAAGATTGCTTGGCGTAGGAATTTGTATTGTCCATTTCGGACATTGTGTAGGCCGGAGCAGGGCTGCGACCCGGACTGTGGACTGGTTCGGTCGCCGGCACCTCGTGGCGTGTCGTCGCTCGGCCACGGCGGTTGCGTCTCCGGAGCAGCAATGCAGCAAGGCCAAGAAGTGCGAGACCACCGACAACACCGACCACGATACCGGCTATGGCGCCTCCGGACAGACCAGATGACTTGGAGACCATGGGTGTGGAAGTTGAGGTCGAAGAAGCCGAACTCGTTGCGGAGGCGCTAGTGGCGCTGGTTGTCTGGCTGGTGGTCGTTGACGATGCAGTCGTGCTGGAGGATGTCGTTGCGCTACTTGTCGTGGCCGCGCTGGAGCCCAGTTGCATTATGACCTGAGGACTTGAGATTTGGCTGGCCGAGTTGTCGGTGTAAGAGGCGCCCAAAGGCAGAAAACGGAAAGTGTATTCGGTGGTCTCTGAGAGCTGTGAAGACGGTGTGTTCACGACCCAGTCCACGTACAGCGTCGACGAGACGTTGATGTTGTCTAACTCGGTTAGCGATCCAGCAGGGCAATTTGGAAAAGGATGTAAACTTACTAACGATCAGGTTTTGATAGGATGTGTTGGACTGGCTTCCAGTGACCCAGAGAGCGCAGTCGGAAGAATTAGCCTCCGGTGCATACTGGGAGAACCAGCTGACGAGGTTGGCGTCCCATTGAATCCTGAACGTGCTTCCCAAAGTGATGGTGGTGCTGAAGTCTGGCAGAGCTGGTTTCAGCCAGTCATCCTGTACCACCTGTGCGCTCACAACCCGCAAGAAAGCGAGGAGAATCAACGCGCACCTGCTGCTGAGCGAGAGACTCGACATTTTGGATCCAAACCTGACAGAAAGAGCGGTATAGGTTGAGGCAGAGAAGGAAACCCAAGATCAACAGTCCTAAAGTAAGTACGGTGCTAGGTGGAGAGGGGGCTGAGGCGGGAGCTTTGTACTCCCAGACATATTGAGTGTAACTTTTAGTGCAACCGGTGTCTGGGGCAGGGTACGGATGGCCTCACCTACTGTCAACCTAGCTCCGTAGATCAAGCCCCGATTGGATGGGTCCCCGTCGTTTGATAACGATTGAGTGACGGGCGAATAGCCGGAGGAAAGGTACGGAGCTATTCGCTCAGTGCCTGCAGACGCCTATGCTCGTATAGGGATTCTTCTTCTGTTCTCTTTACCTTTTATTGACTTCATCTCATGAAACCGCTTTAGATGAGCAGCTTTTCTTTCTTCCAATCATGCCAACAGACAAGCGCGTTCGATCGAAAGTGTTTAGTTTGTGTTATCTCGAAACTCCTTAGGGCTGTAACACTCGAGTCTCGCAAGTTGGCCCACATGGGCGCTAAATCATGCGGTGGTTCAAGCTTGTCGGCCTGCGACGGAGGCTGTTTTTTAGACTCGTGGCCCCCAAAGTTTGTTCGTTCGGTATGAGAGAAATTCAGAAGGGTAGTACAATGGAGCGTGTCCAGGTAGTAGTCTCGACGACAGGTACAATCATTGGTGCGAAAGCAAACGCTATGGCCTGGACTCGACGCTATCTCGTATGATAGTGCGAGGTTAGCTGTACTTCGTGACAGGTCAGCACTGCAGCAGTAAAACAGTATTATTCTGTCCCACTTTCTCTGCCCCTTGGGAGGCTTGTCGCATGAGAAGAGGGTCTGGCGGCCAAACGGCGTCAAGTTCGAAGTCTCTCGATGGGCCATGGCAGAAGATTTCCCGCGGTGTCCAGTAGAGCCCGAAGCTCTCAGGTTCTAACTTTTAAGCCATGTTCCTGCGCCTCTTGTTGGGTCTTTTTCCTTCCCGTGCCGTGTCTGTCAGTGGTCCAGCCTGGCCTCATAGAAGGGTGGCCTTAAAACGTGATGTATAAATGATGCAGTGGCAAGTGATCCTTCCGTAGAAAGATCTTGCAAGGTTTGGCGAGATCGGTGGAAAGTGCATACTGGTTAGTGTTTGACTCGTATTCGGCCGCTTCATCGCCACAGAATCTGGCTGTCAAAGAGTTTCGATGATTCGAGTTGTGCCGGTGATTGAGGCTGAGATTGCGGGGACAAAGAAGAATGAGAGGAAAATGCCAAGGTCTTTGTAAGACACCTTTAGGCCCATGTGCCTCAGGCATGCTCCGGGCATTGGGCCACTTGATTTAGCCGTTGGACTCAGCCACTGGCGGGCGCCTGCAGCAGTTCAAAATTGGCAACAGGCCCCTACAGTATGTGCCCAATTGACTTTAGCGGTCAGTTTTTGGTGCTTGTTTGATTGTTTCCGTTTAGTGCCCGCCCCCGGCAATGTGATTCCATTCTATTCTACTTTCGTCACTTCAACCTCCTCTCACCAGAAGCTGTTGCCTAACATATCGAATCAACGACTTCACACGCCATCAACAATTCCAACATTCGGCATCAAACGGCCACAGTGATGGTGTTTGGCACTTGAGTAGCGACTTTCTTCAGCGCCATCGACAGCACCACGCGCGATACCACGAGTTGTCTCTTCGCGACAGCTTTCATCATTGTGATTGACTTCAGGCCCCCAATATTCGACTGAAAGAAAGGGCGACGAGTACGACCTTCTTCGCGTCGAGACTGCTCTTGCCTTTCTTCGTTTGCCTCTATGCCAGCGCCTGCTTCTCTTTAGCGACGACAAGCCTGAGATCTGATAATTCTCAACGACTTTACCACGCGACATCTTCTCACAATACTATCATCAACATGCCGACCATCCTAAATTCAAAACTAAATTATTACGCAAGTAATCCAAATGCAAGAAGACTCCTAGCTGGCGTGGGAATCATCTTCATTCTTTATCTAATATTCGGCACTGAGACGAGTCGATCACTACTGGACGTTGGCTCTTCGAGTACTAGGATTGCGCCCAAAATCCAGCACAATTTCGCGGATGGACTTGACACGCCTCTCGATCTCAATGTCTCACAATGGGGTGAAAGGGCCATAAAAGTACGCCAAATGTCGCAATGGGCCGACCTTGCCGTCAAGAACCCAGCCGCCGAACGAAAAGCCTTCGAAAAGGCTTTACAGACGCAATTCCCTTTCCTGGCCGGCACCGAATCTCTCCTTTACGCACCTTGGTCGACGAATGCCAAACAATTCTCGTCTCAAGTCGGCATGGTCATCTGCACGGGATCCAACAACTTCCACCTCGCGGCTCATCTCATTGCCAGTCTCCGTCGTGTGCACAAATCCAAACTCCCCATCGAAATCGCTTACTCCGGCGACAACGACCTAAAACCCGAACACCGTACCTTTCTCCAAAATCTCGAATCAGGAATTACTTTCATCGACCTCCTCGACCGCTTTCCACACGCACATGACGAATTGGTCAACGGCGGTTGGGCCATGAAGCCATTCGCCCTTCTCGCATCTTCCCACACTAAGTCTATGCTCGTCGATGCAGATGCGATTTTCCTGACGAGTCCGGATTCTATCTTCGACATCAACCCTGGCCTCCACCGCACCGGCACACTTTTCTTCCACGACCGAGCCGCACTTGGTGGTGGTGATGAACGCCGTGATTGGGTGAAGGACCAGATTGCAGCTGCAGGGATCGAACCTTCGCAATATCTCTCCACCGAATCGCTCTTCTACAGCGGCAAAACCTGGTACGAAGCAGACAGCGGTGTTACGGCCATGGACAAGTCTCGTCCTGACGTACTCATGGGTCTTATCTTCGCCACGTGGATGAACACGAAAAAGGTCCGCGACGAAGTTTCTTACAAAGTCTTTTATGGAGACAAAGAGACATTCTGGGTTGCCATGGAACTGAGCGCCGTTGATTACTTCTTCCAACCGTGGTATGCCGGCACCATGGGGACTATCACCAAGGAAGACGGACAACCTGAAAAGATTGATCTGAAGTCGACCAAGGTCGAAATCTGCGGCACGCACATGCTGCATTTAGATCATCTGGGTCAAACGCCGTTCTGGATCAACGGCGGCATTTACGAGCACAAAGAGGATCCGAGTACGGGATATTCGACCATGACGCATTACTGGGTCGGAGAGACGAGCGATATCAGACTGACCCAGCCGCAATGGTATTGGGTGAATGGCAATACAGGTTGTTTGAGAGAAACGGGCGTCAGGGTCATTCCGGACCAGATCAGGAGGAACATCGAGAAGATCGAGAATGAGGCCACTCGCATTGATGAGTTGATTCGACATATGTGATTGTGATGCATTTTTAGGTGGCGGTAGGTATGGCGATGCACGGCAGGCATTGATCCAGTGTTAGAGTACGTACAGACAAAATTCGGGCGTGATCAATAATGGGTTGATCCTGGTAGATTATCGGCCAGGAACGGTTCGCAGCTTTTCATTACAGACTGGGGAAAATGACTATGATGATGATTGTTCTCATGAGTTGACTAAGAAACAGCCATTTCGGTCTATCTTCTGTCTATCTGAATAGAGTATCAGAGCCAAATATGGTTCTTCCAAGATCCTCGACCAATGATTTCAACCGAGAAAGAAAAGACGTGGTCTACCAAGGTAGCCAAGCTTGATTCCGCACTGCATGCCATGCCGCCAATATCAAAAAGTCGTCGCAACCTTTCAGCACACGAAATGTTTGGACAATGCCACTATTGAATACATTCACATAGCCGTCAAGCACGCACGTGACTGCTTTCATCGCCCGTGCTTCAGCCAACCAGACTGCACGATTTGCGTTGAACTTTCATTCACTTGCTGTGCCTGAGTGCTCGTGGCGGTGAGGGTCTGTTCGTTGCCCGGTTGAGCTTTTTGGAACAAGTCCCGGCGCAAAGGCGCGTCGTAAGTTCGCACTTGCACCGCCGGTGCATCGAGGGGTCGTAAGAAGTCTGGTATACGCCATCTGGATCTTCTCTTGTTGGGATTGGGTCTGTTGATGGGTCGTGGAAATTCGTGCTGGTCGAGGGGGAGAGTATCGCTGGATGGTCGTGGTGAGTTGCCGGCAGTGTTGTTGCTGGAGTCAGGAGGACACGTGGAATGGGGACTGGTTTGGACTGAGGCCAATTCTGGACTCTGGGGCTTGCCTTGGGGGTACCACGACTCGGGGGTCATAGATGACATGGACGACAAGGGCGAAATGTAGAAATTGTTGTGCTCAGGATGATTTTCGGGCTTGCCTTTGCGGACAGATAGTTGAAAGGGACCGCGCTCGTCGGCTGAGGTTGGATGCCAGCTTGACACCAGTCCTCGGGCTGTACTGGAGGACTTGTTTAGAGGGCGGCTTTCGTGGTCACCTCCACGGCACCATGTTTGGAATGGAGGAAGGTCGACGGCTTCAACTTGGCCGACGACTGTGGTGACTTGCTGCACGAAGATCTTGTTCGTGCTGATGTCTGAAGGGTCGGTGACAATAGGCGCACTCTGGATTGTACCAGGTCGATTGTTGGCATTGTCGCTGCGTGTAAGTCGTTGGCGCCATTCTCGCGAGTATATCGAGCCTGAGGACAGCAAGACTTTGGCCGGGGAGAAGTGGATGCGGTTAATGTCATGCTTGGACTTGTGCGCCCGATCTTGAGCTTTTCTTGCGAGTCGATCTCGACGCTGTAGGAAAGGAATGTCGGAGTATGCGATGGCGACTGATCCCGGTTCTGTTGGGTAAAGACGCCTGCTCATGGTAAGGCTCTTTGGCTCAGCTAGACCGGCGGGTATCTGATTAATACACGAACTGTAATTGCTGTAATTACAAGGCCGAGCGCTCCTGTAACTGCCCCGTGTCTAGATTCGGAGAGTATATAAACCCAGAGCTTAATCAAATGGCTGATGATGGCGCAATAGCTCAGGGTTTGTAGAGTCTCGACGTTATCAGGGAAGCGCAGACACAGAAAGGAGAGCACAAGGACGGTGAATTGTGAAAGCATGGTGAGTGTTTGACTGTCACAGCTCATGAGTGTTATGGTCGGCGTCACAGGTGCGGGCGGATCTTATGGTTGCTTTGAGGCAAACGCGAGAAGAAGGAGGATGATATGGAAAGATCAGGTCGAGCAGGTGCGACGGTTGACATGATTTCGTGACATGAGTGAGGGAAGGCAGCTTCGATGGAAGAGGCAGAAGAGTCCACTGCCTCGACGCGATTCACGCGCTTGGTGGTGAAGATGCTTCCAGGAATTGGTATTGTGTTCATGAGTTTGGCATTAATTGAAAAGGCGGTGGCGTTGCTATTCACCATGCTCAAACGCTGATCGTCTTGAAAACACCGAAACCACTTCCACCAGTGACCATTACTGTGCCGGGCATTTGCGGGTGCCAGTGGACTTCTTTCCCGTCTTCAACGTGGTGAATGAACAGTAATTGAGGAGGAACCTTTTCAGCGCCTTCACCCAATCCCAATCCCGTCTCCCTACCATACTCTTCATCGTCCAACTCGACAGCCAAATCCCAGAGAGTGGCCGTATTGTCTGCGCAAGCCACAGCCACCACACTGTCGTCCGTTGGATGCCATTCGATTGATGTGATAGGTGCCTTGTGGAAGTTGAAGTCGGCAACAGGACTAGGCTTGACTTGTCCACCGCCAGACTGAGGCTTCCACTGTCGTAGATCCCATACCGCCCACCGACCATCATCGGCACCAGTAGCTAACAAATGGAATGTCTGTCGTGACCAGGACATGACGTTGACATCTGTGTTGCTGATCTTGACATCCACCACTGCTTTGCGACTCTTACTACGTGCATCCCAGACCTTCACAGTACCGTCGGAGCTTGCGGATGCAAACACGAACTTCTCGTTGGGGGACCACTGCAGCTCTTCAACCGCGTCGGTGTGGCCTACGAACGGCCTGCTGTCGGTTGACCAGCCGCCTCCCTCCCTTCGTTCCGTGTTGAATATCTGACCTGCATTATCGCCCGATAGTAGCCGACCATTGGGATGTAATGAGCTCGAGGCCCAATCAAGCGCGTAGCCTTCCGTCTTGTGCATCCGTACAGTACTGAGTGGTTTGGAGGCGTTTGGAGGAATGGTGAAACCTGGCGTAGCAAGTGATTGCAGGTAAGGCGAGACATCGTGGATGAGGATTTCGCCGCTCTCGAGTGATGTGGCCGTTAATGTTTGTGGTATTTGTGTAGGATCCGTTGATGCATTTGCAGGTTGGAAAGACCGTATTCTGTTCGTCGTGCTGGGGAGAGGTATTGATCTGGACTCGAGGACAGGGTCCGAGGACCCCTCGTTGTCCGAGTCATCATCATCACTTTCCGAATCTGACTGATTGCCTCGATCCATCTTGGAAAGGCTGCTCAGACGCAGAATGTACAACTCATTCTCTTTCGCCCTTGACGACTCCGCTTGAGTTCCTGCCACGGCGTACAGCGTTCTCGGGTATTGTTTTCTTTGGTCGCCCAGGTTATCACGGACGATATCGAAGGACAGACAGGGCCAGGTTGCGGACAGGACATGCAGCATCTCGTAGGTAGAAGGATCGGGTGTTAGGGTCATTCCTGGCTGCAATATTGATCGCCCAGGTATGAAGGTCTGCTGGTTTGTGTCCACATCCATCACGTCCTGCGCCTGCTCTGCTTCTCTTTCTGCATCTGGACGGCCGTCGACACCGGCTTCCATGATCTCGTCCTCGGACTCGTATTCATCTTCGAACTCATCTTCGAAGTCGAGAGTGGATTCACCATTGGCATCGCCGTCTGGTCGTTGTCCTGCTTTCAATGATTCCAGGTTCTCCTGGTCATCTGCCTGTCTTTTTGACATTGTGATTCAGGATGCTTGTCTGTGTGCGTCCCGGACCATCCAAGGGTGTCTCTTCAATGTCTGGAAATTGTACAAGTTGCGCAGGAAGAATTTCCACCACTCCGCATTTCGTTTCAAATTATTTTTCTCGATAAGACTTTTGTTTATGTGACTATCTTCACGTGAGTCAAGATCACGTGCGAGACCTTTAGTCATCGGCCACTCTTGCCATATTACCGTTATTGAGAGGTGGGAGATGGCCAGAAAGATAACTTGGGCGCCATTGTCTAACCGAGCATGCAATGATTTGAGTTGTTGTTGACGATACGAAAGTTCAGGCGTCTACACGTGGATGGCCTGAAGGTGAAAAATGCACGTCGTCAGACAGCGGCGTCTGCGCGTACACTAGCGTCATTACCGCACGATGATCTCTCAACTCCGCAGTCGCTCTTCGTCAGACAATCGCTTTCTGTCCAATCTGGCTTTTCAGATGGAGAAAACGCGTGTTCCAGACAAGCTTATGTGTAGGGATTGACTGAAAGGATCAGCCGAGTGGCTGTATGTGTACCTTTCAGTGTCGGCAAGCTTTGGCTCCGCATCAAGACATTTAAAGATCGATCGCCCTTAATGCTTGAAGCAGTTTAACTAGACTGCAAAAGGTCTACTGTACATAGCCACATAAAGAGCCTCACACACCCAGACCTTTTCGTGATTTGCCCACAAAAGACGAACATTCTGCGAAGTGGAAATGAATACCAAACCAGTCATTTATATGCTGCATGGAGCATGGCACAGTCCTGCCTATTTCGTCACGGTCAAGTCCATGTTCGAAGCTCGGGGATATAAGGTAATATCTCCTCAAGTGCCGACCTCGGGGGCTGTGCCTCCCACGAAGACATTGTACGACGATGCCGACTTCGTGCGTGGGGAGCTTGAGCCGTTGATTGAGCACGGTCAAGATGTTGTCTTGGTCATGCACTCGTACGGCGGCGTGGTTGGCACTCAGGCGGCTGCTGGACTGGGGAAAGCCGAAAGACAAAACCGAGGCCTAAAGGGCGGCATTGTTCATCTTTTCTATGCTTGCTCATTCATCGTGGCCTTGGGGCAGAGTCTTTGCGATCCTTTGGGAGGCAAACTCGCGCCTTGGATCAAAGCCGAAGTAAAGTTTCTGGTGTCCTGTGTCAACGAAGCATGCTAATCCGAGTCACCGGCAGGACGATGGCAGTTGCAATCCCATGGATCCTGAACAGCTTTTCTATCAGGACCTGCCTGCTGATCAACAGAAGTACTGGGCTGCGCAGTTGAAGCATCATGTCGCTCAAAGTCAGCTCGATCCAGTCAATCGGGTGGCATACAAGAACATTCCGGTCAGCTATCTGTACTGCGAGAATGACCAAGCTTTGCCTCTGCAATTTCAAAAGCTCATGGTCAAGCAATGTGGTGTCGAGGTGAAGGAATATACGTGCGATGCCGGGCATTCTCCTTTCTTGAGTCAGCCTGACATGTTCGTCGATTGCATCGTCCAGGCGGCGGAATCGACTACGTGACCGACCCCAGGTCTGGGTCTTGAGTCATGGGGACCCCGCGCGTAGATTTGGATCAGCAGGACAGGATCTGAGATGCGTCAAGCCACTTCCGGACGGCGCTCCGGAAGATTAATCAACGTATGAACCAGGATGTTGAGAACGAGCAGTCGATCGCGTGATCTGAACCGAGGCAGAGTGAACGGGCGCGCGACACTCCATCAAAAAGGCTCGAAAGATGTTTGACACTGATGTGGGAGTGTACTGCAGAAAGTCTGTCTATGTGCAAGGATCATAGAGAGAACAGTCAGAACTGCCTCGCGCGAAAGAAGTCGTTGATTTCGTGTTTAATTGGAGCAAAAGTCTCCGGAGTTCATTTCTTTTTCGCGCCCTTGACCTTCGCCCACCGTGTCTTTCATCAACACCATGAAACCACTCGAACACGATCATATGCTCAAAGTTTGACCTCGCCCACCTCTTGTTGGCCGAGGTAATGACATCCATCACGCGGCGCCATCATCGGCTTATTTGCTCGTTACGGATGCGGCCGCCACACACCCAATAACAGCATCGATGGCTCTACTGCCAGTGTCAACACACACTCTAAAATTGCGTGGCTGCTCTTGCTCCGGGCCTCTGTGCAAATGGCAGTCGCGTTCCATGTCAGAAATGTACATCTATGCACTAGCTTCGGCTTTGCTGCTCGATGTTGCGTGAAGTCTCAATCCACAGCAAGGGTGACCTTGATGCATTCCACGACCAGCATCCTCACCATCAGAAAGAGACGAGCAGAAGCGTGGAAACTTCAAGTACTTCATCAGCCGCCTGTTCGTTTCGTCTCATGAGCATGTTCAGTCACTCTCTGCTTGTTGAAATTCATCTTTCGTCAATTGTTTCGCCTTGCCCATTGCTTGCTGCTTCTATCCTTTCCAGGATTTCCTCGGTGCAGGATGACTCGCCCGCAAAGTGTTCTTGCATATGCTTTCTTCATTTTCAGCTTGGCTTCTGCCCTACCGTTAACGCCTGTCAAAAGAGGTACAGCACGCGACTTCTATGTGTTGACGAAGAGGAACTAAAATATTGCGGCTCCAGCGATTTCTGAAGATCTACTCGACCAATTCTCACTGTTTGAACAATATTCAGGCGCAGCATATTGTCCGGGAAACAATGACGCGACCACAAGTGCCGCGATTACTTGCAGTACAGGCAATTGTCCGCTGGTACAGGCTGCTGGTGCTCAATCCATCATTGAATTTGAAAAGTATTTGCTCCCCAAGAGCCACGTGTGTGGCATACACTCCAACGACGATTGCGCTGACTGGGACATCTTGTTTGCAGTATTGGGGCCGGGGACGCGCAGGGCTTTGTCGCTCTGGACCACACGAACCAACTAATTGTCATCTCATTCCGAGGCAGCGTCACGATTGATAACTGGATCGCGAATCTGGATGCTGTCATGACCCCATGGTCCATTTGCACTGGCTGCGATGCCCATGCAGGCTTCCTCGACTCTTGGAACAGCGTGAAGTCATTGGTACAAGGAGCGATTGAGGGCGCCATATCGACCTATCCATCTTATAGCATAGTCTCAACCGGCCACAGCTTGGGTGGTGCATTGGCTACCTTGGCCGCCGCAGACCTCAGAAATTCTGGATATGATATCGCGCTGGTACGTACGCCATCTTGAAAGACCGACTGTGTGACGACTAATCGGGGTCAGTACACTTATGGCTCTCCTATGGTTGGAAATCTGGCGCTTGCAACCTTCATTACCTCGCAAACTGGTGGCAACTACCGTGTGACACATGCAAATGACATTGTGCCTAAACTACCTTCCTATGCCTTGACCTTCGCACATGTCTCGCCGGAATACTGGATTAACGCGCCTACTGGAGTCACGGTCACGGCAGGTGTTGTCCAAGTGAGTTCTGGTGAGATAGACTTGCAGGGAGACGAAGGCCAGCTAGGCGGCACTGTGACCGACCATCTCTGGTACTTCAACTCGATCTCGGCGTGTAGTCCTATCTGAAGTTCATAATGAAAAGTGTATATATCAAATACTTGACGCAATGGGCATGATGGCCGACGCTATGTCTCCCACCAGGCCAACGGTACTCTTGTCTTTCTTGCTGTTCCACGCTTCTTCGGGCGCTTCCTTCGTTCGGATAGGTTTTTGGCTTCTCCTCACCTCTTTCACATATTCAATCTCGGATGGAAAAGCGGAGACGATGACATTAGATCATCCAAGCCCATTCTTCCGCCAACCCGCTGCACGAGGGGCATACACCCCGCAAAATGATAGCCGACGCTCGGCTTCTTTCCCTGAGTCCTACAACCAACATGTAGACAGCAAAGAAGCCGAACTTGGCCCATCACTCTTGCAAGGTCATCTTACCCCGCCAGTGCCCGCCTTGCGCAATGATGAGACCGAGGGCTCAGTGGAGACCTTGATGTCTTTATGCGTGATGCTCGTCCGTCACATCGTGATGTCGGCAGGAATATCAGTATCCTTTCTCAGATTCGTTTCCAGAGATTGCAGTAAGAACATAAGAACTTTCCCCCACAGCTTTTGAAGAATATATACTTTGACCATGGCGTCCTCTAACACTGCTCAACTGCTTGCGCAGGCCCATGTGCCCGCTTTTAAGTGCCCTGCCGGCACGAAGATGCATTTCCTCGATCTGGGGACACTGCAGGCTGATGAAGGCTGGTAAGAAAGACGCATTTGACTACCTTCCCTCCCGGGCGTATGACCGGGTTTGCCATCGACCCTATGCTTTTCTCCCTTGGAGTCAAGGTAATCCGGGCGGATGGTAGATCAGAAGCTCACCGAGGCTACAGGCTTCTTCGAGGCCAGAACACAAGCACTCTCAGCAACAAGAACCCCGAACCCAAGCGACGAGACCTGATCGTTCTCGCAGCCTTGATCGAGTTTCCTGGCTTCGGCTGCATTCTTTATGAGACCGGTTGTGCTGAGGATCTGGAAGTTGTACGTTGCCCCCCACCAAACTAACGAATCTCGAAACCCTTTCGCACAAGCCGTACCTAACATGCTACAGGCGTGGGGTGCACCCTTGACAGATGTGTTCCCGCGTACCGAGTACAGCGAGAAACAAAAGCTTCCAAACGCCATCAAGGCCACGGGCAACGACATCAAGGACGTCAAAGCAGTCATTATCGGGCACTTACATCTCGACCATGCGGGCGGCCTCGAGCACTTCATGGGCACCGACGTGCCCATCTACGTGCATGAAGAGGAATTCAAGCACGCGTGCTGGGCCGTTGCCACGGGCGCTGATCTCGGCGTCTATCTCCCGGGGTATATGGATCTGTCGAAACTGAAGTGGAACACCTTCCATGAGGAGCATGTGGATTTGTTCCAGGGTATCACGCTGCACCACTCGCCGGGACATACACCTGGTTTGGTCGTAATGCAGGTCAACCTCGAACAGTCAGGCACGTGGATCTGGACGACAGATCAGTTCCATATCTCGGAGAATTATGAGCTGAGTCACCCCCATGGGTGGTTGGCTAGAGATCATAATGCGTGGATACACAGCTTGAAGATGATTCAGAGGTTGCAAAGGCTGTTTGATGCCAAGCTGGTCTTTGGGCATGATAAGGAGGTGGCGGCTAAGTATATGGGAAAGTCGTATGAATAGGCGCTTTATTCAATGTGACAATGGAGGAAAGCCGAGGCAACAGAAAAATGTGATTTGTTCTTACAGCAGCTCGATGTGACAATCCCTGGCACCATGGTCCACGTCTCGGCGGACGACTTGTAGACAGTACGTGATTTCGAGCCGGTCCAGGGCTATCAATGATGATCGCAGCCATAAACGTCACTTGGGGCTTTGATAAATCGCTGTCCCTGACGGAGGCATCCGCAGCCACTGAACTTCCATGATGCAATATAAGAGTGTGTCTAGTTGATCGTTGATGCTAATGATGGATGTTTTGTCCAGGCCACAAGGCTATTCCGCAGCCTCATCATGTGATCTCATTTTTCGTCCGCATCATCTTGTCTCGAAATCAGACCTTGAACTGCAGACATCCCAGTCAGCCTGCGACGATACGATCAGCTTCATCGCTGAAGCCCAGCCGGCACTAGTAGCCAAGGGCAATGAACAATGCTGGAACGGTAGCTTTGCGCTTAGCGAGGCGATGCCTGCAGGCCTCGACGTGCCAACGCTCTCCGGAGGAGGCACGATGGCTCTTCTGCTTCAATTCCTTCTCAAATGATAGCCGATCGTCCCGAGCACTACAGACTTCCTCTTCGCTTGTGCACCAGATTTTGCGCCCAGCGCAGCGACGTGGCTTCTCTCAATCTACGCGTCATACGTTTCGACAATCCTTTGTCGCCCAGAGACTCAAACCCTACGGTTCGGACAAGAAACCTGAGAAGGGATTACGGTTCCAGAAAGGTGATCTCAAGAGTAAGGAAGTAATTTCGATATTCGGAGCTCAAGCACCACCTCCAACTCCTGCGAACCGACTTCTGCGAGTCCTCCACGGCCGCCGCCATGATGGCACTTTGGATCTTCCGCTACCCGATGATGTTCAACCAATATTGGAGAAGTATCCGAGTGCGTTCGAGGACGGTCTACACTGGCTACGGAACGCCTATCCTGTTGACGAGGACGCTGCTATATTGGCTCGGATCGACCGGGAAGAACATGAGTTTGAACGAGACAATCCTGCAGAACTCATGCAACGAGCACAAGACCTGAGGCTTTATATGGGTCCACAAAGTGGCCACTATCAAGCCAAGCTGAGTGACAAGGAAGACGATGTCTTTGGTGTCAGCGAACTGGACAAGATCCGGGCAGAAAATGAGGAGAGATACCAGCGGGAAGAGGAGGAGCTTCAGGCACAGATTGACGAACGAATGACCAAAGTCAAAGAAGACAGAACAAAATCGCTTGCTCAGCGCCCTGAACAAGGTCTCGAGTCGGCCAATGAGGTCAGACCACCGAACAGCGTCGAGAAATGGATTCTGAAGGCGCAGAATCGAGCCCAAACGAAAATGACCCTCGAGTCGCCGGAAGTGGCTGAGAAGACAATGATCCAGCGCCTGTTGCCTTCCCTCATCTTCGTTTCTCTGGTTGTCGGAGCCAGCTACCTATATTCCCAATATTGGGTGCGACCCAAGCAATCCGAACGATTTTTCCCGACGGTATCATTGTCCTTTGCTACAATCACTGGTGTGATTGCGACCAATTTTGTCATCTTTTGTGCTTGGAGGATGCCGCCGTTCTGGAGGCTCCTCAACAAGTACTTTATCATTGTTCCTGCATATCCATATGCTTTCAGCATGTTGGGCAGTATTTTCAGTCATCAGACACTCACTCACTTCCTAGCCAACATGATACCCCTCCTAATCTTTGGTCTGCCGCTCCACGAAGATGTTGGTAGAGGGACATTTCTGGCCATATACCTCTCATCTGGCCTGGTAGGAAGCTTTGCCAGTCTCGCACGTCATGCTTTGTCACGAGTCTTCATCACGACTACACTAGGTGCGAGTGGAAGTATCTACGGTATCGTCGCCGCATACTTGTGGCTGCATCTTCAGTAAGTATCACGTATCTCATGACAGGCGTCAAAGCTAACAGATGAACCACAGTGACCGCTTCTCTATCATGTTTCTACCGCCCGACGTCGCAGACCAATTCTCGTTTAGTGGACAGTCTTTGTTGATCGCTCTAGGTCTCTTGCAAGTCTTCGGAAGCATGAGACGCACTGTGAAGATCGATTACTTTGATCACTTGATTGGAATGATTGTCGGAATCGTCGCTGCATGGTGGTGGCAGAGCAACAAGGAGAAGAATGGGGAGTCTAGAAAGAAGTCCACCAATTGGTGGTCTACCTTGCCAGGTGTCCGACCAGGAGGTCGTGATGGCTGAAAGCATCTCTTCGGGAATGCCGGAGAATGACCCTAAACCAAGGGGGCTTTGCAGAGCCATCACTACGGTGCTGTTGTTGACCCCGAAGAGTGGCACAACATGGTCCTCGATCAATATATTATGCAAGCCGCTGCGACTCCATCGCTTCAGAGTCGCGGGACGAGGTGAAAGCTGTCCAGCTCTACTTCGAGGGAAGAGACAACCGCATCCAAGAAGTCATGTCGACTCAAATCGGGTCAGACTTGTACCACCAACATATATTCAGCTCTTGGTGAAGTTGAGCCATCAATTGAGTTTAATGAACTGCTGATTGTTGTTCACTTTGCAAAGAGGCATAGGGAAGCCTGGCAAGCTGGGCAGATCGAATCGAATGGATACCCTCCTCTCTTCATGGGCTTTTGTTTATATGTAGTAATGCTGTCTTTACCATTGGCTTGAAATATCACCAATTTTGGTGTCTTAGTATCGGGGTCGTCGCTAAACTCCCCGCCGACGTCACTTTTCCGGTGCCAATTAGGTACCGCTTCAAAAAAAAATCCTGATGCTCTTGTGCCTACCAGTCAAGAGCAACAAGTCTTTGCACAACGTCTCTGCGGTTGGTGCTGGAGTTGTGCTCTATTGTCTAGATCGAATCAGCGCTATCTTTCCATGCGCTCAGAGGTCATCGCGTTTCTACACCAACATTTCCTCCCTGTGTCGCATACATCGCGGACGTCTCGTCCATCTCCAAAGCAGCTCTTCGCGGTTGAACAACAATGACAGACGCACAAGGCTCTCCGCCGGAGCTCACTCTCCTGAAGACTTTACACCACCCTTCATCTGGTCCACAACGGACATGGCAGTCGACTCCCCACCCAGATCCATCTATACCTCTTCTCGCGACCGCCTCCGCCGATAAAACCGTCAATGTATGGAGTTTACGAAATTATAGTCTCGTCTCCACGATAACTGGTGGGCACAAGAGGAGCGTTCGCGCCGTGGCATGGAAAGACTACGGACGGGCAAAAGGTGCGCGAAAGAATAGAAATCCCGTCGTCCTTGGGACTGGCAGTTTCGATGCGAATGTGGGAGTTTGGGTATGGAACGACAGTCGACGGACGCAGCAGTTGACGGGAGCGGACCAAGAGCAGCGGCAGGGCGAGAGCGATAGCAACGAAATCGACATCACAAGAGAAGCGGACGGCGAAGATGACGAGGAATGGCACTTTTCTACACTATTGACTGGCCCGGACTCAGAGATCAAATCGATTGAGTTCTCGCCTCCTCACTACTCTGCGAACCTGTTGGCGACTAGTTCGCGAGATAAAAGTGTTTGGGTGTGGGAGGAAGTTGAACCCGAGGAGTGGGAGACGATCGCTGTGCTGAGCGAGCATACTGGCGATGTCAAGTGCGTGAGTTGGTGTGCTGGTGCTCCTAGAAGAAAGAGTAAGAGGCGGAAGGTCGAAACCGGTGACAACAACGGTGATGTCGATATGGAGAATGGCCCGCAGAGTAATGGTGCGTCCGCGGGAGATGATGACGAGGAAGCGCAGATTGTTGGGTCGCGCGATGTCCTGGCGAGCGGGTCGTACGACGATACGATTCGGCTGTGGCGCGATGTCGAGGAAGAGGGTGATTGGATCTGCGTGGGTGTGATTGATTCACATAATGGTACGGTGTGGGATGTCAAGTGGGAAGGGTATATCAATTACTCGGCCCTTGATTCTGCAGCTCAAGGAGAAGCGGTGGCCGACTTCGAAGCAGACTTCAACCCTAGGCTTCTTTCGTGCTCCGACGATTTGAGTGTGCGTGTGTGGCGGCGGGAACTCAGTGAGGAGGAGAAAGCCAAACGGACGCAGGGGAGACGACCTGCAACGGCGGCACCGACCGGGTTTGCCAGTTCGAGATTGCCTAGTGTTATCAGGCCGCCCAGTAGTATGGAGACGTGGGTGCTGGACTCGGTGTTGCCGGAAGTGCATGTGCGAAGCGTGTACGCTGTCGATTGGTCGAGGCGGACTGGATTGGTCGTGTCGTGTGGTGGTGATGGGACGATTGCTGTGTATAAAGAGGTTGTTGCGGAAAAGAGTGATGATGTGGATATGAATGGTACGAGTGCGGCTGCGGAAGACACTGTGCAGACGTATAAGACGCACAAGATGAAGTGGGTTGTTGTAGCGCAGATTGAGGCGGCGCATGATGAGTTTGAGGTCAATCATGTTTGTTGGGGGGAGAGGAGGGATCGAGAGAAGCGGTTTGAAGGTGAAGAGGTCATTGTTTCGACGGGGGATGAGGGCGATGTTAGGATATGGACTTTGCCTGACGGAATCGTAGGGGAATGAGATGCGTCTGCTCTAAGCCGGGGAGGAGCTTATCTCGATGAAATAGGGATGTGGGCTGTTTGATATCGTGATTCAGGGAATGGTAGAGCATCCCAAAGAAGAGTAGATGAATGACAAGACAGCTTGTTGGTACTGTACATGTTGTTTCAGATTGTGGTATACAGTCCTCTGATCATTGATCGTGAGTTGTTGGTATCATATATACATACATATACATACACAGGCCACGCATGTTCGTGCGACTCTCATGAACTATCTCGTGCTCTTGACAGGGCAATCAGCCCAGCCAGTCTGAGATCAGGAATCCGTCGCCACGTAGCTGCCAAGGTAGGCTCTGCGAACACCAGGGAGCCGTGGCGTCCTCCAGTGAGTGACAGTGGCCATATACCGCTACCGCCAAGGTGTATCCAAATCGTGACTCGACAATGAATGCTCCCAACCAACCAGACAAAATCAATAGTTGGAATATCAAAGTCGTCAAAACTTCTTCAACGCTGACCCGTCTAGTCCGCTCACCGTTTCTATCACAGCTATACACCGAGTTGGCGGAATTGGTGGAAGGCCAGCTCAAGCAGGTGTTTCCCTCATGACAGACTCAACCTAACGCTGGCGAGACTCGACAACTGGCGTTCGGAAAAATTCTCTGCCGAAGACCATGGTTGGCGCTGTGCAGGCGGGCATTTCGATACCTGAATTCCGGGACCTGATCACTCTTGGGTTTTAGGCAAGTCAATTTTTTGCTATTTGTGCCAAATCAACAAGGTAATGAAGCGGGCAATTACTGGCCAGTGTCCAGGAGTTTGCCGAGCAACTCCAGTGGAGCTTTGACGCCCATGTCAGCCCACAGTCTCCAAAATTGAACACACCTCAAATTTTTAAGTCAACAAATTTCCGTCAACAATCAGCCAGCAAGCAAAGCAGCTGATTCCAACACAGGGGGTAAGATCACTACATCCAACATATATCAGACATCGATCTAACATTCATCAGATGTGGTCTAGTGGTATGACGTTTCCTTAGCACATGGTTCTACCATGGAAAAGGTACAGAACTTCCAACATGATTTGTGAAACAAGATATTAATGAAAAATCAGGTTCAGGGTTCGATTCCGTCAGTATTTCGAGTGTCATTGATATTCCAAATATCCTAACAATATGCAGCTGCTTCTCCAGTCAGTATCTAACGATATGTTTTTTTATTTTTGCTTAGACGATTCAAGAAGGCGATCCTTATCAAATCGTATACACGACTATGCACTACCTTAGCTTTGTCTCTTAGTGCTCTACTCTTTAAGTTTCTATAGATCACTTAGTTATTTAAAAAATATGGCTCGCTAGATTAATAGGCGCGGTATCAATAGTCTTTCCAGACGGTCACGATAATAATTATAAGAACTAGGATTAGCTATTAAACAGCCTCGAGAGTAGGGGGAATAATAACGTCAAGATTAATAGTAAGGAGGCTATTTAAGCGACTTAGTTAGTCGAGAAGAGCTTGAGTTATCAACACTAAGGGTTTCTATATAGAGGTAGCGACGGTAATAGTACTTCACAAAAAGTTATCAAGATACAAGGTTAGTCAAGTATGAAAACCAAGCCATGTGATTTATATGGCATTTATATAGGGCCTTGAGGGCTACTATATGTACGAGATCGTGCCAAGGTGCCAAGATATACCTCGGAGTAATTGTCCCAGATACGCGAGATAGCTGTCTTGAGACATTCCCCTGTTGGAAGACCTTATGTGGAAGGCCTCAAACGCGCCGAAGGTCACGACGTATCACAACCCTCCAGCTCTTCGCTTTCATGTCTTCGAGGAGTTGTGTTACCTCCTCCCTCGAAAGGGTTGGACTCTTCTTTGCCGATCTCCATGGAAGTCTCTCTGCGAAACGACTTCAGAGGCCGCCCAAACTCCCAGCGGGTCGACCCCGAGATGACCCTCATGGTTTCTGACATGCTGCTTGACGTCCTTGAAGCACGAAAAGCTCCGAAAGAGAGAGCTCCGTGCCTATAGCGACTCGAACCCCGACATGGGTGCATCACGGATTCATCTCGCCTTTTCACCACCTTTGGAGGCGCAGCGTTCATTGCCGATTTTCAGTGAAGTCCTTTGATCATGGTCTTTCATGCCTCTCACTATGAACAATAGACTGAATTGTTCATACTCAGTAGGCTTGGCATTGGATCTATTTATATAGCCTGGTGGCTCCCTTTTCAAACGCTCATTTCTACTGTATCCTCGAGCCTTTTCTGGTGGCGCATAGCACAGTTTCTCGTCTACTTCATGGCAAATAAGTCAATGCACAGATCCAGGACTTGTTCATACCGATTGGCATCGCCGTCCCAGATTGAACAATTGTCCATTTCCCAGCCGGTGGTCGGCAATCCCCTTCTTGGATTGACCACTGTTCGACCGTAGCTGGGATACGCCTCTGGCCTGCTGTTCCCAATATCTGTAAGTACAGAGCTGCTCGGACCTATGAACAATTGTTCATTATGACAAATGCCTAACAGTTACCCTAGTCAGTCACCATGTCCAGCCCAAGTTCCAGCCCAAGATCCGGTTACGACTTACCCGTGGTGCCGGACGACCATTTCGACCCTTGCGCCTTAGGATCCAAGACTTCCTCTACTAGCGACATGGCTACGTTTCCTATACTGAAACTCCCGACAGAAGTTCGTCTAGAGGTATACGCTGCTATCTGTCCACGACAAGTAACACTTCTCTCTTACCACGCGCCGTCCGTTCCACCAGAGAGCCGCCATGCTCCTGATATTCCTGTTGATTTGTCGCTAACTGTCGATTGTCGACTAGATACTTACATTCCAGCCGAACTGCTTCGAGCTTTGGCTCACACAGCTTCAAGACGTCCGAGACACTTATGAATTGGTCCGCGAGATGGCCCGATAGGGGGTTATCAAGCATACAAACAGCATCTAGACCGCTTCGGCTACTTGAACAATTGTTCGTTCATCGTCTCAAAGGCCCGGTCATACGAACAGCTTGAAGTTTTGTTCATCGCCTGGGAGGTTTAGCGTTGGATCGGTTCATATGACTCCCTTTTCCTTTCCCAAACCATCATTCCTATTGTATTCTTGAGGGACTCTACTTTCAGTAGTGCCTCACGCAGATTCCTTTCTTGTTCATAGCAGCAGGATTCAACGAACAGATTCGTTAATTGTTCATACTGATTGAGCTCATCCCTGCAGATGAACAATTGTTCAGGTCAATCTACAACGCCAAGGCTGTGATCGTTCTCTTTCGAGGTATCGACACTCCATCGCCATCCCCTTCTCCTTGACCCTTGATACATCGAAGTCGTGTAAGTATACGATACCATGGAAGGAATAGACGAACAAGTGTTCATCGTGCAAAGTCTCTAACTCGCGTCTTAGCAATCATGTCCAGTCCAATCATAGCGAGCGACTTTTTCGACGACTACGATCCCGCACCAGCTCAATGCCCGGACTATGAAGGCACATCGCTCGAAGAGCTTACCCCAAAAACTGTGGATGTATGTGTCGACCTTGCCACCGGGGCGAGTTTCATACGAACAATTGTTCATGCTGACATATGGCAGACGCTCACCCGGCTCGTAGACTTCGCGAATGTTGAATTACTGACTACGCGCTACTATCGGCTGCTCCGAGCCAATAAGCCTGATCAGTATAAGACGGACACGGAGGGGGACATTTTTTGTCAATTGCACCACGACGTCTGGGAGAGCTGGCTGGAGTCCGAACAACAAGAGTTGCTCAAGGACACACACCCGCAGGTTACCGATCGCTGGCGCTACTTTGTTGAGAGGGAGTTGGGTCTTTCCGAATTCAAGAATTGGAAACGATACCTAACTTTACTATCCAACGACACATGGCGCGCGTGCGCAGCGGACTGGACATCCTACGACATGGGCCGTGCGACGTTCAAGGTCCACCAGTTCACCGACGCCGCCAGTCTTTTCTTGGACGAGGTAAGTGATACTCCCTCCACTGTATTGCATGAACAATTGTTCATGCCTGCGTGATCCGTGGTCGTATCCTTTGCTGACCTCAGTGTGTTCCCCCAGTTTTTTGTGCCACTCTTCACCAACACTCTCCGCAAGCTGGACAAATCTCTTGGGGCTTGGTCGAAGCGCATTCTTGCCGATGACCTAAAGCTCTTAACCCAGCTGAAGGAACCATATCATAACCTCGACACTCTCCGTGAGCTCGCTTTCCCCCTCCAAGAAGACGATCCTAAGTCTAAGTTTGGTACCAACAAGGCTTGGTTCATCGGGTCAGCCGAGTATACCACGTGAGTCAGGACGCACAATTGTTCTACATACTATTCTTAACCTCTCTCCTAGTTCTATTGGCGTGTACCACGTCAAGCTTGGAAAAAAGCCTCTTACCAAGTACACCTTCCGTCGTCCAGGCTTCTGCATCAACCTCGAGAAGTCTATCGACTTCAGCGACTTTATCTCACACCTAGCTCAGTCCACTCTCCGGATCCCCAGTTTGGAAGATATCACGGAGTACGCTAGTATGAACGGAAAAACCCTGTCACAGATTGCACGCCACGCCATCTACTGGGCTGACCCCTTGTTCCAACAGCCTGGCAATGCAGATGCAGGTCGCAAGGATCTAGACTATGTCAAGCTCATGGACTCGCTCTACCCACCCCGCGGATCGGACTCCTCGTCCAACGACGAAACCTTGGCCGACCCACAAACCCTCGAGAAGATCGCCGAGGCGCGCAAGAACAACTCTAAGATCAAAAAATGGTGCCTTGAGATGCTCAATCTTATTCGCACTAACAAGGCAGATTTCAGCAGCGCTGTCAAGGCTGTACGTACCTACATGAACAATTGTTCAACCGTCCTTGCTGACATTTCCTGCAGGGTCGCTTCGTCATGCCTGAAGGCCTTGTTGCCTGCGTTGTCGCGGTTGGGGATCGACGCGCGTACCGGGAGAACTTTTATTACTCGCCATGGCGGCAGATTCTATCAGAAACCATCGCAATCCTGGACACTTCAAACTTCAAGGGGGTAATGACCTTCTTTCATAAGTACCCTAAGGCTCACGTGAGTACTGCCGTCAGAAGCTGTTATGCATTAATTCCCCGCTACGAGAGATTGCTCGTGTTCCTTGCTGATATTTCGACCACAGTTAAAAGGCTCATCCCAAGCTCGCGTGGAAGATGCGCTTGCAAGTTTCTATGCTCGTCATGAAAACAGCCGTATGCTGGGCCTGAAGGTCGACAAATCGCCCTATTACCACGCCGACCGCGTGAACGACGCCGCGCGCCATGCCATTTTCCAAGAAGAGCTGCGCACCGCTCTCCTTGTTTTGCAAGACGTGGACCGATGCCGAGAACGCTTGAAAGCTCTCAACTCGGTGACCAGTCAACACCACTCGTTAGAAGAGCTCCCTGATGACGAAGATGATGACCAAGGCAGTGGCCTAAAGCGTGTTGGAGGAGTGAGTCTTACGTTTCATATGAACAATTGTTCATAATGCGGGTTCTGACAAGCAACGTATCTAGGACATCGACAGCATCGCAGCCAATGCCGTCAAGGTCGTCCGTGACCGCACTCTCCTCCTCAAAGATTTCGGCCACATCATACCCACCTACACCGACAACCCGGCTGCTATCCTGACACATCTGTCGCCAGCGCACGAGGCCTCAGCACAAAGCAAGCTTGACGGTGAAAAGAGTGACTACGAGCCACCCAAGATCGCCCCTAAGACACCCAAGAGAAAGCGAGCCGCCAAGGACAAAGATGCCCAGGAAGACAATGCCGAACCCACCCCCAAGAAAGCACGTCGATCCCGTCGCTGAACCGTCGTTGGACGAACAATCGTTCGTTTCGTGCTCTTTGCCGTTTCTTCTTGGACGCACAGATTACTTCTCGTGCTCTTTGCCGTGCCAATTCCTCAACTCTTGGCCGCGGCTTGCATCGACATTGTTGGACTATGGATACATTGGAAAACGGCTGACAAAAGTACCACTGAGGCTTGCAGGGCTCAATTTTCTCTATCTTTCCTTGCTCCGGTGCTTTCTGGAGTATTCCGGCATTTCTTGTTTAGATGATACCCCGGCGGCATTACCTGGATCAACTATCCTGATGCATAGCGCGACTTCCATAGCAATTCATGCAATCAAATACTCATTCCCTGTGAGACGGTTTGACTACGATACCCCGTTGTAATCTTGTGTCAGCGTCACACGTGCAAATGAACAATCACTCATTACCTGCTGTTGAGCCTAGGACGGCGACGAGTGGTATTAAATATTAAACTAGCGTTATAATTATCGTGCCTACCTACGGAATTTAGATTATTCGTACCCACGAATTCCCAGACTATGGATAAGCATTGTTCATCACCCAGCTCGGACGCGAACAATTGTTTATCCTTACAAGCGGCCTTCTCATACGCGAAAATTGTTACCGGCAACCGACGGACACGAACAATTGTTCATCGCCAAAGTCTTCTCTAGTTAACTTACCTCCTGCTCTCCTCCAAGGATTCCTTACATGAACAATTGTTCAACCTCCTAATTGTTCTCTCCCACCAACACATTCATTGTGGACACCCGCATAGACGAACAATTGTTCATCCTGCCAGTCTACCGCATTTGGTTATTACCATATTTTGTGCAGGTTGGAACACCACATGAACAATAGTTCATTCTTGAGACAGCCTTGACCTGCCGCTTTGCGGTTCATCTCACTTTGTTACATGAACCATTGTTCCTAGGCTTTATGTCCTTGTCTAAAGGTCTATGATGGTTCGCAAATAAGGCTAATCCTAGAGTACTCTTTGGCTGCGCGCGCCTGATCTCCTTCCCTTTCTCGCTTCCCGGAATCGAGGCGTCGATTGTATGCTCAGTAACATCACTACCCACGGTCCCAGTCGCTCACAAACTACCCAGCGGCCCTTCAGTGCGATGTGAGATGTACCCTCCTGTCATAATGGTCGCAGATGAAGGCCGTGGTCTATTCTCCTCGGTAATCATGCCGGCACGGATTGCCACCCCAAGTACTTCTTCTTCCCGCCGACGCGCGGTTTTGTAATGATAGTTCATACTGATATGCGAATCAAATGTCTGTCCGCAAGACTCCCAGGGACATTTGTATTTCAAAAGAACATCAGCGGCTGTTCTGGACTTCTTGCACGAATTTCCTTGGTGTCGTTTCAGCAGATATTTATTCGCAAAGTCTGAGCCGCAGTCGCAGCTGAAACGGGTGGAGGTATGATCAACTGCATGGTGTTCCGCTTCGATATGCTCGTCAAGTTCGGTCTTGGTTGCAAACGCGACATCAGCACCGACGCAGCTGATATCCTGACATTTCCACCGGAGCCAGGCCTTGGTAGTTGACTTCGATACTTCGGCCTTCTGGCGTGTGTGCGCGGCTATGTGTGAATTCAGTGAGCTCGGTGTCCGAAACATTATTCCGCACTTCTCGGGGCACTCAAATTGTGGGGGGAGGTGTACAAGAACGTGCTTGGTATAGTTCTTGATTTCAGCCTCGCAAAGCACACAATGACCGGCGGTGATTGACCGTGTGGAAAGGTGCTTGACCAGGGAGCGAAAATCTGCAACCCATTCCGTACATGATCTTTCAGGGCAGACGAAACTATTGTCTACCTCCTCGAGGTCGAAGCGTTCGTTACCTGAAGCTCCGTTGTTGGCGGTCTGTCGACGCTTAGACTTTGCCGTCTCATCGTAATCAAGAACTTCGATATGTTTGGGCTTGCCACCACCCTCCTCATCTGTGTCTGGGTCGATATGGTTCCTCTTTCTAGGCATCAAGACTCGATTGTCCCGATGATCCTGACTCAACCTCACTTTGTTTATAGACACGTGGATGACGTTCTGGATGAAATCACGGACTGACTCAGTGATCTGCACGACCGTTGACCTGAGTTATGAGAGTGATGATCTGCAAAAGCGGAAAGAGTGTTGCCGGGTAGGTTTCAACAACCGTGGGTGCTGACGAAAGGGGTGGCGCAGAGTCATTGGTGGCTACCATGTCTTTGTGTGCCGGCGTTTGGAGGTTCGAAAACTCAATGCTCACAACCTTCTTATGCACCCAGCTCGGCGTGCGTGGCCTGAACGCCCACTCCTCATCCGACTGCCAGTGGACGCGGATATGGGGGACTAGAGAGCTGATAATTTCGTTGTTGATTTGACTGTTGGTCGAGAGGAGATCTCCAAGAGTATCGAACGCATTTTCAGGCACGGTGAAGTTGGTAACGCGAGCAGTCCGATTGAGTTGACCATCAAAACTGGTTGGTTGTGTACGAGTCTTGAGAGTGACCTGACGTGCACAGATGACCTCGTAGAGACATTGTCGAATCTCCGGTAGCCACGCAAGTAGTGAATAGAAGCGATGCTCCCCTGGTGACGGTATATCCATGGCTGTTGAATCGTCACCAGGTGAGAATGGACAATTGTTCATTCGTGGCTTAGACGGTGAAGGAGTTGAACATTGCTGAAAGCTGTTCGTTCATTCGAGCGTCATGGACAAGCCTTGAAGATGTTCGGTCGCCTACCAGACTGCCTCGAGAATATAATAGGAAAGAGGGTTTGAAGGCACACGAGAAATGATAAGTGTTCTGCAGGACGCCTTGGCATAGATGTGATGAACACTTCCGCGTATTGTTCGTGTATCAAATGCCTCGAACGACGTAGGTTTGAGCAATCATTCAAGTTGGAACGGCCCGTCGTATATTGCTCAAAGAGAGTAGATTGTAGTGACTTTGTAAAACCATGTCATTGTGCTCTCTCAAGGTAGGCCGCTTTTCTTGCTGCCTTCATGCCTTTACGTGCTTGATTCATGCTCCCGCCATAGACTTGAAGCAGGTCGGCTCGTTGCACCAAGGCTTCTTCTGATACATCGTCCAGGACGAATCGACCCATTTGACCACTCCTCCAGCGCTGTACGAATTGTAATGCCGAAGAATCGAATTCGGGTAATCCACCTTTCTTCAACCGGCCCTGTTTTCGTGCCAGTCCTTCCAGCACGACAAAAATGTCGTTCGTTGGTTCGGAGAAAATGTTGTACAGTGTCGGATCATGCAGGTTCAGGTGGAAGAGGAGATAGTCGGCAATGGTTGTTGGCGGGATAACTGTGTCTTTCACATTTCCGCACAATGCCAGCTTGAGCATACTTTCCGCATCAGGGACGTAAGGAACGAAAACACCCGGTGTATCGAGGACATATACACCCTCCCTGCCATCTTCACCTTCGATGATCTTGACGCTGGTCCCAATCTTCCTTGTGACTCCAGGCTGGTCTCCTGTTCTTGCAGCCTTCTTCTTGCCCAAGCTGACGTTTCTGAGAGCGTTGAGGAGAGAAGACTTGCCTACATTGGGCATTCCAACCACCATGAGTCTGGTACCGAACAGTGAAGTAGACTCGTTGGCATGTGCTCGAGCAAAGTCAAGAACTCGGGTGATTGCGGTTTTAGATTTGACGTCGGCGAAGAACGATGTCGAAGGAGCATCCCATTTTCTGATGGCGGCTTCTCTTTTTCTGTCTGCGTCTGTGAAGTTACTGCCCAGATCTTGCTTCGTGTACACGATCAGTCGTGGTCGTTCGCCCAAGTTCGCCTCGAAGAGTGGGTTTCGAGATACTATTGGCGTACGGTAGTCGCGACACTCGATCACGAGGTCAATCTGTGAGACCATGGATTTCATCTTCGCCAAACCGGCTGCATGATGTCCTAAGAAGTAGGACCGCGGTATGGAGGACAGGTGCGGGTAGACCTGTCGAGGCACGAATGCGGCCATCTTGTGTTGCGAGTGTGGTCAATGAGGTGATTACTGTGCCCGGCCATTGCTGCAACACTTCAGTGTTTGCCTTCACATCTGAACAGGCTGACGGTCATTGCAAAGGCCAAAAGAATAATTTTCGACAGTGATCGGAAACGCAGGTTCATATCCCGTATGTTTGCCTCGCCGTACTATCTTGCTACGGCAGAGTACTCTACCACGAATGTCTACCGAGGCTACTTCTCTCCTCCCCTCCACGTTAACCACAACTCCATCTGCTTCCTTATCTTCTGGAGTATGCCCAATGGTCATCCCGCATATATCGGAAGCCGTTTCGCGATTGGTAAAGCACACCACCAAGTGCTCACCCGAAAGGCCGGATGTGGCAGTACCCGGCAACTACATCCGCCGTCTTGCAGACTAAACACTTCTCTTCAACCTCTCACATGCCGAGATGCCATATCATGACGATCAAGATGCATGTTCTCATGCAGGATTCCTTTTCTCCTCCTTAGCTCAACACCATACCACGCGAGGTATCTATACTGGATGGCGAATGCCAACACAAGCCTTGGACAAGGATGCATCCATGTACCCTCCTTCATTCAACACCTTCCATCCCGCTGCGGAGAACATCGTTGCATGTTAGGCAGTCTGGGCATCGAGTACTGATTGATCAGCCTTTTTCGCTGTACAGACAATTCTTAAGGTGAGTCAATCTCAGTAGGTGCCGAGAAGCAGGTCACGGCTCTGAGAGTAAATTTCAACCTCTCAATTTCTGTTTGTATGATCACTTCGATTCATCTCCTTCAGTCGCCATCTTTTTGCAGCATTGAGATATAGTCTCGAGCTTATCAGGCTCCAACTTCGCTGTAATCATTTTCATCATGGCCGCTTTTGTTCAATGGCTGAATCAAGAGACTGGTCTTCAGTCTCTCCGCACCTATGGCAACAAGGACATTTATCTGATCTTACTAACACGGTTCCTTCGAATGTTTGCCTACGGAGGTGCTGCTCTCGTTCTGGCAGTCTTCTTATGGATAGCAGGATATGGCAAACAGATCGGAACATTTATGACATTGACTCTGCTCGGCGATGCCGCTATCAGCTATGGCCTCACGATTGTTGCAGACAAACTTGGCCGTAGACGAGTTCTGATGGTTGGCTCGTTGCTCATGGCCTTTTCGGGCGCAGTCTTTGCTTTGACGAAGAACTGGTATCTGCTCTTGTTCGCTGCCATAGTCGGAGTCATTACCCCAGGAGCTCATGAGGTTGGCCCATTCCGTGCTGTGGAGGTAAGTCAACGATATCGTCTCCAACCCAGAGCCCATATTCTGACTCTCTTGATCATCAGGAAGCTATTCTTGCACAACTCTCACCGCTCGAAGCGCGGACTGATGTCTTTGCCTGGTTTGCCGTCTCTTCGACTGTTGCCATGGCATGTGGGCTGTTTGTGACCGGCATGCTAACATGGGCACAACGCACTTACCTCAACCGGGATTGGAAAGAGACCTACCAACCAATTTTCGGCGTCTATGCGGTGATTGGACTGATCAAGTTCTTCGTCACTCTGCTTTTGAGTGACAATTGCGAAGCAAGTTCCGCATCCAAATATGCGTGGGCTGCGACGACTACGGTCGAGGAAGTCCCTTCTCCTTCTTCGTCCGAAGAGACCAACCTACTGTCTCGTCGGTCATCGATTGCCAAACAACCGCGCACATCAGCTGCCGGCCCCGCAGAGAAATCCCTTGCATACCGATTTCGCAAGTCCTTGGCATCACCTTGGAAGGTTTCACGCTCGTCCTTGCCAATACTACTGCGACTGTCGTTTCTTTACGCTTTGAATTCCTTTGCTGCAGGAATGCTTCCTTTGACTCTGATGTCCTGGTACGTGAATTATCGGAGCCGCTGGTTTCTTATGCATCGGGTCGGCTATGTTTTATCGGTGGTCTGGCTTCTTTCAAGCCTCTCGAATCTATTTTCGGCAGCCGTCGCACGTCGTCTAGGTCTGGTCCGTGCCATGGTCTATACACATCTTCCATGCGCCCTCTTTCTGGCTTTGATCCCATTAGCAGCAAAGACGTGGTATCTACTCGCCATTCTGATGCTTGCCGATGGAGTCTTTAACAGCATGGACCAAGCACCTCGGGAAGCCTTTGTTGCGGCGGTTTTTCTACCTCGCGAAAGGACGCAGGCTATCGGCACGCTCAATTTCGTGAGGACATTGGCAGCGAGTCTGGGACCGATGGTCACAGCCTACGTATGGACGAAAGAGAGATGGTGGATCCCTTTCGAACTCGCGGCAGCATTGAAGATGTGTTATGATGTTGGCTTGCTAGTTATGTTCCTAAATACGCCACTACCCGAAGAACGAAGACGATCCGAACTTGAGACTGGGTCCGACCAGCAGGAGATGGCAATGACTGCGGCAGAAATGGATGTGAATATTTTGATGGATGAGTATAGTGCGCAAGAACTGGCACCTCCAAGCACCTTTGAAGTTAGTGACGATGAGGAAGAAGAGGAAGAGCGCACGCTGGTAGGAGATGAGCAAGATACGAGTGTGCGACGGAAGTACGGTGATTGACATTCTATCTGTCGTGAATGATATTCTCGTACCGAGGTGAGCATGAGCGTACATTGGTAACGGCGGCAGGCACAGTCCTTTCCATGGCAGGCGTTGTCGAGCGCTCTTTATACATACAGGAATCAGGATCAAAACGACGCAAACTCTCTTTCGAGTCTCTATTCTGGGAAGTGGACACATATCTTCCTCATGAGCCTTCGTAGCAACTTCATCACCATCAGTTGACTTCTCATCCGAAGGGACTGGGCAGCCGAATATTCCGGTAGCGGCAAGGCTGAGGGTCGATCTCTCTTGTGGCCCTCCAGAAAGAAGCGCATTTGAACAATTCAGAGGCCCAAGCAACGGAGAGTGATTGGATCTTATCTTTGTACCACACACTTGCTCTTCACCGGCGGCCAGACTGCAGAACAGGTGATGCAAGGTCATTACTATCATTCAGAAAGTCCATCCACGGCTGTCGGTAGCGTACCATGGGACCACTGGCGCCTAAAAGCACTTTCGTTCGAACATTCCTCGTCTCGCACAACTCACCAACGTCGCAGCAGATCATCAAACGATTCGTACAGGTTCCTCGGTCGGATCCCGACTGGCCAGCACCCACGTGTAAGGGCATATCAGTCATTGGTAGCTGCTGCGAGTCATGGTGGTACAGGCTAATGATGGCGGGGTACTTGAAATCCCTTCGAGAAGTGTCTTTGAAGCTCGTGGAACATACCGAAGAACGCGGAGGTCGTACACATAAGCACGGTGCACCCTCATCATTGCATGAGGTTGGCGCCGTAAGCACAGTCTCGTCGGTGTTTCACGCTCATGGAAAGCCGATCTAAAGAGGCCAACAGAAATTCTGCGAGAGTCGGCCCTACCCAGGATATATTTGCCTGAAAGGGGCAAGATTCATGAGGTGGCCGTGAACGAATCAGCAGCGACCTTTGGAGCCATGTTGTTATCGCCCATATCGAACTGTGGCTCCAAATCGGTTTAACTGGTTCTGGCAAGGCTGTCCGTGCAGCCAACCGTCTGCCTCTTCGCATCTCGTCCGCCGCTACCAGTTTCCCCCTCTTTTTGGGCGCTCCAATCTGGCTCTGCTTTCTGCGTCGTTCGCCATCCACTAAGAGATGTTCCAGATACATGATACTGTACGGAGTACAACGTCTTCCTTCGGCTGTCCTTGTCCCAGTTCGGAGAGCTCTGTGCGTTGATCTGCCGTCCTGCATCGAGGCTGCCCGGTTGCCCGAGACTGGCCGTCCCTTGAAGAATCCATCGGCCGCCTGGATATCTTCTAGCTTTACCATTGGCCTGACGGCCAAGTACTCCTCTGACCTTCTTGACATGGTTACTGGTCTCATTCCCACCCCATGGCTCATGGACCTGTGGAGTTTGCCATATGCCTATCATGGGCCATTATTGACTTCACGCTGTTGGACTGACTCTTTTGAGGTCATATCTCCCTGGATTCTAATCCCGCTAATACCCTTTTACTACCTCTGCTTTGACATCTTGTGGATATCTCAACATCAAACCCCATTGATTTTCTCACGTCCCTGTCTTCTGCAACGAAGCACCCAGTCTAGGTACCGACATTGTCGGCTGCTGGGTGGTCTGATCTGACCTGTCTCCCTTCATCTGCATTGTGCCCTTTTTTGGTAATCGCCTACGCTTGGACAAGTGTATTTATATCGTGGGTCGTGTTCCCACTTGGCAGTATACGCGGGAAAGAGAGTGGTTGTCTCCGCTGGTTTCGGTTCCGACCTGTCTTTGTACATATAGTTAGGTACAACTTACGGAGGACCGAGTCGTCCCAGCATCCAACGCAGCTGTTCACGATAACTAAGATTCTCGCGGCCTGAGGTACATCTATCTCTTAGGCAAAGACCACGGACTCCCCGATGGACGAACGAACACTACTATGGGCAGGCGTTGCTATCTGTGCCGGTATCATCACCTACCTTAGTCTGAGCCAGCGACAAAAGGACGTGATTTTCAGACGGTTGACGTTACGTGGCCGTCGAGCATCAAGCGCAACCACACCCCCTCGGTCACTCTCCCCAGACAAGAAGGATCCCAGCAATGCCCCTCCCAAATCGTCCGAATATGTCAACACCTTTCCACCTCTACTCAGGGAGAACCTCGAGCAAGTCGCTGCCAGCCTGCCAGATGACCAATGCGAAGCCATGGGCGACCTCAGCTTCGACGAGGCGAACTGGTCGAAATCTGTTCTAGGCTGGGAAGAGGACTTCCGCAAGGCTGACCCCAAGAAGTACGTTTACACCGGCATGAAGGTGCAAGAAGTCAGAGGCCTGGGCGATTTCCCCGACTACTCGACTCTGAGCGGTGTTCCGATGCCAGAACCATATCCCGAACACGACGTCGACAAGGCTCTTCCCAGGCCATACCGTCCTTTCAGATGGGCCTATCACCAGACTATGTGTGAGTTAACCCTTTGTTTGCATGTTGCCGCAAAGTCGCACCTTTCGCTAACGCACTTTCGCAGCACTGACCAAGCTCGAACCAAACTGGTGGCTCGAAGTAGAAAGCACGTATAAAGAACGCATCGCCCAACGGAAAGGCTTGTACGCCGAGCACGGCGAAGCCGTCCTGCAATGGTTGCCAGGCTCCGAGTTGGCATGCAAAGAGCTAATGGAGATGGTCCTCCAATTCCTTTGCGCACGCTACCCACAACATTTCGAATTACACTCGGACAAAAGGACGTTTGAGAACAAAATCCTCGGCACCAAGCAGGACGTCAAGGCCAAACACCCACTTCTGGTCCTGCTGGACAATGTCCCCGAGGATTTTGCCATTACGCTACGCAATCCGGAAACGGGCTACTACTATTTCCGCGCGGGCATAATCTGCTCGGCGCTGGGGTGGAACGTGGGCACCAAGATCGGCATGAACTTGGACCAGATTCATGCACCCATTCCGGACTACAAGGAGAAGATGCAGTTTAGTATGGATCGGTAAGTCTGAATTTCATGGGCTGTCACTTAAGAAGGGCTTTTTGCTGATCTAGTCGTGTTCTGCAGATTCTTCACAAAAATGCCTGCAGGCAAACCGATCCAACGAGGTTCTTGGGGTCTCGAGATCGATCAACCACTGTACATGCCTCCAGGGGACCCGCACGAGAAGTACCGCGACTTCCAGATGCCGGACCTCGAGCGCGACCGCGTCCATCTGCGCGTGGACTGGCAGACACTCCGACGACTGCCGCTCTCTGGTGGAATCGTATTCAACTTCAAAGCGCTTTTCACGCCGCTTACCGAGTTTCGGGATGAACCGTACATTCCTAGTTTGATTCTCAAGATCATGAAGGACGGCAAAGAAAACCTCATGAAGTACAAGAACACGTGGCATGTGGAGCACGAGGTTCTGCCGGCGTTGAGGGAGTACGAGGCTGAACAACTTGCCAAGGGGATTGTTGAGAAGGACTGGCAGCACCATACGCTTGATGAGAGTCCGTATTTCCCGGGGTGGAGGGAGAAGTGGGAGAGGAAGCAAGGGTTTGCGCCGAAGGACTACTAGTAAGTAAGTTGGACGCTTTCTGCAGCATTCAGTGAACATGAATTGCATCCGCAGGTTGGTTGTGTCATCGGCCCTCAGGATTCGGCCGTCGGCCAAGGTTGGGTACGATGCAGACCCAGGCGGCTTGCTATGTCAAGTCGAATTCGATAGAATAGGATCAAAAGTGGCGTAGATGATACTGTGACACGTTTTTTGCCCTGATGCAGCTATTGTGAAGCCATGGAACATCTTGTCGAGCAGGTAAAGGTAAGTCGTGGCGGAGAGAGGATGTCTCTCATGCTGTTTGTGATACACCAGTTCCGAGCCTCTTGAGCGTTGGCATCGAACAATTGGCATGGTGTTGCATTATACCTCTCGCAAATTGGCAGTGCGTCTTATCATTCAAAACAAGTTGTTGATCTACCATCATTGCGATCGCGATACGATTTACTCCATAATCCGTATCTAGGCCAGAAGTTCATGCAGGGCAAAAGTGGTGATAAGACGTCATCCAACAATTCTCTTGGAGTGCAACTACAGTACTGCTGCGCTGGCATGTGATAACGATCGCTGTTTGTGCTTGGTGGCGAAGACATCTCGTGAGGTATGCTTGCCAACATAACATTCGTTGGGATAGAAATAGTTGATGGTCTCATTGATCCAAATTGTTGTATCTCAATCGACCTCGACTGTATCCAACGCGAATCTTTGAGCCACATTCAATCGAAGTGACCACATATCAGTTTTTGCGGATACATAAACAGCATAACCTCGCGTGCTACCCAAAACAACAGCACAACATGGAAGAAACTATGCTTCATCTGCCGGCGACCTACGGGATCAAACTCCCTGACCGTTCTATGTTTAGCAATGAAGAAGGTGTAACCGGCGGAACTCTGCTTGTTGCCAAAATATGCGATGCACTAGTCAAAGCTGGATATGGAGATGACGATATCAAGAAAGTCGGCGGTCTTGTCTTGCGGAATGTGATGACTAGCGCGTCGGGGGACCACGATCTGTTCAAGAGCAGCCTGGACGAGCTTCGAAAAGACGTCGACCTATCGCTCGAAGAGGTGCTCGACAAGAACACTCGGCGCTCACACAACGTCAATTTCAATTCGAATGAGCCTGTCCTTGTGATCAATGCCTTCGCTGGACTCGATCGTGCGGCCTGGAATTGTCTTGTGGACCACACAGTCATGCAATTGCAACAGACTTGGGGGATCTGGCCAGTCCGCGTTTATGCTGGGCCCTTTGTGGCAACGGAAGCCGAGTTCGAGATCACCTTGTTGAACGTGGTGAACACGGATATCGGTGGGCCGAGTATGGTGCAGCTTCTCGATACGCCATGTGATGCGCCTGAATGGCAGAAATTCGTCAGGAGAGAGGCGTGGAGAGAAAGGGACCTATTGTATCGACAAGACGGAGTGTTGCCAGTGGAGGTCGACACACATTCTGATGATGGCTCTGAGCACTCGGTCCAGAGTGATGACTCGGAGTCGACTGATGCCGAACTGGCGGGTGATGATATTGCCGAAGAGCCAGCACATGAAGATGAGGCCGCTTTCATACAGGATGTGGAAGAACCTCACTCACAGCATGAGCAGGTTCCGACATCTGATGAGCCGGAACCAGAAGAAATCCCTATCCCTAGCCCAGAGCCTCACGAGCTCGACCTGCCAGAAAAGCGGAGCGATCATTCGACGTGGGAACGCCCTCAGAACACTGTATCGCTTTTGAACCTCCCCAGATCTCGGTCATCGAGGATTGTGCCGCTTAGTACCGAGGAGGGCCATGCTACAGACAAGCATCGACAGCCTGGTGAGGAGGACGCTGAGTCTGCATCGGAGGTGAGAGACGCTGTTAGCGATAAGGACGCTGACTTCGTGGTGGTGTGAGGAGGGCGACCGGTCGCGCTGAGGCATGCATCCTCAATATATAGCCTGTCATCCGCTTTCCGAACCACTTCGACTTCTGCTCCTGCTCCTGCTTCTTTCTTCACTCCTCGGGCTCTCCCCGTTTTCACTTCTTGTTCCATTGCGTTCCGCGTCTTCCATCACTTCATCGTCTTCTTCCTCCATCGCATCCAGCTCTGCTTGGAGCGGACTGACTCGTTCCTCGAGTTGATCCAGGTCCTCCAGTAATTGTCTGGCAGGGAGCTTCCATAGACTGGTACCACATACTCGGTCCTTGGTCAAGAGATTGTCCACGAATTCGTCCATGTGTATCAGAATGTATTCCTCTCTTCTCCTCTGCCTGAGTTTCCTCGAATCCTCTAGTAATGGTTCCAAAGTCTTGTAGATGTCGGCTGGGTCGAATGTCAATCTGGCATAAAACGCAGCGAGGGCTCGTAGGTATTTCCACTCATCTCCACCATTATTCAGGTATTCCAGTATGATCTCTTTATCCGGTACCAGGGTCAAAAGTTTGAAGGCTAGGCAGATGAAAGGCGTGGGTTTCATGGCTACGCCGTAGGTGCCACCAATATGGGTGAGCTCGACTACTCTGTCGCAGAGTGTCGCTGCATTCAGACCGAAACATTGTTCTTTCCAGTATAATGAGTCTGTGATACGGTCTCGCATGGCCGTTTCGAGGAGCAAGGCAGGATTCTGGCCTCGAATGAGGGGGCCAGAATAACCACGATTGTCGAGCGTATTCGAGGCATCGGCGCGGTGCGTCATGTTGGCTGCTTGAAAGTGGAGATATGAAAGACTCAAAGGCACTGAACTTGTCTCGACTCTCTATTGTAGCAGCGATCGTTCGTCGTCAGTATTGCTGTCCTGCTTTTTCGGGCGCAATTTGATTCCGCGAAATTTCGCGTTAAGTGATCTGCGACGACGTCATTTTCGGTTGTCCTTCGCAACACGTTTTGTAAACAAAAAGTCAGACTCAGCCGCAGTATTGACAATCCGGCGAGTCTCGATCAATCTAGTTGGAACATACGCTTCGAGACGGCACAAAGAACGGGAGGCTTGCATTAGCTTTCATGATCTTCAACAACACCCACAAGTATACCAGGAATTGATCGTATGCGGCAAGTCGACACGCCAACACGTTCGCATCCTTCAACCACATATTGGTCCCTGCACGGCCCGGGCCATGGTGCTGCTCACCTCCTCGGCCGTGTCGGTAGCCGTGTCTAGCGGAGTCGTTTGCATTTTCACCTTCTTGCTATTCTTGTCTGGATATGCCCTTCAACAGCAAACCGTCAAGTCATTACAAGAAGCCATGAGACGACCACCTGAGCCAAAACCGGTACCGACCCTCCCACCTCAATTTCGGAAACCTGTCAACGATACAGTAGCAGTCCCTGGCGAGCCGGCTCATAGAGAACCAAAGACAGGGTTGACGGTCGCCCAAGCAATAGAGAGTCTTGAGCGTCTGGATGGATCTGTTCAAGTTCCGGTGGTACTTCAAGATGATCGTCCACCACCCAAAATGCAAGGCCCTTCCGAAGCGGCAGAAATAGATACAGAGCAAATTCCTGAGAAAATACTTCAACGCCTAGCATACATGTTCACACTGCTTGAGCCTTCAGATTTATGCTCCACGCTTCTTTTTGTGAAAGAGCAGCGTCGTTCCTCACGATTATCGACTGAAGCTTCGATCATCCTCCTTTATCCCGTGACCTGGGAGAGCCAAATCTCGGCACTGCATATGTCCACGTTGAGGTTCATGCGAGAGCTTGGGGAACTGCACAACCTGGTTTATCATCCTGTCCAGGTAAACGGTGCCCGGGACATGAGAGCACAACTACTTGGAGAGCTCCAGTGGCATCGATGGGAGTACGATCAAGCCCTCTACCTTCGATCCCCAGGCATTATCCTCGACAGCAACGCTCTGGATAATGCCCTCGCTTTCCCAGCGTCGAGGAAGACTTGGGCTCCGGTAGATCCATCCACCGGGGACGACCCAGAGCTTCTTCTTTGGACGCCGGACGGACTTCAAAGCCCGAGACGAAAGATGAGAAGACTTGTGGCGGTAGTCGATGCGTATGAGGACAAGGAGCATCATGAAGATGCTGCGTATGTGTTGATCGACCGTGACGATCTGCATGATGCTGAACATGGTGTGATGACATCTCGGAGTCTGATTCAACAATTGGAGAAGGGAAGGAAGAGAGTGTGTGCCGGTAGCGGTATACTCGAAGTATGATCATCAGTGAAATTTTCAGCATAGCAAGCGGCCGGTCAGCGAAAAGTGTTCATAGACATGCATTGTACAATATGGATATCAGAGGTCCTCCTCCGTCTGCCTTTCGTTCGGTTACCCTCAATTTGTTGCCGTCTCTTTGGATCTCGCAGGGCGCATCCTGGTCAGCTGGTCAGCCGGTTAGCCACCTGAGTCGTCCTTGCTATTCCTCCAACTTGTTCTTGTTCGCAGCAATTTTTGCAACTAGCCACTTCTCGGATGCTGCAAGGAATGCACGCCACAAGACAGCTAATACAATAATTGCGGCAATGTCCACCCAGTCAAGTCCAATGACAACACCTTCACGAGCCTTTTCGGCATTGGCGTTGCAGTGGCGGAGGTTATCCAAGCAAGTCTGGCAAGGAATCTGCATTGCAGTGGTGAGGCAGCTTTCATGTTCGGCAGTCTTTCTCGTGCGGCTTTGGGTTAGATAGCGGGCGGTAAGGGCGGAATGTGCAAAGAAGGAGGCGAGCTCAATGACGAGATGAACCAAACGGGATGTCAACCATGTCTGAGCCGAAGAGGTTTGCTTCGGAGGTGTTCCATCACCCTATTGAGGTTTAGAGTCTCATTCAAATGGGCAGTATTCTCCCTCGTACAGTAGTAGCAGTCGCGTGCTCGTCATGAACTAGTGTGGTCGAGTTCAATGGTTCAGTCGGGAGCTCATCATCGACAATGACTGCAGGTGGGGTCGGTGGGTCATTGGGGAGATCGTGAAGCTTGTTGTAGCTGTTGATAATTGCATCGGATTCATCAGCCTATTGAGTGTCAGATAGTCATCTTACAATCAAGAGCTTGTCCCATACAGGAATGACAACCGCTTGATCGTCGACAATGACTGTGGTCGAGGTGAACGGTGTGTTCGGAAGACTGCGAGGCTTATTGTGGCCATCGATAACTGTATCGGAATCCATATTGGCGACTGATATCAACGTTACCAGTGTGTGCGTTCATGTATGATAGCAATGTGCATCCAAGGATGAAGCGATGAAGTTGACTGTTGACTATATTTGTGCAACGGTTTCTGCTGCTTGTGGGAAGGAGAGCCCTTTACCAACCCATACCGCACCTCCCTCGTCCATGTTCCGTCAACTGCATCGCCGCAGCTTCCTGCTGACCTAGCCAGACATGGACCATCCTTCCCCTCCTCGGTATTACCTGTACTAACGATCTGCTTCCTTACCTGGCCATTTCTGCAACCACAGATGGAGTGGCAATCCTACCAGCAAGAGGTCCTCGAAATGCATGTCAAAACCTGTGGACGGCCGTGACACTTTTCCAGCACAGGTTTCATCCGGTCTGGAGTAAGCGCTCATTATCAGTGTGAATCTCGGGTCTTGGTATCGGCTGCCATGTAGCGGATGTTCTGTTCATATCTCAAATATCTTTTTACGGCCGATTGGCTTAGACATATCGAGACTGGACTGGGCAACTAGCTTAAGCTTGTTCTCAGCCCGAAAACAAGCTCAAGCGAGATGCAACACCGGAACCGGGGCTGTGAACGAGACCGAAGGCGCCGACAAGAAATCTCTTATTTCAGATAATGCCATCGGGTGCGCTTACTCACCTTTACAAAATGTAATTTCTTCTGCAACATGCTCCTTCGCATGAACTCGCGCGCTGAGTAAGGTTCGGGATTTCCGGACGCCCAATTCACTACTGTGATAGATACAGGGATCATGACAGATTCCCGAATTTACGTGCGGGAGGAACCAACGGAAGCCGCCCACGATTGGTGGCCTGTGACCTTTCCCAGTGCAATACCTAGCACAGCCTAGAGCTGGATTCATGACGTCTCTAACAGTGATACATTTTTATGCAAGCCACAGTTCAAATACTGCGACTGTGATACGAAGTCATGAATGGTATAAAGTATCACCGCCTTTCAAACCCTCCATGCGACTTCCACATTTTCTTATAGCGTATGCAAAGTCCCCATTAACAAGCACATCGCTTCAGATTTCTCTCTTGCGCTCCAGTCGACTCACCCTTCGATCTATTCACCCTACACGAGCCTTCACCATGTCCGTCCCCAAATCTGCTTCGAAGCTGGTCCCCGAGGATGCTGCGAAGGTGATGGTGATCCGAGATGTGGTTCCAAACACTATCACCACACTCAGTGTACCTTTCCTGCGAGCTGGGATCATGAAAATCGGTGGACGCGGCACATTGGTTAGGTTACGGACGGGCTCTGTTGCTGTCTTTTCTCCCGCCGCACTCACACCAGAGGTCAAGAGCAAGATCCAGGCCATGGGAACACTGAAATACATTATTGCGCCGGATTTTGAACATCACATCTTCGTCAGTCAGTATAACAAGGAATACCCTCAAGCCGAGGTCATTGGAGTCGAAGGGCTACCAGAGAAGCGCGAGGGTAGTTCCGATACGAAAGGCGTTCCTTTTCAACATGTCTTCACGCCCAAGAACAAACTCGATATGCACATTTCGTCCGAGTTTGATGATGAGTTCTCCTACGAATATGTGCATGCGCATGCCAACAAAGAGTTGGTCTTCCTACACCGTCCAACCAAGACTGTTATCGAGGCCGACCTTCTATTTAACCTTCCAGCGACCGAACAATATTCAAAATCGGGAATGGACGCGCAATCTGGCATCCTGACTCGCTTCTTCGCGAGTATCATGAACACGAAGGGCGACATGATCTGGCAAAAGCGGTTTCTGTGGTATGCGCTCGGTAGGGACCATGTAGCCCTCAGCGAGTCAGCAAAAAGGATGATGAAGTGGGACTTTGACCGTATCATCCCGTGTCATGGAGTAAGTCTTGTCTTCCTTGGCCTGCTTTCGAACCGTACACTGACATTCATAGGACGTTATTGAGACTGGAGGCAAGGGTGTCATGGCAAAGGCGTTGCAGTGGTACCTAGAGCCCAAGCATTGAAGTCGAGATACCCCGGAGTTGGATGCGAAGGCGTTATGGTTCCAGTCACGTTTCTCCGCAAGATACAATACCTTGTGTACTATTAGACAGTTGGGGTTTCCTGTCCGAGGGCCAGGTGAGAAACCGAGGAGTACTCAGTAGAATCGCTGAGTAAAGTCAGAACCATCATCTTAAAATATTCACTGTTACACGATGTCCTTCAGTGTCACCGCTCGCCGTGCTGTTTGTGCTGTTCTACCTAACTTGGAAGAGGTCTGCCATATGTTCCTCACTAAAAACTAAAACATATAGGTAGGTATATTAGCTTTGGCGCCTGGATCCTATTTATTTATGGATACACTGTCAAAGCGCTACAGAATAAAGGTTATAAGCAAGGTATGTTACATTTCAGTTCAAGGTTTTCTCCTAGCGACACATGTGGCCGTTGCTAAGAATCAACAGCATCAGGCGTTTCTTCTTTCTGCCGTTGCCCTCGCTTGCAGTCCTCGGCAGAAGTCCACCATCGCTATACGATCCCCGGACGACCCCTCACTTCCTTCCACGAACATGGTTGGGTAGGAAGTTTACGGTAGGGATCAGCCAGTCGCAACCTGCTGTAGGACATCCAACATGCGGAACCCGTCCGAGCTTTCAGGCCGGGGAAGAGGTGATGTGCGGAGGACTGGTCCAGGCTCATGAGAAGTCCATGCAGTTCCAGTCACCTTATAAGCCGCGTATTCCCAAGGAGCAGAAGAGTCAGTCTACGTCTGTTTTGCCTGCAGAGTTGTCTTGTACTCGGCTCTGCCCGATCACAAATGGCCACCGAGACGACCACCGTCACAACCCGGCTGTACGGGAGTCTTCCACCCTTCCCTGACGATCTCGTCCACGCGCCGATTGCTGAGATCTCCTCCAGAAAGCTCCTAGAGAAGGACCCAGACGCCACTGCTGCAGTCTTGCAAGCATGCCAGACCTACGGTTTCTTCTATCTTGACGTGGCCGACTCAGATCGAGGGCGCCAGCTCCTTGAGGAAGCTGACCAGCTCTACGACCTCAGCAAAGAGACGCTGAGCCTCCCATTTGAGGAAAAAGACCAATACGATTTTCGCAAGACGGGATCCTTTTTCGGCTACAAACCTGCTGGAACTGTCAAATTAACAGACAAAGCCCAGCGTCCTGACAGCACAGAGTTCTTTAACATCGGAAAGGACTGCCTCTTCGACATCGCCCCGAGCACCAAATATCCTGAAGCCATTCAGAACGCGAGACCCCTGCTGCAGAAGTTTTGTAAGGGTGCGCACGAGATGGCCATGGATGTCCTCCGCACACTGGCTCGCGCATCGGGCGAGGACGAGGAAGTTTTTGTGGAGCGCAATCTCTTCCACGAATCTTCAGGAGACCACGTCCGCCTTACATTGAAGCCCGCATCAAGTGCATCAACGTCGGCTGTTGGACTTCCCTCACACACCGACTTTGGCAGCATCACGATCTTGTTCAATTGGCTCGGCGGGCTGCAGATCGAATCACGCACCCCCGGTCGCATTGGCGAATGGGAATACGTCAAACCACTGCCGGGAAAAGCCATTGTCAATCTGGGCGATGCGATGGTCCACTTTTCCAATGGAACAATGAAGAGTGCTAAACACCGCGTCGTGCCGTCGCCTGGCGCCCAGGCGGAGATGGAAAGAGTCAGTGTTGTGTATTTTGTCCGACCAACACATCATAGCCTGCTGAAGCCGGTGGGGAAGTTCGATTCGGGAGAAAATCGAGTCAAAGTCGCTGGGAAGTTCTCGGATGGGATCGATGACAAAGTTTACACCGCGAGGGAGTGGCTTGAGTTGCGGTATATACAATTGAACGCGTCGAAGGATTGATCTTGGTATTCATAAATTATGGAACTCAACTTCGAGTTGTGTTGCCTTGACACAAGGCTCTTTCTGGCGTTTGGGTACGGCTTGCAATCTCAACGTTGAAGTTCTGCAACTATGTGCCTAACTGCGTTCGCTGGTATTGTTCCCCTTTGTCCAGGGTACGGAACACCAAGCTCATCTATATCGATCAGCCTCGACAGAAGGACGACTGCAGACTGTACGACATGATATGATGTCCAAGATGATGTGCACAATTTGTATGCGAGTGAAGCGGCAATTCACTCACCGCCTGGTTCGTCACCTGCAGATCGGACATTTTGTGACAATACGATGGGTGGGAGACTTGGTCACGTTGGACTTGGACATTTCTTTCGACGGTAGGGCGGGTGGGAGCCTCAGACACTTTGCACTTGGGATTTTTTTTCACGGTAGTCTGGGCAGGATCCGAATGATCCAGACTCTAGTGTCCAGTGTCCAGTGTCACAACGGCCTGCTGGTGTCAAGCTCACGCTCTTTCGACGCCTAGAGATGACGTTCGAGGCCGGGCGCATTTACAACATATTCATGATCTGGTGTTACACGGGATTGTATGATTGGTCCTTCCTATTGGTATCATGTATATCCGTCACCTCCTTTGGGCCGAATGTACTGTTGCTCACCGTTTCTGAGGACCACCTTGTCATTCCTTCTTTCTGGCAACATGTGGCCCCAGTGGCTGAATGAACTCGAAAGACGCCTTGCTGCATCATCGCTTGCTGATGCTTCCATCCTGCTTTGTTCGGGCCTCGGACTGCAGCTGAGTCTGAAGCTCCTTCCAATTCGTGCTGACTATGGGGCATCCAACGCCACTTCCAAGCCCTCCCTGGAAGTTCTGCAGTGCCACGAGACATGTCTGCAACCGCGTGAGTTGATCTGCCGCGGACGTGCCTGTCATAGAAATCATCAGCCAGAGTGCCTTGCAGCCAGGTCAGGTCCGGGTAGCCGAAGACATACCGCTTGGGAATTGATCGCCGCTCGCAACCACGGTTCCAAGGAAACTGGTGAAGGTGTTCAAGTTTGGCGGGCAGTCGCATCTGTTCGCAGTGTCAATGTCAGGGCCGGTAGTGTGTGCGTGTGTTTGTGAGGCACAATCAGGCTTTGGGGAGACTTACGGAATATCAACGCCATTGTCGCCAACGCAATTCGCGGTTCCATCAGTCGCTTTCACGCCCGCAGTGATGCCAAAAGCTGGACATGAGGAGCCGTCTATGGAAGCGACGCCCCCAGAAGAGGTGGCAGCTGAAGAGGCGGTGGCTGCTGGCGCCGCCGAAGTCACACTGGTGATGAAGGTGCTGGGGGAGTTTCCACCTGCACCAGCACCGTTACCACCGCCACCACGGCCACCGAATCCTCCTGCGGCTGCGGCTCCGCCTCCACTGTGATGCCCTTGAGCAAAGACGGAGACCGCTGGGAGCGTGACCGCGAAGAGGAATGTAACAGCGAAATGCATTTTGGTTCGATGCTTAGGCGACAAGTAAGGAATACTCGTGCTCAGGTTGTTGTCCGGGGAATGTCTGAATGGGAACGAGCCAGCTAGACGGTCAAGTGATAGAGAGAGTGTGTGTCTGTATCGTCAAGCAACTAAATCGGATATGCCAAGTCGAAGGAAGGTACAGCAAGTGGAATTCTTGAGAAGCGAAAGGGCACGACCTGCGCGCACGGTGTAAAGAAGTGAATGAAGATAGCCTGTGGGTTGCAGATCGCAAACCGGCGGCGGTCCAACACGAACATCAGCGCGATATATACCAAAGGTTGCCATAGTCGCTGGCGCGTACGCATCGCGAGGCGCATTAGTTTGACGGTTGTCAGTGATATTGATGCCGCATTGAAAGGATTGGACTTTGGTGGTTCCTCTAGAGTTAGTACCACGCGAAAGGCGATACGTTTCACGTCTCATGTTGCGAACAATATTATGTCGCCGCTCGCCATTGGACACGAGTCATTTTTGTGCATAACCCTGCATTTTATCATGGTCTGAGTTCATTACGAGTTCGGTGATGGGTGTTGTCTTCGTTGTTGGTACGGCTTTTGGTATTGGACCTCACAATAAAAGAGAAGGTTTCTTATAGTGACTTTGGAAACAGATGGTGTAAAGGATTGACCCCGGATTCTGGAATTCTCGGGCGCTTACCGTAAGTTAGATTGGCGAGATAAGGGTGATAACGGCGCTCGAGGCTGGCTAATTTAAGGGTGCAATTAACTCAGGGGTTTGCGGCGAGCCAGTGACAAGTTCAGGCTCAATTATGCACTCAGGCTCGCCTTTTACTGTACATTCTTACTCATGCAAAAACACTAGCCGTGCGATTGCGAAAGGGGAACATGACCTCGTCTCCCTCGTGGTCGCATCGAAAATGAGTCAGCCGGGACCGCTGTTGCGATGAACGTCGCTTCGTTTAGCTTTCTAAGTTGATTGTACAAACGACCACGACCAAGGGCCAACGCTCGCCAAAACTGCCTGTGTTGAATCAGCAACCAAGCCTGGTGGGTTTGTATGACTTCTACCTTGTTGACGGCATATCACTCCGCATTCTCGGCTCAGTACAACCCGATCAGGATATATTTCCACGGACTCGAGCAGTCAAATGGATTTCGGCCTCGAGGTCAAGCTGGAGAACAACCACCAATGCAGAGGGTTGAGATTGCCGTTCCCATTTGTTGCTGCCGTGAGAAGGCTACCTGTGGGATCCGACCATGGAAGTCAGGCTCGACAATCTTCTCGGGCATCTGGGGAACGTGGAAAAAATCCTGGTATACGCATTTGGAGTCTTCGACAGGTACTACATTTGCTAGCAAGACGAACATGGCACATACAGGCAGGGTTAGAGGAGTTTTGCTGCACTGAGACGCGAAAAGCCAGTTGCTAACAACCACTCTTACTCATTAGAAAGAAATGGATTGCCGCCGGCCCTTGATGAATTGCTCTTCCCTTCCAACGGATCGAGTAAAGACCTGACGACCCTGCAAGTCTCCCACGGTCATAACGATGCATTCTTCGCCTTTGACGAGGACGACCGAATATCACATATCAACACAGAGTTCCGAGACATCGCAAGTAGCATTGCCCATACCTGCTCCTCACAACCTGCGATACAAGCAGCTGCAACCTCAACTTACACTCGGTCGGAGGAAGTCACATACATTCTCGCATTGGGACGAGGTCAAAGGAGACGAGCGCCAGAATCCGACAATGTGCGGGCGACAGTCCTCGAAAAAGAAGCTTCGTCCTGGGAGCATTGCAATCGCCGGCGTGTTGTCGATGGGGCCGTCGCCCGAGAGGAACTGTAGCCAGGTTAGTCAGCCATTGGAGGTGTCGCCTGAGATGCTTTCCGAAGAAAAGCGTCCGAATCCCCCGGGACAACCTAGCTATGCAAATGCCGCAGTGCAGACGGACCCGGTAGAAGACCAGCAAGTGACCAGCAGCATTTGCTTCCATGAAACGGCATCAAAGCCAGCGCGGTTTCGTGATTCTTCCACTTTAATCCTTTCCGATATATCTTCCAGGACAATCGATTCGGGTATCTCTCTTTCAAGCACTTCTTCGGCAAGGCTCCGAAATCTATCAGCATGGGGGCCATGAATCGATACTTCTGGGAGAGTCAGTATCGGCTTGGTGACGCTCTGACTCGAGCATCACCTATTGACATTTAGTCAAATTCTTCAGGACAAGACCGCCCTGCCATGTTGCAGTAACCAGCCTCAACACGTATCAGACCGGTCTGATATGCTAAGTCGACAGATTGAGGAACACAGGGGCAGACGACTACTTAGAGCGGTAGGATTGAGTGAATTGCGTCATATGCAGTTATGTTCCGCTGGAGATCTTGGTACCCCTGAAACGTTTGACGCGTCAGAGCGCGGTCTCAGACGCGTTTTGACCCTAACCCTGTGGCCTTCCAAGGTGAGGATCTGCGCAATGTGAACAGTACCTGCGCAGACAACCAACGAATGACGAAATGTAAACATTCTACCAGCGTCGACGAGGTACCAGAACAACTTGTCGAAGCGAGTAAAGGTGAATATCACTCTGTGTCAGCACTACTAGGTCTTACTCTCTCGTTGAACTGATCTCACCTCCTTGTCACTCTGTTTGAAGCATCGCAGTCTCTAGGCTGAACCGTTCTCCCAACCGTTAGAAGTCTACGAAGACATCATCATGCCGCCTCTTCCCATGGATCACGTAACCTCCCCTCAGGAACGACTCGCCTGCGCAACCATGCATGCCGACCTCCTCAGGTCGCTCTTGATGCACCCAGTCGTTAAGTACACGCCCGATGGACAGCCAGACCGGTCAAAAATTCCAGACTCGGTCTACTATGTAATCGATTTCGAAGTGAGAACGTACCGCGATTACATCCTTCCTCTCCTGCCGCCGGACGCGGAAAAACACAGTCACGACCTGGCTGTTTTCCAGGCTGCCGATGGCAACAACGATATGCTCGCTGATGACTTGTTCCCTCGAATGAGTGTAGGCGGATTCGAAGAGAAGTGGACGGACAGTATTAGTCGAGCGATGCTGATCTCAATGATCATCACGGAACCGAGTATGATGACAAAGTTTGGAACTCCTTTCGACCTTGGTCCAGAAGTGAAGGCTGCAGCAAGAGCTTTCCTGAGCGATTAAGATTACCTCGAGGAGTTCTGTCTTGACCGTTATATCACTTTGGGGGCAGGAACAATGTGCCGGCGCAATTCACGTTGAAATATTGTACGGGATTTGTACACAGGTTGGGTCATACGGCCACGGTGGCTGTCGTTGGCGTTATGTGGGCTGGGTTCTCATCGTCTTTCGTACATGAACACAAGAAACTCTCCTCGTGTGCATCCTCAACCACCCGTCACTTGTGTTTCATTGTACAGTACTGGTCAGGGTATGCTGCTCGACATAGGCCTTGAGAGACTTTTGGAGCTGGAGCGGGCATTTGTTGCTGAAGCAAGGCTACGACCCCTGCAGCCTTGCTTTGACGTCATCCCAGTCAGGATGCCCACAACATCAGTCTTCCATCTTCCAGCTTGATTCCTCCCTTCCTATCGCTTCTGCACCCTACTGTGCTTGTACATGCCCGGCTTCATGTTCCAGCTACTAAGACTTGAACGTGGCTGCTAACCTGCCACGAGTGAGGTTGGTGCCCGGTTTGGGCAGGCTGTCTGTGTCCAATAATGCCGTGCCATGTTCCTCCTCTTCTGCCACACCGACACGCGTCTTGATCACGCGCCTCTACTGCAGAGAATCCTCAACGTCGATCTATTCGGACTAAGCTAGCTATACTGGACCATATAGCCATTCAAATGAATCTCGTGATGGACGACTGAGATTTTGGAGTGACTGGGACGATGGGACGAATCCCAGTTTCCAGAAGCCTTCTCGATGCCACCGCTAATCTCATTGACCAGGACGGCTTTTCGTTCCGGAGTTCTTCAGAAGCCTTGATTGAACATGACCCAAAAGCAAGAACGTAGGACATTGTGCCAGGGGGTGAGGCAGTAACGTCTGGTAGTCGAGGTGACGATGCCGCCTTCCTCGTTGGCAAACGAATTTTCAGGATGTCATCGTGTCACCTTCAAAAAGCTGGTCTATTTCACTTCACAACTCTTTCTCTTTCTCCCTTCTCTTCATCCTCCCAAGACAACTTCTTTCGTCCCCTCAACCACTTCACAACCTCCGAACCTATCAAACCAGTAACGAAACATCGATTAATCAAACATCCAAGATGCCTGTCATCTCCAGAATCGCCTCCATGGCCTTGCGGGTTGCTGAGCTCGTCTTTGCCGCCGTGGGTTGAGCACCTTCTGATGAACTTGAACTCAACTAATTTTGACCAGGTTGTCATTGGCAACATCAGCAGCTACCTTCATCAACGTCAACGAGGTAGCAACTTGCCTCTGGCTCGTTTCATCTACGTCGACATCATCGCCGGTCTCTCCATCCTCCTTGCACTCCTCTGGCTCCTGCCATTCGCAAGCGGCTTCTTCCACTGGCCAATCGACCTTCTCCTCTCTCTCGCCTGGTTTGCGGCATTCGCCATCTTGATCAACTGGATCAGCAATCACTCAACTTGTGGTGGAAACACTCTTGGCTTCACTGGAACAAGCACTGGTACCAGCACTGGTACCAGCGGTGGTCTTGGTTGTGGTCGCTGGAGAGCAGCCGAGTCATTCTCGTTCTTGTCGGCCATGTTCTGGTTGATCAGCGCTCTCCTCGGCCTCTGGTTCATTCATCGCGAGCGAAGCAAGCGAGTCCGAGCCGATGGAGCCCGCGCTGACGTCGCAGTTTAAGCCTTGATGGACACTTTCAGTGAGACCAAGTGTGCTTACCACTGGGACAGCAACACTCGAGGACCATGGTATCGACGCAGTCAAGTCTAGATGGATCGTTGAATACGAGAATCACACGGGGAATGATATTCTAATATGGGGTATTGGTGCTGCTGCATGAGAGAAAACAATCAAAGTCTACAGAGACTGGGAAGATGCATTGGGACGACAGGGCGTATGTGCTCCTCCATGATACCACAACATGCGACTGCTTAATACCTGATAGCTGCAGTCGACAAGCAAGTTCAAGTCCTTCACGTATTTAGCTGGACAGCGAAATCACCTGTTATTGAGAAATAATTCTATCCTGTTCAGCCCCTTCTTTTCCTTTTTGCTAACTTGACAAATATGGTCTCCATCTGTGCCATGTCTATGCCCAGTCTGTTTAAGACAGCAATACAGTTTGCCTGAACTGGTGGGAGGTATCAGTAAGACATTCGTGATATTTCATTGTTCACTACGACATGTAAGCAGTACTGAGTGAAGCGAAAGATGAACCCACCATCAAGTCGAAAGTGAAACAAAGCTTCACATCACTTTCACTGCCCGCACTTCATACATCGCACCGCAACTACTTCTCTTCTTCTGCCTCAGAACCTGTCCTTCTACCCACATCGAGTGCCTGGACATCGTCCCGTTCCACGATGCCTTCCAGTCGGATCTTTGTACTTTTACTCTCACATTATGCTCAACAACTGCAAGCACTCCTCCATCAATTGCCACTCCTGTCGACCAAACCAACCTACCTCAACGCGCCTTTGCGGCTTTGCCTTTCAGGGATCGGGAGATCGTCAAAATCACCAATGGTCACCGCGTCGCCTGGTCATCAGGAACCCGACATGAGCAACATGGAAACGCCTAGTCCTAATCATCAGGAACTCTCCATGAAGAACACGAGATTGTCTAATCCTGGTCATCAGGAACTCTCTGTGAATAACATGCAATCGTCCACCCGAGACCCAACTTCTCTCTTCACTCTTCCACCAGAGATTCGAGTAATGATCTACCGATATTTGTTTGACGAACTACAGGTCTACACACGTCGCACGTTTACCCCGGGGAACACGCCCTCCGGAGCGGCAATCTACCACGTCCAGAAAAAGATCCTACCAGAAAACCCGTTCGCATTGCTCCGCGCTTCCAGGGGACTATACAACGAAGCAGAGGTTTTCGCCTCTTTTCGCCACTTTTCTTACTTCACCGGTGGCTACCTGTGTCCTGTTTGCTTTGAGGGAGATCCTTCTCTCATTTTACAAAAACAGATTCTGCCCCGTCTTCGATCATTCACGGCTGACATGCACTACCACTCCCTCAGGCATTTCCTGAAAGTCTACAATGCTGACATCTGTCCCTCATTGCGACTGATCGACATCAGTGTGTTCACTAGCTGGAGGGGTGTCCCGGTTCGTTTTCCCGCTGCCTACATCACTGCGTACCTGGATAACGAACTCTACCAATCAAAGTACCCTGACGCCGTGTTTCAACTTTTTCTCCGCAAGGGTATTGAAGCTAGGTTAGGTAAAAGTGTGTTGAAAGCTTTGAATCTGCGGAATATCACACTCAAGTTCAAAATGAACATCTATTCCTGGAAGAAAGCACCTTACGGATCGCAGTCGTCGGAGGTAGCAGATGTGGTAAGTCGTTCTGTCATGTTTGAACTTCCGAATGACTAACATTCTCAGGTCGCTACCTGGAACAAGGATAAGGTGACAATCTTGACACTGATAGATATCCGTGAAGGATGCGATATGTACAAGACGTATGCACTTCCAGGGAATATACCAAAACGTTACCATGAAAAAGGCCCGGAAGAAGAGGAGTTCGACCGTATTTTACACCTCCAATAAAAGAGGGCAGGGAACCTGCTCTACCAAGACTTTTTTAAACAGGCGAACGACCAGGAGTTCTCATTGATGTTGGGGCAATGGAGATGAGACAGTCTCATTTGTTTTGCGAATGTCGAAGAATGGACACCTGAAGATTGTTCGACTGATGTGATACTGAATGGGTCTGGATAGCACTTGAGAATCAAAGGACCTCGACAACGGCTGGAGTTTGGAGGCATGTCATGGATTCAATGCGAAGTTGTATGGTATGTAATTTTATGACTGAAAAGAACATGCTCAAATTACTCCCACTCCCCCGGCGTTCCCATTGTCCCTTTCTCTCCTTTATTCTCAGCCTCGCGCTAAGCATTTACGCCATCTTCGCATGATAGAGGAGGTATTGACCCCGTACCTGTAGTCCTAGTCCATCCTCTGGCCACGTAATTGTATTCCATTGTCCTCCTGGGCTTTCAATGTCTGCGAGGACAGTTGTTCTGTTTCACGTTTTACATGCAACGGATACCCAGACTGGGTTGTATCGTGTCTCTGTCGCGACATCCAGCCAAGCCATGCGTTCTCTACGTTCTGCCACCGTCGCGCACTTCACACAGACGTGCTTCCGGACTCTTCCACTGCTAGAGGTAATGTCTAGCCAAGTAACGCCGAGAGTGTCGAGCCCACGGTGCAAAAATGGTGTTGAGGACAGCAGTTGTCCCTGTGAAGCTGTCCAGGTATTCGCTTGTCTCTTCAAACACGACACCGAGTGAGCCCTTTCTTTCTCTGTCGATAGTGCCTTGAGACTCTTCGTGAGTATCTCGGCCGAAGATCATACTTGACAGGACTTACTCGACCAGATCAATTCGTTTCTGCGCCTCCATTCTCACAGATACCCCTCAACGCAGCAGCCATGTCCTCAACCACGTCCTCGAGCTCAGATGAGCATGGCCATGTCAATGGTTATGAACCAGCAACAGTTCTCGTCGGTCTAAACTGGATCGAAGCCACCGACACGACCGAATACTACATCGAACCATCCGATGTTAACCTCTGCCCACACTGCACCACACACATCCTCCTCCTCAACAACTGCTGCCGCGGAGAAGGCATCGAACACGTCGAGTCAATGGCCAACCTGGAAGTCCTGCCCGAACATGTCATCGATACCATCACCGAGATCGAGGTCTACGGCAAATGGCAAGATGCAGTGGAATTCACGCTCTGCAATGCCAGAGACATGCCCATGCTGAAGCTCATATCCTTCCACTCGTACGACAATACCTACCCCATGTCGTACCCTGAGGGTCTGCAGATTGACGGTGTATCTGCTGCTGAGCTGACGGTTGAAGATCCATTCGACGGGCCCAGGCAGATACATCAGAGCTTGTACCATGCTCTGGGAGATATGCTGTTTGAGCTGTATGAGCTTGTTGGAGAGAAGGGGGTGGAGTTCGCGATGAAGGTGTGGTTTACCTTCGAGGAGAAGAGGGTTGGGTATGCGGTGTTGAGGTGGGAGGACAACAAGATGGTGTTGGATGATTTGGAGCTGGAAGACGCTCAAGAGACAAGAGAGGAGGAGGGAGGAGATGTGGAGGGAGAACGACAGACCGCTGAATGAGGGTGAGGTCACGTGTCAGGCTGAGATAATGAGATACCCCCGTTGGCCGGCCTTTCGGCGACAGAATGCCATTTTGCACAACGATGAACGTTGCTTCACGGCCCTCTTTTTTGCCCCTGTGATTGTGCTGGTGGTCGACAACGACGTAGGTCAAGGAGAAGTCTGATGAGTGTGGAGGTTGACAACGATTGGTCACCATGGACAAATTCACTGAAGTAGAAGGACGACCACGACATAACAGCACAGGACTGCTCGCTGTGTTAAGGGGATGTTCCAGAGGCAATGGCAAATACATGGTCATTGGCGCTGATGAAAGACTTCAAAGACATTGACAAAGTGACATGCTATACGACAGGAGTGTCCCATTGTTCACAATGCATCAATCCATTTGAGCGCCTCGGATGGTTCCAATCTCTTCGTGTAGTCCGGCTCGATGAATGTGTTGCGCACAATGCCCTTCTGATCGACAAGTATCGTGGCCGGGATGGGGACAGCAAAGGAGTCATCACCATTCCTGCTCTTCAAGTCGTGTCCGAATTGCTCAAAGACGGGACGCAAAGTTTCTGGTTGTTGGAAAAGAATGCCCAGCTGCCTGGCGTACTTGTTTCCGACGTCAGAAAGCACGGTGAACTTGAGCTCATTCTTCTCGGTGGTGGAGAGCGTCGTATCAGGCAATTCTGGTGTGATCGCAACGAGGGTGACACCCTTGGCTCTGAAGTCGTCGAGGTGTTTTTGCATTGCTCGGAGTGCCAGATTGCAGAAGGGGCACCAATCGCCTCGGTAGAACGTGATGAGCAGGGCACCTTGGGCAAGGAGTTCAGTGCTTGTGATTTCTTTGCCCACTGCGTTGATCAGGCGGAAGTCTGGAAGATCTTCGCCGACTTGGATCGCAGCATTTGGATCATAAGAAGCCACAAAGTCTGTCTTGGCTTTGTTGATGGAATGCTGGACAGGCGCCGGAGCATGCTTTTTGAAGTTCTCGAGAACTGTAGACAGCTGGGGTGCGAGGGTCGTCATTGTGATTGCGTTGAGCAGGTTTGAATGGCTTACTCGAGGAAATAGTTACGAAGAGTAGAGGGGTAATTGTAGTTGTGCCTTGCGTTTGAGTGACTTGTCGTGTGTTGTCTGGTCGTTGATGGAGAGACAATGAGCCATGTTTAAATAATGGTTCGATTGCTGAAGTTGTTCCTTGCAAATTGCGCATGATATTGAGAGTTTCGCAAACTCGTTCGAACCGGACTGAGGAGGACCATGGATGGCCGTGCTGGGATCTGGTCTTTGTGGTAATCTGGAAAGTGTAGCCGCGTTCTGCCGCCCACTAAAATGGCAATCACCACCCATTTTAGGCATCTTGGGCCATTCCGGGTTTGGGCGCAGTTTTAAGTTAGGGGCATCTGCATTACCAAGCACACACCTTGACACCTCTTCCGAAATCCGAGACCCTGAACATCCTGATCTCTGCTTATGCGACGCAATCAAGTCCGACCGCTTTCGTGCCAATTCGAGCGAGCTGAAACGAGCGACCATCATTCCCAGCCAGATTTCCGTTCGTACAGCGGCGGATCATGACTTGACAGTGCCGGAAAGTCCACTACCATGGCCTTGTCATGTGCCTGCACTCGAACGTGCGGAACCTTACCGGTCTGAGAAGCAAGGCTAACTTACAAGAGCCGGCACGGTCTGAGGCAGGAATTGGCCAGCTTGAACTTGAGAGTGTCTGCTTCCTGCTCACCTGGAGCGGGTGTGCGCCTCATCTCAAAAGCCGTGAAACAACATGCTCAGCCAACCACAGTTTGACGCAGTGAACAGACTGCCCGCGAAGCGCATGCGACTTGGTACAAAGTCATGCTCAGAGTGTCGAAGACGAAGAGTTCGCTGCCATTTTTCCACGAACGATAGCCGAACTTGCGAAGCATGCAATCTACACAACATTCTATGTGTTCCTCAAACCAAGAAGCACCACGATGACCCAGAAAAAACAGTATTAAAGCGCCGTGTGGGAGACTTGGAAGAAACTGTCCGTCAGATCACCGGTGCTCTTGACTTGATGACTAGGGCACCCAACTCGTCCCAATATTCAGACGATCAGTTTCAAGACCTTCGCAAACAACTACCCAACGTTACTGAGTACGGGTCCGTCAGTTCTACCGATCGTCCAGCTCCATCGGACCTAGAATCGCCCGATGAGGACTCAGATTGGAATGAAGTTGAGCAAGCGCCATTGATGAGCCTACTTCAGGAGACACTCAAAACTGAATCAGGAGGACTTCCTACTCACAGTCAAGTCGGCAAGTCCAACGACCACCAAGTCAAAACCTGCCTCTCAAACCTAAGTCCGCTACTTCCAAGCCTTGATGCTTTGACGTCGATCCTCAAGGCTACTCAAGACTTCTGGCCGCTTTGGCCATATTCTCCAATCTCTGCAGCAGCGAGCAGTGACGCCCCCAATGATGTCGACACGGCAAAGGCATTCATCGTCAATTCTTTGAATTCCGACACACGTTGCATTATCGCTAAGGCCTTGCTCTGGCTTGCGCTTTCCTTCCAGCAGGTGCCTCGAGGATTTCGACCTCCGGGAGATATGCTGCCTGACTCACCCAGCTCACTTCTAAAGCATTATATGCACAATGCTGATCTTCTGCTATCCACCATCACCGAAACGTTGGGAAATGCTGACTTTGTAGAATGTCTGCTCCTGCAATTCAAACTCTACTTCAATATGGGCAAGCCACGGAAAGCATGGCTTAGTAACAGGCGGGCTATGAACACGGCGCTGCTCCTCGGGTTTCACAACGTCGACGTCTCTACTCCCAAGCGGCACAAAACTTTGTGGTCGAAGATTTGGGTCACCGACAGACAATTATCGGTCATCTTGGGCCTCCCTGCTGCAATCGATAATTCGCATCCTAGCGTGTCTGAGGTGCAAGCCGAGGCGCCTCTCGAAGACCGACTTTTCCGCGAGCTTGCGATTGCATCAGGACTTATCATCCAACGCAACCAGAACCACAAAAGCGCAAACTATGCGACGACTATGGAGATTGACCACCTACTCGAACAATGCAAGGCGAAAATGCCCCCGGAATGGTGGGATCCCGCCCCTGGCACACCGTTGGCCGTCACCTACACCCGGCAATCCATCAAGCTGGCTTATTACTCTCTCTGCAAGATTGTGCATCTACCGTATATGCTCAAGTCGGCCACGGAAAGGAAGTTTGAGATCAGCAGAATAGCAGCCTTGGAAGCGTCAAGGGAGTTGATCAAAACTCACCGCATGTTGAGACGTCATAGCGGCCCAGAGAGCATCATGATTTGTGATGTGCTGGATTTCCAGGCTTTCAGTGCCGCTGTGGTCATTGTCATTGATCTCCTCTCAGTGTCTACCACGCGGCATGTTCGCGATGAGGCCGAGGATTGGGAACTGGTTCATGGCGTAAGAAAGGACCTTCGCAATGTTTCCGAGGTATTAAACTGCAGTGTGGCAAGCCAAGCCGCCAAAGTACTCGAATGGCTCTCACAGGCGCGGGAAGGCACATGGTCTGGCAGCCGAACCTGCATCATCCCGTATTTTGGAAGGGTAAAAATTGGACGGCAGACACGAGGGGATCAGATGCCTTCCAATGGGACAGGGCTTCGCGCGAGCGAGGTACAACAGCCTGCAAGTTCCGTCGAGATCAGCACGAATACCTCGACGTCCTTCAGTCAATTCTCGGATCAAGAATGGTTTTCTGATCAAGAGTTAGGGATGGATTGGATGTCTTTTTCCGACATGAACGAAAGCTATGACTGGAGTATGTTGTTTAACACGCCTGTACCAGAGTGAGCTTGAAATTCATTTCGGTTGGTGCTTGAACCATCTTGGCCAAAAGACAAGGGCTTCGGTGGTGATATATATCAGAGGACTTTCATCACGCTTTCCGTGCTTTAAACGTTGCCAAGGCGTGCAGACACTGTCGAGTGCTAGACTCTTACGGCTCTGTACCTCGGGCTTGCTAATCTCGTCCATATTTTACTTCGGATCGTCGGCATCGCAACTCCATGGAATCGTGGTAACTGGCGAGAAGGAGCAGAAAGTCGCGATCGTGATGGAACGTTCTCTTTGACATCCTTGACAAACAAAACAAGCAAACCTGTCAGGTTCTGTCAACGGGCTGTAAGCGGTGAATTATAGGGGCCGGACAAAGAATGCGGAAACATCCACGTCACGAAGAAGTACGTAATGATCCGCGCAATGAGGGGACGCTGCTGCAGCTGTCATATCATGAACACAACACTATACCTCTCTACATCCCTCGCAGCAGGTAAGGTTTCTGCCGTCCCTTCAAAGGTGTTCTTGAAGACGCGATGTACACATACATCTACCAATGCATTCTCGGCCACAAAGGCGCTGGCCTGACCGGCCCTAAGTGGCACAAAATCTGACGTTTTTGACAGCCAACGGGCTGGCCGCTATGACTTTTTAGGGCTTTGACACTGCATGACCTTAGGACCCTCGACTGCGTACGTACCCTTTCCAGGAAAAGGGACACCATCTTCCCCAGAGTACATTGACGATGCAAGCACAAGATCGAGCGGGCACGCGACAACGTGTGCCTTGCGGGTAAGCCAGTACGGCTGTACGGTAGGACTGATGATCTTGACTCATGTGAAAGCTCAAGGCTATTTCGGTTGTGTACGAGTGCCTTCGAACTGACAATAAGGAACAATGTTAATCTGAAAATGGATGAGGTACAGCGGTCACACAACGCCACTTTCTCCGGAGACAGGCTTCATGGCACGCACCTAGACCAACTGCACACACTGCCAGGGGCTTTGCCATAATTGTCAAAGCACCTCGATGCGGGCCGAGGAGAATACGATCTCAAGTACAAAGGAATCATGATTCCCTCCTGCGCGTTGTCGATTGCACGACGGCTACCGCTGGTTTTCCTCCCCTTGACACACTCATGGTTTCTCTCAAGAATGCGTCGGCGACGAAACCGTTCCTGTTCAGGAGCGACTATGTTTCCGATCTCTTCAACGTACAACGAGCTCGCAGATCCCTGCTAGTCATCAGCGTGATCGCCCTGCTCATGCTGATCGTCAATTATACGTACGAGTACAGGCAGCACATAGTGAGATCCTCCCTATTGCATCTGCATCTGCACCCCAATTGACACGTCTCCACAGTATGGTCTCATGCCCTCGCTTGACTCAAACGAAGAGAAGAGCACAAAACATGACACACCACGACCGAACAACCTCCACGTCTTGATGACTGCACAGAACAAGGATGTGAATATATGCAAGCTCTCGCTTGGCTTGAGCCTGTTCGATTATCCCGCTCCAACCGTGATCGGATGGGAGTCGAGATTTGACCAGCACTTGCTGGGTGGCGGTTCCCATCTCGCCAAAATCAGCTTGGTCCTCGAGCATCTCAAGAGCCTTCTCGACTCGGGTCATCAAGCTTCCGACCTTGTCTTCATGTTGGACGCGTTCGACATCTGGGTACAACTACCGTGGCAAGCACTTCTCGCGCGCTACCACTCCATCAACTCAGCCGAGAACAAGCGGATATACCAACGAATGGGAAAAGCCGCCGCGAAAGAACACGTCGAGCAGACAATCGTATTCGGCGCCGGTAAAAGATGCGCCCCAAATGACCTGTACAGCATCGCATGCTTCGCTATCCCCGACTCACCACTGCCCAAAGATCTATATGGCGCCAACACCGACTCATCCATCGGCATCAACGGCGCCGCCAGTTATCGCCAACGCTACCTCAACTCGGGGTACGCAATTGGTCCGTTGGGCGATATGTATCGGTTGTTCGTGTTCGCAGAACGCCGTCTGAACCTTTGCATGACGTACAACTCGAGGAACCCGAGTCCCAGCGACCCAGGAGATAACACACCGGGCTTCTGCTACGGCGGCAGCGACCAGAGTATCTTTGCGGATCTTTTCGGCGAGCAGGAATTCCACCGCGAGATCATGCGCCGCCACCATCATACATGGCTAGACAGCGTGTTGGAGTTCTTTTGGAGGTCTCGCCCCGGCTCGAAGCGACCCAACGCGATATTGCTGGGCGCCGTTATCGACGACGTTGTCGACCCAAGTTTCAGCCACGAGACCATGGACACGACGTACCTGCCCGGCAAACCGCACGAGTTTGGTATTGGATTGGACTATTTTTCCGAGCTGGGCCATCAGACCATCAACAGCGAAGAGCCTGAAGATGCTCAGTATTTGTTCTACAACGAGAGTATCGCTGGACAATTGAAACCGCGGAGTGTAGTCGCATGCCCCCTGAACGAGAAGCTAGCTTCTGCGACGGATGAAGATCCTGCGGCGGCGCTGCCCAAGGATATTTGGACGTGGCCGTTGCCGGGGGTCGATGGACCGAGTTGGCCGGCCTCCATATCGTTATACACGCATTTATGTCTGGGCGTAGTGCCTGCCATGATCCACCATAATGGTAAGAAGGGACGGCGCGAAAAGGATTGGGATAAATTGTGGTATCAGAAGCAGTTGCCCGCAATGATGAATGCGGGAGTGAAAGCGAGTGGCGAGACGCCTTGGACAAGAATGAAGCCTGGGATATGGACTGTCGAGGCGGGTAAAGAGAAGAAGTTCTTGCCTTGGGTCGATGCGTGTCCGACGGAGTATGATCAGGCGCTTTATGGGGCGGGTTTTGATAGGGGGACGACACCTTTGCCCGAGGGATTTTGATTGATGATACCATTTGTTCTTGATGGAGGGATTGACACGGCGTTTACTACTGTATGACGAGCGGCGACATGGTTCTTTTTTATCCTCAGAGAGATGAGATTTCACATTTATTAGGGAGCAGCGAGCATAGCTTTGTTTTCACCGCTGGGGACGATGGCCGTCTAGTCTTGAATTGAGATGTTGAAATGGGAGATCTTATCTTATACCCTACTGTAGTATATGCATCTTTTCTTTTCTTCCTTTTCTCTTTGGGTTGCGATGAGACAAAAAACACCCGGAAAGAAGAGAAACAAATCCTGCCGACCCCTCGCTATGACGCATACTCCTCTCATCCACGCCAGGTAACATAAACGCTCGCCTCCCCCCTCCTCCACATAATCGAACGAATGCTCGGAACTGATGCACTCGCTTCCCCTTTCGCCATGTCATCATACGAATGCTTAGCCTTACTCATTCGACCCCTGTAGCATAGACGCTGGCCTCCCCTTTCGCCATGTAATCAAACGACTCTTCGCTCGTGGTCGTGGCAGGCGGGCTGGGCGTAGTGGTCGGTGTCATCGCCTCGTCGCCCTCTGTCTCCCTGGACTCTTCTACACCCATCGCACCCTCCCAGAGCAGACCGTCTCCGTAACCCCAGCCAAGCTTCTTCTTGGACCTGCGCACTTCATGTTCCATAAGCCCCAAACTCGCTCCGGGCTTGGTACTGTCATGTAGAGGTAGATTTCGTTGATGCCATTCGCCGAGGAACATGCCGTCAGGATCACTCTCGTCGCGAATCTTGATAAACTCGGTCATATTATCGCCGTAGGTCTCGGCAATGTAGTCGCCCGCGGAAACAAAGTTCTTGGCCCAGTGAGGGCGTGCGCCCATCTCGCGCATCAAGTACTCGAACGCTTCGTAGTATCGCTCGTGGCAGGGTGGGTCCTGACCATAAGGTCTGTACAGCGTCGCGTTGAGATACAGCGTGGGTCCGTCGGGAACGGTGGGGTCCAAGTATGGCCTCACGCTCGATTTATTGATGCTCTCGTCTCTGGCGGTGTGCGTCACGCGAACTTCAACGGGACAATGTACCCAGATGCCCTTGCTGGAGACGGGGATCTGGGCGATCTTCTCATCGTGGTTGATCCATGCGGACAGTCGGCGGATGGCCTCAGGGCCTTTAGAAAGCGGTAAGGCCCACTCGTTGACGAATTGCGAGTACAGGCAGTCCATCAGCAGAGCTTCACGGGCTGGTTGTACGCCGGACATCTCGAATTTGCCGGGCTTGAAACCGTACTGCATGCCGAAGACGAACCATTCGACCCATGGCAGGATGCGGGGAAAACTGTTCGACAGCCATAGCAGATTGTGGTAGACGTAGTAGCCCATCGCGCCGCCGTAGAAGGTCGTGTTGGGCGCTCGGAGGGGTGCTTCGGTCTTGGAACCGCTCCATATGACGGCCTGGTGCATGTACGGTAGCCACCATACACGGGTGAACTCCTTGCTTGTCCAGAGGTCTTTATTCCAGGTGTCGAGGACGGAGGAGAGAGTGTGGAGAGATTGCGACCAAGAGATGTTGAAGTCTGGGACGGCTTGAAGGGTGATCTCAACGATGATGCCGAGGGAGCCGAGCGACAGTAGCGCCGCGCGAAATAGTTCGGGGTTTTTGCTTGCTGAGCATGTGACGAGTTGGGAGTTTGACAGCAGGACGGTCAGAGAAGTGATGGAATCTGAGAGCAGACCATGTTTGAGACTGGAGCCGTGAGTACCGGTTGAAATTACTCCCGCGACGGACTGGACGTCGATGGAACCCAGGTTCGGCAACGTATAGCCGTCTGTGGCGAGCACTTGGTTGAGGTCGTGTAGAGACAGTCCCGCCTGGAAATGGAACAGTCCACGAGTGCCGCCGACATGTCGTTCGAGGACTTGGTTGAGGTTGTCGAGGTTGACGAGCCAGGAGGAGGTGCATGTGAGGTCTGACGGAGAATGACCAAAACCCGTTACACAAAGCCTTTTACGACATCTCCGTGCCAGAGTCACGATCTTCTGTAACTCTGGGATACTTGTTGGCTGAAAGTAAAGTTCGGGTCGCGAAAAGAACGTTTGTGCCCATGTATGATGCAAATAGCGGGCTTTCGGATTGAAGGGGATTGAATCATCGAGGCGGGAGAGCTCGCGCTGTAGTTTGGCATCTAGAGTGATATTGTCGGTGGGCCCCGATGACAGTGGCGAGGTGTTTGGTTGTGTATGCGGTAGGTTGGGGGCTGCCCAATCCATCTTCCGGAGTTCACTCTGAGATGTGAGAATTGTTGAGATTTGGTTCAATTCATCGTTCGATCAGATGGGATTGCAGTGATGTTAGCTGAATGATACCATGGATTTCATTATCCGGTGAGTGGCAGGTGGATGGAAATGGAGGTGAAGGAAACGGGAATGGATTTTCGTCGATGACGCGACTCACTCATACATACAAACACGTGACTGGAATATCTTACCTAATCCCCCATCTTTTAACGCGTTCAAATCAAAAGTTGCCGAAGACTTGGGGGGATCACGTGTCTTTACTAGTCAGACGAGTTAGTTGACTTCGGGCGGTCGCCTACTCAATCAATGACTATATAGCTATAACTAGATCGTCGTAATCCTTTGTAAACGGAGATGTTCGGCTTAACTGACCTCACGTAAAGACTTATCGAAGACGAAAACAGCGAGGGATCTCCAAGAGACGATAGACCAGCAGAGGTGGACGCGCTGCCGAGTGCTGCTAACTCGACAGCCGATTTTGACGTTCGACTTGCGCTGCATACGCCGAGAATACAGTGACGCTCCTGGACCCTCCGACAGCCCTTACTGTCCTGTCTCTTGCCTACCTTAAACGTGCTGTGATACACAACTGTAGCGCTCCACAGCCAGTGTCGCTTCACTCAATCTGCCCTCGTCCGCTAGGCAGACGCAGCGAAATTCTTCAAAGTCTGCCATTACTTCATAGGATGTCGAAGTCATGAGGCGTATGCTTCGCACCGAATCAAGGCCTCCGCTGTAGCTGGTCACGTTTCGGACCTACCTAGCCCGCAGAAATTTCGCGTGATCTGGAGCTCTTTTTTCGTTCCCACTACCCTGATATCTGGAGCAGCGCCTCTCTACCCCTGGTCGGCCGCGCTCATGCAGTTTTAGCGCCGGGAGAATCATATTATCATTCAACTTTTCCAAGAAATCTAGACTCTTGATCGCCAAAACCCGGTGAATTCTAGGAGAACGGCGACGGCAACATCCTGCTACTTTTCCTATCTCGTCCGAGACATCCACCCCTTATGGGTCTCATCATCAAGAAGTGCTCTCAGAGGCAGATAGAGTAACGGTACGGAGTACTGAAGATCACCAGAAGGCCTTCTGCGAAATAGCACCTCCCATCAGATCTACGGTATAGCCATTCACCACACCGACATTTCATGCAAGGGAGCTCCAACAAAAGCCCACCACGTCGACATCGTCCATCTCAAATCAGAACGCACAGTTTTGTCCCGTGCTACCCTTGAGCCCCCATGTGTGTTGTACATTAATAATGTCGAATATGAAGATTTTAAAAACAGCCGAGCCCTGCTCTTCCATGATGGCCAGGCTTCTGAGAATCGCCCTTCCGTTTTGATAACAATACTCATCGTTTACATCGTGATGCCCAGCTCGTGCAAAATCTCATCAACTCGTACACATAGTGGATCAACCTGTGTCGCTGATCGATCTGGCCTCCACTTCCGAAACACGTCTTTGACTTTTTGAGGAGGATCACCCAGGACCACATAACATACCGGTAAGACTGGCCGATCCTGTATAGAAGGCGCAAGCACCGCGATCTCTTCTGCGACTCGTATCGCCGTCACAAATTCTGCCGGCTTCCTGGCAGTAGCTCCAACAAGTCTATCAACACAAAGAGTCAGTACAACCGGAGACAAACTGGTGACGAGCAGTACTTACACATAAACCTCATCATACATGTCAAGAAGATGAATGTTGTGGGAATCCAGGTCTCTCTGGTTGAAAGGAGCAATCTCCTCCACCACCGCAACGTTGGACTGCTTTGGAGGTGATGCTGATCTGAGACCCCCGAAATTGCCGGCTGATTTCGGTCTGTCGTGTTCGAGTCGATATAGCTTGGGCCCCTGGCTTCGAGCTTGGCTCGGGCTGGCGCCTTTTCCTGTGCTCGGCTTCCTTGGGGAACGAGATGGGAACGCCTCCCAGAAAGTGGATGGTTCTTCGCCTTCGGTGACTTCTTCAATCTCCCCAGTAAGACCAAGGTCCATGCCTATTAGTCTCGCGCAACCAACGTCCTCCTGATCGGCACCCACCCCTTTCCAAAGATAGAATTTGGCAAATTTGGCAGATATTAAGAAAGGAAATCCGGACGAGAGGCTGGAGCTTGAGAGCTCAACCTCATCAAACGCAACATGCCCGAGATGCCGTCTACCGCATAGCATGTACAGCGCCGAAGACTTGTTTCTCCTTACGATGACAATACCACCGAGCGCCTGGAAGAATTCCGAGCTCTCTTTCCCTTGTCTCACAACTTCCAGTTTGGCGTTGTTGTCGCGCGCAATCCTCCTGCAGAATAGTTGAGCGTCTTCGACGGCAGCCTCGGGAACTTCATCCCCGCTCCAAAGGTAGACCCCGGACGTCTTCGAGCCGTTGGACGATTGCATTGAATGCACGGAAAGATACATGCAGTCTTCGAATAGAATATGCTCCTGCTGAGGTGGCATAGCTGTTCTCTTACCGTCACCCGTCACTTCCCAGATTTGATTCGAAAGTGTCCTCGACTTTTCCTGTGGCTTACGCTGCGAAGAGAGGAATTTTTCCGTGTCGAATTCAGCTGCGTCTCTCGCTTGAGGTAGGATGCCAAAGAAGCCCTCAAGCCGAGGCTTTATGAAAGAAGATGACTTTGAAGGTGAAACCCCCTTTCGAGGAGAGGGCTCTGCACGATTGGAAGCAAATTCCCTCTCAGGTGGAGGTGTCAGTACTGGCGCAGCAGCCGTGCCTTTTGTCGCGGAGCCCAGCTGCAATCCAAGCCCACTAATCTTAGAAGGAGTCACTGTCGTAGGTTTGGCTGGGCTATCAGGAAGAGGCCTGGGAGGCTTTGTGGTGTTCAGTTTCGATGTACTAGGCGTCAGTGGCCGGTTTGAGGCTTTGCGGGGCGTGATTGGTGCGGTCTCCCTTACACCATCGAGCTCTGGTGGTGTGAATACAGGTACCGTCCGATCGTTCAGCACTTCAAATTTCTTTGGGCTAGGTGACTTTGCAGGCGCAGGACTATCTTTCATAGACGGTGTACCCGTGCTTGAGACCTTGCGCACCTCCATAGACTTATTTGCTACGGGTGGCTTGGGCTTCGGTAGAGGACTGGACGAAGCCTCGGTCGACTTGGCAGAGCCATTGAACTTTTCGGCGATCCCCTTAAGTGCATTTAGAGGCTGCGACGTTATCATTGCGGGATTCTCCCTGAAAGAGTCCTGGGTTGAGGTCTTCTCTGCTCTTGTAGAGGCTGATGGCGCCTCGGACTTCTGCACATCGAGCTCGGTTGCTTCTTTCGATGAGGAGCTGGCCTTTGGCGCCCTCCTCTTCGGTCCCTTTGCTCGGGCTTTCGTCATATGGGTCAAGTCTTGAGAAGAATCAGCTGCACCTTTGCGGGAAGCCTGCTCCGTTTCTCGAACCGGCAGCTCACTGTTACCGTTGGATGCTGAATCTCCAGGTAGTTTGGGACTACCACTTCGTGACAAGATGCCGGCCAGCGCAGGATTCAGACGTGCCGCAAGTTTGCTGTTGTCGGGCAGCATGGTTTTGAAACTGTTGACCGAAATTGGCTCGACCTTGCTCTCGGCTTTCTCCTTCCCAGATTGCTTTGGTTCGAATTTCTCTGGCGAGACCGGTCTGGCAGACACTTCAGCACGTTCATTCTGCATCAGCTTGGCCTGGCTGGTTCCAGATGATTTCTTGGCTGGATCCTCCCTAGGCGGCAGTGAGTCCTCCTTAGACGGCGTGGGCTTCTCAGACGGGGTTAGGGCAGCAGCTGATGGCGACGCTTTAGCTGGAGGGTCAAACATTTTGACAACGTCAACCTTCTCCGTCGAGGCAGCGGTCCTGTGCAGGGTCTTACGTCGTGCTAATGCTTCCGGAACTGGCTCAGCAGGCTTCTCTTCCTGAACAGAAGTCTCAGGGCGTCTGCTTGGTGAGCCACCCGCAGCTTTCATTGCTTCCTTTTTCTGCAAGATGCTCTCTTTCAATTCATCGACACGATTGCTCTTTTGTGGCCCTCCCGTGGTGTTCAGCGCGGCCTTTCCCTTAGTAATGTTGTTTTTAAGCACGTCAGGGGCAACATAATTTTGGGTCTGGGCCCGCTTCAGTTTGCCAAAGACTGCTTTGAACTCAGGCTCCGTTTCGTTACTCGTCCCTGCCCCTCCTTGTCGCGACTTGAGGCTGGCTCTAAAATCTGTTTTCGGCGGCGTCTGAGGTTTAGGTTTTACAGCTGGAGGTTTCGTCTCGGATTTTGAATCGGCTTTGAGTGAAGCAGGTGATGCCACGTCAGGCGAGGACTGCTGCTGGACAGGAGTGATGTTTCTCTTGGACGGGACAGCTGGTTTCTCCTCAATCTTGTTGAGGACCGACTCCTCGGCTGCAGGAGTAGATCTCTGCTCGACTTGCGACACTTCTGGGGCCCTCGTCTTCTTCACATTCTGTCTTGGTGGAGAATCTTCTCTTTCTGCATGAGCAATGTGATGTCTTTCTGGTGATGTTGTCTTTTGAGGACGTGGCTTGGAGGGGGTGGCCGTTTTGATATCAGCAATAGCGGCCGATTCAGTGACTTGAGGCTGTTGTTCAAACTTGGAGCGTTGCATGTTCAACTTCCACGCTGGTACTTCTGGTTTAGCGGCCGTGAATCTGGAAGTGTCGGGTTTGTTCAATGCACTTTCGAGCCAACTTGCCTTTGTTGGACTCCAGCGACGTGGATCCATAGTCTTCGAAGGACTTCGACCCAATGGCGATTCTAAAGGCGGTGGGGTCATTGGTAGTTCTTTCGGCTCCCGATTGGGAGACTCCGTTGGCATGCGTTCCTTGGTTTGTGATTCTACCGAAGGCGCAGGAGCGAATACAGCTTCACTCTCTTCAGGCAAGGGAAGTGGACGGCCTCTTGTGACGCTTGCAAGACCGACACCATGGCTTGAAACCGGCCTGGAGCTTGACAGGGGTGACGAATTACCCTCCATTCTTGCATCCTTTGAAGTATTGCGACTGTGTCCTGGGCTGAATCCAGAGACGCCGGAGAGATGTGGCGGCCGAGAGCCTGCGATAGAGTCTCCACGCTTAAGACCTGCATTGGCCTGAACACTCCATCTCTTGTTTACGCTGTCTGATCTTTTCATCATTGCGCTCTCAACAAATCCTCCCAATCCTTTGGTTGGAGATAGTGGGCGTCCGTCTGAGCGCAGCACGCTTGAGGTGCGATCAAGACTGGAGACGTCTGGGTCGGAGGGGGCAGTGAGGTCCAAAGGCTTGAAGGCAGGCAGGTCCAACATCGGTGATTTAGTCGGAGTGGACGTGGCTACTGAAAGTGGACGGGCGGGAACTCCAGCTCCAAGATTATGCGCCCGTCGCTGATCCAACGCCGGTGGAGAGCGTATCGTGGGAAGGCTTTCACGAAGACCAGCAGGTTCGAAGTCCTTCGAGCGTTCAGTAGCCTGGCCTGTTCCGTTCGACATCCCTGGAAGCCTCAAACTGCCCTGAGCAAAAGAGGGAGGCCTATCTGCATCGCTATCATTTTTCCGGTATGCGGCGGAGCCGAGACCACGGTCCGCTGTTTGGCGGAAAAATGCAGGATCTTTTACTCCTAATGAGGCCGCAATGTCTTGTCGCGACATTTCCTCCGCATCTTTTTGGTGGCTGAGCTTCGGTGCCAGGCTTGTGTCAGACAAAGATGCCACAGACTGCGGTCTTGCTCTGAAAGAGCCAGTACCCCTCGACAGAGGCCTCTGCTTCCAGGACAAAGTTCCACTCCGTGACAGCGCAGTTGCATTAGTGGGTGGACTGGGCATTGATGGCTCTTCGCTAAGAGATGAAACTGATGGCCGGGAGAAGTCAAGTGAGGATACTGGGGTCCTGCCGGACTTTGGCGAGCTCGCCCCAGCTCGGCCAAGAGTGCGAGACTGTAGAGGAGGAGTCAGGGCTACAGGAGGTTCGATCGCTTGCCTGGATTTGGGTGTGCTCTCTCCGACGAGGCGCAAGGAGGGTGTAGGGCCAGTTTTGGAGGGAGAAAGAGATCGTGCGCGCTCTGTAGATTGTCAATTGCCTGGACTGCCACAATGGACGATAGGGTCAAGCGTACCAGCTCTTCTTGCCTGCCTCTCCTTTCTAGCTTGCAACATTTCTTCCTCCATCCTCCTCGATCGCTCCGCCTCTTCCTCACCTTGTTTTGAGTTCAAGCTTGATATGCGGGCGAGAAAGTCGTCCACAGACTCGGATCCATCCTTTGACGCGGCCATGGCTGTTACCGTTTTCGAAAGAGGTTCAGTGCAGGAGGCTGAGGTAGTAGGGAGGTTCAATGGCGCTTACGGCGCAATCATCGCTTGGAGATATGAATATTGGAAAAGAACGGCCAGCGCTCGGTGCAAGGAATCGAAGGTAAGCGAGCGGACGCGTGCACAGCAGAGAAAAGACTGTGTATGATTGAGCTGCGGATGGCTTTCTGTGGAGTCGTACAGGATCAGGTATTGTGTATACTATTTTTCTCTTAGTTGTTGATGTTGTTGACGGGTTCGGGTGGTTGCGAAGGCGAAATCCGCGGCGCGTCTCCGCAATAGTGCAGCTTTTTAGGTCATGAACTCAGCTGCGGCCTCTGTTTGTCTTCCCAATGCCCTTTGTTATAATTATTATCGCAAACTGCTGCTCTTCTGATCATGGGCGCAATCAATGAAGTTTTCGAGCGCAGTTGCGCTCCCCATGTTTACTGGAATCTCGCTAGCGGCTGATCCTGCGGTCCTTTCAACGGCCTTTTGGGCCCCGGCTCAAAAACGGCCACGTTGCGGCCTGTGTGTCAACCCAGTTACCCTTGAGGCCCCAGAAGCGCTTGTTTCAAGGGTCATCGCGGCTTGCCAACGTGAAGAAGAGCATTGTAGGACCTCTGTATCGTACGAGACTCCTCTATATCTTCTTTCAGAGACTCCTGTCATAACTCTCAATACAAAAACAAGCGATCTTTCGCATCCTGCACTACCCAACTCAAGCCCTTCTCCAGATTTTGCCCTGTCATGGCGCTACAGGGCACCACCACCCAACGATGAGTCAGGATGTTCTTCAGGTCCAAGGCCTTTGTAACCTCTTCCACGCTCATGCCACCCATGACGTCTGTCTTGTTCAAGAAGACCAGCAAGCTTGAGCCTGCTAAACGCTTTACCAAGTCAGCAACAGGACACGGCCCAAGGATATCTGCATACTTCTTCGAGCAACAAACCCTTCAGTTCTGCTTTGCAGTCGTCGATCCGTAATCGATCGGTGGCATCCACCACCCATATGAGGGCGTCTGTCTTCTCGAAGTAGTTTCTCCAGTACGATCTGATAGTCTTCTGCCCTCCGACATCCCAGATGTTGAGCTTGTACCTACAAAAGGCAGCAATTAACATACTTACTGTTGCTGGCGGCGTGGTGTGACCTACCCTTGGAAATCGATAGTCTTGATGATGAACCCCAGCGTAGGACTGACAGTATTGACGTCTTCATTCATAACTTTCTTCACGATCGTCGTTTTGCCTGCGTTATCGAGCCCTCTTTTGGCCGGGTCAGCATCCTCCTCGAGCTGCTTCGGATGGTCTCTCGTACAGCATCAATATTCGCATCTCCTTGTCCTTCAGGCGAGCTTTGCGGAGTATGGAGAGCATGATGGATGAGCTGATATGGTGACTCTGATATTACTCCATTACAGTGAATGTAACTTCCCACACGGCTCCCACGGCGTCAGTCGAACGAAGCAGCGATTGTTTTACCCGTGTACATCGAGTCCTAAGATGTGGTATTCGGCATTTGTATCGTCGTGTCAGCCTCGCACTCCCCATAGAGCAGAGCATCAGCAGATGAAAAGATGATGATTTTTAAAAGGCTTTTGCCCTGTGCTGCTGGCTCGTTGATGGATGGGCAGAGCCTGTCTAGACGATTGGAGGGTCAATGAGGAACACAAAACAATGGCGGCGAGACTAGGCAGAAGGTGGTAAAGCGGCAACAAGGATCTTGCCCCAAACGACGACATTGTTGACGAATACTCACTTCCCTCCGAGTCACACTTCACCTCTGCCTTACTTTAGAACCTTTCAACGGCTCCGTGAGAAGTGACTCACACATTACACGTCGTCTTCTTCATTTTCGTTTCACTTCTCCTCTCATATTCATCCACTACATCCTTCGTTGACATTTCTTGCTATCACTTCTTATTGTCACTTGACGATCATCTCGCAGTCATAAGTATTTACGACACATCATAGTCGCTTTCATTCTACTATGGCCGCCGTCGCTTCCTCCGCTCGTGCTTTCCTTCAGGAGTTCGCTCTCAATACTAGAAATAAATTCATTGCAGGACTTGGCATTTACTACACTACCGCTTACTTCGCGAGGCCCCAAGTGCATGTCAACGTCGAATGCCCCCCAAAAGTCGATGTCACAAATTACATTACAAAAGAGCAACACGAGAACGATCTCGCAGCAATTCGGAAGGAATTTCAAGCGCAGAAGTGACACCAATAGGCAACATCAAAAGACAATCTGCCGCCATCCCAACCTACGACTCAGCCTACGTCCTGGGGAGCATCCGTGTCGGTCGATAATACTTCGAAAAGCCCGTACGCAGGTAGCGAAGGATATCAAGGCTCTGCGTCGGGGCCAGCACCATTCAACGAGGCTCTAAACATGACGAATGTCCCGCAGATAGGATCCGAACTGAAGCCTTCCGCCAACGGCATGAAGTCTACTCGATACCCTGCTCGATCTTCATCTCAAGCCAGTATCACGATCCCAGGTTTCAACAAGAAGGGTTACGGCCATCCGCCAATCCAAATCCCGATTCGTCAATCAGAACACACTCCAGTCCATACTCAAGAACAGATTGAGCAGCCCAAGACTCTCCATGTTCCCACAACCAAGACCATCCCTCAGTGCGCTTCCGACAAAGCGGACGCCGAGACAACGCCATCTGCACTTGCTGACCACCGACCAAGCCTGTTAGGTCACGAGAGCTCACAACAGCGCGAACCTCGATGGTCGTTTCCGACTGTGGAGGACGAAAATCCTCGATCATTAGCTGTCAAGCCGGATGTCAGAGGTCGAGATGTATCAGCAACTATGGGTTCCCCGCCTGCTACTCAACAGCCTCATCAACCAGGAGTGGCCACACCCGACAGAAAACCTTCGCCACCTGCAACATATCACTCACTCAAGAAGGAAGGCGAAAGCCCTGAAGAAGTCATCGCACGTCTGCAAGCAACAGGAACTCGTGATGCTCACCTTCGCATGAGACGGACTGCCAAAGGTGAGGAAGTCACAACCGGATTGAGCACCTTAGACTATCTTCGGGAGACTCCTCCACCAGAGTCAGATGACATCCTTCCTTCACATCCCTCATCAGTATCATTCCCTGCGCAAAGTGCCTCCGAGAAAGGCTCCAACTCTGGCCCACGCCAGTCTCTTGGTGGTGTTGGTCTTACTGACGAGGAGGCAGGCAGGAAATGGCAGAAGAAAGTCAGCGTCCCAAAACCTGCCGAGAGTCTCACACAACCAAGCATAAATGATACAGACGGCCCTGATGTTAGTCATACTGGTCATGGTGCAGTTTCAGTGACACAATTTCCTGCAATTACCACCAAGACTACGACCACGACGCGAACCGTCCTGAGAGATTCCTCCGATGAGCGTGATTCAAAGATTTTCACTACCACTCCTGCAAGGCAACCTCCTTCTTCAAGAATTCCTTTTCAGACTGCCGCCGACCGAAACCGCAATCGCTGGGCGACCAGTGCAGAGACTAAACCAGAGCCCTACAAGCCAGGCAGCGATGAAGAAGGGTCAGAGGTACCGGAAAGTGACGATGACTCCACAAAGCCTATGGAATGGGGTTATGGAAGACTCATTCGCAACCGCGGGCCACCAGTAGGCGAGTCGGAGCTAGTCGGCTGGGACGGTCAACTACAACCGCCCCCTGTGGAATGGGAAAACCGTGCTGCCTTTCAAAACAACAATCCCGATTACATTAGCGGCTTTGATGGGTGGCTGGGTGAGACCACGGTCCGCACCATGCAGAGTGTTGCCTTTTCGCCAGAAATCTCGCAACACCAATTCACATCCGAAATTGACTTTGGCGTGATCCCACACGAGAAAGTTCAAGATATCAACAATCATGCTGATGGTATTGGCTTTGTGCCCAGAGAGACCATCCTCAACCATCAGAATGCAGAGCGTTACGGCCACCGTCTCGGCGAGGTCATTGCTGACGTTGCAAAAGCTCCTCCACCAGATTTTGAAGCCGAGGCAAAGCTCGACCTCAAAGATCGAGACAACCAGAAGTACAGAGATGAGACCGCCCAGATGTTCATCGACAGACGCCAGATCCACCTTGAGCGCCAACAGAAAGAGGCACAGGCCAAATGTATGGCTGCTGCAGCGACTGTGGTGGAAATACCTGTCATCGCAGAATCAGCAAAGTCGAAGCCCATCAAAACGAATATCTACCTGCGTCCGGCAGTCAGAGCCGACTATGCGGGCATGACTAGGATCTACAATTGGCACATCATGAACAGTGTTCGTCCTTGTGAGCTGACTGAAGTTGGCGAAGACGAATTGGAAGCCCGCCACACGATCTCCACGAATGCCAGACTACCATTCATCGTTGCAGTCGAGCGCACACGTCGAAACTCCCGCCAGAAGCCGGCGTCTCGACGTGTGAATCCCAACCACCCTGTGCAAAACATTGATCCGGAGTACAACGGCGTGGTCAAGGACGAGCACGTCGTTGGATGGGCTTCTGCAACCGACTGGTCGGCCTGTGACTATGTCGAGACAACTACGGCCGAGTTGGAGGTTTACGTTGCGCACGACTTCCGCCAGAAAGGTGTGGGACGGTGTCTGATGGATGCGCTACTCGACGCAACGGATCGCGGCTACATCAGCAAGGGAGGTTACGATTTCCACGTTGCACCGGAGATCAAGCACTTGTACTCGGGTGGTGGCGGACGTGATCTGCACAAGATCATCTTCCAGATCCGCAGCTTCAATCGGCCTATCACACCTGAGCAGCGGTACCGTGCTCAACGCTTTTCGGAAGAAGGTAAGAATTGGGGTTATGCCGATGGAAAGAATAGAAAGAAGGGCTGGTCAAACCGCAACAGTCTTGCACCAGAGGACAAGAAGGATTTCTCTAAGGCCGCCAAGATCAATGACCGTGAGGATGATTACTCGGTCTGGATGAAAGATTGGCTGGAGTCGTTTGGATTCGAGGAGGAAGGGTTCATCAAGAAGATTGGCACCAAGCACAAGAGATTCGTCGACGTGCGGTATGTGTCCAAGGAGACAGCCTGGCAACCTGCTGAGCATCGACTTCCGGATTTCAGCAACGGGATCTGAGGCGTGTTTAGATCCCACCGAAACAAGCTCTGCCTCTCTCATGATCATGCCAAAGCATCGTTGCATTGATTTTAACACACAACGCGGCGGCAACATGCTGGCATTGGCGAGCTGGCTCTGGCGCCGGTCAATATCGAACTTGCGTATCAACGGGACGCAAGGGAGCTCATCTTGGTCTCTTCCTGTGTCTATTCGCTTTCAAAACGTCGCCGAGCAGGATACAGCATAAACAACATGACAACGAAGTTGCGTCACCGATTTCCACTCCGTTTCTTTGCAGCACCAACACCAGGACTACCAACAACTCACGACTCACTGCTTTCTTTTCTGTTTTATCATGCACTTTATTCTCCAGTTTCAGCACAATTATGGCGTTATCGGACCAGGCATAGCAGGCATGACTTGGGGCGATGTTTACGTGGGCAAAAGAGCTTTCCAGCATCAAGCATTCTAGCATTTCTTTTTTTGGTGCACGGCGCAACACGAGATGATACCCCTTTCAGCGACGAGTGCTCCAACAGTGTACATTAATGGATTCAAGCTTGTCATTGACGAGTCACGATGGTCAATAGACTTCTTGGGAGAAGCATACAGCCCATGGACTTGCAGTTGAGGTTCCGAAGTGCAGGGGAGACGAACAGGTAGATAGGGTATCGGGATTTTCTACTTGCTCCTTCATGCATTTCCGGAGCTTTTATCTTGCAGAAGTCATAGTTTGCTCGCAGGCATGTCATCCCAAACGGCCGGTTCATTGTCCCGCGTAGAACATGCTCATGATAAAGTCTATGCAATTCACTCGCGCATCAGCCGGCCACCAGAACGCTATGTCGAAATCCTCATGTTTGCAAAATTGTTCTAGGCGTCCGAAGTGTGTAAGTGTTTGCATCCGAAGTACGGGGGTGGTTACGTGAGGACTTCAGGGGCAACAGTCAAGCCACCAATGCATCCAGACGTATCGGGATTTGGCAAGCGAAGGTGCCGATTCTGGAACGGAGGATGACTTGCATTTTTCCCAGTAGAGTGGCACAGCCGCGTCAAGCGAGAAAGTGTGTTGGATGAGTGCAAGTGTGGCTGCGTAAGAGGCTGGTGAGGGTCGTCAAAATCGAGCGTCTGATGTTGACCACTGATGACCGCAGAGCAGCAGATCGACCAGCATGAATGCTAGAGATGCTGTGTAACCTCTCGACTCGAAAGCTAGGTGAGGAAGCACAGCTCTTCTCCGCTAGGGGGGTTAACGTTAGTCTTCTTGCCATGCGCAGAATGAGGGAACTTAATGTTCAGCTGCCCTTTTGACCCCACCACGGCCTATGACAAAGGCCTGTCTTGTCCCTCGGGAAGACATGGGTTGTTCGGGTGCGGATTCCGCCATCACTCTGGTCTGCCATTTGTGAGACTGCGACTCCATGCTCTTGTGTACGCATGCAAACCGGAATGTGCCATATGTGTTCTCCATGTGATATTGTTAGCATCGTCTTCATGCGCCCTGACGCGTCAATGCCTGTGGAGTTGTATTTTTGTGTTCAGGGGCGCATGGTTGCCAAAAAGGAGAGCTTCGCTACCTTGTTAGGCGATAGGCGAGGCCGGGGTCCAACACGATCAAGCAGTTGGCTGATCGGATATGCAGGTCATGAACCGATTGGGTGCAGGTGGAGTGATTGCCTTGCATGTTCTTGTGTCTGTCCTTGGACTCCTTGCTCTTGAGCAACTTGACGTTCAACCTTCTTTAGGATAATTAGTGGATGTAGAGGATCACGTTGACAGATGCCAACAGAGACGTGACAGGCAACTATCTTGCTGTAGTCCAGGGTCAGTCAGTAGTGGCACCTCTTGAAAGACGTGCAACAGCAAGGGGATTCTTTGTTCAAGCTCAATCCCTTCTCTTCCTCAGGAGTATATATTATCCCAACGTTTCCTAGGTACTGAATGAGCGGCATTGGCATTGGCATTGGCACTGGTCATGTTCCTGCTTTTTGCATTGGGCATCAGAGTCAGAATGGGACATGCTTTCCACGTTGTGTGAGATCTTGGTTGACTTCCTCCAGGAGCCGATACTAGCAGCAGCAAATCGGTGTTGAGTATCGGGGTAGTGCAGGGGTGCGTCGGTAGTGGCGCATCGATTGATGGTCTTTCAATGGGAGGGCGACCTGAACGAACGGCGCTGGGGGAGGACAAGTTCGGAGGGGCTTTTGCTAGTTCGTTAGTAGGTCGGATGCGAAGGAGGGGTTGAGTTTGGAATACGGATAATGTCAATGTGGATGAGGGTGTTGTTCGGATGAGATGATCATGGAGCTTCCCGTAGAGATGGTGAGTTTCAATGAGTTGATGCAGTCTTCAAAAAGGATAATTGATCAAGCAATGATGCCTGCGTCTTTCTTATGGTCGTTGCAGGAAAAAAGAATGCACGATCATACTGTACAGCTGCAGGCCCATGCAGGTAAGGAGGACCCTTAACGAACTTACAGTATGGGGAGTAAATGCCGCCTAGTGTTGTGCCTGTGCCTGCATGAACAAGCAAAACTAGCCGGTGAAGGTGCCCAACTTTAAACCTTCGCGACGCCTTCGTAGTCTCCATCCCGCCCAGAGCTGGGTGAGCAAATCACCATTCGAGGCCACCTTCTTCCCGTCTTCTGCCCTCCAAACCTTGACCTCAATCCTCGAAGACAGTTCCTCTTTTAGTTCTCTTTCCTCCCACCTCGCACCCGTCCTTCTCTTCCTCTTCTTTTTTCCCTCTTCCCTCTTCCCGCTCTCCATATTTTGGCTTGCCTTGTTGTCTGCGCGTCTTCTTAGTCTGCAGTGCTACTTGCTTTCCTGCTTCCATTGGCGCCCTGCTCTCGGAGTTGCTCGAGTTTGCCCGTCGAATCTGTCGCTTTGGCTGTCTATTTGGCCCCCATCTAACCACTGCGCATTGATCCGGTATGTACGAAAACCACCCTTTCGTCTCCAAAACACTTGAGTCCTCGGAGCGCAAATACAGAAACCCCACCGCTGGAATGTCCTGCCCAAAGACACACATCTCTGGAAGAAGAGGTGGAAAAGAGGGTGATGAAGATCGTCAATGCGACCAAAACAGGCATATACAAAGATTAACCTGCGCCGGAAGAGATGGAACACGTTTCTGCGCAGAGACGCGACATTGGAGACACTGCCGGTACACAAGGCGGTCGTCGCTGGACTCAGTGTTGTCACATGATGGCAGTTGTTGAAGCTTTGTGAATCAGTTGCGCTGACACTTCTTTCACTTCAGACTTCAAGGTCCACATTCGATTCTCCCAACACCCTTCGCTGTCGCTTTTGCACCTTACAGCCCACGACACACGCCGTTCGGGATATTCGTCTGCGACAAAAGTTGGTCAGCTCTTCAGGAAACAAGGTTAACTGATACTCTTAATACTTCGACATCCTTTTCACGACAAGTCCTTTGAAAGGAATTTCATCAAATCGACTTCGGTATGTAGACTGTGAGCGAGAGGCCTCCGGCTACATTTCTCGGCGTCACTTCCCCGTCATCGCGCATCGATCTACAAAACTAACCATTCGCGCGACAGATAGTTACTTCACGTTTTAGCCTGTCGATCTCGTCTTCAGTGTATCATCATGTCGTTTGAATACGGTCAATTCCCCCCTCAACAAGAGGGCGCTCCTGGTCAAGTGCCTCCTCCTCAGGATGGAGCTGCCCCAGGTCAGGCCCAAGATCCTACGGGTCAGCAGCAGATCGGTTTCCAGGCTCCAAATGTGACTGGTACCCCTCAAGGTGGCCCAGGTGGAGATCAAAAGACCACTCTTTGGTGAGTGTCGTCCCCCGCTTATGTGAATTCTGTCGCGCGACTGGCTGACTCAGATGTGCAGGATGGGTGAACTTGAGCCATGGGTTGATGAGAACTTCATTCGCAACCTCTGGTTTCAGATGGGAGAGCAAGTCAGCGTCAAAATGATTCGCGACAAGTTCTCTGGGTAAGTTTGAATATTACACCCATCTTTCACGTCTCTGAACTCATGGTAGCAGTAACGCTGGATATTGCTTTGTCGACTTCTCTTCTCCCCAAGCTGCGGCCAAGGCCCTTCAGCTCAGCGGACAGCCCATGCCAAACTCCAGCCGTCCATTCAAGCTGAACTGGGCGTCTGGTGGTGGCCTGGCCGATCGACGAGATGATCGTGGACCAGAATACTCGATCTTTGTCGGTGATCTTGGCCCAGAAGTCAATGAATACGTTCTGGTCTCGCTCTTCCAGAGCCGTTTCCCGTCGTGCAAGTCGGCAAAAATCATGACCGACCCTCTTAGTGGCATGTCGCGCGGCTATGGCTTTGTGCGATTCTCTGATGAGAGTGACCAGCAACGTGCCCTGACCGAGATGCAAGGCGTCTACTGCGGCAACCGTCCTATGAGGATCTCAACCGCGACACCAAAGAACAAGGGAGGGCCAATGGGCGGCGGCGGTGGTGGCGGCGGTCAACAGGGTGGTATGGGTATGCCAGGAGCTGCTCCCATGGGCTATCCACCAATGGGAGGTCCACCGATGCAACCATACTACGGTGGCCAACAATCCATCCAGCCAATGAACCAATTCACTGACCCGAACAACACTACTGTTTTCGTTGGAGGATTGTCGGGATACGTCACTGAGGATGAGCTGCGCTCTTTCTTCCAAGGCTTTGGCGAGATCACCTATGTCAAGATTCCACCTGGAAAGGGCTGCGGCTTTGTGCAGTTTGTGCAGCGACATGCCGCCGAGATGGCCATCAACCAGATGCAAGGCTACCCCATTGGCAACTCTCGTGTTCGCCTCAGCTGGGGAAGAAGCCAGAACAACTCGGGCCCGGCTGGCACTCCTTACCGCCCAGCGCCACCTCCACCGATCTACCCGTCCATGGGCATGCCTCCTTCTCACAACTACAACAACTATGCGCCAATGAAGGTTGGTCCAGCCTCCGGTCCTGAAATGTCTCAGTACTGACGGACACGACAGTGAGAAGTCAACATATCGGCACAGCAGGCGTTCGTCCATGGTCTTCCTTTTCCTGTCGAATTGGAATGATGCGTTTCGTTTGTCATTGAAACAGCGCGATCAGTTTAGCGTTCATCAGTTGGTGGGAGGATGTTTGTCCAACAAAAGTTTCGTTCATTTCATTCGCGACGACCCCTTACCATCAATAATGCTGATGGTTTGTTGGCTCTGTACAACAAGATCATGGCATTCGCTTTATGATTGGAGGTGACGATACCAACGAGAGAAAGCATGTAATGTGCATTTGGTAGCGAACAGGAGCATGGATGGAACGTTGAAAGTGGTGGACAGTGACCAGTTGGCAGAGATGAAGATTTCCTTACCTGTTCTCACCTTGGTTGAACCAAGAGGTTCAACAACGAGTTCTATGATGAACCCTCCATATCAAGATATGGGATCAATACCACGTGCGCACACGAGATACGATAGGTATTGAATGATATTCATGTGGTGAGCATGAGTCACGTTCCTTCACATTGTAGAACAGCGTCTTCCTGTGCACCATAGGACCTCGATATCGCAAACCTCATATATTGATAATCTCGTTCAAGGAAGAAGGATATCAATAGTGCAGCCACCCTCAACCAAGCAGCATGTTGTCCGCCTTGCTGTGCTCTTGCGGAACCGCTCCCCCGCATCACTCCATGGTTTCTCCCCAATCAGATTGGTTGACCATGCGGACCTCGGGATCTTGACGGCTTCTCCAACTATCGTCGGCATCGCGTCCGACGCAACTCAACCACCACGACCGCCAGAGAACGATTAAACCTCCCGACACCGCTGCTTCAACATGTAGTCTCTCAATGTTACGAGGCATGTGAGCCTCGGTACGGTATTCCTTTCCCCTGGTTGTTCTAGTTGCAGACACTGCGTGCAACAGATCTTGTGCACCCTTAGTTGCTATCACTCCAAATCAGATCAAGCACCATGGCGTCCAGACCTATTCGTATAGCAGGTATGTTTGCACGGACAAGTGGGCTTCTTCACCACTGACTTGCCCAGGTGCTTCGGGCTCTGTCTCTGACCGCCGCCATGCCATCGCCTCGTTTGCCAAGGCGTACCCCTCGGATCCCGTCGACGTGATCATATGCGACTTCATGTCCGAAGTCAATATGACGGTGGCCGCAGGGAGGAAGACAGAACAGCAGGCTGCAGCAAACGACGCCGAACCCAACCCGTTCATGGGAGCTGGTCCGGCCTTCGAAGCGTCCTTCCTCGAAGCCCTGGAGCCTGCTCTGGAAGACCTAGCAAAACACAAGATCAAGGTTGCGGCAAACGCAGGGAATGCGGACACCGAGGCTTTGTACAAGCACGTCTGCGATATGGTCAAAAAGAAAGGACTGGACATACCCGTGGCCTGGATATCTGGGGATGCAGTGCTGCCAGCAATCAATACGGCCTTGAAAGAGGGGACATCCAAGTTCAAGAACGTATATACCGGTGATATTCTGTCGTCCTGGGAATTCGAACCAATCTATGCACATGCATATCTTGGTGGGTTGGGCATTGCGGACGCTTTTTCCCAGGGAGCACAGATCGTTGTATGTGGTCGTGTCGCCGATGCTTCGCCGGTCATAGGGTCGGCATACTGGTACCACAAGTGGGAACGATCACAATTGAAGGAGTTGGCCAACGCATTTGTCGCTGGCCATCTCATCGAGTGCTCGACATACGTGACTGGTGGGAACTTTAGTGGTTTCAAGGCCCTTGAACATACTAAGGCCGGCTGGACCGACCTTGGCTTCCCAATTGCTGAGATCTCGAAGAATGGAGCCATCGTGATCACGAAACAGAAGTCCACGGGAGGCGTTGTGACCATACATACCTGCTCGTCGCAACTCTTGTACGAGATCCAAGGACCATGGTACTACAACTCCGACGTCACTGCCGTGCTGGATCAGATCTGGTTCGAACAGGTCGGCCCAGATCGTGTTGCTGTACATGGTGTACAAGCGCTGCCACCGCCTCCGACAACGAAAGTCGGACTCACAGCCCGAGGTGGGTTCCAGGCTGAAGCCTTCTACTTCCTGACTGGACTGGATGTTGCCGAGAAGGCGCGCATGACTGAAGATCAAATGAGGGTGGCCCTGAAGCCGTTCTCCGACAAGTTCACTACGTTATCGTTCGGCGTGCTGGGATCGGCCGCACCAAATGCAGATAATCAGAATGCGGCGACTGCAGTTTTTCGTGTGTTTGCACAAGCCCGCAAGTCCGACGATATCGCGCCAAACAAGTTCCTTCGTCCCGTCATCGACAATATCATGCAGGGCTACCCGGGGTCTACGTTCCATCTGGATTTCAGGCTGGGCATTCCCAAGCCCTACTATGAATACTACGTTACGCTTTTGGATCAGTCAAAGGTCGCGCACACAGTGCACTTCAATGGCAAGGATACAGTTGTACCGCCACCCACCGTGACGAAGACGTTTGCCGAGCGGCAGCCAAGCCAGCCGACTGCCAACTCGCAAGTTGACTTGAGTAAATTTGGACCGACTGAAAGACTGCCGATTGGAACCATTGTCAATGCTCGATCTGGAGATAAAGGTGCAGATTGCAACTGCGGATTCTGGGTGCGGAATCAAGATGAGTACGAGTGGCTGAAGAATCTACTGTCGGTCGAGACAATCAAGGAACTGCTCGGCAAGGAGTATGATACTTCCAGAGTGCCGAAAATTGAAGTTGACAGATTCGAGTTGCCGAATCTTAGGGCTGTGCATTTCTTGTTCAGGAATTTGTTGGACAGAGGAGCTCCGAGCACTGCGACTGTTGACTTTTTGGGGAAGAACACTGCAGAATATCTGAGGAACAGACATGTTGATGTACCGGTCAAGTTCTTGAGTAGAGGGAAATTGTGAATGAGATGATGCATCCTACCAAAGATTGATTGACTGCTTTTGCTATATTGAAGAGGTTGAATCTGTAGGTTGGATTCTCCAAACCCAGCTCAGAAAAATTCCTGGCCAGGTGCACGAATGTCCTTCCGCAGACGAGGCTGTAGCCGGTCTTGGCGTTTGACGAGGCTCCGATGTCAGGGGTGAGGTGACAAGGGCCCGATCGCTCACAATTCTTGATGAGGACAGTTTACACTAGCCCATACAACATACAAAGGCACTTCATCGTGTGTTCTTAATACCTCTGTGCTTATCGAGTCGTGGGTCATTGTGTGGGTGTTTGCTGTTACTCGATCGAACAAAGAGACACAAAGCTCACCACCCTTTTGTCTGAGGTTTGTCTTTGTACTCAATCGAAGAGCTTGAGCACTTTCTTTGCTGGCCTTGTATCTTGAAAGCCACTTCAATGACTTCGAGCCGCTCGAGTCCATTGTGATACGAAGGCAGTCCAATGGAGGTCGACAGCTGGGAGAAGGTATAAGTACCCTTCCCTCGACGTCCAATCTCTGAGTTTCCCTTCTCCATCAAACGCTTTCAGAACGACCAAGCACCAACAGCTTGTACTCGTTTGATCACACTATCAATCAAATACCCAACAATCCGCAAGGTAAGTACAACAACCCCATCCAACTTTCTAACAGTCACTAGTCAAGATGTGTATCACCGGAGTTCTCAAGTGGTACTGTCCCGGCTGCAGCAAGACTATGAAGACGGAGACCAAAGACCGCATCTGCGACGACAAGCATTGCCCCTATAAGACCAAGTCATATCGAGGTCCCTTGCCCACAGCTGACGGCCAAGCCGCCAACCCAGAATCATGCAAAGACTGTGCCGAGCCCAAGAGTGGAGTTCATTCTGAACGTCGTTCTCGGGCCGGTTCCGTACATGGTAGTGGTTCCACTCACGGTTCTGCTCACGGTAGTGGTCGTGATTCACGAATCTCTGATTCAAGCCGCATCCACACCATCAACTCAGACTATCAGCACTTCCCAAGCACTTTCACCTCTCAGCGTTCTGAGCGTCCTGAAGGAAGTCGCGGTGCCAGTGGAAAGTCGCAGCAACAGCAACAACAGTCCCGTCGTGGCGGTAGCGGTGCTGGTGGTGAATCCTCTCGAACTCGTGAGTACGTTCCAACGTCCAGCTATGCTGACATTCACCTCAAGGTTCCGATCGGTGGTGATCGCCGTTATGGTGGGTCAGCCTCCAGCCCTCAATCCCATTCTCGCCCCAATACCAGCTCTGCCCGTCGCTCAGGTCAAGATGACAATGAACCTCGACATGGTGAGACTCGCGAAGATTGGTATAAGCGTGTCACTGGCGATGCTAGTGGCTACCGTGCTTATGCTGAGCATACTATGCGCAGTCAGGTCAGCAGCAGCGGCACCTATCGGAGTCGCGAGTATGTCAGTGAACGTTCTTCAGCGGCAACTGTGACTCCTCGCAGTCATCCTGAGGATATGCCTCCTGCTTACTCTTCTCGCGGAAATGGCTCTGCTCATGGTGGTTGTGCCCAGGTGGTTTCTGCTCGACATGGTGAACTTGCCTATGGTGGTTCTGGTCGCGGTGGTTCTGCTCATGGCTCTGCTCGTGGTGAGTCTCGACAAGTTGCCACTGTTCGACGCGACTATGCTTCCCCAGCTGGTGCACCCCCAAGCTACTCTCAGATCTACCCTGAAGATAGTATTAGCTCCGTTGGTTCCAGATCCGTTGGCGCCAGCTCCCATGTTCCCAGCTCTGTTGGCAGCATGTCTTCATTTGCTGGCTCGTCTACCAGTACTGCTTCCACCGCTCGTCCCAGTAAAGGCATCCAGATTGTCATCAACAACTGCTTTTGAACAAACAATATGTTGTCCGGTGGGTTTTTGACTTACGAAAAAATTGTGGAGAGTTTACAAATTGGTTGAAAGGTGTGAAAAGGTGTTTGATCATTGTTGGAGTTAAGGAGTTTTTGGGATTTTCTTTTCATTTGTGCTTTTTGTCCAAAAAAACAAGTTGGTGCTGGTTTTTGATTTCCTTATGTTGGTCAGAAAAAAGCATCGCATTCCGTTGGCAGGATGGCATGTCTACAGAAAATCCCAAAAAAAAAATTCCTTTCTAATATTTTGTTCCTAAATCAATTGATCTCGTACAATAACACAACAGTGTCCCCCAAGAGTCTAGATGCTTGACTGCGTTTGTGATGGTCAATCTAGTCCCTGGATTTGTGTATAACTAAGGAATCAACTAATCTGCGTTGTGGTCATGGCTGAATGTTTGCTGCTTGACATTGACAACGACCAGGATCAATCATGTGTACTGTATCTGCCAAACATTGACTCCAGCACAAAAGATGAAATCCTCAAATTGGCGTTTTCTTTATCTACGTAGTGTCGATACAGTGTTCACGCAAACTTTGCAGCTCTTTGTCCCAAGGCCTTTTGGTCTGTGTTGACTCTGCCGAGATAATGAGGTTGCAATGATTGCTATGGGGCGGAAAGACTTCCCACGAGGCTGCAAGACTTTCCATGAGGCAGCAAGACTTGCCACAAGGCTGTAATGATTGCTACGAGGCATTATGGATCGCTTTGTGGCCACAAACACATACGCACACCTTTTGAGCATAAAGATCCCCTCCTGTGCTGAGCATTCCTGCTTCTGATCTCCATCACCCATCAAGCATCCAACTCCGGATCAACAAAAGTCTTGACATTCATCCGATCCAGACACAACCCCTCCCACTCAAGTACCATCCAACTTCAATCCAACACCAACAGTCCTCTCAAGAAACATCAATCAAGATGTCTTCCACTCAACAAGACTCATTCGAACACTACTTCCTCGATGAACTCCCAGAAACCGAACAATTCATGAGAGATCTCGCCAACGGCCAGAACATCGTCGAGATCAGCAACCGCACCAATGTCCCTAGATGGCAAATCTCATTGCGCATCGCCAGATTCGGATTGGATTGTCTTGACTTTGCCGTTTTCAGGAGCAAAGAACGTCTCGGACCACACTGCCACGGCGTCGGTGAATTCACTCAAGATCAAAGCAAGACCGTCGTTCTGGCAACCATGGCACACATGATGACTGGAACCTCGCTCTTCAGATCGCTGGTTGCTGCACAGTGCAATGAGGCGAAAGCCATTGAACGGGAGAAGGAGGAAGACGAAGACTCGGATGACGCATCTGACAGCCTTTCGTCATGGACTTTCTCTGAGGGCAGGGATGATGAAGGTGCTAAAGCGAAGGCTGGCAAAGGAAACCAGAAGGGCGAGGGCAAGAAACCGCCAAGCAAAGTCCGTGGCAACTGAGAGTGGTTATTGAGACCAGCAATGCGAGATGGGAGAGAAGGAGAGAAAGTGACGGCGGGTGCTGTGTGGAGATATCTGAGGTGGTCGGGAAGGAAGTCAAGAGTTACTCGATCTGGGGGTGTCGATGTGCTGAAGGGGAGAATCCAGCTTGTGTGCATGTCTTGCTTTGCTTCATTTCTTCACAGGCCAGGTGCCAGTTTCTTGTATTGGTCTGTTGACCTCTCGATACTTGTCTGAGGAAAGATCAGAGATTATGTTGTTCCCGCGCGTGGTTTCGGATGCGAGGAAGGCATGGTCAGTGTAATCTTGCTGGTCAAGACGAGTTAGCTTTGCAGGACAATTGATAGAGTAGTTACTCATCTTGTATCGTTTGCTCGATTCTGACTGCTTCGCAATCGGTTTGCTATAAGGCTTGCATGCCAAATTCTGGGTCCCAGAATCTGGGAGCATCACTTGCCACGAGTGGTGAAGGAGGTCCTCGTCGTACAAGTACGGCACAGCAAGCCCCGGTGTACCCATGGGTTCTTTACGTAGTTTGTGACAGACATGAGAAAAGGTCAGAGAGATTGCCTACGACATTTGAGTGAGGCTGATGGACTTGCCTGTTTTCGTCACCCGTGTTCTCGCCAGGTATAGAAAAAGAAGTGGGACTGTGACTGGTCCAGCCACTGATATCTCAAAACGATTTTGACACACGAACATACGTCCGTTGCGCTCCAGCGAGGCGCAGGTCGTACTGGGCGTCAGCACTCCCATGCGCAGTGGGCATTCCTTCACTAGTGTCGCTTCCTGTCCGTTGTTCTGAGTGGCGTATGTGGTCAGAATCTCGCAGCGTTCTCATGGACGCGGTCCACGCTCGCGACGCGTCTGCTCGGCTTTGTTCGATTGGTGCCACATGCATACCAGACGCTGTCAGATTGATGTGGTTCCATGGGCAGATGTTTCATCCCGGACTATAGGCGTATAGACCACAGACTTGTAGGGGGAGAGTTAGGATAGCCAGTGAGAACAAGGGAGCCCAATGAGTGGTAGGAGGGAGTTATCAAGTGGAGACAGCCTGCACCCCTGAGACCCATGGAACATGATAGCAGCACTGTATTTCGTAGTCCACTGCCTTACCATGGCCATTCAAACACTTCTTTGAGTCATGCAGCAAACGCCACCAACAGTCTGAGGCAGTTTCACGGTCCTCAGTGGCAGAGCAAGAGGTTGGATTCTGGCTCAAGAGATTTCGACACCTATGTACTAGCCGTTCGTACGACCGCTGTGGTACCCTTCGCAAGTCGTTGGCATTCGAGTGAACCTTCGTCCATGTTGCAGCAGGCATATATTACCTTATATGATGGTGGCCTCAGGGCCTTTTGCATACTCCTTCCACTCTGCCAAACGAAGACCATTGTTTGCTCAACAGATTCATACCAAGTAGCCAATTCACTTCTGCCTGTTTTCCAGAGTCACTGACAACAGCTTATAGGACCATGGCGTCTGCTGCAGGCCAGAGCGCTGGCAATATCCCCAGAACTCAGAACTTACTGGGCCTGCCTCCGACAAGTAACGAGGTTGGGTGCGCTACTGATGCAATCCTCCATGGCCGTCAACATGATCCTCTGCCAACGGAGCTGGTCAGAACATCCCAGCATAGCTCATCCTCATGTGCAGACACAACGAAAATAGGAGGGAATGGAAAGAAGTCCACAGAAGTCGCTCGTCTGCCAGGTGCCGATGAGCAGGCATGGTGTGTCTGATCTTGTCCTGCTAGACACAAGGAGTTACCGGCATGCTCGAATTGAGAGTGATGGCTCTCATTGAAGGATATGATCGCAGCAGACAATTATCCGCAAGTGCGGAAAAAGCCCCAGACCGGCGTACTGCGTGCAGAGTCCCATTTCACAAGTCTGAGATGATGATTTTTTGTGAAGGCTACGCAGTGCTGAGTAGGCCTCCATTGTGACGTCCCATCTGTCTGCAGGCCGGACAGTATGTGGTATTCACACCCTTCGATAGTGAATACCTAAAGCTGTGTGGACAGTGATGACTGTTCTTTGAGTGAATGTTTGTTATTGTCCGCGTTCATTGTTGGCTGCCCAATCCTGTCCTAGAGGCAGTCGTGCATGCACCCTGCTATTCTCGCACCTGATAACTCAGCGATTTCTTACTTTAACGCACACTCCACCAGAGTCACATTCCTTGCTAGACCAGTTCTCCTGTGTCAAGAGTGTGCTTGCATTTGTCAGCCGTTCGTACATCTTTAAAGATATATCACGATGTGCCGCGAAGTGGTAACTCGACACTATTGCGGCAAATGCATGGTTATGACAATGGTTCAGCGGCCTGAGATCGAGCTATGTTCCAATGTCGACCGCTCGCGTATCTGTCCGTCACCACCACTTGTCGAGGTCTGGTCAGAAGAAGAATGCTCCACCTGTCGACGTTATCAGAACCATTTGCGAACGTACGCACCTCGACCTCCCTATCAAAGTACTGCCCCAGTACAACGACCATCAGATCCCTCCGCATATCATCGCGGTTCCCGGGCAACAGAAACCACATACTGTGACCCACCAGAAAGACCAGAAGAGATGCAGTATCGAGGCCGAGAGACAGGTGATCCAGCTTCTGAACGCCCACACGAGCAAAGCAGATATCGCCATCACGATCAGCGCCCTTCACCCCAGGTTAGTCCTGTCAGCTTTCAGTCAGACCAAGAAGACACCATCACGTCGCCAGAACAGCGTGATGCTCATGTCACCTCACCTGCCTCAGAATCATTAGAGCGCTTTCGGCCAGAACCACCTCGTGGATCAGAAGGTCATACACAACATGAATTTGACCGACATGACCTTGAAGAAGCGGTCGCAAGATCCATGGCAGATGTGCGTGCCAAGGAGCTGAGAGAGTCTCAAATGAGCTGGAGCAAAGTTCAACTCGAGTCAGCTGCGCAAAAGGAAGCCATTGCTCGATCGCTGGCGGATGTGAGCTTGGCAGAGACGAGGGAAAACTTTGACAAGGATCGGAGAATTGCTGCATTGGAGCTCGAGGTTCAGGTCGGAAAGGAGAAGGTCCAGAAGGTGGCGTCTGAGAAGGATCGGGCAATCGATGACCTCAGGATTGCGCTTCAGGAACAGCAAGAAGAGGCCGAAAAGAGAGAATCTCGAAAGGACCGAGACATTGTCGAGTTGAAGTCATTGTTGCAACTTGAGAGCGAAAAACGAGATGTGGAGCGACAAATATTCGAAATTGAGCGTGAGGCATTTCGAGAAAATGACATGGGAGTGCAGCCACCGACTGAGCCAGAAGTCACCAAGATCGTTGAACCAACGGTGAGATATAGGGCTCCAAAAGGACGGGAGTTATGGATCCTCGAAGTCAAGAGAGAGCAGGGTCGTCTTGTTGAGCGTGAAAGACGGATGGGACCCAATGACATGGTTTTCTCTCGATGCAAGAAGCCATGAAGCTCCGAAGGTCGTTCGGGGAGAGCTCCTTTCTGCGGAAATGGGCTGCTCTGCGACGTGGAAAAGATTAGAGACGTGGACTGAATTGATGGACAGGTCAAGGTTAACATGACCGCTGAGGGCGAACTAGAACCAGAGACTTGTCATTTCCTACCTAGCATATTCGAAGATAGGCAAGCACAAGATTTTGGCAGTCATTTTCGCACTGTTCGAGCCGCTTCGCTGGCAAGATGCCTTATAACGTCCCGTTTTGAATGCAGTCCTCGTAGTCGAGCCGTCTGAGTGCGTCTTGAAGGTTTCTTGGGAGAAACCAAAAGAGTTAGATCTTTTCGTTGGATATATCAAGGCTATAGGTCGGACACATCTCCAACACCACTCGGGCCTCCAGTGGTCTCTGTCAGATGAGCATGCACAGCTACGAGCTTCTTCAGGTCTTTGTTACCGCGGAGGTTGGGTATGACTTCCTTGAAAGCAGGGTGGCTGCGGAACTCGATATGAGCCTCAACGCTGGTCCAGCCTATCAACAAAACGTATGCTTTTGCTTTTTCGTCTATCTCGGGGATATCAATCTCTTCCTCAACCCAACCTCCTGCGGAGGCTCTGTATTCCTTAGCTTCCTTCTCGATGATCTTAATGGCGGCCTTTGCTTTCTCGACAACCTCGTCCTGGTCTTCTTTGGAGTATGAGGTGGGAAAGTACATAGTCACAATCTCGGTCGCTGGGGAAGTGGTGTCGCTCAGAGCAGCTCTAGGAGGGTGAGGTGTGAAAGATGCATGATATAGGGTCGGGGCACCGCCTAGGAGCTCGCCAAAACGGTCGAGGAATGGTTTATAAGCACTGTACAAAGAATGAGTATACGGACATTCATGGGGATGAGGTGTACACGTACTCGGACTGCATGAACTTCTGGTGGTCCTCAACACTGTCCCAGTCAACAAACCATCTCAACAGAAGACGGTCTTCGACTCCACGACCCCAATAGCAGCGCTGGCAGCCTGGTTGGGCAAGCAGTGTCTCAAGGAGGTCGGCATGAATCTGCCCGACGGCACTCGTTCTGTCGTCAGGTATCTTGCCCTCCTGAAGGGGTAGTAACGCGATTTCGGTGACAGCCATTTTCACAAGGTTTTTGGTGATAGTAGGACGGCTGGTTTTGTCCAATGTTTCCGGAGGAAGTATTTCACATATTCTCGATGGACCGCGGGGAACAAGACCGCGGGGCTGACGTAACCATGAATCAATCGCGGAATTGTTTTTGCTCGTTTATCTCCGAGTTCATGATGGTGATGAGATGCTTTCCGATCCCAAGGCTCTTTTCAGCCGTGGACCTCGGGTAGCCATTTTGATGCCGGGTAGCAGTCCTACATGCTGTACACACGTCAAGGTAAGTGGAAATCGCTCCTCACTGGTGGGAGATGAGGAAACGACGTATCATCGTCTCACGCAGTCTGGCGGCATGAGACCTGACAAAGTGTAGATGCAACGTTGAAGTTGTTCCTTTTATGCGTGATCAACTCCGCAGTTTCGTATTACGTCACTCGCCTTTCGTCAACATGCTCTCGCCTTGTTTGCAGTCACATTGATGATATGATGCTGCTCCAAGAACAAATTGGCACACTCACCTCTTGTCATCATTGACTAAAAAACACAAGAAGCAGATACGAGATCCTCCAGCGACAACATACATCATGCCTGATTTCCAGGACCGCGAGAAAGCTCTGGAGAACGAGTACATTCGCAAGCGAGAGTGAGTTTCCCACACTTATATTGCGAAGAATTGTGGGCTGATTGGGAACTCATACAGAGCCGAGAAAGCTGCTCAGCACAAGGCGCAGCAAGGAAAGAGCGGTGCATCAACGACCAATCCTGCAACAACAAACTCGGCTCAAGTATGACTCGGAAACGCGGGTGTGCAAGTTGTCAAGTCGCTAACGGTGGAGCAGAAGTAGACTCTGTCTGTACGTAGATGCATAAGTGTCTGATCGAGGAGGTACGACTCAGTGTTGCGTGCTCATGTGTGTGAAATGAAGGGTGCCGCTGAGGTGCTGCCATAATTGGTCGAGGTTCTATCATAGCAAGAAGACCGTCAGTTAGCTTTCTCTGGTGGAAGAACAAGAAGCTTCGAGGTTATCCTGTGAACAATCAAATACAGGTAGAAGAAGATTGTCAACACGATGCCAACGTTCCTTCGGTGTTATGCGTAAAGTGGTTGCATTTCTACTACGCGAAAAGCGGAAAGAGACGCGTCGCGTAAACAAATGAATTGATGTGAACGCCAAATATTCAGACAGTGCCATCATCATCGCACTTCCTCCACAGCAATAGTCTTCAGCTACTTCAATCCACTTCAGCACGATCTTCTCGTTATATTCTAGCTGTCAATCTCCGAATACTCTAGTACACTTCGACCAACGGTGCGGAAATACCCTCTCGACTCGTCCTCTCTGTCCACCACCCTCTCGCCTGCGGGTACCCCATACAGTTCAACCTCCCCTCAGTTTCCCGATACAAGTCGAGCTCTTGAGCCGCTTCTACCCTTCCCTCCAAACGCTTGAGCCTCATAGCATGGTCTCGTCAAAAGCAACAGGAACGGAACTTGGGTTTTAGCAGGATGCGTATCGGAACGTAACCCTAAGATGTTTGTCGGTTCAAAGTTTCGCGGTTCAGTTGTCGTTCTCTGACAAGCTACACTCGCGTGCCTCCTGCTTATTACTTGCTCCGGCGAAGAACGGCAGGGTGGATTGGGTGCGGTCAAAAGAGATTAGGCGTCCAGAGTCTCGTAAGAGGCAGAGAAAGACGGTATAGCCATGCGTCAATTTGGTAAGAGTCCAGAGGACCGCGCGTCGGCATTCCAACGCTGGACATTATACGTGATCATATATGGGATGTTTGGGTGATATGAGCGTGGAACAGACACAGAGAGAGCGAAGATGGTGTCTTTGCAACGCAGTGCAGGACGGTATATGCCTAGAGCGCAAAGATGTTGAGCCTACACACAGGTTCGCTGGAAGTCTCGTCCTCATCAAGGGATCCACTGGTCGGAACGAGCTTTATGTTGCTTGAGCCAGGTCCAAGGATGATTTCGAAACTTCATATCGGCATTCCTTCAACTTGGCCCTTTGCCAGCTCCGGCCGGCTATACTGAAGCACACACCCTTACAAAGATTATCAGTTTCTACTTCTCTACAACTCTTGTCTGTGACCACGTCGTCCATGTACGACAGCTTGTTCACCAAACGCGCATCCAAGCAACAGCTACCCGATGTGTACTTTTCCCTCGCGGAAGATCCCGATCAGCCGCGTTAGTCATCCGCATCATGTTTAGCATGGTGAAATGGAGAGCGCCGATTCAGTGGGCTCTTGATCTTCGGATCTCTGGGCACATGATGAACCTCATTTCGGTGGGAAGAGGGCGTTTTTTGAAGATGTTCTTTGTGCGCCCTGACCTGGAATATGGCAAATGCCCTTCGATTTGTCATTCTCGACATGACGGAAGTGGAAACCAAAATCTTGTCTCCGAGGTTACTGTATTACACACGAGAGAGGCAGCATTCCTCTGTTCACTCCGGGTTTAGACGTTGAGGCGATTTGAGAGTTCGCACGCTGCGGAAGAAGAACGAATTCAGAGTGTATCGTGGGCTACAAGATACGCGAGAAGAGATGACTGCTGAAGACGGATCGAATAGCTTGAGTGCTGCTGTGCGGAGGAATTCTGCTCAAATTTGGTGCTCCATGTCTACAAGAAAGCTGTAACTGCAGGATGCTCTTCTTGCAACCACGTCATTTTCCGCACCGGTCCAGGGTACGATCTTGTCGCAACAAGTCCCAAGGTTTAGTCAACTCAGCTTGCATGCATCCAAGCAGACTGCCAGATTACAAGCAACAATTTTTGTCATCGTAGCGGAGCACCGACTTGTGCGGCCATTGCTTTTGAGACGAAAGGGTACACCAAGTTGTTGAGACAGGACCTCTCTCGAGTGAGGATCAAAGCTTTGGCTTGTCTGTTCTTGATTCCTTGCCATTTGTTGATAGAGTCTTTGTCTCTTCTTGTTTGGGCGGAAAGCTCTTTGTGCGAAATTTTGCCATGGCAAGTCATGACTGGATGGGTTCTACTGAGTACGACGATGATGACTTCTGGCTCACTTGAAGTGACGGACTATGTGTGGGATCTGACAAGGTTGCATGGAGATCGCAGAATGCCTGAGTACATGTCTCTTGGTCTATGACTGGGGCACATTTGGTCGTCGTTCCTGGACGCTTTACATGCTCCTTGGACGGCACCTGTTCTTTTTATGAGTCTCCCTCTCCCTTCGTGGCTGGAAGGTGCTAACCAGATGCCAGGTTGCTCTACTAACAAGTTACCCAGATATGGTTCACCTTTTCATCGTTGCCTTGATCACGGGTATTGAGGACCTCTGAGGACCGACGGTTCAAAATACAATGAAAATCTTTGCTGAACCATGAAAACAACAACTTTAACGAGGATGTATGAGTCTCGCACTGCCCTTTGGCGGCTTTTCACTCGACTATATATGTCTTCCCTCTTCCCTTTCAATCTCTTTGAAGCTTTGACATCCTGAATACCTCCATACTCAACACAATGGGGCTTCGCATGTTCGTAGAGCCGGGCACCGGGAAGCCATCATCACCCCTTCCCTCGTTGCGAACCCCATTCGTCCCATGCACATCGCCATCATCATCGTCATCTCCATCACAACCCTCCCCACCATCATCCTCATCCTCCAACACTATAACTACGAGTACGACCACCACCACCACCACCACCACCACCACCACCACCACCACCACCACCACCACCACCA